GAAAAAATGGAGATGCTAAGACGCAACCTCGAGGTAGACGCAAAATTGTGACGAGGAAGACAAATTACGGAGATGCACTGGCTTCTCCGCTGGCCCCATTAATCAATGCCATTATTGATTACTACTACCATGGCGCGGCTGTTATAGAGCGAGCAGCATTGCATCCTATTGTTGACTATTGAACCTGTACCATGTTCTGTGTAAATATTCAAGTAAATTTTCGACGAGCGCCGACCCGCGACTCCACAATGATGCCGTTGTTTTTACATAATTAACATTATGAGGTGTACAGTATGTACACGGCCGAAGGGACCACAGCGGGGAGGGCCTTGTTGGCCCACGTGGCAGATGATCTACACGAAAAAACTTGATGTGACAGCCAAATACGGAGTATACTGTAGTATCCATGTTGTTGGGACGGACGGATATACACCCAAATCCCTCCTGTGAGCGTTATTCAAGTCCAGAGACCAAAGTACTCTGTACAATATGTAAGTTTAAAATTGGATGGCATAGGAAGATTGCCACGCCCTGCAGCTACTGGTGCCCATCGAAGATCATGCCTAACACAGCGCAGCGACTATGGTATGACTTGCAGCTAATGCGGTGGATCTGTCGGGCGCCCATGTGGCGTGAGAGGGATGCGATTCCTTCTCGCCTATTATTCTGCTCAGGTTTTAGCGCTCGCTCTTTGTTACATTATGTACTCCTTGCACATCATCTTCGACTCGGATAGACCACCAGGAGTTATGGCTTAGGCCGCTGCAGGGCCCTGGTGGTGCTCTCGCTTGCTGGTCCTGGTCCGGCGTACAGAGAAGTGATTGGCGAATGGCTCTCAACTCGGTGTTTCGTAGCTGCACTGCCCCCGGGCTGACGGCCCCAGTGGAGGCTTCACCCCGGGACCCTTTTGGGGGCCACCACCATGGACGCGACCGGTGGAGGCACATGGAGGGTGGCCTGTCCACTCCTGTCCAAGAGGGAGGGTGATTTTGCTGATGCCACGTCTGATGCCATTCACTTTTCATCGGCGATCTCCTGGGCACTCTGTTCTAGGGAGTGTAGTGAGGATCAACGTCCATGGCTGCCGATATCCTACGGTTAATTCTGGCCTTCGCAACTGTATACTGTGTCCTTCGTAGGGATTATACCTTGTGAGGCCTAGAAATCACCGCTTTCGCTCAAAACAAAGTTGTACACCCATTCATATCCTCACGCCAAAGTAGGATGACATGCTGGCATTTGGTGAAATCCGGATGGAATTGCTCGACACAATGTACTTGATACTTGATGCTTTTCAACAAGTCTATGTCGAGGTCATTTCAATCAAGCATATGCTTGTCTGCGGCATTACAGTATCCTAAATTTGAATCCCCATTCCACATAGTCATATAGCCTGCTCAACCTGCCCCGAGGCCCAACCCTGATCGACGTAGCCACCTACTGCATGATGGTGGAGATCGGAGCGCGACGGGCGGATGCATATCGTCGCAACGCAAGCAAATCGGAACACACTGATTCAGTCTCAGGGGCTCCCAGCCATTCGACTTTGATAGCATAGGACTAGATACATACTGGAGGAGGCTATATAGTACTGCAGTATGCATTTAGTACTGCAGTATGCATGATTCGATATTCTTCCCGTCGGGATTAGGTTAATCAAGTATACAGACCGCTTCAGATAGCAATACCCCCCGACTGCACACCTCTCATTCGAATACTTATCATTCCGGCAATGAGTAATTCTCCGAGCCATTATGCCCTCCTCCACTTGGTCGGTCTTCGTCCCGTCTGGGTCTGGGGGATGTGTGCCCAGCCCGACGAGCGGGGAGAAGACGACGATCACTAACCACGCGCACCCAATCCCCCGAAGAATCTGCCGAAGAATCTCCCTGTGAAAGAGAGCACAGATGAATTCCCTCCCCAGCAGCGACCAGAACGAAAACAACCTGCCAAAAGCGCTCGTCGGCCCCGTCCAACAGCATGGGGGAACGGGGGCTGGCTTGTCCGGCAAGGTCGGCCGCGACGATTATGGTCTTTATGGCAGACAGCTGCTCTGTACTATATCCAGAAAGCCAAAGCAGCGCAACAATTATCCTGGATAGCACATGTTCCGCTTACCATGCAGGCGCTGTGCCCCCTCCGTTTTCTCCCCGGTGCTACACTGCAGGCCGGGCCTTGGCACGCCTCTGTAGACCGTCTCCTAGCTAGCGCTAGTCGCCGCGAGACAGTTCGATCCCTCGACCATAGTGGCCTGGAAGATCCCGTCTAGCCGTCCGTTTTTGGGCCCCGGAAGCCGCGGCATTGCTCATCATGACCACTGTCCAATCCCCTCAATGAGGGTGATAAGATTGGATGTACGGCGTACTAGAGTAATCACATCCCGGTTCTTCCAAGCCCAGATCGCAGATCGCGCAGGTGATACAGGGAACAATGTGTGCCCACTCTTCGGTTTGCATCACACTCTCGTGGCCGATTGTGTCCGTTTCTGTACGTGCTGTTTATGTTTCCTGTGACCTTTGTTTTCAATCTTTAATCTCCAGACCTGACTTCATGGCCCGAACCACCCATGCAATGCAATGCAGTCTCGGTCTCCTGGGACCCTTCAGTTGCGGAGTGGGCGACGGTCCGGGGCTTTCTTCGACGGCTAGAACATGGCCTTTCTTGCGGGCGTGGGCATAAGCACGGGCGGCCGCAGCTCCCCGGTTGTTCAGTCTCTCTGCGACCCCATGGAGTACTCTGTTCATACCTCCCTGATTCCTGGGCCTCCCATCATGGATGGCCACTCCGCACCAGACTGCAGCCATCGGCTGGGTGGATTTGCAAGGGCCGCTCTGAGCACCAGGCATGGTCCAAAATGAACCTCAGGAATCGCCTCCGTTGGGGTTTCCTCGTGACAAGCTACGAGGTGCGGAGGGTATCCACGCCATGCCGTCCTGCAGAAGTGTGGAGTTGCCGCGTTGGCTGCAGGCAGACAAAGTAGTCGAGAAGATCTCCAAGTGCACTGCCCTTGACCTACGGAGTACAAATCCACACTGTATTTACTCCAAACAGGATAGTGCATATCGTAGAGTCACAGCCCGGGGCCCATTTTCCTTCATAGAAGCACACTAGGACATACGCACTCCAAACAATAGCCTCAGGAAGCAACCCCCGCCCCATTGGCCGGTAATACACTGCTGTACTAGATGTGAGATGCATGCAGCTCGAACATAACTCGAACATAACTCGAACATAACATTTGTACAGTCCTAGAGCAAGCCGGTGCAAAAGGCAAATCGCACCTCATAACGAAACGTCAGGCAATACTGACTACCTAAGCGAATAGACAACTATTAGTAATGCCAAAAACTACCAGGAAGCCAGTGATAATAACGGTATTCTATCTTGGCTAGCGTCCCAGTGCCCTCCACACACTAGCTTCATCACCCTCATGAGCAATCCTGCATATTTCACATGGTACCCTAGCCATCGGTGTCCTGCATGCAGCGTAATATGCTCATGCCCATGCCGCTGCTATCGGCCATACCCCACCGATAGTATTTTCTTGTTATTCATAATGTCCTCGGCTCCCTCTTGCAGGGATCCGATTCGCCGCTAGCCCGCCTCTCAGCTTCCCTTTGCGGGTAATAATGGGAGAGCCTGCGACATATCACTTTTGACACATGGAATAGGCACCATGCATACATACTGCCTGCACCCTGGCCAATTAACAGCCCGGACTATGCTGTGGTGATGGAAAGGGTGGTGTGCTGCAAGGGCTGGGCATCTGCCGGTAGGTGGCCACTCGCTTTTTGCCATCGATTTTGCTTTTGTTGAGGACGCTGCATGGAAGGCCCTGGCTGGTTTGGAAAGGAGGCCGCTTGCTTGACCGTATATACCTTCCGGTGAGGGGGGAAGTAAAGTGGGAATGCTGGGAATTGTTAGGCTTCTACCCCTTCTAGGGTATTCAGATCATGTACTGATTTTTTTTCGTTTGTCTTCCAAGTCCGAGGAGAAAGGTGTACCTAGTGGCGCAGTATAAACGGTATACCCACTTTACCCGAAATCCTCTCATGTTTGCTTCGTTCTTCATCGGTGTAATTGTGACACAAGATCGCCATTACCACTGCTCCCATGCTTATGATACAATTGGCAGAGCAAACGACAACCATGTCAGACCAACGTAGCTAGATCCCAAGAATAAAAAGAATAAAAACAACTCACCACTTGACAAGCCAAATTGAAAACTCGGACTTGCATCTCGTAACAAGTTGCCTGATCCTCAACTTCTTGCCACCATATACAAAATCATTAGGTACCTATACATACCCGTGGCAAGATGCAAACAAGGCAAGGCATCACTGGATCGATTGGATAACCTTCCCATCAACAGTCGATCCCTTCCCCAGTCGTACGCAATCTTGATTAACAAGCCATTTCCCAGGAAAAGATCGCCCGCAGCGCCTGATGCAGTGTGGATACCGTAGTATCGGCCTAGCGTTTCGCATGCCCGGCTTGATCGAGGGCGGGGGAGGATGAATTGCATCTGTGAGTGGCTGCCGTGCGTCCGTGATATATCATGGCGGGATTTGATCGGAATGTTGGCTGAAAGCGGACAGAATCCATGCGAGAGCGTTTGTGTGTGTAGGCATTACCTATTTGTCTGGGGGGTCTGTTAAGGGGTTACTAACACTGCGGTTCCGTATGGTTTATGACAACCTGAGCGGGTCCCTACAGGCCTATACTCAATACATACCTACATACAACAGTAAAGCGAAGCCGTTGACAAGCCATATGACTACTCTTTAAGTTTAGGGCTATCTAGACCCGCTAAGGTAGATGGGGCGTGCTTAGTATCAAAAGCCTATTCGAGAGATTCGCATAGCTAGTATCTAGTCTATTGATTCTAATAGAAGGTGTATCTTTTCTAGCCTGCAAGTAGAACCCGTTCATAGAATGAACCTCCATGCCGACCGATATCAAATGCAGCCATAACCAATGGAAAACCAGAGGAACCCACCTTACTCTCGCCACCATTGCCCCAACGAGCTCCCCGTCCCCGCCATCTCAACGACCTCTTCAAAGCTAATTTCCACACGGAACATCTGCCCATCGGCTGTGCCACTGCCACTGCCTACATGCGTGACAAGGCCCCACGAAACCAACTTCTCCCACGACTCCCGCGCCACGTCTCGGCCCCAGACGCGGCCGGGCGTGGCCGCTGCGCCGGACACCGAGGCCGATATCTTGGCAGAGGTGAGCAGGCGCACGTATTCCGCGTACGCAGCAGAGAAAGAGAGGGCTAGCGGCGCGACACTGTGGGTTTGGGCGCCGTCGTTGCCTGGGTCGAAGAGGGCGGCCAGGCGGGTGGCAGCGAGAAGAAGGGCTAGGGGAAGGGATGAGGGACTGGAGGTTGCGGTGATGGAGGTTGAGAAGGGCAGAGGCGCTGGGTCTGGGCAGGCCAGGGATTGGGAGATGAAGCTCTTGGGCGTTGGAATTTGCAAAGCGGGCTTGTCGGCGGCTTGGGTGCTGAGTTGGAGCTCGCTAATGGGAAGGAGCGCACTGGTCAGGAATTCCTTTACGGATTTGGTCTGGTGGTAGATCTTCTTTAGGTGGAGTTGAAAGTCTTTGTCATCGAATAGATGCTAGAGGGGATGTTAGTTATCAACGATGCTCGGTAATTTGGATTGGATATGCATGCTTGCCTTCAAGTATTCCTTCCATCCCTCGAGAAGTGTTTTCCAACCAGCGGTACCGGTGATTACTCGCTCGGACCCAAGTGATTCTGCAAGCTCCTGGACCTCGTTCTCATCAAGATCCAAACTCGCCATGCAGATATCCGCGAAAATCTCGTATGTCCGCGGGAGCGGGATGTAGACATAACGGTGGCTGAATCGACTCTTAACGCGCTTCTCCAGCATCTCAGTGACATCGACCTTGGTAGTAAGCCCAATGACCACAATAGGGGCCTTGCGGGCCTGAGCAATATCAAACAGGTTGTAGAGCAGGGTCTGTCGGGGATGGGTCACAAAAAGATCAAACTCGTCCAAGAGTATGACGATGGACTTGGCCGCGGTCATCTTCTCCCCATTGCCGGCACCGAATAGCTCTTCGGGGTGGGACAAAAGAGCCAGCAAGGTAGCCATCGTGTCAGCATAGGAGCTGACCTTGGCTGCGTCGTCTTCAGTGTGCGTCTCACGACCAAGCTGGCGCCACATTTCCCGGAGAGCGAGCCGATCATCCGTGTGGAGGAAACCATTCAGCCGAACAACGTGGAAGTCGTTGCCATGCTCCTTTGCAAGAGACGAGAGGATCGTTTCAACGACTGCTGTTTTGCCGGAACCGCGTGACCCGAGGAGAAGCATGGAGTTGCCTTCGCCGACGGTGACGGTCTGTTCGATCCAGTGGTTGATATTGATATATTCGCTCTCAAGACCCTTGAGGGGAATTCGCCGCTTTCCGGATAGCTTCTCGAGCAACACCGTCGTGAGAGTACGGACTTCGTCTTGCAGATCCGCTTGGCAGAGGGCTTGTAGCTTCTCCGCATACTTAGGGAGAGGCTCCACTGTCTCCGCGACTTCGTGTGATTCTTCCTTGTCTTGTAGGCCTTGTTGCAGTTGCATTGCAACCAGGTCGTCGAGGCCGTCATTGTATCCTTCTAACGAAGGAGATAGGTCTCTATCCTGCCCTTCGGCATCATGCCCATTAGCACCGTAGGACTTCAGCTGGGCCGTACTCCTCCGGGACCTTGTCCTAGCAATTGACCCGGTTGGCTTCAGAGACTGCTCAGCGACATCCACCCCAATATCCTCTCCAGATCCCCGTCTCGACCTCTGTGCGCTCCTGGCCCCACGAGCGCTTCTAGGGGTAGCGGTAGACCTCCGCGCCGAGGATGTTGTGGGGGCATCATCTTCAAATCTCTGCGGTGCTTTGCGCTGCCGCCCACTTGCCCGTGTGCTTCTCGGCGTGTCTGCTTCATTCGCATCTAAACCGTCTGGCACGTTGCTCTTTCTACCGCGGGTGGATTGACGCCGCGAGGCTTGTCTGCGGGGACCGCGGTAGTCCTGATCTTCGTCGGAGTCCGCGTCAGGCTCGGGGGAGGATGGGGCTGAGTAGGCGTCGCCGTCGCTTTCCATGGCGATATCTCCGTCATCGTCGTGAGCAGGCTCTTCGGAGACCCTTCTCCGCTTCGATGTTCTGGGATCTCTCATGGTTCAGGGTCGGTCGGCCGTGCGAGGTATTATCAGAGGGTATAACGGGAGGGACAAGATCGATCGGTAGAGGGATAGTCTCGCGGCGGAGTTTTGTATTTGCGACCGCTATTCCGTTCGAAATGGGTTCCCAATCGCTTCAAGTAGTGATGTGTACCAACAATCGTACCGCGCCAGGGAGGCCGTCGTAGGAAGCGCCTTGGGCTACTTTGGAAGCGAATGAATGCGGATAGATAGTAGATGTATGCAGACCGCAGGAGACCGGATACCCTTGCCCGTCCTCTGGAGAGCCGTGACGCCAGTAGTAGGTTCAATGGCAGGCCTGGCGGAGCTATTGACGGTTCGGCCACAAATCGAGCATCTCCGGGTTACACGCCTCAGGCTGCCACGCGTGACGTGAAGTGAGGTGCGCCGAAGGGACAACAACGAGCCACTCTCGTTGAGCATTTGAGAAATGATTAATCTCAGTAGAATTAAAGTTTATCGGTCGTAAAATACGACGTCCAATTCATTTTAATGACCGGTTGTGGCCGTATGCGTGACATCCTCGGCTCTAGATATGGCCAATAAGGAGTGAACCATAACAGAAGCAATTTACGCGGTAAGTATATGCCAGGGACGCCATGAGACCGGGATATAAGATCGGGTGACTTCAGAATATTCCGACCAAATACCCAGCCAGCAAAGCAAGTAAGCCACATCGGAGGGTCCCATATCTGTCGGCTGAGATCAGCCGAGGTTCAGCTTTCCCCGGGCTAAGGTGATGCGCCTGTGGAGAGCAGCAGCGAGGGACTTTGTAAAGCATCGACTTTCTCCGATAGACATTCAGAAAATCCATCTCTCATACAACTTTCTTTCGCTTCCCATCCTCCCTCCACACCAATTATGTCCGACGAAGGGCTACGGCCACCAGAGCGGAAGCTGGACGAGTTCGAGGAGCTCGTCTACGAGTATGCACTCCGCATGGGATTGGGCAACGAAGAGGTCCGTCAGCGATAGCGCATGCCCCCAAGGACTGGCGACTTCCATTCATCCTAAAGGGAGCATTCATGCAGGATTCCTAAACTGACACCTTTCAGCACTGGGATGTCAACGCCCGCGACTGCAACCTCCGCTTCGAGGCCGCAACCCGAGGGCCCCCGGCCAAAGTCTCCTTCCTGCTGAACATCACCCCCGCACTCAGTAACTTCATGGGCAACCTCCACGGTGGCTGCGCAGCGACGCTAATCGATGTCCTATCAACCACCATTCTGCTGGGTATCTCCGAGCCAGGCAAGTTCTCGCTCGGCGGCGTAAGTCGCAACCTCAGGTTGACGTATCTGCGCCCTGTGCCGACGGGTACGGAGGCGCGGGTGGTATGCGAACTCATCCATGTGGGTAAACGGCTCGCACTGCTGCGAGCAGAGATCCAGAAGGCAGATACTGGGGACGTGTGTGTGGTTGGCGAGCATGAGAAGGCGAACACCGACCCCGAAGTGAACCAGAGAATCTAGAGGCGTTAGAAAAGGCGATTGCGTGCCGGCATGCCGGAGGAGGTATGATGGCGATGAGAAAGAACCTTATACATACTACTTTCTTAACCTACGGCTGTCTATAGAAATCGTGGTCGATTTGATATCTTTCTACAGTTTCCCGATTCTTTTCCATGTACAATATATGTTGCGGTACGAAATGAAAGATAAGAGACAGGTATATTGCGTTTGCTACAACCTCTCGGTTTGATCGAGGAGAGCACACCTAGTGCTCGGGAGCAGAGAACGAAGAAAAACAGAGCATCAAGCATGTCCAAGAGAAATATAGTCAATCCAGCATGTCAGCAATGATGCCTAGATCATCCCGCTGGCAAAAGCCAGAGTCTAGCCCTTTGCCTCTACTCCTGAGCAAGCTGCTGGCCCTCCCGGAGCCCTTCAACCTTCAGCTCCTCACCGGCCGCACGCTGGTACATGTCCCTAACGTCATCTAAAAAGGAGGACAGGTTAGCACACAAGGGCGACTTCAGATAGATGACCTAAATGGCTTACAGGTTGTTGTCTCAAAGTGGGATGTGGAGTCGTAGCTCTTGGAAATGAAGACATTGTCCTTCTCGCCGCTCTCCAAAGGCTCATAGAGCGGGATGGGAGGACCCATGAACTTCTCTTCAATCGCACCGAGCCGCTCAAAGCCGGGCTCGAGCTCCAGGTGGTGGTTGGCATCGTTCTCGGCAATGGTCGAGACAATGGCGATGTAGTAGCCCTTAGGGCAGACGTTGTGGGCGGACGAGACCATCGCAATGTAGATATCTGATAGAAGATGAGCGGAGAGTCAATATGATTCGCAAGGGAGGGCGTCACTTACCGTGCTTCCGTCCGATCTGCGACTGGGGAATGATCAGCTGCAGCGAGTCGCTGGCATCGGTCTTGTCGATGGGGTGCTTCAAGATACAGATGGCCTTGAGCAGATATCCAGTGACCTTAACCTTGTTGGGAAAGTAGGAAGGATCAGCGATGATCTTCTTGGTCTTGGTCTCGAACTTCATGGGCGCGGCCTGGTCATCACGATCCTTCATGGTGGCCTTGATACCGGAGACCTTGCCATTGTCGTCATACAGCACCTCGTCGACATCGGTGTTCAGCATGTAAGTACCACCGTAGATGGCGGACAGGCGAGCGAAGCCCTGAGGGAGCTCGCCCAGGCCGTAAAGGGGATAGATATAAGGCGACTTGCCATAGCGGGCCATGGAGTTGACATAGAGGCGAATGCGGTTGATGGTCTCGATCGCAGCGCCCGGCTTGTTGACGTACTCGTCCGACGGGAAGAGAGCCATGGAGTGACCAACGAAATCACGGGTGTTATCCTCGAGGCCGAATTTGTCATAAACCTCCTTCATGGTGCACCCAGCGACGTTGAGACCTAGTTGAAGTTAGCCACCATCACCCCTAGATCACCGAGAAGATCTAACGTACCCAGGTGAGTCGAGGGGTCCTCCTCCTTGAACTCGCCAACCCACTCCAGGAACTTCTTGGCGCGACGCTTTTCGAACAAACCCATCAGGGACGAGCGCAGGGCCTCACCGGCGTCCGAAGGCACCTTGGCCACGGTCGCCTTGGGACCCTTGCCTTGCTGGACGTAGCTGCCCGCGATCTGCTTGAACTCAAGGTATCTCGTCACGTCCGTGGAAACCAAAATATTTGTCAACTCGCCGTTGGCCATCAACAGCTTGGGGACCAAGTCAATGTTCCAGTCGTTGACCCTCCCGTACTTCTTCCACGGCTCCTCGCCAGCGGGAACGTTGCCGTACTTCTTGAACAGCTGCACAAGAGGTCAGCAGATGACAGAAATGATACTGGAAACCATCATACAGTCTCAATATTGACGGAGGCCGCCTCTCTAAACCCATTGTTAGCTATTTCAGTCTGTGGCGATGCTGGGGAGCTCCGTTCTCTACCCACCCTCCGTAGTGGTCATTGCGATCGATGTGGAGGACCTTGTTACCCTTCACACTGAGGACACTGGAGATAGAAAGAGAGATCAGCATTCGATCATTATCAGTTTGGAAACCGTGGAGGGCTACTTACCCAGACAGCACGCACTCGGTCAAGCCTAGGAGAGGAGATGGTCAATGTTGGATGCTTAGGAATGGCGGGGTAGCAGCAACTTACCAGTGCCGAGCACCACGACATCGTACTCGGGCGCGATCTCATCCATGGTGGATATAAGAGAATGGAGAATGATACAAAGAGCAGTAGGACAAGGGGGGAGGGATATGTCGGAGGCAAAAGTGAAAGGAAGAAGGTTCTCCTGGTATCTTGTCCCCGCGGATCAACGAAGCGGTAAGAAGGGGGACTATTTGACGGGCCCGCCACTAGTGAGTTACCTCAGTGACCACAGCCCGACGGGTCGGGATTTTCATCACCTCTCATAATTCGGAGGATGTTATAAGATGATCATGCTTGCCCTGATACTGAGAAGACCAATATGCTACAGCCTGTGAACCCCTGAGGGCACTCAGTTTGCCCACACGAGGGAATTGGGCCCATTGGAATAGGGGGGTCAGAGTGAATCCCGAAACAACAATCACTGATATTTTACATATAATAACACTGACAGAAAAGATGGAATCGAAGAAACTAATGCTACAAAATATGAACTGGCCCTCTTTTCTCAGCCCGATTGATCTTGAACTGCCTCGTTCATAGCTTGGTCTCCTTCACAATATCCTCCTTAAAGGGGTCCTCAGCCGGAGCTACCTCTTCCATGGTCTCCTGCTCCATAGTGTCCTGATCCTGTGGGCGGTACCCCTTAGCATATAGGCGGCTGGCTTCTTCCCAAGCGTGCCAGCGCTCACGGAGAACATGCTTGATAGTCTTCTGGGTGACAACAATCTAACAGGAAAACCAATATAGTTAGCGCATGTTCAACGAAATATATAGCTGGCTAGACAAGACGTAAGGAGCTCGCGGTCTTTTTGCTACCAGCCAAAGACCTGGTCTCTCGCAGGGGTTTCTTCATGCCAGGCAGGGTACAGACGTGGAACTTACCGCCTCATCGCGCTGGTTGGCCTCGTGGTCACCGAATCCAGCCTTCAGTCGTGACCGCTCCAAGTTCGAGGTGGCAATACGGTTGCGCTCCTTAACACACACCCACCACAGCTTATGAAGGTCATCCCAGCTTTTGTTGCGCAGCTCTTGAACGGACCATGGCCGGCCTGTTTTCGACAATGAGCGCGATTCGTATCACATTGAAACAGGTGGAGGATTTATAAAGATTCACATACCAAAAGCAGCATCGAATTCGGTGGTGCTCAATGCCTCATGGGAGGGTGGGAAGAAGCCCCAGAGGCCGTGGTTAGGTGTTGCAGGCCGCGGCTTCATCTGGTCGGGCGACACGGGCTTCGGTAAAGGGTATTTCGACGCGCTCAGATTGAATCTTGTTCCAGTCCGGTGAATTGCCGACACGCCGCGGGTTCGGTTCATGTCGCGTCCACGACCAGCGGCGACGACGGGGGTCGTAGAGAAGTTCGAGGTCTGCACGTTGGATCGGGGCATCGAGAAATGGAGGGATGGCGCCAAGTAGGGGGGTGGCAATTCAGCCATGGCCGTGGACCCATATTGGGCCAGACGGGCGACTGCTGGCCGATGCATTGTGGTTTGTTGCGTCGGTACAGGAGTCGTCGGGGACACTGCTTTCGCCTGCTTTTTTTCGAGGCTCGAAGGCGGACGGTCACGTGTGCGTCTGGCGGCAAGTCGAGGGTGCCCGCTCTCGAAGTCTCGCGGCTCGTTCAAGCCGGGATTCAACTCTTACACTCCTGTTCTCTGGAGGATCTTGATTCGACATCTTGGAGCCTCGTTTGAGAGCACCCATCGTTTTCGGAGTGGTTTTGCGACACTTCAAGACTTCTCTCAAGCATCCGCGCGCCTAATCGCCCAATCGATTTCCTCTCCACCTCCAGGCGGAGCAGTGCCGCATCAAGTGCGCTCAAGAGGGCCTTTGTGGACTGCTATCTCTCCACAAAATCTTCATTAGCCCGGTATTCAACCGATATTCGACCTCGACTGCTCTCAGAGGCTCTCAGGGATATTGCCACGCAGCTTGTAACCCTCCAACTCCGATTATGAATAGGCCAGGTACGTTATTTTCTTCATTACCCTGCGAAGCCCTCGCCCAACTTGCCCTCACTACCTGAGAATGCCTGGAACTCCTTCAGCTGGATCTTCTTTGCTGGGATAACCTCCAAGGCCGGCGCTTCGTCCCCCGAAGAAGATAAGGGACTTCCATGCTTCAATGGCAGCGGGAGTGCCGATAGTCCCTCCATCTGCGACCGAGACATTTTTGCAAGCACTAACCGACACATTCCTGAATTGGGTTGAAGCATGGGTGCTCTGATTTGAGACAGCGAAGATCATGCTGACTCCTTGTGTTATCTGTGTCAGGACCAGGCCCGCAGCCGCTACGAGGCATGTCCGGATTTCCCACGCAACAGCAAGCACAGGCTCGAAACGCGACATTGGCCACTGCACGGTTGCCAAATGGAAAACTCGGTACGATCTAGACACTCTTTGACCTCTCCGTGACAGTTCGATACCAAGATAGCGGGCGGGCGCTGATACCTGGGGATGGACGATCATCTAGGTGGCGCAGCTAATTGGAACTTCAACCTTCCCGGAACATCTACTCTGCAACCCAACCAGCAACGCACCATGGGTACAATGGGAAGCTTCGCGCAAAGCCTTGGTGGCTCTCAACCGGCGACACCACTAGATTTATCGTAAGTCGGCGCCTTCTCATAGTTCGACCGGTTGCCGCATGTGCATTGCCTTCAACCGAATCACCCTGGTTCTCAGAGGTCGCGAGAGCTGACAGTACTGGTACTTGCCAGCGAATTCCCCTCTCTTTCAGGCGCGTCGCTGCAATCACAATCTCAGAACCCTGTCTGGGCCAATGCCAGTCAACGAGCTGCGCAACACACCCCCGTCCAGAGACAACAGCATCCTCCCACGTCGCAACCGCCTTCTCGAGCTTCTCAGACCCGACTGCTTCCTGTGCAGCAACCGTCCCAACCTCCTCACGATGACATGTTTCCTTCCGGTGCCCAATTTGCGAATCGGCTGGACGATTTCAGGAATGGAGGACAGGGCATCAGTAGCCAGCTAGGGGCGGGCAGTCAGCCTCAGACAGGGAACATCGACGAGTTTCCCCCTTTAGGACGCAATATATCGGTGGAGCTGGCCCAAGACCGTCGGAGTTCTCTGATGCAAGGTGCGGGCTTTGGCAGTTACAACTCTGGTATGCCTATGCCACGCCCTATTGGTGTGTGGTGATGATCGAATGGCGATATAAGTGACTAACAGTGTTAGGTATTGGGACATCACGGTCGCCTGTCAACCAAGGGCCTAATGGGGTGTTGGGGCAGGAGAAAGATGTAAGTAGTTTGGCGATCGTCCATCAGGCCCCGCACTCACCGACACTAACAACACAGGACCTAAACAACACCCTGATGTCGGGTCAGCGCACCTTCAGCGACTCGCAACAGCAATTGCAACAGCACCAACAGCAAGCAAATGAGGGTCAAGAGGTTTCGGCCGCTGCTCAAAGTGCGGAGCAACCCCCTCTTGCGCAGATGAGTGAACTTGACCGGTTTGGGCTGAGCGGCCTCCTCCGCATGATCCATAGCGAGAGTCCCGACGTGGCCGGTCTCGCAGTTGGACAGGACTTGATGACCCTTGGCTTGGACTTGAACCAGCCTGAGTATGCACTCTGTTTCCTGTCGTTGCGTACAGGGCTTTTTTTGCTAATATTCCCATGTGCTGCAGGCCTCTCCACACCTCGTTCGCCTCGCCTTTCGTATCCTCCATGTCCGCTGTCCCCTTGGAACAAGACTTCTCTGTGCCATCATGCTACAATGTCGCCAACATCCAACCCCTTCAATCACGGATCCCTGGGTTCAGCGACGAAACCCTTTTCTACATCTTCTACAGCATGCCCCGGGACATCATGCAGGAGTTGGTCGCAGAAGAATTGATGGGCCGTAAATGGCGGTACCACAAGCTCGAGCGGTGCTGGTTGACTCGTGATGAAACATATCCCGGCCCCGTCGACGTGGAACGCGGCGTGAGCGAGCGCGGAGTGTACCTCCTCTGGGATCATGCTAGCTGGAAGAAGATTCGGGTATGTTTGCAGACCACGGGACATTTAAAACAAATGTGCTAATTTGTCTATGAATTTATAGCGCGAGTTTATCCTCCGATACGAAGACTTGGACAACCGGCTGGACCCCAACCGCGGTATGAACCGCGCAGCTGTTGGCCCCACGCATGCTTCATGAGTTGAGAATGACCAGAGCCTATACCGGCCTGGTGGACAGTAATTCATTTGATCGGCAACGGCGTTTGGCAATCTGGTTTCTGTAATGTTGCTCAAATGGGTGGCCGATAGTACAGTGCCGTTCAGGATGTTGGGCGCGTTGAATTTATCAGGGAATCTTAAATGGGTTATATGGAAACCAAGATATGATCTTGCAAGTCAAATGGTCTGGATGATCTTGCCAGCATCGTTGCGAATATCTCAACTGCTTCTTTGTAGACTACCTGAGGTACTTGGATTGCATATTTGACTCGGTTGCCATGGGCAATATGAAGCAACGTGTAGGTAGTAATGTAGTAACCGTCGTCCGGCTCTCAATGAAACCATATTCATTGGCACCATGATCTCGCTAGTTTGGCTTGCGAGCCGTCGAGAGAATAGCCGTCCACTCCATGGGAATATCGCCCTCTTTCCCGTAAGTGCTTTCCAAATACTTCTCTAGCGCCGGGCGAACTTTGTCTGCGTTCTCCCCACGCTGTTTCTCTGTCCAGAACACCTTAGCTATCATGCCAAACATAATCATGTTCATTTCCACGAAGTCTGGAACCTTCAAAGATATAGCCTTGGTGTCAGAGCGCACATTAATGTCTTCGAATCCTCGCTTCTTCAACTGGGATCCAATCCAGGACATGGAGTGCCATTCACCACTACCCAAGGCCTCAAAGAACTGTTTGGTGGTGGGAAACGGCAGGTTCCCTGGAATTGTCTGGATGGCCTTTTGCATAACAGAGGCCCAGCCGGCTATCATTGTGTTAGCTTCTAATTGATTTGGGCCTCTAAGGGAGTCGGATCAGGAACTCACGCTCTATCCATGTTGAGAAAGCGATTGTACCTCCCGGCTGCAAAATGCGAGTGGAATCTATAAGTACGACAAGCCAATGAACATTAACCCATGCATAATATCCCAGGGCCAGATATGTCACTCACCATCAAGCGCAGCCAGAGACCTAGGAAGTGCCATATATACTAATCACCGACATGCTATAGTTAGCAATGAGACCAAGATATTATAACAGCCGAGGGAATGAAAGAATGCTCACCAAATGCAATGATAACATGCGTAAAGTGTGAGCTTGGGAGCCCGGATTCCTGTGCATCCACCGTTTTGACTTCCACATTCTGCCAATCCTCTTTTCCAATGCGATGCTTAACATAGTCCAGCATACCCGGTGATATGTCTCCACAGGTCAACTTCAAGTGGCTCTTGACCTTATTGTCTAGCTCACGCTGAAGAATGTGGGAGACGATGCCAGTGCCGCACGCATTATCAAGCACTACGAGAGGCTTATTGGGGTTGGCCTTGGAGTCGGCGATCAAGCCAGTTTGGTCAATTAGGGTTTGGGCGAACTGGCCGGTGATATGCTCGCCAGTCTTGTACTGCTTGACGAACTTGTCTTCTTTGAAAAGAGTTTCCCATTCTTGTGCGTGCGATAGCATAGCGGATTGTGAGGCCATGGTGGACGTTGGCTGAGAAAGTAAATATATATCTCAAGTAGAATGATACAACGAAATCAAACCTGGCCTACCTAGTCAGACGGAAACAGTTGGGATATGAAATAACAACAGGGATTGAATCCAGACCTCCTCTAGGAGCAGCTTTTTATAACTTTAAAACATCTGGTAGTGCTCAAATGATTGGATTACTATGCTACCATTGCTTTTTTAGAGCGAGGCGAGGCTATTGGAAGACTGTAGAAAGTGTCCGACAATGTCTCCGCGATACGAGCCAAGAGGCGCCTCTTGCTTCAAAAGGATTAGAGCATCCTTTTTAGGCTCTGAGAAACTTAGAAGACGACGATCATTGGTTCGCCATATTGGATTCGACTCTGTGTGGCTCCCCCACCAAGTACCCTCGGGGAGAGCCCATAGGGCCGCCTTGACCGAATAACACTCAATATTGGTGACCTGAGCTCAAACTAATTAGAGCAAAATGTGCTAGGAAATCTGATGGGTCCAGACCTGCTAGCTAAGCTTGACGGAGACTTTCAAACCAAAAGTGGCCGATAGTATAGGTTAGAGAATACACGTGACATCAGCTGATTATATCATCGAGATGACGCCAGGCCCAATAAGGCAAACCGTAAACACCTGATTTGCGGCAAAACATCTCGCGCCCCTCTTCTGCTCCCCCGACATTCGATGTACTCCGCGAGCGAGCCGACTCGCAGTCACCACCATGCGGATCACTGAAATTGTGATAGACGTGGGTCGTGGAAGTGAATTGATTTGATCGCCCTGAGATGCTGACTGGAATTTTCCAGGGTTTTAAATCGTACGCCGTGCGAACGGTGATCTCGGGATGGTGCGCCGACCTTCTTCCTGTGCCCATAGCATCGTCGCCAAGGGTATAACGGCAGAGAGATGCTGACAGATGCATTAGGGATGAAGCATTTAATTCGATCACCGGTCTCAACGGGTCCGGTAAATCGAACATCCTCGATGCCATCTGCTTTGTTCTCGGTATCACGAACATGAGCACGGTCCGCGCGCAGAACCTCCAGGACCTCATTTACAAGCGTGGCCAAGCTGGTGTCACCAAGGCCAGTGTCACCATCGTCTTCGACAACCGCGACACATCGAAATCGCCCATCGGATTCGAGGAATACGCCAACATCTCCGTTACCCGTCAGATCGTGCTGGGCGGTACCAGCAAGTACCTCATCAATGGCCACCGTGCGCAACAGCAGACAGTGCAGAACCTCTTCCAGAGTGTTCAGCTTAACATCAACAACCCCAACTTCCTCATTATGCAGGGTCGCATTACGAAAGTCCTGAACATGAAGGCGGTCGAAATTCTCTCAATGATCGAGGAAGCAGCAGGTACACGAATGTTCGAAGATCGGAGGGAGAAGGCAATCAAGACAATGGGAAAGAAGGAGTTGAAACTGCGCGAGATCGAAGAACTCTTGAAGGAAGAAATTGAACCCAAGCTCGAGAAGCTCCGATCCGAGAAGCGTGCATTCCTGGACTTCCAACAGACCCAGAATGACCTCGAACGCTTGACCCGACTCGTGGTTGCCCACGACTACGTACGCGGTGGGGAGCGTCTGCGGGTGGCAGGCGAGGAGTGCGACAACAAGAGAGGCAAGGTCCAGACACTGGAGGAGAGCGCCGACAAGCTGAAGAGCGAAATTGCACACTTGGAAGAGGATGTGAAACGAGTTCGAGCAGCACGCGACAAGGAGCTCCGAAAGGGCGGCAAGTTTCAAGCTCTCGAAGATGAAGTCAAAAACCATTCGCACGAGCTGGTTCGTTTGACAACCGTCTTTGATCTGAAGAATGCCAGCATGGACGAGGAGAAGGAGAAGAAGAAGGCCATCCAAATTTCCGTCAGCGATCTTGAGAAGGCATTGAAGGAGAAGAGGAAGATCTACGACAAGCTGCAAGCTCAATACGACGCCGCGAAGGCAGAGCTGGATGCGCAGAATGTGGAGGTGGAGCAGAAGGAAGAGTTGCTCCAAACATTACAGACTGGTGTTGCCTCAAAGGAAGGTCAAGAAAGCGGATACCAGGGCCAATTGCAAGACGCACGAAACCGAGCCAGCAACGCCGCCACGGTGCAAGAACAAGCGAAGCTCAAGATTAGCAACTTTGAGAAGAGAATCAAGGAGGAGGAGCCACGCGCCAAGAAAGCAAAGGAGCAGAACTCGGGCCTTCTCAAGGACTTAGAGGGGTTGAAATCACAGGCAAAGAAGCTGGGGTCCGAGCTTACTCGGCTTGGCTTTGAGCCTGGCAAAGAGGAGCAGATCTACCAGGAACAATCCGGACTCCAGCGAGACATTCGCGAGCTTCGCCAGCAAGCCGATGGATTGAGGAGGAAGGTTGCAAACATTGACTTCAACTACCAGGATCCTCATCCCAAGTTTGATCGGTCTAAGGTCAAGGGTCTGGTAGCCCAGCTGTTTACTCTGAACAAAGACCAAATCCCAGCTGCGACTGCTCTGGAAATTTGCGCAGGTGGCCGCTTGTACAACGTGGTGGTGGACAGCGCTGAAACCGGTACCCAGCTGCTCCAGAACGGTAAATTGCGCAAGCGGGTCACCATTATTCCTTTGAACAAGATCTCGACCTTTAAAGCATCAGCAGAGAAGATTGGAGCTGCCCAGAAGCTTGCACCTGGGAAGGTAGATCTCGCTCTGTCTTTGATTGGCTACGACGAGGATGTGATTTCGGCGATGAACTATGTCTTCGGCAACACACTCATCTGCCATGATGCTGACACTGCTAAGAAGGTGACCTTTGATCCTTCGGTTCGGATGAAGAGCGTGACACTTGATGGCGATGTCTACGACCCCTCTGGAACCCTCTCTGGTGGTAGTTCCCCCAACTCCAGCGGAGTACTGGTTACTCTGCAGAAGCTCAATGAGATCACCAAGGAGCTGCGAAGTAAGGAGCGGCAGCTTGCCACCCTTGAGGATAACATGAACAAGGAGAAGAAGAAGCTCGACACCGTTCGGTCAATTAAGCAGGAGCTAGATCTCAAGGTGCATGAGATCAAGCTTACCGAAGAGCAAATTAACAGCAACTCCTCGTCGTCGATTATCCAAGCTGTGGAAGAGATGAAGGCGAATATTGAGCAGCTGAAGAAGGACATGACCGATGCCAAAGCCCGCCAATCAGATGCAAACAAGGACATTAAGCGCATTGAGAAGGATATGAGCGAATTCAGCAACAATAAGGACAACAAATTGGCAGAACTGCAAACTTCGCTCAATTCTCTCAAGAAGAGTCTCACCAAGAACTCAGTTTCTGTCAAGGAGCTTCAGAAGGAACTCCAATCATCCCGTCTCGACTCCGAACAGGTTGGAAGCGACCTTTCCGCAGCCGAGGAGCAGCTGGCCGAGTCGGAAAATACGCACCAGGCCCAAGCGGAGGAGATTGAGTCTCTAAAGCGTGAGCAGGCACGACTAAAGGTAGCCACATTGTTTGTTTTAGCTTCGTGAGAACAAGGCTGACGATTATAGGATGCTCATGATTTGGCCCAAGCCCAACTTGACGATGAGAGGGCCAAGTTGACCGGATTCGATGAGGAACTGCGAGAGCTGGATGAGACTATTCAAGCCAAGTCATCGCAGATTACCGAAGAGGGCTTGGAGATGCAGAAGCTCGGCCACCAGCTTGAGAAGCTGCAGAAGGACCAGCAAACTGCCGCTCAGGCTGTCTCTTATATGGAGCAAGAGCACGAGTGGATTGCGGATGAGAAAGAGCAATTCGGCCGCGTCAATACACCGTATCACTTCCAGAACCAAAACATCGCCGAGTGCAAGTCAACGCTGCGCAACTTGACTGAACGTTCTCAAGGCATGAAGAAGAAGATCAACCCGAAGGTCATGAACATGATCGATAGTGTCGAGAAGAAGGAAGCCGCCCTGAAGAACATGATGAGAACGGTCATACGTGATAAGAGCAAGATCGAGGAGACCATTGTCAACCTTAATGAGTACAAGAAGGAGGCTCTCCATAAGACCTGGGTCAAGGTCAATGGAGACTTCGGTCAGATCTTCAACGAGCTCCTACCCGGCAGTTTCGCCAAGCTTGATCCCCCGGAGGGCAAGGATATTACAGATGGTCTGGAGGTGAAGGTGTCTCTGGGCAAGGTCTGGAAGCAGAGCTTGACGGAGCTGAGTGGTGGACAACGGTATGCTTCTGTCTCATCTTCATTTCCATCTGGTATATGCTAACTTGCATGGGTTACAGGTCCCTTATTGCTTTGTCTCTGATTATGGCACTCCTACAATTCAAGCCCGCGCCGATGTATATTCTCGACGAGGTCGACGCAGCATTGGATCTGTCGCACACCCAAAATATTGGGCGACTGATCAAGACCCGTTTTAAGGGATCGCAGTTCATTGTGGTCTCTTTGAAGGATGGCATGTTCCAGAACGCCAATCGCATTTTCCGTACACGGTTCAGCGAGGGTACCAGTATTGTCCAGGCCCTGACACCCGCCGACTTGAAATGAGTGCTATGTTCGCAATGTGTTTCAGAGTCCCTGTTGCGTTCTGATTTATGAAGCTAATCCGGTGCGAAGCATTGCATTGCTTTTGCAGCCCATTGGTGTGTGGCAGCTGGTGTTGTGGGGTTGGATTCCTGCTCGGTCTGGTTTTGGATGGAAAGGGATTTTGGTTTAGGATCTATGCATGTGATGGCTTTTGATTCTGAAAGGCTCTGGTAGTGCTCCTCGGTGCTCTTGTGTATTCATGTAAATCATATTTTAGTCTTGTTTCTATTCGTTTGATCTCAAGGTTGTTTACTGGTCTCCGGCCATGCTATAGTTCGGGGCGTATCATACCGTTAGGCGGCAGCACTGTTGCCAGGTCGTATTGCTTCTGCATAGAGGGGTTAGTATTAGCGCCCGACAATCGGAGCACAGCAGTCACACCACGAAGTGCTCTACAAATGAAGGAGAATTCTGATTCTGACCCTTTATTATGGTTCTATTTACTTAGCCCTCACCTTCTACTCCATATTGCCCTGTGCCGGTATCGCAGTTCTAGCACGTGCAGCCGACCCTCGTCCCGAAACTCCGTCCACCACCGCCACCGACCGACTTGCGCCTGCACCGCCAGCAATCGCCGAGTTCCTGACGCGCGCTCTCAACACCCACCTCGACTGAGTCATTAGTCGTCGCATCGCGACATCCCATTCACCTGCTCTCCCGCCCATCCCACACGACCTCCTACCCGCCCCGGAAGTCGCTCCGCCTTCGCGGCCCGGACTTTGGCCTCGGCTAACCTACTTGACTCTCTCGTCCGAAACCCAATCCGCGCCCAGCGGCTCAAAGGCACAATGCATGACGATGAGCCTTCGCTGAACATCCCCTCTATCTTGACGCTAGCGGTTGTCTCGTTCTTTGTGCTACGATGGTTCTTTAACCGCGACGAGGGTCCCTCCGCTGGCGGCCGGCCCCGCGGGCGAGGGATTGCTGTCGACCCAGCTCAGGTCGAGCAGATCTCCCAGATGTTCCCGCAGCTAAGTACTCGTGATATCATGTGGGACTTGCAACGCAATGGAGGCAGTGTTGCGGCCACGACGGAGAGGATCCTGACCGGGCGTGGATTGGAAACGGTACGTTGTTGCTTTGTTGCGTTATCACTGCCTCCCTGGTGTTCCATTCGCGGAATTCTTTAAACGGCACTATTGCTAGAAGCGCTATATTGCTCCATTATTGGGCAGGCATGCTGACAGAGATCACTTCTAGCCACCCCCGTCATTCCAACCCCCGATCATGATACCCTCTACGAATGCCCAAACTTCCCAGGCGACGAGAATTGTGTCAGCATCAAAAGGAGGCGAGCAGGACTTAATCTCCCGATATAACTTGAGTGAAAAGGTCGGAGCCGACAGCACTGCAGAATTCACACCTGGAGCAGCGTCAAAAAGCGCATGGTCCCAGAACAAAGAAGAGCGGCAACGTCTGCTGCAGAAGCGCCGAGACGAGATGATTCTGGCGGCGCGGAGAAAGATGATGCAGAAGGACCAGGGCAACACCCGATGATTTGAGAATTCTTTCCATTTTAAATAATCCCCATGTCCGATTTACAGCCTTTATTCTTGATGAGCTGTGGCTCAGCTCAGGACCAGTGTTTTATCAACAACTCCCTCCTACCAAGTTCTGTTCCTGTTGCTATTCCATCGCTGCGGTGTTAGTATTGACACTCGTTTTGTATTAGAGCGCTTTGTCTTTGCATGCTGTATGGTGTTAGGTAAATTGGAACAGCCTCGATTAATATTGCCGCTTGTTCTCGTCAGGCCAGGTTAAATCGGGTATACGGGTCTATATACATAAATGTCGTTTCTGGGGGCCTTGGTCCGCATCACATATGCACCTTAACTCCAATTGAAACAGCCAAACACAAATCCCATGCATTTTAAAACTCCATGTAGTCTTCCTCCTCTTCGTCTTGGGTGCCATCGTATCCGCCGTTGGCCCTTTGCTCGGCTAGCCGTTCTCGGCGGGCTTGTTCTTTGGATGCGCCAATTTTTCTAGACAAGTCAATCAGATCGATGATATTCCGCAGTGATGAGTTCGCCAAGTCTGTATGACATACCGAAGGCCATCCACCACGCCAGCTAAGAAGCCTCGCTCTTCACCCAGTTCCATCGCACCGACACCCGTCAGCGCGACTCCGCCTCCGCCGGTCGCAGCATCGTCTAGAACATCCACGCCAGACCTCATTTTGGCCATACGTACTTCGCGCAGATCTTTGAGCAATCGACGGATCTGGTCCGGGTCCACTAGATCATCGCTTGCCGCGTCGAGGAGCATATTCCCGACCTCAACCCAATGATATGGCAATGCGGGCAGGTCTCGTGAAGAGATCACTGTCTGCGCAGAGTTTTGAGGCAGAAATGGTGGCGCCGCGTAGTATCGATTACCGTCTAGTGTATATTGTGGGCGAACAGTTGGCTCGAGTCCGTGGTCTCGGACGCTGGGTTGGCCAGGTAGCGGGGGAGGCGGGGAAAATGAATTTTTGTAGTCTTGGTGCTGGGACTCAACTTCAAGAATGAGACTGAGAGATTCTGGGTGTAGCCATGGGGGAGGTATTATATTGGCGCGGCGCTGGCGTTTGAGTAGGAGGGCCAACCAGAGGGGAAGGGAGGTGCGTCGCGGTGGGACTAGAGGTTCAACTGGGCCCTGGACGACAGATAAAAAGAGTCAATCTGTGAGACTAAGTCGCGTATAACGGCTCTTCAACCTACCCCGAGCAGCTCTAGGCCCTCCAGGCGCTGGCGAGGCACGACTGTCACCATCTCCATCTCCGCTAGGAAGGCGATCTCCGAGGCCGTTATGCCCCGCGGGAGAGGGAAGGCCATTGGTGGCACGCGGCGATCAAGGCCGAATCAAACAAACCACAGAGAGCAGAATACGGCCGGAATGGTGTTTACAGTCAGAACCCCATGTTTCGCTGCTCTCTGGTTGCAGCGGAATCGCGAAACGCGCGAACGCGGCGCCTCGACGATTTCCAAATGCGATGTTTGGATTGTTTGCACTGGAAGCTTAGCTTCCAACCCACCTTGTCCTCTTGCGTTTTGGGAGAGCTTCCTTTCTCCCAACTTGTGCTTCTTGGGTTCTCAAAACCATGAGAAAATGAGTTCCGTCCCCGAATCCAACCTCGGCCGCGCGGCGCGCTATGCTGTGCCATTCGCCCTCATCCTGATCCCCGCCTGGAGGACCAAGGTCAATACCGAGGTCCCCGAGCCATACCTCGACGAAGTTTTTCACGTCCCTCAGGCTCAGGCATACTGGGCGCACAACTGGACACATTGGGACCCGAAACTGACCACTCCTCCGGGCTTGTACCTTTGGTCATATCTTCTCTGCGCTCTCCTACTTGCGCTCCGCGGCTCGCCGACGAAACTCGATACCGAAGCTCTGCGCACGACCAATGTCGCGACGGCGGCCATATTCCTCCCGTGGAGGCTTCAGACCCTCTCAGATGCAGTTCATAAAGTTCGGAACACTCGCCCGCTGGGCGCGTGGCTCAGCCACACGGTCTTGAACATCTGCCTGTTTCCGCCATTGTTTTTCTTCTCTGGTCTATACTATACCGATATCTTGGCACTGTTGGCGGTTGTTGAGGCTTATAATTGGGATCTGAAGCAGGCCACTGGAGGTCGCCGTGCCTGGCTTTCCACTTTGGGCTTCCTGATGTTTGGGTTGGCGGCATTGATGTGCCGACAGACGAACATCTTCTGGGTTTCTGTCTTTCTGGGCGGGCTGCAGGTTGTTCGGAAGATTCGGCAATCCTCCAAGGCTTGTCAGTCATCTGACTTCTCTGCGATACTGAAGCGTGGTCTGCAAAATGAAATTTACGACCCTCTCGTCTCGGAGGCTTCTCTACAAGGTATCTTCAACTTCCAGATAACTTGACTGTGCAAGGCTGATATAATGTGTACAACCCAGATTATGTCAAGACGGGTGTTTCACTTGCAATTGCGAGCTTGAAGAACCCCTTTTTAATTGTGACATCGGTCATCCCTCACATCGTCATTCTCGGTGCATTTGGTGCATTTGTTCTGTGGAACAATGGCGTGGTGCTGGGTAGGTGTTGCATAAGAGTGCATCTGCATATCGAAAGACTTAAACTAACATTGCACGAAACAGGTCACAAAGAGTTCCATACTGCTGGCATTCACCTAGCTCAGATGCTTTACATCTGGCCCTATTTCGTCTTCTTCTCCTGGCCGATCCTTATCATTCCCGTGCTGAACGTCCTTCCAAAGCAGTTCTTGCCTAAATATTTGAATTATGGCTTTCCAGAGAAACAGAAGAGACTGCCTAGCATTCTTGCCGCTGTGATCATTCTACCAGCCATGCTTGCCATCGTTCATTTCAACACTGTTGTGCATCCTTTTACTCTAGCAGACAACCGACACTATGTCTTCTATGTGTTCCGTCTGCTTCTCGGGACTCACCCCGCAGTCAAGTATGCTGCAGTTTTGGCATACTTCCTCTGCGGCTGGGCAGTGATCTCCGCATTTGGGTTCTCCGTCATTCAGGCCCCGCCTCGTCTCCTTCAAATCCCCCCCACCGCGAAACTAGCCACTCCAGCCGCTCCTACACCTAAGGCCTCTGCAAAGGAACAGCCCAAAGAAACCAGAAAGTCTACTCGAGCACGCAAGACCGCGCCCAAGAAAGATAGCAAGCAGCAGAAGCAGCTCGATCCAATGTCGCCTGAGGTGCTCGCCCGGGTCCAAGAATCTCTTATTCAGCGGCAAAGGCAGCAACCCGAGGCCCCACGTGTCAGCTTCGTTCTCGTGTGGCTCGCTGCTACGGCCCTGTCTCTTGTGACAGCGCCTCTCGTTGAGCCGCGCTACTTTATCATCCCGTGGGTGATGTGGCGTCTGCACCTACCGCCGTCGTCGACCCTTGCCACATTCCGAAAGCAGAAGCCCAGGAATGAAGACGAGAGGGCTCGCGCAGATTTTGCTACCAATGCTCCCAAGTTCCTCGAGACTGTGTGGTTCGCTGTCATCAACGCGGTGACTGGATATATCTTCTTGTACAAGGGCTTTGAATGGCCCCAGGAACCGGGCAAGGTCCAGCGCTTCATGTGGTGATTGCTGTGGCGGTTGAGCCTGTCCTTTTATTCAGTAAAGCGTATGTACATTAATTAACTTCTATTTTTATCTTGGACGGATCAAAAAGTCTAACTGGAATTGCTTCGATGAAAGATCTTGAAACTGCACATTTAAAAACCTAAGCAATAGAGTAGCAAGACCCGCTAAGCCAAAAGTGGTGATAATGGTCGAAGTCAGGCAGGCGGTCGCAGGCGGCAGAGTGACCGGCCTAATGAGAGAGGGCCGCTCGTCTTGACCAGAAGCGTCTTGTGTACTCCGTAGTGCCAAGTAGTGATATGGGAGTCTTGGACGGAGCTAGCAAAAGACCCGGTTATCCTTTCTTTTTTCCATTCCCTGAGACTCGTTCACTGTGTCAACTCATACCATGGGAATATTCTGTGCTGCTGGCTGAGAAACAGTTTACAATTCTTGAACTGTACGGATAAGCTACCTCACTAGATCATCAACAAGCTCCCTTTTCGCTTCAGATATCATCAGTCACCGTCGAACTAGATACTTGAATGCTCCTATGAATTAGCTGGGGTATCAGGTATACGCACGCCCCGTCCAGACTAGCGCCCGGCTCGCGGCAAGTCAGTTTCAAGCGCTTGCATTCTGCGACTTCTTTCACCTCATTCTAGCACCCGCGCGCTCGAGCTGGAGATCCAGGCCTGCACTCAATGGAGCGCCCGTCTAAACGGGCCAGGCTCTCTCCAGATCTGACTAGAGGAAATGATGTTCTGCCAGACCGGGTCTCCACGCCCCTGGCATCTTTGCACAGGCCCATCACTCCACCCCTCCGGGCCCGCTCTCAACAACGAGCGGTCTCAAATTCCGCATGTTCTGAGCCGGGAAATGACCAAGTCGGCTGTGAACTGAATGGACCAACCGGGCCTAAAGCTATGCAGCCATCCCGTCGTCTCCTCTCCTCTCCAGTCCAGCTCACCCACATTCGGGACTTTCCAGAGCAATCTAATGTCGACACGGTCAAACTGCGCGACATACTCGGAGATCCGATGATTCGCGAGTGCTGGCAGTTCAATTACCTTTTTGATGTGGACTTTCTGATGTCCAATTTCGACGAGGATGTACGGGGCCTGGTGAAGGTCAAAGTGGTGCATGGGTCTTGGGAGCGGGAGTCAGCGAATCGAATTCGGGTGGAAGTAAGTGTTCTACATGCTGCCATTTCTGGTCTTTCCAAATCCATGGAGATGCAAAATGAGAGCCGTGGAAGCTGACTTGAGATTCAGGAAGCGTGTTCGCGGTATGCAAATGTGGAACCCGTCATCGCCTACATGGCCGAGCGTTTTGGAACGCACCATTCGAAGATGATGATTCTTTTACGACATGATGATCTAGCTCAGTAAGTTCCCCGCCTCAACCTGTATGCGGCCGGAATCGAGCCTGACGAGCAACAGGGTGGTGATTCATACGGCCAACATGATCCACGGAGACTGGACAAATATGACCCAGGCTGTATGGCGGTCTCCATTGCTTCCGTTGCAGAAGCCAGGTACCCCGGCGACGGCCTCCATGAGGCCAGCGTTCGGCACTGGCGCACGGTTTAAAAGAGACCTGCTTTCGTACCTCAAAGAATACGGACAGAAGAAAACGGGTTCGCTCGTACGGGAACTCAATCGATTTGATTTCGACTTGGTTCGTGCGACGCTCATTGCGAGTGCACCCTCCAAGCAGGTGGTCAGCAGTCTAGATTCCGACGAGAGTACCTTATGGGGCTGGCCAGCATTGAAAGATGCCCTGAGCCGTATTCCAAGACACAGCAAAATCCAAAAAGAAGCCGAGCTTCCTCCTAAACAACCTCACATTGTTATACAGGTATATGCCTTCTGGTTGCTCCGGCTCGCGATTCTTACTAACCACAATTAGATTTCCTCAATCGCCTCTCTCGGCCAGACAGATAAATGGCTCAAAGAAATCTTCTTTAAAGCCCTCGCTCCAAGACCAACGACCCCACAACCCAAATACTCCATTATATTCCCGACGCCTGATGAAATCCGCCGCTCGCTTGAAGGGTACGGATCCGGCGGCTCGATTCACATGAAAACGCAGAGCGCACCGCAGCAAAAGCAACTGCGATACATGCGCCCATATCTCTGCCACTGGGCTGGAGACGGTCCGTCTACGTCCAACTATATTGACTTGTCTGAAGGCAACCAGCTCAAGCGCGAGGCTGGTCGGGGCCGTGCAGCTCCTCATATCAAGACGTACATCCGGTATGCGGATGCGGATACGATGGAAAGCATCGACTGGGCGATGGTCACGTCTGCAAATCTGTCTACACAAGCCTGGGGTACAGCGGTAAATCCGAATGGCGAAGTGAAGATTTCGAGCTGGGAGATTGGAGTTGTTGTGTGGCCAGAGCTCTTTGTGGATGAGAAGAGCACCGAATCGAAGGAGGCGGGATCGCCGGGTGCGCTTATGGTACCCTGCTTCGGGCGCGATCAGCCCGGTCCTTCTGGATTGGCCAGCGTGGCTGAGAATGAGGCTTCGACGGTGGTGGGCTTCCGCATGCCCTATGACCTCCCACTGACGCCTTACAGCGCCTCAGATGAACCATGGTGCGCAACAGCATCGAATCTCACTCCGGACTGGCGTGGACAAAGCTGGATCAACTGATATGATGATGGAGCATATGGTATAACCCCTAGGTAACGCCGTGCTTAATGATCCTGTTACACAATGATCTACCCGTACCGTACACCTACATCTATGTTTACCCTGCCCCAACAGACAAGAACCAACAAGCGGTTATCCTCGGCTGTATTATATACAAGGCACAGCGCTCACACAGCTCGTTTATGGATGCGTCGCTTCATTGCTAGCCTGGACCAGCTCATATGATACCAAATAGTCCTGCCCTCGGCCCTCGACCTCGTGTGTAAATAAAGGTATTCGAGTCGACCGATCCTGCTGCAGGTCGACTACCGTGTTCCCGTTCCACCCCCAATATGAATCTTGTCGGAAACAACTTACTCGTCGCGGATGCCGTACTTGCCGATGAACTCGTTGACGTGCTCAATGTAGAGAGCCTGGGCCTTCTCGGGACTGAAGTGCTTGACCTTCTCCCACGCGCCGTAGAGCTGCTTCTTCTGTACTCGCAAAAACAACCCGGTCAGCCACAGCGCTTCTGATACCTCGCAAACCCTTCTGGTCCCCACAGTAGATCCTTAACGTACCACCATATCAAACATGCCAGGCTTCTCCAGGACCTCGCCCTTGGCGATCTTGAAGTTGACGTAGAGATCCTTCTTCTCGAAGGGGCCGGGGGCAGTCTTCAGCATCATGACGACCTTGGTGGCGAACTCGAAGCCCTTCTGGAGCGCGGTCTTCTGCGCCTCATCAGAGATGGTGTCGGTCTCGTCCATGGTGAGGCTCGCGGCGACAGCGGCCTTGAGGGCGGCGACGTCAATGCCGGCGGCGGCCTCCTGGACCTCGGCGGTGAACTTCTCCTTCTTCTGAGCGGCCTCGAGGGCGGTGATGAAGTTGGTAATGTCGGACATGGTGGATGTGAGGTTGGAGAAAGGCGGGGAAGGGTTGTCTGAGGCACGAGAAGGTTTCGAGGTGTAATTGTAGGAGACTACGGCTCGTGGTTGTGTGGGGACGAGGGACCCGGTTTGTTGAGGAGGGGGTTTGGTGGGGGTTTGCTGACAGTTCACCCGCCAGTTGGTTTGGCGATGGACGGCAACATCCCGTATACTTGGGAACTTAAAGCAGCAAATCAAGAAAAGTTTGGTCAATATTGAGTGGCTGTCCTGGTAGCCCTATATCTAGAGTGACGACTATCTAGTAGAAAGAAGACTCCGAACCACCTAAGTCTACCCGACGCCTGCTGATGCAAAACAAAAATGAGAAGATGCAGATGCCCACGCTCACAGACAAGCTCGCTATGCACCTGAAATGAACCCTAGCGGGAAGGTAGTTTAAGGTAATGTTCCCGAAAAGCCACCACCACCACAAACAGCAAGCGGAAATCACCAATCCACTGCCCAGCCGTTCTTGGTCAAGAACTCCTCGGATGCCGCCTTAAGCGCATAGTTCGGCCGTAGATCCTTGACCGACATCGCTTCACGTGTGAGCGGATCCACGCCGGCCTTCTCAACATACTTCACAATGCCGATACGGTCGAAGCTGGTTCCAGACGGAGTGATGACAGGATCATGCATGACCTCGAAGGTGATCCCATCGATCAGGTAGTCGGGCACAACCTAATACCCACGTCAGTCTATCAAGACCCCCAGACATAGCAATCATCAGGAGGGAGCCTGAGAGGGAGCACTCACCCGTTCCTGAATATCCCCCTTGGACGAAATTCTGAACGCCTCCCGAACATGGGAGACTTTCTTCGCCGCATCCTCCCGCAGCGCGCGCAGGTCCTCGCGGTAGCCCACCTCCCCGATCTCCTGCTTTGCAAGCTGATCCCCCAGCTCCTTCTCCGCGCGCATCAGATCGGCACTAATCAGCTCCTCCACACTCTTCAGCGTCTCATCCATCTCATGCAGGCGTGCCGTTTCCCGGGCTTCCCACAGCGCCTTCTTGGCGCGCAGGAGCATTCCAGACAGCTTCTCCGTCTGCACGTTCCTAACCTCCAGACTAAACTGGTATGCGACGATCGTGAGATCGTATGCTTCCTGAGGCCGATTCAAGGCAAGGAGAGCTTGAGCGAGATACAAGCTGCTTTTGAGCGAGGCCGGGTCTTTCTTGCCGTAGAGGCTGAGGGCGGCGCGGGCGTCGTGCTCGACATCTTCCCATTTCTCCAACTTGATGCGGGTGACCGCGCGGTTTGTGAAGAAAGTTGGGTCATGCGGATCCTTGGCAATACTGATGGGGGGACGGAGAGGAAGCGAAACGATCAGTCTGATGGTTTTTTTTTATCGCGCAATTTGGTATGTATGGCGTATACTTGCGCGTGGATTGGGAAAAGGGAAGGGGGTCATCCTTACGCTTGGGAGTAGTAGTCCTCGGCGCCAATAAAGTCGCCCTCCACATAGAGCTCATTGCCCCTTTTTTTAAGCGCTTGCGCCATGGTGTCGCAGGGAATTGAACGGCGGGCCACGAGCAGGTGTAGGGGGGGGAAAAGAAGTAGACGGGCGTCGCTGATCAATCAGGTCCCCAGGCGGGGCGACCCACCGTGCAGAAGATCAGGAGCGTTCTCAGAGAAGGTGCATGAAATGGTGGAAAATGAATGACGATGGGGGTGATGGGATGGCGAACATGCAGGGATCTATTGCAACAAAACCGTGTCGAGGTTCAAATTAACTCCTCTCCAGAAGAAGAGCCCGTGGCCGATATACCCGAAAATGGAAAGCCATCGATCCCCGCAGAAAGGGCAGATGACTCAGCACGGGGTGGCTGCCTCGCGCTGCAGGCTATTTTTTTTTAAATTGTATTCGCGGGGGAAGTATAACACTTTGGTATAGTTATTGGGAGTATGACAGGAAGATGCAACTATCGGCATTATCGGCAATGAGAGACGTTGAGAGACACAAGGGGAGGTCTGGCAAGACGGCAGGTTTCTGCATTGTACTATGTACAGGGACCAGTATATAGAGAGCCTCCATCTACTTCCCAACCTCAAAACAGCAGGACTCGACAATCAGTTCGTGGTATCATGATGCGCTTAGTATAATGAGACAAGAAATGTGGGAAGGTGGTTACAGAGAGTGTTGACCCATCGTCCGTCGATCAACACACTCGGCCACCAGAGAAGAGGTCCGTGGATGCATCTACAGGGTTTAGTGACAGAACCAGTCGGATCACAGGCCCCGAGGTGCGCCAGGGCCAACTGTGCCGCAACGAACCTGGATCAGACACCATTTATGCGGTACCGGCGAACTGGGTCTCGTAGTCGGTGATCGCCTGGACCTTGGCGGCGGAAGCGCTCTTGGGATCGAAGCGGTAGTTGAGCCAGTCGAGAGCCAACTTCTTGGCCAGCTCCACGCCGATCACACGCTGGCCCATGCACAGGACCTGGGCGTCGTTGCTGAGGATGGAACGCTCGACGGAGAAGGGGTCGTGGGCAGTGACGGCGCGGATGCCAGGCACCTTGTTGGCAGCGATGGCAACTCCGAGGCCCGTGCCGCAGATGAAGAGACCACGGTCAGCCTTGCCCTCTTTGATCAGCTTCGCACCCTCGACAGCTGGGTGAGGGTAGGCGGTCTTGTCGGAGGTGGAGTTGACGCCGACGTCGGTGATGGAATCGACCAGGGGGCTCTTCTCCAGGACGGCTTTGATAGCATCCTTGTAGGGGACGCCGGCCTCGTCGCAGGCCATGACGATACGGAGGGGCTGGGGGGCAGACATGGTGATGGTGATGGTGATGGTGATATTGATAAGGAGGAAAAAGCTTAGATAAAGAGGTGATGATCAGAGTTGAGATGAAAGGAAGAGGACTATCGATATCCAACTCGTACGGTGAGGGCGCCTTCGGGGGCTTTTTATAGCCTTTGGCGACGAGCTGCAGTCTCTCTCTTCGTCGTCCCCGTGTGCAACCAAGCCAGAACCATGCATCCGCGCATTCCACCGTCCACCATCCACACCATACCCCAGGGTGGAGCACGGGTGGATGGAGCCAGTCGCGTCGGCTGAGGTGCATTCCTGGGCGAGGCCATGCTCCACTCGTCCCAAAGTCATTGCGCAGTGCCATTGTCTGGGTCAACCTTGATATTCGGTACGCAGTATTATTCACCCCGTGGAGGAGGGCCTTGCCGGCCTGCTCAACAGCTGGGCCCCGCCATCGCGTCATGGCTCCCAATCGCACGCTGTGAGTGGGTGCGCTCCTGCTGGGATCGGATGCATTAGGAGGCTGTTACGCCCGTGTACACTCGCCGTATGGCGTATTACCACCAGCTGGGGCTCGAGTCTACAGTACTACTCCTGTCCGCCGTACTCTCTGGAGCACTATCGACAGAGTACAACTCTCGGCGATACACGTCCGCAGCAGTCCTCGATGTCATCCAAGAGGACGAGCATGGTGGCTCATGCACAGGTCGATTGCGGTGCTTGGCTCGGGCCCAAGGCGGCCCTGGCTGACCTGGGCGACAATTGAGTTATCGGAAGACTTTCCGTGAGGATGCAGTATCAGCACGCTAGGACTTCAGTCCGGGGACCGTGCGACACCAGGACGGACCGTGATACTTTGGTGCCGCCGAGCAACGGGCCAAATGAGGGGGAACGGGATAGGATGACACCGCCAACGGCCAGGGGCGCTCGGAATGACACGGTCCCGGAAATGATAGCGCCACTGTCGAGGCCGAGAGAGACCAGCCCAGTGTACGCCGTGGCAGTCCCGAGAGCCGCACGATCGGTGTACAACGGCGGAGCATATATAATCTACACACTATGGCAATGGCAAGAATATCGACCCCATCAACCACGCCCCACGTCCCCTCTGGCCCCCTCGGAACCCAGCCTATTCGCACAGGAGCAGCATGCTGGATGGAATTATGGGACACGCTCTACCTGTGACAGGGGAGGCGGGCCCCCCGATCAGGGCTGTCGCTGCAACTGCCCCCACTCCAACCCACTTGCAAACCCACTGTCCACTCCACCCCCCAACCGCATTGCAATCTTGTTGGCTCGTCGGGGACAGGTCGAGCTACCCCGTGTCCACCGAACCTACTCCGGATTTTCCGTGCTGCTGTCGTGTGTCTAGAGTCCGGGGGAAGATCAAAAGACATGGTGAAAAGGATGTTGATGGGCAGTGGGATATGCGATGGAGGGGTAACAGGCGCATTGGGAAGGTTACGCGATGTCCCTCGATCCGCTGCAAAGGAAGGCAAAGACACCTTAGCATCGTACCGTGCCAATCCAGGCAAGGAACCAATGATGAAATCCCGTCCCTGCGAGGCTGGGCGGGGCCGTCCAAGAGTCTCAGGAAACCTGCTTAACGACGGGAGCATCGAGAAAAGATTCACTGGTCTTTCCGCGCGACCGGTTTTGGTCCGCTTCATGTCGCCCCCCACCTCTTCGCGTCGAAACACATTTGCGGACGGGTTCGCTCTGTACCTGATCGCAACCGGCCATGGCTCGTCTGCCTATCGGAATCGCGAACCAGATATCGTTTCCCCCCCCCCAAGAGGTACACTGAATTCAAGAGGGTCCGATCGTCTTCGTCTCCATCGGCCCTGAGTCCTCCGGAGTGTTGGTGTTTCGCCCGCAGAACTAGCCAACAGTGACCGTAATATCCACCCCCCGGCGCACGGCCAACTCCCAACGCGCAGTGACATCATCTCGATTTGCGTCCTCGATGCTCCAGATCCCGGCGGAGGAAGTAGAGATCAAATCCCCTCGCCTGGGCGCCACGATGGCGGCCGCTAATGCGTGCGCGGGATGGCGATGTACGTCGCACAAGACAAAAGTCATTTCAGCTGCATACCTCCAGTTCCCTTGATCTGCGTCTTGCAATCAGTTAAGGGCACTTGTTCTCTCGTTAAAAAGCGCTGTCTGGATTACTCGATGGGAACGACTCGAGGGGAGTTTCCCGCACGGACGCCCACACCAGACTGAACTAGTTGGATTGTCCGGGGAAGATCTGCTCCTCGACTCCGTACTCATCTTCAATTCCACCCACCTCACATCCCCGTCGTCAGACCCTTTTGCACCACGCCAGCCATGGCTCCCACCACATACCCCGTTCTACCGGAGAAGCTTCTCCTCATCTCGCTGAAGATGTACTTCACCCCGGAGCGCACTCTCAGCTACATCCGCAGCCTCCTGGACCCCGCCAACGAGATCGTTCGCCCGCAGAATCGGGACAAGCTCCTCCTCGCCCTGATCCCGGATTTCCTGACTTTGTGGCCCTGCGCAGAGATTCTGAAAGAATATGAGAGCAAGCTCGCCGCGACCGGCTCGCCGACCTCCCCTCCACCCTTCCTCCTCGGCGCCCAGGACTGCATGTGGGAAGAGTACGGCGCGTACACGGGCGAAGTCTCCCCGGCCGCCATCAAGTCCCTGGGCTGCTCGATCGTCGAGCTGGGCCATGCCGAACGCCGCGCCATCTTCGGGGAGACGGATGACCAGACGGCCCGCAAGGCTGCCGCGGCCTGCGCGCAGGGCATGGTACCGCTCGTCTGTGTCGGTGAGATCACCGCCCCCGGTGCAGTCGCCTCCGAGGCCGTCGGCCAGGCCATCTCCGAGTGCGCGATCCTAGTGCGCGCTGTGCTTGCTGCTATCCCGGCAGACGCACCGGTTATCTTCGCCTACGAGCCCGTCTGGGCCATTGGCAAGCCCAAGCCGGCCAGCGTCGACCACGTCGGTGCCGTCGTGGAGGGCATTCGCGGCGTGATAGGTTCGCGCCCGGGTGCTGCGCGTGTGCTCTACGGTGGCAGCGCGGGACCGGGCCTCTGGGGCGCTGGCGGGCTGGGTAAGGCCGTCGACGGGATGTTCCTGGGACGCTTTGCGCATGAGATCGAGGGCGTGCGCAAGGTTGTCAGTGAAGTGGAGGAGACGCTAGGCGTGGCCTGAACGAAGACTTGTGAAATCAAAGCGAATATTCCATCAATTGCGACCGTGACTCTACTATACCATTGTTTCCCAAACATCCCCTGGCATCTCTTATCACCGCTTCCGCATATCAGCCGGGTATTGTGGTTTCGCATTTACAGTATACCGTCATGGTGATACGCCGCAGTACACACCGAATCAAAAGAAAAACCCAAACCACTTGGGGGTCGGTCTAGACACGCCTGTCACCAAGCCTCTCTGCTCCTCAGCTCATGGAAATCAACACCTACAAACCCCACTTTTTCTCGTGGGGGCCCCTCGTCCACGGCCGCGATCCCGGGTAAAGCACACCCCCGGCTTTTCGGGAACCCTATCTGGGGGTTCCCGTCGCAAGGGCTCCATCGGCAACTCCAGCAGCTCCACCGGCGCTATGCTGTTATGGGGAACTATGGAGAACTATGGAGACAGCCCCCTCCCCAATTCTGTCTTCTAGACTCGTTCTCCTCCGCTCTGGCGCAAAGCAGTCCCCCGTGCCGAACCCTGTCACGCGGACGATCAGAAATTTATGTGCCTCAGATGACTCTAAAGCTTTCGTTAGACCTGCAAGCCGCTGTCTTACCCGGTCGCGGTTGCCTCGATTCGGGGGGGGGGGGGGGGGGGTTTGATTCGATGGATCCCTTTTTTCCGCCGCGGTCCACTCTATCATGTGCCTGTTTGATAGGGTCGTGCATTTCTTTAGGAGGGATCCGTTGCACTACTGCTGTCAGTCCACTTGGCTGTGTGGGCTGGTCACATCGAGTAATCCGAGCTGGCGGGCTTCGCCTCTTGCCCATTGAGGCGGCATTCCCTTCTTAGGCAGGAAATGAGTCCTAGTCCAGCATTGTCGCGGAGAACTGCTCGTGTCGGGCGAATGACGGTCGGACGAGAGAAAGGTCCCAAAAAATTTATCACAGCGGCCCTTACAATTGCAAACCAGTTCCATATGGAATTGGAATGAATAATCTGTCGAATGTCGAATGGACTTAATGCTGATACCCTTATCATATGCTATGTACAAAACCCCAAAAAGTAAAAAAGGGAATGATAATGAGAAATGATTTAGACCGTACTTTTCCCCACCTTGCTCCTCTGCGTACTCGCTCACACCGCTTCGCTTCTTCATTTCCTCTGCAGCTCCTCGCGCAGCTCCTGCTTCACCCGCGTGACCGTCCCAACACCGCCATACACCAGGCCCGTATACATCATCGCGACCGAGGCACCCGCCTCCAATGCCTTCTGCGCCTCCCGGCCGTTCGTGATGCCGCCGGAGGCAAAGATCACCTTTCGTGGGAGGCTCGCCGCATCGACGGGCGCGTTCTCGCCCTCCGCAGAGCCAGTCTGCGAGGGAGGACCCTGGTCCAGCATGGCGCGGTAGCGGCCGACGAGCGCGACAGAGCGGTCAAACAGCTGCGGGCCCGAGTAGCCGCCGGTCTCCTTGAGAGTCTGCTGCTCCTTGGCCGGGAGGACGAAGCCCTTGGGCAGGGGCTCGGGCCGGCGGTTGGTCGTGTTGCCGACGATGACGCCGTCTACGCCGGAGTTCCAAACCGCCTCGCAGATTCCGGAGATCTGCTCATTTGAATCCTCGTCCGGGCTGACCTTGACCATCACGTAGGGCTTGGTCTTGCGGTCGACGTTCTGAGCGGCGCCGACGACGGCCGTCAGGATCGCGGTTAGCGGGGCCGCAGCTTGCAGGTCGCGCAGGCCGGGCGTGTTGGGGCTGGAGACGTTCACGACGAGGATATCGGCGTAGCGCGCGACGCGGTCGACGCAGTAGACGTAGTCCCGCTTGATGGCTTCGATATCGCCGTCTGGAGTAAGCTTGTTCTTCGCAACCTGCACGGCGAGCAGCTTGCCCGGGACCAGGCTGCCGGGAGGAACGTTGGCTTCACCGTCTAGGACGCGCTGCTCAGCGAAGTCGTGGTCGCCGAAGCCGGCGGCGTAGGCAAAGTCGCGCACGCGCTGCTTCAGCACGGCGGCCATGTGGTCCGCGCCCTTAGAGTTGAGGCCGTAGCGGTTGATCATGGCGTGCTGCGATGGAAGACGGAAGACCCGGGGCTTGGGGTTACCCTCCTGGGGGAGAGGCGTAGTGCCGCCGACCTCGACGACAGCTGGGCCAATGTCGAGCAGGGCATCGGGGATATCAGCGTGCTTGTCAAGACCGGCAGAGATACCAATGGGGTTGGAGAGAGTGTATCCGAAAACCTAAACTCATCTATATTAGCAATGATTCGTGGCGTACAAGGTTGTCGCAACTGCAACAATGCCATACCTCTGTAGCCAGAGCACCATCGCTGTCCGGGTTACCCCGTTCGCGGGGGTGAAGGCCGTACCGGTAGAGGAGCTTCAGATTGTCTACACCAACATGATGCGCATCCTCCGCATCCGGGTACAGCAATCGAATAAGAGGCACAACGGCATATTGGTGAATGCTCGCCCGGGTATCCGTCCCATAAATATATCCCACCAACAGCACGACCGCCAGAGATGTGCCATACAAAGCCTTGCGGGACCCGCGACCGGCCTTCTTGGGGATCTCCTTGGACGCCTCCTTCACAGTCTCAGCAGCCGCACTCTGCGCCGGCGCCGACTCCGAAGCATATCTCACAGCGCCGGGACAACGCTCGGCCCGCTTTGGCAGCAGCGCCGACGGCCGTCGAGACCATTGGGATGCAGGGAGCGCGCGGGCCCGGAGGTTCGCACGCCAGGCGATTGGGGCGGCACTCGATGACATGAGGTCTCGAGAGTATATATGAGCTTAATTGGCTTTTCTCGGCGATAATGCGCCGGATTGGACCTGGTGGATGGTCAGTCGGTTCAGTTCCTTGAGATTGGTCGTTGTGTTGTGTAGATAGAAGCAGTATGAGGTTTAGGTCCAGACTGTACGAATACGAGCTCGTTTCCAGTCCCCGGTTTACAGGCTGGTAGGAATGAGGGTCGAACTTACTGCAACGGCTTGATCTGAGGTTCTGCACCTTCCTTGTAGATCGGAGCATCGCAGGGCGGAATCGGGATCTTTTGCAGATGTGGGCGGTGAGTGGGATGCTCGGCAGTTTAAGGCGGTGAGACATTGTATACCAGCTCAGAGGGGAGTAGTATAAGATCAGGTGAGAAAACAGAGAACCTTGGAAATGGAGGAGCTGGTCATATTTCTGTATGGCTTGTATAATGGAGAAACTGACAAATCAATTCATGGTCGAGCAACATGCATTTGCTGACCGGGCATTGCTACCTAGGCACAGCTGCCTGGTAACAAAAGTATATATAATCCTGAAATAAAGTATAGATACCTACTTCACAGGAGATAGCGAAAATTGGGGTTCTTTCGATCTGTTTTGGTGCTTTCTTCTAGTATCTCCTCAGCATCTCTTTCCTCGGGAACCTGACCGTTCTGAGAATTTCGCCGCTCATTTTCCCACACGTAATATGTGAAGAGTAGTCCCAAGAATAGCACCCCAAGTGCCAATCCACATAAAGATGCGCGAATACCTGTCTATAAGGGTGTCAGTGATGGTTCGCACAATATTTTTGCAATCCCTGGCAGCCCTGATAGCATACCTCATATACCGGCTCCTCGCTAGCCAAAAAGAACTGAGGCCCCACGATATTGCCAACACAGTACGCAGCAAAAACTCCGACACTAATCATACTTCTCTTTGTCGTACCAGCGACGTTGGAACTGATGATGCTCAAGCTAAGAGGAATATTGACTGCAAATGCTGCGACAAAACACAGCCCAACCATCTTAGCAACTTTTTGGCTATCGTCAAGTGTGTAGATCATAACAGTGCCAGTCAAAGAGACTAGCACGTTGAAAACCATAGATGCAATCCGAGATGATGATATGAATGTGGCAATGGTCGCTGTAACGACCAGAAAGACTATTTGACTGACGCCCATTGGCATTTGAATCAAAAGCGATTTGAAATCAGAGAACCCGAAACCAGCAATCAGAATGCCAGAGAACTGTGTCACAATCAGCTACCTACTATTGTGAACACTAATCAGAGGAGTTGAGTCTCGCTTACACTGGTAAGCCCACCATTGCAGAGATTAACGCAGAAGGTGTAGAAAACCAAACACCACGTTTGTGGGTCTCGTCCTGCCTCCCAGACCTGAGCCCATTCGAATTGCGTCGCTTCCACCGACCCCGTTTTGTTTGCGAGTGTTCGCTGTACTGCAATTCTTCGCTCGTCCGTTGTGAGGAAAGAGGCTTTGGCTGGGGAGTCGGGAAGCACGAAGAAGAGGAAGACAGCGTAGCCAGAGGTGATGGCCCCAAGAGCGAGAAACAGAAGCCGCCAACTCTGAAGACTTGAAGCAGCATGTCCAATTCCATATGCTATGACACCACCGAAGACATTCGCTAAGCAATTGCCAATAAACCATGCACCTTGACTAAAAGAACGAGCCATCAATTCTGTTAGTGTCCTGTACTAATCACTTTAGAACCGTAATCGGAGTGACTACTCACCGCGCTGGTTGCTCTTCTCTCTTTATAGAACATTCCTGTGATGAGACCAAATCCAGGTGCAACAGCAGCCTCGCCCATTCTGAGGAAAAATCTAGCAGTGAGTAGTCCGCCAAAGTTTTGACATGCTGCGTGGCACATCAGGACCCCGCCCCATATGAACCTATAGTAAGTATGTTAGAACTCAACCGCCACAGTAGGTTTGGATCATCATACACAGATACAGCCAAGTACTTCCCCAGAGGAAGACGAACGATCAAGTAAGATGTCGGCCAGCTCCAAGCCAGATATCCAAAGTAGAAGATGGCGGAGCACCAAGTATATTGTGAGCCAACAAGATCCTATAAAGGGTTAGATTTTAGAACCCATTAAAGAATGCGATAAAACATTCATAAACAAGCACTCACAAGGTCTTTTCGTAAGTTCAGCAGGGTCGCTTGACTGAGTGCCAGTTTATCCATATATTGAAGCATATAGCAAAGTCCCATGGTGGGAATCATACTATGAAATCCTTAGCGTCATCCTATATTGACATTCGTGATGTCTAATATAGTCCAGAGCACATACAACAGATCCAACTTACGGAGAAGTCGGCGTTCCATATCAGGGGAATCATTGTATGCAATTAATTCGCCGAAACTGGCATCTGGTCCCGCTTTCTTGGTGGAGTGGGCCTCTTTCCTGTCGCAGGACGGATGGCCTTCGGAAGTCCTCTTCATGTTTTATGCTGATTGGGGAGAAAGTAGAAGCGCAGCTATTCAATCGTTTGCTTTGTGAGAATGAATAAGTGAAAACTGCAATTCCATAGCGATGACAATCGCGACTCTTATTCATCTATAAACATGCACTGAGCAAAATCACCTTATCTTTCGCTTAGAATCCTAAAGATGACCAGACTCAAGCCAATCTGCAATTTTCTTACAACATATCGCAACGTTCATAAATGATACTTGATAACAACGGGAAAGCAATGCGTATTCATCAAAAACGATAGGAAAATAACCCTCTTCTCGCTTGAAAAACTACCTATTCCTATCGAAGAGATCATTTTCCCCGCAGTAAAATTGCTAAAGAGGATTACAAATGGAGATGGCGTTGGAGATTATGAGCTCCCTGTCTGCTCGGCAAATTTGAATCATTTGCTTGGTTGTCAACCCGAGCTCGGCAATTGGAAAGACGAATCGTCGGCTCCGCACAGGGTCCCCTTATCTTGTGCTCCATTGTATGCAAAGGATAGGATTAATCTCAGTGCATAATTGCACCCCTGCATGTTTATGTAAAGGAAAGTTGTCGGGTTCATGTAACCTGGGCTAGATATGAATCTCCAAATATGGATCTAGCGAATTCAGCCTCAGTGTGTTCGGTGGCACGGAATTATTACGCTATCGAATTATGTAGGATCATAAACAGATTTGCCCGTATATTGCCGGGGCTCTATTTTGAGTCGCTATGTCAAGGCGGGGCTCCTGCCCTGATCTATAAAAGGCAGCATTCTTGCTCATCCGGAGGATCGCATCATCTTCCTTGAGCTCTGTAAATCCCTTCTTGCTTCGTACGTGTCAGCAACCCCTGATCAGTATAGGGAGATATCACCTATCGTCAACCAATATGACCGTTCAGCACCTTTCCGTCTCCCCAGAGAAGGTTCGAGCGACAATCGACAGTGCGTTGGAAAAGGTTGCGAAGCAACTTCGCGAGTTGAATCATGCTGTAAGCCCTCTGTCACAATCGTTAGGACAGGAGATTGGCGATGATGGCTCATTAGATCCTCTGCAGATTTGGTCAAACCCCGAACTAGCCTACGAAGAGCATAAAGCACATGACAACATTTGTGATTTTCTCGAGGGCCAAGGCTTCAAAGTGACTCGACATGCCTATGGTGTATATACTTCTTTTGAGTGTATTAGCGGCACAGAGGGCCGTTTGGTGAACTTCAATGCGGAATACGACGCACTTCCCGACATTGGACATGCCTGTGGGCACAATCTCATTGCCACGAGTAGTATCGCAGCTTTTCTGGCGCTCAGCCATTTGAAAGATGAATTCAGGATTAATGGTCGGATCCAGTTGCTTGGGACTCCGGCGGAGGAGAACGGCGGAGGCAAAGCCAAGCTGCTTGACGCCGGAGCTTACAAGGGCGTTGATGTTTCTCTGATGGCGTAAGTGACACCATGATCCCATTTATACTATAGTGCTAAGAAAAGCCTTCCCCAGCCACGGTGGACCGAAGAACCTGGTTGGTCAGCCTAGCGATGGCGTAGCAGGAATTCTCATGAACGCCCGCAAAGAGCTCGTCGTTGAATACTTTGGCAAAAACGCCCATGCTGGAGGTAATCCATGGGATGGTGTGAATGCCTTGGATGCTCTAGTCCAGGCATACAACGGCATCTCCATTTTGAGACAGCAAATTCTGCCCGATGAACGAATCCACGGGGCGTTTTTGGATGTGCCCAAGGTGGCGAACGTCATTCCGGCATACACCAAGTCTTACTGGCAGATCCGAAGTCCTACTTTAAAGGGACTCAATAATCTCATTGCGAGAGTTCGGCAATGTGTGGAGGGGGCTGCCATTACGACTGGTTGCACAGTTAAGATTGAAGAGTAAGTACCCTTGAAGTGCGTGGTTAGGAACTGCCGATAACAGGTACTTGTCATAGGGAGGGATTGTACACTGATATTGTCTTGAATGAGACTCTATGTGAGCGATATACAAGTCATATGGAGGGATATGGGAGGTCGACGATCAAAAAGCACGACAAGGTCCTGACTGGGTCTTCAGATGTTGGTATGGATTGGCGCATTTTAGGCTTTGACATGGACTCACTAATATATCTCCCAGGCAACGTGAGCTACGCTGCTCCTACCCTACACTCAATGTTTGGAATTCCCACTCCGGAAGGCTGCTTCCCCCATCATCCTTCTTTCACGGCTTGTGCAGGAACCGACGAAGCTCACGAGGAAGCTGTCATTACCGGAAAGGGTCTAGCTCTACTAGGCTGGGATATGTTGACCGATGATGCGCTGTTCAATTCAGCTAAGGCTCAATGGGAAGGGCAATTGCCGGCAAACGCTAAAAAATAGGCATGTTTCATATTTCGAAATTATTACTTGGGAAGCACTTCTGTTGTTGTCAAGTGTGAAACACAGCGTGGCTTTTGTGTTTTGATGCATTACCCGCTATCCCTATGTAATTATTTTTAATTGAATTTATTTCAGTTATTTCTTTTAGAAGTTAGGCAGGCTCAATTAAAATAGGAGGGCCGGCACAACTCTACTCAGCCAGTAGGTAGTACTTTGCATATAGGTAGTTTGCCTAAAAAGAGTCAAAATTCTTGGAAGTCGTCGCAGAAAGAGAATCAAAGGAAGTGCAGGAGTGAATGGTGAAGGCAGGAACATATTCACTAGGTACGAATTCGAGGTAGCTCTACTGCTTTCCATTGCGTGAATCGATATCTGCCTAGATCCATCGCTTTTGAAGATCGAATTTTGAAGAAGACAATGACATTTGATGCCATAATTGGCTGAGGATATTTGTACCACCATGGGCTCTGCTAAATCTACACGTACAAACAACGCCGTTTTGTCTCATCCCATGCGCCGAGCTCCATGAAACAACTCCGAAGTTTGCGATTCAAGAAATAAATGCCACGTATGCCCTCGTCTACAGCAACCACTTTTTTACTCGTCGCTCATCTGATTGTCATCACCTATATTCTCCTCTTCGAGAGCAGCGGTCTCCTCGACTGGAGGAGGTGGGAGGGTCTGCGCAAATTTCGGATCGATGTTCGCGCGGTGCAGCGAGCGCTTGTAGACTTCCGCCTCGTCAGGGTCACGGATTGTGACGTGCACCTGGTCAATCTTGTCTACGGGCGCCTGCGACGCAGTGGGAGCAAGTCCAGCCTGGGCAATAGTGCGAGCACGCTCGGGCTTCAGGCGCACCTTGCTGACGATGGGGTAGTAGTAGGCGGCCTGCTGCTTGGTCTCACCCTCACGCGGTTGGTAAAGAGTAAGCGCAATATCTTTCAACTTCTGATCGGTATTCAGAATTTGAGCGCTCGTTGCGAAGGTGCGTTCACGGTCATAGCGGTGGTATCTCGCGCCATCAGGGCCTTCGTTGGTATAAAGGTCCTGGTCGTCTCGGTCTGGGTGGTTCAAGTCCATGCTGGCGTGAACTTTCTTCACTGAATCACGCTTCTCAGGGAGGTGTAGGTCGTAGTCGAAGGGAATGGGACCCGGGTCAGGATAAAGACCAGGGTTGGCTTTGTGAAGGGCTTGCTTCGAGGCGTGTTCCTGGCAGATGCGCTCTTCGGGTGCCGATGGGTGAAGCAGAGCGACGTCCATGCGTTTGTCACGCTTACCAGCGACTGCAGGGACAGGAGCCTTGTCGAATTTGAATTGAACGAAGCCACCGGGGTCAGGGAAGCCCGAAAGATCAGGCAGCACGGGAAAGAACCCGACAGGCTTTAGCTTCGGGTTGTCGGGGTGGACAGGGTGCGCCCAAGCGTCGGTTTCCGCCTTTGTGGCCGGAAGACCCCGGAGTCGACTCTCCGTATCTTCGCCAGTGTGCTTACTCTGGGGATAAGCAACATCGAATCCCTTCTGGATGAACTTCTTGATATGCTTCGGGTCCTCCACGGAGGTCTTCCCCTTCTTCGTCGCACGGCTCTGTGCCTTGATGAGAGGGTTTGCGGTCGTAGCACCTCGATCAACTGAGATATGCTGAGTACGACGAAGGAAGCTGACATTGGTGTTTCTCGGAGCGGGGTTGCGGAGCTGGTCAAGAGTCATTAAAAGCGGGAGGTCCGCAGGATCGATGGGTTGCGGGTGCTCGGGGACCATAATAGCTATATTTTAATTAGCATGTTGCCATTGCCAGGTTTCGGTGCCCTGGAGCGCATTCACATACCACTCTCATCCCCCAAATGCAGACCCGGGAGGCCAACTAGGTCGATGGGCATACCACCCTCGGCATCAACATCAATATTAGGCTCCTCACGCCGCGCAAGATTGGACGCAAAGCCTGGGGTGAGGAATCGGCTAAGGCCCTCGTGAGGAATATCGAGGAGCTTTGGAGGCATGTGCGGCGGCGGGAGGTCATTGCGATAGCGTAGGGACGCGATGTACTCTTGGTGAAAGCCGCTGGAGGACTTGTCCTCCCGAGACTTGGAAGACATCGCGGGTGGTTGATATCGGAGGTGAATAATTGATCCGTTGGAAAGGAACCGCAAAAGTTGGTGAGAAGTCTGTGCGCGCATATTAGAAGTCAGGATTCGCACGAAGCTCGATCAGCGCATTCTTACTGGAGTCCTCGGTACCAGACGACGAAGGTAGAGAAGAAGAAGGTGCAAGAGCGGTGGAAGGGAAATCAGGAGCCTGAGATCCAGAAATAGCAGGTGTTCAATCCTTAGCCGCAGTGCTTGACATAGACTCCAGCTGGCTGGAGTTGACCAGAAGACCAGAAGCCACAAGATCGCAATACCACTAGCTGCGAGGCGTTCAGCACCCGAATAGCGTAGACTTACCGCTCATTTTGCCGATAGTAACCGCCTTCTGTACTTGGGGAGGGTTTGGTTACGAGGAACTGAGGCGGATAAATATTGGTCCGAGATACTTCAGATGCGAGTTTATCCGGTTGCGATAAGAGCATATCATGTGCTGGCATCAGCAAAAACAAGCTCAACCTTCATGGCACGGCCTCTTGGTGATTACCTACGTTGACCGTAGATTTGACTGTAGATCAACTTAAGTGAAATCAAGCCAATCTTTTCTTTTCAAGCGTTTATCATGTGTATGATTCGGGACAGCTATCTGTTATTGATGAAACTACTGCTAAGCAGTCAAACAGAAACACGCATTATTGCATTTGTACTGGAAAATCGCTGAAGACAATTCAACAATTGAAAGTCCCAACAAAATTGGTAGTCGCTACGAAAGATTCGGTTGCCATCACTGGTGATATGGAGTATCGAGGCCTCTTGTCATTCATTCTCATGGGGTCAATAATGGTTCTTTAAGCTTAGCTTTATCCCTGGATTGGAACGTAGAGCTTGAGTTCGCCGTCTATCTCCGTACATACTCTCTTTACGCACGTTGATCGTCATTGCAAGGCTGGTATACAGTTTCTTCAAAGCTGACCATCCAAAGCATCTCACGACAGGTGGCTGCTATTAGATCCCGATCTATTGCTATTGTTTGTAGGATAACCCAGCCAGGTTGCCTTCTTGGCGTATTATCTTGACTGAAGAAGAACAATATGATTATTAGCCAGGATCTAAATACAATTAGTTACAGCAGGCAGAGGGTTTTGGTTGATAGAATATTTTTGGTAATCAAGATTGAAATTTCCCCATAACCTATCCCAAACACCCATTGCATCCATAGACCGTAGACGAAAAAAACCCCACCTAATAATCCGCTCAGTAGGCCCACATGCACTTGTATGCCATCAAGCGGTGACCCAGCCGATCATACTCCAGCTTTCCAATCCAGCTGTCGTTAGTACCACTCAATTTTCCAAAGATACTGGCGCCCTTCCACACAACAACTTGGGCATCCAGGTCTCGTGGCGGCACACCAATCATAATCTCCTTCTGGAAGCCAGGGCGAAGGGCTTTGAGTCGCGCTTCGAGGAATGCATGGAGTTCGTTAGTTAGACTGCCACCACCAACCACCATAATACCACCGATGAAGTCTCGCATCTTCTTCTCGTCCGAACGAGCGGCATGTGCAATCGAGGTCAAGATTGCGTTGTCCAGAGGGAAGACGGGCAAGATGTCGTCTCGGTACTCGACAGCCGGGCGAGCAGGCTGAGATGTCGGCGCAGTCACAGCCGGTGTACCAGCTCCACCCGCCTGGGGGGTTCCTGCAGTTTCAGGTGCGGGGGATCCAGCAACAGACGAGCGAGGGGTAGCCTCTTGCTCTTGAATTCGGCCCAGCGCACTCGACTGCTGGGGGCGACCGGGGGTGGCTTGCACATCAGGCGCTGTCGATTGTGATTCTCCATTTGCCCTGCCGTTGGAAGGAAGGGGAGGAGCAAGGGCAGTCATTATTTCGGACTGGGCTGCCGAGGTGGGATCATTCGGTTGGCCATCGTAGATATCGACAGATTTTTCAATTAGCTTCCGCCGGCCATCAAGCTTGTGTGAATTGTCGAAGATAGTCGGCTCGAAGAAGCCCATGGGTGCCAGGTGGCCCTCGTCAAAAGCCTTGAAATTGTGCTTCTGCGTATCCTGACCCGAAACTCGAAGGTGAAAGTCAAATGCTTGCGGGGATACCTTAGCTTCGTCCATAGTGCAAAGATTCTTCTTCAACTCTTCTGCCAGCAAGTAATCATATCGGCGCCAAAGGTTGATATCGGCATATGGGAAATGGTCGTGCAGCATCATCTTGATGAAAGTCTCCGTCACATCGTTCCCGCCCATTTTCAGATTCACCCGTGAGTTCTCAATACACATGCCTTCCTCAACGCAGCAAATTGATGTCTTCTGTGCGCCGATGTCAACCACGCAGGCAGAGGTAAAGCCAGCACCAAAGGTGGCTGCAAGACTCTCTTGGATAAAGCACACGCGAGAAAACCCAAACTCCCGCATCAGCATTTCCAGGACCTGCGTAACATAGGACTTCTCGTATAGGTCTGGAATCACAAATACGCAGGAGTATTGGGCCCAATCCTTTTTGCTACGCAGACCCAAATGCCCTTTGATCGCCTCTTCAAGGATCAGGGAAATGTCAAGGAACAGCATTCGCTTGCTCTCGTAGTCCCTCTCATTGCACCATCCATTCTGAATGGGCCAGAAGAGCTTGTACCGAGGCTTTGAGGTGTCTGGGATCCTCAATGCGGGCTGCCCAATGATATACTCCTGCGGAGGAGTCTCCAGTTCCGTCCATTCAACACGCTCGGGGTCGTTGTGCTCTGAAATTACCTCCGGCGACTGCTTGCGGTTGAAGTTGACCACTCCTTCCTTGGGATTAGGCAACATTCGTCGCTTATTCGCTTTCATCCGGGCTTTCAGATCCGAGGCCATGGTTGTGTATTGAGAGGACCACTTTTATCCAGTGAGTAACATTCCAGCCACTTGGACACTATTTCAAACGTACCTCTGGTCCAAAAACCCTCTCCGGGTCTTCATCAGTCCCATCATCCCGCTTGAATCTCTTCGGTTTAGGCTCTTCTTGGTCTTCGCTTTCATTGGTAGTCGACTTTCTTGCAATGACCATTGGCATGGTCTTTGGCAAAGCATCACTAGACAGGCCAATTCGCAAATTCTGGCTGCCAACATGAATTACGATAACTTTTGAGCCAGCAGTTTCGGTCGGAGTGTCCTCCGCATCTTCCATGTTGGCATCGCCGTCTGCCTCCGCCTCCGCCTCCGCTTCATTTGACTTGGCCATTGCGAGGGCACGATCGCGGTCCTTGGCGGTTTTGGTCATCTTGATCCTTGCCTCTTCATTTGCTAGTCGGAAAGCCAGGTACTGGTCGTCTCGCTTGAGGTAATCACTTGAAAGAACAGGGCGCAATCAGCATTGCGACTCTTGGTGAGGAAGCCTGGTGGGAGTAGAACCAGACGAAGGACTTTCGATAACATACGTGTAGTAATTCTTCTGGTTGATCGCGGCGACTTGCGGCCAGCTCGAGAGATCCATGTTGTTGTCCGTCCGCTCGAGGCCTGGTTGCTTGCTGTTAGATACGCTTCTGTCCAGCGGCTACTCATCAATTCCAGCTGAGGAGACGGGGCAACTTACCCTCATCACGAAGGGCTTTGCCCGACTTTTTACCCACCATAATGGGCTATCGGAAGCAGCGACTGTCCAGCTTGGTCGGTCAATGGGGATGAGGGTGCGATGAGAGAGGGAGGGCGCAGTCGGGTGTAGGCTGTCTCCGAACTATGCGCTCGATGGTCGAGGGCTCGGTCGCTAGACAGGAACAGACCGGACAGGGAGGAAATGTCGAAGGAAATGTCGAATGCAAGAGGTGGGAGGAGAAAAGGATGTGAGCTGGAAGGACGAGGACGCTTTTTCCGGGAAGCGCAGGGCCGACGTCGCGAAGTGCGCCATTCATTCGCATTCCCCCGATTGACCGCCCACACGCACAGGCCGATTGCCAAACGTCCAATGCGGCTGCCACCAAAAGAACCCATCCTTGCGCTTCTTTAACTTTCTTTTCCTACACTGCTACCCCCCTTCTCTTGTATCATAGACACCCGACATCTCCTTTGGCGGCCTTCTCCCTTATCGCCGCCCGCCCGCAAAACGCCACCGCATCGACTCCCCCGACTCCATACTCGCCGCGAAACCCCGGCGCTGTCAGACCAAACGACACCGCGACATATCACACACAACCATGGGAGGGTCCTTGTCGCGTCTATGGTCCCTGGTCTGGACCAAAAAGGAGATTCGAATCCTCATCTTGGGTCTTGTATGTCGAATATCGACCAGCGCGGGGGAGAAACACCCGCCAGAGTCAGTGCGTGCACGAATCAATGACTGATCACGTTCTTTGGATATAGGACAATGCTGGAAAGACCACTCTTCTCTACAGGCTGAAAGTAAGCTGCCGATTCCGTTCACAGCGTCGCATTTTGTGCGCTTGTTCGAGGCTTGAGGGCTAATGTATCTTGCTTCCAGATTGGCGAGGTCGTCACGACCATTCCCACCATCGGATTTAACGTCGAGTCGGTTACATATCGGAATTTGAATCTTAATGTCTGGGTATGTAGTATCAGGCCATCTATGTTGCGGCTCGATCTGGTTATTAACCGGAGTGATCTCAGGATCTCGGTGGCCAAACGTCCATTCGTCCTTACTGGCGGTGTTATTACGCCAATACCGCTGCCGTCATCTTCGTCATTGATTCTACCGATATCGAGAGGTTGGGAACTGCGGCGGATGAGCTGGCAGCAATGCTAAACGAGGAGGAGCTTCACGATGCAGCGCTGCTGGTGTTCGCCAACAAGCAAGACCAGCCAGGGGCGAAGGGCGCAGGCGAGATCTCGGAGGCGCTGAAGCTGGGCGAGCTGCGGGACCGGAACTGGAGCATTGTGGCTTGTTCCGCCATCGACGGCAAGGGTATTAATGAGGGCATGGACTGGCTGGTGGTATGTTTCTCTGGCTCCCTACACTTTGGCTGTTATCGCATACTCACTCCTGTGTCTCCGTACAGACAACCATCCAGGCTGAAAACGCATGAGACGCTCCTTGTTTGTTCTCGGGCCATAGATTTCTTTTGATCTTCGATATACCTTGCCCCTCGAGCTGCTCATGCGGCTTGGGGACCGTTCTGCTGCATTCGGGGATGCTGCGCCGCTTCTTCTCTTCGGCTTTGCCTGTTTCGGCAGAGCCCTTGTCTTATATTGCTACATGATTTGGGTTGTGAGCGCCTTCCGGCTGTTAAGAAAATAGTTTAATACAACTGCTGTTGGTGCTTGATGTATGAAATTCTGGGAATCCCGAATCCCAGGCCCTTCATAGATACAACCCTAGGGTTTTTGGATGTAATGTAGTGGCAACCGAATATAAGGTCATATCAAGTCGTGGGCAGTGGGTGGCCAATGGACCCCTCCTATCTGTCTCCCATAGATAAGCATCATGTAACCCCCGCATTCGCGAGATGCTAATCGGCCAGCAAGTCTGTGCACGCACTATCTGTTCCTTTCTATCGGCTCTTCTCGTTTCTCTCTTCTGCACAGAACCATAAATACAGCCAATAATCGGTAACATATTCTCGGCGGGAGCATCATGGCCATTCCATCAACCCAAATCGCAGCTGCTATCCCATCCTCGGGGACAGACGGGTCTTTGAATGTCCAAATTAGCAAGACACATTCTGTTCCCACCCCGGGGACGGCGAGGTACTTGTAAAACTCGAGTTCTCCGGGGTTTGTCATTCCGATGTCCACAGCATCCGGGGTGACACACCTATGCTGACTGACGTCGCTGGCCATGAAGGAGTAGGGAAGGTTGTTGCAGGTGAGGGGTCCCTGGGCCGGAATATTTTTGTCAAAATTTTGGTCTACAAGAAGCTCGAACTTACCATTGGTACAATCTAGTCGGGCCAGGTCTGGATGAGAAAGAGTGGATCAGCCAAAGGGTTGGTATTAGGTGAGTATCGAACGCTGCCATTGTTCCGACCCTCTGGGCTACTTTGGTACTGAGTACTTTCACGCTTAGATGGCTGTACAGCTCTTGTCTGGAGTGTGAGATCTGTGCCATTAACCATACCTCATGCCCCTATCAAAAGAATGCGGGCGCGGTACGTGCTCATTCTAAATATGCCTCAAAGCTCCTTTCACGTCGCCCTCAATGATTAACCATGTTCTGACATCTAATAAAATTTCCAGAATGTTCCGGGGACTTTTCAGCGTAAGTGTTGTGGCCCACAGAACTCACCGTATTTGAGCACAAGTACTGACTATCGCATCAGAATATCTTGTTAGTCCGGCCATCCATGCCACCAAGATTCCGCCTGGGCTATCTCCAGATACGGCCGCCCCTCTTCTCTGCGGTATGCTCAATTGATGACTCAGGTCTGCTTTCTCAACTAATACTCTGCAGCTGGGATCGCGATGTACTCGTCGATTAAGAAGACGAAGGCACGTCCGGGTGACTGGATCGTGATCTTGGGTGCAGGAGGGGGCTTAGGACATATGTATGGGCTCATACTGCCAGTCCTATCTTGCATCAGTAACTTACAAGTTTAATTTATAGGGGTGTCCAAATCGCCGCTAAGAAAGGGTTGAGGGTCCTTGCTGTCGATAAGTACGTGTTATACCAGGACTTGAATGTCAGTCCGGGTGACTGAATCCATTACTGACATATCTCAGGGGAAGCAAGAAAGAACAGCTATGCCTAGATCTAGGAGCTACAAAGTTCTTAGACTTCTCCGAAGTTGACATTGTTGAAGCTGTCAAGGCTTCTACGTCCGGACTCGGTGCGCATGCGGTCATTTGTACTGCCAATGGAGAACGAGCCTACGAGCAGAGTATGCAGATGCTGCGTCGTCTCGGAACACTTGTCTGCGTGGGCATCCCGAATGTTCCGTTTCGCCTACCTGTCACTCCGTTCGACATGATTGTCAAAGGTAGGAAGCCAGCCAGCACGAATTTCCTCTTTCCTGTATCTCTTTACAGTATATTCTGATCATTTCAATTTAGGTCTTACTATTGTTGGAAACTCTGCTGGTAGCGCGAAGGAGATGGAAGAGCTCATGGAAATGGCAGTGGCTGGTGACGTCAAGGCACACGTTGAGATTTTTGATCTTGCTGATATCCGCAATGTCTTAAACCTCCTAGAGCATTCGGAGATTGAGGGGAGGGCAGTCTTGAAGATCCCTGAGTGAATGACAGCGCATCATTCATATTTCAGCTGTTCGGTTCCTTGAGTGTAATTGACTTGCATTTCTTTCCGTGGAGGCTGAGACTCGCCGATGAAACCATTCCATCGGCCACAGTTAGGGTTGTGGAGAGGTAAACAAATTCTATTGGTTCATGTTGGTGGCCGCTCGTTTCCGCTCACTCAGAATTAGCTGTAGACGTCAAGTTCAGATGATTTGGTTATGTTTTTAGGTACTCAAAATGGTGTACCCAAGCGAGAAAAGCACGGCGGCAATGATGGATATACAATAGTCAGCATTTACACCATCCTGAGACCGGCCCAAAGTCGTACCATGTAGGCTCATTATCAAGAATCACTGCAAGATATTTACATGTCACTCATTGGGGAGAGCGAGTCTATGATTGGTGGGTAACCGTATGCAGGCGCCCGTGGGGGGTGATCTCGCGGCGCTGGTGCCGGACGCAGGCGAAAGCATCGGTTGGATTGTATGAGTAGATCTCCATGAACGTGCATAGCTTGGCGACTGAGAGAGAAGATACAATGATGGAATTTTTCAAAGTCCCCCGGCTGTGTGGGCGTCTTGCTGTAGATCTGAATCGCGAGGTTCTCATCACCCTCCTGTACATTGCCATCACGATCCTGGCGAAAGATTCTTCCAAGAAAACCCGGGTTATCTTGATGATCGAGATACTGTCCTTGAAGCCATTCGTCAGGCCTCGCGTTTAACCATGCAATCTGGGCTATCTTGGCCATGGTGCTGGGTTGAAAGGTTGCGACCCGTTTTGAGGCTGCAGGATCTAGGTTCGATGGCGGGTCTAGCGAGGCTAAGCATTCGCCTTCAACCTCCCCCGCCTCGACGCGCCCCTGAGGGCCACCTAGGCACATGACTGCTAGCAACAAGGGAATGTAGTCATAATCGGCTGCGTCTGTCCCGAAATAGGCGTTTCTTACCAATATGGAGCTTCAGTAATTCTAGGGTTTGTTGTGGTATATTAAACAGTCCTATCCAGACCATACACTCAACACAAGTTATCCCATTGTATCTCAATATGCAAAATAGGAAACCTGACCGGAATAAACAAGTAGTGACCTTGTCGAAGGGGTGTCCGGAGAGCCCCACACTCGCCCGGCTCGGCTGGAAGTCACCGTGTTAGCTTTGAGAGAATGGTCTGGAACATCGGCAAGAGCCAGTGCTTGCGGATCTTCATAGCTTGACTTCTGCGCATATTGCAGGCCTAAATACCGGAAGTCTCGATGAAGTATGTCATCAAGGAATCTTTTGCCAGAAGATAGCAGAGAAAATGGAGCTTGTTACAATGTTATACATTTCGCCTGATAAGGAGGGAGCGGTCAGTGAGCTATTTTGTTGAGCCGATTTAATTAGCAACTAGTTGAGGTCTAGCTTTCCTGTTGGCTAGGGTGCTCGCAATGTGACCCCGCTTGAGTGTGCCCTTGATGTGAACGCGTGTTAGTAAGGGTAGGGAGTATGTGAATGTATTGCAATCCACCAGACGATGAGGGCTGCTATTCTGGCAACTCCACGCAATTTCTTTTTCACTTCTGCTATTTCTTCTGGGGTAATCTGCGGACGTTCAGTCATGATGTGGATCTGGTGCCAGCGCGGGCTTTCATGCAAGGATAGCGTTGGTCGACGCATCTTCCGGAGCTAGACCGCACTGCTACTACTAAACACGGTGTTATCGTCGGTTAGCTGCAATGGGACTCCATAACGAACTAGCTTCCGACTAGGGTTGATCCACTCCATAGGAAGCGGGCGATAATGAGTACACCGTAGTTTCCTAGAGCCGAGCAAGCCGACCCAAAATTGGAGACGAGACACTTAAATTGCACAATAGGCGGAGTTGGTAATTGCTCGAACCTGGTCTCCCGGCTAGGGTCAATTTTAGGGTCGAGTTGCTTGGAAAACGTCTGAACTCAGTGGAAGTGATCTTCGCAAATGCCACGCACATTAGGACCACATATGGGCAAGGCATATTGATCAGCCATATCAGCAGAGCGATATCGGTCATACGCCAGTGGTCGTGCAGATTCCTATAATCATTATAATCGTTAATACAGGATCGTGAATATCATTAGTATTGAAAGAAGCCTAACTACTGTAGGTCAAACCGTCCAGTTGAATAGTCCGCCAGCGACTGACTTCGATGTACTATAGCGGACTGTGTACTCGGGGGTCCCATCAAGTCCGGGGAAGGGGGAATGTGCCGGGAATCGGCCAGCTGATTGGCACTCGTCGGGCCCCGAAGCTCCCTGGGCGCACGAGCCAATCCTCGTGGGCGACGGCTCCCACGGGCGGCCACGAACGGCCACGAGCGCCCGAGTGGAGCTCGACCAGGCCAGCATGTGCGGCCGGGCCGAGCTGTGAGTGGCACGGGCAATCGGGACTAGCGCAGGTCGAAGCTAATTGCCCTTAAAGTTGTCCGGATTAACTACGCAGTACCACATGTGAAGTACTGCGGAACGATAATGCTTGCGATACACACTGCTTAGGGTGGAGGGGGGTGAATCCGGGACGCTGTCGATCACGGGGCAGGCGATTTATCGCCTGAACCATCGTCGCTGCCCGTGTACCCTCTACTTCCCGGCGCTGGCCGTCATTGCAGGCACGCCCCCGTACTCTGCCCCCCAACAAAGGTTGCCGGTACCTTCCTTCCCCCCAGCCTACCCTTCCGATTCCGGGCTTATCGTCTCCCCACCCATGTGTCGCGGTGATAGGATGTCGGCGATGCGCCCTGCCCCTCGCGATGGGGCGCGTGCCATAGACCTTTCCATGCGCACGTATATGAATTGCTCTCCTCGTGCTGCTCCCCGCTGTGCTTCCTATCCCTCTCCGTCTCTTTCGCCGAGCTCGTCATGGATTGGTTGCACATCTACATCGCCGGTGCGGCGTCTCTAGTCTTTGCCCTGGTGGCTGTTGTTCTCCTCGTTTCCTCCCAGCAAGTCAAGATTGACCTTGATCATGGCCCGTTGACCTATCTGAAGTTTATTTGGGCCAATTTCCTCAAGCCTCATGATAAGCATGCCGAGGGCCAACAGGGGGCGCTGGAGAGCTTCTACAAGACCCAGGTGAGCGGGATAGGCCATCGCGCAGATTGACGAGACAGATCATACTCGCAGAGTGGCTGACACGATGGTGACTAGGCGGCTGTTTACGATGCGACCCGCCGTCGTCTGCTTCATGGCCGTGAGGACATGCTCGGACTTGTGGCGGCCCAGCTGAAGTACAAGGTGGAGAACAAGGAAATCAAGGCTGGCAAGGCAGTCTGGGTGGATGTATGTGGGACCGAATTCCTCGACACCTTCCAAACTACAGGAATTGAAAACTGACAGTCATCTCGCAGGTTGGTGGTGGTACCGGGTAGGCGCAGCTGGAGTGGCCATCGTGTTGCTATGAAACCAGACAACTGACTCGACGACAGATACAACATTGAAGCCATGTCCGCCTTCATTCCTGTGGACAAGTTCTTCGACCACGTCTACCTCGTCGACCTCTCGCCCTCCCTCTGCGATGTTGCCCGACAGCGCTTCGAGCGTCTTGGCTGGAAGAATGTCACCGTTCTGTGCCAGGATGCCCGCTCTTTCGTCCTCCCTGAGAGGCAGGTGGACCCAAAGTCGGCCGATGGCGCCACAACCGACCGCGTGGACCTGGTTACCATGAGCTATAGCCTCTCTATGATTCCTGGTAAGTTACAAAGGCGCGGAAACATACATGCGAGGAAAAGCCACCCTAATGTTGATTGGCCTAGATTACTACAGTGTCGTCGACTCGCTGACAACCCGCGTGAAGCCCACCGGGCTGGTGGGTGTTTGCGATTTCTACGGTAAGTCATCCACAGCTGCTGTGCAAGGAAGCAATCTAATAGATGGTACAGTCCAGAGCATCGTCGATGTTTCATGCCGCAACTACACCGGCGGTGCCTTCAACCGCCATGTCAACTGGCTCGGCCGTATCTTCTGGCGCGCGTGGTTCGACTTTGACCGGGTTAGCCTTGAGGCCGCCCGTCGTGATTATCTGGAATATAAGTTCGGAAGCGTGATCTCGGCTAGTGATCGCAACTACCTTCTCGGCGGCATCCCCTACTACATTTTTGTCGGTTGCCCCAAGGAGTTCGCCTCCACCCCATCCAACCAAACCACCATTGAGAAGCTGGATGCCTCATTTACCGAGTCTCCTTATCTGCTTCCTGCAAACCACCAGAAGGAGATGGACAAAGCTGTGGAGAAAAGCACGACGGAAATCCGTTCCAAGGCATATGAGTCGGCTGTGATCAACTTGAGCGCCAACTTGCCCCTGCCGTCTTCCTTTTACCAGAACCATCACTACCGGATCCACTACAACGACATGCTTCCCAAACACACTCAGTTCCAGAACGAATACATCTATGCCTTCACCTGGGAAGACCCCCGTGTGGACCACCGCCTTCTGAACATCGGCCCTGATGATGTGATTCTCGCCATCACCAGCGCTGGCGACAATATTCTGGACTACCTTCAGAAGGGCCCTCGCCGTGTTCACGCCGTGGATCTGAACCCTAACCAGAACCATCTTCTGGAGCTGAAGGTGGCTAGCTACATCGCCCTTGGCCACCGTGATATGTGGAAGATCTTCGGTGAAGGGAAACATGCGCAATTCCGCGAGCTTCTCATTTCTAAGCTCAGCCCCCATCTATCCAGTCAGGCCTTCCAGTACTGGGTTCAGCACTCTCACATCTTCACCTCTAAATCTGGCCATGGCCTTTATGAGACAGGTGGCTCGCGCCACGCAATCCGCATGGTGCGCTACCTGTTCAACATCTTTGGACTGCAGGGAGAGGTACAGAAGATGTGTGAGGCGCAGACTCTGGAAGAACAGCGGGCCATCTGGCCGCGTATCCGCCGTGTTCTCATGAGCAAGCCTCTGAACTGGGCTATTGTGAGTACTGAGTGGTTCGCCTGGAAGGCGGCTGGTGTGCCTCGCAATCAGCGCAACATGATCGTTGACGACTACTTCCGTCGCAACGGCTTGACGACCGGTATGAAGCAGAGCAAGGACATCAGTGGCCAGTCTATCTGGGAATATGTTGTGAACACCCTGGATCCGGTGGTCAATGATACTCTGATCAGTAACGACAACTACTTCTACTTCCTGTGCATGCAGGGCCAGTTCTCGCGCCGGTTCGTTTACCCCTCCTCTAGGTACAGGATAACACCGCTAACTCACTGGTAGTTGCCACCCCACCTATCTGTCGCCCCAGGCACACGTCAAGCTATCTACCCCCGGTGCTTTCGATGGCCTACGCATTCACACCGATGAGATCAACGAGGTGATTAACCGCATTACTCCCGGTACATTGACTATCGCCGTGGTATGTACTCCCAGCCAGATACAACCCTTCACACTGTACTCATCGTTTCCCTAGGTTATGGACTCTATGGACTGGTTCGACCCTACCGAAGATGCCGCACCCGCCCAAGCCCGCCGGTTCAATACCGCCCTGAAGAAGGGTGGCCGTATCCTACTCCGCTCCGCCAGCATCGACCCCTGGTACATCAAGCACTTCGAAGAGAACGGGTTCACAGCACGCCGCGTCGGAGCCCGCTTCCCCGGAACATGCATTGATCGGTAAGTCCTGTTCTTGAAACCAATGTGATTGAGCCCATCTAATCCCAGTCAGTGTCAACATGTACGCATCAACCTGGATCTGCACCAAGACTAAGGACATTGATCGCCCCAAGAACGGGCGCAGCATCTCCGTCTTGTCCCTCGGTGACAGTGCCGTTGGATCGGCGACGCGGTCGAACAGCGTGGAGAATTTGAAAATTTGAGCTAGATGATACCTTTCCTTTCTCACAGCGTGTGCCCTGCCTTCTAAACTTTCTTCTGCCCTAAATGATTTCCCCTGAGTTCTGCTGGCTTTCCCTTCTATTCTTATGGCACATTTTTTTTTCGGAGTGTACGGAGTATAACTTCTGGATGCCAGCGGGGATGATACGAAAAATTGAGTTCAAAATTCATTTCTTTAATGATTGTGGCTTTCTGTTTGTCTGTATCCAAGGCGCATGTTTTTCTCACTTGGGCTGAGCGCTGAGATAGATTATTTTGGTGAAGTTGCCCTTCAGCAGCCGATGACCTCTTCACGCGTGAACAAATAAGCGGCAGCAAGATACCTCTGTAAAAATATGGTTGTCATTCTCTGATACTGTCTTCTGCAACATATTCCATTTCGACGAAATAATAGCCTACCCTTTCTAAAAATTACTGGACCCCCTTCTTGAGGAAATATCAGCCTAGAGTATTAATTATACATACCTAGTGACAGCAGCACGCTCACTGCTAATACAGCGAAAACAAGGGAAGTCAAGCGAGAGGAATATTGCAGATTGAGCTGGCTAAAAATCTCGACCGCGGAACGGAAGAAAGAATCGTATCGTCAAACGCACCACAGGCACGAAACCTGGAAACATCCCGGAAGGGAAGGCATCAGCACTTTTTTCATAGAGAAATCATCGCGTTTTACAGGCTCATTGGATACTTGGATACTTTACAGGCATAGGAGTCTAGGGAGTACCATGGCTACACGACAGCAGCATTATATGAAATAGAGCCAATGCAATTGTGCCTCGATATAAACAACAAATTATACAAAGCGGATATACAGAAAAATCAGACGCAAAACGCGAGACAATTTCATCAGAACAAAACAACACAACTTCAAGAGCAACCTTTCACAGCTCCTCCTCAACCTCCTCAGCCTGCACAAGCTCCAGCTCCCAGGACTTGACGTCCAAGTTCAGCTGGTCCTCATTACCCGAAGCTTTGCCGGAGCCAAACTTCTTAAGATCCCATTTCTCAACACCGTCAACGCCCTTGAGGTCCTCGCCGAACTCGAGGAACAGATCGGCGTTCAGGCGCTCGTACTCGCTGTAGTCCTTGGGCCAGTCACCTAGGCGCTGTACAGCAAGCTTGAGCAGCTTCAGGTGCTGGCGCACCTGCTCGGCATCGGAGACAGTGGCGATGGTGGTGCTGTCGCCCAGGTCGAAATCGTAGGCGGAGCCGTCCATGCTCAGGCTGCTGTCGAGGCCGCCCTCGAACTCGTTGAGTGACGGATCGACGATGATGCGGAGCAGGTTCTCATGCACGCTGGCGATCTTCTTGTAGTACTTGTTCGCAATGTGCTGGCCGCCTTTCTCGGCCTGGTAGCGCTGCGCGATGCCGGTGTACAGCTGCGAGAGTAGAGTGGACATCTCCAGGGTGCTCTGGTGGCGGGCGCCGTTGACACGGCGGCAGTTGTACACGATGTCCTCAGCTAGACGCGATGCCTTGAGGGCGTCGCCGACCAGGTAGCGGGCCAGAATGTAGCGACGGGCCAGCTGGAGGGTAATCGTAGGCGACCAATTGATCTGCTGATCGCGGCTGTTCCAGAGGCCGGACAGGACCCAGACGAGGTTCTTGTAATCCTTCTGCTCGCCCAGCACACCGATGAGAATGTTCAGGTAGTCCAAGCTGATCTGGGACAGACTGATCTTCAGGTCGCTGATGACGCGGAGGACCTCCTGGATGATGACAGAAGAGACGCCAATCAGTTTCTTTTGGGTGGCTTGGTCAGGCTGGGGAACGATGGTCCGGCCAGTGATGACCACACCCAGAGTAAAGACAAACTTGACGATGGCGGGGGAGCGGTAGACGTCGTGAGCAGAAATATACCGGAAGGAAGCGATGGCAAGGTCACAGGCACCGTCGTAGTTCTTCTTCTGAAGGAGATCCAGGACGCGGGAGTTGCTGGCAATACCGACCGAGCGGATGAAGTCGGTGGACTGGTGGGTGCTGAAGTGCTCCAGGACAGTCGATAGGAAGATCTTCACCTGTTTGGTCTCGGTCAACTTGGTGCGCTTACCCTCAGTGGCCAGGAAGTAGGCAACGTAGTCATCGAAGACACGACTCGCCGCAGTTTGGCGGTTGCTGGCGAGCAGGAAGTGGTAGAGGCGCGACGCAGAAATCGAGACGGTCTGGAAGGAGCTACTCTTGGAGATGTGGCTGCGGAACTCCTCGAAGTACACGTACTCGGTGGTCAGCGAGGCCAGGATTTCGGTAATGGTCAAACTATGCTGGCGAAGGCTATGCTCCATCTGGGCCAGGAAGATCAGGCTCTGACGACCCTTGGAGGTGAGGTCAAATTTGGAGGACTTCACGTTGGTGGTGTCCTTCATAATGACCTGGCGGTACAGCTCCTGAGACAGCTCAGTGGCCTTAGAGACTTGATTGGTAGCGATGTAGCTGCTGGCAATGGTGGCTGCAGCCGCAACCAGGCGAGTGGAAGAAGACTCCGATTGCAAAATCTGCACCGTCGACTCCTTGAGCTCAGAGATCACGGTCTCAGAGGACTCGCTGTGCTTGGAGTGGAAGGAGACCATCTCCTTCAGCTTGGTCAGTGACTCCTCGTGGGCCCAGCCGTGAGTCTCGCGTACAGAGGTGATGCGCTTGCGCAGAACCTTGGACACACGCTCGATCTGGGTGGAAGAGACCGACTCGGACTTGGAAAAAGCAATGGCGGTCTGCTCCTCGTAGATGCCGTCCAGGATAGCAGTGATCTCATCGCGGTCGATTTCGGTAGACTTGATGATGAGCAGCTCCTCGTAGAGAGCGATGGCATCGTTCTCGAAGCGCTTGGACTCCTGGCACACCTTGGCGAGAGTCACAGTGGCCTTGATGGTGATGGTCGCAGTGGCACCGAACACGCCCTTGACCTTGCTGTGGTAGTCGGCAGTGATTTTGTGAATCTTGGTGTACTCAGTTCGCACACTGCGGAGGCAGTGGGTGTAGCGAGTGAAGAACTCTTGCACAAAATCAGGCGCGTGGAACTTGGGACACTTCTTGTGGTCATTCAGGAAAGTGGTGAAGAGCAGCGAGTAGTAAGGCACGGCATCAGAGTAACGGCTCTGGTTCCAGAGCTCAGTGACAACAATGATCAAGGGCTCAATGGCATCGGGATGGCAGTGAGGAGCATTCTTGTTCAGGGCCCGGATGATACGCTGGTAGTACTCCACGAAGACGGGGCGAGGACGAGTAAGCTCGGCCAGAGTCCAGAGAGTCTTGATCACAATGGGGTGCTCGGGACCGTAGTGGGTGATGTAGTCATCTAAGATCTCCTGGCGGGTGCTGATGACCCGGTCTGGTTGAGAGGAGCGCTCATAGAAACGGACCAACTCAGTGGTGACACGCTCACGCAGCTTGTCATCCACGGGCCTAGCACCCCGGATAGCACAATAAACGCGGACGCGGATGCTCTCCTCACGAGGGAAGCGACGACGGTAGTGGTAGCACTGGCTAAGGCGCTCGGCAAGGTCCACGCACTTCTCAACGTGCTGGCTGGGGAGGACTACATCCTGAATCGACGGGGCAAACAGGGAGGGCCACAGGCCGTGGAGAACCTTCTTGACAACCCGGGTAGCATCCTTCCAACGGTGCTGGGAAACATACAACTCAACCAGAGTGTGCGTAGCAGTGAAGGAGCTCTGGTCAATCTTGGTGATTGAGCTAGAAGCTTCGAAGACCATCTCCTCCAGAGTGGACTCAGAGACGACCGAGGAAGACGAGCTAGCCTGGTGCATCACCTGCTGAGAGGTTTGCTCAATGCTCTTCTGAACCTCCAAGTAGTGAGATGACTGAGTGCGGTTGGTGCTCTTGTAGTAATGCGCGCAGTGCTTGAAGATGCTCAGAGCCGCAGCAGACAGACCCACGGCGGTCATGACCGTGGCGATCGCATGGAAGTGAGAAGAAGTGGACTCCGACATGGACAGGCTAGTGTGACGGTACTCCTCCCAAACGCTGGACAGAATGGAAGAGGCCTCGTACTCCCGCTTCTGGGACTGAAGGAATTTCGAATAGACAGTGACAGTCTTCAGCTTCACCTGCTCCCAGTGCTCAGAATACTGAGAGCGGCACTCTTTGCTGGCCCGATGCCAAATCTCAACGTAGATACGCTCGGCCTCGGCAACGCGACCCTCGGCGACGTATTTCTCGGCCTGCTTGAGGAGGGCCTCGAAGTCAAAGGTCACGGATTGATACTCATCCACCTCCTCATCCAGGACGAAGCGAATGCCAGTCTCGCCGCTCTGCTTGTGACCCTTCAGGTGGACGTGGAGGTCACCACGAGTCTCACTCTCATCTCCGTTGTAGCGAACACCAGTGATAGTCTGGATGATCACCTCAATCTCCTTGATCTTCTTCTCCTCCTTGGTCAAGCGGTAGTGCTCAACTAGGGTCTTCAGAGTAGCAACAACCTTCTCAGACTTGTTACCATAGTGAATCTTGTAGCACTCAATAACGAGCAGAAGCGTCTCCTCGCGCTTGACCATGATGTCAGTCTTGCTGGTGGTAACATGCTCCACGGTGAGCTCCAGGAAGAGGCTAGCCATCTGCATCGTCACAATGTGCTTGGTGGTGAGCAGAGTACGGCTGATGGTAGTGATCTCATAGAAGAGAGGAATGGCCTCCGGAACGTGGCTGACATCGCGATGGAAAAGGGCCAGAGAGATGATGGCCTGAAGAGTGACCACGTTGTTAGGCGTCAGGATCTGGCGGCTCAGGTTGCTGACAATGGTCAGGTAGGTCAGGAGCGTCGGGGTGGAGATGTTCTGCCAGAGCGTGTTCTGCAGAAGCAGCAGAGTAACCGTGGCAGGGAACAGCTTGCCAAACTCCTTGGCAATGGCAGCATCCCCGCCAGTGACGTAAACCGTGGTCTGCTTCAGGTGCTGAGGCCAGTAGCGGACGGAGAAGTCCAGAAGAGGGTGCTTCTGGGTGAGAATGGTAGTGTCATGACGATCCAGAGGGGTCAGCGAAGGCTCATGCTGCTCAGCCACAGTGATCTTGATATAGATCAACAGCCGGGTAACGAGATCGGCGTGGCGGTCCTTGACAGTTGGAATGAGCTTGCCCTTGCCGTACACATCGAGAACCGCGGTGCGGATAAGGCCGTGGCGGAGATAGACTTGGCCATCCTGGAGGTATACGAGGGCCGTCAGGGGCTTCAGGATAGCCAATGTGTCAATCTTGCGATCAGAGACAGTCTGCTTGTCCACTTGAACCGCGGCCAGGGTAGCCAGCTCTTTCAGCAACAGAGGACGCTCAGCAGTAGAGAGCCAGAGGAGCATGAACTTGGCATCCTCGCTGAGCTCAGGAGAGGAGAGGGAATGGATAACAAAGTCTGTAACGGTCCATTTACTGCTGAAAACAGTCTCGATGGTCTTGCGGAAGGCATCGGAGGTTTGCTCGTGGCGAACACGCTTGGCAGCGAGCTTAGCCCAGAGGAAGGACCCTTGAGAAGCCTCGGTGACTTTGTCGACGGCAGTCTCCTGCTCCAGCTCGGACATTCCCTGGAAAATCCGGCTGTACTCGAAGATGCTGCGCACAACAGCAGAGACATCATCAGTAATGCGGTCCTCGGTGATGGGAACCGGCATGACCTTCTCCTTAGTGGTGGGCTTCTCTGAACCGAGAGTAATGAGTTTGACGTTGACCGCGTTTGAAGTAGCAAGAGTCAGTCTCTGGAGCAGCGCAGTCTCGCCGCCAGTCGCCTCATCGAGGCCGTCAACAACAATGACAAGCTCCTTGGCGCCGCGAAGGGCGGCAGCCAGAGCACGCTCCAGCGCAATCCAGAGAATATTCTCATAGTCAGCGGGGCTGGTGGTCTTACGGCTACGCTCGTAGGCATCGCCCAGAATGTGCAGGAGCTGGATATTGCCAATGCGCTTCTCGAACAGCTGGAAGAGAATGGTCTTTGCGATGGCAACAGGGGTAGTCTCAGCGGGGATACGGGCGTCTATGAGACACTTGGTCAGATAGGGACTCAAATAGACTTGGGTATCAATGTGGGCGTATCACTTACTGATCGGAACAAACAGGGTCTTGTAGGAGACTCCACCGATCTGCTCCTGCAGACGGTCAACGATGACCGAAGCTAGCACAGTCTTGCCGGATCCAGGCTTGCCATAGAAGGACAGGGTGTGGTTCTGGCTCTTCAGGAAGCGAGTCAAGTACGGGCCCATCCAAAGGCAGGTCATCTCCTCCCGCTCGTGGGCTAGATGGGAGGTGTTCTCGGCTAGGTGGCTGAGAACGCGGTCTTCGGGGGCGAGCCAGGATCGGACGGACTTAACCACGGCAACTATGAAGGGCTCAGAATGATTAGTAACTGACATATCTGGGGGTTGGTAAGGACCTGAGGACGATTTATACCTCTCTCGGTGTCAATGTTCTCCTTGGCAAGCTGGTGCCGCCACATGGCATCCGAAATCTTCCCGCAGCGCTCACGGAAGGATTGGATCTGGCCAGGGAAGGTGTCGTAGATGTTGACAGACACCGAGGCGGTGGTCAGTCCACGAATAGCCTTGTGAAAGTGCGTGGACACACTGGCGACCAGAGTGACCAGGTCCGCCAGGGCCAGAATCAGCTGCTCCTTGATCTCCTGGGAGACCGAGAACAGCTCGGTCCGCTCCAGGAGGTTCACGAGAGCGGAGGAGGTGCTGTAGAAGAAGCCGAAGGAGACCATCAGAGCCGGTGCATTTTCCTTGCCAAGCTATTGCAAGAAGGCCGATTAGCCTGAACCATCAGATAAATGAGCATATAATTGAACATACCTCGAGGAGCATGGCGCAGTAGCCATACGACAACTGAGCAGCAAGATAGCTATCGCCGGCGAACTCTTGAATATTAGAGTCAAAAGAGTGGAGTCTGTCCACAAAGAGCTGGGCCCAGGCAAGCACCTTGTCATAGCTGCTTCCCTCAGGGGGTAGGTGGCTCATACGCTCGGAACGAATCCACTCAATAATGGAGTGATAAGAAGTGTTCAGGAGCTGAGAAGAGGCACCATTGCCAAGCTCATCACCGCTGCGACGGTGCAGAGTCTGCACCACGCTGGTGATGTTGGAGCTGCCAGCACCATGGAGCTTGCGAACGAAGCCAGAGTCCCGGTGCGAGGTGCGGCCATTCTGTGAGATGCTGTCGTTGTCGAAAACAGCGGACAGGGCAGATACTTGCCGGGAATTACCGGGCCTGCTCGAGTAGAAGGAGGAGGAGAGGTTACCCGGGGTGGGAGAGGTAATACCGGGGGCCATTTTGGACGTAGGAAGTACAATAGTAGTCTTGGGAGAGGAATTGGTCGTAATGGTCGTCGGGGCTGAATGGATAGATGCTCTCCTGGGAGGTTGGATGGGAGTCGGGGGGACAATAGTAGCTTCGTGTGGAGGAGGACTGGGATCAGAAATAGTTTCTTTGGAGCAACAGCTCTTAAAGCAACACAGTAGGCAACTCAAACCCGCGACGAGGTTAATTGCAAGGCTCTAGAAAAGTAAAGAAAACATTCCAAACACTGAAAAGAGAGAGAGGGAAAGAAAGTAGCTGCAGCTCGGGGTGCAACGGAGCATTTGTAGCGAGCTGTCCAGGTGGGCACCATCTCAGATCCTCCTTTCCCCCCCCTCCTCTATCCCTTCTGTGCGGAGGCTGCGCACAAGGAGTGGCAATGGAGCTTCGCATCATGAACACGCCTTTCGGTATGAAACGGTGGGTATGAGCTTTAGCTTCTGCGGGCTCGGCTTACTTCTTCCACTCTCCACCTTGCACAATCGTCGATCAGCTGCAACTTTCGAATCTTCGGCCTCTCCTAGTCTGTCCAGGGTGGCGTGAAAAGTCAATGGACCCTCCCAAGAGCATTACGAGTGGCCATGCTCACCACTCTACGACGGCATTCCAAAAGTTGGACTTGCATTGGTTGCCCTTGGGCGTCGGTGGCTCCGTGGCATAGAAAGACCAAGGGTAGGGGTATGCATCGGACCGGCAAGGCGTATCGCCTCGAAGAGGAACCAATCATCCCGTACTCCAGCTTAGTGGTCAAGAACGTGGAGCATCGGACGTGGACCTCTGTAGGACAGCCTGCATGGCGATGATAATGACATTTCCGTCTCCACCTGGACTATCGTTGTCCATCTAATTCGGTACCAGCGACAAGACAGGGGCCCCTTTCAAGTCCACTCCAGCTGAGAGCCATCGCCGTTGGCATGAATAGTTCCGAATAGCTCGAAGCCCAGATTTTCGGAGTGCCCGCTAGAGTGCACAAGGGGCTTCTAGTGGCTTCAATCAATGTTTCAATGTCTTACTCTGTTGACAGCCGTCGGTATCAGATCCGCTCTATGCAGCCGGAGATGGCTGGCTGGAAGACTTTGCTAATTTCCTGCCGTGGCGCCTTGATGCGGGGGCCCGACAGGGAGTATGGAGCTCTGGGCCTTGCTCTCGGTAGCCAATGGATGCCAGTGCCCCGCAGGAAGAGTGGAGGATGTCTCTTCTCGGAACGAACTGTTGATCGATTGGCACGGGACACCCGCCCGCCATAGCTTGTATTATCCATGCCACCGTGGATGCGGAGACTCGAGTGCCTGGGCCTGCCAACCGGTGCGGATGGATGAGCCGTCGCGAACCATGCGGCAAGACTGATGCAACGAGGTCCACTGAGGTCTGAACCCTCGAGATCGGCGGTGTTCCCGTTGCTCCCGAGATAATCTCCCGGGCACTGGGCTGTCTGTTTGACATGACTGGTTCCCGCCTCGCCACCTTTGTCAAGGTTTGAAGACAGCCTGCAGCTACCACTCGTACGCGCGTGCAATTGAAGGCGTGTGCAGGATGCCTCGCATTTACAGGGGGCGGGGATCGAGTCATTTGTTGGCCCGTCGGCTGTGCTTCCGGCGAAAGCCGTGCGAGAAGGAATGGCCTGGGTCCTCTAGCCCCATGTTTGCCCTCGTTTGTTGGAGGTGCATTAGACCGATGGAGGAGTCTGGGGTGGGGCGAGGTGGTTCGGAGCCGGTTTGGCACGGCCATTTTAGCGGCTCCACTTCAGCTGAAGAACGAACGATTCGCTTCGGCAGGCAAAAATAGGCGGGGCCGACTGGGGCCCAGGGGTGTCATTTCCCCTTTCCACAGGTAGTGGTATGGCGAGGGAACATGACGGGTTCTTAGAGAAGTCGTATGCCTGATCTTCCACACCGATTATGAATTGATCTTGTTGGTTCCGACGAACGAGGCACGATCTCGTTCCGCTACCCAACACTGGTATGCCGCTCGATCTGTCTGGCTGTACGGAGTATGACTCGCGCCAAAATAGAGGGAGGGTTGTTGGACCTGTGGTCCGGAGACTTAGCCTCCCGGTAGTTCCCAATCGGAAGGACAAGAGGTTCCAATTCGGCCCCTGTTGCCGGCCTGGCCCAGTTCGAAATCGTCACTTTGCACCGTGAAAGCGCCTGCGAATAGTCCGGCGTAGACGTGACGTATACATCGATGGTTAGTGCGGCCGTATTGGAATAGTTGCAGATATGCCCCATCTTTTGCCAGGAGGCCATCGGTCCCCGATCGACTGAAACAGTACTTCCCATGCTGCGCGAATTGCTTGAAGACCGTGAATCCTTCCTGATGATCCGTTCGACAGGGTCGCGGACGAAAGAGGACGCGATGTCAGCAAGGGCCGGCCAAAAGAGAGACTCTGTCAGGTATATTCCGTATAGGGGGAAGACCAATGGGGACCCATGTTCCTGAGGACACAGTAACTGACTCGGCCATTATAGGAGCGGGGATGCGAGGCTGCGCAAATATGGTGCGTACACCGTGCATACACTGTGCGTCGAGCCAGCGTGTTCTCATTGAATCCCGCACCAGAACTGAGTTTGAAGAAGAACTGACAGCTGGGTGGCGTTTGTTGACCAAGGGGCTGCGCAGGAGTATCAACCATGTCCCGTACTCGGTGGAACCCCAGCGGGTCCCAGCTTCAGCCCGGCAGGATGGCAGGTGCATGACACGGTCCTGTCGGCTATTCTGTCGCTCCGATTGCGGGCCAAGCTGGTGGGATCACTGGGGATCGCTAGGATCGCTTAGACAACATGGTCATCGATCTCAGCCTTTCGGTCTGGCAGGCGATGGAAAACCGGACGTCAATTAGTAGGTGGTAGCATGGCAACACAAGGGTAGTATCTGTTTAGTCTGTTCAGTGATGCAATTGAATTTTACACCGGATTTACTGGACCACAAAAAAGGAATATAGCCCCCCTGCTCACCTTCACATCAACAGGTGGTTCAGCGTCACACCCCCCGGGATGAGCAAGACGTGTTATCTAGGATGAGCTAGATGAGGTACCTGCAGAGGTCACAGAAACTGTAAGTGTGATTGCACGGTCTCTAATATCAAGTTCAGTTAGCGGTCTTATGGATATGCCTTTGTGCTGCTTCCCAGATGAAGCTTAAATGATTTAAAGCACTAAGGATCACCACATGCCGTGCATTGATGTCAAAATGTAGCAACAAGCTTCCAGGGCGTCACCGGCACGGGGATATCCGAAATTACGGGGCACTCTGCTGCATGAGATGTGCGACCAGCTGCGGCTTGCGCCAGCCATGACAACGCCCATTCAGCCATTGTGGCCACCAACCTGCCTGCTCAGCCTGAAATCACATCTGACAGGCGATAGAAATACCAAATTTCACAGGTCCACCTGGACTGCCGGGACATTCATGATAAAATCTCCCGAGATGGGTCCCCAATGTCAAACAAGATCGGCTTTTCCCGAGGGCTCTATGGACGCGCTACAGAAACAGCCAATTTGGAAGAGGCTGGTGGTTCTGCAGAGGATCCTAATTACAGGAAAGCCGGCAGCATGGCGGATCATGTCGCCAGTGCTGTCTCGGGCTGCTGGAACCCCTACATCATGCATACCCGTAGTTCCCTCGGGCAATTTCACCTGCTTCCTCTGTGGATAACTGGTTTCACCTTTCGTGTAACATCCCATCCGGCAAATCATTCAATTGAACAATCAATTCTTTAGATACATGTCCGCGGAGACTAGCGTAAAGACTGAAAAAGGGCAACCCGCCGAGTACCTATACCATTTGCGTAAGCCCACCCGTCGATATAGTGGGTAAACCCCCTACTCAAGTGATTCCATGTGGATACAATATGCATTTAATTAGACATAGAGACGAATGGAGTAGTGGGCAAAGTGGATTCACTTGTGTATTGATTGAACCTGAGCAAAAGTGGCTGATACGAGTCATGTTGGATAACATCCCGAGGAGAACCCTGGATATCAAGGTTTCCAAGGTACGACAAAGATTCAGGTCATCGACTCTACTATCCATTCTCACTTATCGTGGAAACAGCACATATTGGCCCCTCGCTACTCCTTCTGCATCACATATCAGCATCCTCAGAAAATCATCTGGCAGCCCAAGAGCGGAAGCGCCAGAAACCCCAGTAAAAATCCTGCAGGGTGAAGTCACAGGGCAGCGAGCCACAGTTATCGCGATGACGAAGGGTGTAAAGAGCCTTTGGTAAAACTGGTTCTATATAGAACGATCAGCATAGCTGTGGCCTACACCATAAATCTCAAGCACCAAGACTTTACTCCGTCCCCGATATTGCATAAGCTAGTCTACGCCTAGATGTCACAGAATAGAGGTTTGTCATGCTGAAAAACGGGATGTGTCTCCGGGTCCTTGACGTAATAGAATAGGAAAGGACGTAGCAACCCGACCCTGCAGGTCCTATACCATCCTGCCCTCCCTTACTGCGAATATGCCTATTGGCCATCTTTAGTGCGCGCTAATATAGCCATTAGATATTACCTATATCTACGCAGGGCCTAGGTATGACATCTGTCTATTGTCTGATTTGCATAGGTAGTTCTCCACATAATATGAATTCGACACCAAGGGCCCGTTGCCTCACGAATAAAGCAGGTTGAACTTCAAATAAGTGTTGTCTTATCAACAATCATGGACAGATTTTTGCATAGTTTATAGTATGACGCATGGAGGATCATTGTTGCATAAGCGAGGTCGGCTGTGGCCTCGTTGATCCATGTCGTTGCATTAGTGTACAGGAACACTGCACATCTGCCACAAAAGAGAGAGACAAAATATAAGACATTTTTGGCCCCTTTGAGTTGATCCCCAATTTCTTGACCTGATAATTTGATTCAACTGGGCCTATACTACCGCTGTAGTTTCTATATTGTGGTAACCCCACCCCTCAATGCACCCTCAGAGGTGAAGGGCACCATGAACAATTCGACATTCGTCCAAGGCCCAATTTCAGCACCAGATATGGACAAGCCACTCAATCAGCACGGAAATGGGACAGAATCATGGATACTTTCTTTCTAGGTTTATCCCTACTTTGATGATAAACGGATGTCCCTGTCAAGTATAAAGCATCAATGGTTACACCAACGCGAGAGTTTCCCCGGAGATTTGTCCGAGAGGCTTGATTCGTGAGTCTCGCAGCCCCGTTTCCAGAATACATAGGGCTATATTCTCAGTTTATGCTGACTTTGTGCAATAGGCTGCCGAGGCTGCCAGACCATCTTGCTTTGCGTTGAGTATACAGGCATCGCACAAGCGGTGATGTCTGGATGGTTATTTTGTAGAGCGCGCAAACATGTGCGGTGAGTTTTTGATATCATTCAAAAGCTGATCTGTTGTCGGTGGTCTATTTGTCTGGAACTAATGTCTCTGAAAAGATGAGAGCCAGCAATAGGGTGGGGTGGTGACGAGGAAGGGGCGTGCGGTATGCCACGAGACGGCGATACTGAAATGATCGGGAAAGGGAAGAGTCGTTCGGAGTCTAAGGAAATACCATGTTATCCAACTGGTGGAAAAGGCCAGGGTCAATGATTGCACAGTAGAAGCTCCGCTTTTTTGGTGTCATTTTGCAGATAAATTGGACACTGTAGGAACACTGCCACCTCCGACCGAGAACAGCGTGCGCACTGCAGAGTTAGGCGGTTACAGCGCCGCTCCACTTCGGAGCATGGGCAAAACTTCTGCGGAGATCAGGTTTCGGACGACTTGGAAGGCATTTACTCGAGTGACTAGTCTCTGCAACATGCTGGAAGGCATGGAAGATGGTCGGAAATAACACGGGCGATGACTATTTGACCAATGCCCACCTCCAGTGAAACTCCGGTGAGCAGTATGATGGATAGAAATAGATCCATTACCTGTTAATAAACGTTTGATACCTAAACGCTTCATCGACCACATGCAGTATCTCTCCAAAACCGAAGAAAATCAGGTTTCCAACGCCCTAAGCTCCGGTGGGACAATGCTTCTTAAGCTTGCGGATGCAAATGGTTTCTCCAACCTCAAGATTTGTGCAATCAGGATATATGCGTGGATTCCATCTGAACAGTTCCTGCATGGAAAATGTATCGGGATGGGAATCCCGGATGCCCATACAATTATCTCCGGAAGCCACGCGGTAAGTAGCGATGCCTTTAATGTGTCAGTCCATGTATATAGATGACCAATGACTGGCCGAGACGGTAGGACTGGAATCATCACTTACAAGGAGACAGTGCGATATCACTAGGCGCGGGTGCTACTGTTGAATCGGCCATAGCCGACAGTGTCGAGGATAGGAGACCCATGGCCGCAAGGAGACATCGAGTAACCGAGAACATCATTGCTAGGTAGGATTAGGTGTGCATAGATTGTCACTGATGAGAACAGATGGTGAAGGCGTTTGTGGGTGGGGAATTCAAGGAGAAATGTAGAAACATCAGTCAAGTTTTGTGGCAGCTGCGACAGATATTTATAGGCTGCATCGCCTGAGTCTAGTTACACGCCCAATTGAACAGTCAAGCCTCAGCCTCCGCAATTCCTACTTGCGACTAGCCCACGTCAGACAAACAACTTCTCACGCTGGGTTGTGCTGCTATCCACGAGAGCACATGCTGCAGCATGACGGCCAACAGGCTAATGCCCGCAAGTATCGTCGTCGAACCTGAGAACTCTAAGGTTCCAAGATATCCTATTGCTCTGGAGACTGGGCATGTCTCTGTTGTATTGTTACATTGCTGCGGAACGGTCAAGTTGGTATGGAAATGCTCTATCTAGGGGACCCGGTCCAGATTCGAAAAATTAGTATGACCGTTGACGCAGCAAGATCATGAAAGCGGAGCCTACAGAGCCATGAAGGGTGGGTCAATAGATATTGAGTTTGCCAAGCAGCAAACTGTGTAACTGTGCTATGACAGCTATCCCCAGCAGGAAAATGGTTTAGCGACAACTAACACCCCCAAGTTGGCTACGAGGCCAAGTAAGAGAAACCTGTGGGGCCCAAACGCTTTCATCGCGTCTGGTGTGGAATCTGTCAATACCGAGGACATTGCAAGGGCATGCTGGCGAGAACCTGTCGTTCATGTTCAGTTGCTTGCCTTAAATGTGAACACTAATCCCAGCAGCAGCTCAAAGACCCCAATTTGCTCAAAACTCTACTTCTGCGCAACGCAGGATTGCATCTGTTCAGGAGCCCTTGAAGGCATTCGAAACATGGAAACAATGTCCTTCTAGTATCTGTGCATGATGACTACGATTCACACATTGAGCGTTGGGGAAAAAACCCCATTGAAGGCGAGCATGTGCACCGGCTTCAAATCTAAATCATATTTCACAGGCAAAGAGAAAGCCAACAAAAGACAAGGCACAAGAAAACAAAAGCGACCTCTAGAAACATAGGGATTACAATCGAGGAATTCATAAATGCATCGTCATGAAGCCCGCCACCCATTTTCATTTCTCACCCTCACTCGTATCACAATCAATGGCGACCAGTGGGACACACATACACACATTGACATTCACACAGCTCTCCGATTACAGGCGCAGAGAGGCGGGGTAAAAACGAATCAGTAAATAAGCCGCTTATGACCGGCCGTACCGGGTCTTGCCGAACGAGAAAGGAACGTAGCGGTACTTGATCATGTGCTGGATTTGTCGGCGCACTAGAGATGAAAGAGATTAGGTTAGTAGACATCCATGAGTATCACAATTCCAACGGATTGAATCGAAGATGAAGGCACATACTAGTCATGACGAAGAGGATGATCCAGTACATAACCAAGACAGGCCAGAAGACGGGGATATCGAAGATAGGGAGCCAGCAGCACACAAAGCCGATGGCGATGGCACGAGTGGCCGAGTGCCAGAACTTGAACTCCGGCAGGCGGCGGATGAACGGCCGAAACTCCTCGTCCTTCTTGGTGGGAAGGCTGGGCGAACCCGCATCACCGTCCTCTAGGCCTTCATCCTGAGTGAGAGAGGGGTCGAATTTGGGGGTCAGGAAAGCGAGGAAGAGGTTGAGGAGGTAAATGCCGACAGTGTAGGCGACTAATGATGGGCCGTGTCACGTTAGTTTGGGTTCATATTGTGCGTCGCGTGCCTTATCTGCCCAAGTCCATCCTTCCCCATGGGCCCTTGTCGCCTTTTATTGGAGCATTTTATTCTACCGAAGCGACTGTTGCAGTTTGGATCAGACGAGAACGTACCAATGTACCATCCTTGCGCGAGAACGATGCGCAGGAAGAAAGCGAGGAGCAGGACACCGGAGCCAACCCAGCGGTAGGTGGTATAGGGGGTCGACGCGTCAAGGTAGGCTTGGTATTGCTACAGCGACTCATTAGCACAAGGTTCTGCGGGTTAATCTGGCCCTGTGGGGGGAGGAATGGAGGCATTGCGCCGTCCGCAACCCCTCAAGCGACACTCAGACTCACCCGGGTCAATCTGGAGGTGTGCGCCGTCACGGCGGTGAAGGGCGACTGGTCTGGCTCGGGGACATCCATGGTAGAGGCGGGGGTGAAAGGAGTCTAGGAAAAGAAGAAGAAACGAGACAAGAAGCCCGGAGTACACGCAGATCCGCAGTGCTGAACGCAGTCGTTCTGGAAAACAGGAGCAAAGTGTCCCCTGGCGACGGGCCAATCAACGGGGAGATGATGCCCCAGCCACGCCAGGACATGTGATGTGTGGCGGTGGTAGGTGGCACAATCACGTTGGTTATTTAGTTTGATTATCTAATATGTGGCTGGTAACTAACTTAACTAACTCAAATAGTTAGCAGCTGCATCCTTCACCTTCACCGCCCCGGCAAAATGAGTCAGCCACACGGGGCCGAGGAACGGTTAACTTCGGCTCTTTTTCGGCTGCGGGGAGGTCCTGTACATCATAGGCTCCTCTTCCTCCGTATCAGCCTCCACATCGTCTTGACAATTTTGGACTTATTCAGTGCATTCCTTGCTATCGTCAATTGCCATGTTTGCTCGTCGCTGCACTCGTCTGGTCTCCTCGCGGACGGCCGTGTCCTTGACCTCGTACTTGGCCCGTGTCCGACCATACTCGTCCGGCCCAAGCTATGAGCACATCCTCACCTCTACTCCGAAACCTGGAGTTGGCTTGAGTAAGTGGACCTGAAGCCATTGGGGGTAAGAGGTAAAGCTCATCTCAAACAGTCACCCTCAACCGACCCAAGGCTCTCAACGCCCTGTGCAGCCCTCTTTTCACAGAGCTCAATGAAGCTCTCAGCAAGTATGACAATGACAAGGACATCGGGGCGATCATTATCACAGGCAGCGAGAAGGCTTTCGCCGGTACGTATTCATTTAGCTCTCACATTCATCTATTCTTATGTCTTTCCACATTGAGACACCAATGGTGCTAATTGACTCTAGCCGGCGCCGACATCAAAGAAATGGCCCCATTGAGCTTCGCCGCCGCCTACACTGATAACTTCATCGCGCCATGGTCTCATCTAGCCAACACGATCCGCAAACCCGTCATCGCCGCTGTCTCCGGCTACGCCCTCGGCGGCGGCTGCGAGCTGGCCATGATGTGCGACATCCTATATTGTACCTCAAACGCGACCTTCGGCCAGCCGGAGATCAAGCTCGGCACCATCCCCGGTGCGGGGGGCTCGCAGCGCCTGACCCGAGCCGTTGGTAAGAGCAAGGCTATGGAGCTTATTTTGACGGGCAAGAACTTCAGCGGCAAGGAGGCTGGTGAGTGGGGTCTCGCGGCACAAGTTGTGGATGGTGGGAAGGAGGAGCTGCTTGAGGTTGCTCTCAAGACTGCCGAGACTATTGCTGGATACAGCCGTGTTGCCGTCGTTGCAGGCAAGGAGGTTGTGAATAAGAGTCAGGAGCTGTCGCTCCGGGAGGGAGTTGAGTATGAGCGGAGACTGTTCCACAGCCTGTTTGGCAGCAAGGATCAGAAGATTGGTGAGTTTTCTGTGCTGGACTAAATACTGTCTTGAGCTTTGCAACAGACTTACTGACACCTTCATAGGTATGACTGCCTTCGCTGAAAAGAAGAAGCCCGAGTGGTCCAACGAATAAAAGTCTGGGAATAACCCTCACAGGAGGAGCGTCCATCTCTTTCTTTATAACTAGCAAATCATGAATCGCAAATTTTAGAATGCATGGCTGTTCATGTCACGTAAAATATGTACTGGGACCTTGGTCTCAGCTATGCCCAGCCGCAGCGTCATCGCCCCAACTATCATCCACCATCCCATCCGGATGGGCATTACCCGACGGGGTACCGAATTTGTGCTGCTCAAGCGACCGATTGATACCAATGATACCCCACGCAAAGACAGCAACATCGCGAATAGTATCCATGAGAAGGTCCTCCTGAGGGCCATTGGATCCAGCGTCGTTCGTATTTGCCCCGGAGAGAGGGTTCGAGAAGCCGGAGGAGCTTGATGACGGTGTGGCCCCCACGCCTCGCGTAGGGGTCTCATTTTCATTGCAAAGAGAAGCCTTGACTTCGGGATAGGCCGGGTTCGGAAAAGCACCGTGGGGGTAATATGAGCTGCCATAGGTATAGACAGGTTCGAGAGCCCACGGTGCCGCGAAGATACCATTAGAATAGACAGGGACCGGTTGAGGTGGAAGAGTGGCACTCGAAATGGGAGCTCGAGCCCGACGGAGGATAACAACCAGTCCATCCGATGTACACGAGACCACAGCTTCCAGCTCAAGAGGAGGGGGTGTAGTGCCGTACGCGTCCGTGGAGGCACCAAAAGACGGTCCGCGAGACCCATCTATATCCACATCTACATTGTCGTCCTGCAAAGGGTTGCGGAACCAGAAACGCAGGTACGCGATCGAGTCGTTCGCTTTTGCACTTTCAAGACAGCGGACAGCATCCCGCAAGCATCTCTCTTGGATACAGTAGAAGAAGCTCTTCGAGATAAGATGCTGTGGATGCACCCCGAGGATCTCTGCCACGCTGCTGGTGGCGTACATGATCGTCGCAGTCCGGGTGAAGCGATTGACGAACAAGGCGGCGCGTGGCTCATGGAGCGGTTCTGCAAGGCGTCGCGAAAATTTGTAGGATATGAATGTGAGCATGTGGTAGCGAGGGTCATTGGGAGAGGAGTCGAAAAGCTTGCGCACTATGGGAGCGTCGATGGCGCGCTCTGGAGATCATAAAACGTCAGTGACATGCGCAAATAGCCCTCGAAGCCAATGTGATATTATCACATTGTCCTCCTTCATGAAACATACTTTGACTACCTCTGCCCCGCCCATAGACCGTAGTACTCGCGATTAAGACATGGTAGACCACCGTGAAGACACATTCGCACCCAACCCACAATCCATTCTTGTGTCGAATAGAACAATAGTTCAGCACCGCGGCTTTATCAAGCCGGACGCCACGACCATGCACACTGCGCGCGAAATGCAGTTCCTGGGGATGGAAGTAATCCCAACACGAGCGGTTCAGTACCTCGTGTGGCTGGTACCCTAATACCACCTCAATGCTGTCCGAGGCGTACTGGATCGAGGCGTCACGAGACAAATCTGCACCACAGCGCTATTAGATCTGATACAGCTTGGGATTCTGGACTAGACTTCTCGAGGGAGTATCAGCATGAGCGCCAGGCTCGGGTACAACTTGCCGTGGATGGTGATGAATGTTGTGTCCATTGTGGCTGCAGAAAAGTGGAACCCCCCTACCCCGCGTCGTGCAAGGATGACCAAGGAACAAACACGATTCGGCTCGAGAAAATGGCGCTCTAGGATCTCTGCGTGTCCTTGCAAGGATATTGCAGGCCAGCGATATGAGGGGAAGCAGACAGGAGGGGAGAGTTTGCACTGACAGCGGCTGGACGGTTGGACCCCTGGGGTCCAGACGGCTGTCATCCTTAGATCGGGGGACCCGCCGGTCGATACGTACGTACGACGCTCGACAATGGCGTAGTAGCTGGAAAAGATGAGAAAGAAAAACAAGGAGAGTAGGTGTAAGATGTGAGATCGGTTCCAATTAGGGTGAATTATAAGGTAAATACAGGACTATGATTATGTACATCCAAATAAGTAAATGGGTAAATGTAAAGAGCACAGACAGACTGGCTGGACCGCAAAGCATACGGAGGGTCATCATAGGCATGAGAGTATTACATAGCATCAATCATGCACAGCCAGCGTCTTTCTCAACTTGGCTGGGGTCATTCGTGGATCTCTTCTGTTCCTGGTAGCCGTCGATGACGCGGCTCTCGACGTGCTCGTCAAACACGTCCACCTCGGTCGTTGCAAACTTGCGAGCACTGACGCCGCGCTCGAAGAGCATATCCAGTTCGGCGAACGAGCGACCGCTCGGTTCGGGCACGCGGAAGTAGGCGTAAATGATGCACAAGAAGCAGATGCCGCCCCAGAAGAAACCGGCGTAGTTGCCCCAATCCCACTCGCCGGGGTTCAGCATGTAGGGTGTAAGGACACCACAGACAATAGCAACAACGTTGTACAGGCAGCGGCCCAGCACAACCGTCTTGATCTGCAGTCGTCGTGTGGAAAGCTCCGCCACAAGCGAATAGCCGACGGTGCCGACTGTGAGCTGGTAGAAAAGCGCCCAGACGAGCATAAGCGAGCCGGTGGCCATGGAAGCCTGGGAACGGTGGGAGTCCGGCACGAGACCGAGGAAACCCATGATAAGAAGCATGGCGCATAGTCCGCACAGTCCGTACAGACACAAAGTTCGGCGACCAATGCCGAGGTTCATTAGGAACCATGCTCCAAAGACACCGACCATGTTAATGCCATACTGACCCATGGCAAAGTTGTATGCATTACCCGAACTGAGGCCAGCCTGCTCCAAGAAGTACGTGGAATAGTTCGAGAACGAGTTTCCACTCAGATTTTGAATAGCCCAGACCATGCAGACGATCTCGGTCCGGCGCAAATCGGTTCCCTTGAAGCAATCGAGATAAGTGGCGCCTTTGGTGATCCTGGCCTCCAGGGCTGTGGTGTGCACCATCATTGAGATTGTCTCGTCGGCATTGAAATCGGTGTCGCGGTCTTTGCTCGTCAATCGCTCCAGGGACCGTTTCGCATCCTTGGTCCGGCCCCGTCGAACCAACCACCAGGGGGATTCGGGGGCAAGAGAGATGCCAATGAAAAGGGGCAGAGGCCACATCCACTGTAGGCCATACGGAATTCTGTAAGCCCATTCATCGTCCCGATGGAGCATCCCCTTGATCACACCAATTCCTATCAGCTGGCCAAGACCCCAGCAGAAGTTGACATAGGTGGTCAAGTATCCACGCAGCGCAACAGGACACACCTCCGAGGCGTACGTGATGGTCAGGGTCTGGAACACGCCCCAGGGAATACCGCACAAAATCTCCGCCGCGAGCAGAGACTGCACATTCTTGGCTGTGAAGAAGATTGCCGTCCACGCGCTGACCAGAACGAGACAGGCCATAAGTGTATAGCGGTAACCGAAGCGCTCTGACGCCCAACCGTTGATGAAAAGACCGATAATCTCGCCGACGTAGGCGCCGTTACTCAAACCAGATTGCCACTAGACATCTCTGTTAGTATTTTTTTCACTGTCGTCTCCTATTCATTCCGCCCAATCGAAGATTTCAGTGGCAAGCACTCGTGCACTCACCCTAGCCGGTACTTGATATGAGCCATCGGCCAACCGCTCGCCGTACTTGCGGTTGAACTGGTCAAAGGCATAGAAGTTGTTCACCAAACTAATATCGTATCCCTCCATTGCAATGCAGGTCGAGATGATCACGCTCCATAAAACTGCCTTAGGATATAGCTTGATACCCTGCAGCAAGCTCATGTTCCGCTCCTTTTCCGTTGCCGCCTTCGCATTCTGAATAAGCGTCTTCATCGAGGAGTCGGAGTGCCAGCCCTCGTGGCCATCGGAGGGGTAGGGCGGGCCCCCCTCCACTGGCGCAATGGTGTCGTGCACCTTGGAATCAGCCATGCTGGGGTAGCGTGGGAGATCCAGGGGCGGAAGACAAAGTTGGAGGCACGAAAAAAAAAGGGGGAGGGGGTGGTGGTGGTTGGAGCGAGTCGAGGGAGACGGTTCAGGAATTAAAGGCTCGGAGGCGTGCGGAGGTCCGAAAAATTAAGGGTACCCACCAGGCCCGGGGAAACATTGCACGCGAGCACACTTCAGGGGGATGACCGGCGAAGGTGTTCCCGGGCCAATGCCTAGAGGCACGAATGGAATTGGCACTCCGTAAAAAGGTAGGATTCTCGACCGGGCTAGACAGAATCAGGATAGAGCAGCGCTGGACTTTGCGGGGAACGCGGGCTCAAGCCTCTGCAAATTTTCGCGGGAGTTGATGCTTGGCGAAGGGGCCGGGGTAAGTCCCAGAGATCAGAAATCATTGCCGGACATACTCCGTAGTTTCCCTGGTTTTCTATTTTTCTCAAATCATGCATTCTCACATAGGTTTATTCCATATACTAATCGTTATTTTGACAGGGCTGAGACATGTGCCTGTCAGTTTATTCGCCGGTCGCCCTGCATCCGGCGGAATGTGGCGCGGGCGTGCCGCGCCGGATTTAGGCCGAGATTGCCTTTGAGTTGCATCGATCCCGAAAATTTTGAGTTTAATGGTCATGGGAACGTGGTGGACAATCAGTGTTGGTTGTTGCTAGCCATTATGAACGTGAGACATTATTATGGTATACTTCCATTATCCCACAGCCTCGGCTCTACGGAAGAAACCGTGGATCCCGGAGCAGTCGCTCCATATCCTCCGTCCGAAGATGGAGCGATATATCCACTCCGTGAGCGGTCCAGGCCTTCTGGCTTGGCAATCCTGTTTGGTCTTTCAAGGGCGGTGCATCTTTGATTAACACATCGCCGTCTAGTGTTGGGAGTACTCCCTCGGCGTAGCGAATGCCTGGGTACGTGTGCAATCCAAAATCGATCCCGTACAGACCTGTGCGGGCCCAGGTGGTCACGATAAGGTGGCGATGACCTAGAAATGCCTGCCAGATTCGTTGTGGTGTCTTCTCATAAGCGACACTATGAAGATGTGCCGCAATTGCATCCTTGTTGCTGATCCTATTGATAGTGTTGCGAATGCACCGCGCAGCGGAAAGCCTTCGTGCATCCTCTGCAACAGCTGAAGAAGCTAGCTCCATGCCAGTCATCTCGATATTAAGCATTAGGGTCGGCGAGCCGATGAAATCTTCTCCGAGACCGAGGACAGGGCGCGTTCCATAGGCGAGGTTGCAATGCACTAGGCTGGGGTCCTTCCCTAGTTGGCGAGCTCGGGTGATACATGACCAGACGTGAGCGAGGACGGCGTCGTGACGACTAATTCGACTGCCCTTGGAGGTGTCAGGGCTCCATCTGATAGTACTCTGGTAGATAGACTCCACCTGGCTGCTATTCAAATGAACCAGATAATGGGAGACGGGGGCATCAAAGTCCCAGTCTGCCCACGGCATGAGCGGACCGATCGGGGTGTGTTTTTGATTCCGAAATGGTTCGGGGATTTCTTGGGTCCAGGGGCATAAGGCTGGCGTGGCCCACCAATCGTAACGGTGTAGTGGGAGGCTTTTGATCTGTTCGAGAATTGCTGGGTCTGGCTGCTGGCCACTGATATCCCCTGCAGCCACCGAGTCCAGGCGCGTCGGGTCAAACAGAGGGGTCAAGTCGGGCTTGGGAAGGCCTGACCCTGAGAGAATCCAGCGACCGATCTTTGTCCAGTCTTCAACGAAATGAGTCACGGATTGAATATCAGCCAAAGGATGGAGAATCTTGATTGCCAAGGCGAAGCCACCGCACGCCAACATGGTTAGCTGGATCGCCATCACGGGTGGCAGCATGCCCGTTTCATTGGCGAAATTAGGTTTCAGCGAATTGGCTAAGCGTGAAGAGGGAACAAGGCCACTGAGTGGCACCTGTTTACAATCCCAAAGAGGGTGCTCCGTAGTCCGTGAGGCTGGGCACAGCGTCTCGAGAGTGGCGTTGGTAGTCGCAGTCACGAACTCGACACCAGGGTCTTCAGCTGTACCATAGTGGGAATAGACCCGACCGAAGCGACGCGCGTGAAGGGGGAGGTGGATTTCCTTCTCGGTCAACTCGGCAGCATTTAGAGTAGAAATGCTTTTTAGTTGACCAGCCCAGTGGGGATAGTCGTCAAGAGTGATTCGTAGAGAGCGCCGAAAGTGCTCCACTAGATCGAACTCATCGCCCACCTTGTCGGATCGTTCGAGGAGCCAAATTGGACAAGTACAGGCAAAGTTTGCTGTAGTCACGTCTAATAGGGAGAGTGGCACCACTCTCTCAGTCGGCTTTGCGTTTGGAAACAGTCGCTCGGACTGTATTGGAGATATACTAATTGAGCTCATCGTACCCGGCTGCTGCTTTTCGAAACTATGGGTATATTGCTGCTTAAGACTATGAGGGACATGATACTTATAAGGTTGTCAGTCCCTATAGAACTAAAGGAGCTGATGCAACGCTATGGGCGTTTGTCTAAGGGACTCCTTTATGTACGCTAGGCCGAAACAGGATCCCGCCAGCAGCGAGATTGGATGGTTAATGAGAATGTGGCTGAGCAAATATGATTCACCATGATTCAATTTTTATCGATCGTCAAGCCCGCAGATGCATTGTTTCAACCTACATTACCTTATTTGGTAGATTATCGTAATATTCGGGGTGTCGTTCCTCTCCCACGCCTAATAGCATGGAAAGGAGGCAGTGGTCTCCACCGGATGGCTTTATAAGCGAACGATTCTCAAGTGAAAATTTGTTCCCTTAAATATTTGGAATACGATGCCTTATCGATCAAAAGAACAGCAGCCAATAAGTCAATGAAAAATGAATCCAAAATTAGAAGGTTTGACACGAAGGCGCCCTAGTGAACAGAAATCTTCGGTATTTTTTTACGTCCAGACAGACACCTTGCACGTAGATCAGTGAACTCCTTGATTATCGGCCACAATTCGCTTCATAAGTATCTGCTGTGGTGCTATCGCTGTTCCAATACTCCCGGCGCTTGTAATTCAGTAGCTTGCCCGTCAGGACAATGAACGGGCAACCACTAAGCACGCAAATCACAAATTCTACACTTCTTTTCCTCGAAAAGTTTTGGCAATCAGAAACCAACGCTGGCAGATCTAAAGAAGAGTCTATAATGGCCTTCTTCTGTAAGCTCTTGAGGTCCGTGCAGGTCACTGAGCACTCCGCTACTGCCTTGCCTAGCGCTGCATGCCTGCACCATATGATCCTTGCAAAAATATGGACGATTGCACTGCTAGGACAACGTGCTGCTGCTGTCAAGAGCGGAGCGGAGCTTAATGCATAGGCAAGATGAAATAAAATGGCGTTCCCACAGTGAATGATATCGACAGCTACATACCATTGGAATGGACTGACTCCCACAGAAAGCTTTCTGCCTGGAGTATCTGAGGAGGATTCAACTGCATAGCCTGTGCCTGGCTGCTTAGGTAGGCAGGCATTGGACAAAAATCAATACAAAGCAGGCCCTGAGCCTGATTGTGCAATTGATTGGCTGCGAATATCTGCAAGCCCGCCTTTGGATTTCCTCGAGAAGCGTGATTTGCCCAACGGTGTTGCCCTCAAGACGGTGGTGGCCACAGAGGCGACATGATATCATATGCCCTGGGAGGCGACAGAAGCAACGCGAAGAAGAATGAATGAGAGTAATTAAAAGGGGACATGGTCTACTTTTCGAAACGAGTCACCCCCATATTTGCTTCAAAGATCAAGAGAAATCAGTTCCTTCATTCGCTCCTTTACGATCAAATCCTTACCCGACGTTTATCAACCATGTCTTCTAATGACAATAATGAAAACCGTAAGTGAGAACCAAATACCTCGTCGCATACTCACTTCCATCGTGGCTTTTCCTGTGTCGCATTTATGTGGGACTTACGGTCGCATTGCCTTCGCACTTCGTCTGGTCTTCAGGTGGACTGGATTTGGACTTAAGGAATGATAGAGCTAACAGGGCATAAAACTCCAGCCGGTTTCATGGGAGGCCTCGGTGAGATGGTAGGCAAGACTATCAACGGGGCCACAAGTACAATGGGCAACGTTGTGAGTGGTCTTGGTGGCACACTCGGTGGTGCGGCTGAAGGAGTAGGTCAGACTGTGACTGGGGCCACTGAAGGTCTTGGGAAAGCAACCAAGGGCCTTGGGCAGTCCGTAAACAATACTGTTGGTAACTCGAGGGCTCGGAAGGAAGAGAGTGAGCTGGAGGAATAAATGCACGTCGGTGATGGGAATGGTGCTACAGGGACTTGTGAGCGGAAGAACCGAATCATCGCACCGATTCATTAGATACTCGTTACCGATTATCGAATACTATCCTCTCTCTTAGTACATTGGCGATCCCGGGGATTTCGCGGGTGGACTGGTTTCTTCAAGATATAGCTTGTATTCATCATAGCGGCAGTCAATTGGTTGCCAACCGGGTAGTTTTCGAGTCACCATGCGGCCGGATCTGGACTGCCGAAGGCCAGTGATGTGGATGAATAACCAAAATTGTTCTATACACGGACCATTCTACCACCCTGAGACTTGAACCCAGATTGCTGTAGAATGCCGACTTGAAAGCCCCTACGCCAGTTCCGATCGGCGGGATCCCGCCTGCCGGAGGCTGGAGCTGCCCGCGGGCGGCTCGAAGCTGCAGTGGGGCAACAGGCAGGCACCATGAGGAATGAGATATTGAAACGCATACAACACGGCGCTGTCGATATCTTGGATCTTATTCGGTTTTATTGCATTTATAGTCTAGGTAGAAAATTCTATGGAGAAAAAGAAAGCTTGTGAATGAACTGCAAACTCAATGTCATTGATCTGGCGAGCTCCACAAGGAATTTTATTGCTCGGATGGACCTCCTGAAATAGGAAGGATTGTGATAGCTCAGCGGTTCTGCTCGCCCGGACCGACCAACTACCAATCACGGAAAGGTCTGAGGCTCCCGGGGGCCGTGAGGGGCCGTGTCTGATGCTATTAACCCGGCGGTTCAGACAGGATCGATCAATCTTCACGATCCGTGCTGGCCTGGCCCGAAACAAGTCTTGCAGTTTTGTTTGCTGTCAGAAAGCTTCACGTTTATAGGTGCGCTGACATCGGCGAGGTCCTGATTGGGTGTGGAGCATCCATGGGCCCCAAAAGATGTTGTTACTCTTCGCCGAGTTCAACAAGATATTTGAATAAAACGGCTCATTATTCTGGAGATTCAATATATAATATGGATATAGATAACTCCATAGCTAGAGATCCTGTACGGAGGATTGTAGGAAGGTATACATTTGACTGAGTCGTTTCATGGCCAGTGGAGCGGAGATGGTTCCATATCAACAGCGTGTGGGTCCCATAGATTCATACGTTTCGTTTTTCACCCAACCCCCAACCTTGGAAGTCTTCCCCACCGCACCTTTTTCTTCGTAATGTTTAGCTGGCTATATATTAAGCCACTGCAGGCTTTTTGGTCCCTCCGATCATCTTTTCTGAGCATCTACCATCACCGCCACCATGGGTAAACACGACCAGCCTAGTCTGTCCACACATCACCCTTCAGCGAGAGAAGCTTGATACTGACTGCTAGCTCGACAGAGACCTACCGCTACAATGAGACTCCGGTCTATACAGCCTCCAATGGCTGCCCGGTATCATTTTCCGTCCATCAGCGTTCCCTTTGAACCCCCGATCTAATGCGATTATCATCTCCTATAGGTTATGGATCCCCAAGCCGCTCAGCGCGTGGGCCCGAACGGTCCATTGCTGCTGCAGGACTTCCATCTGATCGACCTGCTGGCGCACTTTGATCGAGAGCGCATTCCTGAGCGGGTGGTTCACGCCAAAGGTGCTGGCGCCTACGGCGAGTTCGAGGTCACCGACGACATCAGCGATATAGTTAGTACCAACCCTCACACAGACTATTGAATCGCCCCAGCTAATATAGCTTCACGCAGACCACGATCGACATGCTCAAGGGCGTTGGCAAGAAGACCAAGATGCTGACCCGCTTCTCCACCGTTGGTGGCGAGAAGGGCTCGCCAGACAGCGCCCGTGACCCGCGTGGTTTCGCCATGAAGTTTTACACAGAAGAGGGTAACTGGGACTGGGTCTTTAACAACACCCCCGTTTTCTTCCTGCGAGACCCGGCCAAGTTCCCCGTTTTTATTCACACCCAGAAGCGTAACCCGCAGACCAACCTCAAGGATGCCACCATGTTCTGGGACTACCTCTCCACTCATCAGGAGGCCGTCCACCAGGTGATGCACCTCTTCAGCGACCGCGGCACTCCTTACTCCTATCGCCACATGAACGGCTACTCGGGCCACACCTACAAGTGGATCAAGCCCGACGGCACCTTCAACTACGTGCAGATCCACTGCAAGACCGACCAGGGCAACAGGACCTTCACCAACGAGGAAGCTACCAAGCTGTGCGCCGAGAACCCCGACTGGCACACACAGGACCTGTTCGACGCCATCGCGCGCGGCGAGCACCCCTCGTGGACCTGCTATGTGCAAGTCCTGTCCCCCGAGCAGGCCGAGAAGTTCCGCTGGAGCGTCTTCGACTTGACCAAGGTGTGGCCACAGAGCGAAGTGCCCCTGCGACGCTTCGGCCGCTTCACGCTGAACAAGAACCCGGAGAACTATTTTGCGGAGATCGAGCAGGCGGCGTTCTCGCCCTCGCACATGGTCCCCGGCGTTGAGCCCTCGGCTGACCCCGTCCTGCAGTCCCGTCTTTTCTCCTACCCGGATACCCACCGCCACCGTCTTGGTGGCAACTACGAGCAGATCCCAGTCAACTGCCCGCTGCGCTCGTTCAGCCCGTGGCACCGCGACGGCGCCATGAATGTGCTCGGTAATTATGGCGCCAATCCGAACTATCCATCCACCTTCCGACCCCTGGCCTACAAGCCCGTCAAGGCTAGCCAGGAGCACGAGAAGTGGGCGGGTGCCGCCGTTGCGGAGCAGATACCCGTCACCTCCGAGGACTTCGTGCAGGCCAATGGCCTCTGGCAGGTGCTTGGTCGCCAGCCTGGTCAGCAGGAGAACTTCGTGAAGAACATTTCTGGTCACCTCTGCGGTGCCCATGAGCGTGTCCGCAAGGCGACCTACGGCATGTTCCATCGTGTGAACAAGGACCTTGGTGCCCGCATTGAGGCAGCCACCGAGGCAAATGTTGCCCCTTCTGCTCGTCTGTAAACGTGTTTTCTCGAAGAGTCACATACTGTTTATCTATTGTTGTCAGCTTGAATATAAATGACGGCTTATGATCCGATGCTAGAAATGATGAGAACTTGTAGGTCAGGTGTAGCCAGTAGCCAGCATGAGAGGCAATGAAGGGAGGCTGACTGAGCGGGTGACGTCCGCTGCGGAGTTAATCCGCACGTGATAAGGCCTCCGTGACGCGCCATCGTCTTCTCGCGCGGTTGAACCGGGAGCTGCTGACAAGCAACAATTCCTGTCCTCTCCTGATTGGCTTCTATTTCCCTCCATTTCCTGCTCGTCTGGTTCTTCTATCTCCATCTTGGAGCTAGATACGTACCACGAAACTGGGGAGCTCGGACTTCGGTCTGCATGAGCCTATCAGCTGGACCTGGCGGAGTCCGTTGCGACTAGTGCCTTGTAGGGCCTGGTCGCCCCTAGACCAAAGATGTCCGGCCCCTCCGACGAGGACGCTGGCCAACCTCACTTGTATTCGACCGGCTCGTTCACCAGAATGGGTAGTTCAGACGCCCAGGCTTCCGTAACGGCCAAGCAGATAGCCGATCAGGCCGACGCCAACCACCAGTCGCTGTCGTTGTTAACGCCTGATAGCGAGAAGCAAGAACATGGCCCTGATGTGTTTGAAAGACGAGGTTCTGCAGATTCTGGTACCGGCGGAGATGCGCAAGGTGACGAGGGTTATGTCCTCTCAAGGAGCGTGCAGGATCCCTCGGAAGAGCTCCCCATCGAGCTCATTAGCTTGACGGATCGGTAGGTGAATGAGTGCGCGAACGTTTTGCGCGTTATACTAATAGCCTCGCTTAGCTTCATCAACTCTTTGAGCGCCAGAGTGCATAACTCCCCTCCCACGATCGATAAAATCTCCTCCATGTTCCAAGTTTTCTACAGCCGTGCCGAGTCTCATATATCCACTCATATATCCGCGCTTGCATCCCGCATAAACCGTGATTCGCGACCGCAGGTGCAGACGAAGCCAAGAGGAAGTGCGCTGTCGGTTCTGGCTAGCAAACGCTCCCAGGACGATGTTCGACAAGGCAGTGGGGGCCGCCAGATGATGACTGCGGAGGAGGTCGCTGAGAGACGCAAAGCACGCAAGGCCCTTGAGTACAAGCGCGTTGCATTGGAAGAGGCCGCGGAACGGCGAGTATGTGAACTTGTCTATGACAAGATTTGGAGACACAAGAGCACTTTAGATGATGTTCGGGATGAGAAATTGCGTTCCAAGACTGCAGCCCTGCTGCTCGTGGGCATCGACCTGAAGGATTTGGGCATTGACATTGATTTCACAACGATCGCGGAAGAGAAGCAGCAAGAGGCGAACGACTGCCTTGCTCAAGCTCGTGAGTACCTTGCAAAAATGAACGACCAAAAATACCCTCTTGGCAAACTGCAACAACTAGCTGCCGCCCACAAAGCCATTGTGGACGCCCTAACAAAACTCTTACCTTCATCATCATCTGCGGACGAGATTCTTCCTACTTTGATTTACTCTCTTGTCACCTGTCCGCCCGAGGGAATCAACATCATCAGCAATTTGCTCTTTATCCAACGGTTTAGATCGTCCAACAAGGTCGATGGGGAAACCGCATACTGCTTGACCAACCTGGAAGCCGCTATCAGCTTCCTGGAGAATGTTGAGTTATCTAGTCTGCGGGCCGATGAAATGCAGGAGGGACCTGTCAATACTCCCAGTGAGAGCGCAACTCCATCATCAGAACGAGTCGATCCTTTCCGGCCAACAAAAGAGATCACAACCCCGGCGGTAACGACGGTGTCTGCATCAACTGAAATCGCGAAGCCTGAAAGCAAAGAGCCGACCCTCTCTACATTGCCTCGGCTTCGTCCGTCCCCAACTCCGCAGCAACGCCGCTTGAGCAACCTCTTCCAGCCCCCAGCCAAGGTTCTGGAAGCTGCCAATGATGCTGTCCGTAGCACCGCAGACCAAAGTTTGAAGAACATCAGCGCTTCTTTGGATAACAGCTTCAACTTTCTATTCGGCCGTCTCAAGGAATTACAAAATAACCAAGGACCTAATGCAGACGGGAATGGGCCCGTTCTACCAAAAACATTGGCCGAAGCTCGCAGATTAGTCGCCAACCCACCAGCCAACAAACAAAACCTGACCTCAGAAGAGATCGAGTCACTCGATTCTTTTTCCAATGAAGAAACGGCGCGCCACCCTACAAGGACTACAAGCCTTGCCAGCGGAAGCCGGACACCGCGTGACCGCAGCACCGACAGTGCAAGGACCCAAGCGAGCAGCAAAATGTCCATTGCCAATTCGTTGCGAGACGAAGCTGCCCAATCGCCGGCCGCAGCTACCAGTCCCAATCCCCTAGAGTCCATGCGAAACTTCGGCAACTCGCTCAATCCTCTCAATCACATCCCGGGAATGATAAAGAACTTCGGCCGCAATGTGCCCGAGACCCCTGGTGCTCGAGCAATTTCTCCTGCAGCAATGGACCGTTTGAAGCTATCGCCAGCCTCGACGGATGGCGCCCCGAGCCCGCTGCCCTCATCTTCCTCGAAAGACGACCCTCCCATCCAGCGCTTCCTTGAAACTCAAGATGCGCGGGATCTCCGCCTTGGAGACGTCGCTGTTCTGCTCGAAGACTATAAAAGGTTGGCTGCGGCACTTGCAAAAGCTACCGGGGGATCTCGCTGAGTATTATTGCCTTCTTGATTTCCATTTTTATGGCAAGGTTTCTGTAAGATGCTTGCATTGCGAGCTACATGTGGCGTTCAGCGGCATTATGGTTTAATTTTCTGTGTTTAAATTGTAGATGGCTAAGGTTTATAGATCGTATGGCATAGCTTGGTAATGAATCCTAAGCTGCGCGGTTATGCATATTACTATACCTACTAGTATAGAGATATCCTTTCAGGAAATAAGATCAACCATGACATCCATCCTTCCGCGCAGCAAGTGGCAACACAAAGAGGAAAAGGTACAACAGTGGGGGGGGGTATTGGGCATGAAGTAAATATCGGGAAAAAGTTTTGGGGGCAACAACGCCAATATCAAATAGAAGAACAACCATGGAGCCATAATCAATCAGATAGAGGAATCATCAGCTCACGCGTTTCGACCCCGTAAGACCTCGGCGCCACCAGTTCTCATCTCGTTCAGCTTGGTCGACAACTCAGAGTTCTGTGCCTCAACAACTTCGTGGCGACGTTTGACTTCAGCTTCGAAGACAGCAGCTGTGCGGCGACGGGCGCGACGAAGCTTTTTCATCTCAGTCAGAAGGTGGCTGAAGCGGTCGATCAACTGGTCTCCGCAGTCTTCCCAGTCATCAACTGACATGCGCGACAGGTAGATCGCACGATCTTCGTCTGCAAGTTTCAATAGCTGAGACACCGTGTCATTGGGTGACTGGGAGTTCGATCGAAGAGGTGGGTTGGGTAGAAGTGAAGGTGACTTTACTGGCGGTGATGGTGTAGGTGTAGGAGCTTTGTCAAAAGGTTCAGCCTGCAGGTCAGTGAAGGATTTCTGATACAGAAGCTGTGGCGGGTAGTCTGCCTCCAATTGCCGTTTCTTTGTATTGATGACAGTGTTTCGGCGGCCACGTCTAGCTGAGGCTGGTTGGCTGAGAAATGGGTCTTGCATCAATTCGTCATCATCACGGTCCAAATCGGACATGTTGGTGATGTCAAAAGCATGAGCGGAGTGTCCGCTGTGCCGCCTGCTGCTAACACGGATCGTTTCATCAATTCCATGCTCGTGTTCACTCTCTTCGTCGCTCTGTTCTGCTGGTCGTAAATCTGCCATGCTGAGCATTCGTCCAGCTTGGGGCGGTGGCTCGGAGCCATGTCGGGTGGGGGATATCTCAAGCTGGTCAAGGAGAGAAGGCTTTGGAGGGCTGAAACGTGTCCTTGGGGTTCCTGATGTGCTGTGTGGAAGAGTAATCTTCCTGGCCCCCGGAGGAGGAAGCATATGGCCCAGTTTGCGGGGGTGAGCATCGGAGACAATATCGATAGGGGCAGATGAACGAGGGTCGGCTTGAGCATGATCAATTGATCGTGATGCCCTTTTGCTCGCCGACCAGAAATTCTCCAGACGTTTGCTCAGTGGCTCTTCTACTGCGCGGTGCTTATGCGGCAGGTGCCAGCTGCTTGATTCCCTGCGCTCCTTTGAAACTGTCGGTTCTTCGGGCGCTGGTGGCTCGGATACTTGTTGAGGCTCCTCGGTCATCTCATCATCTCCTCCGAGAGATGAAGTCAACTGACTAGCGGTATCCTCGCCATCATCAGAGGTGTCGAATCCTGCTTTTTTCATGGCTTTGTCTCCTAGGCCCCCGTAGAAGGATGACCGATAGGAACGGCGTGTAGGCCGCGGCAGGTAGGATGGCCGAGGTGAGGTGTTTTCGTCCGCAGCATTGATCGTTGATGGTGCTTGGGATTGACCATCGTCAAAGCCAAACGCACTGGTTCCGGCAACAGTTGAATCATCCATTGCCTCGACATCGGTGTCAAAAACGTCCCGCGGCCCTCCGTTTGAGGGAGGCAGTATATTTTCAGGGAGAGCGCGAGATCGATCCGAGGGCACTGGAGAAGCCTGGAAAACTCGCGGCACGGTTCGGCCATTCATATTCGGTTCATTGAAGTACTTGCTGGGCACCTCAACTTTCGCCTGCTCGGCCCGAAGCTGGCGTTGGGACGGAGGTAAGTCGGCGGGTGCACGAGGCTGCCCAGCTTCCTTGGAGTGAATATAGTCGCCCACACCCATGGTGAAGAAATGGGCGAGTGGGGATGCTACCTAGTGAATTTCCGGACAACCAAACTCAAGCCCCAGACCTTCCTTTCAAAAATTGTTGAGGTGGTGAAGAATCCTTGTTTGTTCGGACACCAGACGCGAGCGAACCGCGTGGTCACGTGCACATCCTTGTGGCCCAAAGATGATCGTTTTCTGGGTTCATTAAGATGAGTAGAGGGGAGTCGACGATATCCAGAATTGAATGGTAGTTAGGTTCAAAGTTGGATATACCGTAAGAGCTCAGTTCATTTGCAAGTGAAACCTCACGTTACGCTGAATGAAGAGGTTATGGATGAGCTTGGATATATGTAGTATGAATTTGATATATTTAGATAATAGAAGTAGGGATAACTTCACGCAGGGCTCAGTCAGAATGTGAATCTTCGCCAAGGTGGAAATGCGCCAGATTGTACGCGACACCTCGTCCACGTTTTTGTGCCTTTTCCAGAAAATCCTTTGATTTTTGCACCTCCGCCTCCCTTTTTTCCATCGCGAGTCTTTGTTCGCGTCTTGTTTCAAGAGAACTCGATAGATCATCCATATGCATTGCATCCGGGTCGTACTCGTCCACAGTTTCCGGTGGAGTCATCAGAGATGAGATCAACAGATCACTGATCCAAAGCGAAACCATGCCTCGCAGCTCCAGTAATTCTGGGGAATCAGAATACGGAGGAGATCCAAGCAGCATGTCCATGCGTGTTGCAATTTTCTGTGCTTCTTCCAACTCCTGCCTTCTGATCCCAGCAACGAGAGCCTGTTTTTTGTTTGACTCCCGACGGTCAAAATCGACCGAGGAGCCCTCGCCGCTGGAAAGGTCGTCAGAGGAGTCCTCAGTGTCAAGCGTGATATTACTCCTTGCCGTATGACTCTCCTCCTGGGTGACATAGATCCAGAGTCCGAACATCGCGGGGTAGAAGTGTAAAGTAGACACGGCATGTGGGGCACTTTTCGAATACGGATGATTTAATATCAACCTTTCGTAGTATTCTTTCGCCTCCTCGAACCCTTTCTTTGTGAATGGTAAAGACGTTTCATTGCGGCTATTCGAAGTATCGGGTAGCGGGCGAGGAGACTGTGTCGAGGCTTCTTGTTGACCGCGACGAAACAGAATCTCCGCTCCAATTCCCCACCTTCCTTCACTGCGGGCATCCACCGGGAAGCTACGGAACTCTTCTCGCAGAATCAGGCCCCATGCTCTTCCAGCACGAATATAATCTCCTTGGAGGAGGCAACGGTGTAGAATGGCGGTTAAAACCGACAAGTGCTGAAGGCGAATGGTGCCTTGGTGCGCCGCAGACTGCGGTGGGTAGATGGGGGACGATAATGCGGACAGGTCTCTGAAGTGCTGGCCTGGCACTTTGGCTTCCTGTCTGGAATGGTCGTCCTTTGCTGGCCCATGGGGGAAATTGCCACCAGGCAATTCCTGGTCAAAAGAGAGACCAGCGATCCGGTACTGGTGGGACTCGTTCGGCGTCAAAATCAGAGACGGCCCAACAAGACCGGACTCCCCAGCCGACGTGGCATCTGTCGTATATGCACCATCGCCCTCCCGATCGGTCCACTCGTCGGCCTTCTTACGTTTTCGGCGATCATATTGCGCGACACGAGTGCTCGTCGGCTGCAGCCAGGAGGGCAGTGGCAGAGAAAAGAAGGAAGCCGACAGGGCAGGCGCCATGCGCGACTCTCATGCGGGGCTGCTTGGACACACCAAAGTATTCGAAACCAAGCAGCCGCGGCGGACCCTGGAAGACTCGGCAAATCGGAGATGGCAAACGAGATTGAAGTTTGGGGAGCTGCCGCTGGAGTTGGAGATGACTAATTCACGGAGGAAGGGCCGAGAATCAACTACACGAAGAAGGTGATTCCCGCGGAAGCAAATCAGGCAAACAGTCCCCGTTATCGCTATCGTCTGGCCTCACACGCCTCTGTCTCTCTCCTTCTCCTTACATCCTATCTGGTCGTTCCTTTTCCTCATCCGCCCCTCCTCTTTCCGTCTCCTCTCCTCGGCTTTTTTCAATATACGTTTCCCTCAGGGCGTCACCACACCCGGATCCCCGGATCCCCCGATCCCCTCCTGTTTCGCAGACACTCGGCGGGTATATTGGGTACATCAAGTGTGGCCTGTGCCAGACGCTTGTCAGACCATTCGTGACTGCCGGTCGCAGTGCCTCGCTTTGGATGGTCGGATTGTTTCTCGCACACACGGTACCCATTATTGATCGATCATCACCGCCTCGCCGACTTACCTTCCTTTATTCCGGCGATCCCACTCCGCCACCACTTTGCACCCGACGGTGCAGGCTACCTGGTTCAGCACCATTAACAACCTGGCCGGGAAGGCCTTTTCAGGTGTTATCCATCGTGAATTGTGTATCCGGTACACCTATATCTGCAACCCAACCTACGATCGGGTAGAAATTGGTGTTGATACGGTCGCTACTAGCTGTTTGGGAATTCTTATGGCAGTGGACGGTCCATAACATTCTTCTATATTCCGTCTTCTCTTTTGCCACTTGCTACTATGGGACAGTCGGCTTCTACGCCACGAGAACCACCTGACACTGGTTATTCGGACTACCTCACGACGCTCTTAGGTCGGGACTCTAGTACGAGGGATGAAGATATGAACAACAGGCAAATCACCGAGCAAAACGGAGAGGCTAGCTCCTCGTCCGGGATGGGATCACACCCGCACACTGGTCAGGATGCGTCATCGATCCAGCTAAACGAGCTTCCCGAATCCTGGCAACAGCCCACGCGGCACTCTGGCGGATTCTCACAACAGATGCGAAGTATCGAAGAAGAAGAGGGCCCAGAATATGAACCAAGCCCACGGGAATACCGGTCCGCAGCGATTGCTCGGATGGCGGCAAGAAGACAATCTACCATGTCACGGTTAGGGTCCAGAATTCTGCCCAATTCGGTCATTCGCGGTCTCCTCAGCAGCCAAGAGGAGACGCCGGCAGAAGGCCACGCCCACAGGCATGGACTGGTATCAAGGACACCTCCCCGGTCTGAAAGTGCTCACAGCAGTGGTCGGTTCAGCCCCTTCAGTGCCCTTGGGTCAACAGGTGTCACCCGCCGCCGGACCACTCGGGGGCCTTATTTCATCCCGCAACGTGCCGCCTCGTCCGCGATGTCTGATGGAGCCGCAAGTTCCTCACTTCTTGATTCTTCCGCCGAACGGATTCCTGAGTCCAGTCGGGCCTCTTGGCGTCGTGCCCGTCTACAGCGTATGCGCCATTCGCTGTCAACCCCCATATCTCAAATGTTTGGGCAGCCTGCGCCGGACATCTCTTCATCTCATGAAGGCCCTGCACACCTATCGGGAAGCCCGCCATTCAGCGACAGCCTCCCAGGTGCTATGGATACTCGCCTAGATTTTGGAGAGCCCTTACATGAATTAGATTCGGTCGAGCCTGGAATAGAACTAGACAGTCCACTTTCCGCTCACCAGCCAAATACTGAGCCGATGGGATCACGCGGACTCCCTGGACTCCTTAGGACACGGGCTGCCAGAGCAATGCGGCGAGAAGAACAAACACCTCTTTCTCGAGTCCTTCAGCTTGCTGCAGCCGCAATCGCAGCTCAACTCTCTGGTACCACCGGTCCTGCCCTACCAAATATTCAAGCTTTGGGTAACGAGGGTCTGGATGGTTCACTGGAGAACTTTATTCAGAGCTTACAACATGCCACAACGGCCCCAGCGCAACCACCGCAACCAGGCGAAGGACCAAGCAATCCTGGAACCGAGGCGCCGACGGCTCCAGTCAATTTCTTGCGCGTTTTCCGGTTTGCCAATTCGGATTCTCCCCTTGGTCCCAGCCCGTTGGAGAGAAGCACAAATGGCTCTGCGAATCAAGGTCCTCAGTCTGACGGAATGCCCGTCGACGAAGCCGCTGAGGGGGCCGAGGGTCGGACGGTCACGCTGGTTGTCGTGGGTGTCCGATCAGTACCGGCGGGTAATGGAAGCAATAGCGAACAAGGGCCGCCCGGCCCTGGAGGCCCAGGTCTGGATGCTTTGCTTGGCCTGCCATTCCTGCCACCCAATGCTATCCCCCGCCCCCCAGAAGGATCCGGTGATCTCGCCCAGCGAGCCGATGCGCGATCCAGACTGCATGCCGCTCGTCAAGGCGGACCTGCTGGCCTAGCTCCGGAGTTGCTGCGCCAACCTGGCCAAAATCCGCCACGAAGAATGTCTGATGCGGGACCCCGCCTTACTTATCCATCATATCCTCCTTCTGCCTTGTCCGAAAGCCCCCCTGGGCCCCATCCCCCTCCCTCAACACCCGCTGAGCCGGGCATGTCAGCCGTCTCCTCCGGTACCTCGACACCGAGCCGTAGACCATCCTCGGCCTCGGCCATGCCTCCGAGCGTCTTACCTCACCTCCACGGAGGTCAATCTTCGCAGCCCCCTGTCGAGCCTTCAGAATACTCTGTCCCGCCTAGTGCTGCAAGGCAGCGACGACGAAGCGATTCGGAATTTGCTCGGCACCGTGCACTTGGCTCAGGTTCCGTTCGTCGCAACGGCGTGGTTGAACCCGATCAAGCTCCCCCAGGTGGAGGTAGAAGCTGGTTGATCTACGTCGTTGGAACCAATTTGTCGGAAAACCACCCGGCTTTGACGACGCCGAGTCTCTTCACCGATAACCCTACGTACGAGGACATGATCTTGCTGTCGTCCCTCCTGGGTCCAGCCAAGCCCCCAGTGGCCACTCAAGACGACGTTAATTCCGCAGGCGGACTATTCCGACTTGTTGAGTACGCCGGCTCGCTGGTCGCGGAATCCGTCGATGGCGCAGGCGCCATCCAAATCCAGGATGGAGAGCGTTGTCTGATCTGCTTGAGCGACTATGAAGTGGCCGAGGAAGTGCGGGAGTTGGCTAAATGCAAGCATGTCTTCCACAGGGATTGTATTGACCAGGTTCGTCCCATCCTTGCCTCTTATCTTACAATAGCCATACGTACTAACGGAACACAACAGTGGCTGACCACTGGCCGAAACTCCTGCCCTCTTTGCCGAGGCCAGGGCGTTAAAGAGACGTCCAATAACGAGGGCCCAGCGGCGCCTGAGCCTGCTGCCGCCCCTGTCCCTGAAGGCATGGCCATTTAACGGACCGGCATATATGCGCCTCCGCCCCCTACATTCTGACCAATCTCACTTACGGCTGTTGGTCGTCCACCACTCTACTCATTGAACATTAGCATCCAGCGCCTGCTTAGAGCTTTTACGAATTTTCTTCATTGGATATCCCATGGCATTCTGTCTATTCTGTCTGCTGCGCTGCTTTTGCGCGCTCTCATATGTGTTTTTCTGTTGCGTCACCAAATCGAGGTCTAGAGGCGGCGTGTTTTTTTTCTTGGTCCTCTTGTGGAGAGCGACTATCTACCTGTTCTTGGTCTCGGATTCTTTCGTCGCGATTTCTTTTTTTCTTGTGTCTCTTGGATTCAAGGGTGACTTTGTAACTGTGGCTTAAAGGAAGTTGACAGTGCCGGGGTAATCAATCCCATTGGGGGATAATAGGATAGCAAAACAATACTTTCTTATTAATTTCATCCTTCTCATTTGCATCTCCGTCTTCGGCGCTGCCCCGCTTACCCCTCGATCACGTGAGGGAAATTTTCCCAGTGCGGCATGAATGCTCGACATCATGGAACACAGATTCTACGTTTTGTGGCTTGTACAGGTCTGGTTTTATAGCTTTATAGTCTACTCAACAGACCAATTGAGCTCCTCCGAGGCCGAAATTCTCCGCCAGCCAACAGCCTCCTGATCATTACCACGGACCAGTGCCCAGACCTTCGAGCCGCAAACCCTCCCGGCGACGACCTCCACCAAACGAATCAGTAAAAAGCTCCACGCCTTCCTTCAACCTCACACCTTCCAGCGTCCACAATGCCCTCGCCAATCCGGACCACCGTCCTCATCTCCGGCAACGGCTCCAACCTCCAAGCCCTCATCGACAAAGTCTCCGCCGGCGCCCTCAACGCCCAACTCATCCGCGTCCTCTCGAACCGCAAAGACGCCTACGGCCTCGAGCGCGCCCGGAAGGCCTCCATCCCCACGGAATACCATAACCTTGTCAAGTACAAGAAGGCGCACCCGGCAACCCCCGAGGGCGTGCAGGCCGCGCGCGAGGAGTACGATGCCGAGCTGGCGCGCCTGATTCTGGCGGACGAGCCCGAGCTGGTCGTGTGTCTGGGGTTCATGCATATCCTGTCGCCACAGTTCCTGGAGCCGCTGGAGAAGGCGGGTGTGCGCATCATTAATCTGCATCCGGCGCTGCCGGGGGCATTTAACGGGGTGGTGAGTACAATTGATCTCTTCTCGTCCTCTAGGATTAGGCAGTGGGAGGCGCTATATGCTATATAAGGCGGGTTTAAAGTGGGTTGCTGATGGGATGTACAGAATGCGATTGAGCGTGCTCATGCCGCGTGGATGGAGGGGAAGATCGATAAGACTGGGGTGATGATTCACGATGTCATTTCGGAGGTGGATATGGGCCAGCCCATCCTGGTGCGGGAGATCCCGTTCGTGAAGGGGCAGGATGAGGATCTGGAGGCGTTTAAGAAGCGTGTGCATGAGACGGAATGGGGGACGGTTGTTGAGGGCGTGGACATGGTGCTCAAGGAGCTGGCTGCTCGGAAGCAATGATTTGAGGGCACGGCGTTTCCTTCCTGTGGCACTGATGGCACTGGATTGCTCTGGCCTTGCGGTTCTTGTGTTCTTGCCCAAGCCGTGAGCATGGGGCTGCTGACGATGTTATGACTATATATATTTATCATGTATGAATCTAGAAAGACCAAAAATTTGCATTGTTGAATATAGCGAGCTCATCTGCATCCATCAAGGTATACTTCGTTGCTCTGTGCCGGGAGAAGCTCGGGCCACGCCCGTTCCAGGGACGACACACTGCCGCTGTGCTTGCCGAGGGTAGGGCCCAAGAGCAAACTAACCATGGACTCATTCCGCCCACCAGCAGCAACGGAATTTCCGAGTCTAGACCGCCGATCCTCGGTGAGAAAGGACGTCCAAGCAATGATCCCCTCGCCCTGCATTCTGGACCATACACCTGTCCGTATGGGCCATGGGCCGCGCGCACCCGGCTGACGGCGCCGGGGCCGCGGAGACCCCAGCCCATGCTCGCAACAATTCCCAGGTCGAGCATCGCTGAACAAATGTCGGTGGCGCATGCAGCTAAAAAGCTCATTCGGATCTGCTGGAGGCGGGGCCTCGGACAGGGATGTGAAATTGCATTCCACCTCACCGGCCGTTCGTCACATGCGGCCAACCCCGGGCCCTGACGTGCCCCGTCCGAGGCAAATCACTCGGAGCCACGCGACAGTGCGTTGCCCGGCAGATAGCCCAGAGGCCCGGGATGGGGGAGAGGGAAACCGAGGGGAACGCTAGGACGTCGCGGCAAAAGGACATCGCCCGCCAGTACCACAACTGCCGGTCTGGGTGGTTGGCTGGCTGGCGGTTGAATCCTGCAGTGCAACCTCCAAATGCCCCAATCTCGCAATTTCTGACCAGCAGCCAGTGGCCCCCTTGGGAAAGACAAGACCAAACTAGCCAGAAGACGTGGAGTCCACGCCGTGGCGGTCACCGGCAACAACGGATGGCAAAAGGTGACAGATCCCACGATTGGCTCCGCTAGGCCGTCTCCGGACAAAGCAACGTACCAGGACTTCGGGCAGACGGGGTGGAGGATGGCGCTGGAACGGACTGCTTAGTGGGTGCATATGGCGTGGAAAGGAAGCTTTGCGTTCTTTGGTGGGTTATCTTGCACTGGCCCGGGGGGCCAACATCGTAAACGGCCGGCGCCAACTCAATTGGCGGCCGCTCAAGGCAATCGTATCCGACGGGCCCCCTGGTGGAGGGATCTCTGATGTGGGAAAGTGGGATCGGCCGATTCTGGCCGTCACGGAAGGGGGGTTGGGCTTTGGTCGCGGAGTATGAAATCTTCCCGGGTCTGTGGATCGTCGGTGTGAGGGCTTAGGGCGGATAACCGTTGCATTGGCCTGTTCAGCCTCATTGTTGGGCCCTCGTGTCTTGCCAGCAGGCTACACCAGAGAGTTCACTGGTCTCCGTCTTGGTAGGAAAGAATTGGTCTTGGGATGCATGGGGCTCGCTGGAGCGGATATACCCTTTCCGACCCCGGCGTGCTCTGTCTTGAGATTGATCTGGGTCATCACGACCTCGGGATATAGTGTTCGGCATGCTTGAGCAGAGAATAACCCATTGGACAAGTTGTCAGGTACTGTGGAAACTATTGCGAATACTGGGGACATCTGTAGAGCCCTATGACGACAGGCTAACTGCCCTGCTGTGGCAGGCATTACGAAGAACCTCCAACTGGAAGCCTGGACGGGATTGATGTGAACAGTGCGTGTAGGAGCCACAGAAAGCAGAGCCTTTAAATCGATGGTACTGAGCAAATGTAGACGTGAATTCGAAAGACAGTATATAGTCTTCTAGTTTTCCCTTACTTTCCTCGGCCAGGGTCAGAGCTCTCCCGGATGATGTGATATGGAGATTACAGCCAGTCAGGAACACAGTGTTTGGGGCGTTCCGTTCATGTCGTGCGTTGGGAAGCTAGCCTCAGAATAGATCATGCATGTGATTCGATTCCTGAACAGCTTTTGATCAGCGAGAAGAGGCCATTGCCAGTCCTGAGCTGCGAGGTGCCGGTTGAGATTGGGCGACTCGATGGCTCGAGGCATTGACCGTCGGCAATCGCCGTGAGATTTGCCCTTCAATTAAGATGAAACGTTCATATTTCTTCTTGCTGTGTTCCGTTAAACCCATCCGTATTGCATGTGGACGGTTGCAATGGGGAAACGCAGACCCCTCCGTCTCGGACACCGTATCTCCGGCTCACCCAGCTAATGAATGCACCACGTCGAGATTGATGGCCGGCTCCAAGGCAAGTGTATACAAGGACTGTAGGAATATCCGAGCGTGGGCCCACGCATCCTTTCCCAGCAAAATTCGGATTTAACCTACTCCGGTATCTGATTCGTGTGCCGGAAGCGCTCTGAGGCTAAACTTTGCTAGCTCTCTCAAACCCTCCTGGAATGGGCATAGCAGCACATGCGGGTGGGCCATAAACCAGTTTCCCCCATCCCCGGGAACCAGCCCAGCAACCTGGGCCATGTGCCTGGGCCATGGCGAGAGGGGATGAGATCGTGAACGGAGATGTTACCCATCCTGGCCCAGTGCAGTTGCTAAGATGCTGGGACCAGGATCAGCACCGCGTCACGGAGGCTAACGTCAGGTGTGGGAGTGAGGAAAACCGAACTGTCTGCCAGTACCTGCCAGTGCCTGCCATGGTAGGGAATGGATGGGACGGGGACGAGCGGCCCACATGGGAACACAATTGTGGAGCTGGCCCCCGTCAAGGTGGGCGTCTTTTAGCGTTTGGGCCGGCTCACTGTTCACCCACATGGCGAGAAAGTCGGAGGGTCGGTGCGCCGCGCAAGTCCCGGGCATAGCGTGGTGCAATTAGGGCTTGGGTTATTTTCTTTTCCAGTTCCGGCCGAACGGGGAGGTACTGTAGCCTCTGGGAAGCGCCTACGGGTATGGCTCCACCGTGAGAGAACACAAACGACGAGACGTGTGTATGTCGGATGTTCAAGATGATGGCCGTATCCTGCTGTATTTGGGACGAGCGATCTAAATCTAGGACAGCCCATAGGCTATATAGGCGAATGCATAGAACGAATCAGAACAGGATGCGCCACTGGCGTGGAGATCTGCCATTGTTCCCTGTCGTTACTCACCGGGAGGATAATAGCACTTCACGCGATCCAGGATCGTGTGTCAACGGAGCTTGGAGCTGCAAGAGTTGGGCCTGGTGGAGTCAATTTGGGGCATCCCATTGACTCGCATGAATGTCCACGCGCTCCCCCTTCCTCTGGTTAGCGTCTGTTCGATCTGCCCGGTCCACCTTGTGTTCTGCCTGTCAGACCGACGTCGATCAGGCACGCGGTCGATTCATCAGGGCCAAATTCTTTCCGACTCGAAGACGGGTGTTGGAAAAGTGGAGGACGAGGAGACGGAAAGAGGCTGAAAGGCGGCTGGCTGCCTTCAGCTGGCCTGATTGATTGCCCCTGCCTTTCGCCTTTCGCCTTTCGCCTTTTGTCCTTCTCCCATCCACATCCACCTTCCACCCCCCGGGTTCTTTCGAACCCACTCCTGTTGTCTAGCCTTGGCCGTGCATCCATCAGGACCATAACCCGTCCGAAAGGAGCTTGGCCGTCCCCACACCGCACCCACAGACCAAGTCCCCTTCGTCACCCGGATCCACCGAACCGATCTCCATCACCCACAGAATGGTTTCGGCATTTTTCTCGATTCGCCGTCTCTGGAGGTTCCAGATTTGCCGACTGAACCTCAGGCCACCTACACGGACTGGCGTCTTCCCCGTGCTAAACTCCGTAAATTCGGCCGTCTCTCGTGCTCGGGTTCGTATCGTCCGAAGCTTGCATTATCGTCGACAAAACCCCCCACCGGAATGGTCTGCGTTCATCTCCACTACGGTGCTCAATCGCACCAAAACTCTCTCTTCGGAACCGCTCCGCCCGGGAACTGCCTTGATAGGACCCATTCTGGACACCATACCTGGACATGCTGTGGCAGGGCGAATTCGGTGGGTTTCTAGCAACAGGAGAAAGAGGACGAAGATGAAGTATGGAGAACACTCCATTGCGTCAGAAAGTACTATGCAGAACCCAAAAAGCAGAGCAAGCCTAGCCACGATTGACAGACGCTATGATCAAACCGGATCGCGCGCCCCTCTGCCCTTCTTCTTTGGCATCTCCTGCATGGACCCGGAGGGGCCTGAGGCTCGAGCCCCCAAGCCCCCAAAAATCGCATTGACTTTAATATCACCCTTTGGTGGCTTGGGGTGATCGTCCCCCAAGGACCAAAGAATTCCGGCCCCCCTTTCAGGTTCACCGAGACCCGATGCTGGAGATCCGTTCTGACTAAGAGGCAGAGGATAAAAATATACTCCGGAGGATGATATGGATGATCCCCAAGAGTGGGGCAAGGCGAACGAGAAAGGGGGCCAACCGCAGTGCAACATGCGACATCATCACCTGTAATACTACCTGGTGGATTTGCTGTGCAGCAAATCCGCCATCGTTCATCCTCCAGCCCAAACCTTGGCGGGGTCAAATGCAGGCCCAAATGAAATGATTCCCAACTTCCGCCGCGCTCTGGTGGCCCCGCTGTGCTCCGCCGGGGGACAAACGGAGAGAGAAATCTGACATTAAATCCAATTAATCCTAATTCTGCACCATGATTCGCTCCCAATCAAGCCTACCAGACTACGAGCGGAGAGCGGAGTTCCTCGAGCAGTCCATGGAGGGTTGCGCATCGTCTGCGACTCCGTAGTGGCTCTTCCGTGGTCCTCACTCCGCCCTGAGGAGTAGGTTCTGTCATCACTCTAGTGCCTAGTTCGGTCCCCTACTAGCGACTAGTTGCTCCATCCTTAGCTATGTCCTCATCTCTTGCGGTAGCCTCGTATTGGATACGGCGATCCGGATCGCTGGCAATGGAGGTTGGCCCAGCTGGGACCTCAAATAGGAATGACCGGAATCCGAGCAATGGGAAAGACAACGAACCGGTAAACCAGAAGAAGATAGATAAAATCAGAGAGAAATGGGAAGGGAAAAAAAGAGTTCGCGCCTTCACTCTTCTCTCTCGGACGGCTGTTTAATCTCCGCACATCCTGGTTCCAACAGTCTGGGTCCAACCTCACCCCACCCCCGACACCTTTCCCTTTCATCTCCGACCATTGCCCTCCTTTTCCGCGATGCAAGTTCCCGTTGGGGCACTTCGCTGACTTTCATGGGGGATCCACGCGCAGCCTAACACACACACAGAGAGAGAGAGAGAGAGAGAGAGAGAGAGGGAGATAGCGCGCCTAAGAAGAAGGCCGCAAAGAGGGCCCGAATCCCAGAATTCCATACTTTGGTCCCCAAACCCAACTTGATCGCGACCTGATCTCTGCCCACACCACCATGGAGCAATCGTATCACCAGTCCCAGGCAGCCCTAGCTGGCTTCCTCGATTCAATGCAGCAGGACACCAGCATGTCCGCATACAGTCTCTTTGGCCCGTCGCAGTATCCTGAGAGCGTTGCGTTCTGGCATGATCCCTCCGCGGCGCCGGCCATGGCTATTTCCGCTTCGTCATACCTGCCCAAGCAGCCGACCCTGCTGCAGCCCATCCCGGATCAGAAGAAGCATAAGCGCACCCGCAGCGGCTGCTTTACCTGTCGCTCGCGCCGCATCAAATGCGACGAAGGCCGCCCCGTCTGCGAGCGCTGCCGGAAGGGTAGTCGGGACTGCGTCTATCCGTCGCCCGCAGCGCCCTCAGCCAAGGGCTCCCGCACATCGGCAAAGGCGCGCAGCGCGCGCCCCCAGTCGCAATGCAGTGACTCATCCGGAAAGGTGGAAGCCGAAGATGCTGGCCCGCTCGAGCCCATCATCGACGAGGAGGAACCTGATGAGGCCGGGGTGAGCTCGGGGCTCTCGCCAACGAGTAGGGGCGGTGCTGGCCAGTCGCACTCCGATCTGCATCGCACGCAAAGCGGTCAGTCGCTGCGGAAGCGCAGCATCAATCCGTCGCCGGAGACAGGATCGTTCCATCTGGAGCCAAGCAGCTCGCCATCGACCGAGTCGTCACGGTTTGAGTCGATAAGTGTGCGGTCGGCGAGTGTCGGTCAGTCTACGCTAGATCTGCTCAACAATAGCCGGCTACCGGAGGATTTGCGGTTCTACTTGGATTTTCACCAACAGTACATCTCGCATGAGCACTTCTTTCTGAGACAGGGCAGCGCTCGCTTCATCCATCACAGCATCATCGAACTCGCACTGGGGTATGACCCTCTCTTGTATGCCCTGGTGGGATTTGCCGCATATCACCACACTTTGCAGAGTGGAGGCAAGCTCTATGCTTTCCTGAAATACTATAATAAAGCCTTGGTGCTCTTACGCAAGTCCTTGGGATCGGCAACGGAACACAGTGAAGCAACATTATGTACCGTTCTTGTTCTGACGACATTTGAGGTATTAAATCGTGACGCTCTTCTTCTTGGTTGCAACGTTGGGGCGCTTTCTAACCGCTTTCTGCGATCCAGGAGTACATCGGGGATTGGGTCAACCTGATCGATCACCACCAAGCCGCACACGCCTTGATGCGAGAACTATTGACACCGGAATCGTCCAATTTAATCGAGCTACATACCAACATCTTTCTCTGGTACGCACGGTTTGACGTCGTGGCCGGCATCTTGGCCGGCACAGAGGCGATTCTGGGCCGTGACTGGTACATGGCCAAGGAGCAACACGATGCCCACCAAGCAGCCCTTTACCCCGACGATCCAAGCAAGCAGCTCGCGCTAGTGGCCTCGATCAATCGTCGCTTCGGGCTGGACATGGCCTCGCTCTATGCCAAGCTTTCGCGCGGTATGATTCCGGTGGACCAGTTTGCCCTACAGAACGAACAACTCGGTCAAACCTTGAAACGTGCGAATAACATTCTCAAGCAATTCGATGATTCTGAAGACACCGTACACTCGTATGCGAATCAGCAGCCTCTGACGGATGATGATATCGTGGATCCGTACGTGCCAGGCTGTATACACCAGGGACCTCTTTGGGATGCCAACTATGCAAGGATTGATCTCCTGTCCACCGAATTGATGTTCAAGTACCAGACCATGCTATCTCTGAAGCAGCCGCTGCTCCCAGATCTGCAGCGTCTGGCACTTGAACAATGCCAATTGATTGAAACAATTTCACGCTGGCCTGGTAGGAGCAATGGGTTCTGCATCGGCTTCAAGAATAGTCTTGGCCTTTCGAGCATGTTTCTACCAAGGGACATGAAGCATCAGATGTGGTCGAGGCGCAAGCTGGCCCTAATGGAGCAAAATGGGTAAGCCTGCTCCAGAACCCCTTTTCTATCGTCCGGTTTACTGGAAGTCTGTTCAAATGCTCACAAAGTCTTTCCGACTAGTTATATCATTGCCCCCCGATTCCGCACCGCCCTCGCTGCCATCTGGCAACTCCCCGAAATCGAGCATTGGTGGCTGCCCAACGACGAAGGCTACTCAGACATTATCCAGGAGATCCGGGGTATGTCCGAGGAGCGCATGAATCAGCCTCGTGACGACGACTTCCGCGAGAATGTTCGGGACATGAAATCGCTCTTCTGGAAACTTAACGTGGATGAGCAGGATGATGAGCAAAGCCCTTCAAGCAGCCATACCAGCTATACCTGACGAATCCACAGCGGATCTACCCATACAATTTCTTCTTAACCACGCCGACCCCTGCTGCCCCGGGTGCGATTTCATCCACTCAACACCCGTGCCTCTGCATATTGCGAGCCATGTCAAAAATAGGCTCAAGCTGCGCTCCAGTCACCGCTATATACCATTGACGGTTGTTCCCCGGGGGACCAGCGTCCGAGAACCCCACACACCGAATAAAGGCCATCATGAGCCACCTCCACACTCTTGAGCGGGTGGCACCCTTAGCCGCCTTTCCACATGAGAGAACCAAGTCAACGAAGCTAAGACTCAACGGGGCACCGCTCAGCATGTGTCACGTTCACCTCTACCAAAGATCCACCTTTCTATTCCTCGAACACTGCCCATATATTGCATGTCACCAATCAATAACCTAATTCCCACCCTCGATTCCCCCATCTTCGATCTTTCGCACGGCATTTCGCTGGTCATGACTTGATGTGCACATTTATCTTTTATTATACCCGATCGTTGCTTGACACCGTCGACACAAATCACATCTTATTTTATTGGCATTATCTTGGGGCTTTGATATAATACTCTTATACCAGTGGTACTACATTATCTCGGGATATACTATTTACAATCAATAGAGGTGGAGCGTCGAATAAATTGGCTGTGTGTGATGTGTGATTCTGGTATTTTCGTACTTGAAATGTGGCAGCGTATTATCTATCGTCAAGTCACTACGACGCAGCCGTTTCACCCCTACAATGACAAATTAATTTTGACTAACAATTAACACGTGAAACGTCAGTAGCACATTTTGGCTCATCCAGATTCATATGACATGGATCTATTTAATGTCTATGGAAACTCAATGATAGGGGCGACCCTCAACTCGCCAAATGCACATCACATTTCCAATGGTACTTATATAGCATAGCATTGTTTGAATACAACTGACACCTTTTGAAATTCCACAATAATGCCCATACAACTTTCGAACTCTCGAAGATAAAAGACCCCGTTTCGCTCGATGTCCTTCGTGGTCGAAATTATTATCCTGCGATTTGCAACCACGCCAGTTCCATTTGCGGATTCCAACCCTAGCACTAGCAGACCTTCCTCTAGCTCTAGTATGTCCTCCAACCGCAAGCCATAGATAGAGCTTCCCTAATTCGGGACTTCTTCAACACAGACATCGCGGCGCTCAAGTCGTACATCAACCGTGAAGCCCACTTGCCCAATCATATGAGGGCAGACTTGTTCGATGGCTGAGTCTGTGACTTAGATGCGTACTGCCGCGTAATGAAGCCCTTGGACATTGACTTCCACACCGAAATAGAAAAGGATCTGAATAGCGTTTGTAAGAGGTGCCCTATATATTCTTTGAGGCCTAACCAAAGGACTCAAATGAACCATTCATGATGAATACTGAATGTATCACAATGCTTTTGTACAAAGCACTTTAGTCTTCCACAGAACAATGAAGATCACGTACAGCCGTCGAGCCCTGAAAATCAAAGATATCATTCTCACTCAATTTACCAGTCGGACTAAATCCCATGCAATCTCTCAAGAATCAAGCACTATCAGCAACCATACAAATTCGGAATCCCTTGCCCAGTTCCTTGATACCTGCAACCCCAATCAATCCTGGGCCACCATCTCGTACTGAAATGGCTTCTCCAGCTCCAGCTCCGACTCCAGCTCCAACTCCAGCCCCAACCGACCTTCAGCCGGGACCTGCCGCAACGAATGAAATGGCTTTGGACCATTACAAGAAATTCATGAAGATGGCCAGTGACGCGCTGGAGTCGTGGGCAAATGGTACCTCCACTCTATCCCAAGAAATGAAGGCAGACCTAGCAAGTAGCTTTCTCGATGAACATAGGATATTCTGGCTGCGATGGAGGACCGTGAACAAGAGGCTAATGACGACGAGCCCTATTCGCTGGATCGATGATCGAGGTGATGATATTGGCCGGAAACTGTTGCAAATCAGGAATAAGCTGAGAACGAAGCAGGAGGTTTCAGTTGTTACAAAGGGGTTAATGAGAGAGGTCGTGAAGATCTGGTTCGGGCTGAAGTACAACGAGTATTTCGGGATATCCGGTGTTTTACACGGCCGCTCTAAGAATGGAAGGACAGACTGGGGTCGTAAAAGATGATCATGATATTTAGAGAAATTCTGGGATGTATCTTGAAAGGCTAGCGTGGTGACGATAACTGTCTGATTGTTTAGGTGGATTTGATTCTACTTGTTCTTCTTGGCATCAAAGTTTCGCTGGAAGTAGATGGTTCGTCGTAATATCCTACGCAATATTAGGAATGACAGGATTGACGGTCTCCGGCGTTGGTGACAGGCGCCGGGGTTGAATCATAAATGTAATGGCTCAGTCATCATGGGTGGTATTGGGTGCTATGCCTCGAGTAGCCGGTCAGTTCCGCACATTGTATATAGCCCCTGAGATCCCGGGGTATATATGCCAACGTACAAGCCCACCTTAGGCCCGCCTGTCGCCAGGGCCGCAGCCAGCCTTCCACGGAACCTCACCGGCACTAACAACCGTCTCCCACCCACCAGCCAACTCGCGACTACTGCCAATGCCAAGTTCATCTCCGTCTACCTCCTCGCCCCAGGGCAAAGCATCAACGTCGACTTCCCACCCCAGCAAACAGCGTAGCACCACGCCCGCGCCGGCCTTACTCATAACAACATTCATCTCCTTGCACCGCTCGTCACACACGCACTCGACACACCCCTGCGGTGAAAGACAAGAACAAGCCTCGATGCGAGCTACTGCGCGCCTCAGGAGTAATCCGATAAATTCGAAAGCTTTACTCGCAATACCAGACCCGCAAGACCCACCCTTTGCATCATAGAAAGTCAGCCGCGCAGGCCGCTGGCGCGACGGCGGCTGAATCTTTTTTCTAGCTCTGCATTAGACATGCCTGATTCATTCGCGCGACGCAGCCCCCGGCCTAGTTCCTTCTTCGCGACCTTGCATTCCGTGCGGACGTCACCGGGCGAAGAGATGACGAACGACGGGAGGAGCGAGAGGACTGCGTGCTCAGCGGCGTGGATGGCGGCTGCAATGTTGAGCCGGTGCGATTCGAGGATCTCGATGGCTCGGGAGGGTACGTCCAGCCACATACCCTTGGTGAAAATATCGATGGGCGGATTATCGACCGCGACGGCGTCGAGGACGCGGCCACGCTTATCGATTTTGAAGAAGCCATACACGACGGCGTGGATCTGGACTGCGCCGAAGAAGGCGCGGCATGAGTCGGGACCAGGGCCAACAGGCCGCATGCTTTCAGTCTCGATCGGGTCGATGTCAGTGAAGTCACGTTGCATGGTGCTCCAGTCGACGTGAACTCGTAGGACACGAGCAAAGTGGCGTTCCGTGTTGAGTTCCTGGACGATGTATGTTTGGCCTTGATGGAGGAAGATACCACCCTCGTAGATGGTAAAAAACGCGCGCGATGCCTCCACTTCTTCGAGGACCACGTTGCGCTTGTTTGTTGTGTCGATCACAGCAAAGTGCGTGTCCTCTGTGTCGCGAATGTTCACGCACCGCCACGGCTGGGGCCGGAACCGGTCATGGCAATGATAGAAGCCCATACTATCCTTAATCAGGCGTGTCGCCGCGAGAGCGAAGAGCTGCTCACCGAAGTAGATATGGTCTTCCTCTGGCCGGATAGGCATCTCAAAGGCAGCACATTGAACGTGTCCTTCCTGGATGAGCTCGTTGGCCAGGTCGATTTGCAGCTCGCAATTAGGCCGGGTGAAAATCTCATCGGGGTTTTGCATGTAGTGTTGGTCTGTAGGGTATCTGTCGCCCACTAGCACAGACAAAGAATCTTTATTCCGCCGACCAGCACGGCCACTCTGCTGCCGCAAATTAGAAATTGAATATGGGAAACCAAGGGTGATGACTGCGTCTAGGGAGCCAATATCAACGCCCAATTCGAGCGCATTCGTTGCCACAATTCCCATCAATTTCCCTTCGAACATTTCTTTCTCGATGCGTCGTCGATCCTGGGGGCTATATCCGCCTCGATAGCCCATGACCATCTTGCCGACTTCGAGTCTTTCGAGAGCCTGGAACTCATTGCGGACAGCTTGCAGGAGGATCTCGCATAGCTTTCGTATTCGACAAAAAGCAATCACCCTTACCCCTCGAAGGATTAGCTGGCAGAACAAGCGGGCAGTCTCTGTGACGCTGTCACCGCGTCCAGAAGTTGGGTCAGCCGGGTCCTTGAATGGTGTGTTCCAGCAGACAAATTCCTTGCGGCCAGAGGGAGATCCGTCAAAGTCGACCAATCTCACATCCTGCACGCCGAAGATCGATTTCATATGCTGCTCGGGGTTCGCAACTGTGGCGGAGCAGGATATGAACTTGACATGTCGGTTGCCTACAGCAGCACAGATTCTCCGGAGTCGTCGCATGATATAAGCCACGTGGGACCCAAACAAGCCATTGTAGACATGCAGTTCGTCAACAACCACGAATTTCAGGTTCTTCAAGAAGGTACGCCAGGCACTTTCCTGCGGAAGAATCGTGATATGCAGCATATCCGGATTGGTGAACACAATGCGAGCCTCATCGCGGATGAGATTCCGGCTGCCCATTGGCGTATCTCCGTCAAAGGTTTCCACCATTGTATGTTGTAAGCCGTCCATGAATTGGAGAAGCTCCATCATACTGCGCCTCTGGTCTTGAGCCAGAGCTTTGGTGGGGAAAATATACATGCCCCTGCTTTCCGAATCCTTTTCCAGCTCGTGAAGCATAGGAATCTGGTAGATGAGCGACTTCCCCGAGCTGGTTGAGGTGGATACAATCACGTTGTGACCCTCGTACAAAAGATTGATTGCCTCGGCCTGATGGGAGTAGAGCTGGGTAATGCTTTTTGTATTGTATAGCGCATTGACCAGGTCTTGCGACAGCTGAAACGCCAAATCACCGTACATGGGAGACTGAGCATCAAATACGCGATGTCCCTCCGGAACAATCTGAGCATGATACCACTCCATCTCACGGATTTCAGCAATGATTTCCGCAATAGACTTGCGTTCCTTGGGAATCGTGGCAGGCGGTTTCGCAACGACAGGGGTATTCGCCCCACTATCTGGAGGTGTGGGCAGAAATGCATTCTTCTCCTGTTCCAAAGTCTGGACCGGCTCAAGACCTTGGTCTTCACAACGGACGAGGAATGCATCAATCGCATCCGTGAATTTCGCGTTGCGTTTTTCGATAAGGGCCAGCATCTGCTTTTGGCTGTAAACCGGCACCTTCAAGTCCTCATCTTTCATTCGGCGCGTAGGCTTAGATGGTTCTCCAGTTTTGGGATGCTGAACCTCCCGCTTGAGATCGCCATCCACGAACTCGAAGAGTAGAACGTCTTTCTTGTCATCATCCTGGTCTGCATGCTCGCTGTTCATGTCCTCGGCAGTGAGCATGCTATGTCGCCTATGTAATCCATAATCGGTAATGTCTTTATCGGCAACGGTCATGACCTCCAGTCGCGCTTCGTCCACATACTCGAATCGCACCGCCCGCGGTACCAGCACCTTCACCCTCGCCACGTCCTCGGCTGTGAGTTCTCGCCCTGTGCCGAGCTGCCCCTGTACAGCCTTCTTGATATTATCAAATGTGGTCGCAAAATGCTTGCGCGTGCAGCAGAAGGTGTACACGAGGTTCAGGGCGCGATGGGTTTGTGAGAGACGCTTAAGCTCATCAGGCCAAGGCGTGGACGGGGTTCTCTTTTTCGGGGCTTTGGATTGCGGGTTTGAGGCGGTAGATTTCTTCCCTTGACCTGTTTTCTTCTTTTTTAGTTTGCCCATTTCCCCTGGCCTGTGAATCGGACGCATTATGAAGGGAAGCGGTCTCTGTAGCGTCATTGGTATCCGCAACCGAAAACGCGTTCAAGGACGGGGTCACGGTGGTGTTAGGAGCTCGGTCGTCTCTTTCGTGGATCTGCTTTCGTTTGAGAATATTTTGAGCGGGGACTGATGAGGGGTCCATCATGTCGGCACCCCATCGCGGTCGTGCATCAAGCTGTGGCCGGATTACGAGTTCCAAGCAAACCTCCCCAGGCTGAGACGCCAGGAAACGCGAGGTCACGTGCACCAATATAACCCATTCAGGCGACGCTCCGTGGCGATGAAGAGTCGCAAACGCCATTCAAATCGTTGAGGTCTTCTTAACAAGCATGTATTGTACAAGTCGTTACCACCGCCCTCTTCGGGTTATTTTGTGCCAATTTGCAAATAATCTCGAATAGACGCAATAATGGAAAAGGACGTGGGCAGCAGCAAATCTTTACCAACTCCAACCTTCGAGACTCCTTCGATACTCCTTGGAGACTCTAATACTCTTAGCCTTTGTTTGGCTCCTTCATTTGTCAGTCCTATTCGGTTTACAAGAGCTGTCTTATGGGAACCACAACGAAAGCTTTCAATTTCATCGTAAGGAAACACCCTTGAAGGCGAGCAACTTTCAACCAATGCTGCGAAAGTGGATAATATTTGTACATGAGAATTTTTCCTGGCCATAATGGATGGAAATACATAGCCTCATCGCCTTTTCTTGCTGTTATTGACCCGATTGACCTGTCAGTGTAAGTCCCGGCGCCGGCTTGTCCAGTTTCCACAACCGTCATTTTTGGCTTCGCCGATTATCGGCACTTTGGTCATCTGGGTATGATTCATTTTCGGCAACCATTGATCTCGTTGGACTACCCGTCAGCCTGAGAGCTTGCTTTTAAAACATCCGATGTAGCATTGGATGATGTATATCTACTAGCATCTTCCGACCATAGGAGATTGAATAGAACTTCATCCGGCTTACAGCAACCCCCACGCCTCCGACGATTGACACCGCCTGGGCCCCTTCCACCTTCCTCAGTCAGGGATTGGGTTAAATATCGGGCCGTCGCTGATTCAACGCCCTTTCCCTCATACTAACTATAATCCGTTGCTTACCTATCCGACATGTCCTTTCATATTCAACACACGTCCAGAAGACTGTTTTGTCTCTCCCAGAGGACCTTTGCGGGACTATCGGCCAGCTACAAAACAATGTCTACCACGGCAGGATCCAAGCCCGCCCATGACTGGAGCGCGGCGCAGTACCTCAAATTTGAAGATGAAAGAACCCAGCCAGCGCGCGACCTTCTTGCTCGGGTGCCTCTCCAAGCCCCTAAGACTGTAATCGACCTCGGCTGCGGGCCGGGCAACTCGACCGCGGTCCTGGAGTGCCGCTACCCCAGCGCGCATCTTGTGGGGATGGACTCATCCCCAGACATGATCCGCAAAGCTAAGAAGGCACTCCCACACCGTGAGTTCACCGTCGAAGATTTGAAGTCGTATTCACCGCAAGGCCCTGTCGACCTGTTCTTTTCCAACGCCGTCTTTCAATGGCTCGGCAGAGATGAGCGATTCACCATCGTCAAGAAGTTGATGGAAACCCAACCTTCTGGGGGCGTGTTCGCTCTTCAAGTTCCCGACAATCTTATGGAGCCATCCCATGTTCTGATGCGGGAAACTGCGCGCAATGGACCTTGGGCAGCGACTCTCGAAAACATTGGCCGAGATACCTTTCAGACGCCGCAGGAGATTTATGACCTGCTCAAGCCGGTTTCTTCGAGAGTGGATATTTTCCGTACCAGCTATTATCACAGTCTTGAAAACCATGAGGCTATTGTTGAATGGGTTAAAGGCACTGGGCTAAGGCCTTACTTGGATCCTTTATCACCTCAAGAGACGGAGGGGTTCCTGCGCGAGTACTTGAAGCGCTTGGAGAAAGCCTATCCATCGACATGTGATGGCCGAGTTTTACTTCCATACCCGCGGCTCTTTGTAATTGCGGTCAAAAAATAGTTCTGTATCTGCATGTGGGCTATTTTTGAATCTTTCATGTACCATTCATCAGTCTCATAATCTATCGGCAGCCTAGTCTTTGAGCCCTACGTATTAAGCTATTGGTCAACTGAGTAAAATGTACGGTAATACACTATTTCCAAATACTAACTAACAATTACTTGCAGAACATCTCTCCCTTTGAACCACCGCTCCAGATTCTCCGCGGTCTTCTCATACCAAGCATATATGGTTCCTTCCTCAACATCCCCCATATGCGGATTCAGTAGCAACTGGCTTCGCCCATTAACCCCCCAATCGATCGATCACCATGAACCATCTACAAGGTATGGCCCTAATTCGAAGGCATCTCACGCCGTACCAGCAATCTTATTATATTTCAATTCTAGTACGAGGCAGTCTCGTCAATCAACGGTCCCCACGAGGTACTCAACAATAACCTCTACTCGTTCATAAGCTTCATCTCCTTCTTTTCATCCACGCCTCGAGACCTTTTACTGAGCACATGACGCAGAGTAAGGCCATCCGCGGGGCCACGCGCCGCGGAGTTCTTCTTTGTTCACAGCCCCAAAGATCGGTTTCCATCTTGGTCATAGACGTTCAACTCCACCACCTCGAATTTTCGATCAGCGTTGTCTTGCCTCGAATTTTTACTCCAGCGAATGTCTCGCACGCCGAACACTAAAGCTCCGATCCTGGCCACCGCTGCGCTCAGGCGTCCCCGTCGGAAGACGCCTAACCTTGTTCCTGTGGATTCTTCGGCCAATTCAGTTTGCCATAGGGCTTTGAAGAGGGGCCCTGTTTCATGACTACATCATGAGGTGTGCTATTTCTTGCCAGAGCCAAAATGAGGGCTCGGTTTCATTTTTATTTATCTTCAAGCCAAAGCTTGGTTCGGACTTGAACCTGAAAGGATGAATTACAAAACTCGCAGTCGTGGCCAAGGTATTTGCAGAGTCTGCCAGAACAGGATTATATAGGTGATTACTATAACAATATTATCGCGGATGTGGATCGCGCCGTCGAGCGGATTCTATGGTTCCCATTATTCGAATCTTATTCAGAAATGTGATGGTAAGGCAGGGACAAAATGTCGACTTCGCCGGCGTACGGCATACAGCAATTTCGACTAATCATTGGCGTATCTTTGGAGATGGAATCATGGAACAACAACCAGCGGAAAGGACGGCAAACGCGGACCGTCACCAGAATTGAATTATTAAATAAGAAGCTCAAGAGAGATTCTCGACTTGCATCGACTTGTTCATCCTTCCTGGTCTTTATGTCATTATGACGTTTAAAAATGCATCCAAAACTGCTATTGCTCATTGATTGCATCCACCCACGGAAAGCGGAAGTTTCAAGCACTCCGGAAAAGGAGTGAAATGCACATGAGGGTTAGCATTTTCATTCTTCATGAGCGACCGCTTCAAATTCGGAATCTTGTTCAATTCTTCTATCTCGTGTTCGCTCAGGTCACGCCCTCTGTAAAGTCAAGTGAATATGCTTACTTCAAGATAAAAACAAAAAGAGTAGATAAGGCTCGGATTGGGAGTAATACGTACGCTATGAAAGTTGGAGGGGATGATGGAACGGAGATAGGTGGAGGCCCGTCCGTCCCTCTAAGCAGTCTTCTCCAGGTTGTTATTATATGTGAAGAAAAAACAACAAGCACCTAGCAACTCACTGTTTCGCCATCTCCCCGGTTTCAACGTAAGTAGATACATCCTTGAAATGCACGGTAACTTTCTTTCGATTTTAGGGCAGGGTAAGTATCAAAAGCTTATCACGATGAAATATGGAGGGCGTTACCGGCATGGCTCAGTGTGCTGAAATTTGTCAAACAGAGAGAAGCAGTACGTGCAACTTGGTTTCCGAGAAGCTTGAATTCGAAGCAGGAGTTAACTAAGACAGTGATACCTATATATTTTGAAATTGCATACTGTCAGTGCATGGTGTCATGACAAGCATTTTCCGTTCCGAATGCTCGATACCAGCAAGTGATGGAACAACAAGAGCCGGGAGCGGATAAATTGAGTTTGTTACGCTTTAATGCCCATGCTCTATGCGATGAAAAAGGTGTAGCTTATGCAGAATGCGAGCACCCAGATACTCGCAGTCTTTCGATAGTTGAGTTACATCAATTACTTGCGATTCCCTCTTCCATGTGATCTGGGCTAAACTTCTGGGTAAACATTGTTTCTCTATAGCTATAATTAGCTATAATGATGCCTGGTTTGCTTTGTTATTTGATAAACAAAAGATTTTCTTATAATGACATCTAGTACTCTCAAAAAACAATAGTAAACTATTTGAGAGACAGGAATTCCGGTAACCCTTCTCACTTTGACTGTTATTCCTCGAAAGGCTGAATATTTAGGTTCTTTCAGATATTTCTCCACCCCGAATATGCTGGTGCCGTCTGCGTGCCTACAAATCGAGCGGTGCATGAGAGATTCCTATTTTATGATTTGTTTTGTGTTGATTTGCCCTGGTGACTTTAGTCTATCAAGTATAAAACTAGCAGGGATGCGGCTAATTATAGGGAACAACCGGCAGTGACGGATGATTCCACAGAATGGCGGCCGGCCCGGCCGGCGCGGGAAGACAATATGGAAAAGATTTGTGAGATATGTCAGGAGGCCCATCTCTGCGAAACCATCCCTGCCCCTCCATCGCCAACAACACATTCAAAAGCTATATAGCGAGATGGCATACCTCCAGAAGCTTCGATCCTTCTTCTCTTCTATGGCTTATCGAAAATCTAAAATCGAGCCTGCGGAACTAAATCCCCTAACCGCAGACGATAGTCGCCGCGAAGCAGATTCACATCATAACAAAAAGCCAATTCTTCAACAAGAGCAGGATGATTTTGATGATCCATATATGGCCCTTAGCGAAATCGCAGCACCTGAACCGGTTGAAAGGCTTCCGGAAGCAAAGTTGGCACGGCACCCTTCTTTGGAACAAGGCTACCAAAATCAGCAAAGCGATATCTACGGGGCCCTCAGTGAAATAGCGGCCCCTGAGCCTGTCAAGAGGCTCTCGGAAGAAGAGATAGCACACCATCCTTCTTTGGAGAAGCAGCTTTCAAGAAATTCGCATCATTAATTGGCGTTCGCTTCTCATTTATCTTAAAAAATCTTAAGTTGCCGTATCTATCTTTTTTCTTCGAGGTATTCACGCCGGGACTTTTCAGACATCCATATTTCAACTTGAGCATGGTACTGGGTGCTGTTAGTGAATTTTTGGAGCAGGTTATGCCGCTCTGGAGAGCGAAACTAATGTTTTCACCCTCTACGTGGCAAGGGCTCTTCCGACAAGGGCGCAACTTCTTCAGCCCGCCACGTTCACACTGTGCAACTAAGATGGCTGAGTGGGAGTCTGTATCTCTTCTAGCTTGATCATCTGCCAAAGAATTTCCGTTACATGCTGCGATGCCGGAAATCCGTGTCTTCAGTTGCCCTTTCCAGCGATAGTTCCAAACTAATAAACTTTCAGTCTTCCAATTTATCCGGCCGCGCTCATTATCATTCTGCTAACATACTGATAATGGGTTGGAACACCATAAATCTCTGGTTGATATGACCCTCTGAATGATCAATCGTCTCGGGTCGTGACTTAGTTAATCCGAGTAGAGCCCTGCGCACTCTTCACGACATGCGATTTGGAACGCAGCAATCGATTACTGGTGCAATCTTTTCCCTCATCACTCTTGTTGCCGTGATTTTCTCGATGAGCGACGACTCCCTGCCTGGCTCAAAAGCGATGCCTTTAATGAGATCGATGATATGGCGAGCAGCTTTTGGCCCAGGGGACACCTGAGTGTGTCTACAAGAAGACAATTACAGAACTCGAAACAGATGAATATTCGTAAACGCTAATGATCAAACACGTCGCTCACTCATAGTGGCAACATGAAAACTCCATGTGCACCGACCCCCGACTCCTCCCTGCTCCCTTTTCGAATCTTCGCATCAGACCAGAGCGTCTATCGTTTGTATCGCATGCTCATCTTCTCTGTATTCACGTTTTCACTCGTCATTGAGGAGATCTTTGATGACACCGTAGAGATCTTTCGCGAGAGCTTCGTTTCCAACCTGCATGAGAAAGGTCAGTCAATATATCCATGATGAAGAGCGCGCAGGTAGGATAGCTTACGCGCAACAACAAAGGCACAGTGCGGCCTTCCTCACTACTTGCAAGGAGGATCTGCTTGGTTGTTGGTTCTTCATTCTTTGCATCACCGAAGGTCATGCCCTGGAAGACAGGGCTGTTCAACATGACGCGTAGCGCACCATCGGCACGCATGATCATGCGGCCAGTCTGCTTGTCGGCGTCATTCTTGCGGGCGTTGACCTTGAAAGTACCGACACCACGCTCCTTCCACTCGCCGCTCGTGAAATGGAAGAGCTTGCCCTTGCAAGCAAATATCGTCTCCTCCTCTTCCTCGCCAGTCTCGACTGTGTCATGAGGTCAGTTGGAATGATCAAATGAAGTATATCCGGGAGGGAAAGCGAACTCGTCTGTTCATAGAAGCGCTCGTCGGTCTTATCAGCCTCAAATGTGCTGTTCTCTTCACCGCCGTCACTATCGCTTCCTTCATCATCGGATTCTTCAGCGCCGATTGCCTTTGACTTGGACTCCCCGCCGAAGGTCGCAGGGGCGTTTGGAGACGCGAAGTTTGTCAAACCGCCGGACTTGCCTGCAGCCGCAAAGCCGCCACCAACACCAGCAAACCCACTTGTCAGGGAACCGAAGCCGGAAGGTCCAGAAGAGCCGAAGCCAGTCTTGCTGGAGCCGGAAGACTTGAAGACTGATGGAGTGATTGCACCGAGGGTGCCGAAAGGGGAACTCTCAGAGCCCGCGAAGGAACTCAGAGCAGAGGATGCGAATGCAGAGGTCGACGTGGGCTTCTCAGTAGTCGAGGACGAACCACCGAGTGAAGCGAAAGGGGAGGCCGCAGCCATATTTGCAAATGCGCTTTGAGCGAAAGCCTGGATTGAAATTGGTGAGAGAGTGACGGAGGGAGAGGACGAAAAAAGTAACGATGGGCGAATCTGAACGAACCTTGTTCGTTTGTGTCTCGCGCTCCTGGGAATTGTCACGGTGTCGTTTCTTCTCCACCTCCTCTGACTTCTGCGCGCCTTCTTCCTCAAGCTGTTCTAGGCTCCGCTTTTTCTTCAGCGCCTTCGCGGCATCGTCGTTCGTCGCGTCGGTGGTCGCTCGTTTCTCGGCATCCTGTGGAATTGTGTTGGCGTTATCATTCTCCATGGCATCAAAATGCGTATCCTGGCCACAGATCCGGCCACTGGACGATAACTCTGAAAGGCACGAGTAGGGCATTCTGGCTGCACCCCAGGAATCTCCGACTCAGGCATGTTCTTGCGGGTGTACCAAAAGTGCTCGCGGTACTGAAGCGTGGACACAGTCGAAGCTTGCTTGTCGGACGCGAGCTGCTATCGACGCCTGAGCCTCCTCTCCGGATTCAAAGTCCGAGTCCGAGTCCGAGATGACGGTGACCTCAGGCACCTCGACAATCTCGAAAACCCAGACAGAGACTCCGAATCCATGGAGGATTCGATGACCTCCTGGGGCACTGCGAAGATGGCGGGTTTCCCGGGCAGCGCGGAGTCCTCAAGTTCGGAATCCGCGAAATGACGATGATCTTGGGTTCGGGCCCGTTGGGTCCCGGGGAGGACCATCCGTGGCCAGCTTCTTGGGGGTGGTAGGTACGGGATCCTTAAGAGGTGGGTTCACTCACGTTGTCTGTTGCGGAGACTACCAAACTCTCCTCCTTCGCGATCTCCACTGGGGTGCACTCGCGCGATCGCTTCCGTCGCCCATCGCCGTTCTCGATTACGTCGTCGGTATCCCCGCGGACCTCCTCAAACGATCGCTTCCTGCCGCTGCCCTGTTCCGGGGCCGACGCGACGGAAGACGTATCTCCAGAAGAGCTCATTTTATTGGAGGGGTCGATGGAGGTCTCCTTCAGCTGCTTGCGGACCGGGCGCTCGTCGTTATCGGAGGGCGGGGAGGGGGCGTTTCCGCTAGTCACTGCAAAAGGAGAATTCGGTCAGATCTTGAGAATTTTGGAGAAAGAGCATATAAGCTAGGTCACAAGGAATATTTGCTGGTAAAAATGCGCAAAGGGCCAGAAGGGTCGCAGCAGCGGTCACCTGGCAGCACACGTAGCCGGGACTGCAAAGTTGCTCTGGTCGTTCGCCACGGCTTCCGTGCGATATCGGCCGGTGTCCGCGCCAGGCGCGGCGTGGGACTTGTGATCCTGCACATAAGGGAGATGTTGGAACTCACCATCAACGGGAGCCCTAGGCTCATCCGATGCGGAGGTCATGGCGAATAGTACCAAGGCCGAGGACACTGGGCAATTCGAAGTGGGTATGCCAATACCCGCGGCACACCAGCTATGAAGCTGGGATGAGACTGGAACGTGGCGGGCAAACGAGCCGAGTCGATAGGCGCGGGGATTCAGACCTGCCGAATCGTAGTCGAAGTCGCGTGGCTTGGTTGGGAGAAAAGAGGAGAAGGTGGGAGTGAGGAAGAGAACCGCCAGAGATAAATGTTGTTGTCCCGGTCACCGCTCCGCCCCGCAGTGAATCGATGAGTGAACCACTGAACCACAGCTGGAGGACCCGTAAGCAACGGGCGTTGTATAGGAAGCCGCCCACGAACAATAGGCCACCAGTGTGTATGGGCCAAATAACCTTAGTGATGAAGGTATTCTCAACCACTGCCTATTGAACTTCCGCATATTAGACATTATCCAGGTCTATACTACCTACTGCAGCTACTTAGAATCATTCGAAATCTTGATTTGTGCTCAGCAGTAGATGCATGTAGGCTGAAAATCGAGATAGTCATAGCCTCGACAATGCTCAATCCGATCCATAGATTGGCCTGGGCACTATTATCTTAGCGTAGTATGACCTAGTTTGCCTAAAAGAGGTAGGTGTTCATGAAACTTCACAGCACAGGCCTTCATGCCTCAGCTTTCTTCATTTACATAGTTCAATTCCTTTCACGTAGAAAGAGTATTTCATTATCTGAGGCTATATTATTGTCGTCAATGATCGCCTGTATGACAAGGGCCTGGAACTGGTGTGCGAATTTAGATCCAAGATGTTTCAAGCACCAAGGACGACTTTGTTGACTCCTAGAGCCTACTTTGCGAAGATGTTGGCCCAAATCTTGCCAGCAGCTTGAGGGTGCGGTCATCAAGGATAGTACGTTGGATATGATTATAATAATGACCTGTAAAAGGAGAGCACCAATAAGATCACCAATAAGAGCACCAGTAAGAGCACCAATACCTAAGAGCACCCAATAAGTATCTCAGAGTGCCGTACAGATGAATTATAACGTCCTCTTACTATGAGAATAAACATCCATGGTAATAAATGTTAATATTTTTGGAAGGCAGCCGCTACACAAACAGAAACGCTGTTATGTATACAAGTTCAATTGAATCGCAGTTCAACACGGAAAGGCTTGAGGTGGATGGACAGGAATCTGAACCCAATATGACAGAGTGAGCTATCCCCTTGACACGGGGGAAAGCAAAGAGCTGCTTGCGCTCTTAGCTAATGAAACAGAGGCATCCGATTGCAATATAGAACACAAATAGCGGGTAGACGGCGATGCCCACACGGTTCCGCACCACGCCCGAGCCGCCTAAGATACTGACACCTGCAGCCAATGACCATGCCACAAGGACAAGGTAGACGGGTATTCTGGCGATTGTCGGAAGGCCGAGTGCACTGAGGAGCGCGGCGATAACCAAGGGAAAGAGTGTGTAGCCGATAATACAAATTGACTGGAAGAAGGAACTGGAGATCAAGTCACAAGAGTCAGTATAGAACAAAAGTAAAAAGAGAGGAACTAGAAGCAAAGTGCACATACATCTTTCCGCCAAGAAGCTTAATCTGCAGAGTGACAGCCGCCTCTCCAATCCAGACAATGCAGAAGACTCCCGAGAAAACCAGCGACGACTGCTCACCCTTTGCGACAGACAAGAACAAACTCAGAACCAAGCAGAAGACAAGTGGTCCCCTAGAAAACTATTAGCCAATAGTCCAAGCATCAAAATCGAGATGTGTAATGCGTGCAACATACCAAAGGTCCCAGTCGCGCAAGCCCTCGCTCATGCCACCCTGCAAAACCACGTCGGCATCCGGCCAGCGACCCACGAGCCCGCGCAGGTTGCGACCAAATCCAGACGCCTCTCCTCGCTCAGCGGCATCACCCATACCTCCTCCACCGCGCTGCATCATGCCGCCCAAAAGGTACTTAGGCCACAGTACTTGGCGCATCTTCTCCGAAATCGCGATCAGATCGCGCGACAGGGTCGCCCAGACGCTTTCATCGATGGTATTTTGAGTCGCTCGGCGGTCCTCACCGCCAATCGAGGAGGTCAAATAGTTGCCATAGCCGTCCACGCGGCCCCCTCGGGGGCCAGAGTCGGATGCGATGTTGCCTCGCAGAGGGGCTGTGTCGGAGGTGTGCAGAGGGTCGTCCGCCTCGATATCTAGAAAAGGACAGTGAGTTAGCAAGCCAGTATTAAGACCATATGGACAGCGAGAAGGTCAATATTGGAAGACAATGCTTACCATCGTCGGCTTCAATCAGGTCGTCGTCCAGGAGGGACTCGTCGTCGTGCAGGTCGCCATGGGAATGGCCCGGCTGCACGCTCGCCATGGTTTATGATTTTTTGATGGTTCTAATAGGAGACTGTTTATGTTCACTGTAGGAGCATCGCTGGCGCGAGGAGGGGATAGAGAGGAGAGACGAAGCAATGTTGATGTTGAAGCTATCCTGGAAAGGCTAGAGTGGCATTACGCCCGCGCGGGCTGGCGTCACCGCCCGCCCGTTTCCTCCGCCAAGTCTTATTCTTAGCACAAGTTACTCCACTTCTGTCTTGATTGTTTACTCATTTATTAAATAGAGGACCCTAAGGTCTCCAACGATGATTGGTTCTTCCGTACGTACATCCGGAGCAACTAGTCCTTACACATTTTACTGGGCTTCAACATATGGCTCCTCCTCTTGGTATACATCATAGTTGTACCGACTTCCCGCGTGGTCATCACGCAACTCTTTCTGGCCCTTGCCATAGATCTTCTCGCGAGCCGTGAGCGGCTCATCCGACGCGGATGGCAGTTCCGGGTACAAGCCACGTTTTCTCAGCTCTGGAATCACCAGATCAATCAGGTCCTCAAATGTGCCCGGCGTGGTAACATAGCCAATATTGAACCCGTCGAGATCAGCCTCGCGAATCCACCGCTCCATCTCATCTGCAACGGTAGTCGGGCTGCCAATAGCCACTGGTCCAAGACCACCGATAGCAGCCTTTTCAGCAACTATACGGGGTGTCCATTTCGGGATATCCTTGCTAGTTTTAAGTAACGAGTCAAGCAGACTAGTCACCTTGTTGGCTTCTAGGGAATCAGCAGTCGTGATCTCCTGGTCCAAAGGTATTTTCGAGATATCAATGCCTGTCCAACCGCTGAACAATACCAGACCCCCGATGACTGAGGCATACTTCTTTAGTTCCTCATACTTCTCCCACGCTTCCTCATCGGTCCGTCCCACAATCGGCGTAAACGTGCCAAAGAACTTGATCGACTGCGGATCCCGACCATTTTCTGCAGCAAGCTCGCGGATTTTCTGGACTTTGGGTCGCAACACCTCTGGTGAATGAGAGGAGACGAAAATGGCTTCTGCATGAGTCGATGCGAAAGCCGAGCCAGCTGGCGACGTGCCGGCTTGGAACAAGAACGGGGTCCTCTGCGGCGACGGGTCGACGATGTGGCGTGTGCTCAGGGAATAGAATTTGCCTTGGTGATTAATTTCGCGAACCTTGTCGGGATTCACGTACGAGTCTGTCTCGAAATCTGGAGAGAGCGCATCCGATGCCCAGGAGCCATTCCAAAGTCTATTTGTGAACAGCCTCGGTTAGTCCCGGTTCTCCCATCCTTTATAAGGAATAAAATATGTGGCATATACTTATAGAGCACCCGCAGATACTCATCCGCTTGGGCGTATCGCTGGTCATGCTCAATAGGATTGTCAAGCCCGATAGCCTTGAACGCAGCCTTCTTGTACGAAGTGACAATGTTCCAACCAACCCGGCCATTCGTCAAGTGATCCAAGGTAGAAAATCGCTTTGCCAGCAGGAACGGTTGCTCAAAAGAAGTCGAAGCCGTGATCCCGAAAGCGAGGTTCTTAGTCACAGCGGCCATAGCAGTGATGGGCTAATCACGTCCCAACAGCATCAGTAATTGCGCGCCTGGCGTAGTCATCTGCTGCGACTCACAATTGTTGGGTCCGTCACCGGCCATTGCGCCGCTCGTCGGATACACTCATCCAGTTTTCCCTCATAGGTATCATGGCCCCCAGTCGTGTCTGCCAGGAATAAGGCGTTAATGCCACCTCGCTCCAACAGCTGGGCCAGTTCGATCCAGTACTCGAGTTTGCGCTTCGTCGCGGATTTGTCTTTTGGGTTCTATACTTGTCAGCGGTTTACTATCTTGCACATAGAATTCAATAAACACCTTCCACTGGCCAGGAGACAGATGTCCCACTGTTGACATGTCGAATGCGTTCAGCAAGATCTGCTTCTTGCGAGCGCCATTGGCTGTACCATTCTGGCCATTTGCTACACTGGCGTCTCCCATGGCTTCTAGACCTTGTCACAAAATATTCCAGCTAGACAATTACAGCTTTCTCTCAAAGCCTCAAAGCCCCTTTTCAACAAGTTCTACAGATAAAGGCACTGCTTATAAAACAATTCGGGAAGTCCCCGATTAATCCCCGCATATCGAGACCTATGTGTTTGGCCATTTGACGCGTATCTCACGCCATCAATGGAAAAGACCGTTGGTAATTCAGCGAACTGTGAGTCCAGGTACATGCAATCTCTTAACATGGGAGTCTCAATGGTTCGTTGTCGATGTATTCGCAATCATCTCCACAGAGAACGCAATGAGTCTCGCCATTCCCTAACGCACGGTTCTGTCCTTAGGATGCTATGCAACGCTACCGGTACTGAACCCCACTGCGACCACCCCCTGGTAATACAAGTAACGTTTGGGTGTTATCGGGAGGGGAAGAGACATGCGGCGCGGGCAGAACTGTATGTCACCATCGGGGTTGTGATGGCGTGACACTTGCCCTGTTCATCAACGCGATTCATTTGGATTTTTTTGCTTCACGGCCAGTCATGTTGAGGGGTGTTATCTTGAACGCCATCGCTATATATGATATTACAAGAAGGATGCGGTAAGAGATATCTTTCGTCGACGTTTAACATTAGTCCCATATGCAAGATCTCGGCCGGGACTGTTCTGCGCGTAGATAGGTTTGGATCAAATATGATAGAGATACTTTTGATCAGAGCACTCTTGATGGCAACTGGACTATTGATAAATAGCTCTGCATAAAATCCTTTTCAAGTTGCAAGGTTTTCTAACCATGCGATGGGAGCGAAGAATACCAGATTAGACCAAAAACAACCCACATCACCAGTTGGTCAACAACGCTCTGGGTGCAGTTGGAAGGCTTTGACTACAACGACTGAGAGAATTTGCCAACAACTTTACTTTCTTGTGGCCCAGATTCTAGATTGGTTGAATCATCCGCACTATCTGACTCAGAGATACTGCTGCCTCTTCCGGCCTTGGCCCTCCTAGAAAATGTCAGCATACACGACCTCGAATAAAAATCGCACTCAGGACTTACTCCTCTCTTCTAATAAAAAACTGAACAATATGCGACAAAGCAATCAAGCAGACCGCATTCGCAAGAACAAACGAGTATCCCTTCGTAAAGCGCGGCCCCTCGACCGTCTTGAAAACCAGCAAAGGTGTCCAACAAGTTGTTGACTGCGCGACAGTATTGACAACAATAAGCGTCAGGGAACGCTCAACAGGCGAATAGCGCATCTGGCTATTTATCCAGCCGTAGAGGACGCTCGACATGGCAACAGCGGAGTAAGTAGTCAAGAAAGCAAACCAGAGCGCGGACTCGGGGACTTTCCAAATCACGAGGATGGTAAGACCGATAATATTCCATAGATGGGAGACAGTGATTGCCCATGCGGGTCCAAGGATCAAATCTGATGCAAAGCATACGAAAAGCGTATAGAAGATGCCCAGAGCTGGAGAGATCGCGGCGAGCTCATTGAGTCGGCTTGTAGAGAATCGTTCTAGACTCTTGAGCCATAACTGATAACCACCAGCGGAAGTATTGAGGCAGGCATTCCAGAAAAAGATATCCACCCAGAGTAGCGCCCAAAACTTCCAATTGCGGCCGACCTTGATGAAGGTGCGCCAGCTGAGCGGTTCCTCTTTTACAGAGTGAGCTGCGCGCTCTAGGCGGGCCTTTGCGAGATGGACGTCTTTCTCCTTCAGTATGAGCTTGTTCGGCTTGTCCGGTGTGCCGGGGAGAATAAAGTAACCCAACATGGCAACAGGGATAGTGATGATTGCACAGATAATGTACATCCATCTCCAACCCGCAAGGCCATTGACCCCGTCCAGACGGCTGGATGCTCCTGCCTGAATGAGGCTCGCCGTTAGAGTGCCCAGCGTGAGGCCGACATAGAAACATCCTCCTCTGCGAGCAATCTCGTCGCCGCGATACCACGATCCTACCTTCTGGTTAGTAAAAAGGGTGCACATAGTCTTGAACTCCGTCCTTACCGAAGATATAATGCATTCCTGGGAAAAACGCTGCCTGGGTTGAGTCAGCATGCTGTGCTCATCGATTCTGACAGAGTTAGGAGAATTGCTTACCTCAAACCACCCAACCAAAAACCGATAGGCAGCCAATTCAGCGAATGAAGTAGCCCGATACTGCACCAAAGTAAAAATACCCCATGCAACATCCATGAAAGGGATAATCCACGACATCGGCAGCTTGGTGAACAGATACGCAAAGGGTAACTGGCCCAACACAGCACCAATGGTGTACATCGTCTGCAGCTGAACGAGTTCATTTCCGTGGAGGCCTAAATCTTCCTTCAAACCAGAGACGTAGGCATTGTCTGTTTTCTGTATCAGCTCTGCATGTAAATATATGGGGGGGCACCAGTTCATACTGATATTTGCCTGGTCGATGTACTTGGTCCAATATGCCAGAAATGCATACGGGACGATTAACAGGTCCAACTTGAGAATAAGCCGCCTCTCCTCTTTGGTATCGGTATCTGCGAACCATTGCAGATGCCACCATTTCCGTCGCTGCTGGGGAACGGACATTCTTAAGCCAGTTCTCTCCTTCAGGTGCAGAAGAATGGAAAGGAAAGAGAACGTTATTTTGGGCGAACAAATGGAATATCTCCATGCATCCAGCGCTCGACATTAAATGACATTTCCAAACTGAAGCTAACCTAACAGACATGCAAGATGCCACCGCAGCTGGCAATGGCGTGACAGACCAAACGAAGCCAAACAAGAAAGTCGGACAAGCACCGAAGCACTTAATGCTCCCCGCAGCGAAAACTAACCGCAGAAGCTCACAAGATAAGCAAAAGGTTTAACTATTCTTTGTGTCAGTGCTGCAGCCTGTGCAGCACACCCAGCGCCTCCGCTTGCCGTGGCGCGCTGTGGCCAAGGGAGATGTCAGAAAGTGGAGCGAAGTCGTGCTCTGGCCTCAGCGCGGGATTGGGGTCTGAAAGTTAAGTTCTGCCTTTATTTTCTTTAGAAATAAAACTGGTGCGACTATGCTGAGTAAAATTTTCCGATATGTCCAGTCCGTAGTTAATGAGGGCATGCTTCTGTGTACAAACACAAAACACAAAACGCCATATAAACAAAATGCATGATGTACAGTATTATACAAGTTGTCCGAGACCCCGCCAGGGTCCCATTTTTATAGATAGAGGCCCGAGAGTTCAAGCCTCGGTTTCTTGCTTCCCCGATTTAGAGGAAGACTCTGTCTAGGTTTCGGATTTGCCTTCCTTGTGCTCTTCAAGCACAGGGACCTCCTCCTCGATCTCCAACTGTCGCTCCCTAAAAGCATTCCACTGTTCAATGGTGGGGTGGACGGACAATGTGCTGAATTTCTTCAACGTGTCTTTGTCAGAATACGTCCTCAGCAATTTCGACTCTGACAGGAGGTCCTTGCGCTCGGGTTTGGGGACAAAGGGTGCGAATTCGGCCTTCAAAGTCTCGTCGATCACGGTGCGGACACGAGCCATCACCTTCACGGCCAATGAGCCGGAAAGATTCGCGGAGCCATTCTTCAAAGCACCCCAGCGGCTAGTCCGACCCGGCTTCCCTCGTTCCAAGGCCTCGTGAAGCTGCAAAATATGAGGGCGCAACGCACCAATCGCAGCAAGGCGCAAATCTGCTTGCAGCTTCTTGCCCAGGACTTTCAGGTCGGTGATTTTGCTGCGCTCATTTTTAGGCAGTCCCCTGAGATGTAAGAGAACATGAGGGGCTTGGGAGAGAGCTTGAACCAACTCCAGGTATGACTCAAGGACGCGGGGATCGGGGAGGACCAGAGCTTTGTGCATCACCTCTAGGAGCTGGTTCGCGTGCAGGAGAACCGAAGCGTTATTGCGGTCACGGCGACAGCAAGCCATGGCAATGTGGAATAGCTTCTCCTTTGCTAGACCCGATGGAAGCGCTTGGTTCTGCAAAACTTGGACCGTCCTCTTGCTAGCCCGTCCGGCACGGAGGAGACGTAGATACTGGGCGTAAGCGACCGCATCGGGATCGATGCGGGCTTCAGACTCAAGTGTCAAGTGATCCCAGTAAGCGTAGCCTGCCGCGAAACCCTGAGGCAGTCTGTGACAAACATCCTCAATAAAAGTAATCTCCTTGCTACCTGGTTGAATGTAAGACAGACTCTCAGACTTCGGGACAACAGGTTCAAAGATCATGTCAAAATTTTCAACTTCTTCCCCTTCCTCCCCTTCTTCCTCTTCGTCCTTCAAAGTCTCCGTTTCAGGCTCTTCTTGTCGCAAAGGTTGATTGTTCTCGTCCACAAACGGAACATCATCTGTGCGTGAGGAGACCAATTCTTGCGATCTTCTCAAAAAGGTCAGGCGGGACATGGTGAATCGAGAACACTTGGAGGTTTCTGCTGGCTGCTTTGCAAAGATGGGGATTCCCATTGTTTGGTGGTAGAGTGCGAGAACATCGTAGTAGTCACGCTCACGGGCGCCGTCCAAAAGCAGACTAGCCATGGCATTCACGACGTGGTTGTCAATGGGCAGCTGGTCTTTCGTCCATCGGTAAAGAACATCAGCCCAAATCCGTTTACCCTCCGTGACCATCTGGTCTTTGCGTTCAACAATCTTATCTGTCTCGTTGGGATCGATCTTCTGAATGTCATCACGCGCTGCAAATTGGAGAGCGCCCAGGATGATGGTGTAGGTTCTCATGTCCGGCGCTTCTGGGCCTTCTTCTGGGAGATCTCCGGCGATACGCCACAGTGATTCCATATCATGGTGACGGTCGCAAACCTGGAGCATGGCATTGGTGTGAATGATGTTGGGCTCAATCTCGGAGTTCTTGATTGACTTGTAGATAGACTCCGCTGTCTTGACATTGGCGAGAGATTTCGGGGCATCGGCGAAGCCCTTAAGCATGAGCGTATACGTCACGGAAGAAGGCATACGGCCCCGTTTTTTCATCTATCAAATGGGCAAAATACGTGTTAGTGATGCAAGTCCACCTGACAGTCACCCCCCACAAGGACCCCTTGGAGGCCGCGGCAAGCCCAACAAGTTACTCACATCATTATAGAACTTAAAAGCCACCTGCGGGAACCCTCGTTCCATGCAGTAACTGAGGAGATGATTCCAGGCCACATCGCACCGCCTTCCTTCCTTCTGCGCCTGACGAACCAGTGCCGCCGCCATAGCCGGATCGCCGCTCTTCAAAATGCGCGCGACCCGATCCGCCAGATCACGGGGGTCTTCCAGCCATTTCAGTTCCATATCGATCGTCTTTCGGGAAAAGCTGGCGCCACGTTTTCCGTCGTTTATTTCACCATCTTCAGCATTGGACCCGCCCGCGATCGCCATCAACGCGCGCTCTTCCTGCTTCCGCTTGTCCTTCTCCGCGACCGATTTGTCGCCGCCCAGTCTGCGGCCCTTGTAGGCTCCATCGCGAGTCAATGGAGCGGCTCGAGAATTGGAAGAGGGTTCGGGCTCGTTATCAGCGAATGGTTCTTCGGGGGCGGTATTCGAGTCCGAGAATGATCGCTGAGCTAGAAGACGGGTCCGCGGTTGACAGTGAGCGCCTGTGGCTGCGAGTCGTTGCCGGGCCAGTCCACTGCGCAGAGCTCTGCTCAACACTGATCTTGGAAGCTGAAGCGACATGACCGGGCCTCTGATCCAAAATGAAAGATGGCACTTGTTGCCGGGCTCAAGGCTGTGTTTTTCGAGTCTTGCAGTCGTAGCAATTTCTCGAAGATGGACCAGACGCTAGTCCTTATTTAGTTAGATCATCTCCTTATCATTAAGGCATTCATCTCATCATGGTTTCTGCCTGAGGCCACAAACCACATGGCACGATAGCACTAAGCCTCAAGCAGCTTGGCTCGGTGATGGAGCTACGGCCCGCTGGGGCATATTCCCATCGCATCCTTACAGCCCATGAGCCCGCTCAACGAACGAAGTGAGAAGAAGGGAACTCATCAACGCGGATGTGCCTGCGCGAGAGCCCTTGGCAAGAGAGGTGGCTTAACTCTATGTGGACTGTACTGCCATGTGCGCTGTCTATTTGCCCACTGTCTTGTCTTGCTATTTACTGAGTTGGGTCCGGTGTTAGGGTTTAGGGTTCGCCATCTATATCGTTTTGTTTCCCCCGATTGCTTCACCTCCCGTCCCCGAACTCTTTTTTATACCAAACGCTCGACATTCTATTGCCAAGGGTTGCTTTGTGCTCCTGCTTTCTTCCAGTTCTTAGGCCTTCGCTTGTGTGCCACTGCACAATGCTAACTCATCAAACCTGTGTTGATTGCAATCGGCAATCGCCAGGCGCGTCTAGCAAGATCTATCTAGCCGCCGAAGTGCTGCGCCTGTCGATTGGGATGTTTACTAGCTCCGCTCGAAACTCGCCCCCGCCTGCGCTGCCATATCCCTATTCTTACAGATTCCTCCGACCTTTACTGCAAGCGTTGCCAAGCTAGATCCGTCTCTGATATTCCTTGCCAGGACTATGGAAACACGCCGGCCTTGCGCCGGCTCCTATCCCAAGACACTCAACGGTTGACTCAACTGAATAATGGAATATCATGGATAAAATGATATCATCTCTTTCTCTGGATTATACACGTAACGCAAAATCCGACCCAAGCTCACCCAGAACTTCAGTGAGACGGGAATCTGTTGGCTCCATTCCATGTGTTGCGAGGCAAAAAGGGATGCACTAAAGCAATATCATAGCACGCCAGAAAGATGACTCATACCTAGTATAGAAAAATGGAATTGCCAGCCATACAACTATTCACCATTCTCGACACATAATAAAAAAAATAACCGTATCACCACCGGACTCTTGTCTTGTATACAGCATCTCAAACTGTTGAACTATCAGATCGGATTTCTGCGATAAGTTTCTCGACACGATCCCGAATGTCGTCGCGGATAAACCGCACAGCGTCTAAGCCTTGCCCGGCGGGGTCATCAAGTTGCCAGTCGAGATAACGCTTGCCAGGAAAGAAGGGGCAAACGTCCCCACATCCCATAGTAATGACAAAATCGCTGGCTTGCACGGCGTCGGGAGTTAGGATCTTCGGGCTTTGGTTGCTGAGGTCGATGCCTTCTTCACGCATGGCTTCGACGGCGGCGGGATTGATAGAGTTGGCTGGGGCCGATCCCGCGGAGCGAACTTCAATGAAGTCACCTGCGAGGTGACTAAGGAATCCGGCAGCCATTTGAGAGCGTCCGGCGTTATGAATGCAGACAAACAAGACACTAGGTTTATCAGCCATGATGGGCATGTCTTTCGTGTAATGGGTTGAGTAAGCCTGGCGAGTAGCTAGTTGGATATAAAGGATGAGATTATACGATAGCAGGGCTTGACAGGTACAAATAGTAGGTGCCTTCAAGGTATATCGCAATGATAAGAAAAAAAAGTTAACGTTTGTTTACGAGCGGGAGGGACGAGTGGCTGTTCTTGGGATTTAAATACCACGTGTTGTTCGAAACAAGCGAAAATACTTTCGCGCACGGGTGTCGTCCCACAACTCAATAGCTTTTGACTAGGGGGGTTTTTGTGCCGTAGTATCAGTACATGCCGAAGCCGCATTCAGAAGAGATCCCATATTGCTGGAGTCAAAACTACCGTCTGCTCATTTGTTTGGAGATCTCAGGCATTCATTATTGAAAGAAAGCTGCGATCGCAGCAGGTGAGTTAACTGTAATTTCGAGCCAAACTGTCACTGTCATTGAAATAACTTTATATGCTCATTGTATACCTACCTCTTGATAGCAAACTGTATGTCATTCCGACGCTGTGATTGGTCCGGGTGTATGTCATTCCGACGCTATGATTGGTCCGGGTGTTTAGACTCTGCAGCATGGCATCGCTGACAGATCACGAGCCGAGATCCATGCCCCTGTCACACCTCGATTGTGATTGGACAAGATCGGCAGACCATCACTCGCCCTGTATGATTGGCTATCAAAATCATCAGTCTTACTATATTAGGACTAGTGGAGAGATCTGTCAAAGCTCGAGGTTCTGCATATTTAAAAAAACTACTCCGCTACATTGGTGAAGATTTCCGACAATCACTGCTTTATTATTGGAATTTTCATTAGTTCCTTATCGGACAGGAGCCATTTTCAGAGAAGCATCACGCGCATTTGATCTGCTGTTGCTAGAGATGGCTACCAGTCTTCCTCAGGCAGATCTGCCCGCGCAGGCCGAACCAAAATCTCACAACACCACATTGAATGATCAGTCAAAAGATCTCACGACCGAGGATGTCGAAAAACAAACGACAAATGTTTCTGAGGAGTCTATGACCAAGCAATCAACCTTCAAAAGCCTTGGCTGGCTAGATCGTTTCCTGGCCGTATGGATCTTCCTTGCCATGGCCATCGGCATCATACTGGGAAATTTTGTCCAGAATACAGGGCCCGCCCTTCAGAAGGGAAAATTCGTCGGGGTGTCCATTCCAATCGGTATGTACTGAAAATTCCTTACTAATATAGTCTTCTACTAAACTGTTGCCAGCTCTCGGTCTCTTGGTCATGATGTATCCTATTCTTTGCAAAGTGCGCTACGAATCTTTACACCACGTCTTCCGAGAGCGTGCTATCTGGGTCCAAATAGCATTCAGTGTCTTTGTTAATTGGATCATTGCGCCTCTCTTGATGGTGAGACTAATTCGACCCGCCACGGTGAACCTTACTAACATTATAATTCCCAGCTCGGACTGGCATGGGCTTTCCTACCGGATGAACCGGAGCTTCGAGAAGGTCTGATCTTAGTTGGTCTGGCCAGATGCATTGCTATGGTATATTACCATCTCTTTACCTTATGTCCGAACTAGACTAACGTATTATTGCTGATAGGTTCTCATATGGACTGGTCTCGCTGGAGGCGACAATGAATACTGCGCTATCCTTGTTGCGGTTAACTCACTGCTTCAAATGGTGCTCTACGCCCCCTTGGCTATTTTGTTTATCAAGGTCATCAGTCAATCTAGTGGCCAAGTTACACTATCTTACGCCACCGCAGCCAAAAGCGTGGCAGCTTTCCTTGGTATCCCGCTGGGCGCTGCAATTATCACCCGCATGACCCTCCGAAAAATTGCCGGCCCACGTTGGTACGAAGAGGTTTTCCTGAAGTGGGCTGGCCCATGGTCACTCATTGGGCTCCTTTTTACGATTTTGGTGTTATTCGCATCCCAGGGTCGACAAGTGGTCCATCAAATTGTATCAGTGATCCGAGTCTCCGCCCCGCTTATTGTTTATTTCATCATTGTCTTCTTTGTGACCCTTCTTGTTACTTACAAGCTCGGATTTGGTTACAAGCTGGCTGCCACTCAAAGTTTCACCGCTGCCAGCAATAATTTCGAGCTTGCGATTGCTGTCGCTGTGGCAACGTTTGGGGCCGACAGCAACCAGGCGCTTGCTGCCACTGTCGGGCCGTTGATTGAGGTTCCGGTACTGCTTGGCCTTGTTTATGTTGTCAAGTTTATAGCCAAGCGAGCTGGTTGGACGGACTAAAGGAAAGCGAGGGAAATTCCCCGTTCTATGGCTCAATAAAGCTTTCGGGACACTTTCATCTCGTTTCCTATTGCTAGCTACTTTGTTATATTGATGGATCACGATTGAAGGATAGAGCTTAGACGCAGACATAATATTACGCATAATACAGTTATTAATTAATACCAGCCAAAACAGGGATGAACAACACTTGAAATGAGCTATACGACGTTCCGGTGTAAGAAAGGTTGACCTTCAATGTACATAATCTTGAACACTCGCTAGTGGCCCTTCCCTTGTATCAGTTCCTAGGCACCAGGATCCGATCTTCGAGTGACGACTCCTGAGTGATTAAAAAAATAACAGTTGATTGGGCTCCTGCGGAATCACCATCTTATCTCTTGGCATTATGGAATGTGGCTGGGGTCCGGGATATACCCATGACAAATAGGCTTGGCAGTGACATTCCAGTAACAAACGGTGACATACCGGGAAGTATCGATCGTCCAATCAGTGAAAACTGAGAGCTGCCCCTCCCCACATCAACGACGGTATAAACAAGATGTCGCTGAGTCGGCTCCTGATACCACGTGGACGTACTATATATTTAGGCTTGATTACTTTCCGTATCCTTCACTTAACCAACAGACGATTCTATTCTCGCCGTGAGTGAAGCAGAAGTTCAACAGAATGGATTCGGAAGATACATATCGTTGCGTGCAAGACCGCTATGCTGGAGTTGCGAGGCAGACAGACAACGCTCATCAGCCGGGAGACCAGGAACGAAAAGTCGCAAGCGCGTTTGGGTATGATCTAAAGGACCTGCTTTCTATCCCAGAGAACGCGAATTTAGGTGTCAGCTGTGGGAATCCGTTAGCAACGGCGAACCTAGCTGTGGTAAGTACCATCGCCGGTCGCTCCTTGGCGCTGATTTTGATATCCATCCAGGGCGAGGTTGTGATTGATTTGGGTAGTGGCGGGGGCATTGACGTTTTGCTCGCGGCAAAGAAGGTTGGAGCGGAAGGAAAGGCCATTGGTATTGATATGACCAAGGTACACCGATCAGTCCCTACCCGCCTGACTTTCCTTCTTGCTCATAGCCCGCAGGACATGCTGGAATTAGCACGTCGGAATGCCATAAACGCCGGCGCCTCCAATGCTTCGTTCATCGAAGCGTTCATTACTTCTATCCCGTTACCATCGTCCACCGCCGATTGCATCATCAGTAATTGTGTGGTGAACCTAGTACCAGAAGTCGAAAAGCCTCTCGTGTTCCAGGAAATGTTCCGTCTACTGAAGCCGGGAGGTAGGGTGGCAATCAGCGACATCCTAGCGAAACGAGAGCTCCCGATAGAGATCAAGAAGGATCTCTCGTTATATGTTGGCTGCATCGCTGGTGCTAGCCAGGTTGGTGATTATGAAAGATATTTGAGAGAAGCAGGGTTCCAAGGTATTGAAACTGTATTTTCTGGGGTCTTCCTCATATGGTTGTGTACTGACGCGTAGCTTATAGATGCAGTGATTCTGGACAATAATGCTGATCTCAATATTTACAAGGAAATGTGGGAGAAGGAGCAAGCCAACGGGCAGGGCCCTACGGGCTCATGCTGTGGTCCAGTGGAGCACAGCACAAGCCGGGAGGTAAACAATCTTCCGGATGTGGATTTCAACATCTGGACTGGTGAGTCGATCTACAAAGGAACCCAACATCGAGGCGCCACTAATAACTCCCTGCATGGTTCTCTTCCAAAAAGGCTCCTTTAAAATCTTTGCCATTAAGCCTGACACACATGAGTGAACATTCCGTGAATGGGATTCCAGCGCGCTCATGACTTCTGGTCGCAAAATCGAACTATTCAACATAGCTGGTGCGGCGCTGGTAATTCGATAGCTTTGGGCTGAGCCAGTTGACGATTTTCATACTTATGCTACTTAGGCCATCACTTTGTCTCGCATCGGATTCAATATGGACATTCCTTGCGCCATGATCGCGGAAGAAATAACTACAAGGCCTTATTGGCTTTAGCTATTCGTGTTACCGCGAATTCATAATAGCGGGTTGCTTGTCTTCACGATTCCAAGTATTCTCCAAGTAATGTTTCCGTGCCACCATAGAGCATCAGCAGGAATCGAAGTAGATCATTCTCTCTTGCGACTTTCTTCCCACTATTTGAAGCTCCGGTGACGCCGCCACGCCAAGCCTTTCGAATGGTCATAATCATGGCTCAAAGTGCTGGACAGCGGAGAACGCCGGCTCGTGTTCGCGGGTTCAAGCTGCTGCTGATGCCCGACTGCTGATATCGGACTAAGCAGCATCCCGTAGTATCCGCTTAAAATAGGGGTGACTTCATGCAGATACACTCAGCCACAGATCCGGAAGACCCTCCCTTTTAAGACATACTAGCCAAAACGGTATAGTCGGTGAGAAGTACCTCGAGAAGGCTGAAACATTGTTATGAAAAACTTCACAGAAGCCCAGAGACCATTCATCTTCATATCGCCGTCCAAAGTGAACATTTTCTCTCACAGCCACGCCCGAAGTACCTGGGCCTGTAGATGGCGGTTAGACTCCAAGCGCCCAAGTGAACCCGTCCCAGATAAAACCGCCTAACTCTATCCTGCGCGTAAATCCACTGTGATCTGCAGGGTACATGCCACGTGGTGGTCGGGCCCACTAGCCTTGATTACAAGCCCGTTCGCGCAAACCATGCAGGGGTCCGAGGGCGCAGCCTCGACGTGCACGTTGTATGCATTACAGGCGACTTGCACTAGCCTGGGCGTGGCATGTACTCCCACCCATCTCGCATCTCGCATCTCGCATCTCGGGAGAGAACTCCCCGGTTCCAGAAGATCGGACGCCCATGACATGACTCGAAGACAAGCACAGGCCACCTCATAGATAATTCCGGTATCTTCAATGTATACCGCAATGCCTTCCAAAAACGACACTGTTCTCACAGCCAAATCCAATCACCAATCACCCCTCCAAGCCCAGCTCCAATCCATCAGCATCAGGCCAAACAGCCACACCCGCACCAGCCCCTAAACCCCGCCATCAAAAGCGGAAGCAGAAGCAGAAATCCGAACAGAAAAAAAAGAAAAGACAATCCGTCTCACCCCATCCCACTCCAAATTCCGCGCTAAACCCGAGTCCCCTGTCACACCCCGTTCCTGCACCCGATACTCTAGCATAAGCGCACAACCCCAGCTAGCCTGGTACCCAAGCCTCGGCTAGCCCAGCCAAGGGAGCAGTGGAGTACGGCACTAAAGCTCGCAAGACGCTAGCTCAACGGCGGGGCTAAAGCAGCCTTATTGCCAAAATTACCGCGACGGCGCCGTTGTACCGAGTATGGTACGGGAGTACATGGTTCGGTTCGGTTTAGTTTAGTTTGGTTTTCTCGTGTGGCGTGGTGACGTCCGTGGGGTGGTGGGTGGTGGCGCCGTAAGGCTTGAGCTTAGGGTTGCGTTTGTACTGTACTTGTACAGTGAAAGCGTGCCTAGTGGGGTGTTCGTGTAGTGGCTATGACAGGACTAGTGTGGTCCGGGGGGAATGGGGTTCTGTGGTTGTTTGCAAACTCTGACGGGAACTGCTACTTTTCACGGTCACGGTCACGGTCACGGTCCCGCCTGGCTCTTTTACGCTGGGAGGATAGTACCGCAGAGCAACGTCCAGCAAAAGAACGGGCTAGTTGGCTTTCTGACAAGTCCTACAAAGACCCCAGGCACAGTCCAAATCTCTTCATAACTGACGTATCCAAGGCAAGCAAGCGAAAGGGGAAACAAGGGGAACAAGATAATGCACAATACATTCTAGGCTCACGGCCCAGCACCGTATAATGTACGTTAAAGTAGCGTAGAAAAAGGGAAGATAGGCAGGGGACGCCTATGACAAAGACGCGAACCCCACAAAAGCAAGCTTCCAGACAGAGACAAGCAAAGGCGCAAAAGGAACAAGGTGAACAACGAAAACCCCCGTAAGGAAAAAAGAAACAGAACAAAAAACCCATTTTAGGAGAATGCCCGCATGAGAAACAGGGTCACGGAAAAGGGACATGGAACAAGCATACAAAGAGGCATTGATGATGGATGCAAAAGGAGAAAACCAAAAACAAGACCAAACCCCAAGAAATCCGCCACCCAACCGTTCCGGAAGCCAAACCGAGGCAGACTGGCAGCGCTGAATTTAGAACGGACCCAAAGAAAAGGAAGGATCAGCACCCTCTCCCAGAGCAGAAAAGGAGAGGTGTATTCTGTCCCGTTTATTTCCCTCAGCAAAGCCGTCACGCATAACTCTAATACAAGAGGAAAGAGGAATTCGGAACTCGATTCAAAAGGAACCAGCAGAGGAAACACATCGGAAAGCCACTCTTTGACTGAATGCATTCAAGCCACAAGTGCATGGTATCATGGGTAGGGAAAAAAAGGGAAGCGGACCAACGTAATAGCGGTATCCGGAAGAACATCCGGCGAGGACATGACATGAGTCAGGCAATGGGATATCGTGATTAGAAAGAAACACAGAGCAGAGCAGGTACAGTGATTAGAAAGGAAAAAAAGAGGCAGCCACACGACAGGAAGGAGATGGGATGCAGATTCCGTCCCAGCGTGGGAATGGAGAGGCATGGCTCGGCAGGGGCGAATTATGTAGAATTATTGCGGGTAGCTGGGCGAGTGCGTCTCTGAAGAAGCCGTAGCGGACAGTAATCAGCTGACCGATTCCTGGAAGAATGGGTGGAAGATGGCATGGCGAGATGTGTCGGAGACCGAAAGGGAGAGAGAAAAGATCCCATCCAATAAAGTTAAACAAGGGGAGAGGAGAGATGAAGAGGAGGGTTTGATTTCTCGATCCTTGGCAGAGAAACACAGGTGGCGATGCTGGCTTGCTGATTTTTACTCACGTTGCTGGTACACGGGACCGCTCTGGTAGGGGGAGTGAGGGTAGTTGGGAGGATAGCCCATCTGCCCGTTGCTCTGGTAGACCATGCCACCGCCGGGGGCACCGTACTGGCCGGGGACCTGGCCGTCGGCGGGCTGGTAGCCGATGGGAGGGAGCTGAGGGCGAACACCGCCAGCATAAGAGGGAGGCTGACCACCCTGGGAGGGGTCGGAAGGACCGGGGGCCTCGACCTGACCAGCCTGGGCGGCAGCGCGCTCGCGCTCCTCAGCGGCCTTGCGCTGAGACTCTTCCTCCTTCTTGCGGGCCTTCCATTCCTTGCGAATCTCCTTGAATTCTGAAGAGGAATGCCAGTCAGCATGGGCATATCGAGACGGCAAGGTAGCACAGGGCAAGACTCAGGGGAGGGGAGGAGGAGGGGTGGTGTTGGGGTTGGGGGGCGAAGAGGGCGGCGAGGTGCGGCGCAAAGCAAGTGCCCGCTAGGTAGAAAGGGATAAGGTAGGCAAGCTTAGACAAGCTTAACCTCCACGCCGTCGGCCACGCTACTGCGGCCCCGCGAAATCTAGTGTAACTCACTAGCGCGTAGTTTCCGGCGCTAACCCAATCCAGCCATTTGCGACAAACACGAAATCGCGACAGAAACACCTCGGGCAACTCTCCGGGGACGCGGGAATACGGAGAAACAGGCAACGATGGACCATTGAACTCACCTTCGGGAGTGCGTTTGGCACCGTGCGACTGCATCGTCACGTGTGCGTTCAAGTGGTTCAGCGTCCCATACGCCTTCTCACAGCCGTTCCATCCACACTTGTACATGCGCTCGATTTCCTCGTACCGGCGGCGGGGACGCTTGTGCTGCTGGGCGCCCGGGATGGGGACGAAAGAGTAGACCTGTGGCACAGAAAGCGCAAAACGCGTCAGCGAAGCCCCACAGAGATTGACGCGCAAAATCCCAATTCGCGCGGAACACAGGCAAGGCATTGTTTTTGACGATCCCTGGGAGGCGACGACTTCCAGAAGCGAGTCGTAAAGCCCAGAGCGCGTCCAACACAACGGCAAGGAAAATACAGAAAGCTTCCGGAAGTCCGCCGGAATCATCAAAAACATACCTGGCTGGCAGGGCGCGGCCCTGCGGATGCAGAAGGGGAGGCAGAACCAACCGTAGTAGCAGCCGGGGAGGCATACGGCCCCGGCAGACCGTGATGTTGCTGTCCATAGCTATGTGGCCAGTCTGGGCGCGCGTACATCTGATGCGGCGGAGGCGGATGGCCCTGGTACTGGGCCATGTCGTGTCCCTGCGGCTGGTAGGGCGAGTAGGGGGGCGGATAGGGGGGGCTGTTGGCCGGGAGCGAGGGATCTAAAGGGACAGCCGCGTCAGAGGGGAAGCTCGAGGAGGGAGGAGCAGCATCAGGGCTGCGCGGGGTCATCGCAGGAGGCATGGGCGTGGGCAGGAACGGACTTGTTGCTTGAGCCATACCGGGCGCACCGCCGGGTTGGGAGTTGGGCGCGTAGGACTGTGGGCGCGGCAGGTAGTCCTGGTATGCAGGCGAGCGAGCCGGCGGCGGGTTCAGGCCGTACTCGGGCTGAGGGGTATTGGAGGAGGATATGTTGGCCGGGCGAACCTCGAGCTGCGGCGTGTGCGAGTACTGGGGGCGCTCGGGTTGCGGGGTGTGAGCGTAGTGAGTGGTAGCCGCAGTAGCAGCAGCAGCAGAGGTCTGGTCTGCAGGTGGATGGGAATGTTCAGAATGCTGGCCGAGAGGTGAATGTGACGGGTGTGGTGGTGGGTGGTGCGAACCTGACTGTGCGTACTCGGAGGTGGGTCGGTTGTCCATATAAAAAGTCGAGGATGCGCGCGCGCAGGAGAGTTTTGCCTTCCGATCCGAATTGGGAGAGGGGGGGGAAGAAGAGAGGGGGGCGGATCAGTTCCAGGGGAGGCAACTGTTATTGTTCCCGCGTATTTTATTTTATGCTTTTTTCCTGCAGACGCGTCGGCCACGGCGTCAGCGCGGGAATTGGGGGACGAGAGTGGTGGTAGAGGGAAGAACGGGCACGACGAGGGAATCGGGGAAATTGACGGGGCACGTTGCACGCAAGGGACCAACCGACGAGACTCGCCACGTTAAAAATCGTGGCTTGCCTGCGGTTGCTCCTCCACATCGACTCGATTCGCCCACTTGATATGGAATGCCAGACTTACCAGGTGAGTAGTGACAGGAATCACCAAGGTGAACGGGTTCTCGCGCAGATCCTGGTCGTGGTGGAGTAGGGACGAGCGGAGATTGACGCGTTATCCAAGCGCGTCCAGGCGGTATCAGCTTGAGGATGTCTTGCAGCGGTGACGGAAAGCACGGGACAATCGCTGAGGAGGGGGGAAAGAGAGAGTTAAAGAAGAATCAGGACCGGGGGGGGAAAGATATTGGGGGGGGGAGAGAGGAAGGATTTGAGGTTGCGGAAGTCTCGAAGTACAGAGAGTTCCGGAGTCCAGGAAATAAGGTCAGGGCGGAACAAAAAACCAAAAAGCAAGAGGGGGATCAGAGTGATTCGACTAGTTAAAAGCGTTCAAGCACGATCAGAGCAAGGCAGGCCTGCTGGTCCTCGTGGGATGCGAAAGAGCGTACTCCGTACAGGAGAGCGCACTGGGTACGGTGGGCCCGGTGGAGCGGTAATTTTAGTGCGCGTTCTTACATGATGATTACCTAGCGCTGGCGGAGGAATTGGGGTCCTACGACTTGCGCGAGATGCTCGTTCGACTTTCTGGAACTGCTTAATTCTATCTGATGCTTCTCGCTCGGTTCTCTCGACTTTTCTGTTTTTTTTTTGGGCTCGCTTGATTTTCTATCTTCGATCTTCTATCTTCTATCCTTTATCTTTTATCTTCGGTCCACAGGCAACAACGGAGATGCGACCCCGCCCTGGAAGCGGACCGCGAGATCAAGCGGGAACCAAAATAAAATGAACAGGAAATGGAAATGGAAAATGAAAATGAATGGCATAATTCCCCCAGCCCTCAATGGAGTCGCATAGTATCATGATAATCAAAACAACTCCCGCTGAAGTCATGGGCGACAATCATGATCATTATTTCCTGCATTACCAGTTCCATCTCGATTTAATTGGATTTTAATTTTGGGCTGGCCGTCGGACCATTCCCTTTTCCACACAATCCTCCGAACTGGACGCGGATTTCCTGGATTGGCCCCCTTTCCCCTCACTATCCGGCTAAGTATTCCCAATTGCCTTGTCCGTGTGATGGCGGAATTTTGATTTTTATTTTGATTTGGATTTTTGCACCTGATAAAGCGGATCCCAGGAAGAGAAAAAAAAAAAAAAAAAAAAAAAAAGGGGGGGGGGGGAAGTGGCGATATGATTCAATGCAGAACAATCGTGCATCTCTCGTCTTCTTCGCAGCAATGCCATGGATTACTTTTCTGCTGGGCAAGATCCGATTGAGGTTGAACGTCAGGCCCGTAGTCACTACACCATACCGAGTCTAGTCCACAGGTTGACAAGTCAGTTTAGCCTCCCATCCGACTAGTCTACCCGCACGCGTCTCTGGACGAGTGAACCTAGCGTCTGCGCTCCGTGGGTACCAACCAAGATCGCTTGTCCAGAGGAGTGGGAGAGGTCCCAGGGGCAAAACAGAAAACCGCATAGTGGGAAGAGGGGAAGGGGCCAAGACGGTGCTAGGCAATGGCGTGCCCGAGGAACCTCAACGGGGGCGATGGAAACGAGCCCCAACCCGGTTTAGCGGCAGGTGCTGGATCCAGTCGTAGACCGGAACAGCCCCGAGCTACTCCGAAAATAGGACTAGTGCAGGCCGGGGGAAGCAGAAGCGATGGCACTCGGGAAGACCAGGGCTAAGGGGAGGTCTAAGGCTAGCGTGGACGCAAATGGCGGGCAGGCGAGTGGGGAGGCTCCGGTGGGTATCGTCGCCTTTTGGGTTTAGTCCCAAAGTCTGCTTCGGAAAACTTTGAAAGCCGAGCGGCGGTTGGAGCCGGTACCTTCTCTTCCAGGTATTTCTTCTGGATAATTCCGAATACAGTGCTGGACATGGGATGTTGGAAGTCCGTCCAGTGTCCTCCAGTTGCGTGGTCTGAGATCATTCGTCGGCTGTCTCTGTGTTGCTTTTGGTGATGTAGTGATGTCTTGGACCTGAACTGGGCCACTGGACAGGTCCAGTATGGTTGATATGGACGATGACATGGGCCTATTGACAGGCGTCGATAAGCCGGTGGTCGGCGGGGCGGGGTATCGGTACACCTCAGAGATGGGGGCCCTCCACCACCACGCAGGTACTGATACCGCCTCTCCCTCCGACATGCGCTGTCCCCGTCGAGAGCCAGGCTGCTTCACGGTCTCTCTCGGCGGCAACCCCTGAGCCCATTCATTCCCAATGATCTGTAATATCCATCGACGATAGATGGTACCATGGACGACCAGGACACTCTACCTCTACTCCGTAGGAGGATGACATGGCTCTCGCGTAACCCTGAAGCACAGACGATACCTCAGGGACCGGTGGAGTAGAACAGCAGCAACAGGACTCCACTGTCCGTGTTCGGAGGCTATCTGGCCCATGGTGCCTCACGGATGATATGATTCTGTTTATGCAGGAATGGGCGCGTCTGCGCCGTGGATATGGAATACGACGACCGCCTGGAACTGGGACTCCGACGGATCCAATGCCGCGATTGCGCTCCCCCTTTTTCCCTGGCGGTAAGCAAAGCACGATGAATGGATAGACAGCATAGGCAGGAGGGTCCCACGGCAATCATCCTGCTGGGGTCGGTGGTTTTCGGGCCGGAGAGGAGCGCCGTACTCGTACTCTGTTGATAACGTGGTACCGTGGTTCTCAGCGTCCCTGCTGATGACTGGGCCACGGGGTGAATGTTTAATTGTCGTTTTTAATTATAGCATTACATTCAGGAGACGCCGACTCCGTACACCTTGTTTGGCCCCAACGGGCAAGGGGGGGGGGGGGGGTTTGCTTGGCCCCGTGGAATGTCCGGCCACGATCCCGTCATTGGTCACCGCTCATAATCACGTTTCCATTATGTACTTACTCCAGATTAAGGCCGTCTCCTCAGCGGAGGTATCGGCGGCTCTCCGGAGCCTGGCAGTCGGAGTCGCTGGACCATTTAGTAAATCACGCTTCTGTCTCCGCAGCCCGGGGAGTCAGTGTGGACGGACATATCCCAGCGGGAATTCACCCTTTCTCCCGGCTCCCCTGCCAGCTTCGTGGAAATGTACCCAAGTGGAACCTCGGCGTATAAGGGCGGTTCGCCACGTCCAGGTCCACGAGAGAGGAAGAAATTGGAATATCATGAGAATCACCCAGATGCAGAACTACTGCAAGGCTCGCTCCCATCTCGGAAAAACGCCTCCTCCTTGTCTCTCCGTGCGCACGGTGATTGGCGTGATGCGGGTGGGCTGGATCTCACCCCCGCGCAGGCGGAACCTGTTCATCCACTGCCGGTGAAGATGAAAAAAAAATACCCAGCAGCACAGGGGGGGGGGGGGGGGGGCCGGCGGTTTGACCCGGACGCCGATGTCCTCCACATGCTTGATCTGTTCTTTGCCGGGGCCTTGTGTTTCTTTCCGTTACGGTCCTGATGTGTTGGGGTGCTAGGCTTCAATTTGTCCCCAAAAACACCGCAAGGCCAGATAGACAGACAAGCTACGGCCGAGCTCGCGGGAGTGCTGCGCGGTCGGCAATCCGGGCTGGCTCCGCTATCGCGTCGCGCTCGGTGGGACCTCCGCGGAGAGCTCCGTGGTTGGGGCAAAGACACAGCGAGACCAGAGAGGGGGTCCAGGGCCAGAAACAGAGAGAGGGTACGGGTTATCAGGGCTCCCAGGGTCGGGATGATCGATATCAAATCAATATGGCGCGCTGGCCATTGGACGCCGCAGCCGCAGGGCTCCAGTACGCGGGATACAGAGGCCATGCTGGGCGTGCTGGGCGTGCTGGGCCTCGCTGGGCCTCGCTGGGCCTCACGGGGCCTCACTGGGTCTCTGTAACCTCGGACGATCACTCCGAAGTGGGCTCCAGCTTGTCCCCAGTTTTCATGTCCACGCCACGTCCACCGCTGCGCGCGGGCTGTCGATCGAATCAGCGCCCTGGCGGCGTGGCAGCGACGAGCGAACAATGCTTGGCATAGACGGGGCCGTCCTTCGCGGTCGACTCTAAATGTCTCATGTGGTTGGGGTACCCGTCCTTGGGGTCTCCCTGCACTTCGCGACGTGATGAGGCGCTTTCGGCGGCTGTGGTCTATTGACCCAGGTGCCGAAAGGGGGTTGGCGCAAAAGCACCAGAATGGACGCAAAGGTCCCCAGGACCAGGTACTCCGTCGGCACGTGTAAGTGTCGCGAGATGGACTGGTCGAGGCACGGCTATACTCCGGATAAAGCGTCGATGGGGACAGAATGAAGGCTTACCGGACTCCGTATACGATCAATACGCGGGACAGGACGAGCCGGTCAGCTATCCTCTGGGCCTCCCGCTAGTGATGATCCCCCAGGCAAGACAGGGAAATAAGATACCAAGCTGTCAGGACTTAGTGGGAACCGGGGCTGGTCTGCCGCGACCGCCAGCACCGCAGAGCTGCCGAAGGTACGGAGGTACCATCATACCATCAGGGCCATCGGATAGACGCCCGTGCTCAGGGTTAGTCCACTGTCACCCGTAGTCTCCTCCGTGGCCCACTTCGCCCAATCTCCCGTCTCCGCCCGCGTCCAGTCTGGCACTGGGGCCAGTGCAGCCTGTGGTCTTGGACCATGGCCAGTGCGGACCCGAACATTACAGATGGGATGCTACGCCGTACACGGTAAGTCTTACCCGCCTAGCCTTCGGCAGATCGAATTAGGCCGTGAAGCAATCGTAACGACGCGAACCATCCCAGATGGTGATCATGTCGACTGTTCGTCTCGGAGCTTCCTTTCCCTCCCGGGTCCGTTGGGCATCACCCCGGTACGACCCATGGGTTGCGGAATCTTTTCCCCCTCGAGAGGATGGCCACGGAATGAGCGACTACTCGGGATGTGGGTTGGGATGGACAGACGAGTGGAGGACGGAGTACTCCGTCGATAGCAGCCAGCCAGCAACAGCTTCAGCACAAAACACGACAGGAAACCAGAAGAACTAAAATAAATACAGGTACAAGCAGCCACTGGGCTAGATCCTTTCAGTCAAGGATCCAAATCCCGACCGACAGGGGGGTCACATCAGTCCGGGACAACTGAATCCAACAGTAACTGCAAAACAGTCCGCAATTCAATCAATTATCATACTCAACATAGCGTACATCAGAACAACTGGATCAATGGGGAATCATCATCGATAGGTAATCTTCCGCTGCGGCCCCCCCCCCCCCCCCCCCGGGTCCTCGTCCAATATTAACCGTGCCGGGCGAGTCGAATCTCCTTCCCCTGCGCATATCGTGGGTGGAGTATCCTGTTTGCACTGTGGCTGCACGATGTCAACGCCATTGGGCCGGACGTCTGGAGCAAAGACAAATGAAAGTCCCGGCGGACGCAGAACGATTCTAGTCATATAATACCCATACTCGTCAGGCTCACCACAGTAGCCCTAGTGATGACCAGCCGAACCAGCCGAGCAGGAGGTTACATTTGCCATGCATATTCTACGGCCGCTCGGTACAGCTGGACAGCGCGACGTGCAGCAGTCGAATGGGGTTAGTGAGGAGATCCAATGGCCCTCCACGTAACAAGGATAAAAGGCACGAGTATGGCGTATTACCGCATGACCAGGGAGAGGGGGGGGTTTGAAGGAGGACCTCTTACACTGCCAGTGCGAGTGCAATCCTGGCGCAATTGCGCCTGGATTCATGCAGGTCCTTCTCCACCCTGGACTCTGAACTCTGATATACCAGAAATCCGGGAGTCAGGGGAGCCTGGACCAGGCACGTCGCGGTAGCTCTTCTACCTTAGTCCCGCTCTCTAGCGTTGCTTCGGGTCGCGTAGCGTCGAAACGAGGCCATTGATACGGCGTACGGGGAATACGTCAACGGTGCGGAGTGCGGTCTAGTGTCTCATTTTGTGGCAGGGGGCGTGCTGCACGTTGCTGACTCGGGTGTTTTGGAGGCGTGGTGGTTGCATGCGGGAGAGAAGCTTTGGGGCCGATGCATGCGCGAGACGCATCCGCTCGGCAGTCGGTGCAGGTATTGGGTTTCCTGCTCCTGTGCCCCGTACATTAAGCGGGGGGAAAGGAGGGGCCCGGCCCAATTTTGGGGGCTCGGCAATGCAATGCGATGCAGGAGGGCTCGGTTCGACGACTGGTTTACGGAGTAGAGGTCTTTGTCTTGCGCATGGTGGTCGGCGATCATAGCCGGTCACCGTGTACACCGGTGTACCGCCAGTGCCTTGTTTTCGGAGAATGATGACTTGTCATGACTTGTCACGGAGGATGAATTCATGATTACGATCTCAACAGGATTTGAGGCCTGAGGTACCTATTGTAGTGCCCCAGCATTGACTCACAACTCGAATAGCAACCAAGTCCCCTCGCCAGGACCAACCCAGGCCGAAGCCGGCACCATCCCCACAGTCGCCACACTTAGCGTGCTCTTGTTTACTTTTTCCACATTGCACCTCAAGACGTTGTGAAACCGACTAGGAGCGCTGAATCCACTAGCATCAGCACAGCCTCTCCCGGTGGGCCGATTAAGCATAAATCTCAATGGGCCACGAGCTAGCATCTCAACGATCTCCGATAAACCGCTAGACTATACTATTTACGGGGCTTGTGAAACCTAGTAAAGTTGACACATCGAACGATCAGGCGCTTGAGCCAAGTGGGATTAGAATGTGCCTTAGGGCTGATGCTGGTAAGATATATATCACGGGCTACGAGGTATACCGGGGAGATGGCCCCGTCACCACCCCAACGTTCAGACGTTCGTACTGTGGTACTTTTTCCGGTTCCGGTCAATGGGCTTTGTTGATTTGACTGTATCCATGCCAAGAGATATTTCCGATAATGATTTGTGACAGTTGAGTCATCTTGCTCCAATTTGAACCAAGCCTTCCATGCGATGATGTAGTTGAAGAACCCACGCAATGACTCGACTTGCCGTAATCTCCCACATATCTATGGAGATCTTCCCATGCCTCGGTACGCTGTGAGCGACGGAAAAATATCTTCCGTCTTCGTACAGCATTACCCCGGGTGTAGGACCGATTGCGGGGTTGAGGCACTCCCTCCAACCCGGAATGAATGCATATATGGAGACGTATGTAAATAAAATCGGAACCCGCGAAGACCGTTGCACAGCCCAGAGTACCCCTCGGACCCAAAATCAAATAATACATTGGATTGAATTGAATCGTCAGTTCAACTCGATTCGAACATGCTGTGGGCCCCAGAACTGATGCTGACGCTTCTTCCTTTCGCTGCATACAACACGGCATCCCCAATATCGAGGGCAAGAGACAAATTCGACTGGTCATCCCAAAGGGCACTGTAAGTACTCATGCCCCTGACTGGACCAAAAATTTGGCGGACTCTATCGGTAACATCCGAAGAATTGCATTTGGGGACTCCTACACCTACGTCCAAGGAACCCATGGGCTCCAGAATTACAGCTTCATTGGCGATCAATTGAATTTTGCATACGACGCACAAACTCTGCTCTCGAACAAGATTGTGCAAAATCAAGTCTGTCATTGCCATCCCTGCTCACCAATCGCACTATCAGGACAATCCAGTTGACATGACATCTCATTCTGCCTCCAGACCGCATCCGCAGAAGGAGGCCCAAACTGGGTCGAGTACCTTACAAAATGCGGCCTTCAACCAGGCCTGACGTCGCCGAAACACTGCAAAAAGCAGCTCTGGGACTTCGCTTTTGCCGGGGCAGACATTTCAACAGAATAGTACGCCCTCATGAGAACTTCTCTGTTCTCCCCCTAGGAATGATTTGTGATTTGATCCTAATAATTTCCCATCAAAGCACACCTCTCCACCACAACTTCACCGTCTCCCTCGTGAACCAAATAACACAATTCAAGTCCTACGCCGCTCCAGTGCTCCAGCAGTTCCTGCCACCCTCGCAATCCCTAGTCGCAGTCTGGATTGGCATCAACGACGTCGGCGATAGTTCAAAGTACGCCGTCGACTTCCCAACCTTCTATGCTAACCTTACGCGCACACTGTTCACCTCCGTAAACGAGCTGTACGATCTAGGCTATAGATCCTTCCTAGTCATGAACCTGCCGCCGCTGGACCGGACACCAGGAAATCAGGCGACGAGCACACCGCATCCCAATGCGACGCAGGTGGCGTGGTATAACGATGCGCTGGCGGAGAAGGCAGAGCTGTTTAGACGGGTGAAGGGTGATGTAGAAGTGCGAGTGTTTGATGCGCATGCGAGGCTGAGCGCGATGCTAGACGAGCCGGGCGAGTATGGGATTGTGAACACGACGAACTTCTGCGCCGGGTACGATCAGCCTGACATTGAGACAAATTACCGCGCATACGGATGTCCGACGCCGCTGGAGACGTATTTCTGGTTTAATTCGGGGCATATGACGAGCCATGTGCATCGTATACTGGCTGCGGAGCTGGAGGATTGGTTGCAGGGGTAGATGGGGATGAGACGATGCGCCAACTGTACAGGCGGACGATGATACACCACGGAGCCTACGTTGCTAAGGTGTGGAACTGAAAGAAAGCATAGGAACAATGAAAAGATAATTCAATTATGCACATACACACTGCACTACCACATCGGAGGTACTCACCGAGAGACCTCAAGACAGGAAGAGAGAGAAGAACACTTTTGCGGATAATCAACATGTATGAATTGGCCTGGGAGATCCAAGCTCTAGGATTTGCGGGAAGCTGGCAACGAAGATCCGGTGTTGAGGAGCTCGTCGACAAGAGCCTCAAATCGAGACCGATAAAAAATCATGTAAGACTGTCTATGACATCGAAAAGTAACGCCGTCCGAACCGAATTACGCAGGGAAACCAAGATGAAGCAAGAACATAAGGAAGTCTACCAGTTGACGCAAGACAGCGCAAGTTCAGATGAACCGCACGAGCGCGGCAGCGAACGAACGGGGGGTGTTTTACCAACGACGGGCATCGCCGAGGGGAGCAGCGTTGGAGGCAGTGAAGCTGCCGCCACGGCCACCGCCGCCACCACGGCCACGGCCACGGCCACCCCAACCTCCACGGCCACCCCAGCGGCCACCACCGCCGCCACCACCGCTGTAGCGGACCATCTCAGCGAGACGGGGGTCAATTTGCTGCTTGGCCTCAGTGAGAATGGTGACCAAGTCACGAGCCTGCTTAGAGTCTGTAGGAAAAGAGAAGAACGGTTAGATGTCATGCGAAACGGACCAGGGACAGTCTCGGGGGCAATAAACAACTCACTTTCAGTGGTAAAGAAGGTGATGGCGGTACCCTTGGCACCAGCACGGCCAGTACGACCGATACGGTGGACATAGTCCTCCGAGTTGTTGGGGTAGTCATAGTTCAGGACATGAGTGATGTCGCGCACATCTTTTCAAATAGGGTCAGGTTAGCATAGTGCATTAGTGGGGTAAAGCAATTGTGGCCATATAGGGCCCTTTCTCAGTCGTGCAGGACTTGATGCATCACTGCTCTCGGATCGAGACTTCTTTTAAGAAAGTTCCCGGGGAAGCGAGTCCATGGGATGGCGGTGAAATCGTGGTCCTAAGAGTAACCTTGGAAATGCAGCTTTTTCAAACAGAACAAGAACAATGCTGAGATGTGAAGACTCCAACTCGCTTACGAGTTTCTGCAACAAAGGAGTCGGAGAAATCCTGTCAGACCTGCTTTCTGCTACACTGCACTGTGAGTCCAAGGTCCTCTCTGGTCATGGAAAACCATTTGAGATGACCCGAAGTTCCGCCTGGACGAAGTCGTGTTTACACCAACATGCTTCGGGAGAGAGTTGAGCACCGTGCCATTGTGTTTTCAACATCAACACGGGTGAGTGTTCTCAAGGGCCCGTTTTAAGGGGAGGGGGGGGGAGGGGAGGGGGTTGCAATTTATTCATACCGATACCACGGGAAGCCACGTCGGTGGCCACCATGATGGGGCTCTTGCCCTGCTTGAATTCGTTGAGGACCCAGTCACGCTCCTGCTGCTGCTTGTCACCGTGAATGGCTGCAGAGATACATGTTAGTAACTGTAACAGAAATCGAGGCAAGACGAGGAGAGGAGAGGGGAGACATACACAGCGCGGGCCATCCGTCCTGGCGAAGGAAGCGAGTAATTTCGTCAGCGATACGCTTGGTACCAGTGAAGATGAGAATCTTGTTGGAGCGATCCTCCATAATCTTCTCCATGTGCTTGATCATGCGGTCACGCTTCTCGAAGTCCGACATAATTTCAACGATTTGGGTGATGCGGTGGTTAGCGGACAGGTCCATAGAACCGATGTTAACCTGAATGTAGTCGTTCAGGAAGTCCTTGGCAAGCTGACGGACCTCCTTGGGCCAGGTAGCGGACCACATGCAGGTCTGACGGTCAGGGCGAATCTGGCCAATGATCTTGCGAATCTGGGGCTCGAAACCCATGTCCAGCATACGATCAGCCTCATCAAGGACAAGGTAGGTGACACGGCGCAAGTTGGTGCGGCCAGCCTCCAGCATGTCAATCAGACGACCAGGGGTGGCAATGCACACCTCAACACCGCGGGACAGGTCACGAATCTGGGGACCCTTGGGGACACCGCCGTAGACACAGGTGTTACGGATGCGAGAGGACTTGCCGAACTTGCTGATCTCAGTCTGAATCTGAACAGCAAGCTCACGAGTGGGAGCCAAAATAAGGACAATGGGGCCATCACCCGGGGCCAGGAGAGGCTGGGCGTTGATGTGAACAATAGCGGGAAGACAGTAGGAGAGGGTCTTTCCGGAACCGGTCTCGGCGATACCGACAACGTCGCGTCCAGAGAGAGCCATGGGCCAACCCTGAGACTGAATAGCAGTGGGGCGTTCAAAGCCCTGAGCCTTAACCTCGGACAGGACGTATTGGGGGAAGCCAGCCTCATCGAAGTTCTCGACGGGGCGAGGGACACCGCGACCCTGAACGGCCATCTCCATCTTCTTGCGGAAGGCCTCAACATCAGCATCTGAGCGGGCGGAGACATCGGGGTGCTCCTTGTAGAAGGACTTCTCGAACTTGGGAAGGGTGTTCATGTCTGAACCGTTTTTGTTAGTATTTCTGCGATCGAAGATAATCCTGTATTAGGCACGAGACTTACCCCAATCCTGGACCTTCAGGCCGGCGCCAAGGTTAGACATGCGGTCACCACCAGCACCACCGAAACCACCACCACCGCCGCCGTAGCCGCCACCGCGACCACCGCCGTAGCCACCACCACCACCGCTGTAACCACCACCGCCGCCGCCGCCGTAGCCACCCCCGTTGGAGTAGCCGCCGCCGCCGCCGCCGGAGTAGCCGTTGTCACCACCGCGGGAGCTACATGAATAGAGAAAGTCAGTACAAGTGTCAACTTGCTGTGGGATGATGAGTTTTCAGTGTCGGCAAGTGGACGTGGCAAGGCCTGATTCAGGCCAACAGCAGTCCGATGAGCTCAGTCTCCCAGCAATGAGACCAGGCGCATCCATCACTATAAGACACACGAAAACAGGGCGCACAGTATAATTATTACTGTGAGGGTCCTTTGAGAGAGAACAACTTACCGGTAGGAATCGCCGCCGCGCGAGTTTCCACCACTGTAAGACATGATGGAGATTTGTGTGCTTTCTGTTTTATTGAGGAAATGAGAAAGTATCGTAACAGAAGGTCACAGGAGAAAAATGGAGAAGAGAAAAAGAATGGGGGAAGATGAGTTCGTGGAGAACTTGAAGAAAGAACGAGAGAAGGAACGAAAAAAGTCGCCAGGGGAGCGGCAGAAAAGGCAGGAGGCAAAAAAAAGTTGCCCATTTGGGATTAGCCACCACGTGATTAAGCTGGGCTGTTTCCGCGGTTCGCAACAAAAGGTCTTTTTTTTTTAGAGTTTTCAAGATCGGGCGAATGCCAGAATTTCAGATGAAAGGAATGCAAATGGGCTCTGATTGGATGAGGGTGGAAATTTTTGAAGATATGTCTTTTTTTTAGATTTCCTAGTATTTATCGACTATTTATGGGCACCTCAACCTGTCACTTCACAGCTTCCGGTCGCTCAGCCCCATGTCCCAGAAACTGATCTCCAGCTCTGTAGCCCGGATGAAAATCCGGATCAACTGCTCCAGGCGACTCGGCGATACCTTCTGCACATGGTCTTCCAGCAAACCTACCGAGAGAGAAAAGCTTGTTAGACATTTTTAATCAGTCGAAATGGGATTGTCGTACCTGATCCGAGACGCACTGCTTCCGTGTAGTCTTCGGCGACATAGTTCTCAATCCATTTCCAATACTGGTTGCCTTGACGGAGAGACTTCTTGTCGGAGTAGAGCCGCCTGGCAATGGCGCCGTAGCCGATCAAACAGGGTGCCAGAGCCATCTGCAGGGCAAGCCAATCCTCTGATTGGCCCACATCAAGAATGAATCGACTGTACGCAGTGCATGCTAGTGAAGAAAACACGGTCAGAAACAGAATGCAAGAAACCCATAGGATAGACAAGACTCGTACCGATGGTTTCCGGATGAGCTTCCATTTCCTGTTTCGAAAGACCAAAGGAAGCGCAGTAATCTAGGTGGAGAGCCATCTCTCGCTGGATGTGCAGGACAATACGCGCGGACTGGAGTACTTGAGTTAGATCGGGACATAATGGGTGGACAGGGAAATACAAACTGCGGCGATAGAGTCCATATCTTGAGACTTGTACGATGCTAGCGCATTACTGCGGGCAAATTGAACCTGCAGTTTGATGTGTCAATAGGCTGTCTTGGCACGCAAAATTTGGAAAGAAAATCTCACCAGGTACAGATAGTCTTGTACAAGATACTCCTTGAATCGTTCCACAGGGAGCGTACCCTGCCCCATACCGTCAACAAACTCGTGGTGGGTAAACTTTCCCCACACCCGCTGAACATCTGGACGGTCCATGATGTACTCAAGGAAACGGCCGCTGGAAGTTGTATTAGCAGATTTCCCAACATAGGTCAATGAGGTCGAGCCCTTACGGTGCAAATGGCATAGTATAGATCGAGTGAAAGTGGTTGATTGGTCCACTACCCTTACCCAGGTCCACGCTAGTTTTGATACCTACTTCGACGAACCGCACGGCACTGCGAACGGCTCGCACCATGTCCTTGCCCATGGCTAGGTTGGCAGAGATCGCTGAAGCAAGCGAGCAACCGGTGCCGTGTGTGTTCTTGGATACCAAATACTCGGTCTCAAACAATGTTGTGACCGCAGATTCTGCATCGTAAAGGATATCGATCACAGTAGTTGCATCTTCTGGGGTTTGTGCAACTTTGTGATCATTTGTAAGCGGGAGATGTCCTCCCTTGAGGAGAACTGCTTTCGGGCCTAAAGAGCAGATTTGCTTGGCAAGATCAACCAGCCCATCCAGGTCTGCTGGTTCAGGAGCCTCGAATCCAGCGTCTTTGATAAGGAGCAGAGCCTCAGGAATATTAGGAGTCAGAACAGTAGTTAGGGGGAGTAATTTCGTTCGGAGTTCTTTAACAGCTTTTTCTGGGAGAAGTTGCGCTCCACTGGTGGAAACCATGACCTGTTGACTCATTAGCCATTATCAAATTTAGACAATCAAGCTGATGTCTATTTACCGGGTCGAGGACAATGACGGGAACTTTGTGGGCTTGTAACGTTTCGGCAATGACATCAATCGTCTCCGCAGATGAGAGCATTCCTGATGCGAGTAAGCAAAGAGCTACAAATACCAAAACGATCTAGGTCCACTGACCCAATTTCACGACATCAGCACCAACATCTTCCAGGCCTGCATTAATCTGCTTTCTCACAAATTCTGATGGTACGACAAAAATGTCCTGTACACCGAGTGTGTTCTGTGCAGTCAACCCTGTTGTAGCTGTGAGAGCATAGCAGCCATGGGCAGCCAATACTCTTTGGTCAGCCTCCAAGCCCCTTTAGACAAGTTAGCTTTTGTCATGATGTTGACAGGATAGAGATGATTCAGCAGAAACACGATATCCGGCCTTATTTGCATGTTGGCAGCGACTGCCAGGGAGAGGAACTCACGCGCCACCAGAGCTATCGGAGCCCGCAATGACCAGGACCCGCTTGACCGACATGATCGAAGGAGCCAATCGGGGAAGAAGCTTGATTCGTTGAAGGACCGGTGAGGTGAAGAGGGGATCAGATCGGATGGCGGGCAAAAATACGATAAGAACGATAAGCCGGGATTGGCTGCCTTGATGAGGTTACAGGTCGGCTCAGGCTGTTTTTACGGTCGGCTCAGGCCATAACGTGATGATAAGACCGATAAGGAAAAGTATCCCCTCAACCCATTGTTCTTACTATTGCCTAGTTAGGTTTAGGGTAGTAAATATTCCTCGTTCGCACGATGTCGGCTCAGGCCATCTTTTTTCGTCGCTCATCCATCAGTTCTTCTGGACCCACATGACCTGAGCCGACCCACTTTCCAAACTTACCTTCGTACACAACCTCACACATTCTTACGCTCTACTTCCTGTTATTTCTACAGTATAGTGGCGGTGATTAGTATTCAAACCCTCTACTTCGGCCATACTACTGTAAGTTCTAAGGTGGGGTAATGAGAGGGCGCCAATGCCATAAGGAATTAACTTGGGCATTATTCTATTTCACTAAATTTCTTCCGCATTATTTGATTCCAGCTTACGACACAAATATGCGAACTCGGATGTGCCCTGACGATGTGGCCTGGGAACAAGCCGAGGAAACATCTAACAATTGGCTGGCTCAATTTCTCGAACATAACGTCTTGAGACCGATCGGGAATTTCATGCTTGATCACAACGGAGGCATTGGGACCGAGTTTGCCATACTCAGAAAAGGTTCTTATAACATCTCGTTGCGATTGAAGGACGAAAATGTAGCCACCGTTATCCGCCTGTCGCAGCCCCGTGCCGTTTTTTTCCCTGAGGAGAAAGCCGTGAATAAGGTTGCTGTGATACGGTTTCTCACGGATAAGACATCAATACCTATTCCTTTTATTCACCACTCAGGGATAAAGAAGGAAAGCCCCCTCGAACTAAGCCCGTTTATTATGATGGATTATATCGAATATAAAACTAAAATGTACGACGCTCTTATTACCCCGGGATGTCCGATAGAGGAACGCGGAATTCTGGACCCGGCTATCGATCAGGATAGGCTTAAAATGCTATATAGGTAACTAGCGGGTATCCTGCTTCCGCTTTTTACGCCCTCCTTGCCTCGGATAGGATCTCTTAGCTAGATCGATGACTTTACCTAGGAAGTAACACGCCGGCGTTTGTCTAAGAATATAAATGAACTTGTCCGACTGGGAGGCTTGCCGCGGTCGAAACTTCCGGATCTATATACTATATTCACTATAACTTTATTATATCTCGAAGCTCTCGCGGATCTTAATATTGAGTATCTTGTACACTAACGAAACGATTCTGTAGAGTCCCCAGACGACTGTCGGCGAAAATTTGTGGTACGGCGGCTTTTTCGTAAGCTCGCTAGGGATAAGCGACTCACTAATCTATTACTCGAGAAAGGGCCTTTCAAAATTTAGTGTGATGACTTGCGGCCGGCTAATGTGCTCCTTTATGAGAATTTGAAGATTGCCGCTGTGGTAGATTGGGACTTTATATACGTAGCACCCGCCGAATTCTCTTATGCGCCGCCTTGGTGGTTGCTTATTGAGAAGCCTGAGTACTGGTTAGAAGGCCTTGAGGACTGGACAAGAATTTTTGGCTATTGCCTGAAGACATTCCTTAAGGTGAAGGATTATGAAGATATAGCTATCCTATAGGGTCGGTTGAAAGAAGACTAACGGCTTTCCGGTCCTATATATCAGAGTTGGGAGAGCGGGGATTTCTGGATTATATATGTAGTGTTGTATAGCTTTGCCTTTGATGTGATCTACTGGCAGAAGATCGACCTACGCTTTTTCGGGCCTACTAAGAACCCCGAGGGAGCATAGAAAGAGAGACTCGACTTGTTGGATGAGAAGGAAATATATGAGATGGAACAACTGGTGGCACGGAAGCTGAAGGAGATGAATACCAGGATACTGGCGTGGGACCCGGATGAGTATACTGTGGAATATCGCCAGTAATTGAAGAGACAAAGAGAAGAAGCAGATGAAGAGAAAGTGGAAGCAGATGAAGCGCATAATACCCACAAAGACAAGGACAAGGACAACGAGGTGGAGAATAAGGGCAACGAGACTGAAGCCTCGGGGTTCTTGGGGGCACATACAATAAGTGATAAGCTGGCCGCAACCCATTTGTCTAGCTAGTTGCGATCACAGTCAGAATCGAGTCCAAAAACATCTTGTGAATGAGGAATATTAACTAAACCTAATAAAGTAATAAAATGAAATAAAATGGATTGAGCTGAACTCTTTCTCATCGGTCTTATCATCACATTATGGCTTGAGCCGACCGTGAAAACAGGCTTAGCCGACCTGTTATCACGCCTTGATGCCCCCCCTCCACCGTTCTGCTCTTCCCTTTACTCTGACCAGATCATCGTGCCTAGATGTCAGGACATTAGCAGTATTGCTTCCTATGAAAGTTTTCATACATGTGCGATCTGAGTGATTGGCTCTAAGCGTTAATCTAACACTGATGGTTCTTGTTTGGTGGTTAAATACACAGGCGACTTTTGTGGGTCTATTTCTATGTTGAGTTCACATTGCTGTATTGCATTGATTCATCAGATTGCTGGCGTCTGGTGAGTACAAGAGATTACTCCTCCAAGTGGTACCTTTGAGGGTTCGTTGTAAATTTAGATATTTGCTGAAGCTGTCATTACCTCTCATTTCAGTATTAAGTAGTTCTCATAACATTACAATAAACTGATCCAACGGATCAATGGTTATGTATCTGCTGATTCCCTTCATATATCGATACTTGGAAAATTAGGTGCCTGTTAACTATGCCATTTCGGAAAGCCACGTTGAGGTGCAGATGATGCATCAGACCTATATCGACGGTGCTTGTGTGGGTAAGTCTGGCTTCCTATTACATCACGCTGCATATTAGTCGCAACTTTCCGTACCATTGGATACTACCGCAGAGCAACTAGCAGCTGACCACATGCATATAGTATGCATGCCAACCAGATCGCAATCTCGGAGAGCGGAAGCAGATTACCGAGGTTTGATATGGGCTAAGTTCGAGCAATATTGTGATTAAGGAAGGACATAAATTTGAAAAACAGCAGCAAAGTGTTCAAACGTAGTCTTCCTGGGGCGTGAGGATTACGCCCGACCAGGCCCGCGTTCGAGCTTATGCAGCTAGGACCTGAACCGACACACACCAATTCTTTGTGGTGCAGGGGATTGGAGGCCTGTGCAACGAATCAACGGTGGTTCGCAATTTAGTTCTTGAAAGGCTGCGGATGTTTCAATTCAAATACAATTATTGAACAGCCACAATGAACCTATGACAATAACTCGACAACGTTATCCGCGATCGTCGCTTTGAGATCTACGGTTTGTGCTACAAAGCATGTCCATAGTAGCGAAGATATCTCCACCGCGACACCGCTCCGCATAGTCAAATATGAACACTAGCCCAAGGGCCAATCAGTTAAAGCAAATTTGCCATAAGGAAAACGAGGTGATGATCTTAGAAAATATGGTCAGAATAGCCGTTCACGGCTCCATTTTCCACGCTAGATAGTGGGCCACAAGTCTGAGAGGGGCTAAATAGGCCATCGACGTTGATTTGTTCATCCCCGCAGTGCTACCCTCCTACTTGAAGCCCGTGCGCTCTCTACCTGGGTATATATATGGCTCTGAACATACATTTCTCCGCCTATACCGAAATTCAATTCAATCCTTTGTCTGCTCAAGGGGATGATGTATCGGTTGTCCCTAGAAACATCACGGGCTGCCTTTAGTTACGCAGTCATTATCCTCACTCCCCTCACGCAAGGCCTATACTACCGTGACCTAAGTCATGTCCTGTCGCAGCATACCATCATATCAGCTGCTACTGCTGTGGCTTCATGTTACTGTCATAAATGCAGTCCACCTCTGTCCTCTCCTTGGACCTAGTTGGCCTGCTCCTACAGATCTCTCTAGCTACCCCACAGTCCAGTCGGCGCTGAAGAACATCACTAAAACAATTCAAGATGCAAGCAACGCTGGAGAGTTTTCTGGCGCCTCTCTTTCTTTGGAAATATTTGACTTAAGTAGTTCCGATGCGTTGCTAAGTTATGCCCACACGGCCAAGGAAATCAATACTACGATCGGCGTGAGCAAGGTCGACGAGAACACCGTCTTTCGCATTGGCAGCACTTCTAAAATGTTTTCTATGCTCCTACTACTGATTGAAAGAGGATTTAGTCCTCTACAAGACCCGATTGTCAAGTACATTCCTGAAATTGGGGCGGCGGCTGCAGAGCTTCTCCGAAATTCCACGCAAAGAGATGACGGAATCGATTTTACCAACTGGAATGAAGTGACAGTGGGAGACCTAGCGAGTCATTTGGCGGGTATTGCAAGAGATTGTGAGCATTTCAATTAGTCCTGGGAAGAATGGCTTATTCAACTCTCACAGATGGTGTCCTCGATCTCGCCGAGCAGCCCTCTTTGCTCACATCACTAGGATTTCCGACCCTGCCTCCCGCACAGGTTCCACCTTGTGGCGTGCCAAACCCCTGTAGCAGGAAACGTTAGTCGATGAAGCTTTTCCGACATACTTGGCTCTTTCTGATGGCCATCTTGATAGAGTTCTTTGATGGACTGCTCCAGTCCCATCCTATTGTCCCCACGTCTTCAACGCCAATCTACTCCAACGCTGCCTTCCAGATCCTTGGATATGTTGTGGAGGTACTTGCTGGTGGCAAGGACTTCGCGAAAACTCTAGAGAAGAACATTATTAGACCTCTGGGCCTGGCCCACACCTTCTACAACACGCCCAGCCCTTCGCTTGGCGTGATCCCTACCTATCAGGGCGAATACTGGTGGGACTTCGATATGGGTGAAGAGGCGCCGTCAGTACTTCGGAACATTAATCCTGGGTACCAAGCTCACGCAATCCTAGTGCCGGTGGCATTTATTCATCCGCCAAGGACATGTCCACCTTCGGTCGCGCCATCCTCAATAGCACTCTTCTTTCCCCCTCAACCACAAGACGGTGGCTAAAGCCGCTCACTCATACATCATCTCTAGACTATGCAGTTGGTGCACCGTGGGAAATTCTGTCTTTCGGCAATGAGCGCCCCATTGATCTCTACACTAAGTCAGGAGATATCGGCACATACTCATGTGTGTTAGCCCTAGACCCCGTTCATGGTGCTGGCTTTGTCCTCCTCGGGGCTGGCAACAATACCCATGTATCTCTAGCCCTCGCCTCGGATCTCGTCTCTGCGAGCCTACTACCTGCACTTGATCAAGCCGCTAAAAGTCAAGCACACACTCGGTTTGCAGGAACATACGCAGATGGTGTCAGAAACTCCTCGATCACTATTACTACGGATGACGGCCCGGCGCTAGTCGTTACAAGCTGGTTCAATAATGGTACTAACATGTTCCCAAGCTATATGGCCTTGAACGGTATTACCGATCCCTCCATGCTGAGCATTCGCCTGTATCCAACCGGTCTTGAGAGTCCAGGACAGATCTCCTTCCGGGCAGTGATCCCTCCCCCGCTGCCGACGGGCATTGGTCCATTTAGTTCGTCCTGTATTACGTGGGTGACTGTTGATGCGCAGGTTTACGGGAATGTGGGGATCGATGAGTTTGTCTTCAACTTGGACAAAAAGCGCAATGCAGTTAGCGTATCTCCAAGAGTACTGCGCACTGTTCTTTCAAAGACGAAATAGTATTCCCGAACCGGGTGTGCTCAGCGACTGGATTCTGGGATCAATTGTGTTGCATGGGTTGTTGTTGCGAAGGAAGAGATATTACCATATGGCCTTCTAGTTCTTATGAATTCATGGATGGTTATGCGTTAATATCTATTCAAGCTGCCCCTGGATCTTTGAGGCCCCGTTGTCAAACAGTAGATTGTCTCTGACCTTGGCACGGCCATCATAATTAGATTGGCAGACAGCAAAAAAGTTTGATGACTCAAATGACCTAGAGTCTCGATAAGCGAGGACTGCTCCAATGCTTCCTTCCCCCAAAATGAGGATCCAGTGAGACTTGGTAGGCAGCATTCCAGGTGTTCAAATTGACTGCAGAGAAAAGCGTGTGAGTTACTCTAGAAAGCATAGCTTATGGCTTGGATGGACCACTCCCGAAGGGGGTCTTCTCGTAAGAATACAATCAACGTACTTGCGCCGTACACGTGATCTTTTCGAGATGATGATATATTATTGTACGCAACATAGATTGGTAGGATGAACGAAGAACCTAACCTGGCCTCATTCAATCCCGCTTCAGTCCAATTCGCCCAGTCTTTCGGAGACCAAGCCCTGAAATGGCGGTACAGAGTAGCATGAAAGCAAACATGGTCCAAAAGCTTGCGCGATATCCAGCCAGCAACGCAGAAATGTCATCTTTGTTGACTTCTTTGTTCTCAGTAACAACTGACGAGATGACCTGCAGAATCGCAAATCCGAGGGCAGTGCCGAATTGCGCTGCTGTGTTGAACACTGCTCCTGCAAGAGCCTTGGTATCCTCCGGGAAAATATCTGTGATGATTATGAGGCCGACGGTAAAGAGAGCGTTGCAGTTGACCGGTTGCAGCAATTGAGCCACAAAGGTATTTGCCCAGTATGGCCAGGCTGGCTGAGCGGTGGCCATGAGCAAGGGTGATAGCGAGCACAAAATGGCAGTGAGCACCACAATCCAGATGGCAGGTACTCTGTGGACGAAGAAACCTGCAGTTACTTGGACGAGGACCCCAACAACCAGACTTGGGAGGATGCGAATGGATGCTTGAAGAGCAGACAGTTGTTGAATCTCTTGGAAACTGAGAAGGAGAACAAATCAGCGACGCTTTTCCACATGAATTACAAGATTACCTACAATAAACTCGCGAATAGCTCCATGGAGTTGATCACTGCAAATGATAGTGCGATGGTAGCACATATGCTCGAGAAGGTTGGATTCCTCCAGAACGCATTGGGAATGAGTGCTGGTCTTCCGCGGCGAACCTGGTAGTGAATCCATGTGATGAATGAAGGCAACGCAAGCGCAGCCAAACAAAGTATGACAATGCTAGCAGTTTCCTTGATACGATACACATTTGAGCTGAGGATACTGTTCATAAACGTTAGTTGGCTCACATTTGCATGAAAGTGGACGATAAACCTACGCGAGCAAGTAGCAAAGAAGCGCCATAAAAGCAGACGCAAGTATCGCACCAACCCAGTCAATCTTGTGTTTCATATCATGCAGAATTTTCACACGTTGAAGAGGATGTCTGTTCCCTGGGAGGGCCCATAAACCAACGATCGAAAGAAATAGAGCAGCACTGCCTGAGATGTACCAGCCGACTCGCCAGCCGACGGTGTCCACGAAAACTCCACCCAGAACAAGACCAACACAGAAACCAACAGGTTGACTCATACCGAGGCATGCGAAAGCCATGTTTCTGCTTTTCCCCTGAGGAAAAACTTGAGTGGCAATGCCGACAGCTGATGCCAGGTGAAGTGCGAGACCGACGCCTTGGATGGCACGCATCGCAACCATCTCCGTGCCTTTCTTCGCAAACCCCATCCCAAGCATCAATGCGCCACTTGCAAAAGTTCCAGTAAGGTCCACCCATCGTGGCCCGACGACATCTGCCAAGGAGCCTGCCAGCAACAAGGTTGAGGCAGTTGCTAGTCCAGACACTGACACCGGCCAGAAAGATAGCGATGAAGGCAATTGAAGGTCTTTTGCAATTGTGGGAAGACCAACGGTGACGAGACCATTGATGATACTCGAGAGCATTGTATTGCCGCTCATTTGGAACACGATAATTATGCTCCGAAGCTTGGAAATCTGAGTGGCGAGCTGCTCAGTGTCCTGTCTCTCATCTTCGCTGGATTGAAAACTAGTCGTTTCGAGGCGAATTAAGGAAACACGGCCTTCACCAGAAGGCACAGAGCCAGTGTGCTTCACAGTTATAGTCTGTGTTGTCGACATCATGGAAAATCCTCATCTTCCACACTGAATCAAAAATTCACATGAGGAACAATTCTGTTGGAGTCGTCAAAGGAAATTATAGAAGCAGTCATCGAGACCGTTTGGGTCTCAGGAGAATCAGGTAAATGGCATCCTAAGTGGAGTCAACTACCACGAAATTTTTAGAGCGAATGCAAATCGGGGCTGTTATAGGCTGGATGGACTGAGCCCATCCCGCGATGGACTGGAACCGAATGGGTTTCCGAGTTGAAGCCCGGCGTTGTGATTGGCCAAGCTCGGTAGTGGAAATAGGGCGTGGATGGGGCAAGGGCGTGGGAGAGATGTAGGGCGTGGGAGAGATGTAGGGCGTGTTTCTGAGCGGGCGGTTCCGACAAGAAGCCTCCCTCGATAGGTGTTTCGGTTGTTCATAAATACTACGAAGATCTATTTAGGACATAAGGTCATGAGTGCGGTAACCCCAGATATAGATGCAAGGAAATCAGCATTACGCAACTATATTCCTCATAACTTAACCCATGCCCGGAAAAGAAAGCCTATTTACAAGTTTCCAAAAGTCATACGCCACCAGGGCTATTGTTGTAACATGAAGCGGAAGAGCGTGTCCATCTCAACCCACTGCCGACCACACTTCTTCAGGTAGCCATCCACCACCGTCTTGATGGTCCCAAAGCGGATCCGGTTGAACTCCGCAAGAGCCGCCAAGCTATCCTTCTTTTCTCCCGTCTCCTTGGCAGCAGCAGCCTTGGCCTTATCCACATCCCACAGGCCGGCAAAGTACAGAAGCTGGTTGTACATCTGCTTCTCGCTGTACTCGTAGGCCATCCGACCCAGACAACCCTCGGCGCGGCCTCGGGGACCCAGGCACCGATGGCCGTACACACTGATCTGGCGTGTGCGGTTCCCGCATGCCGAATCATCGCAAACCAACCAGCCCTCGTAGTATTTGGCGGTCTGTTCGCGGATCTGGTTCTCCAGCTGTGCAATAATTGTCAAAACGGCAAAGGGCTTCTGGCAGCTTTCGTTTGGGCAAATGATTCCATTCGCTGAGCACATTTGCGGGGTGTTTGCTAGGCCTTCAAACACCGACTGCTCTTTGCAGAAGCGGCACTTGAGGGTCAATCGTGCAGAGTGGGCAAAGCGGACAGAATCGGGAATTTGCGACTCCAGCGGGAATATCTCGTTATCCTGCTGTTTGCTTGAACTGGATGTGTTGATTTGGTACTTGCGAACATCAAGACCCAGGCATTCGGCAAGACGGACGGCATCAGTACCGGGGATGGGGGCGCAGAGACGCTCGATAGGAGGGAAGATTTGCTTAAGCAGGTAGAACTCGACATCGGGCTTGAGCCCGGAACTGGGCTTGAGAACGTCTTGTGGGCTGTAGGATCGCTTGGCAGGGGGGAGAGATGATGTCTCTGCATCTCCGTTTGTGACGATGTATGAAATAACGTCATTTGGTCGAACGTTCTTGCCCCGAGCAATGTCGCGGAGGGCAACCTGTGCTGGAGGCATGGTCTCTTTGTTGGGGTATTGGTCTGGGCTCTTGGACAGTTTCTGAATTCATGTTTAGCATCACTGACAGTCCCCTACTTGGTAATTGTCCTTGACGTACCGTGTAAATAACATATTTTTGAACGGGGACTGCAAACTCCTTCATCTTCTCTGCGAGCTCACGCAGGTAATCGTGAACTTTGTTAAGAACAATCTCTTGGTCCTCGCCGGAGAGAATCTCGTTCAGAAGCCTCTGCGATACTTCCTTTGACAGGGCGCAGTATTCACGTCGCTTCATGTCAAGACCCTTGACTTCTAGCTTCTCAATGTACTTGCCGTCGACCTCCGTTAGGTTAACAGCCGCATACTTCTTCTTAGCATGCAACAACAGCCGGCGGAAAACGTTATCGATATCGATCTCAAGCAGACGGTATCGCTCGTTGACTGATTTCTTAAACTCTTCACCGACCTTCAGTGCATCACTGATAGTATCCATGTTGGTGTTGATCATGACCGAATCAGTATCACCATAGATGACACGCAGTTGCTTGCTCTCAGCAAGATCCTTGGTACTCCGAAGAATCTCACGCCCCTTAAAAGTAGTGAGCATGGCCAGGGGACGGGCGTAGAATCGACTTTGAGTGTATCCCAGACATCCATACATGGAGTTAGCCGTGAGCTTGAACGCAAGTTGCTTCGTATCCCACAAAGCAAGCTGTTCGGGCGTAGCACGCTTGTCTTTCATAAGCTTCTTCACCTCTCGTCGACGACCGACCAGGGTTGAAATAAGGCGAGGCAGGATTCCTTGCTCTTGGTCTGAAGAGGGGACTTCGGGAACCTTTTCCTCGTTCTCATTTTCGGACTAAAACGAAGAGGTTAAAAAATCGGCAAAGGGGCTTATGTGACAAGGCTTTATTACTCACAGTTGCCTGCCGATCGACTGTTGTGAAGCAAATGTTGTACTCCTGGATGATACTAGGGTACAAACTGTTGAAGTCCATGACCAGGATGAATCTGTCGTACAGGCCTTTCTCGGGCTCGAAGACGAGACCGCCCTTGTACTTGTCCTTCTTTTTCTTGTCTGCCGCGTCATCATCATCTCCATCCAGCATCTTCTCCTCGGCCTTCTGCAAGCGAGAGGAATATTTGTCCGGGCAGATGTATTTGTTACGATGAAACTCGTGAAGCAGAATGTACTCGTTGCGCTCGGCGCGGGTACCGCTGAGGGTACGTGCCCAGGAGTTACCGGCAATGTTTGTCAGCACCTTGGTGAGCGGGAGCATCTGCAGACGTAGTACCAGGGCAGCAATGAAGTAGGTATCTGTATCGCAGTGATTGACAAAGTTCATGAGACCCTCCTTGGTCGATGCCCACGACTTCAAGGCGGCTTCGATATCAAGATCTTGGCGGTTGTTGCCCTCCCCGAGATAGAGTTGACACATCTCCGTCAAACTCCACGACTGACATTTCATCATGAGAGACTGTCGTGGAATTAGCATTTAAATACTTGCAGGAATCATCGTGAAAGAAACCTTACCTTGCCCATGTCATTACCAACGTCACACAGAAGTCGTCCGGCAATAAGCTGCCTTTCAGCAAAGAAACCGCCGCCACCCCTGTTTAGCTTAGGCCACTCGCTACGACGCAGTCGACCAATGCGATGCCACCCAGGGGTCTTCTTCTCCCGCATGCGATTCAGAAGAATGCCAAGGTCAACATCCTGCAACTGATGACCCATGATCACATCGGGATCCATCTTCTCAAACAGAGCGAGGAATTTGCTTAACAAAAATTGCTCGCTCTTTTCTAGCATGAACGTGCCTCGTTGCTTTCGAGTCTCGGCCTCGAAATGCATGGGATAAGAGGGTCCGGTAGGGCGCATCACGGTGAAGGTCTTGCAAGGAAGCCTCTCTGGAGGGGTAGTATCTGTAAGAGAGACGTTCTCATACACTCTGGCACTCGCCATAAGAATTTCCTGCTTGTTGTCCTTCACATTGAGCTGGTGGCGGAAAGACAAACTCATGAGCGTCAAAGGAGGAGTATCCAAATTCTCAGTTTCTGGAACCGGGTTGATGAGGGCTGGCTTGGAGGCCTGGCATTCGAATTTGCACCAGGATGCGTTGTTCACGGCAGAAAAATCTGCTCCATCGATTCTGAGCCAGCAAGGGCCCATGATGTTCTTCCACAGGACAAATTGCTCAAATAGAGAGGTGTTGGTGCCGAAGACGTGTGAGTAGGTCTCGCCCTTGATGTCCATAGGCAGTGCAGGCTTATCGTACGGGTAAAGAAGCTTTAGATATTCGGCCTCCTTCGGAACACCAGACAGCTCAAATGCGTACTTGCGAGTGCAAGGCTTGATCTTGTGCATACCGACTCGCATTCGTGACATGAGCCCGTCCACTTCCCCATAGACATCTTCCATATCGACCTCCTCATTGGTCTCTCTGCCTTGCTTGTGTCGGTGCTCGCGAGGAAGGAAGTAAAGTTTCCGTAGAACATTATCGACCTTGACGAATGCACTGGCATAGGAGCCGTTCTGCTTGTTCTTCACTTTACCGAACAGACAGAGACTACCGTTGACCTCAGTGTAATCCAGCCAGAACATCCGTAGGCTGCCGTCCTCCTCAACAACATCCTGGGCGCGCAACTTTCCGAAAGACCGCATTTCAGGTGCTGGGCTGCTGAGAACGTTCAGTTTGCTTTGAATATCATTCCAAGAAGGATCCAGGACCTCTGGTGTAGCTTTAGCTGGGGAAGAGCTGGCTGGTGTGGCAAGGATCTCCTTCTTGAGCTTTGGCGGCGGGCGGCTTCCCGCCATATTAACACTAGCAGCCTTCATGTTTGAAGAAATGGTAGCTTCCGCAACATCCATCATGTCAATGTCATCATCGTCGGATTCTTCCTTCTTGACTGGAATTGCGTTGGTCCTGCGCTCCACCGCTTTGCTGATAGGGGATGAGGGCATCGGATCACCCATGTCGACATCGTCGTCATCCCCCTGGGGAAGTGGGCCGTCATCAAAGTCATCGGAGTGTAGTGTGGGTTGTTCCTTCACTGGCGAGCTTGGAATATCGTTCTCGTCTCTATCGTTGACTTTTTCTCGGCGTCGTTTCTCAGACAAGGGAGGGGAGAGGACGCGGACTTTGCGCCGGGCCTCTGATTTGACAATATTCCTGGTGGGGACGTGGTTGGAAACGATGTTCGTGTCGACTTCACCAAGGAGATCCTTCATAAAAGCGTCATCCTCGGCGGTAGCAACCGGCTAATTCCTATGGTTAGCAGTGGCTTCGATCGTTGCAATCCTGACAGCAAACTCACCTTGGGCTTGGGGGCCGATGCAGCGGCATTACCAGTGTTGAAATACTTGGAGATACCATTGTTGATCTTCTCCTGCCGTTGCTTCTCCTCCTCGCGTTTTCTTTTAGCAGCCTTGCCTCGTGCAGGCAGTTCATTACTGTCGTCGCTGTCGTATTCCGCGGTACGTTCGTTCCATACTTCTCGGCCATCGTCCGCATATCCCGCACCGTTATCGTCAACGACAAAGTCGTCCTGGTCGAGGCGGCTGCGAATCACTTTTTTATAGCCATCATCATCAACCTCGTCGTAAATATCGCCCTGTTCCTCGATTTCGTAGGTCGAGATGCGCTTCTTGCCGGAAGCACGGAGAGCCTTCAGCTCAGCCAATGTGTCGCGAGCAGAAGGCATGATTGGAGTGATTATGGACCAAAGCCCATAAGTCGCGTGGGAATCAATATGACAATAGGTTGCGGGGAAAGGGAGGACAGCAAAGGGAGATCGCGCCGGAAGGAGGCGCGACGGGACGCGATCGGGACGCGTTAAAGTGGTTTAGGTAAGTTTTTGCCTTATTGCCTTACTGCCTTACTGCCTTACTGCCTTATGTCGGACTGCTGTCAGCCCTAACCCGCTGATCCTAATTGGGCCTACTAACACACCCTTTGGATTTTTGGATTTTTGTTTGATGCTGGACTGATTCTATCGAATATTCAGATGAGGTTTAAAGATTTCTAGTATCAGTGAAGAGTAGGAACAATGTTAGCCGGGACTGGGAATGCTAGTAGCATATTAGCTCCATGGATGGCCAAGGACGGAGTAAAGCACCCTATCTGAGGTGAGTCTAGTCAATAGTCTGTTCATTTATCCGGCATAATTCCTCCATAAATGGACTTTTTGCTTCTGATATCTATCCTCAGAGTCTGTAGGTCGATATAAGTATTTAGGTGTCTCCGGCTAGCTAAATAGGCTAGGGGAAGACGACTACGTCTCCAAAGGAAGCTTTAACCTACCTTGGCCGTTATGACTGCCATAATATCTCCTTATCACGGTGTCTACGTAGCACCTTGATGCCTTCACCTGTGGAGCTAATTCCAGTTCTACGCTGCCTGTATATTTTCAGGCACCACGCACTATCTACATGCTTCATCCACATCACACGTGGCTATTCGAGGATCTTTTATCACCTCAGTCTTCTAGACACAAATGAAGGTGAATACGCACGTTGCCTTCTTAGGCTCCTACGTAGATCAGAAGTTATGTTCCTGTCTTGCTATTCACCCCACCAGAACTTCTTGATCTCTAATATCTCTACATTCTCCGGCTTTCCGTCCTGAACCCTTCAAATGCCGCCATTAGCTCTGCTGACTGCACAGATTGATCTGTCGTACCCTGCTATCTCTCTTATTCTTCCATGTTCTCTTATTCCCATCTTACCGATATCTGTCTCACTTTCCCGATTCTCAGAACTGACTCCCATCTCTGATGTTCACCGCCTGATTTTTGGGTGCCTACTTCTCAATCCGGGCTTCTGGTTTGTTATATGTTTGGGACGTTCTGCACTGGATTTGCTCTCATCATGAGTTTCCATATTGACTCTTCCCCGGTTAACTCAGATCCAAGCATCTTGACTTAAGAGAGGTTAGAGTCGACTCCTTCCACTCAACTCGCATTATGCATTTTAACGTATACTGACTGTTTGGCACCGCTTAGCCATTTGCAATGTCTTTCCAGAGTCAAAACAACCCTGTCGGGACACGAAGCTTTGAGAAGCGCTCCTCGTTTCCGCCTCCTAGTACAGTTTCAATCACGACCCACGAGTACAAGAGACTAGTATGCCGCCACACTTCCCCGTTCTCACTGTTTAAACCCTCTGACAATTTTTGGCTTCTTAAAGCTGCGTGACTCTGCCGAACTGAGTAAGTTTTGTTCCCACCTTTCTCTATCAACCAAGCCACCCGACAAAAGTGCACCTTCAATTTACATCGTCCTCCAGACAGGCTCAGAGCCGACTTGCAACCTGGTGAGCGTGAGACCCAAGGTGTAAGTACGCTTTCGCTCCATCATACCATCCGTTACCTGCTGATTATTTTCATCCCAGGTTTTGACAGATTTCTTTCATCCTTCCTCTTGTCATCTGCTTTGGCTAAAGTCCGAGTTAAAGTTAGCATTTGCAACCCTGATCAGCCCGACGATGGTGCTACCGACCCTGACTCAGATGGAGGAGTCTATTTCGACCTTGCAGGCATTGAATCCGCCTTGGAAGACATCGAGGAGCCGCAGGGCCTGGGGGTCACCCAGAACCTCGCCAGGGGATCAACCACAGTGTGCTCCTCCGGCCTCCGGTTCCTGTGACCCACGCTGAGGTCGCTGCGGTCGTACGAGGTGGGCCATTGCTGCAGATCTACCTCCAGCGTTATCGCAACCAGGTCAATGTGACTTTTGCCCGTGGCGAGGACGCCGCCGCCTTCTTGGCCTACGCCCAGGCTACCCCATTCTACGTCGCCGGCCGTCTTGTAGGTCCAATAGTCACTGATCATTCATGCCCTCTGTTACCCATTATTTCCTTTTGCTTCTTTGATCTGTTTATCTTCAGCTGTCATTTGAAGTGCTAATCGTTTCAACATCCTACAGACTACAGTCGAGTGGGCGCTGCGCGCCTACGTGGCTCCCCACTACGTCTATCTCCAGGTAGATGCCGGTGATGTGAGTCGCAACATCATCATTGAAAATGTCGACTCCAAGGTCACTGAGGCGGTCATCCGCCGGGACCTTCACCACATTCATAACCTTGCCGTAATCTCGGTGGTGTTTCAAAACAACAACGCGTACGTCTCGACCAGCTCTGTTGGTGGAGCCTTGTATGCCCGCACCTGCATGAAGTCCAGGGCGTTTTACAAGGATATGCGGATTTCTTTCTACGAGGATGAGTGCGCGCAGCCGCTGCCTCGAGTTCTTCCCACTGCAGCTGCCAGTATTCCCTGGCAGGACCGGGGCCTATTTTACAACCCATTTGAGCTGCTTTCCCCGGACGACTTCCAGCTTGGGGAGAATGCGGAAGAGGAGGACGAGGACAAGGACGAGGAATGATACTCTGCTTGGTGATCAGATTCGTTGTCATTTCCTGGAGTCAATAGCCATTTTTCAATCACAAGACGTGCATACCCCCGTGATGAATTGATGTCATAGTGAGATGGTTGGAGGTTCTATTTCGCTCATAGATATATTGTTTCCTATACTCGGTTTCTTATCGAACGTCTCCTTAGTTACCTCGTGGAATTTTGTACAATTCCGCTAGGTTCCGTCACAGACAACTGTCGAATTTCGACAGGGACTCGTTGAGCAGTGTACAGATCAGTGCAGTCTGTGAGCATTTCGTGAGGTTAAAAGATCAAAAATTACCCCCTGCAGGTACGAAAACCATGCCAGTGAAGCAACTAGAACACCCACGGATTGAAGATATGATTGTACCAGCAATATGTGGTTCATTCGAGTAGACATGGTGACACCTGCATTTAATGAACACTCCACTTGTACACCTGGCAATGATAGCGGTCGATTCCCAGCAAGAAAACGCTACATGCACCATCCAAAAGGATTCTCGAACATCCAGGCTCCCAATAGCCAACTACGTGCAAAGATCAAGTAGCAGATTGAACAAACATAAAAACCCGGTGTTATTTGAGCAGATTTTCCTGGCCTATGCTAGGTATATTTTCCAGCCGTTCAAAACAGCGCCAGTAAAAAAAGACATAGGAATATCCATCCTGTCTGCCACCACATCACACACAGCCAGCACCGGCACCGGGTTGAGAACCGTTTCCGACTGATCTCCAACCGCTCAGGACAACAACCATAATCCTCCCAACGTCACCCACACGCAGAAGTTCCATGGAAAACAAGTCGTAATAGGAGAGATGCAGAGACCCATTCCATTTCCATTCCATGAAGCACCGTTTTTTTGATAAATTCCTTTCGCCGCATGCATAAACACAATATGATATGGGATAAGAGGAATTTAACGGTACGACTTCTGGTAACGGGCACGGGCACCGCGACCACCGAACTTCTTGGGCTCGGCCCGGCGGTTGTCGGCAACGAGCAGGGTGCGGTCGTACTGGACGAACGCCTGCTTCAGCTGGTTCTTGGAGTGCTCGTCGACGTACTTCTGGTAGTAGGCGACAATGGACTTGGCGATGGCCTGACGGATGGCGTAGACCTGGGAGGTGTGACCACCACCGGTGACGCGGACGCGGATGTCGACACCGGCGAACTTGTCAGCGCCGACGATCAGGAGGGGCTCGTAGACCTGTTCACGGCCGAAGAAATCACGTCAGCCAAAAAAAATGCTCCGGTTGTTCAAATGTTCCCCGCTGTCATTGTTTCTCCTAATTCTCCCTTGTCGCGAGATATTCCATTCGATGCCGGGGTAGGGATTGTGCGGGTGGGCGATTAAGTAGCGTACCTTGAAGCGCAGGATCTCAGGCTGGACCAGAGAGAGGGGCTGGCCGTTGACCTTGATCAGGCCCTTTCCTTGCTGTAAAATCGAAAAGTCTCAGTGTGCTGTTCCTTCGAAGTGGTTGGCTCGCATCATTCATCATTGCGCCATGTGATGTGCGGTTTTCACATCGCCCATCAACAACTTCAACATTCTTCAAATCCGTCCATTTTCCCTTTCCTTCTCTTCGCAATAAGCCTCCAGGCGATGTGTCCTCCGTACTTCCCATAGACGCAATGATCGTAGAGCGGGGGGTGTCTAAGCTTCGGCTTCATACCTTGCAGTGGGCGACAGCGGTGGCTATTGGAAAAGTTGATCATCAGCAAAAAGCACTTGCAATATCTCGCGGAGGCGCGGCGACTCACCCGTCTTCTTCTTGCCGAAGCATTGCACACTGGGGGCGGTGGAAGCCATGGTGTCGATAGGGGAGGGTGTGTGTTGTCGAGGGAGATGGAAAGAAGTCGACCACGAATTCCCACACTGCGGCGATTCGCCTGAATTGCCCTTCCGTGCGGATTTCGCTTAGTGACCGCTAGTCCGAAAATGGTTAGTGCTTTCTCTGGCTTAGGGCTTGGTCACGTGGGGTACGCGGTCGGCGGAGATGCGCGGCAGGAAAGTTCGGGGTCGGGTGAGTTGCCAGGTCTTTTTGCGGTCCGCGTGTTTGTTTCGACGCCCATCCCCCTTCCACACTCTTGATATCTATTCGCGAAGATGTCGCAGACGGTCGGAAAGGTACTTGAAATCACCTTGCAGTAGCATTGCTGCTCTTGAGCTTCCCAATGGCCGAGAATCACCAGTATCTAACCTTTGCTTGTCCAGACCCGTCTTGCCTACTCCCGGGCATGGCACTATGTCGATGCCGGCTCTGACCCTCGCTCCCTTGGCCGCCTGGCCTCGTCTATCGCCCTCGTCCTTATGGGCAAGCACAAGCCGATCTACGACCCCTCGACAGATTGTGGTGACTACGTCGTGGTCGCCGGCTGCCACGACCTCCGGACAACTGGCAAGAAGCGCTTCCAAAAGCTGTACTACACGCACACGACTCGCCCCGGTAGCCTGAAGAGCATGACTATGGATCAAATGTTCGCCAAATGGGGTGGTGGTGAGGTCTTGCGCCGCGCAGTCAAGGGCATGCTGCCCAAGAACCGACTTCAGGAGCCACGGTTGGCTCGCCTTAAGAGTGAGTTTGAACCTTGTCTTTGGAGACATTCAGAATCCGATAACGGTGGCTAACGCAAATTGTTCCAGCTTTCGAGGGCCTCGCGCATCCTTACAAGGAGAACATCGTCAAGTTCGGCAACAAATCAGTTTTGAACCAGCCCGAAGTCCAACAAGCCTTCCAGGAGGCGGCCAAGCCGTCGGCATCGGCATAGAATCCCCCCTGCCCTTCTTTCTCTGTCTCGCCATTTACAACCCAACCAGGGCCCAACCCCGGGTTTGTCCGTGTAATCTATTTTTCTTCCGCGTTATGATCAAAACCGCAAGCGCATAGGTGTGGAGTCCAATATTTGGGAGTGACCTTTTTCAGTTTCTTTTGATTCCTCTTTTCTACTATCTTATTCATCCACTATGCTCATTTTCCCCCTTGGCATGTACTTATAGCAAAGCAAATTCACAAATGGAAATAAAGAAATGTGTTCCAAATTGATGGAGTCGTGTCTTGGCACGCCCCGTGGTATATAGAGACATAAACATATGTACAGGAAAACAGCATGCTCTCGAAACTCCAGAATCCGCGCATCCCCGATGTTTAAAGCATTTAAAGTTTGGCCTTCTGGCCAGCACGGCCCACCGTGCACTTGATGAGGCCGTTGGGGTTGGACTGGGGGACGTACACCTCGGCGTCCTTGCCGGTGTTCTTGAGGTCCTTGTGCCAGCTGAGATCTGTATCAAAAAGGAACAGGTTAGACAAAAATGCATTCAATAAATCAAGAACAGACTTGAAACATACCAATCTCAAAGTAGTGGTTGTTCGGCAGTGCGTACTCGACCGTCTCGAGGAGAGGCACGGCGGCCAGGATTTGCTCGCCCATCTTGTACATGGTCGCTTGCACACTGGCGGAGTTTTCCTCAGCAAAGACCTTGAGAGTGGTGTTCCGGGCCGTCTCCCACGCATAATCGAAGTGGTGGGCATTGGCCTTGACTTCGGGCAGGCCGCTGAAGCGGCGCCACTGCCAGTTGGCGGCAACATCGGTGCTGAGGATGCGGTCCCAGGTCTCCTTGAGGGTGGTGAACTCGTCGCGGACGAAGCCCCAAAACTGGGAGCCGGTGCTCTTGAGAACGGTCAGGCCGTTGATGGAGGAGTTGATATCGATGCCCTTGCCCTCGATCACGTCAACCTGGACATTGCGGGTCTCGCCGCCCTCCTTGATGAAGGAGTGCGGGTGGGGTTTGCCGTCGATGTTCATGCGCACCCAGCGGTGGGTAATGATGTTGACGTGCGCGGCGTGGATGTGAGCGTACTTCTCGACGAAGTGCGTGCCGAGGATGGAACCGAACAGCTCCGGGGGAGTGACGGGCTGCTGCTTGGCGGTGATGTAGATGGTGTTCTTGATTGAGTCGGTGGCGACGACAACACTGTTGTCGGCCTTGGTGTAGCTGTTGTGCGCGCAATCGCTGGTCAGTCTGGGTTGCCGGCGCGCTCAGAGGGTCCAAGTACTCACGAGGTCTCGATCTCGCCCTCCAGCAGGACGCAGACAGTCATCTCAACGACGGTCTGGACACCGGTCTTCTCATCGCGATGAACCTTGTAGACGCGGACATTGTCCTTGCCGTAGCGGGCAGCAGCCAGAGTGCTCATGATGGCGTGAACGAAAGCTGGGGCGATAAGAGGGGAAAGAAAGATTGCAGTCTCGACGACAGATTTCGTGTCAAGAAAGGCGAGGCGCGACGAAAGAGCAGGAGAAACAAGCGAAGCAGGTCTGGTGCAAGACCCAAAAACAGCGCTGATCGAGACTATTTATTTGGCGGTGCAAATGGGCTGATGCGCGAGGAGAGCAGCATCGGGCAGCTCCGATGCCCGCGAGTGGCCGATCCCCACCGATCTTATCGGCCCTGCAAACGGCCGTTGAGGGCAGGGAAAACTTCCCCTCCGGTCGCCTAATGGCTGACCGCCAGAGCTACTGGCATGATTAGTCGTCCTTTGAAGCTAATGGACAAGTCCAACTTTCATACAATGTCCCCTTCCCCAGACTTTCGGGATCTGACCCGGCCTCTGTTGATCTGTGCGGACGCAGACGCCGTGACCCCCGGTGGAGCAGGCTGCCTCAATCTTCCACTCCCGACGCCCGAATTTCCGACGCCCGAGTCCACCTGGCCCACCCGCTGCGATGCCTTTTTGGCCTGTCGTGCTTTCGGTCGAGCCCCCGTGGAAACCTTGGGACTCAGGCACCACGGCTCCCATTGCCCGGCGATCTCCACCGGCGTGGCGGGGAGCTGCGATTGCAAGGTCGACACTGGTGAGTCCCGGTGGCGCAGCGCTGGTCGAACAGGCGAGGATTTCAAAGTCACAGGAACTCCCCTTGCTGGAACTAAAACCTATCACCTAGCAAGTGGAAACTCCTAACCTATTTTTTTGATCCTGGCCTATCCTCTTGCCCCTTGGCCCTACTAGACTACGGCCATATCAGCCGCAGAGACCGCAGGGCTGAGCTGGATTGATTTCAATTCAAGACCATCGACGATGCCAATACCTCGAACAGATACCCTTGGACAGAATGTATCGACATAACTATCAATGCAGAGATCAGTCCGACAGGCCCTCAGTCGGTCTGGTCGACTCAGCAAGTTTAGCTTACACCGGCTGAGCTACTACATTGCCTTTCAGGCGTCCCATTACTCTCCCTGGAGCGCACCATCGCCATCGCACCACCCCAGCTTCTGCACCTCTGTCCAAAGCGCTCTCCAGCGACACCACAACAGAGTCTATCGCCATGAAGCTTGTGATCGGCGGTTCGACCGGCTTTGTCGCCGCAGAATTGATCTCCCAAGCTCTCAAGAACCCTGCAATTACCTCGATAGTCGCCCTGGGGCGACGCATGGCTCCTGTGCCGTCAGAGGCCGACCCTGCCGCTGCAAAACTGAAATCAATCATCTGCGACAACTTTGAGAGGTATTCTGACCCTGTAAAAAAGGAATTCGAGGACGCGGATGCCTGTATTTGGTACGTTCACCATCTATCACGGATGGCTAGCTTGGCCCTTTGGTTCTCTCTTCTCTGCTACTCGACACCAGCAAGATTCAAAATTTGTTACAAATCACAAAAGAACCATCAGACTCACCCTAGACAGGACCATTGCCGTGACACCGATGAAGCTTAATACCGTCCCATGGGAGGAGACTTGCAAGATCTCCCGCGACTACGCCACCACAGCCATTCAGGCTCTGCATGCCCTCCGTCAAACGCCAGATAAACCGCGCCGCTTCATCTACATGAGCGGCCATTTTGCGCCCCGCAGCCGGGCTGAAGTACCCGAAGAATTGCAAAACCACGGCCTTATTGACTACGGCCTACTGCGGGTATGTATAGTATAGTCAAGGGGGCGGGTGCCTGCCTGGCCCTCCCAGTCTTCCTTGGTTTCCTCAACCTACGCTCCGGAATACCACGTGCAAATGGATTCTTACGGAAATGCTCCAGGGAGAGACAGAAGCACTCGTTCTCGCTTACGGGGAACAGTCTCAAGGCGCAGTCCAATCCTGCGTCGTGAAGCCTGGGCTCATCGATGCGCCGGGCAAGGAGAAGCGAGAGATCCCGGGCCTCCCACATATCGACCTGCCCGACATCGCAGCAGCTTTGCTGGATCAAGTAGTCCATGGGTTTGAGGAAGATACGCTCAGCAATTCTGATCTGATCCGGATTGGACAGCGGGCTCGGGCTGGGGAGCTGACAGCTTGACGGGGCCCGCCTCAAACGGCTAGGTGGACACGGGCATGGACGCTGATATTTCTTAGGTATTACAAAGTTATTTGCCCATGATATACAACACTGACTTATCCGTAAAAAATTAGACACCAATCGCCGAAGGTAATTCTAGCACCCATACCCAAATCAGTAGGAGTTAAGTTTCTAGATCTCCCGAGCGACGAGTAATCAGGATATTCGTGGAGGAAGTGGAGCCCTCGATGGTTGCAATCAGATCTAATATCTCTGCCTGCTCCCGACTTTCGTCCAACCTAAGCATCAAGGACTAGGTATAGATGGCTTTCCTGATTGTTTCAGCAGTATTTGTAGTATCTCAACAAGCCCTGCCGAAGTCGGATCCCGGCCCTTTCTACCTCGTCTTTATATAGATTCACCACCTCTTGTGAGATTACCGCGCTTTGCTATCGCTGGCAAAACTCAGCAAGAGCTGATCTTCCAAAGTGTGCTAGCAGCGATGCTCAGAGGATCCATCGTTCGATCGCCCTGGCATCGACCAACATCGACATGAAAGGAGTGAAGGAGAAAGATAGGCTAATACAAGACGACCAGGCTTATTCACGCCTGGAGGAGCCGCTGGTCGGGCACGGAATGCCTTGGCAATGATTTCACAGACGCGGTTTGCCAATATAGCCACAAGACGTGAGTCTATGTATACGCAATGCGTACAATATGGTAAAGGCACCTATCCCGGAATGAGCGCCCGCGCCTCCTCGGGGCCCGCGGGCCCCGAGGCCCAGAATGCGCGTGTCCGCGGGGTGTCCTGCGGACCGCTCTCGGGTAGGATTTGTGGAGTATTGTCGGTGGGGCGCCATGTCAAGCAACAATATTAGCGGCATTCACGGGCACTATGCTTTTGATGTTATGGCTTGGCGAGGAGTAGAAAATGGAAGGAGCAGATGGCGGTCTCAGCCACTAGGAAGCTTAACCCCAGATTATCCACCTGAGTCTATGCAATTAGCGTATCAGAAAGACCATGGGTTGCAAAACAGGTGCCTATTCCGGCAGCCCACTAGAGAAAGTGGATCGGAGCAGGCGTGATGAACCAGCGATTCCATTTGATGGTTGAAGCAATGGCGGTTGGCGACGGGCCCAGCGACAACCTTATCGTCGCGTGGAACATCCCCTTCGGGCAGCTTGCTATAACGTCGCTTCGTCTCGAGTCCGACCACATAAATACTGTCGGTTCGCCGCGGATTGCTTCCATTTCTTCACCACCAATGTCGAAGCTGTTTTGCCCAGCGTCCCGCTCTCTTGCGCGTCCGGCTTTGCTTGACCGAAGTCTCTATGCACCACGTCTGGCCTTCGTTGAGGTGAGCAGCACGCCAGCTGCACCCATTCCAATCCTCCTTCCCAGAATGTATACATGTAACTAAACACCTCTCCAGGGCTATATAAGTCACATATTCGATCAACATAGACCCTCAATTCTCCGCAAACGAGGCTTTCAAACCCAACGTCCCCTCGCAACCGCCGCCATGCCAGCCACCAACAACGTCTGGCACGCCCACCAACGCGCGACCCTCCACACCGAAACCGACCCCAATAAGAAGTACACCTACCTCGCCGAGACTACCCCCCACCTCGCCACAATCCTCAGCTTCCCCTCACACTGCTCCACCTTTCCCTCCCTGTACGACCGCACCTGCAGCGAAATCGTCGATCTCGCCGGGACCATCGCCGCCTTCGAGCCAGTGCGCCTGCACGTCCGGCCCGAGAACCAGGGGCGCGCACAGGAGCTTGTCGACCAGCGCATGGCGTCCGCACCGCCCGAGCACAAGGCCCGCATTAGCCTGATCCCCGCCCCCACGAATCACATCTGGGTCCGGGATACGGGCCCTGTGTATGTGCGCGGCGCCGAGGATGGCAAGCGGTATGCGATTGACTTCCGGTTCTGCGAGTGGGGGAACAAGCTCGGGGAGCAGATCTATACTGGCATTCCGTCTCAGGCTGCTGCGTTGAAGGCGGAGATCGAGTCGACAGAAGACTGGCCGATCATGGACGAGGAGGTGCGGAAAGAGAATACCGCGTTTGCGCAGCGTGTGCTGGAAATTGAGAACGCGACGTACCCGGATAACCCCGTGGCGCGGGTCGTGTCGGGTGTCCGGCTTGAAGGCGGCGGCATTGAGATGGATGGCGAGGGGACGTTCATGGCGATGGAGAGTAGCGTGACGGTGCCCTCGCGCAACGAGGGGCTCTCCCGTGACTGCATCGAGGCTGAATTGAGCCGCCTGCTCGGCATCAAGAAGTTTATCTGGATTCCCGGTCGCGAAGGCTTGGATATTACCGACTACCACATCGACGCCGAGGCACGCTTCATCCGCCCTGGTGTCGTGGTGGTGGGCAGGCCGCATCCAAAATGCGACCAGGTCTTTTGGGACGTGTATAACGAGATGCGCGCGATCCTGGATACCGCGACCGACGCCCAGGGCCGCCAGTTGCAAGTCTACGATATCGAGGAGCCAGATCCAGACCTGGTGAAGGGCGATGTGCCGGGTGAGGAGGTAGCTCCCGCGGCGTCATACGTGAACTTCTATTTCACGAATGGTGGACTAGTGGTTCCTGCATTCGGTGACGCAGTGACGGATGCGAAGGCACTGGAGACGTTGACGAGGTTGGTTCCTGAGCGACAGGTTCGCCAGGTGGCAGTCAATGCGCTCCCCCGGACTGGAGGTGTGCTGCACTGTACGACGCAGCAGGTGCTGTGAGAAATGATATGAATCACTATGTTTTGCCAGGGCATTTTCTTGAGCGAATCTCATCTCTTGGGCGTTAGAAACATCATACAATTGAAAATATCGCCATGTCAACACAACAGGCAGGGCCTGCACCAATTGGTGAATTTCGCAATGCAAAAGTAGACTGAAGGAATTGATGGTATACAAATTAGCGTCTGTGGACCATATTATCCTAATTAGGGTTAGACTTGGATGAGTCACGATGTATCATCGCCAGTAACGGCCACTTGTTGTCTTCGAGATGAATTGCGTCGCCGGGCAGTATAAGAACACACACACCCAAGGTGTAGCGGGTGTGAACCGAACTCCCCAAGTCGACCTTACCCACCATCACTAGCCGACCAGCCTCTCATCACGGCCCCCTCAACCTCAACCCAAACCAAAATTGAATGATCATAAACCAACATGTCCACCTCAGAAGCAGAAGATTTTCTGACGGAGCTCCCTCCTTTACCAGACCATGAGTTTTGCATCTATGGCACTGTCTACGCCTACCCAGAGCACGCAGATGCCCTCGAAGCAGTCTACGCCGAAACAACCCGACTCGCGCAATATGAACCGGGTGTAATTTACTATTGTCTCACCCGGGACAGCAAGGAGCCGCACATCTTCTATTTCTTTGAACAGTACACGGGAAAGAAGGCATTCGATGACCACAATGCGCAGCCTATCATTCAGAAATTGATGGATGATAAGTACATACGCGGGGTGAAGGCGAAATTCGGGAGTCAAATCAAACCGGTCTGCGCAAAGTGATGGGACAGAACTGAATGCGCTTGTCTCTAGATCAATTCTGCAGGACTTGGCCTTCAGAACGCCGTGCCGAGCTTCAATGCTGCATAAGCTGCTCACGGCGGAACGAGCGGTAAAGCTACCAGTTATCGTATTATCGGAATCCTCTCTAATGCTCGCAAAGACTAAAAGATCCCTCCTGATATGCGGTATTTTGTTCCTCAGCCCTCAGCCCGCGCTCTTTCATCAGCTCCACTCTGTAGGCCTTTGCCTCTTCCAGACTGATTGGTGGCACCCCGTCCCTCTTCAACTCTCTCGGTGCATCTGGAGAAAGATTCTGCGTCGTAGGTAGCCAGTCTTCTCGCTGTGGCGGAACATTAGCAGAAGAGATAATCCGCGTGTGGGGATCCACGAGGAATAGCGCAAGAATCTTTCGATGACCAGGCTTAGACGCATCGGCTAGAGAGAATGGCGAGACCCGATGCTGGAGCGTGTTGGGGAACGTGATGAGACGCCCTTCTTTGGAGGCCACGCTGCCCAAGTCTTGCGTGATCAGGCCATCGCTCCAATTGTCCAAGGTGTCAGGAAAGCCGTAGACTTGCTGGAGGAATTCATGGCGGTCCTGTTCGTACTGAAGGCCATAAAAATCATCCATAGCGCGCTGGCGGAACGCCAGTGAACTTGGGGTAATGTTCTCGCTGTCGTAGTAGTAAATTGCTGATGCGGCAATCCGTTCATTCTAAGTATCCCCATTAGACAGTATCCAAAACCAATCCGAGTGGTAACCCGGTACTCACCAATTGCCCCTCGATATGCCACGTTCCTCCTTCATAGTCGGGCTTATCAGGCGTGAGCACGATGTTGGCGAGTTTCACAATAACCTGCAAGTTGCTTTCGGGAAAGTGCTCCAGGAAGGTGAACTCTCCATGTAGTGGCTCCGGCACTTTGAATTCTCCTGGCTCAGGAAGCTTGACTTTGCGAGACGCGTACCATTCCTCCAACCGGGCCTCGTACTTATCAGGGTCCTCATCTATATCTTCTTCGGGGTACTCCGGCATGGGCACCCCATCCTCCTCATACTCAACGCCGGTAAACTCGATTCTTTCGTACCACCCTGGTCTCTTGCCCACGGACTTCTCCCAAAGGGGCACCGTCTGTGCGAGAATCTTCTCAACGACTTCATAGAGCGCCCGATGGTGGACTGGGTGCGCATTGTTGATGTAAGACAGGATACGACAATCGCCATCTTTGGTCAATTCCACTTCGCAGGGCAGCCACTGGAACTTGGTACTCAAGACCGCCGGATGGGGTTCTCTGCGATAGGAGGATGTGTGCGGGGGTAAAGCGTCTTCCTTCGGACTCCGAAGCCACTGGCCCTCTCCCATGCTGTCCAAACAGTCATCCAGACCAATGACTCGATCTGGAAGGACATGTGTTCTACCGTATATCACCGGGAAGAGTGATGGGTGCACGAGATCGACTACTTTCTCATCGGAGCCCGGATGGTAGTCTCTCTGGTCGTCTGGTACATTTTCGAAGGGAACCACTGCTTCTTTGAGGGCCTCTTGCAGCTCCTTGGAGACGGCGGTGTCAGACTTGATGACTCCGGAGTGAAAGACTTCCACGAAACCGGTCTTCTCCAGGATGCCTGCCTTCCATTGCAGCTCTTTGATGATCCAATCCATCATTTTGGGTGTGGCATCTTGTCCACTCCTGGCGACTTCTTCACGCCATTTGGCAGTGATATGCTCATCGAAGACCTTGCAGGACCACTCAGGCTTATCTGTGATGATGTTCATGATTTGCATCATGATAATCTCTCGGTGAGTAACGAGTGCACTATAGGGGTTTGTCGTCAGCGTTCAACATTTCACAACACCCAGCACACGGTCAATTCTTACTCGAGGCTGCCATATTCAAGATGCTTTGGATCAAGAGCATTCGGAAAGCCCGATATTCCTGACCCAAACACATTTTGCTGGGCTCGTTAGCAATGGTATTATTGCGGATGAGTCTGTCTTACTTGCGGGGGGAAATTCAGTGGCAAGTTGAAGCCCGGCATCTGGAGCGACCAGTTACCCACGGAATTCATCCTGGTGGGTTTAGCACAAAAGCGGTGCTGCTGTAGTCTCCAAAAAGATCGACACTGCAGCATTTCCTTAGGGGTCCGGGTTTGAATCACGGAAACGCCCGGGTCGATCGGGGGGCCACAGGCAGGAACCAGGCAGGAACCAAGCTGAAATGTGCGCTAGTTGTGCATCGGGGTTAGGGCTTCTCAATGAATTGAAGAATGGGAATATCTCTTAAAATAACCTGGACCACCATATTTGCCCAAAAAATAAAGTGCTGTTGGAATTCGGGTCGGACGTGATTCCAATGACAGTTCGCCCGAGAGAATCGACGTAAGTGTCATTGAAATCCTCGGTGAACAGCTCAATAAAAGCCAATTACCGAGTCAATCGAGTCAAAAGTAACATCAGGTTTACTTTTGACTCCGTATTTAGAGACTACAATTCGGACTCAGGTGTACTGGGAATTATCTCCGGATGCCCTCGCATACCAAGTCGGCAGTGAGCTGCCATTTCTTAGGCCAGACCCCGGCAATTGCGGCCCATCTGGCAGCCATATTGAGGGTGTGGATGAAATAAATCATATTCTAACCAGCAAGAGACAACCTGGAGTATTCCTCCCTCAAGAACACGTAGGGGTGGTAGGTCCACTTGCGGCTCATTAGGGCTCCGTCTCTCCGCGAAGGCCAATTGCCGTTAACGGCGAGCAATGATCTACCTCAGCTCATATGCAACAACCACTTGCCTAGCCTTGCCGATTGAGTCGTTCTCAGGGCGCTCAAATATGCCCGACATCCCCGAATAGCCCGTGTTCCTATCTATGCGAATCCGGGGGGCGATTTATCGACTAGTTGGTAGCCATCAGGAAGAGCCTAGGCTTATCCGGAGGCCAAGCGTCCAAAAGCGCCCATCACTGCCTATACTACGCTCTTCTCTTACAGCTACTATTCCATAACAACCAGAGCAAGAATCCAAAGGGATCGCGATCGTGATCGTGGTAGTGACATGACGCATTAGCCGGCAATCCGCCATTCAAGCCCCTATAGCATCTATAGGGCAAAAAACACATTCTCCACCCCCACAAGAAATAAGAAATAGTACTTCACGCTCTGCATCGTGCATCGAGCATCGAGCATCGTGCATCGTGCATCGTTTTCTCTACCTCCGTCCAACACAAATCCATGGATCCAGTCCAGTTTAGTCCAATCCCGCATAGAAATCAAGCCGCGTTCGCTAGGCCATCTCCTCTAGACAAGGTTTTCTCTTTCCTTTTTCCTTTTTTTTTCTCTTTGCCGTAATCGTTCTCATTCACAGACTCAACTGATCAATACTCCCCACTCGCCCTCCACCCCCAAGCCTCCCACCCCCCTTCGTCACCATCCCCAACCGATAGAACCGCTCTTCGCCGGCCGGCGTCCGGCCCCCAATATACCACTTCTCCGGGCCGAGCGTATCGCGGAACCCGCCCGAGCCGGAGGACGAGTCGCTGCCGCGGCGCTGGCGGTCTGGGCCGCGGGATATGGGGATGGGTGTGGAAGAAGAGGGTGTTGGCGACGGAGAGGCGGCATCTGTGTGGTAGTGGTGGGAGTGGTATTGGGGTTGGGCTTGTGGTTGTGGTTGTGGTTGTGGTCCGTGACCGGGCTGTGTTGCCGTGGAGGGTGATGTTGCTGAGGAGGAGGAGGATGTGTGATGGGTGTGATGGTGGTTGTGGGAGGCAGATTGTGATGAGGATGGGGACTGCTGCTGCCCGGCTTTGGAGGCTATTGTGCGGGCATTTGTGGACATTTGCGTGGAGGAGAGGGAGGGTGAGGCTGTGGATGGCTGCGAGGCGGCTTTGAAGGTGGACTGGGCACGGAAGGCGGCCAGGAAGTTGGCCAGGAATGGCCGGTTGGTAGTCATGATGTCCGTGGTGGTGGGGGGTTTGGTATTAGACGAGGTTGCAGTGGCGGGGAATGGGAGGCGTGAGACGGGTTTTGATGGGCGCGAACGACCGTGACTAAATAACAGCCTGCCCGCAGGGTATCCAGCAAGACGACTCACAAGCGGAAGAGGGGCTTCCTTGAATCCGGGTTGGCGCTAGAAAAGCGGAGGGAAAGGTTCTGAACGGTCGAACGGCGGGGGTGGAGGAGCGCGCGATCGAAGATCCCGAGTTCACCCCCGAACGCCCGGCGGGGCCAATCAGGCGGGGATGATTATGGGCATGACGTCGCGCAGGAAGATCCCGGAGAGTCTGGCTAAGTCGGGACCTGGCACGGTTAGCGCTGCTGGTTAGTTCAGTGAGCAACTAGGGAAGTTATCTAGAATTAATCCATGAGGGGTGAGGAGGGGCAGGATCCTCGTTCGTCCTGGCTGGGACTCCTTGTCACCACGGATTCTCTACTACTCCGTATAGTCCGGCGACGGTGAGTTACGCAAAAGAGTTTAGCGTGCTGGTTTGGGTTTAGCGTTTCTATGCACATTTGCTGTCGCCGTGCGTGTTTCTATATCGTCCCCTTCCTCGCCGCTTCAACTTCTAGCTGCTTTTCTCCTTTCTACTCTTCCTTTCTCTCCGTTCTCTGTGTGCACCTTACGAGTGAGGTAGTTCCCTTGGTCCGCCGCGCCGACCTGAAGTTCCGGGCCCTACCCTGGCACTCGATTGGTTCGTCGCCACCCTATACTCTTTCCGGATAATCGCCTCTGTATAACAGGGCTACATCTGGCTTGGGGGTGTAAATCAAGGCTAAGGGTATTATCAGCCCTGGCTGATGGTATCTGTATCCCGGAACCAAGGAAGGAAGGAATCAAACTAATTAGGATATCCTACGTGTTTTATCTTCTGGCCTAGGCCGTAGAATAACTACCAAGCAGAGATCTATCGACCTGAAAGTGTTAGCTAGACGTTAAAGATGCACGGATCTGCTATTCCCTAGAAATCGTAATAGCGCTTTTCAGTGTGGCTATTATATTAAGTGGATGAGCGGGTAAATTAGTCGTGTGGTAGTCTTCTACACGGTGCGTTACTCATAGAATTAATTAACAAAATAGGTCTCATTTGGATGCCATCCTGCCGGAGCTTTCGCGTTAAACAAGACGAGATTGATCTCACGAGAGGTATAAAGCTATCTATCTCGCATGCTGTCTTCGAGAGAAAGTAGTCAAGCATCCAACGTAGTTAGGCTTTAGGCTGTATCTCAACCTAGTGCTCAATTCTCTCTACATCATGCAATCCATATGTGTTTCTTTCTCTTCTCCTCGTTCTAGTCAATATGACCTTTACAGATAAAACACGCATCGCCCTTTCTATAGGCATGGCTTTGGTTTGGCCTCGTGGGGTAGACCCTGAGAGTTGGTATCCTCACGACAACCGCGCCGAAGCTCGCAAATTCTCTGAATTTGCCCATTTCCGCGAAGGCCAGCCGTTTTCTTTCCTCAAGTATGGTAGCAATATTTTTTAGCATCTCCTTCCCTGGTCTTATAGGCTGATCACTTGGTAATGAAACGGTGGAAACCACAAAGATAGCCCGACAAGACTCGGTTATCCCAATGAATTGAGTCTGTCTAAGTATTACCCTGGCAGCGAAAGAATCACAGAAGAGGAGATCAATATCATCAAGAAATCGGGGCAGAGCACACACTGCTACAGAAACAGTCTCGAGGCGATTCAGAAGACTTCGATGCATTTTATGTCCTTCAGGCATCTGCAGGAAAGAGAGCCTAAGCCTCGACAAATGCGAACATCAAGATTGGAGATCATGTAGGCAAGGTCTTCTAGTGCCATTGTGATCATTCCGAGGAAATAGAGAGAGTCTGTTGAGAACTTCTTGAAGTACGGAAGTATCGTTCAACCGCCGAGCAAAAGACTTATCTTCTGCAACTCATTGGCTGCTTTCCAACCGGGAGCTATAGAGGGTCTTTCTGTTCCGTTCTCAATACATGGGTAAACGGTGGCCAATACATAAACGACCCTTTAGATATGGCAAATAACGCTAAGCCTAATTTTATTTGGCTACCGCCGTGGTGTCTGTCCCAAGCGCCAGATGGAAAGACCACGATTCGCCCCCCAAAAGCCACGCAGAAGCCTGTCCTTTTTATTGTCACCCCCTATTTACTCCGTTACTCCGTACTATGTGCCGATCCTTCCACCCAGAAAGAAGGGAGATGGCGGGATCGCCCGCGCCGCGAACAGCCGCGGACACGAGGGCACAGGACAAACAGTACAACCGAGCCGCAGTATACGACACTACTTCAGAACATAGTCATAGGATATGAAAGAACAGTTCATCGGGTCTATTTCTAGATGCTTTTCGAGTAGAACAGAGGCCCTCCTAAACATAACAAGGAAAATTGGCACCACACCCTAAATCACACCTCAAGAAGACCCGAAGCCCACATATGTCCGTGCCGTGCCGACCGTACTTACAGGAACGAGGCCATGCAAATGCACCGGGGAAAAGAGTTCAAGTCAAAACAGAAATCGAGACCAAGATAAAGGAAAACAGAGATCAACGAAAGCACAGCACAGAAAGCAAAAAGAACCACTGGCACAGTAAAAACAATGTGAAAACTGGTAAGTCGACAGTGGCCTTTTCGCAAAGCTTTTCTCTTTCTGTTGTCAATATCGCGCAAAAGAACAACACACATGCCCAAGTCTATAGTTTGTGGACGCCGAACGAAGCCACCCGCCATACCATCTGCCCACTCATCAGGGAGATAAAGAAACAACCAGACTCGCAATTCAACCACCAGGTTTGGAAAACAAACTCGCCGAAGCAGAAGAAGAGATGCGGTCCCACACCGGATGGGATCGGTAAATCGGAAATCGGAAATCGGAAATCGGAAATCGGAAAACCAGGGAAGAATGGAGAAGACAGATGATGAAAAGATAAAAAAAAAATTAAAAAAAAGCCACCCAGGACGCACGATACAAACACAATTCGATCACCGAGGGACGGTGCCGGACGCCAGAAGCACGAGAGGAAAACGCCGCTGCGCGCGAGGGCGAGCGCAACCGGACGAATCAGAAGACGCGTCTGAGCGGCCAATTTTCTTGTTATATGAAGGGGCAATGAGAGAATTGGCAAACATTCAAACGATCTCCGGATGTTGCAGGGAGTCAAACCTGGGAACAACAGCAAGTGGAAACCTCCCAGGTCCACCACGAGCAAGTCAACTCTGTACCCGGAGCCCTTCGCATACAACGATCCGAGACGCCTTTCGGCTCTCTCCGTGTTTCACCGCGTTGCATTCCACCCGAACGATCTGTTTACTGTCTCGCGGGCTGAACGGTACCTGCGAATTCCAACCAGATTAGCATGACACCTCGGTTGTCCAATCCCCCAGGGGGAGGGAGGAAAGAGTTCATCGCTTACCATCACCGCCCATCGTGGTCGACGCCAGATACAGTCCGTTCATACCGCTCTCGGGGCCGCCCGCGGTCGTAGCGGGGTAGTACTTGCGATCGGCGTCAACGGGGGCGTGGATCGACTCCTGGCCGGCAGCCATAGAGTGAGGGAAAACAGGGTTCATGTAACTGTTGTCGGCACCGTGCTGGAAGGTTGTCCAGTCAACACCGGGCTGACTCGTATGGTGACCGGACATAATCGGGTATTTGTGGTCAGGAACGACCAGGGGCTTTACCTGTTCAAGAGGACGATCAACACTCAGTTGCTGGCCATGGGCTTCGGCACCAGGGTGATGCATGAGATACGGGTTCTGCTTGGGAGCAGCCATCCAGGAGGCTCGTGCCGCGGCCTGATCGGCGAACGTGTGGTCACCAGGACCACGGTTCATACCGTTGACCGGCGACATGGTGTACCCCATAGACTGCTGGTCCGTGTATCCAGAACGGCCAGCGGCCAATCCGTTGCCATTCACGGCCCCATCGCCGTAATGCGCACCCATAACGCCATTGGAAGATGGGACGGAGTTACTGACTTCATCCTGAAGAGGCTTGGCGGGGTTAGCCGCCGCCGCCGCAGCGGCTGCTTGTTGCTGTGAACGCTTGAGATGGGCCTGAGGGTGCGACAGGTGGGTCGCGCCGGTGGGGTTGCCCCGACGAATCGAGCACTTCTGGAAGTGACGCTTCAAGATATCACTGCGGGAGAAGGTGTCCTTGCAGAGGACGCACATGTAAGGGCGATCACCGGTGTCTATAGAGCGAGCGAAAACAAAGTTGACGCGTCGTTAGCCATACAAATGGTTCGATAATATCACATCCGAGAGGTGCTTGGAACTTACGTCGCAGCAGATGACGCTTCAGATGCTTCGCGTGCAGGTAGGTCTTGTTGCAGTGCGGGCAAGGGAACTTGCCATCGGCATCCTTGGCAGGGATGGTGGTGCTCTTTGCGGTGCCATTGACGCCGTTGGAGATTGGGGTCGCGCGGCCTGGAACACTCGGCAGAATACCACGGCGGCCCTGAGAGCCCACGACCTGCGTGCGCGGCTGATCCTTGGGGGGTCCATATGGCGAGCCATTGGCGCCATTTACGTCAGGCCCCATGCCCCAGGACTTACCATCCGAGTAGCTGAAAGCACCGGAGGGCATGCCATTAAAATCGCGCCGGTCGCGCGGGGGCGCCGGAGCAATGGGCTGGGGGTAACTCTGCGCGGACGACGCGGGAGGCAGCACGCTCGGAGGCGGAGGGTAGGACTGGGAGGGGTGGGCCTGTGTCTGATGATTAGGGTGGGCAAGGAATGACGGTGGCTGGCTACCGACAGTCGTGTGCGGCATGATCGGGGCGGTCGAGGCACCATACACGTCGTGAGTCGACGCGGGATACCGCGACAGGTCCGGCCGGTAAGGCTGGCCCATGTAGGGGTGCGGCGCAGGCGACTGAGTGTGGTGCGGCTGGAGGGGAGGCAGTGTATGCGGCTGGGAGACCGGATACTGTTGCATCGAGTATTGAGGCATTGACATGGGCGTCGACGAGAGCGGCGTGGAACCCTGGGGCATGCTGGTCGAGGGGGGCCGCGAAGGGTGCGATCGGGGATCCATCGTGGCCACGGGTGAACAGGTGATGCGGTGGGTAAACGAGGGAAGGAGGGAGAGTGGTTTCGCGAGGGAGTTGAAAGAGAGAGATTGGGGTAGATTGGGTGCTGAGATCACGCAGCACTCATCGAACACGTCCGTCTCTGGTTCTGACTTTCTTCTCTGTTTTTTTCTCGCGAAGAACAAGAGGCTCCTTGTTGGTTCCCAACTGAAATTTTTCCCGAGGCGGAAAGGGCGAAGGCTTGGTCACGGGGGATGGGCCTCAATTGCAAGAGGATCTGACTCCACCGAGAGATGTGAGCGTTAGAAGGTTGGAGGAGTGAAGAAGAAAGAAAGGCTTGATCGGAGGAGATTCCCCACGGTCACCCACCAGGTCAGAGTCGTGTGGGAACTTGGTGTTCTATCCGCACGTTTGTCACCGTCGATGGGTTTGTATCCACCAGGGAAGCGGGCGTGCAAGTGGGTCTCGCAGCACAACAACTAGTCAGATCTGCTTCGCGCGTCAAGGCGGGAAGAAAAAGGCAATAGGCTGAGCTAGTCAAATCCTGGTCGACACAAAGAAATCGATTGATCCGAAAAGGACCGAGTCGGGGGAGTTGGTAAAGATGAGTTTTCGGAAGGGGGGAGGATGAGAAGGAAAGGAAAAAAAAAACTCTGGAAAGACAGTTCGATCGCGGACGGGGAGGAATTGGGGGGGAAGGAGGGAAGTGGAAATGGAAATGGAAATGGGGGGCGGCCAAAGTTCAGGTAAGAAAAAATACGCAAAGGGGAAAAAAATGGAAAAGAAAAAAAAGAAAATGAAGGAAAAAAAAAAGAGAAAAAGAAAAAGGCAAAATTCACGAGTGGCCGAAGCCCGGGCAAAGCGTGAAAGAAGCGGAACGAGTATACAGCAACGTACCGGGCGATCGTTTCTCGGGGAGGCAAGAGGCGAGAGGGCAACAGCCAATTCCAAGGGAAGGCTGACCGAAATGGGTGACAAGTGCAAAAAACGGTAATCTATTACGGCATATGACATCTTTACCACATACAGGGTACCGAGAGAACCGCCGTTCCCAAATGATCTGTATGGGATGTTCTCGAAGGCCGCCTCTCGAGAGTGTGGTCATCTGATTACCAAACTTACCAGCCAGAACCAGCACAACCGCCAGGACACCCAGCCGTGCCAGGGAAATAAAATTAGATACAATAAAAGAAAAACAGAGGACAAGTGTCAACCCATCAAACCCAAAAACCAGAATAAATAATCTACTCCCTACTGTTATATTCTCTTAAGGGGAACTGGAGGGCCTCGGACTTGAGCGGCCTAGCGTCTTAGCGGCTTAGCGGCTTAGCGGCTTAGCGGGCAGCGATGACGATATGCCCGGGGGTCTTCCGAAGAGCGGCCGGCAGGGAATGGCCGCGAACAGCAGACTACGTGTCCTAGCAAGACGCCGAATTGCATAACTCCTCCTCGATTTGGCCCTGTGAGCATTTATGTTATGAGAGTAGTGAATTATTATGATTACGCTGCTAAGTATTGATTATTACGACGGTTACTATAATCAATTCCTACCTTTGCTCCGCATGATGATTCTTATTCCCTGTTGGTAGACAGGTCCTTTTACTCGCCGCGATTGCCTCTTGCTGTACCGTCGCAGGGGTTTTATTATTAGGGACTCGTGGGCGAATGACGATCGGGAGATAGATCATGCTATCCGATATGGTGCAGCCCCAGGGACAGAAGCAGGTCCAAGGAACTGAGGACTCCCGCTATTAACGGACGTTATTACCACCCCGATGAGGAGGGTGATTTGATTTTCCTGATTTTCCTAAGGGGAAGGGTCTAGCAAGTGTCTGCCACATGCTGCGTTCAGGGCCGTCGCGGTCGCAAAGAATGTGCGATCCGCAACCCGCGCACTCTGTTCCCGGCCCCGATCGCGGCGCCCGAGTGCAGGACCAGAAGCAGAACTATCTGTCGCATTATTGGGCCGGTATGCTCACTATCTCTCAGTGATACGGAGGACAGCCTGTAATATTCACTACTGTAATTTTATCCAGATAGGCTTGTTCTCCTTCGGCAGGCAAGTTGCGACTGCTTCACGTTCATCCCGCCACCCCGACAGGGTCGGCCGGTAATCTGATTATACTTTCCCGCATGGGAGAGAGAATGGCCCATGTTGGAGAAGTGGGTTGCTCCCCTGGCACTCATCGCTGCTGTCAGGCTCCGCAGTGGCTTGACAGCCCCGCATGTAAACAGATCACACATCTCCTGCAGGGAGATGCACCGCACTGGCACGGGCAAGTCTAGAATCCCGAATTCTCAATTCGGACGGGAATGGCGCGCATAACTGGGATCCGGGCCAGGGTCAGACGGAGGAGTGGGCTCGAGGACCAGGCTCTGGTCTGGTCTTGGGTCGATCGAGGTCCAAGTTCGAGGTCGCAGTTCGCACTGATCTCCCGCCAGAGGAAGCACGTCACCCTCGAAAGCTAACTCGATGGATGTGCGCAGACCTCATCGTGCATTCCCGCAGTACTCGCTCTCGCCTCTTCTCGTCCTGCATGCTGAGCTCTACTGCATGCAGGATGGGTTTGAGAGAGAGAGAGAGAGAGATATATACATAGGTATATATATACAGAGGGATAGGTCGAGGACTAGATTGACATAGGTATATACAGTATCTAGTATCCAGTGTTCTAGTACTCTGTGGAGGTGTCGTATAGATTTGTGTACTTATTTTAGTTTGCTTTTCTGCATTTTTTGCCTTTCCATGTCTGTACGGAGGAGGTGCTTCGGTAACGGCCATGCATTGTTGCCCTACATACTTTCGCGGATGCGCCGTAGCCGCCTTCCTACTGGCCTCGCAGCTCCTGGATGCCGTCTAAACAACCCCCGCTCTCCTCCCCCTTCCACTCAACCCAAACCCCGACCCGGTTCTCGCCCAGCTGCATAATAAGGGAGCCCCCCCGAGGAAAAGGAGAGGTGGGCAGGCTTCCGCAAATGATAGCGTGCAGAGCTAGTTCGCAGTTGAGCCTAAGTCTCGCGTCCTAACCGCCCTCGGGCTGAGGAATGTGCAGACACGTCCAACGGGGCGCTGCCATTGGGTGGCGTGGTTACTTCCGGGGCCTCGCGTTGGCTCCTAGTTTCGCTCTTTTGCGGTTTGGGCTTGGTTTGGGGGGGGTGCTCGAGGCGTACCTTTGCCCCCGCCGAACAATCCCGAAGCTCGGCTCTTACCTAACGTTTCAGTAGGATTGGAACCAGGGGAAGGAATGAGTCGATGTCTCAGCCTGCATCCTGTAATTCGGGTATCTGGAACGCGAGTTTGGACCTGAGGAGGGGAGATCACGATTTATCTGCTATACAGAGTCGCAGGCAATAGCAACGTCGTCTGCTAGCGACCAACATGACCCTGGCCCCTCCGTGCTCCACCGCAGGATTCGCAAGAGCTTCTCCCGCTTCGATTGTGGACCTGGCTCAAGGCTTCGACCAGGGTTCTGCAGAAACCACCATCGCCCCTCCTTGCCTCGTGACTTTTGCAAATTTTCCGCCAAACACCCTCAGACTATCAGTCGATCAGTGTCTTGGCGCGGTTCCTGGAAGCAATTTATTCCCTACTCAGCGCTCACACAACGGCCTACTCCAGGAGATCGTGTACGCTTCGGGGGTGTTAGTCCAAAGTTTGTACCGCTTATCACTGTCCTCTGCACTCCGTAATAAAAATAATAATAATAATGATTTTCATCCCGCTGTAATCATTTAATACAGTGTGTCTGTGAATTAAATAATCCTTCATTAGGCAAGCTACGACAAAACAGGCAGGCCAGGGCCATTACTCGGGAAGGGGGGAGCGCTCGCTTGACCTTCTTCGTTCATCCGAGCATGTTCCAAACTGAACACGTCGCGCGGTTTCCGGCAAAGCCATTTCGACGAGTGGCTTGACTACTGCACCAGCGCGGTGTGTTGAATCTGGCAGGTGCCTGTACAGAACGGTCTAGTTTAGGCGGCCAAGGTAGAACAATTAAGGAGCATCACCGGGTATGTAGTAATGGTTTGAGTTGTTATTAGTTGTGGTGTTGTTAGTCGGCAGCATAGCCGGGAGTTCGGGTTCCACTCCAGGGGATAAACCTGTAAAGAAGCAGAGAAAAAAAAAAAGTGGCTCATCCCGCAAACTACGGTGAGGCTGGTCCGAGTCTTCCAGGGGCAACATCGCCAGTTCCCATGGGCAAAACCACCCTTCGTTATCCGACGTATCCCCCCCTCCGAATCCCATACAGCTCGTACCACCCATACGTCGTTTGTTGTCGGCAGGACACGTACGGATACAGCTACCACCAACTACGAGTCCGAGAGATCTCTCCCCATCCACTCGAGATCGGCAGTTTTGGTGTATTTCTGCACGCAAAGCTTGGTTGCCAGCAGCCATTCCCCCCAATATGTCGCCCCGACACTGGGACTGGATTCCCCGCTAGTAGGGCTCCTCAGGAGACTTTTAGCTATGCATCATAGTCGGCATACTAGCACGAGCAGCTTCATAGTCACGTCGATTATTGTAAACTAGCGGCCCTGGCCGCCAGATCGCAGTGTCGATCCTGCCCCTCTCCCTTCCCCCCAATCTTCCCGTCTGTCTCCGTCAACTCCATGCCCCTCCACTGGCGCCCAGCCACCAGTCTCCGGGTGTACAGTCTGTACTCCGTACCTCGTACGGAGTACTCCAGTACGCCGCCATCGGGTATTGGCTACTGTGTATATACCTCGGCCGAAATGGCAGGACCTCACGAGGGCAACAGCGGCAATGGGAAATCCCGAGACGGCGAGCCACGGGACTCGGGGCGCTTTCAGAAACCCGGTTCGCAGCTCGGATATGTACCACGCCTTTCATAGGCAGGAGGACAGGCCAGAAGAATAGCGTCCGACGGACCAGTCCTCCCCGACTGAGCAACTCATCCGACTCAAAACGAGCCTTGCCCGGCACAGGCCGGAAAGGTCGTGACAACCAAGTCCGGATCGCCGAGTTTCAGGATGCCGTGCAGCCAATCATGGCTCCACACAGCGCCCGGCGGACGAGAGGATGGCGAGCGCCACTCACCTCATAGGCTCAGCGCGCTTTCGTCGAGGCTAGGCTAGTTTAGTCGAGACCCGGGCCCGGGCGGGTTAGTGAGGCCTGGAAGGTCCTCAGATGAGGACCGGGACGGTGACGGTGTGCGTCTCGGTGCGCGGTCTTGCAGAGACGCCAAGAAACTAGAAGACTGGAGGAGCGCGAACGTAAACAGGGTCCCCCTCTTGGAAAACTCAGAGGGGAAGAAGAAGCCCCAACTTATCCGCAGGCGGGAACCGACACCCGCGACGGGACCTGACAGCACAGCGGAGACCTCCAGTCTCCAGGTACGCGGTGAAGAAGTGGAGCGCAAGGTTAGAGGGGGGGGGGGAAAAAGGGCCGACTGTGAGTGGCACACCGCGCCATGCAAAGTCCGCTGAGCGCCATTGACGGTAGTAGCATAGTAGCACTGACTCAAGGGCTTTTACGTAGTGGGGATACCGAAGAATAGTGAGGTGTTAGTTCTGTTCAGTAAGTTCGAGTAATCGCTTGGAATGGCCAACACATTACCGCCGAACCGTGGACTCGGGATGATCGCTCAAGCAAATCAAAATCCAAAAATTCGCATATACCAATTATAATCAGAATCAAAATCAAATCAAAATCATCACTAATCCGACAAGCCGAAAAGCGCAAGTCCGTTGACAAACCACGTCCATGTCGCAGCATGGTACTTCGTACCATGAGATACCAGCCAAAACTCTCTTTGCCCGGCCCCAGCCGCGTCATGAGTTCCGAATAGGCTTCCAAGGGAACCGGCACCAGCACGAACAGGCGCTGCTATAATTAATCGTCCAGCGGGCGTGCTGGATGATTCCATGTGATTGCTTGTACCAGGAACCGCCGACGCGCCCGAGCAACGGTTCGCAGCGAAGGCCGACCGTGGACAGCGTGCTGTTTGCAGTGTAGGTTTGCAACAGTCTCCCCATTGGGTTGTAGTGGTAAGTTTGATGTGAATCGGAGGATTGCAAAAATACCACTTCTTCAGGGCCGCTCCGGAGGACAGTATGAAGTAGTCTGGTACTGTCGTATGTACGGTACAGGGCCGTATGGACTGGCCTCAGTCCCGCGTACCCCAAGTCCCTGTCTTGTACCCAGGGGACCGCCAACAATTTATCCATGGCTGCCTGAAAGGCGCAGGCTGCTCACGGCCTCGGCATTGATAGGAGCCCGACGGGGCTGAATCATCGGCCAGAGTACAGTGCCATTGCCAGATCAGCCCATTGAGGTTCCTAGGTACCTCTGCATGAGGTGACGAGGTGCGGTCATAGTTCCCTCCGGGTTGGAGTACTCGACCATGTCTACTGTCGTTGGTTGGAGAAACCCCCCCCCCCCCTGTCGGTGGCGGTCCTTTTTTGGCGCGCTGGTCGGTACGATGGAGACGTTCCCGTCAACAATACAGTACACTTGTACTGTGCCGTACCGTCTGTACCCCTGGCCCTCCGCGTACACACCGGCTTCTCCTCCCCGAGGCTTGTCATTGTGCAGAATCCACCGCTCGGATATCTGAGGGAGACGAGAACTCTCCTGCTTGCATGACTTCGAGTGGTTAACTATTTCTTATGCACTATTATGTAACGTGATTTTCTATCCATCCGCTCTTACGTGCATGCCTCGCGGACTCGACCTTGTGTCGGTGGGTCCTGCATGCTGGGCTCATGGATGAAAAAATCAGGAACAACCAAGGAAATGCAATCGCGGTGGCGACGCTTGCCTCGATATTTCCAGGAACCGGTCCCATCCATCGGCCTCGGCAGAACCAGTCGGCGATGCCCCTGACTGTTGATCGGTCGCTGTACGCAATCAGCTGTCTGGCTCCTTTACGGACCCAGAAGACGAGCTGCTGGGCGGGATCACCTGAATGAAGAGGGAAAGGACCGACCTTGCGCGTTATTGGGCCCCGGCGACATACGTAATTCCTGCGGACGCATCGTACTAAGCGCGTTGAATGAGATGGCCTAGGATCAGATACTACGGTGGACGTATCTCGGCATACGACCGTGGTAATGACCGACCTCGGACACTCGCACGTTTCGCACCGGTTCGCAGAGAGGGCTGTGTTCTGACGATGGGCAGGGTTCGGCCTCGGGAAAGTCAATGGCTGGGTTTAAACTTCCACGCCCGAAAAATCGGGACTTTCCAATGCACGATGTGAGTTAGTTCCACGACGTTGTAAACTTTGCCCCCCCCCCTTGGTCCAGCACGGTAGGAGAGCGTTACCCGAACTTGTAATCAGTAAGGTTTCCTAAACGCAAATGGCCCCCCAATGAACGAATACAGCAATGAGCCGGTGGGCCTCTCGCCCACTCCTTCCCCTATCTCCTGTCACGCACCTCGTGTCAGACAGGGGGGGTAAAAAGGGGGGCTCTCTGGTGGATGGGATGGGCGGGTTGTGGATGCCCATGCCCACTCCCCCATCTGGAGTCAGATTAAGCATATCTGAGTGTCCCATCGAACTTATTTCTCCGTTGCATCCATGTCCAGTGCCCACTGCACCGCCGGTGGGGACGGTCCAGGGGACCGGTGGATCTATTTGCAGGATTCACCCGGGGATCCTAGCGGCGCAGGTACGACAAGGTACGCCCGGTGGTGACGGTGGGTTGGGGGTTATCGGAAGGGTTTGGCGACGTCCATATGAGACCAATTGTGTTGGGGTGTCTTGCCTGCCCGCGTGCAATTCACTAGGGTTTGTTTGGGGTCGCTGCTGGTGCTGGGGGTTCGGGACCGCCAGGCGGAGGTACCCGGTACCTCAGAGGTCGAGATGATCGACCTTACGCTCAGCACTTGCAGAGAGTGGGCTCCATGGGATCTGTGTTTGGTGTTTTCTTCACTTAAAGAGACGTGGTATTTTTACTGCTTATTTCATCACTGCATGACTGAATCCTATGAATTCTTCTTGTGAGACTCCAAGATATATATGCGACCGTGGTTGTGCAGCCCTAACTCGATACCTGCGAAGGTACAGCGCAGGTACAATGATAGGGCACTGGGAACATCCATATGTTGGACACGAATACCTAGTGATCCAACTTTGCTCAGACGGGAGTACGCCGGACATATTGTTCCCTGCCTGCTTTGACAGAGTACTATTAGATCCATCATTTCATCCACATACCAAAGGATTTAAGCGCCTGGGGCTGTGGAGCAATTCCCACAAACTCCATATTGGGAGCCACATCGGAACCCCATAATGTGACAACACGGGGCACTGGGTCCAGTTTCTAGTCCCAGCATACTCTCTCCAGATGGCCTGTCCAGGGTTAGGGATGTGTCGGATTGACACCAGGTTTGCATGAAATCCCACGCTTGCGCGTGATGCCGTGTGTTCCATAAGTTCATGGCTTGTCTTCGGATTCCTCCGGAACGGCCCCCTCGTGAATGGCAAAAGTCCTAATAGGCGCCCCCCACAATAAGAAATATGAACGATCGCATGCTCAGAAGGAATCATGAGATTAATTGTGATAGATCGAATTACTTCATATATAGAAGCACTATTACATACGGTACACAGTACCCACCACCCCCAAAAACTACGTACAGTAGAACCATCCAAAGTACCTCTCAAACTTTCCCCCACATAAACCAGAAAACGGCTCCCTATAATTTGTCCTCGTCGGACTTAGCCAAACTCGTGGTGACTTCTGTCTCCGGATGCTCCTCAGGCTCCATGCCATCGCTAACAATCGGATGCATGGAATGCTCGACATTGACCACCGGACCAACAAACCACTTGCGCGCATCAACCGCATACCAGATCGATACAGCCAGCATCGGCGCACCATACACAAGGCAAGTCCAGTTCATCAGGTCTGGGGCCAAGTCGCCCTTCGTGACGCTCGGCAGACACAAGATAGGCACCATCAGCATCACAAACGCAACGCCTAGTCCACCAATGTACGGACCATACGGACCCAGATGCCACGGCCCCTTGCGGAAGCGATGACCCACGAAGAAGACGCGGATGAAGATGGGGATCGCGAAGGCGACAAACTGTGCGATGGCGCCGATGGAGAACAACGCGCCGATGGCGACGGTGCCTCCTAGGATGAGCAGGCACATCAAAATGCCCAGCACGCAGTTCAGAATCACTGCGTTGACGGGGGTTTGCGTGCGCGTGTTGACTTTCTTCCAGATGTGCGAGAGTGGGAAGCAGTCGTCGCGGGCGTAGGCGTACGTCACTCGCGACGCAGCGACCATGCAGCCCTGACCCATGGAGAAGCCGCAGATGATAGTTAACCCGAGGATGCCCAGCGCCGCCTTCTGGGGCAACACCTGGAGCAGGTAGGAGGCCCAGGGCTGACCGAGATCCGAGTCGATGACCCCGCTGATGTCCACAACTGTGTAGGCCACGACGAGCTGCAGGAACCAGCCCATTACTCCGCCGACACCGGATGTCATGACGATGGCACGTGGAGAGGCGATATTGGCATTAGAGCATTCCTCGCTGAGGTGGAAGGGAGAATCATAGCCGGACATCGTCCAAATCACGCCGACAAAGGTCATGAGCACTGCGACTCCGCTGGGGAAGTCTGTCTGGTTCGTGATATTGCCCCAGACCTCCTTCGATGGAGTGAACTTGGGCTCATTCTTGGTTGCAGCGGGAATAACAATGATGGTCGCGACGAGCGCGATCATGTTGAAGGTTGACCCGTAGGAATTGAATTGTGCGACACGCTTCGTAGGAAGGCTGCTGATTCCCGCATGGATGATCATTATGAGCGTCGTCAGCAGGAATGTTTGCCAATTCGTTGGAACATAGTCGGGATTGCTGATCGACACTGCGGCCAGAATCATTGCAGACAGTGCATAGTCCACCGAGGGCGCGGCCGTAATCTGGCCGATCCAGTTGGACCATCCAGTCATCCATGCGGCGAAAGGACCGTATCCGGGAGGTGCGAGGACTGCTGCAGCATAGTAGAGACCGCCACTGGCACCGAAATAACCACGTTAGCTCGAATCTTCTGGCCATGGAACCACCTAGGGCTTTCATACCTCGTAGGCATGGCCGAACATAGTTCCGCCATTGACATCGCAATACACTGGATGAAAACCATAGCAATGAGCCAGCCCCAGACCATACCTGCCGTTCCCGCGTAACCCATTCCTTGGATCCAATTAGCGCACAATGCCACATAATATCCGGGGGAATAGAACGCACCATAGTACATAGTACTCGCGAACGACGGCAATAAGCCGAGAACAGCGAAACTGACACAGAATGTAGTCCACAGGGAGAATTCACGCTTGAACTCCTGCTTGTAACCCAAGGCCATGATCACCCGCTCATCGGCGTCCATCTCATGGTCTGCATATGGCACATCGCCATCCGCGAGGATTGAGGTGACCGGGGCATGATCGGCATCGGCGTATACGCGATGTTTAGCAGCGCTCGTGCTGGTTAGTTTAGTCTCCATGATTGCGCTCGTCTTATCCTTTGCTAAGTGAATAGTATTTTGGATGGTAACGGGAAAGCGCGGTGTATGGAGACCGGTGTAGAATCGAGGCAGAGAACCATGGAGGAATGGTGCCTTCTGTTCCTAGCCAGGGCCGGAGTAGCCACGAGGGAGAAGCTTCCTTTTTAAATGAGCTGGGGTCTAGCCTTTTTTTGGTAGCTCGGGGGGGTGAATGCTCGGCACTGGTTATCTATGCACGACGCAGGTGGCAGGGTGGCACTTATCCACGCGCCTTGACGATTTAGAACGCCATCGGCGAGCTGAAGGGGCTCCAGAACCAATCGAGAGCTTCGTATCTAATCCAGTGTATTTGGCAGAATCCCGCTAGAACGGCCCAGGATGAGGGGGGTAGGACAAGGGGCCATGTAGCGGGGCGCTCTGAACCGAAAGGGGGACCATGCTTTCTCCGCAATATGAGCCGGCCGCGGTTGATAACGGGGGATAATTGCTCAGCATCGCCGGTGATAGACCTGTTTCAGGGAGACGAGTCGATCTCGCGAGGGAAAGGCCCCCGTTGATTCGATTAGCGCGCATGGGCTTTCCCGCACCTGGGTCCTGTGATTCGGCGAGGATGGGCACTCGGACGCGATTCCACTCGAGCACCCGCTGGGACCCGGCAAGCTTAGCAAAAGCTCCAAACCCAGCAGGGCAGGTTCAGGCGCCGTCTGGGGGGAGGAGGCGTTGTTCATTGATCGGGTTGGTGGTGCCAGTAGTCTTATCGGGGGACGGTTGATAGCAGAGGAGAGATAAGCGGTCTGCTCGGGGCATGACATGACGGTCGTGACACCGGACAAAAGGCTTATCTGCAAGGCAGGGTGGACCTGCCCAAGTGGGCGAAGTGGCTCAGTAGCCCTATCGGACGCTCCGACTTGCTGCTTCGGAGTATATAGGGAGATATTGGGCGAATGCGATACGGACCAAGTACATGCTACGCGTATACTTCATTAAGGACACAAAAGGAAATCACCACAGCTTCGTTGAAACGGCGGCCTCTATGTGCTATTCAAAACAGGAAAGACTTCCATCGCTAATCTAAACACTGCTGGAACCCCTATTCATCGCCAATATCAGAGTGCCACTATAAGACGCTCCAGGTATAACCGCAGATGGTTTAGAAGGGCTAACATGGGTCAGCAGTGTCTCAAGAGGAAGGGAAATAGGGCCAAGAAGAACTTACGTTGTCCTCAGGGGCAACGGTGCGGTCGAAGTAGGTATCCAGGAAGGGAATCTGCTGCAGGATGTCGCGGCGCACACGGGGAACCTCGCCGAAGAAGAAGAGGGCGGCGGTACCAGCGAAGACGCCGAAGCTGCCAGCCAGGGTACCGCTGATTATACGGGTCAGCACACGCCCTACGGGAATGTCGAGGCTCTGGATAGAGCCCAGTAAGAAATATGTAGGGGATATGAACTTACGCCCGAACGGCGGAGGGAATGGTGAGGCCCGCAACGGAACGTTGAACGGTGTACCTGAAGTAGCGCAACACTAGTTAGCCTGATGTTCCAATCACTCCATCGCAGCCATTTATCATTTGTATAGAACCATCTCGCAAGATCTTGGGGCTAGCCCGTCTCCACAATGCCAACGGATACCAAAGGTCAAGTCGTGCATAACCACAAAGGATCCGGAATCGCAGGTCGAGAAGCTAGCTCACAAATCCCACTCGAAAGTGTATACGGGCCGATGAACATCCAGAATTGAGGGACCAATATGGGGGCATCATGGCTGAATCGAGAATCAGGATTTCGGGGATATCTCACTTGGGCGCAAAGGCGGAGGTCGAGGCCTGGGCCGCGGCGCGGCGGAGGGTGGGAGTGAATGCCTGTCAATGAGAAAAGAAGCTTGGTTAGCAGCCAATTCCTACGTATCGTCTGTTACAGCATCCGCGCTAATCCCGAGGATTCTGGGAGTCAGTTGATGGGCCCATGGTGCGATCGGCCAACCGAACCATCGCCCCAAAACTTGACCGAGAGGACCTGGGTACAACTGCAGATGCCTTGGAATCAGAATGACAAGAAGAGACATACCATTGTAGTCAGCGTGGGTAGGTGGGACAATTGCTCGAGGAAGGGACCGGAGCTGCACTTTGGAGGTCGACAAAAACCGGGTGTGAACCACGTGATTCATGACATGACAACCAATCAGAGGACGCATAATTGGTCCAACTAAATTTGATCAACCAAGTATAGGGGAGAGTAGCCCCCGTTCAGCAAACGACATTTCCAGAAGGACCAAAACATCTTCTATAATCTCAATTCAAACTAGGAAATAATAGGATAGGAAAAGGGAATATGTGCTTCAAACCCCCAAGTTGACGTGCAGAAGATTCATGAGAGAACCGTATGGAGCAGAAACCACAGGAAAAAGAAAGAAGCAGCCTCGAATCAATCAAATACAGTTGAAAAAGGAATTATAACCGCGCATCCAAACACCTGAACTGTACATGCGTCTCATCAATCGACTTTTCCGGCCGAGCCCCCGTTCAAGAATCCTTCCTTGCCATCCAGGTGGAAGAAACTACCGCCGCCATTGGTGTTGCCGATAATGCCGCCACGAGCGACGCGGCGCAGGAGGCGTCCGCGGCCGAGGATGGTGGCCACAGCCACAGTGATGCCCAAGAAAACAAAGAAGAGGATAGGGTGGCTGCTGAGGAAAGAGCGGGTGAAGAAGAAGAAGCTTTCTAAGGTGCCAATAGTAGACTTGGGAGACAGCTTGGGGGGAGAGGCAATGACAAGAGGAATGGTTTCAAGAATGGAGGTACGCGAGGCCATGACAGGAGCTCCACTGGAAGCGGTATCCCAGTACCGACGGTTCTGCCAGAAGTTAGTTTTAATTTCTTGTCCAAATTGGGATAATAGAGAAAAGCTTACATCTTCGTCGTTGACGATCACACGGTCACCCTGTTCTACGTCGATACCGTAGGTAGTACGTAGCCAGCGCTCCCAGAAGTCACCATCCACCCAAGCGAAAGCGACAGGCTTCTTGTCGTCCTCACGGATGGTAATGCGCATGTTCTTAGCAGCCCGCAGAGCGCGCTGGTCATTGCGATCATCAGCTTCCTCGATACGTAGCTGCTTAGCATCACGAAGTTCCGATCGCTCAAGCCGGAAGAGCTGAATCTGCTTGTCCATCCACTCGAACGCGGCCTCCTTCAATTCACGCTTGGACTGCTTGAAATCGTCGGAGCGGCGGCGGCTGAGAATACCAAGAACCACAAACTTGCCATCCATGATCTCACGGGCATTTGAGGCCGTGAGCTCAGGAACGATTGGCAACCAGACAGTCTGCATCCAGGACAGCATCTGGCGGAAGTCTCTCATGTCCTTGGGGGCAAGAGCATTATAGTAGGTTGGCCGGCCCTCGCGGACAACAAGAAGACGAGGCCAGGTGGAGATCTTGAACCGCTCTGCGAGAGCGGCGCTGCTAGTCTTGACAATCCGAGCATGACCTACCAGGCTGAGGGTCAAGCGCTCCATAGCCCTGAAGTCCTCGGAGGTAGTTGCATGGTCATAGAAATACAAGAACAGAACTTCCTCTGTCTCTTCCAGCTCCTTGAAAGTGGCTCCATCGACATCCTCAATCTCAGAGCCAGGACCAATAGCCTTGTTTGTGTACGAGAGTAAATCGCCGAGGCCACGCAGACCAGTGTACTCAACTCTCTGGCCGCCACGGAAGAAGTAGATAGTGGGGAACGCTTCAACTCGGGCATCGGCACAGAGGCGGGTTTCAATGTCGCAGTTCACTTCACCAACGTTGAGAGTATCTTTCATTTCCTTGGCCATCTCCTTCCAGTTAGGAGCCATGGCCTGGCAGTGACCGCACCAGGGAGCATAAAACTTGATGAACCACGGGTCTTGGGTGGTAGTCACCAGTTTCTGGAAGCTCTCTGCAGTAAGAGGGATCGAAAGACCCTGCGGATTGGGGGGAGGTCCCTTGTGCTTCGCCTTGGAATCGCCAGCGGTACCGGGCTTGCCGCTCTCCGATGCACCCGGTGCATCCAACGACTTTTGGGCAACCACGTCGTTGTGCTTCTCGCCAGCCAGAGCGCCAGCCTGGGGGTCCTTGTCTTTGGCAACGGGGGAGTCGGGCTCAGCGGTCGAGTCAACGCTAGGTGCGCCAACCTCGGGGAGTTTGATGCCCTGCGGGGGACGAGACCCAGGCTTGATCGACTCGAGCTTCTCTTCGATAAGCTTGCTCAACTCCGAAATCGAAATCGCGCCCACGTGTTTATCCTTTTGGACACCCTCGTCGTAAAACGCAAAGGTCGGGAAACCTTCGATACCAAGTTTCTCACAGAAGTCTCTGAAAGCCAAACAGTTCAAGGATGCGAAGTGGAAGTTGTAGTAATTGGTGAAGCCGTTCAATGACTTTGGGTCAGGAGATCTTCCAGATGAGGGAAGAAGAGGATTAGATGTCTATTGTTGCAGATTAGCTGGGGGGCCTGCAATTGATTCTCTCTCCTGGAGATCACGTACATAGTAGTATTCATATGTGGTCTGATAGAGGGGCGCTGCCTTTCTGCAGTGAGCGCAAGATGGCGAGTAGTGCTTCACGAACCTACAAACAGTCAGTATCGTTGAAAACGCTCTTGGTGATGCCATAAAAGACGGAAGATACTGACCAGGTTCCATCTTTGGTGACCTCGGCGAAGTTGTCAGGAGTCAGCTGAAGCAGTGGAGGAACGTCGAGTCCATTGAATATTGAGGGCTCTTCGGGGTCTACTCCGCGGCCGCTCCGCCGCTTCTCTAGTCGATTGCCAGCCTTAGCCTCCGACTCTGAGGGCGCGGCTAACGTGGGCACGGCCAACAGAGAGAGGAGGGACCACCGCAGCCACGATGCCTTCATTGTGGTTGAAGGAAAAGAGGTGATGACCCCGAGGGCAAATACAAAGGAGAGTATAGGTAGGCCTCAGTAGAGGCTCCGTAGATGAGTTGAAAACGAGGGACGCTGGCCGAAAGGGACGATCGCGAAATGTCACAGGTGGCACATTGGACGGGGGGGCGAAAACTGGCTCAGGTTGAACGCGAGTCAGCCGGCCAAAAAGGAGCAGCAGGGAAGGATGACCAATCCCCGAGCCTTGGAAAGAACAAAATCAGACAGCACAGCGTCCGAAAGTATCGAGGTCTTTGCGCGCGCGTGTAGATTGGGGGAGGAAAAGGTGGCACCCCCTGCCGGCGTATTTGGGGGTGGGAACTCAAGTTTATCCGCTCCGGGCCAACTTCGACTTCCCTTTCCATCGTCACCCTGGCCGAATTGCGCTGCTAAACTGAATTCCCCATCCACCCCACACCACAATGCGGTCTACACTTCGGCTGTTGGCCAATGTCAAGCCCCGGTATCTGGAGCCGTTCGCTCCGACCGGATTGACTGGCCTAACCACCCACCCGAGTCCCCGTCCGACTCTGATCTATCTCTACACTACCACCCTCCAGAAGCTGACCAACTTCCCGGAAGCCTCTGCCTACCGCCAATCCGTCGAAGCTTTGACTCGTCACCGTCTCCAGATTGTCGAGTCACAGAAGCCCCCAGGTTTCGAGGCGTGGTTGGAGCGCGTGAAGAAGACCGTTGGAGCCGAGCCCGAGCGATTCGCCCAACTCCAGCGCTCTGACGGTACATTCGCCTACGTTGGCTCACAGCAAGCCGATGGCAGCGACAACTCTCGCGGTGAGGAATGGGATGGCGAGGGTCTGTCTGCCTCGACCGAGGGTCCTGCTCGTACCCCGCAGCAAGCCGCCGAGTGGCAGAAGATTGTGGAGGAGTCCAGCTCAACTTCCGACAAGGCAGAAGCCGATCATTATGAATCTCACATGCACTGGGAGAACGAGCCCGCTCTGGAGGCTCAGCAGTGAGTGGACCAAATATCTCCCAAGCCCAGATTCAACTCGCAAACTAATCCTCGCCATAGGGTCTCAGAGATTGAGCAGAAGATCGGTGCCGGCCTCATCGAGGAGGTCATTCAGGTTGCTGAGGCAGAGCTCAAGCTGACTGATGAGCTGTACAAGGCTAAAGTGTGAGTACATGCCTGAGATTCTATCTTTCGAAGTTAACGTATTAACATGTTACATAGGTGGGAGGAGCTAGAGGAGAAGCCTGTCCCCGGCCAGTGGACTTATTTCGAGCGCGGAAACTAAAGCGATTTTGAAAATGGGGTTTAGCGCCCGGTTTCTGTATTTATTAGAGGGCAGGTTGTTCCAATACATTTCTTTCTCATGTTCCACTTTGTTCTAGCTTAAAGGCGTCTTGGCACCGAGCCACCACCCTGGTAGCTTCTGTGGTATCTCTTGATTGATGGGCATCAAAGGCAACTTCGACAGCTTAGGCTAGCTTTGAGTAGGTTCCCGATAGTTAAGGAATTGCCCTGCAGTGTTGCTGCCATTTGTTTTTGCTTCGAGATCTTCCCAAATGTGGAAAGCTGGACCACAATTGAGGAAAGGGATACAAGGAGTACACTGAAATCGATTTAGTGCTACTCCTGACTCAAATTCAATGCCATTGACCTTCCAAGTGCTTCTGGTGGATCTCTTCTACTCCTCGCGAGGCTCACCGAGTAAATCACAACCACGCGGAAGCCTCGATTCGCCCGGAAGGCGGTGAGTCCCAGCGGGAATCCCTTGTGGACACATACATTGTCCCTGAGCGACCACCAGTTCTCCTCCAGACGAGAAATCTTGGTGATTCTCGAAAGACTCCTAGCTGATTTCGAGACCCGTTTGCCGCTCACCTCTTGGGCTGTCTGAGCGGCTCGTGGAATTGCCCCTCGCTCTTGCAGGCCCAACACCGCGCCACACAAACACTCATCTCATCCCCCACACATCATGCGGCTCGACGTCAAGGTACGCGCACACAGACAATGTGGTGATTGATACTTTGCGGTTGAAGATGCAATGAAGTTGCAAATGCAGAAGTTTGAGATTGGTCAGATTGCTGACGGATTGGTGTCTTATAGAGGCAGCTCTTTGCCCGCTCGGAGCGGGTAAAGGGAATCGATTTTCATCCGACAGAGCCCTGGGTAAGCCTATATGATGCTCCTCAGCTGAACGTACCTAAACTAATACTGGATTAGATCCTGACAACATTGTACAGCGGTATGTTCGGGGAAACATAGGCCACGCGGAAACTCCCATGTGCTAACGTATCATTCGCAACAGGTCACGTCTACATTTGGTCTTACGAATCGCAGGTACCTAGATCTCTACAACTATGATTATGCTCGCGCAGCTGACATCTGGCCCATTTTAGTCTATAATCAAAACCTTCGAGCTCACCGATGTCCCAGTCCGCGCCGGTCGATTTATTGCGCGGAAGAACTGGATTGTCTGCGGTTCGGATGACTTCCAGCTACGTGTCTACAACTACAACACCTCCGAAAAGATTACCTCCTTCGAAGCGCACCCGGACTACATTCGTTCAATTGCTGTTCACCCCACCCAACCATATGTTTTGACCGCAAGCGATGACATGACGGTGCGATTGTGGGATTGGGAGAAGGGCTGGAAATGCGTTCAGGTCTTTGAGGGTCACAGCCACTACGTGATGGGTATGGCGATTAACCCGAAGGATACCAATACTTTCGCAACGGCTTGCTTGGATCGAACTGTGAAGATCTGGAATCTTGGCTCACCCCATGCCAACTTCACCTTGGAGGCTCACGAGACCAAGGGTGTCAACCATGTCGATTATTACCCGGGATCGGACAAGCCCTATCTTCTCACAACCTCGGATGACAAGACCGTGAAGGTAAGAAAGAATACGGTTCTCTCGGTTCTCTATTGGAAATACAGGCTTATTGACAGTACCACAAATAGGTCTGGGATTACACCACCAAGGCGCTCATTGCGACCCTGGAAGGCCACACCAGCAACGTTTCCTTCGCTTGCTACCACCCCGAACTCCCGGTCATCATCTCCGGTTCGGAAGACGGCACAGTCAAGATCTGGCACGCCAACACCTACCGCCTAGAGCAGTCACTCAGCTATGGTCTGGAGCGAGCATGGTGTGTCTCTTATCAGCAGGGCCGTCAAGGAATTGCAATGGGTTTCGATGATGGTGCAGTGGTTGTGAAGATGGGCCGAGAGGAACCCGCCGTTTCGATGGATGGATCGGGCAAGCTCATCTGGGCTAGGCACAGTGAGGTTGTATCAACAGTCATTAAGGGCGCCGACAGTAGTGTGAAGGATGGAGAGCCTCTTTCCTTGCCAACCAAGGATCTTGGACAATGCGAGGTCTACCCGCAAACCCTCTCCCATAATGCGAATGGCAGGTTCGTGAGCGTCTGCGGAGATGGCGAGTATATCATTTACACTGCATTGGCGTGGAGAAACAAAGCTTTCGGCCAGGCTCTCGACTTTGCCTGGGGTGCAAAGGACAACAGCAACGATTACGCTATCCGCGAGTCCTCGACCAGTGTTAAGATCTTCAAGAACTTTAAGGAGCAGAGTGGCGGCCTTGATGTCGGATTCCAAGCGGAAGGACTGACTGATGGTGTCCTGCTCGGTGTGAAGGGACAGGGTGGTATTGGCTTGTTCGACTGGGAGACCGGTAATCTGGTCCGAAGAATCGAAGCTGATCCGAAATCTGTAAGTCTTGTCCATATTATCTCCAGATGTTCTGATCACTAACTGTATCTACAGGTTTACTGGTCCGAGTCTGGAGAGCTGGTCACTCTTGCTTGTGAAGATGCCTTCTACGTCCTCCGCTATTCTCGCGAGGCCTACGTTGAGGGTATGAACAATGGCGAGGCTGACGAGGATGGCGTTGAGGCGGCTATGGAGCTCATTGCTACCATCAACGAGACCGTTCGCACTGGAGAGTGGGTTGGTGACTGCTTCATATACACCAACTCTACCAACCGCCTAAACTACCTCGTGGGTGACCAGACCTATACCGTCTCCCATTTCGACCAGCCTATGTATGTCTTGGGTTACCTGCCCCGTGATGGCCGGATTTACCTGGCCGATAAGGACGTCAATGTCGTTTCTTTCGCTTTGTCCCTCAGTGTACTTGAATACGAGACTCTGATTCTCAGGGGGGAGACTGACGCGGCCGCTGAGGTGCTCAAGGATGTGCCCGAAGACCAGATGAACAAGATTGCCCGCTTCCTCGAAGGCCAAGGGTACAAGGAAATGGCGCTCGAGGTAGCAGTCGATCCTGAGCATCGTTTCGACTTGGCGCTGTCGCTCAATGATCTTGAGACTGCTCTCGAGATTGCTCGTGTGGCCAACGTCGAGCACAAGTGGAAGACCATTGGCGACGCCGCTCTGGCTGGCTGGAATCTCTCTCTGGCCCAGGAATGCTTCACCAACGCCAAGGATCTTGGCTCTCTTCTTTTGCTACATACTGCGTCTAACAACCGTGAGGGTCTTCGCGCTCTGGCAGCTCAGGCCTCCGAGTCGGGCTTGCACAATGTCGCTTTCTCTACACTCTGGTCCCTGGGTGACGTGGACGGCTGCATTGATCTTCTCGTGAAGACCAACCGCTTCGCTGAGTCTGCTCTCTTCGCTCAGACCTACAAGCCATCCCGTGCCCCTGAACTCGTGGTGCAGTGGAAGGCATCTCTCGAGGGATCAGGCAAGACCAAGGTCGCCCGCCTGATTGGTGTCCCGCCCGGTGCCCCTGACATCATTTCCACTGACGACGACCTATTCCCTGAGTGGGACGAGTACATTCGCCTCGAAAAGGAGGGCATCGCCCCCGAGCCTCCTTCCTCTGAGTCATTGATCGATATCAATGGTGACGATGAGAAGGCGACCGCCACGAACGGTGCCCCTGCGGAGGAGGCTGAAGCCGAAGACGAGGTCGAGGCCGAGGCTGAGGAGGTTGAGGAGTAAAAGGATCGAGTGTCGGTTTGTATTCAAGGTAGTAACGGCTCGAGATCCGTTGATAGAGCATTTTTATTTCCGATTGATGAGTCGGTTGAATTTTGAATTGCGAGCGGCGTCTTAACGTGTGTCCGACTTTTCTTGTTCTTTTTTTCTCTCTTATTTTTTTTATGTTCCATTTTCTTTTCTTATTGCTGCTGTAATCCCGCTGCGACAGGTTTCAATCTTTCGCAGACTAGCCTGAGATTGGGTGATAGATACAACGATGAGGTCTCTTGCCTTGAATTTTTTCCCCTCAAAGCTTAATTTATCTATCTCTTGTCAAAACACGACCTTATAGCCTAGTCTGGATAGGAGCAATGCACAAATAGGTAAAACAGAGATACTGTGTCAGGTAGCTGCGCACTATCTAGCTAACCAAAGCGAGTTGTGTAACAACCTTGCTGCTACAATATAGATTAAAATGAGGAGAATGATTTGAATTCCAGTGGAAATGTGCTTAGCATTGTCCGTTACGATGTTGTCAAAGGGTACAGAGAACAATCTTGCACCCGTTAAACGGACCGGATACAGAGAGAGACGCACACCAGTAGACAGGTAGTGACCGCATGATAACATCAAACGAAAACAAGGGTGGAGAGGAACCTGCCTGGGGTGAGAGAGTTGGGTGACGCTGAGATGGGGATGATGAGAAACAAATCAAAGCGCTCAGAGGTGGTAGGGATTGGCGGAAAGCGGACTCAGGAGAAGAGACAAGAACGCGAACAGACTGCAGCCTCGGAAACTGTGGTAGAGACTCCGAGAAAAAATGCCGCGGACTCCTTAAGATGGAAGGGGAAAAGAGACAAGAAAGAATAAAGAGTAAAGAAGAACAAGACATAACAAGCACAATGATCAAGATTGGTGATATGTGGATCAAGACAAACACAGTACAAAGGAGAATCGTGTCTATGAGCTCCTTCTCGCACTCCGATCAATTTCAATCTAATTGTCGGGGCTCGCAGACCGCAGTAGATCCTGCTTCTACTCCGGAATGCTGCCAAACGACGGGTCCTTGACACTGCCGCCGGCATCACCAAGGCCAGCCACTGGACGGTTATAGGACCATCCAGCGAACTGTTGCTGCATAGTTGAGGACAAGGCGGGGCCGTCAACATAGGAGTCCTGGGGCGCTTCACGAGTGAATTCCACATCGAAGTTGTCGGTGTCGCGAGCGTCCAGCTGCAGTAAATAAATTAATGACGATAGCTAAAAGGATAGGACGAATGCACAAATACATACCACGTTCGGACGGAAGCTGGGTTCGTACTTCCGCTGAAGAAGCTTGCGCCAGTCGATGTTGGCAAAGAAATGATGCGACTTGATCTCTGCCGCACCATTCGCACCAAGACGACGCTGAGGATCGCGGTCAAGCAGGCGCGTGAGAAGATCCCGAGCGGCTGGGGGAACGATATCACTGCTGGGGAAAGTCAAGGGCTCCTGCAGGATCTTGCGATACATCTCGTTGGTGTTTTCGTCGTAGAAGGGTGGCAGACCAGTTAGCATCTCATAGAGCAGGACACCGAGGGTCCACCAATCCACGGCCTTCGTGTATCCATTGCCAAGAAGTAGCTCGGGGGCAAGATATTCAGGAGTACCACAGAAAGCTGAGCTTGGTCAGCGGATAAAATCCAATAACAGATAAAGAGGGGTGTGTGGTCTTACTGTTTGTTCGGTCCTCATCCTTCATATCCAGTTTGCAGAGACCGAAGTCACAGAGGGCGATGTGACCAGTGTAATCGAGGAGGATGTTCTCGGGCTTAAGGTCACGATAAATGACCTTGAAACCGTGCAAGCATTCAAGCGCACATAGCAGCTCGGCAGTGTAAAATCGAGCGCGGTTGATATCGAATCGTTGTTCTCTTTGCAGGTGGTGGAACAACTCTCCACCGTTAACAAAAGCCAGCACCAGGTACAACTTTTCGGGTGACTGGAACGAGAACTTCAAGGGAACGATGAAAGGATTGTTGATCTGTGCCAGCACAGATCGCTCTGCGAGGGTGTGCGTGACCTCAGACCGGGAGATAATGTGAGCCTTGCGGAGCGTTTTGAGGGCGTAGATTCGGCCAGTATCTTTCTTCCTATTTCAAGATCGTGGTAAGCAAACGGAGATAAACAAAAGAAGGATGGTATGAAAAGGTACGGGGTCGTCTTACATGACCTGCATGACTTTGCCAAAACTTCCCTTACCCACGACCTTCAACAAGTCAAAGTCCTCCATCTTCAAAGTGCGCTGCCTGTTTTCAACGAAAGAAACACCGATCTTGATCGAGCCGTTACCGAACTGGAGGTCCAGCCATTCGGTACCCAGTTGGCCCATGGTACGTTCCTGTTCCGCATGAGCAGCAGCCGCCTTTTGGTTATCCTTCTTGCTGAGCTTGGGGTCTTCCACAAAGGATTGGCCGGCTTCCTCAAAGCGAGGGTGGACCTTGACGGCACCCAAGAAGATATCCTCACTGCGACCGGCTCCAGGTCGGGCCGCTGGGTTACGGAGGTATAACTGGACGTTCAGTTCGGTCTTCCGGGAGACATCGAACTTAAACGCCGTGCTGTCACCCGCCCACAGCGGGGCTTCAGGAGTACCCGACACGGCATCAACGAAAACCTGGTTCTTTTCAAAATCGAGAAGAGCATAGGGAAGGTATTTGGTCGAATAACGGCCGTGGATGGTGGGGGCAGAGTTGATGCCTCCGCTGGTAGACTGCGGCCGGGCAGACTGCACGAAGGAACCCGCTTGCGCATGAGAAGAGTGTGACGAGGAGGAGGTGCTGGGACGCAAAGATGACGGCGCGTAAGAGTTGTTTTGGAAATGAGAGTTGAAGATCTGCTGGTAATGCGGTGACAAGGCAAACCCTTGACCTTCGTGGAGGGTCACAATAAGGATGCCTGGGTTCACAGGTGCCACTGGAGGAGAGACGAGGGTCTCAGAGGCGGCTGTGATTTTCCCACATGGGGAAGAATTAGCCATGAAACTCAATTCACAAGGTGTCTCAGAAGCCATACCGATGCCGTTTGACGACACAGTGGGAGAGATACTGGGGGCCTGAGGGACGACCGGTGTCTCATCACCACCACCGCCATTTGAATCACCCTTGATCGTCGAGGTGGAGGACGAGCGACCGAATGTATTGGTTAAGGGCGCCAGATGCGTCTCCTTGAGTTCTATAGAATGGTGGGATTAGCGATTGCCACCGATGTTATACCAGCCTCACATGCACCGTGGACCGGGGTGCGGCCCTCTTTTGAGGGGGAGAGGGGGTAACTGGACAAGGAGAGATAGGGAGACCAACTGAACATACTTTTGGTGAGCTTCCAGGACATGGTGGTAGTGTCAAGGCCAGAGAATCACAGAGCAAACGAAGAGCGAAGTCCAATATGCCGACCGCGGTGCGTTGTGCTAGACAGCCTGAACCACCAACAAGTCAACATCGAAGTTCCCAAAATAATGAAGCCGGGGCCACACAGGATCAGCGCCACGCAGCCGAAAAGCCAGGACCAACGACCACCACAGCTTACCTTCTTTCGCACCGGGAAGGGGACTGGAAAACTGGACAAAAGCACAAGCAGGGGGATCCAGGAGAGAGAAGATCAAAAGGCCTGAGGGCGTTCGAAAGATGTAAGAGAGGAGAGCGAGCCGGGAGGGGAAGCCCGCACGGCCGCAGGCCGGCACTGAAATACGAGACATTACCACAGAACAGGCCCCTGACTGGTAGGTTTATCCGTAGGGCTGTACCTGGTGACAATACACATACCGCAATTTGCAGACCGTCCCGCCCAGGGGGGCACTGCGTCGCTGACTAAGATGACTAAAATTCCAGTGCCAGCCACAAGGGAGGCAGTGCACCCGGCGCCACATGCCCTCCAAAGGGAGGAGGGTCTCCAATGGAACCACTCGCGCCATTGCCAGACAGATCGAGTTATTTTATCACGGCCAATCGCTCCGCAAGCTCAACCATTGCAAATTGACCTGATTCCCCTTTTTGTGCCCGGTATTTCATTGCTGCTTCGGAACATCTCCCCACCCGGTCTGCGGAGATCCCTACCCCAGGATCTCACATCAGCCCGGAACCCTCCCCCTCAACCACCCGCTTAACCAACACCTGTGGTTGCCCTCTCAGATCTCTGGAGGGCGATTTCGGGACTTCGCGACGGCGCAGGATTCAGCGGAGGATGAAAAAGGTCAAGGACCGATGGGTGTAATACGCAAAAAGACCGCCTCGCGCGGCACCGAGGCCGGCACCAAGTTCCACTGCGACGTGTGCTCGGTCGATGTCACATCAACAGTAAGATCACCCCTGTGAGTATGAATGGTGGAATCAAGGACTGACGGAAATTTGTTGCGTTAGGTTCGAATTTCCTGCGCGCATCCCTCCTGCCATGAATACGACCTCTGTGTCCCCTGCTTCGCGGCCGGGGAGAGCTCCAAGAACCACGACCCGCAGACTCATCCCTTCCAAGTTATTGAACAGAACTCCGTCCCAATATTCCAGGCGGACTGGGGGGCGGATGAAGAGTTGCTACTCCTGGAGGGGGCCGAGATCTATGGTCTTGGCTCGTGGGCCGATATTGCCGACCACATCGGCGGGTACCGCACTAAGGATGAGGTGCGCGACCACTACATCGACACATATGTGAACAGCTCAAACTTCCCGCTACCTGATCGAGCCGACCCGGAGGATAGAAGCCTCCAGGATGCGATATCGAAGGAGGAGTTTCAGATGCGCAAGAAGCGTCGGATCGAAGAGCGCAAAGAGGCGGCCAGGGCGGCGCCGCCCACAACACCTAAACAGAAGCCGACTGCTAGTGTGCCGGCTTGTCATGAAGTGCAAGGTTACATGCCGGGTCGCTTGGAGTTTGAGACAGAGTTCCTCAATGACGCTGAGGAGGCCGTCCAGCACATGGCGTTCGAGCCTGGAGCAGGCATCGGCGCCAATGGCGAGATTGACGCGGAGACAGAACTGAAGATGACCGTGGTCGATATTTATAACTCACGACTGACGGCACGTACAGAGCGCAAGAAGGTGCTCTTCCAACATAACCTGTTGGAATACCGGAAGAACACCGCGCTGGAGAAGAAGCGCACCAAGGAGGAGCGTGATCTGCTGAACAAAGCCAAGCCATTAGCACGGATGATGAACCAGAAGGACTTTGACGAACTAAACAAAGGGCTGGAGTACGAGCATAATCTACGCCTGGCGATCTCCCAACTACAAGAGTGGCGGCAGATGGGTATCGGCGACCTGAAAACGGGCGAGAAGTATGAACAGGATAAGCAACAGCGCGCACAGCGGATGATCCCGCAAGGGTCCTTCGACCGGTTTGCCAGTGCGCGTCCCAAGCCGACTCTCGCCCCCGAGGGTCCAACTGCTGCGACTCAGCTTACTACTCCCGAGTTACCTCTCCGGCTCCAAAAGGCTGCAAATCCCCACAAGCAGCCAGATTCAGCCAATATGCCAATGAATGACTTTGACCTGATGTTCGCCACCAACGGTGATTCTGCACCTGCGCCGCCATTGAAGACCAAATATGTCGTGCAGCCGCTGAGCGGTGTGCCAGGATGGAAACTGGACAGTGATGGAGCGGCTGACCTTCACCTCCTGACTCGGGAAGAGGCTGAAATGTGTAACGTGCTGCGTCTCATGCCCAAGCCGTACTTGGTTGTCAAGGAGACGCTCCTGAAGGAAGCAATGAAGCAAGGCGGTAATCTGAAGAAGAAGGATGCACGTGCCATCTGCAAGGTAAGATGATCCCCTTTCTCCAATCCGACCGCTGCTTGGATGTGAGCTCTTGCTAATAATATGTACGTAGATTGAGGGCACCAAGACCAGCCGCATTTACGATTTTATGGTGCATAGCGGATGGATTAACAAGGCGTAATCTGGCACTACCGAGATATGTCTTTGTCCTGCTCTGCGTTGCTTCGTGTCTCATGCGACTTGATATCCACATATATCTGTGATTTGCTCCGGCAGCGGTGTTATTTCTCTGGCGTTTACTATGGGAAGGTGGATGATGGGAGGTGGATGATGGAGGTGTTGATCTGACCTTCTTATACTGCGGGGACCCTGGCGGTAGTGCAGAATACACCAAACATTTGAATATCATTAAAATCCTTGAAATACTTGATTATCGATGAAGATACGAAATGGTCGGAAACTTGATATCCATCAGAAGGAGGGGAAGAAACAACGTTGGCCATATCGACCTGGACGCGTCCGCTCGTGGGCAATTTGGGTTTCTTCCCTGTGATTTTTAAAATTTGACCAAATACCCTAGGCGTATAGGTAGAAGGAAGACAACTTGCCATTTGCTTTCTGCTTTCATGTATGGGTAATGTTTAATGTTAGCTGTGGCTGTTCAGATAACTGTGGGTGCGCTTCATCTCCACATCGGGCCTCGGCATCTCCAGCTGTCCTCCCCGCATTTACCCCAGCATCCAGTTTCAGCCCTCTCACCATACTTCAAATTAACTCCCTCCCACGTCCCTTTCCCACTATACATCTACATACAATTCTTCTGACAATACGTCAGGCTCAGAGATATCGTGATTCTAGGTATAGGTGCTAGATCGCAACAATGCCCAATTTCGCCAGTCCTCCCCCAGCCACTCAACATGCCCTCCTCTCCTTCCCCGCCCCGCACGTTCTCCTGGTGACCCTTAACCGACCGCGAGATCTTAACTGTATCAATGCGCAGGGTCATGCAGAGTTACATGATGTATGGGAGTGGATGGATGAGGAGCCCAGCCTGCGGGTCGGCGTGTTGACGGGGAAGGGGAGGGCCTTTTGTGCAGGAGCGGACCTAAAAGGTACGGATTGACTGTATCCTGACATCCTACCCCATTAGTTTCCCTACCAATCTACATGATAGCCAGCCTGGCATCCATGAAACCCAGACTGGAGCCATGAAGGTTGCAAAGAAAACTAAAGCCGCGACGTCAACTCTATACAATACGACAACTGACCAACATTCTCAGAATGGAACGACCGCTCTCAAACCTCCAGCTCCAAGACCCCAATGCCAGCTTCTGGCTTCGGGGGCCTGGCTCGGCGCAAGGGCCGTAAGCCCGTCCTGTGCGCCGTCAACGGGCTCTGCTTCGGCGGCGGCGCCGAAATGATCATCAACTCCGACCTTGTCATCGCCTCCTCACGTGCTGCTCTGGGCCTCCCTGAGGTGAAGCGCGGAGTCGTCGCGATGGCAGGTGCCCTGCCGCGCCTCGTCCGCACAGTCGGCAAGCAGCGCGCGATGGAGATGGTGCTGACAGGGCGAACGTACACGGCCGAACAAGCAGAGCGGTGGGGCCTAATCAACGAGGTCATTGACGTGGAGGATTGTGTTGTGAAGGGAGGCAAAGTTGATGATGATGCCGTGTCGAAGAAAGTGGTTGGAAGGGTCGTGCAGGTTGCGTCGGAGATTGCGGGCAACAGCCCCGACGCCGTGCTGGTCAGTCGGGAGGGGGTGAAATTGGGATGGGAAGGGATCGGGGCGGATGAGGCGACGATGATGTTGAGCGAGACGTGGGTACGGAGGTTGTTTGAGGGGGAGAATATCAAGGAGGGGCTCAGGGCTTTTGTTGAGAAGAGGAAGCCAGCCTGGAAGGATAGTAAGCTGTAAATGGTTCCCGGAGTCGATGGTGAGAAATCCAAAGATAGACACAGCAATCTTGTTTGGGAGCTTACATGCTAGTCAGTGATTATGCAGAATTGGTACCTATTGGGTCTTAACAGATTGGGACCGCAAATAGTCTGGTTCCGCCGAGTGACGGAGGTGCTCGTAGCCGAATACATAAAGCTTTGCTCTCGTATGCTACTTTCTCTTATCCGCTATTGGCTACCTACTTTTCTATCCGCTCCGGAAATACTCCGGTCCAAAACTCGGGTCATTTCTCGAATGCCCCTCCCCCGTGCCTATATATCTGGTAGTGCACACAAGAAGATCTTCGAGCTACATCCGAAATACGGAGACATGGTTCGAATTGGCCCCAACGAGCTAATATTCGGTTATGCCGATGGCGTATAATGAGATGATGAGACACAAATCCTTACAAGATAATTGAGCGGAATGTAGCAATATTCGAGAGTGCTGTTGTCTCCCTGCTAGGCACTCTTTATGAGACCGAGTGTCACTCTGATCAGCTGGACATCGCCAGGATTGAGCTCATAGCGTCCAAGGCAATTCTACGAGTCGGTTCACAGGATGGCAATACTTAAATTGCATCCTGCTCACTCGCTTTTAGCGTAGTCCCCTTCTGCAGTCAGTACTGATCTCGGTACAGTACAGGTGCAGCCCCTGCCAGATACATGGTCCGGCACGCATACATGGCTCGGAGAACTACAGTACGGGGGCTAAAATCAAACAAACAGGACAAATCATCGTTAAAAAATATTGAGACAGTTTCATTGCTATTCATCCTGCATAGAGGCGGTCATAGAGGCGGTCATAAGTCATGTCGAAGCCCAGTAAAAAAAAAGACAAAAAAGAAAAGAAGCGTGGTCCCGTTCCATGATCCAACCGTTTATTCGCCATATCCCATGCTCGAGGTAAAATCCGCTTAACGTGCAAAACACGCCTAAATGCGCGGTTGGCCAGTTTCCCTGCAGAAAGAGATCAAAGATTAGCAGATGCGTGGTTGAGCGTGGGAACGAGCGTCCCCAACGAGGGGAGCCGGGAGGAGGGCTACATACTTGGCCTCTGATTGCACCTGATCGACCACCTTAACCACGGCCGAGAACAGCGGGTGCGAGCGCTCCAGGCCGGTCAGTTGGACTGTCGCGTCGGCAGGCGAGTTTTCCTTGAGAATTTTGGCGAGACCGAAGCTCTCCTCGTCTTCATCGACGTTCTGGAAGCGCAAGGCCATCTCGACCGAGCCGAGGAGGGAATCGTACTTCATGCCGCGCTCGGCGAGCTGTGCGGCAGGCCCGATGAAGCGCTCCTTGCGACTGAGCTTGCGCAGCGGTGCGCGGCCCACGCGCTCGACGCTGTCTTCCAGGTACGGGTTGGAGATGCGGGCAATGATGGTCTCGACGTACTCCTGCTGCTCTTGCGCCTCGATCTCGTGCTTGTCGACGATCAGCGAGGCCGTCTCCTTTAGCACGTCGCGGACGACGCCGCGGATATACGAGTCGCGCATGGCTTCGGCGATGGTCTTCTTGCCGGCGTAGCGGCCGTAGTAGGCGGCCGTGGCATGGCTGGTGTTGACGGTGAATAGCTTGCGCTCGATGTACGGCTCCAGGTGGTCGACCCAGTGGATGGCGGGGATGTCCGGGTGGCCTACACTACCGAAGGGGGTCTTCTCGACGACCCACTCGTAGAACTTCTCGATGCGCACGTTCAGGCCGCTGTTGGGGTCCTGGGCCGGGACAATACGGTCGATGGCCGAGTTGGCATACTGGGCGCGCTCGCCCATGGTCTTGAGACGCTCGGAGTCCGTGTGCGACTCGATGAAGCCGCGCAGGGTGTCGGTGGCGCCGATGGCGTTCTCGCAGGCGATCACGGCCAGCGGCTTGGGGGTGGAGCGAATGTCGATGCCCTTGGCGATGACGGGGGCGATGAACTTGAGTATGTTGGGGCCGACGGCGCAGGTGACGACGTCGGCGGTGGAGATCTCTTGGATGACGTCGGCCTCGTGGGTCTTGGAGTTGATGGCGCGGTAGTTCGTGATGGTCTTGGTGGACTCGCCGCCTTCGCTGACCTCAGTGACTTGGTAGGACTTGGTGGTCTGCAGGGCGTTGATGATGCTGTCCATGACATCAACAAAGACGACTTCGTAACCCGCAGTATGCAGGAACTCAGCAACGAAGCCGCGGCCGATGTTGCCACCGCCAAAGTGAATCGCCTTCTTTCCCATGGTGAGATCTGGTCGGGCTGAAAGTCCGAGACAAGTGAGATGAAGAGAGGAAGGTTGTCAAGACGGTCACCGAGCCGGCTCGGTGAAGGGGATCTTGGATAACGCGGGGGGGGGGAAGGTGGAGCTAGAGGGCTCAAGCAGAAGCAGGGACCAGGTTATAGATCCGGGGTAGGTCTTGTGATGTGCTAAGAGCGGGTGGCTGAGCGTGCAGAGTGGGGGAAGTATGTGGATAGGGCGAGGGGAAGATCTCGGAGGGGGATACAAGACTATTTAAGTGAAGACGGGGAAGGAAAGACGGGGTTTCTGCTCAGACTGGACCACTGCGAGGGCAGGCGCAATCTCGGTCCGCGCATTTGTGGTGGCTGCCAGTGTGATTCCTTCCGTACACCAGTGGATAGCGGGGCTATGACCACTATGACCACTATGACCATGACTTGCACGACCAGGATGACTTCATCGACCTCGGGAGGCGCACGGAACTAGCCTCCGCCCTGTTTCCACTCGATGAGAACATCATGATATCGCGTCTGGTCCACGCTGGTCTACATTGCTGGTCTGGTTTTTCGTTCTGGTTCCTCCGACACAATCCCATTCTGGACCCAGCAGTGTAACCCCCGCTTTCGCCGTGCAACCCCGTTGTGATCCCGTTCCTTTTCGTGTATAGTCCAACACAACCAGCTGGCCAGTAGCAATGGACCATCGCAAATCATGCCGGGCACTAACCCATCTGGGCCTACCAGATAGCCCATCTCTCCTGACTCTAACCGCTTTCACCTATCTGTTCCCCACTCGCTCGAACCTGTCGCCGAATTCCCTCACGAGAATACGTTCATTTCCCGCTTCGCGTCCCCGGCTGAAACCGCCGGAGTCGTTCCATGCACCTGCCACGCTCTCCACGACCAAGACCTCACCGGAGAACTGACGCGGCTTAGGTACGGCCTGGTCGGGCAGGAGAGATGGGAGATGATGGCCCGGGAAATCCCGCCCAGTCCTCCGCATTTGGCGCTTGAACCTCACCCGCGAGTGAGCGACGGGATGATGACCAGCAGACGCCGGAGGCCCCTTTGGGCCATGGTCCGTCCGCCTTGGCAGCAACCAGGGCAACGGAGAAACACAGAGCAGAACCGACCCGAATAGCCTAGAACAGGACCCGATGGGGTGGGGGGGCTTGGCTCGTGAAAAGCCCGACCCCCGGAACCCCCACCAATGCCCGGCCCTCGGGGGGCAGTCCGTGGACGCCCAAGCCCGTGGACGCCCGTAAGACGCCTAAGCCCGCCTAAACCCCCAACCCGATCCAACCCTAGCGGTCCGGAGGACAGTGATCCTAGGCTGACCTCAGACCGGCCTAGGGGATGGGAACCAATCAGGTGTCAGCCAGGCTGACGCCCCGGGATCGCATAGGATCTGATATTGATATGCGCGATAATCAATAACGGCGTTGATTAGTCGATTAGTCGATTAGTCGCGTCGGGACCGGTGAGATCGGGCGACTTCTCCACTGGTGACGTCGGATGAACGGGTGACAGGCTGAGACCCAGTTTTTTCCCGCTGGGCGCAGACAGCGTCTCCATCCTGCCGAGGTTTATTCCGAGTTACCCTCGACTACCCTCTTCCACGGCTTTCCAAGGACCACCTGCCATGCCGAACAAGCTAGCACCTGCGATAGCGTAGATGGGAGAGGCGGTACGTGTCGGCTCGCTGCTGGACGGGGTTTTGTTTAAACCGTCGTTCCTGATCTCCTGCTCGTGGACCCCGTAGAAGTCGTGCCATTGGTGGAGCGGGAGGAATGAGATAGGGTAGAAAGCGCGTCGCGTCACAAGCCAACGGAGCTTGTACTCCGGAGTGAGCCAGGAATCAGTCCTGCCAGATCAGTCCTGCCAGGGGCGGGATGCAAAGGCGTCCAGACTCAGACCATCTCCCGGGGAGGTATCCGTTGTAGGGTAGTTTCATTTTTCATGCTGGCATAGCCGGTCATACTTAGATACTCAGTGGTTACTATTCAAGTCCAAAATCGCTCATGTAAGAGTGTCCCCCGTCCTCCACGACGTTTCCGATGTTCCGGGTCGTCGTGTCTATACTCCCCTTCCCCCCCACCTTCCTTCTCCCCTTTCGTGCCTTCTTCGCTCCGCTTTCCATTTCCCCCTCTGCCCCGCCCACTCCCCCTCTAAACATTCGTTTCCTCGTCAGCCCTCCTCCTCCTCGTCCTTCGGAACCGGCTCGGGCGCGCGCGGTACGTACACACCCCGGACAAAGACGTTGATGAAGCTGCCGAGACTGCCGATCAGCAGCAGGCCCGTGGACGCCCAAGTCATGCCAAGGAACTTGTTCCCGTACCGGGCGGAGACATTGGACCCGTCGCCATGCGCGTTGATGAGCGCGACGAATTCGAACGCGATGACCGTCGCGATGATCGATGCGATGCTGATGCTGAGCGAACCGAGCTAGATCCCATGTACTCAGCGCTGTTGTTCCTCAGGCCCCGTGACAATGGTCGGACCTTCTCACGCAGGTCATGGTCACGGTCACGGTCACGGTCACGGTCACAGTCACGAGCGGACAAGCACTTACCACGAAAAACCCAAACTCAAACAAGCCATGCCCTGCCCTCGGCATAGCCAGGGAAACCGCCTTCACCAGCAGAACCAACCCCACGGCCCCGACTCCGATAATATACAACACCGCCATCGCGCGGCTCGTCATCCGGAACGCATGGAAGTCATCACTGATAACCCGCGGCCACTCCAGCCCCGGCCCGTGCGTGATCTCCTTCGTCCAGGCTGCGGTCGGATCGAACGAGAACAGGATCGTTCGGCTCGAACACGAGGTCACGTTGCGCGGTGTGTCGGAGGCGCCGGGGGAGGCGGTGCCCAGTGTACCTTGGCAGTAGGACATTACGTGCACGGAGTAGAAGTCGTGGGCTGCGGAGGTGGAGCCGCCTTCGGGGGTGTAGAGCTGTGGGGGCGGACGGTTTAGCGTCATCCGTGTAGTGGAAATGGGACTGGGGTATGGCGGATACGTACCGTGAGCAGGTTGACATCGCCGAGCAGGTTCTTCTGTGTTCCTGCAAAGAGGCAGCATAGCGTTATGATGAACGCGATAAAAGCCGTTATTGTCGGGAAGACGCTTTTGAGGTCGACCATGGTGGCGGGCTGGTGCTGGGGGTCAACTCCGGAGGTATAGCTATCGTCAGGGAGGCGTACTCTCGTCTTGACACTGTCGTGCTATCTGGAGACGTGGCTGGGGATCCAGCAACAGGCCGTTAGAAACCCGATCCAAGAGCTGAATGGCCTATCAAGGAACCAGAGCGCATTAGCAAACACATTATTACACGTCCTTGTCGCAGCCATCACGACCACTACCAGGACCACAAGAACAGATTATCAATGACGCACCAGGCTTTATCTCAAGATCAGTCGAAAACGAAGGCGAACAAACCCACAGTTCCATCCACCAATCTCTGATTCCAACACGCCGGACCCTTATATACACCCAAGCAGAAGGGAACGCAAAAGTAGCCCCTGCCAGATAGCTCACCCAACTCTCATTCCCGCTGAGGGCTGTCGGCCTTCTGTGCAGAGGGTCACATATCGGCGGCGTGCATCACGAGGGCGAAATTTCCCCCGGACATGTGTCGCCGGAGCTAGATCGGGCCCTAAATCGCGATTGATATGTGCCGAGCAGGCTGTGATTGGGCCGCGGGACGGAGCCTGGATGCCGAGCTGGCGATGTTGGCTGGCTTGGCTGGATAGCAAGGGCGATCGTGGAGTGTTGGGGGGGAGGAGGCCCCTGCCTGCGTGTGGAATGCTGCCAGCCACGGGCGATCTTGTTCCGCTGAAGGCCCGGTAGCTCTGGGCCGGTTTGGGGAGATGCGAAGAGGTCGCATGGGGGAATTTAGAGAGAACTATACATCGTAGTATGTGGGGTTATTGGAGGAGGCTTGGTCCGATATGAGGGAGGTTGTGGTGGTGGTGGTGGTGGTGGTGGTGGTTGTTGTTGCAAGGTGGTTGTCGAGCGAAGCCCTAAGTCAAGGGCGTTTGGCAGGGCCAGGCCGCCGGGACCCATGGTACGAACAGTAGTGACCAGCAAATTGCGCTCAGTTTAGGAGAGGGAGATGCATTCAGCGTGCTAGATTCTATCTGCTTGTCATATGCTTGAGTAAAGTGGTGAAGGGGATCGGAGAGTCGAGGGAGTCAGAGGTGGGCAGTGGGCAAGTCCCCGAGTCAGTGGAATGTCACTTCGCGTTCAAAACAAAACCACCCATATAACCCCGTGCGTGATACTCGAGCCACGGGTGATCCAGTCAATTGTTATCAACTACCCTCCATCCAATCACACTCCCAATCTACAACCGATTCTACTCGCCACCCCCGGGAACCCGCGGATCACCACGGATCGAACGCTCGCGAACACCCCCCTCAAGAAAAGAGCACAGGCGCCGTTTGACGAAGCTATTGGATGATCGGGCGACGCCTAGCGTCCTGGAAGCCACCGCCCGAGCGAGCAACGAGGCACCCCCGTTCAGTAGTGCCGCATCCACAGACCGGGCCCAGAGGATCCGGATCGCACAAGAACCAGCGCAACCGTGGGCAATGGATTATGCCCTGCAAGGCGCGAGCGAAAAGTAAATAATGCCAGGTACAACATCATGGAGTTGGCGCTGGGGGCTAAACCCATCACCGGGCACTGCCGAGAGCAGAAGTCGCGTCAACCACTGGGCAGGCGCGCTGTCGCCTCGTGTTCTACCCACCCGCAAGGCTCTGCACAGAACGACGCCTGCCTGGCCCCTTTGGGGCCGGATCGCCTAAGAGGGCGTTCCCATCACAGCCTTCCTCCCTGCAGGCTGGACGAGCTGAAACATATGCCTAGTCGGGCAACCTTCTAGAAGGGTTCCGGGCTCCTGTAATCGACAAGGTCGTGCAGGCGTTGGCTGCTCCTTCGGGCCTAGTTAATCCGACAGAGCTGTTCGGTGACGAAGCCACGAAGCCACGAAGCCACGAAGCCATCCTCTGGACGGTTCGAGCGTGTCAATATCCGGTCCTTATTGGACGGCTGACCGTATGCACGATTTAGTGACATGGTGACCGGGAAGGTGCAGGAGTGGGTTTCTCAGCCGAGATCGTCCCGGTATCCACGCTGCAAGCCCCTGAAACTAATAATGAATTTTGTCAATCGTAATTAACTGTAGGGTCAAAGGCCATGCCGGCGAACCGGGTGCCAACGCGCTAGAGTGCCCTGCAGGAATCTCCAGTGGAGACCGAACATCCTTCTCAAAGGTCACGCCGAGCACTGCGAGGTGTCTTGCATCAGCTGGTACCCTCCAGATGTGTCAGAAGAGCCTGGAAGGGTCCAAGTCGTTTGAGGGAGCCCAGGAGTTGTCTGGACAGCTGAAAACCAAGGACCAGTGGGCTGCCCACGTGCTGGACCGCTACCAAGCAATATGGCGCCGCTAGGGAAGGCTTGAATGCTCTTGGTACTGCATGCCGACGGCGAGGAGCCATGGTCAAGCAACACCAAGCGGCAGCAAGCAATGGCAAGCAATGACAAGCCTCGGCCAAGACCACGCTGGCCGTGATATCGGAAGCCACTAGCTCTCGGCGCATGGGGCGTTTCTGAGTCGCCATGTTCGGGTTGGCGGGCATCAACCAAGTACCCCAAACACCGGACTCGACTGGTTTTGCCTTGGCCCCAGCATCAGCACGGCCAATCGCAAACCATCCGAGGCGTTCCTCGCGAATTGCGGCGCGTAGCTGTCTCAAGAGGGCGTCGGGGCGAGCCTTCTGAGACGGAATGGCCGGGGTGAATGTGTGGTGCGTTTTGTCCAAATAGTTCTGACTGGCTTGGCGGGCTGGGAGTGTCGTCGAGCCCGGCCGGCTGTGGTTGGCTGAAGTGGCGGGAGTGCCAGCCAGGGAATCGGGCACATGGGCCAGGCAGGAGATTTAACTGGTCCGCGCGGAGCAGCCCACAGGACCAGGGCATCGGCGCCCCCAGATAATAGCGTGAGTTAAACCCTTTCCACTCGCTGGGAAGGTTCGGTCGAGGCTATTCCACGCCGGGTTACGGCACGCATGAGCACCACTACTTCCTTCGGCTCCGGGCTTGGGCCCGTCTCGATGGCAGACCCGCGCTGGAGGCGCCACGAGATGCAGCCGTTGAAACTGGATCCCCTGGGCCTTCGCAACGTGGCCTGGCACCTATCACCGTGTCGGATCGTCGAATAAGCCCAGAGGAGCCAGCACACACGATCCGCTTTGCAGTTCTTGGCAATGCAGCACGTGTGTCCATCTGTGTCGATGTTGTCGAACCGGGTGACGGTCCTGGACCTAGGCGACGATGCTAGTGCGCCATGAAGAGTGCCACCGAGCCAGGAGCCCCCCATTCAACGGTCTGATCCAGAGCATACTCTCCCAAACCGACTGGAGGGCGAGGGCGAGGGCGAGGGCGAGGGCGACCAGGGGCAGGTCAGAGGAGAAGGAATTGCTTGATACCATGCCCTCGCATCCTTCCACGTTGTGGTGTGGTGATGTGATCTTGGGGAATCAGTCTGGGGCAGCAAGTTGGCCCAAGGCCTTGTGTGGTGCGCACACTGGCGGGCCCCACCCGCGACCGCCCGTCGATCGTACTGCCCACAACCGCAGGCGGTCAGCTCCACCCGAGGGGCCGAGACGGATGGAAGTGCTGAAAAAGAGAATTCTGCCCCCACGTGCGTTCTTGATTGGCTGGCGGGTGCCTATCGCGCACTCTCGGGTGAAACCCCACCCGCTGCTGCTTTCGTCGCCGCACCATCGCGGGCAGTCAGCGCCGATCAATCAGCATCGCTCCCATGCCCGCCAGGCTCCGCCAGACTCGATGCGCTCGCCGGCCCTGGTCAGGTCAAATCCACCAGAACCACCGCCAAGGTGGGGTCCCCCGCCCCAAGCGGGCCCCTTCTAGCCCCGGCAGACTTTTTTTTCGCTGCGGAAACTGCGACCTCAGGTGGAGCCCGCCACTGGACTTATCAGCACTGAGCATGCGAGCACGCTGCACTTCGCTTCTTCCGCCGCCTTCCTCCCGCCTGCCTCTTATATAAACCACTCGAGATCGCCGGACTTGGCCTGCAGCCACGCCAACTCTTGTGGTCATCGCGACTGCTTCTGCCTCTCCTTATTCGGTAGATTCGCACCTTCCAAGCCTTGCCAATCCTCGCCGGTCAATTGCCAAGCGCTCTACGAGTATCGCTTCCCGCCGCCATCATGACCGACTTTGGACCTCGTGCCCCCCATGGGCCCGACATGACGGGCACTCACAACCCGCTGGAGGACATGGACATGAACGAGAAGGGTGCCTTTGATAAGCTGATCCGCCCGGACGACAGTTACTCCCCCGAGGGTGTGTACTGGGCCGATATGCCTCTGGGCCAGAAGGTCAAGTTCGTCAGCTCCTATGATGCCCAGGAGACCAAGCGCGAGCTCGCCAGCATCTGGGCCATGATGAAGGAGGACCCCTTGTCCCCCGTCTCCTACTACTTCCGCAACATGGTCCTCCCCGGTGCTGGTCTTGGCCTCGAGGGTTATGTCCTGTTCTCCATCGGTAACATCAAGCCCCTGTTCCAGAAGACTTTCCCTGAGTGCTGGAGTAAACACAAGACCTGTGACAAGCAGTGGGTCTACGCCGTCGACTACCTCGAGATCATTGGTATCATCGTGGGTCAGATTCTGGTTGGTGTCATTGGTGACTGGTAAGCTGGTCCCTTGGATTTACTGTTCTCTATTTTTACATTTTACCTTTGCCTTTCTCCTTATCCAATCAGATCCCATCGTGGCAAAGAATATGCGTGCTAACCACCGCCACAGGATTGGCCGTCGCTGGGGTCTGATTCAAGACGCCACGATCATGTTCATTGGTCTGATTATGCTTGTTGCCGCCTGGGGTGTTACCCAGAATGGCTGGGTCATCTGCTACGCGTGGTCTCTGTTCTTCTACTCCGTCGGTGTTGGTACGTCACTCTCCACCATTTTAAGCTTATCTGGAAAAGAATCGCACATTTCTAACACGATGACATAGGTGGTGAATACCCCATGACGGCCACCTCCGGTATGGAGAATGCTATCGGTTCTGGCAAGATCTCGACCAAGGAGGATCGTCTCCACCGTGGCCGCAAGGTCACCTCCGCTTTCCTGATGCAGGGCTGGGGTCAGTTCTTCAACCAGGTGATCCTGATCGTCCTCTTGCTCTGCTTCCACCACGGTAGCGGCAACAACCCTTACTCGGAGGTCGCGACCCAATGGACCTACCGTGTCTCTTTCGCCATCCCCGCCGTGGGCACTTTGTGGCTGGTTTACTACCGTGCCTACCACATGAAGGCTGCCTCTAAGCAGCTGACTGCGGCCAAGAAGAAGGCCTCCGTCACCGGCTACGATATCCAGTCTCTCCGTTTGACCTTCAAGTACTTTGGTCCCCGTCTGCTCGCCACCGCCGGTGGTTGGTTCGCCAACGATGTGTTCTTCTACGGCAACAAGCTCTTCCAGAGCGACTTCATCGCGGTTATTAGCCCCAAGTCCTCCTCCATCATGCCCACCTGGCTGTGGAACATGGTCAACATCGGTGTCTCGCTGGTCGGTTACTACCTGGCTTCCTTCCTCATTGATAACAAGCTGTACGGCCGCAAGTGGATGCAGACTGTCGGTTTCCTGATGTGCTTCGTCATGTTCGTCGTTCCCGCCTTCCACTACAAGTACTACAAGTCGGAGGCCCACATCAAGGAGTTCCAGACCATGTACTTCCTCAGCTCCTTCTTCAACCAGTTCGGCCCCAACTGTGTTAGCTTCCTGGTTGCGGCTGAGGTCTTCCCCACCCCCATCCGTGCTACTGCCCACGGTATCTCTGCCGCTGCCGGTAAGGCCGGTGCTCTGTTCGCCACCGTCCTCTACAACTACATCGACACCCAGACCAAGTTCTACTTTGTTCCTTGGTTCGGTCTGCTTGGTGTCTTCCTGACCCTGGCCTTCCTGCCTGACACCACCGGTCTGGACCTGAAGGAGCAGGAACGCCGCTGGCAGTGCCTCCGTGAGGGCCGCGAGGAGGACTACCATGGTCCCGCCGTCCACCCCAAGCACTTGTCCTGGTACGAGCGCTTCGTCCTGCGCAAGGGTCGCTACTACGACGCCGAGCTGGACTACCAGCAGAAGGTTGCGGAGTACCGTGCCGAGTGGGAGGCCCTCATGGCCCAGAAGGTTGCCGAGAAGGAGGCCGGCGAGGAGGTCTTCGAATCTGACGAGGATCTGCTTGAGGGCCACGTCCACACCTATTTCCACCGCACCAGCCCCATGTTCAAGGGCATGGAGAAGACCGCCCCCGCCAAGCAGGACGGCTTCCACTTGCCCCCGGCCGCGGAGGTCGGTTCGGAGGAGACCTTTGCTCAGGAGAAGACCACGGAAGAGTAAATGCTTTAACGGTGTCTTGCTTTTGCTTTGGAAACTCCAAGCCAAGAACCTAGACCATACTGATTTCTTCCTTCCTTATTACTTTATTCTCTCTTTTTCCCCCTGACCCCATTTTTTTTTTTTTCAAAACTTGTCTTGAATATCCCTAATGGCCGCGTTGCTCTTTGACATGGCACGAGTTGCATGATGCATGATGCGGGCCTCTGCCTGGTTGTAATTAGATGTTGATACCTCTCTCACATACCCACGTTTCATTTGAACCACCTTTGCTTTGATGTATCTCAGTATTCCACCATTCCCAGTAGCAGCTTCCAACTAGCTTCGGTGAATTTTCTGCCCAAGGCCTGCGCCTCCGTGGCGACGATTGATAAAAATCCTCGGCTGAACCTCGGTTCAAACTCGTCCGGCCAACTTTAAAGGCGGTGTATCCAGCGGTGACTCCAAAAGCCGGACATTTGTGCTGCCCCTCTACTAACTACTTTCATCCATAACATACCACTACCAAAGAAAAGGCAGAAAAAAAGATCAAGAAGAGAGCAAATGACCATTTTCGCCTTCGGCTCTAATGGCTCCGGCCAACTAGCCCTCGGCCACACAGTAGACGTCTCCACCCCAACACAATGCCTCTTCGACGAACCCCCCCGGCACAAGATCCAATCGCCCACGTCGCCGCGGGTGGAAATCATACTCTGCTCCTTACCAAGAAGGGGTGCGTGTACGCAGCGGGCTGCAATACTAATGGGCGATGTGGGCCTGCATCGCATGCAGAGGAGACCCTGCTCCGATTCAGACGGGTTGTTCTCACCGATGCTGCGACGGGGGAGCGCGTGGATACATTCAAGTGCGTGTCTGCGACGTGGGAGGGAAGCATTCTCGTTGCTGGCGTGCGGACGGCTCAGTCGGGTGTCTCGGTGGATAAACTGTTTATCTTGGGTTCGAGTCCCAATGCTGCATTGGGTCTGCTGCCGTCGACGTCTAATTCGGGTGCCAACGTGGTCCAGTCTGGAACGTCGATCCCCGGCTTTCCGCCGCCGAACACGAGCATTCATGCCTTGGCAAGTGGGATGGGCCATACGGTGGTTATTCTGTCGAATGGTGATGTGTATGGCTGGGGCGGCTCGCGGAAGGGCCAGTTAGGCGAGGCTCTGAGAGAGCAGAGGACCGTCTGGCTACCGGCTAAGGTTGAGGGGATTCCGTTCGCGGCACAGAGCGCAGTGTGCGGGCGGGAGTTTAGTGTTGTCTGTGGGGAACGCGGGAGGGGCGAATTCGTCGTGCTGGGGGATGCGGGGAATCGGTGGCGGGTTCTGGATGTCCCGGCCTCTCTACGGGGGACGGGTACAGGTGAGGAGGGAGGCATTAGGGGGTTTGTGGATGTCGGCGCGAGTTGGCATGGCGTTTATGTACATGCTGCCTTGCAGAATACCTCTCGTGCTGCTCCTGGCTCCGATTCGGAGTCTGCTTCGGCTGCTCTTATCGCCTGGGGCCGCAACGATCGCGGCCAGCTCCCGCCTGATGGCTTGCCTTCGCCCGTCAAGATGGCTGTTGGCAGTGAGCATGTTCTTGCGCTGCTGGGCGATGGCTCGGTAGCTGCGTTTGGATGGGGCGAGCATGGGAATTGCGGGCCTGATACGGATGATCGGGGGAATGTTGCGGGGCGGTATAGTTCGATTCCGCTAGATGCGGTGCTCGCTGGTGGTGGGCGGGTAATTGGGCTCGGCGCTGGGTGTGCGACGAGTTGGATTGTTGCGGAGTGATCTGCCAGGCGCCAAGTCTTGAGATATACTTCACGCCATGGATGCGATGGATGCGATGGGATAGCCCGTGTCATGCGGAGAGCGCCTCAGTCGAAAAGACCAAACCCACGAACCTATATTCCGTCAGCCGTGACCCACCAATACGGGCGACACACAAGAGTCGGTCAAAAACCCACCTGCGACATCCGCTGAGTCGGCGGAATCCCCATTTCCTCCCTGGCCTCCCTTTTCCTCTTCCCACCCATCTTTGGGAAATCAGGCTCCTCATCTCTTAGCGTTCCCTCAGACGCGTCCGGCCGCCCACTCGCATCCCAGCCCAGAATATCCTGCGGCTCCTCTTCCTCCTCATTCATCTCATCCCACTGTCGGTCATCATCCGCCGGCACAAACAAACTATCATACTCCATCGAAAGCGCCGACGCAGTCGGTTGCTCGCTCGCCGTCGACAGCGACAAGTGCTCCTGCGTCGACGTCCCATTTAACGGCCTGATCGGCCGCGCCCTGGGTGGAGGCGGGGGCATCTGCGCATTCTGCGAAGGCGCGCGTGGTGTCTCGACCCGGCGTACGGCAATCGGGGCCGCGGTAGTTTGCCGTTGCGAGAGCTGCGAGATTGCGGTACGCGAAAGACTTGGCGCGGTGTCGCTCTCGACCTCGCCGCGTGTCATGATGGTGAATTCGGCGGCCACGCCTTCGAACTCGTAGGCTAGTTGGAGCGGTTTGCAGGGGCGGGTATAACGGGCTGTGACGGCGGCATTGGCGGTCTCGGCGTGGGCGACGACGGCTTTGAAGTCTTTGAGGTTAATGGCAATGTGCATGTTGTCTTCGACGAGAAATTCTTCAAAGTCGCGCTTGTCCGTGGCAACAGAGGTGTGCACGGGGTATTTGAGGACCTCTGGGTCGAGTTAATAACCTAGATCATTGCAACTACTGTGAGTAGAAGATAAATGAGAGTCTATGCGCACCTTTTCCCTCCATGATTTTGGTTGTAAAACTCGTGAACACGGCCTTGCCGGAGTCGGAGTACATGTCAAGCTGCTCCGCAGATAAGCTAAAGTGATCAATGATCTGTCTGAGGAAGCGGGAATCCGCAATCCACTGGTTGGTAGATCTGCTCCTGTCAAACACGGCGTGCTGGATGGACGCAGGCTCGTAGGTGAGTTTGTACGATTTGATCACGCCTGCGCAAGTTAGACGAGCTGGGCAAGAGAATGGAGTGGATGAAGTCAATCAATTACCTAGTCCACAGATCATCCTGACAGTCAACCGACACTCTGTCTGCTGAGGATCCTCGTGAAGCTCCATGTCGCATCGCTCAACCGCGGTGTCTTTGTTCCGGTCGACTCTTCCGCGGAAGACCGACAATAGCGCCTATCTCAGGAATCAGAGTAAAGCTCAATATAAGATGAACAGCCGCCTACTCACCTTGATGTAAATCTGACAATAAAACCGATCCCCAGCTCCGCTTCCTGCCGTACTCTGTGGCACGGTAAACGAATACGCCTCGAAAAACAGCGCCCTCTCACACGCAAACGATGCAAACGCCGTCTTGGTGGAATTCAGTGCGCTCAATCGAAGCTACATTCATATCATCAGCTGATTTTCCCTGTTCGCATTATTCGAGTCAGGCCACTTACCAGGTCATGCTCAGCCTCGATGGCGACAGTGTCGCTGAACTTGGACAAGCATATGAGCACGTCGTGTAGCCGAACCAAGGCTGGCGGACCCAGCGAGAGGGCGAGCGTCGTCATTGGCGCAGCGGAGGTTTAGAAATGCGGCGCAATGACAGCTAACTGGATTTGATGGTGCCTCATTGTCGTCGATGGCTGGTGAGGCGCGACCTTGGGACGCGACAAACGCTGATTATATAAGCAATGGTTATGTGCAAATTTAGCCCTTTCGGGAAATGGATGTTATATCTGCGAAAGGTTAGACACAGTATCTTACATCTATTTTTCTTGTCCCTGTTCCAGGGCGTGAGTATATATTATCAATTCCGTTTGGTCTAGATTTTAAGAGGGAAGTACGAATGTCCAGTTGTATGATGCAGTCTCACGACTGGACACGGCGTTTTTGACTCGTCTCCACCACTTTTCATATATAAGTGAAACTTGGTGTGTCTGTCAGGCCCTAGGTATTGTTATTAGGAATAGATCTGGGAGGGGTACTTTTCCAAATGATATTTCGTGTTATCATCCCCATCTGGTGGTAATAAGCGATTGGAAGTGGGGTGCTTGGGGCGTAAAACGTGCAGGCGGGGAAATCAGCTCGTCATATAAGAGCCTCTACTCCCTCTCCCCAGACACGCAGACGAATCGACTGCACCACGCACACTATGGCCTCCGGCTTCGAAGTCGTGGGCCTAGCCCTAGCTATATTTCCTCTCCTCGTGGAAGGACTCAAATTCTATAAGGAGCACAAAGGCCATGCAAGAGACTTCATACAATATCGACGGGTCCTCAGGCAGATTGTTCGAGATCTTTCTTGAGAGCAAACAAGCTTTCGAAATTCAAGCCAGCGCTTCTTGGAGAGTATTTCCGTATACTATGGGCTCGGAGCGCATGAAATATTGGAGATGGTGAAAGATCCGCAGGATGCTCGTTGGCGTAGAAAGATTCTGTTTGATGAGGATTCCACGAGGGAAAGTTCAGTTACAGTGTTCATGGAAACCGTGGAGGACATGAACGAAGTACTTATCAAAATCCAAGACTTGGTGGGGTTACGCGGAAATGCCCAGGTGAGCGACGATCGTGTTGGTTCAAGGTTCTCGGGCCGCCGCTTACCCAATTTTCGGAGACAGCCCGCTATGCTTGATAAATCCACGCTTCGGCGACAGTGGGACAAAGTTGCTCTTGTGCTCGGCGAAAACGACATTAAGGGTCATCTCGAGAGAGCTCGTGGACTCAATATATTCCTGGCATAGCTGACCCAGCAAATTCAGCCTACCGGGCCCACGCATAGCCAGCTAAGAAGAAGCACGAGGCACTATAAACAAATCCGAGTACACGCTATGGAGCTTTATGAGATCTTTCAAGCCCAATTTCCGACTCCTCCAACATGCAATTGCGTTCTGGAACATGTTGTCAACATGAAACTAGAATTCCGAAGCGCGCAGATAACAGCAAGAGGCCTATATTTTCATGCGATTTTTACCTTCAATCAAGTTGGACAAAGAGCCTTGTCGCCTTCATGCAATTGGCGTGAGATAGAGATGGAACCATTGGCAGCAAGACAGCTCTGTCAAGAGCCGCACTCCTTGAGCCAACTGGTGTTGGTTAGTGGTCAAGTGGGATACCTCGCCGGGTCATCTGGTATCCAGTCAACGGAGCAGGTAGTGCAGGAGATCTCCAATCTTTGCTCAGTTATCCAAAGTCCAGTTGATTCAAAAGACTGGCTTGGGTATCTCGCCAATAATCATGGCTGTAGGCATCGGCTTCGCATATTCAGCCTGAATCCTCCACCGAAAGCCTCTCAGACCATACAGACTATATGTCTCACCGAGGTTCTTGGTCACCCAGAATTTCGCCAAGAGCACAGATGTCGGCTTGGTTTAAAGCTAGCCTCTTCTGTGATGCAGCTTCATGAGACGCAATGGTTGACAAATCACTGGAACAAGAGTGACATCTCATTCACCCGCGATTCAACTGGGCGAATTGACTTCAACAACCCATTGATCAGACGGACCTTTGGATCCAAGACTAATACAGAGCCATTTTTGGCATCCCGGGTGCCACAGATAAGAGCTGATGGTTCCATTCCTTGTCTATTTTCGCTGGGAATAGTACTTCTCGAACTAAGCTACCGGCAGACATTCGAAAGTCTAAAGGATCCGAAAGAGAATCTCTTGGTCAGTATCCCAAAGACTTGCGCAATGGACTATATCTCGTACGTTTGCTTACAAATAACCACAGCCTCCAGAATATGCAGACTTGGTAACAGGGAGAAGACTTGTGAACTCTATCGACTGTAGTCCGAACTTTAAAAAGGTCATGAAAAGATGCATAAGTGGTCTTGACCCGGCTTTTGACTCATTGGCAGAGGATAGCCTTAGAGATGAAGTGGAAGAAAAAATTGTGCAGCCACTAGAGGAGGATTTGAAATTCTACTGTGATAAAGATTTCGTGGAGGACTGCTTGGAAGGACTTTAATATCATGTAGAGCCAAATGTTAGTAAATGGCACAGGAACGTGCGTTTCCTATCATGAAGCAACCAGTCTAGAGAAAACAGTAATTTTATGCGAAAAGCTCGGCAACACATCGTTAATCATGAGGTTATATCTATGAGGGCTTTTGCTCAATTGAGCTAGCCTCTCCTGGGGCTCCTCCTGACTAACGCTCCAGCAATGGTGGAAGCCATGCCCCGCTCGGGGGTCATCAGGCATTAACCTCCTCCAACTTTCCCCAGTCCAATTCATGGACCATGAGCTCACATTCATCAATCGCAGCTCTTCTGGACGATTCTAGTCGAGGGTTAATCAACTTGATTGACATATTATCATATGAAACGAGTCCCCGCGACTTAGTACTTGGCTTACAAGACGAGCTCGGGCGATTGAGAGTATGGGCTGGGAATCTTGGAGCGAACCGGGGCCAAACAGACCACTCGTCTCTAGATTATCGCCTAAAACAGTCTCCTGATATACTTCGCGAAGTCAGAGAGCATTTTGAAGACCTGAATGAAGCTGTAGAAGAAGGTTTGTTCGACTTTCCCGCCAAATTCCACTATTTAACACTGTTTAGCTTCGAATATTGCTTCCGGAAAGAGCCTCGGTTACGATAGTGATGAATCTGTGCACACCTCTTATCAGGAGGATGGGCTCAATAGTCAGGGCGTGAATTATGATGAGTTACAAGAATGTCTATCAGATATCCGGCATACCATCACCAGTCTGTGAGCTTGTCTCCTTCCATTCGAAATTCCTTGTACAGGTTGTTAAGCCCAGGTAGGTACAAATTTGCGACCACTCTTTCAAACCCGGCTCGTGGCGATGTATCTCCTGGGGAGGCAATTCTAACCACCGGCGTCTCTGATTACCGACCTCACAAGGCACTTGGGACAGTAAACATTTGTCTAATATTCTTGGTCTTGATTCCAATAGCGCGCTCACGCAAAGACTTGGAAGAGCCAATGCCAGACGCCGCCTTGTATACAGCTCCCACCAAAATCGAATTGGAGACAACATGCGCCACTCTAACCAAGAAGTCTTGAATGAGCGCTTTGTATTCACCTGGAAGCTAAGAAAAATTTTAGAGCCAGTCCCTGCTGTCTGGGGCCAAGAGAGACCTCAATCGATTGCAGATATTTCCCTCCCACGTCTTGGATATGCCAGAGACGGTCAGCCTTTTATCTGTCCGATCTGTTGTGAAAGTGTCCAATTCGAAGATGTCAATAAAGAGTGGGGGCCCCACGTATACAACGACATCAAGCCATATGTCTGCACATTTGGTGGCTGTGTTCAAGAGGATCAGCTATACGACAACTCTTTCGCATGGAGCGAGCACGAACAATCCTTCCATCGTCGAGAATGGGGTTGCAAGTTGTGTGGAAAGGTATTTGGAAGTGAAGCGCTTTTTGGAGATCACCTACAGGAATTCCATATGACAGTCATTCCTGCGGATCAGTTTCAGGATGTGGTGAATGCGTCACAACAGCCAGTTAGCACTGAACAAAAGTGTCCATTCTGCTCTGAGCTGGCAATAGGAGGCTCAGAGCACTTTCTGAAACACCTTGCTACACATTTGCGACATGCAGCTCTTCTGTAACTTTGCCAGTTCGATTCTGGGACCGTGGAATATGGAAAATCCGACCAGGCAGAGTTGCTAGGTTCCCGATCCTTGTTTGAACATGAGCAGAACGTTTCGAAGCTCCCACGTGCGCAAAAAGCGCTTAGCCAGGACCAGACCACGTCTGCCAAAGAAAAGTATGATGATTACTACCGCATGCCACCGCCACCGCCACCGTTGCAATCCAAACCCAGGAAAGTCACACAAATCCACCAGATCCCCCAGCCAAATCCAAAACATACTCAGTCACATGACGGTCGTCGGCCTGAACAATCAGCGCGATATCAGGATGGCAGGCGGACAACTCAGGTGATAGTGGAGAGGTCTGAAACACGACCAATGCACGGTCCACGATATTACAGTGATAGACCAAACTATAGTGAGGATCGAGCCCGTAGTGAGCGAGAAGTGGAGGTATACAAAACTACATTGTCCAAGCCATTGATGCCTGTGGTATCTCACCCACTAGGAACGGCAGTTCCCGCCAGGCCCTAGCTTCAAGTCCGGAGATGATGGTCATGTTCGCTTCAACACAGCCGGCAACAGACCGCCCCGATCCTATCAATCAGGAAGCTCGGTCCATTCTAGCTATACGAGAGGCAGCGGATATGGCAGTGGGATACCTTCCGCATTTCGCTCCAATGATATATTCCGAGAAAACAGAAAACAGGGTTACTCATCCACTGGATCTGAAGGCCGGAGCACCGAGTATTCCTATCCAAGTTCAACGCAACCAACAGATGCAGAGCCTTTTAGCGACAAGGAGTCGGATCGAGACAAGAATAATGGAGGGACGAAGTTGGGATCCCCGGATCATCTAGAAGACTTTTACACATATCACACGGAGTACGTTCAAGCGCGCTCGCACAAAAACGGTTGCTGGGTACCTTTCTGCAAGTTCGGCCCTTTGAATAGCGAAGTCTTAAATGCACACCTCAAATTACATGGCAAGAGGGGCGGAAAAGTACGTTATGTTGCGACACTCATTGCGAACAGCACTCATTACGATCCAAAATTCCAGGGCCACCTGACTTCTATGGGCAATCCCATCTATGAGCGTGCCTCCGATATCCCAAAGCACGAAGGCTCTGCTCCCAAAGGTATGTTTCATATCAGTATCAGGAAACAAGCTGGCAAGTGCTAACCATGACACTTCCAAAGACGTCTCGAAGAAATTCTCTCAAAGCAAAGCGGCCTCGGTTGACGAACAGTGGGAGGTTATACCTCGCCTGATCAAAAAGCATCCACGGGTACAAACCTCCTGGTGCATCACTTGCCAGCGACGAAAAACCAAGGTATAGCTCATACTCACACCTTTTGGAATCAAAATTTGCTCGACTAATTCCTGGTAGTGTGATAAAACTCATCCGACTTGCAAGAAGTGCTGGGAAGATAATTTTGCTTGCGAGGGGTACAGACTCCAGATATCTCAAGGCTCTTGGAAGACAGCGTCACGGCCATTTTCTCAGGCTACCGTTTCTGCAGAATCGGCCAAGTTCACTGCTGGCCCGTCGGAGCGTTCTTCCAAAAGTAGCGCTTTAAACACTCTCGAAAGTTTGATGGAAGGAAATCGTCGGAGAATGCTTCGTCTTGGCATGAAAGACGACGAGCCTCCACCCATACCCTCACGCACAAGCACAACGTTCCAACCTCCTGAGATTGCTTTTCCTAGGCCCCATGGGCGAGTTAATGATCCCATCTTATCTTGGATCCCCGTCATCAGAAGATCTCACGGCGACTTTGAGCATAGTGAGAGGAACAACCACTCAATTTGATTGAGTAAATAGTCATATCCTATGATCTAAAGCAAAATAAACTTATTCGGACCTAAGGCTATCATACCAAACCATGCGAAAGGTGCCGTCGCGCAGTTTTAATTTGAATCGTCCTCGAATGACCCCAGGACTCAAACTGCAAAGCACGAGCTTAGAATTCGCCAACCAGGGGTTGTGACTCAACCCCGAGCTGCGTTGGTTGTTGTTTATTTTCACAACCACAGTGGACATACTAAACGCTACACAGATAAGTCCAGGAACAAACATAATGAAGGCCAAGTTCATTTGCAAGCATTTAAACATTATAGAGGTTGACTGTAGTGGGAAGAGTCAATGGTCTTAGGAAATGTGGCTTTCGGCTAGCTGTATTTGTGGAAAATCAAGGAGAAGCAGGATTAATGTCAATCTATTATTTTGATGCCATTTTTATCTGTACTACGATAAATTGTATGCACTCAGGCCATCATGTCCCGTTGATATCCCACAGAGTTCGAATGTCCAGAAAAAGAAGAAAGGGGTGACCGAGGTCTTCATGCGGTATGATACGCATATCACCCTAACGACTTAGAACTCGAATGCAGCCCCGATGTCATCTACCAGGGTTATTAGTAGCGCGTATATGCACTATGCACAAGCCAGCCTACAGTGGGCCAGCGGCAAACAATTATCTCCATTGTCGCGTGCGATGATGGGATGTGGGTTCCAAATGAGGGGCTGTTCCAAAAGAAAATAATATGGCTGTGCTTTCGGATGAAAGACACTTGATCGAGAAAACATGAAGCTTCGTCGGACTTGTCCGAAGCCTTTTCTTCGACTGCCGATCGGAAGGCTGATGCGGGTGACATCATCCAGTTGAGCCACAGGCATTATTATTGGACCGAGCGGTGCGTCTCACCAAACAAGGTTAGAACGATCTAACAATGTTCACAGCAGCTTGGCAGTCTGGATGATTTGGGGGCTGTTCATATCACTTTCTTACACTTCAAGGGAGAATCGGATTTCATTCGCCCATACCTATCGTGGAGGCTGGCGCTGCTTCTGTGGCAGGGCTGGATTAGTTTGGTCTGACCACGCCAAGGGGTCTCAGCCCCAATACTTGGTGACCCCGGCAGAGAGATCAACGGCCAGCTCATCCTTTGCAATTCCAATCGGTACGTAGCGCCGTATCCGGCTAGAGTCTTGGCTGAAAATGCAGCTTGGGTTTGTAGCGATGGTAATAGCAATCAGTATATAATGCGGCTCGATTCTCGTCCGTCGCAGAGTACTAATCTCATCATCGACACCCTCTCCCCCTCAGGCTTCTCAATCTCTCAACACAATATGGACGAAACACTTGCAACCCCTCTACCCCATGATTCTACTTCCCAGTCCCGATCTTTAGCGGTTGATTTCACTTGGAGAAAGCTCAAGGCACTTATCACGGAAACCAACAAACCAAACGCCAGTCCACTCTATACCGTTGATTGCAATCTCATCACGAACAACCTAACATTCAAATCGACTGCGGATGACCGAGTCGTTGGAACTGGTTCCGTTCACGCTTTCAGCATTAGCCCGGACTACCAGCTCCATGGTGTCCAGGGTACTCTCAAAGCCCAAAGACGCCTCCATACAGTTTATACCCATCAGTCTACCACGTTCTCCGACACAGGAGCTCCGGTCAAAATGACATGGACGAGTAGTTGCGGCTTCAAGGCATGGGATTTTGTCTGTGTTGACGAGAATCAAGAGCCTGTGGCTAGATTTTCTGCCAATATGTGGGCTGTGAAGAAAGTTGGCAAAATCGAGATGTTGGGACCGAAGGCCTTTGACGATGCTGCCCGGGATGAAATAGTGGTAGTTGGATTCACGTTGTACTACTGCTGGCTGCTTCGAGTGAACAATCCTTTAAATCTACTTGGCTCGGCATTTCTGTCGAAGGAGAAGATTGACAAGGATGAGTCTCGCCAGGTCGAGCAGAGACAAGCAAAGCTCATTGACTAAGGTGCTCTGGACTCGTGATTTTGGGAGAATAGAACGTTGTGTTCCATTGTTTTGTATTACCAGGCCTGTTTCAGCTATGATATTATATACTTACGTGACTTGTCGCAACATGTTTGCGATCACGGCCTCGCACATCTTTCCAGACCCCGCATATGTTCCGCCCCCATTTGCGTGAGATCCACCAAATTTGGACTGTGGGGGATAGTAAACTCAAATGTTGACGTTAATCGAATCTGATATGGAATATCTATGAGTTCGGTGTTTCGAGGCAACGTAGTTGTACCGCTGTAGATACGTGGGTAGATGGGGCTAAATCAGCCGGTTCGTAAAACTCGTTTGTGGATCCATAAATGAAACGCTCTCCAACCAGCCCTGCCGGGCTAGCTCAATCGGTAGAGCGTGAGACTCTTAATCTCAAGGTTGCGGGTTCGACCCCCGCGTTCGGCTATTCCTAAAAAAAACCTGAGATCCTTCTTTTTTGCTGCTTTTAATTTCTTGGCCTAGCTGGGATAGGCTAAACATGGCTCGATCGAGCGAGTGGGAAGGCTAGCAGTGGGGTGAAAGAAAGATGTCATTACTCGAGTTTCGTTTTCGCTCATTGACATGATCGAGGCCAATACAATTGTACATGTAATTGGCTGCTTTGGTTAGATATCAACCGATAAACCCCACCGATGTCGTATTTCCAAAAACAATTGTTGAGGCCACACCCGCCTCTCGGACTTGTTCTTCACTTCTTTTTCCACTTTTTTATTTCCGGCAAGGAGGTCGTGTAATGCGGATGCTTCAAATGCAGGCATAAAAAAACATCGAAAACCTAGACCACAAAAGGGGGTCAAGCGAAGAGCAAGGATGAGCTATATATATCTGGAATGAGCTAAAGTATATCTCATAGCAAGTGCATTAACGTCTGCCTCTTCGTGTCACATATCATGTTGCAATTCCTTCAAAGATTGGTTGGTTCAAAAAGAGGTGCCAGTAATCAATCGTATCATGCTGAGACAGGACATGTCTTCCCGTCCATTTCATAGACCAGGCGGGGCTTATACGAGCGTCTATCATCAATTACCTACACGTTTCGATTCAACGAGGTTCTTGACCCCTCAAAGCTACATAGCTCCCTGGTCAAACTGTTTACGATAGGAGATTGGAGGAAGCTAGGTGGCCGGCTTCGTCGAACTGTAAGAGAGAGAACAAAGGGTGTGGTTTGGAGTTCCCGCACTGACCAGCCTTTTGAAGGACAACGGAGATATCGTGATTCATGTCCCAAAAGTTTATGACGCCGAGCACCCCGCGGTACGGTATTCCCATGTCGAGTTCGATATTCGGATAGAAGTGTACCTGTTAGGATGCCGCCTACCGAAGGAAACCGAACCATATCCCTCCGTCCACGAAGGGTGCCACACATTTCGCTCCTTCAGTCGACGTCAGGACTTGCCTGGCGATATTGAGCATCATTACACTTCCGATGAGCCACTCGTATCTCTCCGTGTGACATCCTTCACAGATACGACACCTGTACCCATTACATTCCCACACTCTGTATGCGACGCCATGGGAACAGCTGAGTTACTGAGAGCCTGGTCAAGCGTGCTTGCCAGTCGGATTGAGAGTGTGCCGGCCGTACTCGGGGCAAGTCGAGATGTGATTGAAACTATGGGCACTTTGTCGGATGAGAAGGCCGAAAAGCCATATCTCTTGGAACACAGGCAAATTAAATGCTTCTCTCTGCTGGCTTTTATTGTCCGGTTCGTATGGGATCTGTTGACTAGACGAAATGTACAAACTCGCACAATATTTCTTCCGGCTAGCTTTTTGCGCAAGCTACGGCAAGAGGCACAAGAGCAGCTGGCGATCGAACCCACGGGTCGGACCCAATCCTTTCCTCAGTGATGGTGACCTTGTCACTGCCTGGGGCTCTCACACGGTTATGTCATCCTCTTCGCGTAATAAATACAGATTGTAGATCCATGTGGCGATACTTTGACTGAGAAGCTTTGTACGGTCAGCAAGAATGATAGGTATTCAGCCCCGTGAGGATTTAAAGTACTGACGATGCAGAAAACAATACTTCCGATAGTTTGCTAGTCCCATGTGAATGATGCTGTTCTATCGGTCGACAACCATGGGTTCATCTTGAAAATGTCGTTGATATGGAAGTACATATTGCTTAGAGCACTTTCCTTCGCCTTTGGCCTACCTTGGCCTGTCGCATGTAGTGGAGTGTTGACTTATGAGAACGTTGTGCACGGTCGGGCCAATGCTCAATATCACACAGCTTACCGTAGATGACTCGGCCATTTCCAATCCTGAAAGTCCCCGGCCCTAATGTTACACACTAAATAAGACAAACAGTACGCGCAAGTGCGCAAGTCCGTTCTTGTTGATCTTCGCCAATCAGGTTGCCCACTATAAGCCTTCCCGCGTAGGTTTCCACATCCTAATTAGTGATGCTTTGAGATCTGCGGATCCCAGTGAGCCAACATGGCGAACCTATACCACTGCGACCAGCAATCGTGTCCGCCAGCCAAAAATAATCCTGAAAAATTGTTAGCGCCAAGGCATCATGCATGTTTCTCGATCTAGCTGGGTTTATTCCCAAGTCGGCAGCTCCGAGTGGAGGTGAAGCAAATGCAATCCGATTGGGCGACCCCCAAATTACTCCCCCACCCCCGTCCTTTGTGCTCATTATCCTTAAAACACCGACACGTCTACTGCCGCCCAAGACGGCCAAGGTTGTGCTTGACTCTTTGTCCAGTCAGTTCAACCCAAGCCAGCCGGCGTTCAAACTTCGACCCTTCATTCAAACTCTCATCATACCTATTGTCCGACATGGAGGTATCCAGGGTCCCTTTTCAGCTCTCAGGCCGGTATGCCGAGCGAAATCGGTGGGAAGTTCTCAACGGCCCTGGCGACTCGCGTGCAACGGGAAATCAAATCATCCAAGATGAAGGTCTAGTTGGCCAATGGGACGACAAGGTAGTCCTGATTACCGGCGTTTCCTCTGGAATTGGCGTTGAGACAGTGCGCGTCTTAGCACAGACTGGAGCGACTATATTTGGCACAGCCCGGAATCTCGAGAAGGCGGAGGTCTTGAGTGACCTCCTTGATACTGGGCGTGTCAAGCTTCTTTTCATGGACCAGACGGACCTTTCGAGTGTTCGGGCGTGTGCTGAGAATTTTCTCAAGGAGAGCTCTAGACTCAATATTATTATCAACAACGCGGCAGTGAGTAAATTGAAACAGTCTCTTATAAGAGCCCCTGCTCAGTATTGATCAACATAGGTGATGAACACCCCAGAAAGCCGTACCAAAGACGGCTTTGAGCTATAATTTGGAACGAATCACCTGTCTCATTTCCTGCTCTTCTATCTACTGAAAGATAATCTTCTGGAAACCGCACGTTCCACGCCCACCTTCCGCTCCCGTGTTATCAGCGTTTCCTCAGCGGGCCACCGGTTTAGTCCTGTTCCTCTGGACAATATCAACTTTGAAGGCAACTACAATGGTTGGCTTGCTTATGGATCTAGCAAGACGGCCAATATCTATATGACCAACCAAATCGAGCGTTTGTATAGCGCACAAGGTCTTCATGGCTACAGCGTACACCCTGGGGCCTTCGTGAGCCCCAACCTTCAGAAACACTCCCAGGAAGAAATGAAAGCGGTGATGGAGGACAAGCGCGCTCAGGCATATCTGTCTAGTCTCGAACAGGCCTGCGCCACGACCATCTATGGCGCTGTCTCGAGCGAACTGGAAGGGAAAGGCGGACTGTATTTGGAAGGGTCATCTATAGCAGTTCATCCAACTCCTTCGGACGGGGACGCACTCGAATATGGATACGGCAGTTGGGCATTTGATGAGGCCAAGGAGACGGAGCTGTGGAAACTTAGCAAATCCTGGGTAGGAGTAGAGTAGATGCTGAGATTTATCAACAACCCTACGTATATAGAATTGAGTAGAGGCTTCAGTTTGAAAATGATCTGGCCCAGCTATTAAAATTTTAACAGGTGTTCAGTCCAGTTCTATGCGGGTCATCGTCTCATCATAATAATAACCCTCTAAAAGTTCAGTTGGTGCGTGCCACCCAAGCACCTGATGACTTTTATCCAGAAATCGCATGAAGCTATTTTAGGGTATGTATGGTGAGACTGTTCATTCTATCTATGCCAGGTTTCCCATGGTTGCCACACCCAAAAGAGGCGTTGCAACCTGTGAAAGATATGTTGATTGTCGAACCTCAGCAGGATAGCATGTGAGGCTTCTACCCTCTTGAAATGTAGGTTATTCAAACAAAGATGAATCATTCTATTGCTTCGTTGACCGCGTCTCATAGTCTAGTCCAATCATTCTATGATGGCCTTTGACTGCTTATTTCTGGACAACACCGAGCAGAGTTAATTGCATACTTCTCGGTTGGGAAGATGAAGTATTCTTGTCTCATGCACTTGATCTCCTTCGGGCCCCAAATAGCGACCTGTTTGAAGCTAATCATAGAAGAGCGTCAGATTTTTATCCCGGAAATCAGCGAGATATAAGAGCTCAACTCACCTCCAGTGTAGGTTACCCAAGGCTACATTCCGACAGGCATCTACAAAACTGAGTACCTGCTTATCGATGTGCTCTCTTCAGATGTTCATGTCTCCCCATGCACCGTGCCGTCGCCTATAGCAGTTGTCCAGCATCTCACCTAAGCTATCCACTGCTTCTGGAAGACCACTTCTCATTGACTTTGATCACCCTATATCTTTTGTCAACTTTCTAGCTCACTCTATCAGGACGCATAGTCAAACATACTCGGCAATCCAAGCATCTGCTTCTGGCTTTACTCGGCGATAGTTCGGGTTGACCACTGGCTGGGTTGCCATAATGGAGGAAAACAGATCCGGAACTTGTACAAAGTGCCTCATCAAGCTTTCTGGTGGCTGCAAACCCGCATTATCGGTAATATGTGAGCTCGAGCCCGATGAAACCGACGAGGTCGATCCATGGAAAGAATCTTCTGAAGAAGACGACTCATGCTGTTGATTCGTTGTACTATTAAATTGGTCCATGTTTGGTAGCACTGAGGATCTGGGCTTGAGGTACAGCCGAAAGATCCCGCTCTCAAGTCTTGACCAATTCCAAATGGATGGAACAGTCTCGAGGATTCTGGAGGCAGTCATGTTATATGTTAATTACCTCCGTTCACGAAGCTGAGTACGGGCGGCGTCACCTGTTCGGCTCGACAACTCTCGTGCCGCCCACCCTCTGTGTGTGAAGCACAAGCCCTTGGGACAGAGCACAGCCAATACAGGATTTGCTGCAAAGCCCCATTCTGCCACAGCTACACGTATCGCCCCATAAAACCCCATGGATTTGGACCTGGACAACCCTGCCACGCGAAGAGGTTATACACTCTCACGTTTGGAATTGCGAAAGTAGTGACTGGATTATATTGTTTGCGGCGTTCCCACAATCAAGCGAAATGCCCTCCTTGGATGGTGGCTGTTGTAAAACAAAGGAAGCTCTCACGTTTCATTTTTTCATCTCCGATGAGATACAAGACTCTATGTATAAAATACGAATTCAAAGTTGATTTCCAATCAACTTGGTCTTCATATAGATGGGCAAGAGCTACTTCCGATATTGTAGCTTCGTTATTCAGAAACAATAGCCTCATCACACAACAAGTTCCCATGGAACTCGTTAATCTTCGATGCGGTCCGGCGCCGTCGAGCTTACGTTGCAGGTTCCTTAATCCAGTTGAGCTTTGCATTCTGGAAATGTTGATGTAATGACTTACAAGGAAGAGGCAGTGCTGTGTTACGGACGGAATCCTCAAATCTATTGTGATCGTGTTGTGTCGTTTGGAGAAGTTGCTGCACGGGTCCTTAGTGGTGGCATGGGGAAATTTCCGGTAATCTACCGCGGCTTATGTGCGAGGACCGACACTGACCTTGACAATCGCTTGGCCGCTCTATTGGCTTTGTTAGCACCAGCACTTTTATACGAAGGGCACATTTCACCAAGTCTATTTCTAAAGGATTTGCATGAGTTTCAAGTGACGGCGCAGGCGTCAACAATGTGACCCCACCAATGAGCACGTTCTCTAGATTAGGATGTTCATCATGGAATGATCATTTTGAATAAGTACGTTTACTGTTCCTGTATACAATATGTGCTAAACACGCGTCGGATAAGTGCAAATCTGTTCGTAGCGCATGTCGCCAGAAAGAAGGCAATTTCAAATCTAACCAAATATGAAACTTGGGGAGTGAAACTTGGGGAAATTCCCAGAGCAATCGCGTAGATATTTAATGAGAGTCGTGGTAGTTCATCATAACTCCCAGCCTCCCGGTAGTACTGGATCCCACTATCCTATACCATGATCAAAGCCGAGGACTGGGAGTGTATCTCCTTGATTCAGTGCATCTTGCTCCCTAGCAAAAGGTCCAAAGTTATTGAGGTCGGTCAAGTTGGGGCAGGCCTCGGTCAAGTTGAGGTAGAGGTTGCGGGAACTGCAATTCCATGGCCTGCCTCCGCCGTCGCCCTGTCCGCATAACCTGCAGAAAGTTAAGTCCGACCTGCACAAGAAATATTGTAAAGAAAGCCCCGATGACGAGTGTCTGCGGGATATAGGTTTCAGATGGCTGGTCCGAAGGTGGTATTATTTGCTCCTGTTGGTTACTACTCCCTTGGGTCATAAGCTGGGAACCACCAAAAGACACTGAGATTGAGAAGGTGAATGGCGTGAACGACGTGAGAATATTTGGAGTAATAGAGCTCAAAAACGCCGAGAAGGGTCTGAGTGCTAGTGGTATGATGCAAAAGACGAGGAGAGGGACGGCTAGTCATAAGACAGAATTGAGGGACGAACGGGTAGACCTGGAAAGTGTAAGCAATGCGATCGCAAAGGGCTTGTGGCGAATGCCTACCAATCCCGAGCTTCCAGCTCTCTCGTCCACCGCGCTGAGATCTTCAATCGCTCTCTAACACTCATGGCGGAGAGAATGGGGTATTTCTCTTCCTCGGCGATGGGCAAGATACTGGCCAACCACCAAGGGAACCGGGCCGCATCTATGGGGACGGGGCCATACGCCAGCATAACTCGTGGATGTAGCCATGGCGCACCTGTTTGTCGCTGCCTGCGAATAAAATCACGGGAAAGATCGAGGAGGTCCTGGGTGGACATCGAATCCAAGGGATGCTCGGCGGTAGCTGACTGCGTTGGGTCCGGCATGGCGGAGGCAGCGGTCTCCATTGCCTCCAGCCTTTCTTCCTCTGCTAAGGATATGTCATCCACACGCTCTGTTCTCGCAACGTGATAGCCGTCCAGTTCGCTGGCCTCGAGCACTTTGAACCGCGACACGCCTGTAGCAATCACAAGACTGCGCCCATCTGGCAGTAGCTCGTAGCGCTGGACCATCAGGAGCGTTCCATACTGCATGAATGCTGTACTGCCGAGTCCATCCGCTTGCTCTCGGCCCCGCCGGTTATACATGACCATGCCAAACTTGCCGTCTCCACTATCCACGACGCGTCGGATCATGAGTCGATACCGAGGCTCGAAGATATGCAAGAAGGTTGGCATAGTGGGAAATGATAGAGTGCATACAAAAAGGGGGAGATTTGTCTCGTGGTCCCCTCCCAACTCATCCTCGGCATCAGCTTCTCGCCGAGATGCGACCTGATCAGCGAAGAAATATTCGATGATCTTGGAAATGGTGCGATTCAAGGGTTCCGATTGGATAGTAGCAGGCATACCTACTTTGCGACGGCAGATCGGACACAGATCGGTATGGTCTAGAACCCGCGCCACGCATTTTCGACAGAAGGTATGGCCGCAAGGCGTCGTCAGAGGGTCCAGTATAAGAGAGTAGCAGACTTGGCAATCCAGCTCGGCTCGGAGCCTGTCCCGCAGCTTCTGGAAGCGGATTCGATCATGCTGCTGGCAAGCTTGCTCTTCGGCGCTTTCTGTCGAGCGTTCATAGACGACTTCCATCGCATTGCAGGGAAATCGGCCTTCCCAGGCTAACAGGTATAAGCCCGATATCCACCCACGCTGGCTGAGACGGGCATTTTGAGCTTCCACCGATTTGGCGCCCGTTTGATCAACCTTCCAGCGCACAAGCCGACCGGCGCTATCAGGTTGGCCTTGCGCTTCAGCATCCGGCATTGGGAATGCGAGCTCCTCCTGGAACAGATCAAGCACATTGCACAATACGACGTCAACCCCGCAGTCTCCAACGCAATGTTCGCCGACGCAATTGTTTGTTCCTTCCCAATAGCACGTAAACCCTTCTTCTCTCCCCTCCGCCACCGGGTATGTGATGCCCGTGCGGGGCCGGGCCGGTGGTAGGCACGACCGACATACTGTATTGCCGCATGGTAGTCGGAGCGGAGAATGTAGGGGGCGGGAGCAGTGTTGGCACTGGACTAAACGAACGACAAGATGAGGGACATCAAAATGGTGAGGCATATGCTCTTCAGAGCTCGACGCGTCGGAGCTCCCGGAGTCCGTCAGAACGGGATCAGCCTCGGCTGACGGCGGGGCCGGCGACGAGTACGCATCTACATTTTCCATGGCCCCGTGTCCACGAGAACGGATTGTCAGGCAGGCTAGACGGTCAGATGGGGTCCCCGAGGCATTCGGGGCGGTTAGAGGAAGGAGTAGGGCGATAGCGGGACGAAGCCCAGGGTTGGGGATCGGCAATCAGAGCGGGTCAACTTTAGATAATCTGCGCCGTGGAAAGTAACTTGTCTTTTGCGGCGGATCCAGCCAAACGTGAACCTTGCAAGATGGACTGCTATTCACAAGTATACAGTTAGAACAAGGGAATCGGTCCCTGATTAAAATTTTTTTTTTCATCTCGCTTCCGTAGCTTCCCGAAATATCCCAATTACGAAGGTATGATCGCGGGATTCGTTGGAATCTTCACCGTTCAATATCAAAATGTTACGATATTATCGAGGACTAGAGGGTTTACCCAAATGGTATAATTCTGGATCTTCCCTGCAATGTTCCTCTCCAAGAAAAAGAAAAGAAAGTGCCAGACAAGGTATCAGAAAAGGAAAAGGCCGGCCCTCTGGACCCGACGCTACGCAACCAGGTCAATTCAACCAGGACGAGTGACAAGCCCGAGACGGGTTTGCATCTTTGAGCGGAATGGTATGGTTAGAGACAGACGGCTACGGATTTTGCATACAGTAGGGCATTTGGTATCATTTCATGTCTCATTCCCAAGGCCAGGCCAATCCGCCGCCATGCCAAATACAGATGCAACAAAAGAAGCAAAAAAAGAAAACAAAAGCCAAATCACACAGGTACCAGGTCGTACCGAAATGTCTAGGCCACCATAGATTGAACATGCGTAGAACGTGGGGTGCGCAAGAATTCACACATGACAAATCAAACTGTGAGAGGGTGATTGAGAATAGGGATATATGTCCCTGGAGTGCGGTGAAGGGTTGGGAAGGGTGAGGAGATGTAGAGAACTATCCCGCAGATCCTATACGCTCTATCTAGACGAGTCTGAGTCTGATTCGGAGTCGTCTTCAAAGACAATTCGCCGCATCACGCTTTTATCAAAAAGATCTATAGCGAAGCGCCGGGCCGGTAATCGGAAATGATGGCTTTCGAGGATGCAAAGGGCTTTGCGGAAGAGATGGACCTGATGGAACCGTTCCGGTTCTTTGGATTTGATGCTGCGTACAGTTTGTCAGCCCATGTCTGCATATAAGAGGAGAACTTTGCTAGAGAAATGTACCTGTGCAGGTCCGTCGCCGACCGCTTGGACAAAACAGTGTTTCCCATGTCAACAATCAGCTTCAGGATCTTTTGGTTGACCGGGTCAGGATCTGTCGTAGCTTCCTTCAGTTTGTACTGCGGAGTACGTTTCACCTCTGCATTATAGCCAGGGAAGGAAATCTAGACAGGTCAGATGAGTAGGTTGAGAGACGGGGAGCCGAGAACTTACTAAGAACAGCTGGCGGAATTCTGTCGGTAGACAGAATCCTAATGACTCGCCATTTGGATCGATTGCCGAGTCCCATCCTAGACCTCGTAGTACTCTCAGACCATGTTTGCTTCGAGAGATGAGACCCAAGACGAAGAAAGCAGTGCCTCTCATAGTCAAAACACCGGCTCTCTGAGCAATCGCCACGATGCGCTGCACGATTTCTGGCTCCAGGAATGGAGCCCCGAGCTCCATTGAACCGACATTACCCACAGCCCAAAGACATCCCTTGACCTTGAGAAGCACTTCGGTGTCTTCTTCCTCCAAGCGGAAGTCGCGAATCGTCCAGGCAAATTCATTGAAGTGCCCCGATTGCTCCAGCAGCTTGCATCCCTCGGCTGTCCGAGCAAGCTCGCGGTAGAAATGAGGTGGGACAACGCCTACGTCCTGCAAATCAACCAAGTCTTCCGGCCCAAAGCTACTGCGCCGTGGCTGGTCGACATAGGCACGGGACAGAGCGGCTTCCACCAGGCCAACATACGAGTCGTTTCGACCAAGGAACCAGTCGTCCATCTCTTGAGTAATATAATCCAGGCCATCCAGATAATGATAGCCAACAGAGGTCGAAAGGAAGCGCAGGAGAAGCGGGGCGCCGATCTCGCCGAGGTGATCAAGGGAAGGGCGGCACTTGACCACGAATTCGAGATAATCACGCTGGTTGCAAGCCTCCTCGAGAATTTTCACGGCAATCTGACAGACGGTGACATCGGGATCATATAGTTGGGTCACAAGGAGCTTAACAACCCATTCTGCATTGCCGATAGCCATTTGCGGCGATAAGGTGACGTCTCCAACAGCGTATTTTCGGAGAAGCTTGGTTGCAAAAATCCGAATGTCTTTTGATCCAATTGTCAGAGCCTTGGAAAGCATGACCCGAAGGTGACTTGCCCGGCCATAATCCATGTTTCCTAGTAGGGTTTGGATTAAGTCGTTCCGATCTTGCAGCTCGATGATGTGATAGAACATGTTGAGCATGTGCCATCTCTCCATCATGAATAATCCATTTGCATCGGCACTCAGCGTCCCCAATATGGCAAAATACCCCCCGCTCAACGTATTGGCCATTTGCTCTCGTGAGAAGAGGGGTGAGGTAGAAGTTAGTCCGCTCATGCGGTCCAACTGCGCCAAGCACTCGGCAACCTGCCGCAGGAACTTATTTTCGGCTAGGTACTTGGTACCTTCGGCAGTCATAACAAGAGTCCGCATCAAGGCACAGCCAGTCCGGACATATCGCTGGTTCGGTTTTGTGTTTGGAATCATAGCGAATCTGTATTTAAAGGGGCGGTAAAACCCAAGGAGACGCTTCATGAATTTGGAACCTTTGATCGCTTCGTCCATTCGTTTGGGGTTTGTGAGAGGGCCCTCAACAAGGCGGTGGATGAGATCCCATTTCCATTTGATGTAGTTGACGGTGTTCAGCACATGGGTCTCCAGAATGGCATTTCGAAATGTTTGCTCGTCCATAGATGGGCTGAGTTTGTCTTTTCCTTGTTCGCCAGGTAGCAAGGAAACTGACAGATCAGCCTCCAGGTTATATCGGCCTGCTCCACCAGGAAATCCGCCGGAACGGGCTAAGGTACGGTTGATGCTTTCGATCTGGAAGATGGTCGATGTCGAGACATCATGGTTTTCCATGTCGAATTGGACGGCAGCAGGAAGGAGGTGTGCAAGAACCTGCAAGTCTGCACTAATGTTTGCTGGCAACGAATGATGGGCCATTTTGAGAACCTCGGTAAGGAGAAGAGTGGCTTTGCGCCGGAGAGCAGGATCTGTTTCATCCTCAATGAGATCTGAAAGTGCCTGGGGTAACCCGGCAGCGATCAAGGCTGCCAGGATGAGAGTCGAGAAGTGTGCTGTGAGATCGAACTTATTGGTGCCACTATCCGAGTATGCCCGGGGAATTTTGGGATCGGCATCGGATCGCAGATTTGAAACTCGGCCATAAGTCGTGAGTCTTCTGCCTGCAAGGAAAGAAGACGACCATGATGGCGGCTTTATCCGCAAGGCATCGAACAATAGCTCCATAATAAGATCTCGAGCTTGGGTATCAGGGTAGTGAAGTGACTCGAGGAGAGAATGCAGGGGCTTGGCTTCGTGCCTTGCTAAAATCACCAGACCAGGCCAGGTTTTCAGCATTGCGGAGATTGCACGCGCAGCAGATTTTAACCGGCCATTGCGTAGCGAGTCAGCTAAGGAATCAGTGAAAGGCGCCAAAACAGCTTCCAATTCACATCCCTGGAGGTACTTCCGACTGCGTGGAGTGTCGAGGACATGCAAAAAGCTCGAAATCAAACTCTCGGAAGCACCGAATGTGCCTTCGGCTAGGGCATCATGCAGAGCAGCAAACCCACCGGCTGAAGCAACAAGCTCAGGGTCCTTAACTAACATCTCGGCCAAGGTCATAATTGATATGCTCCGTAGGCGGTCTTCATGGTGCTCGGCAACAGAAACTATGGTGCGCACGATGGAGCGAGAAATTTCCTTAATGCCATCCTTGACATCAAGGAACGCCCGCACAAATTTCAGGGCCTGCTCTCGCTCGATGCTTGCTTTGCTTTCCTTGACAAGCGACAGAATCACGAGTTCATCGGTGTGTAACGCTCGAATTGTTTGGAGAGATTTTCGATCCGCGATTGCGTAGCGAGTTAACCGATAGCCAGCTGCCACCTCTTCCTTGCTGTCGCTGAGAAGCATGACTTGTACACGCAGGCCAAAAACAGGCCATGCAAGGTCGTACTTGAGTGTAGGGTACCGCTTGAACAACTCAACCAAGCTATTGGCGCGTTCCACATAGAAATCAGGCGACATGCCCTCAATTTCCAGAGCCTGCAGTGTTTCCGTCAGAACATAGGTTGGCGATTCCATGTCCCCATCATCATCTTCCTGCTGATCCTCGTCCAGAGGCTCAGGTACAACATTATTGTTTCGTGACGGCGAGCGCATAGGGCTACCGCGGAAGAGACCGGACAGACGATTTCGCGGAGGAGTTGTGGATGGGGCCTGCGCACGAAACAGCTCTTCTTCCAGCTGCTGTTGCAACTCCGCCAGCTTGCGGTTGGAAGAACTCAACTCTGACTCCACCCTCAACCGTTGTTCCTTGGTCTGCTTCGGTGGCTTTGCCAGCAGGGCCTCAAGCATGTTCTCTGTCCCAGACTTAATCTTCATCTCCTTCGCGATTTTGTCCCGAATAAGGGCTTGGCGCTCTTCCGTGGTAGGCATATCATCTTCGCCAATCGATCTGCTCGCTCGTCTTCCAAATGTGCCATCGGGTCGCGGCGTGACGCTCCGAGAGGTCATGCTCTTGAGCTCCGCACTGAAGCTCCCCGGTCCGCCCAAGGACGGCGCCAGCGAGCTCCCTACTCGGGCACCGGTCGTAACGCTCCCCCCGGATCCAGATCGCCCATTCCGCCCTGTTCTTGAGAGTCCATCGTTCCAACTCCCGTCCGCCGAGCCGCCGTCCTGACTGAATGAGGAGCGACCATCACCCAACGCGCGGTGCTGGGTGGACGCTGAGAACGCTGAGTTGTGTCCGGAAGCCATAAAGCTCCATTTAGCCGCGGAGGCTGTCTATCACCTGTGACAAATGTCCGAACGGTCCAGGGGCCACATTGAGGTTGGGGGGAAGGAGGTCGATTCGCGGAGCAAGGGCTCGTTTCGTGTCTATGGGGAAGCGTGAGGAGGGGGAGGACTCCGCACGTGTCACGGGTCGACGTCCTGATGATTAGAGCACAACAGCAACTGCCATCACAGCTGACCCACAATCAACGAAGGAAAAGACATGTATAGCGTAGGCGATCTGCTCGGATGCACTATTGTCCCACTCGGCTCGGTTCAGCCTGATCGTGAGAAACACAAGGATGACTAAGGAACCTTATCGTGGGGCCGGGGAAAGGGCCGGGGAATGCATCCCGTAAACACACCCAAGCTCAATAAATGATCAGATAATTTATACAATTATGGTTATGTAGATTGGAAAATGGCAAAGAGGTTGTTCCAAATTATATATTGGATTTGGAGCGTAATCCGTTATCATAACGCGAATCCGAAGCCACCAGTGCTCCCTTCTGGCGTCCGGCTTCTATCATACCATGGCATAAAAGCTGCATGTTCAAGACTAATCATACATCTCCATGGAATTAAGATCTCTTCTCGGTCTTCTCCAAAATCGTCTTCATCATTTCGTTTCCAAGCTTGGCAGCCTCAGGGAATTGGGGAGCGAAGTATTGCGCAATCCGCTCGAAGCGGTCCCTGTAGGACTCGAAGTCCCCGAAGGAGACGCAGTCAGACCATGCCTGGTGAAGATTCAGCAAATGAGTTATTATTCGGAACTATCAATGCAGAAAAGACTGCCATGCATCATTTTCGAGACTCACCCGCGCGGCAAATGTAAACTCCAAGTCATCGGAGCGGAAAGTGTTATCGTCAATGGCGGTGTCTAGGGCCTCGTCTAGGAGATCGGGGTTGCGGAACAGGTACTCGGTCACACCCAACCAGAGACGGAAAAGCTGCAAAAGGAATTAGAACTGCTGTTTGATGGAGGGGTTCAGCAACCTCCTTCGTTCGTACCGGTGTGGAGCAAATCATATGGTCGTAAGGGACAATGCCCAGTTTCGACCAGCAGTCGACAATGGCAAGCAGACTCAGGTGGCTGTTGGGGGGAGATTTCTCGCGAGTCTGGTTGGACAGAGAGAAACGATCCAGCACCTCATCCTTCAACAGCAGATCTTGTGCCGCGGTCCCCTCCTTGAACACCGAGACACCAGCAGCCTTCACTCGACGCTTGAGTTCTTCTCGTTGTCCTCCAATCATGAGCTTGTAGAGTTCCGTCACGGAATCAGCATACTGTCGAATCTGCTGTTTGGCGGCTGGGTTGAGGATGGCGAGGCCGGCATAAACGTGCCATTTATTTGAGTAGATGCGCAGGGTGATGTTGATCTTGACGTTCTCGATGCCGCCGACCCAGCGCGAGATCTCCCAAGGGAACTGGTTGTTGGCCTGCCATGCGGTTCCCATACTCAAAAAGGCGGCGTGGGTAACGGCTTGCGTGTCGGCGGTAATACGATCGTGCAGTTCGCCGGTGAGGTAGACATGCTTGGATCCGAACGACGACAGGATCTCGTCAACGAATCGTAGACTTTCGTCTGACGCCCGGTGTTGGATCAAGACCTAGGAGTGGCGCCATGTCAGTGCTTGGTCTAGTTCTAAATAAATTGGGACGTGGGTAAGTCCCTACCAGAGGCTGGCCCTTCGGGTTCACTTTGGGCCCATGCAGCGAATGGCATGATACGATCTCTACATCGGAAGGCAAGTGTTTTTCGAATGCTGCAAGCTCCGGGGCCTTGCAGGAGGTCTGGCCGCCGACGATGGCGCCCACTTTGGTTGCTTTTGGTTTGTTTCCACGCGTCAGACAAGATGTACTTCTTTCCTTTGGGGCAAGAGGACCTTGCCAAGGCCCGAAAGGGATCGGCAAACATACATGGCCCGTACTGTGCCACGACTCGGTCGATGACGCCGGCCTCTACACTGTAAAGAATGAAATCGCTAAGTCTGGAAACGAGATGGCCATTCGGAAATATGGTGACCATGGGCTAATATACGATGAGTATCTGGCTGGATTATGGTCCCAGCGGGAGACGTACTTGAGAAGCGAACTCTTGTTGCAAAGTTTCATAATTCTCAGGTCTGTCACATGCATTGATCCTTTAAGGGAGATAGTAATTAAGTTAGTCAACATTCATCTTCACGTCACACCGGCCGGTCTCGCGCAGAATCCAGGTTGCATGTGGAAAAAAATCTATGAAATCACTCGTTAGCACCGTGTCTTGATAGAAACAGCAGGAGTGAGGCAGAATAAAACAAGTTCGAAAACTTTCAGACAAGAAAAAATAAGGTAGCGAGGTTGTTACATCATCGACAGCCTAGCAGTCAATCACCAACCAGAATGGCGTGGTGGTAACTGCCAGACCATACTCGAGCCAAATGCACTCAAGTCATCATTCGAAGGAGGAAGAGGTAATGCAAAGCTGCAAAAGAAGAGGAGCTTACCATTCAAGCTTAGAACCCGCATGGACAGGAAGACCGCGGGTGGGGAATGGAGGTTAGGATTTACCTCCATCCTGCATCGCTCAGGCGCTGGGCATACATCTTGCCCATGTCACCCATACCGATGATGCCAATCGAGGCATCCTGCTTGGTGCGTCCCATCCTGGCAATGACTCGCACCCCCAGCTTCAGCGCGACGCGATAGAGCTGTCACACTGGATACTGGCACTGTTAATTAGTAAAATTGTCCAATATGTCTTCTCAGTCAGGCCAGGCCAGTTGTCCACTGGGTCAATCGAGGGTGTGAAGAACAATCGCAGTGCTAAAAAACGCATGACTCTGGGAAGTGAAAGAAAATTTAAATAGGCGAGCGCAGCTTACCTTCTCACCGCTTTCCGGGCCGACAATACTGCCGTACTCAGGCCTCAGGCCTCACACTCGCTTGCCTGTAACCCCGCGCGGGCCAATCACCGCTGAGGACTGCGCTAGGGCACACACCCACTTTTTCGATCTTTGATCCCCGACCGCAGTGGCTTTTTCTTCTTCTTTTTTCCATATTCCATCCACGACAACCCCCATCCACAAATTCGCAATGGCTCCCAAGAAGGCTCCCGCCGCCGCCAAGGAGAACGTCTCCCTCGGCCCCCTCGCTGGTGATGGTACGTCTGACAAAAATTTTTGATGAGATTCCATATTGTGATTCATCGGTCTAACTAGTCTTGCGCATGGAACAGGCAAGCTCGTTTTCGGCGTTGCCCGCATCTTCGCCTCCTTCAACGACACCTTCGTTCACGTCACTGATCTCTCGTACGTTTCTTCACCTTCGCGCTCGACGAATGTACCTGTGCTTGGTCTGGCCGACGTACCGTTGGACTTGGACCGCGGCCGCGGAACTTCAGATGAGACAAATGTCTGGAATAAGATTGACTGACATGTTTTCCATAACAGTGGTCGCGAAACCATCACCCGTGTCACCGGTGGTATGAAGGTCAAGGCCGACCGTGACGAGTCCTCCCCCTACGCCGCCATGCTGGCTGCCCAGGACGTCGCTGTCCGCTGCAAGGAGCTCGGCATCAACGCTCTGCACATCAAGATCCGTGCCACTGGTGGTAACGGTACCAAGACCCCCGGTCCCGGTGCCCAGTCTGCCCTCCGTGCCCTTGCCCGCTCCGGCATGCGCATTGGCCGTATCGAGGACGTGACCCCCACCCCCTCCGACTCTACTCGTCGCAAGGGTGGTCGCCGTGGTCGTCGTCTGTAGACATGCGCAGGCCTGTCTATCTTCTCCGACTGCGGTTTCATTGCGTGGCTGGACTGGAGGCTTCCTGCAGGGTCTACTTGCACTTGTGGATGGAATAAACGCGAAGAACGGCCCTTATTGCCTGGTCTTCAGATATTTTCATGCCCTGAAAAGTTCATATCAGCTTTGGCTGTTGAATTAGGTAGTCTTCTACGACGACTGAATCAATTGACTTTGACTGAGTATATTTGACTTCTATTACCATTGTAAATGTAGTAAATTTTGTAGTGATCGACAATACTTACATGTACCTTTTGAAGCTCCTAATCCTGCATGTGTGTAGACGCTGTCACTCAAGCAATCGGCGCAGGTACCGAGTGCGGGGAGCTATCATGGGGCGATAAAAAGATACGCAGCTCGATCACCACCACCACCACCTTCTAGCGAGACGCCTCACACAATTTCCCCCCTCAGAATCTCCGGCACACAGTTCATAATAATCGACTCTCACCTAGGCAGTAATATGTCACAGGCTTGAGGAATATACTACTCCTCGCTACCAAGGCCTGACGTCAGCGACGCGCCGCGACTTCGCTGTCGGACAAATTTTTAAGCCACCTGCGCCCAGCTTGCACCACGCTGATCCTTTGCATTCCCCCGATACCACCGAGCTCGGCACACCCTCGGCTTCAGGGTTCTGACAAGAAACAATGCCTTCGCCCCATCAGCCGTCGCCGTTGATTCTCCTGCCTCAGCTACCCCCGAAGACCCTGGTCGGCATCGATCTCATCGCGTTCTCTTCGACCGCGAATTTCCACGGCATCAGAGACCTACCTAACGGCTGGCACTTTCTGTATACTGGTACAACGGAGAGCTTGTCACTCCGATGTGGCGCATGGTTCTACGTAGGCGATGTCCGCTCCACTGGGAGCGGGGACAGTGATACCGCGGTCGTGGTGGCGCAAGCACCGAACCCTGCGCCGGAGATCTATATCTGGAAATGGAACACGGAGACGGAATCACTGTCTTCGCTGAAGTATGACAGCGATGCGGACCGCCAGGAGGCTATGCGCTACAAGGCGAACCTCGGCGCGCTCTGGCAGAGTGGTGGCTTGTTCCGATATCGAAGCTGCGTGTCCCCGGCCATGCTGTCGAACAAACCGGGCTCAGCACCTGCTGAGGCGCGTCAGGCAGAAGAGGATGAGGAAGCTGAGGAGAGCGGTCGTAGGGACTGGCGACAGCTCACAAACCGCCTGTCACCCGAGATCCTAACCCGCATCATTGGCGAACCGGAGCTAGATGTCGATGGCCGTCCGAGGTGGATGGTTACTTCTGCCAGCACGGCCAACCGTGATGCAGATCATATTCCGGGAGTGGACTCTCCAGCGGCGGGAGAGCAGACAAGCGCAGGAATGATTAGCGAGCAGGAGAGAGAATTCGGCTTTCTCCCCATAGACCTGAAGCGGACATGGCGAGAAGGGGCCATTGGACGTGAAAGGACGGAGGCTGCACAGGACAAGTCTTGGGCCTTGGGCGACCTGATATACAAGTACTCCAGTCGAGTGTCTGGTGAAATTACAGTGGATGAACAGACAGGAGAAGCCCAGGTGCTCGGAGAGTTGCAATTTACCTTCATCATGGCGTTGACCATGATGAATTTCTCCTGCCTTCAGCAATGGAAGAGGCTGCTAGAACTGATTTTGACCTGTCGCCGAGCAATCCTTGACAGAGAAGCGTTCATGAGTGAAGTACTTCGCCTGCTACTACGACAACTCGAAAGATTTGACGATGTCGAAGGGGGGCTCTTGGAAATCGATGGTGATGAAGGCGGAGAGTTCTTGCGCAACCTTCTTACAAAAATGCGACGATCTGTTGACGAAGTTGTTGAACCGGGGACCCAGTCAATGGTCAAGACAGAGCTTGACAGGGTGGATGCCTGGGTAAAAAACGAGTACGACTGGGAGCTGACGCGCGAGTCTATTGTCAGACGGGGCATGCTTCAGCTGGAAGACGGCGAGGAGGTTGAAATGTCAATGAACGATAATGACGAAGATGAGGAAACGGGTGAATATGCTCCTATGGTGGTTGAATTGGGAGAGCAAAATGATATGCGGCTGCAAGAAGAGGAGGCCTCTGACCTTGAGGATATGAGGTACTAATTGGCGTATCCGTCAGAATCACTGACCCGCGCCATTATTTCACCATTACCGTGCAAGTTAATAAATGACTCCCACTTTACAGAGAAAGGACGCTATATATCATGAACAGGCCGTGGCCTAGTCCTTCTATTCATCAAAAATAAAACCCGGAGTCTGTGTACACCGAAAGGTCTAAAAGCTCATGCGAAATCGTCAAAAATGTAGGCGAAAAAAAAGGCAAAATATAGGATCTAGAGCAGAATTAGATCACGCAGGCATGCAGTCATCTATTTCTCCTCCTCAACGACGTAGCCCCACTCATGCTCCTCCTTGCCAAACATGATGGCCTCCAACCAGGATTTGATCTGGGCAGCGTAGCCAGCAGGCTCACCGTCCTTGCCCAGGGTGCTGATATCGTTGTCGTTGTTGCGGATCATGGCAACAGGGGTGATGAAGTACTGCGCGCCCATCGTTAGTACTTGGAAGCATTTGATTTAAAAACATAGATAGACTTACGGCAGTGCCAGAAACGAACGACTCAACAATACGACCCTCCTGTGCAGCCTTCTCGATTTCGGCCATGGTCAGAGTCCGCTCGGAAACCTGTAGAGGCGCAAGCTTGCCAACAGACTGCTCCGACAGACGCTCGCGCACCAGCTCCAGAACACTGCGGCGGGTAACACCAGGCAGAATCAGCTGGTTCTCCAGAGGAGCAGTGACAAGCTCCAGGCGGCCGGTGTCGGCGTTGTGCCAGATAATGAAGAAGTTGCTGGCGCCAGCCTCGGTGACCTGACGATCCTCGCCGAATAGCCAGAGAATCTGGTCAAAGCCCATAGCTTGAGCCTTGCCGTGAGCCTGCAGAGATGGGCCATAGTTGGCACCGAGCTTGGCGTAGCCGAAACCGCCGGGCCAGGCGCGGATGCTGTCGGGATTGGAGGCGAAGAGCTTGAGACCCTTGGAAACAGGCTGGCCTTCCTTCTTCATATTGGTGAAATCGGGCCAGGGGACGGCAATGATGAAGAGGAGGGCCTCCTTGGGGACCTGGACGCCCAGGTGAGGACCGTTGCCAATGACAGTAGGGCGGATGTAAAGGAACGAGCCAGGGCGCTCCTTGGGCAGCCAGCCTGGTTTTGTGTTAGTAAAGAAGGATATTGCATGCTCAATTGAGACTATACTGTCACTTACGTGGGCCATCGATCTGCATCAGCTTGGCAACCAGCTTCTTCAGCTCATCATACTTGAAGCCCGGCAGCGAGGACCGCTGGGAAGAGGTGTTCAGACGCTCGCCATTGCAATCGGGGCGGAACAGACGCAGCTTGCCATCGTAGCCGCGGTACACCTTCATGCCCTCGAAGCACTCGGTGGCGTAGTGGAGGACCGAGGCGGTGGGTGGGATGCTCAGATTTTCATAAGGCTTGACCTCGGGCGTCTCCCAGCCATTGCCGACAGTCCACCGCACGGTGACCATGTGGTCAGTGCAGTAGGAGTGGCTCAGCTCCTCAGGGGAGCCGGGGAGAGGCACATCCCGCAAGTTAGTGGAGCGGGTGATGTTGAAGTTGGAGCCGTCCAGCTCAGCCACGTTAGGGGGAAACCGAACCCATTGCGAATGTGTGATGGGAAACTTTTGAATTTCCTTGAAGTTGAAGACGTTTAATCGAACACTCCCTTCCTTTTTGAAAAGGGACACGTCCGGGATGGTCTTGGAATGTGAGTCACGGAGGTAGGGCGTAGGGCGGGCCACTCGATTACCGAATTGAAAACAGAAATTACAGTGCAGCCAAGGTGCACACCGTTTGAGAATCGGCGTTGATATTTTAGAGTATATGACAGAAAGAAATAGAGCAGAGTCGAGGGTGCTCGTTATTATATGGGACCCCGCCGGTTTGCCCCGGGCCTGAATTAGGAAGTATCATGGCCGGGCCGAAAAAGTTTTTCTTCACCGCGCGGGAAGGGACTTCTTTAGGAATTCGCCATCGGGATCTAGCCGCTGGAACACCGGTGGGGAAAAGATTCTCTTGAGTTATTTACAATCTGAGAACCATGCATTCCGCACTAATTCATGAGTCCCGTTGTAGATATTCGTGCGACCTGTCGTGCAGGGTTGGCTGCACACCGCACGCCCTGCAATTGACAGCGGCGGGGTGAAACTGATAATCTGGTTGATAGCGCTCCACTCGCCGATGATAGCCGGAAGGAACGCGGCAGATAAGATAGGCACGGGTGGAGCCTTTAAGGATGTTTTCAACATATCTCAGTCCGGAATCTACGAGTGTCAAGATTGTTGTACATGATGGATTCTTCGCTGGGCTGAACTAAGGTAAACCAAGTAGGATCAGCCACCGGGACCTTGCTGCTGTAATACACCCAATGATCTCGAATAAAAACTTTGATCAACTGAGAAGGGGGATTAGAAATTTCGAGATGATTGTGCCAGGTGGTGGATTATGTATATGAAGCGCAAGCAGGTCGACCTAGTTCGTACCACATGCCCAGCCAATTGGCTCTACGGCCCCAACATAGTGACACAATCTTGGCAAATATATGGAAAAGGAATATAGATCCGGGCCCCCTCCCAAATTACGTCGGCCCGGTTGTTTCTACAAATTGCTTAGTCTGAACCTGTATGTCAGGCCCCGAACGGTTAGTCCATCAAGATTGACCTTGAGAACTCGCAGAACTATGTCCTACATTGGCAGCGCCAAAAGAAAGGTGACTGCTTCACTTTTTCTCTTGACAAATAGTCCTGAGGTACGCAGGAAATGCCCCGCCGGTCACGTTGATGCACCTGCCCAGTTGTTGACCAACCCAGCTTTCCCTTTGCAGCGGGATACTATTTACAATCTACAGCCGCTCCGTTCTTAGGTCTATCACATATGGACGTAACCAAGTCATATGAATTTTGATCAATGTGGAAACGGGAACTGCACCCAACTCACATGATAACTGAGAAAAGAAAAGATGAGAAAAAATGAAAGACGTTACATGAAAGACATTTCCAATCAGAGTCTGTTGAGATCAATGGCGGAGCCTTTCCACAGCACAACCGTTAGCCTTGTCTTATACCTGTCATGTACTAAGCGTGTCGGCCGGAAATACAGTTGGGAGTTTGAGGGTGCAATGCGTGTGTTACCTACATGTTTAGCTTGCGCTGCCATCTTGGAACCTTGGAAAATGCATTCCCACCTCAGTCTGGGTAAGTCAAGTCACGTCTTCACATATCTGATCTCTGTTGGTTATGTCCGGAAGAAATCGAGAAGGATGTAATGATCATAATTCCATTTAACCGAGTTGTTGAGCACACATGGAGGACACCAGGAAGAGAGGGAGTCTCACCTCTGAGAGGAATCATGTCAGAAATACGCGAAGGAGAGATGAAAAATAAGACAAAAATATATCTTGGAAGCTCATGTGTCGGCCTATATCTATGGAGAGGTTTGATTCTTCTTGAGCACGCATCCTGCGAGGCAATGGTGGAGAAAGCGTTTCCGCCAATTGTGGTGAATCTATAGGGGCATGGGACGATCTCCCCACGCATTTGCAGTAGCAATTTGGGCTATGGGAACGCCATAACAGGGCAATAGGTTCGTACCTAGATGTGGGTTGTGCGCGGTGCTAGGTTACCAAAGTTGCGTAGGTTCCCTGAACACTCAAAACCACACCGTAGTGTGACAACGGACGCTTGCTAAAAGGAATGATCTGATTTCACAAGGTAGTTACGTCTCTATTCTGGAAGAATTATCATCGGTCTATTTTGGGATTGAAGATTGACTGCGCTTGAGTCGATTCCGTCTTGGTACGGGGCGATAGCATCATCTAGACCAACACAGCGCAACGGAATGAGCCCCTTTGCACTAATCAACCGGGATAACTGTTACTCCACGCTAGGTCTATACATCTTGCAGAGGCCTCGCGTAAGGCTGTCAACAACGGCAGTACGTGAGAGTGTGTGTGTGTGTGTGAGAGAGAGAGAGAGAGAAGGAGGGGAAGGAGCAAGGTTGGGGACTAGTACTGCATTATGCATGGAAGGCGACAGGAGAGAAACGGACTACACCGTACGGAGTCCAGACCGAGCAGCCTTTGTTCATCCCCGCACCTGCTAAGCGCCAAAGCAAACTACTGTGAGAAGAATAAACTATACAAAAAGGGTTCGATTTCTCGTCTACCACTTACTGCCAACCCGCGATAGATCATGGGCCGGTGGAGGCGAGGCAAATCTGCCGTGGTTGAGATTGAGTATCCGACTAGGCTAGTGTGCTATATTTCCGTGGTACTGGTGCTTGGGCCATGAGAGCAAAGTAAGCAAAAGCCCCCGAGGAATGTGACCGGCGAGAAGGAGGCGCTGGCCCACTAGGCAGATGACGTGGCAAAGTACTGTGCAGATTCCTGTACAACCGGTGGCTTCATCCAGCACTAGGGACTTTTTTACGTTCAGCAAAGCACTAGAATTGTGCTACGGAGCAAGGGGCGAGCATGGAGATAGGTGGGAGGAGAGGGTAAAACCCACGATCAGCAACGAGATCCACCGGGAGACTGAACATTCCCCGGCAGGTTGTTCCGGACCACTCAACGGGCCGGGGGGAACATTCAGCTCATTCGTTTGTCTGTGTAGTATTATTCAACAATATCGGTATTTCCTCCGACGGACGCATACAGATTAGATCTGCAAGGGTAACTACTTTGGATGCGTCGAATCCGGTTTTCCCAGGCCGAACCTCCCCGTGACTGCATATCCGGAGGGTTCATGCACACCCCGTCAAGGCAAGAAGAGCGCCGCAGATCGTAACGGTCTCGGTCCTGAACCCGTATGCAAGACCAGAAGGTACTTGCCCCACTTCGCTGCATCGCAGGACAGCTCGGAGACGTGACACTATGTTTGGCCAAGGGAAGTGGATTGGAGATCAGTCAGGGGTAGGACATAGAGAAGCCTAGCTATGGCACCGTCACCAGCGGTTGATGCGGTATCTCTATGGATAAACACAAAGCCTTGGTAAGAAGTCAAAGCATCGCGTGGTACGGAGTAGTTCTTCATGTGTGAGAAAATGGTTCCAGTTATCATCTCGACGAATGACAGACGCGATCCTGCAGCGGAGTCGTGAGCATGACTGGTTCTCGGGGTGAGCGCTGTATAGCATCTTGCATCTTCATCCCGGGTTTTGAGAATTGATCTGACATCATGGAGTCCAATATCGCCGCAACTGCCACCCTCCTGCCGAATAATACGGTCCGGTCTGCTGTATCCGTTGCGCGGAGTGACGCAAAACAGATGCCAAGACAAAGCGGGCCAGGACAACCAGACTACCCGATTGGAGGACAAAATAGCAGCCAATGAAATACGTCGGAAGTGGAATAGCCGCAAGCCACCCTGCCGGCGGAGATGCGATCTACCTCGCGGGAGACGAGCGGAAGTACTCTGTCGTACGGCGAATAATTCCGGCCACTGGCTGTGGAGATGGCACTGGATAAGGTTCGGGGCTGCTGAGTGCATGATAGCCTTCCCGGTCTGCTCCTTCAGGCTGGCGGATTGAAAAGAGCGTCCCGCATCGGAAAAATGAAGGTCTCGACTATATCGTGGTACGCGATATTCCATACCTTCCTTTGCGTGTACTTCGTGTAGCTATATGGGCCGTGGTTGTTTCGCAACCAAGGCACTGGGACGCTCGCCACTTTCTCTAAATGGTCGAAAGCTTCCCCGGATCACCGGCAGGTGGTATGATCGAAACACCTCCAGGTTTGCCACATCGTGCAAGCACTTCCGCATCCCTCGATGGCAGATCTAACTCGATAGTTTTGGAGAGCCTGACTCCAGCAGCTGGACCGATCTGATGTAAGAGTGAGGTGTTGCCTGCATATCTAGCTAGTCTCATACACAGCGACGACAGCATCGGGGGGGATTAGCCGAAGGTGCAGTAGTGTGTAGGGCCTCGTTTTCAATCAACCTCGAACTTAAAAGAGATTTGCAGCGGACATCCGCGACTGGACGGATGGATGATCGTCGGTTCAAGATTTTAGCCTGGCAGGTGAGTTACTCGGCTCGCCTCTCAAGGGCAGTTTCGCGTGGGTAATTTACCCACGCCTGGTTTGTGGACTGGATGCGGTCATATTCCCTGTTCGCATCCCCATCGCACCGACCAGAGGATCCAGGCTAGCCTCGTCCTGATCGACCTTACCCTTACCCCGCCCGTCTGAATGCCGCCAACGGTGCCAAATTCAGATTGGTAGGCTACCGACTCGCTCTCCCTTCGCCAATCACCATGACGTTAAATCCTGAGCCAACGCGCGCCACTCCCCCCGTCCCTCCTCCTCCTCCCTTGTTGTGTGACAGCTGCCGAATCCCTATATTGTTTGCTGGAGGTGACCGCCTCAATCATTCTCGGGTTTGTCACCTGCCGGCCGGCGTCGATCTTCTCGCCCAGTTCCACATAGCCCTTTGTGTCTCACCCCGCGAGTATATAACACGGCAAACGAGCTATCATAACGCCAAACATGACCCGTTGAACCTTCTCAGACTGGAGGTTTCGGCTCTGGCGGAGTGTGTGTGATTCAATTTCCACAAGACAGACGCCTATTTTATTTTATTTTTATTTCTATCTATATTGTAGTGCTGTGCTGGTTGACGGTGCGTGCCTACCTTCCCTGCTACTCGTGCACCCCTAGGAGTCGAGTTCAGAGCAAGCCTCGGATTATCTTGCTCAGCTTGCATCACCATAACGAATCCATGGCAAAGGATTCCCAAGCAGCCGGACAGGATTTCGTTGCTCGGAAGTCACAGCCGCATGCTGTGAGACACTTTGGGGCACAGAAGATGAGCCATCACGATCATACGAAGCAGTTCCCGGCGCTGTTGCCCGGTCCGCCACGCACACTTCCAGCACAGTCTTCGATGTCCGTGAGTCGGCCAAAGAAGAACTCGACAGCTTGCCTAGCATGCAAAGCCGCAAAGAGGAAGGTATGTTGTCGGCCACCAGGCAGCCTCGACGTGTTCGTCTTGGCTCCAAGGAATGAAAGAGAAGTGCGATGGCTTGGATTCGTGAACTGACAATACCATCTTCTAAATTCAGTGCTCTGGACCACCATCCCCTTGCAAGGCCTGTTTGAGCGATGATGCCGAAAGCAATTGCCACTTCGACCCAAGCCGCGATTTGAGGCGCAAGGTGGGCGTGAAGCGAACCATACAAGAGCTCACCGATTACAAAGATCTGTTCGATTCTTTGTTGAGCACCATTCGATCAGCGCAGCACGACAAAGTGGTGAAACTAGTGGAACTGATCAAGAACAATGGGTCAATGGGCGATATTGCTCTGGCGGTGGGCAGCGACGGAACCAGGTTCACGGAGCCTAAGTTCCTAACAGCCATGGGCCATCAGACCATAGCAGAGGACGTGGACCAGCATATTGACTCGCTTATTGAGACCTTTAATCCACCTTTCCATCGGGACTCGGCACCGAATCAAGGATCGACTTCGCCGGAAGAGCATCCTATGGAATTACCACGAGCCGCATTCGATCCATACGCTCGGGTCACTCTAGAAAATCTCTGCTATAGCCCCCTCTTCACGGTGCCTGCCAAACCCTGGACTGAAGTGACTGATGACAATGACCTTGTGTCGCATCTAGTCTCACTGTACTTTACGTGGGACCACCCGTGCGCGCAGTTTGTGGATCAAGGCATCTTCCTGGAACATATGAAGATGGGCAACCTCAACTCCGAATTTTGCTCACCACTCTTGGTCAATAGTCTTTTGTCTATGGCAAGCGTATGATGCCCCAAGCGATTTACCAGTCCTAGATCGTCCAGTTTGCTAACTTCCGGAAAGGTCTATTCTGACAGCCCTGGCGTTTTCTCAGACCTTGGAAATGTATTTTCCCGGGGGCAGAGTTTCTTCGACGAAGCCGAACGATTATTGAAACCCCAGGAGGGGCTTCCAAGTTTGACAAACATCCAGGCTCTCCTAATGATGTGTTGTGTGTATGCGGCCCTTTTGATGTTTCTCTATGCGTTATTTCCGGTGGGAGAAAGCTGAAGGATTTCGTAGATTGTCATATCAAGGAAAGACCAGTCGAGCATGGTGGATCCTGCGAGGGGCCGTTCAGCTGGCACAGGACATGGACTTGTTTTCCTCTCCTCAGAAGGCGCATCCGTCTGGGGAGGCCATGTCGCCTGAGATGGAACGAGTTCGTGCAATCACGGCTTGGGGCATATTTGGCTTGAACCTGTGCGTGGATCTCAATCATACCATGGAAAGAGAAAGAGCATCTAACCTCTTCCATAGTCAGCTATCCATGAAGCTCCGCAAATTTACCAACTTGGCCCGACCTGCCTCCAGGTTAACTGTGGGAGGTAACGAGGACTTCGAGTGGACTCCGTACCCGCGGTCGAACCAAATAACTTATGCCACAAAGCCGGCACACCTCCCTCAAGTCAGGCAAGGCCTGGCCGAGCTAACAGATATCATGGTACATGTTCAAGAGGTCTTGCACGTTGAAGGTCTCCATGATAGTTTTCATGAGTTGATGACCAAAGCAGAGGGCCCTTATAAACGGCTACAGAAGTGGCTGAGAACTTGGCCCGATGCGACTCAAATTGGAAGAGAGCCGATTTCACAACTCCTTATTCTCCGGTAAGACAGTTGCCACAAATCATCATTTTAGAAAAAAAAAATTTGTCTCTTTATTCGGTTCGGTTTCCCATGCTGACCATGCGCGAAGCATTCAATGCCTCCAGGCGATCATGAACCTTGTCGAAAGGTTGATCGACCGAGATCAAGAAGGAGCTATGTCCCAACAATTGCAGCGGACTTGGTGTGAACAGGCTGAAGGGATGGCCGAGTGCCTTCGTATTCATCGCCAGTCGTATGGTCTGAAACACGTTCCCAGTCAGGTTGCCGACGCGGTTCAAACGGCACTTCGGACCCTGGTGCATCAGCTGGATGTTACCGGCAACGCGAAACACGCTTTCATTGAACTCTGTCGTTTTGGCATCGTTCTTAGTCAGAAATTTCAACCCACAGCGGAGACCGTCCGCGCCATTCAGTTGCTGTCTCAACGTGGTGCTGTAAGACTGCCCACCGAAGCCGTCGCGATCCTGGACGGGTCCGAGCTGAGCAAAGCGCAGGAGTGGTGAAAGTCGCAGTTGAATCCAGGAAGAAGATGGGTTTCCATTGTATTGCAAGGCTAATGGTTTATCTGGGAGAGGGTAGCTTGTGCCAGGATTGTTACATAGTCTGAACAAGGAGTGGAAATTTGTCAAGTCGAAGGGGTCAAGGCCTGGATTGTATACGTGAGAGACGGGTAGTTGACGCATGATATTGGATTGTTATGGCTAGAAGGATGGAAGCCTGTTGTCATTCAGAGAAATCCCGGCTCCTGTTCGGTCCAAGGAAATATGCTCTCGACTTGAATGGGTGGTACGGTACCCACTTCACCCATCCTGAGGGTTTCCGGATCCTCACACGGTTTGAGTGACAATGTCCCTCGAGGGGCTCCATGCTCTCTCACACTCGCTGACAGCAATGAAAGGATCGGGTGTGCATATGTTCACAGGCGGAAGAGGTGGAATGAGCGTATCTGCTGGGAATTAACCACCCGGAGGTCCTTCCCGATAGAGGCCCCAGGCAACCGGACTCATTTTCTGGCTGCCAACCATTCAATTGCGCATACGGTGACCAAAATATCGAGAAGCGAATCGTGGGGTGAGATATTCGAGTTAAGAGCCTGATATGATGGAGTTTGTGTTACAATATTTCGCCTGTCAGGTATATACCAATGCGCATCACCGCCACACAAGCCATGCGCACCGAAGCATCTTCGATGACGGCCCTCGGATGCTTTTCTTCGGTTCCTAATTTTAAATATCGCGGCCTGCTTAATTTTCTTGTTTCTTATTGAACAGGAGCTGATAATGGCCAAGAGAGTATAGGCGAAAACGACAAATCTAACCATTTGACTATCTCTGCCCGGGGTATATGATTAAAAATGTGCAGCGTTGGACTGAGTGACAACGTCCTTCCTCCGTCATAGCTCCCATAGCTCTCCTCGTAGTCCGAGACGAGACAAACATGGCTGACACTCCATTCGAACGTACTTTGACCTAGTAGCCATTACTTTATCCTCCAGGATGCCGGATGCTCTCTTAAGCCCAGTACCTTGGGCACATCTCGGCACAAGCTGAGTCAGCACCTGCTTTATGCGCAGATAAGATAAGCACAACACCGAAGCGAAAACCCTCAAAATTCGACTTCTTTGGCAAATCGCACACGCCGCCGACGGACGTGACCCCCCACCACCAACCTCCCTTCCGCCCTTGCCGTCATCCCTTTGGCGCGAGAAAAAATACCCACGTTCTCTCCCTCCCTCCTCTCCTGCCCTTTCCCGCCCACAATGTCCTACGACGACCGCGCCAATGCGCGCCCCAACCTGAACGATGAGTCCGATGTTGAGGAGGAGGCTCTGGTCAACGACTACCGCGAGCAGGTCAACTTCGAGGATGGCATGAGCGATCTGGATCGGACGACATCCCTCGGTGGCTCGCAGGCCCAGGACCTCCAGGCACAGCTCGCCGCCGCCGCTACCCCGCTGGAATACCAGGCGACCCTCGAGACCAAGTTCGCCAGCTACGACAACTACTGCAGCCTCTTTCACTACATACTGAACTCGGAAGGTCCTGTGGATCTGGAGGTTCCCTCGGTAGGTGCTCCGCTGGATTTTCCATTGTGGATGATCGAAGGCAACAATGAATGAAAGCAACGCTTGGCAATCGTGGAATTGGCAAAACACCCGTGACGGAATGCGTGAAGATTATGTAGCTAACATTCGATGCTTTTGCTCTAGTACTACTGGGCCTGGGACGTCATTGACGAGTTCATCTACCAATTCGAGTCGTTTTGCCGCTACCGTAATCGGGTTGCCCGTAGCGGCTCATCCGAGGAGGAGGCTCAGCTGCTCCGCGAGAACCCCAATACCTGGGGCTGCTACTCCGTGCTGAACGTCCTCTACTCCCTCATCCAGCGCTCCCAGATCAACGAGCAGCTGGCTGCCATCAAGCGTGGTGATGACCCTATCGCCTTCGCTGGCGAGTACGGCTCCCGCCCTCTCTACAAGATGCTGGGCTACTTCTCGATCATCGGCCTGCTGCGTGTGCACTGCTTGCTTGGTGACTTCAGCCTCGCCATCAAGACCCTCGACGACATCGAGATGAACAAGAAGGCCATGTTTGCCCGAGTGATGGCCGCCCACTTCACCACCTACTACTACGCAGGTTTCTCCTACATGATGATGCGCCGTTACGCCGATGCCATCCGCATGTTCAGCCACATTCTGGTCTACGTTTCGCGGACAAAGAACTTCCAGAAGGGCGGCAACAGTTACGATGCTATTGCCAAGAAGAACGACCAGATGTATGCCCTGATCGCCATCTGCGTCGCTCTCCACCCCACTCGCCTGGATGACACCATCCACTCTGCCGTCCGCGAGAAGTACGGCGAGCAGTTCCACCGCATGCAGCAGGGCGGCCCCGAGGCCCTGCCCGTCTTCGAGGAGCTGTTCCGTTCCGCCTGCCCCAAGTTCATCAGCCCTACGCCTCCTGACTTCGACAACCCCGCCGTCAACGTCGACCCCGTCGACCACCACACCGCCATCTTCATGGATGAGGTCAAGAACACCTTGTTCAACCCCACAATTCGCTCCTACCTGAAGCTCTACACCACCATGGATCTCAAGAAACTGGCGGGCTTCCTTGAGGTGGAGCCTGAGAAGCTCCGCTCGTGGCTGCTGGTGAACAAGCAACGCAGCCGCCAGATCCGCTGGGTGGAGGGTAGTCTGCTGGATGGTGAGGCCGTTATTGCCAACGACCTCGACTACGCCCTTGAGGATGACCTGATCCACGTCAGCGAGACCAAGGCCGGCCGCCGCCTGGTGGACTGGTACCTGCGCAACCTTGCGCGCGTCTACTAAGGGTGGTGCACCTCCCTACAACACCCGCATCTGGTTTGATATCCAAATCATGATATGTTCCGCCGGTGTCTAGCGAGGGTAAAAAGGTGGAGGATGGACTGACTTCACATGCAAGAAAGAATGGTACATGACTCGAGATGAAATTTTTCTTTCATATTCTTTAACCCGCTGCCCCCTTGTTCTCTTTTCCCGTATTGTCCTCGTTGCCTTCTTCTGTTGTTGGTTTCTATACGCCTTTTCTATTTCCTTTTTTTATTTGTCCTTGGTCTTTTGTTGGTTCAAGAGACCAGCATGTGGATTCAAAATCAAGTCGGGCTATCGCGATATCTTTGGAGGGCGTACGATTCTCATTTGCCCCGGTCTGCTGTTCTGCTTCTTTTTCAGGAGGGTGATTCACTCGAGCAGAGTGTGTTGTGTGGTAGATGAAAAGAGAGACTTGCTGAATGCATAGATCAATGATTACATTCCAACAGTACATATCTGAAAGTAGTTAAAACGTCTAGGTAGATCGGCTGCGGCTGCCCAGATAGCCATTGCTCATTCTAGAAAAGCTGATCCTAAGTCATTCAATGGTCAGTCACCGGGTACTAAGTAAATCCGCGTCCGAATCTAGGTAATGCCCAACCATCGATTCATCCAATTTTTATATCCTCCTGCAACCTCTCCAGAGTGGATATACCTAAATCCCACCCGCAAACATTATGGATATATCCCAGATTTCATCTCAGCTCTCCTCATCACCCAAAAGATTTTCAGACTGCTGTCTAGCCATATCAAACACATTCGTCACAAATTTGATACATCTTCTCCCCAAAAAGCCCGCATTCACCCTCTCAATCGGCAGCGGATCCGGCCTCTTGGAAGCCCTACTCACGCGAACCAATGCAACAATCTCAGTCGAAGGTGTTGAGGTAGCCTCGACCGTTAACCATTACATTGCTGAAGAAGACATGCATGTCACTGGCGGTGCATGGGACCTTCATTCGCGCGCCCAGCAGGCTGCGGCGTGGATGTTTGTCTACCCGCGCCAACCAAGGCTCATCACCAAGTATATTGAGGCATATGGTGATGAAAGTATTGATATGATCGTGTGGCTTGGGCCGAAGGTAGATTGGCCTGATTACGAGCCGTGTTTTCGTCAGTCTGTGTTCTGTGTATTGCAGAGTCTGGAGGATGTTGGGCTAGCACCTTACGAGACTGCGGTTGTGGCTAGGAGATCGACTTGATGACGAAAGAGAAGGCTGGCTGTATTATAACCTATGACTATATCTCATCGCTAAGTGATGGCAAATTTAGAGACAGATACAACTACATGGTAAAATTAGGCAAAAACGAATCACGCGTGTCCGAGTAACTAAGATTTAGGTAAATAGCTATGGACATGCAACATAGTGCACTTGGAGTAGAGGATCAACGCCAGGCCATGCAGTCAACGCCGCCTTTGTCTCCTGTTGTCTTCGCTCGGCTGCTTCAGACAGATGCAAATTCACTAAATCTCTGGTATTACTAGAATACCAGGCCACACAAGTACCGTATACAGTGCACTGGTCAATGCAGTATGATGCTTCCGGAATGCCATCATATAAGTCATTTTAATTTTTGTGGGCAGAGACGACTCGTATGCCCTGCGAAATATATACGATGACAAGCATACCTTACAATACATATTTTCTCAAACTGTGGTCGAAGCAAATGGTCTCAAAAGTAGAGAAGAGGGGGTATAAAATGCAAATTAATCTATCTTTCCAGGGCAGAGTATGCCGTACTAGTACATGCAAGAGAGAAAAGAAACCTTGGAAGTCCTTGTTTAGAGAACCCAGCCCAAATCACATCACATCAAAGCTTGTCCCGCAGCCGCAGTTACTTGTTGCCCGGGGGTTGTCCACGATCTTAAATTGACTACCGATCAGTTCGGTAGTGTAGTCAACTGTGCTACCAGACAGCAGCTCCAGGGACGGCTCATCCATGACGACCTTGGCCCCGCCAGCGGCATTGGTTGAGGCTTCCGAAGAGTCTGCCTCGCCTTCGAAAACGGTATCCTCCTCCGCATCTATTTTGTTTGCTGACTCGAGCGACATCATGTATTGGAACCCATGGCAGCCGCCGCTGGTGACTGTAATGCGGAGATGGTGGTAAGGGTTTTCTTCTTTCGTGGCAGAGTGAGAGGAGGAGGGGTCGGTGATTTCGCGGAGGCGCTGTAATAATTAGCTTTTAGTCTCGTGCATTAATCTGTTTTTCCCCAAAAAAAAAAAATATAATATAAAGAAAAGAAAAAGTCCCCCAAAAAAAACATACAACAGCCAGGATTCGCATGTGGTCACCCACCATACTACTAACTGGCCGGCGTGTGGCTTAAGTACGGCTGAGCGGACGGGAAGCCCTGTTCTCCACACCCTATGGTCGTATGTACCAGAGACAACCGGGAAGTGGTTTAAGCTGTGCTGACCGATCGAATCTCTTTCATTCGACAGGAGTCCGGTCCCGACAGTAGCCATAGCCCAATGCCAGGGTTCTCGGAGAACTCTCAGAGCTTACCACGTTCGCCAGCGCATCCCATCAAACATGGAGGCAACCATGCAGAAGCAACAAGACCGAAAGAAACTATTGTAAACGTACCTCCACGGCGCGAGGGGAGATCCCAATCATAAGTGTCTCCCCATCATCTCCGGTTCTCGGATTTTGTGTCACTTTTGTAGCGGAACGAACGAACGAGGAGGAGAAGGAGGCGATAGACTGGCGGACGGGTGATCGGAATATACACCCCTGCAGAGAGGAGGGTCTATAGGCATGCATAACAGTTAAGCCTGCCGTACCCCGGCGAGTAGCGAGTTCGCTGACGGAGGAGGATGCGGAGAGGCGCAAAGCGGACCGGGAGGTCGAGAAGAGTCGGCCCTGCTGTTGAACTAATCGCCGTGTGGCTGTCGATGCGAACAGTGACCGCGACATGGTTGGGTATGTGCAGGGGTCGCCGTGCTCGAGAGATGGCGAAAAGATGCTTGGATTAGTTATCTCATCGTCCCATCCGATGGCCGCGGGTTAACCTTAGTCACTTCGGCAGTGGCGCGATTGGTCAGCGCGGGCGGAGGAGAATGGCAGAACACTGAAAAGGGTAAGGGATCGGAGATGGCGGGGAAGAAACTTGATTTCTTTTGACTTGTGATCAGGGTGTTTCTCGGATTCATTGGGTTCGCTAGAGTATCGTCTGATTCTAGTAGTATCGCACGGTGACTGGGGATAGTTACGCCTCAATATGGGTTCGCGGCAGCATCTCCGCGATATCAAGTCCGGTCCCCCACTTCACTACCAGGATGATATCAGAGCGTACACAAGGGAGTATGCCGAGGCCCTCGACGCACAAGACCCTCTACATCCATTCCGAGACGAGTTCATCATTCCCTCCAAGCAAGACTTGAAACGGCAGACCCTGTCAGGAGATGAAGGTACGTAGACTTGGTTATACCCGGTTCTCCAGTCCTTGCCGCACCATTGATACTTATGTCTCCAACAGGTCACGATGAAGCTTCTGACCCCCGATGCATTTATCTCTGTGGGAATTCTTTAGGTGTTCAGCCTCGCAGTACTCGGCGGTATATCGAGCAATATCTACGCACCTGGGCAACTAAAGGCGTGACTGGTCACTTTGTGCCGCACGAAGATCAATTGCTGCCTCCATTCGTCGATGTCGATACTGCTGGATCCAAATTGATGGCACCAGTGGTGGGCGCCTCCCAAAGCGAAGTGGCGGTAATGGGGACTCTCACTGCCAATCTCCACCTTCTTATGGCCAGTTTCTACCAGCCGACGAATGAGAAGTATAAGATTATTCTCGAAGGCAAAGCATTCCCTAGTGACCATGTATGTGATTGCCTACTCACTATCTGGAGACTCAAAAGCTAGTTGACTGACCCCAAATATCCCCCAGTACGCAATTGAGTCTCAGATTCGTCACCATAATTTTGACCCAAAGCAAGCTATGGTTTTGATCGAGCCTGAGGACCTCGATCACCCAATTCTCACCACGGAGCAGATTATGAAGGTCATTGACGAAAATGCCTCCAGTACTGCTCTAGTTCTTCTCTCTGCCATTCAATTTTACACCGGTCAATACTTCGATATCCAGCGAATCACAGCTCATGCTCACTCCAAGGGCATCTTGATCGGTTGGGATTGTGCCCATGCCGCCGGGAATGTAGACTTGCGTCTGCATGACTGGGATGTAGATTTTGCTGCGTGGTGCAGCTACAAGTATCTCAACAGCGGACCTGGTGGCATGGCTGCACTTTTTGTCCACGAACGCCACGGACGGGTAGACAGTGAAGAGACATTCCGCCCTCGATTTTCAGGCTGGTGGGGTAGTGATCTCCAGACACGCTTTAGAATGGAAAATAGTGAGTGGACCCGTCGGAAAATCTGATAACAAGATGATCACTAATAATGTTAGAATTTGTCCCCCAGCCCGGCGCTGCTGGCTTCCAGCTCTCCAACCCCTCCGTTCTGGACATCAACGCTGTTATCGCCTCGTTGGAGATCTTTAATCGGGCAACGATGAAGGAGATCCGGCAAAAGTCACTTCAAATCACGGGTTATCTGGAACACTTATTACTCAAGTATCCCCTGAACGCCCTCCCAGAAGATAAGCCGTTCACGCTTATTACACCATCCAACCCAGGAGAGCGAGGCGCTCAGCTTAGCCTACGGCTGCAGCCTGGACTACTAGATCACGTTTTGCACCACCTGAAAGAGAAGGGAGTGGTGATTGATGAAAGGAAACCCGATGTCATTCGGGTGGCTCCTGCGCCTTTGTATAACACGTATGTAGATGTGTGGGAGTTCTGTCAGATATTCTTCCAAGCTTGTCGGGAGGCCGTCAAGGCTCTAGGTTGACATTTATATACCGGCATCGAAACAGTCAATTTTGGCATGATTTGGACCCAGTAGAGCATTTCATTGTTAAATGTGGATAATAACTCTGAAAACGCAGCAAAAATCTTAGTTTCAGTTAAATAGCTAGCCATCCGAAGTATGGAAAAATGGGCGGTCACCACTATTATCCAAGTTATCGGTATCCCACCTAGCTAATTTTGGGTTTAAACCCCTACTTATGTAGGACAAGCTACATAACTTTTCAATGTGGGTTTCCCACCTTGCCCAATATCTTATTGATAAAAGCTCGTATCTATAGATACATTAGAGAAAGTCCCTTGGAAGTGAACTGTATTCTCAACCTAGCATTAAGGTTGTACCTACATATATTCGACACCACAAGTTTTATGGTCTAATGGTTTGGGGTAGACGTTTGCGCTACTAGTACCTACAAATGGAAAGGGCCACCTAGATCAGCAATTATCTGATTTGGTATGTGTCTTCAGAACCCGAGGGCGCAGACTCGGCGATTTGCACTAATGCCGAGCATGCGCCGGGTTTCCAGGCGGAGTTACCCGCCGACGTACCCTTTTTTGCAGGACAAGCACTAAGCACATCGGCATCTCGGCACCCACCAGGCTTTTTCTCCACACATGACTGGTCCACAGCAATCTGGCAAGGCCTTGATTTGATACCTTCCACATGGGGGTTAGTCAATTTGAGAAACAGTCGTGGTTAATCTGCTCGTTCAGCATGCCCGTCATAAAATCTTTGGCCAGAACGCTGGCTGGTATCCACGTTGGGAGACGGCCACTCCGCGAAGAAAGGAAATGGGAGCCGTGCCGACCTCGACTGTGATTTCGACGGACGTGGAAACCGCGCGTGATGTGAACGAGAATGCGGGGAATCATCTTGGGGGGTCCGCCGATGTCGACTACTCGGTCTTCACCATTAGCCAGCGGCGGTATATCGTTTTCATGGCGTCGTGGGCTGGGTTCTTCTCGCCAGTCTCGTCTCAGATCTATTTCCCGGCCTTGAACACCTTGGCTCGAGATCTTCATGTCTCAAACTCCCTGATCAACTTGACTCTCACGAGCTACATGGTGAGTTGGTCTCGTGCCCCGCTTCCACTTTCAACTGGGAACTAACATCGTGAATGAAACAGATTTTCCAAGGTTTGTCACCTATGTTCATTGGCGATTTTGCCGATAAGGCTGGAAGACGACCTGCATACGTGGTGTGTTTCAGTATTTACATCGCCGCCAACATCGGGCTGGCCTTGCAGAACAACTATGCGGCCCTGTTCGTCCTCCGATGCCTGCAAAGTGCGGGAAGCAGCACTACGATTGCCCTTTCGTCGGGTGTCGTCTCCGATGTAGCCACCGCAGCCGAGCGAGGATCCTACATGGGCTTCGTCACGGCAGGCTCGCTTTTAGGGCCTTCCGTGGGCCCTGTCATTGGAGGTCTGCTCTCTCAATATCTCGGCTGGCGGGCCATCTTCTGGTTCCTCGTCATCTTCTCTGGGGCCTTTATGGTTCCATTTCTTGTTTTCTTCCCGGAAACCGCTCGGGGCGTCGTTGGCGACGGTTCATTACCGCCTCAAAAGTGGAACATGTCCTTGATTAGCTATCTCAAACTTCGAAAAGCTAGTAAGGAAGGTATCGAACCTCCGCCCAATTCGCGCAAACAGAAGCTACAGTTCCCGAATCCTCTACAAACGCTCGCCATCGTTTTCCAAAAGGATATCGGCATCCTCCTCTTCTGCAATGCCATCCTTTTTGCCGGTTTCTATGATGTCAGCGCAACGATACCATCGATCTTTCACGAGCTATACGGCCTAGACGATCTTCAAATTGGCTTGTGTTATATCCCGTTCGGCCTTGGGGCTTCTATTGCGTCCATATTGAACGGCAAGTTCTTGGATTATAACTACCGCCGCATCGCAAAGCGACTGGGATTCCCCGTGGTTAAAAATCGTCAGACAGACCTAAGGAATTTCCCAATCGAGAAAGCTCGCCTTGAAATTGCGTTCCCAATGCTTACAATCGGAAGCCTTTCAATTCTCGCATTCGGATGGTGCTTAAATTTTGGGGTTCACCTGGCTGCCCCAACCACCATTCTGTTCCTCATGGGTCTCACTCTGACAGGGGCTTTCAACACTATCGGTACTATCCTGGTGGACTTCTACCCGACACAGGCGGCCAAGGCCACAGCCGCCAACAACATTGTGCGATGCTTGCTCGGAGCGGGCGCAACAGCCTTGATTGACCCGATGCTCGCAGCCATGGGCCGTGGGTGGTGCTTTACCTTCGTTTCGCTGATCATGCTGGCCACATCTCCGTTACTGTTACTGGTCATCTACAAGGGGCCTGAATGGCGGGAAGAGCGCCGTCTAAAGGAGGAGGCCAAGAAAACTGGCGCGGAGACAAAATCTACGAATGAGAAATGAAATATGCCGTCAGAGAAGTTCGAGTTAGAACAAGAGCCGATAGCGTTGATCTCATTGCGATGCCGCTACGAAAGAATCATGTACTTGAAATTAGATCGATACCCGTGCGAATGCATTAGATGCTCCATCGTAGTTCGTTGCTTGCTTGTTATGAGAAAACTTCAGATATCCATCATAATACAACCCAATATCTGTATTCGAAGTGGCCTTTGTTATTATGCTACACGTTATCACGTCGTTATCGTGCATCACCTGAATGCAAAGTAAGCCCGCTCCAACGGCTGTCGCTCTGATTCCCAAGCAAGCCAATCCGATCTCGTAGTCCTACCGAAATGTCAGTACCCGACAGCAAAGAAATAACACCCAGTATCAAAACGTACGGCAACAGTCCCATCGCGTTGACTTTCCAGATACCCAATGCCAGCAGCAGGAACTGCATCAACACGTAGACCAGTTTCACAGCAACCAGGCGCCCGCGTGTCGACGGAGTCTCGTACTTGGCGAACGCCGCGTTGGTGTTGATCAAACCCTGGATGGGGCCCTTAAACAGCATAAAGACCATCATAATGCTGAAAACCTGCAGGCTGTTGCCGGACATGTACATCATGATTCCGTTCATGGGGAGCGACTTGGATGGGGCGATGGCGATCTCCCAAGCCTTCTTCATCTTCAGGGCGTCGGTATCTTCGGCTTTCTTCGCGGTCGGTTGCTGCTGCTGTTGCTGGCGCTGATATATGTTAGCGCTTTATTTGTAAACCGCCGAAGAGTTCCCCAAGCGCACCTGTTTACCCCCCCGGCTGCTGGAGAAGCCTGGTGGATCCGGGATGCTGGAGGCGGCCTTGGTGGGACGTGGCAACGGCGAGTTCATCGCGACCACCCATTGCGGCGGAGGCGGCGGTGGAAGAGCAGACGACATGGTAGGAGGGAGGGGAGAGATGATGAGGGGAGCAGGAGGAGAAGGGCTGTGTGGCGTGTGGAGGAGATCGAAAAGTGGGAAAGATGACGGGGCCAGGAGGTTTCCTCCGCAGCTCCCACTCCGCCTTGCGCCTCGATTCTCCTTTCCCTCCTCGCCTTGTCTCACTTGCTCTCCTCGTCCCACGCGTCAATTCCCCGGGCACTTCAGTTTTTGATCATGTCCGATCAATGATCCTCGCTGTCTCCGATACCTCTGGGCCCCGTGGTGCAGTGAAGACAGACATTCGCCCTTTTCTCGACTTCTAGACCTCCGACCCCCTCCAAAACCGCGATCCCCGAACCGTCCGAACGCGATTGATTTTTGCGCTGAGCAGCTTGTCCTCCTTTGATATCGACTATCTCTAGGCGATTTTCTTCCCGATTAACGTGTTCGATACCTTGGGCGGCTGCTAGATTCGCTCAAACTCCTCGAAGAGAAGGAGTCCTACAATAAGCTCGTGCGTTTTGACCACGCAGCAGCCATGAGTTCTGGAGGCGATGCGAAGCTGTTCGCCAGGGTACGTGCTTGATTCTGCGAAGTTCTACTCGGCTTGATCGTCTGATCTACTTGCGGTGGCTTTCCCCCTTCCCCGCATCTTGTCTTATGCGCTGCTCGTCTACAAAAGGGACGGGCGCCGAGGCGGCTTGCGCAGCTTCCCGTCCTATCTTTGTTTCTGTGACATGCCCCTTGGCTTTTCTACGTTGCAATACCCTAGCACTTGTTTCCCCATGTTCATCGGCTTCGCCCCTTATGCTCCCGTACATTGCTCACGCTTTGCGCAAACTCCACAGGGCAAGGTCGCCGAGCTGCGACAGGAGCTCAATAGCGGCGGCAAGAAAGACAAGAACTACTCCGCCAAAAAGATCGCCTTGAAGAAGATCGTCGCCAACATGACTATGAGCAATAATGATATGGTTGCGCTGTTCCCCGATGTGATCGACTGCATGAATTTGCCGAGCTTGGAGATCAAGAAGATGTATGCTAAGATGAAGGATGCGCCTGGCGACCTGCGGGGCAACGGCATGGCACAGGGGCCCAGATTGCTAACACGCGCTCTAGGTGCTTCTTGTTCTTGGTCAACTATTCGAGGATGAAACCGGAAGTCGCGATGAAAGCGCTACCGATCCTAGTTGATGTATGGTCCCTAATCCACTTCGTGTGACGAAAGGCCAGGTTTAGGTGCTAACGGTCGCTTTGCAGGATATGGAAGATACTAACCCTCTCGTGCGCGCGCTCGCTTTACGAACCATTTCCTACGTCCACGTGCGCGAGTTTGTTGAAGCTACCTTCCAACCACTGAAACGCCTGATGCAAGATAACGATGCCTACGTTCGCAAGACGGCTGCTTTCTGCGTTGCGAAGCTGTACGAGCATGACAAGAAGACGGTTGAGAATTCCGATCTGATCGACCGGCTCAATCGGATGTTAAAGGATGACAACCCGACCGTCGTCTCGAGCGTTCTGGCCTCGTTGTGCGACATTTGGGGTCGTAGCGAATCGATCTCTCTCACCATCGACTATGTTAGTGCATCGAAGTTGGTTTCGATCCTACCAGACTGCTCTGAGTATGATGACCTTGACCCTTAGGCCCTCTGCAAAGTATGCTTACAACTGAATCAGATGGGGTCAAAGTTATATCCTTGAGGCCTTGATGTCCTACGTGCCCCAGGACACCGCCGAGGCACTTCTGCTGGCAGAGCGAGTTGCACCGCGCCTATCTCATTCGAATTCTGCTGTCGTTCTCACTTCTTGCAGAGTAATTCTCTACCTTATGAATTATATCGCCGACGAAAAGCACATCACCTCTTTATGCCGGAAATTATCGCCACCGCTTGTTACTTTGCTCTCCAAACCTCCCGAGGTCCAATATTTGGCTCTGCGAAATGCAATCTTGATCTTGCAGAAGAGACCGGAAGTCTTGCGCAATGATATTCGGGTGTTCTTCTGCAACTATAACGACCCGATCTATGTCAAAGTGACTAAGCTGGAGTTAATGTTTATGTTGACGACCAAAGATAATATTTCGGTCGTCTTGGCAGAGCTTCGAGAGTATGCGGCTTTATCCACCAAATTTGCTAGGAAACTCACGCTGATCAATTTCCTGCAGATATGCCACTGAAATCGACGTGCATTTCGTTCGCAAGGCAGTGCGCGCCATTGGAAAATTGGCCGTCAAAATTGAGTCCGCTGCAAAGCAATGTATTGACACCCTCTTGGAACTGGTGGACGCTAAGATCCCGTACATCGTCCAAGAAGCGACAGTGGTAATCCGCAACATCTTCCGCAAGTATCCCAACCAGTACGAGAGCATTATCAGCCACGTGATCCGCAACATCGACGACCTTGATGAGCCCGAGGCCAAGGCAGCCGTCATCTGGATCATCGGTCAATACGCAGACCGTATTGACAACTCCGATGGTCTCCTGCAGGACTACCTGGCCACATTCCACGACGAAACTGTCGAAGTGCAGCTGGCCCTGCTTACGGCCACCGTCAAGCTGTTTATCCAGCGGCCTACCAAGGGCCAACAGCTCGTCCCACAGGTTCTCAAGTGGTGCACTGAAGAGACAGATGACCCAGATCTCCGTGACCGCGGCTACATGTACTGGCGTCTGTTGTCCACCGACCCAGCAACTGCGAAGCAGGTTGTCATGGGCCAGAAACCTCCCATCACGGCCGAGAGCGAGAAACTCGACCCGCGTACCCTAGAAGAACTTTGTCTGAACGTCGGTACTCTGGCCACCGTCTACCTCAAGCCTATCCACCAGGTCTTCCGTGCCGCGCGTCCCCGCCGGCTACAACACAGTCCGGCCCTGCAACGGCTCCAGGTTGAAGACGGTACCGCCAGCATGCTTGAATACAACCCGCCTACCGCCAACATGGCCTCTGCATCAACCAGCAACAGCGGCCTGGCCACAATCATCACGACCGGCAACCCAATCAGCCCCGTCAATGCCCCTCCCGCTCCCACATTCCCCGTCGGTCCTAGCGCAACCGGAACCGCGGCCGGCGCTGACGCTGTCAATGCAGCAGACAACTATTTCAACGGCATTGGCTCGCAGCAAATGGCCTCAATGGATCTCGGTGGACGCGGTAATGGGGCAGGCAGCGGCGGTGCCCCTCAATCGCAATTTGTGGTCACACAGAACCAGCAGCAGGGATATCAACCGCAGTATGCGGGTGGTGCTGCCACGGGCGAGTTATTGCTGTTGTAGGTTTCTTTGGGTTGTAATAGTAGATAGAAAGTGTTGGTATCAGAACAATAAGCGAATATTTCCGAATTCTTATCTAGACACCTCCATCAACCTTGTAAAACCCCCAACTTTCCTCGGCAAGACGTATACAAAGAACCTACAAAATCCACCAAAATAGGGTGTTTGAATATATCGTTTATCGACACTGTAGTAAATAGCTGTCCCACAAATTTGGGGCATAATACCGCTAGACTGAAAATGCTTCATAGGCTACATTCTTAGTCTATACGGTCATATATTATTTCGATAATAGCTTTTGTACACTATCCCCTTACTAAAACAGGTACTATAAAGATATCTTGCATCTGATAGTTCGGCTTCATCTTTTGAGAAATACTTTTCTACTTATTTATCTTTATATCTATCTTCTAATTGAAAATTTGGCGTAGTCCTAAAGACATCATTCCAACGTCTAGCTGAAATTCTATCCAGGGAAGGGGTTGGGAGACTGGGCCGGAGGGGGGGAGGGGTCCTTTTGAGGTGCCACGGTAAAAGTCCAATTTTTTTTCTAAATACCCATTTAGTATCTCAGATGGGATTATTGAGCTGGACGAAGCCCCAGCAAGCAGCCATTACTTGCCGTGAAGTGGTATTCAGCTCAATAACTTCTGTTATTACTAGCTAACAGCACGATCCAGGGGACGCCAGGAAGGAACCCGAGCCAAAGAGATGAGCGGCCTTCCTATGGCACCTCCGGCGCTCCCTTTCTCTTGCTCGGAAACGCCAGTCACAGGTTGGCATTTCCAATCACCAAGAGGATTGCGGGCTATTATGTCTCGGTCTATCCACACGCTGAATTCACTGCGCACAGAGTCGGCTGGAGACGGGTACATGAGGCGGTCAGCTGGCCGATATCGGGTCAATGCCACGCCCTTTGGAGTTGTTGATTGTCTCGTGATCTAATGAACCTGTGTATATAATGATATCACCCTCCACATTTGTTGCAGGAGTACCTCGCTAGCAAAAGTTCAAAACGCCGCGCCATTCCACGATGCAATCAACACTCACAGTTGCAGATCTAAATCACAACCCGTCCTCCCAGCGGGTCCTCATCGTCGGCGGGGGCATAGTTGGCGCCGCCTTGGCGTTCTATCTCTCCAAGCCAAACAGCTCCCGACACATCGTTCTCCTTGATCGGTCGTTAGAGGAGTCCCTGGGATCCACGGGTCATGCTCCAGGCTTCGTGGGCCAACTCAACGAGTCATCCGCTTTAACTCGTCTTGCTCAGGATACCGCCTCAGAATATCTCTCGATCCCAGGTGGTTTCAACACTGTCGGTGGGCTAGAACTTGCAACAACAGCCTCTGGGGAGCAGACATTACAGTCCCGATGCAAAAAGGCACGGGCTGCGGGCTTGCCTGCGGAGATTATCACGCCTGAGGCGGCAGCATCTCTTGCCCCAGACTTTATCAACCCTGACACGGTGAAGACGGGTCTGCATTTCCCATCAGATGGAACCGCAGATGCGCAAGCCATCACGTCCTACTTTACCCATGAGGCTCGAGCTCGAGGCGTAGAGTTTCTGGAGGCTGCTGTGACTGGCTTCGCGACGGTATACAACGATGATGGAACCCCCGGGGAGATTACAGCTATACGGACTGCGAAAGGCGATATCAACTTGGCAGGAAGCACTGTCATTCTCGCGACAGGAATTTGGACTTCGTCGTTGACAAGTCCGGCCAATGGCAACGAATCTTCCATCACTCAGTTCCCTGTCCCTATTATTCCGGTTGCACACCCGTACACATTCACTCCCGCCCGACCAGCCCGCATGGGAAAGCCCTATCCATTCGTCCGTTGGCCGGAGCATCATGTCTACGCCAGAGACCACGGCGATCGTGATGGATTGGGTAGCTATGACCATGCCCCACTGCAGTTGAATCCAGGTGATACAGCCATCGGAGCATGGCCTTCAAGCTTTGATGAAGTCTTGTTGAATGCTACTTCCCACTTGAAGAATGGGAAGGAATTTTTAGTCCAAGGACGACAGGGCGAGTTGGACTCTTGGGCGGCGAAAGAGCCATTCAATGGTATCTTCTCGGTGACGCCCGACAACCTCCCCCTTGCGGGCCGAGTGCCTGATGTCTCCAACTTGTGGCTCTGCGCTGCAATTTGGGTCACGACGGCTGCTGGCACGGCCAAACTGATCTCAAGGGAAATCCTTCGTGGGAGTCAGAATTCTACTTCTGCTGAAGACGAAGAGCTTCTCAAGGCTGTGAACCCAGCCCGTTTTCAGGGACTGGAAGCAGAACTGCTTACTGCTCAAGCTTTGGGAAGATATAACAACATATACAATAAAGAAACAAGCAGGTGAACATTTGATTGAGACGTGGGAGGATGGTGGAAATATGACAACCTCGGATTGGCTGTTCTGTGCAGTATCTACCTTAGGAACGAGTATGGAGCATATAAGATGCAGACATTGGTTCATTTGTTCGCATAATTGTCCAACCCGTGAAACCGCCGCTAAGAATAATCGTTGGAAAGGATTGAATGCATAACATGGACAGTGCCCTGCGAGGCACGGATTAATGTGAAACATAGAGGAAAGAGACCGTAACCCATACGAACTTAGATCCACCCCTGGACCCTAGGTTCCTTAATCCTCCATCTTGGACAGCCCACCGCGACTGCGGCGGATGCGCTCATCCAAGCTGTCCTCTTGCACGCGCCGATGCACCTGAGACATGAACCGACCACGGTCAGAGCGTTGCTTATCATCCTCCTCCTTCTGTTCCTCTTCCTTCATAGAGATATCATTGAGCCGCTGGCGTCGGTCTGCCTCTATTTCGCTTGCATTCGATTGCATTTCTGCTAGCTTGCGCAGGCGCTCCTCCTCCTGCTCCTTGGGGTCCGGCTTATTGGGCGCGGCGCGGGGAGGAGGGGGGGGCACGGTTTCGGTTGTATGAGTCGTTGCGGTTATTGAAGGCTCGTCGGGGGTAGTCTCGTCGGTCACCGTTGGCGTGGTCGTTGTGAGCTTGGGCCTTATTTGGGGATGGCGTGCGTTGTCGAGGAGATGACCGTCGTGGGGGTCTGTCGCGGTTGTGGTCCTGATCACGATCCCGTCTATGACCTGAGTCTCGATCTCGGGGGCGGTTGGAGTAGGAGTCTCTTCTCTCTCGGTAATCACGGCGATCACGCTCCCGATCACGGTTGCGGTCGTCTCGTCGAGTTCGCTCATTATCAGTCCGGCGCTCACGGTCATCATCTCCACGGCCACGGTCGTGCTCACGGTCTCGCTCGCTTCGGGATCCGCGGTGAGACCGCTCCGGGGAAGCTGGCGACCTGGAACGACTTCGGCGCGAAACCCGGTGGTGTCGATGTCGCCCCCCATCTTCCCCTTCATCACTGTATCGCCGGCGCTTCGAGTCATGATCGCGATGGCGACGATCTCGGGGCCGATCACGGTCGCCTTTGCGGCGCTCCTCTCTCTCCTTCCGCCGGGCAGCCTCCATAACGGCAGCCTCATAAGCCGCCTGTTCTCTCTTCTTGACTTCAAGTAGCGGATCATTCAAGACCTTCGTCATGGTGTCACGCGCAGACCCAACAGACGGGCCAGCCGCCGCATTCACCCCAACCACGTCCGCGCCCTTCTCCAGCTTCTGATTGTCGGTATCATTCTTCAGTAGGATACCGTCAATGCGCCGCTTGCCCAGAAGGTATCCCTCCATCTCTTCAGAGTAGTGGCCCGTGGCGCTGGATGGCGCCTGATACATCCAGTCGACTCGGGTGTGCTGCGCGGTCTTGCCGGAGGATTCTTGCAGGCGCTGGAGTTCCTGAATCTGGCGCTCTTCTTCGCGTTCGCGCCGCAGCTGTTCAACCTTCTTGCGCTCGTCCAGCGCCCGCTTCTCTTGCGCCCATACGCGCTCCTGGTTGCGGAGCAGCGATGGATGCCATGACCTGCGGCTGGGGTCAGCAACGCTGCCTTTCTCTCGAAACTGGATTTCTCATGCGTGAATAAGATATTGGGAGAAGTAAAAACTCACTTTTTCAAGTTCAGATCGCCACCCATTTTGGAGACTGCACGGAAAGCTGTGACGTTGCGAAGCTGAGGTTGGAAGATGGCTGCCCGATGGGGAAATGGTCATCCACCCTCACCGTGGCCTGAGGCATAATAGTATCACGTGACCGGGCTGGATGCAGCCTTGGAAATGTCTCGCCCTATCTACATTGCCTGGCCGCGAAGGCTTCACAAATTTCCTTGATTCGCCTTCGAGAACCTTAAGCGTACCAAAGTCGTTTTAAGAGCCCACAGCTTCCCAGCTGACACACATTGACTCACATGCCACGAAAACTTCGTGTTATTATATGACATTCAACCCTTGTACTCGGAATATGAGATGTTTTTATACATCCATACCAGTCCAAGCAGCGTATCCTTCAAATGGGACGGGAATTCTATTTGAATATCGTTATTCTGGTGCACAAACTTCTCAGATTCCTAATTCAAGTGTCATTACCTCAAAAGTACATGGACAGCTGCGCCGTCCACATCTCAGGATCTACAGTTTCCGAAGATGAATCGAAATGGATACATTGCAAAATAGATACAGGGCAATGGAGAACATGGAAGAAATCAAAGCAGTGCAGAAAGCATTGATCATGCAGAATTTACCTGGGGTGAACACAAGGAGAAAGGGGGTGGGCAAAAAAGGGGTGTGCACGCTCGCTCAATTCTCCATCAAAAACAAACCATTCCGGCTACTTCATTACCACATAAGCAGGAAGTGTTTCAACGCGCAAGAGGAAAGGGTAGGGATGGGGGGAAAACCAGGATGGAAAGGGGAAAGAAAGATATAGGAGGGAGGGAGAACGCGACCGACTATAAACTCGTACATGATCCCTCCCCGATCTAGAGCGCGATGATTATCCTCCCGGTGTGTGAGATGAAGGACGTCCAAGTGGTACGCTCATTTGATAGACTCCCAGCCCACCCAGCTGCGCGGCATCACGCGCCAGACCTTGCACTCGCCACTGCGGAGGTCGTTGAGCTTGAAGCTCTCCATCTTGACCTTCTTGCTCTCACGTCCCTGCTCCCACGCCCGGATCTTCTTCTTTGTGCCATCCCAGTCGACCACAATACCGACGTGGTCGGGCTTACCCACCTCAGCACTGTACTTCTGGTGCATAGTGCCGCGATGGCCCTGGAAACGGGCGTTGCGGAAGCTAACAATGTCACCGGCGCGGATCTCGTCGTTCTGCGAAACGGACGCATTGGCCAGGTTTGAGTAGACCAAGGCGCCATATGCGCGGGTTCCGATGGGAAGCAGGGCATCAGATAGAGGGCTCAGGAGGTGCTGAACTAATCCGAAAGGAGTGCCATCTCCCACAGTAGAGTTTTGGATCGCGTTGACGGACTCTGAAATTCGGGTTCCATGCTGAAGGTGCGCCTGCTCCAGCTGATCCTGGCGGGGCTGAAGGGGAGGAGGTTCATGACGCTGCTCTAGGGAGACATCTGCAGGGTTCTTTGCATCGAACTGGACTGTCACCACGGTTTGCGAGTAGTCCATGAAGAGAACATAAACGTCCTTGGACACGGTTGTCTTGCCACCTCGCTTCGAGGATGAAGATTCCTCCACTTCGAAGAGGATGTCCTTCCGGTTATGGAAAGCGGGAGGAATCGTCTTGGGCTGGGCCCACCACAAACTGCTCTCCGCAAGATCAATATCGGTGGCTATGAAACCCTGATCGACAGAGGGACGAGAAACATCCATCGACCGCCGCTGGGCACGCATCATATCCATGGACGCTCGCCCACTTCGGGACGCGGAAGGAGATGGCAGGGCCGGAGCCTGGCTCTGTGGGGGGAGTGGCGGTACCAAACTAAGTCGATTTTCATGATGCGAAGGAGGGTGTTCATGCGAGGGGCTTTGGATGGGAGATGCCTCATACATATCGTCATAGTTCTCGGCCACTGTCTGCGGAGGAGGAGGGGGCGGGGCCTCTGGACGTCCGCTAGGTGGAGGCGGAGGAGTAGGCAGGCCATGTTGGGGAGCAGAATAGTTGAACGGATCATAATCGTCATCATTATCGCTGTCATGAGGAGCTACCTTAGTTGGCGGTAGTGGAGGCGGACCTCTAGGCGTATCCATGGAAGCACGAGCACTTCGTGGTGGTTGGCTTGGTGGCGGAGGTGGAACTCCTCGAGGAGCAGCAGTGGGCGGGAGTGGCGGAGGCTGGCGGGATTCTTGTGGACTTCGTGGGGATTGAAGGGAATGGTCATCGGTGATTGTGCCCTCGTCAAAGCTCGAGTCACGCTCGTGGGCCCTCAAAGCATCCTTGAATTTGGCTCCGGACGCAATATCAGTATCGTAATCTCCGTCGTATTCCGTCACCTCTCCTTCAACATCTTCTCCAGCCTGCCGAGGGGCACTCCCGCGGCTGTCAGCCGTCGACCGTCGACGAATAGGACCTGGGGGTGGAGGGGGCGGAGCACGGCCTTGTGCCACGGGAACGGGTGGGTTTGTCGGAATTGGAGGAGGTGGGCGGCTTGCTCTCTTCTCGGAAGTTGAGGTTGAACTCAAGGCTGGCGTCGGGTCGTACGTCGTGAATTGACGAGAATCCAGATGGTCAGGAATAGCAGGCGCAGGCACTGCTGGCGCCTGACCAGACTCATTCAAGGACAAGCTCTTCGCATGGACTGATAGCTCGTCATCAGATTCATCACCAGTTGACGGTCTAGGCGGAGGAGGAGCGGGTCGACCTGATAATGATTTTTAGTATTAGTGTCGGGGGGGTACATGGTCAGAACTGGGTGAAAACCTACCCCCTGGAACTGGAGGCGGCGAAGTTGGCTGTTCAACCGGAGCAGGAGGCGGAACAGGCCGCGATGCCGGTAGCGGAGGAGCGGGAGCAGAGCGTTCTGTGAAAGGCTGTCAGTGAATTGTTACTTATGCTAAAGACTGATTGGGTATCTTACCAGTGGGAAGGGCCGGGAGAGAGCGATCAGTAGAACGACGAGGTGGGGCACCTTCATGGACGACCTCCTCGACATCTGGGACCTGTTGTGGAGGATGTTGCTCAGACACCGGGGTCGCCAGGGGCTCCTCCTCCTCCTTCTCCACATCAACGGGAGGAGGCTTGGTGCTGATATTCATTCCAGCCAAAGGAACCATAGGTACAGGAGGAGCATGGGTAGGCGAAGTCGGTTCGGGCTCAGCAAGCCTCTTCTCAGATTCACCAGGAGTCTTGGGCTTGCGAGCCCCGGAAGGAGGGGCCATCCCTGGTAGACCACCGGGTGGCCCGAAGAGTCCCATCATGCCCATACCGCCACTCATCTTGGCCATTCGAGCACGAAGTTCCATTCTGCGCTTGGTTTCAGGATCCATCTCCTCTTCCTCCTCGTCTTCTTCTTCCACATCGGCCTCTTCGCCCTTTTGCTCAATCGTGTAAGTTGAGTGTCGATGAGAACGCTCATCTTCGTCCTTGCTTGTGGAAGTCTCCCCCGCATCCTCGGAGTCTGCAGCTGCGGAGTAGTCGGCATCATTCGATTCGCTTGCTATTTCTTCTGGCTGTGATAAGGGAGCGGGCTGTGCCGGCGGTTCCTTTGCACGCACAGTGTCGACACTGGGGTCCCGTACAGTCCCCGCAGCTTCAACGGGCGTAATCTCCTCCTCCACCTCAGCTGCAGTGGGTTCTGTAGGTTGTTCAACGGGTTTCTTCGAAGGCTTGGGCTTCTCCTTCCTCTGGGCGGCCTCTGCATGGCGCTGAGCCTGCTCCAATTGCTGCTTTTGCAAAAGAGCAATGCGGTCCTTGAGACTAGTCGGCTTCGGCTGGCCCTCTACGCCCTCCTCGGGTTCTTGCGTGGGAGCAGGAGCAGGCGGGGGCGGGCGAGTCTCAGAAACTGGAGGCTCACGAGCAAGTTGCTCCCTAACATCGGGGTCCTCTTCCCTCTTGTAGACTTTGGGAGCAGGCTCCCTTGGCGGGGCCACGAAGGAGTCTTTGCTAGGAGGCGGGGCCACGAACTGTTTCTTGATAAAGGAACTCGACTGTGCGGGGCCACCGGGTTTGAATGGTGCAATTGGCGCGGCAGCGGACTGATTGAAGGCAGCGATTCGATCTCTGAAGGACGATGCTGAGGGTTTATCTGCCACGATTGGGGGGGGAGGCTTGGACGACTTGGCCACGGGAGGAGGAGCGGGGGCCGCAGCCGCGGCAGCAGGCTTAGAAGCTGGAGCTGGCTGCGAAGGCGAGGATGGAACTTCAACGGCTGGACTCGAAACCACCAGCGGGGACTGAGGGGGCTCCTGTTCCTCCGCGACGGGTTGCTCCGCAACCTCGGGCTCCGCCTGCGGCTGGCTCTCGGTTACAGCAACGGCGGATTCCACGGGGACAGGCTCGGGTTCTTTCTTCGGTCTGTTCGGGCGCGTCGGTCGGGGAGGAGCGGGAGGCTCATATCGCTCGATGAAGTTTTTCGGGAAGATGCCCTCTTGTTTGGCCCCGGAGCCGTCTGTGTATTCACCGAAGTACCAGTCGTCATCCTCCACAGCGGTGACCGTTAGGATTTGGCCGATTGGGAAGGGAAGGTCGTCATCGTGGCCCGACGCATACTCGAAAACCGCTCGGACCGTAAAAGGCGGGCTGGACATCTGGCCAGTCGAAACCGACGTTCGGAGAGACGGAGAGGGAGTGGGTGGTGGTGGTAGAGGATCGAGGACGCTAAGCAACAGACGTGGGAAGAGCACTCAGGGTGAGAAACGGTATACGGCCAAGCACCAGTGCTGATACCTCCGGCATGCAGTGGTATATGAGGCGGGCGAGAAAGAATTTCCTTTGGCGGTCGGGAGTCCGGGATCAGCTTGGATGACGAGTGTTGATGAGTGGTGCCTAGGAGAGGGGAGGGGGTGGGCAGCAGGGCTCCGGAACATAACTCACAGGGAATAGGAGAAATGGGGGTGGCCCTCACCGAGGGGGTCGCGATTGAGATTGAAAATCGATGCAAGAGGGAGACCAGTTTAGAGAAACACCGGATGGAGAGGGAGGGGGTGGGAAGGATGAAGTAGTGAGGTGGTCGTCACTTGGCGGGATGAGGGAGAGGCTCCACTGACGATCGGCGGCTAATAAGTAACAAGAACCAGGGTACGCGCAGTACAAGGAACTTGGGTACTTGGGTGCTTCGGAACCTGGGGCACCTGCAGTTCTCTCGAACAGCTCGAGACGGCAGGGTGAAACTGGAGGGTGTTTGATATTGTTTTAAATTTCCCCCTCGCCCCTCCGGTCTATCGAAGGTATAGACCGCTTCTCGGGGAAGAAGCTCTCCCACCACGATATTCTGCCCCCTCGAAGGGGATTATAAAAAAAATATTTTTGGGGGTCACTTCTTCGTTTCGCTTTCATTCCTAGGCACTCCAAAAGTTTGAAACCCCCAGGCTTTTGGAAAGTACCGGATAGTGCCTTCGGACCTGCGCCAAGATTTCATTCGAAAGATAGCTAGAAAAGGTAGTAAAACGACATCTCAAAGACACTCCCCTAGAGTCGAAGCTGAACCATCCAGTGCTAGGGCTTTTGTCAAGTCACTGTGTTCAGATTTTGAGATGCCACTGTACCGGGGGACCAGGGGTCCACCATCTCATCCAAACAGTCCAACTTCTGCCCAAGCATACGTCAGAAGCTTATAGGGGACCGACCAGTTGCGGTGCTCTCTCTTATTGGCGACATCATCCGCGGGTTTGCCTCTTCCGCTTCCACGCCCGAACCGCAAAATTTCGAGCTTGCCTGTGTTGGCTCTTAGCACCTCGCCCGCCTGAATTTCACCTACATTGAAGCTTGGAGCTTTTCCTTTTGAATCCCACAGCATGGCTACACAGCAAGGGTCATCGAAATCCACCCTGAAGACGTCTCTCCCTTCCGCATATGCCGCCGTGCAGGCCGAGCAGCCCGTCGACACATCGCAACACCCGTCGCAGGAGGAGCAAGAAAAGTATCTATCAGGCCGACCCCGCGCGACTCCTCAGCACCTGGGAGTTGCTCTTCAACATGCACATCAGATCCAGGCTCAAAAAGACGCCGAGAACATGATCCTAGACCGCATTATCGAGCTGCTTGCGCTCCCCTCGTCTCCGTCCGCCGACCCGGCGGCACCTTCGGCGGCCGATGCGCAGGCCTTTAAATCAGCCCTCCTCGACTTCCGACCAAGCGACTACGATAGTTACATCATGGAACGCAACAACGAGGATCTCTGCGGCTACGGCCTTTGCCGGCGCGAGCATGGCAATGCCAGGAGAGGGAAGGACCAGATATTCCAGTTCAAGTGGGGAGCCAAGGGGAGCGGACCGGGTGGCCGGGGACGCAGTATGGATATTGTGCCTCACGAGAAGCTGGAGAAGTGGTGCTCCGACGAGTGTGCAGAGCGCGCGCTCTTTATCCGCGTGCAACTCACCGAACAGCCGGTGTGGGAGAGGCGGGGTAATGCCAGCCGGGGCATGAACATCGAATTGCTGGAGGAAGCTCGTGCCAAAGGGCCAAAGCGAAGAACCGAAGGCTCGACTTCGGCGGCGGCTGTGACAGCCGAGATGAAAAATCTCAACCTCCAGGATCCCGGGCGCTCGCAGGAACTCGCCATGGAGCGCGGGGACAGTGGTCGGTCGCCTCGCGGAGCGCGGGTGGATGTCCGGATCAAGGAAAAGGATCAAAGCATGGCTGCTAGCGCTCCGGAGTGGCGACCAGAGGATGCCACAGGAGGCTCGATTGAGGGATATGTACCCCAAAACCGGCGAGACAAGGACGCAATGGATCTTGATTCAGGCGATTTGCTTGATCAAATCTAGTACATGGCATGGAGGCCAGGGCATATTTGGCGGCGTTTTGGGCGTTTTACTGACCATACTCTACAGACAACTGATACCATACCATAGGCAGCATGAAAAGCTTCTACGATAACCATATCTCAAACGTGATCTTTGACTGCAAGATGGTGGAACATCGTTGCGTAGTCGCGACCCATGGTCTCGAGACTCTCAAACGAGAAATAGTTCAAGAGCTCCTACGTACTTGAACTCCGGGAGATATGATTTCCTCCCAAGAGCAAACACACGAGGGACAAGTAATTGGCAATCAAGCGTCATTTCCATCAGGAAAATCGGCGACACCTTTGTCAACGGGAATCATGTTTTTTCATTCCTCATCCATAAAAAGCCTCCATTTTAGCTAAAACCATAGAAGCCGGGGTCGCGGACACGCCAGGAGTCGGCCGAAGACAAAAAGACTTTTTTGTTTTCTGGGGTGGTCATCCAGAGCGCTGGGTTTAGCGAGGACCGAAGCGGCGGGGGCGGTCAGCCTGCTGCTGCTGAGAGACGGGGACGACGTTGACCTTGAGGTTGTCGAACTGTGGATCGCAATGTTAGAGGAATTTGGAGGACACATGATGGACAGGTCCACTTACGCCGAGGGTCTTGAGCAGGTCCTTGGTGTCGGCATCAACGTCGAGCTGGCCGGACTCGGTCTGGGAGACATCCAGAGCGGAGACCTCAGGGACGTACTGGTCCTTGCGCTCACGCTCCTCCTCCTGGAGCTTGAAGGAGATACCGCGGACAGGGCCACGCTGGATACGCTTCATCAGGTGGGTGGTGTAACCAGCGATCTGTACAAGGAATCTAGTCAGTTTCTGCGCGCCCGAGTGCATTTTCACCTCGTTCGGTGGTAGATGTTTGTCGTACCTTGTTGCGAAGACGCTTGGAGGCAATGATGGCGATCTCATCGCAGATGCGCTTGTTGGTCTCGAAGTCGAGAGTGAGCTTGGGGTAGTAGCGCTCAATGATGACCTTGGCGGACCGCTTAACGGTCTTAGTACGGACGCGACCCATTTTGGCGGTTGTTGGCTGGACGGATGTTCAGTGAGAAAGTCCAACTTGGAAGCCGATCGGGATGGGGTCTACTGGCGCACTCGCTAATTCTTTGTGTGGGTCCTTGCCCTACTCCAGCCCTAATTAATCACGTGCAGATAGACCGCTATATATACGATTATGTAATACAGTATTCTGCCGGGCGGTCCAAACGACTCAAGTCAGGTGTGTACGAAGTAGATTCCGTGATCAACGAGAACGACGCTGGTCTACACGACGCTACGGTGGATGGTGCTAGGCGGGGGCCACAATTGAACAAGTATGAAATTTGATGGATTTGGTTTATATCACAGGTTCAGAAGGGTAATGAGAGTAGCTTTACACAAGCCCCTATTCTAGTCGTACAAATCTTTGCGATGTCTCGCTCGCTAAATCTTTCTCCAACAACCGCTCATGAACTCCGGCGCTTGCTCTTTGGGCCTGCGCTCAAATCGTTCATGAGAAGGCGGGCAATATCTTCGGTGCCCTTCATGGGCTGTCTCCCGGTCTGCGGTCGTTGCTGGTATCGGGGTCGGTCCAGACGGGGCACCATGTTAGCGTGGCGATGGGCAGCATCGGTGATGCTGGCAGCGCCCGGCTTCTTGTAATCTTCGATACCGTAAGGTGCCTTGGAAGCAGCACCCGCACGGTACGAAGAAAGACCGATTCTACCCTCCGAGTCGACAGCAGCACGGATCGGGGTGACCCAGTACTTGGCTCCTCCGGGGATGGTGGCATCGAAGAAAGTCAGGCCAGGGGGAGAACCTTGGTCCATGAAAGTCATGGCATTCAGGTCTTCCACGGCAATACCACCAATACCTGCTATAGCGCGCGACATCCGTCCGCGGAATCGGCCCTTCGGACGCAGGATACGGGCCTCCACAGGACGCTGATAGGCTTGGGGACCGTATTGCGGGTGGTTGTATGTCAAAGCGTGTGAGCGGGTGTATGATAGACCGGCCGATGGGTGTGTCTTAGGAGGACCAGTCACGGCATATTCAGGCGCGGAAAGCTTCGTTCCGGGGGACTGGTAGTACTTTCGCCCAATTCGCTCGCTGGGCACAGCAGGCGACGAGGGAAGATCCAGCAATTCGAAAACAACCGGGCCGAGGGCAAACGGATCGGCACGCAGGGTCTTGATGTATGTTTGGAACTCCTCGTCAGTCACCTTGGACGGCTGGAGGGTTTTTAAATCCTCCCCATTGTCCTGCGCCTGCTTCCGGGCCTCTGCGTTGCGCTTGGCCACGAACCGCTCACGCAGCTTTTGCAGCAACTCGGGCTTCTTGCGGGTCATCTGGCTCAGGTAGGCAGCAAACTCTGCCTGAGTCATACCAGCAAGCCAAGGACCAGAGTGTCGGTATTGTTTGGCTCCCGGCTCTCCGAGACCCTTGCTGGTCTCGGTGTTATCGACGTGCGTCTCGAATGGACTCTGATGTCTGGGGACAATGCTTGTCGCGTAATTGACCTTGGCGGGCAGGGACATGGGCATGTGCAGCTCCTGAAACTTCTCGAGGGTCATCGTGTGATCGGCTGCGGACTCGAAGTCGGTGACATGTTCGTAGGTGTCCAGGGCGTGAAGGCGAACGATGGGCCTCGATGATTTCTCCGATGTCGACTTAGCTGGTAGAGCTCTCTTCAGACCCCAATCGCCTCTGGCGAGCGACTTTTGCGGTGTCACAATTGAGGCCCGGATAGGGTGAGGAAGTGTTGCAGTGTCCGACTCGAACACAGCCCTGGATGATGGGGGGTCTTGAGGAGGCTGCAAAGCCTGCGGAAGTGCGAACAACCGCGACTTCCGTAGAAGATTCGCCGTTGGCGACAGCCTGGCGGTCGCCATATTGTTCAATGCCGGATGGGAATGGAGCTGGACGGGATCGCGCGAGGAAAAGTTGACCTGGGCCACGGGCCAAGCCGATACGGTGAGCCACAACAACCGAGAGCGCAACTCCGGTTGTACTGAGACAACTGCTTCTTTTACTTTTACTCTGTACACATACTTCGTATAATGAGGATGAATACCCCACACCCACGGATACCCCAGTTGACTGATCGTGATATTAAATTGATCGGGAGCTAATTGGAAATTAAGCACCAACTTCCTGCAAAGAGCTGATTGTGTCAGAGACAGTCTCCTCGAAGGGCCTATACTTGATTCCCAGAACATCCTTTGACCTGCTGTTGTCAATCTTGTAAATGTCCGACGGTAAGTCACTCGGCGAATCTTTGGCAGGAAGTTTGGATTCCAATTCTGGATGGGTCTTCCGGGCAATATCTACAATTTCCTTATTCGTAAAGTACCCAGCAGTGACAAAGAATCTCTGGCCACCAGCCTCAGGGACTTCAATGGCCCTGACATGTGCAAGCGCCACATCGCGAACATCAACATAGATGAATATCCCCGTCGGAGGAAGCTGTTCCTTCATCTGGCCCTGGATGAGGTTCCGGAATCGCTGGTTGGAAGTGTTGATGGCCTCGAGGGAGTTCAGGTAATGAACGATCGGGCCAAACACTAGTGGAGGGTTGATAGTAGCAATGTCGAAGTTCGGCTTCTCCTTCTCAACAAATTCCCAGGCGGCCTTCTCGGCGAAGGTCTTGCATAAAAACATCGATCAGCTCATTCCGTGCTTCTTTCAATTGGCACGATCTTACCTTGCTGGCCCGGTAGACATTAGAATGATCGAGTGCCTCCTGCCAGGTGACTGGGTTCCATTCCTTCTCACTATAGACCTTCGGGTGTTGTTTGGGATTCACAATGGCAGCAAATGATGAAGTGACAACAACTCGCTTTACGGTAGGAGCATGGGCCTTAATTGCCTTCAGTATGCCGGTAGTTCCCTTGATCGCAGGATCTAGGAAGTCTTTCACAGGATCCTGAACATTGAAATGGAAAGGGGATGCGGTGTGAAGGACATAGTCGAATGGAGGGTCGGACTTGACAGCCTATTCGAGAGTATTAGTCTGTGAATAGTAGCTATTTTATACATAGCCTGCTCACCTCGTCGAATGCTCCATCTTGAGCTACGTCTTTAACAATCACATAGGAGAGCTTCTCCTTGGGCGTATCCGGGTGGTTGTCAAGGATTCGCTTGCCTTTGTCAGCCGAGCGGACCGTGAACACAGTATCGAAGCTGAGGAGTCGAATTGATTAGCTAGAACAACTGCTGTCATTTGCAACGCTCATACCCATGCTGTATTAGAATATCAACTATGTGGGCGGCGATAAAGCCGCTACCGCCTGTTCCAATCAGTTGAATCTATGACGTGTAGGCAAGTGGAGGAGTTCAGGTTGAATGCGTACCAGTCAAGAGAACTTTCACCATGTTTGCTGACTGAAATCAAAGACCAAATCAAGTTGCTTCGAGAATATGAAAATAGATAAGAGAAAGTATGCGGGGAACCGAGGGCCACTCTGGCTTTTATGGTCCCGATGAGACCATGCCCCTCGATCCCGTCATCGCTTCCCCACCTAGCAGATTGGGACACTGCCGATTACAAATAAACATTGAGCAGACACAACGGCCTTCCATTTTGAATTCAGGATTTAGTGGCTTGTTAATACCGGGTAACTCCGCCTGTGAGGTGGCTAATTCCACTTCAAAGGAAATAATTAGGAATACAAGCACATAGTCGTCATTACCCTAACACCGTTATCGTCGGAAATATGGAGTTATGCCGATACTATATCCACGTTACACAGGATCGTTGGTCTATGCCTTATCGGCACAGATCATAATGTCATAAAGTCCCAAGGAGGCCTGTCAGATCGCGGTGACAACTACCGGAAGACTGGTTCATTGTTTTACACCATACTACAGAACAGTTAAGCCTTAGTAGGGTCGGGATAGAGGCGCCCGACTACACTCGCTGAGATGATGGGGCCGTCCCCTTAGATAGGAAGGCGGTCTGATACTGCCACCGATGTGGGTATATCAAGACATTTAAGGTGATCAATTCTGTCCTTCGGGACATTTGGTCAAATGAAAATATACAGAGAAGATTAGCATGGCCCCTGCACTAAGGATGACACGCTCAATCAAAGAGAAGCTACCAGTTTTTTTTTCATTCCCTGCCCATCGTCGAGGTAGGAAAGCCCAGTGAAGTTTTGGCTACCGGAGTTCGAACCGCCACCAGCACGAAGTGAAAGTCTTTTTTTACTATGTACTCTGAGTAGCAAATGAGTGTCACCAGGGCCAGAAGGTTTCCTGAAAGTCCTGCAGATGATCTTAGTAGGTGAACTAGCATATGACACATTACTTCACGAGAGCTGGACCGCATATTGGAAATTAAGCCTCTGGTTATGGCCTATTATGTAAGAGCCAATTGTCACTGATTTTTCTGGCTTGGCCTAACTCAAGCAGACCTATTGTTCATGTATACACTTCCGTATCTACCCCTGGTCTGTACTGGACTTGAACCAATCCGATAAGCAGTGGGTTATTTGAAGTTGTAGCCTCTCCTGAAGCCGATCGCCGCTCTGCACCACAGCATACTACATAGGTGAGCGTGATGAACAGACGGCCTAACCTCTAATTTACACACACAAATGATATGTATTATGTCAAGCGGCAATGTTTGTTCCTTTGCATGCATGGCTCATACATGGCTTGGATTTCGCCGGCAAGACGATGTAGCCTTATTAGTGCCACTTTCTGTGTCTTTAAGCATCATCTATAGGGTGTCCCTATCTAGAAGAATGCCACTGACCCATTGATAACCACTGAGAGAAGAATTTTTGAAAATTAGCACTCGACAGAAGATCGAGAGTCAGTCTGCACGGTATTTGCTGCTTAGCTTTGTCTGCTTCGTTCAGGCCGCGACCAGGCAGGAGCGGTGCCCGCCTGCAGTTTCGTGGTCTGTGCACCCCGGTTGACCTGAGGCTAACACATGACCCTCCTCCCTCATCCGACTCCATGCGCCCTCGCCTCTGTTTTACATTCTAGAGGCTGGCTTCCAATGTCCACTCTGGGGCGTGGCTCGCAAACATGGCGCAATCGAGTCCTATTACCGACGTGACGCAACGGTTGTTTGCGGAGCTGAAGTCGAAGAACGATGATACCAAGGCCCGAGCTGCCTTTGAGCTCCACGACAACGTCGTCGCAGTCTCCCGAGGTATATCGCCGTGCTTTCGGACCTTGTGAGCTCACGGATTCTAGCTGACATTTTGGTCCCTTTGCAGATTGGCCCTCGGAGAAGTTCAACGAGTTTTACAACGCGGTCAGCCAGAGAATCGCGCAGCTGGTGGTGACAGGCAACGATGCCAATGAGAGGGTCGGCGGTCTCCTCGCCCTCGACCGACTGATCGATTTCGACGGGGTGGATGCCGCCCAGAAAACCACTCGATTTGCCAGTTACCTCCGAAGCGCCCTTCGAAGCAACGATAATGCAGTATTAATATGTGCAGCCCGGTCGCTGGGGAGGCTGGCGAAGCCTGGCGGGGCACTGACGGCTGAGTTGGTGGAAAGTGAGATCCAATCCGCCCTGGAGTGGCTTCAGTCAGAGCGCCAGGAAAGTCGACGATTCGCAGCCGTGCTAGTGATTCGGGAGCTAGCTAAAGGCTCGCCGACGCTGCTCTACGGCTTTGTGCCCCAAGTCTTTGAGCTTGTCTGGGTCGCTCTTCGGGATCCGAAAGTCCTCATTCGAGAGACTGCTGCACAGGCTGTGGGCGAATGCTTCGAAATAATTGTTGCTCGAGATTCGTCGGTCCGTCAATCATGGTTCGCGAGAATTTATGAGGAAGCGTTGCTAGGTCTGAAATCCCATAATGTGGACTGGATTCATGGGTCTCTCCTTATCCTCAAAGAGCTATTTTTGAAGGGCACAATGTTCATGAAGGAGCATTACCGAAATGCCTGTGAAATTGTGCTTCGCCTCAAGGATCATCGGGATCCCAAGATTCGTACACAAGTCGTCCTCACCATCCCTATTCTCGCATCATATGCCCCTGCCGACTTCATTGAATTCTACCTTCATAAATCCATGGTCTACCTCCAAGCACAACTCAAAAGAGACAAGGAAAGGAACGCGGCATTCGTTGCTATTGGCAAGATTGCCAACGCAGTGGGACCCGCCATTGGCGGATACCTTGATGGGATCATAATTTACATTCGCGAGGGGCTTGCAATGAAGGCGTGAGTCTTAATATAAAAGGTTCTTCTAGAATTCCAGCTAACCCGCAACAGGAGAAACCGGTCAGGCGTCGATGAAGCCCCCATGTTCGAGTGTATCAGTATGCTTTCGCTGGCAGTCGGGCAAACCCTCAATAAACACATGGAGCACTTGCTTGATTCAATCTTTGCATGTGGTCTCAGCAAATCATTGACGCAAGCTTTGGTCGACATGGCTCACTATATTCCTCCTATCAAGCCTATAATCCAAGACAAACTTCTGGACATGCTAAGCATTATCCTTTGCGGGACGTCATTTCGGCCACTTGGATGTCCAGAGAATCGACTCCCCCTGTACCGTCATTTGCAAGAGATTTTGGACCCCAAGAAAGCTACTCCGATGCTGAGATTGCTCTCGCCCTCCACACACTGGGCAGCTTCGACTTTTCTGGTCATATTTTGAACGAATTTGTGCGCGATGTTGCTGTCAACTACGTCGAGAATGACAACCCCGATATTCGAAAAGCATCAGCTCTCACGTGTTGTCAACTGTTCGTCCATGACCCGATTATCAACCAGACTAGTGGTCACTCAATTCAGGTTGTCAGTGAAGTCATTGACAAATTATTGACTGTTGGTATCGGTGATCCGGACCCTGAGATCCGACGCACAGTTTTGTGGTCTCTAGATCGCAAGTTTGATCGTCATTTGGCCCGCCCAGAAAACATTCGCTGCTTGTTCCTCGCGGTCAATGATGAGGTCTTTGAAGTGAAGGAAGCTGCGATCTGCATCATCGGTCGTCTTTCCAGTGTGAACCCAGCTTATGTCTTCCCACCGTTGCGGAAGCTGCTGGTCAATCTACTGACAGGACTCGGGTTTGCGAACACTGCCCGCCAAAAGGAAGAGACTGCCCAGCTCATCAGCTTGTTTGTCTCGAATGCGACCAAATTGATCAGATCATATGTCGACCCCATGGTAACAGCACTGCTGCCCAAAGCGACAGATAGCAATCCAGGCGTCGCCGCTACCACACTCAAGGCTGTAGGAGAGCTTGCCAACGTTGGTGGCGGAGAGATGAGACGTTACTTGCCGCAGATCATGCCTATCATCTTGGAGTCCCTTCAGGATCTTTCCTCTCACACCAAGCGGGAAGCCGCCCTGCGGACTCTGGGTCAACTGTCTGGAAATGCTGGATACGTAATCGAACCATATCTCGAATACCCTCATCTGCTTGACGTCTTGATCAATATCATCAAGACCGAACAAACAGGCTCTCTGCGAAAAGAGACAATTAAGCTAGTTGGCGTGCTTGGTGCTCTCGATCCCTACAAGTACCAGCAGATCAGTGATGTGGAGCCTGATGTTCACCATATCAACGAAATTCAGAACGTCTCGGACGTTGCCTTGATCATGCAGGGTCTCACGCCATCGAATGAGGAGTACTATCCCACGGTGGTTATTCACACGCTACTTCAGAATATCCTGAGAGAAAATTCGCTGGTGCAGTACCACTCGGCCGTGATTGATGCGATTGTCACCATTTTCAAGACTCTGGGCTTGAAGTGTGTTCCATTCCTCGGGCAGATCGTTCCTGCATTCATATCGGTCATCAGAAGTTCTCCTCCTAGCCGACTTGAATCCTATTTCAACCAGATGGCTATCTTGGTCAACATTGTGCGCCAGCACATTCGTGCCTTCCTGCCTGAAATCATCGACGTAATACGTGAGTTCTGGGATGCATCATATCAGGTCCAGGGTACCATTTTGTCCCTGGTGGAAGCCATATCCAGGTCCTTGGAGGGGGAATTTAGAAAGTACCTTGCTCGCCTGATTCCTTTGATGCTTGATACCCTTGAGAAGGATACTACACCACGCCGTCAGCCTTCAGAGAAAATCCTGCACGCCTTCCTGATTTTCGGCTCGAGTGGCGAAGAATATATGCATCTGATCATTCCTGCCATCGTACGCATCTTTGAACGACCACAACACCCTCAGAGCATCCGCAAGTCGGCCATTGACAGCTTGACCAAGTTGTCACGGCAAGTCAATGTCTCTGACTTTGCTTCCCTTATGGTTCACCCTCTGTCACGGGTTGTGGCCAACGGCGACCGTGTTCTGCGTCAAGCTGCCATGGACTGCATCTGTGCTCTGATCTTCCAGCTCGGTCAGGACTTCACACACTACATTCATCTTCTCAGCAAAGTTCTCAAGCAGCATCAGATTACTCATGTCAATTACCAGATCTTGGTGACGAAGCTTCAGAAGGGAGATCCACTTCCGCAGGATCTTAATCCCGAGGAAAATTATTCATTCCCCTCCGATGATACCAATTTCGCGGAGATCGGACAGAAGAAGATTGTGGTCAACCAGCAGCATCTCAAGAATGCCTGGGATGCTTCGCAGAAGTCCACCCGTGAAGATTGGCAGGAATGGATTCGTCGTTTCAGTGTTGAGCTTTTGAAAGAATCACCCTCACCGGCATTGCGAGCATGCGCCAGTTTAGCGGGTATTTACCAGCCGTTGGCGAGAGATCTTTTCAACGCTGCCTTTGTGTCTTGCTGGACCGAACTGTACGATCAGTACCAAGAGGAGCTAGTCCGTTCCATTGAGAAGGCCCTCACTTCACCGAACATCTCTCCAGAGATCTTGCAGATTCTACTCAACCTTGCTGAGTTCATGGAGCATGACGATAAAGCCCTTCCCATCGACATCCGCACTCTTGGCAAGTACGCCGCGAAGTGTCATGCTTTCGCTAAGGCACTGCACTACAAAGAACTCGAGTTCGAGCAAGACCAGAACTCTGGCGCCGTCGAGGCTTTGATCACCATCAACAATCAGCTCCAGCAGTCCGATGCTGCGATTGGTATCCTGCGTAAGGCACAGGCATACCGAGATGTAGAGCTGAAGGAAACATGGTTTGAGAAGCTGCAGCGATGGGATGAGGCCCTTGCTGCTTACAAGCGACGTGAGAAGACGGACCCAGACTCCTTCGGCATTACCATGGGCAAGATGCGATGTCTCCACGCTCTTGGCGAATGGAAGGTCCTTTCCGATCTTGCGCAAGAGAAGTGGAATCAGGCATCATTGGAACACCGCAGGGCTATTGCCCCTCTTGCTGCTGCCGCTGCATGGGGTCGTGGCCAGTGGGAGCTGATGGATTCGTACTTGGGTGTCATGAAAGAGCAGTCCCCCGACCGATCATTCTTCGGCGCTATCCTCGCTATACACCGCAACCAGTTCGATGAGGCGAACATGTACATCGAGAAAGCACGAAATGGGCTCGATACCGAACTTTCAGCCTTGCTTGGAGAATCATACAACCGGGCTTACAATGTCGTTGTCCGCGTCCAGATGCTTGCCGAACTAGAGGAGATCATCACTTACAAGCAAAACGTTGGTGATCCGGAGAAGCAAGATGCCATGCGGCGGACATGGAACCAGCGATTGCTGGGATGCCAGCAAAACGTGGAAGTGTGGCAGCGCATGCTCAAGGTTAGGGCTCTTGTCACTGCACCGCGTGAGAATCTTGATATGGCTATCAAATTTGCGAATCTTTGCCGCAAGTCCAACCGCATGGGCCTTGCAGAGCGGTCGCTCGCATCCTTGGAGACAGTGGTTACAGATGCCAGTGGCACGCGTACCATCGCCCCCCCGAGGTTACCTATGCTCGATTGAAATTCAGTTGGGCGAACGGAAACCAGCTTGAAGCTCTTGAAATGCTGAAAGAGTTTACTACGGACCTTAGTGAGGACCTTTCCAAGTTCACTACTCTCATAGCGACGCACAACGAACATCACGGAATGAATGGTGTCAATGGCGTCGGAGATCCGAACCACCCAGACGCCACCAGCCTGCGTGAACGGATTGGGGATGTTGGGAAGTTTAGGAAGCTTCTCTCGAAGAGTTACCTCAGACAGGGAGAATGGCAAAGAGCCCTTCAAAAGGGTGATTGGAAAGCAGATAATGTCCGCGAGGTTCTCGGCGCCTACTCAGCGGCCACCCAGTATAACCGCGATTCCTACAAGGCCTGGCATTCTTGGGCTCTTGCAAACTTTGAGGTGGTCCAGGCCATTGGTAGCCAAGTCAGCCAAGGAAACCGTGAGACTAAGCCTGTGCCGATTCCCTCACATTTCGTCACTGAGCATGTCATTCCTGCCATCCGCGGTTTCCTGCGATCAATCGCCTTGTCTTCAACGTCTTCTTTGCAGGATACTCTGAGGTTGCTGACCCTTTGGTTTTCCCATGGTGGTGATCATGAAGTCAACACTGTTGTAACCGAAGGCTTCACTACGGTTAACATTGACACTTGGCTTTCCGTCACCCCACAACTGATTGCGCGAATAAACCAGCCCAACATCAGGGTCCGCGGTTCCGTTCACAGGCTGCTTGCTGAAGTTGGCAAAACCCACCCCCAGGCCCTTGTGTATCCGTTGACAGTTGCTATGAAATCCAATGTCGCCCGCCGCTCGCAATCTGCCAGCAATATCATGGAAAGCATGCGACAACACAGCGCCAAACTCGTCGAGCAGGCCGATCTCGTTAGTCACGAATTGATCAGAGTTGCTGTGCTATGGCATGAGCTTTGGCATGAAGGTCTGGAAGAGGCGTCCCGTCTCTACTTCGGTGATCATAATGTTGAGGGCATGTTCGCGACCCTCGCACCTCTTCATGACATGCTTGACAAGGGTGCGGAAACCCTCCGCGAAGTCTCGTTTGCTCAAGCCTTCGGACGCGATCTTGCAGAAGCCAAGCACTACTGCATGCTCTACCGCCAATCCGAGGAAATTGGTGACTTGAACCAAGCCTGGGACCTTTACTACACCGTGTTCCGCAAGATCAGCCGACAGCTCCCGCAATTGTCCATCCTCGATCTCAAATACGTCTCTCCGCGTCTCAAGGACTGCTCAGGTCTAGACCTGGCCGTGCCTGGAACATACCAAAGTGGCCGCCCGATTATCTGTATCGTGAGCTTTGATCCTATTCTGCATGTCCTGCAGACCAAGAAGAGGCCAAGACGGATGACACTCAAGGGAAACAATGGAAACTCCTATATGTATGCTCTCAAGGGCCACGAAGATATCCGACAAGATGAGAGAGTCATGCAGCTCTTTGGGCTGGTCAACACCCTTCTCGACAACGACAGTGAAAGCTTTAAGCGCCATTTGTCTGTTCAGCGTTTCCCTGCTATCCCATTGTCGCAAAGCTCTGGCCTGCTAGGATGGGTGTGTAACAGTGACACATTGCATGCTCTTATCAAGGAGTACCGAGAGAGTCGCCGCATTCTGCTCAACATCGAGCATCGGATCATGCTTCAGATGGCTCCGGATTATGACAGCCTCACCCTCATGCAGAAGGTCGAGGTCTTCGGGTATGCTATGGATAACACCACTGGCAAAGATCTTTATCGGGTACTGTGGCTCAAGAGCAAGAGCTCTGAGGCTTGGCTTGAGCGACGCACTAACTACACCCGATCTCTCGGTGTCATGTCCATGGTTGGATACATCCTTGGTTTGGGTGATCGTCATCCTTCCAATCTGCTGCTTGATCGTACAACTGGCCGTGTTGTCCATATCGATTTCGGCGATTGCTTCGAAGTGGCTATGCACCGCGAAAAGTACCCCGAACGAGTTCCGTTCCGCCTGACCCGTATGTTGACCTTCGCGATGGAGGTTAGCAACATTGAAGGAAGCTACCGTATCACCTGCGAGGCTGTCATGCGTGTTCTTAGGGAGAACAAGGATTCCCTTATGGCCGTTCTAGAAGCTGTAAGTTTTCCTCTTGGTTTTATTTATCGTCTTCTCTTTTCCTTTCTCTTTCCCTTCCCTATCTTCTTTTTTCTATCTTCATTGTACATCACTATTGCTGCAACTTCTGACTTCAATTTTCCAGTTCATTCACGATCCTTTGATCAATTGGCGCCTGGGTGCGCAAGAGTCCCCGGACCGGACGACACTCACTGCCGAACGCCGCCAGTCAATTATCGAAGGTCTCAATTTCGAACACGGTGTGCAGCCGAACAGCTTCTCTCGCCCCCGTCGACCTTCCATCCTGGAAGGCGGCATTCTCGATACGCAAGAAGGTGGAGCTGAGGCCCGCGAAGCACAGAACGCTCGTGCCCTCCAGGTTCTCGCCCGAGTCAAAGAAAAGCTGACTGGTGCCGATTTCAAACACACCGACGAGCTCAATATCAGCGACCAGGTCGACAAGCTCCTTGCTCAGGCTACCAGCGTGGAGAATATCTGTCAGCACTGGATCGGATGGTGCAGTTTCTGGTAACATGTCTTCTTTCTCAGACTCTTTCATTTTATTTCCCGGGCGTGGCTATGACGTGATGTGATGAGTTTTTTTTTCACTTTTGTACGAGGCATAATATTTCTCTGTCTTTTTCAGTGTATCTAGAGTTACCCCGTCGTTTTCATATTCTTACATCTTTTGGTCGCTTCGATTCTTGGGGATGTTTGCTGTTTAGTTTGCTTCTCCTCGGGGCAAGTCTAGATAGGGTTCTATCTTAGGTACTCGTGCTGTTTAGAACGGTTTGTGGCGGTATAGGGCCTATACTGGAGCATTGAAATCCCGTTTGGAAATTAGGTTGAGTCGGTCTTTTCCTATACCTACAGGTAGTCATAGAGCCTTCCATAACCTCAGTATTGAATCTATATTTATCCCAAACCTAGGTACTTAAATCTTGCGGCGTTTCTTACCAATATAACCTGGTAAGTAATGCGCCTAAATTTTAGATGGCAATATGTTTTTACAGGCTTTCGATACTTACTTTGAAGGAACCTTGCATTTTTAGATATCAGAAAATAATATTCATCAGAAAGATTTGCGCATGTTACAGGTGATTAAAATGGTCAAAATCCGCTCTGAAAAAATAGGTATGCATATAAACTACTACATAAAATAGGCATTTGACTATCAGGTTGACATGGAAACATATATTATACAGACAGAATGATATTTTTGATCTCGGACCAGACTGTCAGTACAGACTGTAGTTGTACAGTCCGTACCAAGACATAAGTTAGTGGCTCGTGTGCAATAACGACGGGGTTCATTCTCCAAAATTGCCGAGGTCGGTCCGCCTGCTGAAAGGCGGGGAGAACCTGCCCCGGACTTCTCTCCAGCTCGGGCCTCGACCCCCTGTTAACTAATCTTCCTAAGACCACCTTACTTTCCCCTTCATCCCTCCTCCACTCCATTATGGGCAGCTGAACGTGGCATCTGGCCATCTGAAATATCCACTCCCGACATGTCCGCCGCGGATGCCCCCTCGAACGCCCCCGCCCCTGGCCCGGGGGTCGCTTTAGACGTCCACCCCATCGTCCGCAACGCCCTGCGCATCAGTCTGAGCGCCAAAGAATACCGGGCGCTCCACGGCCTTTTGGGTACACGGGCCCCAGGTCTTCAGGAGGTCCTTCTTTCCCCATCGCGCTATGATGCTATTGTCTACTCAAAGAACCGACGCAACGAGGCAGCCGTCCGCACATCGTTGCGAGTGTTTGTTTGCACCGGAGCCGCGTTGAAACTAGTGGAGAAGATCATACGTCGGATACGCGGCGGTGCAGACCAGTAAGTGTATCCTGAGCTCGGATTTCTTTAAATGTCATCTTCTCCAACCGATCAGTGCTCACATATTTCGATATGATCCAGGAAGAAAGCCCGCACCCCGCTCCTCCGCTCTCCCAACTTCCGCCTTTCCCTCTCTCTGTCGCTCCTGCTTCTGCTCCACCGTCTTCTCTATCGCTTCCTCATCCGGATTCGAGTGAACCTGTGTACCGATGATGCCAAACTGTTTCGCGAGCGAAACCCGCGGATCTCACGCGCGCTGACGTCACGCTTTGCCCCGGCCGTCGGTGCCAGCGCGGCGGGCTTCGCACTGGGGATATGCCCACAAGACCAGCTTCGGCTGACTGCGGCTATCTACACGGGTACACGGAGTCTGGAGTTTCTCTATAATGTTATGGACTTGAAGGGGTGGCTGGATAACCGCCCATGGTGGTTCGGCAGCTGGCTGCTGATGCCGATCTCGTGTGCACAGCTCTTCCATGCCTTTGTGTTTGACCGCGAGAATACACCTCAGGTTTGTCTCATTGATCGGTTTTCTTTGGACAGGAGGCAACTGAGCTGACATGTGCTTTAGTGGTTCGGTAATGTCATCCTGAGGCTCTCGCCGAGCTACATCCCGGGGCGACCGGAGGCGCTGCCAGAGGGCATCGCCTGGCCGGCGAAGGAACAGATTGTGGACTCTCTGGCATCCATTGCGAATCTACGCTGGCCGTAAGTCTGGTACTTCAGCCAATCACTGAAGAGCTTGGAGCTCACGATCATATAGGGCGTTCGTTTCTCCAATCCTACACCCCTCCGACCCCAATACCCTCCCATTGTCGGTCAAGTCCATCTCCCCGATTACTGGGCCCGCACACCCCTCGATCGCACACCTCTCCTGCGCGCTGCTTCACCCCAGTGTGCCCAGCTGCAGCACCGCGTTCCTGCACCACATTCTCCTCTCGGTGCCCCCCGCTGGCCCGGTTCCTCACGGCCGTTACCCTCGCGCTGGCTATTCCCAAGTCGAAGAGCATCCTGGCTCGCCCCATTACCTCCATTAACAGCTTGTCTCGGAGGATTATTACGATGACGGCCGTCCTCTCGGCGGCCGTCGGCTCTGCCTGGGGCAGCGTCTGCCTCCTGAATAACACACTGCCCCGCTCGACCCTCCCGACCAAGCGTTTCCTCCTCAGCGGTGCACTCGGCGGTCTTCCATTCGCGCTCCTAGCTAACAGCCGTAGCGTTTTTATGTACTTCTTCCGCGCTGCGGTGGACTCGGCTTGGAAGACCGGTGTTAAGCACCGTTGGTGGAAGGGCGGCCGCGCCGTCGAGCTGTGGCTCTTCGTGTTATCTTGGGCTCTGATGGGCTCGATCCTCGAGGCTCATCCGTCGGCTGTTCAGGGTCGTGTTTTGCGAAAGGGGCTGGCATGGCTGCGGGGTGATGGTTTCGTCGACCTCGAGGAGATTGGGCAGCGCAAGGCACGGCGGGCATTGAAGAAGGCGGAGACCAAGGACGAATAACGGGGATGGTCAATGATGGTTATACAGGTGTGGTATCTCATTGTTTTGCTTCGATTCAGTTCTGCGGCGTGCACAATGGAATCCACTTTCCGACCCCACGTTTCCGGAGCCCCAAGTTGGCGGGCCGCTCGGACTTCTTTCTCCGCATCCGACGATCGCCGCAGCATTTATAGTCGGTGTAGAGAGTTCCCTTCGTTGTTCGCCACACCCCCCTCCCTCCTCCGCCTGCTTCTGTGTTTTCTCTCTAACGACTGTAAACAATTGTTATTCGGAGATCATTTTTCCGTCCCTCCTTACACTACAATGTCCGCCCGCAAGATGAAGATCGGCTGTGCCGGTCTTGGTCGCATGGGCAAGCGCCATGCCCTAAACTTCCTCGAACGCACTCCCCGGGCAGAGCTAGTCGCTGCCAGCTCGCCGGACCCTGTGGAACTTGAATGGGCCAAGACATACCTGGAGCCGCACGGTGTGCGGCTGTATCAGAACTACGACGACATGCTAAAGCAGGAAGGCCTGGAAGCCGTTGTGGTTGCATCGGCGACCGCGGTGCACGCGGAACAGGCGATCAAGGCGATCAATGCCGACAAGCACGTCCTGTGTGAGAAGCCACTGTCTACCAGCGTAGAGGTGGTAAGTTTTACATTGTATTTTCCTATTTCCAGAAGCCAATGGACAGTAGATCGCTAATTGCATTGTGGTACCGTATATAGTCCCAATCCGTGGTCGACGCAGCTTTCAGGAAGCCCAATCTCAAGGTGATGTGCGGCTTCTCGCGCCGCTTCGACGAGTCCTACCGTGACGCCTACAACAAGACGCGTGCTGGCGCCATCGGGTCCCCGTCCGTCCTGCGCAGCCAGACCTGCGATAAGCTCGACCCATCTGGCTTCTTTGTTGCCTACGCCCAATTCTCTGGCGGCATCTTCGTCGACTGTTCGATTCACGACATCGACCTGGCGCTGTGGTTCTTCGGTACTGGCAGCAAGGTCAAATCTGTGTCGGCTGTAGGGATCACCGCAGTTGAGCCCGACCTGCGCAAGCACAACGACCGCGATAACGCCGTCGGCCTGGTCGAGTTCTATGACGGCCGGATCGCATACTTCTATGCCTCGCGCATGATGGCTGCTGGCCAGGAGGATACCACTGAGATCATTGGCACCAAAGGCAAGGTTACGGTAAACACTCAGCCGGCGCTGAACCATGTCCATTTGTTTGATGATACGGGCATTCGCCGGGAGGTTCCCCAGAACTACTACGATCGCTTCGAGTATGCGTTCGTGACCGAGGCGAATGAGTTTACGGCTTCGGTGCTGGATAATTCCCCACTGCCGCTGGACTTGATGGCTGCCGTGCAGGCGGTGCGGATTGGAGCTGCCCTGCAGGAGTCCTTGATTTCGGGGACGAAGATCTTCTTTGACGAGCAGGGTAACCGGACCGAGGTTGCTCGTCTGTAACGGAATCTGATTCGATATGTTCTGAAAGATAGATTGTTCTTCTAGCATATCACTCAGGGAATACAAAAGGGTATCTGCAGGGTTGACTCAGGAAGCCATAGTAACAAGCTGATAGCAAGACTTTTTTACCATGCTAAAGTGGGATATCATCCTCAAAGTCTAGACATTATTTCCCAAAAGTAGACCGGGGGGATTTGATGAAAGACATTCACGATGGGGTATAATTTTTGATACAACGAAATATTGGAAAAGATGAGAATTGGTATACAGACGATTCAAGCGGGACCCACGTGATGGTTGCATGCTAAGCAGAAATCATGTGGTCTTAGGAATGACTCTCTCGATGAACCTCGTCGATCACTTTGGGCCACCCTTTCTGGGTCGGCGATCTTGTCTGCGTTATCCCTACTCGGGAGCGGCCGTATGTGGAAATCCTCTGAGCGCGATCGCGAAACGTCTTCAACAGTAGATGGGGGTGTGCGGATCACGGCGAGCAGACTGTTGAGTACTGTGAACTCCAATAACAGTTTGATGCTGTAGACCACCGGTTTGTATGTGGTCTGGACGTCGAAGTGGTTGGTGTACTCGGTCGTCAGAAGAGATGCATCCAGCAGTATAGCGATAATGTTAACAACGATGACATTCATGATGACTCGCTTGCCTCGAGGACCTTTCAGAGCCAGAACAGGTCTCAAGGACGTTGAAGTTTCCCAGACATAGAGCGCGCTGATAATCGTCTCTTGAATGGCGAAGCCTGCCAATTGGATACGCTCGTAGATATTGAAGGGCGCGACGAACCGGTCAACTCCGTTGTTGCTTCCAAGAAAGAGGACAGTGGTGGGAATATGTAAGACGCAAAAGTTGAAGACGATCATGTAGAGGATCCAGCGAGGGTAGCGATCGTGGGTGGTCACCAGATGAAGTCGGGAATACAGCACCACCGACTGGCCGGTCACCATAGCGTACCACCCGATGCAGACCAGGATGCACATAGGAAAATTCGGAGCGAGGGAAAAGTAGCGAAGGAAGGACGTAATGGCGTGTAAGAGGATTCCGGCCGTCGCGATCACCATGCTCCAGAAATAGAGGCCGTTATAGCGCCTGAAGGTAGACAAGATCGATAAGGAGATCTCAAGGACGTTCCAACAAGCCAGGGTGAGCAAACTGGCAATCACCATTGCAAGTGCGCGGGATATATGAAGAGGCCCGGTTTCGCCGGCCATGTTGGCGACCAACAAGATTGGCGAGCAGTAGGCTAAGGGTGTGAGGTCCGACTCTCTGGTTGACAGCGCAACCGATCAACGCGTGAGCTGTAGCTCATAGCGACGTTGACAGCATCGTCTCCTTGATTGCTAGCTGAGAATGTGGTGAAGTGCGCGTGGGGATGTAACGAGAGGACGGGGGGCGTTGGGACGGGGAAAGGGAGGCGAGGCTGTTGCTCTTCTTGCTTCTTGGCACAAATAGAGTTTCGAGACGTGCACCAGTCTGCGAAATCTCGGAGTATCAGAGTTCCTGCAACACGTTGGGGATGAAGGTGCGATAGAGTTCTGGCTGGTCCCCGGGTCAGGATAATGATTTGGTGCAGCCTCGTTGGTCATAGAATGGGCCGTGACATCATACACGAACGATTCGACATGCTCTAGGCGTCACTAGTTGGCTTTTCTACGGCCCAGCATGTCTCACGTCGCAAAGCCAAGAGAATTTAATAGTCCAATGATGCAGGACTCCCCGGGGATGTCGTTCCGGTGCCTCGCGTCCTCAAAAATGTGCCGAGGGTTGGCTGCAAGCCTGGCTGAACGCCACGAGGCATAAAAAACCTACACATGCGATGACAGGGGATAATAGGCCGGGCCGATCGCCTCTCCCCTCTTTCCCGTAACTCGCTCCGGACGGGAGAGACAGCATTAGTGTTTCTGTTCGGATCTGTCGGGCTCGAGTAGCGGAGATGAGCGATCTGATAGGCTCAGATGCCTCCCAACTAACCAACTAGTTCCCTAAGATATACGTATTACGCCGGATCACGCGCCACCCCCGGACATCTTCGAGATCCATTTTCACTGCCAAAACGCCATGATACATAGATTTCAAATACACCTATTTTTCCATACATTGACCTTATGCCTAATCTGGCTGCATGCACTACATCTTGGCAGCGCCCTCCTGGTACGCTGAGCTAGCTGAATAGCCCGTTCAATGGCGAGTAGCGGCCTAATTAGGTGATGCAACACTTGGCCAATCATCAAGGAAAAGAGTCCATTTAACGAAGATATCGAATTTGGAGGAAAGAAGACAAGAGAAAGAGACATGAGCTCTCTGTATACACTTACAAGCCGGAACCTCCCCTGTCATATGACCATCTCAAGAAGGCTGTTGTCGTCCCAATACCTGTTATATATACCGTTAGTTACCGGGAAAATCTTACTACGGCGGATTGACCGTTGACCATTTTCGTCTATGAATGGTCACGTGAAGCGGTCCGATCTCTCACTATGGGATCTGCGGGGCCTCCGCGCTTGTCAAGCCACCTTCACGTGCTATCTGCCGAGTAGAACCGCTTGCGCTTTTAACATTTCCTTGTACGGTGGTAGAGCCGTACCATACATTGATATCTCCCGCAGGCCTTACTGATTCTTGGCTAGTGCTTGGCGAGAAGGACCCAGCGAGCCTATCAGGCGATCTCGCTTGGCGGTAGAGATCGCTTCAGACTACCTAATAGTGAGGTGTTCTGATATCGCTAAATCCACTTTGATGGCTGGCTGCCTAGTAGTGGCGGTGTCGGCGTCCGAAGCGATATATCGAGCGTAGCAAGCACACGATCTGCGTTGATTAGAACGATTCCTGCGGCTGCGAAGCTATTTCGCATAGTCTTCGGTTTAATCGCTTTGGTGTGTGCTTATGGGCATGCATCTAGGAGATGAAGCTTGTCGATATGATTATAGCCTAGGCGTGAGCGATGTATAATCATGCGACCGTACGATCACTCTATGCTAGTAAAACATCTAGCAGGAAGCGGCTATAGGCGATGCGAGGTCTATGGCGGTATACCGAGAGATATACCCACGCTACCTATCCGTGTAGATTTGATCGAATTGAGCCGATGGATAACTACTATAGCTATTAAGTGCTAATAGTCAATCCTTCCCTTTCGTACGCATAGTAGTCGCTAGTATAAATAGTTTGTGTAGCTATTCCAACCGCTAGTCTAACCATCTAGCGCGACCTCCATACGCTAGTCGCGTGGTAAGCTATCGAACTAGCCTTCGATGTAGTTTTTTCCTTTGAATATTATCTACAGAAGTAGAAGAGTAGAAGATAGCTATCGCACCGACTAATTCGATTACTATTATCTAGTCACGATTTCCTAGCTATAAGTCTGATCGCCTACCGGTGAACCTAGCGTCTATAAAAACCTCCTATGTTATTACAAGGTCGATCACAAAGCCCATCTTGTTAAAGTTGTATATATTCTCTAGTTGAATACCTTGATCATTGATAACGCGTCAAAGGGTGTTAAACCACTCGCAAAGGATCTTTGGATTATTATTCAGAGCGCGCTGATAGTTATATCGCCTAGAATATCAGCTATGAAGGTCTGGCTGGCGACGTATGAATTCTGATGGCTAATTTTTGCCGACCGGAGGTGAGGGCAGCAAGCCGCGATCTGTGAGGAGAATATTGGCTATATCTCGAATACCCTTAGGCCCGGGGCGCGTAGTGAGTGGCTTAGAGTAGTTAATTAGTGACGTCGGTGGATTTAATTACTAATTGCGGCGGTTTTATCAGCTTGCCTTCGATAAACCTTTGAAATTACTGCCTATAGAGAAAACATAAATTCGTATGCGGAGTGCTTAATCCAGTTTTTCTACTGGACGGCAATGAGTTCATTTGGATCGTCAAAGTATCTGTATAGTCACTTGCAAGATGAAAAAACAGGGGAAAAAAACACATGGGAATCTTGTAGAAAGTGGCTAGAGAAGACAGAATTTCTAAGTGTGTGCAGCATTAGAAGCCTTTTAAACAGGGTTACCAGCGGATAACCTTGTTGGGGAAGTACTCATTAATGAGCTCCATGTAGTAAGGCTTCAGCTCCTCAGCACTAGGGATACCATCGCTTTTGCTGTACAAATCGTAGGGGTTGAACGCCTTGACCGCGCGGAGCATCTCCTTGTCATGATCGTTCATCAACTCATGGTAGGCGCCAGCGTTATGCCAGGGGTAGAAGGAGTGGTAGCGGATCATAGCGAGGGCCTCGTCGGGCAGGGTAGACTGCTCCTTGGCGATGTGGTAGAGGTACTCGTCGTGGCCCCAGGAGAGCATGACCTTGTCCAGGCCACAACCGGGGCTGTAAATGCCGAACTTGGTGTCGTAGACAGGGTGCTCGAAGTCCTCGTTGTCCTTGAACGACTCACGGCCGTAGATGATGCGCTCGTCGAAGCCGCAGCCCACGGGGAAGGTGTCGCCCACCACGTCCCACTGGCCCTGGGCGTCGAAGAAGAACAGCAGCTTGCCCAGGTCATGGATCAGACCAGTCAGCTGCATCCAGCGGGGCTTGCCGTCGCGGCGGATGGCCTCGGCGGACTGCAGCAAATGCTCGATCTGGGAGAGGCTGGTGTCGGGGTCAGACTCGTCGATGAGGGTGTTCAGCTTCTCCATGGCCTCCCAGACAGTCAGCTCGGCGCGGGTCTTGCTGTGGAACTCGTGGCGGGCCTTGAGGTTGTAGGCGACGGTCTGCTTGGTGTGCTGCTCCCTGTAGAAGTTCTTGACGCGGTCGCAAGCGTCTTCATACTGGCGGAAGGCAGTCTTGTCCTTGTTTTTGTCGAACTCGGACTCCTCATACAGACCCTTCTCTTCCTGCTTCATGTTGGCCTTGAGGATGTTAACCTCATCGATGGCGTCGGAGAGCTCCTCAAGAGCGTGGCCATCCCGCTTCTTGTTGAAGACGGGGGCATGTGTCTCAGCTGCGATGGCGACGGGTGCCATTTTGTATATAATATGATAGAATGTGTTTTTTGTGTGGGAAGAGGGACTTGCAACTATCTGTATTAGGGCTGAACTTGCAAGATCTTCACCAGAATGATTATACTGTAGAGTCAAACTCGACCCCCGAGGAGATTCAGATCCATATATAAGGACTGAACTCCACGGCTAACCAGGGAGACAGCGAATCGCGTCTATGTTTCCGATGTCCAGCATTTTAAGGAGGGTAACGCAAGGCTCGATTTTGGCAATATTCGCCGGGGATCGACCATGATTTGCAGCCATGGATTGTGCGAACCAGCAACGTGGAGCAACATCACGGATTCTGGAATCCGTGCCGATGAACGTTCGGGCTGCCCTGTGGCTTCTGGCCCGTGCCCCCACTCCGCTGGAGCGCGGCCGCGCATGGTGATTGGAAGAAGGCGTAGTGCCGTGGGGAAGTGATGTCAGCCGGCGCCGAGTCTGATGCACAGGATTCTGGTTTCCGTGCTGACTGATGCGCCGTCAGTGTTTGGTTGTTTTCGCCGCAGTTTACCCAGCAGGGGCATTTCGGTGGGGTTCTTGATCGGATCTGCTGAGCATGGCTTTGCTTGCTGCTAGTCGCTGGCTTCTGGTTTCTGGGCCAGGAACCGGCTGCTGGAGCTCCGTGGGGCTAGGCCCAATTGCCGATGCCACGCAATGCGAGGCATGTTTCTTCATCTCAGCAGGGAGTCTGCCGAGGAGGAGGAGGAGGGGTGAGGACCGCCACCTTAGAAACCTGAATCTTGAGCAATGCTATCATGGCGATTTCGCCCCTTCATCGCTCAGTAAAACGCAGTCGGATTGAGTTGACGGTGATTGATGGAAGAAAAAAGCGTGACCGGCGCCGGAACAATGGGCGGGGCACACCCCGCGTGGGGGGTACTCGGGGCATCTTTACATCGAGCAGCCCGCCCCTCTTTCTTCCTTTCTTTTGCTTCAATTCCTTCAACTATTTCATATCCAAGAAAATAATCGCAATGGCTGCTGCAGACGTCCGCTTCAAGTTGAATACTGGTGCTGAGATCCCGGCCCTCGGCCTGGGTACCTGGCAGTCCGCGCCTGGAGAGGTCGCCCGCGCCGTGAGCCACGCCATCAAGGTCGGCTACCGCCACATTGACACTGCGTTGTGCTACGGCAACGAGCATGAAGTAGGCCAAGGTATCAAGGAGGCCATTGACGCTGGCATCGTCAAGCGCGAGGAGCTGTTCGTCACCACCAAGCTGTGGTGCTCGTACCACGCCCGCGTCGAGGAAGGCCTCGAGACCTCCCTGAAGAACCTTGGCCTTGACTATGTGGACCTGTATCTGATGCACTGGCCGCTGGCCATGAACCCCAACGGTATGCTCCGCTGTCTTTGAAGAACTAGTGTATGCAAAGATGCTAATTACTTGTCACAGGCAACCACCCGATCTTCCCCAAGCTGCCGGACGGCTCGCGGGACATTGTCCACGAACACAGCCACGTCACTACCTGGAAGAGTATGGAGAAGCTTGTCGGCAGCGGTAAGGCCCGCGCTATCGGCGTCTCCAACTACAGTGTCCAGTACCTGGAGGAGCTCCTGGCACAGGCCACCGTGACCCCCGCTGCCAACCAGATCGAGAATCACCCCTCGCTCCCCCAGCAGGAGATTGTCGACTTCTGCAACCAGAAGGGCATCCACATCACCGCTTATAGCCCCCTGGGTAGCACTGGCAGCCCGCTATTCACCGCCAAGCCCATCGTCGAGGTCGCCGAGAAGCGCGGCGTCACTCCCGCTACTGTACTCCTCAGCTGGCACAGTATGTCCTCCATTCCTCATTGATTTTCCTCTCGGGAAACAACATCCTAACCAATCTAATTTAGTTGCCCGCGGCTCCTCTGTTCTTGCCAAATCCGTCACACCCTCCCGCATCGAGGCCAACCGTGCGGATCTTATCAAGCTGGATGCCGAGGACATCGCCACTATCAAGAAGTACTCCGACGAGCTGGCTGCTACCAAGTCCTTCCAGCGCTTCGTGTTCCCACCCTTCGGCAAGAACTTCGGTTTTCCCGACAAGATGTAAATAGCTCTAGCGCACTAGCATATCTGCGATTTCATGTATAGAGGATGATACCTTGGGTAGACAGGAAAGGCACTTTTCTCGCAGGACTTTTACGAACAATACCAACGAACAACGAAGATCAAAGGTTACCTGTGTTATTCATTATTACGAGCTGTATGGTACAGGGTGCCTTCCACCAGGCAAACTCTCGTATCTTCGTATCCCCCTATTAAACAGTAGGAACATGTCGACGATGCAAATTTCCAATTTCCATCACGATTCAACATGTCATCGAAGCAAGCTACTGGAATTCACGCGGAATTGTTTGCAGCCGCAGCCGCAGGCACACTGTTGGGCACCTCGTTCCCAACCCAGACCCGCTCCACAGTTGCGCGGAGGACGACAGCGCACTCATCCTCCGCGTGGTCAACCTGATCTATCTTGACGAACTCTCGGTATGATAGCTCCTCCAGGGCTTCCCCGGGGACCTCCGTGAAGCACCAATGTCCAATGCGGAGGAAGACGCGCAGTGCATTAAGGCGACGGGCCTCGCGCTCCAAGACAATCTCCTTCACCAGATTATAGCTCAGGGCACCGCGGCTCTTCACGGCGTTGAGCATGTCCACGAAGGCTCGGAAAGGGAGGGTTAGCAGCATGGCGGAGGGGACGAGGATCATTGGGTCGGTGGGTCGCTCGTCGGCGATGGAAGGGAAGCTGCCGAATCTGATCTCCTCCAAGCGTGGATTGGACAGGCAAGAGCCTGGGAGGGTGTGGAGGGCTTGAGGGATACGGTTTGGAGTGAAACGTGCCTGGGCGCGGTTGTAGAGCTGGAAGTCCACCGTGATTGAGCTGGTGATAAAGCGCACAGCCGCGGTAAGAACGGTGTCGGCCCACATGCAGTGGAAGTCGTGGAAGTAATCGAGCTCGACGAGCGGGATGCCATTCGCAGCAGAGAGAGAGGATGAACGAGAGCTGTGGGAGCTCATAGGTGGAAAGGGTACGTCCGGACAAGTCACCGCGTATGCCGAAACGGTCATGCCGAAGTTGAGGATGAACTCGGCGGTCTCCCAGGACAGCAGATCCATGGCCAGCTCGATTCCTCGCTCAGTGATCTCCCGGCGCTCCAGGAAAGCACCAGTTGCGGCGTAGCACAGGGCAAAGTCTACCATGGCGCGCTCAAGGGAGAACGAGTATGTGGAGGTGTCGTCGTCGTCTGGGTGCCCCAGTCCCTGCATGGTGGTCTTCCGAAGAGACTCTTGGGTGACGAGTGGAATTCCATACAAGACTTGAAGGGCCATCGAGAAGGCGTGTGAGCAGGTAAAGGATACTCCAGTCAGAGCATGAATGCGGTCGACGCCTCCGTCTCGGTTTCGCTTGGCTGCCATAACTTTGTACAAGAATGGGCTGGCAGCGATGACGTTCTTGTGAACATAGTAGACGATGGGAGGGAGTGTCAGGTCAGGACTCAGCAGGATCTGGATATCCGAGAATTCTGGGTTGCCGAAGAGTCCCTGGATATGCTTCGTCTGGAATGCCAGAGGACCAGTATCCACGGTTTGGCTAAACTGGTCGTGAATCTGGCCGGTGTCAGCTTTCGAAGCAGGAGACTTGGGTTGTTGGTTGTCATGGCTGTCGAAGGCTGAGGCCTTGCGGCTCGTATCACGAGAGGCCTCTTTCGAATCTTTCGATGTCGGATCAGGGGAGCTCAAGTTCTTCGACTTCGCATCGAAGTACAGGCTGGGAGAGCTGGGAGCATCCTGGGCTAACTGAGAAAGATCCTCACTGGTGCGGACTCTGCGAAAAGGCAGAATCATCATCTTCTTTGAGATGTTCGGAGGGTTGTTAGAGGTACTCATGGTGGGATCGTTATGAGGGTGAGAGGTCTGAGCTGGGAGGGCAGGATCCTCGTTCGAAAAGTTGTCTGTGGTAATAGATGAGGGCTGCTTGGAGAGACCACGCTCAAACAAGGAGGAAGCAACAGGGTTGATCAGTAGCTCGCTTGACGACCCGGTAGACCCGGAGAAAGATCGGTATGACTGCCGAGTCAGTTCGAACAGCGCAGCAACAGATTGTGCGAGAGCTTCATTTGCAGCCGGGTCCATGGAAGAGGGAGAGGATTTAGGAGTGGACTTTTGAGACTTGCGGCTTGCTTCGAGTAGTGATGCAACAGAGGGAGCAAGCTCTCGGCTGTTGGCAGGAGACTCGGCTTTGTGGATTCCGTGCATGTCACGCTCAAGACTGGCCACGTATGCAGGGGAGTGACGAGTTGCGTAAGTGGTAGGCAAAGAAAAATCGGCCTCCTCGTTGCTGGCGGTCTCGAGTTGATACATGGAGGGAGTTGCACCTTCGACGGTCTGCATGATAACCCCGGGGTTGACGTTATCGGAATGAGGCGAGTCTGGATACGGGAGAAACTGGGTCTCTTCCCACCGTGTGAGGAGGTTCTGCAGGCCATCATTGCCTGCCCTGCTGCTGCGAAGAGGACTGCCACCATTGCGCATGGAAGAATAATGGATAGTATTCGGATCGACTCCAAACGCGGGCTGTTCATACCCTGTCGGGTAGTTTTGGTCGTGCGAATACTGAGCCGGCACAGAGAGATTGCGCATCGTCATCTGAAGGTTACTACTCTCGCTCTGTTGAATGTAGTGAGGGTACACGTTGTTGACATCAGCGGCCACTGCAAGATGAATGGCCTCATCATCCGCCTCCTTCTTCTCCGCAGCCTGCTTCTTCGCCTCGGCCCCCTGTGTAGCTAGGCAATCCAGCGCGCGCTGGCGCCACTTCTCCGTGTCAACAATGCACGGACCGACATACTCCTTCTTCGGGGTGGAGGAACCCTCCGTAGCCTCACCACCGTCAACGACAGTGGGTGAGGGGGTCGTGATGCGGCTGAGGGTGTTGTAGCTCTCGACAACCTTAGGGGCTTTGGGGGTACGCCGAGCCATGATGCGCTTGAGTTTTTTCCGTCCTCGCTTGGTCTTGCGGAAGGGTTTTCGGATGCCCTTCTTGGGCTTGGGGGTGTTCAAGGAGGGTGAAGAGAAAGGAGAGTCTGGGTTGGGATCAGCAAGTTCGTGCAATATTCGGATGTATCTTTATTGGAGTGGACATACTGCGCTCAGTAGATGAATCGGACTTGACTGGCCCGTCGATAGTTCTCAAGGTCCCTTCCTCAGAGCTGAGAGGACCCCTCACCACGCTGACGCACAGCTTGTTTCGACTGGCGAACTCAAGGATGTTGTCAACCAAGCGGTCAGCGCCGGAGTATTGGACAAGAAATTGAAGCTGGTGAGTCTGAGGCTGGAGTTGAGGTTCAGGTCTGGGGGGTACTCCCCAGCGTTGTTTCAGATTATCAGAGAGGCGGTCAGTCCAGTGCTTGGGCTTGTCGATGAAGGAATCTCCAGGGCAATGAGCATAATGAGACTGAATAGGTGCCATCGTGTGTTCAAGATCGAGTTCAAAATGAGTGCGTGGAACAAATAAGCGTAAGGTCACGGCACAATTGCGTGGTATGAGAGGGAGGAGAATCGCAAAGGCGACAGTGCATGCCAGGATGAGAAAGAATCCTCAGGAATGATGTTGTGCGATGGTATGGTAAACTCTTGATTCTTCTAAGATAAGGCCGGAGGGTGGGCAATGTACTAGCTTAGCTACTTGCCGCCCTCCGGCATGATCTTAGAAGAATCAAGAGAGTTTACCGTACGATCACCCAACAAACGATGTGTCAAAATGTGATATTGCCACGCAAGCCGACGCTCCAGCAGACAACCCCACTTCAAATGGCTTACCACGGTGCCCTGGAGGTTACCTTAGCTTGATCGGGCGTGGAAGAACACAACAACCTTGAATATGCAGCAAAGATGGCGTGTCTCAGAAGGTAGGCACGCATGTCAAACAGGTGAAGATGACTCTAAGCAACGCACGAGAAAGCACCATAACTCTAGAGAACTATCAAGCTAGCGTCAGGCCATAAATCCCTTACAGGTTTCTGCTGTTACCCTTGGATCTTTGGAAATGCTAGTTCTACTATGCCTTGTGATTGACACAGTCAAGGTATTACGCTCAAGATAGAAAGTCAATTATATGAAGTTGAGGTGAGAAGAATTTAATCCAGAACTATCCGATACACCTCACTTAATAATCCAGCCTTTTTAATTGCAAGCTAAGCCAGCAATAGTGGTAGGTAGGGGAGGCACGCAAGCATCCCCGTACCTGATTTCGTTCAGGGTTTATGAAGGCACGTGACAATCACTTGGCAACCTTAAATTCACTCCCGGACCGCTAGTAGTCTACACCTCCAAAGTAACCTTGCAGAGTCCCCTTGTCCACGTAAGAAACTCGGTTGCTTCCATGGCGTCCTAGATAATAACAAATAGGCAAGAAAATCTCATAATAATGATATGTAGTGATTTTATCTCAAAATAATACACCTGGTTACACCTCTGCTCTGGAATATGTGATCGGAAAGACATTATAGAAAAAGAAAAGGAGACAAAGAGATGGTTAGACACTGGAGAGAACACACAAGATAATAGACAGTAGACAGTAGACGCTCAATAAATGCACCAGGTGGTATATAGTCGTGAAGAGTTTGACAAGAGAAAATGAAAGATGAATCGAGAAACCCTCGGCTCAAACATCAGAGATAAGGAAACGAGAGGTACGGTATGGGATATGTGGCGGGAGGCCAAGACAAACAGAAGAACGGTGAGGGGATGACAAACGAGGAGAAAGGGTATAAAGAACGGTTTGATTAGAACATGCCGCCATTCGTAGGAATCGCGGGCGGGGGGTATTGTGGGACGGATGGGGCAGGGCTCGCCATGGCCTCCTGGCGCGCGCGTGCGTTCAAGTTGCCACCTTCGCTGGAGGTCTTGCGGAGACGGTTACGTGAGCGCGAGCGCTTCTCGTCGTCGGGGAAGTAGCTCTGCTCATCCGAGACGCTCGGGGCCGGGGAGGACACCCGAGAGTCGTGCTTGTCAGACTTGAAGGCGCTCAGTATAGTCTGGGTGCCGCGGCGGCGACGGGGGTTCATAGGTGGGAGCGGGGGCGCGGCAGCCCCTTGCTGGGAGGACACGGACGACATCGAGCTGCCAGATGGGAGACCAACAACAGGCACATTGGAGGTGGACGACACAAAGGTCGGCTCGGAGATTAGCTTCTTGTTGATACTGCGCTTCTGGAGCAGGAGGTGTCCGCCGGGCGTGCGTTGAGGCAGGGCATGAGCGCCACCAGCGGCAGAAGAGACGGGGGCGGTTGCAGACTGGTCCTCGTTGAGCGGAGGAGTTGCGTTGGCCGAGTATGGAGGAGCAGCGGGAGAGGGTCGCGGCGAGGCACCGATTATCGCAGGCGGGTGGGACTGCTGATATTGGAACGGGCGCTCATACTGGAAACTTGGAGTCCCCGAGCGGCTGGCGCTGCGGTGTCTGCCCGAAGCAGCGGAAGAGGAGCGATCGTACATGAGAGGCTCAGCCTCCATAGAGGGGTGGTTCGAGCTTGCGATAGAAGGTGGCTCAAAGTTCTCGGGAACAACAAAATTCTCATGAGCAATGACGGCTCCCTCGTCCACAGTCTCGAGATCATCGCGCTCGCGATATCGGGTTCGGCTCTTGGACCGGCCAGAGGCATCAGAGTCAGAACGAGACCGGAAGCCACTGTGCGGCGAGGGGCCACGGCTCCGGCTGGATTCGCGAGACTCCTCGTTGCTGCTGCGACCGGTGGTCGGCATGCGCGACCGGATCGACCGCTCCGATCCAACGTGCGGAGAGCTGGAATTGGAGTGAAGACCGAAGTTGAAAGAGGGGTGTTCCTCCTCGCGCCAGGAGTCTTCCGATACCAGCGCAGGGGTAGAGCCACTGTGGTAACCATACATCTTGCTCTTGGAGTCCGACTTCGGAAAGCCTTGCTTGTTAGACTTGTGCTTCAGCAGGGAGAACGCGTTGCCGGCCTTAATTTGAGTGGAATCCGGAGTCTGTCGGCCGGGAGCTGGGCTGCTTGAACGACTCTCGCTCTCCGCAACGCTGCGCAGCTTCTCCTGGACCTTGCGGCGCCGTTCGGCCAGCTCAATGGCGAATTCCTCGCGCTCCTTCTGCGTCTCGGTGCTGCCACCTCGACGGTGCTGATAGACCAGCTCGTCTTTCCAGTGTGTGGAGTTTGAAGCGACGGAGCGCGCCTCAGGCATAGTGCCAGTATCAGATGAATCTTCGCTGGAGCGATTGGCAGTGACATCAGAAGACTGCTGGGATGGAGCCTTCGGGCTCGACGGCTCAATTTGCATGTTGAAAGTCGAACCCTCCTCATCGGGGGTGATCGCGGGAGTAGCAGCCACCGAGATAAGTTCCTCGGCGGCAAAGTGATTCGCATTGGGACCCTGGGGCAGGACTGGGGATGGCGGAGGGTAGATGGAGGACTGGTTGCTCACTTGGCGCAAATGAGATCGGATAAAGCCGTTCAGCCCGAATGTTGGCGAGTCGGGTCGCTCCGGAGTGATATCTCCATTCTGGACAGAGAGATTGTTCTCATCATAAATATCGTCCTCCTCGATAGGCTTCAGATCGCCTAGATCCGAATACCTCACCTCTGGGAGTGGTCCCAGATGCTCGCCAGTGGGAGTGGGGGGCTTGGATGCAGTACTAGCATATTGGAGCGGATGTCCGAAGTCAGTGGCCATGGAAGTCACGGAAGACACCTCGTACGAACGGCGATCGTCGTTCTCGTCTCCGGAGTCGCTGGCAGTCGAGTTGGCATAGAATGTTCTCACGCCAGGTTGCCCGGGTGAAGCCTCGATACTAGATGCCCGAGAATGATCAACACCGTGGTGCGCATCACTACTGTAGTGCGAGGAAGCAGACTCAGCTCGAGAACGATAGCTGGACTTGGACAGGCCGCGCGAACGACCAGCTGGTTCCTGTGGCGCAGCCCGACCAGGGGGAGAGGGCCGTCGTGGTGGAGGGGTGTTTCGGCCCTGGTGCATCTGAAGCTGGCGGCGCATGAACTGCTGCTCGTCGAAGCCCGTGGCAGGTCGGTTGAAGAGGCCCATGGCAGTGGCCTTTCCGTGGTCCTCGGGATTGAGTGCCGCGGCCAGCAGGTTCGTACCGTCTTCAGTCTCGCTGGATGGTGGGCTGAGAGGAGGAACAGCTCCAAAATTAGCAGCCAGAGGAGAAATACGATCCTTGGGAGCGGCCTCAGCAGGTCTGGGCGATGTCGCCGAGGAGGGAGGGCTAGTAGGTCGGGGTTCGGTAGCTGTCTCGGCGATGTTAAGCTTCTGGAGTCGATCACGCAGGTTGCTGGCGCTACGGGAGAAATTGCGGTTTAAAGGATGAAGATCTGGGGTCCCGGCGCGTTGGCGACTTAGGCTTTCCAGGCGATGCAAAGTCGAGGACTGTTGGTTGTGGGCGGTCTGAGTAAGGCCTTGGCCGTAAAGACGACGGGATCGGACAGAGCCAGTCCGGGGTGTCGACATCGCAGATGGTGGGTAAGGGTCGGCTGGATATTCCGGGGCTGGGTTCGCGGGTACTTGCGATGGGGAATTATTGAATAGGGGCTCGTCAATCGAAGTGGCTGCAGTTGAGGTGCGAGCATTGATGGTAGGTCCGGATGCTGTGGAGGAGTAGGTGGTGCGCTTGGTGGAAGAAATGGTAGAGATGGCATCCTCTGATTCCTGCAGGGCTGCTTCTTGGGCTGCCTCTTCCGCAAGTCGCTGCTCTTCCTTCTCCTTATGCCTCATTTTCTGGAAAGTAGACAAATTCAGGTCATGCTCGTAGACAAATTTGCCCATGCCGCGGTTGGGCTCAGTCGAGCTAGGCGATGCTCCCCCAGGCGACCGCACCGGAATCCGGTAAACCTTCTGGCGGCCGCCAAAGAGGTTGTTTCCTTCGGCCCGACGCGCTCGGCTCATGATGCTGCCATTTTGTGAACGGTCGTCGTCGGTGCCATACCCGCCGTCCATGCCAGATGCGTAGGAGTCGGTTCGTCCCAATGCCATTGACGGGCGGCTGCCGTCGTTGGAGGATACTTCGTCGATGTCGGTCAACATGCTGGGGTTGTGGCCGAAGAGGTTCAGCCGAGAGGCTCGCTTGGGAAACAAAACACTATCATCGCTGGCTTTTCCAATTAACGAGGCTGGGTCGTCTTGCTCTCTCAACATGCTGAATCGAGCCGACAGCTTCGGCATGAGCAGACTGGTGCGGAAATTATCCGATGATGGAAGGGCCGCCGATAGGTCTAGGTCTAGTTGGGGCTCCGCTGTGTCCTTTTTCTTCGATGGCATCAAACTGAACGGCGATGACGATGCCGACGACCCATTTTCCAGCTCATCCTGGGTCTCTTTGACTTTCTTGTTTTTGCGAAACCGATGCATTGTGGGATTAAAGTGTCCGAGTCTCTATCGACGATTGAAAGAGCGGTCGCCGATCCAAAGATCCTCGGTGAAAGCGAATGACGGTCGAGGGGGAAGCGAGCGAGTGACTGTGACTTTTAGGGAATGGTTGTCAGTCTCCAATTTCCCTGGCTGATAACCCTGGGAGCGACTCACTTGGAAAAGCTTATCCAGAGAGCGAAAAGAACGGCATGACCGTCAGGCGCAAGTCGGTGCGAGGTTGGCGAGGAGAGAATTGAGAAGTCAGGGTGCCTCCTGAAGTAGTGTGGAATGCGAGATGCGCGCGTAATGAAGAATCCCCGCAATTCGATCTATTCGCGTACCGTGAGCCGAAGGGCAGCTGGGCCAGGGGTTCGAGCACCAATCAAGCGGCTGTCGTGGTACAGAGGCGAAATGGCTTGACTGATCACACGAGGAAAAAGAAATGGGTTGCTTCGGTTGATTGGGTGTTGGTTGAGTGCTGAGTGCTGCAGGGGAGGGTCCAGGCGCTCGGTCGAGAGTGCAATGGCAAGTGGTTAAAAGGAGGGACGGAAAAGGCAAAGAAAATATGACAGGGCAATTGGCGGTTGAGAAAGAGAGGAGAAAGAAAGGACGACGAGGAATGCGATGAGTAGAAGATGCGCGGAATGGGGAGAGAAAAGTGCCCTAGCGTGAGGGTTAGTGTTAGTGTTGGCGTTGGTGTTGCCGTTGGCGTCGATTGCTCGACTTGCCGTACGGGGCTAGAAACCAGTAGAAAAAAATACTAACAAAACTAACCAAAAAGAATTATGGGTTAATAAAAATATAAAATTAAAAGTAAAATTAAAAGTAAAATTAAAAGTAAAATTATCCGGATCGTCCCCAACGAGGTGCCAACCATTCAGTCAGTCCTACTATGATGGACGGATTATGTTGAGAAAAATTCTCATGATGGTGATGATGTTGATATGCTTTTGTTAACTTGTTGTCTGTCAGCTGCAGTGCAAGGCCCATGAGGTACAACAAGGGGCTTCCCGAAGGTGCATCCATGGGTTACGGCGGAGTGGTCCTGACACCCTGCCAATTACCGACCTTGACCATTAATTACAGATAACGACCGAAGTTACCCAGGGGGGGGAGGCCGCCTACCGGTAATTTAAAGGCGGAGGGGAAGGGGCAATTTGGGGGGAACAAGGCGCAGTGGATGAGTTGGGGGGAGCCAACTGGAAAGGTCCCTTGCAGCGGGCGTATCGGCCGCGTATCGCTGCGGTATCGACCCCATCCGATCTGGTTTTTAGGTCTATTCAGGTCACCAACTAACCAGTCGATCAACTACCTGCTGGTATTCCCTGACTGCAGTATTGCAGCTCTCATGTGCCTCGCGTGTGCTGTGTGCGGCATGTGGATCTGGGGCCGAACCGCCATTTCAACGACTGGAGGATCCCAGTCGCGTTAGGACATGGGTATGCACCAGCGCTGGATGGCTGAGCGGGCCATACCAACGCGGGGCTCAGACTTGCGACGCGTTCCAAACCTGTCTCTCCAGCGTATGGAATAGTGACTGACCAGAGTGCTGCCCTGTTCCTGGTTTCTCGTATCTCCGGACTTCCAAACCCGGTAATGCGAGCTAATCCAAAGGAGTTCCGCTAGCCCTTCTAGCTGTTCTCCCTAGTTGTTCTAGTCTTTCCGAAGGTCTGGGCGCTGAACAGCCCAAGTGCACGAACAGTGGGCTGGATCTCCGATGCTCTGAATGAGTGGATGACTGGGCGGACGATCCCCTTGGCTGGTGGTCGAGGGGCTATCGAGCTGCCTGCCTAGGCAAGTCCATGTGTATCATACTTCCATGCCCCGATCGGCGTGAATGAATCATGTACACCGTCGGACATGATAATGATTGAAATAATTGTTGTCGTGATGGATTTGTGCTTCCGATAATGCGATCGAGCTCCTTGCATGGGCGGGAAATCCGCAGCCTGCATGGACATATATCACGGAACACAATGCGATGGATCTCGACAATTCTTACGGGAAGAGCAGTTGCCGCGCTCGTGAGGGAAGTCATGGCTTGCAGCTAGTCGTCGATAACAGTAGCCTATCTTCATATATTTCTCCGACGGTGCAGGACCTCCTGCGTCGTGCAGCACACATCCCCCTGCAGTATTGACGACCACGCATCTGATCAAGCTATCAGAACGCGGCGCCACCTCCATACAATCCAGCCCCCACAGTACACAATTCCAATGTTTTGCTGCGATTGTTTTTTTTTTTTTTTCTCTCTTCCGTGGATCTATGGTTCGGGTCAAAAGAAGCAGGAGACAGCCGAGCGCCAGCTCAACTCTTGCTCCGCACCCCGACGACAATCATTCGATATGCAATATGCGGCTGATGAATTGTTATTGCGCCCGTAAGGCCGAACACAAGTTGCATCATTGCTTCCATAATCCGGGTCCTTGCCCCGGCACTCCAGTGGAACTATGAGATCATGAGCACAGACGCGACGATGAAATAGACTGGAGCCTGCCACACGAACACGGGGCGCGGCACCTAAACGGGAACACTGGAGACAAACATTGCCTAGCGCGAAGAGTTTGGGTTGCGTTTTGGGGGCGTGAGGCTTGACAGCCGTTGCTGGCGCCGGTGTGGGCAAAGCTTTGCGCTTTCGCCTAGACCGTCTGGGCCGCCCGCAAAGCACCTGCTTCCTCGGGTGTAGTTTTAGGATGGCCCTAAGAAGCAAAAAAAGGAGCTGTGGGGCCATGCTCGCTTGGGTCATGGTGGGTTATCCACGAGGGGGTCCACTGGGTGGTCCTTTGTTGTTGATGCCGCCTTAACCTTGTCCCTTGGGGTGGTTTCACTACCGAGGCCTATGATGTCGAAGCATGGCTGGAACATTGGGTAGCAAACTGGTTCGGCATGGATTCGAAGCGTGCTGGTTGAGACCGATGAATTCCCATGTTGACCACTGAGAGCTTGTCGGCAAGTGGACTCCGGAGTCTCTTTCTCTTGCCCACTGTCCTCCATATGTAGCTGCTATTCGGAGCAGACCGATAAAATAAATTGCATGTCCACCATCTTGTATGTACTGCGTGCAGTGGAATGAGACTTATCGGATCGGCCCAGAACGGATCGAATTGGAGCGCCAACAGATTCAAATTCTGTCGGGGGCCTTAGCACCAGCCACCACCAGCAGGAAGGACACCGTAATTCCCGAGGACAGGCACCCCCTCATGGCGGCACCCTAAAACCGCGACGAAGTTCCCCGTCGCCAGAGATTGGCTGGAGCCCACCTCAGTGGTGCCCCTGACTAGCCCTAAATGGAGTGGCTTAGCTTGGTAATTTCGAGGTCGCCAAGGGTGGACGCATGGTACCCCGTCCCCCTAGATGGCAGTGATGATGGAGGAAATGGGCTCCAAGGATCAATAGATAGATTAGCCAATGCTTTGTTCCATTGATATTCCAAGCGACCTATCTCAAATCCTTCTATTATCGCAAAGAATCAAGCACCGAAGAGAGCTGGGCTGTGGGGAAGAGCCGGGAAGGGCTCCACTGGCCGGGACCTGATTATCATGTGCCCCGGAGGCGCCCTTCGTCTCCCCCGTCTTTCCTCATGGTGCTGCGTTGACTTAATTTTCCGTTGATTTTTCGACCTATCACCGGGGCCAGCACATTGATGGTGCTTGAAGCTGGGCTTTGCATTGATCGCTGGAGGATTATCTGCATAACCCGACAGGCAATATTCATATGTATTCGATTTGGAAAGACAACTCAGATGCAATGATTCTCCTTTTCTCCTGCATCAATCGACTTGGGATCGGGAAATCGATCGTATCTAAGACCACTGGGGCAGGGCAGACGCTCTCGGGCGACAATCCCGTGTTCAAGAGCCTGCGACGGCCGCTCAGTGGGAAGAGAGGAGTTTGGAGAGGAGGAAAGCACAATCGCCAGGGCCAGGCGCCTGAGCCCTGGACTTGGGAACGGACGGCTCCGCAAAGCCTAGCGCAAATGGGCCAGGTCTCTCGGCGGAACCGTTGTTTCAGCACCTGATCAGAATTTGGCTAGGGCTGATGTTGTAGGTTGGCTGTGACGATGTACTCTGTACTTGTGATTGCTTCTGGTCGCTCTGTTCCTTTTCGCACCGCTGGGTATCCGAAACAGATCCCAGGGGGTTCAATGTGGTTCTCAGTCCGGATTATGTTCCTCTGTGGCCCCTGCCCAATTGAAGCAGGGGGAGAGGCGTTGGGGCAAGAATTACACTTTGCAAGTGCAAGGGGCGACAGACAACGGCTCTTGGGTCTAGTGGGGCCGGCGGTCGAATCTCGTATTTTTGGACCACTGGAGCGTCTCTCGCCTACAGCAACTCCCGCGTCGGTACGGAGTAATCTATTCTCGACAGGGTGCGGAAATCTAGAACCTCGTGTCCAATATCAATTCGCCTAGACTACACGCACAGAGTCCGTGAAGGGTCTTTATTGGCTCAAGTCTTGATGTCATTGGCGAGACTATTTAATATCCCCAACGGACTTAATAGATTGTCCACGTCGCGCGTCAATTAAAGAGGATAGGTTTTGCCGGCTCGCACACTGTTCAAGGACACAGCCTCCCCAGGTCACTGTTGTATGTATATTTGTTGAGCCGGCTAAATCTTCAGACTTTATTCAGGGTTTGCTCTCCCAACTCCGCCAATATGGATATGGCTTACTAGTCGCACCTGGCCGGTTCAACATCCAGTAATAGCTCCTGCGCAAAAAACATCCGACCGCGACGAAAGATAACAGTGCTGCATTCGTCCAGTGTCCGGTCTGATACCCCATTCTATTGTCATTGGACTTGTAAGCCCAAACCCCGACAGTTCAACACCCGTACCTATCGATGCTGCTTGAGTACATTGGTATCAGAATATATATATAAATATAGCTACTATACTGAATTGGCAAACTCACGGCATATACATCGGATGGTGAACGGCAAAGGCAAGAAAGCCAATTACACCAATAGGTAAGCGATATGGAGTGCTGTTGAATATAGTCCATGGATATTGAGCTACCTTACCGTTGTGCGCCCCAGAGCATAGAACCCTGAAAGTTTGGAGTAACACCTGATGAGGCATACGCATTGAAACGATCGGCCGACCACGCTCTTATTATTGTCACCACGTAAGCTGTCGCATATTTAGGAATGGTCATCAGATGTGCATGCAAATACGTGAACCCATGTCCGGCAGTGGTCGAGGGGTAAACAAAGCAAGACCTGAAAGAGGCGTGGATATGTCCAAAAGGCAGTTTAGCACTATTTAAAGAGGTTCTCACATATCGCGTAGAAGTACAGACGCCAATCAGTCCGCCTCTGCCCATGTCAGTCCACTAGCATCGCCATGCGGTCCCTCAAGAGCAAGTCGCTGTCAATCTGGATGGTGATGACAACGAGAACCATAACACCGATGCCTTTGATGTTGGCGAGAGTAACGGCACGTCCATCCGTAATGCTGTTGTCAAACCCCAGAATGACTACTTGGCTGTCAACTCGGGACGGTGAGTATTTCCCCTTCTTGGTTTACCTACTTGACCTTTGACACAGTAGACATGTATCCCAAAAGGCACTGCTTAATATGATGTCTTGAACTAAAATACTTTTGAGAGTATTGTATTCACTGGCGGTATCTGCTCCAGTGGCCCTATCGGCTCTGTCGAGAGCGATGTTTTTCCGGTCTATATTTTTTGCAGTGACGGCAGCTGCTCGGACTGGACTTGGTCGAATGTGAAGATCACTGGCGGTGAATCGAGCTCCGAGTGTGAGAATGCGCCTCCTGGAGATTCTTACTTGGTCTGCAACTAGTCAGATGTGCAGAAGGATTTTTACCTTGTCGCGATCCTGCGGCCGTAGCATAGTGAACAAGAGATAGCCATTATTTACCGAGGTATAATATTTCATTGCATGAAGGTTTTTCTCCTCATATTGTAGCAGCATCTGGCGGCTTCGGGCTTCGATCTACTTGAACCTGAAAACATTTTCTATGAAGCGGTCTCATAGCATATCGTGCTATCTTCAGCTAGCTATTGCTCTAGTGATTGTAACTTCATCTTGGCGAGAACCTCCAAGACTGAAATGCCACGTCAATGTATCTAGCTCATAATCGACACAAGCTCGGGCTAAATGAGACCCTATTCATGCATAAATGGCGCATTAGCCTTGTTATCTCTTAATATAGAACCCAATTCATCAATATGGGAACGGAGAATCGGGACATACTTCCCTTGTATGGGCCCCAGGTTCGACGACGTGCTGGCTCCACATGGGGTTGTGAATCGGCTACTCCAACCTTGATTTCTAGTCGAAACTGTCTGTGCTGTTGCATTCGCTACTGAGTTGCCCCGACCTGGGACTTGCATTTTGCAGAATGACACGGCTACCATCTACCGATCTCACTGATCTCAACACGGAAGAGCCGCCAAAAGGGGTCTGAGGGAAATCTCAATGAGCCCGGAGTGGCATTCTAAGCAGCATTGTTAGATCTAGATATCCGCACTTGCTAGGTTTCTCCCATCTCTTTATGCTTTGCCAACATCACCGAAAAGTTACTACTACCGTCGGTGCCAGATCTATGTCCACGGGTATCAGTTCGGAAATTAGTTGCGTCACGTCGGGTGACGGGGCATCTTTCCAGTCCCCAAGGGTATCTGGGACTACCACGGTAGTCACTATTGGATAGAACTGGAGATATTCAATGTGGCCAGCTTGGTGTACCAGAATGACGGGTGATGGTTGAAAAACAGGGGTGTTCGCCATTGAGAGCGCCCTGGGGCCAGTGTGGCCGATACTCGGTGGTTACAACAATCGAATTCATTCGAAATCAAAAATTACATACAAAAACCTGTGAAATGTCGGCAGTTGATGAATAGGGCCGTTCTTGGTGGTACATAATTTACCATTCTACAGACTTCGAGAATGTCCAACAAGTTGATGACGCCATAGAAGCTGCGAGCTCCCCGCATGAGCTGCAACAAACCTCACGCGCACCATTGACATCTTTCCACCATTTGGCTTCCCCCTAACTCTCTCCGAAATCACGCCAAAATGCAGGTTCTCCTCCTCGGCGGCCACGGCAAAATAGCCCTCCACCTGACGCCACTCCTGCTGAACCGCGCTTGGAACGTGACTAGCGTGGTGCGCAACCCCGATCACGAGAATGAAATCTTGGCCCTCGGCAAGGGCCGTAAGGGAAACGTGAGCGTGTTGATCTCAAGTCTGGATGACGTGAAGAGCGCTAGCGATGCTCAGAAGATCCTTGACTCGGTGACGCCGGACTACGTGATCTGGTCGGCTGGTAGGTGCCCCTCATTTTCTGCCCCCACCGCCACGATAGCCGGACCGCGACGCGATCCAAACCTACGCTTCTAGCGCAACGTCAAAATGCGGTATGAAATTCCTGGACCCGCTAATGAGGTGAATACACAGGCGCCGGCGGCAAGGGTGGCCCCGCCCGCACGATCGCCATCGACCAAGAAGCGGCCAAACACTTCATGACCGCCTCATTCGCCTCGCCCAGCGTAAGCAAGTTCCTGATGGTCTCGTACATTGGCAGCCGGAAGAAGCAGCCTCACTGGATGCCGGACGACCAGTGGGCGGCCATTGTGCGCACCAACACCGAGGTGCTGCCCACGTATGCAAAGGCCAAGATGGAAGCAGACGAATACATGACTGCGCTGGCCGCAAAGCGCAAGCAGAACCCCACTGCTGCGACACATCCTTTCCAGGCTATTAATCTGCGCCCTGGATTTCTCACCGATGAGCCTGCTACCCGCAAGGTGGAGCTTGGTATTACACCCAAAGGTCGTGGCAATGTTACGCGTGAGGATGTGGCTATTGTGGCCGATCTGCTGCTGGCGCGTGCTGATACCGAGGGCTGGATTGATCTGGTCAATGGAGAGGAGGATGTCGAAGCAGCGGTGGAGAGAGTGGCGAAGGCGAAAATCGATGCGGTGGAGGGTGAGGATGTCGACGGAATGGTGAAGCGATTCTTCCCCTAAGCAAGGGAGAGGGAATTTAACTCACATAGGAGAAGACTCTCGTTACGGAACTACTTTCGGGGTACTAGTACAATCACACAGTATGCAATGTGCAACCTATCAATTTCATTTGTACATACTGTAGCAGTAAAGCTATAGCTTTGCCCTGGGGCCCTTTGCCAAGTCTTTGAACTGCTGCTTCAGTATACGACGCAGGATCTTCCCACTGGGGTTCTTGGGGACCTGATCCACGAATTGAACACCACCACGCAGGCGCTTGTGGTGCGCAACCTTGCTGTCCAGCCAGCGCACGATATTGGCGGCTTCTTCCGTCTCGCTCGCACCTGAAGCCTTGCTCTTCGAGCTGCGGACCACGCAAGCCAGTGGCACTTCGGAGCCGTGAGCGTCGCTTTCGATGCCAATCACAGCGACATCATCGATGGCCTCGTTGTCCACCAGGAGGCCCTCGAGCTCAGCGGGGGGCACCTGAAAGCCCTTGTATTTGATCAGCTCCTTCACACGATCCGTAATGAAGAAGTTGCCTTGGGCATCTTGGTAACCGACATCACCCGTGCGGAACCAGCCATCCTCCGACAGACACTCCCGAGTGGCGGTTGGGTTCTGGTGGTAGCCCAGGAAAACATTAGGACCACGAACAGAAAGCTCGCCAACCTCGCCAGTGGCAACCTCACGAGGCTCAGAGCCGTCCTCGGGCATTGTCATATACTTGGCCTCCATGTTAGGCATCATGCGGCCGACGGAGCCAATGTGCTCTCGCCAATCCTCCCACCGTTGCGAGTGTGTGGTAGGACTGGTCTCGCTCAGGCCATAACCTTGCTTGATTCCCACCTTGATACGAGCGTACACGTTCTCCACCAGCTCCTGGGTGAGGGGCGCCGCGCCAGAGTTCATCATCCGCAGACTTGAGAGGTCGTACTTGTCGACCACAGGGTGTTTGCCCAACAGAAGCACCACTGGGGGCACAATATAACTGAATGTCACACGATAGTTTTGCACATGTGCGCACCATTTTTCAATATCAAACTTCGCCATGGCGATAAGGTGGTAGCCCTTGTATAGGGCTAGGGTGAGCAAGCAGGTCAATCCTAAAAACCGTCAGTCAGATATGTCTCGACGACAACAGAGATTCACTTTTATCGGCGTACCATAAATGTGATAAAATGGCAAAAACGCTAGAACACGGTCACCCTTCCCATCTGGACCTCCATTCCAGCTAAGATTTCCGCCTTCGCCGGTGACTTGCTGCAAAACATTGGCCACAATATTCCTGTGCGACAGCATAACACCCTTCGGCACGCCGGTGGTACCAGAAGAGTAGACCAGGAAAGCCAAATCAGAGTCGGGGACAACCTTCTGTCTGCGATACCGGGTGGCGCGGGAGATATTTCGAACAGAGGTGAAGTGCTTGTACCGGGCATCCGGGTCCCGCTGGTCACCCAGGAGGATAATGTGGTCTTCCCGAATGCCGACCTTCTTTGCGGCTGCCGTCGCCACCGACAGCAGCGAAGCTTGGGTCGCGAGCGCCTTGGCGCCTGAGTTCTTCAGCTGAAAGGCCAGCTCATCGACGGTGTAGGCGGGGTTGGCCGGGGAGACAATGCCGCCCGCCCAAAGCGTACCCCACATGAGCACCGGAGTGTCGATGCTGTTTGGGGTGAAGAGAGCCAGAACATCACCCTTGTGCCAGTCGTAGGTGGCCTTCAGGCCTTTTCCAAACTCGAGGGAGGCATCCTTCAAGGACTTGTAGGTGTAGTGTCGCTGGGTATCGGCATCCTGGTAGAGGACTGCGAAGGGTTAGTATGGACAGAGATTGCAAGGCGCAGAGCGCATCCTCGGGAACTCAAATTACTCACTCTTGTCATCAGGGAATGGCCTGTCCTTGCGCTCGAACAGGAAGGACCAGAGGTCGATGTTGGGAATGTCGATTGTTGGGTAAGTGGAAGAGACAGGCATAGTGCGGGGAAAGCCGAGTGCCGATCCGGGGGATGCCAACGGTATAAAGAACGTGGGGATAGTCACGGGCGTGAGCTGAACCTGCTAGATCCAAGACAGAGAATAAGAGAAAACCTGGAATATAGGATCGAGCCCGGGATATAAGAAAGAACCGTGTGGAGAAAAACCCTGGGGCTTCTCCGCAGTTTCGGTTCGTGGCGAGCGGGCACCCTCGGCCCTCGCGTTGGATTTTAACACTGGGCTAGCCAACACTCGAAGTGGGCTCTCGGAGGACCGGCGTTGACGAACCCCTGCGCGCGGGGCTTAGCTATAAATCGTGTACGTTGTGGATGTAAAGTTCTCAATATTGTTCGTACATTCACCATGCAAAATTTACTAATAGAGTGATCTTGTAGTGATCTGGATGCCCATAATCCATGAGGTATTGCCTCGGCGCTGTCGGCGTTCCCAGCGGCCTGGTGCGCTGGGTCCGTCAGATCTCCGATTGGCTGTCCTCATTCAGTGCCACGACTCCCATGGCCATTTTATGATTTTAGGCTAGCGTGACCTACTGGAAGGACCAATGCTATTCGCTTTGTACAGTCTACCTGGGCTTCAGTCCAGGTTTGCTGGCTATCTAGATATGTAGAATATGTAGATACCTAGGTACCAGTTCGTATACCCGGGCAATAGTACTGGAATTTAGCAGGGTCGCACACGACATACACTCAATCGAAGGGTCCGCATACCTATATATATTTCAGATCAAAACTGCAAGCCGATTGCCATAGATGATTCCCAATGAATACCCATGTACCGGGCATGTTCCAGGAAAAGAGGACTTACTTAGCCTATGGTTCATGGGGCAGATGCATTCAGTGGCATGTCCCATAGATTGTATCCACTGAATAATCATGAAAGTCGGCTTTGGTCGGTCTAGAGTCCCGATTGTTCTTACACGTCTACAGCATCCACGGAGTTGAAATAATCATATCGTAAATTGAACCCTTTCCCCTAGCACCAGAAAGCAACCAGGGACAAGATGTCCTATCCTTTTGCTTTGCCGAGACTGACAAAGACTTGAGAGGGGCAAGATCCCAATGATTTTTTATGCCGACAAGCTCTTTAATTGAAATGGAAACAGCTGATCCGCTCTGGAAATACAAGCTGAATAAAGGAATCCAGTTGGGAATATACTGGCTCCCATTTTTCCTATCCAAGCACCACCACCACACGCCACTCCAAGGGGAATCGTTCGAATCGTTTACTTCAGGGGAATGAAACGGGAAGAGTGGGTGGCACCGATACCGGGACGACCGTGCTTGACGGGCTTGCTATGGGGTTGTTAGAACGGCTCAAAAAGGATAACCAAAAGGATGGCGAAACGTACTAGGAGATAGAGAACTCAGCCAGGTAGTGGCCAACCATCTCAGGCTTGATCTCAACCTGGTTGAACTCCTTGCCGGAGTAGATACCGATGACGGAGCCGATCATCTCGGGGACAACGATCATGTCACGGAGGTGGGTCTTGACGAGGTCGGGCTTCTCGTTGGGCTTGGCCTCCTGCTTGGCCTTGCGGAGCTTCTTGATGAGACCCATGGGCTTGCGCTTCAGGCCGCGGTTGAAGCGACGGCGGGCACGAGCGTGAACGACATCACGGAGCTGCTCGGAAGAGAGGTCCAGGAGCCTATCGAGGGGTTCAGTCAGACTGATATTCATTCCCAAAAAGTTTTCCTGCCTTGGTTTTTCTGGAGCGACCACGCCCAGCACACAAGCAAATCAATCATTCAACCCAGATCGCGAGAGCATAAACAGTTGCTTTTTGATTCGAATAGTGCCGGGCGCGACGCGCAAGAGATTTTTTTGACGGGCAGGAGGGTTGACGGATCAAACGTACTGGTCCAGGTCAATGCCGCGGTAAGAGAACTTGCGGAACTGTCTTCTCTTCTTGATCTCTGTTGCGCGAAGGTTTCGTTAGCGATCCGGATTCTCATTCGTGTGGCGTATGCATGTTCGTGACCATCCCCCTGCGTCGAAGCCATTTCATCTTCCCCTCAAGATACTGATCGTGTGTCGTCATTCCATCTCCCATTCCATTCGAATCTTTCCAGTGACTTGGCTCTTTTCGCAGACGGGCAGGGATATGTGGGGATAAATATTGATTCAAGACGTACCGGCAGCCTCCTCGGCGTTCTAAAGAAACCTTGTTAGTATCACAGTCGTCTGGGTTGTTATGGGGGGCGGGATGGGACTCACGTATTCGACGTCAGCCATTTTTGCGGTGATTTCCTTGGAGCTCGCTTTTCGAACGTATCTCGAAAAGCGAAGGAAGATGGGTTGTCGGGTGGGTTGTCGTGTCGCTAACGGTCGTCTGGCACACTACGACTGGTGAGGTGGGCAGGGCTCGCCTAAGCGACGGGTAGGTTAAGCCCTAATCCACTAGTCCGCTTTGGGAATACAGTATTGAACAGGTCACGTATAGTAATTTATTTCAAAGGTACTCTTGTGTACGACGAGTGCCATGTAGTTTTGCTGGAGTTATTTGTACCTGAATTTCATTTTATGTGTAATATGAATACCAAATGCCTAGCCCGGAATCCCAGGAGAAGGTGCAAGATATCAAATCGAAAGTTATAGAGGTGATCTACAGACTGTATGATCCATAATAGTGATCGATAGGCTCCTGCAAAATATGCCTCTTCCCTTGGAAGCGCTCTAGGTATCGCCGGTCAACTACGTCCTACGCAAAGACACAAAGTGGAGGACAGATGAATCTGTATTGGCTAGGAGCATTCATAGCTCACGTATGGAGGATTCGTAACTGGGTTAGGACAGCCTGAACACAACACATTTGAGGAACCAGTCGGCGAAGGATATTGCCGAACTGGCTATTCCATCCAGATGTCTGTTCCCCCGGGTCGTCATTTTGAATTTTCCTTCGAGGAAGGCATTTAGTCGAAGAGACCGAAGCCCATGTCCTCATCGGACTCCTCCTTCTCCTCCTCCTTGGCGGCCTCGGGAGCGGCCTCGGCGGCACCACCAGCAGCAGCAGCGGCGGGGGCAGCGGCACCACCAGCACCACCGGAGGGAACGGAGGCGAGCTTGGTAGAGCCCTCAGCGATCAGCTATAACCAATGGTCAGTATTTTCGCATCTTCCGTAGGTAGAGAGTTGTAATGGTGGAACTAACCTCCTGGAGGTTCTTGCCCTGGAGCTCGGCGACGACCTTCTCGAGGCGCTCAGAGTCAGCGTCGATGCCGACGGAGGAGAGGACCTCCTTGATGTCGGAAGCGGAGGGGGACTCGTTGCCAGCGAGGGCGAGGAGCAGGTAAGCGGCGAGGAACTTCATTTTGATTTGACTGTTGAGAAAAATTCGTTGTCAGCGCCGAAGTCGAAATATTGGACGTGAAAACAGTTCGAAGATGCGCTAGGGCGGGTTTCCAGGCAGCGAGAAGGCAAGGTTGTGAAAGACATACCTTTGTTGGTCTGTTAGACGAGAACTGAGAAACAATCGATTTAACCGCGAATTGGGCGGAGACTGCAACGTCGAGCTCGGATGAGGGTTGAGGAACAAGAACTTGTCGCGGGCCCCCAAAATCGAGGGAAAAGTGCGTTGCGGCTGATGTGGCTGTGTCACCGCCTGGCAGAAAACCTAAGCGAGTGTGGCGAGTGAAAGATCACGTGATATATTGCCATCGCCGAGTGAATGATGCCCTGTTCTGTGATCTGCCCCCGCTCATTCACTCGTCGCCTTTTTGAGAAGTACTGGGGAAGATCGGCTCTTCGCGCTGAGTCTCATTTCAACTAGGTCTTCATTTCCCCACGAAATAACACGCCGCGGGGTCTACCCCGACAGAGCCATTCATGGTATCGTGTTCGGAGTCATGAAGCTATCTAGTCGAACTAACCATCGACGGTAAACGGTATCTTCCCTTTGCCACTTCCGGAAGACAGTCTCTCAGATATCTTTTTGTTTCAAAAGATCAATATGAGTGTATGTTCGTTGCTTTCTTGTTCGATTCTTATCTGTTATCTGACACATCGAGCAGTTTCTCGACTCCGTCCTCTCGTCACTCCAGACGGGTAAACCTACCCAGGCCCCGCTATCCCAGCCGCCCGCACCCCCAGCCTCATCTTCAGCAATCAAGAAGGATGATAGACGACTGGGACCAGCGCCTCGCGCACCTCAACCGAGTGGAAATGTCAGCGGAGGAATAAAGCGCAAGGCCGAGGACCATCTTCCTCGACCTTCGAGGCCTGACGGCCAAGTAGCCAGCAAGCCTCCTGCTAGCCGGCCAACAGCTCCATCTGGAACACCTAAGGCCCTATCCAAAACTGCCTCGCCGAAGCCCGTTTCCAGGAATGGCACAACACCAACTACAAAGACTCCACCAGCAAAAGCGGTATCCGCGAAGCCGGCCATGACCAAATTGGCAGCGGTCAAACCAGCAGCTTCAAAGCCAGCAGCGGTCAAACCCGCCGCAGTTCCGTCCAAGCCACCCCCAAAGGGTTCCTTCGCCGACCTCATGCAGCAAGCGAAGGCCATGCAAGACAAAGCTCCAACCCAGTTGGGTATGCTACGACACCAGACCGTGCCCAAGGAAAAACTGAGCAAAGTAGAGCGCAAACGACGACTCATGGAGGCCAAAGCGCAAGACAAAGCAGCGCGTTCCGGCAAACGTCCTGTGCCCGGCCCGGCTCCTGCAGACAAATCCGCCGTTAAGCGACGGTCGCCTGAAGCTCTCTCATATAAAGGCACTGCCAAACCATCTCAAACTCCCGAGCCTCCTGTGTATCGTGGGACTGCCGGTCAGCAATCCCACCGTGGCACCAACGACCGCCGACCGCATGGGAAACGTCGCATGGATGAATACCTAGGAACAGACGAAGAAGACGAGGGCGAGTATCGTAACTTAGGCGACTACGATGACTTTTACTCAGATGCATCCTCTGACATGGAGGCCGGCTTCGACGATATGAGGCATGAAGAAGATGTCGCCTTGAAATCTGCTCGAAAGGAAGATGAAGAAGAATTGCGGCGGGAGATGGCTGCGAAGAAAGAGAAGATGGAGCGCCAGAGGAAGCTGGCTGCTCTTGCATCCCGCAGTAAGCGTTAATAAATGTCTACATGCATTTAAGAGTCATTTACTATATCATTTGTTCGGGAGGGGGTCTTTTGCTGAGCATTGTTAGCGTTATTCAAGGTTTCGATAGACGGAGAAGCGTATAGTTCTTTTCTTTCCTTCCCTTTTCCTCTCTATTTCTTTTGTGAAGACCATTATAGCGGGCGTCATACCAATACCAAGTCTGATTTGCTTCAAAGTTGAAAGTACCGTTAGTTTCGTGTAATCCCTGAATGTCGTAGGAGTCTACTAAGCAGGGAGTACAAACTTGCCGACTGCTGGCCGGCTCCACTTGGCGGTGACGTCACCCCTAGTCCCGAGCTTACCATTCATATCATCACCCTCTCCAATTCGCACCACGCTCTCCATATCGCATCGCCCTTCCTTCAATTCGCATCTCCCTTCCTCAATTTCGCCGACGTTTTCGGTCCTGTTCCTGCTCTTTTTCCTCGCTTATATTCCCAATGGAGTCAGTTCACCATGTCTCGACCTCATCGAAGATTCTCTTCGGCAAGGTCCGCAAGATGGTGCCTCCGATGCTCGAGAAGTTCCACAAAGGTGTGTTATCGTGTTAGAAGGCGAATTTCAGTGCCCATTGGATTTCGGCCACTAGTATTCATGAGCAGGGGACTGACTGGTTTTGGCAGGGCAATTGGGACGTGTAGCCGTCATAGGAGGCTGTGCTGAGTAGGCCGTCGCAATTTATGCACAATTTATGGGCTGTTTTCTTGGACTAACCTCGATGGAAGCTATACCGGAGCTCCATACTTCTCTGCTATAGCATCAGCAAAGCTAGGTATGTTTCTTGATCCTGTACTATAGGTCAGTGGGCTTACATCATATCCTAGGATGTGATATGGTATGTTGATACCAGCAGCGTTTTTGATCATGAGGCTGACCCTTTTCAGAGCCATGTTCTCTGTGAACGCTCTGCTGCATCAGTATGCTCGACCCGACATCGTGATACATGAAATGCTCATTTCATCTGTAGGTTATTAAGGGTTACTCTCCAAACCTGATGGTGCACCCGTTATTGCCAAGCACCGACACAGTCAAGGATCCCAATTCAATTAATGCCCCGGAGCTTGCGGGCCCTATCATTGCCATGCTCTCCCGCCTGCACGCACTGGTCATCGGACCAGGCCTCGGCCGTGATGGAGTCACGCTCAAGGTTGTTGCAGAAGTGATCAAGGAAGCGCGGTCACAGTCGATCCCGTTTGTGCTGGACGCGGATGGGTTGCTCATTATCACGGAAGAACCGAATCTCATCAAAGGATATAAGGAATGCATCTTAACCCCGAACGTGGTGGAGTTCGGCCGTCTAGCAAAGGCATTGGGGGTCAAGGTTGGCAGCCAGGCAGATATCACGAAGGGCGACGGCGACAAAACAAGCAAGGAGTCAGATGCGTGCGAGCAGCTGTCCAAGGCTCTCGGCGGCGTAACTATTCTCCAAAAAGGCCCTCATGATGTGATCTCAAATGGAGTTACCAGCATAATTTCCGATATCAAGGGAGGTTTAAAGCGCAGCGGTGGCCAGGGAGATACCCTGACAGGCTCACTGGGGACCATGCTAGCCTGGCGCGCGGCCTACCACGACAAACTATGGGACTCCGGTGAGAGAGACAATGAGACGGAGGCGGAGACTAAGGATGATGTGCAGGCCGAGCTGGAGTCCACGGCTAAGCGCATGTCTCCAACAACCACCCTGCTTCTCGCTGCTTGGGCGGCCAGCAGTATTACCAGAGAGTGCTCGCGGCGAGCCTTCGAAGCCAAGGGGCGGAGCATGCAGGCTAGCGACCTGACTGAAGAGGTGCATCCCAGCTTCCTTCGGCTGATTGGAGAGCCGGAAGGCTCCAAGACGCATCTCTAGAGTGTGATGCCCGTGTAATGATTGGCTTGGATCACTACAGACAACACAGCTTTGACTCCCGGGTGTGGTGTCTCACTTGATCTCTACTCGGCCTCGTCCGTGTGAAACGGAGAAGATAGATATTAGTCATAGTATCCCAACATCATACTGCTTCATACTAGCCTTGTCTGACCGCAGAGATGATCACCACTGATGGGACCTGCATGCTGAGAGGGATCCCAAGCCTACCTCATTGCCACCACAAGAACATCGCCTGATGCACTAATACTACCGGCTATGGTAGGGTGTGTAAGTTCCGGATAGTCGTATAGACCCTGATCCAGTTCTCACCTCTTTTCTCCGAAGCAAGAATACATGGTTTATGCAGCCCAGCAGCTACAGCTATTACTGGTTGCTGCCAGCTCGTATACGGTCAGGCCACACTTTGGTACAATGGCTACCGAGAAAGTCGACTACTGACCTCGGGGGAACATTTCCTAAGACTACCGAGTGCTGATGTGTAAGCATGTAACCTCCGGTGCCCAAGCAGTTCGTTGGACGTGTTCATCGCGTTGTCATGCTATGGTTGTATACTCCGCAGAGCAATGCAGACTCTTAGGTAAATGTATCTAGAACAAGACCAACCACGTGGGCGGTGCGAGTCACGTAAGTATCCCAAGTGGGAAATGTAGAACGAAGGTGCAAGCCATCGAAGGACCTATAGAGCCCCACAGTACCACTGCAAGTTGCTCAACCTCAACCTACCTATCTTTCCGTTTACTTTGATCTTTACTGACCCACGAAAGCTATGGCCAGGAGTCAGCGCATGTCTGAATCACCGGCTGCCGGGCCAAGCGGCCTGACTAAAATTACTAAAGAGCGATCCACTGAACGGGAGAATAACTTCAACTGCAAGACGTCCCAAAGCAAAAAAGGTCGAAGCGGTGTGAGACACCTGCAGTGACAGGTCGACCCTTTCCCCGCATTGGAGTCTATACATAGGACATCGGGAAAGGCTGAGTTCGAGATCCGAGGCGAATTAGGGCTGTGGGGTTCGAGGTGAGACATCCTCCCCGCCTTATGCAGGGTGCTCGAGGGAACCCAAAGGCACCTCGTACCTTCGCTAATGGCGCCGATATTTCCAGAATAGCAATAGCAGCGCGCCCCTCCGCCCTTTGAGCTGGCAAGCCATCCACCTCAGCTAGCTTGACAAGCATTGGTGATGTCTCTAGATCCTGTTCCAGGTCTCGTATTCGCGTTGCGCCCAATCCCCGAACGGCTGGCTCTGCCTCCACGGCCTATCCGAGGCTGAAAGGCCAGGTACCTGCACACTGGGGCGACAAGTTGCCGAGCGCAGGGTTTGGGTTGAGTTTTTCGCAGTGAGACAGGCCTTTGCTGGTGACCTCGTGATGTTCCGGTAGACTTAGACAAAGCGGTAGCCTGGCCTGCCAGTCTACCTCCTGGTAAAAAGTGTGTTTATTCCGGGCAGCCCGGACACTTGATCTATACCGATGCTCGAGCCGTAACCAAGTATAAAAGGGTGGCAATCTACCCCAGAAATGGTGTCATTCTCTCATCAAATTGAGCAATATCAAGCACAACGATTATCTGATCCCTAGTTTTTATTCAATCGTTACTAGCAAACCCCACACCCGCGATGCAGCTCTCTACCCTCACTGTCCTGATCGCGGCCACCCTCGCTCTGGCCAACCCAACCCCTCCCCCCAAGTGCGGTACTTGCAACCCGGTGTCCGGCCAAAACAGCTGTGACATTACCACCTCGTGTATCAACACGGGCTCGACCTTCCACTGCGCCTGCCGTGCCGGTTACAAGGCCTCCCAGCACAATAACGATATCAAGTCGCAGTTCCGCCTCAATATGCCCAACTACGAGTTCCTGGTTTTCGTTCCTGAGAACACCGTTTGCAACACTCTATGTGACAACCCGTGGGCTGCTCCTGCCGATCTTTGCAAAGAAGTGCAGAAACATAATGAATGCGCCGTTTAAGACCTCTCGCCTGAGAAGTGTGCCTGTCGGTTGGGTTGAAGGATCTTTGGATAATGGTCTTGGGTTAGAGTGAGACTGAAAGATGGGTTGGAAGAAATAAATTCTTAAAGTATAGCCCAAAGGAATCGTGGATGTTGAGGGCCATATAGTGTGGCATGCCACTCCTTTAAAATAATCCATTTTGGCCTTTCTTTCCCAGAAATACTACGAACACGAATACAGTGTAAACAGAAGACCACTAAATTAAAGTAGATTTGGAAAATAGAGATCTTTTGATTGACTAAAAAAATCATCAGAACCAGCTTTCTTGCCCACAAAATATATCCCATAAGACACCTGAACACCCATGGCCCTAGATTCTACCGGTTCCACTGAATGCATCTTAAGATACGCAAAAAAGCCCTATTGACCTGCGAAACAAACAAAAGCAAAGCGTCTGGATTAACCATGCATCTCATCGTCGCCGTCAAGGAATACAAGACGTGAACTGTTTCCAGCAATTTGCCAGACCTGAGAGAGAAAAGTTAGCGATGATTCTGAATGGAAAGCTGGAGAAGTCAAAACTTACGTTGAACTCGGCATATTCGTGAAGGGTGGTGGTGAGCTGGTCCTCAGTGAAGCCCTTGGCCAGCACACGCTCCCGAATACGTCTCACGCTCAGCTCATTGTCCTCACCATCACCGATAGCTGCAGCGCCGCTCTCCCGCAGGGTGCGAATCAAGGTGTAGATCTTGCTGCTGGGGGTGTGGTCGGCACCGGACTCGCCATCGTTGTAGAGGGACGCCTTGCTAACTTCGATGAGGCGCAACGCCTCGTCAACATCCTCGCGGACCACCTCCTCGCTGAAGCGAAGACGGGCGAGAGCCTGGGAGAGACGGACCATACCCAGCAGAGTACGGGTGGTAACGTGGGAGAATTGCTGCTTCCGCGCCTCGTCCTTCTTCTGACGCTTGCGCATAGCGACGTACGCACCAACCATGTAGTCGGATACATTTGAAGGAACGACAGGGCGGAAGGTGCGGGCCTTGGCGATGTACTGACGGACCTCATGGGGAGTGAACATGATGCCAGAGTCTTCGGTCTCGGGGTGTTTGTTGTGCATGTGGACGTAGGTGACGTGGCTGGCCAGCTCCTCGTCCGTTTCCCGGGACGGAGTATCCAGGAGCAAAAACATGACATCGAAACGGGAGAGCAAAGCGGCGGGGAGATTGATGTTCTCAACGGGCGAGATACGGGGGTTGTATCGGCCGTATAGCGGGTTGGCGGCGGCCAGAATCGAAGTACGGGCATTCAAAGTGGTGTTGATGCCAGCCTTGGAAATGGAGATGGTCTGTTGCTCCATAACTTCGTGAATGGCAGTTCGGTCCGAGTCATCCATCTTGTCGAACTCATCAATACAGCAGATACCGTTGTCCGCAAGAACCAGGGCACCACCCTCCAGCACCATCTCATCAGTTACGGGGTCTCTCATCACAGCAGCAGTCAGACCGACACCACTACTACCACGACCCGTGGTATACACACCACGAGGGGCAACCTTTGTAATGTATCGAAGTAGCTGAGATTTGGCCACACCAGGGTCACCCATCAGGCAAATGTTGATGTCACCACGAATGTGCATTCCATCACCCATCTCCTTGGTCACACCGCCGATCAACAGAAGCAGCAGTGCCTTCTTCACGTCAAGATGTCCGAAAATCTCAGGCGCGATAGAGCGCGAGAGATACTCGTACATGTTGCCAGAGTTCAAGTGTTGCTCAATCTTCTTCAGGGTACGGCTGTCCATGCCGATATCATTGTAGGACTTCTTGTGCTGGGTAATGTGCTGAGCCTCCAGGTAGGTGTCAGTCAGGAGACCGGCGCGAATAGCGCGGAAGCCAGTGTAGGGAGTAGGCAAGAAGATACCAGCAATGTCGACGACATCACCGGGGTTCAATTGTCGGGTTTGTGCTCCGTGGCAGTGAATAGTAAGTGACCGGGGAATGTGGCCTACGGGCACCTGGTCGGCCATCTCCTGGATTTTGACCTCCTGGAACGGAACAAATTTAGAGGCGCGAGTCGACAGGAATAGCTGACCCTTCGAGTTATTCTTCTTGCACTCCTCCGACAGACACTCAGAAAGAGGAAGGAACTGCTTGGTGGTAATGGGCTGGAAGACTTCGCATCCGCATCGGTCGCAAGTGTAGGCGTTGATCTGAACGGCAGGCTTGACGTCCGAGACACGAGTAGTGATGCCGCGGACGGTGATCAGGCTACCAAGATGCTCTCCGCGCACATTGCGGACAGCAAGTGCTTTTCCGGCGCGGTCGCTGCTCGAGCCGGACGGTGTGAGGGGCTTGAAGTTGAGAGTATATCGGCGAGTGAGTTCAGGTGGGAAAAGGGACGCAACAGGGGCAGCATCCATGTCGGCCTCCATTTGCATCTCCTGTGTCTCATTGCGCTTCTCACGCTGCGACATGATCACATCCAAGACATCGTCCTTGAATCTGGGCTGAGTTAGTCCAATGGTCTCATGCCGCCATACTGCCGCTAATAGTAACGTACGTAATCTCCTTGGTCTCCTTGGGCATGACCGCATCCACTGCAGACGAAAACACATCGATGTAACGCTTGGTGTTCTTTTGGATGGATTCAACCAGCTTCAGATTCTGCTGCTCCTCGGGAAGGGCTTTTTCAAACTATCGAAGTCCATTGTAAGCGACGGTTATGGAGGAGACGAAATTTTTGTGCGAACTCACAACTTCTAAATCATCCAGCTCAATCACAATGTTGGAGGCATCCCGGTTGGCGATATCCTGCAGAGTCTGCATATACTTGAGCTTCGGCTCTCGGCGCCTCCTTGCTCCACGGGTCTCCGCCCCCTCATCGGCGACATCGTCCATGAAGTCATACTCATCGCTGGTGCGGTTTCCATCGATGTTCAGATCCTCCATCGCCTCGGTCGCAGCAGCTTCCGAGGTCGATTGGAGGGTCTTAAAATGCTGAAGGAAGTCCTTGAAGCCATCCAGTTGCGCGGCGTAGTCGACCGGCGCTTGGTATTGAAGCAAAGCCATGCTGGATGGGACGGCGTGCGCTCAAATTGGCAAGGAGAACGCAAAGTGGTTGAAAAGTGGGTTTCCCGCAGAAGAAAGGGCCGAGCTAATACGGAGACGCTGGCAGAGCGAGACGCGAACGCGAAAAGACGCGCCAAATATGCACTAACCATTTTGGGGCTAGCGCTAATACACGTGTAACCTGCTCCGGATAATCAGGTTCTCCGTATCGCCGGGTATCCCCCACGGGCGCGGGAAAGTCCGTCCGGTAGGGTCACATGATCAGCCACTTTGCCTCGGTTGGCCGGCCTTGCTGTGGCCGACGGGGTGTGGAGAGAGTCCGGGGCTGCGACCGGACGGACAGCCCACGCTCTCCCTCTTCCTGTGCTTCCAACCACTGCTGCGCTCGAACGATGGCACCCAAAAAGCCTTCCACGACGGCAGAAGTTGCCCTAGTTCCTCTGAAGAACTGCCTCGTTAATCTCCCGCCGTCGCTGGTCGCCTTGCTGGTCAATGCCAACACGGTCAGTTACCGAGCTCGGTCAATAATGCTGCTATACCTCCAGCTAATACTCCGCTACCACAGGCTGCGCAAAATGTCATTATTGAGTTACAGTACAAACCCCCCTCTGTTAAGGCCAATGGTGTGCCGCCGCAACGATCATGTTTCTTGGGCTGGACGGGCATGCCAAGCAAGCGGAAGCTTGCGCCGGTCGTTGGCCGGGAAGGCATAAGCAGCGGCTTCTCCAGGGAGCAGGAGATCTCTACTGTAGAGTTAGATACCACATTCGGACGCCTGCTTGGTCTGACCGAAGGGCAGAAGGTTTGTGGTTCTTCCCCGCGGCATATACTGTTGCCCACCTAAGGTACTGACTTCTTACAGGTCGGGCTACTCGTACACCTTGACCCACCTGTCGCACATACAATCAACATCGAGCCATTGACACCAGAAGACTGGGAGAGTATGTCACGAATTATACTTGTCATTTTTGATCATGGACTAATTCATATGCGCATAGTCATCGAGCTCCACGCCACATTTCTGGAACTCAACCTCCTCTCCCAGATCCGCGCTCTACCAAATCCCTCATATAGTACAGCGCAGTCAGAGCATATGCACCCGCTCGCATTGCACCTTTCACCCACCTCAACCGCTAACATTATCGTTACATCTCTTACTCCCGTGCCGGCCACCACCTCTCCATTCGCGAAGATCGCACCGGACGCGGAGGTCATTGTTGCTCCGAAACTCCGAGCGAAGCCCGGGAAATCACCCCGAGGAGACAGCCGGAGCAATGCTGGTAGCAGCAGAAAAAGCACCGGTGGACGCAGCTCCGGCAGCACAGTTCGCCCCAAGGGCCGGTCTGATTCGAGAGCTGCTCTATATCTGCGAGGGGTGGAACGCCTGTCAGCCGATCAATACTTCGATGCGGAAATGGAAGAGGATGAAAACGACGGATTCCGTGTTTGGGTTGACCCCGAATTATTGGCTTCCAACGAACTTCGTGGTGCAAGCTGGGCGTGCGTGTCTGTTGTTCAGCCCGCTGGTCTCAAGCCTCCCGTGGATCCTCAGCAGCAACTTGCTCAGCAGGAGCAACAGAAATCGAATGAAGGTGGCTCTCCAACGACCAAGTTAGTGGCCAAACTGCTACCATGGGAGGAGGCTCCAGACAGCAAGCATGTGGCGATGTCCACTTTGCTGTGTACTTCGTTAGGCGCAGAGAACATTGTGGGCGGAATCGTCCGTGTTGAGGCCGCACCCCCGCAGCTCCATCGATCGGCCGTTAAGACGCTCAAGTTGTATCCATTTATGACTGATACATCGAAGAAGAAGGATGGGCTGAAATTCGGTGCCGACACGGTCGCCTCTCGGGATGCACTAGCCGAGCGTCTCAAGGTTATCTATGGCAGCACTGGTTCCGACATCGGGCTGTTTTCAGGACCCTTGACTGATGGTATGGTTCTTCCCAAAGTTGAAAACCATCCTTCGGTCTCGTCCTTCGATGGTGCCATTCTTTGTTTTGATCCTCCGCTGAAGGGAGGTTCTGATGAGACCAAGACGATGTTTGGGTGGCTTCTAGGCTCTGAAGCTAAACTGAATCTCGAGGTGCAAGCCGAAATACCCAAACCATTTGATTCAGCCTCATCCGCATTACCTTCCGATGACTCAGTTCCCGATGCCATGCCCCAGATGGTGGGTATTGATTCGATCATCTCCCAGTCAATGACAAACTTGACAAAGTCGTCGTCTATTTTGTTGACCGGTGGACTTGGAGCTGGGAAGACTGCTTTGACCCACCTTTTAGCTCATCGTCTGCGCAAGGAGTATCTCTTCAACGTGAAGTACTTCTCTTGCCGCAAGCTTGTCACCGACGAGACGCGAATCTCCAACATTAAAGAGGTCCTGAACCGTCTGTTCATGTCCGCCTCGTGGTGTGCTCGCCTCGGTGGCCAGGCTGTTGTTATTCTTGATGACCTTGACAAGCTCTGCCCTGTCGAAACTGAAATGCAAGTTGGCAATGACAACGGCCGCAGTCGTCAAAACAGTGAAGTCATTTGCTCCATGGTCCGAGAATATTGTTCCATGAACTCTTCTGTCGTCCTGCTGGCCACTGCGCAGGCAAAGGAGTCCTTGAACAACGTCATTATAGGTGGCCATGTTGTCCGTGAGATCATCAACATGCGGGCCCCAGACAAGGACGGACGCCGGAAGGTTCTTGAGAAGCTTACCAAGCAAGATAAGTCCGCCGAGTCACTCAATGGTCATGTACGGTCGACGAGCTCCTCCACCCAGAACACCCATGACTCGTGGCTTGATCCATCGAACCCTGGAAGTCGGCCAAGCTCTTCTGGTGGTGATGGATTTGTTCTCAGCAGAGACATCGATTTCCTCGAGCTTGCGGGTAAAACCGATGGATATATGCCTGGCGATTTGGTGCTCTTGGTTGCTCGCGCACGTAATGAGGCACTCATTCGCTCCGTCCAAGATCTCGCTTCCGAATCTAAGATGATCACTCTTGGATCGGAAGACTTCGACAGTGCACTAAAGGGATTCACACCGGCATCTCTCCGCAATGTTACCCTTACCTCGTCTACAACCACCTTCTCCGCCATTGGTGGCTTGTTCGAGACCCGAAAGACCCTGCTGGAGACCTTGCAATACCCAACGAAGTATGCACCGATCTTCGCGCAATGCCCGCTGCGACTGCGCTCTGGTCTGCTCTTATATGGGTTCCCTGGTTGCGGTAAGACGCTTCTTGCGAGTGCAGTGGCCGGTGAGTGTGGCTTGAATTTTATCAGCGTGAAGGGTCCTGAGATCCTGAATAAATACATCGGTGCCAGTGAAAAGAGTGTCCGTGACCTCTTCGAACGGGCCCAGGCTGCCCGTCCTTGCATTCTGTTCTTCGATGAGTTCGATAGTATTGCACCGAAGCGTGGCCATGACTCTACTGGTGTGACCGACCGTGTTGTTAACCAGCTTCTGACCCAAATGGACGGTGCTGAGGGTCTCTCTGGAGTGTATGTTTTGGCAGCGACTTCGCGACCCGACCTGATTGACCCGGCCCTCTTGCGTCCCGGTCGGCTGGACAAGTCCTTGCTCTGTGATATGCCTACGCATGCTGATCGTCTCGACATTATTCGAGCTGTGAGTGAAAAGCTCAAGGCGGATGATGAAGTTAGGTCTCGTCTGGACGACATCGCAGCCAGGACCGAGGGCTTTTCGGGCGCTGACCTCCAGGCTGTCGTGTACAACGCCCACCTGGAGGCCGTGCATGATGCCCTCGGCGACAAATCCTCTGGTGGTGCCAAGGCCGGTGCGAAGCCCAACACGGGGAGGAATTCTTCCGCTAGTGCCTCGACCAGGTCATTCATCCAGTTCCTGTACTCGTCCTCGGAGGAAGCTTCCGGCTCGGTCTCGATGCCCTCTCCGGCTATCGTAGCAGCCAAGCTGGACGCAATCAAGAATGCCCGCCGGCGCCAACGCCAGGTTGAAGGTGGCTCCGCTGGTGTCGGTGCTGGTCTCTCGGCACCAGTGGCGAATGGGGCCGACGCCGATGCTGACGAGCTGCGGGACGACATCATCGTCCGGTGGGAGCACATCGAGTGTTCTCTGAACTCTACCCGCTCCTCTCTCAGTGCAGCCGAGCGCAGACGTTTCCAGGGTATCTACCGTGAATTCGTCGTCGGCCGCAATGGCGAGATGCCCAATGGCGAGGCGGCTAATGAGATCGGTGGCCGGTCAAGTCTGATGTGATCTTTGCCGCTAGGCTCTTTCTTGGGAGATTTTGTACATTGTATATATACACCCTTACGCGTTTTTATGGTACCTCCCCCTTTTTTTTTCCCTTTTTTTTCTGTACCTGTTTATACTCGTACACATGGATATCCTCAACACCACATTTTCCTACCTTCAAATGATTTCGTTCCCTGTGGACGAGCGATGTAGTCAGACATGGCTAAAATTTCCTCTCAATTGAAAAATGTGGGTGCAAATGATACTCTAGATTGAAAGGCATCTAAACTAAGTTAGATGGGGGATTTCTCGTTACTCGCTGTGGAGTATTTCGGGCTACGGGCCATGCAGCTCTTTTGTAAATGGATTTGATTGAGACAGCGGCAGATGGCAGAATATCGTCATTCAACCCTGCAAACACTTCCCTGCTTGCTCTCTTTGAATACCATCATAGTACATGAAAATCTGAGTGTCCAATCCCCTGCGTATGCGCATTCCATCCTCTCCTCACATTTAGATTGTTTCCTTGTTCAGATCAAACTACCATCAAGGAGGCTAGCGACCAGATCGGTCGGGCGTCATCTTGCGTAGGATTTGCCCAACCTTCTTCTTGGATGAGATCTATATACAGAAAACGATCAGCCATGGGCTCAAGATGAGGGCAGTGCTCTTCACGAACGGTGTACACGGGTGGAACTCGGAAATCTTACGCCCAGAGCCTTGACACGGTGCCACCATTGTTTGGTGCGAAAGATTCTCCCCCAGCCCTACCATTTGCTTAGCAAACTAGTATCTTGCACCTCTCGTTTCTGATCTTCACGTGTACGCTCACAGTCAGCTTAGGCTGTGCAGACGCGGGAAGGTCTTCTGGCAGCACGATGCGGGAGAATGCATTACCGGGTTTCCTCATTGGCCCAGTGCCCAGTATTCTTTGAGGTCTGTCGCAAAAATAAGGAGGCAGCTGGCCGTATAGCACGTTGTAGTCCATGAGCTCCACGATAGGGTCATCGAAGATGTCATACATCGGCTGAGCGGTTGCGGGAACTGGCGGCGAGCCGATGACATCTGAGGGTGTGTCTGCTGCTGCTTCTATCTCCTGCAGGCGGTTCACCATCACATTGTAGTTGTCTGGATCCCAGAACAGTGGGCAGGAGCTAGGCCGCAGCTCGTCCTGCAGCTCGTTGTCCATGGTTCATATGGTTCGTGCGTACCCGCGAATGTGTGCGTCGTTGTAAGTGCGACGGGTAAAGTGGTCGATGAAGAAGTGAGAGACATGGCGAGGGTTGCTGGGGACACGCAAAAGATCCCTTACAACACGCACTATAAAACCGTCCGAGTTTTAAAAACAATTATTTCTACGCTTGAGACCTCCCTTCAAATTTGTGTTGCTATTGAATAAACTGTTCTTATTGACATTTAATCATACAGCCTCACAGCCTTGAAGACGCATCATTCCACTCCGCCAGCCCAGGGGCCGCTGAGTTCCTCACGCCGTTTTCATCTGCTCATCATTCCCATCAGCCTTCTCAGAGAAGGGCCTACACGCTCCGCCAGCATCAAACGTCTCGCCGCAAGTGTCTCGGGAACTGGGCCTGGGCCGGGTGGCCACGCTCTAACTCCATGGTAGATGATGCATTCGAGGCAATCGCACCGCATCCTGCCAAGCTCATGGCCACAGTCGCATCCAACGCAGTGGATGTACGGCTGCAGGCCTGGGACGTACGCGAGCTGGAACATTTTCAGTAGCTAGACTCATTATTTTCTGATGAGCATCTGCGAAAAATAGGGTGTACTAACCAGCCGCACGGTCATACTCCATCGATCCATCGGGACCATATCCATTGAAGGGACCAGGAATGACGGCATTTCAGGGCGGCCCCGCCGCTCCCAGAGTGGACGGCGATTGGACTTCGGTAGGAACCAGCGGAGCTCGGTTTCGTCGGCGATTCTGTTCTCTTGAATGTTGCCAGCCTCGGCGTTGTCGGAAGATTCAACATCGGCGGCTTCCTCAACGCGGCCGGAAGGTTCAACATCGGCGGCTTCCTCAGCGCGGCCGATGCCAACGCCCCGGAGGAGCCTCCGGATAGCCTGCTTGGTTCGGAGCAGCCGCCCCTGCCGGGCAGGTGGCATAGTATTGCGATTGCGCCTGTAAGTGCTGTCACGTATGCGGCGGCAAAAGTCCTATTTTCATGTCCGTTAATGAAATTCTCGAGTACCACGAATTGCTTGATGTAAAGACATACCTTGAAAGTCATACTGTGCGCGATTGGGTCAAAGGGTGGAGACTGAGAGCTCCGGGGGTGTTGGGGTATGGGGGGAGGGAGGATGCTTCCTGGATGAGGAGCAAAAGAGAGGGTTGAACAGTGAAGAACATTGCGCAACTCCACCATGTAAACGCACGTACTGAACAGGAGGGACCATCTGAGAAATGTCTGCTATAGGCACCATGGAAATAAACAAGGGTGCTTTCCTATGCGGGTCATCGTGCAATCCGTGAAACGACCATTCCAGATTACCATGCTTACTTCGTCACAGTCAGATAATAGCTGCTCACGCATGGTCACGATGAGCAAGCTTCAAAAATGCACAGTCAAAGGGCTTTATCGGCAGGGAAGCGCGTGCTCAAGAGCCACGAGAACCCAAATAGCATTCATTATTCATTGTCCAGTGCTACCTGAACTAATTTCTCAAGCTTCTTCCACTCCGCACTGACAATGGATTTAGAAGTACTTGGATCCATACCATTCGCTTTAAATTCATTGTGGACCTGTGCAAAGTTGGCTGCGACCAACCTCCTGAAGCTGGGCACTGTGCAGCTCTCGAGCTGCCTGCTGGCGAGATCAGCCAGTATGTACCAAAGAATGTAGTGGAAATTCAGTCCTGATTCCTGTATCAGGGCAGCTTCCTTCGAATTGCTCTCAAATCCTTGCTGTGAAAGATAGATAGCGAGCTTGGCCAGTATCCAAGCGTGGAGGTGCCGAATGGGATGTGCGTGACTGTAGAGGACCGGGTCGATGCGTAGGTACCTGATAGCGGCGTGGAGAAAGGCTTTGCTGAAATTGTTGACTGAGAGGAGAGAGATGATAAGTTGGTCGCGTAGTGACGCATATGGTTGCCGGGTCAGGGGCCATTTTGATGTCTGTTTAAGAATGCGCATGGCGGATTCGAGTTTTTTGATCTCCTCTTCGGGTTTGCCGTTTGATGTTGAGGCCTGTTGCATGAGCTCCAATGCTTGCTTTTCAGCTATTTCGAGAATGGACATGTCCTCAGGTGTTTCGGTGAATTGGTCTTCGGGGGTATCTGTTCCCTTTGCACATTTAGTGCATTGGCAGTCGAAGAAGTATCGTTCAGACAGCTCCTTGCGGCGGACTTCATTGGGAGTTGTAGTGTCGATATAGGAAATAAAAATCTGCTCATTCTTTTTAATGGGCCGCATGGCCTTGACGTACAGCTCTTCCCCATCAAACCCAACTACGGCATTGTAGTCGCAGCTGTGGTTGATGAGAGCGGCATAGGGATGCAGATAGAGCCCAATGCGGTCATACATGGCTGTGGTTAGATTGAACGAATTCAGATCCAGCTGAGAGAACACATTAGTCCCGGATATCAAAAGTCGAGAGCAGGAAACCTGTCTGAAAGGGTACATACCCTTGCTGCGTAAGCCATGATGGCTTCCTGAGTCATATCCGTCTCCGAGTAATTTTTGACAGCTTTGGACGTGAGATTGATCCGGTCCAGATGGGCCTGCACTTCCTGAATCTCTTGGATGTGGGTTTCAAGGTTGGTAAAAATTCCAAGCTCCTGGGTCGTATACTTCCCCTTCGAGGTGCGAAGAACCATCCGCAAAAGGGCCCGGGCATTGTTAGGCAGCACCTGGGGCTTGAGCCTTTGGAAAATAGAGCATTCCAAAGAGTGGGCGAATTTCCAGTCCTTGGATTGGCACGTCTGTTTGGAGCCTCATTAGCGGATATCATGAGACTATAGGGGGATCCTTTGATGAGAAGTATGCAATCCAGACATCGAAAAAGCAACATAACGGGACAACAAAAGTATAAAAATAGATCGCCGCCCGAGCAGCTTATCCCATGATAGAGAAACCAGAATAAAAGAAACATGTCAAACTCACCCTATCACAATACTTGACCACTCGACAGCCAGTACAAGCCTTCAGCTCAGTACCGGCCTCCATTTGCCTCTTCCCAAAGCAAGCAGAGCATGTATCATCCAGACGCGGTGTGTCGAGAACGGCCACGAAGGGCACAGCAGCGTGCACAACGTCCTCCCCGACCTTGATGTCAGTAGTGGCGAACAGGCCGTTGCCCATGCCACTTGGGGCAGGACCAGGGACCGTCTTGGTCGTCACTGAAGGCAAGGGACTCTGAGACCCCATTTTACGGTGTTTTGGTGAATTCTTCAGACTTTGAGATGCGCGAGATGGTCAATGATGGGCTTAGTCACCAGGTCTTGGCAGCCAGGTACAGTGGTGTTTCCTAAGTTTTCGACACACCGTTTTCTCTACCGCCTAGTCTTCCGCTCTCACACCGCTATAAAAGTAAAATAAAGATCATTCTTCTTAATAAAGGTCATTTGGAATAGCAGTTGTAGTTTCCTTGGCTGCTGCGTCGAGGCAGCGGTAGTGGTCCTGGAGCGCCTGCTTCGGGGTCTGCTCCATGACTAGAAGGTGAACAGGGCGAGGTTGGGTGTTATGTTGAAGCGACTAGGGAGGAGTTTACATGACAGTGGATTGTGGCAGGAGCCGGAGCCAGAAACGGTAGAACTAATCGCATTTGGGAAGTCACAGGTCCTCATTTTACATTTCAAAAACCCAGGACCAAAAATAGTAAAACAGCACAAGCAGACCGATTTTGCGGGGGGCAAACAAATTATCATCACGACAAGGCAACTGAGAGGCTACTGTATTCCCACCTTGTTTCTCCAGAAGGGAAAGCCAGACATATGAAAAACAAAGGAGCTGGAACCCTAACCAGCAAAGAAAATCAAGAAACGCACGCCGTCTATCAACAAGATGCCTTTCCCACAACACCCGTACAGAAATAAGCGGGTTGATCCTCGGAAGGACTACCAAGGAGAGCCCGAAGGGGATGTTTACAGCCGGCGAGGAAGGCCTGTCAGTGTGCGCGACAGGTTGGGGCAGGGGGGCTTTTTGGCTTTGTGCAGGGTGTTCATTTTGTTCGTTTACAGCAGCTTTCCGCCCACGAAGTCAGACCAGGTGCGGACCTCGGTGGGGATACCCTCGGTGCGGGGGAGCTTCTCGTTCATGCACTGAGCGAAGAGCTGAGCGGTCTGCAGGAAGAATGAATTAGTAACCGGGATGAAACAAGCATGGGATGAGTAGAGCATACCTTGGGCTCCATGAACAGAGGAACGCTGAAGTCGACAGCGTTGCGGCGCATGACATAGTCCTCATCCAGCTGGGTCTTGGCACGGGTCTTGGCCAGGTTGAAAACACCGCGGATGTCGTACTTCTGGAAGACCTCACGGAGAGCACGCTTGTCCTTCTTGGGAAACTCGATGACCTGGACGGAGACGTTGTCCTTGCAGGTAGACTCGATGTGAGCCTTGACCTCGGGGTTGGCGGCGTAGAACTTGTAGCCGAGCGGGTTCAGGTAATCGACGATGGTGGCCAGGTAAGGCTGGGTGGTGTCACCGCCGAGCAGAATACCCTCACCTGGCTCGGGCATGCGGAAGTTCATGGTAGCCTGGAGGGAGGCCCAGTAGGCCTCGACCAGGTCCTTACCGAAACAGGCAATCTCACCGGTACTGGCCATCTCGACACCCAGGAAGGGGTCGGCGCCAGCCAAACGGGTCCAAGAGAACTGGGGAACCTTGGTGGCGAGGTAGTTGCGCTTCTCCTTCATCAGATCAACGGGCTCGGGAACATCACGGCCGACAAGGGCCTTGGTGGCGACGTCGATGAAGTTGGTGCCCAGGACCTTGCTGACGAAGGGGAACGAACGAGAGGCACGCAGGTTGCACTCAATGACCTTCAGCTGGGGTTCGGCACCCTCCTGGTTGGCCTTGATGATCTGCATGTTGAAGGGGCCGGTGATGTTCCAGGCCTTGGCGACCTTCTCGGCGATCTCCTTGACGCGGGCCATGATGGACTCATCGAGGTTGGCGGGAGGCAAGACCAGGGTGGCATCGCCAGAGTGGACACCAGCGGGCTCGACGTGCTCGCTGACGGCGTGGAGCAGGAGGTTACCGTTGGAAGCGACAGCGTCAACGTCAATCTCCTCCGCACCCTCAATGAACTTGGTGATAACCACAGGGTAGTCGGGGGAAACGGCGCTGGCGTTGAGCAGCTTCTCCTTAAGCTCATCAACACTGTAGATGACGTTCATGGCGGCACCGGACAGGACATACGAAGGGCGGACCAGGACGGGGTAGCCAACAGTCTCAGCGAACTGCTCAGCCTCGGCAACGGAGGTCAGCTCCTTCCAGGCAGGTTGGTCAACGCCAATGCTGTCCAGGATCTGAGAGAACTTGTGACGGTCCTCAGCCTTGTCAATGTCCTGGGGGTTGGTGCCCAGAATCTTTGCGCCACCACTCTCCTGGAGACGCAGAGCAATGTTCTGGGGCAGCTGGCCACCGACAGAGACAACAACACCGCTTGCACTCTCGAGCTCGTAGATATCCATCACACGCTCGTAGCTCAGCTCCTCGAAGTACAGCTTGTCAGCGGTATCGAAGTCAGTGGAGTAAGTCTCGGGGTTGTAGTTGATCATCACAGTCTTCTTGCCCATACTGCGGAGAGAGAGAGTGGCGTTGACAGCGCACCAATCGAACTCGACGGAGCTGCCAATACGGTACACACCGCTACCAAGGATGAGCGTGCCGTGGTCATCAAAGGTGACATCGTGCGAGGTGGCGTTGTAGGTGGTGTACAGGTAGTTGGTGTCGGCAGGGAACTCAGCAGCCAGGGTATCGATCTTCTTAACCCAAGGGGTGATGCCGAAGGACTTACGGCGAGCGCGGACATCATCTTCAGAGGCACCAACCAGCAGAGAGATCTGTTTGTCAGAGAAGCCGAGCTTCTTCGCCTTCATCATGGTCTCAGCAGTGATGCCGAACAGGCTGCCGATCTCCTTCAGCTCGTTGTTGCAGTCAACGATGTTCTGGATCTTGTACAGGAACCACTTGTCGATCTTGCTCAGCTCGTGAACCCTATCAACAGAGTAGCCCTCGTGGAGCATAGCCTGACCGACAGCCAACCAACGGCGGTCAGTAGGATTCTGCAGGACGTCATCAAGATCCTCGAAGTGATCACCCTGGAGGCCTAGGTACTTAGGGTCAACCTGGCGGATAGCCTTCTGGAGGGACTCCTCAAAGGTACGACCAATAGCCATAACCTCACCAACCGACTTCATGGCACTGCCAATGTCACGGTTGACGTGTTGGAACTTGCTCAGATCCCAACGAGGAATCTTGGTGACAATGTAGTCCAGGCTAGGCTCGAAGTTGGCGGTAGTGGTCTTGGTGACGGCGTTGGGGAGCTCGGGCAGGGTGTGGCCGAGACCGATCTTGGCTGCGGTATAGGCGAGAGGGTAACCAGTAGCCTTGGAGGCCAGAGCAGACGAGCGAGAGAGACGAGCGTTGACTTCAATGACACGGTAGTCGAGGCCATCAGGCTGGAGAGCGTACTGAACGTTACACTCGCCAACAACGCCAAGGTGGCGGACGATCTTGATGGCAGCGGTACGGAGCATGTGGTACTCCTCATCAGACAGAGTTTGAGAAGGAGCAACAACGATACTATCACCGGTGTGAATACCGAGAGGGTCGAAGTTCTCCATGTTACAAACAGTGATACAGTTGTTGGAGGCATCACGGACGACCTCGTACTCGACCTCCTTCCAGCCCTTGAGGGACTTCTCGACCAGGATCTGAGGAGCGAGAGACAGCGACCGCGAAGACAGGTCACGGAGCTCGTCCGGGTTGGAGGCGAAACCGGAGCCTAGACCACCAAGAGCGTAGGCGGAACGGACGATGATGGGGTAACCGACCTCCTCAGCGGCCTTCAGGGCATCGTCGACGGTACCAACAGCAACAGACTCGGCAATGGGGATGTTGATCTCATTCAGCGCCTGGGCGAAAAGATCACGGTCCTCACTAGTCTCCAAAGTCTTGATGCTAGTACCCAAGACCTTGACGCCGTAGCGCTCGAAGATACCCATGCGATTCATCTGAACACCCAGGTTCAGACCGGTCTGACCACCGAAGGTCAGAAGGATACCATCAGGGCGCTCCCGCTCAATGACGTGGGTGACATATTCGGGGGTCACAGGAAGATAGTAGACCTCGTCGGCCAGCTTGTGGTCGGTCTGGATGGTCGCAATGTTGGGGTTGATCAGGACCGACTGGACGCCGGCCTCCTTTAGGGCCTTGAGGGCCTGGGAGCCTGTAAATCAAAAAGTAATTGTTAGTTCTCCGGGGTATCTCTACAGGGGTGGGAATATGCCAGAGGGTGCTAGGCCTTTCCCCGCCGGGAGAGCTCCTGGTATGCCGTCTTCACAAGGGGTTACTCCACGAGCCCAGGAGTGGCTCAGGAGAGGCCCAGAGGCTATTCAATATCATCTCCACGTACCGGAATAATCGAACTCTCCAGCCTGACCAATGCTCAGACCACCACTACCAATGACCAGGACCTTCTTCACATCGACCAGGTTGCTGCCGGGCTTAATCGCGCCGCTGGCGAGATAAGACTCGGACGAAGGGGCCTTCTGAGCCTCAGCCAGACGGTTCAGGGTGCTGGAGAAGGCGCGCAGCTGCTGGGAGCGGCCCGCGGAGGGGAGCTTCTGCAGGCGCAGGGTCGAGGCCGTCGAGCGAATGGAGGACTGAGAGGTGAAAGTGCGGAGAGAGAGAGCTGGGCGAGCCTCAATGAGGCATCGCTGGCGCAGCAGCGCCGCCGCCTGCCCACAACGAGCAGCAAGAACCATTGCACCGCACGAGCGGAGGAGTCTGTAGAGGTTCAATTGCTGGATGGGAAGTGTGTTGAAGGTGAGTCCCCAACTTGTCGGAGGTCTTTTTTTTCCCCCTCGTGGTCGCTAATTGGCCGCTCCTCTTCACCGTAAACCGGGTCCACTTTTATTTTCAAGAACCAGCCAAAACGAAGAGAAGGGCTGCTGACGCACACACGCAAGTGAAGGAATTGAGGTTAAAGAAAGCTCAGTCGAAGAGAAGAAAGGCAGACTACGATCGGCAGGAAAGGTATTCCATTTGTTTACTTGGCCATTTTTTTTTTCTTTCCTTGAGGATGAGTCACTACTCGCCCCGGGGACTATTATGGCCCTGGGGGCCCAGTGGATAAACTGGGGCATTCCGGATGCAATATACGCTATAATTCGACCCTCGAGTATTGAGTCATTGCTGGGAAGGGAAAATTTTGGACAATTGAATAACTCATCGAGACCATCTGAATTTGATGCTCAATTGCAATCTAGCGAGTCCCTGTGGCCAAGGTTGGGATTTCCCTGTGGTGAAAACCTGTGGGTGTGTGCTAAGTGCCGATGTCGGACATGATCCGGACGACTATCGCTTTTGTTTGCTGTGGATCGACGCCCTCGCTGGGCGCGCGTATCCGCCTTACACCACGCTAATTGACGGTAGATCGACTACCGAAATTGGCTTTCTTGGACGCCAACGCTATCCCTTTTTACCAAAATCTTCGTCATAACAGAGTCACGTGCCTTGAATTTCCTTTTGCTCACTGGGCGATGGATTTCGGTTCTGAACTCCACGAACCATGGGAAAGACATATACAAGTACCGTGGAAATTTCGTTATCTAGATATTCACCCCATCCATCCACCTGGTTCGAAATTTAACAGATAAGAACTGCTAGGATAGCGGCTCTGCGAAAGCCCGGGAAGCCGGACGACTCGCTCCTTGGTACCTACTGACTAATCTTACTACTGACTACAATCTGAAAATTGCTTGGGTAGTAGAGTCTGCATAACTCATAGCTCTGTGGTTGGGGTTTCCCAACTCGGTCTGCGTAATGTTACATACTGGGATGCATTCAATAAGTGCTTATGAGGGGCGATGAAGCTAGCACATACCGTGAAAGAAGCATAGTGCGAACGGTGATGATATTTGGCCGGGACGGTTTTTATATGGTTGGTTATGCTGAAACTGTAAGATCATCACTCTCGAGAATCTTTGTTTCCAAGTTCATGGAAGAAGAAGTCTACGAAATCCTCGCTGATTGGATCATGAGCAAATGGCCCTTCGCCGCCTCTACCATATCCCGCTGCCGTTGAAGGTAGAGAACCGACTTCCAAACCATCGACAGGACCTGACGGAAGCATGGCCAGGGGCTTATTGAAACCCTCCGCCGGGTCTTCCACGATGAACTCCTGGAGTGGGTGATCATTGACGGCTGCATCATATTGGTTCACACCTGAGAGGTCACAAGTGTCCATATTTTCTTGCTGCCCTTGGGGATAGGGATGCCAGGACAAATCGCTGACGTCCAAATCCATTTGCTGTGCTAGCCGGCAGAGGGCACTGCCGCAAAACTGCCATGCTCGGTGGGATGCAAAACTATGCTTGGACGTTCTGTCGAGCCATCGGACACATTTCTTGGCCAACTGCAGCAAGGTGCCCTTTTCCTCTGGCATGTGAAAGCTGTTGAAGGAGAGTTCAAGGATAATGACCGTCGTTGTCTGCATTACGTAGTGAAGAAGACACCACCATGGTTGGATTTCAGCCAATCGGCCACCGTTTGGCTCATCTGGAATCAATAGAGCCATTTGAATGGCTGACTGGATGGTTGATACAGCCATAGCTTGGGTGAACTCTTGTTCCTCTTTGGAGTGTTTCTGGATATTGAACTTGTCGTGTCGACAAAGACATGGACGACCTAGCATAATTCGTGCACTGTAATATTGGAAAGCCAGTCGTATCTTCTCGTCGGAGCCCTGATCGCCGACTTCCATGCGAGTGAAATCCAAACTATTCGGGAGTGAGGAAAGCCACATATCGAGCCCTACTTGTATCTCGTGAATCCGGGTTTTAAGCGTGCCCCATGGTTGATAAACAGCATTCACCGCATATACACGATCTAAAAGCTCTTGCATCAGCATAGTAAGATCGCAAGAATAAAGAAAATATAGTCCAGAAGAAACAGGAAGACGGTGTAGCCATTCGTGAACAGTAGGTATAACCCTTTCGGTGCTGGCTTTGCCAGAAGGCGATTTTCGCAGGTATGAACTAGCCATGATATTATCCACACAATGGTCCCGGAGGTCAGGATCATTGAGAAGCGAAGTGGCTGTTTTCTCTTGTAGGCCATTCTCATCGAATGGGAGCGGTAATGGCGAACTACACATTCTCCTTGAGATACAAGTGGGCCGGCCTGTCATCAGACCGAGTTTGTTCTCGATGGCAACTAGAGACCACCAGACTCTGTTCCGAATCTCCTTGGAGATATTCGTGATCGTTCGCCCGCTGCTCTTCAGATTGATTCCCAGAGATACTGCGGAGCGTATGGCTAACGCCGATATCCTCCATGCCCTGCATCACTTATCAGCTTCAATCCAAAGAGGTAGGTATCTGTTTGCATTACCTATGAATCTGATCCGTTGAGAGAAGGTAGAACGCAATCAAGCCCTCCACCTGCACTTGCTGAAGGTCCGGGTGGCGAAACACATCATCTCCACTCATGCTCAGCATTCGAGCTCGCGTCAGATAGAGTAGATGATCTTGGTGATCCCCATGCCACTCCAATCCGGCGGTGTGAGCGTAAGTGGCGGCAATGGCGAATACCATGTTCAAAATCGCCATCCATTTGTCCCCAGGCAAAGCAAAGCTGTCAAAAAACCTTTTATATTGATCGCAAAACAGAGGACGATTGATGATGGGGTGGTAAGGATGAGCCACACGCAGGTAAGTCTCAAAAAGCTTATCCGCAAGCGGTCGAGGGGGCACCCAGTACATCTGCACTGGCTCTGATACCCCTATATCGAGATCATCGATGTGGTAGTTCACCTTGTAAGGGCCAAAATGATCGCTCGTGGTGCTGTCTTTATCATTCTCACCGGGGCCAAGATGCCCCGGTTGACTCCTGCTGCATTGTTCGCTCTCTTTCTGCAGCCGTTCCATCCAAGCAATTTCCGAGCTCTTGCCGATGAGCCCCGTGGCGCGCGTTTTGTATGTGGAATTGACGTCGTATTTGACTTTGTCCAAGTCGCTCAGTGACCCGACAGAAGACGGCGAGCTGGCTGGCTTGTCCTCCATCTCCTCTTGGGGCTTTTCCACGGGCAATATCCACTCGTTCGATATGTCATTGGATACGTAGCCCGAATCTGAATCCTGCCATAGAGCCCAACATTCCAGTATGAGCCACGGGTTTACCCAAGGTGGACCCAGCAAGGTAAGCTTTGGGTACATAAAAAACGGTGTCTCACCAAAATCCTCTGGATGCGTCCAGCTATGTGCGAGGGCACATAGGTCTCTGTCTCCTTTAATAGGGTCTGGCAATCTTGCAGTCTCCTCGAAAGATCATCTTGTTTCCTGATGATCGGGCCAGTCTTGTCAATAGATGGACCGAAGGAGGAATTGCACGCGCCTACCTTTGCATTCTCTCGCGCATCCCCGGTGGATACACACATTTAGCTCGTAATTCTCGGCATTGCCTACAAACCGGGGCATCGCCACTGCATTTGGTTTTTCTCATCCGGCATGATTCGCATGCGCGTGGCACACGCCTGCTGTGCCTCGGTGCGTTACCTGTACGCTGTCGGGGAATTGCGATCTTCATATTAGGGGATCGTGAGCCTGATAGTGCACTGGTGGTTGATGCCTCGTTCGACATGTTGGTGTTCGATTCGTGAGCGGAGTGCGTGGCTGCCGAAATGTCACCTTTCCCGATGCTTTCGGCGAGTTCGGTAAATCGGCCGTAGGTATAGAAATTTTACTTTTCTTAGATAGCTGCCAAGACTATCGTCACAGTTGGCGTGGAGACATAGACAGTGCGCGGTCAATGAACGAGGCCAGGGAAGATCTAAAATGCTGTAGAAACTAGAGCGACTCATGTACCACTATATAGCTAAGCACAGATTCTTTTGACACTGATTGACATCAATCGCAGCGCTGCTTGATATATGGCAAGAGTTGAGTGGCCAAAAACAAGTCAAATGTAGCTGTTTCGGGAAATCGGCTGATATCATAATTCGGTCATCGCCCGAGGATTGTGGAAGCAAGGTTCGACCCGCGCGTATCGCTGATACCCACTATATAATATTGGGCCTAGTTTCAGAACACCATTCTTTTTCTCACGATTATTGAGTTCTATTGAGCATTAAATCCCCTCAACTCGTTCTATCATGTTGAATCAAGTCGGGGAGACGACAGAAGTTTCGGAACCAACTAACCCCGCCAATGAGGATATTGTAAGCTGAACGACACGTTTTAATCGTGCTCAATGGTGAGCAACGCTAACTTGAACGGAAATCTCATATTAATAAAACTTTGTCAGAGTCATGACAGCGTTGCGCCCGGCGAGGGCAGAGGTGGTCGTGAGCCCTCACAGGCGAACCGACACCGTGCCGAAGTGAAACGAGCTATCGCAGCCATACCAAGCGAGTATCGTGAATTGATCTTCGATATGTATGAGGCAGCCTCGCAGGCAGATCGGAGTCGTGAGCAAACATTATTCGAGTCGGTTCAGGATCGCAAATCTGCGCAGCAAGTTCGTGCATTCGTCGATGGAATGTTAGCGAATGCAGGATTGTCTGCGCTGAATCATCAAATTGTCGGCCACCCAAGTGAAATTCTAACCGAAATTGAGGCGGAAATTGGCTTGCCACGAGCTCGCCCCAGGGTTATGGATATACGTTACTTGTGTAGCATTGTCCCAGTGAGAGTTCCAGCAAAACCATGGACAACCGTCACCGATGATGACGACCTCGTTTCGCACTTGATATCGCTTTACCTCACCTGGGGCTACCCATTCTACGCCTTCTTCTGTCGTGAAACGTTCGTCAAGCATATGAAGCTAGGGCATCCGAACTCGGACTTTTGTAGTCCTCTCTTAGTGAACGCCCTCCTTGCCAATGCATGCGTAAGTTACAAACCCCTTCGTCTACTCCACTACGATCAACTAGCTCTAACTAAATGCAGTTCTACTCAGACTACTCGGAGGCTTATAGCTTACCTGGAGATGTGAAAAGGAAGGGCGCCCATTTTCTAGCCGAAGCAGAATGGCATTTGAGATCGCATCAAATTGAGGGCAGAAGCGATACCCGGCTAGCTTCCTTACAGGCAACTCTTCTTTTATATGAACGGTAATAGTATCCGAATTTAACGTTGCAAATTTTCTACTCTTTCTTACTTGAGTTCCAGATACTCCATGTCAGGGAATGACAATTTTGGATACACAATGCTTCATAGAGCGATAGAGATGGCTGAATCACTTGGCATAGTGAACAATGCTAAGGAGATAAATCTTGAAGCGTCCCACTTCTCCAAAGACATGAGACGTTCTATCAAGCGAACAGCGTGGGGGTTGTTTCAGATTGATACGTGGGTCTATCGTCAATCCAGCAAGGCAGAAGAAACCATACTGACACTGCTATAGGATTGTTCACATGAATTTTCTCAGACAAAGCCTCATCAAGAGCGTGAACGTCGATCGCATCTCCCGTAATGAAACGCCAGCGGACGAACAATGGACGCCGTATCCGAATGACAGTGTGGCTCGTCCATCTCATATGAGCGTTTACTTTGATGAGGCATGCAAGCTGTCCTTTATAGCGAGGGACGCCTCTTGGACCATTTCGCGCACCGATCGAGATGGAAATCGCAAGGAAGAGCTTTACGGTCGGCTGCGCGAGTGGGAGAAAGCGCTACCTCAGATCTTCGAGCTGAGTCAGAAGCCTGCGCCGTATGTCTTGATCCTCAGGTATGTACAGGTCTTGTCTTTTACTTCTGAAGGTTTTGAATTAACTAGGAACATCAAGAATGCGCTACCACACCATGGTCATCAATCTATGTTGCCACGATCTCCAAAACGATATGACATTAACACGAACAAAGGAGCATACTTCTGGCTTAACTAGCTCAGCTCGCGAGTTCGGTGCCATGAAGGCTGCTCTATTGTCTGCCCGAGCAATTGCCTCTCTCATCCGGTATTTCGAAACAGAGTATGGACTGGAACATAGCCATCAGTTTGCGATGTACGCGATTAATGTCTCGCTGTTCTGTCTGCTTGCACAGGAGGACTTTGATATCCTTGATCGTGATTTTTTGAGCCTCACAAAAGCTTTTTCCATGATTGCATGCCGCTCACAAGTGGGCAGGCACCTTTTTCGGGCGTTCAAAATATCCATTCGCTCCCGAAGCCACATCGGGACAAAGCAGAGCCCAGGTAAGGTTCCTCCTGCGATCAAAGAGCTTTTTGGGCCACGCGAAGACTTCAATGAGTTAGACAAGTGGGATTATTATGCCGAATCCTTGGCAGAGGTGGACGGTGAGGGAAGCTTCCTCAAGAATATCGTGATGGACCCTACAGTCCCTGGCCTACACGACATGCTTAAATGGTACGAAAGTCTGAGCATCGGCAAAGAAGTACAATGGAGAAGGAGCCAACAGCCAGCTTTTTGATTAACCATTAGCACTCCCTTTGAACGACGGTGGTTCATACTTGCGTCACTTCATTTTTCGGACTTTCTTGCAACATAATTCACTTCTGTCTCCTCTTTTTGACAAGCAATATTGCCAGTGCTAATACCGTGGCAAATGCTTACGTCGTCAAGTCTGGATGCTGCAAAAGGCAATGTTATAGTTCAGTTCCCCTTTATTATGTGGAAATGACCATCAATCAGATATTTCTTTGAGCATCCAGCTTAGTTGACAAACATGCTCTGGCTCCAGGAGCTTCCTCATCCCTCCTGTACCCAGAAAGTCATCATCTACAGGCTCAGAGCCGGGGACGACTACCCACGACCGACAGTCCATGTTTGTTCTCCGAATTAAGCTTGTTAGTGCATACTCCACAATTCAACATTTAATCGGCGTCACGATCCAGACAATCCGCCATCCAGTCAGGTCGGTAACAAGAAGCTTTGTAGTTCCCCCTGCGAGAGTCCACTGCACTTGATCTCAATGAAACGGCCACCCTCCGGGTGAAGTTGGAGTGCCCATTAATCGATGAGCAGTGAGATAGATTAACCTTCTAGCGTGACCCAGATTCTAGCAGGCTAGGTAGGCTTGATCTACCCAAGCAGTATGTCGGCTATGTGGGAGACCGACCTTGCTGCAAACTTGATGACGTCAGCGCAGGACATAACTGGATAAGTTAGTGAACTTCATAGAGATAATACGCGGATGAAGAAACAAGATAGCTCGTTGTCATCGCAATTTGTGTCTCAGTAAATACGGCTGTTTGCAGAAGGATATGCGCTTGATCCACATTCACAATGATACACTGGTCTATAATTTTCTTGATATGGCAAAATTGAGCTACCAAGGGACTCGTTGCCGGCGGCAATTGATTACAATGAACTTGGTCCCAACCAGGTACAGGGATAGCAGCGGCGTATTTAGGAAAATGGATATTTGGCAAAATTTTCAGCTCCGAAGCATCGTCTGAGAATCTGACTAGTTCAATTTCTTGTTTCCAACCTTGGCGGGGCGTCCTTGGCGGCCTTGGTACTGCAGATAGGCATAGATACCGCCGGCGATGAGCGCGATGACAACGATATTGCCTGTTCGCACCAATTGTTAGTGCTTCCATTTCATGGATTCTCTGCCGTAGAATACTCACTGGCAATAAACTTGCCCACTCCCCCTGCAGCTTTCAAAGTATTCGCCGCTGTGTGCAGCGCCATCTTGAGTGTGCCAATGAAGAAGTTAACTGCTGCCGTGACCAGCCCGGACGCCGTATCGAACGCGACGCGGAACACGGAGAATACGACCTCAAACATCGAGGAAATGAGGTCTTTGACAGCAGTGATGATTGACGACATGATTGGTGGTGCTGTGTCCAAGCAAGGAGGAGAAAATGGTATTGTTGCGCGGTGGGAAGAGGCAAATGCGCATGGGGGCGGTGGTGGATAGATATAGCCAGGTCTCATGGAAGAGATGCTGCCGTCTAGATGACGTGCGTACCAACTTTCGTAGAGCTCTCCCAATACAGGTCAACGCTAGGCGAAACTGGGATTTCCTGCTTTTCTTTATTTTTTGCCGCCTTGATGGTCACCGGGTTCGGTGAGTGCCGATGACGTGTTGCCCGCGAATTAGAAGTAATTGGAAGCCGGGGCCCCAGTCCCCAGTCCAAGGCTAGGAACTTTGTTCCTGGAGGAGGAACATGATCTCCCTTGCCGATACCCATAGTTTCAAAGGTCCTGAGAACTTTGGTTGGGACCCGCCGGCACAAGTACGTGAAGCCTTATATCAATCTCAACTAAACAAAGCGTCGCTCGAGCTTGTGCGAGAATTGAATAGGACTGTTAATTACGAATGTGTCCTCGCTCTGACCTCACGAATTCCTAACTAGAACAAGATCAAGATCTCTGTTTTATGACTTCAGGATACCTAGAAGACTTCTTTTACTTTTCGTGTATTGTTCACCTCTATACTATATAGTTCCATGGAATGCTTCTCAATCTCTCACCCGAACTTGTCGTCTGGATTGGGTGAACTTCCCCCGCAAGACATTCTGAAAATACGTCTCTTTCGGCACACAATCTATGCTCTGTCCACTGAGCCGCATTTGGAGCATCTCAGCAGAGAGAGGTCCTCTCCAGTCTATCGTTAGGTTCACGAGGGATGGAGAAGCTTGATATTTTGACAGAATACCAAACCAAAGTCGCCAGAGGACCGAAATATATATTCATTACTTAAAGATAGCCTTCTGTGTCATAATTTCATTTATAAGGATTTTTCATATCCGCTACAACCCATTCAACATCCTTTCACGCCCCCCACGACTACATCACTCGTCTCCGCTTCATTCGACTCCGACACGCCCGTTCAAGCCTGACCAGGGTCCCCTCGGTCGCTTCTCCAGCCGAGACCCACCGGCGGAGGCCAGCCCTCGGGTTGAGCGAGCTTCGGAGGCCCAAATATCGGACGCATCTGGATTGCGCGCGGCATCATCCCGCAACACCTTTTCAAGATCCTGGTTGAGCGTGCCATATACATCACCCAGCAACTTGCGCGCATCCTGCGCGACCTCAGTGCCTAGCATGACTTTTTGTTGCACGTAGTCTCGCTCGCTGGCGGCGGCCGCATCAGAGGCAAAGGCCCACGCTTCGGCAAGGGAGACCACTTCGTCGGGTGGGCTGCGGTCCAAGGCAGGGGGTGAATTTCGAGAGTTGAGAGCCGCGACGGCGTGCTTGAAGCGTGGTTGTCGGGCGAGGATGGGATATTCGGGGAGGAGGTGGCTTTCGTCTGAGAGACGGTGGAGGGCGCGGAGAGTCGTGGATTTCTCTTTGGCCAGGAGTCCAGCGAGATAGGATTTTTGAAGAGCCAGAGCCTTTTGACTCTTTGAAAGTGGTACGAGAGTCTCGTTGGTGTATGATAGAACGTCTAGTGGGTCCGGCGGTGGTTGTTCCTCCGAGACGATCTCGGTGCTGGAGGTTGGTCGCGGGGAAGGTTTTGAGGTCACGGTAATGGGTTGGCAAGCTCGCGAGGCGGCGTCGAGGAGATCTCGTCGCGCTTGAAGGTATGTAGCATACTGCTCGTTGATTTGCATCTTCTGGTGCTCCAGCAGACGCTGTGCCTCTTCGATCGCCTCGGGAGGCAGGTCTTGTATGAGACTCTCGTCCGGATCACCTTCACTGACCAGTCGTTCCTCCACCCACTGCACCAGCTCATCGCGTGTCCGTTGCAGTGCCTGTGCTTTCAGGGTTGGGGTGATCTCATCTAGAGATGTGTCATTCCTCGCGGCATGCTCCATCTTGACTTTCTCGAATAACTGCTTCTCCCGGTCCAATTGGGTCCGAGCCCGCACCACCGCCCTTTCAAGCTTATGCACCACACCCTCGAGGTCTGTATCTGCGCTATTGCGATCTGGTACATCCGGATTCAAGGCTTCAGGCAGGACTGGTTGTTGACTCGGATCCTCCCCCGCACCAAAATGTTCTAATCCGTCCGCATCCTTCGCCCTGAGCTCTTCTAGATAATGTTGAAACACCTGCAGCTTGGTATGACGTCGCTGATCTCGCAGGAGTTGGAGATAATCTCGCAGATCGGCGCCGGGTTCCTGCGGTTCGGCCATCTCAGCAGGGCGGCTCTTGGGTGCCAGCTGACGCCTCAGCGAAGCGACATCCTCCGTCACCGCGAGGAAACCCTTCCGGGCGGCAACATTGGCTTGTAGCGCCGTCAGATATCCGTTTCGGAGGCCCGGGAGATCCGCAGGGAAGCGCTTGACATCGAGTACGGCGTCGGCCGCCGCGCATAGGGCGAGGTGCGGCTGGGCGTGGCTCGGCGGGTCAGCATCATCGGCGAACACGATGAACGAGCGAAGATACGACGTCAATGCCTGGCGGATGCGGAGAGCTTCCTGACGGGGTTTGACGTAAGGAGCGAGCGGTTTCGCAAAGGGTGGAATGTGGGTAAGGGGGTCGTTGGGCCGGGTCATGCTGTCATTGGCACCCGCCGGGGGGAAGAGGAGCTTTGTGTGGAGGTGAAGGCGAGGCCAGGATGTATTGGCGGCCCGCGAGCAATCTGGGGGGGTCGCAGAGTCAAACAGCGCCCGCCCTTTTGTGGGTTCTTTGGTGTTCCTTGGATGCGACTGATTTCCCCGTTGATGTTTTGCCGTATCGGGCCGGTTACGTAACCTGTAGATCAACGAGCTTGTTTATCGTTTTGAGCGGCGAGGAGGACTTCGTTGGAGAATAGCCAATAATGATATTGCTATCCACATTTGGTAGGGTCATTGATATCTATATCAATCTATCGATAATTGATCGAATAGGGTTATCCCGTGTATGATGACGGTATACGAGGAAATCGCGGACTCGAGACGACGCGTAGCTAATCCTATGCATATCATGCAGTGTTGTACTACACCGTTATATGGGTATTGCATCCCCCATTATCCTGTCAAATAGGAGTAATAAGCAAGCTCGTAAGACAGTTCATATTGCACCTTTCAGAGGTCCGAGCACCGCCGCACAGTACGTATCTCATCACCTGTCGGTCCACGCCATAATGGAGGCATCGACATCGTGTATACTGCGTCCTATGTCGATGGATAGTCGATAAATAGGAGTATGCCTGATCGCGTCCTGCGCTGAGTAGCCCATTGTTCCGTTGTTTCCAGGGCGATCTGACGATCTGGCGATCGCAAAACTCCCCTGCGGGAGAATGTTGATACCTCCCATGCTGCGTACTATGGGCACGGCCCAATGATAACCAGTCAGCGAGGGGCACCAACGCATGACGGCGAACAGCCGGACGGGTGGAGGAGTTGCTGGGTGTAGGAAATGTAGTGGATAGCGTGGGCGTGTACCTACAGGACGAAACCTAGGCTATCAGGGGGATCAACTGTGTCGCCCATCCCTCCCTCTCTCTTTCTTTGACCTCCTCCTTCCGTCACCTTCCCTTTCCCCTTCCCTTCGCTTCTACAAACCGGCCCTCGACATCAGATGAGCTCATCTGTACCCAGAGATAATTCCTCTCCAACTGGAATGTTTCATATCATTCCGATCAAGGGGCAGTGTTTTGGTTCAGCCACACCTCATCGCTGCCCGACGCCGACCAGGCAAAACAGTTAAGAGTCCGCTGCGGGTCCTCCATTGAACTCGCATGCCTTCTGCAGGTTCAGAGGAGCTTGTCTGTTGATACCGCAGAAGATATTGGCGATAGCCCCGACACCATGGCCACACAATCTACCCCCCGTCCTCGCGCCGCAACCACCACGTTTCCCGCCATGGCACCCCCCTCACCTCTGGCTCGGCACTCTCATGGCTCCAGTCAGGCGCCGATAAGTCCCGTTTCACACCATGGAAGCCCACCATTGGGGATGAGTGATCATGGGATCACCAGTACTGCACAGGGTGAGCCATCCTCGTGTAGAGACTGCCATTATCTATACTTCAAGACTGACGGAATTAGGACCACTGCGTCATCCTAAGCCGCTCACTCCTTCGGACCTACATCTGGTGCTGGAGAAGGAGCAGGAAGCAATGGTGAGTCGGACCGGAGGAGGCCATTGATACGGCCCAAAGATATGGCGAGTTTAACACAAGCGGCGGCCAGGTGAACCGATTGACTCGGGAACTCTCTCTGCTGCGTCAACAGACAGCTTCCGTGGCATCGACTGCTTCCTCTACCTCAACTCTCAACGAGCCTGCCGATGGGCTCCATGCCTCGCCATCGTTGGGAAGCTCCACACATTCTCACTCTTCGCGGCGCCAGCGGTCCTCCTCCAGCCTGAGTTCCCACGCCACTGCCCAAGGCTCGCAAGCTGCGAGCGTGACGGGCATTGCACCCTCCCGGGACAGCAGCATGCCCTCGCGGTCAACCGACCACTCTCATTCTCGCACGGCCCGAAGTCGCGAGCCATCCCTCACCTCGCGACGCCCATCCGTCGGGTCGATCCCCTCCCATTCGCAATATTCCCACGGCGACCAGTTCACACATTATGGCAGCCCGTCCATCTACCCCCATCGCAATTCCGTCTCGCAGACTCATCTTGGAGCGTCGGTCAATCCTATGTCGCGGTACGAGGAGGCCACGCTGCACAAGTTGGAGCTAGAATCCATGAAGCGGGAGAATGAGCAACTGCGAAAGCGGGTTCGGGAGCTGGAAGGTGTGTTGAAGCAGCAGAAGGAGGCGGAGCCGGCGTCAACAGACACTTCACCGTCTTTGGGGGATTCCTAAAGAATCAACTGGTTCGCCTCCTTGTTTGCTGCCGGGCGCAGTCCAATTCTCTTATGTTGTTACTATCTTTATCTACCGTCAAGGCTGGAAGATTTGCAGGCAGACACAAATCGATCCTTCATTTTTCTTTCGTCCACCACCTGTTGGTCTCTTGATATTGTTATCTTAGCTAGTCGGAGGTGGGTCCACACTAGATTTGCTTCATGTGACGGGGCAGTTAGGTAGCTGAACAGCTTCACTCCTGCCAGCATCTTCGACATGAATCCCACCTACCAGAAGGCGCGGAAACTCGTAGTCATCTAAATCGTTCTGCCTAGGATTCTCCGAGCACAAGCCGACCAAGGGATCGTGGCTTAGGCAGTAACCTTGTTGGTGACACGAGGCGGTGCAGCCCCGCCATACGTCACCCGCGGCGCAGATCCCGAGTACATAACTGACCTCACGAAGCTTCCCTTTTCATTTCCCTCCTCCAGCATATCTCTCTCACGCAAACGTCCTCACCAACCTCCACATCGCCACCATGTCCAACGCTGCCACCGTCCACGTTTCGGGCATCTCGCCCGCCACCTCTGAGAAGGATGTCCGCGACTTCTTCAGCTTCTGGTATGGATCGCGCAAGAGCTCAGACCTCAAACCCCCAAGCCTCATCATTGAGAAATGCCTTTTCGCTAACATTTCGCCCTTACAGTGGAAAGATCACCAGTCTGTCCATTACTCCCACCTCGTCTGAGGCCGACGCTCCCAAGTCCGCCAGCGTGACTTTTGAGAAGGAAGCGTAAGTTACCCCGCACCGTGTTTCATGATGGCCCCATCGCTCCCATCTCGCACCACTTAGCAACTACACCCATACTAACACCATTGTTCCTCCTGTAGAGCTGCTAAGACAGCACTGCTGCTCGACCAAACCCAATTGGGCACCTCGTCGGTGCACGTCGAGGCGGCGCAGAGCATCGATGCCCTGGCCGGCGCATCGGCCACCGACGCCGCCACCGAGAAGGAAGATGAGGACATCGCGCAGGAAGATAAGCCACGCTCACGCATCATTGCCGAGTACCTGGCGCACGGGTACGTCGTGAGCGACGGAGCGATTCAGAAGGCGATCACACTGGACCAGAAGCACGGCTTCTCGACCAAGTTCACGAGCGCGCTGTCCAACTTTGACAAGAAGTTCAACGCCACCGAGCGCGCCAAGGGTATTGATGACAGCTACCAGATCTCCAACAAGGCTGCCTCCGGCTGGCGCGGCCTGCACTCTTACTTCGAGAAGGCCCTCGAGCACCCCTCCGGCCAGAAGCTGCGCGACTTCTACGTCCAGACCGACAAGCAGGTGCGCGATATTCACAACGAGGCGCGCCACCTGGCCGACCTGAAGCAGGGCAAGGGTGGTGAGACTGAGGGCGTTGCTCCTGCTGGCAGCGAGGCTGCTGGCGTTGCCCCTGCTACTGTCCCTGCCTCTCACCCGGCGGGAACTGCTACCCCTGCTGAGCCTAAGGCGTAATTACGTTCCTATGACTGATAATATCCGGCGCTATCGTGCTATCTTCGTGTCTATGCTTTCATCTGTGTTTCCTGGTGCCATGAGATGTGCATACGTGATTTTCTTGCTTGATACGCTTTTTGCTATCTGGGACGCGCTGACGATTGCGATGTGATTCCGAACGCTACGGCGTACTTGTTTCTTCGTAATTTAATGCAAGCGAACGGATGAATACACGATATTCTCATCCCGGTCAAATCCACACTTCCACATTCGTATAATCTGATAGCTTTAAGGAACCCATACCGTCTGCCTTACGTAGAGCAAATTTACAGTATTTGTATCGTCATATCATTTCTCGACGGATAAGCTCGTACGTACAATCTTTCCTCCACCATATAAAGAAAAGCTTTCCCCCATGGCACTGAAAGGCAAGATATCAATTATGCATTCTGTTGCTGGTTTCCAAAACGAAACCGACACGCGATGTCCCATCCCTCAATTCATTTCTTATACTTGGCAGCCTCAATGTCCTCCAGTATATGCTTCGGATTGCTCTCGAGGGGTTGATCCCTTTGATCGGCCTTCTCATGAGAAAACTCTGGGGCTGGGCGAACCGAGGAGCCGGCGATTTTGCCGCTGGACGGGGGTTCGTTCAGCTGGGGGCCAGACTGTCGCTCTGGCTCGGGGGACTGGCGGCCTGGATAGGGGGCGGACATGATGGGAATGAGGATGTTGTTTGAGTAAGTTGATTTGGTTGATGAAATGGGGTTCTAGAGGCTGGAAGTTAGAAGTCACCTCTAGAATAAAGATTGATGTAGTTGGACGTTACCGGTGTCTGAGAGAATTGAGGTTTGCCAATGGGCGGGTTGGCGGTGGTATGTTGGCAGATGGATCGGGAGATTGAATTAGAGTAGGAATGCTTTAATAATTGTCTGGAGATTCGTTTCTGTCTACATGGCTGACGTGACCGCCGTTAAACCGGGTAAGTTATCTGGATGCTTCATCATGACGTCGTTCAGACCCTGCGGCTGCAGGTGGATTTTGAGCTGCCGGGCCCCAGGTTGCCATGGAGAAGAATATTCTGGTTATGCCATTCTTCTCCCGAGCTTGCACCGAATTGCTGGATCGATTAAGGCGAATGGAATGGGGTGACATCATCTTATCCACACTCTGTTCTCGTCACGTGGCCCACACAGCATTTTATAGATAATCAATGGGCAATAAATACCTGAAATTGATCCATAGGGTATAATTCTCAGACAGAAAGTACAAGCTACGACGCAAAAGAAGATTTGAACTCAGTATTTGTAGCGTGGCTGATGTACTATATCATAAGGTAATAGAGGTCTTTGGGGGAATCTGTGCAGTGAGGGCGGATTAGGAAGGGCCGAGGGCAGTAGGGGGAGAGGGACTTTTGAGAGCACATCAGCAGGGGCATGATACGGAAGGAAAAAGAGGAAGAGGAGTTAAAAAAAAAAAAAAGGCATGAACAAATATAGACGGGGGACAGGCATGATCTAAACAATGGGAGTAAGACATGAAAGGGGCATATGTCTCGTGAGGATGGATAGGAAAACAAGAACAATCCCAATCAAAAGATCAGGTATAGATGCAGTAATTCACTCCATCTCCCAGATCTATTGGTTGCCATTGGACTGCATGCCCGCTGCAGCGGCGGCTTCGGCGTTGGCGGCAGCGACCATCGCCTTGGCATCAGCCTCGTGGAACACAGCCTGAATGATTTGCTGCTCATCGGGGCCGAGGACCTTGGTCAAGCTGTCGTACAGCTGAGGTTGCTCGGATTGGAGGTCTATAATGGATAGGTTAGCGGATACCAATAGAACGGAAAATGTGGATCATCACGTACTCAGGAAGACATGCTTGAACATGCCGTACGGCTCGACCTTGTCGAGAGGGGTCTCAAGAAGACTCTCTTCATCGAGCTCATCATCGTCGTCATCAGCGAACTGGCTGAACTTCTGGGCCTCCTTGTTGAGGAAGTCAAGGTATGCAGCGCTCTCGTCGGCAACGTCACCGTCGATGGCCTCCTCAACCTCTTCCTCGTTCCACTCGACCTCACCATCCCAGTCGTTCTCCTCGTCGTCATCATCACCCTCGTCGTCGAGAGTGAAGTCAGACTCCCGAGTGGCATCCTCGCGTTCTAAACAAATGGTTAGCAATGAAACAGAAGCGGCACGTGTCAAACCGAAAGACATACGCTTGATGGCAGCAGGCAGGGTCTGGAAGAGTCTTGTCACACCCTGCAACAATCTCGGCCAGCCTTGCTGGACGCTCACGGGAACATCACCCGCCTTCATGGTGAGAAGCGAGCTGATGGCGGCAATGGACAGCTTCTTGTCGTGAACACGACGGAACTGGTCGATGCTGGAGAACCAGGTGCTGAAGAATTTGTTGGTCCACCCCTTGGCTTCCAGAACCTGCAGACTGAGAGCCGGGTTGTAGTAAATTGCGTTGATAATCATTTCCATCAAGTGAATACGGTACGACTTGGTCCGGGCCTCACCGGCATCGATGACACTCATAGCCAGCTCAATAAAGAGAGGGATATACTGATCAATGTGGCCGCGGAGGTTGAGCATCAGAGTCTCGGCCAGCTTACAGCCGCAGATCCGGTCAACGCCACCGACCTTGTCATCGCGGAAGATGTCCTCAACCATGCTAACGACGGCACCAAGGTAGGCTGGGTTCTGAACCAGCATGTCGGAACCGTAGGAGACGTAGTTGTCGAGGGCTGGGAGCATGTCCTCCAGGTACAGCTCGGCACCAGCCTTGAAGGTCTTGTGGATCAACTCAAATGCCTGCCACATAGTAGGCGAAATGGCCTTGGACGCGAAGGTGCAGCTGTCGATAATCTCAAAGACCTCGTTGTAGAGATCGTACAGCTTGTTCTCCAGAGTGATGCTGATGACGGGCATCAGAATAGTCTCAAGGTGCAGGAGCACATCGGGGGTGCTCTCGAGGGTGAGAATGAGGGTTCCAATGGTCTGCAACACACCCAATGCCGTGATACTCTTGTCGTCCAAGAAATCACCATATCCATCATCGTCACCGCCCTTAGTAGCGTTGCGCTCCAAAAGCTCACCAACAATGCGCATGTAGGTGTCGCGCAGCTGCTCGCTCAGGGCGACAGCGAACGGCGTAAGCTCGGCAGAGAAGACCTCAACAAAGTCTTCCATGACATTGGCTAGGGCATCAACGTCGACCTCATTGGCCAGTTTGAGAAGCTGTTGCATGATCTGAGGGATGTTCTGCTGCATGGAGGTGCGAATGACATCGTGACGAATCAAAGGCTGCAGAGCAAGAGCGGCCTCAACGCGGACGGGCAGTTCGGAGTCAGTCATCGACTCCAGAATGTTCCGGTAGATGATCATCAGGTTGTTGGGGTCCTTGAAGTCAAGCTGTTCGAATTTCTCCAAGGTGTCACAAGCACGGGCACGGAGGAAGCCGTGAGGGCTGCGGAATTCGGGGAAAACGTGGCGGACAAAGAAGTATTCCACCTGGTCGGCAATGGGGCTCTTCTTACCCAGAATAACCGATGCGAGGGAACCAATCATTCTGAGGGCACCCTCCTTCTCCCGAGGCAGCTTCTGGTCATCAGCCGCAGACTCATACTTGCTAACAATGCCGTTGACAAAGGTGAGGATCGAGAAGGTCTGCTTCTTGCGGTTCTTGGTGAGAGAAACCAGGAAGTTGGTGGCGGCAACATCGGGAGCGGAAACCTCCTCGTAGAAGTTCAGCTTGCGGTGGAGATACTCCGAAGGATCCTCCTCAAAGAGCTCGATATCCTCATCCGATTGGCACAGGATAGGGAAAACGAAGTGGGCGATCAAGTTCTCCATGTGCGGCTTCAGATGCTCCCACATAGCCTTCGGCTTGACACACTCCTCCATGAAGACCAACGTATAAGACAGGGCGGAGTTGCTGAGCCATTGCGACTTGGATACCCACTTATCGATCTCCTGCAGATAACCCTTGAGGATTTCTGGGGCAAAGGTGCTAATGAAGGTCTTCGCATACGGGGTATAATCGGGAGTAGAGGATTTTGTAATTGTGGTGGGGTTGCCGTATCTAGTGAGTGGGGAAATTTGGTCAGTAAACAGAAGAGTCCCTATGCAAAACACGGACCAGAGGTCACGTTAGCATCTTACCTGATGAAGAGACGATTCAAGTTCGCGTATGACCATTTCTTGCACTTCCACCAGTGGTTCAGCTCCCGTTCTTCCTTCGATTCTCCCATGGCATTAGCGGGAGGAGTCTTGGAGATGATCCTCAGGAACAATGTGCACCAGTCCACGGTGGCTTGGTGGGTCTGGAGAGCTGGCGAGAGCTCAAACTAGAAGACAATTATTGTCAGTTTCTCCTACAGATCGATGCTTATAAATGCGCGGGTCACCCACGTAGATGGCATGCTTATATGACTTCACGATGAGCCGGAGCATCTCAGCGGCCTCAAGGCTCTCCTCGTCAACCAATTTCTGGCCAATGCTAAGCAGCTGAGGGAAGGAGTGCTCCACAATCTTATCAAACTCCTCTCTCTTCTCGCCAGCCTTAAACCTATACACGCGGCAGATGGCGAGCAGGCACTGTAGGCCTGCGTAGACGGTGTTCGCATCGTTCGTGCCGAGGAGTTGAAGAGTGAGGTCGATGAAACCAGGCCACTGCTCAGGGAAGTCGTTCTGCAGGATCTTCTGGAGGAGCGGAACGAGCTGAGCGCGGACATTGGGCGGGGTCGATGCCAGGGCAGGGATGAGTCTCTCGCGGAAGCCCGGCTTCTCGGACTCAGGAACGGGGGCGCGTTGCGGATTATCTTCGATCGGAGCCCATCCGCGGCTGATGCGGTTCTTCAAGTAGACACCGGCTGGAGAGAGGGAGCAGGGCAGATTAGGCACAAATGTCGGAGACGGCGAAAGAGGGTCTCATTGAGACACTTACCCGACAGCTGAACAGCATTGTTCTGCTCTGTCTGCAGAATGTCCAGCAGCGCATTGACAAAACCGGGCTGTGTCTCGGCCTAGAGAGGGGAAGTCCCGGGTATCAGTCTCACGGCAACGGCCCCCACCAGGAACACGCAGCAGACGTACATATTTCAGGTCTAACTCCGCTTGTTGACGAGTACTCGCGTTCGGGTCCAGAGTAGACTGGATACGGTCTCGGAGAGCCGTGACGTCCATCATCGCAACACCTGGGCACCCCAGCGCCAGAAAAATAACAGCAAAAAACTCCAAGCAAGGAACCCCCGGGGAAGACGGACCGGGGCCGACAGAGCGACAGCGAGGACAGAGAGATGAGGGGAGCGAGAGTGTGCAAGGACGAACAAGCCCAAGGCGAGGAGAGAGGTGGAGGTCGAAAAAAGTGTAGAGGGGGGAGATTTATTCTTCTGGGATTTTCGCGGGCGGTCGCCCCGCAGCTAATCAGCGGCCGCACACTGATTTTCTATACTCCCGCAGGCCTATTGCCGCCCGGTTGGAGACTATGTTTATATTCTTGAAAGTTGATTACGTTGCTTGTGTTGTTTCCCGGTTATCTCATACTCGTTACATTGTTTGTATCCCTGTTTCTCGGGGTATCATCCATCATAACTGGTGTGGGGGAGGGTGCTGCCCAATAAACAGACAGAGAGTAACCCAACCAGGCCACGATAACAGGCCCACGCCCTTTTACATGTACAGGGACGCGGCAAAAATGACATCCCGCTTGATCAGCTCCTGCGCCTGCTGCATCTTTGTATACAGCGATGGATCGCCAACCAGTTTGGCTGCATTTTTCACCTCGCGACAGGTCTCATCAAGCCGGGTAATCGTCCGGACAATAGTACCCTCCATCACATCAGTAAGGTCGGTAATGCGGTTGAAGGACATGCCCTTGGCCCACTCGTAGACCACCTCCGCAAGGCCAAACCGGGGCTTGCTGGCAAAGTCATTCGAGTCTTCACTGGACTGGATGACTTGATGCAAGACCTGGAAATCGTTGACCTTCTCCGAAATTCGGATAATGGCTTCCTGGCCCTTCTCCAATCGAGGGGTGAGGGTTGGAGTACTGTCGGTCTTTTCCTGGAAGACAAAAGCAGACAGAAGGGCAACAATCTCTTCCGGCTCGTATTCGGCAAGAACATTCTCAAGGACCAACTCGGTCAGAACCAGCTCGTCTGCGGAGTGAATCTCGCAGGCCACCTTGCCCTTCAGTTGCACACGAGAGTGGTCGTCAACAAACCCAAGCTCCCTCAGGACCTGGATGCGCTGTTCATAATCTGGAAGCAATTGGAGGTTTTGATCTGACATCAGCTGCTTCAACTGCGAGATATTCTCCTTGACCTGCCACTCGTCATGTTGCATTTCAAACTGTGAAAGAAAGGATCAGCATGTGCGCAAGAGGGTATCCACATCGCGTCTTTCACTCACGTGGTTCAAGAAGTTGGGGCACCGCATGCAGTGGCATGACTGGATAAACTCTGCCTGGGCCTTCCGCTGATCGATTATGTCTCGCGATTGCAGCTCCTTGATGCGGGCCCAATCGATCTCGTCCCAACTGTCACTAAGCCAGGACGAAGTAAACTTGGTCAGCTCCTTATCCGCAAACTTGACAGCTTCTGCTTTTCATGGTTAGCCTAGTTTGATAATTTGGTCCAAATTGAGTGCTTACCCTTCTTGATATTTAAATACCAAATTGGTCCGCCAGCTTTAACCCGCGTGTTCGTGATACATTCGACATCCGTCACTGGGATCTTGCATATCTTGAGATGCATAGAGGCCCCATCTGAGGGTAACTGTTGAAAGTACTCTCGGAACTTGGGGAGGAACGGGAGAATATCGCTGGGATGACGCCTGCTGGCGTTAATGGTGCCAATTTCAAGCACCGTTATACACGGCACGGTGCCAGTTGTGATACCCTCTTTGGTGATGACGCCAGCTGTGCGCATTCCATCCTAGATAAAAATTAATATCTTATGATCCATGTAGAGTTCACATAGATAGGAGGACATACCTTCCGGTACACGACGAGCTTCTTAACTTCAAAGAGTCGTTTACCAGCAGGGCTTGCGAACAGGCCGGAGTGCAGCTCTGCCGTGAGCCTCTCATACTCCATCGCAGCAGCGTGGCAGGCAGCGAGGTCCACGTCACAAACTTCGCAAGGCTCCCGTTTGATTTTTTCCAAGCTAGCCTCAGAAAGCTGAACTTGTTTTTCATGTTCTGGTAGCAAGGCCTGGGTGGCATTCTCGCTGAAACTTCGTTTGATCATCTCTTCGATCTTGAGAGCCTCCACACGAAGGAGATTGAGGATCATGTTATATGTGAGTCGGAATTGGGATCTGAGTTTGGTTGGGTCTCCAAGAATCATCTTCTTCAAAGCACCAGCAGGCGGTGCCTCCTCTCTTCCGCTATTCGTTATGAGCACATAACCCACAGTATCGAGACCTCTGCGCCCTGCACGTCCTGCCATCTGTGTGTACTCTCCAGGTAGGAGATCTCGGAAGCCTTTACCATCATGCTTGCGGAATCCAGAGAAGACCACAGTTCGGGTTGGCAGGTTAAGGCCCATGGCGAAAGTCTCCGTGGCGAAGAGGACTTTCACTAGGGACTTTGCGAAGAGAATCTCGACAATCTCCTTCATGATTGGCAGAAGACCGCCGTGATGTACGGCAACACCTCTGCTGAGTAGTTCACGGAGACGGAGGACTTGAGGCAGAGTTCGGTCTTCTGGCTTGAGACGGGTGAGAGACTTCTCAATAAACATGTGGATCAAGCTCTTTTCTGACGCGTTGCAGAAGTCTTGGTTGGAAAGAGAGTCCGCATTTTCTTCGCACCGCTTCTTGGAGAAGACGAATACACAGCCTGGGAGCAGGTCCTCCTTGCGAAGATGTGAAACGAGATGAACCCAGGTGTTTTTGTCCTGGGCAGCAGATTGTCGACCACCGCCACGGCCAGTGCGAGCGATGTTACCAGTCCCCCGGTGAGAAGGCTGCCCCCGTCCATTCGGCTGCCCTCTGCCTCCACCTCCACCTCCACGTGGACCATTTCCTCGAGGAGCCCCTCTGCCCCCTTGCTGTCCCCGTCCCCGTCCTTGAGGTCCGCCCCGTTGGGCCTGGGCCTGGGCTTGAGCCTCGGCTTCTTTTTTGGCTTTGGCTTCTTTGCCGGACATGATATCGTTCGCCTTTTTCCAGCCACCCTCAATAAATCGCTTGTTGGAATCAACTATCTTAAATTTGTCCTTGCCAGCCCAAAGATAGTGTTCCAACGGGACGGGTCGCTTCGGCGTCGAGATCACATAAATATCCTTCTTTTTCGTGCGGCCCACCCAGGACGCGAATTCGTAGGTGTTGGGAACAGTAGCAGATAGGAGAATGAGAGTAACGTGCTCCGGAAGCATGATGATGACTTCTTCCCAGACCACTCCTCTCTCAAGATCATTGACATAATGTACCTCGTCAAAGATGACGAATTCAACATCACGAATGAGATCCGCGCCTCGGTAAAGCATACTGCGAAGAATTTCGGTTGTCATGATGAGACAACTGGCCTCGGGGTTGATTTGAACATCACCCGTGAGAATTCCGACGTCATCGAATATTGTTCGGAAATCCCGATATTTCTGATTGCTCAGCGCTTTGATGGGAGATGTGTAGATGGCCTTCGTCATGTGTTTAGATGCCAATGCGATGGCATATTCAGCGACGACAGTCTTGCCTGCGGAGGTGTGTGCAGCAACAAACACCGAGTCGCCATTCTCAAGGTGGTACACAGCTTCCTTTTGAAAAGTGTCCAGCTCGAATGGCCATTCTCTGGCCATATCTGGAACCAAGTCATGGAAGTTGGTAATCTCCTTGTTTACATCGACGACGTGAGCCCACTCTCTACCCTTCTGCTTCTGAATGCCTGCGAGCAGCTGGTTGCGCGGTTCAAGTGCAGGGAATTCGACTGGTAACAAAGCATCGATGTCCTCTTCCTCCTCGTCACTGGCTTCCTCCTCACCTCCGCCATCGGTAAGTCCTTCAGCATCGGGGGTGATATCAGGCTTGTCGGTTTGGAGACCGCTTTCCTCTTGGAGAGCATGCTCCACTTCCTCGTCCCCCTCTGCAGCCTCTTTGGACTTTGCCTCGGCGAAGGTGAGACCACGGTCAAAGCCAGGGGGTGTTGTCAAGAGACCACCCTCGGATCCAAAGTTGATAATTCGATCGAGGCCTGATCTCTTTCCACCACTGCGCGACTGCTCTGTAATCTGAGCATCGGCCTCCATTTCAGCCAGAGCCTCGACTCCATCCAACCCACCAGGTGCGAAGGGAAAGAATCCGGCGGCACCTCGGACAAAGTCTGCACGACCAGCAGGACGGCGCAGTAGAGAGGTTGAGTTCTTGGCCGTCTCGCTTGTCGCTGGAATTGTCACTTCATGATAGCCCGTCACTCGTCCTTCCAGGCCTTCTCGTGTGAATCGAGTTACGGTTCGTGTTTGCGTGGGGGCAATCTCAAAGAGGTCCGTGATATCTGCTGGTACGTCCCATCGCCTGAGGCAGTCATTAGTTGAGTTCAACTTTTGTAGCGAAAATAAAAGGCAGCATACTTCTGTAGCTGGTTCAACCAATTTGGGCTGAACCTAGAAGACGGTGTCAAGAACTCGGCTTCAAGCTCTGCCAACGATTCCGTCGCACTCTTGCTTGTCTGCTTGCGAGTTCTGGTGGTGGCGGTTGTATCTTTGTCTTCCTCCGTGAGCAGCGTTTCAAGACGCGATTGGATCAAGTCTGAATTCACATCCTTGACTGTGAGCGCCAGCTGCTCCATGGCTAAGGCTAGGGAGTCCGCCATCGTCGATAATGTAGGGGCAATGGGTCACAAAATATGTGTCCAGATTATCGATATTCAGCTCGGTAGTGACGGCCCACCCCACATTGGTGTGTGGCTTGGGTGCTGAGTAGGGGGGACGAGGAAGCCCAATCCCTTGCGACAATCCACGAGACCAAATTGAGCGTGGTCACAGCGATGTAGCCTCGGGAGAAAGAGGCTAGATAGAGTCAAAGAAAGGCTTGGAGATGAAGCACCAACTCCGATTGCTCCCCGCGGCCAGGAGCGTTCTGATGGCGGTGTGCAGAGGCAGTATCGCGTTTTGTGTTGGAGATTGACGTCGTGTGGGGCAAGCTACATGTAAGGCGTACGGGGGCGTCTGAAGGGTTTAACCCCTGACAAATTTAATTGGACCTTTTGTACTAGGCCTTTGGGGCTGCTCAAGATATACTGAAAGATGTGTAGAAAGACTTTCTGAGAGAGAGACGAAGCTGAAGCATCAAGTGCTCGACTCTATCATGACACCGCCTCATGCTTTGAAATGAACTTTAATAAAGGGACTTTAAAGATATCTCCTGCACCTTCATCTTCATGTATAATCTTGACGGCCCAAATGGAATAGCTCGTCGGCCCTCCTGCCGGGACCCGTTAGCTAGCAGCTGCACTGCGGCTTTCCTCCAGATGCGATTGCTCTTGTTGAGCCAGCTGGATTTCCAACCAGCAGTATTGCAGATGTTTCCAGCGGCATCTCGGCCGCCACGGTGGGGATTATAACACCCATTTTTGTCTCCCATATAGCTCTAGTTTGGATCAATCAGTTGGTTCCTCAGCGATCTTTCCTAGCGATCACTCATATTCACTCCAAGCCTGTCGATGCCGAAATGACACTCGGCTCATTGATACGTACTCAAACTCGACCAAACCCGACGAGAACCCGGGTAGATTGACTCGTTTTTATGGGTAATTTCTTTTAAAAATATATATATCTATATCTACTGTATATCGCGAAACCAGGCATTCGGTGGTAACATGAAGACGACGGGGACCTTGATATCTCTAGCGAGGAGGAGAGAACAGTACAATATGTCGGGTTTCTCTCGCTTTTCTTCCTTTGCGTATCGTTGGATCTACATTGAGGGCAGCATTGTCCCTCAAAATGCGGCCCTTTCTGTTTCTCACCCTGGTGGTCAATGGTGTGCCTTGCGAGTTATCATTATCAATAGCAGTCAACCAAGATTCTATTTCAAGTCATAGTTCTCAAATTTTCATAATGCATTAGAGTATCATACGTAGCCGAACTTTTGTACCGGAATCAGCTTTTGAAGAAGGAACTGTGCAGGAATCATGAGACATATCGGTTGATCAATGTACGCCCCGAGCGCCAACGGGATATGCAGAAAGAGAGAAACGCCGGGTGAAAACCCGAAAGTCGATCTGAAAAAAGACGAACCACCAAAAGGCACAGAATGGCCTTTTGTATGATCCTTTTGAGTGAGACAGCTTTGGCCATTTCTTCCGGATGATCTCACTGCGCCTGAAGAGACCGCCCAGCAATGAGGTCGCTCTTATCGGTATGAAAAGATGGGGAAGGTTTTTCGGTCGTGAACATTGAGCTGGAACTCAAATATTCCCTCTAGAGTTGCAATATATCTACAAGGCAGTTAGTTCACGCTCGATATTCTTTTCAGCGAAGGGGTTTTGAAACTTACAGTGTTCTTCCATCAGCGCCCCAACCGACTCCGGCCGTGGCATCTGGTTCCTCGGCTCCTGGGCCGTGAATGAAGCTTCTTTCGGGAAGATCATTGATGATATTGCGGATCCATCGGGGTGAATGGGTCTGCTCAAATCCAAGCATTTGCTGACGAGCCCTCTGTTCCCTTTGCCCCCGTTCTGCCAGCGAGCGGTTGTGCACCTCATCGGCAATTTGACGTTGGCGTCGTAGGCGCTCCGCCGCAACATTTGCTCGAATCTCATAGTTGGAGAGTCTCGTAGGGTCATATCTCCTCTCTGGACCAGGGTGATTAGATTGTGGGCGGTCAACTCGTCGGGGAATAGAGCTTGATCGTTGGCCTCGGGAACGTCTGAACTCAACGTTGGGTGGAGGGATCGGCTCTGGTGGATGTGGCGGAGCCATACCGCGAGCTTCCATTTCTTGGATGACGGAATCGGGATCGCCATTAAATCGACTAAGAACATCTGGGGAATGCGAGTTGAGCTCGGAGTGTGAGCTTGCGGTCCAGCTGAGAGTGACACTGGGTTGTCGATCATGGTTTGCGGCATCTGTTTCAGATGACCGATTTTCTTGCGACAGCACCACCGAGCTCCGGCGTCCGATGCGGGGTGAAAGGTAGGTAGCACTAGACTGGCCCAGATGGCCATCTCGAGCGATATCAGAGGAATCGTATAGGTATGGTGGAGAGAAGGGTCGGGATACCCCAGTGGTTCCATTCGTGGAACCATGATGGCGGCTACGAGCTGCAGGGTGTGGATGGAGGGTTGCTCTCGCGGGTGGTTCTGGTCGCTCAGTGAGGCCCATCTCCTCTCTCGCGTTCCAGCGTGCAGTGTTCAGGAATTGCATGATCAATCGCTCGCGCGCTGTGAGGTCTTGAAGCAGACTCTCGCGTGATGAAGCATGTCCAGTATCTTCTCCATCTCGCTCATGTGGGGAATCGTCAACATCAAACCCTAGCCGAGATGTGATTTCCAGATCATCATCAGAATGGCCTCCCTCAGGGCCATCTGCCAGAGGTGTTGTACGGACCTCTTCCACCTGTGGCCCATCGGCATCCAGGTACAGTATTTGCCTCCGTAAGAACGACTGGCGAACATCCGCGACCCCAGCTCTTCCATGGCCCTCTAGCCAAACTAAAAGGTCCCATGGCTCAGGTGAGAATGTCATGCATCGCACAGCGCCTCCCTCGGTGCATGATCGGGAGGCTTGGAACTGGCAAATCACGGGCATGTCATTGTCTGTCTCACGAACGCGGTCCATGTCTAGCACAGAGACGATTCCGGACTGGGAGCCGATCGCACAGAGGTGACTGGACGGAGAGAAGGCAATGGTAAAGCAGCAAGCGTCATCCGATCGCGGCCCGATGTCCATTTCAACACAACGGGATAGCTCCCACTCCCAGCCTCCGACGTTTCCACCAGATTCAATCGTCACGAGCGACTCCCCATCCTGAGCCACATCATAGAAATATACACGGTTCTCGTCCCCTACTGCCGCGAGTATTTTATGATCGGGTGATATGATCGCATAGTTCATGCACGTCGGGTGGTGGAGGACTTTGAGCACTTTTGCACGTGTCAACGAGTAGACTGTGACGGTTCGATCGTTGTTGCTACCATAAGGTCAGTCATACGGGCAAGAGCTTGTCGCCTCAGCAGCTTGTAAATACCTGAGGACCATGACATCTTCATTCGAGATACCTTCGCGGTCTGCCGGGAAGCGGTGGATAGTCACGGAATTGACAATACTACCCCCGAATTTGTGCAGCTCAAACTCCGGTAACAACCTCCGTGGTGAACGGCGTGCCGACGTTGTCCCACCACTCGAAGTGTCCGGGGATGGGAGTCTAGAGGGTATCTCGAGGTCGAGTGGAAGCGCGCTGTCCACATCGGAGGGCTGATGTGAGGATGGCTCTCCGTGTAATTGTATGCCTCTTTCGTCGGTTCTGATGAAGGCGCATTCTCCATTCTCCGGGCCCCCCACTGCGATCCACCCATATCCAGCCGCTAAGCATCGCGGCTCGAACGGGATGACAGCCATGCTCTCCCGTTTTTGCGCCGCGATATGGATCGCATAGACAATTCTTTCAACGACGACATAAATGCGATCCGGATCGGCGGTGCTGATATAGTGGCGGAGTTGTGTGTGGCTATCGCTCGGTCGCGTCAGTAAAAGCAAAGCATGGAAGGCGGTGATACAGACAAGTTAGGTATCCGGAACGGAAAGAATCGTCGTTTGTTCGGAAGGATGAGGGACTCGGTCGGGCGATGTCTAAAACAGCGAGGTTGTGAGCCAAGTGAGCCGGTGAAGCAGAGGAAGCATACAGGGCCGGCGGAGGTGGGGAGAGCAGAGATAACGACGCACACGGTCGAGTCCGAGGTCATGGTGACAAGCTAGGCCAGCGCTGACATTGTCCGAGCGCACAAGGGGGTGAAGGCAGGGATATAGGGGCATCAAGACCCCGATCTATCGGTCGAGCAAGCGTCTCAGAGAGTTGGCGCTGAAGAGCCCCGACGAAGTAACTAGCATGCGCTTTCAAACGGATGACGTAAGACTTTGCTGGAGCTCAAAGCCGGGGAAGCCCAGCGTTTTCCAACGAATGCGGCGCCACGCCTCAGGCAAGTTCCGGAAACGAATGCGGTTCCAACCACGGGAAGGACAGGAAGGGCTAGTCTCGATCAGACATGATCAGGATGGGGTTTGTGCGGTCCCAAAAAATATATAAGTTATACATAAAAGCCGACTCAGACCTCCAGAGGAATGAGAGCTGCTGGCCAACTTGGCGGGACTACTCCATGAGACACCGAATATATAGAAGAGAGCTCCCGTTCCCTCACATAGAGCTCCCACTGCAGGGTAGATAGGTACCTACCTACCTTAGGTAGAAACTTGTAACATGCAATATTAAATGGATAGTCCTTTTTTTCTCCTGCACCCCACGAGGCTCGCAGGGCAGTCCTGAGAGACCAGTCGGAGCCATTCGGAGAACAATTCATGCCGCATCCATCGACAGTCCGACCGACTCCCCGTCTGCTTCGCAATGGCATCGAGAACTGAACAATGTTTGAGGTCACAGGACACCCTAGCGCCAGGGGACACTTGATCCCAGATTGCCCTCAGATGAGAAGTGAGAAATAAGAAATGAGAGATTAATCATTTCCGTGCTATCGCATTGGGAAGAGTAGATGTTGAACCAGCCGGACTACCATTATCAGGGCACACTGGGCAATTCGGGGAGGCTTGCCGGTGACCGAGGCAATGGTGAACTCATTATGGGACTTCGGGAGGTACTCCGACGGAAACGGATGTATGGACGAGTTCTCAATTGAAGAGGCCAGATATCAGACCAAGTAATACCATTTCTACCACATGTACTACTACTTTTACCCTGGTCTATACCTATACGGGACTATAGTTCTCCTCGTCATGGTATACTCCGTCGTCATGCGGCAACGACAGCCAACCGGGCGGTGAAGCTCGGGTGCATCCACGGCCGCTGATTGGTCCAGTCCCGTGATTCGAGCAACTTCGACGGCGGGCCGAAGCTCTCCGTGCAATTTCTACCCTTCCATTTCCCTCCCTTCCTTTCCTCCTTCTCTCCATCCCATCCCCATCCTCCCTTCCCCCTTTCCTATCCACTCAGCGATTGATTCGTGGGAGTGCTATCAGCTTTTCTCTTTTCTGTATAATTTAATTCACCACAATGCTGTCTTCCCGCATTTCTCGCGCGGTAAGTGTCCTGTTCTCCCAATGAGAGAAAAAACTTAGTCACGCGCGTCGCATCACAACCCAACTGACATAAATCACTTCAGCTCCCCCGCGCTGCTTTCGCTCGCACTCCTGCCTCCAGACTCCCTGCCACCCGACGATGGAACTCCACGGAAGGTGGTGAGGGGAAGGTGAAGGGCCAGGTCATCGGTATCGATCTGGGTAAGTAGCTTACAGGTCACTGTACCCGGACATCGTTTTAACATGAACAACTCCAGGTACCACCAACTCCGCCGTTGCCATCATGGAGGGCAAGACCCCCAAGATTATCGAGAACGTTGAGGGTATGTGAAAAATCTTCTCCCTCGCCGGCCACCTAGCCTGAATATCCCTACCAAAAGGGGGAACCCAACCGATCGGCCAGGATCGCGATTGCGATAACTTGAATCGCTAACTTGTTAACTTGACAGGTGCTCGCACAACTCCCTCCGTCGTCGGTTTCGCCCAGGATGGCGAGCGTCTCGTCGGTATTGCCGCTAAGCGTCAGGCCGTTGTCAACCCCGAGAACACTCTTTTCGCTACCAAGCGTCTCATTGGTCGCAAGTTCACCGATGCCGAGGTTCAGCGTGACATTAAGGAGGTCCCCTACAAGATCGTCCAGCACACCAACGGTGACGCCTGGGTCGAGGCCCGTGGCCAGAAGTACTCGCCTTCCCAGATCGGTGGTTTCGTCCTGAACAAGATGAAGGAGACTGCCGAGGCCTACCTCAGCAAGCCCGTAACCAACGCAGTTGTGACTGTTCCCGCCTACTTCAACGATAGCCAGCGTCAGGCCACCAAGGATGCCGGTCAGATTGCCGGTCTGAACGTTCTCCGTGTTGTTAACGAGCCCACTGCTGCTGCTCTTGCCTACGGTCTGGAGAAGGAGGCCGACCGTGTTCTCGCTGTCTACGACCTGGGTGGCGGTACCTTCGATATCTCCGTGCTGGAGATCCAGAAGGGTGTTTTCGAGGTGAAGTCCACCAACGGTGATACCCACCTGGGTGGTGAGGACTTCGATATTACACTGGTCCGCAACATCGTTGAGCAGTTCAAGAAGGAGTCCGGCGTCGACCTGTCCGGCGACCGCATGGCTATCCAGCGCATCCGTGAGGCCGCCGAGAAGGCGAAGATTGAGCTGTCTTCGTCCCTTCAGACCGAGATTAGTGAGTTTCTCCCTCCATATTTTAAGTCTTGCAACCAAAGCTAACCGCTTATAGACCTCCCCTTCATTTCTGCTTCCGCCAGTGGCGCCCTCCACATCAACCAGAAAATGACGCGAGCCCAGCTCGAGGCTCTGGTTGATCCTCTCATCAGCCGCACCACTGAGCCCGTCCGCAAGGCCCTCAAGGATGCCAACCTCCAGTCCAGCGAAATCCAGGATATCATCCTGGTCGGTGGTATGACCCGTATGCCCAAGGTCACTGAGTCTGTCAAGTCCATGTTCGGCCGTGAGCCCTCCAAGTCGGTTAACCCCGATGAGGCGGTCGCCATCGGTGCCGCTGTTCAGGGTGCCGTCCTGGCTGGTGAGGTTACCGACGTTCTGCTGCTCGATGTTACTCCCCTCTCCCTCGGTATCGAGACTCTGGGCGGTGTCTTCACCCGTCTGATCAACCGTAACACCACCATTCCCACCAAGAAGTCCCAGACTTTCTCTACCGCCGCCGACATGCAGACCGCTGTTGAGATCAAGGTCTTCCAGGGTGAGCGTGAGCTTGTCAAGGACAACAAGATGCTGGGCAACTTCCAGCTGGTTGGCATTCCGCCTGCCCACCGTGGTGTTCCTCAGATCGAGGTCACCTTCGACATTGATGCTGACTCCATTGTCCACGTCCACGCCAAGGACAAGTCCACCAACAAGGATCAGTCTATCACCATTGCCTCAGGCTCCGGTCTCTCGGATGCTGAGATTCAGTCTATGGTTGAGGATTCCGAGAAGTACGCTGAGGCAGACAAGGAGCGCAAGGCCGCCATTGAGGCCGCGAACCGTGCTGACAGCGTCCTGAACGACACTGAGAAGGCCCTCAAGGACTTTGAGGATCGTCTCGACAAGGCTGAGGCTGACACCATCCGCGAGAAGATTGCCACCCTCCGCGAGTTCGTTGTCAAGAACCAGGCTGGCGAGGGTACCGCTACCGCTGAGGAGCTCAAGGCGAAGGTTGATGAGCTCCAGACTGCCTCCCTGACCCTGTTCGACAAGATGCACAAGGCCCAGAACGAGCAGCAGCAGCAGCAGCAGGGCGGTGAGCAGCAGGGTGAGAACAAGCAGTAAGCTGCTTGGCTGTCCCATCTCATTCCCACTGTCTCATCGTCGGCCACTCCGTGTGGCTACTGTATTTTTTTCCCACTATTTCCCTTTCCCTTCATTGCCTTTGTGCTAGAGACTCCCTGATTCTGTCCTCGCATCTCCCTTTTTCGCATTAACTGTACACATACTTTCAAAGGCCCTTTTTTTATCCCCCTTCTTGTTCTGGTGTATCGGTGTTTGATTAACTTGTATGATCTACTTTTCCCTTGTTTCTCCTTTTCTTGCCCATGTATCTTCTGCGGTTCGGCCTTTGAGGCCCTACCAGCGAGGATGCCGGGCTTGTCTACCATTGTATCTAATGACATTAACGGCAAGGGGGCCACCAAAAAACGGATGCAGGCTTTGGCTTTCAGGTGCATGTGACAATAGAAATCAGACCATTCTCCTCTCGCTTTTCCTTTTTCTGACTTGATCTCTTCTGACCTTCCGCTGTAAGACCGTTATTGCGTAACCTGCGTGCAGCTCTGGGAGCACGGGACAATTGGAATCTTACATTGTACACTTTACATCTTACAGTACCGCACTTGACTGCGTGTGGCTCTTATAGTGGCCACGATGCCTTCCCAAACCTCCGGCAATCGACAAATGGGATGGCGGCGCGGCTGTGTGCTCTTCGGACCCGGATGCAGCCTGCAAACCCAGTTTTGCTCTTCGCCTCTACAGTCGTTAGTGTAGTCGTGGACAATATGGCCCACCGGCTTCTTTTACCGGAGTCGCTCGGACGAAAGTACATGAAGGACCGTCCGTGCCGGTATGATTGGCCTTTTTTTCTGCGCCCTAAATCTCCGTCCATTAATATCGGCGAGGCAGGAGGATGCCCAGCGCTGGGAAACGATAGGTCAAAACCAAGCCGGGCGGCACACGGCTGAGCGTTGAAAGCTTCGGTTTTGCTGTGTATGTGTTTAGCTCGAAACCTGTTCCACAATTTGGGAGAGCCCTTTCAATTTCGTCGGCCAATCTATTCGAGAGAAGCAGGCTTGGACAAGGTTGTGTCTGCGCGCAGAGGCTAAACTAGTCTAGCGAGTCCAAAAGGAGCCAATCGCCTCTATCGTCTCGATTCCTTGCATGAGAGTGGGCTCCAGCCAGGCGAGATGTTCAATTATTCGCCAAGCAAGCTGATATATTATTTTTATTATTAGTGTTGCTTGTGACTTGGGGAATATTCTCGGTCGAGAGCGCTGGCGATGGGGAAAAAATCAAAAATTTAAGAGGATGACGAGGCCTGTGTTCATCTAGCAGCTGCAGCTGCAGCTGCAGCTGCACCTGTACCTTGTTTTTGGGCCTTCATGGAAGGGAACAGCCAGGAGCGCTGTCAGTGTTGATGAAAGTCTATCGTCCACATTCAATGTTCCTCTGGCTCTGCGCCCGTGGGAATCCACAGCCAGGCAATTCTGGACTATTCCACAGGGATGCGACACGAAAGCACCCACATACAACCATGCGCTGCGGGCCAATCTGGAGAGCCGCCAGTGACTGAGCGAAGCAGTCGTGCGGACTTCCCTGCAGCGGCGCGCGCGACGGGCAAATCATCATTGTACACACCAGTTGGGCTTCAAAGTGGGTCTGCAATCACGGTTGTGAATTACGAGGCCTGAGATCCTGGCAGGGGGGTTGTGGGTGGTGGGTCGGGGGGAAGGACCACTCACACTCCATGCGAGCATAGTGGATGGATCATGTATTTTTTTCCCTACTCTCTTTGACCTTCCCATGCAGTCGCAGTAGCCGGAGTGAACAGCAAGCAACTATGGAGACATGATTCCGTGCAACAAGCACTGGATCCTATCATAGACAAGCTCGAAAATTTTCAAACGCCCACATCATCTGCGCTATGTTCATTCGTCGATCACCCTCTGTCTTGTGAGACCATCTGCCTTAGCGCGCCCCTAGTGCTGTGTATGATTATTTTCCATCGTCTCCACTTGGCACCATTTCTGTCCACTTTGCTCTTAATATATTTTTTTTATTACGGTGTACGCGAACTCAGCCCTGGCGTCTGTTCCAGGCCCCGACACTTTTCTTCTTTTTGAGGACTTTTTCGTTCTTTGACCAAAGTATCCTGTCGAAAAGGTCATTTGACCCAGTTGATGACATGATAGAGCTGAAAAAAAATTAACTATCGTCTCTCTCCTTCCCTTCTCCCCCCAGAAGATCCATAAATTGGGTCAGACCTGCCTCTATCGGAGCTAGCGTACCGGCCAGAGAGGGGGCCACCTGGCACATTTGGAGCAAACCAATTTCCCGAGTCCGTATAGATTTCTAAGCTTCATCGCCTATTCGGCAATTCATGGATGTGTGCGGTGTTTGTGTATATGTGTCATGGCTTTTCATGGATCCTGCTTTCCTTGGCTGCCATCTGCCCTTACCGCAGTAGTCTGCTGGTGCCAACCCTAAAGGGGTTGGGGCGCCGATAGGGAAAGCAAATCAAACGTCAATAGCTCCATGCCGCCCGTGCAATAATGATGACAATCATCAGTAGCAATAATGTGAAAGAGACTCGAATTGGCCGCCGTGAGTGGATGGCCATGGTATATCGCACCGATGTACGGAGTACTCCGTGTACTTAGTGGTGCAACCCCTGGAATGGTGTGAGCCTGCTAGCTTATTCAGCTATGTCTTGTTGTTTTGTTGTTCACCCATGGTAGCCCTGATTGAATACCTCCTTTCTGCAGGGAATTTGGGCGGGGGGAAGGATTGGAACGACCCATACTTTTTTTTTTTTTTTTTTTTTTCCCCTCAAGCGGGTTCCAGCAGTTTCTTCCACGGAATCCGCCAGGGTCGCCAATAACTCGGGTTCTTCCCTGTGTTACATAATGATCTCCCGCAATGACCGCGCCAGGGCTTGGCAATGAAGACAGTAGATCTGCGGCTTGCGATTGGCCGGTGAGACCGGAATCATTCATTACTAGTCAGTCAGAGCGGCTGCCACAATCTGCACTGTGGAAATCTATCTGATTTGAGGTGACTGAAGTCGACCTAACCCCGTCCGCCCAAGTTGAGTTCACGCGCACGTACGCAAAAGTGATGGATCGATCAACAACAGGGTTCGCCATGGTCTTCCTTTCGGCGGGCGCACTCCGGTAATATATTCGTGTTCTTTGTGGATCGGATGGCCCACCTGTGGTCTGCAGCTACCTACAAGTATCACAGAGCAGGTAAAGTATGACGCTCGATATCATGACTATCATGATCCCTTATCACCAACTCCAATCCTGATTAGAGTGGGCCTCGTCCTCTGACAAAATTATTCTCGATAGAAGCACCCACGTCAAACAGGAGGTGTTTTGAGACTGGTCACCTCGGCCATTGTTTCCCAACAGGAAGCGCTGGGGTTCCCCCTTTATGCGCCCTGTTGAAGCTCCCGTCTCCAGTACGTTTGGGCCGGGCGGTTCAGTGCGTACCCAGTCTCCGTACTCCATAGTGTTCGTCCATACCGCCAGTGGGGATCATCCGTAGTGGGTAAAATATTAAATAGGAGGTGGTCAACTGACTGGCGTTTCTGGGATCGCTTTCTGCGCACAGTCTTCATTTAAATTTAGTTCCCATCAAATCAATGATCCCATATTTTGGTCTCTGGCGATCGATGACTTCCGTGTCACTTTTAGAGGCCAAGGGCAAAGGAGATTAGAGCCCGATGTGTCGCGCGATCCGCTCCAAGAAAGGAGGAATTGTGATTGTTGTGATTTGATTACATCGGGCCACTAGCGCCGAGCCAATCCATGGAATCGCCGCCTGCCTTCTGATCCCACTGCTTCCACTGCTTCCCACTAAAAATTCCCGAATCCCGCCTCCCACTGACCGCATCCTCCCTGGTTTTGGCTTCATGCTAATCGCACTAGGCGGCCGCAATGTATGATGATACGTCCCGACCCCGTAATGACTGAAGCATGATCTCATGAAGATCGCGATACGCCGGACCAGGCCTCCTGTCATTCCCCCATCGGTCCCCCCTACACTCCCCTCAACTCTCCTAGCGAATTGCAATGGATCCGACTGGTAGACTCAACGCAGTCGGGGGGCCTCACTCTGTGACGGGGCCGATCCCCTTACTTGGCCGTTACCAGCGGGAAATTTCAAGATAACGGGGGTGCAGCCCAAGGGTCGCGCTAGTGGATATTGTCATTTCTTATTTGATTTTTGCTATTATTATCATGGTTGTATGGGGACGTCAATCCTTTCCTAACCGTCGACCCATAGATCGGAAATGGGGCTTTCTCAGTCGATTCTTGTCTCATTGCCCACCCAGTCCTGTTTTTGCTTCTTACTTCTCCCGCTTTTTATTTTATCCTGCCTGTCCTTGACACCTTCCAAGGTTCTGCTTCTATCGCCTGCTGCTCTCGGGAGCTTCCCCACCCCCTCCTCGCCTTCGATTCTCGTCGCGAAGGGCTTGAGGTGAGCAAAACGAGGGATCAGAAAATTCCTGCCCTTCACCAGAGGCACAGGCACAGGTAGAACCTACTCAGTGTGGTCCTCCGTCCGGCCTCATCGACATGGCTGCTGCACCCCCGGTGCCTCATGCTGTCCCCGATGGCCTCAATGGGACTCCCAGTCATCTCGCCCACAGTCTGCCACGCTATCAAGCCATTGCCATGAACCCCAACCCACCCCCTCATCCGGCAATGCCCCCGCCAGATCAAATGATGCAGAACCATCACTATCGTCACTATGCGCCGTCGCCGTTGCATGATCCTCACGCGGGACCGCCGCCCCCGCCGCCGGCGCCCGCCCCGTCTTCTCTAGATCAGATCGAAGCGCGCTTGCGGCAGTTGGAACATGAGGAAATGAACCGGATGGCTGCCCGCCATCACCTGCTTGCGGTGCGTAAGCGTGAGGACGAGGAATTTCGCAGATTGACTGAGAGCGCCGAGGCTGAGGAAGAGGTATGTCATTGATGTCCATATAGATCCCATGTGTATGCGGGAGAGATGCTCACGGCGATGGATAGGACCTCCGCAGACAACGCAAGAGGATTAAGAGAGAGTCGATGGGCCTTGGGGGGAATCAAACAATGGACTCGCCGCCGATGCGCCCAACACCACCGCGTCGGCTGTCCGAGACGAGTGCGGCCACCACGTTGGCCTTCTTCAAGCAGCAGAGTCCTCCGGAGCCGCGCCAAACCCCTCTCCCACCGCTATCACAGACACCACAACCGTCACCGTCGATGCCTCCGCCAGTTCACCTGCACCCTCAACCGCATCAGGTTCCTCCACCTCCTCCCCCTCCCCCATCTCAGCACCCGCACCCTCACGCACATCAGCATCCGCACCCCATAGTCCCCCTCGACCACATCAATGGCGCAGGCTCCATCCGGCGCAAGCAAAAGTACACGATCAAGAATGTGGAGGCTTGGGGCGAGCGCCACGGCCGCCCAGCGGCCCACGATCCCTCCGGCCGTGCCCTCTGGAAGCGGCCCTCCGACGGCAGTCTGGTCTACCTCACCTGCCCGATCCAGGGCTGCGGCAAATCCGACTTTGTCACGCTGCACGGCTTCATGTGCCACCTGACCAAAAAGCACAAAGACCGCACGCTGGGCAGCCAATCGCGCGCACTCGAGCTCTGCGGCATCGTCTACGACCCGAATGCGCCGCTGCCGCCCGTGCAAGCCTCCAACCGCGCCTCGATGGAAGACAGCCCGATGGATGGTGCGCCCGACGATGAGGCCCACGACCCCGAGCTCGACTCTGAGCCAGAGGATAGTGAGGAGCCTCGCGACGAGTCGTACCGGGTCAAGACCGAGGCAACCGAAAGGTCGCTCCCCGATGCCGAGGATATCCCGGCGCCCCGAGATACCTCGTCCATACCCCCCAAACCGGCCATCAACGGATCGACCAAGCAGTCGATCTCCTCCATCATCGACCGCACGCCGGATTCCGAGCCGCGGGAAGCGCTGGCGTCGCGGACGCCCTCTGAATCTATCTCCCAGGGCCCGACGCCCGTCTTGACGGAGCAGTCGATTCCTGCCAAGCGGAAATACGAGTACTCACCGGAGAAGGAGAACACCGAACCCAAGGAAGGCTCTGCGGTGCAGTAAAATGTGTTCAATGTGAATATGGACATCACCAGCAGTACAGCCGCGAGGAGCTGTGATTTATATTCCTGTTCTGTCTGCTGGCCGCTATGGCTTCCCACTAATAAGCCCCCAAAAGCAAGCTATTGCATCCATCCTTTCTGTCCTTTACCATGACCGCAGGCATATCGTTTGTGTTGCGTGCCAGCCCCTCATCGCCTTGACCTTTGATCCCTCTCAATACCCTTTTTCCTTTTTGTGTTGATTAATCGCACCCTTTTCGTGTTTGTCTGGGCGGCCCGCACATCTTAGGTTTTTCCGTGTTCACCTACCTTGTTTACAACATTTTTTTCTTTTTCGTGGACAATCCTGGTTTGATGCCGCGTGTCTGCTGCGCATCGCATACGCACATTTTTATTTGGTTAGATGGGCGGATATCACCTTCTTACTTGTCCATACTCAATTGCATGCCGAGCATATTGTTAATGATATACGAGGTTTTTGGACGTGGATATACGCTGGGTTCTCCTTTCATGATGGTAGGGATCCTCATTGTCTCTAGCTGTTAGACGCTCGTGTAGATCATTTTGCCTCTGCTGCCCCCGGATGCAAAGTATAGGAGCGACGACGGATGCAATTTTGCCATTCTTCCCTGTTACATGCATCGGCTCCGATGAAACCATTAGCTGTGCTCAGAAGGCGCGAGGTCGTCGCCCAGAGTGCACCATCGGTCTGAATTCGTTTCACGCGATGAGGTTGAACTGAAGAAGCAGAGCGGGCCGAACCGGTTGAGTAGCGATGCAATTCTCTATTCTATCCAGTATCTATCTCTATTATGGATTGTGACCATTGAGTCTCGCGAACGTCAACTCTTCTCCCTCGCCAGCAGGACATGCACCAGATACCCCGTGCCGAGCTTCAGCCCATCTCCCAGCACGTCATCCTTCAGCCGCCAAACATGAAATTCCCGCAGCGTCTCCCGCAGCCACGTCTCAAATACCTCGGGTGCTCGCTGCTGTTGCGCGACAATACAAATTGTGGGCTGGCGACGGGGTTGGGATGCCCCTTCGTCTGAGGGTGCATACGCCGGCCGGAGACGACAGATCTCGGCACAGGTGCGCACAAACGGGGCGACGAGGGCCTCGTTGTAGATACAATCGCAGGAGAGAAGGAGGTCGAACCCGCGATCTTCCTCGTCCCCTTCATCTTCGTGGACATGACCACCGGACTCGGACTCGGACTTGGACTCGATACAGCCTTTCAAGAGTTCTGGCTGGTCGAGCTCCCAGTCCAGCGTCGTGAAGGTAATATTGGTAACTGCCTTGGTGGGCTGCTTGTGCTTAGATGTCGACTTACGGCTGCTGCCTTTGGCTTTGCTGCTTATCTGTTTACACGAGGCGGGCGGGGCAGACGGCACGGAGGCATTGGCGTCGAGGTTTGCCCGGAAGACGCGCCGCACGTATTCTTGGTCGGTGGCGAGATAGTGCTGTACCGATGGAGCCATGGCCAAGGCGACCAGCGCTGAGATGCCACAGCCCAGTTCAGCCACCACCGAGGCGCATGACAAAAGGCAATGTGTCCAGAGCGGATTTGTTGTGGAGGAAATCCATTCTGCGAAGCGGGGGGTGATTTTCCAGAGGACTGTGAGTTCAGATGGTTAGTTGTTCGGACCGGTACGCTCGTACAAGCGAGTCAGGTGCAGAGGGCGAATGAGGATGTGATGGAAGTTGGTGATCTCGAAGGAAGCACAGAGGCACAGAGGCTAAAGGTCTAGGGCCAAAAGACCGGTAGCTTCACAGGCTGGCCTGGCCAGAAGCTCTGATGCCTCGGCTCAGCCGCGTGGTCCCTGGGAACGGAAGATAAGACACACTGCGGGGATGGCGCCCGTGCATTGGGGACGCACAAGCACAAAAGAGTTTGGGGACTTGGGGGCAGTGCCGATCTTGGCTCGAGAGCTGCAGTTTACTGATGGAATGGAGAATGACCGGAAATGATGGACAGGGTCCGAGGTACATACCGGCGCCCGTGGTGCCCCCGGCACGGGAGGAGGAGAGCAATGAGGGGGATTGATGGATGGTGTACTCGTTGCCACGGATCGTCACATCGACGGAGGCGGCGTGAGAGTCGACGAACCCCAGGTTTCCGGTGGAGATGTCCTGGCTGAACAGTAGGAAGGCCTCTACAGGGCCGCTGAGTGATTGGTGATTGGTGATTGGCGAGGCGGGGGTGGCTACATACCCTCTTCGGCATCGGTGACATGCTCGCTGGTGCTGGCGAGGAACTGGGCGATTGGGTCGTGCATCTTGATCGCCTGGACGTCAAGACGGGCTTGGGATTGGTTTGGGGGTTCGACCTGTTGGGCTTGTCTTGGCTGGTCTGCAGATGGAGAGGATCACGAGACGAGGAATGAGACTGACCAGTTGAGCTCATCCGGGACCAGGGCTTTTTTTTTTTTCTTTTTCTTTTCTTTCCCCCCTTTTTTTCTTTTTGTTCTTTCTTCTTCAGTAGCCCATGTCGCACGTTGTTTTACGGAGGTTTGATTGCTGGCATTGAGAGAACAATAGGGATATGTGCAGCTGGTGGCCGAGGACCGGACGTGTCTCGTACAGAGTATATCCTGCAGTGTCTTCGGTGCCATAACGACAAGAGTCCCCACTCTGTTGGGCGGTAGCCCCAACAGAAGCGCAAACAGGCAACTGATCTGCCCGCGGATCAACGCTACGTCCTCCCGAGCCTTCCAGACGGACATCCGGTTCGTTCGCTGGGAGATCCGCTTAGCTACGCCGGCACTGCACCTCACGGCACTAACTGCACTAATTGCGCTTCCTAGCTACTGTTGCGGAATGAGCCCCCATGAACACAGGGACCTGGCGGCCAGACCCAGTTAATATTTAATTCACATTAGCTGTATGGACCTGTAACCACTACGGTAGTCTCCATAGCTGCATAGCTGCATAGGTGCCTTGGCCGAGACAACATCCCGGCCCGCCAACTCCATACGAGGTGCGTCATTTGGCCGAACCCAGCCACATCACCACAGGGCCCTGCAGCTATCGCCCCCAGCTCCGGGTTGTTCCCTTCTCCATCCCCTTTCGCTCGAGCTCTTCACACCACTTCTGCTTAGGCTCCTGCTTCGCACCTGGCAATTCCCTTCCTGGTGTCGGTATCGGGTAAGCTTGTCGGACCCTTCTGCTCCTAGCTTCCGCAAACCCTCGGTTTCCGCCCCGGCCCTGGCCTCCCCCCCCACGAATACCCGCTAACGTCGCTCCGTCTCGATCCTAGTGGGCATTTCCCCTCGACGGTTCTATCCTCTCTTGTCTTTTACCCCCTGATCTTGCGTTCAGCCGAATCCTCCGCCTGAGCTACTCCCCCCCCTCCCTTTCCTCCACCTCCCAGCGAGAGAGCTAGCAAGATGTCGAAGCACGACCTCCACATGCAGCCGCGCATGGTCAAGAAGGGACCCTTCTCGGTTGAGGCTCCCGGCTACGAAAAGAAGGACGGCGAGACCATTCCTCGCCGACACCCGGCCGCAAAGGATGGCCTCATCCTGCGCCCGGCGGAGGACGTCGCGACCACCTACGACAACCTCCGCCGCGCTGCCCGCCTGTTCGGCAACAACAGGGCCATCGGCAGCCGCAAGCTGATCAAAACACATGTGGAGAACAAGAAGGTCAAGAAGATGGTGGATGGTGTGGAGCAGGAGGTCGAAAAGCAATGGACCTACTTTGAGATGAGCGGGTACAGCTACATGACCTTCCTCGAGTATGAGCAGCTCTGCCTCCAGCTCGGCGCCGGCCTGCGCAAACTGGGGTTGGAGAAAGACGGCCGCATCCACCTGTACGGTGCGACGAGCGCACACTGGCTGGCGATGTCGTACGCCGCCTCGTCGCAGTCCATCACCATTGTCACCGCGTACGATACCCTGGGCGAGGAGGGCCTCAAGCACTCCCTGGTCCAAACCTCCTCTACCGCCATCTTCCTCGACCCTAATCTGATCAAGTCCCTGGCCCACGTCCTCAAGGATGCCCCCTCCATCAAGCACGTCATCTATAACACCGACAACGAGGTCAAGCAGGAGGATCTGGAGAAGTTGAAGAGTGACTTCCCCCACATCCAGGTGCTAAGCCTGGAGGACCTGCGCGCGTCCGGCGAGGAGCACCCCGTGGACCCCGTGCCGCCCAAGCCGGAGGATCTCTGCTGCATTATGTATACATCCGGCTCGACTGGCCCCCCCAAGGGGGTTCCTCTGACCCAGGCCAACGTGATTGCGGCCACTGCTGGGGTCAACGAGATTGTCGGCCCCTACGTCGGCCCCAACGACTCGCTGCTCACCTATTTGCCGCAAGCGCACATTCTCGAGTTCATGTTCGAGAACCTGTGCTTGTTCTGGGGAGGCTGCATGGGATACGGCAACCCTCGCACATTGTCCGATGCCTCCATGCGCAACTGCAAGGGTGACATCCGTGAGTTCAAGCCCACCATTCTGGTTGGCGTTCCGGCGGTGTGGGAGTCTGTCAAGAAGGGTGTGTTGAACAACCTCAACAAAAACAGCTTCATCATCAAGGGCATGTTCTGGGGTGCGATGGCGGCCAAGAACTTCCTGCTGACCAACGGGTTCCCCGGCGCTAACACGGGTGCGTCGATCCTGGATGCTATTGTCTTCAAGAAGCTCAAGGATGCCACCGGTGGCCAACTCCGCCTCATGATGAACGGTGGTGGCCCCATTTCCAAGGACACCCAGCGTTTCCTCTCGATGGCCATTGCTCCCATGATCAGTGGCTACGGCTTGACCGAGACCTCGGCCATGGGTGCTCTGAACGATCCGTTGGCATGGAACCCCAACGCGCTCGGCGAGGTGCCCGCCTCGATCGAGATCAAGCTCGTCGACTTTCCCGATGCCGGCTACCTGACCAAGAACAAGCCCCCCCAGGGGGAGATCTTCATCCGCGGTGGCGGCGTGACATCGGGCTACTTTGACAACGAGGAGGAGACCAAGAGCGCACTGACCGAGGACGGCTGGTTCATGACCGGCGACATTGGCGAGTTCGACCCCAACGGCCACCTGCGCATCATCGACCGCAAGAAGAACCTGGTCAAGACGCTGAACGGCGAGTACATTGCTCTGGAGAAGCTGGAATCTGTGTACCGTTCCACCCCGGTGGTTGGCAACATCTGCGTCTACGCTGCAGAGGACCAGGACAAGCCCGTGGCCATCATTGTCCCCGTGGAGCTTGCGTTGAAGAAGATTGCGAGCGAGAACGGCATCTCGGGGGACACCCTCGAGGCCCTCGTGCACAACGAGAAGCTCCAGCGCCTGGTTCTCCAGCAGCTGCAGAGCTCTGGTCGTGCCGGTGGCTTGAGAGGTATTGAGATCATCAACGGTGTGGTGCTCTCTGATGAGGAGTGGACTCCTCAGAACGTAAGTCGCTCAGCAACCCCTCTCCACGACTTCGCTATCCCCCCTAACCTAATGACATGTGATAGGGCTTCATGACTGCTGCCCAGAAGTTGCAGCGCAAGAAGATCGTGAACAAGTACAAGGCCGAGATCGACAAGGCCTACGGCAAGAAATAAAAACAACCCATGAACAAAAACGGATTGCGACTTGACTCAACATCCCCACTGTGATTTTAATTTCCTATCTGGCTTGCTTTTCGTCTCGCGAACCCATATTTTGCTTGTTACCCTATTCGCGCCTTGATTCTGCTTTCCTTTGCGATTCCCTGAAGCCTTGACTTGTTGTTGATATATGACTTCTCTGGATGGCTTCCTACCTTCTCCCCCTCGGCCACGATGTAGACGAGATAGTGATAACTGCGGACATGAATGTTGCGACAGGTTTGCTAATTGCTCCTTTTCCTCATCCCTTAAACCCAGTCGTGTTGAACCGGATGATATTTTATCATTTTCCGTTGGTGTATACTGTAGACACGCAGTCATCCTCCATCTCATCCCCACCTCTCCCCGCCTCCGAGACTCCAGCCATTGTGACACCGCGCACCTAGCAGGTGCACCCGATCGACCTTCCCCGCAGTAGTTCGTACAGGTACCTGACAGGTAACCTCATACCCACATCGGAGGCTCGCAGCGGCCCCTAAACCCTTGTTATCTTAGCGGCCCTCCACGACGAGAGCCCTTCGGTCCCGACTGCCAAACGCGGTTTAGCCCGCTATTAGATCCACGTGACATGCGGCGGAGCTGAACCTCAACACCCTTGACAATTCCGCTCCAGCTGAACCACCTTCCCCAATCCGATCCAATGTCTTTGTGGAGGTATGTGTGCAGAAACCCTTGGTTCCCCACAACACCATTTAGGCCGGTGACTAACCCTCGCTCCGCCGTAGCACCTATCGATCCCTCACCCCCAAAACCCGGGCCCTGTTCGGCGTCGGCGTGATGGCCTGGGCCACGATCGGGCTGTGGACCACGCCGCAGGTTGAGAGTGCGCTGGGTATGCAGGCCTCCAAAGACGAACAGGAGACGCTGGATCGACAGCTCGCGCTGCGGATCTCGCCGGTTGGAGGGGAGGAGAAAACCGCCTGATTGAATGAGTTGGCATGCGTTCCCAGCGCTGGACTCACGTCAGTTCGCGCGAGAATGGCACATGGATGACCTTGGGTAACCCTTGGCCATGACATCTTTTTCCGATACTCGAAACATTGAAGAATGGAATGAATGCCTGGGGGCCCTCGGAACAAACGATCGGAGCGCGCCATCGCGCGTAAACTCGCCAAACTCGCCGACCCTCAAAAAACAAAACCATCGCAGCTTCGGGGGCTCCTCCCGGGATTCCAAAGAGGGGCTTGCGATTCGGGGACTTAGACACTCATTGGAAGACGAGGTCAGAGCTCGACTCCTCTGCGACGATGCCATGTTATTTTGTCCCCGGGCCGTGGCTGGTAAGCAGGCGCTGTGTTCCGTGCGAGCCGGAAACCCTGCTATCTGATCGTGGATAATCAAAATGCCGACTACCGAGCCCCCGATCGTGCAATTGTCGGGGTCAAAGGGCTGGCAGAGGCGACACTTGATGTTCCCTGTGTCCGCGTCTGCTCAGATGTTATCAGGTAATAGCTTGTTCTGGTAAGATAAGCTCTTTGGATGAAAGATCATCCAATAATACCTTATTTAGGTATTTCCTTAGGTGAAAAATATAAGCAACACATACAGTTATATTGTCACGGATCCTGTTAGTAGGTATCTCATATAGCGGCTATCAGACAACTGACACTAAGCCTGTAATCACGGTATACAAGACTAAATATATAAATGCAATAATCGAGATACTCCAATGAAAATACCGTGCAGATACGGGGCATAAGCCCGTGTTGAATTAACAATAAATTTCATGCATCAGATCTGCCACCTCATTTGTACTTGACTTTTCCTGTGGACTGAGCAATCGCATTTGGAAGAGGCGGTGAGTTGAAGAGTTCACTACTGGATGGCATCCTGTATTTATAGTAATGGGTAGTTAAGCTTTGGAGGAGACTCTCCATCATGGTAGTATGCAAGTTCTTCGCGACTGGACTATCACTACGCTGACCGATATTATGTGATTGGCCCAGCATGGCTGACTCGGAGAATAAATGATCCGAAATTCTATCCTGTGGGTCCGCCCGAGCGTGTTCCGGGGTTCGACGTGAATTGCATACTGGGTTAGGTCATCGTCAACAAACTGCACTCCCTGCATCATCCGCGCTAGAGGAGCCTCGAAAGCCTGGAAACACGGAAGAAGGAAACCGCTGGATGGCCCGCCCTGCTGCGAGAATAGCATGAAACCATCACCGTCGCCATGGCGTTGCAGTTCATTAACCACAGCCCCAGCGGGATCGGCAGCTCTGACAGGCGCATCATCCGCTCCCACGTCATGCAAGGCAAGAATACGGGCAAGCAGCGACGATCCACCAAGAAGCAGAAAAATAGCGCAGAGCTCAAGCGCCTCTTGAATGCTCCAGGATCTGGATACGTGATGCCGCGACAGGTGCTTTGGGGCGATCTGTGTCTCACTTTGTTCCCTCAACAGCTCGACTCCGAGTCCATGGCGCTCATGCATCGGTGTATGCTGCCTTCATTATTCGGCTGGTCACCCACATCCCCTTGTGTCTAACGTTGGAAGCACAGGGTTCTTTGACATTAGTGATGCGCTGTTTCCGCCGCAGTTCTGTGACAAGTTCGACATTATAAAGTCGATCTGGGTCAACTGTATCCTAGCAGATGAAGCATGTGAGCAACAGCATGGCCAGCTGGTTCACGCAGCACTGTTGACCAACAAGGATGCAGATTTTCATAGCACTTTGGCTATATCTGCGTCTTACGTTGACTTCTTCCGGCGGAAACCAGTAATATCGTCCAAAACACTTCACCACATCTCCCAGGCGTATGCTCTGGTCAACATTAAGCTGTCGGGTCCCTTCTGCGTTTCCGACAGCTCCATAGCTGCTGTGGTCAGCCTCGCCATCTACCAGCAAGTACATCACCAGCCTGAAACGGGACTGGTACATCTCCACGGGCTCTATCACATGATTCAGCTGCGGGGTGGGATCGCCAGGCTAATGCAAGAGAATCGTGCGCTGGCACTGAAGCCGTTGAGGTACGTGAAAGTGTTTGCTTTCGCTACCTACCTTCATTTTCCCTCGATTTAACATTCTTCACTTCTGGATGACCGTTCATAATTTTCATTTAACTATTATCAGGCTCGATGTTGAATTAGCAATGCAAAATGGCACAAGCACCTTGTTTCGCGGGGATGAAGTGCCCATTCACCCGGTCCTATGCGACCCCGACGTCAGCAGCGGGCAGTCTCCCAGAGCTGTCTCTTGAATGCCACCCATCATGCTAGATCTTCTCAGCTTCTCAAGGCTGCTAAATGAGGTAGAGAGGGGGGGAAAGACTGAAGCTTGACCCTCTAGACTACACGGAGACACTTCTGTCGCTCCTTTATCGCCTCGTAGAGGTCTCGCCTCTAAGGCAAGCCTCTACCAAGCCCGGAGGACTTTATGGCGACGTGACGTACCTTGCGATGCTGGCATTCATGACGACGTTGCTACCCGAGTACACCCGTGATGCATCGAGCTGCCCCCTTCTTTCTGATCGTCTGGGAAGCGCCATGCAAGACCTTTGCGTCACAGCATGGGAGTCTTCGGACTCTGATCCACCAGTACTCTTATGGATTCTTTTTATAAGTGGTATATCGGTGTTGAATCTCAAACACTATCACTGGCTATCGCCATTAATTGCCGACACCTGTAAGAGACTGGAGCTGGACAACTGGGCTGTCATTCAGCGGCAGCTAAGTCAGTTTCCTTGGATATTCGCGTTGCACGAAGCTCCAGGCCACCGGCTATGGGAGGATGTACGACTGGGGAGCAGAGAGATTTCATGAGAGATATCCTCATAAACTTTACCGTAATATACGTCCGGGTCGCTTGGAAATGCGGCAGTTTGTGTCCGAGGGACGACTCTCGGTATCCCCTAGTAATTCGATCTACCAATAGATGCCCCGAATCGATATGATGAAGACAGTCATTCTGTATATGGGTAGAATCCCTATGTAAGAGCAAAAATAGGTTATCAATTCAGGGGGTGAGTGTAGGGTGAGTGCTGGAATGCCCATGGACCATTTGGATCTTGATGGTTGAAATAATCGTATCCTGGATCTTGACATTTTATCATTTTGGCTATTCATCGATGTTCTGGTGTGCTCCATTAGATGTCCACATATCGGGCCTCCACATATCGGGCCTTCTTGATGTCCAGCTCTCCCTTCTGAGAGCACTGGTAGCTGATGTAGGCATGCATTCCCTTGCCATTCTCCAGACCCCTGTGCTCGGCAAGCCTAGCCTCACTGTCGCTGGTATCGAGGTCCCTTGGGGCCTTCACTTCAGCCTCAGGGGCCGTCGGTTGTGCCCTGACCTATCGTATCGGAGGACGCGTCTCCCCCGTCGTTACTGCCTCTCTACGCCTTCCTGCGATTTTTGCACTAGCTTGCTTCGGGTCCCGTCTCCGACGCAACACTGTTGTGCGCTATCTAAGCCAATTGCATGAGGGATTTAAGACGCAATTTGGGGGCGATATGCAGTTGAGTGGCATCCTACGCTCCTCGGAGACCCTCTTCTGGAAAGGGCATACCTACATCCCCGAGAGACGGCAATGCGACGTCGGCCTTGCGAGATCTTGGGAGCCTTGTACGGCATGCAGTCAAACTAGGGTGGCTTAATTGACGTGGCTCGGCACGTTACTATGTCCTTCTTGGCTGGTCCGTGGGATCCCAATGGGAGCAAGGAATAGTCTGATAAGGTGGTATTAAACATGTCTGTAGAAATCAAACTAGCTAGACTGGCTGTTTCCTCGCGTGGAAAGGATCAGAAACCGCGGCTCTCAATCACACGCCCGATCTCGAACAAAATTGACACATTGACAGAAGTTCTACTTGAGCTGTGAGATGCAGCCGGGCTGCACAGACTCCAACCTGGAAACGAGCTCGTCCCAGATGCCCTTCTGCAGCTTCTGGCCCTCCTGGTTAGTGAGCCATGTGGGCACCCAGAATTCCTTGATCTTACAGCCGGACAGCAGCTTGCCATGGCCCTCCTCTCCCACTAGCAGCCCGTGTAGGATGGTGCGGCTGCCCACCTCCGCGGTTCGCGCCATCATGGCCCGGACCGCCTCGTGCATGATCTTGGTGAAGGTTCGGGCGTCGCGGCCTAGGCCGGTGGTGCAGAGACCAGGCGCGACCATGGTGATGACGACGCCTGTGCGCTCGACGGGGCAGAGGGCTGCGAACTGGCGTACGGCGCACTCTTCCACGAGCTTGGTGAGGGCGTATCTTGGACCTCATGTTAGTTGCAAAGCCAGAAGGTGAGATAGGTAAAGTAGGTAAATCTCACCTGACGTCCATGTTGGCCCGCTTCTGGTCGTTGAGCCCGTCAAAGATGACGCCGTGGCGACTCTTGTCCATCTCGCCCTTGGCGGTGTACCCAAGGACACTGACGATGAATACGAGAGTGGGCTTGATGTCGAACTTGTTCGCACACTCTTTGAGTTTAGGCATGATGAGAGCGCCGAGGAACACGGTGTTGATGACGTTGACAAACATGCTCGTCTCCATGCCCTCGGACTGCGACCACGCATCGATCATGAGCCCCGCGTTGCAGATAAAGCCGTCGATCCTGTCGAGCCCGTCTGTTATCTTCGTTACGAAGCTCTGGACAGATGCGTAGGTCGACATGTCTACATGCCGTACCTTGATATATAGAGGTTAATCTTTGTGATAGTCCTGGATACCTTGCAGCAGATGTACCTGGATGACTCCCTTGCGGCCGGTCGTCTTCTCAATGTCCTTCTTGGCAACTTCCCCCGCCTTGAGGTTTCGCACGGCCAGCACGACGCACTCGGCCGACGCCGCGACAAGGTGTCGCGCCGTCTCGAGGCCCAGGCCAGAGTTGCCGCCCGTGATGACATAGGTCTTGCTGATGCACGTCGTCTCGTCTACCAGAATTGGCAGCTTCTGGTACTGCTCGGCGGTCAATCGGAGCATCACCATCTTGATTAGTGGTGTTGGCGTGTGTCCCCGCTAAGGTGGTGGTGGTGGTGTGGCTGGAATGGACGAAAGCCGGGAATTGATAAGTAGGAAGCACAACCTGTGTTTCCCCAAGGGATGTCCCCTTTTCCTTTTATACATATGTCCGCACATGTGGCCTACCTGTCATTCATATTTACTCTGTCTCGGCAGTCTCAAGACTTGGGGCTATCGGACGGCTAGATCCGCACTAGCCGTCCACGTCCCATGTCTGGCCAATCATAGATTGGTTTCCCTTTTGGGAAGTGGATGCGATGAGGACTGATTTCCGCATGTTAGATAGTGTCGAAATATGTGGAGTGGTAACTTACCACTTGCCAGACATTATCCTGTCTATATAGGTGCATATAGGGCTTGGTAAACCCTAGAGAAACTATATAATCCTATGGGATTCACTAGAGAGTGTCACCCTATGGAAGAGAGTTCTTCAGCACTATATTGTCCGATTTGAAAAATGGAAAAATAGCTAAACAAGGGGCAGCTATTATTCGATGATCTTTTATCCAAAGAGCTTATCTTACCAGAACAAGCTATTAATAAAAAGCAGACGCGGACACAGGATGGGTATGAGATAGGAAGATTAAATGAATAGTCTAGAAGAGACAGAGTAAGAGGTGGAAGAAAGAAAGATTTTAGAAGATTGCGATCTAGGTTGAAAAGATATGAAGAGATTTTGATATAGGATGAAAAGATTGTAGAAGATTGCGATGTGGTTTCGGGCTCATACGTGCGCGCGCGCCTGCACGTCGGAACAATCCATCCTGGCCAAGGCGGCGCAGGTGGCAGCCCGGTCCAGATCCAGTCTTGCTGGACAAGATGATGAGCGGCCAATCATATTGCTGGCTTATTCTCCGGACTTGATGGCGTTCCGAATGGGATGCTGTTGCGAGTGGCAGATGGGTAGATGGGCAGATGGGCTGATGGGCTGATGGGCTGATGGGCTGGGCTGATGCGGGCATGCGGGCTGTTTCTAGTCCGTGTGTTGCTATTGGCTAGGCCTTATTTCTTTGTCTCTTGGGCGCTACGTTTGCAATCACAATCGCACTGCCGAGATAATCTATTTTCTGAGCTGTTAGTATCGGCTCGAGATCCTCGGGCTCTTTCTCTCTGGTTCGACGAACATCATACAAACGCTAGACCCCGTATTTCCCGCGGGCCCCTCTAGTTCTAGTTTTCCTTGATATTGCGTTCTCTGACCCAGTGCCGGCGCCGGCGCCGACTCCGCATTGCCGCCAGCCCGAATCCAAATCCATATCGACGGAAGTCCACCCCTCCGACGTACAACTCGCACGTGCCCTAAGGAGGATCTCTCTTCCGGCCGCGAAAGGGAGAACGGCCAACAAACCGTTGAACTGCAACAGGCGGACCCCCTCAAAACCCACATCTTTCCCGACGTGCATCAAAGCCGTGGCCTCGCAACAAGCCAGGGGCCGGTGTATCGGACAGATTCGAATCCCAATCTGCAGCGTCCGTGCCCACGCCCGGTCGTGGTCCAACTGGGCCAACCGGGGCCGGTAGGGTTTCGTGTATTGCGTCCACGGCTTGCGAAAAGAGAGGAAATCGGAGATCGGAGATCGGATCAGCTGACTGGACTCTGTTTGCACTGGAAGCTGGCTGGGCAGGGATGCTTCAGCCTCTCATACGGAGATGGAGAAGTATGTCTTTCCTCGATGCAGATGAAGCAGGGTGTTTCTCTGGTGCTATGAGTGATAGGCTATGGATAGCAACGGCAGGCCCGAGCACCTGCAGAGCGCTGATTGCGGGTTAGCTAGGGCTAGCTATTATCCAGGGCGAGAGCATCGGCGGGAGAGAAGCAGATGTGGAGGGTCTGCACAGGGTGTGTTGTTGCACCGCCAACCCAGGGTCTAGTACGTTTGCGAAAAAATGAGGGTATTCCCAGTTGGCTGACTGGGGGTCAGTGACGTCTCGCCCCATCGACTTTTGTCAAGAAAACAACCTGGGAGCGTGAAACGGGCAATTAATCCCTCCCCCTCCCTCTCCCTCTTCCTCTCCCCTTCTTGTACAGCCAATGCCGAGAAATATCACAAGTCTGCGCCCCGACGCAGCCGGTCGATTGAGATTTGCATCGCTCGGAACCATGAGGCGCCCCCATCTGCCGTGCAACCGTCTCGCATCCGGAAACCCTCCGCAACAGCCCAGTGAGAGAGCGAACAGCAGGCGCCCGGCCCCGGTTTTCTTGAATGTGGTGTTCGGCCGTCCTCATTTCCAGTATCCTGGACTCCATACCACACAGTACACATCGAGGCAATGGAGCCATCTCCAAGTCCGACGGACCGTGCGAGAGACGTGCGGGATTCTTCTTTCGGCCGACGACCCCTGGACGCCGTGCAGATGGCGAGGGAAGCGCCCCTCCCCATGAGCCGTGGGATATCGGGTGATGGCGGTCTTGGACCCGCCTATCATCGCCCGTGAGTCTGGATTGCTACGATGGTTGAGACTTTTTTAGTGTGAGAAACTTCTGGTTTGGATGATTGTGCAACGCTGGGAGACTTTCCGTATTGCCACCAACGTATCAACAAGAAACCCTGGGTTGACTGGGGGGATGAACTACAAACTGTGAACTACAGACTCGACATACAGGATCATCAGCGGAGATAGGCAATACAAGCAACGGACACAACTGTGGAAGTGAAATGGAGCTCTGCCCTCGCCGAAACAGCCTCAGGTGAGGTTCCCACTAACTCGCAGTGCAGGACTGGGGCGACGGCCGCTAGCCAGGGCACCTACATAACAGCCAAGCGGCGTGATGTACGGAACATGCCGGGGGGCAGGGTAGACTGACGATGACTAGGTATCTGCCTAACGTCGCTGGGGGATCTGCTCGGATTGGGAAAGTACATGAGGGCAGCGTCACACAGCGCGCGCGCGCCACCCTCGGCCCCAACCAGGAATGCCAGTCGAGTTGAAGCAAAGACCCTCTGTGACAGGTGACAGGCCCACGGTCAATGTCTTGCGTTTTGCCACCGGAGGAGGTACCCTGCCGATCTCGTCATAGCCGGCCAGTCTGAGCTGAGACGCAATACATCACCTGCACACGCACGGTCGATCCTAATGGGCGATCGGGCGGGGATCTGCACATTCCATACGCCCACGCGCGGAGCCCCATGGCTAGTCTGGACCCTAGTTGCTCTACTTGCCTGGGTGTCGTCGGGACAGTACACCGAGACTGGGGAACGATGCAATCACCAACGGCGAGAAAATCATCCAAACAGAATACTTGATTCAGATTTGAGGGGAATTGAGAACTATCCTAGGAAATTACAGGAGATGAGTCCTGCCTAAACTGGACACCGCTCGGTCCATCGGATGGGCTCTGTGCGCCTTGCCATGGCGGCCTCGTTGGATGACTCCAAAGCTCTCTAAAAGCAAGATCCAGCAATTGCAAAAAAAATTTTTTAATAAAAGAAAAATATAAAAAAAGGCATGCAGACAACGCCGCCCGGGCTCCCTCTCATTCGCCTACTCACTAAGCCTTCCCTGCAAAACAGGCCACCCTGCCCCCTTGCCTGCTTACTCGCGAAGCATAGCCTTCGAGCAAAGAGAAGAAACAGAATCCGGCCGACGCATGCGCCCCGTTACCCACTACGGGCCAGGCTGTGTTGGGGAAGTAGAAGGGGCGAAGAGGGCGTGTCAAGCAGACAGGGCCAATGGAAAAGGAGGACAGGCAGGGAACCAACAACCGCAAAGGGAAATGCCCCATGTCCATTGGAGCTGAGACGGGGGGCATCCCTGCCACCATCCCAGGCAGCATAGCGAGTTGGACTAGGGAGCACAGAAATAACGGTTCCTGGCGCTCAGGGCGCGGGGAATTGGGGGGTTCGCCTGGTGTAGCAGTTGGAACTAGGGCCATAAGCGGGCGAGCACAGTAAAGTAGAGGGGAAGAGGACAAGGAAGAGTAAGTAGAAGAGCTCGTCATGACATTGTTCACGAATGGCGTTCTGTAAGCCCTCTTGTGTTTCAGTTTTGAAATAACACGGACACGACTAGAAAAGCGCCGCCTTGCCAAAGGGTTGCCGTCTCTGTTTGTGGAGACGAGAAATGGCTAGAATTTGGGGCCGGAGAGCTTTTTCCTGGCTCTCGCATAGATGCAGCTCATGCCAACACATCATCCCAGTCGATCTTCCCGGAGGACATGTCTCGGAGTCAATAGGATCAGAAATCTGCCATAGAAGAAATGAAAGAGGAAGAAGCCGAAGTGCCTAATTTCAGATGGGTAAATGTGGAGAGGTATGAAAAAAGAGATCAGAAAAACACAATCAAAAGATAATCACACAAGAAACAGAGTTCAAGGGGCCGTGAATTCATCCGTATCCCACGCCGTTCTGCACCAATCCGTGAAATCCCCATTTTCCAGTTTCTCGCAAAAGAATTTCCCTGGAACCCTAAACCTAAGTGACACGGAGAAAGAATAACCATCATCATAATAAAAACAAAATGAACGGAGGCCGGCATGCAAAAGCCTAGTTGCACGTCGGTCTAGGTGCACAGGCTATGCGAGTTCTGAATCGGGTCGTAACGGGCGTAGGTCGAGTAGACGGGGTCATAACCGCCCATGCTGGGGCGGTCGTGGGGAGGGACTCCGGTAAATGGGTCCTGGTAGGGGTCCAATGTGGGCGTGGTTTTCAGCGTGTCCATCGGGTCCATGGTGTCGTTCATCATGGAATAGTCGAAGCCCGACGAGGACGAGGAGGACACGAGCGGGCTGTCGCTCAGAGGGGAGTGTTCGGCCGTCGGCATCTGGCGATAGTCGGTTCGGCCGTAGGGCAAGCTTCCCCGATGCGCGGAATCGAATAGAAGCAGATGCGAGCGTGCGGCTTGTCCCATCCCGTGCGGCAGACCACTTCCACTGCCGTCCCCGCTACCTCCCTCGGGCCCCATACTGGCCGTGCTATCACGTCGCCCGTCCTTGTAATGGCCTGGGGAGCGGCCGCGCACCACCATGGACTGAGAGTGTCGACGGGCCACAAGAACCCACCGGGATTCTCCACTGACGGGGCCGGCAACCTCGGCGTGAAGCTCGACGACGAGGTTGTAGAATTGTTGCTGGGCACGCCTCTTGCCGTTGTTGGCGGTCGCCTTCTGGAACTGGATCCGCTCAAACATGTGTGATTGCGGTGGCTGGCAGGGCTGCGGTGCCCCGGCAAAGGAGGAGTGATAGTCCAAGGACTGCGAGCCCAGGGAAAAAGCGTGGGCTCCAGTCCCGGTTGAAGCAGATGTGAACGACTGTGGCGGGGAAGGCTGTAGGACCACTCGGCCTGGCTTGCGCTCCGACTGCTTATCTCGCTTGGGCGTGTGTTGAACAAGTTCTCGCGTATCCCCATACTGCCCATTAACTATAGCAGAAATGGACATTGCAAAGCCACGAATCGGCTCTAGAGTCTGATCCGGATGGCGAACATAGAGAGGAACGGTCGAAGGCCACGGATGCAAACTGAAACTGCAAGTCACAGCAAAATAATTCCGGCGATAACAGGTCCACTTATTATCAGACGCAAAGAACCCGCGTCCAATTTTCGCATAGACCTCCGGCTTGACCGCCTGTTGGGTGCCCCCGAAGTCCGCCACGATGGACTCGAGAACGCTCGTCTCCTCAAAGGGTGGTGCCTCCACCTGTGCGTGCGATCGCTGCGAGGATTCCACAAGCGGCTGCTGGACCAGAGTCTGGGTTCGGTCCAGGACTTCCACAGCTCGCGGGGTGCCCGAGTAACCGTGCGTGCGGGAAACATCGTTGACTCCAGTCAGTGGCAAGCCCATGCCCCGGTGGAGTGCATATGATGATGAATAGGCATTGCTGCGTCCCATTAAAGCCGGGATAGAGCTCGCGTGCGCTGGACTCTGCATCGTTGCTGACATACCAGCAGGAGGTTGGCTAAGCGTAGAAGGGAGCCAATGAGTCCTGAGTCCTTTAAGATCCCATGAAACACTAGAAAGCGGTTACTTACAGAGGTGAAACCCGACGGAAATCTGTCATTCGATCAAATGGATGCTGGTGATGCGCCATATGAGGAAAAAGAGGACCAGACGTTGGGGAGAACGAATCTGTGTGGGCATCACAGCAGTCAGTTAGACGATCAGCGCCTGTATTACATTAGATCAACGAAATCATGCCATACCGGAACAGGAGTCAGGAGGAGTCATGGCAAGCGCAGTTGAGCCAGGGTAACTATAGACAAGACACAATCGGTTTAGTATGTCACATCACCACGGAATTGCTCAGTAGCAATTAATCGGGAGAAGGAAGGTAGGTAGAAAATAGAAAGAATGATTAGAGGAATCCGGGGATAGCACGGAGACCATAATGTGGAAAGAGGCAAATCAAGCACAGGCGTGCACGCCAAGACAATGGCAAGAAGAAAGGATACAGGCACAAGTGAGGATAGAAAAGGACAAAAAATGGGAAGAAGCGCATGCACGCAGCGGATCGATCTGGAAGGTACCGAAACAGGCTGGACTAAAGTCCAAGCTGCCCGGACCCGGAGAAAGCGCAGCGACCAGGGGGGGGGGAGGGGATGTTGTTGGATGTTGGGAGAGGGCCGAATGGAGCGCAAGGGCAGTCCAGATTAAAAGAGCTGCAGAGAAAGGGAAAGAAAGAAAAACGACGTACTGTAAGTCCTGCATCGCACCCTGCTGTGCGTGGTACCGCACGCCGTTGGTGACAGGCATGGAGGCGAGCAGTCCGACTCGCTGGCTGCTGTCGTCTTCGTCGGTCGGGAACCCGGTCACATGAGAGCTCATATAGTCGCCCTCTGTGGTGATGGGGCAATCCATGGCATAGGATTCGGGGAGCAAAGTGGCTAGATGGAGGTAGTTTAGTCGGTTGCCACGGAGTAGAGAACGTGATTGAGACGCGAGATGGGCAAGATCCGCAGAAGCGACAAGCCAACCGCATAACGGTGAAAAAAAAAAACATATAGGAAATGAGATGAAGGCAGTGCTTTCCATCGAGACTTACAGGGATTCATTTTGATCGTGCTGATGCCAAATGCCTCAAGGACCCTAAAGTATGGTCAAGTGAGGTAACACCAGCGAGATGCCCAAGTCGTCGCCTGGGCCTTGCCGGTCCTGGGAGTAGCGAGGGGCACAAATGTCTAGAACAAGCGGCCGAGTTAGTTGACCAGGGTCCAGGGCTAATGCTTTTGTCTTTGTGGGCCGGCTGTTGCTCACAGAAAGGCCCAACGCGTGCCCCTCCTTCCTGTGCAAGGCTTCGCGGGGGGCCTTCGGCGTGAATGAAGGAGTGTGTGTGCTTTGCAGCGTACAGTTCACAAATCACGCCAACAAGGCAACCCGGGTCCCAGTAGACATCCACGACTGCTAGAAGAGGAGTGTTTCCAGATCAGACAGGAAAGAAAGAAAGGTAGTAAATCCGTGGAGGAGATCAAGAGGTGAGACGGAGTCTAGAAATAGAAGAGAGCGCAGAGAGGGAATGGGGGTAGGTAGGAAGAGAAAAATGGACGAGCACCAGGGCGACACTGAGAATAAGAACATGTCTGGAAGGGGAGAGTGTGAAGGTGCCGTCCAGTTGATAGAAGCGTGGAAAGGCCGAAGTATCCCTGCGGATGCTGGGCCGGCCAAAGGGATCACCAATTAGGCCATGCCCTTCCTAATTGGGGGGCCTTCACATTGTAGGTCATAGGGCACTCTTTTCCGGGCGTAATGAAACAATCCCGAGCTCGATCTTAGCGTTCCCTGCTCGATCGTGAAGAGCCAAACAGGCTTTGGTGGCCGAGAAAGTGGCACCCCGGAACAAGGTGGAAAAAAGAAACTACTCACCTTTGGGAGGGGGGGAAATGAATGCCAAAAAGGAAAATAATGGTAATGCGGAATTCATGTAATAGAACAAAGGGAGAAAAAGGAAGAACCGGAAAGCAAAACTTACTGATGTAATCCGGTGTGACTTGCGTTGCAAATCAATCACGGCACGGCCTTGATGGGCGCAAGGTGGCTAGCATATACAGGAAGCAAATTGAAGAGCTCACGAAGTCCTGACAGTTCTGCAAAAGCTAATTAGGATGCACTGCCCACCCCCGGACTTTCAAGATCAGGACCGTCGTTTGGCGGGATTCCTGCGTCGAGGAGGGAGGGGAGAGGCTATAGGTTCCTCCTCAGATAAGAAAGTACCCCGTCAATGCAAGCGCAAAAGCCTCCTCCACAGGTCCCTGGGCGATCCGCTTAATTTCTTTTGGGGAAGGAGGGGTGCCTGTCGCTGGGCTGGACGAAGGGGAGAGGGGACGGGAGGAAGAGAACCGGGTGGAAAAGGAGCGCACGCAATTGATGTTATTTGATTTCGGCCGTGATGATATGCCCTCCCGGGTGTGTTGTGTACGGGAGAACTCTGAAGTCGACGAACCCTGGTAAGCTTAATGCCCTGGCCTGACCTTCCCCGAGGGCTGGAGGTCTGAGGTATGAGGGAAGTGACCCTCCTGCTCCCCAAAATAGCACCAGTCAGTTAACGCCCTAGCCGGAAAGCGACCATTTCCGCCACGAGTTCCTGTGAAAGAGCTGACAATCTGGGCCTGCCAGGGACAGTGGAAATACGTTGTATTCGGCAAGGCGACAGTGGATGGCAGCAGTCATTTTGCATTAGGGGTCCAACCATAATTGGCCGCAGTCCAGGATTTCCGGAATAGTGGTTGATCTGGAATTTTTGGTTTTTCTTTTTTCCTTTTCCTTTTTCCTTTTTTTTTTCTTTTCTTTTTTTACCTTTTGGGATTTCGTCAAGATCCCTGCCCCCCGGCAGATGAGCCAGATTTTTGTGTGGCTGTCCCCATAGGGAAGAAACTGTAGCATCGAGTCATTGGCCCGAGCTCCAGACAGTTTGATTGTCCAGGGAGCATGGCATTGGTTGAACCCTCCATGTTACGTGCCCTGGGGAGAGCCGACGAGCAGTCCGTACTTCGGTCCATTGGGGCGAAACAGGGGCGAATGGACGGCGGGCTGGATGTATTTTCCATTACAGGGTGCCCTCCGCTGAAGTCAGATGTCCCAGCGCGAACACCCGACTGACGGGTCGCTGCAGGATAAACCAAATAAGATGAAACTAGAAAAAATGGAGTAGATGATCAACCCCCAGTATACTCGTGCAGACTTTCTTCCCCCTCCCCCTCCCCCCCTCCCTCTCCCCCCAGTCGCATGACAAATGGATGTATCAGACCTCCGGGATCTACAGGCCAATAGACTAGGGTGGCCAACGAGAACTCCCGAACTGGATAAGAAATACAAATAGAAATAATTATTCGTCTAGTTCGACCAGGACAAGAGATGATCCTGACCAAGATCCATGGGGCCGGGGCCAAGAGACCTCTCGGAGTCGTCCCAGCGACATTTTTGTTGCTGACTTCTTCATGGAGGGGCGTGATTGAGGCACGAGCATCAGTTCTTGCATGACGAAGGAGAAGATCAAACGATCGGCAAGTTTCATTTGACCAGCTGCATTGTGCATGTTGGCAATGTCCTCACCGACAGACCTGGGATGGCAAGCAAATCAACAAATGGAGGCAGTACTCGAAGGCAACAACGGAGACCAAATTCCACTCCCCCGCCCCCCCCATCTGGGAGGAGCTGGGGCGCCGGGGGCCTCGAATCACCAACGTGATCATGACCGAACTGGGAGAGCGAGTCTGCGAAAGCCCAGCGTTCCCTCCCGAATGGGACAAGGGGTGGGGGTGCCTCACGCCGCGGCGGGAAAGCCCGGTAGACCCGCGGTCCGTACCCGGCAGCATTTTCCAGAATGGAGCGCCGCCGACGCTGCAGCGATGAATTCCTTCTCGCGGTCTCGGTGGGGAAGGAAGAAGCCTCTCTCAGAGGTCACAGCCGGGGGTGTATGTGGGCTGTGGGTCGTGGGCTGTTGGAAAGCATAGATCCAACAGATTCCAGGCTCGAGGAAGTGGGACCCCTTTCGTTCTCATCGTGTCGATGTCAACAAAACCGCATTAGTGGCTGAAGGATCGGCCATCCTGCAGGAGGCTAGTTGGATGAGATGGCAAAGCACAAAGCACTGAAAAGGTAGCCGACCGGGCCGCTGATTGGAGGATGGAGGCCTGGATCAATACACTTGGGACCAGTCAATCGCCCGGGCGATCGTTATGGGAGGGATGTTGTGCATGTATACCGCTTGCCCTGCCCACGGACCACCCTCTGGGCTCGGGGTCGAGCCTGAATACCAAAGTCGGCATTGGATGCAGGAAGTCATCACCATCACTACAGACCGGTGACCCGAGCAAAAAGCGTTCCATAGCGGCAGCGGAGCCGAAATTCGGCAGCTAATAAAGCCATGGCTGCGCTTTGGCATGGGGGATGGAATGTGGATTTGACTCTCGAGGGGGGATCCGCCGTCATTCGCATTTCGAGCAAGGCAGGCCAGGCACGTGTGGGGAGGCGGTGAACGGGGGCCAGTCACAACTACTTCCCCCTCGTTTCCCCGTGACTTGTGCGGTACGAGGGCTTGCTGAAAGGGCTGCTGAATAGTGGAGACAGTTAGGGGACGCGTTATGTACTGTAGTATACAGTGGACGTCTAATGGGCGTATCGTGGACATGCGACTACACGCTCGAAGTCCACCGGGTCTCCGTATCTCCATCGTGACTAGTTCGTCAGTCTCGAGCAAAAGTACTAGTATTCGGTTTTCGCACAATTCGAGTGGAGTTCTCGATCCCCCTATCTTGCTCTCTCCAGAAACTAGTGATTCTCACCGTTATTCTTTCCCCTGGATCAGCCATCTCCCTTCATCTGAAGGGTCCCGAGTTAGACTCTATCAGATCGATCCTTCGCTCCACTCACCCTACCCGTACCCGTGCCGAGCTCCACTTGCCCAAACTCGCTCCCGGGCTCCACCTTTTTTCGATCTATCACAAGCCGTGGAGGGAAAAAGGGTGCTCGGGTACATAACTACATGGCGCTATGGTATGAGACGCGCACGAACGAGTTCCTGGTACCCCAAAATTGTCCGATTCTCGCAGCGATGTGGAGTTTCAGCTGGAGATACCCGGCGCTACGAGATTCGGCGCGATGACTAGGCGGGTCCAACTGCAGGTACCTGCCCCTCCTTCCACAAAGCAGAATTGGAAGTTCCGCTAAACCCACCTATAATCAGGATAATTAGCAATTTTGACATTTTGCCATTCCAATTTCGCGCATTGTCAATCCCCGCCGGAGAAAATAGTTGTTTCCTAGTGGAGCGGAGCGCCTAGACGCCATTGCACGAACTCATCAATCCAACCAAGGTTCGGGCCAGGTCAATCACCCGAGAGTTTGTGGTGGAGGCGGTTCAGGGTTACATGTTATTCTGAGACAAACCCCGTGATTGATTTGAATTCATTTCGCTGGTGACCGGACGAGTTCTTTGGGAGGCACTTGAGGGCCCTTTTGCAGGGCTGGACAGGGCACGTGCAACGCTCTGGGGGGATCAGACCACCAACTTCTCAAGTGGTGATCGAACAGGCGCTGGGGATGAATTGCTATTGCGACGCGACAAGGGAGAAGAAACAATACATTCTGCACGCTGTACGACGAGAACCACCCTCGCGATAGGCGCCGTGGCAAACCGTTGTCCATTCCGCAGCCTCCATTCCCGGGCTGCACCCGGCCAGATGCTCAGATGTCTGACAGGGAAGAGAAGCGGAGCACCCCTCGCCGGGGCTTGCAACTGTCCGTCAGAGTCAAACTAAAGACAGGGCAGATAGCACTTCCCCATCGGGAGGCCGGGAATGCGATTGCATGACAGAGAGGGCGGCCGCTTCACTTCGGGCGCAGGGCAGTGAGCCATTGGCCCACGATGAAGCTTTTCATGGGTGCATACCGAGAGAGGCAACAGGTGATATCCTAGAATTGCCCTCTGCCTGGTCCCCTGGTTCTCCGCGACCCCAGCTTCATGCCCGCTGTTCAAGGATCTTTGAAGCCTGGCGTGGGGTCGTGGATCCCTGGGCTCCCTCCGAGATTCCTAGAAACGCCCCCAATGGCTCGCAGCAGACGCTCTGCCCCGGTCGCATTTATTCCTTCTACGTATCAGCGCATCAGATATCAGACATCATACCCGGCACTGCTTGACTTATTGCGACCCGGGGGTACCAATTGTACCAACTAGGCAGGAGATCGTTGGGAAACGCGCCTCATGGGCGAAATACAATGCCCCCGTCGTGGATGGTCGTTGGCTGGTTGGCTGGCATTCTCTTTCGCCCCGGGGGTCCATGGCTCGCTCAAGACCCTCCCCCAAATTAAAGTTTGAGCCAACGACGAGCGCGACCATACTCCGTATTCGACGGGGAGTAACAAGTTCCGCCCCCTGTCTCTCGCCGGGACGTATGGCCTGCTGCGCGAAGGCCGAAGAACCACGTGTGTACCGAGACAAGCCTTGACTCGACCACCCTGGTCACAGTCCGCATCCCATACATGTCTCGTGCAATCCATCGCATCAATTTGACTTTGCAGCGGTCTTGAGAGAGTTCTACTAACGGTTTTTTTTAGTCGTCTGGCTCTACCTCGAGAAAAAAAAGTCAATTCTAGCTGGTGCTCCTCCTCCTCATACTTGGAGGCATCCCCCCGCCGGCACCTGACAATCCTTGATTTGTTGCCCGTGTATCGCGTATGCCGGAGATGAAAGGGTCACTTGGGGCGACACTCGACCTGATTCCCGGTAGTTCTCTCCGTCGTTTCCTTGGCCGTCTTTACCGTGTGGGCCGAGGAGCACCGGCCAGGTCCGTCCTGTCCGCCAAAGGGACAAGGCGTGCACAGCGTGGGTGAGGCTTCCATTGGTAGCCTATCGGTGCTGTTATCCCATATCTTGTCGGCCTGGGCTCTCCAGCCGGCCGAGCTGATCGTATCATGGTCTATGAGACAAGCCGGTAGTATCAACGACGTGCAAGGCCGCGATGAGTTCAGCTGTCGTTCCCGTCAAGAACGAAAAGAAAAGTAGACGAAGGGCAACACTAACCAGGTAATGATTACATCGCAGACGCCCGATAGCCAGTGGAGTAATCACCACCAGTCTCTCAATGAAGCCTTTCCGGAGGGCAACCTACTCTTGCATGGCACTGTATATGCAGGCCGGTTGAAGACGCCCTTCCAATGACTTATCAGCCTCGGCAAGGCGAGGCGCCTCCGTTCTCCTTCCTCCCTGACGTCGTGACAGGCCCGTCTCAGCTTTCACTAGCGATCCCTAGCGTGCGGCAACCAAACCAGATGCAAAGCCGAGTAACACGGCGAAAAGGGCCAAGACAAAAACTAGTCACGCACTAAGCCGACAGAGCACAACGAAGGCACCAAATACCCTTCTCGTCGATTGCTTCGACGCGTCCCACGACATATAGCCCCTTAATTAAACGCCCGGCGCCTTTCTGCAATGTCACTGGGACTTCGGAACGTCACGAACGCCTTTCACATGTGTTGCCCTGTCATACTGCATGCCGTAGTGGCGGAGGCGGAACTACAGACTCTGGGGGGCTAGTGATACAGAGAAGCTTGCGAGGGCAAGCAAGAAACGGCAACACAAAATGCAAAACGGCGAAAAAAGTAAGTCACCAAAGGGGAAGGAGATGGAAAAACCTGCGATGTTCCCTGTCGATGGAGAATCCTTTGACGGTGGGGCCGAATGCCTGCCGATGGGCACCTCCCATGGTAAGCTTTCTAGGAGCAAGTCTCTTTCCTAAAGGAATCACCGATGCTACGTGATGCAACCCAACTTGAAGCCGGGAAATTAAGAGCGCGAATTTATGTGCTGAGGAGAGGTGGGGGAGTTGATAGGCTAGCTCCGTGGGCGATCTAGATAGATCTGCGCTGTTGCAATTGAGTGCAGGATCTGAGACCCAGGCGCCGATAGCGTCTCAACATTGCAATTGGGGGCGTAACCTTCTTTTATGGAGGTAGCTGGGCTCTTTTTGCTTGCGATACTGAGGCACAGCTGGAAAGTCAGTTTCGGGTCTCTTGGAGTTGGTATCTTACTGGCTGTGCAGATACATCCTCGTCCATCGTTCGAATACGAGACAAGAGTACTGACTGCTGGCTAGCTCCACATCCTACCAAAAGACAGGACCCCCCGAGTGACCTGGAGCCCTGTCATCCATATAGGGCAGCTGGCATATATGTTCGAAGGGCACCAGGATCTGGGGTATGAGTACAAATGACAAGTGATCCTCGTCGTTGGAGCTGGGAGATGGTGAAGACGCGAACAGGAAAGGGACTGAGTTCAATGCCGATGACGATGATACGGGACAAAGTCAATGGGCAATGCAAATGATATTGTCTTATACGTCCTGCAACCCTTCTATTCTCTTGTTAATTTCCATACTGGAAATGTATGTGAATCTATGCTCCGGAAACACCATATCCATTGCACGGGCAGTTACCACGAGGCTAGGACGACATTGTAGACTACGAACTTGGGAAAACAAGTCGCAATCACCTGAAAGATGACAGTGGGAGCACAGCTGCACCCGAGGACAACGCACGTAGCTAAAATCAAGTAGTGCTAGATTTGTGTATACCAGCCCAGCCGAGGGCACCCGCCAAGCGTATCATGCAAGAATCTCTAAACCATTGCTTTTGTATAGACTGACGAATGCAAAGTAAATGACATGGTAGGTGTCTTTTGGTAATCATCATTATCAATCAATCATACATTTCAAAGGAAAGAGCTTCAGCCAGAAAGCTAGGCCCGCCTGAAAGATAAAAAGAAAAGAGAATCCAGCCAAGAATGGGTCGTGAAAGGGAAAACAGGGAGCGAATCTAAGTAGTGCGCTTGGCGAACTCGACGCGAAGGATAAGGTGGCGGTAACCGACTGCAAGGAAAGAGAAAGGAGATGGTTAGTCCTGGTAACTCGAATTGGCCGTGAAAGGGGTGGTGAACACATACAGCCGTCCATTTTCTCGCAGGCGCGAGCCGCATCGCCCCGATCCGCATAGCTGATGAACGCAAAGCCCTTGGCCCGCTGGGTTTCGCGGTCCCGGGCAAGGAAGACTCTGGTGACACGGCCGAACCGCTCGAAGAGATCCCGCAACTCTTGTTCCTCTGCCAACTCGCTGACCTGTGGGTGAAAAAAAGAGAATATGTCAGAACAGACCCAAACACCATCATCACCAGAGCAAGAGGACGTACGTTTGTAACCCGGAGAGTAGCCAGATCGTCCTTCTCGAAGCGACCGCCCATCTTCTCGCCACCAGCAGTACCGCCCTTCCGCATATGAGGAGGAACGTAGCTGGAGGAACCAGCACCCAAGCCACCAGCAGCACCAGCATCGTCCACACCAATATCCGCACCACCAGTAGCCTCCTCGACAGGGGCCATGGTGTCCTTGAAGGGACAGCGGGCTGTGAAATGCTCGCCGCTGCAAATACGACACTTGACCTTCTTGTCCTTGAGCTGGTCCTTCATGCTGCCCTGCTCGCCACCGTTCTTCTCGACCTCAGCGGCCTGAGCCTTCCAGTTCGTGCTGGGGCGGAAAATGAGGTTCTCGCCGACGGATGTGGTATCGAAAGAGGGGCCAGGCGCGTGGCCCTTCTCGAGGCCGAACTTGGCCCACGACCGGCGCTCAGCGACCTGGGGGTTGACGTGTTCGCGGACGACGGTGGACTTAATGCGGCGGGTGACCTTCACTTTCTTGTTCTCATCGTTGAAGCGGTAGGAGATGACGGTCTTGGTGCCATCTTTGTTTTCAATAATCTGGTTCGCAGGAAGAGTATCCTCGAACTCATCATCGTCGGCCCAGTCGGCGTTGCTGTAATTTGAGAAGATCGTTAGAGACAGATCAGGGGAATTTTTGCGTGTAAAAATACTCACTTCCCGAGTCGAGACATGGTGTGTGGTGGTGTGATGCGGCAACTGCTGAATTTCTGGGATTTCTTCAAAGGCGAATCCGTTGTGGATTTCATTCGCGGCGATTTTCATGTGGCGCAGTCTGTGGCTGGTTCAGGTGAGATCACGTGGTTGGTGCCTGCCCCTCCGCGGGGCTTGCCGACTTCTTTTCTGTCTATACTCCACATCCTCAAATGACCTTCTGAAGCTGTCTATGCTGTCTACCTGCAATATAGAAACATTTGGCTCGGTTGGAACCGGCACTGCCATAAGCCTTGCATTACGTTCTATTCTGGCTTTTTCCCATCCTCCCCACAATTCCTCTAGACGACAAAGCCTGCAGTGTTCCCACTGATTCTAACGCTGGTCTTGCAACACCCGATTTATTGCTACGACGCCGGTAGATTAAATAACTGGAAGATTGAGCTTCCATTTGTTAGATGTGAATTATTCCATTGCTATGTTGATTTCTATCCTCAATTCCATTTGAGCCCCATTGCCGGCAATATCCATTCTCCATCCTCTTCGCTCCCCCTTCTTAGTTCCGGAATATGATTCAATTTTCAAAATTCGCTCATCTCAAATCTTCGATGTTGGTGCTGAGTTACCAAGCGTGCTGTTATAAGTTTCAAAATAGGTAGGTTGAAAGCTGCCTTGTTCCGTGTCCTCGAAGGAAAGAGAGACATCATAATGCGCCAAGAAGTAGAGAGACATAGAGCAAAACCGATATGATACATCATATAATGATTTCTCCTGTTATAGCCGCTACGAATCTAGAATGTAGAGACTCACTTCCACTTAAGCCCAGCGTCAAGTATGGCGTGGCGTCGCATGGCTGAGAAGTTGATGATTATCTTCTCTCTCATTCAAGGATCTCAGGGTCGACTAACCATCCTTGGAATAAGAAGGTGGTTGAACACCATATGGTGTATTGCATTTATAAATCTTTATAAAGACCGAACATCGAAAGCGTACACATATGCGATTCTTCCCAGTAGTTTGCAGTGCTACCCTCTTCCACATCTTCCATATTCCCTTCCCTAGGTAGCCTTGAAAATGGAAACTTGTAAGAAGAATAATATCTAGATAGCTATTTCTATCTTATCCTTATCTACTAGCTTAAAAAGATATTATAGAGAATATATATATAGAAGCTAGGCTTGACTATTTCTATATATAAATCCGGAAACTAGAGAAGCGCCTCGTCTAGTAAGAATAGGAAACTATTTAGTATTTATTAGAGAGATTTTAATCTATAAGTATATCTAAACTTATTAACCGACTAATCTCTAGTAAGCTTACTATCATCTACGTAGGTCTTCCAGGGCCTTAGTACGGGGACTATAACCAGAAACGAGTAAACGGGCATAGGAGAACAAGATCTTATCTACCGCGTTTTTATTTACTATTTTTATGATCAATCAAGTACGAGTGGTAGTAAAGCAACCCTTATAAAAAGGTAATAGATAAGACACAAGCTCAGCAACGGCATCGGCATCTTTATTAACTACGAAACCTACCCTCCAACTCTAGAGGACGAGCTTCGCAATCTGACGCATAGTAAAACTATGGTAAATTTATCACATCCGGTTATCCCATGCTCTGTCATGTTACAGAGGATAATCTACTGGGAAATGACAACATAGCCCATTGCAGGTCAAACGCAATATGAGCTTTCTTTTCTCTCTTTTCCCCCATGCTGTTGGTCTACCAGATTAATGGAGATGAATCTCTATTGAGACTCATCTACTCTCTCGCCGGAAAGGAAACGAATAGGTAGAACATCGATTTCTGGGTACGGCATTCAGTATTTATACTACTTTACCATGGCCAGTCTATTCACAGTTAAACTACTTAGTACATCAATTAGGAACTTTAAAATTCCATTTCCCATGTGATTATGACCTTACCTATTCAGTGAACACAGAAGTCGCAAAACCCAAGTACATACATCCATGACCCTCGAGTACCTTCACCATTCACATAGTATGTCCCACTAACAATCGCAGCCTTGCCTTGTGAGGCTGTTCCGTCCAGCAATGGGTGGTATTGGCGGATGAGCAGGGTGTGGCCAAGGTGGTTGATGCCGAATTGAAATTCATTGCCGTTATCAGTGAGACCTGAGGGTTGGTTCCTTATGCCTGCGTTGCACATTACCATGTCGTTGGTGCTGGTGTTTGAGCGAGGAAGTGTGGCAGTTTTGTTGGGCAGATAATAGAGAAGAGAAGTCGCATTGGACGAAGGCCGCTTGTATTTCTGGATTGGGATGCATTCTTCCGCATTTGAGAGAGGGATCACTCAGCACTGTGGGTGTTCTGCCCGCTAATATAGATGTGGGATGGATTGTGCTTTGCGAGTTGGATGGCCGTTGATGCGCCTAAACGGCTGGTTCTTGTTTGATGTTAGACTCGAGGATCATCAACGAGTATGAAGAAGTTAACCTCCTATAATAAATATCAGTTTCCCAGTACGTTAGCCAAAGGCATAGTGGAGGGTGGTTGTTAGTTAGGGCTGGATGAAATATAAACGACATCTGTTTCCGGCCGAAAAGGGACCGGGATTTTGATAGACATTTGTGATATCTGCTCAATACTATGGAACGCTGTACCATCCCTCAAAATACGTTGAACCCGCCGCGATAAAGGTTCAAGGAGACCTTATTGTCCTCGACTGGAAAAATCACTAGTTGCGATCTTGCGGAGTGGAAGGCCCGAGCCCGTGGGGGTATTGCGACGGTGACAGAAGTTCACCCGGTCTGGCAAGTCTAATATCCAAGCTTGTTGATACGTAAGATCTTCATAGATTGTATGGTATCGGTCAACCGAGCTAACGTGTACGAACCGAGAGCGTAGTGATCATTGCTACAGTGATATACATGGCGATGGGAGCTCTACGTCATTTCGCCCCTCATATTGCCTGCCCATTTCAGTGGCAAGCTTTCCCATATTTCCTTAGGCGCAAATAGTTATACGGCAACGGCGCCAAAAACCCAGCTCCTATCGACAGCACTGCTGCCGCCCAAAATTTGGGGTCCTCCATCGTAACCACTCCACCAGTTAGGTGATAATCGACTGCATTCTCCGCAACTTCCATTGCCAGCATCGACACCATGCTCATACCCATAGCGGTGCGCGCTGCTATCGTCCATGAGAGCTGATCAGCTCCACGGCGAAGTAGCACAGTCTCGAGAACGATTGAGGTCGTGATGCCAGATACCACTGTAGTTAATGTGGTCAGCAGGTATGGAAGCTAAGTGGTCAGGAGTAGACGACAGACTAGATGCTAGCATGATGGTGTTCATTCCTAGCTCGGGATAGTAAGATTGCAGCATCCAAAGCGCGGAAAAATCACCGACTGTGCAGCCGACTAGACAACGCAGAGTGTTGATGCCTGCGCGTCTCCACGTAGAGCGACATTTCCAGAATGGCAGGGAGAATGTTGAAAGAGGTTTGAACTCAGGCGTTGAGTTGGTTGCTTGTGCATTCTGGCAGCGAGGCCGGATCGATTGTGTTGAATGACCGGCTCGTGAAGAAGAGAAGCTTGTGAAGTAGCGATACGCAAAGGAGACTTCGCGACTGCCAAAATGAGCCTGCCGGAGGCAGAACGACCGGGTTATCTGGTTCATAGAAAGAGAAATATGTGGGTTTTTATGGAAATCAAGCAATTAGCCTTCCAAGGTTGCCGGGTCGGATCAACCTTGTTTTTATAGATCCTGAAGATCGGTTGAGAGAAACCCGCATAAATCACGCAGGGCGCCCGCGGCTTGGCAACTTTGCGACGGTCGGAGCTTTGCAAGATCCGACGCTGGTCACAAATGCCTCGTTTCAAAGTACTTCGCTAGAGAATAGGTAGAGAGTAGGTTCTTCTATGCTCGAGACGGTTCGGAATCAGTTGTGGAGGGTTTATAAGAAGACAAGTATCTTTGATGCTCCGTGGCTTTTTTAATCTCTGCGAGTACGTAATATATTGATTCCCTGGTTTCCACCTCAACCGCTCGGCAAATGAGCCTAAACCGCAGTCTTTCCGATCGCGTCGTCATAAAATCACACGTCGGCGAGGCGCATCGCTGAAAGGAAACCAAGATCCTCACTTTCAATCTGGTCACCTGCCTTTTGCCTTTATGCGCGGCCGAATCATGCGACCCGGAACTTTCTCGATGCCGCAGGGGAAGAACCTGAATAACCTCCCGTGATAACCAGGCCCCTTCACTTTTGGGCCTTATCAGCACTAAAATTATCTCCACTTCCACTTCCGAGTCAAAGTGGATACGGTTCTTGGCGTTGTCAGATCACAATGTTTTCCTGTGTATTTGATTTCTACCCACGAGCTGAGAAAAATAATTATTCGCTTTGTTGGCGAGAGGAACGATTCAGACCTACGGAGTGCTAGCACCGAGTTCACTGTCTGTGTTTGCTGCCGACTGATTTTCACCATCTACTTTGGCCCCAAATTTGATACGTTAAACTCCTCTTTACGAAACGTCAACAATACACCTTATACACACGACAATGGCGAGTTCAACGGTCATCGGTGCATTTCCGCGCTTTCCGGACCTTCCGGCAGAGATACGACTCATGATCTGGCGTGAATGTTTACCACATCGAGTTCACGAGCTGGATTCAGACGAGTTTTATGCCACAGGCCCAGGAGGCTTTGCACGCGTGTGCGGTCTTCTAATGACCACGCAAATGAATCATAGGCCGCCAGCCATCTCCCGCGTATGTCGCGAGTCTCGCGTTGTGGCTTTGCAAAATCGTGTCAGGCTCCCGTACGAAGAAATGCTCGAAGAAGCTTTTTGGGCATCTGAAACGATTCTTGACGGCATGATTGACCCGTCCCGAGATAGCGTACACCTCAACTGGGAACCTTGGGATGAAAGATTCGAAGGTGAGGGATATTATCTGGATTATCTTGCCTGGCACGCCGCCAATTCACAGGGCGGGTCCGTGGGATATGAAAGTATAGACCACGAGGATGTTGCGTTTCTAGACTCAATATCCAATCTCGTGATTGTCATGAGAAAGATCATAATACACGCCACCTCCGAATATGGCGCAAGAACGGGCCTTTTCGGACTATTAGGGGATGCACCAGTTCAACTTGTTGACCTTTCTAACGAAAAGAGACTCAAAGCCTACTTTGATTTGGCGGAGGAAACGCAGAAGAAGGGCCATGTTACATTTGCCCAGGACTTGCACAGAAAGCCCTGCGAGGTTCTCGAAGAGGAATTCCAAAAAATCATGGGTCGCAAATACCAACGACCATTCGGCCTGAGGCCGGGAGAAATGCCTCCCAAGCTACCGCCCCTGCGTGGCGCAATCATGTTCAGACTGTGCACCGATATGTGTAACAATTCAGAAGATGCTGAAGAAGGCTTCCGTCCATTGCCGGGAACCACATGGATTCCACCAATTCAAACACAAGGGCGAGGGCGAGGGGGATTACGCGGAGGACCCATCGGGTCTCCTTTTCGGATGAGGGGCCGTCTCAGAAACAAGATTGTTGCTTAGGGAAAATTCACTCCCGGGAAATGTAAGGATATTCATAGAATGGCGTTGTGTATATGGAGTACCTGAGTATCAAATGCGTTATCAATTTCCAAATGTGAGGTCTTCCCAGTGGTGTTCAAACACACTCTCATTTTAGCACTAGTAATTGGAAGGCTGTAACGAACAGTTCAATGCTGATTTCTTTTTGAGATTCTAACAAGGCCTATAATGTGCCTCTATTAACCTTCGGGGTATATAGATTGACCATGGCTAGTGAATGCAGTTTAGGAACAATGGAATTATTTGTCTAACAGACTTCATTTTTACTCAGGCATATAGGACCTCTTCTCGGATCCAAAATAGGAGAATACAGAGGAACAACGTGTCAAAAGAAGCATGTTATACTGAGACATCGGTAAGCAAAAGTTCAGCCGCACGCCTGCGCACAAAAACGAACGGGCAGAGAACGAGTGAAAGATGTCAAAATTGTATAAAACCTGATGTGGGACCACCTTCTCTCAAGGCGACTATGTGCGACTAGCCGGGATTTCGATGCCACAGGTGCTGTCACTTAGAAGGGTTGACTGGAAGACCTCACTCGCATATAAAGCTTTGGGATTAGCAAGAACAGGAAACCATACCGTATTGATTAGAGATGTTTAAATCCATGAGTACATACAAACTTATTAACCGACGGATCTCTGATAAGCTCGCCATCATCTACATAGAGCTATTTAACTAGGCGGAAGGTCTTACAGAGCCTCAATACGGGGACTGTATCTGGAAAGAAATAAACGGGTACAAAAGCACAAGATCTTATCTCCCGCGTTTTGGTTTGCTATTTTTGTGATCGACCAAATACGAGTAGTACTGAAGTAACCCTTCCGAAAAGGTAATGGATGAGACCTAAGCTCAGTAACGGCATCGGCATCTTTATTGACTGTAAAACCTACCCTCCAACTCTAGAGGACGAGCTTCGCAATCTGATATATAGTAAAACTATAGATTACGGAAGAGAAATAGCAGTACTAAGCATAGGTTAGGATCTATGGAGGAAAATGTGGTTTTATTATACAGTTTATGCCCTTAGCTATATTTTTTTCTTACATTACCCTATTTCGCAAGTTCAAGGACAGCGTTGATTATCTGTTAGATCCAAGTGGTTGCACATTTTCGTACAAAGTCGAAACATAAGAGCTGGATGCATTTTCGGCGCTTGTTGTTGGGAGCGGAATCGCCGGATCACGAGGTCTTGTAACTCCCGCGAAAGAGCCTCTGGACTTTCTCTGTTAAACGTCTGACGGGCGCTAATATTGCCTTTACGTTCACATTCCTCGGCTAAGTCGAAAAGGGCCGTTACTCTCGCTTGGTCGGCTATATCGACTACTTGTACGGGCGCATCCCCTAAGAGCCCGAACAAGCCCGACGCCGCCCCGACTCTCCGGCTCGCGTGTACCACAAATATCCGCATCACAATAACCCAGCTCGGATGTTTCTGTAAAAGTTGTAGGTCGGTTATATCACAATATTGTAATAGTGGTAGGCGAAGCGAGCCACCACGATATACCCACTTAGCCTGCCAAACAAGGTCTAAGAGAGGGTTACCCAAGGTAAAGTACTGGGCTTCGTAACCGGGGCAAAAGTTAAGATGCGATAAGTCTCGTATAGGATCGATCCATTGCTCTAGCTGGTTAAAGCCTGTCCAGTCACATTCGTCAGGGACTAGAAAGTCATCAGTCTCGACAACTGGGAACCCTGCCTCAAAGACCACGGCTCGTGCCTCGCGGCATACTAGAGCGATCATAGGCCGGCATCGATTTGCGAACGATGTATGCCTTACGTCGCACGGGACCGGTTCTATCCATTTATAGACCTCGCCCGGGAGTGGACAGTCGAGCTCGGAAACCCGGCGTGGGAGGCATTCGCGCCAGATCGCTAGCCGTAACTCAGCCGGCAGCCGAGGGAACGGATGAAAAGTGCACTCGGACGCCTCCATTACGCGTCTGCTTTCTGCCTGATGGTCCGGGGGACTTAGTCCTGGGTATCCTCGAATAGAAGTGATGATAGAGTAATAAGACAAATAAAGAAGAAGAAGAAGATGATGAGACTTTGATCGTCGAGATCCTCCTAACTCGGCGGCAACGAACACGTCCTAGGGTGCGGTCTAGTGATCGTTTGCTGCGCACTTGTCTGATCTTGACGAAAGCGAAGAGGATGAAGGTGGAAAGAGAGAGCAGACCGGCAGAACCCTCGAGTATGCAGCGGCTAGGACTATAGCGTAGTTTTAACTTTATAGAGACCCCTAGGGTAGGAAGAAAAAGGGGCGCAACGGGCCAGTCAGCGGGCGGCGCCTAAGTCTGGTGGAGATTCCAGCGCAGCGATGGATCCACCCACCATTTGATATTTTGGGAGGTACTCCGTACAGAGGTGCATTTCAAAAGTTCTGCGTTGCGTACCGACCACCATATTTACCACTAGTTATATAGAACAGACAAATACACACAGTAACGTCGAACTAGGGGTCAGTAGAAAGTGGAGAATCTATTTTTGTATGGGAATGATAGTGTAAGAGCGATTCCTGCGTTACAGAGCGGTCCCTAGGGCGGTCTAGAATAGAATATGCCTAAATTGTGCACTTTCCCAGTGGCCGCTCTCGGCCGCCGTAGGCATGGTTTCTAGACCCCTTATCGGTACTGCTTGAGGTCCCCCAATCATCCAAATATGCTCTGACGCTGTCTTTGATAAAGTCTGTTTCGTCTGGGTGGGCCTCAATTGCCGCCTCAGTGTCAACTTCCTCCCCGACCTGTCCATCAGCCGAATCGACTTGTTTCGTTTCCACCTCCTGGGCAGCAGTGTCAGCAATAGATCTGAGCAATACCACCTCCACCAGAAATGAGACAGAAATGGCTTTGAAATTTTAACTTCTTGACATACCCAAGTGACTCCCTCTTCGGCAAGGGCCTTGTTTAGAGCTGCGAGTTTATACTGAGCGTCGTCGTACGCACGCCCATCGCTGGCCAGAACCATTGCCTGTTTGGCTCTGTAAAGTTCTTCGTCAATGTTGACTGAAAGCCCTGGAGCATCTCGGCGTATAGCTTGGATCGTGTTGATAAGATTGCCGTAAGCTTCACTGAAAGAGGGCCTAGACCCCTCAGCGAACGTCTCGGGGAGAATTTTACTCCAATCTTCTTTGTACGCGTATCGCGCTGCAACATCATGACTCGTTCATTTCACGCGAATTGATTTTGAGTTACAGATCCGATACAGTTGGCCCAAATAAGATCCAATGATCTAATCCTCCAATCCCCCTTGAAGAGCAATATCTTCTCGGAGTACAAAAAGGAATGTTGACAGCGCAGGTCTTGGCTTCTTCGAGTAGTCTCGAATACTACTCCCTAGAACCACGAAGAGGTCCCTGCACGTCGCTACAGGAGCTTGTTCTCACAGCACCCCCCTGCGAAGCACACTTGTTGACGCAGAGCTATGCAGCGTCCCCCTGCGAGGAGAATTGATAACGCCAATCCTATCCTGCACAGAAAACTAAGCCTTGCAGACCAGCGCGGTTGTTAGTGACACACGATAGGAAAGCTGGTAGAGTCGGCGAGATGCGTGATGGGACATTGTTTGCTCGCGGCATTGCGGCAGTGACATGGAATCTCATGCTCCGTGATGGCTCGATCACGTTAGAGAGATAGACAGGAGAGAAGTCCATGCCCTGGTTCGGAAGTGGTCGGCGGGCGCTTGTCTGATTCCGTAAGCCGGACATTGGAGCTTCGTTGGCGTTGAAGTCAGCGCGTAGTGTGTGATTGAGGAGAATGTTCAAGATCGCGATGTGCTTGCGCAAAACAGGTTGTGGAAACTTGTGCCTGGATCTAACTTGCCGTCGTTGAAAGGCTTGACTGGAGGAGGGATATCAAAGGAGACGACAGAGAGGTCTTCAAAAAGTACAGGGACCAAAAAACTGCAGATAATGCAAATGCAAGCTCGTTCATAAGAGCGATTCACTAACAATGCATCATGAATGCACAACTATTATTTCCAACATTATTCCAGATTCCCAACAATCCGTATAACAGTCAATTATATACAAAAGGCCCAGTGCCCAAACTACCGACCGAAGTAGCGAATCTCGAACGGCCGCAAAAGACAATAGATGGTGAAGGAGAAAGCGAAGCCCAGCTCAAAGCCGACATCGCCACCCCACGGAAGCGCGCCCGCATGCTTCGCAATCGGCCCAATCCACCACGTCTGGCTCATACCAGTGACCATACCCGCCACACCAAAGCAGAACGCAATCGACGCGGCGATGCCGATGGGCAGCTTGTCGGGCTTGTCGTAGATCTCCGGCTGATAGCCGCCAAAGCCGCGCTTGAAGATGAAGTGGTCGGCGATGGCGATGCCCGAGTAGATCGCCAGCCAGTAGGCGATGAGGTTCATGAAGTTCTCGAGGACGGTCTCGAAGTGCGAGTAGCCCGGGATGGCGATGGCGAGGGAGACGCACGAGGCGAGGAAGGTCCAGATGAAGCGCGGCACGCGCTGCGTGTAGCGGCTCAGCACTTGCAGGGTCAGCGAGACGGAGTAGATGTTCGGGCAGTTGTTGGCGATGATGGACAGGGCCAGGATGACCAAGCAGAATTTGCCGAAGCCACCCAGCGGCTCGAGGACGGCCGCGATCAGGCCGCCGTTGCCGGATGCCAACCAACCCAAGGCGTACTTGTTGTCTTCGCTGACCGAGGCCGCCGTCATGACCGCGATACCCAGCATTTCCGTGAACAGCAGCGGGATGATCAGGCCCAGCCAGGTGGCGGCGAAGACCATGCGGCGACTGCGGTCCGACGGCTGGTAGACGGTGTAGTCGGCGGCATAGCTGGTCCAGCCGGTGGCGAAGCCGAAGATGACCGAGCCGAAGGACAGGCAGCTTCCCAGCTCGGAGGTGCCGACGCCCATGGGGACGTTGACGAAGTCACCCGAGTGGGCGAAGGTGCCCAGGACAATGAAGAACACGATACAGGTCGGAATCCAGCTCCAGTACTCGTAGATGTGCACGACCTTGTATCCGGCGAAGGTGATAAGGAGGGTGCAGAAGGTGATAATAATGATACCGGCGTAGCCAGGGACGGTGCCATTGACCGCGTTGAGCAGCTGCGCGCCCACGATGGCGTTCGCGGCGGACCAGCCGACGCAGGCCAGGACGTTGAGAATGGCGACTACAGGAAAACCGCCATGTTAGCCCCGGGCCACTGCGCACCGCTAGATTTTCCCCATCTTCCGGGAGGGGAAGCACTTACCGATCTTCACGGGGTACCAGCCGAACCAGAAGCGGGACAGCACCATCTGGCGCAGACCGAAGGCGGGACCGAAGCACGAGAAGAAGCACACGGTCAAGACACCGAGGAGGTTGAAGAACAGACACACAAGCATGGCATCCACGAATCCCAGGTAGAAGAGCGACTGGCCGAGGACGCCGATGGCAAAGGAACTCACGACCATGTTGGCCGCCAACCACTATTGGGGTTTGGGTCAGTGGGGGAGCAAATGGACACATCGCAGGTACACGATCAACCCACCATGCTGCCAATATTCAAGTACGAGTTATCTGTCCGCTCGTTCTCGGGCACGCGCTCAATGCCCCGCTGTTCGACATTGAACTTGCCGGCGATGCGCTGGATCCTGGCATAGATCGAGTTTCCATACTCGAAGCTTTCGCCGGGGACCGCGCCATCGCTGACATTGTCATACTTCTCGTTGCTGTTGCCGTCGTAGGCTGCGCTATCGTTAACGTGGGGAGCCTTCTCGACGTCGGCGCCGGCGGCATGCGCGCCCAGGCCGAACTTGGAGCGCATGGTGATGGTCGGGAGGAGATTTTTGTCTTCGTTCGAGGAACCAGAAAAAACCGCGAAAAAAAAGTTCACGCGACGCTATTCCCGAGAGGTAAGGGAGGAGAGCACAGCAGGCTCGAGATCGACCGAGGATCAATGGAAGGGGTGGAAGCAGAATTGGAAGCGAATTCACATCGTCCTTTTTTTTTTCTTGGTCCCACTGCAGGAGGCATGTAATATATAGTCTTAGGAAGGCGGCCGTCGCCAAAACTTGTGTGTAGTGCGCGTGTCGCCCCACCCCGCGACATAGTGGCGCGGCGAAACGGCGAAAGATAGCTTGGGCGGGCCCATGTCGCGTGGGGCCCAGGAGAAATTCCAGAAAGAAGCAAATGGCGAGCCTTGGGAGCATTCACGGTAGGGTGGGGAGAGCGTGCGCGATCCAATCGCCTGTCGTTTGCGAATGCGCGGCTTATCAGCAACCCGCGGTTCCGTTCGCTTTCCGTCGCATTGGCCGGTCGGACCCCCGATAAGACCCGTGCGTGCGAGATTCGAGTGAGATACGCCCTGATAGCTGGCCAGACGCCCCTCTTGACTTGCCGTATTATGCGATGCAACGAACTGTCCCATCATGTTCTCCAGGGGTCATGGCTACACCCCTGTATCCCCCCGGTTTCCGCGATGCCAGCCAAGAAACCAAGCAGCCAAGCTTCGATATGCGGAATTGACGACGGGGCCCGCCGAAACGCGTGCAAAAGCTTGACTCGATCTCACCTCATCCCGGAGTTCCTGCCTAGGATCAAACCCATCGAAAACACGGTCATCCTGGCTCGTGGGGGGGGGGACCCGGCCGCGCATAACTTAATTTACCCCCATGTCGAGTGGCAACTTCACTTTGATCCGAGGCTGCTGCACGGCATTGTTACTCGCCTCGAAATTCCCTCCAAGCGTGGTCCCGAGCCTGGACCCTGATCCAGTAGGTTGAGCCGGAGGCCAGCTACGACCATATCTCATGCGACGTTCCGAAAAGCAGCCGACGGCGCTGATTCTCCGCACCAGATGCCCCGGACCCTCGTGGTTCATTGCGGGCGAGCATGTTTCCACCCCCGTCCCCAGGTCCTGGTGATATCGGAGATCACCGTTGCGCACACGATTGGTCCGATCGGATCCATCCCCGGATCAACTGAATGATCCCATAGCGTAATGTGTTGCTCGATATAAACCGATCCACCTTCATTCGCGCAACTAATCTGCGCGGGGATGCCAAGGGGGATTTCCGCCCATTCAGCTTGGCATTGCCATGCTTGTTCCTGCTGATTTAGCAAAAAGGCCTTACTTCCGCTTTCAGTAAGGGTGCCGATATTCTCCTGATGGCGTCGGAGCTCCCCGACGGGTCGGGCCCCCTGTTATCAGGTCGCGGGGTGCTGCCTCTCCCTGCCTGCTCGGGCTTGTTCGGCCTCGGGCCCTGCTTCGGCGGCTACTGCGCCCGGACACCCGAATGAGAGCTATTGGTGATCGTTACGAAAGTAGGGGATCTCTTCCAGCGTAATCGGGGGGACCCGATGACCGCATTATGGATGTGCTAACCTCTTATACTCCATTGGCTACCAATGAAATCTCACTGTCCTTCCTCGTCTGCCTGCGCGGTTCCCTGTCCACCCACCCCCCTCCCCTGCCCCTGCTCCCCCATTGCCATGGACTATTCATTCCATAATATCGACTTTCACTCTTCCTCTTCCGCTTCCTCTTCATCATCGGTCTCATCAGGAATTATCCCCCGCGCGGGCCAACCTGGTCTCCGGAACTTGTGTACCGGTCCAAAGTCTTCCATCCCCATATTTGCAATGTCAAGATTCACCTTGTCAATTTGGGCATCTTCAGCGGGGACTCGCGTGCAGCGGAACCCTCGCAAGTTGGGGTCACACACACCCGTCAGGTGTTTCGCATTCTCCGGGAGCTGTCGGTAAGAGAACCGATCGCACTCCACGCAAAGAACACTCTGATCCTCGCCGGACAGCTGATCAATGCAGAAGAACACCTGGTCACCTCCGTCTTCCCAAACCTGCCATACAATACTCCAGATATCCTCGTCCGTGCCGTCCTCCTCGCCCTCCCATGGTACATAACAGCATTTCTTGATATATCCGAATTGCTGATCAATATCGTTCTTGGTCGCCAACCGGGCCCTGACAGCTTCGTCTTGTTCCTCGGTCAACTTGTTCGTGATGTAGAAAACGGCAAGATATTCTACTTCCTCTGACTCATCGGTGCCTTCTTTTGTGCCTACCGGTCGCCATGGCACCGGGTTTGGATAAAAGGGCTCGTTTGGAGGGTATATGGCTTCTGTGGGGAAGCGCACGGACGCTGTTCTCCACCAGTCGCGCTGCCATTTGGAGAACCACCTGTTGTCGAGGATATTTTTGAGCGGAACCTGAGTAACGACTACCCGACTGTCGTAGGCTCGATGTGCTGTGCCGAATTCTGCGGAAGCGACATCAGCCCCTGTGATGGGATTCAGGAGAAAGTTCAGAGGTGCCCGGTTGCTACGTCCGTCCGCCATGGGACGTTCGTATTCTTTCATAAACTGGACCAGATCATGGCGGGACGCGATATGATGACGATCCTGGGGGATGAGTTCCACAATTTTCTTCGGTACTTTGTTCTTCGCCTGAGGGAGATATCTTTTAGCGGCGTTCTGGATGGTGACCTGTGCATTGCGGAGCTCCTCAGCTGTCGTTGGGAAGAGAAGGAAGATGAGAATATGGGCGTCATCTTGTATGGACGTCCAGAGTGGAGGCTTCGCCCGCTCCCCGTTCCGAATCCCCGTCTTGCTATTATCAGCATTCACGTAGGACAGGACGGCATGAACCAGCTCCGTCGGCAAATGTGTCGCTGACAAGGCTGCAGTAATGCGCTCTGCACCCAATGAAGACGCCGCGGTTGCCGTGAACAGGCGCGTATCAGGGTCATACAGCATTTTGCCAGTTTCGAAATACTCCTTAGTAGGACACTCATCACCACCCACGCCAGTCTCAGTTGGTAAGTCGATATCGGCGCTCAATACATCTAGAATGTTCACACCCTGGTCGTTCTTGCTCGTCCGTCTGGCCTTCACCATCACTTGGTGGTTTGTGTGCGCGTCATTCGGCGATCCTTGAACGCTCATCAAGACCACCGAAATATCTTCGCTCTCGGCAACACGATGCTGCCCTGTGACCTGACGCTTGGTGAGGTCATCGACCACGATGAAGCTGGACCATCTGGAGCGATACGCCAGGATTCCCAGCGCATATAGATTGGCCGCGCTGTCGCGGTGAGGGCCTTGCCTAGCAATAGATTGAAGAAGGATCTTGGAGGGAGTCCATGTGTGGATAGCCACATTGGCTGAATCTGGCACTGTTTGTTTATAGTGCTGAACAAGCTTCGCCTGTTGGACGTCGTCCAGTTGGGTCAAGACGACAAACAGAAGCGACACCCGGCTCTTGTCCAGAGGCGAGGGAGCCCGATCACCAGGCATGGCATGTATAGTGGAATTGTGTGCCATTTTATCCGTCAGGCTCGCGGCGGATGCAATTGCTGAATACGCCATCTCGTCAGCCCTCAGCGACGACCTCTAGGGATCGTTCAGCACTGGCCTTCCTCTAGTTTCCGGGTGGGGGCCAATTCCCTGAATCGACGAGCGCTGCAATTGGTCCAGCGCTCTCGGCTGCCTGCTTCCAGGTGGAATTCCATGGAGCCTTCCGAATTCAACAAATATTGGGCATAGATGTAAATATTTCTATCTCATCAGGCTCACGTCAGTCCATACGATATGTAGTGGACCCTCCAGTAAGACGATAGTGATAGTACGGGAAGCGGGATTTGACGAAACCGCCCTTGCTATATTGGCAGTTTCAACATGCCCAAATGGGTTCGTCTGGTGTGTGTATATTTTAATAGTATCCTATTTGTCTCTAGATGTGTGTTGGGTTAGTATACCATATTTCTATCCCTTTGCTTGTTGTAGCTCCACAGTGTATGAGAGCCATCATATGGTGACTCGCGGCAAGTGTAGATAAACTGATACAGCTGACTGGTCAGCTCACAAAAGACGGAGAAATGCAAGTATAGACATACAACCTTCAGTAACTCAATAACCAGACCAGAAATGACCCACTGGACGGCTCCTACGATGGTGGCGGCAGTGAATCGATGATCGCGGCCAACCCCTCACGTGCTGGACGAAAATTACCATACGGTATATTTGCAGTCCAGGCGGTGTACTGGTGGCCGCCCCACTGCCGAGTCGGGGGCGGCAGAAGTGCAAATTACACCAGGCACAGGTCTCGAGTCCGACCACGTTCGCCGTTCCCGATACATCATTTTCGGCTTCTTTCCTGACTGCACCGCTGGACAACACCCCCTTTTCCCTCGTCCATAGCCTTTCTTTGGTCCATCATGAGTGCCTCCAAGGCGCAGTCTCAAAAGATATTTGAGAAACTAAAGCTCAAGCCCGCAAACAAGGTGCGCCCCAACAACCAACACCCCGCCTCCGTCTGCCGTCCTGCGGTCATTTGGCCATTGTCCACTAACGGTCTTCTCGTGAGCAGCTATGCTTTGACTGCGGCTCCAAGAATCCAACCTGGTCGTCGGTTCCCTTCGGTATCTACCTCTGCCTTGATTGCTCGGCTCACCATCGCAATCTCGGTGTCCACATCTCCTTTGTTCGCTCCACAAATCTCGACCGTATGTATCATCCGATAGCGTCATCTCATTTTCTGGTATCAACTAGTGGACAGCGCTTATGCATTTTATACAGAGTGGCAATGGGAACAGCTGCGAGTGATGAAGGTTGGTGGAAACGAGTCTGCGACCAAGTATTTCCAATCGCATGGAGGATCGGCTGCGCTGGCGAGCAAGGACCCCAAGACCAAGTATACGTCCAATGCCGCCGTCAAGTACAAGGATGAGTTGAAACGGCGAGCCGCGGCGGATGCGCAACAGTCAGTGGCCCATACTCTATCTCGGTAATTTGTTTTTTGAGTCAGAAGGATGTTGACAGCACATGATGTAGGTATCCTGAGGAGGTTATCATCACGGATGTCCCTGCCGGCACTCCATCAGACGGCTCCGGCACTCCTGCCGGTGACCAAGACGACGACTTCTTCTCTTCGTGGGACAAACCCTCGATCAAGCGTCCGAGCAACCCTCCCTCCCGCACTGGCACGCCGCCCGTTGTGAGCCGCACCGGATCCCCCTTCCTGAGCGCTGGCGCAAGCGCAAATGGATCTCGCTCGAAGTCCCCCCTCTCTGCGTCCGATGAAAAGGCCTCATCTCCCGCACCGACCGCCATCCGCGCAAACTCCGCTACTCGCAAGGCCACCACGCCCGGCGCCGCGAAGAAGGGCAGTATCCTAGGTGCCAAGAAGGTGCCCAAGCTCGGGGCTAAGAAGGTGGCCTCTAGCGATATCGATTTCGATGAGATGGAGCGGAAGGCCAAGGAGGAGGCGGATCGCATCGAAAAACTGGGATACGACCCCGAGGCTGAGAAAGCGGAGGCTCAGGCTAAGGCCGCAACCCCGTCAATTACCTCTCCCACCCCGATCAGCCCGAACCGAGCCGGCTTTGGCGCTACTGGCAAGACCCACGAGCGTACCGCGAGTGATGTTGAGCGACTGGGTATGGGCATGAGCAAGCTTGGCTTCGGGCAGGTGTCGAAGCCCGCGGCTCCCAAGAAGCTGGGCTTTGGCGCCGTGGGACCTGCCAAGTCCAATGTGGATGGTATGTTTTTTCATGTCCGAAATTGGTGTTAACTCTAAGCTCATCCTTTCAACTAGATGAGGAACTCGTTCAGGCCAAGTCTCGCTTCGGCACCCAAAAGGGTATCTCCTCGGACGAGTTCTTTGGCCGCGACCGCTTCGACCCCAATGCCCAGGCGGAAGCCAAACAGAGACTCAATGAATTCGACGGTGCGACTTCGATCTCTAGCAATGCCTACTTCGGCCGGCCCGAGGATGATCTTCCTGCGATCGACGATGGTTACGGAGACCTGGAAAATGTAGCCAAGGACTTTGTTCGACGCTTTGGCATCACCGCAGGTGATGACATCGAGAACTTGTCGCATCTTGTCGGCGAGGGAGCCACAAAGCTTCAAGGTGCTATCCGCAACTACCTGAACAGCTAATGTGGTGTGAGGCCATTCCTCGGATACCATGCGTTCTGTCTCATCGAATACTTAGCAAGCCCCGTTGATCCCCCCCTCTCCATTTCCGTGATGCGTGACGTATATCCTTGTCTCTCTGCACATCTCGCCACCATTTTGGTTTCCCAATTTCAATCTTGTTGCCTGTCATGTGAAAGGACGGAAAGGCCATTGGGTCAAATTGAGGTTGCGGCCTGGCGTGATTGATGGTTTTGACCCGACGAATTCTCCTTGTGTTCCTTTCGACCCCATTGCGCATTTCTGCGGTAATGCACGGATGTTAAGGTCTCTTCTTTTACATTTCCTATGTCTTTTCTTTGTGCTTCTCCTGGTAGGTCTTGCTTTAATTGAGAAAATACATCTGCAGCTCCTTTCAAGTCATTCCTCGCTTATGTTACATGGCTACGATAGATAAAAGTGCATGGCAAATATACGGTCAAGGCCAGTTTATGGGATGGCGACTTGCATAATTTGATAGGCTCGCATGAGTACCGAGAACCTGCCTAGAAAGAGCCTCGGTCGTCTTTGATATTGTAATCTTACGTCTACCCAAACACAACCCCGCATCTAGAGCCCCCTGTTTTGAGAAACCCCCTCCAAAACTCCATGATGAATGAAGATACCCGCCCTGCTAAACTCATGCAATGTTGAAGAAACAAAGCCCAGAAATATGTCGAGCCTTGGGGATTATACCCGATAGATCGCATCCGCGACCTTCGCAACCTGCCACATTTCACGGACATCATGCACCCGCACAATGTCTGCACCGCCAGCAACACTAGCGGACACAGTCGCACCCGTACCCCACACTCGCTCCTTCGGTGTCTTAACACCGGTAATATGCCCAATAAACCGCTTCCGACTAGGCCCCATCAACCAGGGGAAGCATTCCAGGCCCTCGACCTGACGAAGCCGAGGCAAGTCACGCAGGATCTCCAAATCATGGGGCTGATTTTTCGCAAAGCCCAGACCAGGATCAAGGATGATCCGCCAGCGCCGAATACCTGCCTCCTCGGCGGCGGCGATGCGCCGGTGCAGCTCGGCGGCCACCTCGGGGATCACGCCGTTCGGGTATTTGGCTAGTTTGGTCATAGTCTGCGGCGTGCCGCGCATGTGCATCAGGATGATGGATTTGCCGATGCGTGCGGCTGTGGGCAGCATGTCCGGGTCTAACATGCCGGCGGAGATGTCGTTGATGATGTCTGCGCCGGCGGCGCAGGCTGCGTCCGCGACGGTCGCGCGGTAGGTATCAATGCTGATGGCGATATTGGCTGCCTCGGGGATGTTTGCGCGGATGTGCTTGATGGCTGGGACGACGCGGGCGATTTCTTCGTCTGCGCCGACGGGCTTGGAGCCTGGGCGGGTGCTTTCCCCGCCAATGTCGATGATGGTTGCGCCGGATGCGATGAAGTTGCGGATGGTTTCGGTGAGTTGGGTGAAATCGGCTGGGGAGTGAGTCCCGCCGTCAGAGAACGAGTCGGGGGTGAGATTGAGGATGGCCATGACGTGGGTGTTGCGCGTGGGGTCTGTCGCGTGCAATGATGGGAAAGCTGGAGAGATCGGTGTTGTTGAGTATGGGGTGGGCTCTGGCGGCGGAAGGGCTTTGAGATATTCGCTGTATGTTTGAGTGCTCTTCGCTGGTTGGGGAGGTCGTTCATGAGGGATCAATCTGAGTAGGGGTTTGTTAGACCGGGTTCCAACTTGTGATGTATAGACTCTTCACGCACTGGCAGAGTGGCCGGAGGACGAAATCTCGCTCCAACATGAGGTTGTGTGGTACATTTAGACGCTCGTGAGAGAAGATCTCTTGATCATACAACAGAATATCCAAATCGATTGACCGCGGGCCCTTGTCAATTAGTTTCTTTCGACCCAGCGCATTCTCAATTGATTGGAGGGCATCAAGCAGCTCCATAGGCGCGAGCGTTGTTTCAACCTGGCGATCATTAGTTGTGTATCCAACACAACAAAAGAAAATCACTCTAGAGATATTACCTCGCAGACTCCGTTGATAAATGTGTCTTGTTCCAGCACATACATTGGCGTCGTCTCGAACAGCGAGCTAGTCCGCTTGACTTTGATATTCGCCCGGTCCAACTCGTGACAAGCTTTTTCAATCATTTCGACGCGATCTCCCACATTACTACCCAGCGCAATGAAGGCGCGGTGAAGCTGCGGTCCACGCTGGATGTGGTCCATCTTGGAGTCTCTGCGCGGCTCTGTCCCGCTCGAAAATCTCCTCGCATACGCTTTCAAGTACGACGGCGGGGTCATACGTGTCCGGATGACATTTTCAGCGCACGAGGATGCAAACACCGGGTTTCCCATACAATTTGGCCCTATTTGAGCTCAGTATACGTGGTTTGCAACCAAAAAGGGGCACGACACAGGAAGTTCCAGAAAGAATGCGGGACATCATGCTTTTTTTTCTGCGCGATACAGATAAATGACAGATAAGACCGTCACGGCCGCTGAGGAGCACCTACTTGAGCTCACGATGGGAATTGTACTATATCTAGAGGCCCTGCATCAGAGTTAGAACTTTATCCCTTGATTGTGACTCGGCGCTTATTCAGGGACCTGCCTTTGTGTACCGTATCCGTAAGATGGCTGACCGCACTGCGGTGATGCGTGCGGCGACCCTGGCATTAACGGGAGCTCCCTAGCCGATCGCTGTGGCCGCCCTGAGTGTGTAATGCCACGAACACCAGCGTATGCGGAAGCTCCTTGAAGGCGCAAAGCCATAGACGTCATGCTGGGGATGAGGAGAAGCCGCTTGACAAAATCACGAGATATGTAAGCCTTGGAATCGTCAACCTATCTGGTAACTCCCTGGTGGTCTCGTGCCTGTCGAAGCATCCGTCGCGTAGCCTGGGCGCCTTGACGCCGTGCTGCCTTGACGCCTGAGGAACGAGGCCGCTATGCGGGCTGACCCCGCATTACGTAAGAGGCGTGTCACGGCAAATACCACCCTCCGCGGCTTAAGTCCAGGCCGTCTGGGCACGGAGGGACCGAGGCAGTTTGGAGAGACTGTGACAGGCCGAGGAATCGCTCCCTTTATTTAGCCTGCCCACTTCCCCGGATTCTCATTCCCCATTCCTTCCAGACTTGCCGATATCGCATAGCATCATGGCTTCTCCTCGTGAGTTTTGTGCTGCTTTTCTTTGCTGTGACAGCCCTCTAGACGGTTGCTAACTAACTGTCTCCACACAGAGGTCATCCGCACCCCGATCACTGATCTGCTTAAGATCAACCACCCCGTCCTGCTGGCAGGCATGAACGTAGCCGCCGGCCCCAAGCTGGCGGCTGCGGTCACCAATGCTGGTGGTCTGGGTGTCATCGGTGGCGTTGGCTACACCCCGGAGATGCTCCGTGAGCAAGTCGCCGAGTTGAAGAGCTACCTGAATGACAAGAACGCTCCCTTCGGTGTCGACCTGCTCCTCCCCCAGGTTGGCGGCAGTGCCCGCAAGACTAAGTGAGCCTACCTCTACCCTCCAATTCTGAAGAAAAGCGAGCCAACCATGTGTCTTTCCTCTCCCCCAGCTACGACTACACCAAGGGCAAGCTGAACGAGCTCGTCGACATCATCATCGAGAGCGGTGCTAAGCTTTTCGTCTCCGCCGTGGGTGTTCCCCCCAAGGCAATCGTTGATAAGCTGCACGGCGCCGGCATCCTGACCATGAACATGATCGGCCACCCCAAGCACGTCCAGAAGGCGCTCGCCGTCGGCATCGATATCATCTGCGCCCAGGGTGGTGAGGGCGGTGGCCATACCGGTGATGTCCCCACCACCATCCTAATCCCGACCGTCGCCAAGCTGGTGCAGGGCTACAAGAGCCCTCTGACCGGCCAGCCCGTGCAGGTCATCGCCGCCGGCGGTCTGTTCAACGGCAACTCCGTCGCCGCCGCTCTGATGCTCGGCGCCTCCGCCGTGTGGATCGGCACCCGTTTCATCTTGTCTGATGAGGCCGGCGCCCCGGTTGCCCACCAGGAGGCCGTCCGCACTGCCGGCTTCGAGGATAACATCCGCACCATCATCTTCACTGGTCGCCCCCTGCGTGTCCGCAAGAACCCCTACATCCTGAACTGGGAGGAGAACCGCGCGGAGGAGATCAAGCAGCTCACCTCCAAGGGTATCATCCCCGTCGAGCACGACTTCGAGAACCTGCCCGATGACGCTGACGATGATGCCCTGGATAACGCCCGTCCCTTCCTGATGGGCCAGGTGTCTGCTGTAGTTAACGAGAAGAAGTCTGCCAAGGCTATTGTTGATGAGCTCGTCAACGATGCCGCTGCTCTCCTCAAGAAGGGCAATCAAATGATTGCCAAGTTGTAAATGATGATCCCCCCTTTCAAGCCCTTGTTTTATTTGCCATAGCTTGGTTTCAGATGTGAATGGTTTCAATACAACCCCCTCAAAGAGAATATTACTACATCTACCACTGTTTTCCTTGACCATATACTCCCAATCCTCAGATGAGCTCTAATTCTCCATGACAAGTGTAAGATTTACAAGTTAGCAAGTATATGCGAGTGTGGAGAGACCAGGTGTTTAAATTCAGTGGAAGAAGCCCCAAGTTCTGACAGGGCGTAGGGTAACAAGAAGTGAGACATCAGTTTGGCCTGGTCAAAGACACATGAAACGTAGTATACATGAAGACCTTTGCCCTTAGTGGATTTTATTCCAGTCTGCGGATGACTTTGGCAGGCACTCCGCCCGCAAGACACCCTGAATCAGAATCCCTCGTCACCACGGCTCCAGCGGCGATGGTGGTGCCCCTTCCGATACGCACGCCAGGGAGAATGGTAGCACGTGCACCAATCCAACAGTCTGCTTCGATGATGATTGGTTGTGCAGACGATGTACCCTCGCACTCTTGTCGTGACTTGGCGTCGATCGCATGCGTGCCTGTACAGATACAAACTCCTGGCCCAATCAGAACGCGATCGCCAATTTCAACGAGTGAATCATCATAGATTGACACGCTGTATAGTCGGCAAGTTTTGAATTAGCTGTCTCCTACAATAGGGACTGGCCAACACTTACCTATTAAATGAGCGGTTGTTAGTGGTGGCGGTACAGAGACTGGACATGTGTATCATTGATTATCATGGTTGACGGGACGAGAAGATAGACTCACTCGCGGTTTATGTAGACATCGTCACCAATAAATGTGTTACAACCCCATGTCACGAAAAAAGCCTGCTCGATATTGGCATTCTTACCCACGCGGCCAAGCATCAGCCTGGCGACCGCCATGCGCCTGGCATTCAATGAACTGAGCGTGCTGCTCTCTGGTATGGATACATCGTTGAACTCGTTTAGCTTTCGACGAGTTGAAAGCTTGTATTCCATAAGCTCCTGTGAATTCGATGTCTTGAAACTGAACCCCAGGGATTCTCTATCAGCATTTTTATCTCTCAGGAATACAGAAGAAATATTGCCTTGCGCGACAATGTGACGGACGGACGAACTTCTTGCCACTGATCATGTTCTTGAACTCGTTACACCATGGTACCGGAATATGGCTGTTGCTGATGGTAGCTTCTACCATCGACCTTGTGCTAGTTGACTCCATGACCTTTGGCCAAGGTAGGGTAACAAAGGCAGTCTTGGGGTTTGTTAAAGCCTGAAGAAGACGAGTCTGATGAGAGATGCAAAAATCGCGATAATCATAGGCATAGTACACAGAAAAGATACAAGAGCGACTTTGGTGCCTGGGAAGATGATTGCATACTTGGGCAAGAGCGAGAAGTGGGGAAAGCAGAAATCGCGGGGAACTCATATCAGCCTGAAGCTGAGCACAAGTACCTGCGTCCCGCCCCCCGATCTCACTTGTGAATTAATCGGCTGTTTAGCGGTACTATTCAAAATGGATCAGTCAGCTTCTGCTGCATACGTAGCCGTCTTTATTTAATGAAATTAATTACTTTATGAGAAAAAAGATCCAAAAAACCAGGATTCTATATATGCTATCGGTAAAATCACGGTGGGCAGTGATTTAAAGCTTGGATGTGATGACATAGACCCAAGCTGAACACCACGAGGAATAAGAGCTATTGATCCTGATTAAAATTACATCAAACGCCAAATAGTGTCATCCTAATTCTTCTTTTTGGCGCAATGAAGAGAGGAATCGGGGGAGCTATCTATAAGCGCCGGACAGGAAAGCAATCATGCAATCTCCTAAAAAAAAACTCTCACTACCTAGATAGCTCGGATAGACACATCTATTATGTATAAGAATACAAAGATCCCAGTACATAAACAAATGGAGAGGGAGAGAGTTGCTATGTTTCTTTTTTATTTACCACCACTCTCTCCAGTGAAAGCATATAGCCCCACCAAAGACCTGAACAGCCAATCATATCTAGGGCCTATAGCAGCTTGCCCAGAGCACGTGAGCGCTCTCCGCTCCGCTGCTATCGGCGTTATCGCCTCTGCGGATATCCTCACGAAGCCCAAGTGCAAGAACGCCGGCCACTCCGTCACCATGAAAACCTCATACCTACGAGCTTTACCGCGAGCGCCCCCCAGAGCCTCGATCGCCCTGCGCCCTCCACCTCGCTCCGAGATCACCCGACTCTACGCCACGCAGACCGACCCACGACCGAAGAGAAGGAACGTCACCGTTTTGTCGGACGATGGGCGGTACGAGTGGGGTGAACTGAGTGGGCGGGAGAAGGTTTCGCGGGCAACGCAGCAGTCGTTCAACTTTGTGGTTGTGGTGGCTGGTGCTATTCTCACGGTATGAACTATACCCTACCTTTGCCAAGGGCTATCGAGTTCAAGGGCTCGACGCAGAAAATTCGAATCGACGCTGACTTGAGGGGCCAATATTAGGGCGGTGTTTTTTATCTTCTTTATACCGATGTTATTTCGCCGAATAGCCGGACGTGGCAGTACGAGAAGGCTGTGGAGCGAATCAGGGACGATGCGCGGTGCACGAAGCTACTGGGTGATAGGAGGGAGATCAGGGCTTTTGGAGAGACTACAAATAGCCGCTGGGCGCGGAACCGGCCTATAGCGTAAGTGCTTTCGGCTGTAGGCGTCGTTTTGAAGTCAAGGGGCGCCAATCTAACGTGAAGCAGGAGTACCGTTGAGAAAGACAGGTTAGGCCGTGAGCATCTTCGGATGCATTTCCATGTACGACACCCTACACTATACTCCGTGTGCTCAGGCCTTATACTAATGCTTACATCCAGGTTGAGGGCCCCCTTAATTCCGGGGTTGTTTCTGTGCACATGATGAAGCCCTTGGACAAGAATGAGTGGGAGTATCAGCTTCTTGCTTTGGATGTGAAGGGGCATTCCCGCGTCATCTTGGAGAAGGCTGCTGAAAAGCCTAGCGTGGCTGGCTCGATGAAGCTGTTTGGTATTCAGTGGCGTTGAGCTGCTCCCGACTGCGCTCAACTACATATCCTCCCATTCTTCCATATGTCTGACCTATCGTGTCTTTCCTTGCAAGGACCTAGGAAGTTCAGAACGGCAAGCTATCAGTTCTCCGGGGCGTGCATCTACAAGCAGTTGTTTTTTTTTTGCTGCCCATGCACTGATCTCCCCATCTGTCCACCTTGCGCGTGGTATTTGTACCATAAGGGCTGGGCTTCGCCCACCCAGTCATATCTAGGCCGTGGCCTACTTGATGTATTATACTTTCTGCCACAACTAGCTCGATCCCGTTGTGCTTTGCCGAAAACTCGGCGCAATGAAAAGAATACCCGTCAAAAAGATCAAAAAGAGAATCAAATTTTTTTTCTAAAAAAAAGCTATGGACATGAATGCACATAAAGACATAATGCTAATCTTTACTTCTTTAAACCCGTGGGCCTTCCAGGATAGACTTAGCCTCCTCCGAGCGCCACCAGCTCTTTCCCTCCTCACCGGGGAACGAGAACTCATCCATGCTCTCAGCCTTCATTTCAACACTGTATCCAGGCTCCATAGGAGTAACATAGTATCCATCCTTAACGCTAGACGGGTGCACAAAGTGCTCGTGCAAGTGGTCCACGTACTCCAGCACACTCTTCTTGCCAGAGACAACGACGTAATCGATCGTGCTCAGGTGCTGCGTGTACTCGGGCAGACCGACACCGCCCGAATGCGGCACGATAGGGATGCCAAACTTGCGGGCCAGCAGGAGGATGGCCAGAACCTCGTTCACGCCACCGACGCGGCAGGCGTCGGGCTGCAGAACCGTCAGGGCACCGGCTTGCAGCAGCTGCTTGAAGATCACCCGATTCTGACACATCTCACCGGTGGCGACGCCGACGGTACCGTGAGGGGTGTTAGCGAGGGCCTTGCGGATGGCGGCGTGGCCGAGGATGTCGTCGGGGGAGGTGGGCTCTTCAATGAACCAGGGCTTGAACTCAGCAAGCTCTTGCATCCAGGTGATGGCCTCGGGGACGGACCAGACCTTTTTGAGGCGTGTTAGCTTCATTGTCATCAAGCCTCCGGTGCAAAGCAATACGGACCTGGTTGGCATCCACCATCAAGATGTTGCCCTTGTCATACCCAATAGCCTCGCGTGCAATCTTCAAGCGCCTCTTATCATCCTCCAAACTTCCACCAACCTTCAGTTTGAAATGCTTATACCCCTGCGCAACACTCTCGTCCAGCAGCTTCTTCAACTTCTCCTTACTATACCCGAGCCAGCCCGCACTAGTAGTATACGCAGGCACAGCCTGGCTAGCCTCAGCCTCCTTGATACGATCCTGCTTGCCAGCCTCAATCTCCTTGAGCATGGCCAACGCCTCCTCGGGAGTAATCGCATCGGTGATGTACCGGAAGTCAATGCAGCGCACGAACTCCTCGGGGCTCATGTCCGCGACGATGCGCCAGACGGGCTTGCCCAGGGTCTTAGCCCACAGATCCCAAAGAGCATTGACGACGGCACCCAGGGCGAGGTGGATCACACCCTTCTCCGGGCCGATCCAGCGCAGCTGGCTGTCGGAGACGAGGTAGCGCCAGGTCTTGCCCCAGTCAGCGGTGAGCTCATCGAGATCCTTGCCAACGATAAGCGGGGCCAGGAGGGAAATGGCGGCGCAGACAATCTCGTTACCGCGGCCGATGGTGAATGTCTAGCGTCCAATTGCGTTAGTACGCGCTGCGTGAAACCCGTCTGGAACCGAGGAAATGACAAGATCTCGACATACCATGCCATGACCCTTGTGGTCCGAGTCTGTGTAGATGATGCAGTAGGCGGCCGAGTAGTCGCCAGCCGCGTTCATGGCATCAGAGCCAGTCTTATCCAGAGAGGTCTGGTGTAGGGGTCAGCAATGGCGCATTCCCAACGATATAGAGCAGTGATCGCAATGACGTACCGGAAACCGCACGTCCCGCGTGGTGAAGCCAGTAATCTTGACCATTGTGAGATGTAATCAAATATGAATACAATGAATCTTTTTCGAAATCAATTGGACCCAGTTTACCGTATCCTTGCGCGTTCAACGGCAGGAAACACGGTGGTGAATCTAGAAATCGTGGGGGCGTCCTGAGGCGGATCTATATGCCGAAGGATAATACAGCACCTGAAGGGATAGCAGGGCAACGGGGGTATAAAGAAAGGAGAAAATTGCAGAGACGATATTCTCCCGGAAGAACAGGAGAAATTGCGACGCTGTCCCGTATATACAGACCCATTGAAGGCCTGTTACCCCCGCGCCGCCCGCAGGGGTTCCCTCGCTCCGCATCCTGATGAAGCTCTGTGCGATGTGATTGGCGGGAAATTACTACGAACGGGGAAATAGGTTTATCCGCCAATAGGAGGCCTCCCTTTGGCATCGGAGCAGCTCCGAGTTCCTGGGGGTGGGCAGGTGGGCATTGCAATGCCCACCCCTAAAGAGTAAAGAGTCAAGAGAAAGAAGTGATAGGGGGATGCGGGGGATTCTTGACTCAGTTTGTGATCATAAGAGGAGAAGGAACAAGTCCATATTATAGTCATATGTATGCGAAACGTTGCCTTTAAATAATATCCCTTGCGGCTTCTTGCTCCTAGCTAAGTAGAACAGTAGATCATCCGGTCCCTGATCGACAGCCTGCAGCATCGCATCGCTATGCCGACAGCCCGCGCTTCTCGCTCTCCGAGAAGAAGATAAGCATACGCCAGAGCTTGCGGACCAGTACCTCGGCCTCGTCGTCCAGTGCCTAACAAAAAACCGACGTTAGCAAGGTTAACCCGGACAACCGGGGGAAGTAGAGAGATTTATAGCTTACCATCTCCAGCTGCTCCACCAGCTCTTGGGGAGTACCATGTTTTCGCACATGCTCCTCCACCACATCCACCAGCATTTGCTCCTGCACACCCAGGTATTCGACGATCTTTTTTTCCACGAACGGCTTGATCTGGTCGCTGATAACGGCTTCGTCCACAAACTCCCACTTGATCGTCCACTTCCAGAGACCGTCCTTGTCGGCCGGGATCTCCGCGGCCAGCTGGCGCGCAGCCTGAGCACGATCCTCGTCCGATAGACCGGCGGCTTCGGCAGCAGAGTCGAACTTGATCGGGATGAGCTGGCGGCGGGTCGTGCCGGCCGGCTCTTCTTCATCCTCCAGCAGGCCTTCCACTTCGGCAACGGTGCGGCGGTTGGTGGCGGCCTGGGCCTTCTGGGCTGCGGCACCGAGCGACAATGTGAACCGCTGGGGCTCCTGCTCCTCATGAGGGGCGGTGACCGGAGTGCGGGTCTCCAGTTCCTGCGCCTGGCGAGCAAGGAAATCATCGGCCATGCCGCGAGCCTTCTCTTGCTGCTTGGCAGATTGGGCCCGCTCGCGCTCCTCCGCGGCACGATCAGCCTCATCCATGCTGACCTCGCGAGCGCGGAACCCTGCGCGGCTCCGCAACCAAGCGCCGCGGTCCGCATAGTACTCGCTTGCCTTGCGGCTGGCCTCGACATCGTCATTCCATTCCTTGAGGCGCTCTTCCATCTCGTCATGGGCGGCCTGCAACTTCCCGTCTTCCTCCTTGTCTCTCTTCTTCTCGCGCTCCAAGGCAGCCGTTCGGCTTCGCTCACGGTTGAGCCAGCGGCGTTCCTGGTCAAGGAATTGCTTTTCTTGCTCGGCTTCACGCTTTGCCTGGCGGCGACGCTCGAGCTCCTCGTCGCTTGCGTCGGTGTCCTCATCCTCACGATCGATGTAGACTTGAGATCCATTAATTGCCCCGCCATTTACAAACGACACGCCTTTCTGGTAGTCCTTGGGGATCTGAACACCGAAGCCCTTCGGACCCGACGGGGCATTGGGCATGCTACGATCACCACGAGGGCCCAATGGGATGCCATTCGCACCACCAGCAGGTCCACTGGGGGCTGAGGCTGGGGGAGAGGAAAGCCGGGTGATACGCGAGCCAGAGTTGCGAGCGCGCTCCATGGACTCGATCTCCTCCTCGCGCCTCAAACGCTCAATATCTCGGCGGTTACTCCGATCACGGAACGCCGCAATCTCCTTAGCCACGTTCTCCCGCATCTCCGGCGGGATATCGGCCAGTTCGTCTTCGATGGTGATGGGAATAGTAACCACTTCTCCGTCCTTCGTAGTTTCACCTCTTGTCATGTCAATATCGCCTTCCCGGTCGAGTGCTGAAATTTCTTCCTTCTGGGTCGGGCTAGCTGGGTGGAAGAGGTCTGAAAGAACACTCTTCAAGTTGTTGCGAGACGCATCAAAGCGAGCTTGAAGCTCTTTAGGGTCCCGCTCGCCACGAGTGGCTTCAAATTGCTCCAGATAAGTCATGGTGCTTTCGTCCACAACCACCTGGCATAAGAGTTAGTGAATGCCATCTCTAGATCCAAACAATAGCGAATATACATACCAGTAGTGTGCTCTTTTCCACTTCCTGCTCTTCCTCGCCCTCGTCACGAGGCGCCTGGCGCTTCACGGGAACTTCGACGTCCTTCAGCACTTCCACAGCCACCTCGAGACTCTCGGGATCTTCAAATTCGGCAAACCCAAATCGGCAGGGTTTCTCGTCGGCATCCGTCGCCCGAATCCACCGTCGCAGATTGCCTGCAGACCGGAGAATCCGCTCAATGCCATCATCACCACCCGCGCCCTCAGTGATACCCCCGACAAACAGTGTACGCACGATCTCATCCCGGGTAGGCGGTTGAAGCTGCATCATCGTATCGCGAGCATGGTGGCGCTGATTGTCCATACTAGAAGACCCGAGACCCGCACGTCGTCCCGGACCATCTGAACCACGCTCTCGGCCCCCTTCTGGAGCAGCATGCATCGCAGGGCCGGAGGTGCCCAGTCGAATCACGGGCGCGGAGAAGTTGATATTCGGCATGTTCGGGGGCGGTTGAAAATTCGCCGGGAAGCCGCCGGGGCGACCAGGCTGCTGGCTGTTGTTCTGTTGCATGCCCGGTGGAGCGGCCGTTCCGGGCGCAGCCATCCCTGGAGGAGGCGCTGAAGCTGGTCAGTCATGATGCCCGAGATCTCTCGTGATCCACACGTTCAACTTACCCATGCCCGGGGGCCACCGGGGTAGGACCCATAGTCAGGGGCCCTTCCGTACATGCCTGGAGCTAAAGATGAAGTCAATATTCTATTCAGGGTATGACGCAAATCATGCAGAATGGTAGGCGCTCGTTGTTGGGAGGAGCAGCTCACGTTGGTAAGGATTGTACATGGTGCAGGCGCTCTGGGCCGCACGGGGCGGAATCTCGAATTTCTTCAGGTCTTTGAAATGGGCGTTCGGTAGCGACTGGCTGGAGGCACTCACGGCGGTCGGAGAGGTTTCACGTCGCGATGCTTGAGCAAGACCAGACGCGCTTGTGTGGAGAAAGAAAGTTACGAGTTGCGGTTTTGATAGGTCCGTGCGTAGTTCTTGGCGGTTGGCAGTTGGCGGTTGGGCCAGCCGCTGCTTGAAACCGTCAATCAACAGCCAGTAACAACTGAATCACCAAATATTAAATTGTCGTTCAACAAACCTTAACAGAGTATATGCTAGATATAGTTCTCATTCAGAGGTGCCAATGATGAGTATTCCTTATAAGAAAAAGATTAAACCTGTCGATCCTGGAAATGTATTCCGGGTCATTGGCGACGATGACAAGTAAACCACTACTTTGTCAGCAATTCCGATTGGAATTTATTAGACGAGAACAACTAGGATAGACATAGTCTAAATATGATGCAAAGGCGCCAGTCAACGAGAGAGCAGGTATAGGTAGGTATCCCTGCTCCGGAAGTATGTGTTTTCGTGATGCTCGATATTACTAGATTTACCCGGTGGCTGTCGGCAGAACTGGCGTCGGACTGTCGGTTGCTATCGCGAAAGATCTGATTGGGATTTGACTGAAAGTATGATCTGGAACTGCAGGAGATCCCATATTTCGATACTTTGTCTGGCAAACTACAGGTCCGGATATTTTGCAGGTCATCAGACCCTCCTCGGAGTAGCACCGTCCGGCGTAGTGGGGGTGTTTGGCGCCGAGCTGGCCGGTTAGCCTATATTCGGTAGGCCCGGAGTGACAACAACCAATTGGTGATCCGGGTCGCCTCGGGCATAGTTGTTTCGCTCTTGGCTTTGTGGTTCTGAAATGGGAACCGGTCAACCTGACAGAATACGAAGTATGGACTATGTTGGATCGGTGGTGGTGGCATAGATAGAGGGCAGAATGTCGGCTTCCGGAGGGGTATGCACAGGTGCCCCCTCCCTACGAGATGTCCCATAGAATACCAATTACATTCCCTCGCTACCTGTAGGTCTGAACTGGGTCTGCTTGACTGAATGGCGTATGGCTAGGATAGGAACAGGAGGTGGGCAATTGAATTCTTCGAGTTTGTCGAGAGTCAGCTGGGAAATGCAGATTAGAAAACAAGCCCGCTCCAGCCCGCGCCCGAATGCGGCAATGATGATGATGCTGCCCCACGCCCCTCCACCGGACCCCAACACGCCGGAGCATTGACGCCATCCTGTCTTCTTTTCTTCTTCCTTCCCTACTTCTTCAAACAGCCCATCCCATCGATCTCCGTGATACCCCCTTTGTGCGACATTGTAAGTTCTCCCATTCTGATTTCGTCCCAAGGTCGCTTTTTATTCACTTCCATTGCCCCGCACTGACCCGGCTCTGTCGCAAAACACAGCTTTATAGCCGTCATCATGCCTGGTTTCGCGCAGGCCTCCGATCTCAACGCCTGGAAGGAGCTCCAGGAGCACCACACCACTCTCGGCCGCAACATTGTTCTCAAGGAGTACTTCCAGAAGGACCCGCAGCGCTTCGAGAAGTTTAGCCGCACCTTCGCCAACCCCGTCGACAATGCCGACATCCTGTTTGACTTCTCCAAGAACTTCCTCACTGAGGAGACCCTGTCCCTGTTGGTGAAGCTGGCCAAGGAGGCCGGCGTTGAGGAGCTCCGCGATGCCATGTTCCGCGGTGAGCACATCAACTTCACCGAGGACCGCGCTGTCTACCACGCTGCCCTGCGCAATGTCTCCAACGAGCCCATGCAGGTTGATGGCAAGAGCGTTGTTGAGGACGTCAACTCGGTTCTGGAGCACATGAAGGAGTTCTCTGAGCAGGTACGCAGCGGCGAGTGGAAGGGTTACACTGGAAAGAAGATCAACACCATCATCAACATCGGTATCGGTGGCTCGGATCTGTAAGTTGTTCCTTTCCCACCCGTCCTCCGGAGCTTCCTGGGAAATGTGACATAGCTAATCGTTCTCTTCTAGCGGTCCCGTCATGGTCACCGAGGCCTTGAAGCCCTACGGCCACCCCGACATGAAGCTCCACTTCGTCTCCAATATCGACGGCACTCACGTCGCCGAGGCCCTCAAGAACTCCGACCCCGAGACCACCCTGTTCCTGATTGCTTCCAAGACTTTCACCACGGCCGAGACTACCACCAACGCCAACACTGCTAAGAGCTGGTTCCTGCAGACGGCCAAGGATGAGTCGCACATTGCGAAGCACTTCGTGGCCCTCTCCACCAACGAGGCTGAGGTCACCAAGTTCGGCATTGACAGCAAGAACATGTTTGGCTTCGAGTCTTGGGTCGGTGGTCGCTACTCTGTGTGGAGTGCCATTGGTCTTTCCGTGGCCCTGTACATCGGCTTCGACAACTTCCACCAGTTCCTCGCCGGTGCCCACGCCATGGACAAGCACTTCCGCGAGACCCCTCTGGAGCAAAACATTCCTGCCATCGGTGGTCTGCTCAGCGTCTGGTACAGCGACTTCTTCGGTGCCCAGACCCACCTGATTGCTCCCTTCGACCAGTACCTGCACCGCTTCCCTGCCTACCTGCAGCAGCTGTCCATGGAGAGCAACGGCAAGGCCATCACCCGCTCCGGCGAGTACGTCAAGTACACCACCGGTCCCATTCTCTTCGGAGAGCCCGCCACCAACGCCCAGCACAGCTTCTTCCAGCTGCTGCACCAAGGCACCAAGCTCATCCCCGCGGACTTCCTGATGGCCGCCGAGTCGCACAACCCCGTCGAGGGTGGCAAGCACCAGCGCATGCTGGCCTCCAACTTCCTCGCCCAGTCTGAGGCCTTGATGGTCGGCAAGACCCCTGAGGAGGTCAAGGCTGAGGGCGCCCCCGACAATCTTGTCTCGCACAAGACCTTCCTAGGCAACCGGCCCACCACCTCCATCCTGGCCCAGAAGATCACCCCCGCCACTCTAGGCGCGCTGATCACCTACTACGAGCACCTCACCTTCACCGAGGGTGCCATCTGGAACATCAACTCGTTCGACCAGTGGGGTGTCGAGCTGGGCAAGGTCCTCGCCAAGAAGATCCAGAAGGAGCTGGAGACTGCCGGCGAGGGCGCCGACCACGACAGCTCGACTAGTGGCCTACTATTGGCCTTCAAGGCGAAGGCTAACCTGGCCTAGATTCTTTTTATTTTGTAATTAGGCTCGCATTGACGCTTGGTGAACGATGCGAGGCGGCCGTGACGAGCGACGAATGGTTTCTTTGATCCCTTTTATCTTTTCCCTCCGAAAAATTGGAATGATACTCAGTTGGTGCTTCTTTGTCAGTAAATAATTCATGAGACTGCAATCCGTCCCTCGTAAAACAAAGCTTTTTGCGTCGCAAGTAGAGCATCGATTTGGTTGATCACTCGCGGAAGGATAACTAGCGGACACTGATATGGCCAACTAGCCCTGTCTCCACCAGGCTGCGGCAGAAACAACTCCGTGTCTTCTCCGCGTCGTCTTCCCCATTCCATCAACTCGCCAGCGCGGGGCGGCTAATCTGCGTTGCAAGGGCCACAAGAAACTCGCCAGCATGCCTGCTTCGCGCCCATTGAGCTGTCTCTCTTCGGCGTTGGCACTTTTTTCCCTTGCGGGCACGCTGTTGCCACCAGTATCAGCAGCGGGGAGAGCCAGCGCCACTAGCGGGGAGGGATACAGACTGGGCGAGGAGATCCCTGTATCTTGTCTGAGCCGGACTATGTTAGTTGTCTTCAAATCACCTCAGCCCTGTTAAAGAAGCCAATGCTGACCAATGCGCGTGTGTACAGGGAAGGCGAACATGTATGCGCCAACCTACTCCTGAAGCCAACCGCCCCCCCTCGAGAATCACAAACAATTAACAAAAGCCACAGATCACAGATGACCTAGGAAAACTCGAATACATCCCCTTCGCAACCTGCAATGAGACATCGCGCCCATTATCTCTGCACTACGGTACCTCCGAGACAATAACATGCACAATCTCCTCCCTCACCGACTCGCTCTACCACCTCCTCGAATTTTACGTCCACTCCGACGTCCCCATGACCTGCCGCGTGCCCACAGCACCGCTAACCTCATCCAATACCGCACCCAAAGACCGCGCAGACACCGACCCTACGTCCGGCGAGGTCGACTCGCTCGCGGCGCTGAGCGAGAACGGACCACCTTTCACCCCGGTCACCATCGCGCTGCAGGGCACCCTGCAGCTCAGCCACCTGCACATCTGGACAGACATGAACATGCTCATGCACAACATCGCCTCGGATGCGGCGGCGCAGCTGTCCAAGTCCCAGAAACATGCCCAGTCCGGACAGCCTGGGTACGCGGTGGCCGGGACAGCGTACTCGACGCCCGAGTTCGAAGCTGCGGCGAAGAAGATCTCGCTTGACGAAGACGAGGAGGCTGTGACAGTTGCGCAGGCTGCGCGGCAGCCGTGGACGGCGGGACATGGGACTAAGGTTGTTCGCGGCGAGCCTCTGACCTTCTCATTCCATGTTGCGTGGATTGAAGGCGGTGCTGGTATTGGCTGGCCGGAGCGTCCTGCTTCGGAGTCATTCTTGGAGATGGGTGGTTCGGGGACGTCCCAGGGCTCTGGGGCTGGCTCGTTCATCTCGCGGCTCTTTTTCTTTTTCCTGGCTGCTTCCGTTGGTGCCTTGGCTGCGTTGTACTGGGAGCGCAACGGTGGCCGGCTCCGCAGTCGCCAAGGCTGGCGTGGTGATGGGATTCTGGGTGCCCCGGTTGTGAATGGGAAGGGAGCTGGTGTGACATTTGGCAATGGCGGGCGTATCAATGGATACGGAGGGTACTCTGCTGCTACTACTGCCAATGGCGCGGGAACTGGCGGTGGTGGAGGTACTGGCTATGGAGGATTTGTCAGTGGGAAGAGAGATTGATAGGCGCGCCTGGATAACTTGGCTGGGCTGTTCGTTGTACATCAGTGTAGAAGGGTTTCTCGTATATAGGGTATGTAGAAACCACTGACAGATCAAGATACGATCCAATGCATTCCATATCTAATGCAAATAGAACAAAATCGACGAAAGATTCCATAGCTAGTTATACATGTAAAAAAACAGACCCCGTTTTAGGGCCGGATGCTCCCCTCCCCGTCCAGTCTCGGTGTATATACAGACCAAGCTCCCCCTAACTCAGTACACCAATCCAGCCGATAGGCAATCACCAACCCTGCGCCTGCATCCGCTGGATCTTCTTCACAGTCTGCTGGAATGAGAACCGGAAGAGCTTCCTCCACCTCGTCCGGCGCAGCTCCTTCCGCACCGCACCCTTGCGCTTGTGGAATTTCTGCTCATGCGCATTGGCCTTGATCTTGTTCGTGCTGCACGTAATCTCTAACTGACGGACCGCAGCGGGAAGATCTAGGCCACGCTCTGGTTCAACGTGGACCTGGCGACCCAGCGTTGGGCCGAGCTTCAGCTCCAGCTTGCGCGAGGCAAGCTGCTGCGCAGACCGGTCCCTGAAGCTCTGGAAGCCCACGCCGCTGACAGAACGGGAGGCGGGGTCGGAGAAGACGCGGCGGCCTTCACCCCTGGCGGTGGCGGCACTGCGGTTTCCGAGATCGAGCTTGTTGAGGATCTCGTCGAAGTCGGAGGCGACGGTCTTCGTGGGTTGTGTTTTGGGGGCGGATTGCTCCTCGCCAGCAGCTGATGTTGATTGTGTGGCTGGTTCTGTGGGTGACTTGGCGGAGGGTGTCTGTGGCGAGGAGTTTGAGGAGTTGTAGCGGAGTGTGTTGAGGAGGAAGGGCTGCTGCAGGAGAGGCTGCTGGCGCGAGTTGAGAAGCCACGACGTCGGCCTGGCGCGGAGGCTGCGGGCTAGGCAGCGGGGGTCCATAGTTTTGACCGAGCAGTCAAGTCAGCCTGACAAGTCCAATTGTTGGTATTAGACTGGTGCCCTGGAAAGAGGATGGTGGGAGATGAGGGCTGGCGTGAGGTTCCAGAGCGGAGGGAAGATGCGATGCTAGAAAATCGAATGAAATTATAGGTCACGTGCTTCTCCTCAGCTTTCGTGATCAACGCCGTGGAGTTTCTACCACATCCCCCCTACTGTTTTTATTTCTTGCCTGAAGACCTAGTTTCCTGAATCAATATACACGCTGGATTTACACGATGTCATCTATCACCATCGCAACGCTCCCGCGCATGAGTCGTGATTCTCTATCCGCGCTCCTCTCCAACAGCACACCCAGCAAATTGGCCATTATCGATGTTCGGGACTCAGGTACGTCTAGCTCGCCATGAAACAAACTGAACAGTTTTATTAATCTATGTACGTAGATCATATTGGTGGACATATCCGCTCCTCAATCTGGGTCCCCACCTCCAGTCTGGACGTCCGCCTGCCCGAGCTCCTCCGCACCCTCAAAGACACTGAGAAGGTCGTCTTTCACTGTGCCCTGAGCCAACAGCGCGGCCCTTCTGCAGCCCTGCGCTATGCACGTGAGCGCGAGCGTACCTTTGGTGAGGAGGAAGGCAAGAAGCAAGAAGTCTATGTCCTGGAGGGAGGCTTCGTGCAATGGCAGGAGAAGTATGGCAAGGACGAAAGGCTGACTGAGGCCTATGTCGAGGACATCTGGCACGAGTATTGATTTTTAAGGCTTTGCATGACTGGACTGTGCTAGAGGCGTGGCGGCGGTGCCGTTTATGTGTACTTGCATGTTAATGAGATATGAAACGACTTGAGATACCACATATACCGTCAGCGTTCATTAGTATTTGGAACATGCTACATGCCCAACTTATATTTCTGCTAGTGGGTGGAAGTACTGTGTTCCAAATACTAATGAACGGCCACTGTATATCAAGACGAAGAGTTTTAGAGACAAGCTTTTTGGTCAATTCTGATCAGGCTAGCAAGGTGAAACTTCTGAACGAGCCTAGTTCTTACCTGCTTTAAGGGATATAAATGATATGAAAGACCCTATTGAGAGGGTAGTTACTTAGGTAGAGAGTTATGGAAGGAACTAAGATATAAAGAGAATGAGAGAGATCCGTACGTGCAGTATGACTCACTAGGTATGCAGATCCGAATACACCATCATCATCTACTCTCACGGGAAGCTCAAGGTTGCGGATATTGCCGTTCATAGTTCACTAAATCGCAAGAATCCACATTGGCAGCCTTCTATGAACAAGCTTTTCGTACTTTGCATGAACCTGGATTTACCATGTCCGGTGTTGGTTGTTTTCTCGGCTTTGATACGACTACTTTGGTCAGACTGCTATCGAGCATTTCCCCCTTCTTCATTAAGTGTCGTCGCAAAAGGTTTCAACCGATGTGACTCTTCGACTGTGATATAAATGTAATATTACATGACTCACTATAGTTATATCGAAACGCCACCGCCAAACCCTACAGGGCGTCTACGACCACCATTTTCTGGGATGATGGTCATCACCTTATAAATCTGGCCCATCGAACCGCCCGCCTTCTCAACCAGGCGCTTCCACCCAGTCTCCAAAGTTCTTTTGCGCTCCTCATCTCCAACGCCCTTCAGCAGCTGGCGCATGCGCTCTTCAATGCCCAGCGCCTGAAGGAAATCACCCTGCTCAACAGGGCCGTGCACTTCGACACCGTCACTTCCCTCAATGGCAGCCTCGGCCAGCGAGGTAAAGTCGACGTCCGCGCTGACGTCGACCTGGCCAGGAGCCGAGAGCGGAGCAACCTTCTTGTGGTGCTGGATTCCGCGCAGGGAGTTGATGGGAATGGTCGACATAGTCCCGTAGTCCATGATCAGGGCTGCACCGGAAGGTGTCATCTTCTGTGATGCTTGCGGAACAGTTGCCTTCTTCGAAGACTGCGCAGAGGCAGCGTCCCCGCCGATGCGGCGCGCAAAGTCGGCTGCGTAGATCCGGCTTTCGGGGCTGATCTCGATGGTTGACCCAGGTTGGGACTTGAGTCTGCGGTAGCGATCGGAAATCTCGGGAATCACGAGGGAAGAGGGCGTGGAGGCCTTTGCCTTGGTTAGCTTGAACTCGGGCTCGCCTTCGATGTTTTCTTCGACAGCCTTGGGGTTCAATGTGACGAGTAGTTCGCGCCATTGTGGAGTGTTCGCGGTCTTGAGTGGTTTATGGAGCTTTTGAGGACCTGTAGGAGTCATGATCTCCTGGACTTGGGCCGGCGCTTCGTTCTCAGGAGACGGAGGGACAGACTCAAAGGCGTGGATGGGGAGAGCGTCGAAGAATTCGTGTGCAAAGATGAATGGCGTCTTGCCTTCCTCTGTAGTCGATCGACGTTGTTAACAATGGCTAGTACCGTCTTAATAGAATTGCACAACTAACCATGCGGCAACAGACGAATATCCTCCACCCAGATGACGGGCACATCAAAGTATTTGCAGGTGCTCCGATGTCCAATATCAGTTTCTTCCATGGCAGCCTCCTCGCCACAAAGAAGAGCCTTCTGCACCTCCCGCAAAGTAGCACTTGCTTCAACGAGATAAATTGCCTCCACGCTCGAGGTAAAAGTCTTGAAGTTTCGAAACGTCTGTCCGTAGCCATAACTAGTCAGCCTTCGTGTCACTCTTTCATTGTGCCCCATTGCAACACTTACCCGCAGCATATCATCCATCAGCGTGCCCTTCCCCGGTCCAACCTCCATCAGCTGAACACCACTCCGCTTCCGCCCCTGCGCCATCCACTCCGCAATAGCCCAAATGCCAATCAGCTCTCCAAACACCTGTGAAATCTCGGGCGAGGTAACAAAGTCACCATGTTTTCCGAACACATCTTCGCGGGAGGTATAGTATCCGCCTTCCGGGGAGGTCAAAACTTGGCGCATAAATGCCGCGATGGGAATGGGCCCAGTGACCTAAAGATCCGCAAAGTTGTCAGCCAAGGGCTCAGAATATTGTGCGAGATCCAACCGAACCGACCCTCATCGCACTGGCCAATGTGCGGGCCAATGGGGTAGACCATTGCCTATCCTCGAATGTAGAGCTCCATCGGCGCGAGCATGTCGAGAATACCGAGTTGTGAGACCTCCGGAGGGCATGCGACGCCGCGCGCCGGGCGGCAGCGTTCATTTTCGGAAATATCTGTGTTGAACTCGGATAGAAACTCGATGAGATGGTCGCTTATAATATGTGATCCATGAAAAACGGTGATCCCCGTTCCAGTGGTCTGTAATTGGCCCGTGAGAGGAGTTCTACTGAAAGATTGTGTTTCCCCGGCCGTCATCAAATCTGTCCGTCTCCGCAAAAGCTCCGCGACACGTGATCTTATCATTATCTGCACTAATACGAGCAGTTTGGTGAGGAGAATTGGGGTTTCTCGTGAGGCTGAATCAATTACAAGATAATCATACATGTCATGAGAATGATACACTTGAAAAGCAAAGAATTGTACACCAGTTCCGCATTCTACCCGTGGAGCGCGCATTTCAACCCACCTTGAACTCTGCCCTATTGCTTGCGCCAGCGAGCCATTACCGTCGAGGCCTTCGGCGATTCTGGTTCTTCTGCTGCGGAGCATCCACTATCATCTCGTCACTGTACAGCCCTGATTTGGGGTTGAGAGGATCGCCTTGTTCACCGAAACCGTATCTGCCATCCTGTAACGTCGGTTCCGCGCGACGATTCCGTCGTTCGTGGTCCGCTTGCTCTCGAAGCTCGTTGAAAGGGTTACTTTTGTTGGTTGGTTGGGTTCCGGCGGGCTGCAGCTTCATAGACAAAAGTCTCCCATCGGCCTGAAATTGTGTCAGCACGCCTATATAAGTATTCCAACAGGGTTCCAGCACTGACTCTTTGGTTGTGGAAGTTGGTGACGACGTTTTCGGCGCACCATTTGTCTGCAAAGACAAACTCCGCCGTGACAATCGGGCGGTGTGAGGTGACTTTGCAGCTCAGCATGGGACCTGCCAATGGCTCAATTGCGGACTGGATATCCGCAGCGGTCGTCCCGGGGGCAAAGTTGGCTCCGATAACCACGAAGGGGCCAGAGGCGCCTTTGATGGACATCCCGCCACTCGCTTTTCGAATTGTAGCTTGGGTATTTCCCGACTCAAGGGCAGCCAAAAGACGCTCGGCATTCGGGCGATGTTGGCTTGTAGACTTGGTAGATTTCCGCGCGGATGCGACTGTGGCGGGGGCTGGTTTGGGCTTGGTGACCTTGTTGGTCAGGTTGGGTCGGACGGAGGCTGATGCAGAGCGCTATACAAGACCACAAGACGTCAGGAATCGCTTGTCAAATCGCATGAGTAGTACCTTGAGAACAGGGATTTGTTACCTGAGGTGCCGCGATCCGACTGGCCAAGCTCCCCGGCTTCGCGTTCGGTACTTTGCTTACTGCGCCCGGCCCCGGCGCGCTTGCTCGGCGGCCCTTCTGGTTTCTGTTCTTGCCCAAAATCTGACTTGCTAGCAGTTCATTCTGCTTCTTCTGGCGATCTGAATTGCGCAAAGGAGAGGTTAGCTCTCCGACAGATCTGGCGTTGAGAGGAAGACCGAGTCATTACCAGATTGAATGATCGCGTCGAATGAAACGGGGCTGGACTGTTGCTTCTTCACCATGATGAAGGAATATGAGGGAGCAGACAAAAGAGGAAGACCTATAAAAGATGATGGGTTTAAAAGAGTATCGTAGGTAATCGCGGAAGGGGGAGGGGGGGCAGTTGGAAGAATGAAGCGGACAAGGGAGAGGAGGCAACGGAGAAAAGAGGCTCAGCGCAGAGCCAAGTGGGTCCGCGATCAGCGGCCAAGACAAATCACCCGCGCTTGCTTTCTCGGGAAAAAGATTTTGTTTACCTATAAGTTACTGAACAGGAAATTAGGTGATAACTCACTCGGTCCATCTAGGAATTCAAGGCTGAAACATGTGTCAGGCTTAATCATTCACCGATCTACTCCAATGAAAGCTCTTCATACATGTATTGGTCCCAATCACTTTGGTGGTTGTATACTAACACGTAGTTGACTCTTCGAGAACCCGACGAACTTTCCCTTATGGGACGGAGAGAAGCCACCGGTCTTGCCTCTTTTAGAGGCCGTACGAAACTTGTCTGTTTTGATGCTACCCGTCTACTTCCCAATGTCCTACCAACCAGACTATCTCTCAACCATTCCTCTATTCCGAGTCAATAGCGATCCCCATGCTCAAGCCCTTTCAATCAGATGAATTCGGATAGAGGCCATACTAGTCCTGGACTTCCGTGCGAGGGCTCTACACGCCGCAGTGGAGCTTTTGCACTGTCTTTCTCATTTCGTTCGCGGGGAGGAAGGGGAGGGTGAGATCTAAAACTTGCATATCACAGAGACTTGCTGAATGACAAATACAGCATCGTCAATCTCCCAGCAATGCACCCAAATTGTCAGGAGAGAAGCCACTATCCAATCTTTAATCCTCAAGATCCACGGCACAACCCACACTTACAACAACCATTCTGCCGCTCTGAATCCCAGGCCTCGTCAGACTCACCACGGCAGACTCATTGGGCCCATGACTTCCCGAGAAGGTCTCTGCACAAGGCACGGTCCGGCTTGTTGGCTCTTCGAGCAGGCTTGTTCCGTCGAACGGCTCGTCAGGGCAGTGACCCCATTGAAAGCGAAGCTCGACCTATTTCAAGGCAAGCGCATGGTCGGCAAAGTACCTATGGTTTCTCTGAGTTCTCGGCGAGCACCCAAGAGGATCTAAGCTTCGGGGTTGACCTATATCGCACTGACCGAGACTATGCCCGAGCCTTGGACGACGCCAATAGGAATAGTATGGCTCGGTTTCCTTTTTTCCACCCGCTCGCAAATACAATTTCCGCACCGGAACCCGCGCCGAGCTCTTGCACTTCGAGACATGATGCGAAACCAGCATTTGTTCATCTTGTGAGTATGCCTGTCGATGAGCCACCCGCATACAAGTCATGCCGCGACCATGCCTTCTCTTCCCAGCCTTCTGAAAATGCGGAGATGGATACAGGAGATGAGCTATTGGTCGACGAGGAGATACAAAAGAGAACCGCTGATCCTTCAACGCACCCCGTTGCCTCGGCGGATCGGGAGACAATAGAGTCAGTGATTTCCAGTTCTACGGACCACGAGGATATGGGTGGAACAAGTTTGCTGTGTGACAATAAGGAAATGCATCCAGAGCAGGGTCAGGTTTTTCTGAAGGCTTGGAAAGAGAATGAAGAGCCCGCGAGCAGGGCAGTTGGAGAGTTGAAGTGGCTCAGCGAGCCGCAGAACGTTCAGCCGTTGGAGGATGAACAGAATATCACCAACAGTTCCCGAGGGTCGTTGACATTGCCAGATTACAATACTCCGAGCATTTCAGACTCGGAAACATCTCATCGACGGGGATCGATCTTCATCAAGGCAGAAGCTTTTGTCTCACAAGAGAGACTGTTGCTTGGTGAAGATTTATCGGGGCCTAAGGCCAGTGTTTCTCCTGTCTTAGAGCCGAGGCGTGCGGCAGACGTTCAGATTGCCTTCCCTGGTGTATACAGAGAATTGCATGAGCAGTGGGTAAGAGAGACACAAATGAGTCCCGCGATCGACCCCGGATCCCCTGGACGTGAGAGTATGTCCGGTGCTTCTCAGGTACCCTCATTATCGGACGCAACATCTTCGCGTCAGGCAGACTCCCAACCACGCCTCTCCACGGAACTTCCATGGAGCCTTGACTCCCACCTTGGCTCGGGACTTGTCGATATTCTGGACCGTTTCCAGGCCGAGAACAGATTGATCCCGTTTACACAACTTGCACATCCTGGTGTTACGACGGTCCGGTGCATGCAAGACCCCGTCACTTTCCCCTGCACTATGGATGACTACACCCGTCAGCCAGTTGTCCAGGCCACCAATGAGCGATCTCCGGAGTATCATCACTCCTTTGGTATTCATATCTCCGAGAGGAATGTGAGTATAGGTGGTGGCAGTGCCGTTCCAGAACATAGACTAATGGGTTCCAGGAACCTACCCCGAGAGACGTACCACCTGAAATAAGCCGCCGAGAGATTTTGCGACGCTCGTTCGCAGAACAGCGTCACATTGAGCCCCGGCAATTTTTTTCGTCTCTCGGCCCATGGGGCGCGGCCGATGCTCAGTGCGACGATTCAGATATCCCTACCAACTACACCTGCGGCAGTGCCACTTCTGCAAGTGCTACTTCACCAACTTCCATGTCCTCTGCCCCGTGGTCGCCTCTTGATTCCCCCATTGATGAGGAAGTCCTCTTCAGAAACCTGCTGAGAGACGAGTACTACATCGGTGACGGCAAGACCAGCAGCTACTACCCTGACGGTGGTGACGAGCCAGTCAAGGGACGCTTCTTTGGCGACGGACGCATTCACAGCGGCCCTGGTCTTGATCGTACGCCCTCTAGCAGACTCCGCCAGGTGACCCAAATGAGCTCTTCAAACACCCTGTCACGTCCTTTCCCGCCCGATCCCCAGGAATACGCGGAGCTGGAGAATGAGTCGACCGGTGATTCTATTCCGAGCTCTTGACTGCAGGCTTGATGGCTGAAATGACAATGACGATGGCGATGGAGATGTCGATTCAACGACAGCTTTGCACTTTCATGACTTTCATGGGTTTTCCGCCTTTACTTTCCTCATTTCTAGGCGCTGGGGACCGTTCGTTAGGGGAGGGTTGTACTCGGGGTTCTATCGTTTCTATAGGTGTATTTTTAGTCCCCTGGAAGAGGAAGGTGATAGCAGGGTTTCAAGAAGGTCTCTCTTTTGTGGTTTCAATTAAACAGCCGAGTTCTCTTTTGACAAAGTGTCGCACAAATTTAGGCAATATAACCGCGAGACCACAAATGCAGTATACTGTATCCGTTAAGGAAGGTTGAGATATGGACAAGCTTTAAGGTCCGCATAAAATACCCCACCTAACTTTTCAATCAACTCGCACCGCTCTTCCATCGAGCTAGCCTTTTGAAGCTTTGCTCCACCTTTCTCGCGTGCTTCGTTTCTTGTTGTGTTCCAAACCATACTCCACCCCCAGCGGGCCAGCCAATGCGGATATAGTTGTTTGTTCCTTCGTCAGCTCCTTGTGACAGTCCAAAAAGGCTGCTATAATCATATGCGTATTCGCTCCTCCACCAAATAGCACCGAGGCGGTGCACTACTAGGAATTAAAAATGTATCTCGAGAAGATATAGAATTGACATACTCCGATCGCAGTGCGCATTTTCCTTGTTCTGCCACTCAGAATCGGATATGGACGGGCGCAACACGTTGTTAAATAGGTCCAGCTCCAGGAATTCTAGTTCCACGCGACTACAAACCTCCAGTTTATAGATTCCTCCCTGAGATGGCCACCCTGTAACTTCAACCCCGGGCCCGTAGCCATAGTACGCCCAGTATTGTGGGTCGGGTGTGAAGTGATTTTGAGGGCTGATGTAGTCATGATTCACTTCCTTTAGCATCGTCGATTATTCCTGAGCATCCACGTAGTGTGAGCGTGAACACGCCAGGTATCCCAGCCAAGCTATCAAAGAGGGCACAAGCACAAGTAGTGGGGTCATGGTCCTCACCTTCAACACTCCTGGGTTGGATCGCTAACGACAACGTGGTTGAACGAGGCTAGAGTCTGAATCCTATCGAGGGACGGAATGAGCGTCGCGTTTTCTCCGTAGGCATAGAACCATGGATCCACACAGAGGAATCTCGCGTCAAGGAGGACCCCGCACGGAAGAGAAGAGGGGTAACCGCGACCTGCCGACTAACTCATATAACCCATACCCATACCGGAGCGATGTGGGTTAGTCGGCAGGTCGCGGTTAAGGCAACCAGCAGGATATGGTGTCATACTTTATCCAAACTGTAAACACTGTTTAGCACCACGAATTCATTTCCATTCATTGGCATCGGTGTGAATTACAAATTGGAGCTTATCGGTGAGCTTGAAACTTCCACTTCTAAACCTGCCTAGGCCTCTCTCGCCTGGGGGTGAAGAAAGAGCAGCAATTTGTATTATGTTTGTCCCATGGTTGAGGCCTGGAATAGAAATATTCTAGTAACCTTCTGGAAACCTTCTAGAAACCTTGCACAAGGTAGGAATCCAATACAAGATGTGTCATCGATGACGCATTGAGACAACCTCCGCGAGGCATTTACCGCAAATGGTAATTTTGCCTCCAGATATACTTCCGTGGCGCGACGAGTCACGTGCGAATACTTCACCACTGCCATTTTTCGAAAGTCTTCAAGTCTGATAACTATTGGAAGATATCGTTGCTACGCCTTCTTATGCAATGAATGGTGTCTAATGGCATTCACCGCAGACCAAGATCGGGCCATAGAAATTACGGAGCGGATTGGCTCCTCGATTTCACTACTATGCTCGTGCTCAGTCATTGCCATGTTCTTCTTCGTTGAACATTTTCAGACCCCTATCCACAGACTCATCTTCTTTGCCACCTGGGGAAATTTGTGGTCAAATATAGGCATGCTAATTGCCTTGTCTGGTATTAGAAGAGGAGAGAATTCGGCGCTTTGCCAATTCCAAGGGTTTCTAATTCAATGGTCAATATCTTCATTCCCCATTACTCCATCATTCTTTGCTCACTGTAAAATCCTTATATAGGTTTCCATCTGCTGACGCATTTTGGTCACTCTGTATGGCACTCAATATTTACCTGACCTGCTTTCGACGATATGACATGACAATGTTGCGAAAGCTTGAGTGGCGATACTTTCTCTTCAGCTACGGCGCGCCCTTCATTTCGGCATTCATATATCTTTTCATCGAGACAAGCGCGAAGGGGAAGGTATACGGATCAGCTTTTGTGAGCAAATTCATTTGTCCTGAATATTCTCTATGACTGATTCAGCTTCTAGATTTGGTGCTGGGTCACTGTTGAATGGCGTGGTCTCTATCTAGCTGTTTCCTATGTGCCAATATGGATTGCAAACATATTGACTATAGGGATTTTTGTCTGGACCGGCCGTGAGATTATTAAAAGCCGAAGACAGCTCCATAGAGTCATCAGCGATACATCTGCGACCGAAGATCGCCCAGATGGCACTTCCAGGTCTTCAGAACGTCGACTAATGCCCACCCAAGACGTTAGGGGCGACTTTGCGTGCCAAAACACTAGCCAATCAGGTAAGCCACTTATTCTGCTCACATCGACCTATGTCTCGGAATCTGAGCGACTGTCGTGGATCATGTGTCCTAGGCATGGTCCCTGCACTCAAAGGCACCACCTTGTCTAACTTGCTCCAGAAGAAATCGCTTCTATTCATCAAGAAGTGAGCCATCCCTCCAGGTCAGGTACAAGTATCTCACAAGCCGTCGTCTGGCCTTACGCGAAACGTGCCATACTTTTCTTCGCCTCTATGGTAATTACATGGGTAAGATGTTCTGTCAAGAAATATAGATTTTGAATTTTCGGCTCATGCTACGGCTATCAGGCTCCTTGCACAGTTAATCGACTATACTCTTACGCTAATCCTGGTCATCCATCATTTGCCTTGAACTATTCACAGGCATTGCTTCTCCCACTTCAAGGCTTCTGGAATTCTTGCATCTACATGTCGACTATTTCGTCCCCGGTACAGCGCTTTCTTCAGTGGAAAAAAACCTGGAGGCGGAGTTCGGTTTAAACCGGGCATATAGCCTTTCTACTTTGTTCACATTTTTCCCTTTTTCGTCTGGTTTAACAGCAGGAACGTTCCAAGAGACTCTCATGAACCTATACAAGATTGGGGTTTTAAGTATTTGAGAAGCACACTGCACATTTTTGGCCTCAGCATCTGTTGGGAAATTTGCATATCGACCGCGTTTCAATACTCACACAAGGCCGGAGAGCTCTCATTGTGGTTCATAGATCTGGGATGACATCAATTTAATCGGTACAAATACTTTGTAGAAGGCGGCTGCAAAATAAATTGAATACTGTTCATGGATCTCAGCCCAAGAATGTGTACCCGCTTTCTGTCAAATGCTCAAAGGCCAACAGCGATGGGCTTCCTCCAGCGCTTGGGTCAACTTTCGAGAATCGATTCCAGGTATGATAAATAGAAGTAGAGGAGAGGAATCTCTAGTTTTTGGAGGGGGGATGTTCTAGCGACAAGTTCTCACTTGGCACATAATGTTTGTATGTTGCGATGAGGACCAGGGTTGATTTATATAGAGAGTTAACTCCTCTCACGCGCACAGCCGATACCAGAAATTATAAGCCCGGTCCAGTTAGCTAAGTAGAAGTGTTGGAAGTTACTATAGTAAAAGCAAGAATATGTTACTTCCTAGCCTTCGCTCCTAGAAACATTAGCAGGTAGCAGTGTAGTTATCGTTGGAGTATATGAAAGAACAGACTGGCAAGATGAAATCGAATTAGCCGGCCAGTCTGAGCCTTAGGGTGAGTGATCGGTTACTCAAGGAGTAGCTCAGGGATTCTTATTGTAGCGAGCCCGCCCAGGGTTGCGGGGTGACTAGCTCACCCTTTGCTCAGGGAGCCGATCACTTCTGGAGGCGGCGGTTTTTCCGTCACCTAGATTACTTTTCCATTGATAATCAATTTCTTATACTTCTATTTGATATAGCACATCAACTCCCTAGATCCTTCGGTATTATATACCGCGCTGGCTGGGGCTTAAAGGCTTCATTCCCTTATGGCCCGCCTCCCCGCAGCATCGCTGCGAAGAGGGGGAGGGAGCGAAGTTCTGTTGTAGTCTGGAGAGCAGGGCCGCCTTCTGACAATCAATTATGAGTCAGAATCAGTCCACTTTGAACATATGTGTCAACTACTGGACATAATTCAGGAAGATGGATTTTCATGTACATGGATGACCATTCCCCTCAACGACATCGCCGCGTTATGATCGGGCAAAACTGGAAGTCGATTTCGTTTTCCGTTTGGTTGCAGAGTGGTGCCATTATCAGTGCCGGTTCCACAGCTCCTCACCTTCTATGGGTAATTTATCCCAGGCGAAGCGTAAATCCTGCACCGGCCTCGCCTGAGTCTCCTCCAGGCGCACCGCCAAATACACCCGCAAAGTCCAGCTCAGGTGCATCTTGGCCCCGCTTAGGGGCTTCAGGTGTATGGTGGCGCCTCCGTTTCTCCATACCAGCCTTGGATGGGAACGTCGGGAACATCTCTTTGGGCTTGGGACGAGGGTCCTCTCGGAAGTATGGATGTGCTAGGCACTGCTGTGCAGTTGGGCGGGAAGCCGGGTTCAGTGCTAACAGTGACGACAGCAGGTCCAAGCCTGCGTTGGTGAGATATGGAAATCGCGAGCGGGGCAGTAATGGTGGATTTCCAGCAGGCGATGCAGACGTCGGTGGCAAACGCAATGATTTTGCATTGGGCAGGGATCGGAAGCCTGGCCAGGTCTGCTGATTTGGGGGGCCTGTCAAGGCAAAGATCTTGGAGACCTGGTCAACTTCGTTCTTACCCTGCAGCAAAGGCTCCTTGGTGAGAAGCTCGCCGAAGATGCAGCCAACGCTCCACATATCAATCTCCGTGCCATATTTGTCGGCGCCTAGTAGGAGCTCCGGGGACCGGTACCAAAGAGTCACGACGAGCTGAGTCAGCTTGGGTGGTGGATCGCCATAGTATCGCGCCATGCCAAAGTCAGCGATCTTGACCTCACCCCTATTGTTCACGAGGAGGTTGGAGGTCTTGAGGTCGCGATGCATGATCCATTGTGAGTGTAGGAAGTCAAGACCACCCACGACCTGCAGGAGTAGGGTCTTGATCTCGGACGGAAGGAATGGTTCGCGTATCTCATCTAAGAGGGTTTTGAGGTCGTGTTCGAGGAAGTCCATGACCAAGTAAACACTGTAAGATCGGCTCATTAGCTTTGCCGCACTTCGCCGGCGTATTTGACTGCTCTGGGGAATTCCACTCACTCATCCATCTTGTTACCCATAACCACTTCTCGTAGATAGACAACGTTCGGATGCCGCGCCTCCAAAAGCGTTTGAATCTCCCGTAGCCCCGTCACCGGGAACCCGTCCGGCGAGTTCTCGATCTTCAATTTCTTCAGCGCGACTACCTCACCCGTCGTGATGTCTTTCGCCCTCGACACCCATCCATACGAGCCCTCCTCAATATGATTCAGCCGCTCGAAGTTGTCAACATGCCTACAAGGTCCCCATTCACTCACAGGGAACCTCAGCAAGCTTGACTGCTTCTTCGGCTCCTCGCTCTTCAGGACTTCGTCGGCCGCCGAAGGCGCATCGGGGTCATTCGACAATCTCCTTCGCTTCTTCGGCGGTCCCACGTCCCCATTGACTCCCTGTGCTGTGTCGGCCGACTTTGTGGGAGCCGGAACTCTGCTGGCTTCCTCGAGCTGGCGCTGCTTTTCCACCTTGGCGCGGCGCTTCTCCTCCTTTTCGCGCCTGCGCTGGGCGATGATTGCTTCGGTCTCTGGGTCGTCGTTTGCCCAGCGCGATTTGGCGACCGACATGATTTGCTCGGGGCGTCGGGCTGGGCGCAGGAGGGGGCAAGTTGTGCGGAAGGAAGGAGGAGGTTCGGAATGACGTGTCGTGTCCCTGGGAAAGCGACGGGCCGAAAGGCAGCTCCGATTTGAAATCGAAATCCCCCCGCCGCGCCGATTCCTGGAACTTGCCAGTCACTCAATGCTCTAAACATACCTAGTTGGATCACTTGAATACTCTCTCTCTACGCATCTTCCTGCCTATTATTCCGATTCCCTGTCGCGCTCTGCGACTGTACGCCTTCGATCGCCTGGAAACCCCCAGCATCGGATCTACTTCTTCCCCACCATGATTGAGCCTTTCCAGGTCGGTCTGCCCTGACACAACTGGGCTCGTGTTGTGCTGCATACTGATACCAAATCGAATTCTAGACGACCTTTGCGGTCAATATGACCTGCGAGGGCTGTGTGAAAGACATCTCTACTTCCCTGAACAAACTTGATGGTACGATCTCCGCTCAGTGCGACCGAATCATGCCAGCCTCCAGATACGTTCTCACACCTTATCTCCATCTACATAGGCATCAAGAAGGTCGACGTAAACCTTAAGGATCAGCTCGTCTTCATTGAAGGCACCGCGCCCCCGAGCTCTATTGTGACCGCGATCCAAAATACCGGCCGGGATGCGATTCTGCGCGGAAGTGGCACCACAAACAGTACGCTTTTTATTCTATCTTAGGATAGCGCCTGCGGAACCATTTGCTAAATTATACTTGCTCCCAACAGGTTCAGCTGTCTGCATCCTCGAAACGCATTCCAACGCCGTCTCCAATAAGATCCGCGGCCTGGCCCGCATGGTCCAGGTCTCCTCGAACATGACCCTGGTCGATCTGACGATCAACGGTCTCGCGCCTGGCCACTACTATGCTACTATCCGCGAGGCAGGTGACATTTCCCGAGGCGCCGAATCGACGGGCGGCATCTGGGAATCTTTGAAAAACAAGGTGCTTGGCTCGGACGCCGCGGCCCTGCCGGCCGAGAAGGAGCCGCGCGGGATCTTCGGCAGTGTCGATGTTGATGATAAGGGCCGCGGCAATGTGTTCTTGGACCGACCTGTTGCTATTTGGGAGTTGATTGGACGGAGTATGGTTGTTTCCAAGAGCAAGGAGGGTCCGTTCCGGCGCGAGGACGATAACACCCTGGTCGGTGTTATTGCGCGCAGTCCTGGTGTGTGGGATAATGATAAGATGGTCTGCTCGTGCTCTGGTAAGAATGTTTGGCAGGAGCGACAGGAGCAGGTCAAGCAGGGAATGGCTTAAGCTTGGGTTTGGGGGTGTAGGCTGAGATTGACTGGCGGGTGATTTTCCTGGAGATGATGATGTACGAGAAATGTGGTGCATGCACTCAATACCTAGTATCATGCACCGAGGGGCAGGTTAGACGATCTATGTGAATACGCTACTGTAGTGTCGATGTCGCTAAGGCGGGGTTCATCGCTTCCAACTACCAAAAGTACATATCGAGGTATTATGTAGTTAGGTGGGGATGGCTTTTCGGTCACAGTAGTGCCGAGAATCTTATACGTTCGATTTCAGATTCGACCTGTCACTAACTTCATTAGCACCAGGCCAAAGCACATGCAGAAGACCTGATCTAGTATACAGCGGCTTCTCCACGCTACTGTATGCATCGAGCTGATGTGAATCATCGAACCGTTGGTAGCGGGGGGAGGGAAGGGGGGCGAATCAAGCAATCCTGGTGGGGCGTCATCGAAACGTGCCGTTTCTCCAACCGATGACCCTCCTTGTCTGGCCGTTAGAAAGCACACTAGCGTCCCATTATGCGCGCTTCGCAGACATGGAGTACCAGATACGATCAGTCGACCTCAGCATAAGGTTATTTCCCGGTCGTTCGTGTTCGTTGGGCGTGAAGAGAACGTGCAGGATAGCCTCGGTCTAGACTCAGTGACTAAGGGATCACGTGGGGCCGTCTGAAGCATTTCGGTTCCCCGCGACTTCAAGACTGACACTTCCAGCCGGTCGACTGGCACTGTCTCCCTCTAGTGCACTCGCAATGCTAGCTTCCAACTTCCAAATCAATACCTCAGTTCCACCGCCTTTGCCCGTAGAAAACCCCGCCACCTACTCCCCAGACGAAGTTCCATCGTGCGGAGGCCATGGAACTTTCGAGATCCTGACGATCACTCGATTTCTCGAGGAGCATGGCATCGAGTGCTGCATTGTTGGGGTCTCGGCGCTGATCTTCTACGGCGCCGGCCGTGTCCGAGATGTATGGGTTTCGCATTATCCCATCCTTCCACCGGTCTTTTCTCCCGGCTGACAACGGCTTACAGGAATGGGAGCTTTGCGTCCCCGACAACAAAGTCATTGAAGCTGCGGCTCTCCTCGCCTCTGACCTTATGACCGACAAGATTCACCCTCTACCCCCGCATTCGACTTCACATCCTTACTCATTAAGCCACACCTATCACCGATTCAAAGGGAGGGGCATTCATTTCTACTTCGTCCTTATGCCCGCTCATGACGCCCATATCCCATTCGGTCCTTTCCAAATACAACGCAGTCTAAATGGCCTGCCATACCCGACGCTACCAATTTTAATGCAAAGCTACCTGGACATGAATGATGATGTATCACTTTGTGACTGCATCGACGGGTCAAATGTCTCCGAAGAGTGGGGACGGCGGCATCTGGACCTGGACGGAAACAACGACCTGGAATGGACAAATCGTATGAACAAAGTCGTCCAAGAAGCGGCCCGAGGCAAAGGGTGGCTCTTTGTCCATTACTTCCCCACCCAAACGATCAGTAAGCGAGAAAAGTGGGAGTCCCGGGTTCGGAGTAAGAAGGGCAGGCTGGGCTGGACGACCCCAGATCACCTCTTTGACACACGCTTTCGCCTCAAAGGCTCGCCAGACCCGTGGACCCAAAAACTCATGTCATGTTAGAAAACTAAATAATGAAGGAAATGATTTAAATGATTTATTACTTTTGGAAGCTCATTCAAGCTCGGCATTTTGCAGACGGCGTCAGACGCCTAATAGTAATCTCATATTCTCGACCTGATCGGGAAACGCCACATATGCCGCTGCATATTGCGTCCAGAAATACCTCCGCTGCTCCAGATCATAGTAATCTCTAAACGTCGGGATCTGCGCTGCATACTGTGTGAACAAGAATTCCAGATCCAAAAAGTCTTTACTACCCTGTTCGCCTCTCCGGAAAAACGCGTCTAGCTTCGCATATATTTGAAAGACCAGACCTAGTACCAACACTGGAGAGCCCAGAGGCGTGGGCCTAAGTGGGTTAATGTGTTCGCGTGATGATTGCAGATCCTCTGGCGTGCCCAAATGTCCTAAGGATGGTCCTAAATATTAACAGAGTGTTATTGCTTTCTTGTTGACGAAGACAATCGTCGGACTTACCACTGATTACTATGTCCATGCTGACCGCCAAGTCCGGGACGTGAGGGAACTCGCCATCCACGCTACGCCCGGTGTCGATGAATATTTGGACGGATGTTCGGCCGTGGGTCAGGGGAAAATGTATTCTGGTGAGAGGTTAAATAAGAGAAAGGAACGAGCCATAATCCCCAGGAGTAGACTGTGCCAAAGTGTAAAACAAGTACCGAGATTGCGCGGTCAAGATCTGTTTCAAATGATCCATCGTCGTTGCGACAGTAATATCAATGTCTTGTGTCCTGCGTCGCCCCCCTCTTAAATAGACTGCCCATCCTCCAATAAAGGCATAGGTAATCTGGTGGTCCTCGAATAAGCTGGCTATGAATCTAGCCGCGAGGCCGAGCTGTAGGAGGTCCGCTGTATTTGACGGATAATAGAGCTCCGCGAAGCGATCGGTATTATAGATTTCCGCCATTGCGGGCGATGGAGGAGGATATTATTTTGATAGTCTGAGTGAATTTGATGGTGCGCGCCCGTCGCAGTGAATATAGGGGGCTGCCCATCGTCTGGTGCTTCGGGGAGGAGGGGGAGGCGAACTAATCCCTGGTCTGGTTTGGCGCCCGAGATCAGATCCCCTGCCGCTTACCGCTGAATTGCAAGTTGTACTATAGGACGACCCACGCAGAAGTATTTCCACACGTGACGCCCATAGTCGGACAACGCATCAAGTATGTTCTGATGCCCTGGGAATTTTGACAAAATAAACAAATTACTTACTGGCTTTTATACCTTGCCGAAAGTGGCTCAATATTTGGCCTTTCTGCATACCACAAGTTCACGTAGCCTAATGCCAAGAGGGAGATACTGATATGCTTCGTGGACTACTACAGTGGTCTTGGTGGTAGAGAGTATCATATTAGGGCTCTCTAAACGTATTGTTTTGCGCTGAGACAAAATAGGTTGTCATATAGTTCATAATCAATTTTGAAAAGGATGTCAAAGCTGTTCATGGCCTCAACTCCTCTCATCGCATGCCAATCAGTGTCTCCTTCATCGTATTGTATCCTTAGGTGATGTTTCCATCATTCTGCTGCTTCAATCATATCTAAGACCCCATCTAGATCCTGCACAGTTAAGCGACAGGTTTGTGAAGTAATCTCTGAGTTTCACAGCTGCCTGTACATTATCACCTTCATTATTCTTGTGCGCAGAGTGTAGTTGGATCGGCCCGAGCAGGAGGACCAAATTTGAAAAGAGGTGCAGCAAAGATACTCAAAACAATGATGAGGCGTCGGTCTCTTCTGGCAGCAGGGCAGCAGCCCAGATAACCCAGGTAATCAATGCACCTAGGGCGGTCCAGATGATCAGAACAGTTTAGATGCACAAGCCCACATGTGCTAGCGAATCCCTACGGTAAGGTAATGGGCCATTGTAAGCCTTCCTCGTGTTGAAAAGGGCTCATGCCCTTCTTCGAACGGTGGTTATATTCTTGTTCCCGCCGAAACTTCTACAGCCCCGCAGGCCGGTCACAATATGGCCGTAGACCCCGTCATTGCGGAATGCATTGTATGCCTTGAAACCCATTTCCCGAGATAATTGGGTGGAGGGAGCGTGGGAAACTGTACCACGCTAACTGTCTACTGCGCCAAGGACATCTAATTCTAAGGCATCCATGAAAAGTATGGTATGGTCTTTGTAACTGTAAAGAATATCTGTTGGGTATGAAGGCGGTACACTTGATTGAGCTTGACATCTCTACCATAGCCTCTTATAGCTATCATCGCTTCTGCCCCCAAAAAAAGAAGAACTTTGCGATTAGATAGCGGTTGGGCGAGAAGCACAGCGGAACATGCTTCTGCTGAGATGCCAATAGGAGGCTCTTCCTGGGTGCCCGTTGGATCGAAGCCAAAGAATATTTGCTGCATGAACGCATGCCCTGTTTGGCAGAGCAAGCAATGAAGGTGAGCTTGGGATTCCACTAAACAGCAAAGCTGTCTGGAGGTCGATGAAAAGTGAACACTCAAAACGTTTCTCTTGAGTATTTGAGCTACCTCCTCTCTTGGAACTGAGCGTATTTCGAATTTTATGGGGCACCTCTCTATCGACAGATCCACTCGGGATGTAGGGCAGGCTTTTGGCTGCTTAGTTGCTCAAAAAAATTGAATAGTGCGGTCAGGTACGTACTGACAGCTCCTGTACGGGGTGTGTTTGATCTGAAATTCCAAGGCCTCAGATCGACAAATGACTCTGTATCCTAAGGGTGTCGAGGCAAAGAGCAGAGAACTGATGAACAACCAGGCATGCTATTTGCCGTCGTGTGAAGATGACTTTTTGATAGACCATTCTGTATAGGCAAAATTTGTGGCGGAATTCCACCAGGAAAGAGCCTTGGCATTTCCAGGCTTATTCCACAGTGACAGAGCGGGTTTTGGCAAAGAGCCGGCCCAAATGTATTACATCTTTGAAATTTGTGGTCATAACTGCTGAAGTGAATGATAGTCCTTATTTGACAGAGTGCTCCTCAACGAAACAGCAGTTGTCTCCAATGAATAAACGAGCCAGGCTATATTCACGATTGGAGCCGGTTCCCTTTTTTAAAATCGCTGCAAGATGGTCCCAAAACGGCACGTCGGCGTCGCCAGCGCCAAGAAGGTCAATATATGCGGACATCGAATAGAAGTGAAAGAGGGTAGAATGAAGCGATTTGCTGTGACGTGCTGGTCATCTGGGTAGTCCTTTTACAGTATGGAAAGTCGTCTCTATCAAACGCAAATGAATCACTCGGGCCCACAACTCGTATTCGCTACCACAGAAGCATGATCCATGATGAAGGCTGGTGAATCCAACAAGCAGCTCCTCTTATGGTCTGTTCTTAGTGATAGCTAGGAATGTCTACAAAGCATTGACAAATTAGTTGGCCATTGGGGCTCCGTAGATCACGGGGGTATCGGTTCCTACCGATCTCGACGACCGTCGCAGATGGCTCCAACTTCACCATCCATTACCAAAAAGCCCAGATCCCCTCCCTCTCCGTCTCCATCCCGATAACCAAGGCCTCCAGGATGTCCTGCTCTTGCCTTTCCGGGCCTAGAGTACCCTATGCTCAACCCCCGTGGATATCTCGACTCTAAATAAAGCACTGCAAGCGCCGGGGCGGGGGTATCTCCCTTCTGCTCACCAATGAGCGCCAAAAGGAGCAGTGCGCAGGCTGGGCACGACCGCGATCCGATCTGATGCTCATGGTTGACTGACTCGTTGACTCCGTTGTTGGCTCCTAGGGCTCTATTCAACCTGCCCATATGGTCCCAATGCCCCGCACGACAGGCTGGCCGAGCAGGGGGCCTTTCCATGGGCCCACGCTGCGGCCCGTCCGTCGAACCAACCAACAACCTGGTCGTGCAAAACGTGGTTCCTTTGTGATGGGTCTGGTCACCTCTTTTCCTTCTCTTCTTGCCCAAAAATGAAGGTCCCCCGTCACCCGCTTGAACCCGGCCAATCTGTCATCAGCGGCCCATGCTGCATCTTGCGCGATGACAGGGGGCTGACAGGAGGTTGGCATCGGGGGTGAAATGGGGAGGGAGAGTACCTATCAGCTAAGTTCTATAGGTACCATTCTCCGCCCGTTGGCTCTCTCGTGCGGAACTCTGAACGAAATCAACATTTCCCCCCTCAGTCCATTAGTCCACTCAATGCACGGCATTCACTTACGATGCACACGATCATCGGCCATGCAGGAGCCCCTTTTGAATTAACCGCCCACTCACAGTCGCGGTGGGCGCAAACAATCCCGGTGTCAAGGCCGTCCTGCATGCTTATTGCTCACCTGGCGTGCATATCTCCTGCAGGTGCAACGCGGGTTATTTTTGGGCCATCACGTCTGCTGCTCGGCGCTTCCCATTCCTCGGGCTGGCTAACCCTGCTGGCCACTCGTTCATAGCGGACTACGGTGTATCGCGATCGTGCGCTATAGTGTGTCCCCAGTCGTAGTGAATGCGGTTCCCTGCCCAACCCCTGCCCCGCCGTGCAAGCGCCTCTGTCGATGCAGTTGCAGGGGCAGGTGCTCCGGGGCTCGTCCTGCTTTCGTTGCTTCTTCTGGACTCTCGATCCTCGCCCCCCCCCCCCCCCCCTCTTGCCCGCTATTTATCTCTTTCTTCCACTTCCCTACCCTATCCCTACCCTACCCGCCACTCACCCCATCCACCGCCTCATGCGTATCCACTCCGTTGGGTCGATACCAACATACCCCGCGACTACACCGGAGCGTGCGCACCGTGATCGGAAGTTAGCCCACGGCACGCCGCCTTTTGCTTTTTTTTTTCCATATCTCTCGCTGGATTTCGCAGACCTGGGATCTGTGGCCCGCCGGCTTTTAGGACATTCCAACCATCGGGATCGTGTGGTTCTATAAATACATCTGCGAGGGATCTGCTATTGGACTTGTGCTTCTATTTCCCGACTCGGCCCATCGACTTCCCCGCCAGAAGCACCCGCCGCCACAGCACGACTCAAACCCTCGACCTCCCGACCTCCCGACCTACCCATCAACCTATGAACATAAGCACCACTACTAGTTCCAAGAAATTCCTCCGATAGCTCACGCCATCGCGTATCCCGGCTGCCTCGCAGGTTTCTCTCTCCCGCACCACACCAGCCTAATCAGGAGCTGGGCCCGCCATCCCTTACCCCCGCAGCTCGTTCGTGCCTCCAACGAACCGAACCTTGCCCTGCCTCATTTCCATACCCTATCTTGGCATTTCCGATAGCCTGTCTACTCAGGACCACTCATCACATTGGCGGGATCCAGGGCATTAGGGGCCGAAGTGCTATAATAAGTATAAGTGTTGCTCCCTGGATGCGCGCAATCCCCGCGGAAGCGTGACGTGCTCTTTCCCGCCCACGGCACATCAGCGGTGTACGGAAATCCCATTCTGGCTTTCCCACGCTTTTTGGTTTTGTGTGCCCTCTGGATGAGCAGGGTGGGCAGTTGCGCTGTCTTGTATTTCCCCTTTTGATCAACTCATTCGGCACAGGAGAGACGTGATCCTTCCAGTGGCCGCTATAGGTGGGCGTGATGTCGCTTAAGCAGGTGAGTTTGGAGAGAAAGAAAGAGCAGATCAGATCGGATTCTTTCTATAGAGGCTGACGAAAGACAGGAAATAGAGACGTGGGTGCAAGCCCTAGATGCCTATGACAACCAAGAGTTTGAGGAGTCACTGCGCCATTTCGAGCAGATCGCGGACACGTCCAAGATCCTATTTAACTGTGGAGTGATATATGCAACGCTCGGTGAGCATGATAAAGCAGTATGCTATTGCCCTACTTCAGTTGCGTATGGCCCCGTCAATGGCCGCTCATTTTTGATTTTTCATGCAGGTCGAGTGCTATCAACGGGCCGTCGGGTTAGACCGATACCTCGCCATCGCTTACTTCCAGCAGGGTGTATCGAATTTCCTGCTAGGCGACTTTGAAGAGGCATTAGCCAACTTCAACGATACGCTGTTGTACCTGCGAGGGAATACGTCGATCGACTATGAGCAGCTTGGCCTCAAGTTCCGACTCTTTTCGTGCGAGGTCTTGTTCAACCGTGGGTTATGTTATGTCTACCTTCAGCAGATGACTCCCGGCATGCAGGATCTTTCGTATGCCGCAAAGGAGAAAGTAACGTCAGACCACGATGTGATTGACGATGCAATTCGTGAAAATGCAGATGTATGTGACCCCGAGCTTATGCATCTTGCACGCCCCGTGTGGGCACCTCGCTCATTGAAAGCAGGGATACACGGTATTCTCCATCCCCGTGGGCGTTCTATACCGTCCCAATGCGGCCAAAGTCAAAAACCTCAAAACGAAAGATTACCTCGGCAAGGCCCGGCTGGTTGCTGCATCGGACCGATCTCAAGGTGCAGACCACCAATGGCGGCCTATGGTCGTCGATAAAGGCGCGCTTGAGGACCGCGAAGGCGTCTCCTGGGCAGCCACCAACCTTGTCCATAAGGGCTTGAGCAGTCGCACCCGTCAACAATCAGAACCACCTCTCAGTCGCAATGTCTTCCCACCAACACCGCCACCAGATGACAGGTTGATCAGCAACGGCTCCGTGGCAGGCTCGTCACACAACCGCTCCTCGTCCCTCCGCATGGGCCGACCGCCACGCCTGGAACTGGAACGAACAGGAGCAGGTCTCGACCGCAGGCCTGGAGGACCGGAGGTCCCCCCCAGCTGACAAGCCACGCATTGGCACGACGCGCACCGCATCCGAGCCTCGTGGCCCGGCTCCCCGGCACCAGAATATGCGCGGCTTCGGAGATCCCACCCGCGGCGCCTCATCTCAAGGTGGTGGTCACCGCAGGAACCTTAGCGACACCAACACCAACCCCAACTTTCTCCCGGACCAGCCTGAATACGCCCAGCCAGACTCGTACAATTCCTACGCCAGCCCGGCCAATGGCTCCAGTGCTGGCTGGGGTCGCGCCCGCCACCAACCGCCCGCCTTCATCGACGAAGAAGACGAGTACGGCAGCGACGTGTGCGACGGCGAGCCGATCAAAGACGCTGCCTTCGAGCTACTCAGCGCGCCCGGTGGGCCCGGCTCGTCACCTGCGCAGAGCCTCCAGCAGCGACGCACCCGCTCACCAGCGCGGTTCTCACGGCGGGCAAACTCGCGGCGGCCGGAGGTGCGGCGGTTCCGGACGAAGGTGCATGCGCCGGATGATATTCGGTATATTATGATTGGGCCGACGGTGGAGTTTGGGGAGTTTGAGGCGAAGATCCGGGAAAAGTTTGGGTTTCAGTGCCCGCTGAAGATGAAGGTGCGGGATGATGGGGATATGATTACTATGGTGGATCAGGAGGATTTGGACTTGTTGTTGGCTAGTGCGAGGGAGGTGGCGAGGAGAGAGGGAAGCGAGATGGGGAAGATGGAGGTAAGTTACATCTGAGCTGTCTTTGAGTCCGCTACTTTTGAGAGTGATTGTGCTAATTGGTTTGATTTGCAGGTTTGGGTGGAGGAACAGTCGATGTTCTGATCTGATCTGATCTGATCTGATCTGATCTGATTTGATATGATTTGATTTGATTTGGTCGGGTGCGAGTTGAGGGTCAAGCTTTTGTAAAGGTGTCTGGCATATTGGGGGCATTTGTAGCATTCTGGTTTTGTTTATACCCTTTGGATTGGCATGCAAAGACGCAAGATATGAAACGACAGTAGATATAAGAAGAAGAAACATACCACATGATTGGCAATCAACAACGCGGTAAATAGTCTGTTTAGAAGATCGGGATCTGGAGTAGTATAGTCCCCATGGCCCCATGGCCGGGTGCCCGGCCAATCGTGGTGACGTGGAGTGTTGACGGGCCCACCCGACCGCGGAGATCCCAGCTGGACACCTTGGACATCTTCACCTCGCACCCCACGCCTCTCCAATCCACCACAATGACCGACCTCACCCCAACGCTAAACAGCCTCCTCTCCGCGCAACATGCGCGCTCAATTCCAGCCCCAGAAACCCGGGCCCCGTCTACCGACCCTGCAGACGAGTTCCTCAAGGAGGCCCATCGCATCGTGAGTCCACCACCTCCGCCCCCCAACCACGCGAGAAAGCAACCCAAATCACCAAATCACCCGGGCTAAACCTGACCACACCCCCAGAACACCCACATAACCTCCCTCCTCACGTACCTCCACTCCATCCGCCACGCCTACCTCTCCACAACCGCGCCGTCCCGCCGCAACCCCAGCACCACGCGCGCCACCACAGATAAACACTTTCCCTCCACCACGCACTCCCAACACCTCACCGACCCTGAGCGTGACGCAATCGACTCCTCAACAGCCCTCCTCCTCCGCGACCTCGCAACCTCCCTCACAAACCTGTCATCAGCCGAGACCCTCCGCCAAGAAACATCCGCCTCCCTCCTCCGCAAGAAATACGGGCACAGCGCCGCGGGCGCGCTTCTCTGGCGCTGGGCCGGCGGCGGCAGTGCCCTGGACCAACAAGCTGAGGAAGCCAAGTCAGCGGAGCAGGTTGAGGCGGAGGAGCGGGCGAAGACGACGGCGGGGGTGCGCGAGGGCGTGCTGTGGTTTCTGCGGCGTGGGCTGGAAGGCGTGGCTAGTGTGCAGCGGGGGATGGTGGAGAAGAGGATCGAGCGGGTGAGGGAACGGGAGAAGAGTGTCTTGTATAAGAGTGCCAGTGCCAGTGCCAGTGCCAGTGCCGGGAAGGGCACGGGGAAGAGCAGTGGTGAAGCGTCTGGGGGAGGACCGGGGCCGGCCGCAGGCTCGATGTCGTCGTCGGCTTCGTCGCTGCCGACGCGCGATGCAACGCTGAGCGAGGCGGACGCCGCACAGATCGAGGCGCAGTTGTCGCCGGAGCAGCTGCAGCTGTTCGCGGAGGAGAATGACTCGATGCTGCGGCATTACGAGGATACGTTGGGGAAAGTACAGTGCGTCTTACCCTCTTCCATTTTCCCTCTTCCCTATTCCCCTCTTCCCTTTTTGACGGGGGGATTCCGATTTGTTCTGGTCTTGTCTTGTCTTGTCTTGTCTTGCCTTGTCTTTGTCGGGAAGCGGCTGCCTAACACATTGCTCAGAAACGCCGAAAAGTCCCTCCTGGAAATCTCCGCCCTCCAGGAAACCCTCGTCTCGCACCTAGCCACGCAAGAAGAGTACATTTTTCAGCTTGTCAGTGACGTGGATACGACGCAGAGCAATGTCGGGCGCGGCAACAAAGAGCTCAAGCGCGCGACGGAGCGGCGAAGTACGGCGCAGGCGGTGTTTTGGGGGACGGTCGGCCTCTGTACGTGGCTTGTGGTGTGGGATTTGGTTTTTTAAGATGGTATCATGGTCGTGGTCGTGGTCATTGTCGGGTCGTTGTCCCCCACGAAAGGCGTTTGAGAATCTATATCATCATGTCCATAGATCTACTGTTGCTGCTAGCGATGATTGGCGTTGGTGCTGGAAAGAAAAAGCATCCCCCTTCTACGGACTTGTCGCATCTACTATACCCCATACGTTCTGCTTTCTTCAACTGTATTTCATCAACAGGAAGGTAGGCCCGTAGAGGGCCGCACTCGAGAAGCGCGCTGTGTCGCGGACCTCGACAATCATCAAAACCAGACCGCACGGTCAATCGATGTTGTATGGGTCTTCCGAGTATAGACCAGGGATACATCTCTATTGCCAAAACGTCAAGTCCCAAGTCTTCTGGTATTCCAGCTGTAGATCTACTACATGTGATAGTGATGCATAGGAAGAAAGGGGGGTACAGCAACAATCCAGCGAACCAAAACGATGCGAGAAAATCTTCGTCACAAGCAGTGGCCAAGTCTAAAGCCGGGAAATTGGATGGGGGGGGGGGGGGGGGGGGGGGGGGGTAAATAAGTAAACGTCAATCAAAAGGGAGATGAAAGGGCCGGCCCGGATTATATTCGCGTTGGCGGTGCTTACGAGGTCTCGCGGACCACGCTGTCGATCGCCTCGACGAAGTAGTCCAGGTTATGTGTATTTAACCCGGCCATGGAGATACGGCCGTTCTTGGTCTAGTCGCAAGTGAGGGGTGTTAGAAGGTTGGGTTCCATAGGAGTAAGAGCAAGGGCAAGGGCAGCATAGCAGCTGCCCAGGAATACGTACCATGTAGACGTGCCACTTATCCCGCAGAATCTTCACCTGGGTCTCGCTCAGCCCAGTAAAGCTGAACATGCCAATCTGGGTCGTAATGTGATCCCATGTGCCCGGCGTGCCACGCTTTTCCAACCGCTCACGCACACCGCGGCGCATCTCCTGGATGCGCCCGCTCATCGTCCGCAGATCCTCCTCCCACTCCGCGAAGAGCACGGGGTCATTCAGCACCCGGCTGGCAATGCGGGCGCCATACGCCGGCGGGTTGGAGATCTCTGAGCGCTGCAGGATGGCCAGCTGGCTGGCGATATGCTGGCTGGCGGTCGACGCGTCGGCGCCAGGCGCCGAGACGAAGTGGAACGCGCCCGTGCGCTCACCGTACAGACCGAAGTTCTTCGCGAACGACTGCGCGACGCACAGCTCGAACCCCTGCTCGACGAAGTAGCGGATGGCCCACGCATCGCGGGTGAGATCGCCGGACGCGAAGCCCTGGTAGGCGGTGTCGAAGAAGGGGAACTGGTGGCGCTCTCGCATCAACTCGGCGATCTGCTTCCACTGCTCCTGCGAGGGGTCGACGCCGGTGGGGTTGTGCGCGCACGCGTGCAGGAGGACGATCGAGCCGAGCGGCGCTGCCCGCAGCGCGCCTAGCATGCCGTCGAAGTCCAGACCCTTGGTCTTGGTGGAGAAGTAGGGGTAATTGGCGAGCGTGAGGCCGACATTGGTGAAGATCTGGTGGTGATTGGCCCAGGTTGGGTTGGAGAGGTAGATGGTCGGCGTGGGCTGCGCGGGGTGGAACTTGGAGAGGAACAGGCCGCCCAGGTGGACGGCGCCGGTCCCCGAGATGGTCTGCAGGGAGCAGATCTGTAGTGCGCGGGAAACGCGTTCATGTTAGCGATAGGGTATGTTCCTGTTGTCGGGTAGTGTAGGACGGATGGATGCAAGGGGTGGTGGGGGTAGGCGTGGGGGGGGCCGATGGGGCTCGGGTCGACATACCCGTTTCTCGCTGATCGCGGGGCTGTCAGCGCCGACGATGAGCTTCTGCGCGGCCGAGGTGAAATCGGCCAACCCGCCGATGGAGAGATATTCGTGGTTGAGACTGGGGTCGTTGTGGATAGCGTCATCGGCCTGGGATGGGAGATTGAGTCAGTCCCATGTCACGGTATGCGTCAGAATGTGGGCTGCGGAGCGCAGTTCAGGTCGCATGGCCGATCAAAAACGGTTCTATTCCCAGCGGCGAGATCGATGAGGTGCGGGAGATGGAGATTTACCTTCTTTACGACGGGTAGAATCCAGGGCTTCGCGTTGTTGTCGCGGTACGCACCGATGCCCAGATCGACCTTCTTATCAGAGGGGTCTTCGCGATAGGCCTTCATGAGGCCAAAGAGAGGGTCTTCGGGGGCCGCGGCGACCGTGGCCGGGGTGAAGACGGATGGATTGCCGTTGGAACCCATGATGTGTGAGGAGAGAGGAGGAGAGACGGTCGCGCGCAGTGGCAGAGAGGGAGGAGGAGGAAGAGGAAGAGGAAGAGGAAGAGGAGGAGGAGGAGGAGGAGGAGGAGGAAGAAGTGGGTATGGCAGAGATTCGATGTTGGCGGGTCGTCATGCTCGAAACGTCTAAAACCACGCCCAAGTAATAATCCGTAATAATCCTGCAATCGAAACTGCGCCAATCCCTGACACCGAAATTACTCGTTTAGTTTCCCCGGAATCTGGCGACCGAGAAAAAACTTTGCTCCTTGCGTTCACCGGATGAGGAATGATGAGGGGGAGGTGGAGTAGCACGCGGTTAATCAGGGGATGGTCAGCGAAACTACGGTATTGTTCTAAGGATCGAAAGAGCTCGCATTAAATAGCATTAGATAGCCCCCCTGAAGCTATCGTCCCTCGGGCACAAACGCAAGCCGAGGAAGTGCTTTATCGCCTGATGTGGAGTTCACATGCGCTGTTTTCCTCAAGACGGCTTAGCTCTTCTCTGTGTGCATGTGCCCGTGGTGTGTTCGATATACTTCGCACACAATGGGAGAGACAAACGATGCCTGTGAATATGCCACAAGTCAGGATTTCACATCCCAAAAATACCCTGACCCAAATGACTCAAATGACCCAAATTACCCGGCCCTCAGATGGAAAACAGCTCTGGCCTCCGACAGGCTGCCGTCGCCGGCAATGTGTCATCCCACCGAGCGGGAAAAAGGCGCAGTGGAGCCCCCTTCTGGAAGGTCCGTCATGGCCCACAGCGCCCTGCAGGTAGGCCATAGTGGGAGCGTTACGATCGGTACGCTGGGAGACTTGGGGGGGGGGGCACTTCCTCGTAGAATCCTTCGGTCCTACCTTCTGCTCCCTATCGCAGTTAGTTCACTACTCGGAACATTCTAGCCGTCTACCGTTCTCGTCCGTCAACCCCTCGTGAGGAGAGATCAGAGGCCTGTCCTGGTTGGTCACTAGTCTGTCCGTCGTATGACATCGTTGCCTCTTTCCCCCCACTCCCCACGCCGACCAGGAAAGTTGGGGCTGCCCCAAAAACGTGAGAAAAGAGGGAAGGAAAGCGGTGACGATCTCGGGACTCCGCAGGATCACTCGGGGGTCCGGCCCCCAGTGGAGTCCAGGAGGAGCCTCTTAACAGGCGCGAACGGCCGGAGAATTATCAAAGCCGGACTTGGTCCGACTCCCGCCGTTTCCCACGGGACTTTTCGCGATGTCAAGGTCCTGGGTTTCCGGCATTCAATAGGGGCATAGTTGGTATGGTATTCACGACAGAGTACTACCAGAGCGCAGTCAGTGATCCATCTAGTATCCGCGATCCCGGCGAGACATGAATCCATGCCCCGTCAGACTGACCTGTGAGTCCGAGGGCCTGGATCTCCACACCAACGCCGCCCCACCTCCATTGCTGCTCCCCCCGGACTGCCAAATCCGGGCAATCGGGCAGTTCATTCCGCCGGGGAAACGGGCCCTCTGAATCAGTCATGGTGAGGAGAACCGCAGGGAATTGCGCCCGATAGAAGAGCAGTGCCGAGGAGTGGATGGGGAATGTTTCAGATGTGATCGATCAATACCTAGCAGATCCCGGGATTTCGGCACCGGAAATCCCGGTCCAACCTCTCAGCATGGGAACTCAACGATCCCACGCGAGACCTGATCGGTATGACTACAGCGCAGATGGATATGAACACGATCGTAGATCGTCCCGACCGACTCGTGAGAATCTCCCATCGTCTGGTATGTGTATATATCTTCATTTGAACAGCAATATGGGATCTACATAAAACCCTATATCTCAATATACATATCCTATATGCAAAACAACGCAGAGAAAATCCACAGAGGCAAACGAAGCAAAAGAAAAGCAGATCTTTTCTTCTTTTCCCACCCCCACCCCTATAGTCTCGTTAGAACGCCGGTTGTGCGCTTCCCAAAATGTGCAAGGCAAGCCAAATCAAAATCAAGTCCAGGGAGATCAAGTCAGAGACTGACTCGGTGCAATCTGATCCCAAACGCCAGTGAAAGTCACAAGTCACAAGAATAGGCCATCAAATCAGAAACACGTAGAACATCAGATCGTAAAGTGCATGGCAGAGAAGCCGCGAAGCGTGAAGGAGTGTCGTTAATCATGGGAGTCCGCGGCCGACGGGCCAGCGGTATGGGCGGGCGCGGGCAGCGTAGGCGTTGCCGCCCCGCTTTCGACCGGGCTGCTGTCGCCGTGCGCGTGCGTACGGATTCGGAACCGGTCGCGCAGCCGGCCGGTGAGGCGGCTGCGGTTGGGTCGAGCCGCCGCATCGCCGTCGGCGGGTTCGCCTTGGTTGGTCTCGCGGACATGGCGGAGGGCGGCGAGGCGTTCTTCCACGGTGGCATTGCGCATGCGCCGGGCGTTGAGGGGGCCGTGCAGGTAGTTGGTGAGGCGGTGGTGGGAATGGCGGTTGTTTTGGGATCCCTCGGCTGGGTTCTCTTCGTGGTGCTGGTCGGCATGCTCACCATCGTGCTCGGCATTTACCTCCGTCTTCGGCGGGTTGAGATCGATGCGGCTAGGGGTGAAGGGTTAGTCGGGTGGTTCGGGGGCGAGACATCTCCTGGATTTCGCGACACAAGGGCTCGGACGAGGGATCTTACCAGAGGGGACATGTGCCGGACACGTTCACCAGCCACGGATCAATACACTCGGGGTGGAACTGATGGTTGCAGGGGAGGACGCGCAGGTCTTGGCCCTTGATAAAATCATCGGTACAGATAGGGCATGAGAAGTTGCCGCCGTCTGGCGCAGCATCCGTATTCGACTGGGTCGCAGCGGTCATAGTGGGCGGGTCGGCGACCGGTGGTTCGGGGGTTGGCAGTTCGGATTCGTGCGGAGTCGTCTGCCCAACGTCGGGAATGCTCTCCGAGCGGGGAGGAGAATGCTCCCGGGCGGGATCAGCCGCGTTGGCCATCTCGACATCCCGCTTGGCGGCAGCGACGTTGTTGTCGCCGAACTTGACGACGGGGATGGTGTCCAGCATGGCTTGGGCGATACCTCTTGCTCGACTTTGCCGTGGCCGGCCCGCGGCTCGGCGAGGACCATACCGCTCGGGATGACGGTGGGCGCGGACGGCGCCGGTGATGATGATGCTCAGGAAGAGGGCGGTGATGATCCCTGTGATGCTGTACAGGATAATCATCGCTGCCAAAGAAAAATAATAACGTCATCAATACGAGTCATGCTTTGGGCAGTAAGCGATTACGAGAAAAGACCAAATGGGCACTGACCAGTATTAGGGCTCCCACCAGGGCCGCCAGGGCTGGTGTCCACACCGGTGGCCGTTGGGTACGACATTGGGACAATGGAAACCGTGCGGTTGGGAGCCGTCGTCAAGGTCTGGTTCAGGGCGGCGACAGCACGAGAACCCGTCAAGGTGAAGATGTAGCGATATGCCTCGGCCTGATCATTCGTGGACAAGTTGCAATGAGTCGCCGATGCACTATAGAGAATGATGGCCGCAGGGGGCTGTCCCGCAGTGATCACACTCTGGACGGTCTGGTCGACACCCAATTCTCCCGGGTAATTGACGGACGAGTCGTCACAGGGGATGCAGGCAATTTCCCTGTTATTTAAGTCTAGTGAGTTGGTGGCAGTCACCTCGGTGACGGTGCCCGAGACGTTAAAGGCCTAGACAATCGGAATTTAGCATGCCTGCACGGGCAATGGGTCATCATCAGAAGAAGAGGAAGAGGGAGGAAAGGCCAGCAGAAGTAAAGGTGCGTGAGTCTTACTTGGACTTGGCTGGACGATAAGTTGACGAGATAGTGTGTCAACGGGGCGAGGGACTGGCCGCTGAGTGGACTGGAACCCTGTAAGCGGAAGCGGGCGGAGCTCGACCAAGCTAGATCTTGCGTGTCGTTGGAGGGCAGCACCGAGATATCCGCCAGTACGGGCACAGCGGCAATGAGACAGATGAAGAGAGGAGAGCACCACAGCCCCATGGCCGCGTATATTTCCCACGGGAGACGGCGGAAGTCCGGGGTGTGGGGATGGACTGGGAGCCTGAGGGCACTGCGACCGCCCTGAAGCCCACCGAGGCGGGGGAGAAGGGACTGTCGTGGGATTGGGGGGCGAGTGGGTGCCCCGAAGTGATGACGACTGGACCAAACACCGGGGAAGTCGCGGTCGGGTGCAGCAGAAAACAAATAGAGGTGGAGGAATTGTGGAAGAGAGAGTGGAGGGGAGTGGAGTTGCATAAGAAGGAAAACGGGAAAACAGGGAAAGCGAGAAGAGAGCTAAGGCCGATCGCAGTATGGATCCCCGTGGAGGAAGATCCGAGGAGCGATAATGGAGCGATAATGGAGCTCGATCTCGTATAGCGTTTCGAATGGCAGAGCACCTATGCTGGTCAGAAGGCGAAGCACTGAACTGCGGCTGGGCCCAACCATGGTCGGCTTATGGGAGGCTATGCGGGAGATGACCAGCTTGACCAGCTCGACCAGCTTGGAGAGACTACAATGGAGCTATTCTGGGGAGAGCAGGTGCATATGCCATTTAGGAACGTCGGTTCCATGGGCCCGGCCCCCCATTGAACCCTTACATCTGACTCGACCCTTATCCGTCCAGAGAGGCATGACGAATGCTAGAGAGTGACTTGATAGGTTCAGGCGAGAACCTGGACTGCCCCAGACAACACCTCTGGCTGGTCCTGACCAATATGTGCCAATAGTCGCCTGCAGGGTGTCGATCAGACGCTGTTGATATCACGGCACCCCATCCACTCCGATCGAGGGTCTGTGACCGGGATCCACTTCCCAGCGCGATTGACAGCCAGTGGTTTCGCCGGCGTTGGGTCTTCTCCGTACTCCGTCCACCCCAAAGGAGTAGGCGTACGGAGTACATGAGAGTGCACATAACAGGACCGAGGTGGTCGGCTGTCCCGGCCGATTTGGTGGTTCTGCGCCTCCTGCCTCGTCCCGGCCAGCCTCCAGCGATATGGGAGCCGACTTCTGTCGGTGAAGAGGAATCCGGTTGACTAAATGGGTGAGCGGTAGATGGTCCGGGCTCGAGCCGGGGGGTTCTGAGGATATAGATTCGGCCGCACCCTGCCATTCCGTCTCCTAGCCACCTTTATTTCCTGCAGGTTCTTATATTCTCTTCGTGCGCGGAGAAACCCCCGTGGAGCCTGATGGCCTGACAGCCTGACAGCCTGACAGCCTGACAGCCTGACGCACTCGGCCATCAGGCCAATAGGCCAATAGGCCACTAATCTGAGACACCAGACTCACCGAAGGTCGAGGAACTAAGGCGAATTGAGCGGAGACGAGATTAACGGCCATCCTCCAGCCGTTCAGCCTTTGAGCCGTTGAGCCTTGGAGCCTTGGAGCTTTGAGCCCTGGAGCCACAGAACCTGGAGCCACTGTTCAGTTTATAATCCGATCCTTCCCTTACCCGTGGGCCGTGGGCTCGCTCAGCTGCGGATCATCCCCGCACGCTAAAGCGCGAGAGCGAACGCACGGGATGGCGATCCATGCAGGTGGCTTGTTTGTGCGCGCTCCAACCCGACGAGAGTCCTGGGCGCAATGAGGGCTCCTGTCGTATACTCCAGCACCCTCGTCGTAGGTACCTTGCCGTACCGCGTACGACTGCGACCGAAGTACATACCGGATGGGAAGTCTGGAGTATTAAGGTAACCCGGTCGCTAGGTGACTCTGGAACTTCAGGTATGAGGGGCCTAGGCGACAAAAGAAAGGAAAGGCCTGAAGGGCGCATCCCGAACCGGGCGGCCGCCGAAACTCTAAGACGGCAACCCATTTGCCTACGCGAGTATAAGATGCATAGGGGAGAGACGAGGTTCGAGGACCGAGGATCTGGGGACTATATTCTGAACGGAGCAAGGTAGCTAATAGCTCATCCCTATAAAGCAGGGTCATGCTGGTTCCCTGCCAGGCCCGAGGGCCCAAGGGGAAAAAAGGCCCAGCCCGGGGCTTTCGGGCGGAGCCTTCTGATTTGTGGAGGCCCAAGTGGGGGAGGTCGAGGCTCTCATCGACCGGCGTCCAAGGCAAAGAAAGGAAAAAGAGGAAGAGAGCGTCTGGTCCAGTCACTTTTTCTGCTGTCCCCGTCCCATTAATAGTAGCTTCCTCGACTTTCGGTTGATCTGCCCCAGCGGCTGCACCCGCCGGTCCTTCACCTTTCACCTTTCCCCCTCTTCAAACCTGCGGACTGCAGAGGACGTGGTGGACTGGACTGCGGAGGACTCACATCCCCCTCGTTCCCTCGAAACCCCCGAACTGTCCCCCTTCGATCGGCACTCCACTCCCAAAGTCGATCCACTCCCGCTTTCACCCATGACAGCCTGAGAACTGCACCCGCACCGCACCCGCACCACCACACCACCGCACCGCACCGCACTACCACCCCATCGCACCATCGCACCATCGCACCATCGGCTCCCACCGACCACCAGACCGTTCCCCCTACCGCCCGATCCTGTCCCGTGTAGGAGGCCATTCTCGCGAACCGGGGGTGCCTGTTCGGGCGCGATAGGTGTGGCACCATGCCCTCCCAGTCGTCCACAGAGTCCTTCCCCAGGGAATGGGAACAGTGCTCTGACAGGAAGCCGATCTCCTCGTAGGTCCAACGGTCCCCCTCCATGCAAAACACGCCCTGCTCAGGCCCGCCCCAACACTTCCGACCGGGCGTCCTCGCGGATCCCCAGATGCTAACGTCCCTGCCCCGGGCCCAACAGGAACCCGATCCTTGCCAACCTCGATGTCGAACACAACGAACTCGCGCAGACCTGGAAAACCTTTGTTCGTCACATCCCGCTCGAAGATCGAGTCGAATGGGGGCCCCAGCCTCCGTCGGCCGGCGACGTCGTCGCCCTCGTGCGCAGCATGCAGTCTCTGTGGAAGTCCCCGCCCCGGCAACGGGTCTTCGGACCGGCCATCACCCTTTGCGATCGATTTCTGCCTACGGTGGAAACCCACGCCCTCTTGCTACCCGTGCTGCCCGATGCCGACCTCTTCCATGCACCCCTCTTCTACGGCGTGCTACAAACCGTGATCAAGGTGGGTGACTCTCGTCGGACGCAACCGGAGAAGAACACGGCCCTGCTAACCACCGTCAATGCCCTCCCTCCAGGCGTCATCAAACTACCCTCACGTGCTTGAAGCCCTGATGACAGCCCTGTTGAACATCCATAGCGCATTAGGGTTGCTGCCGGAATCTCTATCCTCCGTCCACGTGATGCCCGTCGCCCAGATATACGCCTTGTGCTTCTTCTTCCTGACCGAGTTCATGGACTGGTTCGTCCGGCGGTCCACCTGCGAACTCCTCAAGAGCCATAGCCAGAATGCCTACTCGGAATTCCATCACCTTGTCAGCTGCATCCAGCACGAGGCCCGGGTCCTCACTCGATCATCCGACGCCATGGACGTGGATCTGGACGAAAAATGCGACTTGGCCTACAGCCCGCGCGCCCTCTGGGAAGAGTCCCAGCTCAGCCAGGTCGGCCGCCAGGGAACGGATCGCCGGATCGCGGCGCAGAACACGATCACCCGCCGGCTGATCTGGGAGATCCAGCAGGACGCCGAGGATCGAGCTCGGATCCGGGAGCAGCGGGACCAGTTGCTGGCGGATATGCTGAGTGCAGTCAGTGAGCGGCTCCGTCCGACCAGTGAGCAGAGCAGCGGAATTGTCTGCATGACCACCGCCGCGCCCGATCTTGGTAGGAAGCCCCCGTCTGGCTCCGGGTGCGGAGCTCAGGGCGCTAATATGAATCGTCTAGTGGCTTCGGCGTTTGAATGGTCGCGAGTATCCAAGCGCCGTCTCGCGCGCCTGGAGCTTCAAAATGCATCTAAACATCTCCAAGCATTCTTTGACACTGACGACCAGATTGCCGACCTGGAACCCGATGTCCAAATACTAGCCGAAGGCAACGTGGTCACGTCTCTTCAAAAATGGGTCACCAATCCTCGATCCCAGGCCCTCGCCGTCGGTGGGTCCGAGTCCAACGTTTTCCCAAACCCCACGGCTTTGATCTCGGCGTGTTATGCCTCAGCTGCCCGTCGAGCCCGACTGCCCGTCATTGCCCACTTCTGTTCCCTTCCCAGTACGGAGGTCCCGGGCCTCACTTTACATCAACAGGGCCTCGTTGCCCTCACCTACAGCCTGATCCGCCAATTGGTTGATTGTCTTCCCACCGTGGTGGACAGCGACTCTCTGCTTGACCTGAGTGCCGAGCGATTCCGCCAGCTTGATGGCACCATGTCCAGCTGGAAGGCTGCCTTGGCCCTTGTCGACACCCTGCTGCATTTTGTCCCTCCATTGCTGGTCTGTGTCATCGACGGCATTGACACCATCCACGATGCGTCCACCGACGCCGCTCTTCGGGAGCTCATCCGCGTCGTCCTCACCCACACGCGTCACCAGCCACAGGCCGCCAATAGCGAGTGCCCTAGCCCAACCTTCCTCTTCAAGGTTCTCTTCACGGCGGCCGGGCGGCCCAGTGCGCTGGTAGAGACCATGTCCGAGAACCAGCTCATCCTGAGCGAGCCGGCCCTTTCGGACGAGCCCACGGCGTCGGACACTGTCCTCCCCCTCCGATCTGGGCGTAGTCATGATGAATGCATGAACATCTGATTCAGCCTGATTTATATTCCAGCCCATCTCACGAATTTCCTTTCTCATCTCATCCTCCCCGGTTTCGTCGAGGCCATCACAAAAGACCTCGGATTCACACATCGATCTGCTCTGCACGCCACTGGGGTTTCTTGGCTACGAGGTTTCTTATGACGCATGAGGCACGCACGGCGACCATTGAGCAGTTCTTTTTCTCGCTATTTGCAAAGTCTATTTGATCCGGAGATACCTTGGCTTTCTTATCTGGGTTTTGGCCATGTTTCAATTTTCTTTTTCTGTTTTATTTTCCTTCTATTTTCTGTCTTCCCTTGTCTCCCGTCTCATCATTGGCGCCTCCCTGTTGCTATCAACCGATCTTGTTTTACTGACTATTGGCATTGGCGTCTGGAACTTCCCCGGGAACATGGATTTGGGGATATCATGCTTACGTGACACTCGTGAGCTTGTGCATTCTACCCTTGTTTTCTTATTTCTATTTTTTTTTCAGTGACTTGTGGTAGACCTTGTATTTATACTGCTTGCTCGCTGTGATACCCATGTCTAGAAGTAATTGTCTGGTTTGATTCTATGAGTCCGTGTGTGTGTCAGTGTGTTAGTCTCTTATCAGTATCACGGAAATCGGATTCCGAGTGGCGTGGCATTCCAGTTCCTGGATGTGCTGGCCTAGTGAGGCCCAACCGGGGGTGGTGGAATGCCGGTGAAGACGCGGCTGCTGATGCGGGGAGGAGGGGGAGGGGGGGGGGGGGGGGAAATTTGGTGCCGGAGCCGCTGGAGATTGAATTCCGCTCTCCAAGTACTTAAAAACACTCCAGGCAAGCGTGCACTACACTCAAATGTTATCATTAAACCTGCCATTATGAACGGGCAGGCGCCAATTCCTGCACGGCTCTACCATGAATCTTCCATCCAGCTCGATGAGTTCCAACAAATCTGCTCGCGCTCCGTCGACGCATGGACATACCCGCTCGCATGCGCTGTCGGGCAGAATGTCCCCATCTACGACCTGGCCGCGCTGGATGCGACGCACGTAACAGCGGAGACTCTCTCGCACCTCCAAGATGAATGGCACCACATCTTACACAGCGGGCCCGGTGTTTTCGTCCTGCGCGGCATGTACGCCCCCGCGCAGTACGGGCCCACCCTCTCCGCCACAAACGACGCCTTTGACCGCATCATCGCCCGCGAGCGCGCCTCCAACCACTCCAAAGGCGACCACTTCGCCGCCAGCGGCAGCAATGACCGCATTTGGAACGCTTTTTCCAAGCATGGCCTCGAAGACCCATCCTCCTTCGCCGACTACTACGCCAACCCCTGGCTAGCCACCGTCTGCAGCGCCTGGCTAGGCCCCGGCTACCGCGTCACCGCACAGGTCAACGCCGTGCACCCCGGGGGCGCCGCCCAGGAGGCACACCGCGACTACCATCTCGGCTTCATGGAAGCCGATGCGTGCGCGGGTTTCCCCGCCGCCACGCAGCGCGCCTCGCAGTTCCTCACGCTGCAAGGCGCCGTCGCGCACACCGACATGCCCGTGTCCTCGGGGCCCACGCGCTTCTTGCCTTTCAGCCAGACCTACCCGCCGGGGTATATGGCCTGGCGACGACCCGAGTTCCGCGCCTTCTTCCAGGCGCACTACGTCGCGCTGCCGTTGGCGCTCGGCGACGGGGTCTTCTTCAACCCGGCATTGTTCCACGCGGCGGGCGCGAATGTAATGGACCGCGACGATGGCGGCTTCCGGCGTGTCGCCAATCTGCTGCAAGTTAGCAGTGCGTTTGGAAAGCCGATGGAGTGCATCGATGCTATTCCTCTTGTCGATTGTTGCTGGGATGCCCTCCTGGCCCGGTACCAGGCTGCCGGGAAGAAGGTCGCCGATCGAGATCTGGATCCACGCCACTGGTCCCGCCCGGCGCGCGAGATTAGGGCCTTGGTCCAAGCTCTTGCGGAGGGGTATCCGTTTCCGACAAATTTGGATCGTAGGCCGCCTGCGCCGGGGGGTATGGCGCCGGAGAGCGAGCAGGATGTGTTGCTGCGAGGGTTGGCGGGGGGATGGGGCAGGGCGGAGATGGTGGCCACGCTGGAGCGGATGCGGCAGGACTCCCGGGCGTGAAGGATGTTCTGTCTGTTTTTTCTTAGTTGTTCTAGGTCTTGCTCGCTTTAATTAGGTCTGCTTGGGTTCCCGGGTGGTTTCGAGCGGGAGTGGATTAGTCCAATAGGTGTGCTGCACAGTGCTTTGGATGGATTTGGTGAATGGACCTGTCATGACTGCGGTGTGGTACAGTGGTTTATTTCGATTCTGCTTTGCAAGGATTGTGTGTGTGCATTTGCCACCTACCCCTGTTTGGACCCCCGGAATCGGAGATCTGGCGACGCGATTGGCGCATCACTCGCGGCGCCCGGTGGAGACGGGCGGGACCTGCGTCCATGGGTGCCACCACCGGGGCTTACAACGGCGGGGGGGGGGGGAAATTTGTTGACGAGGAAAGGATCAGGAACGGGGGGCAATCATGGCCGGTATCAACAATGGCTGCCAAAGAAAGTGCGCCGTAGTCTCGCGAGGAAGGGCATATCATGTGACGATACACTGGATACGGTGGATGGGGATACCTCAGTGATGATAGGTCTGAATCTTAATTGGTTCTTGCTTTTTTCTCTCTACGGAGTACGGAGTAGTATTATCGCAATTGCTGATGAGAGAGTAAGTGTCGCCGAATGAGTTCATTGGAATGCGGCTGCCAGGGCAGTGGGTCGAATGCCCGTGGCTGTCTCACATTTTTCAGCGGGTTCCCCCCCCAACGCTGGTGAAACAGTGTGGCTTTGGGCTTTGGGCTTGGCTGGACTGGACTGGAAGCTCTGCTTTGACTTCTCTCTCCACACCTTCCTCCACGGCTAAAAAATCCCCGAAAACCTCAATCGTTTCTCCCTCGACTCTTTGCAGGGCAGGTCTAATTCTTCGTCTTTCAGTCTTTCCTTTGCCCACGCTCGCTTACCTCGACCGCCGATCTCGTTCTCCACCGCAACAGCCTACGACAGGTTACTCTCGCGCAAGAGTGGAGGATCGCCTACCAACCGGCCACAACCGCTGGGTCGGCAACTACAGCCTAGCGAGGCCCGTCACGACTGAGCAAGACGGTCTCGAATTCTCTGGATCTATTCGCGGGCCCGTGAGGGGAACTAGAAGATCCAGGACCCAAGCGCACCGAACCAGAGAGCTCTCTAGTTTCCGAAACACCCAGCCGCAAACCCACACGCCCTAGCGGCCTATGAGTTTTTTTCCCAGGGCCCTTCTCCACCAACCCTGCCGCCACCGAACCAACCAGCTTCGGCATATCAATCGCCCTATCAGCCAAGGAAAGTCCTCTGTGACGTACCCATAAAAGGCCTCCTGCCCTCGGCCTCCCCCGGCGCCCGTCTTTCCTGCGATGAAGGGCTCTTTTGGGGATCGCAGCAAAGCGATTGTCGACTCATCGGTTCCAACAGATTCCCGACCTGCCGCACGACGGGATGACAAACCCCAACGACGTGACGATTGATATTCCCCTCACCGAGACGGTGAGCCGGAGGAGCCAGAACGGCGCCCGGAAATGGGGGTCTCATGCTGGGTCGACTGCGCCGATCACTGGCGATGAGAGCGACGAGAAGAAGGGCCTGCATGGGCCCGGTCGTCGACGTCGACATGAGCACTCGGATATCAATGACTCGACCGGTAAGCCATCTGACGCGCCGGAGGACGGCTCGCTCAACCGCATGGGCCGCATCTACCAGGCCATCTACAACTTCTCCATTGTCACTCGTTACATGATTTATGTTATCCCTGTTGGCATCCTGATTGCTATTCCTATCATTGTGGGCGCGACCGTCGCTCAGACTGCGACGATTGGTGGCGTGCATATCTATTGGTTCTTTACTTGGGTCGAGGTTGTGTGGGTGGGTTTGTGGGCGTCCAAGATCTTTGCCAAGTTCATTCCCTATGTCTTCCAGTTTCTATGTGGCATTGTGAGCTCGGGAACGCGCAAGTATGCACTTATCTTGCGTGCACTGGAAACACCGATTACGGTGGTGCTGTGGTGTGTGATCTCGCTGGTCACGTTTCTGCCGGTATGTTCGAGCTGCAACCCTTCGGCGAGGAGCAATGAAGCTAATACTCTCTCGCAGGTTATGACCCTCAACCCTGGCATGCGGGACAAGAACGACACCGGAGTAAAGACGTGGGAAAAGAGCGTCAAGAATATCCTGTTCGCCCTGCTGGTCTGCAGTCTCATCCTCATCAGCGAAAAAACTTTCGTGCAGCTCATCTCCATCAGCTACCATCGCAAGCAATTCGACGCCAAAATCAAGCAGTCCAAGCACAATGTCTACCTGGTTGGTCTACTATTCGAAGCCTCCCGCAACATGTTCCCCGCCTACTGCCCCGAGTTCAAGGAAGAGGACGCCATCATCTTCGATTCGCTCCTGGCACAGGCCGCCGGCAAGAACAGCAAGCGGAGCTCGGTGATGCCCCTGCGCATGATGCAGCAGGTTGGTCGACAGGTTGGCCACAATGTCGGCCGTATTGGTGACAAGGTGACCGCCGCGTTCGGCAATGTCGCGTCGGAACTCACTGGTAAGCAGGTGTTCAACCCGCAAGCCACGCATACCATTGTCATAGAGGCACTGGAGCGCAAGCGATCTGCTGCGGCGCTGGCTCGCCGTATTTGGATGTCGTTTGTGGTCGAGGGCCGCGATTCGCTCTATTTGGACGACATTGTCGAGGTCTTGGGCCCCGATCACGAGGCCGAGGCGGAAGAGTGCTTCATGGCGCTGGACAAGGACGGCAACGGCGATATCAGCTTGGACGAGATGATCCTCACGATCAGCGAGTTCGGCCGCATGCGCAAGTCGCTGGGCCACAGTATGCACGATGTCGACCAGGCCATCCACGTCCTGGACAACCTGCTACTCACTGTCGCCAGCGTGGTTGCCATCCTGGTCTTCATTTCGTTCGTTACCACCGGCTTCGGCACGGTCATTGCTGCCGGTGCTACTTCCCTGCTCTCGCTGAGTTTCGTCTTCGCGACCACCGCCCAGGAAGTCCTGGGCTCATGCATCTTCCTGTTCGTCAAGCATCCCTTCGACATCGGTGACCGCGTGGACATCGGCGACAAGGCTTATGTTGTCGAGCGTATTTCCCTGCTGTTCAGTATCTTCCGCACAGTCGGTGACCACCGAATGACCCAGGTGCCCAACAACATCTTGAACAGTCTGTGGATCGACAACTTCACCCGCGCCAATGCCATGCACGAGCAGCTTTCCGTGCCGGTGAGCTTCGATACTAGCTTCGCGGAGATTCAGGCACTGCGTGAGGAAATGGAGCTCTTCGTTCGGGACAAGGATAACTGCCGTGATTTCCAGCCGGAGATCGATATCGAGGTTATTGGCGTGGGTGACATGGACAAGCTCGAGCTGCGTGTTGATATCCGCCACAAGTCTAACTGGTCTAACGAGACCGTCCGGGCCGCCCGTCGCTCGAAGTTTATGTGCGCTCTGGTGCTGGCTATGCGCAAGGTCCCGATCCGGGCTCCTGGTGCGGCAGCTCCTGAGGAAGAGTCCAAGGAGGACGGTGGTGATGACAGTGATGACAAGGGCGATGGTGCTGCCGCGGGTGCCGACGGCAAACCGGGCCTCGCTAATGGTCTGAACCCTGCTGCGGCTGCCGCCGCGGGCGGCATGATGGCCTATGATGCGCAGACTACCGGCTTCGACCAGGGACGGTCCTCCGGCACAGTCACCCACCGTGGCTCCACGAATGCCAGCCAGCGCGAAGCCGCTATCGCAGACCGTCTAAACGCCCGCTCGCCCGCCGTCCCCTCCGTCGACCCCGCCCGCGACGGCGGCGATAACCTCTACCGCACCACGGCCGACAATTCCAGCCACGGCCAAAGCAAGCAGCTGAGCGTGAATGATAGCACCGCCGCCGGCGTGACCCGCGGCCTGTCGACCGGCCACCGCAAGGCGGGCGTGCGCGCCTCCTACGCCTCCGAAGATGTGCCCATGCCACCGCCTCTCTCCCCCGCTGGAGCTGGCACGATCCCGTCCCACAACAACGTACCGATCCTGAACACCCCTGCGCCCCCAGGCTCCCGCGGCAGCACGCGCTACGAGCCGCCCACCCACGCACCCTCGCCCCAGGGAACCTACTCCCAAAACTACTACCATAACCAAGAGAGCAACTACGACTCGGTCCCGCTGAGCGGCATCACGCCCGACCGCGCCATGGCCTCGAGCCATTACGAGGTACCGGAACGGTACGACCCGTTCTCTCCGCCGTCAATCTACTCGCCCCAGCAGGCGCAGGCGCCGGCGCCGGCCCTGACGGGCGAGGACAGGCAGCATGAGTCGTTTATGTCGAGGACGATCCATAGTAGAAAGAATAAGGATTCGCCGTACGGCGAGCACGAGCCATGAAAGCGATTTTAACCTTTGCATTTCGTCTTTTTCTTTATTTTTTATTCTTTTTTTTTATTATCTCCGACTCGACTTATATTCCGACTCATTCTCATTTTCCGCGGGGGTGTTGATAGACGGGTGATTTCTCTATTTCAATGTTGGGCCGTCTCATCACTTCTGAAGCCACAAAAGTTTCCTTGCCCTTTGTGTTGTATGATATGCGCCTTCTTGGCTGGTGATAGATCTGAGTCATGTACGCTAAACTGAATTCCAATGGATGATGGGGCTGATTTCTCACTTGACCTTCCCTCTCTCACTCGATTAAATACCCTCTGACATTATTAGACGGGTCTATTACCTATTAGGTCCAAGCATTCCCTGATTCCGGCTCCTCCGAGGAAAGAGTCCGGCGTACCTTTAGTGCCTTGGCCTTCATCCCGTTGCAGTCGCCTAGCCATGGGCATGCGACCTTGAATTTCAATAGTTTCCGGAACCCATCCACTTCCACTGCGCTAGACAATAATCCAGGGTCTCGGCGACCTGGGCCCCAAACACTTAGCGAATCCATTCGCTCTCGCTGCGACCCTGCAAGACATGGGCTAACCGAACTGGGTGCTAGAGGCATCGGCCACTGGTTTTGGTCTGGTTTGGTCCCTGCCAAGCCGGTCTTGGCGGCAAGTTGGCTGTTTAGCGAGCGCAGCGGAGATTGCACTTTAAGCCTCAAATCCCTGGCCGGCCCAAGCTAACCAAACTAAACAGGCTAACCCAACGAACCAGGCTACACGCCTCCCACATGCGGCGAAAGCGCGATAGGGTAGGCTGTATATAAACATGCCGGGGTTCGTCCCCGTCTAAACAGGAAAAAATCTCCCCTCTGGCCACCTCCAGTGTTGTGATTCTTTATCCCAAGCAAATCCATAAACCCTATAACCACCGCCATGACCGCGCCTATCTCCGTCTCCGGTGGCTGGTGGACCTTCACCAACTACGCTCCCCTCACCACGACATTCACCCCAGCACCCAGCTGCACCGCGTCCGACAGGTTCAGAATCGGCTACATCAACCACGGCTATCCGTACCTCGAGTACGCTGTGCAGTGCACCAAGGACGTCGACTACACGGACTGCGTGCCCTCGGCCACCACAACGGCCACGAGCTGGCCAACCCCGCCGGGGCACCATGGCTGGGCTGGTATCGGCGGCTACTACTCGCCAGGCTTGTACTGCCCTTCCGGCTGGGAGACAATGGGCGTGGCTGCGCGCGATGCAAGCAGCAGCCTGACTTCGTCGGGTATCCTGAGCACGACGCCGGCTCCGAGCACGACAAGCTCGGATCCTATGGCTTACTATTACGCGACAGCGACGTGGGATGATCCCGCGACAATCCTGAAAGGCGTTCTCGAGCCGGAGCAGACGATGGCCGTTTGCTGTCCGAGGTAAGTGAACCACCAACCCTATCCCCCCTTCGAATGCGGGGCGAAAAGAAAATACAAAAGTATACGATCACTCATGCTAACTCTCCACCCAGCTCCTTCACCGCCGACCCCTACGGTGGCTGCTATTCCGTCGCCACGGACTTCAAGCCCACGGTCGGCTGCGAGGCGTACAGGGGCTACAACTACGAGTTCGGCGATACGACCGTCGCCTACTCGTACCACGGCATCACGAGCACGAGAGTCATGGAAGTTCCCACCATCACCGTGTACAAGTCCAGCACTATCACGCACACCTTCAACCGCTTCGAGATCGCGAGTGACCGCTACTCCGCCATCTCGTACGTCCCCATGATCACGCTGCTGCACCACCAGTCGGACGTGGCGTCTGCCAGCTTGGCGTCTGCGTCTGCGTCTGCGGCTGCAGCTGCGGCCAGTGCTAATGCGACGGCGTCGGCCGCAGCTACGTCTAATGCGGCGGTGAGGTTGGGCGGGCGTTCTGGGTATGATGGGGTGGGTGCTGTCGTGGGGGTTGCGGTGGCGGCGATGGCGCTGGGGGCTGCTATAGTTCTCCAGTAGGGATGATGTCTTGATGTAGATCTGTCTATGCTGTTCGGGTCTTATTCAATACATGGCAAAATGTATACAACTAATTTATGTGTATGGGGCGCTTTTGGCCTTTCTTGAATATCACTATCCTTTTTCCCATATCTATATAGTTACCTAGCTGTGCACGGACCACGAACAGCTCTCCGTCTGATGGGCCAGTGATAAGGTAGTGAGGACTCGTATCTCCTCTGGAGCTGGACCGCATTAGGGGTATAATACGAACGAGAAGTCTGATCCGAGATCAAAACCGCTACATAAATAGACTAGAGATTGTAAATAGTAATAACCCACATTCAGCCGTAGTTCTAGGTAAACACCATCCGAAGAATTACCGTTAAAAGATTCAATCTAATAAATTAGAAATCCCTATTTGAAAGAACATATATTCCAGACTACTGGATTCCCGGCCTTAGGATCGATTTCTTCTGATACCTGGGCACTTCCTCCCACCTACGTGATGGTACTATTTAGCGTTTTATTCATTCTAGGGTTGAATTTCACTCTCTGATATACTGTACAAGAACAAAACATGCCCAATCTTGCAATTTGCGTAACGATGCAATACTTCTAGAGATAGCTTACCCAAGTGTTACCGCGCGCGTAGGTGACGGCTTTCGGTATCATTGTATCATCCAATGGTTGTTCATTGAGTTAGTTCTCTTATATGCTGTGGTGGACTGGATACCAGATGGGTATTCTGAGAGAGTCAAGTATCCGGTTTTTTTTTGCTGAAGCTCTTTGATATATTCCCTATATCATGGGTACCAACTAGCGTCTTCCCAGTCGAGGATCGCTGTGACCCGGCCTTATTTGACAAGAATACTACGAGGGGTGAAATCAGCGTGAGTAAAAGAAAATCTCATGGTTGTCCATAAGCGCAAGTTTGGCATAGTGTCGCAGCAGGTCTGGTACGGACTGACCAAGATCTCCCAAGATCAACTGGTTGAGCGCTGCTCAGATTCAACTGATTAATACGTTCTTTCCCGTTCCATGACTAGAGAGGAGAATAAATACACGCTCGAGGAAGCACCCGGACCACCGCTAGCGCTCAATAACTAGTTTATCCTCATAAATGTAATATTGTCTTGGAAGATATCCTTAAGCCTCTTAAAAAGCATGTATCAGAGTTCAAAACCGAGCACAGATGCAATCCCGTTCCGATATCTACTGTGTGGCCCCAAGCATAACAGAAAAGAGGTATTATAATACAAAAGCCCACTGTGGCCTCCTCATGCATCAAAGCCCCAATCTACCACGTTGTCAACAGCCCCTACTTACTCCCGGTCTCCTTCCAGGGATAACCAACGGGATCGTCCTTACGAGTCCAGATCTTCGTTTTCTTCTTGTTGACTATATGCTCCACGAAGACCTCACGCGTGTACTTAGCCCTGTACTTCCGGATCCAACGCGGATCCCACAGCTCGCTCGCAATGCCGAGATCCTTGCAGCACCGCACCAGTGCGTTGGACCTGCACCCCTCGGTGGCCGTGGGAATGCCGTCGGGAGAGAAGTAATCCTGCTCGCCGCGAGCAACGGAGACGAGCCTGGGGCGAATATAATTGTCAGCTTATTCTCGCAGAACGGTGAAGATCGATCGAGGCGCCCCCTGAAAGTGATTGTTTCTTACCGGCCATTGCAGACAAGCGCATACTCTCTCGTCACAGTCCTCGGCGTAACGATGCTCTCGCTCCGCGGGACGAGACCCCACCCACCAGGCCCGAACGCCCTGTTCAGGATGCGCCGGTACTTGATCTCGGGGAGGTAGACGATCCCATCGGGTTTGATCTCCACTTCTTCAGGGTCAGTTTCGGCAAGGAGAATGTCTGCTGCTTCTTTGGGGAAGGGCTCGGCTGAGAGACCGTGGAACGAGCGTGTCCAGTCGATCTTTTCTTCCGGCGCGGCCTCGAGCTCGAGCGGCTTATCAGAGAGGCCGCTCTTCGAGATGTTATCCGTTGTCGTGCGGTTTGGGGTTGGTGCAGAGACTCGGGACGCGGGAGAGGAGGTGGATGTGGGAGAGGAGGTTGCTGAGGTGGTTCGTGCTGCTTGGCTGGTTGCGCTGTTGGTGTTGGTCGGGCTTTGGGACCGTGTTGAGCTGTAGGTGACTGCGCGCTTGGTTATGAGATGGGAGGGCTGGTAAGGGCTGATTCTAGTACGAGAAGCTTGAGAAAATGCTGCTGCATGTTGAAGCGTCTCCAAAGCCCGCCAGGAGCGGTATCGGAGGCCTGACATGGTGGGTTGGGATGGAGAAGGGAGCTGGGGGGCTTCGAAGGCGCTCGTATATCAAATGTCACGTGATATGGCTATCGGTGGGCAAGGCTGATTCTACGAAGACTAGGGCGGTCGTAAGAGTTGGAAGAGGTGATTGTGGCTTAATTGAGATAGTAACATATAATACAGGGTGATTTAGGTATGCTGCAGATGCTTCATGCATCTTTGGTTTGTGTTCGCTCGTCGTTGCCTTTGCGCTTCCAGCATTCACGGAAGGCTTCCATCTGCATTGGCTGTCAGCGCGGAGCAAGATAAAGGAGATGTAGAGAATAGAGATGAGGAAAATAATGAGATTCTTGGACAATATAGGGTATATGGACGTTCAAGCAGGAACCGAGGTACTGTTGGGCTTGAGCTCCCTCGTTTCAAATGGAGGGTGAAGGATGATAGATGGAACCCACTTCTTTGCTGCAAGCGCGCCAGTCTTTCTTTGCAAAATAACAATCATTCATCTTGTCTTGCTCGGCTATGACGGTTATCTCTTAGTATATGGTATTCGAGAATAAACGCATGAGCTACTCACCATGGCATCCCGTGCTGAAGATGCGCTTGTCCCTGCGAAAGTTTTAGCACCTCCAGAGACCCAACATGGTTACAGCAAGACCAATTACCACTCATCAGGCTCATCATCATCTTCTGGGACGACCTTGGGCTGCTCCGCATTGTTCGACATGGTCTCAGCTGTAGATGGAGAGGATTGGAAGATTTGGAGATTTGGAGATGGCCGGTTGGCCTCGGCCGGATTTATCTTATCGCCCCCAGCGCCCCATCATTTCCCTCCGACAATCAACAATGGCAACGCCCACCGGCAACGAAGCCAACCTCACGGCCAAGAGACTCAATGTTCTTGTCTATTCTGGTTCGCTCACCCACTCCGCCTGGCAACTGAGCCGTTTTCTGACCGACAATGGCCCGACAGGAACCGGAACCACCGTCGACTCCGTCCGCCACTGCGTCTACACCCTGCGCCGCCTGCTGGCCCCCCACTATGCTGTCACCCCCGTCACAGGCGACATGCTCCTCAAGGAGCCATGGACGGCGACCTGTGCCCTTCTCGTGATTCCAGGCGGGGCAGATCTGGGATACGGGCGTACGCTCAATGGCGCGGGGAATCGGCGCATCGCGCAGTTTGTGCGCCGCGGTGGGAAGTACCTGGGCCTGTGTGCGGGCGGCTACTATGGGTGCAAGCGATGCGAATTTGAGGTTGGCGATAAAACTATGGAGGTCGTTGGGGACCGCGAACTGGGGTTCTTCCCGGGGACTTGTCGGGGAGGTGCATTCCCTGGATTCGTCTATCATAGCGAGGCCGGTGCAAGGGCGGCTGGACTGGATGTTTCCAAGGAGGCTCTGAGCGTTGGCGTGGTACCTACGCACTTTCGGTCTTACTATAATGGAGGAGGCGTCTTTGTAGATGCTCCACTGTTCAAGGACAAGGGTGTTGAGGTGTTGGCCAACTATTCTGAGAATCTCAATGTTGACCCAGGCGAGGGCGCTGCTGCCGTTGTCTACTGTAAAGTCGGAGATGGAGCGGCTATATTGACAGGACCTCATCCAGAGTATGTGAGGTATATGGAATGGGGCAACCGATTGCTGACCCTTCTCTAGATTTGCAGCCGTGAACCTTGACCCGAAGGCTAACGGCCCCGGCTATAAAGACGTGGTTGATGCGCTGACGGCTGACGACAAGGAGCGTACGGACTTCCTGAAGGCCTGCCTCTCCAAACTAGGACTCAATGTTGCGCAAGACACCACTGCTGTGCCTTCGCTGTCGTCTCTCCATGTTTCCGGTCTTGATGCCGAGGGCCCATTGGAAATCTTATCACTCCTTGCCCCAGCTTTGACAAACGACAACAAGAATGAATACCTGAAAGACGAGAACGATACATTCCGGATCGAGCGGCCTGGCACGTGGAATTTGAACGACTTGGAGGAATCCCTCCCCAGCGACCCATCGAAGCCTAGCGATGGTATAATCGATTACAAGGAAGTCATCAAGCGACTGGTGTTTCATGATGACGTGCCCTCGTCCAAACTCACACCTTACTTCAATCACCATGCATTCTACGCCAACCTTCGTCAATACCAGTATGAATCTCGTGAGGGCGCTTCAGAGTTTGGGTCTAACCTCATGTACGGCGAGGTCGTGACGAGTACCAACACAATCATGGAAAAGTAATCACTCCTTAATGCTCCAATTTGAATTGATCTGATTTGGTCTAGGAACACTCAACTGCTTCGCCAGCTACCTCACGGGTTCACCGCCACCGCAACAGTTCAAGTCGCTGGGCGTGGACGTGGCTCTAATGTCTGGATCTCACCAGCTGGCTCCCTCATTTTCTCAACGGTCGTGAGGCACCCAATTGAGAAGATCCAGTCTGCGCCTGTGGTGTTCATTCAGTATTTGTCTGCTATGGCCGTGGTCAAGGGTATCAAGAGCTACGCCAAGGGATATGAGAACATGCCGGTCAAATTGAAATGGCCGAACGATATTTGTATGCCATGAAGAACTATGCCATAGACACTTCTCATTCGGATTCGGATAGCTAACACTGTTTACAGATGCTCTTGACCCAGAAGACCCCGAGCAGAAGCGGTACACCAAGATCTGCGGGATTCTCATCAACTCGCACTTCATGTCAAACGAATACATCTCCGTTGTCGGAATCGGCCTCAACGCTACAAACGCGTCACCAACCACCGCCCTCACCGCTCTCGCCGCACGCTACGCCTCCCCTGGCGCCGCTGCTGCTTCACCCGTCACATTAGAGAAGCTCCTAGCACGGATCTTGACTACATTCGAGGATCTGTACACGCGGTTCTTACGCACAGGCTTTGACCACGGCTTTGAGGCAATGTACTACGAGGATTGGCTGCACATGCACCAGATTGTCACTCTGGAAGAGGAGGGCGGCGCTCGTGCCCGAATCCAGGGTATCACGCGTGACTATGGGCTGTTGCTTGCGGAGGAGCTGGGGTTGAATGATCGTCCAACTGGCCGGGTGTGGCAGCTGCAGAGTGATAGCAACAGCTTTGATTTCTTCCGGGGCTTGGTAAAGCGAAAAATCTAAGGTGCTCTCACAACACTAGGTTTACTCCCAGTGTCCGTCCATAGATTTCCTGCGTGAACGATAGCAATCCGTATAGATGATAATCCTCCCTGGGATTCCTTCTCGTCGAAATCTCATCTACACTCGAACTTCTCCCGATTAGAAAAGAGCGACAATCCTAAAACCCCCGTAATAACCAGTGTAGTGTGTCATGGGAGCTTGTTTGTCCAAAGAATTGTCTATCGAAACGAAAATAGAACACCAGAACCGAGGAAGCCTCGGGGGCATCAGCACTATTGCCAAACAGGAAAAGGGACTTGTCCAACATGAACGTGCTCATCTAACAAAGTTCCTGCAAGCTGAAACATATCCCCAGGCAGTCCATTATGTCTAGTCTCTCCTTCATCGTCAGCTCTCCGGCTAACGTCAGTTCTGCGCATCCTGTCTATTTCTATGCACACCGAAACTTCTACAGTCTATTACCCATGTTGACGTGGACAGCCTTGATCTGGCTATAGGCGTCCAAGCCAGCATCGCCAAGCTCGCGACCAATGCCGCTCTGCTTGACACCGCCGAATGGTACGCGCGGATCACAGTCTTGGCTACTGTTCACCCACACCATACCAGACTCGATCTCCGCCGCCACGGGGTGCGCACGCTCCAAATCGGTCGTGAACACCGCTGCTCCCAGGCCATAGGTCGTATCATTCGCGCGTCGAATAGCTTCCGCTTCTCTATCAAACGGCAAGATGACCACCACGGGCCCGAAAGCCTCTTCCTGTGTGATACGCATCGCATCAGTTGCATCGATGATGACGGTGGGCTTCACGAAGTACCCATTTTTGTGATCGGGATTAGTGGAGACATGCGCAGCACCACCGGTCAGGATGGTGGGCGCCCTCGCTCTTGGCGATCTCCATGTAAGACAAGATACGCTCGTACTGGGCGCGAGTAACCTGCGGACCCTTAGAAGGTCTCCGAATCCCAGTGATCGCCGATCTGAACACTCTCAACGGCGGCCTTGAACCGCGCCAAGAACGTAGGTAGGATCTCTCGGTGCACGAAAATCCGCGACGTTGCAGTGCAGATCTGGCCCTGATTCGACATGATTCCGAAATGCGACCACTTGACGGCCTGGTCCATATCTGCATCCGGGAAGACCAGGAGCGGAGACTTGCCGCCCGTCTCGAGCGTGATGTTTTTCAGGCTGCCGGCTGCCGGCTGCCATCTTCGTGATCTCGCGTGCGGTGCTGGTGGAGCCTGTGAACGCCACCTTGTCGACGAGCGGGTGGGATGCGAGGGCGGCGCTGGCGACGCGGCCGTAGCCATTCACGATGTTGATCACGCCCGGTGGGAAGCCCGCCTGCTGGATTAGCGTTCCCAGGACCAGGACGCTGAGTGGGGGTCTGCTCTGCGGGCTTGATAACCACCGTATTCCCACACGCCAGGGCAGGCCTGAGTTTCCAGCTGGCCATGGAGAGCGGATAGTTCCACGGGATGATTTAGCCCACTACGCCGATGGGCTGGCGCAGGGTGTATGCGAATTTCTGGGGCGTGGTGTTGAGCATCTGGCGGCAGGTCTTATCCGCCCAGCCGCTGTAATAGCGAATCGTGGCGATAGCCTCGGGGAGATCTTCCTCGAGAGCCACATGATACGGTTTGCCTGCGCTGCGATTAGCAGGGTGCATGGCGCATAGCGCAGGCGTGCAGGTGCACGGCGCAGGAACGGGGTCCGGTTTCTGCACGGTATGCGTACCGTTATCCCAGGCATCGATGGAGGCAAGAAGTACCTTGTTCTGCTCCATCAAATCAGCCAGGCGGGCCATCAGCCGGCCCCGCTCTGTTGCAGGAAGAAGCTTCCATGAGGGCTGCACCAGAGCGGTTTTGGCGGCGTGGACGGCGCGGTCAACATCGTTGGAGTTGGCAGCGTGGACGGAGGCGATTGGCCTATCAGTTCTGCGAGATGGGGACCATGAAGGGCTAGTTCATGCATGAGGAGGTTCCTCTGGGACCTACGCGGGGTCAAGAGATGTGATGGTCTGGCCGGACGAGCAGGGGACGATTTCGTTGTTGATGAACAGGCCGGTGGGCTGCGTGTACCGGTGCCCATTAGGGATCATGATGTCCACAGAAACACTCATTTTGATGGGGGGGAGGGATGGTCTATGGTGCCCGACGCACTGAAGATATACAGAGGGGTTGCGGGGGATCCAAGTGGGTCGGGTCTCACGAGCAAGGCGTTACCGCCGGCGAAGCTAGCCTCGGTATGTCAAGTACATGCGCAACGGGGTTTGCAACGGGGTCTCAGACTATTCCGACCAGGACTACTGTCGAAGAAAATAGGGAACCAGCAATGCTATCGTAAGATCGTCATCGTCAAACTATGCACAAATCACAAAAGCCCAACATTCCAACTCAATTTCCATCCGCCAATTTATTGACTCGACGCAACCTCCCGCTTGGTGAACACCAGAGACAAATCCCCCGGCGTAGCTGTAAATTGGTCTCGCATCCTACCTTCCACCCTCTCAATCGTCTCCTCGCGCTTGCCAGCGGGGAAGTCAAAGCGATATTTAGACACAAGGAGTGAGATGGTCACCCACAGCTCAATCATCGCCACATCCTTGCCCAGGCATGAATAGCGACCTAGGAGAGCGGAGCCTGATTAGCGGAGGACTTTCCAGCGCGTCGTACGTTACTGCACAAGTAAACAATTGACTTACCTTGAGCAAAAGGCAGGAAAGATCGAGTATCCTTCACCAACTCAGGCTGCGTATCGAATCGCTCGGGGATCCATTCGGTGGGTCGTATGAAGCAGCTCTCCACTAAAGAAGTCAATCGTCAACGTCTCAATCGAGCCTTTGGTTGTCCATGGGGCGAGATCGGACTTACATCGACCCAAGACGTAGCGGGGCGCGACAATGGTAGTGTTTCCGGGAATAAAAGTGCCCTCCACCATCATGCCCTCGGGTGGAGTATCGCGATACCCTCCCGTGGGGACCGCGGGGTGCAGCCGCAGGGTTTCCATGATCACCGCATTGAGATATGGCAGTTTCTTGAGAGTAGCCAGGTCACTGAGGTCCACATCTTTGACTTCGTGATACAACTTCTCCGCCTTGTCGGGATTCAAGGCTAACTGGTAAATCGCGAACACGAGAGTGGGGGCCACCGTGTCGCTATGATCTGAGGTGAGCATATTGGTCATTCTCCAAATTGGGCAATAGTGCTCACCTCCCAGCGACAATGGCAACGATAGCATCACCGACAAGCTGCTGTTGGTCTTCTTTCACCGTGTTTCGCTTTCGGGAATCGGCGATAATTCCCTGCGCCACATCGTGCGAATCAGGTTCCTGTGGAGGTGGGGTATGTTAGCTAGTCCAGCCCAGGCCCCCTCCGTGTGGACGTGGGGGTATCAAGTGTTCGGTACATACGTGAATGCGCAGCTGCATCTGCTGAGCGCACCAGTCGATCATTGTGTGCCAATCATGCACCACCCAGTACCCCTTGAGCAGCCAGAACCCGATCTGGGCGGCCCACGGCACCGAGGAAAAGGGACCGAGCAGGGTCATGGCCCGCCGCAGGTTGCGGATGCTGTAGTGCCATTTTTCCGTGGTAAGCATATTGAAGGAGCGGGAGAAGGCAAAGATGCCCATGATATCAAAGGAAAACCAGTAGATGTAGGTAGAAATCGGGACGGGCCGGCCATTGGCAGCCGCAATGATGGCGTCCATGTCCCGGGCGTGAGCTTCAATTTGCTCCCGATATCTCTCCATTGCGCTATTGGAGAAGCCCTTGATCCAGAGACGACGACGCTGGTCGTGCCAGCCTCGGTCACGAATGGTAGTCACGCCACTGTTGGGCAGAAGGAAGTCATACCAGACCGACTTGGACGTCTTACTGCGCGGGCCATCGAGCAATGCCAATACGTTCGGATGGAAGATGGTGATTTCGCTGGGCCCCGTCCGGACGAAATCACCGTATTCGCGGTGCATTCTCTCCAGCACCAGATGGTTCTGTCCGTGGCGGCATTGATACATATGCCATAACTTGGTCAGGCCAGCCAGACGGGGGCCAGGGAAGTGACGAGTGCGGTGGGCAAAGAGACGATAAGCAGCAATGCTGAGTAGGAGAGACAAGACGAAGCTTCCCAAGATGAGGCCCGCATGTCCAAACGCACTAACATCCAGCGTCTTTCTCGCCTCCAAGAAACACAGAACCACATAAGCCGCAATGGCGGACTTAATGATCCGTGGCCCTTGCATATGCCATTCATTTTTGATGAACACCAAATGATGCACGAGGACGCCAATGACCCCCATGAGAGCACATCTTGCCAGCAATGGGCGTTCGGCGAGGAACGCCATTGCCGGCTCTGCATGAAAGCGTCCTGCAATCAAATCCATGAGGGTGAAATAAATCTGAGGGGAACACAGAATCTTTGAGTGGCCCAGCCAGTGAGGAAAAGTAGAGTCTGACTAGGGCGAGTGTGCGTGAATGTGATTGCGAGCTGCAGGTAGAGAGATCCTTCGTGGATATATGGAACACGGACCCCACTGCTAGTCAGTGCCGGCGTTAGCTGAGATTGCAAGTGGATTTGTATTTTATTTTCATGTCGTTCGAGAGGCGAAATATAGTGACGTGGTCAGTTGCTGAAAGGGTATGGTTGGGTTGGATCATCAGCTGTACGGCTAGGGCCCTGCGCATCCCGGCAGGTCAAAACTGGGTAGCAAAAATCCAAAAGAAAATTAGAGAAATAGGAAATAGGAACTAAGAAATAGGCATGCGGCGCGGGTACTCCCCTCCTCTTCGCGATGGGAGCATAAATTGGTCCGCGGTTCCCATGAGACGGTCTCTTCCCTGTCGATTAATTCTTTCTTCTATTTCGTGGATACCCCTGCATGTTCTTGCATAGCCCACATCATGTCCCTCATGGCCACCGATGCACCGGCCTGCCCCGGCCATCAAGCGGTTAAGCGCCCTTGGCCTCTCCAACGACTGCTGTCCCTCACGAATGAAGTGGCGGAGCAGCCGGGCCAATTCATATTTTCCATCTGGTTATTTACGTATAGTGACCTGAAGACCATCATTGCCACCAGCTTTGGGTTTGGTCTCTTCACGTCCCTGGGGGCCGCATCGTTTGGGATTGATCCCGCACCGGCATGGTCCAGCTGTTTCCAGCGAGTGCCCGTGGTCGTGCTGTGGGCATGGCTGAATCTTCTACCATTCACGATCGACAACCAGCGCCAACCAGACGCTATCATGGAAGATGCCATCAACAAACCGTGGCGAACCATGCCGCGCAAACTCATGAAACCCGAGCACGCCCAGGTGGTGATGTTCATTTTTTACGCACTCGCATTGGCTACCAGCGCCAGGATCGGTGGGCTCGCGCAGTGCATGACGCTCATTGGACTCGGCTTCTGGTACAATGATGCGAGGGGCGCGGATGCGAGCTGCATTATCCGCAATCTCATCAACGGGATAGGCTTCGTCTGCTACACTTCGGGCGCCTTGCAGCTTGAACTGGGTCCATCGCAGTGGCAATCCTTCATCCGAGCAGACGGGCCGGGCCTGCCGTGGTTGGCCATCATTGGCGCGATCGTCTTCACCACCGTCCAGACCCAGGATCTGTACGACCAGGCCGGCGATAGCGTTCGTGGCCGAAAGACGCTGCCACTGGTGATTGGTGACGCTGGCGCACGCTGGGTGACAGCTGCATTCATGGTGTTTTGGGGCATCGTGAGCCCGTGGTATTGGGGGTGGCTGCAGAGCGGCCAGAGCGGGGTCCTGTTCTGGAGCGGGGCATACATGGCAGCCCTTGCATGCATTATCGCCGGCCGCATCCTGACCTTTCGCACCGTCCCGGCGGACAAAACCAGTTTCATACTGTGGAATCTGTGGTTGGTCAGTCAATACGGGTTGCCGCTGTGCGCTGGTCTCGGACGAGCAGGTGGGGTGTGATGCAATGACCGCGGGGCGCAGCTACAGCAGCAGTGAGGGGAGTTGCGAACGCAGGTGATAACGAAGGCATTGGACGTGAAATGAGAAATTGGAGAGGGCAAGAAGTCCCTCCGTCAGCCAATTGGCATTTTCAATGACATTACGAGTAAGCGAGTCCGATTGATTCGGGAAGGAGTTGATTTCGCCCTAACCCTGAAGGTTATGTTCCTTGTCTATTTCTTTTTTTTCTTTTTCCTTTTTTTTTTCTCTTGGAGGAGTCTTTGATTTTCCACATCTGATTTTGTGTCTTTTTCCTTTGTGCCTTTTCTGTGGCCCTCGGAGCCAGGGGTGAATTGGGTGGAGCCTTCCGTCCGTTAGCCGGTAGATTGTCCTGCCATTCAGGCATTGTGATATGATGGGGTTTAGATAACGATAGATTGTTCGATTGCTAGCCCTTAGGAGTTATGTTTTAGAAAGCGCGAAATGACACGTTTCTTCCGGCAATATCCGGAAGATTGTTCGAGATTACCCTCGAAAGTCCGTTGAAGTCTGTTACTGAAACGAAGTGTGAGCACGGGACGTTGGCGCGCCTCGACGGATGTTAGCGCCCTGCCCTAACGCACGCCAGCTGCATGACTCAAATGCGCCACCTGAATACAAGCACGCTTTTACCAATCGATGGTGCCCAAGTCCGACTGGGTAAAGCTACCGACCTGTGAGCGGCTTGGCCTGCCGCGGGGTGCTTGGCCACAGATGCTGATTTCCCGCGCGGCTTGGGCCACCCTGGTCTGAAGCCGGAGGAGACGCTAAAATAGCCCATATGCAGGATGCACACACCCCTGCTAGCCACGAGGGGAGTTTCTTCCGAGCGACGATCGTCTACCACATATTTTCCAACTGTAAATTACCCTAATCACGGAGAAAAGACAGGAAGATTCAGTTAAAATCACATTCGCTCCAAGAACCACTTGCACAGTGGAGACCTTCCCTTGTTCCTTCCCCACTCAGTGGGGCCCTCCCTGCCAACGCACTCGGCGACGAACTATAGGTCGATTCTGATTGAATGCTGCGCTGATGCGATCGCGAAACGTGCATTTACTCTTCGGCGTCGGACCTAATGAGGTCTGCCGCCCTTTCAGCCACGGCATAGACCGTCGACATGATGTTGGCCGCTGGTATCAATGGAAAGACACTAGCGTCAACCACCCTGACGTTGGTGGTACTATACACGCGCAGCCTATCGTCCACGACCCCCCCACTTTCCCTCGGGAGCATCGCCGCCGTCCCGCAGGAATGATAGGTGGTAGTGGCCGTATCGCGGATGTATCTCTTCGCGCTATCCAAGTCCGTCAGGAAGGCGTCGGGATGGTTGCGACGCCCGTTGGGCTTGAGAAATGGCGCCAACGGCTCGGCCTGGTGCAGCCTTTCCAAGTCCAGCAGATTGCGTGAGAGAATGTCCAAGTCCAGCGGATGTGACAGGTAGCGTGGGTCGATCGCCGGAGCATTGCTCGGATCCGCTGAGGAAATGTGGACGTGCCCGCGGGAGAACGGTATACTCTGAATGAGACCCAGACTGAGGAAGTTCCCGGGTAGCAGATCCTGCCCCACGAAGCTTTTGCCACTCTCGTGCAGGTTAGTCTGTGCGAGGAACATCACCATTGAGCACGTCGGGGCCTTCGGTTGGGCGAAAATGTCGCGGATTGCCCGATGGCGACTATCTGGCTGTGGGAGGAAGCGATCCATGTACGTCGCCATGCTCTCCTGATCCTTCTGGGCTCCGTAGTCACAGACCGGCATATAGGCACCCGATTGCACCCCGCCGCTCGCCATGGGGCCAGCCTGGTGCTCAGTGTACAGTTGCATAGCGGCTTGCAGCGCCATCGGCTCCTGGCGCATCAAAGGATCGCCAGTGTGGACCCCCTCGGCGACTTCGAAGCTGATCCCTGTCATCAGGTGGTCCTGGAGATTCTCGCCCACGTTCGGGTTATCCACCACGACAGGGATGTTAAACTGGTGGAGGATCGACGAATTTCCAATCCCGGACAGTTCCAGAAGCTTGGGCGTATTGAGGGCCCCAGCCGCGACAATCACCTCTCGCTTAGCGATCACCCGGTGCAGTTCGCCCTGGATCATCGTTTCAACTCCGGTCGCGGTCACATCGCCGATCTCACTCGGTGTGGGTGCGAACGTGATCTTGTGCACGAGGGCCTCGGTTACAACGTGGACGCCCGGTCGCTGCATCGCCGGCAGACCATACCCCGTTGCGGCATAACTGCGTGTCTTGGTCTCGGCATCCACAGAAGCCATCGTGCTGTACCCTCCGGTGGACTCGCCAGAGAATGGATCCGCAGTGAGTCCATAGCCGATCGACTTGAAGGTCTCGACCCAGGCTTTCGACAATGGGTCTTGGGCCACGGCCGGGAAGGAGACCTTGACCGGCCCCGAGGACCCGTGGTTCTCCTTGTCCACCCAGCTCAAACCAATGTGCTCCTGGGTCGCCTGGTCTGGTAGTTGAAGGGTGTAGGACTTCTTGTAGAACGGTTGCAGCCTCTCCCAGGTCCAGCCGGTCGCTCCCAGCTTGGACCACGCATCAATGCCTGCTTTGGAAGGCGCAATAAAGGCTTGTCCGTTGATTCCCGAAGATCCGCCCAGGAGCTTTCCCTGCGGTGCCTTGATGCATCGGTTGCCCAGTGTAGCCTGATCTGGTGAGCTTCTATGGACTCAATTCCAATAGGCACTTCCCACATGCAGAATGAACGTGTCTTACCTGAGCCGTGGTCTTGTATTGCCAGTCCACATCCGATCCCATCAGCGAGGTCCAAAGAGCCGGGATCTGCACCCGAGGGTCTTGAGTCTTGTCCTTTCCAGCCTCCAAAACCAATATCGTCTTGCTTGGGTCCTCCGACAAGCGCGCCGCCAGGACCAAGCCGGCTGTTCCTCCTCCAACAATCACATAGTCGACCTCCGTGGGAATGTTCTTTGCTGTAGCCATGTTTGCGCCACGACACTTGTAAACGGGTAGAAGGATCAAACAATAGGAAAGTTGAGGAGCAGTTTGCTTTTCAACTTGCCCCGCCGTGCATGGTGGGGTGATCGCAACGCATAAAACCGTCGAACGATGGGGCCAAGGCCGCCCCCCACTGAGTGGAATTCTGTCCACCCTCCTCCGTAGTGCCAATTGGCAACATTATTCTAGGGGAGCAATGCAATTATCATTATACCTGACATTTATATTCGGAATCAATGAATTGGGAGGACATACCCTCCGGTAACCCTATTATGATCCTATCTCATTCCCGTCATGGACCTGGCACGTTCCCGCTATGATCCAAGTTCAACTCCGCTGTGATTGGTCGGATATACAACTCGAGTGTTGTGCCGATTTGCCCAGTCTGCATCTCGATCGGATCGTGGCCAAGCGACGACGCTGGTGCTTAACATCCTTGACTATATGCCATGGATCAAGCCAAGGCGCCTGTCAACGCCGTCCCATTCTGCTCATCAGGAAGATAGCGGCATATCATTCCAGCCTTAATCCCACCTCCTCCAGGTGGAGACTCGGGTGTAGTATATCCTACCTAGCGCCGTAGAGTTTGGGAGAGTGCAAAATATATAATTGCGAACGGATATATCTACCGATCACGTCGTTATACAATCTAACATTTTTTCGGTGGGAGGAGCGGCTACGGTAGGGTTTGCATGGGATGCTCCGTTTACATTCGCTTAGGGTAGTGGACGTCCGGGAAGTAAGGGAGGGCGATCGTCCCCAATCTAATGCGAGCAGAACGGGGTTTGGGGTGAGCAAGCTGAGGGGTTCCAAGAGGTACAAGAGTCACTTCACTATGCAATGGAGGCGATGAGAGAGTCAGGGTACTCCTACGGCAGGCAGGCTGTTGAGTTTGGAGGGAATCTGATGGTCATGGCAGTTTAAGGATTTATAACCTCGGTTTCCTTTGGGGCTCTTCCAATCAAAGTCCGGGTGATCGCCACAGCAGATTCCCACAGAGTGAAGAATGGTGATCGTGGTAATCTCTGTGACGAGAAGACTGCCCCTTTGCTGGCCCCTGCTTGCCGTGGAGGGGCAGTCATCGGGCGCCGGTCGGGGCAGTTAGGGCAAGGATCTCCCGGGGAAGCGGAAAATGGCACCGGTCCACTTTGATCTCTTCCGCTGTCGTTGGCCGTGTGGCTGTACTTGATGCAGAGGAGTACAGAGTACAGAGCACGGAGACCGGACAGGACTTCTCAGAAAGCGCCCCGTCGTCTTTCGTTCTCCTGTTTTGGATTATCGGGGGGGGGGGGAGGAAAGCGGGATTTGGAAACTCCAAAATCCCCACATTGCCCCCACTTGAGCTTGCCAATAGCCATCCAGTGGCATTGGGAACTGGTTCTTTGGCTCGCGTCAAGCCGAAGCCGGTTCCAGCGGATGGCCACACACCGTTCGAGAACCACAGTACATTCGACTGTACGGAGTAGTGGTGCTACCTGGGGGCCATAGGGCTCGGCGGGAAATTAACTATCGCAGTTCGGAAGGATTCAGACAATGGCCGGCTAGGGTGACCAGTCACGAATGAGCTATCCTCCTGCCACTCCTGGCGAAATGGTACTTTGTTCGAGGTCCACCGCACGAAGCCAGACTACACGTGTCGGTTGCAAATGCACTGCATCCCGTGGAGGATTCAAGCAAGGAGGCGGGGGCCGAAAGCGGACGTGGTCCAGAGATAGCAGGAGACCAGCCACTGAACCTTACAGCGGATAGCGAATATGAACCTCGGATTTCCTATTCCGTAGTCCGTAGATAGTGCTGTTTTAACATCCAATTTTGTGTCTTTGGGGCGGGGGCAGCCCTCGGGTGGAGCCATATTCCCTCACGCTAGCGAGTTGCCAAAGAAGATTATTGGCGTGGGCGGCTTTGAGAATTGCCCTGCGAAGCGTACTGGGCGTATGTGAACGGCTACGCCAGTACCGTAGCAGGAAGGAGGATCAGCAGCTGAAGCAAGCCTGTTTTAGGACATCTGATCCGGATAATTTCGCATATAGACTGCTTCATACCGTACACCGGATATAGAGACGAGGGCCAAACAACCTCTGGCAGCCATCTGATGTCATACTTCTCAATCACCGAGCAGGAGCCACAAACCGATCCTCGATCAATGGAGTGAGTCCCGCCGGATCTCTCTGACATTGTTCAACCCACCCTATTCCCCAATTATCGTCTTCAATGGTGGCTCTGGAGGGGCAGAAGGGGGGCGGCACAACCGCGCATTAGCGCCCCCCTGGAAGGTTATAGTGCTGACCCGCAGCGCAACCCGACACTGCAGCTACTGACTTTTCTCGCAACAATCCCTGTCACTACCTTCTCCCTCAAGCAGCCTGGCCCAGATCTCAGTCTGACAGCCATGCATTGAGCCTGTGGAAAAAAACGGTTCGAGCTTGCATTCCCCTTCTACCCCTCGCAAGGCTGAGCAACATTCTTTCAATCTTCGCGCCTCCAACCCCCTTAGCCTCTCTCCGCAAGTCCCGAACATGGCTGTTTCCAAAGATCCCGAGCCATGGGCCGAGGGTGCAGAGGAGTATAGGGGCCGACGCCTGCTACCCCACGTCATCGACTATTACGCCCACCATGAACCCAGTCGCGTGTTTGCCTCCATTTCGGTGTCGGAGAGCGTTGCCAGTGGCTTCCAGGATGTCTCCATGAAAGCAATGGCCACGGCCGTTGACCACATGGCCTGGTGGCTCGAGCGGACCCTCAAAGGCAGCAAAAAGCGAAGAACCCTGGCCTACATCGGCGCAGCCGACCTGCGATATTCGATTCTGTTGCTGGCAGCTATTAAATGTGGATGGAAGGTATGCTGGCCAAAAACCGCATGAATCTTTGCCATGATTTGCGCTCGATGATCTAATCATGGTAACCTTTTCCCCCCAGACTATGTTCATCTCGCCGCGGAACCCCACGATCCTCAACCTCGGCCTCCTGCAGCAGGCAGACGTCAATGCGCTCCTGTACGCAGATGTATTGCGCTCAATGGCCAAGAGCTTGCAGAAATTTGACCCCTCCATGTCTTGCAAACAGGTACCCTCAATGGTAGATCTGCTTAGGTCGCAAGCCACACCGTACCGCTTCCAGTCTTCGTGGAACGATATAAAAGATGATAGATGCCTGATCTTACATTCGTCCGGATCGACAGGTACAGAAATGATCTCTCCTGCTTTATTTGCGTAACCGGTTCTAATCAATCGCAAACTCATAGGCCCGCCCAAGCTGGTGTATCTCACCCATCATACATTTTCTTGCACCGACAATGACCCCAAAGTGCCAGTGCCGGAAGGGCGACGACCGCAGAACGCGGCGCAATTCCACTTTGATCCGCCCGGGCGTTTCTATTCCTGCTTCCCGCCATACCATGTAATATTGCGCACCCGCCAATGAGTGACGAGAGGAATACGTTTCAGTAGCTAACAGTGGTATTAGATGGCTGGTGTGCAATCATTTACTCTTTTACCGGCTTTTTCACAGACGGCAGCGGTAATTATGGGCCCGCCCATGATGCCCCCAAGTGGCTTTTTGGTGGATATCATCATGAAGCAGCAGGATGTCCGAGCTCTTTATCTGCCCCCATCCATCATCGAACAATGGACCACCGATCCAACCGCCTTCAAACAAGCCGAGAACCTCGATTTCGTGCTCTACAGCGGTGGGCCCTTGGCGAACAGTACTGGAAATCGACTTGACGAAATCACGGATGTTTGTCAGATGTACGGTTCTCTGGAGATGGGCCAGATCCAGATGCTGGTCCCCAATCCTGGAGAGTGGGACTACTTGGAGCCCAACCCGGCCGAGGAATGTGACTTCCAGGAAGTGGATGAAGGCGAGGGCGTGTATGAGATGGTGTTACACCCAGACAAGAAGTTCATTGGACAACGGTCTCTCGCACATACCTTCCCCGACATTAAAGAAGAGTGGCGGACCAAGGATTTGTTCATTCCCCACCCGTCCAAGCCTGGCTTGTGGCGCTTCCATTCACGCACCGATGATATTATCGTGCTGGCCAGCAGCCACAAGGTGTGGCCAATCCCGATGGAGAAGACGCTGGCCGGCGACCCCCACGTTGCTGGTGCTTTGATGGTGGGTAACGGTCGTCCTGAAGTGCTTCTCTTGGTTGAGCCGCGATCCGGACCGCAGGTGGACCGAATGAGCAAGAAGGAATTCATCGACACCATCTGGCCCACGATCATGGAGGCAAACGCGAACGCTCCTGAGTTTGGCAAGATTCGTCGGTCGCGAATTGTCCTCAGCCAACCTAACCTCGGGTTCTTCCGAGCCCCCAAGGGAACCATCTCGCGCAAGCCGACGGAGTCGCTGTACGCCGAGTATATTGCGGCCGCATTCATTGACGGGACTACGGACGAACAGAGCGAGATTGGGATCCTGGAGAACCACTGGCTGGATGAGGCTAAGAGATTCATCGGCTCTATTGTGCACGACATCCGACCCGATATCACGCTGAAAGAAAGCGACGATTTCTTCGTTGCGAAGGCCATGGACTCGCTCACCGTGCTGGAACTCGGGCAGAAGTTGAGGCTCGGTCTGTTACGGCGCATGAACGAAGAAAAGAACACCATCAACTTTTGGTTGCGTACGATCTTTGAGAATCCCTCCATTGAGTGTCTGGCCAAGGCTACGCTTGATGCTGTCCTTGGGCAAGTCGATTCCGACGAAGCCGGAATGCGGGGTTTAACTGTCGAGCACATTTTGGAGACGTTTGTAGCTCAGTTACCTGAGCCCAGTGGATTGAAGCCCCAACCTGAACTCCCAGCGGAGAATATCAAGGTTGTGCTGCTTGGTTCCCGGGGCCGTCTTGGCCCGTATATTGTCAAGGATTTGCTCGATGATCCTCGTGTGGCTGGAATCAAATGCTTGGACAGAGGCGGCAGTGGCCAGGCAGCATTCCAACGTCGTGTCGAAGAACTTGGCATCGACGTTGATGCTAGTGACGCACGGCTACAATTTATTTCGATGGACCTTTCCCAGCCAAACTTGGGTCTCCCCCAAAGCCAGCTGGCTGAAATCTCAACCCATGCCAATGTGATCATCCACAATGTGTGGGCTGTCAACTTCTCCCTGTCGGTGTCATCTTTCAAGCTCGAGATGCTGAAGAGTCTCAACACAATCCTCGAGATTGCTAACAAGGCGACATCCCGGCCCCGCATCGTGTTCACCTCCAGCATTAGCACCGTAGCGGGCTGGGCCAAAGCGGTGGCCCCAAACGTCCCTGTGCCAGAGGAGGTTATCAAGTGCCCTGGCGCCGCGTCGCACACCGGCTACGCGCAATCCAAGCACATCGCAGAGCGGCTGCTAGCCGCCGCAGGCGCCAAGCTCCAGATTCCCATTTCTATCCTGCGCATCGGCCAAGTTGCCGGCCCAACCACAATCGGCGACGGTGGCAGATGGGAAAGCCACGACTGGATACACTCCCTCGCCATCCTCTCCAAGGCTTGCGGCCTGGTACCCTCGGACATTGCGGAAGTCGACTGGATTCCCGTGGATCAAGCCTCGCGCATCGTATCTGACATCACGCTGCAGGAGAAGCACGATGGCGACACCGGTACACCCTTCGTCCATCTCTACAACATTGTGCACCCGCAACCAATGCAATTCTCCGTGTTCGCAGATGCCCTGCAATCGTGTATCTCGTCTTCGCGGCAAGTGAACTTCCACACCTGGGTCGACCACCTGGCGAACCTGACGCCAGGTAAGCTCTCCAAGGAGGCCGAGGCCGAGAAGACTCGTATCCTATCGTTCTTCCAGGCTGTTGTGGACGAGCAGTGTCCGAAATACGTCCTTGAGAAGGCGAAGAGAGCCAGTGCTGTTATGGCGACGATGGAGCCCATAAAGGAGGATATGTTGAAAAAGTGGTGTCGGGATTGGACAAGGACTTAGATGGGGTTATAAACGACGTGAATGTCGATGAAAATTTACTTCTTGATTGGATCATGGCTGATAGCTCCTGGGAGAGTGGCTTTAATGATTTATGAATAGCATTATGTTTTAGCAATTGATTAGCGGAATGCAGAACCATGAGATTCAAGATTTGAAATGTATCTGAATGAGCCGGCCTCTGGTGTTCCAGTGAATAGATAGGCCACTGTCTGACTCCGGGATTTACTACTAGAATGTGATATCAACGCTTTCTGGCTAGAAATAGGTCAGGGTTTGCGAAGCTCCTTTCTCTCGACGATCTGTTACCTAGCAAGTTAGCCCCCACTGTTGTGGGCAATTGTTAATAGCACCAGCCGTGGAAAGACGAGGTGGGTGTAAAGAACGGCTCCGCGGTCCTTTTGAAAAATGTACTGGGCACATATTAAGAGAGAGAAAGGAGGGAGGGCTCCAGAAGGTGGGACGAGCGTGATATGCTACTTGTCGGGGCTGATCTGGCTGGAACTTGTTTGGGAGGAAGTGAGGAAGCAGCTCGGCTGGAGAGTTGGATAGCTGCGGCAAGCGGGCCGTTTCTGGTCGCATTATGTCGGCGTCTACAGGTGCTGCAGCCAACCAGCACATGAGATCGGCGGGCGCGCGCGCTTGGAGCTCACCATTGAGGCAGATCCCTTCTTACTACAAGAACAGGAATCAATTCATTGATTCAGGTCCAGTACTCGAATGTAGCATGGACATCCAAAGTCTGGGGTTCTCTGGAGGCCCCCGCCAAATCTCGCTTAGCTGTAGGTTTCCCCTCGACTTAATCTTATCAGAACCCCCTGGCTCATCAACATAGTATAATGGACAAGAAGGGGACGAGCTAGCGATGAAGATCCTGCGGCAAGAGCTGAAGATCACCATGGCACTTGGCTGGGTGAGTCTAAGCGCTCTGAGCATAGTCGCGCGTTTTTGACCATGATCGACTAAAGCCTAACCTCCACAGATGACGACCAGTGACATCCAGCAAAGCTATCTGTCGGTGCTGCACTCCAAACGCATTCTTGGCAAGCTGTAAAGCTGTGAGCTCTGTGCATAATCGACAGCTCAACAACTCAGGAGGCGTGCGCATCGCCCCATGATCCGAATGGATTCCGATCAACCCGCCTGACCAGTGGGTTGCCAAGGGTCTTGGCACTGCTCCCGCACTGTTAGGGCTGATGGGGACCGTCACACTTTTCCATGGGTTTCCTGTACAAACGAAGCCGAAAAGTGGATTCCCCAAGGTCGATAAATTCTAAAAGATGTTCCCGAATCTCACTTCCGGAGCTTGGTAGTAGAAAATAGAAACGGCAACACGTACGTGCTTGAGGCTTGGAGCCACCCAAGCCTCCTCTGTGGCGGTGTGCCCCTGTTCCAGACGTCGTAGCGCCGCTGTAGTGGACCGTAGGCAGCACCATTCTTATCAGTCCAGTCCTAAACTTAGCACTCTAACTGCAGGTGTAGCCCTAGGTACAGAACAGTAGCCCGGCCTGAAAGTAGGGCCCGTGGCAGGGTGTTCAACGGAATGCGCACTCCCCCCGACACGACCCTCGATACGAGACGAGCGCGGCACATAATTAGGTGGCGCTAGCCGAGTCGAGACAGTAATCAAACAAATTAGCAGCCGATCCTCCACGTCGCAAAGCGTAATCGTCGAATTAGCGTCCCCTTTTCTGCTCAGCCCTGCTGATCTGGATAAATTCATTTAAATCCCGTCCCGCACCCTTGAATCATCTGCTCTTTCTTTTCTTTCTCCCTCAGACACAAACCTGTATAGATCCCCTTCAAACACGTCGTCGCAATGTTCAACTTCAACTTCTTCAAGTCCGCCCCCGCTGAGGCCCAGGCCCAGGAGAATACCTGGAACTCCAACACTGTCGCCATGCAGCAGCCCTCCAGCCCCGCTGCCCCCTCGACCAACCAGAATGTCGTCTCCGAGCAGCCGGTACGTCCACCCCAAATCGCGCGCGTTCTCAACAAGTATAATCAAAGCGAGACAGAACTGATATATGGTGTTTAGGCAAGCCAAGAGGAGATGTCCATGCAGCTGCGCGGTGGTGGCGGCGGTGGCCTTTGCTGCGGAATGTGAGTTTCTTGCTTATCTAGATTGCAGATTCAAATGCACAGCCACTAACTTACCGATGCACAGTTGCGCCGGTCTTGCCTGCTTCGAGTGCTGCGAGATCTGCTGCTAAATAACCAAACATGACGCAATCCAGCTAGGGGAAGGGAAAGGCACATCACGTCAATGATCGGCTGAAGGGCTGCGTTTACTGAAAGGCTTTGCTCGTCCTGGAGTAATCTGGTGATAATTTTTATGTCATGTCAGACATCTATGCGATATACCCAGTGACAAATAATTCAACGACAAGAGTGCATTCTTTATAACTGATTCTGGATCGTTTCATCGTAGCTCATGTGCAGTGCTCATTACCTCGTTATTTATACAGGTGCTGTCCGCCGAGATTGGCTCAAAAGGATCGGCGGTGAATCGCCGTGCGAAGCGCGGCGTCTACGTCCCACAGTCGGAAACCCGGGGCTCGACCGAGGATTCTGAAATTGGCGAGAAGTACTAGGGATGGTTTTAGCCGGTGACTGAGGTTAATCGAAAATGCCGGATGGCGCCCACACTCACAATCGAAGAAGCTTTCAACATCTAGGATATGCGTCGACTGCCCCAGATACTGCGGCTCGCTGATGTCACTTGAGGAGAGCTCCCCAGGGGACACATAGAATTGCGATGCAGAATAATCTGAAGCACGGCCCGGCGATGGGCTATAGAGAGCATCAACTGTCGCAGCTGGAACCTCCACCCACAACGACGAGCCATCCGCGATGATACCACAGTGTTCGAGGTACCCTTGGACGTCGTGGCAGTCAAACCACTCGCCCTCCAGATCCAATGCGCGCAGGCGATCATCCTCACTCATGGATCGTACTTCCTCGCCCTGTTCGTCGCCAAGATCAGGCTCCAGATCTCCACTCCAATCTTCATCCCAATCGGAGATACCGCCCCTCCGCAAGATCCTCGCCAGCCTTCTTAAAATCTTACCAGGTCGCCTTGAGTTCTCTGGATAAACGGGCCGGCCATCTGTGCCAGAGCGCGGGAAATGCGTGCCTGCGCCGCCGAGTGTATAAAACGGTAGTTTGTTTACTTCCAGTGGCCCGCCGATCTCGGTTTGCAGCACGCGCCGGAAGTTGCGCCGCACTCCCGGCATATCTTGGATGCATGGCAGTAGTCCGAAGACGCGGCTCATGAGGGTAGGGTCGGAGTGTGCATCTGCGAGCCAGCGGTAGGTATGTTCCAGACAGAAGCGCTGCAGGCGCCTAGACAGATCAGATTCTTGGTAGCTGTAGGTGTAGATGGTTGTTGAGGGGAAGAGACGGTTGAGGAGAGGGGACGGGGATCGTGGGTGGGGATGTGTCGGGTTGCTTTTCTCGTGGACATGTTTGCAAGACGATGTTTCACCGTGAATATCTCTCCTAGCAAGCGCGACTTGATACCCAAAGACATCAGGCAACGACCCCGGAGTCTGTCCAAGTTGGTGGCTGCTGTCTGCGGGAAGTTCCCGAGCCCTGTCAATCTCCGCTAGCACCAGCTGTCTCGCGCGAGAGAGGTCACTGTGTCCCGTACGGCTGCTGACTACGTCGTCGTCAACCGACACGAGGAGATCTGACACATTCTGTAGGGTCTGCTCGAGCAGCTCGACGCGGGTCTTCAGCGTCTGAATGGTCGCCTCCTTCTTCTGCCGGTAGGTGCGCTGTGCCCGTCTGATTTGCAAGCGGCGTTCCTAAATTCCGGAGGTCAGCACAAGCGCATTGATCGATTCAGCCTCACGCCCCCTTCCCGTACTCCTACCCTATCTAGCAGTTGCAAATGCTTACCTCAATTGCAGCCGCATCCTTGGCAGTTTCCAGCCTAGGTCGGCCTCGTTTTCGCGCAGGGCGATCATCGGGTGCTGTTTCGGTCTTCTCTGAATCCTTCCGGACTGGCCGACGTTCGCGAGGCCGCAGGCGTGGGCCCGACTTGCTCTCGCTCTCGATTGGGGCCTCTAAGAGCGGCGATTCCAGGATGCTCGGTGGTGTATGGTCTTCGGGCTGGAGCTGGAGCTGAAATCCCTGGCGGGCGAGCTCGAGATAAGATCGCGCAGAGAGGGTCTCCGATAGCGGGAGGTCGGACGGGGAGTGGTTGGATCCCGGCATTGGTCCGGCCGGGTAAGGAAGCTGAAGGGGAACTACAGGTCAATTCTTAATTGATCGAGGAAGAGGTCATGAGTGTCGACGTATCGAGTCCATGGAAAAGCATGTCGAGGATGACCACGGTGCAAGCGGATCAGTAATCGGATATTTGCGACCTCGGCAGGCCAGCCCGCAGATATCACCCACCGCCGAGATCTACCGCCTACTACATCCTCTATCAACGCCTAGCCAACCACCAAAAGAAACATCAAATAAACAGAACGTCGATCCAGTAAGAGACAGGTGAGGGAACCCCCTTTATTCTACAACATGCATGTCACGATTATCTACTTGGCAGGGTAGAGGCATGTCGATTAGAAAAAGATTCAATCGCGAAAAGACAACGATTCGTGGTTGATCCAACTTGGTAGACTCAATGGACCGAAAGCAAGCGGGGTACTATCGATAAGCATGAGGACGATTACTAAGGATGATGCAAACACCTCGTGACATGCCCATATAGAATACACCAAGTCATATTGCAGTGCACAGTCTACATCTCATACATGGGCGCAGGCAGAGAACTCTCACCGTCAACACGCTCGCCTCTCTGCAGCCTTCGAAGCACAGCGAATTGGTCATATAATCGCATTCGAGTTGAATATAGGAGGGAAAGGGGAACATCGGAGATGATCTAGGGAAGGGAGGTTCTTAAACGACTTCTTGCCTAGAAACGATTTTATGGAATACGGTCGTGTTTAATTGGAAAGTCGAGGATGATCCGCTATTCGGATCATAAATTCACCTTGATAGAAGCTCTCGCTAGCGATGGTTTAGGGGAGCCCTAGGGTAGCTACCGGTGATTGCTACTAGCTAGTAGAAAGGAGGAGCACTAGACCCGCTCCTAGTCTTTGTCCCCGTCGCTAGTTACATCGCTAGAAGAAGGACACCTTCCAAGCGGACCGTCTCCTTTCGATTAGAGAGCCAGAAGAACCATTCTACCAGATCGCACTTGCCTTTACATAAAGTAAAATAATCAGCAAACTAAGCACCATCAGCGAGAGGCCGCTCAACCATTCCAGTATCCCCGCGCTTTATCCCAAGGCTATATGGTCACTATTGAAGCCGAGAGATGTCGAGACACTCGGTCTCCTAGGGGCAGTGTGCGAATAGAAGATGCTACTCTTTGTCTTCCGGTACTAAAAACATCCTTAGACTCATCTCCAGACTCGGGCTCGGGATCGCTACTTGATTCGGCGTTACTCGGTGTGCACGACGTACTCAGAGAATGCGTATATATTTGTGTGACTACGAATTTGCCGGCAGAAAAGAATGGAAGATCTTATGATTTCAGAATACCGCCAAAGGCCGGGGGGAACCTTCCTGGGAAAGATGTAGCGCAGCTGACATCAAGTTTATTTGACTCTTCATGGATGACGAAAGTTATGCCCTACACAGTCAGCGCCGCGGCTAACCCCTCCTGCAAGATGACGACAGAAGACGACCAGCAGGGCTGATGCTGGTGCTTGTGACCAGCTTGTGCTCCGTCGGGGGAAATCTCGGATTTCCGTGAGCACCGCTCAGACACTTGTGCAACGAGAGGGGGCATCCTCTGAAGTCTCTGGACCCTTGCGAAACTCTGAATGTTCCTCCTTCGGTGTTGACTTCTTTGTTCTGGTGGTGGGGCCTTGCTATCCCGCGCTAGAGACCACAGAGGAAAGGGGGGATCCGCAGCTGAAAGTGCTCCCCGACCAAACGCTAGACCGAAGGCACAAGCAACGGAGGCGTCTCACCCACCGAGGAAAGCCGGCAGCCGATCAGATCGGCTGAGGGATTCGAAACCGTGCGAAGTCCGACGCCCTCGATCGTTACTTACCTCTAGCGCTCCCCTCATTGGCCGCCCGCCACGGAGGGTCCTGTCTTGTTCCCCACCTGCCGTCGTCTATGAGTCGGTGACGAGTCCGGCCTCGCAACCGAGGCCCCAGGCCCTATCCTGACCGCGGTTTCGTATATAATTCCACCGCATCTTCCTTTCGTTTTGACGATGGACATCCCTCCTACTGCCGCCGCCTCGCGACCATGACCTACACCTTCGTCCTGGGCTTCACGGCCGCGGCCGTGGTTCTGCAGCTCATCCGCATGGCGCTTGCTTCCTGGCAACACTCGCGCAAGGCTCGCGAACTGGGCTGTAGCAGCCTGCCATTGTTCCCCTGCAAGGATCCCATCGGTATCGGTAATCTGAAGCAGACACTGGCGGCCGACAAGGAGAAAGTCCTTCCGGAGCTGTCAGCACGCCGCGTTGAGATCGTGAGCGACCAGGAGGGCCGCTACGTCACCACCTTCGTGCTGCGCAACCTGGGCCGCAACTTGGTGTTCACAATTGATCCGAAGAATGTCCAGGCCGTGCTGGCCACGCAATTTAAGGACTTTGAGCTGGGCGAGGTGCGCCGTCATAGCATGCACCCGCTGCTCGGCACTGGAATCGTGGGTCACATGAATATCTATGAGAGCTTGGACGATCAGGGACGATACTGACGCGCAATCTTTTAGTTTACCGCCGATGGAGAGGAATGGACCCGATCCCGTGGCTTGCTGCGCCCGCAGTTTACTCGTGAACAGATTAGCCAACTCGAGCTAGAGGAAGAACATGTGCAGAAAGCGATGCAGGCCCTGCCCCTTGCTGCGAATGGGTGGACAGCCGCAACAGACCTCCAGTCGATCTTCTTCCGGCTGACCATCGACTCCGCCACGGAATTCCTATTTGGCGAGAGCGTGGAGAGCCAATTGGGTGCCGTTCAGGGCCTTCAGCGACCCGAGGACTCGTTCGCCTACTTCTTCGACAAATCGCAGTGGGTCTGCGCCCAGCGTAGCCGCTTCGAGAAGCTCGCCTTCATCGTGAACAACAAGGAAACTCGGCACTCGGATAAGCAGGTTCACGACTTTGTGGACCGCGTGGTCAACAACGCGCTGAAGTCTGTGCAGAGCGGAAAGGCCCCCGTCGAGGAAGAGAAGTCCCAGAAATACGTTTTTCTAGAGGCCCTAGTTTCCGTCACCCGCGATCCGATTGAGCTGCGCTCGCAGCTGCTGAACATCCTCCTCGCCGGCCGCGACACCACCGCCTCCCTGCTTAGCTGGACCGTCCTGATGCTTGCGCGCAACCCCGATGTGTTCAAGAAGCTGCGCGAAACAATCATCGAGACCTTCGGCACCTACTCGAACCCGCAGAACATCACCTTTGCCACGCTCAAGTCTTGTCAGTACCTGCAGTACTGCATGAATGAGTCGCTCCGCCTGTTCCCCGTAGTTCCATTTAACCGCCGCTCCGCCACCCGCGACACTACTATTCCGCGCGGTGGCGGCCCAGACGGCCAGTCACCCGTGTACATCAAGAAGGGCCAGTCTGTTGTGTACAGCACTCACGTCATGCACCGCCGCAAGGATATTTGGGGTCCAGACGCCGAGCAGTTCAAGCCGGACCGCTGGCTGAACCGCAAGGTGGGCTGGGAGTACGTTCCGTTCAACGGTGGCCCGCGCATCTGCATTGGCCAGCAGTTCGCGCTCACCGAGGCCGGTTATGTGCTGGTCCGTCTGCTTCAGCGCTTCGACCAGATTGAGGACGTCAATGCTGGCCGGAAGATTCGTTGGGGCTTGACTCTGACCAGCTGCCCGGCGGATCTGTTGACCGTCCGCATGCACCAGGCGGACGATTTGTGAAACACTCTTTCTTGAACCTGGAGAGCGAAAAATATGGGAAAAGATATCTCATTGGATCTTTTGGATATTGGCGGCAATTTGAACGAGAGGCTTATTTCCTGCTCTGTCCTTGACCTGGGACCTACATGTTGGCCTCGGTTGCATGATCGCCTTATTTTGGTGTGGTTTCCTCCTGGCTCATTAGAGACAGTGGAGCTTTGATACGACGACTACGATTTGACATATTCTATAATGAATGTAAAATATATTCCCACCATTCTTATTCATCTCCACCACACCCTGAATACATCCTTCAAACCCCCAAACCCCAATCTACCTACCATACAGTACAGTCGGAGTCCTGAGTCACCTCTGTAACAGCAGTAGGTATACGCCCGACAGATGCTTCGAAGGACTCTCTTCATACAAGCAAAATTGCCCTTTTCCCTCATTTGTATCTGGCTGAATCCGGCTATACTTGATGAGTACCAGTGGAACCCTCCCTGTTCGGAGGCTGCCCCTCACGTGCACCAGAAAGCCCTACTGGGTGGAGTCTGAGCCGCCCCGCGTAGAGCGCGCTGTGGAGAAGCGGCCCTTTCCCGGTGAGTGGATAAAATGCCAGTCCAACCATGGATTGGATAACGGATAGAAAGGATCTGGCACAGCACTGAAAAAATGAAGCCTGAGTGATGAGGTCATATAAAGAGTAGTGGAAATGCCAAGATGCTAAGTTTACAGGGATCTGAACCCTTCTAGAATGCCACGACGAGTAAAAGCGGACTAGTTGCCCCGGAGGCTCCTGCTTGAAGAGGGTTTAGGCGGAATGGGAATGGGTATCTGACTTGGTAAACAGGGGTTTGCGGTTCTATGTTCACGCACTGGTCGAAATAGCGGAACGACCCCCAAAGCCTTATTTTGTTCATCTGATGTGGATTCATATACTGCACATCGTGTTGAAAAAAAAGGTATTGAGAAGTAAGAAGATAAAGGTAAATGTAAATAGTAGAATCGAAGTCAAATGTATACAAGCGAAGTAGAAATAAAGGCTTCAAAGCAGGAGAGGCAACCATCAATCCAACGAGTCAGTATATGGGCAAGTCCCCTTTTATCTAGCTCCTGTCTCCACATCAGAACCGGGGCTTAAAACCAGTTCCCTCCTAGTTCCCACTTCCCTGTTTACAGGCACTGGTGGTAGTAAGGGTTCTGCACGACGCAGGCCAGCCCACTCTCGCAGGAAGTTGCACCGGTCCAGCTCAGACCACCGCATTGGTAGTAGCGGGCGACAGTGCCGCTGCTGGAAGAGGGAACGGCGATGCTGGTGGATGACTGGGTGGTCGCGGGCGAGGGCACACTGACGAAGGTGGTTGGGGAGGAGGCGGGCACACTGACGAAGGTGGTCGGGGAGGAGGCGGGCACACTGATAGTGGTCGTGACGGCTCCAGCGGGGGCGCTGGAAGAGCTGGCAGACTCGGTGGGAGGACTGGAGGCCTGGACCTGGGTATTGGGGGTGGTGGTGGTGGTGGTTTCCTGGGCGGCGGAGGTGGTGGTAGTCGCGGCCTTGGTGGTAGACGAGGACGAGCCGCTCACGAAGTACTTCTCCAGGATAGGCAGGTAGGTCGAGTACGCGGGACCAGTAGTCGGCTCGAGTGAGTACATGTATGTTCCCCACCAGGGACCGGCAGCCCACCACTCGGCGCCCATCCAGACGTCACTGTTGTCGGACATGTAGGACAGCATGCCCTCGACGGCAGCCTCACAGTCCGAGTTGACGCCGCCGGCGAACTCGCCGATGAAGCCCTTCTTGTCGTTGTTCTTCAGCCAGGTGGTGGCTGACTCGAGGCGCTCCTTGCCGATGGTGCTGCTGACGCAGGTCTCCGAAGTGCCGGAGCTGTCGGAGTCGAGGTACTGGTGCATTTCGTAGACGATCTTGTCCTGGGGGTCGGTCAAGTCTTTCATGTTGTCGTTGTTGCTGGTCCAGGACCAGGCGCCGGTATAGGCATTGCCCTCGACGAAGATGTACTGGGTGGTGGCACCAGCGGCACGAATGCCGTCAATGGCGGCCTGGTTCAGGTTGAGAACCAGAGTCTGGTCCATATCGTGATATTCGTTGTCTAGACGCGACGTGTAAGTTTCTCATCAACTAGGCTAAGCACTGGACATGTCTCACTTACTAGTATCGAAAATAACCTTCTCGTTGGAAGCAAACTCAGTAGCGACAGTCTTCCACCAGGCCTTGAAATTATCGGTCGAGGTGATGATACTGCCAGAGCTGTGTGATGGGTCAATATCACGGCTGAAGTATACGAAAGAGAGATTGAGGTGTCGTACTATCGGCCATAGTTATGGGGGTCGAGGACCGCATAGGCACCGCTGTCGGTGATGAACTTTACCGTCTGTTGTGGAGTGCACATTAGCAGCGACGTTCGATTATCAATAAATCTTTCCAAGCGGATATATCACATACAGACTTCAGATCGGCCAAATAGGTTGAGTCGGGAGTGCTAGTCATGCTAGTGGGAACCAGACGCTCCATCAAGAAAGGAACACGGAAGATGTTCATGCCAGCATCACGCAGCACCTGGATCTTCGAAGTCTCGGGCCAGATGTAGCTGGTGCCCAGAGTACCAGGGATGCTGCCCTCACCGAACTCGGCACCAGACTCGCTGACACCGACCCCTACTCACGATTAGCATCACGAACTTTCCTGTAGTGATTTGTCATGGCAATTCCATACAAGTGAAACCAGTAGAGCGCTTTTTCTCAACGCTGCGCTTGTTAGAAACAATATCCCGACCACGCGGGTAAGCAACGGCCATGTTAGCTGCGCTAGCGGCCAGAACCATGTTGGTGAACTTCATTGTGGATGATAGAAAAAGAGAATGACTATCGAGCTTGTCGAATGAAAGAATGGGAAAACCCGTAGGGTGAAAAGAAGGAAAGAATCAAGAAACCAGTCTTGAAGCTTAAACGAAAGGAAGGTTAGCAAGAGAGAGAAAGCAGCGAAGGGAAAAGAGATGCCAGGATCTCGCTCATTATATAGGTCTCCATATTAGAAGGAGGGGGAAAGCGCCAGCAGGATCGGCCACTGGGCTGGGTCAAGGCTAATCAAGCATCTGATACACGAGGTGGGTTCGTCATTCGAGGGCCTCTCAGACAAGGTTACCGTCACCACTCCTCTCTGCCTACCGTGGAGTGAGGCATCGTGGGGGTTGACCCTGAAGGCAATCAATGAATAGATAGTTCTTCCGCCACGATGGCTCGGCTGGACAAGCGTCAGTCATGCGCTAGGGACCATTGGATCCAGCGCGAACGGCCTGGAACTGATTTGACCGTACGTTAATCTAATTCACATTGACCAGTTTCGAGCAGGTTGGACATAAAACAGGCTAGCGCAGGTGCCAGGGGTTTTTGTGGGATGTCTGTTAGACTGTGGGGGCCGACGTGGAGTCGAGTTTATTCGACACATGGTCCACAAGGGTTCAGGGTCATTTCACGATGCGCTTTTCTGGCGACGAGCAATAAGTGGAAGAATGCCAGGAAATTATTCCGGTCCAGGGGCAGTGGGCTCGGCCATCCCTCTTCGGGAGAACGCCGAGACGCAAGGAGAGAAAACCGCCGCGGGTAAATGAGTTACTATCTAGCTGAAACGAGGCGGAGCGTTCATCACCGCAGCCGGTGAATTAAGTGCACTAATGCTTGACCCGAATGGGCGAATACTCAAGGTCATATAAACATATACAATATGTGATGAGTGGAATGTAGGTCAATTACTCCGTACACCACTTGGAGGCGGGTCCAAGTCCATTTATCAGAACCAAGCAGCAGGAAAGTCCATGTGGGCTCCTCGCCGAGTCGCCCCCGATGCGATGCACATGTCGTTATGATCATAGCACGTCAAAGTCTACTCTTTAGCCACGGTCGCCGCTGTGCTGCTCCATCGTGGCTGGCTAGTTGCTATTGTTCGATGTGGAACTCGAAGGATCGATCGCCTTGCCCGATAGGCACGGCCTTCGCGTGATGGTCGTAAAGGGTCCGCTCAAAATACCGGACTCGACCGTCAGGCCGAGCTAGAAGGATAGTCTGCTTCTGAGTCCCGTACGGCCCGGAAGAATAGTTCTGGCCCAGGGCCCCATTTGTGTGGGGCTGCTGCATCTCGTCCTCAACATGGGCGGCGGCGATTTCTTCTGCGACTTGATTGGCGTCCTCGTCGGCTCCAATGAGTGGAACAAAGATGCTCTTTCGTAGCTGTTGAATGTAAGTCTCGACACCGGTGCCTTCTGGCAGTCGTGGCAGGGTGTCGGTGCTGAGCACCTGGAGGAGACGCTGTAGCAGGGTCTCCTCACCCTCTTGGGCTTGTACATGTTCTTCGATAGCACTCTGCATGAGCCTTTCACCGTCCAGGATCTTTGGCCATGTGCGGTCATCGACACTGGTGTTGCTAAGCCCACGGGTTTGATTCTTCTCGGCGGCTACCCATGTGATCTGGTCCATGTCGGATGAACGGTTGGAGACAATGGCCAAGGGTTCGTTGACCCGGCCACAAACCAGGCTAAAGCCCCCGACTTGCTTGGCTTCCGGGCTGGCGACCATCGCCTGCACAAAGCTGTGGGTGGTCTGACCCTCGCTGGGAGGACTGGTCAGCCAGCTATTGACAATTCGGCCACGGCTATGTAGCCCGACGGCTTCGGCGCATTTATCTTCGCGGTAGTTGGTGAGCACCGCTACTTTGCCCTGTTTGGTGACGCCCATCCAGGTGCCATGCGTGGCCCGCGCCAAGTCGCGTGAGCCGAGGACATACGATGCTGGCTCCGGCCACCAGTCCGGCGCGGAAGTTGGTCGTCGCAGGAATTCCTAAGTGGCAATTAGTCTCTCAACCATATCCAGACTCGTTCCAGGGTGACCACGTACATCTCTGTTGTCGATGATGATTAACGAATATGACGGGTGAGCGGTTGAGATCAGCGCGATGCACATTGTTTAGTTCCGAGGTTTCCAAGAAGCTCCAAGACCGAAGTGGGGAAGGGCTGTGGAATCGCGAACACGCTGGGGGAACAGTAATATGTACCAGGGATTCGGCAGACATTCACTGATTTCAGACTTGTGAAACGAGAAAGGCACAAACGGTGGAAAGGAAAGAAGATCGCAGGAGTCATGCAGGCACCTTGGGCATCGGGTAATTGGGCCGAGTCTTGGGCCCCAGCCAGTGGCACGTCGATTGTCGATCTCAAGGTTCGGGTGTAAGTAGTACAGAGGCAAAACTTATAGACACTGCAGGAGGCGGCAATAATTAGCCTCACGGGCGTGGGGAACGACGAGTTTGGAGACCGTCTGAGATCCGTCAGTTGCTGCGTGACGTCAAAAGGCGAACCGTGGATCGACCGAAGTGGAGGGCGGTCATGCTCCTCCAGCTGAGATGCTGCTGATCCGCCTGGTCTCCGCCACGTCTAGCTTGGTCCTCTCAACCCTCCGCTGCCGTTGTGCTACTTTCCCCAATATTCTTTTCTTTGGGCTTCTTTGAGCCTCGAGAGGTCTATGATTCTCCCCACCCGGATTGCCCCCGTTTGAAGCTGTGCAGCCCTTCAACCACTGGTTGGGGGGAGCTGCCTGATCGCCCACCGCCGATTGTCCACCCCTCTTGAAGTTCGCTTTCCCCGGACTCCCACGTTCTTCGCCATCATGTTCGGCATCATTGCGGACTTGTTGTCGTAGGTGTCTTCCTCGAGCGCTTTCATTGAGCTACTCGTCTAGCTTCCACCGGCTAACGCGTCTCCTGTAGCTCCGTTATCACCATCCTCTTCCCCATCTTCGCTTCCTACAAGGCTCTCCGCTCCTCCGATCCCTCCCAACTCGCACCATGGCTCATGTACTGGGTGGTCCTGTCGGTCATTCTGCTGGTAGAATCATGGACGGTGTTTATCGTCGGGTGGTAGGGCTTCGACCATGCAGTGACCCAGGATGGTGCGGACGCTGACGGTGATCATCTAGGTTTCCCTTCTATAGCTGGATCCGCCTCTTTTTCATGTGCTATCTCGTCCTTCCTCAAACTCAGGGAGCCCGCATGCTCTACCAGGACTACGTGGACCCGTTTTTGACGCACCACGAGCGCGAGATCGAGGAGCTGATCGGTCGCACCCACGAACAGGCCAAAGCATTGGGGTTGCAATACTTCTACAAAGCTGTTGAGTTGATCCGGGAGAAAGTCATGGGTCTTCCCCCACAACGGCCGGCGCCACCGCCACCCTCGGGACCCGCTGCCTATGCCCAGTCCTTGCTGTCGCGGTTCAATATCCCTATCGCCGCGGGACCAGGCGCACCTGCAGCGGCCAACGATTGGTACTCGGTCCTCAGCTCTGCCCTGGGATCCGTCGCCTCCTCCGGGAAGTCACGTGAAACACGGGAGGAGGAGCTCTCGGCCAGTGGCACTCTTCTCCAGCAAAAGTTGGAAAGTATGTCTGGCACCGAGAAAGCACAGTATATTTCCAGCCAGCGGGAGGTGTTGGATTTCCTGCGGTCCGCCTTGAGCCGCGAGGAGCAGGCCATGCGTCGCGATGATCCGGAGACAGATGAGCTGGCCTATGGCGCCCCGCTGCGGAAGGATCCCAGTGAGAACTCCTTTGACGTGGTCGACGACGAGGACCTGGGCAGCCGCCACGGCGCACGACGGACTAGCAGCCGCTGGACATCGGGCTGGCTGGGTACCGAGCACGACTCGTCAGGCTCATCCGGCACCGACTATGCCCGCACTTCTGGATATGATCGGTACTAACTGGGTGGGTTGCAATCTTGGGGGCGAGGACGAAAGAACGGAAGACAAGACCAAAAGGCCGGACTGCCGAAAGCAGAATCCATAGAGGTTCGCGTGTTGCTTTTTGGAAGGGCAAATTGAATGGAGTTTTTGTGACGCCATTTGCTGTTCAGGGCGCACAAGCTCTCTCCCCGTCCCACTGAACTTGCTGCGCATCATTGCATATCCGTATTATGTCCGTACGTCCGTGCCCGTCCATAGTGTATAGAGTATGCACGTCGAGGGCGACTAGCGACTCGAGACTAGTGCCTGGGCAGTGTACACCTCACCTCGCGCCCCTCCACCGATCTGCCGAGAGGAATGGTGGAGGAGTTCCAGGCGAATCAAGCGTGGTCGGGGGAATTTGGCCTCATGCATGTCGAGAAAGTTCGCGCGGCTGCAAGGCGGGACGGGGAGAGTCGATCCCAGGAATGCATGTTGTATCCCTTCGATAGGATTCCGATTGCTAGGGAGAGAGAGAGAGGAGATATCCCTTCGACGCGAGAACCGGGAATGAATGCTGCTCCGCAAGTCCATAGGTTCATAGTTCGTCGACGCAAATCAGCATCATCTCATGAATCATACGCTCGATCCCAACCAGTCTAGACAGGTGTTTGAGTCATACGCTTGGCTCGAACGCGCATCGGACACGAGAGAAAGGATAGTGAGAGGCTGGGTCGGTTTTAGTCTATGCGTAAGCCCAAGTCCCGCCAGTCCCGCCAGTCTTCCGTCCGGCGAGCCTGGCAAATCAACGGCGCATCAATGAAGCATCAACGAAGCATGAACGAGGCATCACCCTTCTACTGCCTCGTCTTGTGGGATTCCCGTCGCAGTGGCAAACGGGGCAAATTGGGGGGAAAGCCAGCTGGGAGATCCACTTCATGCTTCGCGGGTCCAGCCTCAATTCATTCCGGGACAGAAAGGAAAAGGAGAAGATAGGAGTGATTGAACGAAATCAATGTAAATCAGTAAGACCAAAAGCGGCAACCTGCGACCTGCAAAATGCAATCTGCAATCTGCGTCCTCCTGGGCAACGTCGCCGATGTCATGGTGGCGCTGTTGTAGATAGAATAACCACTTCCATCCTCCGACCACCACCTTTCTTCTTTATTATTTCCGCATTCTTTCTTTTGCATCAAGTCCACACAAACCCGACCGTGGACTTGACTCCAGACTGTGTTCTTTGAGGTGAGTTGTGGCAGCCGCACTTCTTCCTCCACAAAACCCCGAATTTTTTTCCCACCGAAACAACTTTTTTCCTGCGCTGGATTTTTTCCTCCTTCCCACACACCCACCAAACTTTGTTCCCCAACCTCACCTCACCTCGGACCACGCGCTGCATCTCCCCTGCTGCGCCCGGTCTTGTCATTTCATTCGGTTGATTTGACTCTCCTCCTCTGACGAACTTCTTGGGACCTCCTGCAGATTTCAGGTTTGGATGTGGCCTTGTCCAGCCCCGTCCACAACTTGACATCACCGTCAACCCCGTCCAACCTCCACCCGCGACCAACCTCAACCTATCTTTCGATTCTCTCTCTGCGCGTGTGCCGTGGATACCACCTGTCTAATGACCTCGAACCCTCCTCAGTCGGGCGTTCAACAAGGACAGAGCACCGCTACCTCCGCCTCCAACCCGCCCGCCACTTCATCCACCCCCCTGGCTGCGTCCAGGTCCTACGCCAACGCCACGAAGAAGTCCGCCACGGACTCAACTACCTCTCCCGCCACCGTGGGTGGCTCGGCACAACATGGGAAGTCGGCTTCCGCCTCTCCAGTGAACGGCAAACCCATGCAAACCCAACAGCCTCAGCCGCAGGCCCAGTCTGGGGTGACCATTGTCAATGGCGCTCCCACAGCCCCTGCCGCTGCCCAGGGCGACCACTCCCGCAAACCCTCTGTGACCATCACCTCTGCCGGCACATCGGGATACATGCCCAACGGTGGGCCCGCCAGCCGTCCCAATAGCCTCCAGTTCGGCTTCGCCAACCAGCAGAGCTCCCCCAACATGGGCAATCCCGCCGTGCTCGCCTCCAACCAGTCACAGTCGGGCCTGGGTGCTCCCTCGACGAACCCCCGTGTGACTTCGCCCCAGACCTCCCCGTCACCGATCCCACAGCCCGCGTCCAGCGGTGGTCGCCCCCCACCATCGACCTACCAGGCACAGGGCAACGTGCCCAACTTTGGCAGCTTCGGTGAGAATACCGGTGACAACAACGTAAGTGAAAATTTTGCATTGCCCCGTAACTGTTTTGCTTTGTCGAAACGGAATTGGATGGTGATGGCCCTGGTGCATATGAAGCGCGCGGGAACGCGACCGCGCATATCTCCCGAGTTTTCCCCTCCTCCCTTCGCTCTCCCCCCCGCGTTTGAACCACCTGGCTCACATAGATGCGCCCACCACCACAGGCTCCCCTCGGTCCCGGCCCTCAGCATCTCCGTCGCGAGTCCTCGCAGTCGACACACAGTGATATGAGCAACCACATGGGTGGTGGCCCTGGCCGCGGTGGATACCCTCACCAGGGCGGCCGCGGTCGCGGATACTCCCAGTCCGGCTACCAGGGACAGATGCCCTACTCGCCAGGCCCGACCTTCCGCCAGACTCCCAACCAGCCTCGCGGTGGTCCCACCATGGGACCTCAGTTCCACGGCCCTAACCAGGGTCGCCCGATGCCCCCGTTCCCGAACTCGCCGCACCAAGCGAACCGGAGCCCGGCGCTCGCCAACGCGCATCCTACCACTCCCCAGATGAACCAAGTGCCCATGGCCCACCCGCAGATGCCTCCGCAGCCGTACCCCGGTTACGGACAGCACATGGGTCCCCAAACTGTGAGAAACCCACCCTACCTCCACCACACTATGAAACCCGCCCGGCGTGGTAATGGTCAGAGCAACCATGGAAACCATAGCAACTATGGCACTTATGGCAGAAGCCGGGGGAACAATCGTGCCCCTGCGGTCCAAATCCCCGTCCCCGATCTCGCCCCTGAGAGCGGCCAGTTTGAACGATGTCTAACCTACGTTAAAAATCACCAGGGATACCCTCCGTCCTACGACCCCAACTACGGCTTCTACCCGGGTGGTTACAACATGCAAAATATGCAGTACATGACCCCTCCGTCACCTCAGCCTCGCCCTGGCATGCCCTACAACCCGCAGACGCCGTACATGCAATCCCAGTATCCCGTTCAGCCTCCGCCCCAGTCGACTCCGCTCTCGCGTACCCCGTCACAGGTCTCTACTGACCGTCCTGGCTCGAGCCTCGGACAACCCGCCCCAGCTGGCCCTCCGGGCGCTGGTCACACTCACACTGGTAGCAGATCCTCGAACAGCCCCGCCCCTGCGAAGCCGCACTTTGTGATCCCGTCTGCCAAGAAGAGCCCTATCATCATCAAGGACCCCAACAGCGGCAGCGTCAAGACCTTCGACAAGAACCCCGCCTCTCCTGCCCGTGCCACTCCCTCGCCTGTCAAGATCGCCACCCCTACCGCCACGCCGCCTCCGCGTACCTCCAGTGCCGCCGACCACACACGCGTTGAGAGCAAGGCCAGCAACGCCAAGACTGACGAGGAGAAGAAGCAGGAACTCAAGGACGCTGTGCGTCAGAAGATCCAGGAAGATGAGGCCGCTCAGAAGCGCCAGGCCGAGGAGGCTGCTCGCAAGAGTGCCGAGGAGGCTAAGCCCGTTGAGACCAAGAACGAGGACACCACTGAGTCTGCTCGTGCCGCCCTGGAGGACCTGAGCTTGAAGGAGACGGCCGTCCCCGCTGAGGAGCCCAAGAAGGCCCCCGCCCCGGCTCCGACTCCCGCTCCCGCTCCCGTTCCCGCTCCCGTTGAGAATGATGATGAGATCGACTACGATGCTATTGAGCGTGAGATGGCCGAGATCGAAGCTAAGGAGCGTGCTGCTGAGGAGGATTACAACCGCAAGAAGCAGGCTAAGAAGGAGGAGGCCGAGCGTAAGGAGCGCGAGGAACGGGAGCAGTATGAGGTCAACATGAAGAAGGCTGAGCAGGAAGCTGAAGAGCGCGAGCTTGCTCGTGAGGCCGCCCGCGCCAAGGGTGAGACTGCTGAAGACGATCCCAGCCGTAAGGAGCGTGAGGATCTCTTTGCCTCTCTCAAGAAGGGTGGCTTTACTGCAACTGAGGATTCTACTCCTGGCGACAGCGGTGCTGCCACCCCTGTTTCGTCCGATATGTCCATGGGCCCTCCTGCTAAGCCCGCCAGTGCTGCCGGTAAGAAGCCCGCTGGTCTGAAGCTCGACACTCCTAAGCCCACCGAGCCTCCTCAACCCAGTGCCGCCATGAAATCCCTGCAGAACGCCAAGTTCTTGGAGGACCTCAGCAAGGTCACCTACCCATCTTCGGTCACTGCGCCCAGCTCTGCTCTGAATGATAGTGCTCCCGCTGGCCGCCGGTTCCACTACGACCGTGACTTCCTGCTCCAGTTCCAAGCAGCCTTCAAGGACAAGATCTCCATCGAGTGGGACGGCATTGTGCGTGAGACTGTCGGTGACAGCGACGCTTCCTCCAGACCCCAGTCTGCTGCCCGTACCCCCAGCATGGGCGGCCGTAACCCCTCTCACAAGGGTATGGGCTTCCCGGGTGCGGCCATGGGCAACTTCGGCCAGAACCCTCGTCACAGCATGCCTGCGGTCAACCCGTCCCTAGGTGGCCGGGGCACCCACCCCTTTGGTTCCTTCGGCCGTCCTGGTATGCCTGGCATGGGCACCAATATGCCCCGGACCAACTCTTCTGGCATGGCCATGTCTCCCCGTGTGGCTTCTAGCAAGGGTGGCGCTGCTGGCAGCAAGCGTGGCAAGCACGGCGGCAAGAAAGAGGAGGAGGTCAACAAGTCCATGCCTCTTACTGCCGGTATGGAGCTGAAGGCTCTGCAGCCGAGCTCCACCGGTTGGAAGGCCCGCAGCCTCACCCAGAGCAATACTGGCCCCGCTCCTGGTGGCGACGGCTACCTGCCTCCCGATGTTGTGCAGCGTAAGGTGAAGGCTGCGCTCAACAAGATGACCCCCGAGAAGTTCGACCGTATTTCCGCACAGATCTTAGAGATTGTCTCCCAATCCAAGGACGAGTCCGATGGCCGTACCCTGCGCCAAGTCATCCAGCTCACCTTCGAGAAGGCTACTGACGAAGCCCACTGGGCTCCTATGTATGCCAAGTTCTGCAAGAGCATGCTTGAGAGCATGAGCGGCGAGATCAAGGATGAGAACATTCGCGACAAAAATGGCAACATCGGTAAGTGTCAATTTAAATGTTTTTGTTTGAAAGCATTGAAATACTAATCCGTCTATGAACAATAGTTACGGGCGGTTCCCTGTTCCGCAAATACCTGCTTAACCGCTGCCAGGAGGAGTTCGAGCGCGGTTGGAAGATCAACCTCCCGCCCAAGCCCGATGGTGTCACTGAGGAGGTTGCTATGATGTCTGACGAGTACTACATTGCTGCCGCTGCTAAGCGTCGTGGTCTTGGTCTCGTTAAGTTCATTGGTGAACTGTACAAGCTCGGCATGTTGACGGAGCGTATCATGCACGAGTGCACGAAGCGTCTTCTGGACTTCGAGGGCGTTCCTGAGGAGGCCGAGGTCGAATCTCTGTGCAACCTGCTGCGTACTATCGGTGCCAGCCTGGATGCTTCTGAGAAAGGCCCTGCCATGATGGACGCTTACTTCGCTCGTATCAACCTCATGGTCGATATGCCCGACTTGCCCAGCCGTCTCAAGTTCATGTTAATGGTTCGTCAAACACTTTCTATCTCGCAATCCCGTTGGAGGAAGTGTAGAGCTGACTTGTTCTCTAGGATATCATTGATCTGCGTAACTCTCGCTGGAACTCCAAGGACGCTGATAAGGGTCCCAAGACTATCCAGCAGATTCGTGAGGAGGTACGTCTCATTGCTCAGTGCATCCATACTCAGGAATATATCAATATCTGACTCAATCCAAACAGGCTGCTCGTGCTCAAGCCGAGGCCGAGATGGAGCGCCAGCGCCAGCAGGCCAACCGTGGCGGTGGTGGCGGCGGCCGGCCGGCCATGGGCCGTGGTGATGCCCGTGGCTTCGGTTACAATAACCAGGCCCCTCCCCCCGACTTCACATCCAGCAAGGTCGGTAGTGACGATCTGCGCCGTCTCCGTGCTACCCGCAACACCAACCAGCCCATGTCTTTCGGTCCCTCGAGCCTGCTCGGCTCGCGCAGCAGCAGTGGCCGCAAGGGCCTTGGCCCCGGCGGCAACCTGGTCCGCGGCAGTGATGACAGCGCCGCGAGCAGCCGCACTGGCACTCCCCCTGCCGGCAAGAAGGAGGACAAGGAAGCTGCCTCATCGATGAATGCTTTCAGGTATGTCTTTACTTCCGAGTCCTTTCAGACTCCCGCTCTTGCCCCCATGCAACAATATACTGATTTCATTTCTCTTGCAGCGCCCTTGCCAGTCTGGAAGACCGGGACAACATGGCCACTTCGCCCCCATCCAACCCAACCTCCCCCATGCTTACCAAGTCGCAGCCCGCCACCGCGGAGCGCCGGCCCTCAAAAACCCCGTCGAAGGATGGCGAGAACGCAGCATAGATTTGATTCCCTAGGTGTTAATGATCAACGTTTTTCCATTGTTTTTCACCCAAAAGATTTCCCTTTCTATTATCCTTGTTCTTGCTCCTTTTTCCTTTTCCTCTCTGTTCATGTTGCTCCTCCCATTGCGAATCTGCTTTTAACGGCCGTCCTGACTCTTGCATTTCCCGACTGGTCGGTTTGTCCTTTTCTTTCCGCCCCCGTCTAACTCCCTTACCTTTTTTACCGGGACCTTCATAGTGTACAATCTTCACACCTTTTTTTATCTCAATTTTTGCCCTTTCCCCTTAATTATCTTCGTGTGGAGTCGCAGTCAGCCCCCCGGCCCCTTCTGTACTCTTCTCTTTCCCTGGTCCGATCTTGCCTGATCTCGTTGCTCAGTTGGGATGAGGGAGGCAAAGAGAGGTGGAAGGGGGCCGTCGTAGTAGACATGCTGCTGCTGGAGGCGAGAGAAGATTTGCATGTAAGCAGAGAAGAATGAGAACCCCGTGGCTATTCGTATTAAGAGATCAGATGGCAACACGATGAGATGAACCGGGTTTGCGCCAGGGTTTATCGATCTGATTGATGTCGATGTCGAGGTGGATGAAGGCTACGTGCTGCTGGATGCGGTTGCTGCTGCGGTTTTCTTTTCTATATGGCGGGGGCCCCTTTTTTTTCTCTTCTCTCTTGTGTCTTCTCAATACCCGAAGTCTGTCAGCTATGTGACTGCGATGAATGCCTCTCTCCAGGACCTAGAAAAAGCATCTTGTTATATTATTGTCTTTGGTCGTTGTGGGTAGTTCGGTAGTGCTGGTGATTTCCAAAGCTCGAAGGGATGGGCAAGTCCGTTTAGTTCAGCTTTGAGGTGCTGAAAGGCTACTATGTACATCTGCCACAGGCAAGGCTACACGGGATGCCCCGGAGAAGTGTAATCACAAAGTGCTTTGATTCATTCTATAGGTCAAGCTGATAGTGACGAATTTGCTTAAATATAAACGCCACCTAGCCATGCGGGGTATCCTCTGGGTATCCTCCCATCTATTTAGACACTTCTCACCCTTCAAGTGCCATGCCAAGCGCAAATTCTAGAATGACGGAGGAAAAGCGGAAAATGGATGGAAAGTGGATTGGAGAGGAGAACGTGTTGCAGGTAGTCAAGTAATCTTGGGGTATTTGCGCTGGGGGACATAATCGGGCCAGGAGGTGGTGCGGGGGGTGCGGTAAGGGTCCTGGCTCTGTACAAGGGATGCATGTGCGTCGTTCATTACACGAGGATGCAAGAATAGTGGTATCTGTGATGGACAGAATGGGGGAATTCTTCAGGCGTCGGCGTCCTTGGCAGTATCGTTCTCGTCATTGCCGTTGGAGACTTCGATCACGGGGATCGACACTCGCTTCGCGATGGCATCAGGTGCTTCCGAGGTCAAATCCGCTGTATCGCCCTCCTTTTGTGGTTGCTCTGATTCATCGGGCGAGACTTCGAGCGGAGGTGAGGGTGATGTGGACGGTGGCCCTGGAGATGATGCTCGCTGTGTCCCCTCGCTGACCACAATGCTCTCTTCGGAACTCGCTGGACTTCCGTTCAGAGGACTCTTCAGAACGACCGCGTCTAGGGAATGCGGGACTGGAGACGGGGAGTCGGATTCATAAATACTCAGACTGCTGCGATCAGATACAGACATGGAGCTGCGCGAGTTGGCGCGGGAGTAGGATGCAGGCAGTCCCAGCGCTTCGGCAACAGCCGCCTCTTCATCGGGGAGTTTGGAGATACCGCTCTCGGTGCTGGAGCCCGCGTCGAAGATTCGGCTGCCGCGTTGCTCGCTCAGTTCGAGGATATGATTGTAGCTCCGTCGAGTAGGGTCCGCGCGGCGCTTCTTCTTTTTCTTCTCGCGCTTGGGTGAGGGTCGGACCACGATGACTGGAATGGGAGATTGCTGGAGGCAGTATTTGGAGACAGATCCGGGCAGTAGGCTGTGAACGCCCTTTAAGTTTCGACCTCGGGTGCCGACAATGAGCATAACAGGCTCATATATACGGATCTAGGATGCGTCAGCGACTGCACATGAACTTCCAGAATGGAAGAACGGCTCCTGATACTCACCATGCGCTGGATAATATTCTCCACCTTCCCTACCACAAGTTCCACAACCAAACTGATGGCCTTTTCATCTTGGCTGTTCTTTTGAATTACCTGCTCGAACAACCTCTCAGCTTCTTGGCGGTACTTGCCCTCCTCGATACCAGCATCGCTCGCCATGCGCGAGTCCTTCTCCACCGCGCGCAGGCAAACAATCTCATCCCCATCGTCAACCAGCTCGTCAATCAGCCATTCCAGTGCAAATTCAGAGTAATCATTCTGATCCGTCCCGCATAGAAACGTCCTGCTCCGCCGGGTACTCTGATACCCCTTGTGTTTGTAGTTCAGGGTCAACGAGAAATCCGCTGCGTCGCGGTTATCAAACGTGTTAAATGAGACACCGCGCTCGTAGGTCCTAACATCAATCAGTATGAGCTAAACACACGGTCGCCTCCCATACAAGAGACGTACTTCGGAGGTGGTGGAGACGGCCCACGACTCGTTGACAGAGGCCGCTGTTCTCGCTCCACGTCTAGTTCCCGGGGCGGCGCCTCTGCGTATAAAGGCCGTCTCTCCTTGACCCCGGAGCGACTGTGCAGCTGTGTGTCCGTGTTGCCGACGTTGAATTGGATAGATCGCCTTCGCGGGCTTTGATTCCTCGTTTTGGCCTCGAAAGAGATGCTGGGTCGATGGTGGGAGGCTGGCGGTTGGGGCGAGAATTGAATAGAGTCGGGTCTGTCTTCAGAATCGGAGGAGGTTTTGGGGGAGCTTTGGGCGGACATCGTTGCGATAGTGGAGTGGTGTCCTGGTCGTTTGGTTTCTGATTGGGGCGCAGCGGCTCTTCCCTCGAGGGAAATTGAAGTACAATAGATTGCGCGGGAACAACTGCTGCGTGAGCGGTGTCCGCGAAGCTGTCAATCAGGCAGGAGAGTTTGTCTGAGGTGGTCCGCGCGCGGCGATGACAGTCGGCCACGAGCCGAATGCCGCTGGACGTCAGACAATGACTATGCGGGTGTGATCCGGTATCTCAGGCGCGCAGCTCAACAACGCTCGAGCTGGTCCTTAGTGTCACAGAACCATGCGGGTCGCCCCATGCTTCGGAAGTGCTGCGGTTTCTCTTAGCCGAAGCCTTGGGATGGCAGGTAGCAGGCAATTGCGACTGGTGGGCGTGACGCTTGCAGCGAGGGGCTGGTCGGCTGGTCCCGAAGACGTAGGCGGTGAGACTGTGGGGTTATCGATACCCGTCTTCGGGGTTGGCTTTCCTGACTAAGAAAGTACTGACCTCTGGGCAAGGGTGATAGGCTCAAATGCTTCAAATAGCCGTATGTGGTTGGCTGCTGACAAGATCATGCTACAAGATGGAGATCCGGGACTCTAGTTCCCCGCTGCCAGCCAGAGCTTAGCCTCCGACTGTCACCAATCGCCCTGAGCCAGGACGCCTCAGCGGGAAAGGGAAGATAGCCCGTTTGTCGGGAGCACTACACAGAACATATGCTCGGGTCAGGAGCGCGCTGGTATTCGCTTCTACTGGGGAGTGAGCTGCGATGCGAGATAATGCGACGCGCCAGACGTCATCACAGCCTCAAAGAAGAAGTCTGCAGATCCCGCGTCGCTCGCGATATCCTGGCGGCCGGAATGGGTGGATCGGATCTCTGCGGAGAACCTAGTCCATTGACCCCTATTTAAAGTATGGTGTGACACTCCGGACGCTCTCGAGATCACACGGTGCATCCCGTACGGAGTACATACTACGGAGTACATACTGTGCGGAGAAACACGGAGTACTGTATGCACAACATACGGCGTCCAATCTGGAGTACATATCTACAAAAGCCTCTTTCCCCGTATCTACCCGTGCCCTCAATAGGCAATCATCCCAACAAATCAGCCCCCGATCCTGCAGCATCCTCGCCTACAACATCCATGAAACATTAATTATGGCCCCGACAATACCCATCCAACCTCCCCCGCCCCCCAAAGACATAGTCTGCCCGTGCCCCCCGCCGTGCCCCCCACTGGGCTCCCTAGCAAACCCTTCACCACACTAGTGGTCATAGCGGACCGACTATGCCCGACTGCGCCGCGATGATCGGAAACTATCGCCTTGGCGTGGATCTATCCACCAGCGGTGAGGCCCATCCACTCAGGGCCGGACGAGTGGGCGCTCGGGGCATCTGCAGTTGCGATCGACGGGTCACATGCACCCTTGTGCTGGTGTGGTTGGCAGTGAATTGGTCAATTCGCAAGTAAACTACTCCATACTACCCACCAAATACGGAGTACAAGGACACGGAACAACTAGGGTGAAGGAAATGGTGTGCAGAGGCAGTTAAGCAGCATGTGCACCGTACTGAATACGAATACGATTGGACTACTAAGCCGCGCGGTTTCCGCGGGAGAGGGGAAGGCCGAGGAGTCAAAAAGTTGAAATGTTTGAAGCATGCATTTTTTTGCAGGGCTTGATTGGTGTCATTATCTATGTACATGATTTCGGATCATTTCCTTCCACAGGATCCGGTCGGCATCCCAAGTCCCGTGCCCGCTTTGGGTAGTCTCAACCTGTGCCTCGCTCGCAGAGGAGGGGGGAGAGCTGCCCAGTGGCTCGGTCCCAGTTCCAAATCCAAGATGGTTTCCAGTAGGCTGGTGGTAGCCACAGAGATGACATGAGGTGAGGGGTGATGATGGAGGAGAGTAGTGTATATGTATGGATGCGTCCATGGCATGCCAAAAAGAGCAAAGTGAAAATAGTTCAACGCCAGGTATATATAAAAGAAAAAAAAAAAAAAAAAAAGATCGCGCTGGTTAAATTCATCGTTCGTAACAGCGTGGGGGTATCACAAAGAATCAAGATATGGTGGTATACAAGGAGAGGCAACGATTGCGCGTCGATGGCAGATTTAGAATGCCTCGATTATCGTGCTCTGCTCTTGTGACACGTAATACCCCGGCTCGAACAGGTGTGCTTGGTCGTCGGCCAGCGGGATGGCCGTGCTCACGGGCTCCTTCTGGTCGAAGGTCTCGAGGGCCGGCTGCGGCGGCGAGGGCGGCATGCCCTCGTCGTCGGACGAGTCGGACGAGTCGGCCAGCAGCTCGGGCGGCGACTGCCGCGATGGCGACCGCGTCAAGCTAAGCTCCTCCAGGTCCTCGACATCGTCATACTCAAAGTCTGAGTCGGTGTCGTCGTCCTCATCCTCCAGCAGCGGGGCCTCGGGGGTGGGCGTGAGCTGCTGGGGCGGGGGTGGAGAGCGCAGGCGGACGGGTTTGTTGATGACAAAGTCGTTCTCGTCGTAGTCGGAGTCATCTTCCTCGTCGCTGTCACTCAGATCCGAGTCCAGGTCAGACTCGTTCTCCGCGTCCCAGTCCTCCTCGGCCTCCTCGGCCACGGCCGACGTCGACGCCCATTGGACGTGAGGGGCGCGGTCATTGTGTTGGGAGGAGGTCTTGGCGGCGCCGGTGACGGTCTGGTTGAACCAGCGTTCTTGTTCGCGCTCGGCGTCGGCCAGGTCGAGCATCAGCGAGTCGAGCATGTTGGCGTGGCCCACCAGCAGGCGCAGGTCGTGGTCCGCCCGCGAAGCCTCGCGAGTGAGCTTCTTGCGGGCGGTGTGGGCGAGGTAGTATGTTTGGGTGATGCTCATCTTCTTCTGTTGGCGGTGGTGGAAGAGGGAGTCGAAGTAGGGGGAGGCGGCAGAGGCAAAGGAAGTGTCCTTGGGAAGGGGAGTGGAGGTGATTGGGGTGGCCTCCATTGCGATGGTGGAAGGTGATGTGCTTATGAGTTGAGAGTATGACTCGTTCTGCCAAATTGGTGACTCAACCTTGCAAGGCAGTGGAGGATTGGCTGCATCCAGTCACAGGCGGATGGGCACAAGGCGGTGAGCTATCAGGTGGGGAGGATATGCAACAAGCTGTGAGGTCCCTCAGGCTGGGCCGCAGGGGATAGATCAGGTATGGCTTAGTATGATTGTTAGAGTGATCCTGATTATTGAGTTGATGTATGCACGGTCTGCTTGTGCGGAGATATCTGTGGAGATGTATATCGAACGGTCACACGAAGATGAGGGGGCACGAAGATGGTTTTAAATCAATTCCTTGCACCCTAATTATGAGCTATGCTGATTATTTCTTATTTTTTTTTTTTTCATGCCGTGAACCCGTTAACTAAAGTCCGGTGGCCGATCGGAGCGCGAAGATCCCCACTAATTTTATGCGCATCGCCCCTGTGGATCCGCCGAGCCCCGAATTGTCCGCTGATTAATTTTTTATTTTTTCGCGGTTTCGCGGTTTCGCGGTTTCATGACGGGCGTCAGCAGGGATGGCCTGGATTGCCATCTACACCGCATCTCTTGACGGTACAATTTCATACATTTCTTCCCTCGCAGCTGTCTCCCTTCTGGCGATAGTCCCCAAACCCCGACTTTTTTGTCCGAGTTTAATTTCCATGCTCCTTACGATTCTCCTTGCGATGCCAGTGAGTCACCTGCTTAAGTCCGCTTTTCGCTAGTTTACGGGCCCCACTGTGGATGGCCAATGCCTTCGTCCGCGGGCTGCCGGCATGTCGGGTTCTGACCGACCGGCTCGTAGTTACGCCCTTGTCCGGATACGATGTCTTTTTTTCTCCGCGGCGGACAGAGGTCAAGCCGATTATTCAACACCGCTTCCTTGGCTCTGGCTCTGGGTCTGGGAGATCTCCTGTAGCTCTTTCGGGCCAACCTCGTTTCCCGCTCCCAAGGTTCTCTCTCCTGTGACTCAGCAGGCTGATTTCCAATCACGAACGGAAGCTCTATTAGGAATCCAGCTCAGCCATGAGCCAATCGCCGGGCCGTTTACGGTAAGCTGCAAGCTGGGCTTCCCCGCATGATTAATAACCACCATTCCATATCCTACCCGATCGGGGTATCCCTCGCATCGCACGTCACCGTCTGCGGGAGCCGGATGACAATGCTCTTGTCCATGTCGTGATGATCGCCGGCTCCTCCACGGTTCCCTCTGGTTGGTCCGTACGCTCATACCCTCATAAGCTCTGGTTTCTTATCTACGCTCCGACAATTTGTAATCCGAGCCTCACGGCCCCTTCGTAATTACGGTACTCCAGTAATGGATTCCTAATCCGTTCTCTGATTACTATGCGCCAAAAGCAACGCCTTGTCTAGGCAAATAGTCGTTGGCCTGGTGGTCGATTATTGGCCTTGCTGCATTCCCCAGACGACCGGCAGGCTGCACGACGTGGAGGTTGCTGCGGAGACAACAATGGATGTCCATCCTCTGGTAGGATCAGCCCTGGCCCCTTGTATACTTGCTGCCTCCGCTTCTCGGCCACGTACCTCTCCTTGCAGGCCACAGCAATCAGAAACAGGCCAAGGCAGAGGCATTCCACCGCCGCCATCTTAGAGGTGGGGGCCACCGCTACATACTACTGAGTTGAGCTAGCGACCGTCGTGGACCTCAAGCATGGCGGTGTCTTACCGTTCAAATGCCACGATGAAACAAGCCGCAGAGCAAATTGGCGGCTCAGCTCGCCATGGCACCCAGCAGCCAAGCTAAGCCGCAGCAGAGCAGCCTAAAGGTGGCTTTGCGACGGAAAGAAATGGGTCCGGCGCTGAAACAGTGGGGCTTTTTTTTTTTTTTGCTCGCAGTGGATTCCCTTCAAGCCCAACAAGCTCGGCAAGCGCACCCCATCCGTGCCAGAGTTGCGAGCAGCCCTACCGTCCCGAATACGATCGTCCTATTTGGGCTGCCTTGTTGGGCCGAACCGCGCCATTCTAGACTGTACGGAGAACTCCGTCCAGAGTCCAAAGGGGTATCAAATGCTCCAGCCAGCCCCAGCAGAAGAACTGCATCATCACTGATCGAGAACCGCGGCAGAAACCGAAGCATCACCAATTAAGTCCATCGATAGGCCTAGAGCCCGCCACGTCTGGGTTTCCTCGGTGATAGAACGACTTCGGTCGGAGTTAGCCTGCCAGAACAACAAACGGGCCCAACCAGTGCCAGAGCCAGGGAGCTTCTGGAATGCGTCGGAGTGATTTGTCCGGTGCAATTGAGTGGCTCGGCCAGTCAACGGTCACAGGAAAAATGGGAAACGATCTCGCGGCTTGCGATCGCTCGGTGATTTGCTGCCTCTTTCCGAGCCCGATCCACCCTGACAGCTCGATGATGTCAACCATCAGCTCCGTCGGCCATTTCGCAAACGCCGCGCGAGATACCGTAGAGGGTGATAGTATGGTTGAATCGGGGCGGACACGAACTATAATTTGCTATAATAATCATTAGGCGAGCAATCGCCCTGCACAGGTTGGAGAGTCGCTGGGGCGTTTCTCTCTTGATTATTCTGCCAGCAGATGGACCACTGAAAAAATTCGTACATGTGGGCGGTGGGGCCACGCTGGGAAGGCGGTGCTTCAACCACGGTGAATTCATAGATTCAAACCAACATAACGGCTAATTGATTTCAGGGTTGAGTCCACAGGTAAATCTCCGTACACAGACTATAGCGTAGTGGAGACTCGAAAATCTTTCCTTCTGCAAGCTTCTGAGCACAAACCCCCATTGAGACCCTGCCCTTGCCCTCCGCTCCGCCTTACCTAAGCGGCCCATGAAAACCATCCCAGCACCGCCAACCTTTCAAGGTACGTCTATTCTCGCGCAGCTCACTAGGCCAACAACCAGACCATCCTCTGCCCACCGCCCCGCGGACTCTCCACAGCACTCATCCGCATGACTCAAACATCTCCATATCCAACCGGATCCTCGGCGATCCCCCCCCCCCCCAACCGGGAACGGGCAGACTTTGATCGTCGCAGATCGGAAGTTCCGAACTCCGATGCCGACAGCCAGCAAATCCGGCTCAACCACTCTCTTGGGCTCGGTGGGTCTCTGTGCACAATTTTCATCCACGATGCCCTCAGCCTTATCCTGCACTACGCCGTACGAGAGTACTCCATACTGCCTCAGGATTGGCCTCGCACGGACGCTCGGGTTCCCGAGGCTGATCAACATGGATGATTTCATTCCGGTAGATATAGATGGATATGCATATGGTATCTAATGCCCAGCCACGTGCGCTCGGTTTCGGGGGTTCACAATGCTGCGATGCGCATCGCCCTGCTGTGTTACACCGTCCACAGTCCTTCCCCCGGCGCCCTTATGGTCATAATTCACGGCTCATGGCCCATCTCGTGGCATCCCACGGTGCCTGCCACATTGCCCCTCTCGCGCAAGGGTAATTCCCCAGTTCCTTGCCTGAATCCAGGATGCCGATGCAGGAGGCGCTAGGACTAACATGGTCCGGAATGCGCACGTTCGGAAAAGACATGCCGCGCTGCCCGGGGCATCCCTGGCTTTGGGTCATGCGCGACTTGTCTTGCTGCTGCTATGGCATGGTCTGCTGACCGCGTCGGTCGGATCCTGGGGGCCGTGCCTTTGTCGCTGGCCATGCACTAGTTATGCCCCATGCACCCGGTGTTCGGATGCTGGGGATAATGCTCTCGCGACCGGTATAGGGCTTGGCGAGCGGCGTTCGGCTGGTTCTGTAGACTGCGTACCGTTCTGTTGGATAAACTACAGTATGTCCCCGCACTCCGTAGCTAAAGCACTTGAAGAGCGTTACGAAAAGCCAATCGGCTGTTTCTCGGTGGATAGCGACCTCCAGTATCGAATGTGCTATCTTGAGGCTCCGTACTGGGTGCATGGATCCTGCGATATATATTTCCGCACGGCAACCCGCAAATGACAGTAGCATGTCTATAATCATCCTTTAGTACCGGGACCCTTTTTACCTATGAGCAATTGGAAAAGTCTGTGTTCTGCGCCCAGTGAACATACTTCCAGTGATAAAGAATTGGAGAGTACCCGATGTGCCTGAGCAGGGAGGTTTAACCTGAAGATTGACGGTCCCTGGAGGTCGACCTTGCGAAATGCTTCGGCTGGGGAAATCGAGTCATACAGAGGTGAATCTTGTCGAGGGGCAGAGGAAGAGTTTCTGTTAGAGGACTCCACCACCTGGGTTTGATATAAGAAAATGAGGCGCGCGTAGGTAGAAACGCGTGGTTTCGCATTCTACGGCAATGGATGGCTTCAAGGGTGATGGTTCAAATTCCAGCGCGGTAGGTGGGAGACGCAAACTAGCCGCTTCAAGGTAGGAGAACAGCTGCGGTGACTTCCGTGATGGCCAGCTTTTGAGATCGCATTGTTCCTTTTTTCCTTTTTGCCCAGGACCAAGATATGGGTGACCCGCCGACTAGAACCGGATCCTTCGTTGACAGAAAAGTCAACGTGATCGCCGTAACATGAGAAGCATACACGGTGATTATATATAGACTCAGTGGCAGAGAGTCAGCAATATAAAAGATCGTCCTGGCTTTGATTATGCTCTCAAGTACATCAACCAAGAATGGTAACTATAGAAGCAACTCCAATCTCCAGCGCTCGTCAAGGACATCAGTGGAACGGTGTATATAGCAAAACGAGATACCTACTTCTAATAAAAAAGATTCATTCCTCTCCGAAATAAGTGCGACGCCCTGGAGAAACCAAAATGTCAATGAAGCAGACCGCGACAGCATAATTCCTATCACTGCCTCCAGGCTCGGAATTTCTAGGGAAAAAGAAACAAGACTGAGACCACGGTGCAAGTTAGAACACGGGCATAATTGAATGTTGAATGTTGCTCCCCATTTTCTTAGTTTGGGTCCAGGATGGAGTTTATCTCGTCCAGCAATGAGAAGTGTGGAAATTGGTAAACCATAAGAGATCATTAGGGCGATACTGCTAACACTCACGATTGCTTGGAGGACGCCAGATACGCACTGGAAGACTGTATGGGAAATTCTGGGGATAGATGCAGTTGTGTTCCCAGCGAATGGGGATATAGGGCAAACAAAAAAAGCCCAGACGCAGGTACTCATGCAAAAGTCAACTATACTAATAAATCTTGTTTTCGTAGGCCACGTTTTGAATGAATTTGCGTGATTTGGAATTCAGAAGTCTATGTCATTATTTGCATGCAAATCTAATTTCATAAGGACGGCTTGCCGGTGGACCAAACCCTTGATCCTGGAATTTTTGGCACACCTTGCGTGAACTCATCATGTAGGGGAAAAAAAACCGGCCATCTAGGTCAGGGTTAATGTGTCTTCAAGAACCTCATCCCTCATCCTCCCCTGGGCTTCCCTCCACGGCCTCCGCGACGAGACCCCCGGCCCCCTCCACCTCTGCCTCCGCGGGTCTTCTCGACTCCACCCCTGTGGCCTCCTTGGCCTGCGCCAGGGCTAAGTGCATCACGCCTCTTGCCCCCGCGCGGCCTAGAAGAACTGCTTCTATCAAAGTCGTTTCCGGATGCGAAGTTGAATCCAGGGACGCCCTTCAAACCCATCTTGCCGACGACCTTTCGGTCCATTGCCGGAGGCTCAGGGCATGCCATACCCTCGACGGCCAGCTCATTCGCAAGTTGGACTAGGCCAGCCTTGTCAAGACGAACCTGCTTCAGAAGACCGGATCCCGCAAAGAAACCAATGTAAGACGAGTAGGCACGTTGCTTTGTTTCCTCTTCAATGTTGAAAAATGCCATAGTGACAGCATCTGCGAAGGCAGGGGCTCCATCAAGGACCACGTTGGTCTGGGGATGGGGCTTGATGGGCAGGTGGCGGTTAACTTTCATGAAGAAAGACTCGGCCAGGGTGAGGAGGATGATAGCACGACCATCGTTGCCAGCGCGGGCAGTACGACCAACGCGGTGAACATACTGCTCGCCGTTCGAGGGCAAACCGACCTGGATGACCAAGTCGACATTGGGGAAATCCATGCCGCGGCCAATGACATCCGAGGCGAACAGGATTCCGGCAGATGCTTCCTTGAATTGAGCCGTGGTTCTCGTGCGAGCACCCTGGTTAAGTCTAGAATGAATTTCAAACACCTTCAACGGGGTCAAACCCTTAGAAAACACTTTCGCCAAGAGGGCAACCATGTTTGCGGTGACGCCGAAGACAATAATTTTCGAGCATTTCTTGCTCTCGAGGCTCAGGAGAGAAGTAAGTGCAGTGAAGGTTTCTCCCACAGATGGCATGATGACGTGGTACTGGGGAACTCGCTCATGTGTTGGCGACTCGTTCTCCTGCATGGTCGAAATGCTAGTGTAGCCTGGCTGCAAAACCACATTGACCACGTCCTTGACTTTGGGCGGAATAGTGGCGGAGAAACACATTCCTTGCCAGCCCTTGCTCTTCTTTGAAGGAATAAGCTTGAGAATTTGCTTCACGTCAGCCAAGAATCCACTCTCAAGCATCGTGTCCGCTTCGTCCAACACGAGGGTTTGGATGTTTGACAGCTTTTCGGCAGTGTATTCGTCAGAAAGGTAGTCCTTCAGCCGCCCTGGGGTTGCGACTAGAACAGAGGGTGCCCCATTCATGAATCGATTGTGGGCAGATGCTCGGGCTGTTCCTCCGACTGCAATGTGGCACTCCAAAGGCTTCGCAAGCTGCGACGTCAATTGATCACAGGACTTGGCAATCTGCTGCGCGAGTTCTCGAGTCGGCGTAATGATCAAGATGGCGACCTGACCCCTCGGTGGTGCCGACCGAGCCTCAAGGAGACAATGCAACGCTGGCAGCAAAAAGGCAAGGGTTTTGCCAGTGCCGGTTTTGGCCTGGACGAGGCAGTCGGTGCGCCAGGTGGGAAGTTCGGTCAAAACACGCTGCTGAACCGGTGTCATGGACGTAAACCCCATCACATTGAGAGCTTGAAGGAGTCGGGGATCCAGCTTCCCAGCCATACTGGAATACGGCTGAGCGTCATCCTTAATTTCGATACCTTCCATCATGATTGAAGCTCAATAAATCTTTCAAGGCTTGCAATCGAATGTTGGATTGAAATTTCAAAGGTAGGGGCGCAAATGGGGAGTTAGGCCTAAACAGGGCAGGCTAACCGCATAGGGCAATTTGCGGGCCGTCGTGAAAGCACAAAGAGCATTGATGATTTCAAACATGGCTTCTCGTTACATCGTTTAACGTTTCTATTTGTATTCGTGGATGTTGAGAATCTGCTTGAATTGGTCAAATTCAGAGTAAGGTGCACGTGCAATTCACTATCGTGCGCCCATCGTGGGCTTATGTTAGATTTTGGTGGATCCTCTGTTTCCCGATTTGCTGGAAAGGGCTGGGGGCGAAAACTTTCACAAAATTTTACTTTTTCAAAAAGTCGTTAGAATTAAGGGGTACAAATTTGATCCGGTACAACCGGAGGTGATTATATGGAGTCAACTTGATAGTTTTCTTATCTTTTTTTTTTTTTTTTTTTTTTTTTTTTTCCCCTGCATCGGTTCCTCAAGCTCTCGACAAAGCACTTGATTGACTGACAATCTTATGTTGGACTGGTAGGGTGTGGATTCGGGTCTGATGCGGTGGGGTCTATGGAGAAGATAATCGAATGATATCGTCCTATGGGTCTAAGGGTCCGGAAATTCCTTAGCACTGCTTTCTATGAGCAAGACACAGCTCCCCCTTCATATGTGTAGACAAGGCACCGTCTCTTGCTACCGGATGAAGTTTTTCAGACCCATGAGGCTTGGATGAGAACCCTGCCTATTCTACGAGAGCGGCACGATGGTTTACACCCTCAGAGGATAGGGGATTCAGTTTTTATTACTATAAAGAACTAGCACACAGATCGGCCGAACAGGAAGCTCAGTAATCAGGCCAGTAGTCCCTTTAAAATCATCGAGAAAATAGGCCATACCTATAAACTCGATCTCCCGAACTCTATTCGTGTATACCACCAAGTCTTTTCACCTCACAAACTACGTCGTGCCTCACATATAGAGCCCCTCACCGGCCATTACGGAGACACTCCACAGATTAAAGTGGACACTCATAACGAAGAGAAGTTACCAAAATCCTAGAGTTTCATCTCTACTACAGGAAGCTACAATACAAGGTGAGATAGACTAGATATAGCATCGACGATAACTAGTGTCCGGCACGAGACTTCAAGGGCGCACCGTAGAAGCTATTGGGCTTCCACGATAGATACCCTACGAACCTGGGACCGCCTATCCGCCTACCCCTCTGGGCACGGGCAACAACTAGACGAGGGGTTCATCGATGATCACACCGATGACGATAAACCTGCGCCCTGGACGTAGCCGCTCAGGCCTAGTAGTGAGAGAAGAGCTCATCTCTCTTTCTCTTGTTTTCCCTCCCTCCGCTTCGATATATTCGTTGAATGGACTCGTCTTCTTGATGTGCTGCCAATTTTAAACAGCATCAAGAGCTTCAAGTATAATACTACGACTGCTAGGAATCCCGTCTCGTATCACTAAACAACGTAGTGGACAATTGGGACTTTTCCAGGCCAGAACAGTTGGTAGATGACAAAATCATAAGCGAAAAGGCCGATAGATATTTGTTATTGCACCAGCCCCCGAAGTACAAGCGTACTAAATGTATCTCAATCCACGGAAGTTGCGGAAAATCTTAAAGGCTCCGTGTAGCGTCGCGTACATACTGCCACCTGCCGTGACCCATGCAGCTCCCTGAAAACGCAAAGAGTTCAGAGGAATAGGCCTTTTCTTTTTCGAATGGTCTGTAAGCGAGATAACCATAAGCTGGAATGATCATACGCAGAGTATCTATTAAGAGATGGTTTTCCGCACCTCTGTGAACTGGCCAAGATGACTGTGTTGGAAGCGTCCCGACCTGTTGGTCAAGGAGTGTCTGGAAGTTACCGAAGGACGACATGTCTCATGTATGAGCTTTGATGAGATTTGAGAGTGATTAGTTGAAACGTAGGTTCTCTGGAAAATGATGCCTCGAATTTCAATGCGGAAGTCCGGGGTCTTCTTTTAAGGGAGCCCAGTACCCAATAATAATATTTACCAGGCATTTAGTGGCATCATATGATATGCTACATGCGAAGGCAACTTGCTCTTCATCTCATTGGCATTCAAAGTTCTGGGAATGAATGGTTCCCGCAATGATTCGTCTCCCGGCCCAAGTTTCTTGGTTGGGGAGTTGATCGTGTAGACGGGCCATCCATGATTTGCACGGTGGCAAATCCAGCTGACAGCTGCGGAGCTATGTGGTAGGTCCCATGACCCAAATCCCTTTATTTTTCTCTTTCTTTTATTGAGATGAACGAGCTGCCGCAGAGAAAATGAAACGAACAAGCGCATTTTCCGAGTTTGATTCTCACACCATTCAGCTCTCATTCAAAGGTGATTACGGATTTTCCAACACCTCCTCTTGCGTCGAACACAGCTTGACACGCGCCTCGAACAGCCTTTAGATCTTTGAAGTGCACCTTGGTCCCAACAACAGTATGTAGCTTCCCCAGCTCAACCCACTGACGAATGGAATTCAGGTCTGTGGAATTTGGTTCCAAGAAAATAGCCGAATACTTGACGCCATACCGCGATGCCCGCATAGTACGAATTCGATCCAGTACGTTCAACGCGACACGAATGGGATATGGTACAATAGCTTTGTCCTTCTTGTTTGGCGACAGTCGCATGAGACTCGAATTTTGTAGCACATCTCCGGACGTCAAAATGGATATGGAAACAATGGTTCCGGTCGGGCGCATGAGTGATAAATAGGGCATGGAGTTTCCGGTCGTGTCGAAAAGAAAGTCCACCGACCGCGGAGGAATAACGGTTTTGGGGTTCGATTTTGTATAGTCGATGACTGGTACCTTATCTGTTAGTTGAGCATTCAATGGAGCTTGGATAAAGGGAACGCCCTGCCTTCATCCACGACACCCTCCCCAAGGAGTTCCTTCACTCTAGCTACCTTGGAAGTAGAAACTGTCGTAATCACCCTGTCGGCACTGAACACATTTTTGGCGAGCTGGCACGCGAATAGTCCGGTGCCACTTACTGTCAGAAGGTAAGCGTTTGCTCAAAATGACACCACTTGGAGAAACATACATCCCGCGGGCACAAACACAGTCTTCCCTTTAAGGTCCCCTTGGTACCGCCGAAGTGCCTGCAGGGCTGTCATAGCCGCTAAAGGTATCGAAGCAGCATCTTTCATTGAGAGATTTTTTGGCTTCAAAGCGACAAAGTCTTCAGTTGTCTTTACCAACTCACTCCATGCCCCTGTATTGAAATTGCTCACCATTAGCTGCCAAGGAATTAAACTAGGAGAATAAGTAAGGATTTAGACCTCGATGGCATTCGGGCAACCGAGTAAAAACCTCATCGCCGATCTTGAAACAGGTTACTTGAGACCCAATATCCAGAATGGTGCCCGCACAGTCGTAGCCAATTCTATACGGGAAACTTTACCCACGACAGTCAGAACAAATCACCGTTGACCAGTATGCACACATACCTATCTCTCAGGACTAATTTGGACATGCCCGACGCTTTCTTAACGTCAATCGGGTTGATGCTGGCTGCATGGACTTTGATCAAGATGTCCGTGGGATGTTCCACGGTCGGCGCGGGGAGCTGGCATAGCTCGTAATGGTCGGGAGTGTCATATTGCGGGATGCTGATGGAAAGCATGACTGAAACTGCCTCTTACGACCCGAGCAGGTATAATCTGATATAGATTGAAATAGTTTTTAATACGTTGAGTTGAGGCGAATGAGTCGCTCAAACTCTATTCCCGTTCGGGCGCATGAATCTGGCCGACGGGAGCGGATGAAGAGTAATCAGTAGGGCCGAAGTGGAGATCGGCCTTTTTTCAACTCCTTTTTGACTCCTTTTCGCTTAGAATGTATCCTCGGGGCTCATCTCTTGAGTCCTTGCACGGTATATTATGCCCTTTTCTTTCCAGCACCATATACATGTACACTCGGAGAGTATCGGAGACAACCTAGTAGTTAGTTGAACACCTCCGATCCTCCGATCTATAATTACATAAGATATTCTACGAAATACTTCACCTGGTCAGAACTACGTTATTGGGTTCTTTATGCTTGAGCCTCGTTTGTGCGACGGGGATTGCAACGAATGGGGGCTCCACGTAAACCATTTGATTCTACTATCCAGGGCAAAACCCGACATGTAACGACCTTGGTAGTGGCTTGCTGCCACTGCCACTCGGCTTCGAAGGAACAAGGGAGACATCTGCCCAAGTGATTTGATATGGGTGAATTGTTCCGGTGGTTCCGACTTTCTGTTCAAGTGACCTTGTTTTGTAACAATGGTTCAATGGCAGAAATTGTACCCTTTAGCTTCAAAATGATAATAGTGATCATTTGTATTAGTATCGAGGGAATAGTGAATAACCACAAGCAATTTGGTTCAAGCCATTGATGAGATAGAAGAGGACGTCCCTGAACTGCGTTTGCAGCAGCTCAATTTCAGGTGCCAGAAAAAAGCAATCCATCACGCTGCACACAATGGCATAATACCCTTCATCTGGCACTTCCCGGAGCAGCACTGACCGTTCGATCCACAGAGCTCACCATCACCGATGCATGCACTAGAACCCGTGAGATCCTCTGGCAGGCTGCAGATGTTCTCCCCACCTCCCACGGTCATCTCGTTGCAGATAAATGGATGCTCACAGTCGCGATTGTTGGTGCAGGACGAGCCGTATAGCTTGTTCCCCTTGTCAAGACATTCCAAATGGTCCCTATTGTACTTGCCATACCGACAAACCAGTCCAGATGCGCACTGTGAGTGATCCGTACACGTGCTGCCAAACTGGCCCTTGGGTCTCAGGCACATGTTGTTCGGGCCACAAATGCCAGAATAGCAAGCTTCGTCGGAGTTGCACGTCATTCCGATAACTTCTTTGCCCCTGCACTTACTCATATCGCGGTCACAGTACCACTGCACAGAAGGGCAGATGCCGGGATAACTGGGACCACATGTCATGTCCACAGCCACCTTATTGTGGTGGCCGTGAAGCAGGTCAAGTGTTAATCCATCGGTGTAGGTGTAGACGCTCAATGGAATCTGGTGGAATCGGTAATAGTAGAGAACCTCGGAAGGTATCGCCGAGATATCAAGTTCGGGATTCGGAAGTGCGAGGGCAGCAGAGCTCAAGAGCACGAGCAAGGAAACGACCGAGGCATGCATGGTGTTAGGGATGCAAATTTTGCCAGTTTATCCGGTTTTGCTGGAAGAAGAATGAATATTTGGGTGAAGATGCTGCCACCGTGCCAGTGGTGGTCTTCTTATAGCTGCGGGTGATCTAGATCGGCCTCTTTCTCTGTACATCTTGAATTGAAACCAGGCCAGGGTGTCCTTCCTTCAATTGGAGAGGACTCACCTCTCCGAGTATCCGGATTCCACTATGGACTGATAGGGCATGTCGATCTTGTCGACACTTCCTCGATCCGCGAATGGTGGCAAGGTGACGTGCCAGTATACTATGCTGAATCAAAGGAGCTGGAATGATTTGCTGCGCCAGTCGGCCTCTGTTGCATGTGTGAGTTACTAGCACGACAGGAAGCAAAGCTTCTAAAATATCAATTCTTCTCAAATCCCAGAAGCTAGGTACCAGATCGAGCGCCATTGTAAGATACCGAAGAGTCTCCAACTAAACAGTCTTGCCATAGGTTAACTCTAGAAATAACCACCAGAACGTTAATTTGTAGGATGTTTTCTTAACCACTATAGAACAGGGAGCACAAATTGTGCTATCTCACAAGGTTTGAACCGGCATTTACTCTGATATTTGAGGGATACCTATCTATGGTATGCAGAATGAGATGTCAGAAATCAAGGATGGGACCACTACCTTGATAGCACATGTCAGCCCCCTGTGAAGGCGAGCAATCTTGTGCATCAACATTTTCAAGAAACAAATCTCCCACTGGATGACAGACCTCGGGTCCAAACACGCAACAAAGCATGACTACACAGTCTCTGGCACTACCTATGACTGAGAGATCAGTTTTACGAGGGAGTTTTTAGGCATTCTTCCGTGTCCTTACCAACCAGGGGCTTTGATCGCCTCTCATACTTCGAGCTACGGTCTTCGTCTGTTTCATGGAAGGAAGGCAAAGCCGTTAACTGACCTATCATTGATCGAAAGCGGTGGTTATTAATCGTAACAGCTGCATGGAGTAGTTTAAGTGGCTCCTTGAGCGAGCCTTTTCACATTAGAGCGAGACAACTCCACCGAGAGTGGTCTAATTAGACGCTCTGCTGGACTGGTCCTGTTGGTTCGAAGCGTGGCTTACATGGGCCTGCAGACGGTTGGGCCTCGTAAAGCACCTCTGGCCAAGTCCATTGGACCAGCGGCTTATGAATCTCGAGTCGAAGCTCCAGCGGGATGAACGGCGTATCTCCTCCTGTGCTTTGGAACGACATCGGCTTTGGAGTTGGCACGTTCCGGCTGTCCTCCGCGAACTTGGCTGGGCGAGTTCCCTGGGGAATGCTTCGACCAGAGCACCCCTAGGAAGGAAAGGGAGGAATCATCGATGGACTCGGGGTACTCCAAGCGTCGGGTCTACGCTGCTCGGGTGGATCGTATCCCCCTCTCCTCCTCGCCCGCACCTCCTCACCGTGCCACGAGACGAGCTGCAGCTGCAGATTGACATCCGGGCATGTGATGGCCCCTCTTTTTCTCCTCTCTAGTCTCGCATGGCTTCTCTTGTTTTCTTTCTCTTCACTTTTGTGAAACACCTTGAGGTACACTGATTCTCTGGGGGGAGATCACTCTATAGCTTCAACATCGCACCTGCAACGCTAAGTTGGGCTTCCCCGCGGCCTCGGATTGGCAACTAGCACCACTAGCACCACGAGCACATCAGTCCGGGAGGCTACGCCGAAACACGGAGACGCACAAGCAGCGGCCAGAAGCGTCGGGTGGCTGATGACAAAAGGCTAGAAGCTCTCCGGAAACAGTTTCGGGCGCCAAAACAGCCGGCTCCTCCGACGCAGAGTGGCACTAACCGCAGTAGTCCGCCGGAGACCATTGCTCCTTCGCTTTCTCATTGACGTATTCTCCCACCTTTCCCAACACTTTTTATTTCGAAGCTTTCTCTTCGCCAGCAGCCCAATACACGAACCCATTGCTTGCGTTGCCACCTTCTGACCGAACGAGTCCTTCCAGTCGCAGCCTCTGGTAAGGGTCCCCACCCCTGTCAACACCTTTCCCGAGCTCGTACCGCCCTGTCTACTGCCATTCCACCGAGAATTTCGCTGACACCTGTTCGTCCGCAGAGACGCGTCGCACGGCCAAAATCTTGGACATTTAAGCTACCTGCAAAGTGTCTGTTTGACCTGAACTGTCCAGGCGGTCTTGGGTGGTTTTCAGCGTGAACGCCTGGTTCTATCGCTCCGAAATCAAACGCTCTAGTTTTCTAAGCATCCCCGTTTGCCACAGTCGACACGATCCTCTGAACTTGCTGTTGAAGTGAACCCGCGAGAAAGAAAACCAGCCGCCCGTACACAATGGCGGAACAACCTCGTATCCTGCGCCCGCGCCCGCGACGTGCCTTCGAGGTTACACCCGCGTCCAACGAGTCGTCCTCACCTCCCACGCCCAGCGAAGCTACCAATGCCGACTTTCTGAACCCCAGCGGCCGGGACACCGCGCCCAATTCGACGAGTGTCAGTCGCACGGGCTCGATCTTGAACCTGACCTCCTCGACCCTATATGGCATCTACTCCCCCACCGCATTCGACAGCTTTCGTGATGAATCCAGCCCCTGGGGCACTGAGGCCCACACACCCGCTGCGACTCATCCGCCAGAACCGTCGCAACAAGCGGCAGCGAGGTCGGCCACGGAGCCACGTCAGTTTGCTTTGCGGCGGACGCGCTCGCGACTCAGCCATGGGCTGTTCCGTGGTGTCATCTTGCCACAGGCGATGAGCAGCGCCCTCCTATTTGGCTTCGGCATTGTCTACGGAGTCATCACCGTTCACTTGCACGACAACCACTGGATTACTCCTGTCAAACTGGAGAATGTCCACTACTACGACTCATGGCAATATTTGGGCTTCTGGGGATTGGCAGGCATTGCGCTTGGGAACGTGTTGCCCTGGCTCGACAATTGGCGCGAGAACGAGCTGATGAAGGGTGACGAGTCAAAAGAGGGTGAGGGTGTGGACCGCACACCCTCATGGGTGACTGTCGCTCGCAGCGTGGGTGCATTTGTCGGCATTGCCTTCGCCATGGTACGCCTCACTGCGTCTTCCCTTCCCCGGATTTGCATCCCACCCATCCTATTGAACACCCGCTAACATCCAGTTTTTCTAGCGACGACTTCCTTGGGAGTCCACCACCCAAGCCTCGCTGACCCTAGCCCTCGCAAACCCCGTCCTCTGGTACCTGATCGACCGCACCTCGGCTGGCTTCCTCCTCTCTACCGCAGTTAGCCTGACCGGAATGAGTGTCGTTTTAGGATTGAAGCCAGAGCTGATTCCTGTGTCCACCGGCCCGACGGTCGGCACTACCCTGCTGAATGGAACTGGATGGGAAAATGCACTTGGAGCAGGAATTTCGCAAGAGAGCATCGCGGTCCGCACCTGGGTCGCCAGTGTCATTTTCTGCGCGTGCGTGTGCTTTGGCAATATTGGTCGCCAGCTCGCTATCGGTGCTGGCAACAGAGATACCCTGAAGCCGTGAGGAATTAGGCCTCACGGTGTACGTTAAAAAGGCATTCAGAGCGAATCAATGTCGATGAAAACTAGGATTGTCCCGGGTTACTTGTTATGTCATGATATTTTTTTTTCAGACAGAATTTGTTTTATTTATGGATGTAATAGAACTGGCCTCCGAGCTAAATTTTCCACTCACATCACACACAGACATGAGATGAAAAGAAAAAAAAAGATAGGTTTTACGTGTGGGTTGTAGAATCAATCATTGCAATTCCTACCACATGAACCCGAAGGTCAGGCAGGTACTGCACCCAAGATCGACCCTGTACAGACAAGCTGTACTCGGTCTCCATTCTCTATGACGATTTCCGTACTTCCTTGGACGAATCCTCGTAGGAACGCTTTTTGAGAAGAATGTTGTTTTTTTGCGTTGTTCATGAAGAAGAAAAGAAAAAAGAAGAGGAAAAAAAACGCCGGGAAAGCGCTTTTGAAGGCGCGGGTGGGTCACCTGACCAGATGACTCAGATCGGCGCGGCGATTGGGGCGCCGATGATACGCTGTACTCATCGTCATTGCATGTGGTTTGTGCGTAATTCTCGTATTCCCTGTATTATAGTACCCCTCGTCCGATTGCGGCCAAACCCCGCGGCAGAACAGAAATATTTCTTTTCCACTCTTGTTCAAGCTGCAATACCCCGTCGTTGCTTGGATTCAGGTATGTTGACTGGTGCTTTCCCTAAGCGAAGCTTAATTGAAGCTTCTCTCATCTCGATCGTGCTTGCTGACCAACTCTCAGTGTCGACATCATGTCTCAGAAGTCCGGTAGGCGCGCTTGGCCTTATATTGTTCCCCGGATTACTTGACGGTAGTTTTGGGGTTATACCTAGAGTCAACGCTGACATGCTTGTCTTTCTTTGGGAACAGCTATCATCTCCGTCTACGACAAGACTGGACTGCTGGATCTGGCCAAGGGCCTGGTCAAGCAGAATGTCCGTCTTCTTGCCTCTGGCGGTACCGCCAGGATGATCCGTGAGGCAGGCTTCCCCGTCGAGTAAGTCTACTTTCTGGCCTCTCGTGTTTTGACCGAGCACCGAAGCGTAAACATGGGCCTCTAGGCGATTATATGGTCGATTCGAGAGATGTCAACGCTGACAATTCTTCCTTCCATAGGGACGTCTCCGCCATCACCCATGCGCCTGAAATGCTCGGTGGCCGTGTCAAGACCCTCCACCCGGCTGTGCACGGCGGTATCCTTGCCCGCGACATCGAGTCTGACGAGAAGGACCTTGCCGAGCAAAATATCGCCAAGGTAAACTACGTTGTGTGCAACCTGTACCCCTTCAAGGAGACTGTCGCCAAGGTGAACGTCACCATCGATGAGGCCGTGGAGGAGATCGATATCGGTGGTGTGACCCTGCTCCGCGCTGCGGCCAAGAACCACAAGCGTGTGACCATCCTGTCGGACCCTAACGACTACCCTGAGTTCCTTAAGGAGCTCGAGGCTGGTGAGATCACCGATGCCAGCCGCAAGCACTACGCCCTGAAGGCCTTCGAGCAGACCGCCGACTATGACACTGCTATCTCTGGTTTCTTCCGTAAGGAGTACGCTGGGAATGGTCTGCAGCAGCTCTCTCTGCGCTACGGCACCAACCCGCACCAGAAGCCTGCTTCCGCTTTCATGCCTCAGGGCAAGCTGCCCTTCAAGGTTCTGAATGGCTCTCCCGGCTACGTCAATCTGCTTGACGCCCTCAACGCCTGGCCGCTGGTTAAGGAGCTCAAGCAGGCTCTCGGCTTCCCGGCCGCCGCCAGCTTCAAGCACGTTTCTCCCGCTGGAGCTGCCATTGGTGTTCCTTTGAACGAGAAGGAGCGCAAGGTCTACATGGTTGACGACATCAAGGGCATCGAGTCCTCTGCTCTGGCCCAGGCTTACGCCCGCGCCCGAGGCGCCGACCGCATGTCCAGCTTTGGCGATATCCTCGCCCTCAGCGACATCGTCGACACCCCCACTGCCAAGATCATCTCACGCGAGGTGTCCGACGGTGTCATTGCCGCCGGCTACGAGCCCGAGGCTCTGGAGATCTTGTCTAAGAAGAAGGGTGGCAAGTACCTTGTTCTTCAGATGGACGAACACTACACTCCCGCCCCCGAAGAGTCTCGCACCCTGTACGGTGTGCAGCTCACCCAGCACCGTAACGACGTTATCATCTCGCCCAGCAAGACCTTCAACAATGTCATCACGCCCAAGAACGTCCAGTCCCTGCCCGAGGCTGCTCTCCGCGATCTGACTGTTGCCACCATCGCCCTGAAGTACACCCAGTCCAACTCGGTCTGCTACGCCCTGAATGGCCAAGTTATCGGCCTTGGCGCCGGACAGCAGAGCCGTATCCACTGCACCCGTTTGGCTGGTGACAAGGCCGACAACTGGTGGATGCGCTTCCACGACCGTGTTATCAACATTAAGTGGAAGCAGGGCACCAAGCGTGCTGACAAGAGCAATGCCATCGACCTGCTCTGCTCAGGCCAGACCCCTCGCAATGATGCTGAGAAGGTCGAGTACGAGCGCGTCTTCGAGGAGGTCCCCGCTCCCTTCACCCAGGAGGAGCGCGATTCCTGGCTCCAGAAGCTGGGCGAGGTTGCCGTCTCTTCTGACGCTTTCGTATGTTCTTCTCCCTTCCTTTCTGCTCTTGGATTCGCCCACTGATTATTTGCTACAGTTCCCCTTCATTGACAACGTCTTCCGCGCCGCCCGCTCCGGCGTTAAGTACATTGCCGCCCCCACCGGCAGCCAGAACGACACCCCCGTCTTCGAGACCGCGGAGAAGCTGGGCATCACTTTTGTCGAGCAGGGTGTCCGTCTGTTCCACCACTAAATTGGTGTCGTGGCTTGGATGAGAGGATTTGCGGGTATACCTGTCTTGGTGCAAAAAGAACCTTAGGTTATGATGATGATAGCTTTCTTTGTTTACGATGTAGAAAATCGCACATATTTTGGACTACCTTACTCTCCCATTCATCAGTGGTTGGTGATCTCGAAAAGCTGTTACCCGAACTTCGGGAACTAAGCAAGCCCGGGCGGAATGATGCTTCACGTTGACACCTATCCTATACGCCGACGGTGCGTTGCACAAGGGGGCGAACATAGCACAAACTATTTATCCCCTGGTGAGCCTGGAAAGCTAATTGAAGTAAACTTTCTCGATGTGACACCAGTATAACGACCAGAAATTTGGACCGTTCTTGTGTCATTCGGCTCCGCAGGTCTGGCGCTGTGGACGACGCACTCGTTTCATCCGGTCCGGGACCTAGATGTTCATTATAGATAGATTATATACTATGCCTTTTTTACATTTTACAATCTCCGATCCCTGAGCGTTACCGCCTACCTGAATGGGGAATGTCTGACGCATACTTCAAGTGAATCAAGATATTTTCTCGCGGCTCATATTGTCAAACATTATCGGACACCTACATTCCCTTCAGGTCATTGGTATGCCACATAAGGGGCCCTACCAAACAACAGCTCAATTTGCTTTTGCTACATTGAGCTCTCGCGGCAACGGTTCATTTTCGGAATCCGACGTCGGGATGGCTTGTGTCTCCCAATCTCTTCCTTGAATCATGGTCAGTGCCTGCATAATAAAGGACAATTTTCCCGAATTCATGTGCGTACTGCGTATTTAGGAGAGGTAAACATTCGGAATCCCCTTATGAAGACCACCGCCACACAGCAGTTACACTCTATATGAAATTAGATCTCAACATTGTCTCCAATATAGAGTCCGGACGGCACAATCACTCCGGGTATAAATTCGACGCTGAAGGACAGCATGACGTGACGTTCAACATTCTCATTCGAGATGCCTTCATTCACCATGAAAGTGCTTCCCATGTCGCTGGCGCTCTTAGCTTCTGCCGGCGCACAAGCAGCGGCCACGTATTGCCCCCTGCTTGGACCTATCTTCCCGGCTCCCACAAACCTTTCAACCGACCCAACTTTGGCTGCAGCATTTCACAATATTTCTTCCATCCTGGAACAAGCTACCAACAATGGAACGCTATCTGAAAATTCGATCTCGTTGCAGATTTTCGACAGGAGCCACGCTGGCCCACTGCTGAGTTTCTCTTACACTGCCAGAAGTATTAACACTACCCTGGGAGTGAGCACGGTCGACCAAGATACAGTGTTCCGCGTGGGAAGTGTGTCAAAACTATGGACAATGGTTCTTTTCCTGGCAGAAGAAGGCCTATGGCCCTTCCAAGAGCCGGTTGCAAGATTTGTTCCAGAGCTCCGCCAAGCCGCCATCGAGGTTGAGCAGGATCCACGTAAAAGATGGAATAATATCGACTATGTGCGATGGGGTGATGTGACGATTGGAGAGCTAGCGAGCCATTTGGCTGGCATTGCAAGAGACTGTCAGTGTCCCCCTCCCCCCAACCCAAAACAAAGTCTACTCCCCGTTGATTCGACACTAACATCAATATAACGTATCAGACGGTGTACTTGATCTTACTGAGATGGCTTCTCAAATGGAGCAATTGGGATTCCCTGCGCTCCCACAGTCTGAAGTGCCTCCGTGTGGTGTGCCGGTTCCCTGCAATAGAGCACGTACGTCGATAGGTACCTCAACGCGTTTTCATTGCCCGATTGGCTAATCAGGATTTGCATTGTAGAGTTCTTCAACGGGCTGCTTCGGAGCCATCCTATCGTGCCGACATCATCGACCCCAGTGTACTCAAATGCCGCGTTCCAAATCCTTGCATACGTGCTGGAGACCATGACCGGTCGAACATATGAGCAACTTCTTCAACGAGATATCATTGAGCCACTAGGGCTTAATGGAACATACTACAATACACCCAACATGTCGCTAGGTGTCATTCCCGACCAGCTTGGCGAATACTATTGGAACTTTGACTTGGGCGATGAAGGCCCGTGAGCTCTCCCTACCCCCTTCTTGGCTCGCTTTGAGTTGGAGGAATCTGACCGTGTTCTTCCAGTGCTGGAGGCATTTACTCAACTTCAAGAGACATGGCAGCTCTGGGCCGAGCAATTCTGAACAGCTCACTATTTCCTCCGTTTATCACCCGGCGATGGATGAAACCCGCCGCCCATACATCGTCCCTAGACTATGCCGTTGGGGCTCCGTGGGAGATTGTCTCATTTGGCGATGAGCCTCCACTTGATATTTATTCCAAATCAGGCGACATAGGGGCATATTCATCCATTATCGCGTTATCACCAGATTACGACGTGGGCTTCACCATCCTTGCTGCCGGTACGGACGGCCACGCAAAGATCGCCTTAGCCTCCGACCTTATTTCAGCGGCTCTTCTTCCAGCCCTCAAAGCAAGTGCCAAGAACCAAGCAGCGCAGCGGTTTGCAGGAAATTATGCAGCAACTGATGGCACCAACTCTTCAATCTCCATCACAACAGATGCCGGGCCTGGATTACTGGTGACAAGCTGGGTCAACAATGGAACTGACCTCATCCAGTCTCTGATGACTCTCCAACACATCAGCGACCCTTCTATTTTTAGCATTCGCTTATATCCAACCGGCCTTGAAAGTCCAGGGAGGATATCGTTCAGAGCTCTGATGCCTCCAATACTCTCAACGGCTGGACACGGACCATTCACATCGTCCTGCATCACTTGGGTCACCCTCGATGCGCAGATTTACGGGAATATTGGGATTGATGAGTTTTTTTTTAGCCTGGATCAGTCGGGCAATGCCGCTAGCATAAGTCCTCGGGTCCTGCGCATCACTCTGCCAAAGACATGAACCGGTCAATAGAAGTGGTTTCTAAATTGAACTTGAAGGCGTGCCTCGTCAACTTATCTCTCTAATCTCCGGCAGTATATTTTACCAAACTTTATCTTATTAGCTCTCAATCGAGTGCTCAACGTGAGGGTGGCCTAGCATGGAAACCAACGATGACAAGAAAAGGAAAGAGAAAAAGATGAGCGGGGCTTCCTATTCTAGATATAGGTAAGGGGCAATAGCCCAAGTCTCCAAGAAGCGTAACATTGCCCTTCACGAATTCTAATATTATAACTTGCGCAATTATATGGGAATAGAAATTAGGAGGACGTAAGCTACGTATCAACGTAGGGTGTGGACTAGATCTATATACTGACAAAGATGGGTGATTTTAAGTTATATAGAAATCCCTATGGCTAGAGCTAGTTCATAGTATTACGCTTGGCAAATCATCAAAAAGAAGAGTCCATTTAACGAAGATATCGAATCTAAGGACAGAGAGGCGAGCTCCCTGTTTCAGGACTACAAGCACCGGAACATTCCATGTCATATGCTTATCATGTCATATGCTTATCATGTCATCGTTACACGTAGCTCCTAGGAGATACATAGCTCTTGGTGGCCCATCTTTATCTGAGCCCCTTAAGTAGTTGGCTAAGATACAATTTGCAACCCAAGGCCTCTAGGTAATTGCCTTGTATTTAGAATTTGGATGGCAACTCATAAGCTTGGTCTTTTGTCGGCAGCTCGTGAGTTTGGACTGCTGAGAGTTCGTGAATCATTCTGGCGCCTAGTTCCTGAGGAGGCTGCACATCGTTATTGTCGAATTCCATGAAATTTACCTGCGACTGTCGCTTTTGGCGTCGGAAAAGCAGCAAAACAAGGAGCAATCCGAAAACTCCGACTGGAACAGCAACCCCGATTCCAGCTTTTGCACCAGTTGAAAGTTCAGAAGACCCCGAGGATGTCTGGGCGGTCGGTTGCGACGTGGGTTGCGAGGTGACAAGGCTTGAATTTGCAGTCGCTGATACACCCGATGCGCTTGAGGTAGATGTTATTAAGCTGAGCGTTTGAGAAATTGTTGATGCGCTTGAGGTAGATGTTGTTGAGCTGAGCTTTTGAGGAATTGTTAGAGCGCTCGAGGTACCGCAGCAGTCCGTGTTATCGCCACAGCACCAGGTTTTCGAGTTCTCTGTACCATCACACGATGTCATTAGCGCGTGGTCACTGCCATCATTATACTAGTACATAGGATTTTGTTAGCGGTAATTGGTAATATAATGACTTCAAAAATGGAGAACAAGGAGGGTCGGAAATTAATGCTTTCTCTGATTTATTTCAGGGACGTACCTTGGCATCTAGACAGACGGACAAACAGGAGGAATTCCAGTTTTCATAAGCACAGCTCACACGCCAGAAGCTCCCACCAGTCTTTAGTTTATTCCAGCAAAGCCCATTGTCGAGGCAAATATCCTGGCTGTAGGGGCTAGTTGCTGTGCGATTAGTGCCACAGCACATGGCCGTGTCACCGCAAGGTTGGTAATCTGGGCTTGACTCAAGGGTGCCATTGAATCTGTAGCAAGAGGACGCGGATGAGACAGATCGTGCGAAAAGAAGACAAAAAAGACAGGAGACCAGATCGCGAAATTGGAGTCCGTTGCGCGCGCTCATATTTCTCGCTGAAAGTGATTGTTGGGCTTGGCTGCGACTTTATTCACCATGAGCAAATTTGCTGGCGAACGTCATCAGAGGGGGAAAAGGAGGGATATGTTGGTTTTCGAAGCCAAAGGTAACCAAACCAACAGCTTTCGGGGGCGAAAACGAACTGGGTCAGGAGGCTCAAGGTTTAGGCCGTTCAAGTTAGCCGAGGACAGAGAGATGAAGATGGAGCTTTCCGAGTTTGAGAGCCAAATAGGTGCTCGGCATTTAACGAGACTTCGTAATTGACGGTTGATCATGTACAACCAATACCTTTATATTTCAGGGGCTGGGCCGCTCACGAGAGCGGCACAGCCCTTACTCTATAAACCTTGCATACCTACGCGCCGGCCCCCAACATCAACACAGTGACGGCGGTGTGGGGCGACTGGAGGGCACGAATAGCTGCCATGGCCGTACTGTATGTCGACATATGTGGAGTGGTAACTTACCACTAAGAACAGGCTTATCAAGCGCCCACTTTCTCTATATTTTTGTATGTAATTTAAGTCGGAAGGCCGTTCTGCGCGTATCTAGTCCACAAAATAATTTACCACTGCCGGACTGGCCCGAAAGATTAGTATGCTCGGTGGTAGATAGAAATCATTGATTGGGAGCGTCCGATCACCAACGACCGAAGCATGGAGGCGATGAGAAACATTTTCACCTACACCTCTGTCACTGAACGCTAAGTTGGAGAGACCTGAGCATAAAGGCAGAGCTTCTACGCTCTGCATTCTTTCAACCTCCGTTACAAAGTGAATCATGGCTGGGTTTGCAGCGCTGCAAAGCGGCTTCGATAGTTAACTCAAACTGGTATCGGCCTCGCGGTACTGGGCGCGTGCTGAAACGCCGTGGTCCCCACTCTCGATCCTGGATAGTGCCAACGGTAGTGTTCTCCCCTAGAGGTGACTGTAGGTCGGCTCAGGCCATTTTCTGCTAGCGCTCACCCATACGACTTTCCGTCCCCACAATGACCTGAGCCGACTCTCTTTCCAAAATTACCCTCTTACACACTCTTACGCATCGCTATCAACTAGTTTAATTGTATTACTATGTAAGTGTAGATGTGTCTGTTCGTCGTAGTTCTTCGGTCGCGAATTAATATTGTTTAAGAATTACTTCTAGGTTATTAGCTAGATTACTAAACATATAGAAACTATTATTACTAGATTATTAGAAATTGTCTAGATATATCTATTATTTATTAGTAGGGAAGTTTAAAACAACTTATTAGATAGTTTAAATATTTCGAAAACATCGTGCGAACGAGGGTAATTTACTACGCTAAACCTAACTAGGTAATTGAAAAAGGCCTGAGCCGAGGATTTGCTTATCGGTCTTATCATCGCGCTATGGGCAGGCTGAGCTAAAAAATGGCCTGAGCCAACCTGTAATCTCCTCCTAGAGGAACTCCCGGGATCGACTTAGGCAGCTAAAGTTAGCGCCCTGGTGTGACAAGATCATTCATCCCTAGAGCATGTACAAGTATAGAAGGGCCCCGTGCAGCACAACCAACCAGCCTCTTTGAGGCGAATGTTTAAATGACACTACACGTCATAGCAACAGCAGGCTAGGTCAAAATAACTAGTTGACATGTCTTTATAAATAGATTAGTTTTGATTATCCGATTTGTCTTCAACTCTCTTAATATGCCCTACAATGCATCCGTTGGCTTAGAATTGTGAGTCTAAAGAGCCATGTGGGATCTATCACTATTGATTTGGCAACATCGGCCTCTAATCGAGACTCTCTTGGAGCAACCGTCGGCTCAGATCAGACTGAACCCATTGCTCGATCAGCGCCACAGTATCTCCAACGAGGTAGTCGTAGTTTGCACCCTGTGGTACGAACATGGACTGATGCGCTGTCACTTCATTCATATCCTCCATTAAAACAGGGGTCCAGTGAGAATTGTCGTTATGTTTCCAGTGATGAGAGGGCAAGAGGATGAACTTGCGGAGTTTCCGTTTTGAGGTCTCTGAACTGAGATCGGACTGTGACGTCGAGAGGGAAACGCTCTCTGACAAGGTTTCGCTTTTTGAGTCGAGCTTCGCGGAAGATGTGATGCTTGGGGTTTTGGGCGATGGATAATCCTTCTGAGAACTAGTTTCCTGTGCTGCCAGAGTGTAGTCGGATGATACGGAGTTCAGACTCAGTTCGTCGAGTGCTAATGTGCTTGTTGAAGATGGCGCTGTCTCTGATCCTTTCGAGGCATTCTGTCCCGCTGAAGATTCCCGCGAGAATGGCGGCTCGGTTTGATTGCGATTATTGATGTCGTTTTCTGCCGGCCTCTCTGGCGGCTTCTCGGAAGAAGACTCGACTATAGAGGCCCCCGCGGGTTCATCGGCGATGTCTTGTGTGGACTCCTCTTTGGCTTTTCGCGGTATTCGACCAGTGCTAGTGGTGTAGTAGTTGACAAACCGTACTCTTGCGGGGCTATATTCAGCTGCTTCCAACTCCATCAGGCGTTGATGTCGCTGACGAAGCTCAGAGTAATTATTGACACAGCCTGCAAATTTAACCGGCGATACAAGTCGGTCGAAAATGGACCGTGAGAGGTTGTCTGCGTTCTTATTGACAAAATGCATCACACCCTTGACAAATCCTCGTTGGATCAGGCGCACATCGTTCATAAAGGGAGGGTCAAAGTTGGGATTTGTTGTGACGGGTTTGTAGGCGGGTTCTAGTCCGAGAGATTCCTGTTCACCCGCTAGTTGGTCTTCCACGGCTATGTCTTTCTTCGGAACTGAGCCCATGATTCCGGTAGGAATGACGCGAGGGTGCAGCCCCAGAAAGGGGACATCAAAATTCACAAGCCCCAAGATGTGGTGCTTCGGTCGCCCTTGGTGTTGCAGAAGTGCAACGTCCGCAGCAAGGATCCCGCCCAGACTATGTCCGAGCAGGATAACATCCAGATCATCGGCTTCATGAGGTGACAGCCTGCAAGGAGCTGCATCAGCACGTAGACATTTTGTCAGCGTTCTGGAGCTATGTGGTCACATACCAGGCGCTGAATTGATTCACTGCCGTTTGTAATTCGCCATGAGACTTGTAGCGAGGATAGATACGAGTGAAGACCACATGCGACTCGCTCAGTAACCCTGTCACTAAATCGTGAATGTGGGCTGGAAGGTCATGAAAGCTGGCTTCCGATCCCATGAAACCATGGATGTAAATGAGTAATAGCCTGCGTTTAGCCGTGCCGTGGAGTCCTCCGGGCCGAGGCAGCGACAGGCTGGATAGCGAGCGGTTGGCATGGTCGCGAATCCGGCCTTCCATCGCCGGGTTGGACAGGGCCAAAAAGGTGGGTGGCTGGACAGGAAAGAGTGACATGAGTAAAGCAGGTTCCGCTTCTCTTCTGCTCTTCTGGGGCACAGCCACACCATCAGTCGTGGGGGATCGACTCGCACGGCCCGCTTGCCACCGCAAAAGGGGGGTAAAGGCCGGAATCCTCTCCACCAGCCTAAAGAGAGTGGCTAGAAAAGAGCGAGAGAGCGGACAGACGTCAAGGAACAAGGTTATCTCGGCCCATCAGGATTCTCTTGATGCTTGTCCATGGGCGGACCAATTGCTCCCAAACTCTGTTGCCTATCTGGGCATCGGCGCGTACGAGATTCGCCACCTGCAGTTGAAGTACGCGCAACAAACCGCATTCTTCGACCTCTTTTGGCTCTGTTGGCTCTTTCCTCACTTTCTCTCTTCATCCTCTGAGGATCCACCCCGACGGTCAGAAACATGGGAAAATCGCCAACCCCTGATGGTGAACCGGGGGTGGACCCAGCCCCCCCACCTTATTTCCCATACGTCGACCCCCAACTGACTGCTGAATCCGGCGACGCCTACAGTATGTCCCCCGGGGAAGATGAGAATGACTGGAGCTAACGGCTGGGATCATTCTAGCCAATGGCCGTATTGATGTTCACCTGGATTCCAAGCTCGCGAAATCACTTGCTCAAATCGCCGATCAGCAGCAGGAAGGCCTTTCCTATGCGCCTGATTATATCGCGGCTCAAGCTGCACAGCCCGTTGCATGCGACGTCAAGTTGAACATCGTCATCCAGATCGTGGGCAGCCGCGGAGATGTGCAGCCCTTTATCGCACTAGGCAATGCTCTGCAGAGCCATGGTCATCGGGTTCGCATTGCCACCCACGACGTCTTCGAAGACTTTGTAAAGGAGTCATTTTTGGAGTTTTTCCCCATCGGCGGCGATCCAGCACAGCTCATGGCATATATGGTCAAAAATCCAGGCCTCATCCCGCAGATCAAAACATTGCGAGATGGAGAAATCAAAAAGAAGCAGGTTATGGTCGCAGAAATGCTCCGCGGCTGCTGGAGATCATGTATCGAAGACGATCCTCTCACGCAGGAGCCATTTGTTGCAGATGCCATTATTGCCAATCCACCGAGCTTTGCACATATTCATTGTGCGCAAGCATTGGGGGTCCCGGTTCATCTCATGTTCACTATGCCTTGGAGTAGTACCAAGGCATTTCCCCATCCATTGGCCAATCTGCATTCTGAGTCTATGACAAACCCAGGGACAGCAAATTGGGTTTCGTATGGCATAGTAGAGTGGCTAACGTGGCAAGGGTGCGTTCATTCTGTTGGAATAATCATGAACCTCATGGCTAACAGAGGCTCACGACAGGTTGGGAGACGTGATCAATCGATTTCGGTCCTCGATAGACTTGGCCCCTGTTCCAAGGACAGAGGGGCCTTGTTTAGCCGAGGCGCTGGAAATTCCTATGACCTATTGTTGGTCCCCTGCACTGGTTCCAAGGCCACAGGACTGGCCGGCTCATATCGGTAGGTTCACAGAAAACCTCTCCGGAGCCCTGTTGAGATGACTGATTCCAATTAGATGTGTGTGGATTCTTCTTTTCGGATCCACCCGAGTATACGCCATCTCCTGACTTGGCAGAGTTTTTACAATCGGGCCCGCCTCCTGTATACATAGGCTTCGGGAGTATTGTCGCTGAGGACCCACAGCAGCTGATAGACACGGTGCTTACGGCAGTCTCAAGGGCTGGTGTACGGGCAATTGTTTCAAAGGGCTGGAGCGAGCTGGCTGGGCCGGCAGATGCAAATGTTTTCTACATTGGTGACTGTCCACATGGGTGGCTCTTTCGGCATGTCTCTGCCGTGGTTCACCACGGAGGGGCTGGAACCACAGCATGTGGTCTCTTAAACGGGCGGCCAACCGCCATCGTACCCTTTTTCGGCGAGTATGTTCATGTTTCCCGCAGATTTCTGTCCAAACTACCCGACTCGGTTCTGGAAAGCTAATGAAATTTACCCTAGTCAACCCTTCTGGGGCGACATGGTCGCGACCGCCGGTGCTGGCCCTAATCCAATTCCACATGCCTCACTGAATCCTCAAAATTTGGCCGACGCAATTCAGTTCTGCCTGACACCAGAGGCGGAAATTGCCGCGCAGAAGATTGCCACCAAAATGAAAGCAGAGTCTGGCGTGACAGCAGCAGTGAACTCCTTCTACCGCAATTTGCCTTTAGACCGGATGAGATGCAGTGTCATCCCTGGCCAACCCGCTGCATGGGTCTATACGCATGGCAAGCGGTCTCTGATCGTGTCCAAGGCAGCGATGAATATTTTGATTGAGTACAAAAGGATAGATGCCAAGGACACGAAATGGTCCGTGTGCTTCGCTTGACCGTTACCTATGATATGGATATGTGCTAACTTGCGGGTGAAACAGCTATGCGATCAATCCAATCATTATTGAAAACCGTCGCTGGGATCCTTTGACTGGTGTTCTCGCCGCCGCCACTTCCACCGGATCGAACATGTTACAGTCAACCGGCGAGATGTTTTACAATCCATACAAGGAATTCAAACGCAGTCGAACTGGGAGACTGTCCGAAGGGGGCTCGTCGAGCTCCCAAGCGTTCATGAACAGCCCTCGCAGTGATCAGAGTCAAAGTCCCTTCGAAACAGCGGGGAATATGGCTGGCGCGACACTGCAAGGTTTCGGTAAATTCTCTGCTACTTATTTGAGAGGTGTGATAGTCGACATTCCACACGCCGCGGCAGAGGGCTTTCGGAGAGCACCTCAGCTGTATGGCGAGAAACCCAAGGACTATGGGCATGTTCATGACTGGAAGTCTGGTGCGATAGTAGGCGGCAAGAATTTCGTCGGTGGTATGACCAGTGGTGTAGCCGGCATGTTCACACATCCATTGAAAGGGTTGATGGAAGAAGGATCAGCTGGTGCAGTTAAGGGACTTGCTAGGGGTGCCATGGGGATGGCTACAAAGATGCCTTCCGGTAAGTAGCAGCTCTCCGCGTCGAAGGACTGATCTTGGTACTAATGCTCTGAGTTTCAAGCTGGCATCGGTCTGATGGCCTATCCGTTCCATGGCATATCAAAAAGCATCGAAGCGGCATTCCGAACGAAAACACCAAAGGCCATCGTCAGCGCGCGCCTCAGAGAGGGGTATGCTCTCACAGAAATGATGCAGCTGTCTCAAGCGGAAAGGGATGAGGTGGTGCAAGTATTTGATGTACTCTTGTCCTCAATGAGCACATAGATCTCCGTAGACATTGAGGGGGGTCTACGTTATGGATTGAGGATGATAAGATCTAACCAGAGTGTAGACCGAGGTTCCGCGTCACTTAGTCTAGAGTAATAGAAACCACTAAACTATCAATGAAGCAGCAAGCATGACAATTCCACCAAGGGAATCCATCCCCGAGCACCATTCCTCCCAATGTCCCGCGCTTTCTGAGGTGGTGGCATTGACAGTCTCGCAGGGAGACGCGCTGTCGCTTCCACCTGGCTGCACTTCGTGCAGTTTTTTAATTTTCCCAGTTTTTGCCAATCCAAAGCAAGTCTGGATCTTGGGGGCTTTCTTGCTCTCTGTCCGCCATGTGAGCTCATCACTTGCCTCCCATAGCTGTTTCTTTGCCGGCAGTGGCGCTATCACAAATTCCGACGACATGTCACATATTGCCGCTGGGTCAAAATAAACAAGCAAATTCACGACTCGGTGTATCACGCATAGCCTTTGGGGTTGAATTAGTGCTGTAGAACGATGTTTTTTCGCCAAGGGCAGGTCCAAGTCCAACCTTCGTTCGGATTCTTCGAAAATCCAGTCTTCCCAATTTGTGTCAAGACTGCCATTACGGCACATGAGCTGTGTCTTGCGTACCATGTCGCCACCCTTTAATTGCTTTGAGATTGCCTATATAGAGACATCAGGTCGCGGTCGTAAAAGGAAGAAGAGCGCCAGGCATACAGCGACGGTTGCGAGTAGTAATGGGTCGAAGTTATTCTGCTCTGTGGCACCTTCGTCCAGTCGAATGAGGATATAGATGGAGATGGCTTGCTTACCAGCAAGCAGTTCCCAATCACTTAACCGCGGATGCTAGTTCTGTTCATCAGTCCTTTGTGGCTCCCCTGTTATAACGGTGGTAGGCGTCACTTACATCGGCAAGCAGGCGCTCACATTCCAGCCGCACATTTTTCCAGAACAGTTTTCGACTTCCTCTGATCTCACTTCTGAGGATATGCATCAGGCTGATGCAGTTGGTGAGTGGTTCTACGTCGAACTTGTCAAAATCACGAGTTATTGTCCGTGGATGAATAAATGGCGGAAGGGTACTGTGGCGCAGCATCATCAGCAGGTAGGATTTTAGAGTGTGTAATATAAGATTCGCAATTCCATGCGCCCCAGTCTTTATATTTGGACGCATGATGAGCGAGCGAGAATTGGCGGTCGGCTGTGCTGGTATGGATATGTTGAACAGCGAGTCCAGTTGTTCCCCCTCGAGGGATGACCATCCGGATAGGGGGCTTTGACTAGCCGTTTCATTCCCTTGAAGACTCCAAAGACCAGAAAGATCAATGTCTGGGTTATACCAATCGATATAGTCCGCTTCACTAGTCGTGAGCTCCGGATCTGACGACGAAAGCACGCTATCAAGAATTGTGTTCACGTCGTTGCCCGCCTTTGGACGATGTTCAGTGGTGGCATGTTTTGTCGGCAACGTAATCATTAAGTTCTGCCGTTCCGTTGCTGCGCCGTCATGTTTCTGGATCCTTGATTTTGTGGCTTGGTGCGAGCTTGCTGGATAATGACATTCAATGGCCTTGGTGATACATCTCGAGCATTGTGGTTGCCTATTATCGCAGCGTGCCTTTCCTTTTGCACAGGAGATACAAGATCGCGGCCGAGGAGTCCCGCAGTCTTTTCGAGACCGGCAGTAGTACCCATGTCTCTTTAGCGTAGACTCTGGAAAGACGCCGTTAGGATGTAATGTCTCGGGGTAAGGTCGGCCGGAAGTTCAACCCACGCTTGTCGAACGGTTTATTGCACCGGGCGCACCGGGAAATAGAGTGCATGTTTCCATCGGACATTTCACATTACACCACAGCACAGGCAGGCCTCTACTGTGATGATTCCGAGCAGAATGTATTTCTGAACTGCTTTCTTCCAGCCTCCCCGGGGATGACAAGATGCAGGACGCAAGATACGATTGGTCAGCATGTCAGCAAGCCGGCCAATCTTCGGGCCTTTCAAAGCCGACATCTTCGTAATCACCCTGCGGACGGAACGGACGGAACAATTTGTAAATGATGAACATCGCGGTCTTCAAAAACTCCGAAGCCCTTCTCTAGCAGGCTGTGTTAGATTCTGTGGTCCGGAAATATTGTACCTAGTGATATTCCCCCGATTTTCCCAACCCGTGAGTCTGCACTTAGTGTGACAACTTGTTCGACTCCGTGGCGGACCGGATGTGTTGAAGCAACACTCCCTATAAAAGCGATGATGGTTCGTTCAGCGATATGGCTTCGTCACTGATCAGTTCCTTGATCTCAATCATTCATACGCCCAGAGGTCACGATGGCAGCTCCATTTCCCTCTCCTACCTCGACATGGCACTCAACCGCGTACCAATCTATATCTCCAACTCGGCCCGAGCTTTCGGCTGAAGGCAAGACCGTGGTGGTCACAGGAGGGGGTCTGGCATCGGGGCAGAGACTGCCCGGTACTTTGCCGAAGCCGGTGCCTCTCGGATCGCCCTTCTTGGCCGCAGAGAACAGCCTTTACTCGACACCAAAGCCTCGATTGAGCGGAGGTTCCCTCGCGTCGAGGTCTTCGTTGAATCGATGGATGTCACAAACAAGAGCCAAGTGGATGCGGCCTTTGCGAATTTTGTTGGCGGCGGCAGACTTCATGTCCTGGTTAGCAATGCGGCGATGATTGGGCCCCAGGATCCGGTGCAAGATGTGGAAAGTGAACCATTTCTCGAAAGTATCCAGCAAAACCTCAAAGGAGCGTTGTTCCTTGCGCAGGCATTCCTTCGTTACGCATCGACCGACGCAGTCGCTATCGAGATCAGCTCGTCGGCAGCACATCTGAATTTCAGTCCCCGTTGTGCTGCCTATAGTATTTCCAAATTTGCAGTATATCGATTGTGGGACTCTCTGGCCTCGGCGAATCCGAACCTCAGCATTTTCCATCTCCAACCGGGCCTCGTGGATACCGCCATGAGTCGGGAGACGGGTGGTGTCGCTGCCTTTGGTACCGAGGACAATGGTAAGTCAAGTGGTGCTTGTCAGGGGGAATATCTAGGGGCTAACTGCGATTGAGTCTCTCTCCCCGCAAGCTTCAACGTCTGGCTGGCAAGCCCCGAGGCGCGTTTCCTAAAAGGAAAATTCCTGTGGGCCAACTGGGATGTCGATGAGCTCAAAGCCAACGAAAAAGAGATGGCAGAGGGTCCTCAGCTGAGTATTGGGCTTGTCGGATGGCCGTTTCAGGAAGCAAACTGGGAATCCAAAATTCAACTCTAACCTGCCGCCGAGAGAAAGCGAACCTGATCATGTGCGAATAGGACGAGCATACTCTCGTCAGCGCCAAGGGAACTTTCAGAACATTGGGGGGAGTTATACTTAGTCGTTACCAAGGTCTAGTCGTGATCTATATCCTAGTCTTAGCAACCTTTGGCTTGCCAACGCAGAAACTACTCCTATATTCGCCTAGAGAAAGCATATCTTGCTTCAGATTCTCAGGATGATACATAGGAATTATTTCTAAACGAAAATGCAATCGACTTGTGGTTTACCGCGGCCAAGACCAGATGGATCTATATATTAATTTTTTAGAGTGTATACTCATCAAAACCTCTTCATATACCCCAAAGCTTTCCTCTGATCCCATAGAACTTTTTTCAGCCCGAGGAGTTGAGCCTGATATTAGAGTTGTAGTACTTGATCGCCAGACTTGCAAGGTAACAAATGAAAATAGGGACCTTCAAAGCTATGGCCCCGACTTGTTCCCTTTCCTTTCATCATCCTGAGGCTCAAGAATTGCGACAGGGTAGCTGCTAAACTCACGCACAGGGATTCCTGCTTGGAACATGTTATTGATCTCCTCCAGGGATCGCCCCTTCATTTCAGGCACACAGAAATATGCGAACACAAATGAGCAGCATGCAATGCTGCCGAAGATGAAGCCGACTTTAGAATGGAGGTTTCCGTAGGGAGAATTAAGAAGATACGGGGTGCTAAAGGAGAAAACAAAACTATACATTACAGACATGAAACGGTTAGATGTTCTGTGCTCAGTAGGACAGGATAGGGGCACACTTACTTTGTCAAAATATTTACCATAGACGCCACACGTTGCGTCTTGTCACGGAGCCGAGAAGCTGGAAGCTCAGTCGTGACAATGTAGTTCAGTGGATCCCAGCTAAAGCATAGACTAGCCGACGATAGTGCGGTAGCAGCCACGATGACTTGAGTCTGCGCCACTGTCGGTGATACCACCGTCCCGACTCCCCCCAAGATAAAAAGCCAGGCCACTTGTAGTATGGACCCAAGCATGAGTAGCGGTCTCCGCCCGACCTTATCCGAGAGGTAAATAGCAGTAACGCATGCCAAAGTGTTGATGCAGGAGCTCATGAGAGAGTACTTGAACGGGTTGATTGAATGAAGGGACTGCACAAACAACGTGCCGTACGCCGCGGTGAACGGAGAACCCGTCGCTTGGATGAAGAAGTTCATACCGATAGCAATCAGAGTGCGCTTCCGATTACTCCCGCGGAATAAGTCCATATACGTGCCCTGATTCTGCTCTTCGGCGAGGGAAACTTGCAATCGTGCGAGCTCTTCCTCCGGAGTGGGACTATCCGGGCCTGGGCGACGAAGCTTTTGGAGCGAGTCCAGTGCTTCATCCACGCGATCCTGCAGTAGCAGCCACCGTGGTGACTCGGGAATAAACCAGATACATGATGCCACAATGGATGGGACCACGTAGAAAAGACCCTGGGGAATTCTCCATGCCGCATTGCTTGACATCTGATTTGTGCCCAGGCACACACTATTGATGATGATGCCCCCGACCAACAGGCTAGCTTGGTAGGTGCCTACTGCGAAGCCGCGAATAGGAGCTGGAATAATCTCGGCTTGAAATGGTGGGCAGGTTGCCAACTCCATACCAACGTAAGCGTAATTCAGGATGCGACCAGCAAGCACTTGTTCAATCCGACTGGAGCTAATGAGCACGGTGGCAGACATCATCGCCCAGAGGGACATAAAAAACATTGACATGCGACGACCATATCGAGCGCTGATCACACTACCGATATACAATCCTAATCTTGAATGAGTCTTGCTTTTGGCTTTGGCTTTGGTTTTGGTTACTGTAGATCCAGATTGAACTCACCGACTGCGAAACCGATAAAATTCAGGCTATTCAAAAGAGATGTCCAGTATGTTGGTATCGCCCATGTCTTCGTACTTGGATCATAGACACCAAACTGCCTTTTGTAAGCTGCCATTGCTTGGCTGGTCGCGATTCCTTGATTGTCGAATCCATAGTTCAGTGTCGACAGGCTGATGAGCCCCACCGCACCCGCGAGACGAGGGGTAAAGTATCGCCCGAGGTGGTTGTTTTTGAGAACTGACGGGAACATGTTCAAACAATTAACCCAATATCGATATTCTCCGTTTCGTTCAACCATCCGGGGCTCCTTTGGCTATATACTCCGTACCTGGCAGGAATTTCCATTTCCCTCTCAATTAAAGTTCCAGTCGCCATGGACATTGATGATGACGCTATTAACCATCCAATGGACGGGGGCAGCACCATCCTATCCGGATAACTCCCGTCGATGGTTGAAAGATGGACTGTTCTCCGTGGCGCTTTTTCCGCGCGATGGGGTTGGCGGAAAGTTTTTCTCTGAGAACGGAGAGATATTTGAAGTACCTGAATCCTCCCCCCACGCTAATTGAGAGATCCGAGCGCAAGGTACCACGGGACGCTCCGACGGGTTACAACCTGGATTGCTATTCTTTGCCTTCCTTGACATCTACAATCACTCAGGGTCAAAGTACATGTCCCTTCTTATGATGGCCCATTGGCCGCATTTTCGTGATAATCAGGAAAAACTTGTACATTTAGTTGATTTTTTTTTTTTTTTTTTTTTTTGTTTAAAGCCTAAATCCACTTGTTCGGGTTACACATGCCACGGTTGACTCCAGCTGCAAGGATAAAATGATAAAATGATAAAATCAAGGCTTCGATCTCGGTACAGAAACGTCGAAATCAAACCGGTCTGGGATTTTCAGTCCTGACTTGATATGTCCTCCCATTTCCAAAAGCGACACCCCATCCCGGAACAACCACGGATCCTTTGTCTCAATTTGCCAGGCCTCTAGTTCAGTCCGCAAGATATTTAGGACCTCCCTATGTGCAGGATCAGGAGCGAGATTGGTTGTTTCTGTGGAGTCGTTGATCAGATCGTATAGCTCCTCAGCGGGACGCTCAATATATGCCTTCAAGGGTCGATTTCCTATCATCACCGGACCCGGGGCGTTTCGAATGCCCTCCCACGACAAAGAAGCATACAGATCAGTCGAGAAAGGGAAGTCCAGCTTCCATGCAATATTCCGGTGATACTTATATCTCGAGGTGCGGAGAAATCGAGTAGGATAGTAATTTGTAATCTCGTGAAACGTGTGAGAGCCAAACACTCGCGTCCATGAGTCATTCATGATCGTCTCGGTCATGATTGGTAGCAGGGAACGTCCTCGTCGTCGGGGTTCAGCTGCTTGAGACTCTTGATATCCAGTCCAATCCAGGATCGTTGGGAGAATATCAATGAAAGACACCATATTTGGATTCTTGGAGCCGTTGCCATTGCCCGGCTGGCGGATGATCAGGGGAAGTCGAATGCCAGCATCATAGAGTGTTGTCTTGGAGTTCAAAAATGGGGGCCCATTGTCGCTCATGAAGATGACCAGTGTGTCTTCAAGCAAGCCTTGCTCCTTCAGCGATTCCATAATCATGCCGAAGCCGCGGTCCACACGGCCAATTGCCCGATAGTACTCGGCTAATTCCTGGCGGACTTCAGAAATGTCACTCAGAAAATTGGGCACTGTGACCGTCTCGGGATCGTAGGAGGCATCCTCCGACGAGACTTGCCTGTCGCCGTTGCCAAACCCGCCACGCGTATGGTCGCGATGGGGATCCATGTATCCGACCGTGAGGAAAAATGGTCGTCCGTCATCCTTTGCCTCGTGGAAGAAAGAGGAAGCCTGTTGAGCCACCCAATTCACGTCCCGGCTGGGACTTTCCACGACAACTTCCCATGGGTAGACCGAAAGAGGTCCAACATGTATTTTGCCAATGATTCCAGTCCGGTATCCATGGCTTCGCAATAGGCCAGGGGCTGTCTGAACGTGATCAAACGTCATGAAATGGTGGGTGTAGTGGTTCAGACCATATTGGCCATTTTCGTGAGTATGCAGGCCTGTGTAAATGACCGATCGACTGCCACTGCAGGACGCCGTGCTTGCAAAGGCATTATCAAATACAGTCCCTTCTTTGGCGAGTGAGTCGAGGTTTGGTGTCTTTACGGCCTTCTCGCCATAGCAGCTTAGAGAGCGGCCCAAGTCATCGGCAATGACCAGAAGAACATTTCTCTTGGACGGCATCGTGTAGACCGGGGTAGCAGGGGGAACCGCGATTGCAGAGTTCTGCCAAGGGAAATGAGTTCTTTTATTAACGCCATCGCAAGTATCAGACTGTGAATAATTGTACTTAAAATTCGCGTCTCTTGCCGGAGAGATTTGCGGGAAGATTTGGTGTGACAGTTTCCATGTTTGACCGTGCCCCCAAGCCATTTCGGGTTAATGAATTTGGGCTCGCGCTTTGACGCAATCCCGCGGGCAAGTGACATGATCGGGCTCGAATAGCAAAGCAAAGAATGGAGGCATCCCCCCTCCTCACCGCCTATCGTGCTCTAATCGCCGGCTTCGCGCTTCGAACACGTATTCCAATTGATCTGAAGCCGTGAAACACCTGGCCTAATGCGGCGGAATCGAGCATGTGACCAATGCGCGGCCCGCAAAGCCAAATGCGATAGAAAATCGCCCTGTCGACGATGCATCATCCTGGATCTACCCTGCAGCGTACAGCGGGGGTATACAAAGCCAGGCCCAAAGGGGCCATGGGCTAAGAGGAAGCAACAGGAGGGTGCTGGGTCGCAGAAATCTCCGAAGAAACGCGCCACAGACGTTACAGCTACCGACACGTCCTACATGCAACGGGTTCCGGAGGCCAGAATCAACGATAAGATTTCAGTTGATGTACAGCGCTATCTACTCTACTCTCGGGAGCTATACCCCCTCTGGCCGGTGATTAACCTAGAGGATCTGATCACCCGGCTCCAGAACGGGGCGGACCTTGCAGCATATGCACTTAGCACTGCATTTAGCGCCGTGGTGCTTGAACGGCTAGCTCAACTTGGACGGACGATTGAGGACGTAGAGAATCCTTCAGTTGAAAGTGAGAAACTGGTAGCAGAATCGGAAAACGTGAGAGCGCAACTACATTATCAACTGAAGCCGAGCGTGGATATATTGCTATCATCGTTCTTTTTACATATCCATTGTGCAAACCGAGGACAAATATGCAAAGCAACCTTACTACTCCGCGAGGCTACTACATTCGCGCAGTTCCTCGGCTTCGATCAAGCTAAGCACTATGCTACTTTGCCCGAGGACAGCGCTCAGCTACATCTACGCATACTCTGGATTCTGTATATTACGGAACGGTACGTTGTTTCCGACATCTCATAGTCCAAAGCCTCTAAATAACAGCAATATGATACCCAGAGGCCACACAACGCGCTTTGACTTGCCGAGAATCTTGCGATTGGATCCCCAACTTCCAGCGCTCTATGCTGACGAGAATCCCTCTGGATTGCTGCCTTTTATAAGCATGACACGACTGTTTCAAAACTTTGGTTTCGCCATGGATGGGTTTGAGGCTGACCGAACACACGACTTTTTTGCGGACATGGATATGCGCTTACAAGAGACACCGGAATTATTGACCAGCGCTTCAGATACGCAGCGCGCCGACTTTCTGATTACCAAGCAATGGATGAGAATTATCTTATGGAAACGGGCCATCTTCTATGTGGAGCTTTCAGCAGATACGGCTGGCGGTACCTTGAGCGTATCTTTTCCCGAGAAAGTAGCACGGAATGTGGTGGCATATATTCACAATCTTCCTCGTGGTATTGTTAGATCTCACGGTCTTGGAATGGTAAGTGATCTAATGCACCTGCTGTGGCAATTCCGCCTTGTAAAGATATTGACTCCTTTGCAGCAAATGAAACTGGCGGATATTGCAATTTCCTTGGCAGACGTGCTTTCTTGCGCCCCCTTTACCGTGTCCGAAAGTCATCAGCTTATGCAGGTTAGCCCGGCAGAAATTCTTCGATCGCTAGCCACATTTCTAGCATCGATTCCTAATAGCGTGAACCCGAGACTGCAGTTTCTCCAGGAAAAGATTTCCGTGGGGCCCTGGAATGTTCCCTTAGAAAACCCACAGAGGAGGTGTGACATTTTAGCAAGGAAATTCGAAACTAGAGAGAGAACTTGAGTTATACATCGTTTACTCGCGTTCAAACTATTAAAATGCCACATTTCATACACTCTACTATCCGGTATGGTCGGACAAGCTCCACAAATCCATTTAGACTCTCGAGCTATTTCTATCCCAGGGAAGTACTATTTTGCTCGCGCAAAAGACCATGATTTTCTCACAAGGAAAGTTATGGTCTTTTGCCCATTCAAAAATTGAAAAGTTCCCTTTCCACACTTTAGCTCTTTCTTGTTAACAGATCTATGCCTTATAAGAGCTCGCGTTTCTGATGCTTTTCCTGGACAATACAGGCGTATTCACATTCCTCGCATCCTAGAGAGCTAGGCGACCACTCGCAATGGCTGCTATAAATCCAACCGGATCTAATTGCTCCTCCTCAAAGAGAAGATTATAATCCTAGGCGATTAGGCTAAAAGACTATACTATAATAAGCGCAAAGGCCTGTCGAAGATAGGGCTAGTCAAAAGAAGGCAAGGTCTACAATATATTTGGACAAAATAAGCTAAAGAAAGAGCGAGGGTAGTCAAACACAGTCGGCTCTAGGGTGATATCTTTCCACTAGAACTACTAGAAAACGCGCTAGAGGCCTAGGGGAAAATATAGCAATAGGTAGAGATCTAGTGTATCAGAAAACAACAAAAAAATTGATAGTTTAGCCTATTAGTAGTAGTAATGGTAGAAATAACAAAAAAATGGCCATTACGGTAGGAATAACTATTAGGGTAGGGCTCACCCATGCCGCTCTGCGGGATAGGTTAGTCGGCAGGTCAAAGTTATAACCTAACCTAGTCCGGGCCCGGGTTAGGTTAGGGTATGCGTAAGTCTACTCTTAACAGCTTTCCCCCTGACTTTCCTATCATCTATCAATCTGATTCTCAGTGCAAGATCCCATCGGATATCCCTAATACTGGCCTATACCAATAGGCCTAGACTACACAGATAACACTACCTACTTAACCATATCTTCCCGTCCTGATCTACCACTGTACACGACTTTACCACCTCTGGTACCTCAATCTTTCCCCTATCGACAGTTATCCTTCCCATCTCTTTCCCGTCTATGTCTACCAGTATTCGCTCCGCCTTGTCCCCTACATGGTACAATCGAATCTCTAGCTCAGCCAGGTAATCATACTCCACTCTGCTTTCCCCTTCTTTTCCCAGAACCAGTATCGTCCCTTCTTTTACGAAAAGCGGCAGGCCCATGAAACCGTATCTTTCCGACAACCAGATCGGCCCTTGCACAGTTTCTCCCGCCATCCCTCCATCCTCGGTATCGAACCACCGCGTCCACCGCCCTTTCGGGAGATAATATTGGACTTTGCCATTCTCTTCAAACACCGGTGCCACCAAAAGATCTCCGCCTAAAAGATACTGCCTGTCCAAGAACCACGCCACCGGGTCCTGCTCAAAGTCAACGAACGTAGGCCGCAGTATTGGCACACCGCTCTTCGCATTGTCGACCGCCATCGCGTACAAGTAGGGCATCAAGCGACATTTCAATCTTGTAAAGGCGCCCAGCACCGCGTTCGCCTCTTCGTCGTAATGCCACGGCACTCGATACGTTTCCGAGCCATGTAGGCGGGAATGAGTGGACAGCAGGCCGAAGGCGACCCAGCGCTTGTACAAGTTCGCAGGCGGAAGACCTTCGAAACCGCCAATGTCGTGAGACCAGTAGCCGAAGCCCGAGGTCGCGAGCGAGAGACCACCGCGTAGCGTTTCGGCCATAGCAACCGAGGTAGACTCGCTATCGCCAGACCAGTGGACGGGAAGAGTCTGGCCCCCAGCGGTAGCGGACCGGGCAAAAACGCAGGCTTTCCCCTCGCCGAACCGTTCCTTCAAGACTCCGAAGACGGTACGATTGTACAATGTCGCAAAGTAGGAATGCATCTTCTTGGGGTCGGAACCGTCGTGAAACACAGCATCTACCCAGGGCACATCCTCTCCGAAGTCGGTCTTGAAGGAGTCGACACCCAGGTCAACCAGGGCGTGTAGGTGCGAGGCGTACCAGGCACAAGCGGCCGTGTTGGTAAAGTCGACGATACCCATACCAGGTTGCCAATAGTCCCACTGCCAAATGTCGCCGGACCGGCGGCGGATGAGATAGCCTGCAGAAGCGGCCTCTGCGAAAAGGGGCGACTCTTGCGCGATATAGGCGTTGATCCAGACGCAGATGTGCACATTGAAGCGGGACTTTAGGTCGGCGAGCATCTTCTTAGGGGAGGCGCAGATGGCCGGATTGAAGGTAAAGTCGCAGAAACGGAAGCGCCGCATCCAGAAGGAGTCCTTAGAGATGATTAGAAGGCATTGGAAAGTCTCGATGCACCCTGACTTACGATGTGGAGAACATGTACAGGACAGTCCACTTGTTCCATCTTGGTCAAGAATTCGTGGATTGACTTCTCAGTCCAGTTCGTGGTAAAGCTGGTCGACAACCACAGCCCGAAACTCCACGCCGGCGGTAACGGAGGCCTTCCCGTTAAGGTCGTGTATCTCGCGAAGATATCCTTCGGACTCGGTCCGTTGATGATGTAGAATTTCAACCTTTGACCCTCGACACTGAATTGGCAGCGTGCACTGCGCTCGCTCCCGACTTCAAAATCCACCAGCTCGCTATGATCAACAAAAACACCGTATCCACGGTTCGTGAGATAGAAGGGCACGGCCTTGTAGGCCTGCTCGGAGCTGGTACCGCCATTCTCATTGAAGATGCGTACCCGCTGGCCGTTCTTGATGAATTCCGTGAATTGTTCCCCGAACCCATAGACCTTCTCGCCAACTCCTAAAGCGAGTTGTGCAAGCATGAATCGCCCGATGTGATCTAGCGAGTGCGCAAGTGTGCGTGTTTGGGTAGGCGGATTGGAGTATGCAAAGCCGAGGGAGCGGAAGTCGAAGCTGGTCAATTGCTCGTCGCGTCCTTGGCTGAAAAACTGGATGCCGAAGCCATTCGGTGCAGTGTTGACTTTACAGCTCAGGTCGCCAGAGCATATTGTGACGTGGTGGTCGCCATGGTCAATAGATGGGATGACCTCGGGCTGTCCGTGGGGATACAGGTCAAAGTGTGGTCCGAGGTCCTGGGCTCCGGCCCAATGAGTAGCTTCGATGGCGATAATACCGGGTGATGAAGCAGAGATGTCGAGGGTCAAAGCCGACACATCGATAGCCTCCATGCGATTGCGCACTTGCCGCGTGGGACAGAGAAGATGAACGGTCCTACCGTTATTCCTGATCTCGGTATTCTCGGTCGACACCTCGGTGGCATACTCCACTTTCATACCCTCTTTCACGAACCACATGCCATCGCGAAACTTCATCTTCGGTGGTCGTCAGGTGCGAGTCTGCCAACTAGGAGAACTGAGTCAAGCGGGAGAAAGCTCTCTATGATCGTTGTATGGGATGAAGCTCGCAGGGCCTGAGCAGCCTGGGAGTTATATGATACGAAACTTTGCAGAGCTTGAAAACAAGCTGGGAGCTGGCATCTGAGCTCCGAGTCCTTGTGCTGGTAGCTCTGCCTTTCTGACATAGTTTACACATAATGAGATTCGGACATTGGCTCCCCTTTCTTTGCCTTCCCTGTCGGGATAATGTCTCGTCCGAATCGGGAAGGTGAATAGCGAGCCACTCATTATATCCGGCGATGGCTGTCTGGTCCGGATAGGAATGTTGACGCCGAGGAATTCCTATCCCAGACGAAGATGGTGCCTTCTTTGGTTCGACAAGCGAGACGACTCGGACACCCACACCAAATCAAACCGCATGCAGCTAATAATGGCGAGATGCAGCCTAACCCACCAAATTTCCGGCGGGGTCTAGAAAGAAAAAATAGACCAGATATTCCATTAGGCTCTGGTTACTTGCGTAGTTTGCAGAACAAGGCTAACGCCACGCAGTGTGGGCCTCTGAGACTATCTTTCCCCTCATTTTCTCCAGTCTTTAACCCCGTGGGGTACGGTACAGCCCGACAATTACCCAAACCCGGGGCCACGGTACCACTGCCGCGCCCGCGCAACGCCATTTATACCTTACGCTCTTGCTCTAACCCCAGTTGTCGGCACTTCAAGACATATATTATAACTATGGGATCGACCTGCTTCTGGTCTTGCTTATGACCAACACCCTCTGTAGTCGAATTGACTCCTCCTTCATTACTCCTCTTGGGAATCCCAACCTTTCTTTTGTTGGAAATCATCCAACATTGCAATTATGTCGATCATCGACGAGAAGCTCGGCGGTCTGGAGGGAGAGCATGGCAAGAAGAGTAAGATGCAGGAACTCACAGAGAACAGTCCAAGTGGTTTGAAGGGCTTGGTGATGAATCGATATGCCACCACTGTCGCCATCTCTATTGGCTTTGGTGGTCTGCTCTACGGATACCCTTCTGTAAGTGCAATTCGAGGCGGGTTGTGACGGGGTGCGACAGCTGACTATTTGTGGCAGGGAGTCCTGTCCAATATTCTCACCAATGAGAACTTCGCCGCCAAGTTCCCCAGGATCTTTATGGACAATGGCTACAAAGGATGGGTCGTCGCATCTATGGAGTTCGCCGGTCTCGTGGGCTCCATCATCAGTGGTCCCCTTGCCGACTTGATGAGTCGCAGATGGTGTCTGATTCTGTCTTTGGTCATCTTCACCCTCGGATCGGGACTCTTGACGGGCGCTCAGAATGTTTCCATGTTCGTTGGTGGACGTTTCATCACGGGCATCGCGGTCGGCATTCTCGCCAACGTCGTGGTATGGTCCATCCTCTAGCCATCTTCGGAGTTCGCGACCACTAATCCTTCTCCCAGGCCATCTACAACTGCGAGATTGCTCCTTCTGAAATCCGTGGCACGCTTATTGCTGTCTACATGTTCTTCATGACCTTTGGTCTCGCACTCGCCTTCTTCGTCACCTACGGCTTCCACTTCATTGGTGGCATCCGCTGTGCCCCTGACGTGCCATACACTGGTCCGGGTGGCACTTTCAACGCGTACACCGACGTTCCGTAAGCAATCCTGAGCGTGACCACATTCGTGCACACACACTGACTCCATTTACAGACCAGGGGGCTGCAATGGACAGTCTGCCATCTCGTGGAGAGTGCCGCTCGGACTTCAGATGGTCTTCGGCATGATGTTTGGCGTTGCAGTCTACCTCGCCCCCTACTCTCCTCGCTGGCTCATGATGCAGGACCGTGAGGAGGAAGCCATCAAGGTTCTTATGGCGTACGTTGGTTGCCCGAAAAGACCGATCACAGCACTGACATGACCTAGCTTCCGCCAACTCCCCAGAGACCATCCCATCATCCAAGTCGAGTACCTCGAGATGAAGGCAGCCATGGTCTACGAGCGTGAAGTCATGGAAGAGAAAGCGCCCGGCAGCAACCGCTTCGTGCAGCAGTGGGAGACGTTCAAGGAGTTCTTCACTCACCGCGGTCTGTTCAAACGTCTCTGGATCTGCTCTACTTTCATGGTATTCAATCAATGGGTATGGCTTTCCGTCCCATACCCCCAATATCCAGAGCTGATATGACTGTACAGGCTGGTATCAATGCTATCCTCTACTATGCTCCCAGCATCTTCTCCGACCTCGGCCTCGACGGCAATACCACCGCTCTCCTCGCCACCGGACTCGTCGGGATCATGTTCTGGCTCTCCACGGCGGTAAGTACCTCTGCGTCCGTCTCTTGCCTTTTTGACGCAAGCTCACGCGGAACAGATCGCCGCTGTCAACCTTGACAAGTTCGGCCGCCGCAAAATGATGATGTTGGGCACCGTGATCATGACCACCGGGCACATTGTTGTCGCCGCCATCATCGGCAAGTACGGCAATATCTTCGACCTGTATCCATCAGCAGGCTACGCCGGCGCCGCCTTTGTCTACATCTACATGATCGGCTACGGTATCACGGCGATCAATTGTAATGTCATCTCCTCCGAGATGTTCCCCAGCCAGCACCGCTCTCAAGCCATGGGCATGATCTTCGCTGTCAATTGGCTGTGCAATTTCTCCGTGGCGTTTGCGACACCCGCCATGCTGAGTAAGATCAAGTTCGGCACTTTTATCGTGTTTGCCGCGAGCTGTGTAGGGTGCTTCTGTTGGGCCAAGTATGTGATTCCGGAGACGGCGGGCAAGACAGTGGAAGAAGTGGATCTTTTGTTCAAGGACCAGCTAGCGAGTACGCAAGCGGCACGCATCGCCGAGATCAACAGACGTGTCGGGCTGACCGACTATCATACCGGACTTAATAGGTCAACGTCAGAAAAGCACCTTGCGGGCGAGAAGGGCCTGCAGTTGGAGCACGCGGAAGAGGTTGCTTGAATCTGAGATACGGGAAGATTCTAGGGCAGGGATGGCGGCAGACTTGACAGCTCTCGTGCTTGTTGGAACACATAATCTATGGGATCACGATGCCTATATCTAGACCTCGGCAAGGACCGAGACCGGACTATCCGGTCTCTGGTCTTTTTGCAAAGTAGTTAGGACCGCACCACAGTCCCCTATGGTCCTTTGGGGTCCACTACGCGGTCCCCTGTAGATTCATAATTATTTATAATTATACTAAGATCTTCCTTTTTCGGCTATATAAATTAATAATTCAAAGAGAATACTTATAGATTCTATCTAAATCATATATAAATTATGTGATTTTCTATATTTATCTTATTTGTAGAACCGTACGACCGGACCGGACTATAGTAGTATAGTCCTAAAAGAGTTAGGGCTACCTAGCGGTCCTAAAAATCAGACTAAGCCCTATATAGTATAGTCTAGTCCCTAGTAAACCTTAATACAGGGAATTCCTGCCGGGGTATCGCGCCCGACTTGCCCGCTGAGCACGCCGACCTCCCTCTGTAACCGGCTAAACAACCCGAGGGCAAGTGAATTCCCTCCAATCTACCAATTGCCGGCACTCCGACTCAAGGTGTCACGCGGTCGGCCATCTCACACTTGTGAAACGGTGCCTTGATGAGGAGGATCCCCTTTTTGGTGCGCCTTTCACAACATCCCCTGGGCGACACCGTTCATCATGCGCCCCGCAGTCATCCGGTCCCCTCTCCCCGCATTCCCCCAAGGAGAACTGAAGATGGGTGGTCCGGTGTCCACTTAGACGTGTTCCAACGATGACTATCCACCGATATCTTTTTGGTCACTCGATTATTCAGCCCCCCCAAAGCAGGTCGAAGACCTAGAGGTAGGCGAGGCAATGGGCACGCTGCGGGAGAAAGAAGGTCATGGCCTCGGGGAGTAGTTACCTTATGCGTGGTAGGTTCCCCCCGCCAGGACCAAAGGACCAAGAAGGTGTAAGCATATAGAACGATCGTAGCATGCTGAATGAACCATCGTCGGTGCATTGGTCTTTCATAAAGCGTTACTTCTGCCCTCCAACATCAGACACTTCATCTGTGAATCGTTCAAGATGGCGTTCATTCCTGTTCCCAACTCTTCTGACATACCTCGTCCTAATGTCACCATAATTGACATCAGCGAGGATGAGAGGATCGCCGGCGTCCCAACCGACGAGACAGTCTTCAAAGCCCTCGAGGCTCTCCATCGTGACGGCATCGTCGCCCTCGGCAACGCCATCAACATTGAGCATGAAGACGCGGTGAACCGCCAGATGTGCGCGGACGCCGACTACCTCAAGTCCAAAGACGCTCTCTGGCACATCCAAGGCCGCGAGACCGGCAATGTATCCCTGTCGCCCCCTCTCAACAAGAATCTCTTCTTCAAAGACATCTACGCCAACCCCTTCTGCCTGCACATCCTGAAATACGTCCTTGGCCCTGCGCCCGAAGTGCGCTTTATCCGCTCTAATGTCGCCCTGAAAGGCACCGCCCGCCAACAAGTCCATTCGGACATGGACTTTGCCTTTCCCGAGATGCCATTTTGCTACACCATTAACACGATCCTCTGCGACTCAACAGAAGAGAACGGCGCGACCGAGGTCTGGCTGGGAACGCATAAGAACGCGAGTATCAATGAACATGTTGCGCCGAACGAGCCGTATATAAAGAAGGAGCTGCTGGAAGCTCGCGCAAAGGTCGTGCCCCCAATCCGCGCCCTCTTGCCGAAGGGTAGCATTGTCATTCGCGATCCGCGCACCTGGCACTCTGGCATTGCAAACACCACAGACGTACCGCGCGTCATGCTCTCGGAAATGCTCTTCGCGAAATGGTACGGCAACAGGTTGGCACTCACCCTTCCCGAGGAGCTGCAACCCACTCTGGAAGAATGGTCAAAGGAGGGCTTGATCAGCTTCCCAGCGCATTTCGTGAAGGGTGACGTGGATCATTTGGAGTTGTCAGGTCTCGAGGCCGTGACGGGAACGGCAGGCGAGGATTACAGGAGTCCGAATAACTTTCCGTTCGAGGGCAAAGTGCAGCCGTTCATTCCACCAGCGGGAGCCGTACTGGGGACGGTGAATTAGAGCATGGTCAGAATGTTGTTGGATGAATGGCACATAGGGTAGTTAGGAAATGTCTCACATCAGAATTCGAATTTGGCTCTCCCGCTAACATTCCGATTGTTTACTCCGCACCGGCGGAACCATGTGGAGTCGCGCTTTTGACCCCAGTTGGTGTGACTGGAACGGAGGCGGGCCTAGGGTATAGTAATCACATGATCAATCTGATCTGCTCCTTGGCTGCACTGTCTACTCCGTACTGTAGGGACGCTCGAGAGGGGCTGTCATGTGACAGGGTGCCATCGCTTCCTGTTGGGAGGCATCGACACTACAGACTGCACACGTCACACTACACCTCTATTGTATTAATCGGGCTTTGGAAGAACAGCATCGTAACAGACGAGCAGCCGTGCCCTGGTAACTGTGTCTGCGACTAGGATACCGCATCGGACCTCATGTCGGGCAAATTGCCGAACCATGAAAGGCTGGTGCGTATGGAGATATTGCGAAACCGTCCAGATTGCGCTCATATCTAAACTCTATCTCAGTATCACCTGCAGAGAGCGCCATATTAAATGTACGTTCCTCTACACCTCCATATGAGGCCATAGCCAACATTGTGCAGGCAATAAACAGTTGCCCACGTGTTTCCAGTGCCGAAGATCAAAACGGGAGTGTGTCCCAGCATCGCGGGTACCACTGCGCATTTCGTTCAACCGTGGGCAGAAATCGTCCCGCTTATCGAATGGCCCGTCGGGCGATGGAAGGAAAGACTTCCTCTTCAACACAAATCAAGTGTGGATTGCCGTACCTGACCACGGTATGTAAGGTAAGAATCCGGAGAAGAACCTGTACGTTGACTAAGGCGGAGCAGTCACCTTTCGAGATGTGACAGACGATGTTGCTTCCTCATATCGGGAAGTTGTAAAGGAGACAACGCCATCCGCAGCATCATATGGCCATATCAGCATACTCGAAGGAAACACAGGATCACCGGTGATGGAAATCGAACCAGACTACCTTGTTGAGCCCCGAGACCTGCTGGGCCAGTCTGCAACAGGCTTACCGAGCCCCTTGGACGCATCAGCCTACTCAATCAGACAAGCTTCGATCGCGAGCTTCAGCGCTTTGTCGCCTGCTGGCAGTACTCCCAACTCGCAGAGAGATAGTCGGTCTCAGCCCCTTACGGACCTGGAAGAAGCGCGTCTGTTTCGCCACTTTGGGAGTGTCATAGCACACTGGGTAGATTTTTGCCCTCTACAAGATTCAACTTGGACGCTGACGATTCGCTGCAGCTTGACGCATGCGATAATGAAAGACACTTTGCTACAGATGTCGTGTCGCGAGCATCCTCCTCGCCCCTCTTACTCTACGCTTGTTTGTCAATCTCAGCACTTCATCTAGCACGCACTGCGCATACGTTCACAGAGGAGTTGGCAGAATCCTATCATGAGCGGTGTGTCGCTATTCTAATTCCTATGCTCAACCCTCTCGACCACCGTCAGGACCTTGACATAATACTTGCCTCAACAGTCATCCTCCGTTTGTTCGAGCAGATGTGCTGTACGTCAACCGGTCGATCTTTGCTGTGGTATGTCGTTGCCATGCTGACTTGAAAGAACAGGTAAGAAACCCTCCGACGACTTCCAACGCCATCTTCGCGGAAGTTCAGCCTTTGTTAATAGTTGGGTTGACTGCGCCATTTCCGGCAACCTGACAGAAGCATCTTTCTGGGTCTTTGTAGGCCAGGATATCCAATACTCACTATGCGACCAGAGCCCTCTCAGGATCAACTTCCATTTTTTCAACGACAAGCTCCAGCAGGTCTGGCAAGCCGAAAGTTCACCACCAGAGCGGAGTTGGGCTCGTAGAGCCATATGGCTTCTTGCAGAAATCGTTCAATACTGCTATTCGGATAACAAGAAGAGTGCAGAAGAACACGAGTCATTGCGGGTTCGGCTCGAGGACTGGGAGAATATGAAACCGGACAGCTTTTCGCCATTGTTCCATGCGGAAGCGGATCCGGTAGGGGGATCACCGTTTCCGACAATCTTGTATACACACTCCTGGCATGGTGAGTCAACCAATTGCGCTTGACAAGGTGGTCAAAGTTGCTGATCGCCACATAAAGCTTGCGCAATGCAACACATCGCAATGGCGCAAATACTGTTAATCACTTACGATCCGGGAAGGTTCCGGATGGGACTAGGATATGGAAGATGTCTCCGAAGACTTCAGGTAATGCTTCATCAGCCAAAGATGTGGATCCCATGCTGAAGCGAAGCCAGGCACAATTCGATCACTATGCAAGCATCTTATTTGGTGCAGCGCTTTCTTCGAATGAAGCACATGTTCGCTTTACCGCATGCCACGCTCTTTGCGCAAGTAAGTCACCTGCCTGGACCGGACCCAAGTGGATCTAATAGCTAGTCTCAGGTGGTCCTTTGATCAAAGACCCGCACTGTCAGATGGCGCTCTTGAGACTCATCCGCGAAACGGAAGAAGAGCATGGCTGGCCGTGGACATATATCATAGGAGAGTTGACGGATGATTGGGGATTGAGTACGGAGCAGTTGAACAGACTATGATGATACTGTTGAAGAACGATGCCGTGGTTGCCCTGTCCTGTACGGCATCAAATCGTTTCGGCATCCCTTCCCATCGACACTACCGTCCTGCATGAAGCTATTCAGAACTGAACCGGCCCGGTCCGAAGATGCATATGCAGTTGTGCAGGCTCCTTCCTATTTCTCTCGAGTTTTGGTTGCGTTCTTGTTTGGATCACCAAGTTACGGTGAAGGAAATCGTTTTGCATGCGTTTCCCATAGAAAATCGTTCTCAAGGGAATAATATAAATATCGCCTGAAGAACCCATTACAAAAAGGACAAGCTTCTTAAGTTGAATAAGGTAACCTTATATTCCACGTCTCCTTCGTCTTCTTACAGACCTTTTCTTAATAGATACAACTCGCGATGTAATGCCGTGATGAATATCTTGATTTTCAATGCCATTCACGCTGGCTTGCTAGCATTCTTGATGATGCTCGCATACTTTCAAGTATCTGGAAACCCTGCTTTTAAGTGCCATTAGTGCCCATCTTCTTCCTCAAGGTGTTGAAGTCCTGTGTCCCAAACCGCCTGCTCATCTCCTGGCCAGCCCACACAGTCACAGCACTGATCCACGGCAAACAAGTCTTATTGCCCTCACCCTTCCACCTGCCGCCGAACCCCTTATCCGCCGCAAATATTGGGTCGTCTTCAAACCAAGGCGCCAACAGCACTCCTTCCTCTTGTAACCCTTCCATAGCATAGCCCCAGCGGGGTCCAACATTCTCATTGCATGCCATGAGCGCCAACTCGGCAATGTCGAGGAAGAGAACATCGCCGGTAAGCTGGCTGATCTCGACTAGGTCCGGTACAGCGATCAGGCCCATAGGATGGAAATAGCCCGCCCCAGGGGTGTCGCAACCAGCCCAACCGGTCGTGCGAAACTTCAATCTTGCCAAGGTCGAGTTCTTATCCAAGGGAACGTCCCACAGCAAGATCCACGTGGCGCTCAACTTCGCGGCACGGACGGCACCCTCAAGAAAATATGCGCCGCCGACGGACTTGTATAACGCCAGTAGGCGCGGCAGCAGAAATAGATAGACTCGTGATCGATCAGTTGGGGCTTGGCGTAGATGGAGTCATGAATGCCGCCGTTGTGCCGCACCTTGTCGACGAAGTGCTCGCGAACGAAGTGGCCGGCACGGATGGCTGCGGTACGATACGCGGTGTCTCCTGTAATTTTGCCCAGGTGAAGTAGGAACGGGATGACGGTTGCGGTGCTGGAGCGCTGCTGGTAGTAGGTCTGGCCGAACCAGAAGTCGGGCTCAGTCAGTGGCTCTCCTGAGAGCGAGTACGCGCGCTTCCAAGAGCCATCGGTGGGATCTTGAGCTGAGAGGAGGAAGGCACCGAACTTCTTAGCTACGGCGAGCCAGGATTCTGGGGCGGAAGGTGAGGGTAAGGCCGAGTACAGCGTGAGCAGTGCCTCAGTTTCTTCGAGCACGCAGCGGAGGTAGATTCCATGGGTGCCGGCGAGAGCATCGATGATGGGTTTGCGATGCTCATAGAGCGGGCCCATCAGGCGCTGCAGGTCGGACGTGTTCTGCGCGTAGGCGAGTGGGAGAAGCAGGCCTGTCCACCAGGAGTCGTGGCGTTGGAGGTCCATGTTGTAAAGGCCGTGAGTGAAGCCGAAGGGAGACTGGGAGGCGATGCGGACGTAGAAGTCAATGACCTTGAGGGCCTTTTCGTAGCCTTCGGTTCCCGGTTGGGATCCTTGCAGCAGATTTGAGGCGTTCATGATGTTCTGGCCAGTGAAACCTAGATGCTAGTGTTAGCGGCGGTTTGGGAAAAGGAAGAGAGGACGAACCATATTGGACGACATTGCTCAGTTGTTTACCATCTTGCGGATGGCAGTTCGTGACGAACCCAGCGCCGCCAGAAGAGTCTTCCATGAAATACTTGCATAAGGCTCCAAGGCGTGCGTGCGCAATCTCGTCCAGACTCTGATCCAGTATCACAGGCTGCGGCTTCAGTGCCATGAACTGATCACGAGACAGCTCCCACAGCGCATCATGAGCTGATTGGGCATGGTACAGTCTGATGGTGTAGGACACGGTGAATGTATCGCCAGACTTGACCGGTCGGAAAGCACCCCAAGGTACTCTCTCCCGTACGAGAAGCGCATTGCATCTATCTCTTTCGACGTATGGGTAGTTCGCTGTCAGGATTGCGTCATGTAGCGTCCCACCGTTTGGCCGGAATCCTAGAGCGCCTATATCTGTGTCCTGTAGGAATGCCAATTGGCCGTTCTGGCGCTGCGGCTGACAATCGTATTGCGGAGCATCGGCTCGCGAAAGGGAGATGCCCAGCTGGCGCTTGGGATGAAATGCCAGGACAGAGAGGGAATTGAGACGGTCCTCACGGTAAGATAGGGTTTGCGTGTCGAGGTAGTCACAAACGCCGTCTTCGTTCAGGTCGTTGAGGTTGTAGCAAGCATTCGGGGCGTAGTACTCGAGATCATTGAAGTGCACGCCTTCGGCAAAAAAGGGCTGCACATCAATGCCAACTCGAAGACCGGCATATGATGGAGCCGAGTCAACAGTGACGGAGCGAGTAACAGTGAAGCTACTCGAACTTCCTGTTGACCATGTGTCGGTGACGGTGATGGCCAGATTGTTCTTGTCGGTGATTGATGCGACAGCTGTGGTCGTGTTCCCCTGAATGCCGACTTTCTCATAGCCAACTTCTGTCTTCTCGCCGCCAATCGATGCTGGAATCTCACCGACAGACGTCTCCAAAACTAGGGGGCAGGACAAACTAAAGATGCATTCGCTCGGGTCAACGCAGTGCAGAGTCTCTTTCCCAGAGTCGAGCTTGCGCGCTGCCAGCTTGTAAGATGTAAGCATGATTCAAAGCTCAGGAAGACAACAGGATGCAGTGGAAAGGTTATTCCATACCAACTGAGAGGCAGATACCGGTGGTGATAAAGGGTCCCTTGATTTGGACTTAACTTATTGACCCCGAATATCAGCTCCACAAGCCCCGGGGTGGAGTTAGGCTTCAAGACTCATCTATCGTATACGCGACCGCCCACCCGAGGTTGCACGTTTTGGCGCAAGTCGTGGCCGACTTCCTTTTCTTGGAATTCTTGCAGCTGGGCGGAGTACGCGGAGTACTCCCGAGACGTGGGACCTGGAATGCAAGTCGGGCCAATTTTCCTCTTTCTCGAGAAGTCTGAGCCGCTCGATAGGGCATCTGGGATCCGACGTCACGTGTATGGCTGTTCACCTAGGTCTTGCGACGAGACAGAGTAAATATTGAGGCGAGTTGGATACATTGAGAAAGGCAATAATCTCTCCTTTTGCTTCAGCGTCGACCATGGTGTTTACTCCAGCTCAGCTTCGCTCAGTTGAGCTCAATTCTCCTTTCTACGTTCACCTCAATTCTGTGATACGCCAAACCACATTACCAGCTATCATCCGCTCTCTACGCACCACTGGTCGCTTTGACGCATTGACATGGACAGCAGAGACGGCGAAAGCGACTCCTCATCCATTCTGGGACTCGGATGTGTACAAGGTGCTAGAAGCATGTTGTTATCATTTGATCAAAGATAATGATGCAGAGCTCAGACGGTTTGTGGATGAAGCTGTAAAAGTCATCATAGCAGCTCAGCATGAGGATGGGTAAGATCAAAGAGTGAATGGTCCTCCTTCGTCACATTAACAGTATTGATAGATACATCAATTCCTACTACACAATCTTGGGCCTACCGAACCGATTCACTAACCTTCGTGACATGCACGAGCTTTACTGTCTCGGACATCTAGCAGAAGCAGCAGCAGCATATCATTCACTCACAGGCTCCAATGACCTCATCACGGTTGTCCGACGTATGGTCGACCTTGTTCGCAAAGTCGTGGTGCCCAAAGGTGGCTATCCCGGACACCAGGAACTCGAGATAGGACTGCTCAGGTTGTACGACATCACAGAGGACAGCGTATTCTTCGACACTGCGGAACACTTCATTCGAGAGCGAGGCACACGCGACGCAAAAGATGAGATATTCTTCGACTGCGAAGCCTTTGCCCGCGGTGCAGACCCTTATGAACATCTCGGGACGGAATATAAAGCGTGGTTCAGCAAACCACGCGATTATGCATACATGCAGGCGCACACTCCGCTAGTCAAACAGAGCACGATAGAGGGTCACTCAGTCCGCGCAATGTATTATCTCACGGCAGCACAGCATTACACGCTCGTGGGCGAGTCCGAAACGAACGATATTAAAGACGCCGTCGCGCGACTCTTTGCAAACACCGTCAACACGAAGATGTATATCACTGGAGGTGTCGGTAGCGTGACACAATGTGAAGGCTTTGGTCCAGAGTACCATCTGCCGGACCTGAACGAGGGCGGGGGCTGTTACTCGGAGACGTGTGCAAGCTTCGCTCTGATCATCTTGTGTGAGCGTATGCTTCGTGCCGAGCTTAAAGGGCTTTACGGCGACGTAATGGAGCGTGCTTTGCTCAACTGCGTGCTTGGAGCTGTGGGTATGCAAGGTGAGTTAGTTCCGCATTCCAGCTTTCGTGCGTACAAGGCTTACAGAACAAGGCGATTCGTTCTATTACGAAAACCCTCTTGCAACTCGGTCAGGCCACGCCCACGAACGCAGCAAATGGTTCGACGTCGCCTGTTGTCCTCCCAACATTGCCAAGCTGATCGGTCTTCTTCCCACATTGACCTACTCCGTCGAGGGCAAGATCTGCGCCATCCACCTCTTCATCGGCTCAAGCTTTGCCACGCAGCTCGACGGACGAGACGTCAGGGTCTCTATGGAGACCCAGTTTCCCTGGAAAGGCACCGTCACTATCTCTGTGCAGACTTCTACCCCGCTGACGCTTGCAATCCGCATCCCTTCGTGGGCCGCCAATTCCTTCACCTCTTCCATTCGCGGAGATGTGCTTGACGGCTATCTCCATCTCGAGATCAAGTCCTCCACCACGCTCACGCTAGAGCTCCCCATGGCGCCCCGAGTCGTCTATGCTCACCCTATGCTACGCAAAGACGAAGTGGCCATCATGCGAGGGCCGCTCGTGTACTGTGCCGAGAGTGTTGACAACGAGGTTGATCTTGAGCGGATCTATGTACATACCTCGCACGTGGATGAGATCAAAAAGATCGAGATTGCTGGTATCCAGAATGTGCCTCTTCTCCAGGTGCAGGGAAAGGTGAGGAACGGTGTCGGCTTCGGCGAGAGTGGCGAGGGACTTTATGGAGATGAACGGCCTGGGTGGGAGGAGGGAGAGAGGGAGGTTCTGCTGGTGCCATACTTCCTGAGGATGAACAGAGGCGGTCTCGGCGGAATGAGGGTTTGGTTGAAGGAGCTGTGTGGGTAGAAAGGAGCGTGAGAGAGAGGAGATCATATAGCCTCTAGGAATGAACATGTTGATGGCGCACTGATCTACAAGGTCGTCTCTGAGTTCTCTAGCGAATGAAACTCTGGGGAATCGCCAGGAAAGCTCATACTCATAAGTGTTGGATTCTTTAACTAGCGGAGCTGTTCCAGCATCTGCCATGTAGACGACGCACAATGCTACATCACTGAACAGGTTCAGACCCACAAGCGCACACATTCCTATTCCCAGTGCGCTCCAATTTCTCTACAACTCTCTCGACCCGGCTTCACCCTCGTAAGGACTCTCTCTGCATCCGACTCTGAACCCGACATACCTCCCGGGTCAGATCCGTAGCCGCGCCAACATAGCCGCCATTTTCCTCGCACTGCCCCGTCGTCCGCAGTAGATCTGCACGTCCCTCAAGGCCCTCGGTTGCCATACTTGGTTCTACTAGATCATATTTCTCCGAAGGACAAGTCTCACTCTGATTTTTTGACCTTTAATTGTGCTTATATACTCAAGATTCCCTCGTCTCTCGCCAGAAAATTCCTCAAGCTGATTCTACAATGGATAATCGTTACCCTGGAATGCTAGCTGATGAGCCGCCAAATTTCTTCTATGATAAGCCAGATGTATCGGGCTCCTCACAGCATTTTTCCCCGGCAGAAGACTCTGCATCCCAGTACAGCCCATCATCGTCTTTGAGATCAAACATTAGCCACTGCATTTCAATGCCACCAGCTTTCACTCTCATGTCATCTTCAGTGATAGTGCCCATCCATTCCATATTTTAATCACAAGAAACACTATTTCCCAATCGTCACTCCATCGAAATCCTACCTTCTCAAGCACCGTGCGGTCGAGAAACCTCATCTCGGAAATCTATTTACTCAAGAAAGATCGGCGGAAAGCGGAAAACAGAGATATGCGAGTATCATATAGCACACAAGAGGCATCAGGCAGCGGTGGATTGGGGGTAAAAAACGCCAAAAAAAATACCACTCAGCTTCTACTTCTACGCATCAGTCCCGGGTCTGGAAGCGTCAGCCAGGGACAAACGGGCGAGCCACTACTTCGTTACGCTTGTCCGGGGGATGCTTGCGCAGCAAGAGAATCCAGTAGGAACGCAGAGATACCAAACCCGTATCGTCAGCCCGAGAAAGGGCACCAAGGAGTGGAGATGACCCCCGGCTCCTCCAATGACTAGCTTGACCAGAGAAACACAATAGCAAACAGGAAGACTGCGATATCAAATGCAAGAAATACAATCATAAATTACCTAGAAAGAATCACCGTAGACCCAGAACAGAAGCCCTGGCCACAAGTAGAAAAGTATGGTCGTAAACACAACCGAAACGCCAGATCCCTTAATCCTCCATCGCGTCATCTCCACCGTCGCGCCTGCCTTCCGGCACTGGAGATGAGCTCTCGTGACGTGCATAGCCATTGGGGCCGTCGTAGGTAGACGAATTCTCATCGCCGTCCACGTCGCCCTCGTCATCACCAGTCTCATCCGAGAAATCGCCCTCCCCTTCTCCTGCGCGCGGCACTCCGTCTTCTTCGCCAGATCCCTCGCCGAGAAGCTCACGGTCAAGCTCGTCCAGCTCTCCGTCAATCTCCTCGTCGCCGGCAGCATTTTCGGGGTCCCAGATCGGAGTGCCTGCAGCTGGTGTTCCAACACCTCCACCAGCGAGACGGCTGCGACCACCCTTAGTGCGAGCTCCTGCAATTTTCTTGGCAGCGCTGCTGGTGGATGTAGGACCAGTGGACTTGCGTTTCCCAGCACCGCGTGGTGCACGCGGGCGGGCCCGGTTGGTGGCAGCTCGTACGTCCGCCTCGAGAGCGGCCTTGACCTTTTGACGCTCCTCGCGCTCCTTTTGGCGGTCCTTCTTGGGTCCGTTGGCGTCTTCATAGTCCCACCTGTCAAGTCGACGAGAGGCCTTCCGGACCACGGAGAGGAAGAAATTGGCGCACTCGCCATAGTCATCCTCTTCCTTGGGGTTTGGAAGCAGGCCACCCTTGCCGAATGAGTGCTCGTCGTCCTCGGTATCATATCCCTCTGGTAAATTCTGCAGAAGACGACCGTATCGGGCAAATGGGATCTCGTTGTTCCGCTTGTTGCGGAGGACACGATATGCGTTGCTCTTACGCTTAGCAAGCAGGTACTCAATGCGCTGTCTGCGGTTCTGCTCAACGGCAATTTGGTGCTGTGTGAGGGGTCGAGGCCGACGTCCCGAGGCCTGGGAGAGGGATGGTTCGGGAATGAAACGGTTCAGCACTGGATGGTTGGAACCCGGGGGCGCAGGTGAAGCGTCGGGGGTGTGATCCATTCTGGTCTTCAAAATGAGCCGCTGCTGACCCACCGCGCGGTTGAGGGACGAGTCTCGTTTGGCTTGCTTATTGCGTGGTCGTGAGGAGTAACCAGGAGTCATCTCCTCATCATCCTCATCCAAGCTGCGCTTAGCAGATGGATGAAGTGGGGTAGACATAGCAGAGCCACGACCTCCCAAGCCAGAGTAGTCTCCGGCGAAGGAATCTTCGTCCAGGCCGTATTCTAGACACAAGAAGTTAGGACGTGAAAGGGTAGTACAAGAGTCACCATTGCAGCATACCTTTCTTCGGACGTTTCGGAACACGGGGCAAGGGCTCATCATCCTCTAGGATCCCTGTGCAATTATGTTAATAAAACGATCTGCCAGAGAAGACAATCAAAGCATTGTAGGCTTACGCTTCCGTTCAAGTCGCTTGGATTCACCATATTCCAACTCCTCCGGTGTATCCACATTCTCTAAATTTGCCTGTTCCTCGGTCAGGCTCTCAAAGGCAGGAACCTTCACAGGCAGGCCATCGGTGCCTTCGCCTTCCAAGCCAGCTCCGAAAGGATTGGTCTCCGCAGATTCACGGGTAAAGTCACTTTCCAAGTACCACCACATAAGCCACAAAAATGCTTTAGCACGAGTTTCGCTGCTCAATGTTGACCTCATGACCAAGTCGAAGAAGTCGCGAGGGGGGAAGAAATGCATCTCAGACACTTTCGGTGCATATTGTGCCAACACAAAGATAAGATTAACCGGGTTCGTTCGGGGGATGGCCTGTCGCTTAATCTTATCCAAGGTATTAGGTTGATCCACATCCTCCGAAGCGCCCTTCAGGATGGACTTCAAACGTGGAGCGTCCTGCAGTTGCTTATAAGCATTGGAGTCTTGGTGGGCTTGGAGAGAAGGAATGGAGTGATAGGTTCGCAACTGGGCACGCATTTCTGGGAAGACTATAGTTCAAAAAGAGGGCGCAGGAATCAGTACCGCGGTCGGACCAAAGGGATTCATCCAGAGATGCAACAGGAAAGGGCGTACAGTTGAGGGTTGTATTCATGCGGCCAAAATTGACCAACAGACAGACCATGGCCATGCTGATAGCCGCTGGCTTGTCACTCTGCAGCTTGTCCTTGAGGATTTTGCTCGTCTTGCTGCTCCTAGCCATGGCGTCGATGTAGATGTCGGCAAAGTCGCAATTCTTTTTGCCATCGGGGTATCGCGTGAACACGGCGGTCTTGTCCTCGAAGACGAGCTTGAGGAACTGGTACTGGATGTCTTTGCGCCACAGTGGGATACCATCCTCCTTCTTAAGATGCCTAATCTTATTTCCGGAGTACACTGACCCAATCGTGCCGTTTGCTTGACGTCTCGTACCGACCGTCGCGCTGGCCGTCACGTTATGAGACTGATCGTCTGCAGCCTCAGACGCAGCGAAAGAGTCGTCCATCGGGGCGTTCTCGACCTCGGCCATCTTGAATAATGATTGCGATCAGGGTTGTCGCTGAGTCCGCAAGCTGCTGGGATCGGAAGAATCGAGGGTTCTGGGGCGGTGGTGTTGCCCCCTTAGAGGCGCGAGCAGAACAAAGAGGGGGCGGAGGGTGAAAAGGATAGGAAGATGCAGTGTTAGGATAATTAAACCGTAATGAAGAAGAGGTGAGGGTGTGGGAAAAGGTTTGCCAAGGGGAGGGAGGGAAAGACCGGAAGGGACAAATTAGTGCCGAGTGATCCTCAGGTTCGCAGTTGCTCCCCAGTGCGAACTTAAGCTGGCTTGGCCGTGGTGATATCTACCCGCATCGGGGCTCCGCGTAACGTGGCGTGCTGACGCGACGGCCAATGCTCTCCTTCAATGCATCACAATTTGGGTCTGAATGATGGACTTGTCTGGTCTAGGGGTTCATTGATCTATCGTCGGTGATTCTCTCTTGGTCAAATTTCTATACACTTTTTGAGGGAATTGTCTACTAGGAGAAGTCCGAAGTATAAAATAACGACCCGCAGCGAGTCTCTACGGAAGATAAGAACCAGATGTACTGGATTACGAAGTTCGCCTAGGAAGATGGAGGGAAATACTTTTCAAATAGCATTGAACTAGGTAAGAAGGCTTTCCTTCTCTCACGGCCTCGAGATTCCAGGCGCCTCTGCGTCCTCCCAAACTCAAACCATGCGAAAAACCATGATGCCTGAGAGCGAACCATTCATCCAGCACCGGCGACAGCGTCCCAATCCCCCACGGATCCGAGAAAAATGATATGCAATAAAATAGAGGAGAAACAATCAGCCTCCACGGACCCAGAGGACATAAATGGTAAGCGAGTCAAGCCAACGCCATACGAAATGCAAAGAAACAGCCGTATCGAAATCCATCCACCTGGCGGGCATTTTCGACGGTCCAGCAACAATAAAGAGAGCCATTAAGTCATCCGAGGATGAGAAGGGGCTCCTCGTTGCTCCCATCAATGCATGCCCATCGTCAATAATTTTTCCGTTCAGCATTGCCGGGAGAAAGAAAGCGTGGATATTGGTTTTCGAAACAGAATCGACCGCAGAAAACACACGAGGGCAGCAACACAAAATAACGGTCCGCCATAAGATACCGACGCTGTCAGAAGTCTATACTGCAAAACTCGACCGATGCAGCCATAACAGCACCGAGAGAGATGGATGCAGATGTAGAAGAAAGCACTTTTCGAGGAGAGTTGAAAATCCGGCACTCTCCGCTCGGCGCGCGCGTCATTCGAACGTAGTCCCCGGAATTGAGGAACGCTCGAACAAAAGGGGTATCTGATGTGAGACGGACGGAAAAGACAACGCATTCTATGATGTTCATGCAGTGCCGATCACCGGGTTGCTCGAAGAAAAGGGAAATGTGATGAAAAATGCCCCGGAGCAACACAAGGGAAATCAGAACTGCTCGAACGCCCCGTGTCTAAACAAGGCCAGATTGAGAGCCATTGCAAACGTGCGAAATAGGAAAGCAGATAAGACAAATACAGGGATAAGGGAGAAAACAGAACAAAACATGAGCAAGGCACGAGCAACATAAAACATGAATCTAAAACACACGCAAAGGAAAGTCGTGGCGGCCATGACAAAGCCGTCCCTGAGAAACAGCGAGGCAAAAAAAGGAACTCAGGGCTCGTTCTGATCGTATCCGTCAACGAAAGACATAAAAAAATAAGAAATGGGAGCCAATCAGACCCGACGGCCTCGTCATCAGACCACAACTGGTTTACCACCAAGACGAGGGGCCGGTAGAACCGGAGGGGTTGCCGTAACTACCACCACCGTAGCTGCCGCCACCGTAGCCGGCACCGCCGCCGGAGCCACCGTAGGAAGGAGCAGCGCCGCCGCTGCCGCCGTAGCTGCCGCCGGAACCGCCGTAGGAGGGAGCACCGCCATAGGCGCTACCGCCAAAAGACGACTGGGTAGCACCACCCATGCCACCGCCGACGCGACGCACGTCACGGGTAGCGTTAGAACCACGGCCGCCGCGGCCGCCGCGGCCGCCGCGGCCACTGTAGCCACTTCCCTCACGAGCAATGCTCTCCAGGAAGGAAGGAACCTCCTGGTGGGCCTCCTTCAGAAGGTCGATCATGTCACGGACGACACCACGGTTGCCACGGTTGAAGAAAGCAGTGGCAATACCAGTGTTACCGGCACGACCGGTACGACCGATACGGTGGACGTAGTCGTCAATGTCGGTAGGCAGATCGTAGTTGATAACGTGGGTGACGTTGGGGATATCGAGGCCACGAGCAGCAACCGCGGTAGCAACCAGAATGGGGCAGCGGCCGTTACGGAACATTTCCAGGGCACGCTCACGCTCACGCTGAGTGCGGTCACCATGGATAGCGGTGGCAGGGAAGCGCTGGTTGATCAGGAAGTCGGACAGCGAGTCGGCCATGCGCTTGGTCTCGACGAAGATGAGAGTCAGGCCGGTAGTGCCGTGGGTGTGGAGAATGTCCAGCAGGACGGAGCGCTTGTCCTGGTCCTCGACGTACTCAACCTTCTGGGTGATGTTCTCGGAGGTGGAACCAACGCGACCAACCGACAGGAAAACATAGTCCTTCAGGAAGTCGCGAGCCAGCATCTGGATATCGCGGGGGAAGGTGGCCGAGAACATGAGGGTCTGACGGTCCTCGACCCGGGGCATATCCTCACCCTCAACGATGCGGCGAATCTGGGGCTCGAAACCCATGTCCAGCATGCGATCAGCCTCGTCCAGGACCAGGTACTTGATGTTGATGAGGGAGATACGGCCACGCTCAATCAGATCGACCAGACGACCGGGGGTAGCGACGAGCAGATCGCAGCCACGCTCGATCTGACGCAGCTGGGAGCCAATGTCGGCACCACCGTACACAACACAAGGGCGGACCCAAGAGCGGTAGGCGAACTTGCGGGCCTCGTCGAAGATCTGAGAGACCAGCTCACGAGTAGGAGCGAGAATGAGCGAGGTAGGGTAGGCCTTGCGCTGGCGGCCGTAGAATTGACCACCGGAGGCCTGCTGGGGAGCAGCAGAAGGGCCGTTCTGGAAAGCCTGGGAGAGAATGGGGAAAAGGAAACCGCCGGTCTTTCCGGAACCGGTCTGAGCGCAAGCCATCAGGTCGCGGCCGCCCATGACAATGGGGATAGAATACTTCTGAACAGGGGTAGGAACAACATAGCTGGCAAGCTTGATGTTGGCGATGAGGTGGTCGTCAAGAGGGGGGTTAGTGAAAGTGTTGACGGGTTCAGGGACACCCTCTCCGGAGGCCTCAACTGGGATATCGTCATAGTTGGAGAAGTTGATGCCGGTGTGCTGCTTGGAGGGGTCATCCTGGCCGAGACCGAAAAGCTCACGCTCCACGCGAGGGTTGGCGGGACCAGGGATGTGCTTGCCGTCGCGCCACTGGCCATCTCCAGAGCCACGGGCGTTAGCGCCGCTGCCACCGTAGCTACCACCACTACCACCACCAGCACCACCACTGTAAGAACCTGGGTATCCGTAAGCATGGGGATCGAATGGCCGGATGTTTCCGTCTGGGTTCCAGCTGGGATTACCGTTGGCAGGGCCGCGAGGGCTGAAGTCGGGGGCGTTGGCGTTCGCCCAGTTGCCACCACGAGGAGGGCCGTTACTAGTGAGACAGTTTGAGGTTAGCGGGATGCCTTGTGATCGAGGGGATCAATGTAGTGAGAAAGATGGAGGAGCGTACCGAGGGCCACCGAAACCAGGGCCGGGAGGGGGAGCAGCACTCTCCACGCTGGCGACGTTGCGCCCGCGAAGGTGAGGAGGGATGTAGGCGGCACGGCCAGGGGGCCGTTAGCCTGGGGAGCGTGCTGGGAGTCCTGGAGGGACAGGTTGCCCATCTGCAGTCCGTCGGCCATGTTTGCGATTGTTGACGTGTTTCTGTAGACGTGAAGAAAACCTCAGATCAGTGGCTGGCCAAAGGAGTGTAAATTTTCGTGGAGGCAAGGTGTGTGAGAGAAAAAAGGGTATGCGAACAGGTTTTTTTTAGCTTCACCGGAAGAGTTCTCCGTTGATAAGGCGCAAGCGATCTGATTACACACAGAATACTTGCAAAGAGAGCGTAAGTGGCAGAACCTTCAAGAATAAGAGAGGGACGTAAGAAGGTGAGTCGTCTGGTCTCTTTTTTTTTGCACTTGATAGAAGAAAAACTCAAGTGGCAAACAACGGGTATTGTGGGAGAAAAGAACAAAAATGCAAAATCCCCCGGTTCTAGGAACTCTATGAGCACAGAAGAAAAGAGAGGGATGAGTGGAGTTGTAAAAAGGGATGAGGTTGTGAAAGTAGGAAAAAGAGAAGCGTGATGGCAGCGGGTTTTCTGTGGGCAGGAGGCAAATCGAGTACTTCCTGGGTACGCCCAACCGTGTGCCGTCGCCTGTGCGTGCGCGGTAGTGCATGCGTATCGCCGTACTCTCTCTTGTGTTTGGTAATCTTACAAGGAACCGTGGTACTTGCCAAGCCCGAGTGGTACTAGCAATCCTAGTCAGGCTTGGATGAGACAATCGGTCCCTGAAAGGTATCTCCACTCGTATTGATACCGTATGCAGTGGCCAGCAAAAAAATTTCTTTTCTTGCCAGTTGATGCAGGGGCCTGGGCCCCTTGGGCGGCTGACTAAGGGCAGAGCCAAAAACCTTCACTGGCGGAGGCATCGTCCTTGTTGGGAGGAAGGCCCATGTCGAGTGAGGCTCATCCCAAGCCTTGGTGGACGTTTCACACGGAGAAGGACTTTGATACTGTGGATGGGACGCGCATTACTCAGACATTACGGTTTACAGCTATTGACAGCTGCTAAACAACTTACAAACGCGTTGTATTTATTGGACTGCTTCATCTACCTTATTTATGCCTACGCATTAAACTCCTTGTCCTCCTGCAGCTGCTGCTGGCTGCTGCGGCGGCGGCTGATATAGAATCCGATCACCGCCACCAGCACCAGGAAGATCAGGAGTGGTTGCATCGAAAAGGAGGACTCGTCGTTCGCCGGGGCTTCTTCGGCAGCCACGGGTTCGTTGTCGTCGTAGTCTTTGGAAAACAAGCATCATCAGCCACCCTTCTCCATCAGTAGAAGAGTAGAACGAGGGCCAAGACCGGCCTTAGAGCTCGTCGCGGCTACCTTCTTTGTCCTCGGTTTCCGACTTGTCCATCTCCAGCTCGCCACTCTTGACGATCGTGACGGCTTTCTCGGGCTTGTCGCCGCGGCCCTTGGCGACGTTCTGGATCTTGTCAACAATGTCGTAGCCCTCGAGAACCTCGCCGAACACGACGTGGCGGCCATCGAGCCAGCTAGACAGGGACTCGTTAGCAAGATTACCGGTATAGACATAGGTATAGGAGTTGGAAGTACGCACGAGGTGATGATAGTGGTAATGAAGAACTGGGAGCCGTTCGTGTCCTTGCCGGCGTTGGCCATGCCTTGAGACTTGTCAGTTTCTGGGATCACGCGATCACGGAACTAGCGGGCTTGCGTACTCAGTTGACCCTTCTTGGTATGGCGGAGCTTGAAGTTCTCGTCCTTGAATTTGTTGCCGTAAATGGACTTGCCACCAGTGCCTGTAAAAGCAATTACTACTTGGTCATCCATGTCATTGGATGTTGTACGAACCGTCATGGTTGGTGAAGTCGCCACCCTGGATCATGAAGTCCTTAATAACACGGTGGAAGGTCGAACCCTCGTAGCCGAAGCCCTTCTCACCAGTAGCCAGAGCGCTGAGAACTGTTAGGGTTGACTTGCATCAAAACATATCACATGGTGTGTATTTATGAACATACCGGAAGTTCTCGGCAGTCTAGGTTGAAATGAAAGGTAAGCAATGGTTCTTGAAAAAAGCCACAGGCGCATCGCAGACAAACAACTCACTTCGGGGACAGTCTTGCCGTACAGACCCATCACAATGCGGCCAAGGGACTCATCGCCATGCTGGATATCAAAGTAGACCTGAGGTAATCAGTCAGCATTGCCTCTCAATCGTATAGATCCAAAGTCGATCACCTTGCTGGTGATCTTAGGACCACGGGGATCCTTCTGGGCGTCCTCGGCCTGGACCAGCGCGAGACTGACGGCGAAAACCAAGAAGAGGGACAAGAAAAGATTGCGGAAATACATGGTTGCGAATTGCCACTGCTTGGGGTGGATGCAGTGAAAGGCAGAAGGAAAAGACGAGGAGTAGTCGAGAGGGGGCGAAGGCCAGCTTGCAATGGCGTGCGGAGAGACCAACCTCCGCGGCTGACAAGTATGGTAATATTTGCATTTCAACAATGTATCTTCGCTGCAGAATTTGTACTAAATAAAAATATTACTGTAACTACATTTGCAAATTACACTCCCGTTCTGCAAATCCCTTCCGGATAAACATTGTTGCCGAAGGATTTCTCCCGCGCATCGCGGACAGCGACTCGATGGCAGCACGAATTCATTGACTAGCCCGCGAATCCCGACGTTCAAGATGGTACGTCCTATGAGCCTTTCCGCCAAGACTATTCTTACTCATATTCGCTTCTACAGGTCTTCATTCTCGGTGTCAACTTCCCTGAGCGGAATCTGCTTAAGGTCGGCACTCCTTCACAGCATCGCACTTCCGAGCCCAGCTCTTCGCCTTCGCCAATTAGCCGCCCACGATCATGAAACTAACTGGAATGGATGAGCAGAAATCCCTCGAGACCTTTTTCGGAGTCGGCAACCACACCTCCTCCCGCCTACTGGCCCGCTTCAACATCCACCCGACCTGCCGCATCGGCGAGCTCGCCAACAAGCAGGTTCTCGACCTGACTGCCGTGCTGTCGGACATGAAGATTGAGAACGACTTGCGGCGAGAGGTTCTGAATGATATTAAGCGTCTCAAAGAGACCGGTACCTACCGTGGTCGTCGCCATGCATTGGGTTTGCCCGTGAGAGGCCAGCGGACACGGACTCAGGTGTGTACTTCCTTCTTATCGGTCCCTTGTTGTCTGAGCTCGACGATTTCCAAGCCCACGATTGAAGGTCTCCGAATAATCTGGGGCATTTGATCTTGGTGTCTGAGGGATTTAGTGACGGGCCGCGTGTAAGCGGTATCTAAGAATGCGAGGCTAACGGGCTTACACCTAACAGATCAAAACCCCTGTCAAGCTCAACCGGATGGAGCGCCGGCTATAGATTTGACAGCCTTTTACAATTCTTTAAGTTCCTTTTATGGGACAGTCTCACGTCATTTGCGTGGGAGGCATGGGAGCGGCGTTTTGTTCTTGAGTACTGGCAATTGGCCCTTGTGTTCGCCAGCTATGTGATTGTACCTAGCCTCTACAAATGTATTATATATCAATTACGAAGTCGAAGCAATCAACTAAATCACATGTTCCAACATCTCTTTCCCGGGTATACCATCGAGTTGCATTTCGAGATCGTATATGGGTACCACGAGAGATATATATTTAGCCTTCAGTTGAGCTAAGCTAGGTAAGGTAGATGGAAAACTTGGATGCGACAAGATGAACAATAACTTTTATCAAACCACATCTAAAAACGCCGAGCCATTATGTGCGATCTACTTGTTCGAAGACAGGACACCCTCACCGCGGTTGATCTGGATCTGCTTATCCTCACCCGCGCTCACAATGCCCACAGTCTGGTCCCAGCATACGCTGAACACCTTGACGCCTTCACCACCAACGCGCTTGCTGTCCACTTTACCATCCTCTTCAAGGCTCTTGCGGGAAATCGTATACACACTATCACCAACAATACCCTCCTTGTCGTTCTTGGTGGACCGAATATCCCAGATTCGGCATGTGCCGTCGTGACTGCCGCTAATGAGGCCATACGTGCTGGAAGGATCGCGAGCCAAGCTCACGACGGCGTTGGTGTGACCACGGAGGGTCATTGCGGCCACGGATGTGGCAGATTCTCGGGGGTCGATCAGGGCGATGTGCCGAGCGGAGGTGCCGGCAGCTAGGAGGCTGTGCTCGGGGAGATGCTCGAGGGAAAGGAGAGAGTGGGAGGTGATCCGAGTGTCGACGAGGGCGGCGGTTACCAAGTCCCAGGTCCGCAGGGAGTGGTCCCAAGAAGCAGAGTATCCCACAGTAGAATCCTTAGCGTCGAAGATAGCAGCGGAGACAGGGCCAGTGTGCGCCGAAAGCAGAGCCAGAGGACCACGCTGCGGTGTGCTCACAGAGGTGTTCAGCTTGCGGCGCTTCGAGGTCCGACCAGCGTTAGGGAGCAGGTTCTCCGGGGCAGCGGGGGCATCAGCCTTCTTGGTGGACCAGAATCCGACGTTGTGATCGGAAGAACCAGTCAGAAGACGGTTGGATGGCGCATGCACGGCCAGCGATTCGATTCCGGACTTGTGACCATACAGCTCCAGCTGGGGCGTAATCTTTCCAGTAAATTCATCATCCTCGGTATACTTCCACAGTCGAACAGTGCGGTCCAAGCCAGCCGAAGCTATCTGGTTCGGCGAGACGAACTTGGCGGCCTTGATAGACGCAGCATGTCCTCCCTCAGTGACGGCGGGGGAAGTGGCAATGGTCTCCGACGACATGTTCCATACCCGGAGCAGACCATCGTAGCTTCCCGACAAGATTCTTTCCTGACCCTTCGAGAAGGTGGCCCCGGAGGCCCAGGACGCAGCGGCCGAAGTCGCAGAGAGCACATCGGTGGCGCTGACCCAATCATCGTGCTGGAAAGATGCGATGTGAAGAGGAGGGATAAGAGCTCTGACGTATTCAATCTCGAGAGTAGTTTCGGCGGAGATGCCATTGGCAGTCAGATATTCGTCAATTGAGGTCCGCAGAAAAGTTCCATTGATCAAAAATTCGAAGGGGATTGGCTTCTCGCTACTCAGAAGGTTGTTGACTAGTGTCGACAGCGCATAACGTCGCAGACCTATTGTCAGTTGAGATTAGCATTTCCAGACATTCCAATGATCTGCCAGCGAAGGTTTAATAAGTTCTTACCGGTGGGAACGAGAATGGGACCAGTGTTGTCAGGCAACGCAACATCCTCTTGCTTGCTCGTGAGCTGCACACGAACCTGTCTCTGTGCGGCCTCAACAGCAGATGAGCCCTGATCTTCACTCATTATGGGCGGTAATTTGTTCAGGTTGTCGTGGATAATCTCTGCTCTGGTGGCTGTCGCAAAATGAACAAGCCTGCGCGGGAGAGGAAAAAATACGGTAGCCGGTGCGGCACACTAACGCAAAGCGCGGAGAGGGCCCCGCCGAGTTTACAAGTCTATGTGAGATGGTTGAAGTCGCGACCATAGATATAGCATTTTCATCTAGAAACATAGGGTGGCTATTATGCCAGAGATGTAATCACCGAGGAGCACGCTTGATATCTGCAATGGCACGACGGCGATAGTCAGACTCTGCAAACAGGGCTTCGATCAAATCGACCACCTCGTCGATGGAGAACTCTAGGCCCAATTCACCCTCCAACCAAAGGAATTTGATGTCAGCCAGGGAGCTCTCGAGTATATTAATCAAATACTGGAAGCGAAGCCAGTTTGGTACGTAGACAGCCGTGACCGGTACAGCTTCGGTATCACCGGTTGTCTCAGGCATGAATAGATCCTCAAGCTTTGAAATTTGGTTGCAGAGAGCGACCAGCTGTTTGGACTGATCTTCAGAGATGTCACCCAGATCTTCGACATCAACAATGATCTTACTGATCACGGTAGCCAATAAAGCCCCAACTGACTGGAGCAAGGCGGAATGCGACAGGATAGGCTGCCACTCCTTGTAGACATCACGAATCCGATCAGCAGTCGCGCTCACAGCATTATCACATTCTGTCTTGAATGGCTGTTCAGCGCATTGCCCAAAACCTTGTGCACCATCAAGAAGGTCTGTGACAATGGTGCTTTGGGTCTGCATCTCTTTACTGTAAGCAAATTTGCCAAATTTCTCCAGAGCTTCCACGTCAGAGCTGAGCCTCGATAACTCGTGCTCTTCCATCAACGTTCGAACTTGGCCAGCAAGGTACAGACTATCATTGTAAAGATACATCTGTCCTGAGCCGAGCTTCAGCGAATAGAAAGAGGACGATGTGGCCTTGAACATGGCCAGAATCAAGGTGGGTAGCGCGAGCAGGCCAGCGCCTGATGAAGCAACCCGGGAAGTAGAATGCCTAGCGTTATTATTAGAGTTTTTAAAGGTATTGGACGGAGACGAAGGTCGATACTTACGCGAACTGCGAGATAGCTTTCGAGTCGTTAATTTGCTGGCGAACAATATCGAGTATCGAGTCTGGGATATCGGTGACTGTATAGACCTCCCTCAGGGTCATTTCTCTGGGAACTGAAGACTGCGCTGGTAGTTCACCATTTGCTGGCTTCGTGGTACCTGGGTTAGCCTGCGAGGGTTTGCTCTGCACGCCCTTTTCTTCTTTTTCTTCTTCTTCATCGCCCCAGCCCCAAGCATCATTAGCATCTTCCTCTTCAGTGATGGCTGCGGTATCAGGTTGGAATTGTTCTTGGGTATCCTCATCAAGACCCCACGCACTGACATCCTCATCGTCCTCGGGCTGGGTGGTCGTTGCCTGATCAGCCGTGCTTTCCTCGTCTTTCTCATCATCCCAGCTAGCATCCCAGTCGTCTGTGGTGGCATTCTCGAGCAAGGCTTCATCGGCCTGAGTGAGCTTCTCCTTCTCAACACGCTCAACTTGCTTGGTTGTGCCTTTACTGGCTGCAAGTACCTTGCGCACACTATCAAGTGAGTCGACGCGACGCCGAGTCAGCCACAGACGAGGCGCCTGGTTGACCCATGACACAAGCTCTTCGATCCCATTCCATCCCCAAGACTGAATTGTATTGGTGAATAGAAGAACACAGTCCAGCGTCTTCTCAAACTCTTCAAGGCCTTCGAGAGTGGTTGGGATCGCAGAGGACAGCCACCCTGAGATTGCCTTGGATGAAACAGACGGAATGAACGACTGAGGAAGCTCAGCTAATATGGATGGTGGCAGGCTCTGTCGCAGATAATCCAAAACTTCCGTCGTGCGATTCAGGGTCTCGGCCACAGTGGTTTTCGAGTACTCTAGTTGGATGCGGATGCCAGTCTCTGTGATTGAAACCGCCCGACTGCCACCATCGGCTCGTGGCAACAGAATCGGATCAATAATTGCGATGCAGAGGTCTCTCAGGAGTTTCTCGCAAGCTGAAGTGAAAAGATCCAGTCGCGACAGTGACGCAATGGTGTTGTCCAGAGAATCTGCTGCATCGCCTTTGATGACCTGGAACTGCCCATGTTGGCGGTCAACCTTCAGGTGCTCGTCCCAACGCAGACGCAGAGCTTCTTCAATTTCCTGCAGCAGTCCTCTGGTCTCGAGGGTGAGTATACTCATCACATTGGTGTTGGTGAAGAAAGCGTCTCTCCCAATCGCCGCACTTGTAGACTCCCAATGCTCGATCGCGGCCGTAATATGACCATTGGCTAGAGCAGCTCGCCCGTTCTGAAATTGTTGGCACAAGCGCTGCACCACTTCGAGTGTCTCTGCCACGGCCTGGTTGAACGCGATCTCCGTCTCGATCAATCCCACTTTCGCGCCCGCATCCTCAACCTTGGATCGCAGGGGGCGGGTGTGTTCATGCTGGGCGACAATCTCGCGTGCGGTGACTCGGGAGCGCTCAATGTCTGCGTGCAGCTGTTTCGCTTGGACAATCCAATCGTCGGCATCGAAGGTGGTGTTCTCGCGACTAAGCGAGCTGATTTCATTCTACCGGGGTAAAGATTCCCAGTCAGCAATCGCACAGGTCCTCATCCTGTGGAAAAGAGATGGCACCGTGCCCACTTACCTCTACTTGCTGCCGGGCCTGGGATATCAGCTCCAATTCCTTCGCGAGAGCTGTGGCAGTGAGCTCCGCAGCCACCACGCTCTCCTCCGGATAGGCGCCCTCGGTGACGAAGCTCAGCACAGCCTGGCACACTTCGCCCTCGGAAGCTCGCGGCATGCTGGAACGGAAGTGCGGACCAGTCGGTTTAGAGGAGGAGGGGAGGACTCGAGCCTCGGAAATGCGGCGTGTCAACAACTCGTGACTTTGGGCGTCACCGCCCTACGTGTGAGGGCTGCGAGTCTGCGTTGTTTGTACGGCAAATCGGAGGGGAAAGAAGAGGGAGAAAGAGAGACAACTCAGAGTGAACGATGACTAGCTCCAGAGAATATATACAGTCCGGTATATCTAGCGTTTGAGGACTTCTAGCACATATATCCCAGAGAAAACGCCCGCAGGTCGCTCGCTTTGTAAGGAACGGGACCCGACCTTGGGACGCTCCGGGTCCAACACACAAGCTCATCCAGCACAAATCCCATCGTGTCTCGATTTTGTCTACTAGGCCTGGCGCGGGTGAAATCCACTCAGTCTTTGTGAGTGAATCTGCTCCCTTCCTCCTGTTCTTGCAACAGCACCACTTCCTGCGTGAGATACCCCTCAATTTCTGTCTGCCCCGCCGTCAACACATGGTCGGAGCCATGCCGCAGGCGATCCCCTAGATGCGTCTCTGCAGAATACACGGCTGGCCGGCCGTCGGATTCGCTTTGCTTCTCGCACTGTTACTTCCGCTGTGGACACGGTGCATATGCCCCTCCCCCCTCCCCGGCATCTGCTTTGGGGCTCTTAGTCCTCGGCCTTGAAAATATGTTGGCTGCGGTGGATATGATTTGCCGCCGCGTTGTGAAACAGTCTTGGTCGGATCATTGGGGCTAACGAAAATGCTAGACTGCCTACTTTTCGGCGAAATATCTTCTCTGGGCTTGCCCCATTGATCAATATGTCGCCCTCGGTGCAGAAAAGTCAGTTCAAGCTGCTTCAGCAGTTTAAGCCTGACTATTCCGCGAGCGAGTTTACAGAGTATGAGTCCCAACGCACCGGTATGCGGGTCGTGGTCATCGACCAGAAGGGCCCTAAGGTGAATGGGTATTTTGTGCTTGCCACTGAGATCCATGATGACTCGGGTGCTCCCCACACCCTGGAGCATCTGTGCTTCATGGGCTCTCGTAACTACCGGTACAAGGGCTTCTTGGACAAGCTGGCCACCCGGGTATACTCCAGTACCAATGCCTGGACAGCCACGGACCACACAGCCTACACTCTCGACACAGCAGGTTGGGAGGGCTTTGCTCGCATCCTGCCCGTCTATCTGGAGCATGTCATTGCTCCAACGCTGACGGATGAGGGCTGCTATACCGAAGTGCACCACATCGATGGTACTGGAAATGATGCCGGTGTTGTGTATTCGGAGATGCAGGGTGTACAGAACAATGCGGCTGAGCTGATCGACCTGGCAGCTCGACGTGCGACTTATCCCCAGGGTGTCGGGTTCCGGTACGAGACTGGTGGCATGATGGAGCAGCTTCGTGTTCTGACCGCTGAGCGGATTCGAGAGTTCCACCGTGAGATGTATCAGCCCAAGAACCTCTGCTTGATCATTACGGGCGAGGTCGACCAGAATAACATGCTGGAGATCTTGGACAAGTTCGAAGACACTATCCTGGATGTCATTCCAAGCCCAGATGCACCTTTCACTAGACCCTGGACAGATTCTAAGCGGGCCCCGGCCCTGGAGAAATCGACCATCCAGAAAGTCGAATTCCCTGAGGAGGACGAGTCGTTTGGCGAAATCGAGATCCGCTTCCTCGGACCTGATTGCAACGACCCTATCCAATGTATGTCTCCCCGTAACATCTGTACCTGCAGACACACTCTAAATTATTTCCAGCTGGCGCTTTGAATGTGGCCCTCTTGTATCTGGCAGGGTCATCTGCATCTCTGCTGGAGAACACAATTGTCGAGAAGGAACAGATCGCCAGTGCCGTCTACTATGCAACGGAGGATCATCCTAGCATCGAGATTCGCTTCACGCTGACCAGTGTGGAGACCGACAAACTCGAGAAGGTGGAGAACAGATTCTTTGAGATTCTGAAGGATGCAATGAACAAGCCGCTGGACTTGAAGTACTTGAAAGAGTGCATTGACCGCCAGCGCCGTACCTGGAAGTTTTCGACTGAGAACTCCGCCTCGTCGTTTGCAGAGTATGTTATCACCGACTTCCTGTTCGGAAAGAGGGATGGCTCTACCATGCGGGATGTGGCGACTCTGAAAGAATACGACGCGCTCGAGCACTGGGATGAGGATCAATGGCGGTCGTTTATCAAGAAGTGGATTGCGGACGCAAACCACGTTTCTATTCTGGGTGTTCCCTCGCTGAAGCTGTCTGACAAGCTGAAGAGTGACGAAGAGGCTCGGGTCGCTGCTCAGAAGGAGCGTCTCGGCGAGAAGGGTCTGAAGGAGCTGACTGACAAGTTGGAGAAGGCCAAGGCCGAGAACGACAAGGAAATTCCGGAGGAGATCCTGGCCAAGTTTGCCATCCCTGGTACCGAGTCCATTCATTTCACAAACACCATCACGGCCCGTTCAGGCGCTGCTCTGAAGGCTGGTCATCCCGACCACCCGATCCAGAAGCAAGTCGATGCCGATGATGCGGGCCAGCCTCTTTTCATCCACTTTGAGCATATCCCCAGCAGCTTTGTGCAGCTTTCTGTTCTCATCTCGGCGCAGTCTATTCCCCTCCAGCTGCGTCCCTTGCTGTCGATCTACACTGAGGCTTTCTTCAACATCCCAGTCCAGCGTGATGGCCAGATAATCAACTTTGAGCAGGTCGTCGTTGAGCTGGAGAAGGACACTGTCGGGTACGGAATGGACACTGGTCGCGCCCTCGGCAACTCGGAAATGCTGCGTCTTTCCTTCCAGGTGGAGCGTGAGAAGTATCAGACTGCCATTGCATGGCTGCAGGAGCTATGCTGGAACACCATCTTCGATGTGGACAGACTTCGTGCCATCACTACCCGCCTTCTGGCCGACGTGCCCGACTCCAAGCGTAGTGGTGATGACATGCTTGCGGCAGTTCATGTCATGGTCCACTATGCCCAGGAATCTATTGCCCGGGCTCGCTCGACCCTGGTCAAGGCACGCTACCTGAAGCGTGTCAAGCGCCTTCTCGCCGAGCAGCCTGAAGAAATCGTCAATCGCATGGAGGAGATCCGCAAGTCGCTATTCCAGCCCGAGAATGTCCGGGTCGTGGTTATTGCCGACCTTGAGAAGTTGCCTCGCCCTGTCTCTTCCTGGAAGCCGTTCGCGGAGCGCATGGGAACCAGCGACAACTTGAAGCCCATTACTGACCGCCGCGCGCTGCTGAGCGACGCGGGCAAGACCATCGGCGGCCACTCGTACATCGTCCCTATGCCGACTGTTGACTCATCCTATGCCTATGCTACGGCTCGGGGTCTTGATTCCTACGACCACCCTAAGCTTCCCTCACTGCTGGTTGCCATTGCTTACATGAATGCCGTGGAGGGTCCCCTCTGGGTTGCTGTCCGCGGCAAGGGTCTGGCATACGGCACCAACTTCGCTTATAACATCGATACTAGCTTCGTCAACTTCGATGTCTATCGGTCCCCCAATGCGCACAAGGCGTTCGAAGCCAGCAAGCAGATTGTTGAGGACCACCTGTCTGGTGCCAGTCCTTTCGATCCTCTCATGCTGGAGGGCGCTATCAGCAGCATCGTCGTGGGCTTCGCCAACGAGCAGATGACTGCTGCTAGCGCGGCTCAGGGCAGTTTCATCCGCCAGGTCGTGCGAAATCTGCCCAGCGACTACAAGGAGAAGATGCTTAAGAAGGTGCGGGGTATTAGTGTTGAGGAGGTGAAAGATGCTCTGCGTGAGATCATCTTGCCTCTATTCGCGCCGAAGACCGCCAACCTCGTTGTCACTTGCGCTACTGTTCTGGAGGAGGTAAGTTTACATACTGTTCTTTTCTACCTGGCGTTTCCAAGAACGATTATACTAATTTCCGTGAACAGCCTCTCAAGCAAGGCTTTGAATCCATCGGATTCACCCCGACTGTCCAGTCCCTCAAGGAATTCGAGGATGACTATGGCCTCAAGCTCGGTGATGAGAATGAAGAGGAAGAGGAAGAGGAAGAGGAAGAGGAAGACGATGATGACGAGGAAGATGATGAGTCCGGATCTGAAGAGGAGGAGAGTGATGAAGATGACGAGTGAACGCGTTCCAGGGAATGTAGACACGGCAACCTAAGTAGAGCTTGATACAAGGACTACGGAATTGCGCCGGTACACGATTGCTACATAGAAACAAAAAACACTGCTGAATTGAGTATAATCTCACACATCCATTCCAAGAAGGCCACTGGAAGAATAGTTAATATGGTACAAGGCCACAGGCTGGCCTGACATGCTCTGCGGCAACGATTCTATCCGTAGAGACGAGCTCTAAGTAATGCCACGCTGATTCTTTCCCACCTCTCCCCATGCATTGGTATTTCATCCCCTCACCTTGGACCTCTCATTTGCACCCACTGGTAATGCTACCAGCCGAATTGAAAGACCAAGTTACCAGCTCATAGCCTTGCGGCCCTTCAACCGGCGCCGGATAATCGTCAGCCGCCCTTTCCTGGAAGTGTTGCGGGCCAGGAAGCCAGAGCGGCGCTTTTGCACTCGCCGCGATGGCCGGAACGTCGAGCGCTTCACGCCCAGATAGGCGGTTGCCGAGAAGGGGCGGATTTGAGAGGGCAGCGATGATGAAATCGACGGGGTAGTGAGTGCCAATGTCGAAGGAACCCGGGAGGAGAGAGTGTTGGTGGGTTGGAGGCGGGTGGGCGTGGAGAGAAGCGTGGAGGAGAAGGGTCTGGAGGAGAGCAGCGCGGAGGGTGTGAATGTTGTCTGTGGTGTGAATTGGGAGATTCTATATCATGAAGGGCTCTGTTAGTGGCCCGATTGACTGCTTGACTGGGATGCTTGCTGCGGAGCAGCAGATGGTTGGGACTCGCGTGCGTTGGCATACCTGTTCATCGGGGTGTGCATGGCGGACACCGGGGTCCGGAGGGAGGGCAGAGCCCTACAGCGAAGGCAGAACATGGTGAATAGCCCGAGTCTGGGAGAGAAGTGGGAGACTCTGGGGTGGTTATGGTTGGGATGGTCGGGCAGATGGGCGTCGCTGGCTCGAGGCGCGGTGTTCGGAAGTCGAAAGAAAATTAAGCGCGGAGCCGCAGGCACGGACCCGTTTGGGCAGGAGAGACGGACAGCGACAATCCGCTTAATGGAATAACCTCGGGGCATTAATTGCTATACTGAAAGGGGATTCCCAGTAAACACTACACTACTTTTCATCTGATTTTATAATAAGAAACATGGTGGTGGTGGGCTTCGAGATTCTGAATCTGCTACCTAATTGGGACTAGCGCCCCGAAACTTTTTTGTCTCCATGCGCTGATGCTGGTTCAACGATTTCTCCAAACACCCTCCCCGGCCCCGTCCACGCCATTAACGGCCTGAAATTGAGACGTAATCTCTAGCGTCTACACCTCTATACCAAAATCCACACCTACCACCCATTGGGCGGGCCCCCACCACGATGAGCGCCCAAGGCCCCTCCGCCCTCCCGCCTACAACGGTGCTGAGTACCAAGACAATCTCCCAGTCCGCTGCGCACGACTTCCTGGCCGCTTACCTGGACCGCGCTGGCACCGATCCCTCTCTGCAGCCAAATGCCAGCATCAGCGAGCACGGCCCGGTCTCGCGCACCACCGCCGCGGCACCCAATTTGATCCTCCACAACCTGAAGCGCGTGCAGGCCGGTCTGGCCGGCGAGGTCCTGGGCCGTGATCTTACTGTCCAGACGCAAAACCCTGGCGAGGAGTACCTGAATGCTGGTGTGAACATCAACCAGAATGAGAATGGAGAGGGGCAGGGACAGGGCGAGAAGAACGATCTTGAGATGCAGGATGTCGAGATGGAGGCTGAGGCTGAGGCTTTCGCCGAGCAGGAGGGACAGCAGGCTACCGTCGACAAGGAGGAGCGCAAGAGGAAAAAGAAGGAGCGATGGCAGGCGGAGAAGAAGGCTAAGGCCAAGAAGGATGTTGACTCGGATTGATTGCTTTCTTTTTGGCTGGTCTTTGAGCTATGGGCGTTGTTGCATTGGGTCGGAGTTTTTTTCTCTCTATTTCTTTATTACCTCTTCCTGGTCCGTCTTGTCCTCGCTACTGGAGATGGCCCGGTGTGGATATGTGGAAACTGCATGCATTTCATGTCTAGATAAAAGTGTCATTTTACCCCGATAGACAGGCTAGCGCCGATTACCAATGGCCCCATCCGAATCTTATTGTAAGCCTCGAGCCTCTTGCTTCCCTGGAAAGCCATTTGTCTATATCACCCGCCACCATGGCTCAAATAATTTCATCATAAAAAGATGGAGAAAAATCACTAGCACACTAGCACCACTCTGTCAAAGTTTACAGCTCGCGGTCCCCAGCCTTGACCGGCTTCTCGCTGTCCTCCTCCTTGAGATCGGTGACCTTACCACCCTTCCAGCCGAGAGCAGCAAGGCGCTCGGTTAGGATGGGGTGCGAGTAGTGGTAGCTGGCGTAGATCCAGTCAGCATCCATGGTGCTCAGATTCTGGATCTGCAGCTTAAGCAGCGAAGAAGCGAGCTCTTTGGAGAAGCCGAGGCCCTGAGCGAAGGCATCTGCAAGAATGTGTTTAGTACTGTTGTGGGGGATATCAAGATTGGGGCATGACCTACCGGCCTCAAACTCAAACTTGCGGCTGAGAATGTTCATCAGGAGCTTCACAACAGCGTCCATGGGTGCCAGGGCATCGGAGAAAAGAAGGAAACCGATCATGATGGGCTGCTCCTTGACGAAGCCGAAGGATTGGTACAGAGACTTGTTGTTGACGAAGACGGAGAATAGGGCGAAGATATAGAACATATGGAACTGGAATCCCATTAGTGAGGGCTCACAACCATTGAACAACAAAGTTGGCACGTACCTGAGCAATGCCAAAGAGCTTAGTAGTGTGACTAAGACTCCAATGGCCGAGTTCGTGACTCAGCACAGCGACAACCTCCTGCGGCTCGCTCTTCTCAAGCAGGGTATCGTAGATGACAATGTGCTTCTTCCAGGGCAGACCATAGAAGTAAGCATTGCTGTGCGCACTGCGCTTACTGCCATCGATGACATGTAGCTCCGAAAGCGGGAACTTGAGCTTCTTGGCAAGGTTCTCGACGCCGGTCTTGATCTCACCGGGCTCCAGAGGGGACAGCTTGTTGAACAGGGGCAGAATCACGACGGGGTAGATCGTAATGGCGAACACCTGGATGAAGACACCGAAGAGCCACAGGTAGTAGAAGAAGGAGTTGCCCGTCTTTTGGACAATCTTGAGCACGGCGCTGATAATCGGAGTTCCCAGCACAATACCCAGCATCTGACCCTTGAGCATATCCGTCACCCAGAGCTTGAACGTCTGCTTGTTGAAACCAAACTTCTCCTCGAGCACGAACGTGTTATAGTACGAGATCGGGAGCGAGAGGATAGTGCTGAGCATGTTGAAACCGAAGATGAACAAGAGTGTCTGGGAAATTTCGCCCTGGAATCGACCGGGGAAGTAGCGTGCCAACACGAGGCCCGCAACGCCCCAGAGCTTGGGGAGGATATCGCCGTAGACGAAAACGAGATTTTGAAGTTGACCATAGAGACCGGAAACAAAGCTGAACTTAGCCTTTGCGCGACCATACGCCTAAATTCACCCCATCTCCCATAAGCTTCTGGACACGTTTCATTGTTCGTTCTTGTGTCATACCTGGCTTTGATCGTAAACCTTCTGGGTAACCTCACCCTCGAGGACCTTAGGTGTCTTTGTCTGTTGCAAGACCTTATACTGCCGGAGAGATAGGAGGCCCTCAAGGATGAACTGGCCCAGGGAGAACCCCACGAGCACGTTCTTCCATGGGAAGAGCGGACGGTCCAGAAGACGCGTGAGTTGCTACACGTCACTACCATTAGCAAAGATTCTCCAAACAAGAATTCTGAAGATATTTTATGAGAAAGAATAATGGTAATTATCGTAGACTCACCTCAAGAATCCACATGATGCAGAAGCGCGACTGTGTGAAGGAAGGGTTGCCTCAAAGGGCCGAAGAAGCTATTTTGTTATTGCGGGCTGCCTTAGTCAGATCGTCCGGGGGCCGCGCTCGGGGCGATCAATGCAGGAACGGTCATGCTCTCGGATCTGCTATTTCAATTGCTTCGTATCTATTGTACTAAGATGAAGATATTTTTGATGAATTTTAAATAAAACCTAGAGATGCAAATAAATTCTTCATTTTTCAAAGCACTTCCTCCGCCTTGCTATGGGGTTTGAACAGCAAGACCTATATCTATCTACATAGGACTCGGCCATGCAGACGCAATGACAAATGAAAACAGGAAAAAGAAGCCTCTTCAGTACAACTCCCTAGATCACACAAAAGAAAAAGAAGTACACCTCTTCCTTGTCAACGTGACTCGTATCCTACCCCGTCTCCGTCCAAACCGACCAGCATTCCACTGTAAGCCATTTTGAAAGGCCGCAGACATGTTGAAGGCGCATGATTGGACCGAAGAGACGGTGTAGGATGTTAAAAAAACACTCCTCTCTATTCAGCCGGGGGAATCTGTAAATGTCATGCCTTCACTGTTTCCGACTCGTCGTAACCGTAAAACTTTTTGCGGTTGTTAACCGCGGAGCGTGAACCCGAGTGGAAGTGGTTGGAGCGTCGTTGGCGGAGGACAGGACGGAACTTCTTCTGCCGGGATCCTCATACCACATCTCTCTTCCCTGAACTGACCACCCGGAACCGGACGTCTTTTGGAACCCACTACTTTAGTGCGCAATAGGCTCGATGGTGTTACCACTGTAAGGGTGAGCGTGGTTAATCAAAGAGACCCCATACAAATAATGTCATAAGGAGACTTACGCAACGATGTTGGCCCATCCAATCAGACGCCAGTGCTTCTCGATTCTTCGGCTGATGGCGATCTTCTCTCCGATCTCTGTGCAGGCAGGGCTGGTCAGGCTGAGCTTCGCAGCATCGGCCTTGACACCCAGAACCTTAGCACCGGTGGCAGTGGAACCAATGTTCACCATCAGAACCTCGTTCTTAGTCAGCTTGGCAACCTTAGCCTGCTTTCCGTCGGCAGTCTTGACACCCAGCAGGCGGCGAAGCAAGAAGTAGTTGACCTCAATTTCGGTGTAGATAGCAGGCAGGCGGCCACGGTGGCCAAGAACGAAACCGACCAGACGATCAGCACTATACGAGGGGTTAGTAAAGTTGGTCGGGACACAAGGAAGGATGGACAAATATCTACCGGCAGAGGGTGGGATCAATGCGGGTACCAACACCGATAAGACCACCGGGGGTAGCAAAGCGCAGAGGGTTGTTCTCGGCGAACAGGGTCTCGATGCGGGAGAAAATGGGACGGCACTGAATGTTGCCAGCCTCATCCTTGGTGACCAGACCGGGACGAATCTCGATCTCGTCGTTCTCCTTCAACACACCCTGAAGAATGGAGCCACCAGCAACTGTTTTATAGGTTGTTAGCACTATGACAAGAAGAAGGACTCGGATTCTGAACTAGACTTACCACCACCCTTGAGCTCATCAATCTCCGCACCAGGCTTGTTAACATCGAAACTTCTGATGACCATAAGCTGGGGCGTCTCGCTGTAATTCCTGATGGGCATAGGCAGGGAAACAAGGGCCTCGTTGACAGCATCGATGTTGTACTTCAGCTGAGCGGAGATGGGAATAACGGGCGAGCCGTCAGCGACGGTACCGCGGATGAACTTCAGAATGGACTGGTAGTGTTGCAGAGCACTCTCCTCACGCAACAGATCGACCTTGTTCTGCAAAATGACCATGTGGCTGAGCTTCATGATCTCAATGGCGGCCAAATGCTCGGAGGTTTGAGGCTGAGGGCAGGTTTCGTTTCCGGCAATCAGAAGGAGGGCGGCGTCCATGACGGCGGCGCCTGAAAGCATGGTGCTCATGAGAATGTCGTGACTAGAAACGGGAAAATAATCCATTAGCACATTTCTTTCGTTCATGTCTGGTACCAGCGGGGGAAGATATCTCACCCAGGGCAATCCACAAAGGACACATGACGGAGCAGACGGTATGTTCCCTCGCAGCCATCCCGCTCACAGGGCGGGTCGATCTCCTTCGCACTGTTGTAGCTCTTGTAGCATGTCGGCCGAGGGCAAGCAGGATTGTCGCACTTGTAGATCTTGGCATTCGCATATCCCAGCTTGATTGTGCTAGTAAATGATAGAAGGTTAATATCTCAATGCTCAAAGTTCGGGTAACAGAGATCCTCGTACATATTTCGCTCCAACTCATTCTTGAACCTAACAGTTTGGACCTCCGAGATGGCCTTCACGACGGTGGACTTTCCGTGAGCGACGTGACCGATTGTGCCAATGTTCTGGGTAGCTTGACGAGCAATAACTTCCGGCGACAAGGGCGACAGTTTTGAGAGCTCCAGGGTTGCCGGGTCGGGTTGCTCAGGGAGCCAGGGACGCTTCGGAGCCTGGGGAGGCGGGGCGGCGGACTTCTTCATCGCAGACTTGAGAGGCTTCTCATCGAGGGGCTCCTGGTCGTCAAAGTCCTGGGCGTTGCTGGCATCAAGGTTGGGGCTGCCCGGGAGGGACTCGTCGGAGAAATCGCCGTTGGTAGCCATATTGGAAAAAATCGATCGCGCGTTTAGCGGCGGTCTTCCCAGCTTCAAATATAGCGAGCGAGGCGGTCCTTTCTCGTCAAGATTCGAGAAAGCAAGCGGAGGGGGAGAAGGTGGCGGTAGTGGACGAGGGAGAGATTGGGTGAAAATTGCTGGTGGGCGGCGATATGATCGAAGAATGTAATAGTGGGGTTTTTGTGCAGTGGAGAGCGAGCGGGCGGTGTCTGGCTGGGTTGGCGGAACAAAGAGCCTGCGGTGCATGACTACTACATTCTACGAATTCGAGGCTTCTGACTCAGACCCCAGACTGCCATTGATTGTGGCCTACAAGACGATATTTTCTCGGTGACTGTTGCTATATGGGTTTGATTCGCTTTTTGTGTCGAGAGGTCCTGGTCGGGGAAAATGTGAAGAACGTCGCCTGCGGTGTGTGGAAAGTATGAGCCCGTCCATCGCGAATGACGACTCTTCCTTTCGAGTTGATCTTTCGAGTTGATAGCATACACCAGAATGAGCGGGGCAAAACCAAAATTGTTCATGCAAACTTTTATTCGATGTATCTGAATACATCCTAGCCTAACAGTACAATGGGTATAATAGCCTAACACCGGCACGGGCAGTTACTCGTCGTCCTCATCGCTCGAGGACTCTTCGTCTTCCTCCTCAGACTCATCTTCAGCCGAGTCGAAGAGGGTCGAAGGATCCTCTGCCGGCAGCATGATGAAGGCTGCTAGGCATGTGATGCGGTTTCCGGTCTCATAGGTTGTCAGGAGCTTTCCAATCTGGCGATCTGTGCCCTTGGATTTATTTGCAGGCGCCAGGTCCTTTCCACTGACCTTCCAGACACGAACTGCTCCATCGCTGTTTCCTGTCACCAGCAAGAAGTCGTTGCGGATCTCCTTTGCTTGTTCCTCCAAGCTCAAGACCTCGAAATCCTTGATACGTCCAGGTATACCAGCTTGTTTGCCGCCGACCTGAGCTACCGAAGTAGCGTGGGGAATGGTGGACTCATCATTCTCATCAACATCTTGCAGGATTGTCGTCGAGTAGAAGATGACGCGACCATCCTCTGTAGAGACAGCGAGCAAGTCCTTCTTCTCATCCCCTTCACCGGTCAAAGAGATATATTTCATCTGATGAATCTTGCTTCGGGGGCCGGGAAGAAGTCTGCACTTGGGAGTCGAATCCTGTATTCGATAGTTAGAAAGGGAATTAATGGTGGAAAAATCACGAGGCACTTACAACTCCGAACACCACGACTCCCCATTCAAAGGCCACGGCAAACTCCTCACCAGCAGCGTTCCATGCGAGACGACGGCCCTCTCCACTGCTCCATTTGCCCTCTTTGACACTTTGGAGAATCTCTCGTCCAAAGTTCAACACTCCTGCCTTCTTGCCTGTCACCAAATTCCACAGCCGCATAGACTTCTCTCCCTTACCCACGCTCAGCATCAACTTCATGCTCGGGTGGACTGCAAAGTGGTTGACACCAGATGGCGCACCATCCGGCGGCGCTGTGTCACCGCTGGGGCGGCCTTGGACCTTTGGGCGTGGGGCTTTAATGGTTGACACCACAGTCCAATCACGGGTTTTGGACACAGAGATCATGTTATCCTCACCAGCTGCAAGCAGCTTGCTGCGCGACGGAAAGCTCAATGCAGTAATGCTGGCAGAGTGGTGCAACAGTGATCCCAGCTCGCGGTTTTTGGGGTTCTCGAGAATCTTGTTTCCGGCGAGGGTCGGCACAGACGGATATTCGTCACTCACGGCGGGGGGTGCAGCGGCGAGGGAGTACAGCTGGATTCTCTCGTCGGTCGAACCGGAGGCCAAGAATACCTTTTGAGCATCCGGCGAGTCAGTGGCCTTGGGGAGCGGGGAGAGGGCGAGACAGCGAATTGCGGAACCATGGGCCTCGAACAAGAAGGTATCCACGCATTGGATAGAAGAATCAGACTCTTTAGAGGCATCCTCTTTCGCATCCAGACTGGGGGCGGGTATGCCAGCCGTAAAACCGTGCAACACACGCTCGTAGGAGCCAGTGACCACTTGGATGGTAAGAGCTGTGTCGGGAGCTTGCGAAGGGGTCGGAGCAGATTTGACTGATTTGGCAGGGCTTTCAGTAGGCTTCTCCTCCTTCGGGAGGTCGTTGCGCTTGCGTTTGGCCATGGCTGTGAACAATGGGGGAGGGTTATATTGAAAAGCCAAAACTTGAGCTCAAAGACAAGCAGCTTTTTCGCGGCATTTTTTTCTGCGGGTTATCGGCGGCTGATAGGAGCGAATGCCGTGCTGCCTGAATGGGAAAGTTGTGTGCCTCGACACCTTAACACCTCAGGACATTCGTGAGTTAACTTTTGGTAGCCTTGTTGCCTTACGGCCTTGTGGCCTTATGTACTCTTGATATTTAGAATGCCTGAAAAGTGTGCTTATGCCTGAGGTGTCCGCCAGTTCGCAAGCGGCATTGCTGGCATGCCTTGGTGAATGGTGAATTACAAGTTACATACGCGTCTCACCGTGGCCAGTCAAGGCTGCACCACAGGCCCGGCGATGATGCTTTCGAGCTGCCACCAGATAGAAATAAATGCTGCCTACACGTACCAGGACCCGTTGAATCCATTTCCATGGAGTCATCGAGGGCGTCGTGGTGCCTGCGCTCTCCTCGCCCACTCCCTTGAAGCCCTTGGCAGGCTGTAATGTTACTGTACCATACCTTCACCACCACCCGCTCCCCTGCGCTTCCCTTTTTTTCCCGTGCCAACCCGTACAGAAAAGTCCTCCCTTTCCTGCCTCCTATCGCTTCACGCGACAACCACATCCCGTTCCATCATTTCGAGCGATTTTTCCTATCTGAATGACCTCGGTCAATCCACTCCCTTTTCTCCCGCGTTAATCGGATGCTGTTTCCCCAAGTTAGACCTCATGCTCCGCGACGAGCTTCTCCGGTCTAAGAACGATGAGATCGCGTAAGTATCAATCGGAAAAAATCCAGTTCCCCTGAAGCAGAGCTGTTTCGGTTGGCGATCGATTGGTTTTTGGCTAATATTGGCCCAGAAGCTGTTTGTTGTCGCGCAAGCGAAAACTAACCGAGTTGTATTATGCGACCGTGGGTTTTGAGGGCGCGATCGCCGACTCGCTCTATCAGCAGAAGGAACAGGCCTTTCTCGACGCCAACGACCTCTCCAAGTAAGTTCCTTGCCTTCCTTGCTCTCACTTCCCTGCGCCCTCTAGTATAAAACTATTACGCGACTCAAATTGCGCGATATGCTAACGCCGCTGCAGAGGCCGTTTCTTCGACGAAACCACCCTACCATCGCCTACCCATGCGCGCGCGCTCTCCCCGGCTCGAAAAGCTGTCGCGTCTCCTGTAACTGCAGAAGTCAAGGACCAGCAAGCTGCTGGCATTACTCCACCTCCCACCGTCGATGGTCGCGCCCCTACCCTCCCGTCCGCAGCAAGTTCGCAAAGAGCATCCACCTTGGCCGCAGCCCCCGGCGTCGCATCGACCTTGAAGGATGCGCCTGGATCGAGCCAGCCACCTGTACCCGTGATCACTCCCCAGCCCACCCAGGACCTCGAGGTACCTGTTTCGACCACAGTATCCGGTCAGCCTGGCGCCGACCAGAAGGCGAGCGCATTCGTGCCAGAGACTCCTCTAAGCTCCCAAGACCATGATGGAACAGATACCACGGCCTCTCCTGGTGCAGCGAAATCTGCAGCGACAAGTGGCGCAAGCCCGTCCTTGGAAATTGCTCCTAATACTCTCCCCCGAAAGAAAATCGACTCGCGGCCCTCTCTCACTCTAGGCCCTTCACATTCCGAACAACCTCTCTCACCCGCCTCCTCTATCGACCCCTACTCTAATAATACACCTGCTCCCGTCGTCGTTTCCCCCGATACTAGCCCTGGAGAAGAAGTGTCCGATGCTAGGAAGCTTAGCCACCCAAGCCCCAAACACAACCGATCTATGCAACCCCGCCCTGGCTTGGTGCCGTCGACCCCGGACGAGCAATTGCGGATGGAGGAAGCCCAGTCAATGCAGCAGCCCGGCACGAATGGCGTACTTTTTTCCAACGAGGTCATCCAGGAGACCGTGAATTCCGGCATTGATAACGACCAAATGGACGTCGACCAGGAGCCCGTGGTTGCGCCCTCAGAATCTAAGCTTCCAGGTCGAACAGGTGCTACTGAGGCGGAAACACTGTCTCCTACTGGCCAGCTGCCAGAAGGAGCCCAACCCGGGGATGACGCAGCTACAGAGATCAAGAAACCGGTATCGATTTCACATATTCAACCCGATGTTTCCCAGCCGCGGATGACTACTCGCGTTTCGTCCGGAGCCATCCGTCACAAGTCAGTTTCTGAAATTCTTGGCGAGACCCCAAGAAACCTGGCACACGACAAAAGCCATGCGACGGGTGAACCCCAAACGCCTGATAGTCTCGCTCGAATGCGGTTCAAGGATCGCAAAGACCGGGAGAAGGAGAGAACTAGGGCTTCAACCGTCGTATTCCCCAGACAGCCTTCATCCTTACAGGAGAAGCCAGATTCAATGGACCTGGTTGTCCGAGATTCTGGCGACGCGGTTGCCAAGTTGAATGAGGAGCAGGACTACCTGTTCACATTGTTCTTGAATAGGGCTTATGCTCCTCCGAGGGGAACTAACCTTAGCACACTTCTTGCGTCTGCCCACAAGACAGTGAGCACATCCAACCATCTTCTGGAGTACCAAGAGCAGATGGACTGCCGGACACTTCGACGTATCTACGCACTCCAAAATGCAAACCGATGGCCTTTGCGGCAACTGAAGCGATCTGCTGAACCTCCTCGCACCTTTAGTCACATGGACGTTCTATTGGATCACATGAAGTGGATGCGCACGGATTTCCGCGAAGAACGGAAGTGGAAGCTGGCAGCAGCGAAGAGTTGTGCCGACTGGTGTGCGGAGTACGTCAATAGCGACGAGGAACACCGCTCACTCCTTCGTGTCAATGCCAAGATTCCCGCGCCAAAGTCTGCGGCTCAAGATGCATCGAAAGTGGGCGTGGCATCCCCTTCGGAAGACACAGGCGATGAGGCGTTCGCCGCATCTCACCCCACCCCTGATCTAGTCCCATCCGCTGAGGAAGAATCCGTAAGTGACGGGTTCAATGAGGAGCCACGACACAATCTCCACGATACTGTGGCCCCTGCTGCTATCTTCTCGTTGGGCTTGGACGAGTTCAATTTTTCTATTGACATGACACCCTCTGCCGAGAAACTGCTGGATGAATTACCACTCTACGAGCCTGTTCGCTTCGTTCATGAAACTCGAATGCCAGCCTTCAAAGACCTCCCTGATTTCGCCTGGAAGCAAGAACTCCTCCCTGTCTCGAAGTTTGCTTCCGCCAAGATCACCTTCCGCGAAGCCGACGAGCGTCCTCGCAAGCGTACCCGATATGATTATTCCCAATATGCCGACTCTGAGCATCGTATCGCAGAAATTCCGCCAGAGCAGATCAACGTCGCCCTCTTCCGTCCTGAGAACAAGCCCATCCGGGACCGAATCCATCCTGGACACTCATTCCGGCCCCCTACTGAGCATCCCATGCCGTCAGTTGGATTTTTCGAATCTCGACAGTCATCCCAGTGGACTCTGTCAGAGGATGATGAACTTCGACGTCTGGTCAAGGAGTACTCTTACAACTGGTCTCTCATCTCCAGCTGTCTGACTTCACCATCATTGTTTACATCCGGAGCTGAAAGACGAACTCCTTGGGAATGCTTCGAGCGCTGGGTCGGGTTGGAAGGCTTGCCCGCGGACATGTCTAAGACTCAATACTTCCGGGCTTACCACCAGAGACTTGAGACTGCGCAGCGTACTGTTCTGGCTCAGCAACAAGCCGCCCAGCAGCAACAGCAACAGGCGGCCAACAATGGTCAGGCACAGCAACCCGTCCGCCGGCGGACCACCCAGCCCCTTCGTGTGGATAGAAGAAGATCGTCAAGGCACTTGGCATTGCTTGATGCTATGCGGAAGCTGGCTAAAAAGCGGGAGACCATTTTGCAGAAGCAGCAGCATGCATCTCACCTCGCCTCGCTAAGGAAGGCGAACGAAGCCAATCAGCCCAAACCTCCAATTTCCTCACCGGCAGAATTTAGCCGTCTTAAGCACGAGCGAGAAATGAAACTACAAGAACGACAAGAGCAGTACCGACAGCAGATGATCGCCCAGCAAAGGGCTAGTCTGGTTGCTCAGCGTGGTGGTCAGTTACCCAACCAGCCACAACAACAGCCGCAGCAAATGATGAATGCTCCGGGCCGGCCCAACAATATACCTCCCAATGCGCCCAATGCCAGTCTGGCAAATGGTACTACGAACGGGGTTCCTACTGGCATGACTCCAAATGTTGGCGTCAACCAACCTCGCACTCAACCCATGCAAGGCATCCCAGCTGGGGCGGCGCCTGCCAACGGCCAAATGCTGGCTAATCCCATGGCCATGAAAATGGTGCCTCAGGGTCAGATGCAGAATGTAGGTGCTCGACCTGGTATGCCAATGCAGGCGTCTCCGGACAATGCGAGGGTGATCCGAGAGGCGAACCGACTGCAGGAACAACAGCGTTTGCTGCAATCTCGTCAGCAGCAAGTTCCTCAGCAGCAGGGACAGCCTCAGCAACCACAGCAGCAGTTCCACAACCCGCAGTTCGTACCGCAAGGATCCCACTCCCCCAATCTCAACGTGCCGAATGTCAATGGTGCTCCGAACAACCCTGCCATGATAGCCGCCTTGCAAGCCCAGGGCGGTATACAGAGCCCATCGTTCCACAGTGGCACGCCACAGGGTGTTTCAACTCCTTCGCCTCGCATGGGCCAGCCTAATCCTCTCTCCGGCGGTGTGGTTCCAACGATCAGTACCTTCCAGAACCAAATCCAACGTGCCAACCCTAACCTGCCAGCGGAGCAAGTGAACAAGCTGGCTACCGACCGCCTCAACCAGTACCAGCAGCAGCGGATGTCCCAGCAGGCAGCCATGAACGCCGCTGCGGGCGGTATGAACAATGCCAGCTATCAGGTCCCCCACGACGGCACCTTCCAGACCCCTCAGCAGCCCAGTGTGCCTAATGGTGGCCCCGCCATGCAGGTTCCTCAGAACCAAGGCTTCTCTCCGATGATGCGTGTTCCCCAGGCCAACCAACAGAACCGGGTCAATGTGACCAGCTCATCAGGGATGAATGGAGCCGTTCCGCAGGCGAGCCGGAGTGCAACCCCACAGACCCAGCGCAGCGGTAGCGCTCAAGCTGGGGCGGTGCAGGGCTCGAGCAAGAGTCCACATCCTCCACCTACCCAGACAGCCAGCAGCTAAGAGCTAACCACGGTTCGATACACTGCTTTTGCTGCCAACCCTTTCCTCTTCGAATGTATATACTTATTCCCTCACCCCCTTTACTTTGATTTATTCCCTCTGTTTTTCTGCGTTGGTGGTCCGGGATAACAACGGCGCACCTTACTTTTTAAACACCCTCACGTTCCCCTTTCCTTTTCTCGCGTGCGCGCTCTGATTCCACTCTCACTCTGTCCGAACCTCCTCTGGTGTGTTCATTAACCCAATGGACCAGATGTGGCACTGGCTCCCTGTTACCAGTGTTTTTTGAAATTTTTAGGTCTTGGCATGTATTATCTTCTGGGATGGGCTAAAATTCTGGGTTGGTTTCCAGTTAGACCCAGGAATTCACGAGCACGAATTGTATGATTAGTTTCCAATATTTGCCATGCTACGTTGCTTCTATCTGTCCTACTCCATGGTAACCTACACCAGCTTATCGCCGGAATACCTATCTCTCAATACCTCTTTTCCGAAGCATTGATCCGATTCTTTCTGCGTATATTTAGCTGCGTAAGGGTGTGTGCTGACGTGTTGTCATTGTAGCCTAAAGGAACGCACTATACCAGTGCCAGTCCACGAGTTCATCCCTTCGCTTAATACGTATCAACGGATCCTACACCGGCAGTTTTACCTTCGCTTCGATATTGAGCAGATCTCCCAAAATGTGTGAAGTGGTTACTTAAAATAACAACATGGTGGAGAAAGTGTGAAAACGTGTTGCACTTCTGTTGCTTGTCCTCTACCTGCTACTGTACTTCGCACCAAAGCCCTGCCTTGCTTTCTTAGTAGCCGCGCGGCTAATGCCGCTTTTGCCACCGCCTCCACGAAGAGCTCTCGTATCATCTCTCGCGCTCGCTGTATTCCTCCTCCTAAATAACTACCACCCTCTTGTCATTCACAGTGCTGCAGCGATGTCTTCATCGCAAGACTGCAGCGACCGCAACGGCGGGAGTTCAAAGCCGTTTGCTCTTTCCTCCAGCTCAAACGCACCTGCGACGAAGACTGCTTTCAATCTCCAATCTCGTGGCCGCCCCTCTGGTCCTCCCAGCAAAGGCCGCTCCCTGCCCCGCCGTCCGCATCAGCTTGGCCATGAAGATGATTCCTCTGACGAAGAAAAAGCTCCCGTACATGAGAAAATCGCGGGCTTCGATACCATTACCGGTGCCCAGATCTCTGCTGACGGTCAAGCTGTTAGCGACGTGAATCAACCGCTCGTGATTCCAGTTACAAGCAAGAATAATTGGCGCGATCGTGCGGGTACCAATGCGAAAAAGGGCAGGAAAAACCTGCTGCCTCGAGAGGTGCAGGCCATGCAAGAAGCGCAAAAGAATGGACAGGCTCCCGCAGGAGGTGCGGTCGAGACTGAGGGCCCAAGCATGGCTTATGGTCTTAGTTTTGCCCAGAGATATCCAGAGCGGGGTGGAAAGGGTATCATTGCCGACGAGGACCAACCAATGATGGATGTGCAGCCACCACGCAGTGAAGTTCAGAAACCTCTGACGGAAGACGAGATCGCTATGCAGGCTTTACTACGAGAGTCCGCGGGCGAAGTGGAGCGGCGGACGGACCTTGTGATTGAATCTTCCAAGCCCTACGAGGAGGAGGACGAACCATTTGAGCGACAAGACGACACGAGTTCTTTCAGAACAGACGTGGCCTCCCGCCCTGAGCCTGCTACTCTAGATCAATACAATGCCATTCCTGTCGAAGAGTTTGGCGCCGCGCTTTTGAGAGGAATGGGTTGGAAGGATGGCCAGTCTATTGGAAGGGGCAATTACAGCTCCCCTGCCGCCGCGGATAAAGCAGATAAGGCTCGTGTACCGACGCGACGTCCGGGATTCTTGGGCATCGGCGCTAAGGATTCCGGAAAGGGCGCTGAAGCGGAGCTTGGTGCGTGGGGAAAGTCGGCCATGCGCAAGGCATCAAGGAAACAAGGCGAGGAGAATGCGAATGGCAGCACCGAGGGCGTCTATATGCCCGTGATGATGCGGAACAAGAACACTGGCGAATACATCACCGAGGAGGAACTCGCAGACCTGAAGAAACGGTCTTCCAAGCCTCAAACTGATAAGGACGACTGGCGTGAGAGACGGGATCGCAATTTAGAGAAGAGCGGACGTGACAGGGACCGAGATCGAGAATACCGCAAGCGTGACTACGACAATGACCGATCTGATAAAAGGAATGGTGCTTCGCGCCGTGACCGAAGTTCGTCTGCTGGCCGCTATTCATCCAGGCGTTCTAAATACCACGATGACGATGATCGCCGGAAAGATGATCGCTCTCATCGTGATCGAGATCGCGAGCGGGAGCGCGACAGCGATCGTCGTCGAGGCCGTGATGATGATAAAGACTACCGCAAGGATCATGAACGAGACCGCAAGTACCGAGATGATCGACATAGCAGCTCACGACACTCGTCCCATTCATCCCGACAGGAGCGGGACCGCGATTCTCGCCGAGACCGGCGAGACGATTAGAGGATAATTAGCGTTTTCGATTTGCCTGGGAAAGCCGCCCATGTATATGATGATAATTGTGATGTGGTTCTGCAGATGTGCATTCTACTGAACAGAAATAGCTTTGAAGCTGTCACAAAATAGAGATACCCCTGGCCAGCACGAGGCCAACGAGGCAGAAACCCAAATATCAATGGTTTAAACAATTAAACGCATCTCTATCTAATTTAGGTTTATATGGGTATTAAACCTCAAACCATAACAGGAGAGCCCGATGAGTGAATCGCTTTGCCACGAATTTAGCACAAATTTACCTCAACGGTGGTTTCTAGATGAACCCTCCTTTATCTATCTTTTTTTGGGACTTTATGTAGAAACCCATAGGTAAGGTTGTAGAGCATACGTTGACAATCTCTTGGTAGATTGGAAGAAATATGTAATTGAACTGCAGATGTCTAAATTTTGGTTAAGCCATTCCCATCCAGGTACTCCCAAAAAGCAATGCGCCAATCAATAGGTATACACAAGGTTCTATGCCTCCAACATAATCACATCCTTTTCATGCTCCTCCAGGTCTACCTTGACCTCAGTACGTTTTTCACCCAGGCTCATCAGCCCACCCAGGCCGACACCGCCGTCCATCTCATTCAGCACCCACTCCACCAGGTAGCTGTCATCGGCCAGCTCCTCGATACGCTTGTAATGCCTCTCAGTATATGCGGCTAACGCCTGCATAATATCCTTCAAGCTGCCCGCGGCGCGGCCATTTTTACCACGCACGGATGACGTGGCCAGCTCGACAAATGTCGAGGCAGGATACGAGCGGAACAGAGCGTAGAGGATGCGCTGAGAGACACGCGATGTGCGTGCGTTGGTGTTCCAGTCACGGATGCGCAGCAACAGCGTGCGCAGATTGGCTGTACCTAGAGTTTGCAGCACCTCATCGATAGCAGGGTTCCCGGTCAAGCTATTTGCTGCGATCTCACGCTCCTCTACGGATCGGCTGGGGTCCTCAGCAGCGTCAATAGCAGCCGTGAAGAGAGACAGTAGGCGACCAGGGTGGTTGAGTTGGAGAGCGAGAGTGATGGCTTCGCGGTAGTTGCCAGCACGAATGTGGTTCTGAAGCTGCTGGTCTTGCTCAATACGCTCGGATTCCGCATTTACCGCAGCGGAATATGTGGCGGATGTTGTGTCGGCCCAGAAGGTGACTGTCGAGTCAGCAGAGCCACTGACAAGGGCAAAGGGTGTGCTGTTGAGCTTTGAGGAGGTTCGTTTGATATCAGATCTGGACCCAGATGGTGTTGGGCTAGCTAGGGCCCAGACTCGGTCCGTGTGGTTATCCAGAGTTGTTTCGGCCTCACCACTGTATGGGTTCCAAATTTTAACCAAGCCATCAGCGGCCGCTGACGCAAGAAGGGGCCTCGTTTGAACAGCATCCTTGCTGGCAGATGCGTCTTCATCTTCGTCATCATCACCCTTGGAGACCTGGGGAGGTGGGAGCCAGATCACCTTGAGGACGCTGTTTGTGTGGCCTTCGAACGTCAGAAGACAGGTATAATCCGACAAGCTCCAAAGCCGGACAGTCTTGTCACCAGATGCCGTAGCCACTAGACCACGGCTTGTGCTAGTTCCACCCTCGGTAGTGACAATGGGAGTATTTTTTGGAGCAAACCGCACTGACCAGACACCACGCTTGTGTCCACGTAGAATACCCACTGCAGCTCCCTCTTCCACGTCCCAAATCTTGACGGTACGATCCTGGGAAGCAGAGGCAAATAGAGCACATGCGCTGTCGATGTCGAGGGCATTGATGTCCTTCTCGTGTGCCTTGCGAGTGTAGACAGCCTTGGGAGAGTGAGGCTTTCCCCCGTTGAGTTGGCCCAGCTTTCCTGTATCCCAGCGCTTGATGGTCCGGTCCTGTGAACCAGTCATAAGGAATGCGGGTGGGTGGTTAACAGGATCGTTGTATGCGGGAGTTCCAGCAGCTGGCGGCACCCGTGGCAAAGCAATCGCTCCCAATGACTCGGCGTGACCAGTGAAGACTGCAAAAGACTGGAAAGAAGAATTTTTGGGGTCGAGACGCCAGAGGCGGGCGGTGTTATCCTTAGCTCCAGTCGCCAGCCAATGACCGGACCAGTCCACATCAAGACAGATGATAATATCCTCGTGGCCTTCCAAATGATGGACATCGGCACCAAAGAACTCTTCATTCTGGGCGGAAGGCCGGTCCTCCGAGGGAGCGACAGATACCAATCGAATGCTTTCGGTGTTTGTAGCTAGGGCAAGCATTGAGCGATCAGGGCCCGCGAAAGCCAGATCGATGTATTCGTCATCATTTCCAGAAATCCGTCGAATGATCTCTAATGGCTCAAGGCTTGATCCTGGCTTGTAATCAGACAACACGTCGACGGAGTGGAGGCGGATCGTCTGGTCCGCATGAACAGTCATGACGAAAGGTAGACCAGGAGAGTACTGAATGGCCACGATGGTCTCGAACTCCTCTCCTGCCTGCTGTTCTGCGGTAACCTCGCTTCCTCTATTGCAGTCCCATACTCGCAGTTTGCCGTTTTCTCCGCCGATAACACACAGCCCACTATCGGCGATAAACGAGGCGGCTTCCACACTTTCAAGGACGGGAATGATGCGGCGAGTCTTCCAGGTGCGTGCATCCCAAAGAATCACAGTTTTGTCGCGAGATGCGGAAAGCAGGGCATTCTCCGTCGGAGAGAAGGACAGGCTTCGTACAAGAGAGACATGTGACTCCAGTGCTGCGATGGACTTTCTCTTGTGTAAATCCCACACACGCACCTTACCCTCCTCAGAACCACTAGCCAGTCGGAACCCTGCGGTAGAGTCTGTAGCACCAGAAGTAGCATCCTCCATATCCTCATCATCATCTCCAGATGCCTTCTTCTTTGACTTCTTGTTGGAAGCAGATTTGGCATCCTCCGAAGTAGACACTTCGAAAAAGCAGAGGGCAGAAATGATACCGCGGTCATGGAATGTGTGCGTCACATAACCACCTCGAATATCCCAGACCTTGATACTGCCGTCTGCACCACCCGTAGCCAAGAGAGTGCTGGTTTGGTCAACTGCAGTCGAGATGACAGGCGCGGTGTGTGGCTTCAGGGTCCGAACGAGCTCCGCCTCGATAGTTTGAGAGGTTTCATCGAAAGGAGAAAGCGAGTAGATGCGCATAGACATTGACCGTGAGCAGACAATGGCGTGCGACGCCGAGGGTGAAACTAGAGAGCTGTGAGCGCTTCATTTTACCAGAGACTTTGCGGAGGCAGCATACTGGCCAAGCTAGTGATAATTTCTCCATCCTGCAAGAATAAGGTGATTAGTAGTGCGCACCCACAACTGATTATACAGCGAAGCTTACTCCTTCCAGGCTAGCAAGCTGGTCACCAGTCTCCAAATTCACGATCAAGGCATCTTCGCCCACGCAGGTTAGCAATATGCGGCCACTGGCGTCTAGCGACGTGCTGCCACCGGTGTAAATAGGACGCAGCGTGCGATGCGCCTCAAAAGTAGTTTTGACAATGGCCTTCGACATGATTTGTACGACAGCCTGTCAGCACTTCACGCCATACAGCCCACTTGGAAGTTCCGAGACGCGAAAAGCTCGGGCAACTTTTTTTTCGAGTTTGCAATGTTTGCAGGGCGATAAGATAAGGCCCGTGCACGAAGCGCTGTTGACGCCGCAGACGCAAGCACGTGGATTCCCTCGCCGCCTCATCAGCGTCTTCTTTCTCTCATCCATGGATGCTGTTTCGTGGAAGACGGAAGCTCACGACTAGACGCTGTGAGGTGATGAAAGACCCGCAGTGCTCGGTGTGTACTCCTCGCAATGGGCCGACAGGCTTATTTGAACCGGCTCGCTTTGGTAAGCACTCCTCTCTGTTGACCATCGCTCCTTAATCCTTATTATCGACTGCTTTTGGTTTTTATTTATCGATATCATTTTGATGACTTAGTTGTTGGTTGGCTCATTTCCCTCCACGGCCCCTGTTAGGCAGGCTGCCTGAGTGACTTCCTGTCTGGTGTGACTCATTGCTTTTTGATTCGACCTCGACCCGGCCTGTCCCTTACATTAGCATAGATGATGTTATTGACTGCTTGATTTCTTTCACATTCGTTTTAATGACCTTTATATTAACTTTTTTGCAAAGGGCCGGTCGCCGTATGAAACCCCGGAGACCGCTGCGGTAAACCCTTCCAGTCCGGTACGGAGGGTCTCCACTGTCCATTCGGATCATTACATGCAGCAGTATGATGCGCGTGGTCATCCAGTCAACCCAGAATCTAGAACGCTTGGGCGGCAACTTCGAAGAGCAAAGAATGACATTCTCTCTACTATGGGAATTGTCGTCAGTGGCGAGGACCGCAGTGTCAGCACTTCGAACGAGCAGAAGATAATCAATCAGATCGCAGCAGAAAATGATTTCGGCCTGGTTATCACCACTCTTGATCAGCTGTTCGTGTTTTTTGGTACCTGGTGGTCCTCGTCCCTGACTGGAAGAATTCAGGTAAGACTGGAACCCATTTTTGTGGCCTTATCTGACTGTTATTATGTAGACATACAAACACTACACTCATGCTGCTCTGCTCGATGTCATTCGATCAGAGCGTGGATCAACAGGCATCTTCGGCTTTTACTTTGCTGGGATCCCTGCATGGGCAGTCTCTAGTGGGTTGGCCAGCGCCCGGGACAATCCATTGAAGCGTGTCTTTGCCACAGCGCGAGACTACATTTTGGACTTTACGGGTAGCGAAAATCTCTCACTTGGAGTTCGATCTCTTTTTATACTCACCTTCTCAGCGTAAGTATTAGACGTTGTTGTGGGCTCACAGGTACTAACAATCGGTTCAGAGTGAGAAGCTCGGTACTTCTCCTGTCCGTGGAGACCTATATGTACTCTCTGCTTCAGTCCCTCGCTCTTGTACCTTCAAATTCGATACCCAGTGCTCGACTTTTACTTCCGTTCGGCGAAGGGTCCTTAATTCAACTGCCACCGCTGCCTACTGATCTCTCCCTTCCGTCCATGGGCGGGTTTCTTGCGCAGCTCTTGGTTTCCCCTGGGGTCCTGACATTCCTCTATGCTTTCTACCTACGCCCAAATCTAGAGGAACGCATTTACAGACTTATTCGTCGCCAATTGCCCAAGCCGACGATTGCCGACGAGCTTTCAATCCGGGTTGCCTATGATGAAAACCTCATTGATTGGGTTGTCCCTACCCTGGGGCGCCGATCTGAAGAGGAGACCCGTCGTGCGAGGCTTTCACTGCTTGATGACATCGAGTATGAATTGGTTGCCTTTCGTGGATGGGTATCCTCCTTCTTTGGTCTTTTCCCAGGACGGGCGTTGAACCAGCAAGCTATCGACAATTTGGATGAAGAGAGGATAGAGAATCTTCGAAACTCGATCGAATCCTTGCAACATGAGCTTGAGGAAGTCCAACTTCGCAACAACCTTGTTGGAGATACCCCAGATGCTGCTCTGCGCAGGCTTTCTGGTGCCATCGCTCGCACAAACGCCGTTGACATTGCACGGCCTGATCTGCCAGCGATCGTAGAAGATGATCAAGCAAGCGAGGAAGAGTTGGACCTGCGCATGAATCAGGTTCTCACAAATGAAAATCGAATTTCGCAGTCTCCTGGAGAGATGAGTAGCGATTACTTTTCTGAAATGGCAACGCTGGGTCGGACGAGCGCACAGTCTGCTACGTCTTTATCACGGAGCCCAACAAGCAATGCACACCCAGGAGATAGTCCAATGAACGCAGCACGGGACCGACATAGTTCTCGATCAAATACCCTATTTTCTCGCCCATCATCTCCCGAAACATCACCACCCACTTCGCCGCGGGTCAGGGCTTCGTTGATTCATCAGAGCTCGGACATCATCACAATGCAGCTAGAACTTCTAGGCAACCGCAACCGCAGTACTCAAAATCAGACATCAGCTCGCGATTCACCACTTCCAAGAGTGGGTCGTGGAAACCCAGGACTACGCCCGCCTTCGACCGCTATGGATCGCAGATCAATTGCTGAGTTCCTTGAAGCGTTGATATTGAGTCAAGCCCAGCGTCAAGCTTCCCAGCAGCTGTCGCCGGTAGAACACGATGGCCTATCGAATATAACTGCCGAAGAAAACAGCTCAGCAGTCCAAGATATGCCTGCTCTTGAGCCTAGCTCTCAAGTCCCAGCGCAACAGAGCACAGAAGCAGATCACCCACCTTCTTACCCTGCTGAAGAAACTCTCACCTTGAATATCCCAAATATTTTCCCAGACGGCGTTGAAGAACCTGGGGACGGGGAGATCAATAGCCAACTGCCTTCAATTGCTGGAGTAGCGCAAAATGCAGACCCTCGGACCGACCCTGTCGACCAGCTGCTTCCAATCGGCTCTCGTGTTTCGGGACATTTGATCACCAACAACCTATCTGGTGCTCATCGAGTCACTCTTCTCTCTGCTCATCCCGTGGATTCCCTTGCATCCCACCTTGCGGCAATCATCAGCACCATTATTCTCTCCCCTATCGAAGCTCTCTGCCTTCGATCATTGGCCCACTCCTATCTAGCCTTGCACCCTTCATCAACAACTCGGTCATCAGACCTATATCCTATAGGTTTCTGGCTCGGCGGGAGTTCGTGGTCTGATGTATTCGCATACAACGGCCGGATGATCCTTATGCGAGGCATGCAGGCTGCACTGAGAGCAGGTGTTTGGGGGTTCCTGGTTGGCTCAACGATGAGAATAGGACGGAAATTTTGTGGTTGGGGAACTTTGTGATAGCCTTGCAGAAATTGGATGGTTTTAGCGATCTTGCATTTTATAATGTTACCAATGCATTCTAGGTTTGTCTATGGTTTTTTTTTTCTGAAGAAGGCAATGGTGAATATGAAGCGTGAATTCGTCAAATTTCTAGTGATACACCAGGTCCGCAAACAACACAGATGTCCCAGAGAGGGAGTTGTTCATCAGGAGCCGTCGAGAAAAAAAGACGCCTTATAGATACCCATTATTGAACAGATCCCCAGACCAAACTCCCCAAGATGTGATAAAATCAGGATTTCATTTGCCTTTACCCTTCCCCTTCTGCGCAGGGGCCTTTCGCCGCTCCCAAACCATCAAATATCCCTCGCGTGTGAACAAAGTCTCGGTCTCAGCACGCTTGACAAAAAGATCTTGGACCTCCAGCCACTCTGAGTTACGCTGTTGCTGCTCTGCCGTGCCGCCGCTAGCGTGGCGCGCATTCTCAGCGGATACAGCTTTGTCGTGCAGCTGGACAAGCCAAGAGACCTTTTCGCTGCCTGCACCAGCTCCCGACGAGGAGCCGCCGGTACCAGAGGCAGCATTCACACCCTTGTCAGCTGCATCATCGGTAGCACCAGGTGCGGCAACAGAAGGGTCGAGGATAATGTTGGCCACCAGATCGTATAGAATAGGCTCGCTAGGAGGGCAGAGAGCTGGGTTGGGCTCAACATATGGGGACATGTCAAGGGAGCGCGGGGAGGGAAAAGTAACGATGGTGGGGTTGCGCTCGCTAACGAAGCGATTTTTGCTGAAGCGTTTGATATGGAAGAAGAGGTACGGCGGGAGAGGATGGAGGAGGCGGTGTCGGACACGATGCGCCATCTTTTCGGAGGCCTCACGACCGTTGTACTTGTTGAGGAGAGTGGTCAGAGGTACTTGTGGAATAATAGATTCCCGGTTTGCCGATTGGAAGAGTGGCGTTGGGGGCAGGTCGAGGGTGAGAATCTGGAAGGGCGTAACTTGACTTTTGATGTCTCCAGATTCTGTGAACACCAAACGGGCGTTCTGGGTATCGGAGTGTGCGGTGATAGCCTGGCTCTCAATCCGCAGCTGGCCCTGGAAAGCGGCTTGGATGACGCTCGTGGGGGTCGAAGATGGCTTTTTGGATCCGCCCAAGGAGAGATGAAGGTTGTTCAGGAACCAAGATAGGAATTCCACAGGGTCGGATTGTTGGGTGAGGGTAAAGCGCTTGGATGATCGCACTGCAATCTCTTGCAGCAGTTCATGTGGCGACACATGGGACCGGAATGCCTTCGGATTCCAGAGTTTGCGTACAAGAGTACTGAAGCGAAGAGCGAGTTGTGGTGTACCCGGCGTTGGGAACTCGTGGAGGAGGAAGAAGTTCCGGATGGGATGGACATGCGCCAGAAGCTGTACGACAACATTCAAGTAGTCATTGGCCTTGATATTGTTCATGCCGACAAAACCTGCAATGGTGAGCATACGAGTGTGTCTCATTGGCGACAGAGGGGTGTCTTACCTGGTCTGTACCGAGAACCTGAGAGGTCCCAGGCGTCGTGGACCTCCTTGTCGAGCTTCACAACCTCCGATTTGGTAAATTGCGGATCGACCACGTATTTTATATCCTCCAAGCTCTTGCTCTTGACTTCGTATCCCTCCGGTAAAACATAGACCTTCTTCGTTCCCATATTGATGAAGACATGGTGTCCGACCTCGAGGGCGTGAAAATACGCATGCGACTTCGGACCGCGACCTTGGAAATATTTGCCGCAAACGAGGCAAGCATACACGTTGATGTTGGAGAGGGTGACGGAGCACAGCTTCTCGAAATCGAAATCCAACACTCCGCGGTTGACGGTGTCAAGGTAGAGGTCGTCGTACCCTTCCATTGGCCGAGTCTGGCGTTTGGGCGCGCTGAGGGCGGAGACGTCTTCATCGATGTCCGAAGATCCTGAAGGATCTTGTGCACCTTCCTGCAGCTCCTCCCCCTCTAGGTCCGCAGCTGCCAGAATATCTGCGCCATTGCGCTCATCTGCTTCCATGTCCCAGTCGTTGGCTCGCTGCGCGAGCACGCCGCCGTTGCGGGAAACACCTTCAGCATCATCATCCACACGAGCCTTTTTCGAAGCGGGCGATCCCGGGTAATTATCGTCTAGGGGCAGCTCAGCTTGTCTCTTCGACATTGTGACGGGGGTTGAAGTTTGGGGAACAAGACACAAAACACTGGAGTTCAGTTCCGCGCGACAAGCTTGGAAGGGTGCAAACAAGTCAAACATGTTGGAATCGACTGGAACGAACGTCTGTCTCGTGAGACCACACGTTCTGTTGCTCATTTGCATGCTTTTGATCTTGGAAATTATTGTAATTCTTGGTATTCATGAAAATAGGTCTTAAGTAAGGCTTCATGTTTACAAGTTGGTTGTGCCCAAAAATTTGGAATTATCCTGTCATCAAAGGTAAAACATCATAGGATATGATAGAACAAAACGCCTTGGCATGTGGGCAATTAAGCACTCCGAACGATCTTGTCGTTATCAAAGTCTACCTCCTTCACACCATCTTTCGTAATGACCTTTACAAGAACCTGCAAGAAATTGAATTAGTAAAACAGCATGTGAAAAGGCCGCAACTGCACATACGCCCTTGTAATCAATTGGTAACCGTCGCTTGAGTTCATCAGTGCACATCACCAGGAGCTTCATGCCTTGCTCAAGATCGATGTTCGGGTTGTGGTGCTTGTCCAGGAGGGATAGACAGTAGTACCTGCACATGTTAGCATGAAAACTCCACCCTCGGCTCGTGCTAGTTTCACAGGAATCTAAACATACTGGGCGTATCCATGGGCGGCGTATGGTACAGGTGCCAGCGAGGCCAGATAGTCGATCCAGTACAAAGAGGGTTGCTCGGTGGTCGGATCCATGCCTCCGAGGAGTAGGTTGACTGTGTAGGGGCTTCGTGACCGCAAGCTGCGGGCCAGCTCTCCTCGGACGAAGTTGGATACAGCTGCCGGGCTGAGTTCGGTGTCGTTGCGCATCGAATACAGTTGAACATTGGCTTGGATAAATTCGGCAAATTGCACTAGTCACCACCGATCGTCAGTACGCCGGTCAAGCTCCGCCATCGTTCACACCATCATAGGTGGAGAGACGAGCTACTCACCGGTGTCACCTGCTTCTCCACTGAATGCCATGAGTGTATGCTTGTTCAACTGCCGTGTCTTGTCATCTTCCGCTTTGATAATTGTCGGGCCTCGCATTGTGGCCTTGGATGCGGCAATAATGACGAAGTCCTTGCCAGTGATACCCAAGAGGACCTCCCTGCAAGCATGATCTGTTAGCGACCGCGGACCGATTGTAAGGACGATAATAGTGATGGGCTTACATATTTGCAGTAGAACAGAATCCGAATTCAATAAGGGTAGAGGATGTTTAAAGTGAAGGTGATGAAGGGGAGAGGGAGGGTTGGTGGTGGATGACCGCGCGGCGAGCTTGACGCCTGCCCGTACTGGAGCTCTCAGCTACCCTGATGACTCAGCCGCCGCTTAGCGCTTTTTTCCCCGAAAAAAAAGTTGTATCCGCGCAAGACTTCGACCGCCACGACGACATTTCTCTGAGGTGGAGTCTACACGCCAATTTTAGCAGGAACACGCATTGGAGGTTCTCTACTGAAAGTCACCATGTCTTCCTTCTTCACCGTCCCCGCTTCGCAGCGCAAGCGCAAGAGAGAAGACCGGGCGGCAGCCCCAGCAACTAAGAAAAGAGACGTCAATGCCAAAAATGACGTTGCAGGAGGTCGCCGAGCCCGTGAACGCGAAGAGTCAATCTCTGGAAGTGACTTGGATGAAAATGAAGACGAAATTGCGTCTTTGGAATCCGGAGAAGAATCCGCATCAGACTCGGACGAAGGCGAGACGGCCGCAGACCGGAGATTAAAACTCGCAGAGCGATATCTGGAAAACGTTCGAGAGGACGTCGAGGATGGAGTTGGTTTTGATGCCGCTGAGATCGATCGAGACTTGATTGCGGAAAGATTGAAAGAGGATGTGGTATGTGGCCAGTGGCTTGGATTTTTACAAGTTTGAGATGGCTAACGGTGATTTGTGTAGGACGAGTTCAAAGGACGGTCTTTCCGGCAAATTGCCTCCAAGCTATCCTTTTCTGCGCCATCTCATTCATTTTTTCGCTCTGATACCCAATCGACTACTTCTATCGCTGTTCACGCGCCTTACGTTTATACTGTTTCGAAGGACAAGACTTTAGTCAAATGGGAATTGGCCCCACCGAGTGCCCCGGCGACTGCTGAAACGAATGGGTCTTCGACACGGCCTCCCCGTCCAGCGCGCAAGAAGCCTAGGCGGGTTAGATATGCTCGAGGAGTGCGCAAAATTGCCGAAACAGGCGAAGAGTCTGGCCATACTGGAAGCATTCTATCCGTCGCTGTTTCACCGTCGGGTAAATTTGTTGCTACTGGTGGTGCTGACAATCGTCTGGTCATCTGGGACGCGGAGACTTTGACCCCTACAAAGACGTTCACACAGCACCGCGACTCTGTGAGCAGTCTGGCTTTCGCTCGGCAGATCTCGACTATGAGCTCTGGAGAACAACTTTTCTCGGGGTCGTACGATCGTACCCTGAAGACATGGTCTATTAGTGGGGCCGGCCATGCATATGTCGAAACCCTTTTCGGCCACCAGGATCACGTCACTTCAGTTGCAGCTATGAGTATTGATCAGTGTGTCTCGGTCGGAGCTCGTGACCGCACAGCCAGGTTATGGAAGGTCGTGGATGAGTCGCAGCTTGTGTTCCGAGGAGGTGCATCCAGAAGTGCTTCTTACATTGAGAGCAACATTGATTGTGTTGCCCCTCTCCCTCCCAACCACTTCGTCACGGGTTCCGACTCAGGCTCTATCTCGCTATGGTCTGTCCACAAGAAGAAGCCACTGTATACGATTCCTCTGGCTCATGGTCTCGATCCCATGCCACCTTTAGACGAACTCTCCCCCGAAGCGGACAAGGAGACTGCCGCTCGTAATGCTCGTCACATGAGGCGTCTGCCTCGCTGGATCACTGCTCTTACAACTCTTCCCGGCACCGATGTTGTTCTCAGTGGTAGTTGGGATGGCTGGATTCGGGCATGGCGTATCTCTGACGACAAGAGGACAATCATTCCATTGGGCCCTATTGGGATAAGGTCTCTGAGCCAGTCAATCCCCGATACGCCCTCGAAACAGCTCAACAATGCCCTTGCCCTCGACACGACCCCTCACCCCGACGACATGGAAGTTGAACAGAAGTCTGAGGAGGTGACGCAAGAGCCTCAGCCTTTGATCAAGGGTGTGGTCAACGATATCGCCGTCTTCGAGCGTCGCCCCGAAGCTATTACAGCAACGTCCACAAAATCTTCCAACAAGTCGCAGACAAACCCCGAAACCGAGCCTCGGGGTCTCTGTATTGTTGCTGCGATCGGCAAGGAGCACCGTTTGGCCCGGTGGAAGTGTTATGCCAATAACTATGCTGAGGGCAATGCTCCTGATGGTCGCAATGGCGCTGTTGTGTTTGAAGTACCATTCACTTCTACTGATGCCGCCGCTGAGGCCGATGTATAAAAGTTTCAAGGCTTTCAGGCTTGACGACCTATTCTTCAGAGCGTTGGACGGAGTGTTTTTGGAGTCGGGATTTTACATGTATTCTACTATCTTGCATACATATCGAGGATGATTGTTCACAGACCATCGAATACCAACACAAATCATATTCAAATGACTTCTTTACATCGACCCCGCGATTCCAAGAATAATCCTTGGAATCCACAAATTACGTGATGTACCAACCATAGCAGTGGACTTGCTTCGTCGGCAGCTTATCCCTTCTGCACCAAGTAATCGTTTGATGAAAGTGTTCTAACTTGAGGTGCTCGCGATGCTATAGGACATCAAGGTATTCTGCACCTTGACAGAAATCTTGCCCATAATGTTCGACTTCCAAAGCAAAATGCGATCTTCAAACTCCTTGCACTAGATGTAATAACGAGATCTTTCATGCGTACATCTCAAGACTTGCTCTATCGCCTCTAGTGAACCTCCTAGCAAACACACAAGGAGAATATCTATGTTTCAGCCTTTTAAGACAAACCTATCATTATCGAGTCCAGATTCCGAAGCATTTATGGAAGCCGACGACACCAACCTCGATGCAACCCGTTGCAACTTTGTGCATTTGGATTTGTTCTGTCCCTTCAATGCTGAGGGTATTAGAAACCGATAGCTGAAGCCTTACATTCTTGGGCCTAACCAGGCAATAAAATCTGTCCTTAATTATAAATTGGCGAATATTGAGTTTTTCCTGCTGTACACATCTGGACCCCTCAAAGGGCAGCTCGTAAATCTGTATGTAAAGTTGGATATAAAACGAGAAGAACATGGCAACTGGTAGTTATCAGCACATCATTGTATCCTTTCCTAGGTCTCGTCCTTCAAAAACACCCAAAGCTCAAAGATTTCGGCCAGCAAGTCCACTTCCGATAGCTCGCTGGCTGTTGGAAATAGACAGAACTGCCGCCTGAACGAGTAACAAATATTTGCCTTCAGAGAGTCGGTGCTCAATGTTGGACCTTTGTAGTAGGACTTTCATATGTTTACTATACACCTTGGAATTTTGAACGTGTATGTGCCATACCAGGACTTTACCAAACCCCATCTCCTGGCTCTAATTTTCAAAGCATTGGAGTTTTCTAATCATGCCTATTTGATCATAATATGCTTCGCAACTATAGCTCTTCTAATATTTCTTGAATTCTTTGCCTTAAAGTTATGCCTATTTCATATAGGCTCTTCCTTTAGTTTTTAGATTTGCATAAAGGCTTCACTTAGGACATTTGGGTAAGATAACGCTTCCACCATTCCTCCTGTCGGGTGAAAGATTCATGGATAGCCTTCTGGCCATGCCATCCATGGCCCTCACCCTCAAACTCGACAACCTCCGCAATCCGTCCTTCAGAATGCATAGCATCAGCCATCATTCGTGCTTGTGCAATTGGAACCACCACATCCTCTGTTCCCTGCAATAGCAGCAATGGTGCCGTCATCTGCTTTGCATAATAGCATGGACTGCGCTTCTTGAGCTCAAGTTCTCTTTCATCGGGGTTTGTTTTGCTAAGAAGCAATCGATCCACGTCTTGACTCTCAAACTTGTAGGAATCCGCCTGCAGAGCCTTAACATCGCTGATGCCGTATGAGCCGATTCCTGCTGCCCAGACTTCCGGATACATATGAAGAGCGCGCAAAGTCAGGTACCCTCCAGCGCTTCCGCCATATATTCCAACTCGTGTCTTATCGATCAACATCTTGTCCGCAAGGAATTCGACCGCACTAGCAGCATCTCCCACATCCACAAGTCCCCAATAGCCCGACAATCGTTCACGATATTCTCGACCAAATCCAACAGACCCGGTGTAGTTAACAGCGCACACAGCGAAGCCACGTGTAGTCCAGTATTGAATGTCTAGGTCAAGAGCAGGAGTAACAGCCCCATTCGGACCTCCATGAACATAGACCAGGAGGGGAGGTAGACTCTTTTCATCAGCCTGAAATTCAGGATTGCGAGGAGCGAAATAGAACATGTGCACATTACTGTCTTGTATGGGACCATGCTTTTGAGGGGCAGTGTATTCCGTCGCAGTAGAGACAAAGTCATGGGCCAGTTCAAACGATGCGGTTGAAGTGAGCACCTTTCTGTTTGTCTCGAATGATGGAGTGATCGAGATCAGTGCCAGCTCCTGAGGGGATGTTCTTGTAGAACCGACGACTGCAAAGCTCGTGGATGATACACGACGGATTGTATCGATGTCCACGTAAGGAAGATCGAGTTCTTGAACGGATGAAGTCACGGTATCAATTAGGACAACTTTGCTGGTGGCATGAGTTATCACCGTTGCAACTATGGTTTGTTCGTCAAGCGACGTGTATGTAGAACTAAACGGGTGTTAGAATATTGCACGAAATAACGCTGCCTTGGTATTGGGCCATACCTTCCCAGCTCCCACTCAGCAACTGCAAAGTCCGAATTCTCCATTCCCTTGAACGACAAAGCACACAGCTTCGTGTCCTCTGGATTATACGAGTACAACTGCCAGAAACCGGTTCGGTCACTCGCAAAGTAAAGCTTTCCATCTAGACCCCATTTCGGCTGAGCGACACTCTCCTCCTGCGCTTTACCAGCGATTCGTGTGGCATTATCCACCGATCCGTCTTTCCACTCAGCTAAATAAAGCGTAGTTCCAGTCCAGGGCATATCAGGATGGGTCCATTGGATCCATGACACATATTTCCCCGAAGGGTCGAATTTCGGATGGGAGTAGAAATCGTCACCTTGTGCAATGATGACTTCTTTAGCGGATTCTTGTGGATCAGAGTCGATATCAATCGCCACCAAGGTATTATGAACATGGGTTGCTTGAGTTTCCGGAGTCGCCTCTCGGTGATCCTCCTTAATCGCGATGATCCACTGTGGGTTCGTGGGGTGGCTGGAGAAATCTGCGTAGCGAATGCCTTTCTCGGCCGGCTGGACTAGCGTAGCTTCAGTTGAGCCTGGGTCCAAAAGATAAACATTGCAGGAATCTTCGTCTGAGAGCAAAATACGCCCGTCGAATCTCATTGAAATAGAGCCACCACCAAGCTCTTGCACACTTGCGAGTGCACTCAGGTCTTTCGGTAGAATATCTTTGCTTTGTCCATTCAGATGCTGCACGACGGCGGAGCGGCCGTCCTCGACAGGCCGGCATTCAACAGAGTAAACAGCTCCCGTTGACTCCTAGTAAACATCAGCTTGAAAGTTCCTCTTCCAACAACCATGTCTTGCGAGATTTAGATTATCACAAACATCAACAGCGACTTCGTTGAGCATTATGCTGCAGGTTGCCAAGCTCTCCGCAGTCAGCGGACTCTTCCAGTGGCCATAAGGCGCAATCTGAGGAGCACTCATATTGACAAGTTCGTAAGAAACTGAAATCGCCGCAAGCGTTAAAATCCGATGCTTCTTAAATACAACTAGAGCCAAAGTGACTCATAAGTGTCTGATGGTTGAGGTCATTCGCTTCGTGCCTCGCCCGGTGGATAGGGTAGGTTCTGGGCGGGCACCTGAGGTTTCATTTGGATGACTCACCCTCCGAGATGCATAGTTATTTAAGGTAAGGGTTAGGGAGGGTTTCTTGAACCAGTAAGAAGTCAAATCGAATTCACATATCCGTAGCTCCGACCACCCACACCGCCCACCTCCGGTGTGGGTGGTCTTCACACGAACGAACCCTTCACACGAACGTACAGCTTTTTGATATTTTCACCTACAATTCACCACCACCATGCAGAATTCGTCTGAATCTATTGAAATTCGCATCTCCGAAGCTCTCGCAGCTTATAAACGCGTTAAAAACACCAGTTTAGCTGCGTTAGCACGCCAATATGCCGTGCCTTACCGACGGCTATTAGGTCGTCACCGAGGGGCCTCTTCAAAGATTGGTAATTCCAATAGCCACCGAGCGCTTACGAAGGCCCAAGAGGATGCATTGCTACAGACAATTGATCGTCTAAACGCATTGTATATCTTTCCAACGCCTAAAGATATCGAAGATCTTGCAAATTTGATACTCCGACGCCAATTCGAACGGGACCATCCACCACTAGATACCCTACCGACCGCGTCGACCGCGTCAACGTTAGCCACAACCGACGATAACCTACCAAAACCACCGCAGGTTAGTAACGCATAGGTCTATCGCTTCATCAAGCGATTACCAGAAGATCTCCGACCAAGGACGGAGCGGCCAATCGAGACAGCGCACGCCGGCGTTACACCAGCCCAGCTACAACATTAGTTCGACGGCCTACAACCAGTGATTAAGAAGATAAAACACTACAATATCTACAATTTCGACGAGACCGGCTTCATCTTAGGCCAACAGCCATCGAAAACGAAGGTAATCTCGCGCAAAACAGCCCAATCGGCGACCGATACTACGCGAGAGAGCCTCACAGCGATTGAGTGTATCGCCGCAGACGGCTTCGTTTTACTACCTTTCTTCATCTTTAAAGGACAAGTGATGCTTGAGAGATAGTTCGAACAGTTAAAATCATCAGATTAGATAGTCTCGGTCGCTCCGAATGGCTTTATTACCTCAGACTTAGCATTCGAATAGCTTCAACACTTCGATAAACACACTAAAGATCGCGCGGGAAAGAGTTTGTATCATGAAAACACCGTAGATTTAGAGGATCTTAACGCTAATTCAGCTTATTTTAACTAGGCGAATAACGATTACTACTCTTCGATAGTCATATTACACACCTTACGGCTGAATTCATCGAATATTGTCAACAAGCGGCTATTATCCCCTTCTAATTCATTCCACACGCTATACACCTTCTACAACCTCTCGATGGTAAGCCCTTTTTAGCTTATAAGCAACATTTTCGTCGATGGAATCGAAAGACTACACTTTGGGGGGTTCAACGGTCGAAAAGGGTGAATTTCTTAGTGGAATTCGGCCCATTCGGGATATTACATTTACACTACGCATCGTTCGGAATAGCTTCGCGGAGCGTAGTATTATCCCATTTCGGCCAGATATCGTTATTCAACCTCTCATCAACGCTGAATTACCATATCAAGAGATTACTGGCTTTAACCTAGACGGAAACAACGCGCGTGGTATCCAACGCACACCATCTCCGACCGTCTCATCAAGCTCAATCGATCAACCAATAACACTACGACGTATTCAAAAGAGCTTTAAGAAGCTAAAGCCATATCTTCCATCGCCAGGGCAGCCAGTATCAATCAATCCCGAGAAGCTTCGCAGACGATTTGAACGCATCGAGCGTTACACTACAATTGAGTATGAGAAAGGTGTACTAAAAGACACAATCATTGAGACCTTTCGGGAGGTCCGCACCAAAAAGATCCATACCCGATCGAAGCGTCAGCTATCAAAGACCTCAGTTCTGACCGTTCGGGACGCTAAACGCAAAATTCATGAGCGTACAGCCAAAGAAAACACGCGGGTGATGAAGCGCATGCGTCGGGCGAACGTTAAAAAGTGGGATAATCAGCCAGATCAGCCTAATCAGCCTGATTTGACACCACAGGCATCAAATTCAATGCAAGATGCAGAGGATGATATATTATTCGTTATAGATACTGTGGGGGATAGATCGTTATAGGTAAAAATATCAAAAAGCTGTACGTTCGTGTGAAGGGTTCGTTCGTGTGAAGACCACCCACACCGGAGGTGGGCGGTGTGGGTGGTCGGAGCTACGGATAATAGTGTCATTCTGCTAACAAGCTGGCAGGGTATCTGCCTCAGCCATGGCATTAATTCGATCATGTTGAATTGGATGTCCCTGGTAGAACCCGGAGCCAGGAGACAAGACTAGAACAAGCCTTCTCAAATCATTAAAAAACACACATCTATGATATCCCCTTCGCTCGCTATGATTTCGCCAACAGAAGATAAAGAATAAATGGCGGGGAAATTGTCGGGAAGGGTCCGTGCAAATTAAAGAGACCAGGGGTATTTGCAGAAAAGTCGGAGTCTGAAAGGTGCAAGTCAAAAGGAAAATCGAATGGGAACAGAGAAACAAGTCACTGCGCCAGCCGGAGAGAAAGGTCCTTGCAAAATTAGGCCAGTGGCCGCACAATGACAAGGAAAGCACTGAGCGACTTTTCCAACCTATCCAACGCGCCACGCTTTTGCAAAACAAATGAGATAACACCGAAACGCCAGAAAAGATTGGACACGGGGCGGCTGACAATGATGGATTGGCCGTATTTAGTACGGTGAGAACCGCGCATGCCGTCTTTGCATGGCTCGTCTCACAGGACCGACCGGCTGCTCCTCATCCGAGTCAGCGATGGTGATAGCATTGGTAGCAGTTGACCCTGTGTGCCTGGCGGGTCCCATGCGGCTCGGGGGCGAGCTTGAACTTGTGAGTCCATTACCATCATCAGATGCGGGAACTTCAGACGGCTGGTAAAACAACGTGCGGTTGGGACGAACAAGGGGTTCTTCGTCTTCATCATCGTCAGAGCCGGTGTCGGAGTCAGAGTCTTCCTCCGCTTCGTCATCAATGAGAGAAGAGCCCACTGGAGAGGGTCGAGTGCCACGGTATCGAGATGAAGGACTGCTCGATGTGTCACCGCCATGAGAAGGGGATGATATGTCCCAAGCTTCTCTAGGAGCCACGAAGCTACTCTCACCTTCCTCAGACTCACTCTCGTCTTCATCTGAGTCTTCGATATCGATAACTGGTCGACCTTGTCTTCGGGTTGGGGAATTTCGGTTTGGAAGCCGAGTGCTACCGACGACTGTGGAATGATCAGAGTCATATTCCACGCCGTTCTGAAGCGGTTGATCATCGATGAATGAATCCATTTCATCATAATCATCTTCCTCCTCTTCGTCGTATTGGCTATCATCGTCGAAACGGACGGGATGAGGCATCGTCCCCCAAGGATGCGGGTGGTAGGCGTGCTCTCCCAACGCGTGTGCCAGAGGACCGAAGATGTTAGCAGCATGGCCTCCATCGAAAAAGAGTGGTGGGCCATAACGGCCATAGGTCCCCCAAACGTTGTCGTCCTCTTCAATGTCGCCAAATCCGTCTTCGGCCTCCTCTCCATCAATCATCGAGTCGTAATCGGTCTCGTCATCATAGTCATCGTCATCTGATCCACTGTAGTCGGTTCTGTCCTCGTCCGGCCGATAAACCCATCCGCATCCTCCACATTCATCGTCTTCTAGTTCCCATTGGCAGAGCGGACAACGGACCACCCCGTCGTCCACATCGACAAGGGGCTTCAATGCAGGAGCTTTGGGTTTGAATAGCCCTCCAAATAAACCGCCAGTTTGTGGGTTCGGGTTTGCCTTGTCTTCGTCCAGTTTCTCCGATTCTGCTTTTCGGTTGGCAGAGTGCTCTGCCGTAGTTTCTCCCTTGTCCAGTAGCTCCGCACGACTCGTGAACATCTGTACAACCGCCCGTACCTATGAAATGGCGTTAGAGCGGACTGCGCAAGGCGCAACTACGGACGTGTGCACACTTACCAGATAAGCCGGTGCTGGCTGGCTTTTGACCGGTGCCCGGCAATCTGGACATGTCCTCTTTGATCTTCCACCGCCGAACCATTGAGACAGACACTATTGAACATAAGACGGGCCCCAAGGTGAGGATGACCGAAAGTTGGGGTACTTACAGTATAGCAGAAGGTGTGCCCGCAGGCAAGGGTGAAGGGCTCATAGAGAGGCCTGATGCAAATCCCACACTGTAAGAGAGTTCGAATATCGTTTACGTGCCCTTGAAACGTGTTGACAAGCTGGAAACACGTCAGTATCGGTATTCCGGGCGAACTCGAGGGCTGGCGAGTTCTTACCCCCAATGTCTCTGCCTGTGAACCATCGCCACCCGCCATTTTGGCTATCCAAGGTGTGTTGTTATCTTCAGCTGGTAGGTAATAGCTCTAGCATGGGCAAAATCGCGTTCAAGATGGTATTGCGCGGGGGACGCGAAATCCGTGAGATGCGGCGGGGGGCGGGCGGATAAAAAGCTCCCTCGAAGTGGCAAGAAAGTTGGGCAAGGTACACGGGAGAACCCACAACGACAAAGAGACCGGAAGTCTAGGGCAGATGTGAGTGTAGTAATGAAGAATAGTGACTAGAATGCTGATTGAATATGAGATAAAGAGGACATCAGAAACCGATGCCAGAGCCGTGGTAGAGCCGTGGTGTTGGTTCATGGACCTGAGGCACTAGATTACATAACCGGTTCCTGGCCCGAACATGTGACTTGTCGACTTACCAGTTGGTTGATCTTGCCGACCGTCCAAGCTCACACAATTTCGATGTTGACATATTCCTGGTGACATTTTCATCAATAGCCGTACAAGGAATGGACTTCTATATTGAGTTTATTGGAACATACTATTATCCACATTCTGTCGATCCAGAGGTATTTCCAATCCACGGCGGAAGCGCGACTGCTGCGACGCCCGGACTCCTTGCGCCCGGTTCCAATAGGCCAGGGCCTCTTATTTCCTAATATCCCGAACCACTGTAGCGATGAAAATGGTTAGCGTGATAGATCCTCCACGGCGATGGGTGTGGATAACGCTCTTCTAGTGTCGCGAAATGTGGCGCCACCGTGGCAATACACTTTGAGCCTCTTGCGCATCAGCAACTGGGCAATAACACCCGGAAATATCACCGCAAGCTACCAGTATAATTCATATAAAACCGGCCATGATATCATGTCCATGCTTCGGACTCCCAGTCTACCTCAGTCTTTGATCCAAGCTCTGTTCATGGCAAGCAGGCCGGTCCGAGGAACCCGAAGCTTGAAGAAAGAAGAACCAAAGCCTTTTTTCAATAACTTTCCAGAATTATGGTTTTCCAATCAACAGATATCTTATGGAGTAAGTACGTGGTGGCTCGGCGGATCAGAGGGGGCTCTATGGTCAGCCAAGACGCGGCATTTAAGCGCCAAGACTTGCGGATCTCAATTCTTGCCGGAGAAACACCGACGTCCAGATCTCTGACCAACCTCCAGATTCTCTCGAGCTCACGCCCAACAAATAGTCCTGGGTGTTGAACTCGTCCACTCAGTGAATCTAGTTGCTCTCGCTTATTCAATATCTCGTGCCGAACACACCGCACCCATGACGGCCGACGCTGTCAAGGATGAACACCACGACAAAGCGTGGGAGAAAGCTGAGCGGAAATTCTCACAGTGAGTGTATAGTTCTCTCTTTTAATCGGTCCACGTAATTATTGCACTGCTTTGGGATATGCGATGTTATTCTTGGATCTGCTCCGCCAGGGATATCACTTTGTCAAACGGTCCTGGCTAGCTTTATGCCAAGCAACTATCTATATGGTTATGGTACCTTTAAGGGCAACAGAGGCTGTCGTTATTTCGTGACATGCCCAAATAATGCATATTTCCTCTAACGTTGACTGTGGCTCGGTGCCAGTGGCTAACCTAATTATGCTAGTAAAACCGCAAGCGAATACTATGACCCCTGCCAGGACTTTGCGGACCGGAGTCTTAGGTGTATGAAGCGTAATGGCTTTGATCGTGAGATGTGCGGCGATTACTTTCAGTAAGTCTGCAACCTTTACCCTACATCATTGTGAGGTTCATGTCTTTCAGGGACAGAGGTTCCTGACTTGGGTTGCCCGTCCCTATGTGGCTCGCCTCGGCCGTGTTCCGCCCCAGTACTCACTGGCATATCCGTTACTGACTAGCATTCCCTTTCAGGGCTTATCGGGATTGCAAGAAGAATTGGGTGAGTCAAAATTCACGGAGTGACTTTCATCTAGCTCGTCTTTGCAAGCATTCCGGGTCCTCCGTCTATGGCCTCTCTTGTAGAGAGTTGTGTCGCTAACAATTCATAAAGCTGAACCAAAAGAAGGTAGCAACGCCTCAAACCAAATAACCTGATTGGTTAACTTCGGGTTGGTCGACAACGGCCCCGATGCGAACCTTTTTGGTCGACAGAACAGGTGGATCTTGCCTGCCATTTGCGCCTTTCATCAACATTTCCTTGAACCATGTATTACCACAACTCCTCTTTTTTGCTCTCATATCCTACTGTCGATCTCTCATAAGCACTTAAACATTTCTTGATACAGTTTCAAGAACAGAGATTGTCGGCAAAAGAATACCACTTTCGGCAAGGGAGCACGATGCTAGAATATGGCAGTCTATCTGCAACATAAGCGCAGGTTCTGCCTTGGACTCTCTTTCCCTGAGCGCTACGTTTAATTCCCTTTGACGCATGGAAATTCTTTGAATCCTCATTAGCGACTCGAGGCTGTATACTATCCATTTTGCTTTGTCTTTCATCCAATTTTTAGTATGAACTGTTCTTCCATGTCCATTGTGTTTAGTGCATACTTCGTTTCAAGATTTGCTCTCAAGTGTACCATTCAGGTAAGTCACAGATAGCGAGAGTGTGTGTGTGGAATGAACGGGCTTCAACTAGGTATCAAACTACTTTGCTCAGTATATATTTGTGACATTCGGTGATCAGAAGACATAAATAGCCTGACGCAGACATAACGTGGTACATTATTGTATAGAATAATTCAGGTATTGAAAGACTACCTAATTACCACTCACATTTGATTCAAGTGATACGAACTTGGTGAGTGAACCTATACCTAGCGGAGCACTGCGCATCATTGGAGCTCATTCCCTCTGACACCCCTCAACCCTCACCGCCTTCGAATTGCTTCCCCGCCAAAAACCCAAGGACCAGCATCTGATCCCACGGTCGCCTAAAAACTGAGCGTGTGCTGTGCCTGGCACTGGAGACGGAAAAGCTAGCTGGGACTTGCGGAGTAAATTCAGCTCAAACTAGCCCTTCGCTATGGCGCCTATCAATGACGCGGTGTTTCTCCGCCGCAACAACCAGATCCAAGATGCTATTGACGGGCAGAATCTGAAGCAGGCCTTGCAGCTGATCGAGAAGCGCATGAAGAAGGGCGAGGATACGCGTTTTCTGAAAGTGAGTGGCCTCAGTTGCGACCAATTGAGCACCTGCACCCAAACTGTGCCTCGCGGCACACAGCCCAAACGTCGCTGACCATCGACTGCATAGGCCTGGAAAGCACATATTCTCTGGCGCCATGCGGACGAAGCCCACCATAAGCGCGGTATCACGGAGACACTCGAGTTATGCAATGCGGAGCCGCCGACCACCGAAATTGATACCCTGGACATTTTGTTCAAGACACTGCAAAAGTTAGATGGACACGCTGCGACCAGGAGCAGTCTTTGGGAGAAGGCAGCGAAGGCGAAACCCCAGGACCTGGAGCTTCAAGGCCGTTGGTTCACCTATGCTTTTGAGGCCAACGATTGGAAGTCTGCGCAAAAGGTCAGTTTATTCAAGGAAATTTGATCGCCATCGATCTCAACGAGGGCGCTCTAGTGGAAATTGGCTGACACTCGATTTCTTTCGAGTCGTAGGCTGCTATGAGCCTTCAAAAGAATTTCCCCAAGGACCGAAAATACTATTTCTGGGCTATCTTCCTTAGCCACTTGATTGCGACAGATGACGCTAGCTCAGAGATAGATCGCAAGCTGTTTGGCACTCTAGCATACCGCATGATTTCGAAAGCAGCTGCTGATGTTCCGGCTGGAGTAGGTTTTCCCCGGTCCTTGACCTATATGACTCGACGTAACATGTGGCTTGCGCAAAATTGAGCTGACTTTGCAAACCATTCAGAATCAGTTACTGAGCCCTCCTCGAGCTATTCAAACTTCTGAGGAACTGCGCTTGCTCCTCCAAATATATGAAAATCAAGGACGAAATGCAGAGGCTGTGAAGATTCTGGACAGCGAAAACGTGGGTCTCACATCGAGAATTGTGCAGAATGATACAGCGTTCCTTGGTTTCAAAGCCTCCAACCTGGCTGCTGGCAAGATGTGGGAGGAAGGGATGTCGTTCGTGAGGAATCTATACGCTGTTCCTGATGATGAAGATAAACGCAAAGCTCTTCGTGAGCTTGATGATTGGAATATCTGGAACCTGCTCGTGAAAGCCACAGAGAACATCAAAACTCCTGGGTTAGTTTACGAAGACCCAGAGATCTAAGATTCAACTGACTTTTTGTCTACTAGAATCGCTCTTGAGACGGTGAAATTCGTGGAAAAATTCATTGAATTTAGCCCCAAATCTCGCAATGCGGCTCTGGCTCGTCTTGACTCAATTATCTGCGGAATCAACGGCGGAGAGATGACCGAGGAAGACCTGCTCCCAGCTTGTCAGAAATACATCGACAGCCACATCCACAAATTGTACGCCTTCAATGATATTCGAAGGATTTTGCGTCATAACAAGAACGGAATGTCTAAGATGCTTAAATACATCGACGAGACGTATGGAGAGGATGAGAAGGTAAGTATTCTGGGAAGGAAAATTATGCTATTGCTCCCCGCGCATACTGACTTTCACCCAGGGGTCTGTTCCTATGATAAACGCTCTCAAGCTGGATTACTGTCTGAATATTTCAGGATCAGAGAGCAAGGCCTCCAACCAGAAGATTGACGATCTTGTCGCCCGCTGCATGAAGCTTTACCAGACCGCCAAGGAGAGAGAGAAGGCCAAGAAGCCAAACAATAGCGACCAAGGGACGTCCTCTACGATCGAAAGCCAGCCCATCGACGATCTCTGTGTTCTCGCTGCTATGGCGCTCCTTCAACCCGCTGAAACTAGAGAGACAGAGGCTCAAGTTCCGGATACTGCTCTGATTCGCGCTGCAAGTATCTTAGAGCGCCTCTGCCGTGACTCGCCACACAATTATCAGGCACTCCTGCTTTTGGTCCGAGTCTATCTTCTCCTCGGCGCAGGATCTCTTGCTTTGAGCACTTTCAGCAAGATGTCCGTCAAGCAGCTTCAGTATGAGACTGTTTCTCATATTCTATTCACACGTCTTGCTACGATTCACCCTCATTCAGCGCCGCCAGTTGAGGGTGCGGAGTATAAGGATTTCGATCCTCTTTCTGCCTTCGTCCAGGGTCTCAACTTCTTCCGGAACTCAGAAGTCAATACTATGAGGTTTCGCACTGCAGGCCTGGATGAAGGAACTTACGTGAACACCGAAGAGATAATCGAACTTCGGAGACGTCTGTCGACCAGCTTCAATCGCCGCATGTACGCTCTCGATGCGCGACGCACCCAGAGACTCGTTGGAGGCGATCACATGGCCCGTTATGATGAGCTTGGTTGGTTCACAATCATATTCTTAGCTGTTTTCCTAATTTGACCTGCTTATTGACAAATTTTACAGCTCGAGACAAATCCTCAACCGTTGACTCGCGGAAATTTGGCGCGTTTATGTCCTGTGAATTCATAGACAAGCCTGAATTCGAAGAGCGTGTGCGCTTAGGACCACTTCCTCAGGTAAGGCCACTGATGAGCGTCGATCTTAGACAAGAGCACTAGCTAATAGCCCCCTAGACTAACTGGCTGGCTTCAGCCAGGATCACAGATCAGCTTTTCAGCGTCCTGAAGGATATCGCGTTCCAAAGGCCACTAACACCGGAGATAGACTTGCCGTCTCTCGAAGCCTTGTTCATCTCTGATGCTGAAAATGATCAGACAGAGGCAGAGAAGGAGGCAGCTAAGATCCATGCAGATCTTCTTAGAGTGGCTACTTTCATGGCTGGATCCAAGATGACGACTTCGGAGCAACTGGATGCTGCTCTTGGTCGGGTTGAGGACTGGTTGGAATCGAAGAAGAAGGACCTAGCACTTAATGAGGCCATTACCTCGTCCCTCATTACCTCCACCGCGGTTTCCCTGGGAGCAGATACTCCGGCTGGACCCACCTGGAGATATCTCCACAGTGTCTTCGTACTTCTTGAGACAGTGAAGGCGCTGTCACAGCTGGTCGGGTTAGCGTCCAGAAAGGGGGCCAAGACTGCCAAGTTGCCCAAAGAGCGCGTTGAACGACTGTCTACGCTGGCGTTCGAGCTTTACGAAATGATTCGGTCCAACACACGAGCTCTGAAGCAGCGCGTTTCCGCATCAGGCGTGTTGTCCTCATTGGTTGATCTTGTTATCCAGGGTGACCAGTCTGCCAAGTCCGAGAAGGAAGTCCAAGACATTTTGGAGGCTACATTGGACTCGTCTAGCGTCGAGTTGTTTTGTGGTTCTCTAATGGAGAGCTGGGAGGAGGCCCTGGACGGTGTGATGAGGGTGAAACTGTGATGGATGGATCCGTTTTCATTCAAAACAACATCGGTCCCCACACCCATCCATGTGATTGATACTAGAGAAAAACAAAGCCAATGTAGAATGACTAAAGATCTTCACGGACCCATCCCAGCCCGTACATTTCACGTGACCAGAGTGATGGTTTCTGCCTTAGGACTCCAATATCACATGGGCATTAGCCTCATGGGGCAGCTTGCCCTAAGCCCTAATATTTCGCCTACCAACGCCCGTGCCAAGACCCGCAATGTGCGGTTCCCGAAGCACTAGGGATTTCCACACGATCTTCTTCATTCCCTTTCTTCGACAACCACCGCCAACCCCCTCAATCACCAACCGTCCAAATGGCGCAGGAACGCACCGGCATCGTGGTCGGCACCAACAAGGGCCACGTACGTTCACCCCCAATCCTCCCTAGCTCGTCGTTGCCCCGGGTCTCTGCTCTTTTCGATCCGTTTTTTTCAAGTCGAGCCGATTCGCGGGTTCATGGTCAATTCGACACTGCCAATACACTGCAAACCGGAAAAGAGACATCGGAAACCCTGCGGAAGTCAGTGGCAGAGGAAGAAGAAGTGGAGTGTCGCGATCTCGATCAAAAAAGGACGTGCTGGAAATTTTCGATGTTTTACTCGAACTGGAACATGGCCAGTGTATCAACAACCTGAACCCGGCCAGACCTCGCATCGCACTCGACAGACGGACGGAATCAACAGAGCACTCCGGGAGCAAACTTGACCGCCGAATTTGAATTGAACCGTCAAACTGACCTGAATTCGCTATAGAAAACCACTCCTCTTAACACCCCCAAGAGCAAGATCAGCCGCTCCAAGGGCCAGTCTTCCCGCCGCACTGCGTTCGTCCGCGAGATTGCTCGCGAGGTTGTCGGCCTTGCCCCCTACGAGCGCCGCGTCATCGAGCTGCTCCGCAACGCCCAGGACAAGCGTGCCCGCAAGCTCGCTAAGAAGCGCGTATGTTTACCACAATTCTCTTTCTTGCTCCTTTATATGCTCTTGCTGGATTGGATCGGTCATTCGAGTTTGGCAACAGACGTCCGTTGGGTGGCGTGATTATGCAAATTCGCCACTAGGTCGACATTCGCCTAGCCTGGTATATTGACGCGATTACTGCTCTACACCCACGGATTTTCAGTTCCTACTCTTCCCGACACACCATTTGTTCGACCAGCAAGCATCCAAGGCATGATCAAATCTCCTGACCCGCAAGCTAACCTTTACTCTCCAGCTCGGCACCTTCACCCGCGGCAAGCGCAAGGTTGAGGACATGCAGAAGGTCATTGCTGAGGCCCGCCGTACCGCTGCTCACTAAACGCACCATTCCGTTACTTTTTTCTCTTTCGTTTAACAACTCGAATACCTGGCGCGTGCAAGGGAACACGAAGAAAAAATATGGCCGAAGCCTGGCAGGTCTGATGTGATTATTACCTACGGCCGCCATCTAGCATATGGCTTCGGATCGGAATATGGGGTTTTTTGTGACTACCGGTGGATGCATGGGGATGGCAAAAGTGGAGTTCCTTCCCTGTTTTTCGGAAGCGAAGCCATAATGAAAACAAATTCTTGTTCAATACCTTCATTGGCTGTGTCTTATCGTAGGATCCATGATTGATGTGCTTGGGGTCTGGAGGATAAGACTGGCGTAGGTCAAGTGGACCTGTTGTCTGATCCTTTCCTGGTAGGATAGCAATGCTCTTGTACTGGTCTACCAACTGAGCTGTGACATTTGTTCCGCTGGAGATATTGTTGGCCAAGCAAAGTAGAGATTGAACTTGGTCCCTCCCCTCTGCAAAAATGGAAAGGTGCTTGTTTCAATCATCAATAATGGTATTAAGCAAGTCTACTGGTCATGAGATCTAGATTCGAATCAATCTATCCGTACATGCGGAATGGACTTGAAACATGAAGCACTTAGGTTCAACAGTCACGGTCGTTCATCCAGTTCCAGCATCAATCATGGTAAGAATATGCGTCAATAACAATCATTTCTTCCCCGGCAGCTTCAGCCATTTGGGCATAGCGCCACTCTTTCGAGCTCCGCCAGGCTTGCCTCCCTCGCGGTCACCACTGGGCCCTGCCTCTGCTGAAGTAGAAGCAGAAGGCTCCTGCACGGACTCTCGGGGCTGTTCGACCTTGAGCTCTTGCGCCTGGCTGCGCAGCCCTGGGTGTAAAATGTCTGCTCGGTGCTGGCTGCCTACGGAGGCACCAGCCCAGGAGAAATTGACCAATACTCGGCCAGCTAAGCCAAGGTCTTTGATTAACAGCGACTGATCCGACTCAGGGATAGCATTTGCATGCGCAGTTCGAGCAGTCGTCGGGTTGGAGAAGACATTTAAAGTGAACTGCTCTGCCGCGAATGGCGGTGCAAGACAGCTCCGCACGAATCGATAAAGTGACAACCCAGAGTCCATCGGCCCAAATTTGGCTACCACCTGGCTCTGATCTGGAAAGCGGACCTTCACGTCTACTTCACGGATCTCAGAGAGTCGCTTCTTCTCTGCGGCTACCTTCGCAGCGATTTCAGCATCTGTTGGGAGGCGTTTGTTGCGCGAGGACTGGTTAAGAAGCCGCTGATGAGCTTTTGCGTGCTCAACAGAAGGAACATAATCTTCTTCATTATAAGATAATTGCGCGGAGGATGGGGTATCATTTGTCGGTGGAGAGAAGACCGTGATAGGCCGGCCGGAGGTTGATGTTGACGCAGGTTGCTCGGGAGCAGATCCTGGAAGCGAGTTTTCCTGTCCAGTAGCTGCGGAAACAGCCTGTTCACCCGGAACCTCTGATTGTTTAGAGGCAGCCGCCTGTTCGTCAGGCGCACTGGTCGTTTCCTCTGCGGTAGAAGCTGTGGAGGCCCGATTTGGGTGCGCTGCTGGCAGTTCGTCCTCGGCCGACTTGAAGTATTCACCAATCTTTGTCATCGCTATATCGAGTGGCTCCTCTGTCCGCCGGAAGCTGAGTCGGATAAGCACGTTGCCACTATTGAACCCCAGCTGGGCCAGGGATTTCTGCAGGTCCGTGAAGCTTGACAGCTCGCGCTCCAGGATTTGAAGGACCGGAATCTCGTAGAAGAGCCGCCCTGCACCAGAGTCACCAGTAGTAGCAGGGACCCCGCGTGCGGTGAGGTTCCGAACAGGTCCAGTTCCTGCTACTCCAGCCTCAAATTTGCGCAAGACCAGCCAAAGTGTTGTCGTACTGGGGAACTTGTCTAGTATGCGTCCGTTTTGAGCCCCGCGGGCTTCAGACTCAGGAAGTTGAAGAGCGACTGTGACAACTGAGGGAGAGCGGGATAGCTGTACAAGCTCGAGCTTTGCTCCAGAACTGAGGCCAGAGAGACGGAAGGAGAGGGAGAGGTCCAGTTGTTTGCCGTTGTGTCTGAAGTATTAAATGTCAGTCTGGTCATATCATGTCTCAGCAGGGCAGGGGGCATATTGACTAACTTGAGACCATATTGACTGGAATTGTAACCAAGCTTTGAGCATGCTTCTTCCAAAACATCGGTCAAGTGTTTGCCTGGGGTTGTCTTGACAGTTGCCCGCCTGGCCGTCGCGTCGATCACCACAACGTGGGCGCTCATGGCCGCGCTGTATGTATGAAGCTCTCTGTGAAATGAAGCGGTGGCAAGAATGAAAAAGTAATGGATTTCGAGTAGAACGCAGTATGATCCAAAGGTTAAATGGGTGAGCGACCCAAAATGTGGGGTGAGAGAACGGAAGAAAGCAGTCGAAGGTCGAGGCCGAACCAAATAGGCAGCGGTGCGGGCGTCATCCGAGCTCTGGCGCTCTCGCGTACCTCACAGCTCCCCGTCATCACCTCACCTCCCCCCATCATCCACCCCCCGACCTCCCTACCCAACCTTCTCTGTTCAGCCTGTCTCTCTTGCTGGAGCTCCCGAGAACGTCTTGCCAACTGGATTGATTAGAAAGAACCGCAATCATGGTAGGAAAATGTGTCCCTTGACCATGTCGCTCATTTCACTGGACTGCAAGCTAACCACCTCCTGCCATCAACAGGGCTCTCCCTTCGACATCAGTATGACGGACTCTGACCCCTGACATCCAACCAGTTAAACCCCTAACATATCCTTAGATGGCGGTGCCTGTGTCGCGATGGTGGGCAAGGACTGCGTCGCCATCGCCTGCGACCTCCGCTTGGGCATGCAAGCCCTGACCATTTCCAACAACTTCCCCAAGATCTTCAACTACGCTCCCTCCACCTACCTTGGCCTGACTGGTCTCGCAACCGATGTCAACACCGTCTCTGATCTCTTCCGCTACAAGGTCAACATGTACCGCCTGCGTGAGGAGCGCCATATTGCCCCCCAGACCCTGGCCAACCTGGTCAGCTCATCGCTGTACGAGAAGCGCTTCGGTCCTTTCTTCGTGAGCCCAGTGCTGGCAGGTATCAACCAAACGACTGGGAAGCCGTTTATTTGCGGGTTTGACAGCATCGGCTGTATCGATTTCGCCAAGGATTTCATTGTGAGCGGTACAGCGAGCGACCAGCTGTTCGGTACCTGTGAGGGACTGTGGGAGCCGGATCTTGTATGTGTGCACCGCTCGTATCCTAGGCCTTATCAGCTAATACCTCGTACTAGGGCCCCGAGGACCTGTTCGAAACCATCTCCCAAGCACTGCTGAGCGCCGTCGACCGAGACGCTCTCTCTGGCTGGGGTGCCCAGGTGTATATTATAGAGAAGGATAAGGTGACCCAGCGGCTACTGAAGGGACGGCAAGATTAAAGGGGAGGGGATGGACACGAGGGGTTCACACTGGTGGTTATTATTGGGCTTTCTGTTGGTCTGAGGGCAAATTCCGGCGTCTATGGTCTTCACTGGATGATGAGGTTCCATCGACGGTCAGCCACGGGCGAAATGCTACAGCAGTGACGCAAGGACAGTTGACACTCGCATCGAGAATGGACTCGGCCCGCAACTATATGGTTTCTCTTACTCCTATCATGATAATACAAGCCCCGTCATCACGTCACAACATTGCCCCGAAAGCTAAAACTGCCTAGTCTGACCTAGCGGCACTGACCGATACGAGGCCAGCAGAAGATCAATAGCCATCTTTCCCCTGTACAGCCTCATAACCTGCTCCATCCCTACTGAAGAATTCCTTCAGATCCCCAGCTAGCAGCTCAGGCACCTCCCACGCTGCAAAATGACCACCGCGATCGAACTCCTTCTCCTTAGTCACATTCCCGATGGCATGGTACCAGGCCATGGGCCACATCACAATCTCTTCCTTAAACTGTGCGACAGCAAATCGCACATTGGGTGGCGCGTGAGCTGCCAGGACCTGATCAAGGGTTATCCAGTTCTTGATCTGGCCATCCGGTTCGCCAGTGGTCTTCGTGCTATCGGGTCTCTTTGCCGAAGCCTCGTAGTAAATCCTGATTGAAGCCGCTGGCCCCGCCCGCGAGAAGAAGTAGATACTCACCCAGGTCAAGATTTCCTCATCAGTCCATTGGTAGCCGTCCGACCAAAGATGAAGCTTGTCATAGATCCAAGCCAGCAGTGCGACCGGACTGTCGTGCAAGCCATATCCCAACGTCTCCGGCCGAGTCGCCTGTTGCTTCATGTAGGCATTGCCACGCTGGGCGTAGTCCATGGTCCGAGCGATGCACGCTCGATCCTTAGCCGAGAACGGGACACTGGCCAGGGACTGGAGGAAGCGTAGAGGGCTTCGCCATGGGTAGGGAGGAACGACTGGGATAAAGTTTAAATGAATGGCTTGAATGTGTTTGGCATAGTATTGCGCCATAGCACGGGCGATCATGCTGCCCCAATCACCTCCTTGGATAGCTAGACAACTGTCAGTTGGAATGATAGGTTGTGGATAGACCCAAGGTTAACTTGCCGTATTCATCATACTTCAGCGTCATCATCAGTTTGTGGAGCGTTTCGGCGTACTGGGCTAGACCGAATCCTTTCTACAGGATATACTGAGTATACGCGTGTTAAGTCTCAGTAGTAGATCGAGGCATACCTTCAAAACCCCTTGCGAGAAGCCGAAATTGGGCAGTGAAGGCACCACAACATCGAATACGGGCCCTTCGTTGCCCTTGGTAAGCAACGGGATCAACTTGGTTGCTTCGAGGAAGCTACCAGGCCCTAATTGCAAAGAAAATACTTCAGTTGACATCTTGCCAGAGTATTGGAGCTAGAAAAATAAGGTCAAACATACATCCGTGAATAAACAGGAGCGGGATAGCATTCAGACTGCAGCTTCGATGATGGATGAAGTGGATATCAAGCTCCCCAAACCCATCCACTGAGATAGGGACTGTATACTGCTGAAGCTGCTCATTCAATCTCTTTTCCTGGGCTCGCCAGTCAAAATTTTCACGCCACACGGTGGCCAGTCGCTTCATCTCGGCGAGCGGAACACCCATGTCCCAGCCAGCACCGTCGAGCTCATTAGGGAAAGTAGCTTGCTCGAGCTTCTTGTGAAGCTGCTCAATTTGAGCATCGGGGACGGCAATATTGAATGGCGATACGATAGTCATTTTGGACTCTTCTTCGTTTCCTGGGCGAATCTAGCGACATGCAGGAAGGAAGCTGTATAGTAGCGCCTGCTCTTGAGGAGCCCCACAGCAGGGGAAGTTTACCCGAAACCCTGACTCGCGAGGATCAACCTCGGTATCACGCAGAGCTCAATATGCCCGCAGAAACAACCCCTCTATACCCTGTAGAACCAATAAATGAGTTGATTGGGCCTGCTAGAAGAATCTAATCATGTTCGGAACCATCCTTCCCTACCTACCGATCGATAGCTAGTATTTTAGAGCAAGTCTGGAAAAGGAGCGTGATTGATGTAAGATCCTACATCCCGAGGGATCGGCCGAGGAAAGAGATAAGTCATAGCACAATGAGTGAGATAGGATAGTTAGTTAGTTGAACCCCAATTAGTCACGTTTCCGATTCAATTGATAATCTCGGTTACGTTCGTACAACAGCTCTTCTGTCTTTGACGGTAGGAACCTTTCTCTGTCTCGCCCGCGGCGTTGATGATGTCGCATCAACAAACATTCGCAGCCACAGATCCCGTCTCCCCTTCCTCCTTTCACTGAGCTTCCTTGAAGCATTTGTCCCCTTCCACACCCACCATATGGCCTAAAGTTGAGGAGAGGTCAAGTCGAGGGAACGCAATCTCTGCACCTCAACTCAAGAAGAAGTGGTGGCTGATTTTCATATAATAATCCCAAAAAGCTTTCCACAGTGGCGAATTTCTACCTGGACGAGGCAGGAATGGATCGTTCCACCGAAATGCACTTACGGCTTCGTGGATACCCTTCGTATACGTGGACTTTGTCTTGATATAGATCAAAATTCAAAATCGATGTACAAAGCTTGCCAGGGATGTTTTTGATGATGTCAAATTCTCTGAAATCATTATCGAAAAGGGGTGCAGGGACGATTTCCATGTCGTTGCCATCAATTTCGTCGATCTAGTCTATCGCCGCAACTACCTCCCCCATCACGGCAGCATATTGTTTCATGACTTATTCTAAGATCTTAATCTCTTCTGTCTGATACTGGTGAAGTGGAAAGTACCTCAGCTTTGATCGCGCTGTTACCTGGGACTTTGGGGACCGGTGGCGGCCAAAATATAGACGAGGCAGCCTTTATCGGAGTTGTTGGTCACGATGTAAGAGTCAGTAATCCTTGGAGGGCATAATAGTACACAAGGAGATATCTGGTAGCATCTAGAAAGAGAACCGCTCTGAACTGATGACGTTGCATGGAATGACTCCATCTAGGATCATTTTGAGGTCTCTACCACTTATGGTCTGTGGGCTTGATGAGACGAAAGCATTCTGGTGCCAAAGCCCGAGGGTGTATAGCTTTGAGAGATATTAGTTTCCTCAATTTTCTGGGCATGTAAAGAGGTTGAATAACCTATTTTCGCACTCTAAGATAATTCCAAGTTTACCTCCTCGATGTGCTCAGCTTCTGGGTGTCTCTCGTTCATGTCTTCGACTTGATGAGAACTCGGTTGGCTGAGAGAACCGACGAAAGGGAGATGGGGGGTCAAGAGAAGACGGATGCAGGGAGGAGATGAGTCTCAAGAGCTGAGAGGGAGCTGTTATAAGAGTTTGGCCAAGAGCAAGAAGGTGAAGTACTACCTGGCAAGTCCGTGGGCAGCTAGATTGACAAGCATGGAAGGTTCCGGGGCCGGCCTCTTACGAAAGAAGTGAAATGTACTTAACCTAAAAATCCATCACTCCCTTGTACTATCTGCTTGAATTGAAAGTAAATGTGCGGATCATATTCGATATGTAAGCCTTACCGTTTCTTAACCTGGTCTGCTTTTGATTCTTGTCTTGATACTGTGCATAGTACTTCGTTGATGTCTCCGATAAGCAGATAATGCGTGCCTATCTTATCGCAGCATCATTTCCCCACGCTTCACGTTCCGAAGACGTGTTCTAGTCGACAACCATGGCCTCATCCCAGGCGCTTCGATCGCGGTATGCTACACTGCTGAAGCAGTTCACTACCTCAGCCAAGGAATTTGAAGTTTTTACCACTGTCCCTGCCGATAGTGCTCCTCCGACAGGGATCCTTTATGTGCTAGACTCGTCATTCAACCCTCCAACCCGTGCCCATCTCCGCATCGCCAGCACCGCACTCCTGGAACAACCGGAACCACGCTCTCGCCTGCTTCTTTTACTTGCTACACAGAATGCCGACAAACCGTCTAAACCTGCGTCTTTTGAGGACCGGCTCGCTATGATGGAACTGTTCGCGCATGACCTGCGGTCCCACCTCGCAGCTGGAAACCCCTCAGAGCCCGCGTCCCCCATGGAGCACATTCCCACTATTGACATCGCGGTCACAAAGAAACCTTACTTCATCGATAAAGCCGCTTCTATCGCGGCGTCGCATCACTATCCGTCCCCGCTCGAGCAAGTCCATCTCACAGGCTACGATACCTTAATCCGCATCTTCAATCCCAAATACTACCCTCCAGAGCATACACTACAGCCCCTCAGTGCGCTGTTCTCACAACATCGGTTGCGGGTAACCTTGAGACCGAGTGACGAATGGGGTAATAAAGAAGAGCAGGAGGAATTTCTCGCCAGTCTCGCTCGTGGGGACCTAGAGCACCAAGGCGGGCGAAGGGAATGGGCACAGCGAATCCAGCTCGTCGAGGGCAGAAAGCCTGCAGACCCGCCAGTCAGCTCCACCAAAGCGCGCGAGGCAGCGGAGTCCGCCCCTCAGGATCTACAATGGTTGGTCCCGGACACTGTACGACAGTTTGTGCTTTCTGAAAGGCCATACTCGACAGAGAGCCCGGGCACCAGGGTATGATACGTTGTCTCTTTGAAGACCGAACTCGGGCGTCAGATGCAATTTCGTGACGCTCACTAGGCATCTTGCATCGTGTTTTTAGGTAAATGCATTTAGAACATGAAATATAGAACGCCTTGCCGATGGCAGCAACGCCAACTCCCACGCCTTGGGCTCGACCATACAACCCAAGTTTTGAACGTGTATCGTACAATTCCCACGAACGTGCCAACGTCCCCCTCATTCAGGGAGACCAGCCATTTTCAGTTGTCGGACCTGGTTTCTTCCTCCTCCCGCTTGCCCAGGGTATAAGCCAGTCCACCGCCGATCATGTTGACCAAACAGAGACCCATAGTTGCGCCACGAACAATGCCGCGAGCTCCAAACTTCTTCATGAGTGGTTGTCGGCGTCGGCCTGCCAGAAGTAGGTACAGCCCAGACCACGCCGCGCTAACGCCAGCAGTCTCCGTCTTGAACCCTTGAAGATTGGCATAGCTGGTGAACAGCAGGATAGGCGGAAACATCATTGGGAAGAATTGAAACGGACGCGCATGTTGCGCGAAGATGAGGGAGGCGAGTAGGGTCGGTGGGAACGAGTTTTCTAGAAGGAGGGGGATCAGTTCCTCTATTGTCATAGGCAAGGTAAAAGGCCCAGTGTGTTCAGTGAAATATCAAGCACATACCACCCCATGCTCTGAAGCGCTGCACCAGAGACTGCTTGGTTTCTTCGATTGTGGAGTCCTTGGCCATTTTGAAGCCGGCCAGGTTGGAGTTGACAGGCGTGGGATGAGGGAGGGACGGAACTTAGACTCGACGATAGGTCAGTACCATCTAGCACTGGAAAATCGTAATCGAGTCGCAATTATCGCCCGACTATCTCCTCGCAGATTTTGAGGTTGCAGGCTGTGGGGGCAGTTCGGAGCAGTGATGTACCAGCCGATAACCGCAGGCGGGCAGCGCAAAATGTCGTTCCCACGCTTGGCAAAGACACCTATCTCTACTATAGTTTTCCCTCAGTTGACAACCCCCCAAGTCCCTCCACTCAGCTACTCTCTTCGTCAGCCTTTCGCTTCATCCCCACGAGATCGGCTTTTGGGCTCATCGGCCGGTGTGCTTCTTTAGGCTTGACTCATCTGTCTGCCTTTTGAGGAAATTGGGATCCCCTTTCTCCGCGGTCCCGCGCCATCCTACCCACCCACCTCTCCGCTCCTGTCTTCCATTCGCGACGTCTGTGCATCCAGGTCGGCGAGCCATTTCGATTTCAAATCGCCATGCCATCTGCCACGGCGTCTGGCTCTGACGCCAACGGTAGTGGCGCGAGGTCGCGCGAACACAATCAAGGCAACCAGGATCGCAAATACACCCCCGAGCAGAAGGCGGCGGTCCTACGGATTCGAAAATGTTCGGCAACCGAGTTCTACGAGATCCTTGCGATTGAGAAAACTGCAACGGACAGCGAAATCAAGAAGGCCTATCGGAAGCAGAGTCTGTTGACACACCCGGACAAAAATGGGTATGATGGCGCGGACGAAGCTTTCAAAAGTGAGTGGACACATGACATGATCCTTCCTGCTGTTAAGCTGCCTACTAAAGACTCTCTTGATAGTGGTGTCGCGAGCCTTCCAAATCCTCTCCGACTCTGATAAGAAGTCTCGCTATGACAAGTTTGGAGGGGACCCTGATAGCAGATTCAACCCCGGACCAAGCGCCTCTAGCGGTGCCTCTCCATTTAGTGGGTTTGGTGGTGGATTCCCGCGATCCGCAGGGGGTGGTGGCCCAGGATTTGACGAAGAGATCTCACCGGAAGAGCTGTTCAATCGGTTCTTTAATGGCGGATTTGGAGGCATGGGCGGTGGTTTCAGCCCATTCGGTACGACCTATTCCTATTGTACCGCTTCATTTCCATGACTGACTATCTACCAGGGGGTCCACAATTTGTATTCAATATGGGAGGTGGCCCTGGCGTTCGCGTGCACCAGTTTGGAGGGGGCATACCACGGCGCAGACCTCGCACGACCACCACCAACAACAACGAGTCAGAGCCGGCCGTTGACGGCTGGGGTTTCGTTCGCCAACTGCTACCTCTCATTCTTCTTTTCGTCCTTCCTCTCCTCTCCTCCCTCCTAACCGGGTCTTCGACCCCAGCCGGCCCGACCTATCGATTCGATACCCCTCAACCTCCTCAGACCATGGGCCGCACCACACCGAGGCTCAATCTCAATTACTTCGTAAATCCACTAGAAGTGGAAGATTTCAGCGCACGCAAATTCCGACAACTCGACCAGCGCGTGGAAACGGAATACGTCTCTTTGCTTCGGCACCACTGCGAGTCCGAAGTGCATTTGCGAGAGCGGAAGATTCAAGAAGCACAGGGCTGGTTTTTCCCGGACATCGAGAAAATGAAGGAGGCGCGAGCGATGGAGCTCAAGAACTGCAGGCTGTTAGAGAAACTCAAAGGCAAATACTGAGCTGGACGACGAGTGTGTAATTTGGGATCGCGCTCGCGGAATTTATCCTTCTGTTCATCGTTCTGGTTATGTCAATAGCACGAGGGCGGCGTCTATTGGGCTTTATCAAATTCGCTTCGTCGTTCTGTATAGTGTTTGTTAAATGCATTCAGCCTTCTATATATTTTCCACCTGACAATAGGTATTGTCGTCTATTGGAGCCGAGGGTCCCTAGCTACCTAAGGTTGGTTGAATCCCAACTATACGCGTCCACCTCAGACCCAGCTCTATATCTCAAAAGGCAATGAAAAAGAACAACATAAATGACGACGGGGTTCTCACCGTGTCTTACCCTCGTTCCAAGCCCATTTTGCCGTAGCCGCGGCGTCCACTTCCCTGCTTAGTCAAGTTGCACTGTACCCCAACAGCAGAACAGGCGAGCGAATCTCGGCGATCATGACAGAACCTCCGGCTTCCTTTCATACATTCCCCTCCTTTATCATTTTCACCTGAGGGGAGCAGGATTTTGTATCTCCGCATTCTTAGGCTTATTGGTTCTGGACACCGTCGGTGCCGGTGTGCTCCTGTAGCTCTCGCTGGAAGGACTGCCACCCACCTAAACACTGTCTTCGACACTGCGCCTCATATCCCCGACCCCACCAGACGTGGTCTCTCTACCCCGGACGTGTCTTGGCCTTAACTCTACCGGGCGCAAAGATGTCGGACACTCTTTCTGACGCGGAAAAGGTCGGCTGGCGGTCTCCCCTTCTTCTCCCATTCCGCAGCCATGGCGTTCCCTCTCCGCAGCTCGCTAACATGACGTCTTTCGTGGGATTTTAGATTCGCAATAAGCGCCTCGCGAAACTCCAAAACCCGGCCGCACCTGCTAGTCCGCCTGCTGATGAATCTTCTGGCTCTCCTCCGATTCCCGCTAGCCCTTCCCCGGCACGGTCGCCAGCGCCGCCACAGCAGTCGACTGGAATCTCCAATGGTTCATCATCCGCTGCACAGAAACCGCAGCATCCAGAAGGGAAGCGGATCAAAATAACGCCAAGTGGTTCTGCCTCGGCTCCTGAAAGACCTCGTTCTGTTGGGCCGTCTTCATCCCGAGCTTCCACACCTGCGAAGTCTGATCCTACGCCACAAAGTATTGAGGACTTTGAGCACCATGTCCTGAGCGATTTGTTCAAGCTGAGTCTAGAGGAGAGCTCTTTCGGAAAAAAAGATCAACGAGTGTTTCTCCCCGGGTTGCGGAGTGAGCTGCAGGATGAAGGTCAAGAATTGCGCTTGCATACAGCAATTCTGGACCAAGCGCTCCTGGAAGCGGCATCGAAAGCAGAGAAGCAACGTCCGCTTGATTACTTGCTTCCTTGCTGGAACAGGATTCATGAAAGAATGAAGAAACCAGATCCAGATTCAAGAAAGTGGAATATCTACTGTGAGGCCAAAAGATTGTGTCTTAGCTATTGCATTTTCGCGATTACGATGCCAGAGATGTTTGGGTATAAAATTGAATTCCAACTTGATAATTCCCTGTGGCGTATGCTGACATGTTGTTGCACAGAATTGACTCTCCCGAGTCTCCATTGGCTCGGCAGTTATTGCTGAGCCCGGATGACAAGAGAGGAATCCATCCTGACTTCCTCAAGGAAATAGCCGGAAAGTTTGATGAAGATGAAGGCCTCAAGCCCGCCTTGATTGTTGCGGTTGAAGAGTTAAGCGCCCAGCTGTCATCTAAGGATGCTAATGGCGACTTTCAATCCTATTTCACTGTATGTGTTTTCCTTTAAAGACCCCGAGTCTCTATACTAATCGCAGCGACAGGCGTTGAGAAACCTGGTCGTTGATAAGACCATTGCAACTGCTATAACCGAGTCTTCCGTTTTCAATGCTTCGAAAGACCCAGCTCAATTTGAGAAGTCTACTCTTCTGGGACCCTGGTTCCGGATCTCTCCTCTTCAGCCCAAAGTGACAATGTCATACTTTTCCAGTCCCACGACCCGAGACAAGGGATTCATCGCGAACTCGCAAAACTCCCTTCGCATGATGCAAAATATGATCCAGTGGGACCTCGACTTCATCATAGACAAAATTATTCACTCCTCTCGAGAGGCTAGGTACCGAGTTCTGGATTGGGCTGCGACTGCTTTGAATATTAATCATAAACGACGCGCAATGCAAGTTGATCCTGAGCAAGTCGCCTCTGATGGCTTCATGTTCAATCTCACGTCCGCTCTAGATAAGCTTTGTGCTCCAATCATGAACATCCAGTTCGCCAAAATCCATACCCTTCATGCGGAGTATCTCCAGCAAAGCCCTCGAGTGGACATGCGAGATGAGACAAAGATCAATGCAGACCAGCATGCCTCTGATGCATACTATTCCAAAAAAGTGGACGGCAGCCCCAACTTCAACAGCGAGGTCTTTTTCCTAACAATTGCTGCACATCACTATGGTAGTGAATCGCTGACCTCAAAACTGGAACAACTCGAGAAGGATCTCAGACATATGGAATCCACAATCCACAAATTCGAGCTTGAGCGGGACCGATGGGCTGGAATCCCCACGCAATTGCGCATCTTTGAGCAGGCGCTCAAGAAATACCGCGATAAGCTCGACCTTGGGCTGGCATTGAAGTACAGCCTCGGAGCTGTACTTTCTGACAAAGAATGGCAAAGTCGCTCGATAGAGTTTATTCGCCATGTCGCTGTCTGGCTGTTGAGAGTTGCCTCAGGAGTGGATTTCCCGAAAGAGAAGTTCACTCTGCCTCTTCCACAGCAGCAACCTGAAGTTTTCCAATGCTTGCCGGAGTATTTCCTCGATGTCATCATCAACAATTTCAAGTTCGTTAGCTTGTTCATGCCAGAGACCGTCACTGCCACTCTAGGCGACGAATTGGTGATGCTGTGCATTACATTCCTGGAGAGCTCCAGCTACATAAAGAACCCATACCTCAAGGCCGGCCTCGTTTCAATGTTGTATCGAGGCACGCTAGACCGTGGCAACGGCACCCGCGGTGTCTTGGTAAACCTGCTCAACTCGATGCCGTTTGCCAACGAGTACCTCTTGCATGCTGTCATGAAATTCTACGTTGAAGTAGAGCACACTGGAGCCCATACCCAGTTTTTCGACAAGTTCAACATCCGGTATGAAATTTTCCAGATTATCAAGTGCATCTGGCCCAACACCTTGTATCGAAAGAAGTTGGCCATTCAAGCCACGCAGAACCAGGATTTCTTCGTCCAATTTGTCAATTTGCTATTGAACGATGTGACATATGTACTTGACGAGTCCTTCAGTGCCTTCAAAACCATTCGCAACCTGCAGGATGAACTCAAGCGCGACGGAAGCTCAATGGACCCTAATACTCGGCAACAGCGCGAGGAGCATTTGACGACCACCCAGCGCAGTGCCAAATCTTACATGCAGCTGACCAACGAGACAATGGCCATGCTAAAGCTCTTCACTGCCGCACTGGCCGACTCGTTCACCATGCCAGAGATTGTCCAGCGGTTAGCCGACATGTTAAATTACAATCTCGACGCCATGGCCGGGCCCAAGAGCTCCCAGCTCAAAGTGGAAGAAAATGTGAAACTGATGGCAGAGAAGTACGGATTTGACCCGCCAGTAGTTCTCAGCGAGATTGCGTCAATTTACCTCAACCTTATGAAAAAGCAAAGTTTTATCACGGCAATCGCTCGTGATGGACGTTCTTACAAACCTGAGCTGTTCAAGCAAGCAGCAGACCTTTTACGGCAGCACAATATGACATCTGAGGAAGACTTGCGACGTTGGGATCGTCTGCGAAAGAGTGTCCAGGAAGCCAAGGAGGCAGATGACCAGGCGGAGGAGGATCTGGGCGAGATCCCTGATGACTTCTTGGGTATGTGCACTTCTCCCGCTATTGGATATCAAGCAAGCTCTAATGTCATCCAGATCCTCTCATGTACACTCTGATGGAAGATCCCGTTATCCTGCCGAGCTCGCGGGTCTCGATTGATCGTTCGACTATCCGCTCGCACCTTCTTAGTGACCCTCACGATCCCTTCAACCGTGTTCCCTTGGTCATGGAGGATGTGCTACCTGGTAAACTTGCCCCATTAATATCCATCCAAACGCACGATCTAGCGCTAACCTGGTAACCGTAGATACCGAGCTTAAGGCCAAGATTGAGGCGTTCAAGGCAGAGCGGACGGGCAAGAAGGGCCCGGCAGCGGAGCAGATGGATACGTCTGCGGATTAAGTTTAACATCTGCCGGTTTCATGTATTCCACTTGTTAGACTTAGCTCCCCTGACGTACATAGACTGCCAAGGTGATAGATCGTGTAGCTTCTCATGACCGCCTTCCCGATTCGGCATGTTACATCATCGTCCGTGTCACAACTTAAACTCTACTTAAGCTTTAGCTTCCTCCGCATTGTAGTTTCCTCCCTTGCAAGTGTCCTCTCCAGCCCTTAAATCCACCATGGGCACCGCTCTTTCCACCTCCTGGGCATCTGTCCCGCCCATTGCCATGTTCTCCCCTCCAACTCCCGCGGCGTACACGACCGCCCTTACAATTTTTCAGTACTTCCCTGTGGTGAGTAAACAAAGAAGCCCATTTTCCCATTGACCTCGGAAAATATCCCCTGACAAGGTCATAGTGCACCATTCTGCAATGGATTCTTGCCTGGCACCCGGCGGGCAAAACATCCCTCCCGGAGTCACTTTTCAACATCCCAGGCCGAGTAGCCTGGTGCCTCATGGAGATTGTTGGTCCACTCAACTTGCTCTACAGCCTGTCTCAGACCACACCCTCCTTGTCTGAGCTACCAGCCCCGAACCAGTTGGTTGTAGCCCTATACTGCATTCACTATGCCAACCGGGCGGTAATTTCGCCTTTCTTTTCGGCGCCGAGCATGTCGCCTATCCACCTGTTTGTCATGGTGAGCGCAATGGGATTTAATTGGTTCAACTCTTCGTGTCTGGCTGGGTGGCTATCCGGCTACGAGATTCCCATCCCCGGATTCCGGACCAACGGTGCCGAGGCACTGGGCTCCTCTTCCGTGCGTTCTGAATCAATCTCACTGGTTCAAATACTCCCCATCATCGGGACTGTCCTGTTCATTATCGGCATGGCTGGTAACATCTACTCGGAGACGGCACTGTTCCAATTCAGGCGGGATGAAGCAGAGAAGCGCTCTGCAAAGAAATCGGACGAGACCCCTGCCAATGGCAACAACAAGTTCCACAAGGTCTATGTCATCCCACCGACAAAGGGCGTGTTTCGATCCATTCTGTACCCTCACTACGTCTTCGAGTGGTTGGAGTGGACTGGATTTGCTCTCGCTGGAGTCGCAGTGTTCCCCCTTTCTCTGTCTACTAAGATCGGCACTGCCGCTAGCGCAGGTATTGCTCCACCGCTTCGGCCTGCACCGTGGATTATTCCTGCTGCATGGGCCGCGGATCGGTTTGGGTTACCTCTTCCTCTGCCAGCCGTGCTGTTTGTCATCAACGCTGTTACAAATATGCTGCCCCATGCCCGATGGGGGCGCAAGTGGTATCTGCAAAAATTTGGAGAGAAGGGTGTGGCGGGCAGAGGTGCTGTCGTGCCGTGGTGCGCGTGGATGTAAAGTCGGTACTGCAAACAAAGACAGATAAGAGACGGGAATCTACTGTATGACGGCTCTAGAGTTAATGAAAGACAAAGTTCCCAACAGGGGTGTGACCCGGGGATTATAATGTCCAAATAATCCACTTTTATGTGTCATGTTACAGGTGAAACTTCGTGAACATACATTTATAGTAAATTGGATACAGCTCCGCGAGAACAGTACAGTAGGGCCATCAACGGCTCTTAGGAGGCACTCAAAAGGATAACCCACTGAGTAACTGCTTCCAATATAGGTACAGGCGGAGTGATACAGTACATTGAACCGAGATAAAGAAAAGCAGTATGCAAAAGGCTCCAACAACAAGCGGCGTAACAATAGATTCAACTCGAGTAAAGATATTACTATATCGGTGATAACGATGTCAGAAATTTATATCTTCGGTCGATCTTAGGGAAAAGATAGAGATCTGGTATAGAAACAATGTATTTGAACAGCTGATTCTACACAGTAAAAAAGGTCCTCGTTCTCCAGGTCCAGGCGACAGCAACTGCTTCGCAAGGACGGGAGAACAAAGTAATTGTTGAAATAATCGGCACCTAAATTGGCGGCACCCATGTTGAAATCGTTAGTCATGTTGAAACTCCGTAAACCCGCTTTTGGTGCCCTCTAATCCACAAAACCGTTGAAACCCGTATGTTGAACTTTTGGTATCATCGTCATAAAACTCATCATAAAACAAAACTCCCCGTGCCGGAGGCGGTAGGTTGAGAATGCCGCCTCTCCCCAATTAACACATTATAGGAAGTGAAACAAAGGAAATTGAAGATGCACAGATTTACTGAGCGTACTTCTGGCGGTAGTACTTGGCAGCCGCAACCATCTGGAGTTACGTTAGTAAATAATTCACTCGATTTTGGCATTCAACGATGCTTACCCCAGTAAGGGCGGCCTTGGTCTCAGGCCACTGGCGAGTCTTGAGACCACAGTCAGGGTTGACCCAGAGTTGATCAGGGCGGAGGTACTGCAGCATCTCCTCGATGCGGTCCTTGATCTCCTGCTCGCTGGGGACACGGGGGGACTAGATTATGACGTTAGTATCGGACTGAGGAGCAATAGGCATAATGGACTCTTACGTGAATGTCGTACACGCCAGGGCCGATCTGAGCAGCGAAAGCCTCGTCGATGAAGACCTTGAGGAGCTTGGCATCGGACTTGCTGTTCTCGATGGACAGGACGTCGGTGTCAAGAGCGGCAATGGCGTGGAAGAAGTCCTGGAACTCAGAGTAGCAGAAGTGGGAGTGGATCTGAGTGTCGTCACGGGCCACGGCAGTGGACAGCTTGAAGGCATCGACGGCCCACTTCAAGTAGGCATCGCGCTCAGAACCCTTACGGAGGGGCAGACCCTCACGGAGAGCAGGCTCATCGACCTGGATGACAGCAACGCCAGCAGCCTCGAGGTCAGCAACCTCGTCGCGGAGAGCGAGAGCGAGCTGCTGAGCCTGGACAGACTGGTGGACATCGTCACGAGGGAAGGACCACCGCAGGCAGGTGATAGGGCCAGTAAGCATGCCCTTCATGGGCTTCTTGGAGATCGAAACAGCGTACTTGGACTCCTTGACGGTCATAGGAGCGGGGCGAGACACGTCACCGACCACGATAGGAGGGCGGACACAGCGGGAGCCGTAACTCTGGACCCAAGCCATAGTGGTGAAGGCGTAGCCGTTGAGGCGCTCTCCAAAGTATTGAACCATGTCTGAAAACGGTCAGTGGGATTTTTCGACACGATGGCATAAGAGGGGAAAGAACGAACCGTTTCTCTCGCTTTCACCGTGAACAAGGACGTCGAGATCAAGCTCTTCCTGGATCTTAACAACCTCCTGGATCTCCTTCTCAATGAACTTCTCGTATTCCTCAGCGGTGATCTCGCCCTTAGTGAACTTGTTACGGGTAACGCGAATGTTCGCGGTCTGGGGGAAGCTGCCAATGGTGGTGGTGGGGAAGAGAGGGAGCTTGATGGTCTTGGTCTGTTCCGCAATACGGACGGGGAAAGGAGACTTGCGGTTGTGCATCTCGGGGGTGACGGCAGCCTGGCGAGCCTTGACAGCAGGGTCGTTAGTGCGGGGAGAGGTGGCACGGGAGTGCATCGACTTGGCGTTAGCCTCAAGCTCGGCGCTGACGGAGGCAGGGCCCTCAGTGACGGCCTTGGCGACGACAGCAACCTCAGTGAGCTTCTCAACAGCGAAGCTGAACCAGTCACGGATCTCGGGATCGAGCTTCTTCTCGCTCTCCAGGGTGTGGGGAACGTGCAGGAGAGAGCTGGAGGTGGCAACGACAACACGGTCCTTGCCCAGCTTCTGGATAGCGGCCTCAACCTTCTCGATGGCGGTCTTGAAGTTGGTCTTCCAGATGTTACGGCCGTCGACAACACCAGCGGACAGGATCTGCTTGGGGCCGAGGGCAGCAACAACGGTGTCGAGCTGCTCCGGGTTGCGGACAAGGTCGATGTGGATGGCGTGGAGGTTCTGGAGGGAAGAGAGGACATCGATGTTGTGGACAATGTCACCAAAGTAGGTGGCGAGGGTCAGGCGGGGAGCCTTGTCACCCAAGTTGCTCAGGACCTCGTAGGCAGGCTTGAAGGCGGCCTTGGCCTTGGGGGCAAGGTCGAAGACCAGGACGGGCTCATCAATCTGGACATCCTCGGCACCAGCGGCCTTCAGCTTGGACAGAAGCTCAACATAGAGAGGCAGGAGATCGTTCAGCTTGTCAATGGGGTCGACAGACTGGCCACGGTCGGCCTTGCCAAGAACGAGGAAGGAGACGGGACCCAGAATGACGGGGCGGGTGGTGATACCCTGGGCCTTGGCCTCGAGGAACTCAACGACAGGCTTGGGCTCAGCAGAGAGAGTGAAAACCTGGTTGTCCTGCAGGGTAGGCTTGACGTAGTGGTAGTTGGAGTCAAACCACTTGACCATCTCCAGAGCGGGGACATCGACTCCCTCCTTCTGGAGACCACGGCCCATGGCAAAGTACTCATCGAGAGGGTGAAGCTTGTACTTGCTGTACCGTTCGGGCACAACGCCGAAGAGCTGGATGTGGTCAAGAACCTGATCTGTTGGGGAATTAGCAAGCGAGTTCTGCTTATGAACATTGAGAGGGAGGGCGCTCACCGTAGAAAGCGAAGTCGTTGCTAGGAACAGAGTCGACACCAGCCTTCTTGATCAGACCCCAGTGCTCAGCACGGAGGCGCTTGCCCTCAGCAAGCAGATCATCGCGGGAGATCTTGCCGCCCCAGTAAGCCTCAGTGGCCTTCTTCAGGTCACGGACCCGACCCATACGGGGGAAGCCCAGAACGGAGCTGGAAGTCGTTAGTAACAGTCAACAGAGGGGCATTGAGGAATCCATAGAACATACGATTGGACCATTCTGACGGATGTGTGTAGAGAAGAAACGGAAAAAGGTAGTAAGGCGGGATCTCAGGAAGGATAAGTGATGCAAATGAACCCGATGCCTTTAGGGGAAGAAAGAAGAAGAAGGAGAGGGAGGAGGGAAAAAGCTGAGAAGAAAAATGGAGGGGGAAAGGTGGCCTAACCCCAAAGGGATGGAGGGGCAATGGTAATCTGACAGTACGGCGCGCTATTGGGGCCGTGCAGCAACGGGGGAAACTTCGGCGGGCTTTGGGTTCTGTGGTCGGGGAAACACTGCAAATGAGGTTTGTATGTATGGTAATGCTGCCGTAACGGTAACCCCACCATAGGGGCAGGTCTCCGTGATCGGCGGGAATCACGCCATTCCGACACGGGGCGATAACAGCGGGCGATAACCTAGCAAAGGAGAGCTTGCAGCTTCTATCGAGGGTAAACTAAACCAGGCTAATGTTCTATCTGAGAGCTTTCAGTCCAACATGGAATTTGGAAAAATACCCTTTTCTGAACAATTACGCTGCCAGAGAACGGCAAGCGCGAGCCAACGAGCCAAGGAGCCAAACATGCTCATCGGCGGGGTCAGCCGGAAGCCACTTCTCGGAACCGGTGAGCTAGCTCATGCAGGATACACCGCCAATCGTAGGCCAGAGATATTCCATGTACTCAAGACAGGAGTGTGCCTCGACGGTGAGATGTCAACTGGGGGCATAAGGGCCAAGCAAATAGGTTGAAGATTAAAATGTAGACTCTCAAAGACCCCCGGCTCAGGCCGGATTTAGAAATATATTTATGCGGCTACTGAAGGCCTTTCAATTGAGGATTGGCAGGGAGCGCTGCTGGTCGCAGCCAGTATACTTTCAGTAATAACAGGACATTGTCAATGAGCTCACGTGTAAAGTATATGGATGCTAGGAGAAAGCGATTTGCGGGTGAGATGGACCACAAAGCTGTAAAACGATACGTGGTCTCAATCTACAGTAAACACCGAGAGGCAATGGCGGAAATTAGGGCAACCGCATCAAGATCTACTATCCATCTTCTAACAAGACTTCATCGATTGAAAAAAACGACGCCGGTTATCCATAATACATGATGTTACCTGCATCGAGCCAGGTCTCGGAGGCATCTCCAAGCTGTGTAATTAACTCCAATTTTGAGCTATCGTGCCTTCTGTTGACGTTTTGTGTCAGAAACGGAAGATGCACAACAATATCAGGCAGGACCGTATTTCAATGAGGAAAGTCCCAAGGAGAGCTCCCTTCTGCTATCAAAAGGGCCATAGCTAGGCGGACTCCATCCTCACCATTATGCACATCGCTCCTTTCCACCAGGCAAATGGTGTTCCTCGACTGTCCTCGGTGGCGAAAGCCGCAACCTGCGTCGGTTCCTCGGCCATGTCGAGGCCGCCGGACCTACGACGCGCAGACGCAGCAGGGCCAGGCACAAAGTAAGGCTTCCTCGGAGAATGTCGAAACTCCCTGGAGATATTAAGAAGGGAGTTCTGACGAAGGCACAGGACTCCAATCTGGATCAGACAATGCTCCGTCTCCTTTTTCAAGATACCATCCCGAGACCATATCTCGCATGCTTCGGCGCCGATTCTCTCGAGAGTCCAAAGACTCCAGCGCACATCATGAGCCAAGCAAGTTCCTGTTTCCGTTTCCTCGGAAGTCGTCAAGGTCCGGCTCAAAAGCCACCACCGAGCTTACTGCGTTGGGAGACTATGGCAGCAGTTTGATGAGTGAGAGTCGATATGACAGTGACGCGCAATTCATTTCGACTCCGCAACGGGATCTCATGGATTCCCCGGCAAGCCGTGGTCGTCGCAGGATGGAACTGAGCAACTTGATTGAACAGAGTCACGAAAATGGTGAATCTGAGCGTTGGGCCATCGGCCATGGTGATAACATTCCAGAACCCCCCGTGTCTGCCTTTGGGATGCATTTCATCCATACCCCTCCCAGCAGTATGAGAAGTCAGCGCAGTCCGTACCACAAAGTTCATGATGCGGCCTTCGTTGAAGGCGAACGGAAGCATGAGCACAGCATCAAGTTGAACTTGGCGCGGTCCCTTCCCAATCTGAATTCAATCAGCCAAGGATGCAGGGGACCAATTTCAGTGCCGCCGCATGCGCCCCATTTCTCTGGGGGTCCCAATGATCAGAAACATTCCAGAGACTGCCAATCCATGGGAATTAGTAACCACAATTACGGCGTGGCTGCTTCAGGCTCGCTACCGAATCAATCATCCGGCATGATGGTTGCCAAAAGTCGACAGCAAGCCGCCTCGAGCACCCCTCTGACTGGTACCCAAACCGTCCATCTGGAAGACAAGGGCATGTCACATCGATTTGCCCCTCAATGCGCATCATCTGGCCCCATGTCTTGCAATCTCTCAATTGATGACCTGATCCGCAACGACAGATACGGTGCATTCATGAACGCGTCACAAGAAACTATGCCTGCATCCCCGAGGTCAGCCACATCGATAGCCTGTGGACACGATCCCCGAACCCAAATTTATCATCAGCGAGATGGGTCTTCATATTACTCCCACCGGCCCAATCCTATTTCAGCTAATGCTTCTCGTGCCCACTCACCTGCATTGGACGTCGAGAAGCATATCGGTATAGGGTCCAGAAGCACCTTCAAATTGACAGCTGAGGACGCTAACCTTCATCATGGCTCCCCCCAAACAAATGGCATGTTGAGTAGCAAGTTTGAAGAACACTGCGATAACGGCAGCCCAGAAGCCCAAGTTCACCTTGAGTCCAACGATATCCATGGCATAGGGTCCCCACGCAAAGTCAGTGCCGGTTGGATGTCTGGAGGTCGACGGGTGGGCTATGGCTATAGTCCAGTGCCTAATGATGAAGCCGTGCAGCATACGCAGCATTGCGATAGCCATTCGCCTGTGCGACCATGTTCAACCCAGAAGACAGAGCCAGTGATTCACGATGCCAACCTCCAGAGAGGCCATGCTGGTCAGTCTCACGGGGGAAGAACTGACCATGTGTATGCAGCTGAGCCAACCATCCCGGAAACTAAGTCTACCCCAGTCAACCATCATTCAAACCGTCCTGAGGTCGGGCGTGCTACTGTTCCCAGAGCCCGAAATCCCACTCGAACGATCAATGACTACCCAGAACCTCCCTACCTTCGAGACATTCTTTCAGGCCGCTACAGCGAAGAGCATGATCGCGAATCTGTAATATCAGATGAAAGAGGCACTGGAAGTCTTCGTGCAGCCAAAGTGCCTCCAAAGAGTCAAGCTGAACACTGTCAAGTTCCGCAGAGCTCGCATCATGTCAGCCGACCCGCCGACACCCCGCTGCACCGCTGGGCTCGCCTGAGCCAATCGATGAAGGCAAATCCACTGACAGTAAAGGACCAGAAAGGCCGCAGGTCCGGGATCAGGGGCGTAATCCAACCAAAGAAGGGGCAGCAGGTCCCCAATTCAGGCGATAACGCAGTGGATATTGACCCAGATTACCTCGGCATAGAGCACGACTTGACCGGTGGAGACGTGGCTCATCTGTTGCGCCCAAGCAACTCCCGGGGCGCGAAATGGGTACGCAGGTTGTCTAAGCACAAGGAAAGCACATGGCACTCGAATGTACACCAGCAGGAAATATCACAGGCGTCGTCGGGTCCATACCTTGACTGTGACCATAACGACCTTGAGCGGGCAAATTCTACCAAAAGCACACTCGCGGAAGACTTTGCGAATATGTATCAGGGGTGTCTGGATATGCCCGGATCATTTGAAGGCAGCCGCTGGGCTAATCGAACTAGTCGGATGTTGTGGGACCTGGTCACGACAGATGATGATCAGTGATGGGCGTTCACTTGAGCGAAGAAACGAATATGAAGAAGTTGTCCATGTTGGGACTTTCAGGCTCTATTCATACTGAGCAAGATTGGGCATTGGGCTATATTGTTAACGGGGAGGCATTGGGAGTCAAATTGTCAAGGATGGATGTAGCTCCCACCACCAGAATGTCATTAATCGTACAGTAATATCCAGATCCTAGCGCCGAGTATGATACAGTTGGTAAGAAAAGCAGATTCTGCAGGTACAAGCCCAAGAAGGAAGACAAAAAAGCAGTCAGCGTCGCTGCCGCTTCGAGCTCTTGTCGCTGACGCTGCTCAACACACTGGCAGACCGCTTGTGCCCCCCGTCTTCTTTCGTAGGCGTCTCCTCAGCTGCACCATCAGCGGCAGCTTCACTATCCCCTGCTTGTCCAGTTTCGCCCTCGCCGCCTTCAGTGGGGGCTCCGGACTCTAGCATGCTATTCCCACCGTCCTCCGTCTCCGTCTTCACCTCTGGATGCTCAGGGTCTTTACTTGAATTCTCAGGTACGTTCCTGCGCTCGCGCTCTGCCTTGGAGGCTTCCAGAACGCGGATCTCGCTCTCGACCTTCTCGGAGACCTTGCGGGCGTCCAGGAGCAGGTTGACCGACTGGATGAGCTTCTCGAAGTCCCTGCACACGCGCTCAGTGGGCATGAACAGGCGCACGGGGATTTCAAGCTCAGCCAGGGCACCAGCTAGCTTCTGAGTTTGCACGTTAGACTTGGCCTGTGTGAGTTTCTGGGCGCGGTCGCTGCGGAACTGGACGCCTCCGGAGAGGCGCTCGTGGTGCTGGACGCCGTAGCGGGCTTCCTCGGCAGGCGTGAGGGTGCGTACGGCTGGTTGTGTCTGGGACGCAATCGAGCCCTTCTTATTGTTGGCGGCTGAGTTTGTGGTGGGCGTTTCGGCGCGGCCGAGCGCGCCGGTTTGTGTAGGGGTTTGGCTGACTGGGCTGGGGACGGCACCTTCGGGACCGAGAATGGAGCGGCGTTTCTTGCTCTTGTCGGCTTGGAGGAGGGTCTGAAGGAGTTGGGACAGACCTTGGCTGGACTGGTACATCGCGGTGTTCCCGACGCTGATAGGGACTTCGAGGCGGGAGTAGAGCTCGCGGCGTTCGGTTATGAAGTTCTGCTCATTGCTTGTAATGCGCTTCAGTTCTTCCAGCAGCATGGCCTCCTCGCGCACCTCGTCTGCTGTGCGGTTGAGCTGAAGGGCGGCCAGTTCCTTGCGGTCCCTCTCGCGGTCTGGGTCAAACTTCAACATTTGTTCGTGCAGCGCGAACTCAGCCTCGGACATTTCGGAGGGTGGATGCTCGATTGCTAGCATGGTGGCAGCGATGTAGTAATATCGCGATTTCATCTGCTCCATCGTCCGGTACTGCTTAGCCGGCACAATCGCATCGGCGTCGGGCTCTGAGTCCAGATGCCGCTGGTAGTCGTAGCGGTCTGCAATGATCACCCAGCGAAGATCGTATTCGGCTGCGAGATCCATCAAGTAGTCCGTCTCTTCGCGGCTCCAGTCATCACTTTTCAGGTGCCGGTTGTACTCTTCGTCCGTGTACCGTTGAGGTAACCGTGCTTTGACGTTGTACTTGGCGAACGTATATTCTTGCTCCTGCGGCTTGGGCGCTTCTTCTTTGCCTGCTTCCTTGGTCTCATCTAGTTCCATCTGGGTTGCTTCGGGTGCGGGTGGGCGAATTGACTCGTGTTCTCTTTGCCAGTGGTTCAAGACCAGCCCGTCGGACCTGGCGCTGTTCGCAAAGGGCGTCATGCACCTGTAAAGAGGCGAGGTTAGCCTCCATCGCGTCTCCCAGCATCAGCTATCGCGCGTACCATTTCCGGACTCGTAGCTTGTTCATAAACTTTGGGCGCCCTTTGTACTTGTTCTCGTTGATCGCGATCGGAGGTGCCCGTTCACCGAGCAGCGCGTACAGCTCACGAGTGATACCCTCTGTAGACAATTATTAGCTACCGATCGAGCGCGCCTAAATCATTTTACACGAACCTGGTCGCTTCTCGACGACTTTCTGCTTCTTCGTCGGCCTGGGCTGGCCCTCAGCGGGCAAGTCCAGCATGTCGCGAACGTCTGCGGCGGCCGCCATGGTGACTCAAACGAGACCTACTCTGGCCAAACAGGGGTTTGTGAAAGATGAAAGGGTATATCACGACAAGCAAGCTGAACAAACGGTGCCAACCCAAGTAGATTCCCTGGATGCCGATGACATAGTCGAGCGATGAAAATCGAACGCGGCTCCCTGAGCAAGGGTGACGTACGAAAGTAGCAGGCGGTGTGAAGCCGCGATGGTGCCAGATGGTCAACACTCCACTGTTGACAAGTCGACCAGCAGCAGCATTGCCTCCAATTGCTCAAACACCTCCAGCCATGGCTTACCAGGCATCCTCACCGTCATGGCTTGCGGCCGCTCTGGCCCTCTTCTCCCTCTTCTCTCTGCTGCTTCCCGCCAATGCCCTGTACTTCTACGTGGACGGCCGCCACACAAAGTGCTTCTTCGAGGACCTGCCCAAGGACACCCTGGTAGCAGGTACGGAATTGTTCCAGCAGCAGGACTCAAGCCCATACTAAGAGCCAACTCGCTAACTATCATATCTGTTGACCAGGCAAATTCGAGACCCAAGTGATCAACCCCAACACCAACACCTACGCGATCGACCACAACCTCCAGATGCGGATCACTGTCGACGAGACCTTCGACAATGACCACCGCGTCGTTAGCAAGCGCGAGAACCACTCCGGACGCTTCACTTTCTCTGCCGCGGACGCCGGCCAGCACCGCATCTGCTTCACGGCTGAAACCGATATCTCGACTTCAGGCTGGATGTCCAGCGGCCAGGGCGCCGTCAAGGTGACGCTGGATATTGCCATTGGCGAGACGAGCAAGATCGAGACCGAGGACAAGGACAAGATGAAGGATATCGTGCAGCGTGTGCGTGATCTGAACGGCCGCTTGCACGATATTCGTCGCGAGCAGGTGTACCAGCGGGTAAGCTTACCGCGACCCCCTATCATCTTTCCGAGCGATGGGAGCTTCACCCATGCTCCGCATCTACAGATGTATTACGCTTAGGAGAGTACTGACCATTGCCTTTTCTACAGGAGCGCGAGGCTGAGTTCCGCGACCAATCCGAGACCACCAACTCCCGCGTCGTCCGCTGGACCCTGATCCAGGTGGCCGTCCTGTCTGCCGCTTGCGCCTGGCAATTATCGCACCTGCGGTCGTTCTTCATCAAGCAGAAGCTGACCTAGAGGGGTGGATCCCGAGATAATCTACTATTTGACTTTGTTTTAAGCCCCCTGCTACAGCCTTGCATCTTGCTTCGAGCCTCTTTGTACCACACACCCAGATTACGCGGATATTGATCTTTGGTTCTTACACGGGAGTTTATGTTTTCTGTTGTGGGAGACGGGCCGGTGGTGCCGATTTCGCTGGGATAGAGCCTGCATTTGACTATCTCGAGTGGTTGGATGCGGATATACTCTCTGGTTACAAAGTATTTGGGTCTACATTCCATTGAAAAAGGAAGGGTGTGGAGTGCGTGGAGCTGCATGGTCAGAGCAATGTTGATTTCGATAATGGATGTAATGATTAGTTTTTCTTTCCGATGTTTCAGGGTTTCCCTCGTACGCTCGGCCTACAGAAAGCTTGTAGAGTAAATGGTGAAGTTGAGATGTTCACTGATACTGATTGATATTGATTGATATTGATTGATTTTGACGGGGCATCATTCATTATGTCCACGGCAAAAGTTAATAAAGATATAAGATGGAGAAAAAGCCCAAAGTGGTATATCGCATGAAAAAGAAGTGAAAACGATCCGAGAATAAAAGACGCCAATGAACAATGCCAGAGTATCCCCTCGACAAAGAATGCCAAAAGTTCTTCCCAAAAGGTAGGAGAAGCGCTGAGGTCGCGTATAAAGAACGCAACAGAATAATTCGATGAGTGTAGTGGTGTTCTGGCAAATAATTGAACACAAGAAGCAAGCGCATCAATTGAACGCAAGTAGCTTCTAGATATCCGTCACGACTGTTTCAATCGGACCACCACAGAATCCAAGGATGAGCCGTTCTAAGTCCGACAGTTTGTAGGGTTTAGTCATGTAGCCCTTGATCCCCACTTTGGAGGCACGGTTCAACGCCTCGTCAGTGACATCTGCGCTGACAGCGAGGACGGTGGGAGGACGCTGTGCACAGAGGGAGCTGGTGACGGTATCCATGTCCATGTCGTCCGAGCTGGTGGTGATGCTCATCCGGCGAGCATCGTCGTCCGCACCGATGTACTGGCTCTGGTGGTCATCGACCATCTGAAGAATGCGAGATGTTGCCTCATACCCGTCCATTTCTGGCATCCAGAGATCCATTAGGACGATGTCGATAGGCTTCATCCCAGGAATAGGCTGTTGGGTGGATGGGCCGCCTTCTTCATCCGTCGGGGAACTATGAATGGATGACGAAGCGGACAGGATGTCTTGCACAATTCGTACAGCTTCTCTGCCATTGGCCGCCTCGAGAACGTCTCGGTAACCCAGCTTGCGCAGCATATTGACCAGCACACGACGGTTTATCCGATTGTCCTCAGCAACGAGGAATCGCAGAGGAAATTTCTCTCCGAGCTTCTTGTCGTATGTGTCGCCCAAAGTCCGGTTGGGCCGAGATTGCGACAGTGTCCGCGGCGGTGTCGAGCTTTGAGATGTATTTTCATCGGTGGTATTTGGAGTCGGTTGCTGGAGTTGCTGGGTCTGGGCAACGGAGGGCGAGGCAGATGACGTGGGCTCCCAGATGAAGCTACTGGCGCTGCCATGTCGGGAATGGTCATTGAAGGTTGGGGGTGTCATCATTCTCTCTTTCGGGGTCCCGGGACGGTTATAGGCCTCATGCTGGTTCACGGGAACTCGAATCTGGAATTCAGAACCACGATCGGGTCCCGTAGTGGAGGAGCGAACGCAAATCAAATCACCGCCCATCTTCCGCGAGAGTCCCTTGGCCACAAGGAGGCCTAATCCTAGACCGTCCTTGCTGCGAGTGGTAGATGCATCTTCCCGGGAAAAAGCCTTGAAAAGATTGGGCAAGAATGCCGCGGGAATGCCTGGGCCAGTATCGCGCACAAGAATCAAGACATCGCTGGCTTTAGAGCCTACAGTCGCACAAACGGTAATTGTGCCATTATTAGTGAATTTTATGGCGTTCAAGAAAACACAAGAGATCAACTTGGCCAAATCTCTGTCGTCGGCAAGAAGAGTATCGGGGAGAGCAGGATCAACAGACCACTCCACAGTCTTGGTAAAGAACTCGCCATTCGACGACCGGGATCTAATCTCAATCTTCTCGCCAAACTCAGTCGCCTGGCCGATCGCTGAATCAGGTCGGCCGCCGACGTGGAGAGACTCGTTGATCACCAAGCGAAGAAGATCCCGCAGTTTGGTAAATCGAAGGGCTGGGCTTCGCAAATTCATATTGATGCCCTCTAGGAGCAAATGAGGAGCCGATCGTCGAACTGCGAGTGACGGTTGCGGGTCCACCATGTTGGCCATGACTGCTTCAATCTGGCGTGCTGGCGTAGCATGAACGATCTGTTCACTTTCGTGAACCGCGTTCTTGACTTCCTCGCTGCGGGGGGAGAGTCCATGTCGCGAAGATGCTGCACGAAGTCTCTGCTTTCGGGCCGGGCGATTATTCACGTCCAGGGGAAGACTTCGTCGCCTTTTATATGGGTTCACTGCAATGTGGTTTCCTTCGATGAAGATGCTGGGGCGGATTTCAGTAGAATCGGTGGCGAGGACTGGGTCGATAAGAAATCCGTTCTCTTGCTCCCGCTGAGGTGTTTTCGGAACCTGCATATTCAGATCATAGGCATGGACGACGTTGTCGGCGGCTTCGACGGCCCGCCGTGCACTGTCCTGAACCATCTCAATGCCCTCTTTGAGAGCTTGGAAAACACCGCCGGACTTGACAGGGGTCTTGCTTTCCATGGCCTCTCGCACGGTGGCATGCATCACGTCCAGCATGCCCACCACACCTTGCATCGGAGTTCGCAGCTCATGTGATAGACTCTTAGCGTAGGGTTTGAGAGGATGGGTGGTGAAATGAGAGGAATCAGGAATATGGTCGTGGTTGGGGTTTGAAAATGCGGGAGAATTGAGGGTCGGAGACTCGGCATCTTGGTCATCGGGGAAAAGGTCGTCTAGCAAGAGTCGTTGAACGATCAGGTCCTCCAGGGAATGCAGGAGCATTTCGAGAAATGACCAAGACAAGCTTCGAGTTCGTACGCCGTCCTTGGACCACATCAACCCGAGATGGGCCAGGCATTTGCCAGCCGAGAAGAGCGGAATCGCCAGGTACGCGTCGGCGGCGAAAGGCAGTTGGTCGTCACCAAACGACACAAGGGATTTGAGATTCTCAGGTATAAGGCACGGCCGTTCATGATCCATATGTAAAAGCGGGTTGCCACCTGCGAAATACCGGTTTCGCTGCAGTCCGACATTCTGATACCCGTCGTTGTAGTAGAACACTGCCCCGAAGAGCGACGGCCGGCGCCCGCCTAGTTCAGGCAGGGGCTCGCCGCCGTGTATCCGTCGAGCGACAAAGCCATACTGAGCCTTGCTGATCGAAGTGAGGTCCTCCATGAGCCGTTTCCAGAACGGCTCGGTATCCGAGGCCCTCAGCCCCTGCTTAAGGGTGACTAGCTGCTCAATGGCGGCGGTCTGGGCACCCTCGTTCCAACTCCTGGCGGACGCGTCAAACTGGGCGTCCCCGTCATCGCGCACCGCGGCGAGTCCATCGGCGATGCATTCAGACTTGCAGGAGGGGAAGGACATGGCGGGACGAGGATGGTCGGATTTAGGGACATCGGACTCGGGCGACGTGGACATAGCCCATATGGGGGGGTAATATGCGAAACACTCTCTTTATCTGGGCAGGACAGCAACCATGGCTTTCGGAGGGACCGAATGGTGAAGCCGGGTCGAAGGGCCTCCGGATGAGATGCTGGGATGGGATGCTGGAATGCTGGAGGAGAGAAAGGCGGGAGGGGGAACCAGGAGGGGATTTTCCCGGTGATGGGGCCGGGCGGTTTGGGCGGTCGGGGCGGTCGGTCTAGACAACTTTACTCCCCAAACGTGCTCAGGCTGAAACCACCAGTTCGTGGGTCAGGGCCAGGGCCAGGCCGGGGACACTGCTCACATGGCCATGGCCGACCCAGGCTTCTTTTCTGCTCTTTGCTCTTTGCTCTTTGCTCTGACGTCTTGTCCCCTGATCCGATACTTGCTGACCTTCCCTCCATCTCGCTACACTGGCCATCTTGTGCGGAGACAGCAACACGCGCCGCACGATCGGCCGATCTAGACCAACGGTGTGCATTCCGAGTCTCAGCCGAGCGCCGTCAACCGGCCCTTCAAAGTACCCAGTACAGGCCCGGACCATTTTGACCGGTCGCATTGGGCGGCACAGCACAAGTCTCCAGTACGGGCAAGCACCCCCCGCGAGCCTTTGCCGGTGGCTTGGCCCCAGATATCGGGGTGCGGAGGTAGCAAACACCTCCTCAGCCAGTTCAAACACAAAGGGATAGATACATCGAGCTTTTCCCCCTTGCACTTCTCGGCTGTGAAGTGTCGGATATTCAACAAAATGCACTACGGTGGAGTACAGTTGCCACATATTAAGCACCAGCCTGTCTCAGGGGAAGATTTCGCGGGCAACATCGAGTTCGTCGCAGATGCGGGGCGGCTTGGAATCTGCGCTAGTTGGCATTTCACTACACTAGGCCCAAAGAGGCACGCTAACCGACGCGAGGATGATACTTCGTTCGATTGTTGGAGCGCGCTCGTACCCTCTAGTCTTCCGTGACCAATTACCGGTGCCGACAGGCTAGTCTAGCGGCTGCATGTCGCCTAAATAGGCGTCCGATCTGAGGGGCTAGACTCGCTCTTTCCTGCGGGGTGACGACATATGACAAACGACCTGAAGATCTCGCTGGGCTTGTGAGGGCCACCATGAGACCCTTTGTGGTGGTACTGTGGAGGTTGCATTGGACGGCATTGAATCTGTGTGGCCGAGAAATCTATGTATCTTGTCCCCATTCCGGCCGCCTCTCTGCCCACTTGATTCGTCGTGCATCTTGCCGAGAAACACTGGATCGAACCAACACAGGCTCTCCATTCCAAAATGCCACCTATCAGCAAAAGCAGCCGAGGGGATGAGGTGAAGTGCAAGGTTAGTCAATCCTGAATACATTGCGCCTAAAGAGGGGGGTTCCAAAAAGGGCTAGCGGTGCTCACACAAGCCACAGAGCCGAACATTGCGCGCTCGGTTCATCACGAGACATTCCAACAGGTACCTCGAAATCAAATGAACCAAACGAGCCGAGAGGCGGAAAACAGGAACCAGCCTGGTGGACGCTTTGAGGGTCACCAAAAAAGCAGATGGGACGGCAGCGATCTGGTGACGGGTCCAAAGAGACCATTCAAAACTGAAAGGTGGACTCCCAGGTTGCTCGGGTGCCCTGATCCATTACGGACCAGAACCCCTGATTCGTTGAAGTAGACCATCTCCTACTCAAGGTGATGCTATTTGACCTCCAATAGCAAGATTGGTCTCTTCCTGCAGCTTACTTTGGCTTGGCCAGATCTTTCAATTCCGTCAACAGATGCCTGTAGCGGCGACCTTGTGTCAATGAATACATTCTCAAGGAACCAGATCAATTACACAATATAGGCTTTGCAACTCCCTGAATCGCACAAAATGCAGGTGAAATGCTGCGCTCCCCGGGCCCAACTCCATCGTATTCAGTCGATCATGGCATTCAGCTCAGAATCCCAATCCCACGCTGGCGAACCCCCCTCTTCAGAAGCCATGGGCGACATGATCGATACAGGATAGTGAATCAGAATATCTGGATCGACTAGATCACTGGTCTTGTGCCCTGGAGAGTGAGACATCGCCGCCTCCAGCGGGATGGCCCCCACCGCACCAGGCGTTGGTGGCGTCAAGTAGCCGGGACCAACATCCAGCAGATCGAGCGGGCCGTCAGTCCTGGGCTGTGCAACGTCAAACACGGGATTGTGCGGGTCCATCATGGCCCAGTAGTCGATTACTGAGCAGAGGACGGCAGATTCGGTGGTGGTGAGTTCGTCCACGAGGGGCTCGTCCCGGAGGAGTAAATCGCTGTATCGCCCGCATTGGACGGCGAAGGACCTCAGTGCGCTGGCCTGTTTCCGTAATTAGCATGGTTGCTTTCAAAACAAAGTGGCCGGGAAGGTTGATTCACCATCGTCTGCGCATATGTCCACAGTTCCGAGACTTCGCCCAGGTATTCTAGCGATGTTTTTAGATACTCCGCCGAGCTTTGGCCGACAGCCATGTCGTCACTGTGAAGATACAGTGCATGTATAGTACTGGCCACGAGGATGCAGTAGCTGTATACCGAGGGGACGGGCATGTATCCCGCTGCCTTCGCCTCAACAAGCACGGTGATCACGGAGCCGGCATGCATCAAGCATGTGGCGCGAGTGTCTTCCAACCAGGTGGGAGGCATGTCGGAGCGGGAGAGAGATTGCATCTTTAGACCGAGAAGATACGGATGGCTGAGAATGCAATGGGAAAGGTGGTATAATGTATGGGAAAGCACCATGTGCGCAATCTGCTCGCGATCGCGGTCTTGCATCTCATGTGGAGGACGAGCTTGCCCCGGTGCAGCCAGGACGGGACTATTACTGACGGCGAGCTCTTTCAAAAACTCTAGATCGGTGCAGATGGCACGGTATGCTGATTCGAGATGCCATGGTGCCTCGATCTTATCTGCCTCGTTCATCATGCACTTGATCGTCCGCCCGAGCACAGACGCCAACGCGATACTAATGCCGAACATTCCCGGCCGCATCGACAGGTCTCGATTCCGCTCATCTAAGAGTCCCTTCAATGTCGTGTATGGCACCAGGTTCCTCGAATAATGAGGCGTGGGTAGATTAAGGCGACAATCCGAGTCCTGGATGGCGGGCGGTCGTTGAAAGGAGCAGCCCACGAAGCGATCTAGGAGGTATAATGACCAGAAAAGATGCCTTCGTTCGTCACGTTCCATGTTGGAGAAACCCGAACCAGGCTCCAGCATCAATTGTAGATCTTGGCTGATCCGTACCGCCATTCCGATCTTCACCCAGGCGCCTCGTCGCCGACCAGCTATCCGGGGTTCAGCAAACACACCGACTCAAATGGCTGATGAACTCACCAGTGGCATCGATAACGGCCAAAAGGGCGAGTGCCTGGATAACCGTCACGTCGTCGTCATCAAATCCATTCGGAGACGTCACAATCAACTCCCAAGAACATCGCGCGTAACTATCGATAGTGCTCTGTTTCCTTTCCCTCCATTGCGAACGAGACGAGTAGCGCGTCGCGGTAGCAATCAAAGCCAGGCGCAGGTGCAGAGGCACTTGATTCTTTGCTGCTTGTTGCTGAAAGAGCTCGGCGTTGAAAAAGCCGTACGGTTTATTGTGACAGTGACGGAAGTAGATGTCGCATGCTTCCAGGAACACCTTATCGGGAGTGGAGGCGGCACTGTATGAAATTCAAAATTAGCGGAACGGCAAGGAACGAAAGGCAGGAGTGGAAGCATATCTGAGAACACCAGCTTACCTTGATGATCTCTTCCGCAAATCCATTCGGTTGCTTTGTGGGGTTTGTAGAATGGGGAGAACTTGACTTTGCGAACCTGGTGCTATGCTGGCATTTTGATTGGGGGTTTTGGGTGCATCTGAGTGACCTCAGAAAAAAAAGTTAGAATGCTCGCAGACCCGCTTCTGCATTGTTTGAAGCGCATCACCTGAGACTATATTAGTCAATGATCAGATCCTGGTTTGTCGGAGTCCGGGGCAAGTGTGGGGGGCCGGCCGACGGGGCGCTTTATTCTCCGCGTGTAACCGCTGCCGGGGATACACGATGCACCTCTGGGTGAGAACAACTATGCATTCAAACCTAAATTTTGAAGATCACAAAATGAATGGCAGCTTCCTACTCTTGCCTTCAACCCTAATATTTTAGGGTTTGTCGAAACACCACTCCTATTGAAGATGGCGATGCCCTCGTGTCAAGATCATATATGGCCGTTGGCTCCATATACCCCCTTGTCCATATGTGCCACCAGCGCCTGTTTTCCCCCCTCTTCCCCCTGGCCGACCTTCCTTGTTTCCCCTCTCGATCGCTCAACACCCTGCATTCTGTTTTGCTTCTAGGGGTTCAGGGGACTGCAAGAGAGCCAGACTTGGACGAAGGCTACCGCAGAAGCAAGGATGATACCATGAAGAATGGTATGTACTTCAGCGTCTATAATCAGTGGAAATTCCTGCCGAGCATTTGTCCGGCGGCATGTCCATATCCACCCCATAGTTACAGTAGTTATAGAGATCTGATGACCACATCACATGCATCGAGGTAATTTTTCCGCTGATTGAGATGCTATTTGATTTTTTTTGGATTTTTCACTACTCACAATGTATCTCCAAGCCTAGTTTGAAATCGAAGTACTATTCACAAATTAACCATATATGACGAAAGAACTCCCCTGCTCCAGACAACTAATCCGAGCCAATGGAATGGTTTTCGCTAAGCTAAATAAAGCAAATTGGTCCTCATAATGAAACCTCTGTACCTCGAGGCTCGAATACCACTTCATACCGACCAGGCTGTGCAGTGAGTTGGTCTCGCATGTCGCGCTCCACAGCTTCGCCAGTTTCACCAGGCGCAAAGCGGACCCGATAGCGAGAGAGCAATATCGTCGCCACCAGGCGGATTTGGGTAAGGGCTAGATTCTTGCCAACACAAACACGGCGACCTGATGATAGATAAGTTAATTCAAGCCGATGAGATGTTGACGTAGAGGAGGGGAACATACCAACACCGAAGGGGGCAAAAGCGCTCTTATCGCGCACCATTTCTGGTCGGCTATACCAGCGTTCCGGGACGAAGGACAGTGGATCTTCAAACGCGCTCTCCACTTCCACACGAGTTAATACATTATTTCCGAGGAACAAACACAAGCATGGAATGGTGGCTTACTGCGGAAAATTGTGTACTTGGGCGCGGCGAGCTTGATCCCGCCAGGAATGTAGGTCCCATCTATTGTCATCCCTTCTGGAGGAGTGACGCGCGTGCCCATGGTGAGAGCGGCCGGGATAAGTCGCATTGTTTCATTGATGAAGCCATTCAAAATCGGTAATAAGGCTAGTGTACTGATGTCGGAAGGATCAATGTCCTTCACCTCCTGGTATACGCGCTCGGCATGCTCGGGATACAAAGCCATGAAATACCACAACAGGATGAGACTAGGGCCAGTCGTGTCGCTGATAAGAAGTGAGCATGAGGATCGAATAAGCACAAAGCTCGAAAGTCCATACCTTCCACCCACAATCACGGAAACCGTGTTTCCACTGAGCAGTTGCTTCTTGCTCGCCCGGTTCCGATCATTTTTTCCTGCGTGGTACTCTTTGATGAAATGAGCTGCAATGTCGGGCTGGGTAGCCTCGGTCTTGAGTCTTCGTTCCATGCACTGGTCGCAGAACGAGATCATTCCCATCCAGTCCTTGACCCGCCAGAAGCGAGCCAAGAACGCAAACGCCAACCGAATCGCCCACACCGTATGATTGAGCGAGCCAAGGATCGCGAGTGCCGAGCGCTGCTGCATGATCGCGCGGTGCCAGGTCTTGGTCTTCATCATACCAAAGTTTTCATTGAAAGCAAACTCGCCCATTGAGTCAAAGGCAAACCACTGCATGATGTCGTTCGGCACCACAGGCTGGCTGTCCACGTTGTCGATGATTGATTCTAATGTCCCGATCTGCTGGAGGATGCGTGGCAGGTACTCTCGAATTGCTGCCGTGAGGAATTAGCCAGGCGTTGGAAGGGCATACATCACACGAAAAACCATACATTTAGTTGATAATGCTCGACTCCACACTTTGCGTCTCTCGAGGTGGTCTTCCTCCTTACGAGAAAAGATAGGCGAAATTCGTGGATGCACAATGTCATACCAATCGGACCGGACGTTGGCATTACCGGCTCCATCCATGGCCTCCCAAGCTTTGGGGTGGAAAATGGTGATCTCAGCGGGGCCTGATTTTCGTATTAACTTGACATTCACTATTTGGAGATTAGGTTCTTTCATATACCTGTCCGCACAAAGTTACCATATTTCTTGTGCAATCCATCGAGCAGCAAGTGGTTGCGTGAATCCCGACACTGGTAAACACTCCACAGTTTACTTGCTGCTGCAGCCCGCGGGCCAGGAAAATGACGAATTCGGTGGAAGAGCAGACGGTATATGGTGATGCTAGTGAACATGCCAAACAAGTAATATAAGAAACATTGCAGCCACCATGCCGTTATGGAACTTGCCGCTTCGGAGCTTTTATGGATATGCAAAGAGATGCCTGTGACTAGGACAGCCACATGGCAGGTAACTACACTGGGGGCACGGAGATGCCATTCTCCTCTAATGAAGACCCCCAGGTGAGCGAGGACACCCAGCGCTGTCGCTGCCAGATTTTGTTCCCAAGTCATAATGTGGCAGGGACGGTTGCCATAAGAAGTGGAGAGAGGGAGTAGATGATTAGGGTTGGAGGGAAGTGGAAATTCATGCGAGTTAAGTCCTGAAGAACACCTCGGTTATCGTCTTCTATTCAGCTTGTCTCAAGGGGAATTTTCGAAACCTTGTGCAGTCAGGTGCAGAACAATGGCATAGTGATTGGTGCTACGAGATGGTGATTGTTGGGCGTTCTTCCGGGGGCCGTATGGGTCTGTATGAATACTAGACAATACTGTGGCATGTCATACCTTTCTCCTGGCCCATTATCAGCACCCTATTGAGCCTTTGAAAGGCACAGGCCAGCTCCATACGATCGGTGGATCATTAGCGTTGAGAGCGGCCCCAGGCGGGCGGCCCTAGAATGCGCGGCCCCGCTGGCCCCGCTGGCCCCCACGAAGCCCTGAATCTTCGAATGCAAGGACAGGCACGGCGATTAAACTCAAGCAGCCACGGTCGGGGTTGCTTGGATCTATTCATAGTGGGTGTCATGGGGTTGCAAGGGGACTCTCCCACACTGCCCTATTTGACACATCAGACTGCAGATCGGCGGGACTAATCTCAAATTAGCCTAACGCGCGGACGAAGGGGGCAGAGCGGTTGCTTATGGGGGCCAACAAACCTGCTCGCCGAGTCTGCAGAATACAGCAGGGGCCACATGTGCCAAGAAGATCGCCTTAGCCGAAAGTCCAAGTATACTTGGCCCAGGGTGCGACGCACAGTCATGGTGTCCCGCCCCATCGGCCCGTGATGGCGTTTTCCCCGCTTTCTAATTGGCGTCAGACAGTTCCCTGCCTTGTGGAGAGTGACATCAGTCTCGCCGGCAGCTGAAGAGTTACTCAAAACCTTCTGACCTATTTCCGTTGGGGGCTAAAACATCTGCAAGTCGGCTGGGTTGCCCTCTTGGGGTGGAGTCTTGCATGCTTGCCAACCACGGGAGGTCACAGCTGCATGATCCATGCTCATAGAGGGGTACATCGGGAGGCCTTGGGGGCCAGCATGCCATCCGCTTGGTCAAATGCCTTGCAGCTGAATATTTTATCTAAAACGTGGACGCATCTTGCTCTTGAGTCTGACTGACCAGAATCCAAGCCATCACATCGATCGTTACTCATCATGGCTGCCCTCATACCAAAGCAGATCACCGTGGTCTCATGTTTTGTAGTGTTGAACCTGTTGGCAATCGTTGCCATCGGTCTTCGCTTCTATTCCATCAAGGTCGTTCATCGCTCGCTCAAAGTGCACGACATTCTCTGTGTGATCTCGCTGGTTATGCTTATCGCATACAGCGTTGATCTCCTCATCGGTGAGAGCCATGCGATGTAATAACAAGTCAACCGCAAGGCTAACAGTGAACAGCGACCATCGCCGGGGGAATTGGATACCATATTACTGTGGTGCCGCTGCCAACGTTGACTATCGGGTTGAAGGTGTGCTTGCCAAAACCCCCCAAAGACGAGTCGCTTTAAGGTAACTAACTGGGAATGTGAAGGCGTTCTTCTCATCGCAGTTCATGTGGGCGATCTCCATTGCCGGTTTTCGACTATCTATTTTGGCTTTCTACGTCCAGGCCTTCACCACCAAGATCTTTCGTTATTTTGCTTATGGGGCTATGACCATCGTCTGCCTGTTTTTCATTGGCAGTATCACGACAACGCTGACTTTGTGTCGCCCAATCGCATCCAACTGGGACAAGTCGATCCATGGGAAATGTGGTGATGAGGCAACTGCCATGCTAGCCGCTGCGGCTTTCAACATGGCCCTTGATATAGGGATTGTGGTGCTCCCCCTGCCGGTCATCTGGGGCCTACATATGAGCACACAGAAGAAGGCCGCTGTCATGGCCACCTTCACTCTGAGTCTGATGTAGGCAGTACCTCCACCTTGCCTATTTCCCCATTTTTCTTACGTTGACTTAGGATCGCCGCCATTAATCTTGCTCGCATCGTCCAAGTCAAGCGCTGCCCCCTGCTGGACTTTACGTATTGCACTGCGGATAGTTCGATTCTGACCGTAGCTGAAATGGCCGTCGGTATTATCGTCGCCTGTGTGCCAATGCTTGGCCCAGTGGTCTTCCCCGAGCGCCGTCGGCGGTTCGACAAGCGCTATATCTACCAGGCCAACCAGACCTCCTATAATTCATACCCCAAGCACGCTCGGCATGGGAGCGATAGCCAAGCGAGCACCGAAATGGCTCTTGGGTCAAATTGGGAGAAAACCCAAAAAACCCAGTACGCTGAGATCAAGAACAAGGTCCTGCCCATATCTCCGGCCAATGTCGGGGACGGTGAGATCGCCGTGTGGCGGGAGTTTGAGGTGCAGTCAGACAGAGGGAGCCGGGTGTAAGCGAATATGGAACGTAGTACGCGGAAAATACGGCAACTATTTTCTTTCTTTCTGCCTTTTCTTGTTGATAGCTTTCTAAATGACCAAATACCCTTGATTCTCCACCATTAAATCCAACTCCAACGTTTTGTCTGTATCTATTTATCACTCAGAGCCTGAATCCTGCGCGGGGTAGATGTGTGCACGCGAGGTTATCTTCACGAGATTCCTGCGAGATGTACAGCAGGGTGCGCCAATGTAACCGGAACCGGATGCGGACTTCCTGGCTAGGAATATGCTGTGACACCATCAGCAGTGAGAGCGACCCAATAGCGCCAGGGCTGAGGTGCATGCCGCCATCGAACCAGCGGCCCCCAATAGCCCCCAGGTAAGCCCCAACCCCTAACCGGCACTAGTCTGGAGCGCAGGTCAGATTTTGGCTCTGTGGCTTTTGTCTGGCCAATCAAATTTGGTGGGTATAGATAGTGACCTGATTTATCAATGTTTTTATTTTTAGCGCGCTTTTGCGTGCCGCAGTGATCGTCGTGAAGCTAAATTCAGTTCTGACTGAAGGATCAAAGGATGAAGAATGCGATTGTTCGTGCTAAAACAGGATGTTGATCTACGGGTCGCTAATAGACTGATTCAAAGAGAGCATTCATACAGAGACAATGTATCGATGGGCCATTGGCAGGGCATACAGCGCCACAAGCCATGCGTTGTAGATCCGAAAGGTCGTTCGGTCCTCCTCCACCGTACGCTTGGTTAGCGAGCGCAAGCTAACCCATATCCCCAGCCCCAGCGGCCCCACGTATCCAAGTGTGTTGGACGCCCAATACAGAGGACATAGGACGCTCCAGGCAGTCACGACAACCGCGATGTTCCATCGCGCCATTCCGTCGCCAATCACCAATGGCAGGGTCCGTCGACCCGCGGCAGCATCCCCGGCTTGGTCATACATGTCCTGCACGTGGACACTGGTACCGACGACATGAGCAATCAACAAGATCCAGGGGGTCATCGATTGTGGGAGAGGTGATTGCAAGGCAACCTCAAGAGTACCCGAGGCAAATGATGTAAATCCAGCCGCATTGAGCAGGTTCCGAATGAGCCAGTGGCCATCACCGCCCCCAAAGTCATTGTAGATGGTGCCGAAGATCGCTAGGAGCGCACTCTGGACCACGCCACCCCCGACCAAGACGCTCACCGATAAGGCCACTGGGATAGATACAAGACCCAACATGTGAGCTTGGACCGGAGTCAGACGGCCGGCGGCAATAGGTCGCCATGGCTTGTTCAGCTTGTCTTCAGCTACTGAGCCGGGATGTCGCTGATTGTTGACTGTGAATCCGAGAAGGTTGAACCAGGTATAGGCAAACATCCAAGGTAGACGGTAGAGAAACGTAGTCCACTCAAGTTGACCCGAGTGGAAGAATGCAAAGGCAATACTGGGAAAGACCATGGTCTTCAGATCACTGAAGCAGAAGAGCCAAAGTGTATAGGCTTGATATCGAATCCACTCGTGGAGCCATAAGGAGGCACCTGGTTTTGGACGCCAGCCTAGCAAATTGTGCAGAGACTGAATGACAACGCCCTTTGCCGACTTCCCAGACATCCTTGAAAAGATAAAAAGAGAACTCGATGATAGGGAAAAGGTCTATGAGGTTCAATAGACCGAGGTGTCTGCCTAAATAGCTCGCTGATGGCGAGGATGGACCCACGAGACACCTGTTAGGCTGCGGCGTCATCTTTCAGCCTATCTCCCAGAAAGCACAAAACTCCGACAGGCTGGCACGACTCGGTCAATTCCCCCCGGCTTCATCCCATGAGTGGATGATACCAACAGGGACAGTTGGGGCCTGGGGCCGGGGATTGGGGAGAACGATGTTGAGAAGTTGGCGCAATGCCAGCCGGGTAATTTTTCATAGTTCAAACCAGTATCGCCCTGAGTATTGAAAGTAATGTTTTGAGCGTATGGCCTGTTGGCATTCCAGGTTGGTATAAGCAGCGGCCCCCAAAATAGATCGGGGGCCAAGCAAAGCAAAATGAAGAATGCTTCTGAGTCAGTATGCACAGCCGGCGCATACTCCGTACAGTCATTCCGGCAGTCCGTCCGTCAATCAGTACGTGGTAGTGAAAGTGGGCTGCGGACCGACGCCCCACCCGCCGAAGGAGCCTTAGGCTTTTTTGGCCCCCGCACCGCCTCGCTTTGGCCCCCATTCTGCTTTGTGAGCCATCGCCAGGGCCCGGCTTTGTGTACAACCTCAGCTCTCCTATTTATTCCATCTGCCTACCCATTCCATTGTGCCACAAGCTAAAACTCAACGACAATCTGCTTCCAAACATCCTCCGTCAATTCCATCTTGATTACCTTACCTCATTCCTCGAGCAAGCTACCTTTGTTCAATCCCAACCACCAAAATGTCTGTCAAGGTCTTTATCTACGCCTACCGCAAGCACGGCCTCTCTCTCGAGGACTTCAAGACGCACTATGAGGCTCACGTCGACCTCGTCAAGCGCATCTCGGGCGATGACTTCCCCATCTCCCACAAGCGCAGCTATGTCCTGCGCAACCCCGTCGAGGTTGCCGCGGAGGGAACCAGCGAGCGCAATGCTCTTACCCCGGCCACTGTGATTGTCGGCCAGCAGTCTGACTTTGAATTCGACGCCTACGCCGAGCTCACCTTCGCCGACCAGGCTGCTTTCCAGGCCTTCGGTGCCAAGGTCTATGCTCCCGACGCCGCCGCTCAGATTGCTGCCGACGAGGAGAAGTTCCTAGACAAGTCGAAGCTCGGAATTGTCATGCTCGGGGATGTCATCGAGACCTCCAAATAAAAGGAGACCGAGGACTGAGGACTGAGGATTAATAGAATACCCATGAATTGTCGTGAAGAGAATCACCCAAAGATGAATAATGGAAATCATACGTTGCTTGCACGCACCTCACTAAATTCCTGTACATCACCGGCCAATATTCATCGGCGCCAGGGGATATGGTGGGCCTGATTTTAGCCCCATTAATGAGCTTACTGCTCCCTCCGTATTTTGGCTTTTGACGTAGTGACATGTCGAAACACGATTCAGCCCCAATTGTTACACAGCTGTATACTCCGCCCCCGGCGTGAAGCAAGGTCCCTCGCAAACTTCAAAACACGAGGCATGTAACCTCCGCATGTCTCACTCCAGGCCCGTGGAAGCCAGCGCATGCGCGTGCAATGATGCAGCGATATCCAAAATTAAATAGACCTCTAAGTTCTCCAGAAACATCTCCAAGTCCAACCTACGGGAATCGTAAGGATTTGGCATGATCTCTCCTCCACTCACTTCCATCCCACTCGCTCTCTGTTCCTCGCTAATTACTGCATTTATCTACCCTCTTTTGCCAGATCTCCATATGACTTGAACTCTTTTATCTATACTCTGTCAACTTTCAACGGAAACCTGTGCTGGAGAGAGCTAACCCGAGTAGGCGCACATGTCTTTCGATTTACCTATTCGGCACCAGCATCTGGCAAAAGCTGGCACTACCAATACACTGATACAGGTTTTACAAGGGTTTTAGGTATAAATTATTAGCGGGGATGAGTCAAAGCCTAGATCACATTTATACCTCTCAGCATGAACACGAGCCATGCAACCCTACCTCTCAGTATGCTCCCACTCCTGGATCCTACGGGCCCGACGCAACACGATGCACCCACAGTCTGTCTCCGTCTGTTGTGCGTAAGAAGAGGCTATACTGGTGGGCAGTTAAAAAATAAGAAAGGCAAGCTTGCGGTCAAGTTCTACTATGGAGTATTCCACACGGCATTCCTGTGCTTGATTGGGGTTTAGGCTAGAATCAAGAACCGCTTGCGTCTTAGCATCACTCCATCAACTCTTAACTTCATTCTTCTCTCTTCTTGTTATTTTTTGTCACTGTACACACCGTGGCTTCACTCGGTTGCTATTTCAGAATCAACCACTTCATTGATGCAATTCCGAAATTTTTCTCCCGGGGATGTTGTCCCTGGAGGCACTGGAATATTACAAGCAGTATTGGAGAGTGGGAAGATTGCCGTAGCGTAGAGCGGGCTTGCCCTTGAGAAATGCTTAGGCCTCTCGGCTCAGAGTGGTATAGGTACGCAAATGCATCGAGAGGGCTCTAAATACCGGCACTAAATCTTGATAGGTGGCGCTAGTTAGGGCGCTCAAACCCAGACTTTAGCCACCTGTGCATTTGTGCGCACTCCTAGTGCTGCTGTTCTCGCTGCTCCTAGCCTGGCAACAGCCCTAATACGGTCAAGTATGGGATTTACAACAAGCCGCATTCAGACAGGTATGTACGGATGGAATCAACAGAACCCCTGTTGCCCGCACTTCGAAGCTTAAGGGACACTTTGTTCACGAGATGTAGGCTCGGCAGCCGCAGCCGCCAATAGTTACGTCGTCGGAAATATTGTGGCCGGGGGCGAGATGGCTGTTAGGGCAGAGTGCAGGCGCAGAAGGAACTGGACTAGTACTTGTCAACGGAGCTGCACAGTTGATGAGCAGTGATGATTGTGGGAAGCACTAGCTTTGCGTGGATCAAGGCTAAACTAAGACCTAGCACTCCCTGAACTTCATATTGGGAGCTCTCTTCTAATCATGTACCTCGCAGGTCCTAAGGCCTCTTGAATCTTTGCCTAGGAGTCTTTTGGGAGCGAACTTTCACAGCAAGAGAACCTTCTGATGATGTAGGTTATAATCAAAATCTGAGACTCATCTCCGGGGAAAACGGCCATTTAATCTAGATAAATACCCATTTTCAGACCAGTGCTCGCAGAGCGCCTCCGTCATCAAGGGTGTAGAGGTTTGCTTTCAGCCGATTCGAGTTAGTGGTGCGCTGATGCCTCCAAATTGCCGCAAGTTGAACCACAGAATCATGCCCATTCTGAGCGGCCTCTGACAGTGGTGCTTGGCCCGAGTCATCCTTGATATATACATCAGCGCCGAATAGTAGCTGCGGATTCCGCCTCGTGTCCATTCTGAGCTACCCATGACAACAGTGCTTGATCGATGCTGTGAGGAACTCTCGGTTGTTGGCAATAACGAAGGCCTGTATGGTGCATAGGCCTCTAAAAAGGCATTGGCACAGAGTAACCCTTGTTTCGGCCCGTGGCTTGCTGATTAGATGAACATAGGTCGCGACGGTGGCTTCCCGGATAATATGGAGGGATAAAACGGGAAAGGCTTCAGACATGGAGGTCTTCTCTAGCCAAAATACAATCTGGTACGATATTGAGGGCAGTGATGACAATGGCGGCCGTGGGTCTGCCGAATACCTTACACTGCTGCAGTAGGATGAACATTACTATGACCCGGATTAAGAAAATGCTTGTGTGCGTTCAGAGTTGGAAAACAAACTAGACAATAAAGAAAGTAACTCCTCATATTGATTTACTCTGGATGATATCGCTCAGCTCCCCGGGGGCTAACTCGTCGAAGAATCTGCTGTTTGCAAGAAATATGAACCTGTCTTGGGTCAGTAGTCTCACAAGTTCACCAAAACAAACTGCAAATTCCAAATCATTACTGCAAAGTCAGCGAACAATCTTGCCGGACCCAAATCCAGGCCGATGATGCTATAATGGTCATCGCTCAGGGCAATCACGTCCATGCCATAGCGGAACGCTCCTACAGGCCATCACATCCCGAGCAGTTTAGCAGGCATCCTGTTTAGTGAAGCGACCGCCCTCGACCGAAGGACGGGTCGCGAATGAGAAACCCTTCCAGGGTTCCGGATTCAGGATTCAGGAGCCAGTGAAGCGGGGGTCTTTTACGCTAGAATTCCAAGCAGTGGTCTCAGAACAATCCCCGCGAACGCTCCCTACAGCGAACCCTGGCAGCCTAGTTCATGCAAGTCGTCGCGACAGTCCCCAATTCGGCCGAACGGCCCAAACATGGCCATCAGGGTCTTCCTTCTAGACATTCGGAGGGAGCGAAGAGGTTTTCAGACCAGCGGGGTGGTGTAGGAGGTTCAGGGACGGGATCGTGCCCCTGGCGGGCGATGGTGAGAAGTCTGGTGTTTCAAGTTGGAAAGCTTCTCCGTGGGCACGGCTGGACCCTCTTAGACTGAAAGACAGAAGCAAATCGAAGTTCGCGTGCTGTTATGACGGAATTGGTCCATGACTAAAGCCACCAGTTATCCCGTACGTTTTCTGTCATGATCGGATATCCTCAATCGGACGAGACAAGTCGTTGAGCTGGGTCGACGCGGCGAAAGTACCAAGTTAAATGAGTGGGCCGGCTGGACAACACCACACCGACAGCCGGCCAGTACGATACTAATCACGCTGCCAACATGCCCGACAAGGACCCTGCTCCGCCAGTACCATCCAGGCTCCGCTGTTGGTAACGGGAGTGATGTGATGGTGCGCCGATGTGACCGTCACCCCCGGGCCGAGCGCGGGCGAGGCAAGACGGGCGGTAGTAGGGCGATCGACTCTGTGAAACTTGGGAGCGTTCATCTACCCCTGGCCCAGCATGAGTCCAGAATCCCAGCGAACAACGAGCGGAATGTGCAAAGTCCTAGCTGGGCTATCGCGGTGCCTATCGTCATATAACGGCGCGGCAAAAGCAATCTATCGAGGCCGGCGTACCCTGGGACGTGGGAGGGGGAATGGAGCTGAGATGGAGGGTATACAGCCAGTGGCGTGGGGCAGTTTATGTGAAACTGTAGCTTGGCTAGTGCGATACCGTTCAATACCGCGAAGGATTTTTAGGTTACCCAATTAGGATGGCGGGGTGATGAGACGGTGGTTCAGCAAGGAATCATACACCAGAGGGAGGCAGTTGGCCTGAAACTCTGAAACGGTGGCGGCGACGGCCGGGCGATCGGGGGGACGGTGCGCTGGCCGGCTGGCTGCAAGAGCTGAAAGGATGGTCCAGGCTGTTTTGGCGTGATCCACTCGGAGACACTGGCCGAGCATGCGCCTCCGGAGTACGGAGTAGTGGTGTTGGTGGTATTAGTGGTGGTGGAGATGGAAAGCAACAACAGCCTGATCGGTATGTCCTCCGGAGAGACGTCGTAGGGCCTTTCGGAGTTGGCTGGCCAGATCGTCAGACAGTCAGGCAGTCTGCCGCCCTCTCAGCTCTGATTCTGTTTGATCCTGCAGTGTTACATCACTGTGTCTCGCCGGCCGGAAAATTCTTTCGCTGGAGCTGTCACCGAGATGGCCAAGCTGGCGAGCGCCACCAGCCCGTGGCCGATGGAGCCATCCGGCAGCAATTCGAGCCGCAATTCGTTCAGCATGGCCCTTCCGAGCGACCCTGAGATTAAAGGCCTGGCTCGGGTGGTGCGGTTGATTGGCGAGGGTGGCGGCGGAAGGAAGGGGCCAGTTAGAAGGCGGTGCCTGAGCCAGTGGGGGGCCGGTGGGGGAAAGCCGACCAACAGCTTGGGCCTGGCAAGTAGGCGTGTGCGAGTGTGATTGTCCCGGCCGTCTCGATGCCACTGATTCGGTACTTCGAGACAGCGCATATCCCATTTCCGTAGAACTACACTCGGCCTCTCCCGGTAATACCAAAACCATGCCGCTGTGCGAACTAGCTCGTTCATGATCATTAAATAATAAAATAAGTATAATTCTCATATGCCGGTAGATTAGGGCAATCTCCCAGTAATCTCCATTAGCGGGCCTTAATTAGCTGGGCCTGCTGCCTTGGCTTCGCTCTTTCCTTTTCTCTTCTTCAAGCTCCTTCCAAGCTCACTTTTTCTTGCTCTCTTCTGGTTCTCTGCGAGACCAACTTCTGTCCTTACTTTCTTCCTGCGAATCGACTTCGCAGCCACCACTCTCTTTCGCTCTTTTGCGCGTCTTCACTTCCACCCATTCGCTTCTCCGCCCCAGGCATTGACTGTCATTTTAAGCTCAAAACAGAGAACCACCCTCACTTGAAATCATGCTGTTCAACAGGTTGACCATTGCCCTGATCGCTGGCCTGGCCGCTGTTGGCGAGGCCGAGCACCACGCTCGTCGTGTCCACCGCGTCCGCAGCATCCTCCCCAGCGGCTCTCCCCCTCCACTGCCCACCATCACTCGCACCATCCGGCCGACCCCCGTCGTGCCCTCGAGCTCTGCTACTCCTTCGTCCTCGAGCGCGGTGCCCTCGGGCGCTGCCCCTTCGGGTATTCCCTCCTTCTCGCACCCGCCGCCCCTCGGCACGGGTGTTCCCAGCCATGGTGCTGGTGAGGACGCTGGTTCCAGCGCTACCGGGGACCTGACCCTGACCTACACTGTGGGCACCGGCACCTCCACCAGCGTTGTCACTACCACCATTCACCGCACCGCTACTGACGTGCACACCGTGATTGCTGTACGTACTCCGGTCTCAGATGACCTCATTGGCCAATATCAAAACTGACTCGTGATATAGACGGAGGCCCCGGAGGCCAACAACCACAACCAGGCTGGCAGTGATGAGCAGACCACTACCCTGCACTCGACCACTACTGAGACCATCACTCTCGTGGAGGTTCCCACTAGCACTGTTGCCGCCGGCAATGGTGCTGGCTCCTGCAACCAGGTTACCGTGACTGTGACTGAGACCGTGACTGCTGTATGTACCTCCCAGCCTCCTCGGCCTCAGACTTACTGGTACTAACCTCTTCCACAGAGCGCTGTCACCGCGACCTCTGCCCCCGGTCAGAGCTACCAGCAGGGCAGCGATGGCCAGGGTGAGGACAACAACGGTGCCACTGAGGGCAGCGGCGCGGGCTCCGAGCCCACCATCACGGAGACTGTGGTCCCCACCCCTAGCGCGACCCTGATCTCTGGTCGTCCTCCTTTCGGCAACGGTAGCCTCCCGATCCCTCACTCGAGCAGCGCCGCTCCCTCGGGCTTCGCCACTAGCTCGCTGCCCATCTCACCCTCGGGCTCCGCCTCCATCCTACCTTTCCCTGGTCCCAGCGGACAGCCCAGCGGGCGTCCGAGCGCCCCCAGCAGCGGTCCCTTCCCTCACAACTTTCGCCGCCGCTACATCATCTAAGCGATACCTGATATTCGATAGAGATGACTCGTTCTGAGCGGTGGGGTGCGATGCAAGCCTGGCGATGATGTGAGACTGTCCCGGTTTCCGCAAATTCTTTTTTCTTGATCCGCCTTACGCTTCATTTTTATTTGCCTTTCGTGCTTTGCACGCTGGTGCTGTATCTATTGCGATGTGGATTGACGGCACGAACGGAATTGTGGAGTGGATGTTCGATTCCCATCTTTCCTGGTTCATGCTGCCATCTATGTCTGATCTTTTTTTAACCCGGATGAAATTGGTGTCTGTCAAAGGTACCAGCTTGTCTTTTTTCCATCTACAAGCTTTCACCGCCAACGTCCGACAACCCCTTTGCATCTTTTTTTATTTCGTTCTCCAATGGGATCGATCTTTTTCCATCTCCATTTCCCACCAGAACACTCTCTCGTATCTACAACCGGCATGCGACACGCTTGCTATCAGACGGGTCTTGATTTCTATGTGTTTTCTCTTTCTCTTACCGATGTGTGCAGTGCACGATCGATTCCAGGGCGACATCTGTTCTCTGTACAAAATTCTTATTTTATGGGCCTCAATTAGAGAGGTTGGGGTTTTATTTTCAGAGTGATCTCTGAGATAGGCAAATGCAATCTAACTTTGTGGTTGTGTCTTAAGCTTGCGCTTGCTATGTCTGAGTTTTGTGGGATGCGAGGATGTAGACAACTAGTGGGAGCTGTGGCTATAGATGTTGATGCGGGCGTGTGTTTAAGGCTGTGGAAGGTTAGCTAGCCCCCGGCGGATCTGTCGATCATTTGCCGATCGCTGATCCGTGGAAGCATCCCCACGACGGGGATATTATTCAGCAAGTTTGCTGGTGTTGACTTTCTCCGTTGGTGTTAATAAATGATCGGTTAATGGTCATGGAGAGAAGACCCTCAACGTCAAGCCAGTCCCGGGGACTGTTGCCATAATCCTGATTGCCGAAACATCGGTGTAGATAATCTTGATGGTGGGAGACGGCCTGCAGCACGTTTCTACAATCCAGTCGGTGGCCCAGTTTCTATTGAGCAAAAAATGTTGATGGAACCTATGAGAAGACAAAGTTTTCAGCATGAACCCCCTTTCTCCATCCTACCATTCGAAAATCATGCAAACCTAAAAATGTCAGGTTTGCGAAAATATAGATAAAACTAATGCTTCTCAAACGGCAGACACAGGCATCAAATCCGCCCCGCATTGCTCTGATCCCTCTATTACGCTCGAGCTTTTCCTCTTGCTTGCAGTCAAGCTTCGTTTGATACTCGGACAAGGAATCGCTCCGCTGGACCATCGATGCTTGCTCGTCGTGTCCACATCGTGACAGATCGCCACTTGACCCTCTGACAATCACATATCGACATCGTCCTCGTCCTCGTCAGAAAGAGACTCCATCGCAACCTGCTCCCACTCCCTTTGCAGCCCGATCGCGCGTGCCAGCTCGGCCGCGGACATGGGCCCGCTCAGCGGGCAATAGATCACATGCCATTGCTATCATCAAGGTCAGCACGAAGGGGACAATGACACCAGGATCAGCGTGGGCGTGGGCGAGAGCGTGGGCGTCGTACTAGGCCAGGGTCCTTCAGCAGTTGCCGCAACAGTCACAGCCATGGCTCCTCGAGATTCAGGTTGGAAAGGGCTGATATATCGTAGTACTCGCGCCGGATGGAATCTGGCTTGGTGTAGTTCGCTAGCCCGAGAGTATAAAGTCTATCCCGACCCCTCTTATTATGAGAGAGAAAGATATATAACCCGGATTCACCTGAAGTATGCCTCTATTTTTTAGATGATAATATATTTCTAGGTGATTTAGGTACTGGATTTAGGAGTATCGATTTCAGTCATAGACACATACAAAGCGGACTATTTACAAGTAGATATAATTTGTACAGGGAATCATCACAACATCTCCAACCGTGAAAGGCCCCCTTCCCGTGCCAGCCTCTCCCGCATGACCTGCCACTCCACCCAAGTGACGCCCTGCAGCAAACAATCCGCCAGATCATCCAGCTTGCCAATATCATTCACCGCCCCCGCAGAGCGCGTCCTTCTCGTCCCTTCGCCCCGCCACTTTCTCAAATACGCAGCCGCAAGCTCTCGCAGCGCAGGCCGATCCTGCGCAAGATCAATCTTCCCATCCCCCTTCGCCCCCAGCACCAACTCCATCTCCCCGGTCGAGGCGCCCGTCTCCACTGAAGCGCCCAGCCACCGTCCCACAAGGTCAATTTTTGCCTTCTTCACCTCCCTGGCACTAACTCTGCCTTTCTTTGCCGTTGCCCCATCTACACTATCCCCAACCGCCTCAGGATCGAGGTCCCCCCAGTACCGCACCACACGCTTCGGCTCGATGCCGTGCACCTGGACGGCAGCAAGGTCGGCCCCGCGCTCGAGCCGGAGCGCGTGCAGCACGGCGTACAGCATGCCCTCCAGCACGCCGACGCGCAGCGTCCACTCCTGCACGGCGCTGCCGCCGCCGGAGCGGAAACGCTGGCGCTCGATTAGGATGTGAGTGGGTCTGTAGGCCGTAAGAAGGGATGTGATTAGTGTATAGGCGAGTGCGGCGTAAAGGTCTGGCGAGAATGTTTCTTTGGCGGATGTTGGTGTGGCGATGCTCTTGGCTGATGCTGTTGGTGATGTAGATGTAGATGTAGATGTAGATGTAAATGCAGAAGTAGATGCAGAGGTAGAGGATATGCATTCAGCTCCAGACTCGGGCGTAGATCCCGCCACATTGACTCCAGGAACATTCATCCCACCGCCACCCTCCAAATCCAGACCCCCAATCTCCGACACCTTCAGCCGATGCCACGCCGTGAGGACCGGCCTCGAGAGCGCGGGCGTCTGTGTCGACGCCACACAACCCCTCGGCACCCGCAAATGCGCAAACGCGAGATTTTGAATCCCCATATCGATACTCAGCACGCTCCAGTCATCGCCCTTCTCGCCCGATGACACGGCCACCTGCTGCCGGAGCTCGGTCTCGATGCGTGTTAAAAGGGCGCTCTTCGTCCCCGAGGACTGGATCCCCGTCGCCCGCGCGAGGTGCTGGAGTTGCGCGACTTTCAGCGGCGCGAGCCAGGCGTGTGGTGCGGGAGCGCGCATTGCGGCACAGCGTGTAGGGTGGGCAATGCGCAATGTGCAATGTGCAATGTGCTTGCTTGCCGCGGTGGAGCTGTAGGCGGATGTTTTCGTTTTGCCCTTTCCGGAAGAAGTGGGTGGAGATGGCAATGATGGGTGAAGGTAGGATTGGGGTTGCGGAGATGACGCAATGGCCCCGGCTAGTGTGTGCGCCGGAATGGGTTGACGAGTGCGTGGGAGATATTTATGGAATGGAGGTTTGGGGATAGGCCGGGGTCGGAGGGTGGTGGCGCCGATCGTGCGGATCGATGCACGGGCCGCGTTGCCGCACGCGTCGGGGGCTTACCAGGACCGGGTTCGATGTAGAATTACTGTACCTGTTACCGTTGATGTCACACATATGCACACTGGAAAATGTGATTTGATTTGATCTGATCTGATTCCATATTGATTGCTGGGTTCATTTTGGTGTACATTTTCTGGGATCGAATAGACAACCCAGCTGAAAGCATCAATGAAAGTGACAGACGGACACGGAGACAAGATGAACCAAATAACGCCATAGTCTAATTTCCCTAACGCACAATGACAAGCCAGATCAAGCCAGATCAAGCCAAATCCAATTCCATGTCCTATCGGAGGAGACTCCGGCTCCAAACAACAAATGCCTTGCTCGGTGCTGTTGCCTGGCTCTGTACCTGTGGAAAACGCCTAGCCAACGATGATGCAAAGCGCTTAAAAGCAAATCAAAAACACGGAGAGAAGATAGAAGATAAAAGCAGTGGGTACAACAGACGACAGATATCCAATGCGAAAAAAAAAAGAAAGTGTAAATGTGAAGGATTGGATGTCTATACGAACGCCGGTGGATTGGGGTTTGCATCAGCGGCCCCATCCCGCAAATATAGTAGCGAAGCCCATACGCGCCAGTGCAAGACGCCCATGTGTGCAAGGCGCATGCCAATGCGCTCAATGTCGTATTGCTGTGCGGACATGGACTGCGACGAGGATGAGCACGAGACGGCGGGTGTACTAGCCGTAGACGACGGAATGGTTGGGGCGGGGCCATTCGCGGTGGGCGGCGGTGGCACCGTGCGCTGAGACTCGCAGATAGCCAGCGGCGAGAGGGGGAGGAATCTCCGTGCGGAGGCGAGCGTCGCGGCCAGAACTTTCTCGCGCATAGCATTCTGAAAGTACCGGAAGAGCTCGGACTCGTTGGACAGATGCCACTCGAGGGCGGCCTCGATTGGAGAGATCACCTCATCAGCAACGACGACATCGAGGCAGCACGCGGCACAAGCAAACCGTGCGATTTCTAGCGCGATACAGCGCATGTTCTGCAGCCAGCGCTTGCTACCCCGCAGATCAGGGTCGTCGTCTGGGGTGGCACACCGCCCCTCGGAGCATAGCTCGTCTTCCATGAGCGACCAGATCCGCGAGCGGAAAGTGGAATAGGTCTCGTCGCGGGAAGAGAGATAGCGTTTCTGCGTGTGTACGTATGACTCGAAGATATACCATGCGATCTCGAGGTTAATCAGGTTCTGGATCGTCGAGCGCAGCTGCCAGAGCCGGTCTGAGTCGAAAAGGAATGTCTCGGGGAAGTCTTCTGGTGGGTGGAACTGGAGCAGCCGGTCTGATATACCGCGGAACAGTGCCTCGAGTGGCTTGAAGGTGTCGTCTGATTGGGTCGCAGTTGGACTCTTCTCGTCTTCTTTATGGGCTCGGTCCCGCGCTGCAAGGTACCAGAGCCGGGCGGGCTCAACTTGGAAGCTGCCGCGGCTGATTTTGCCTTCGAAGTACTCTTGCAAGAAAGGCACAGTGTCTTCAATAAGAAGAACGCGGAACGTTCGTATTTGGTGGTTAGCCACGTCCTGTACAGCCGGTTAGTTTACAGGATACAGAATGAAGTTTGTGTAGGTATAGGTAATTCTTACCAACTTCATTGCCTCCAAAATAGCAAATAATGTCTGCAATCCTTTTACGATCTCTTTCGGCTCTTGCGACTGCGAGCCCTCGGTGATCTGCTCCACCATCCGATCTGACCATTCATCACGCATCGGCGCACAATGCGTTTTCAGCAGCGCTGCCATCCACGTCGCCAGCGCAACCATATCGAGCACGCCCTTCCGGACCTGCTGCATGAGCAAAGATACCTCGAGATTCTGCGTGACGCTAGGATGATCGCGCTCCGGAACAAGCGTCTTTATGACCTCTTGCAACGTTTCAAACATGGCTGGTAGCCGGGGCTCGAATGTGCGCTTAGAGTTGCTATCCCGGGAACTTTTCTCATCGACGTCATCATCCGGGTTTGCAGCGCGGTATGCGTAGATGGCAATCTCCGTGGCCATCGAATCCCAGTAGTCGGCGGCGTCTTTCCGCTTGCGCTTCCCCTTTTCGCCATCTAGGTCGGGCTTGAAGTGCAGGTCGCGGTCGAAGTTAGCGTCCATGCGGAGATTGATGTTGCTCATGATACAGGGCAGATCGAGCTCGCTGAGTGTCCGCTTCGTGACAGGCGGATATCGGCGGGCCTTATAGAGGAGCCGTTGGTCGCGGGAGCCGAGGCCGAGTGCTTGCGGGATGCTGATAGCCTCCGGGGAGGGCGACGGCTCGCGGGGCCGGGGTGTAGCATGGGAGGTCGATCCCGATCCCGATCCCGATCCCGGGGCAGCGGTGGGCGGGCGGGTGCCAGGCGGGTAGGAGAAGGGTGGCTGGCGGCGGCGAAGAGGGTGCACATTCGACGGGGTTTCATGGCTGTGAGCATCGCGCCCATCGCTCTTATGATACTCTTTTGAACGGCCACTGCCAGCGCCGTAAGCATCTAGCGGGCCGTCGGCACCCTCCTCCTGCGTTCGGGCCTCTTTAGTCCCCTGAAGATCCATCAATGAGGGGAAGGGACGGCAACTTGTCCTTCCCAGATGTCTCCCGTCTCTCTGTACCCGGCGTTAGATAATGACACCCTTGGGGAGAACGGCGAGAGCGGCGAGGAGGTGGTCGGTGGTGGCGAAGGCTGTAGCCCTACGCCAACAACCCCCTGCCCACTGCGCACCGGCAAGGGCACTTGGTTGGAGCGAAACAGGGGAAAAGCAGGGCAATAAGGAAAAGAAAATGGAAAATAGCGGTCCAGCCCCTATGTGCCTCAAACTTACAATTTATTTTTTCTTCCCACGCGCCCCCTGTTTGCCTCAGGCAGGCAGCCAATCCCAGTTGCCGACAAAAGTGATGCGAGTGAGCTGTCAATTGCGGTGGAGCCAGCAGATGGGCCTGGGATCTGCGGGTGATCAGCCTCGTGGTGATGGTAACGGGCAATTGAACTGAAGGCGATTGAGTCTGCGGAGTGATGGATGATGTGGGTGTCTTCAAATGTCTGACAGACAGCGCAGCAGGGTGAATCGGGATCACAGCCACCGTCCACGTAGAGAGCGGGCTTGAAGTTTTGGATGTGTCGGCCGACCAACACTAGTAACGCATCGAAGAATAGGAGGAGTCAGCTTCTGGGCAGGTTGGGTGTCCAGAGCAAATCAGCAGTGCGCGAGAGAGAAAGACGCCAAAAAAGGCGAGGGGGATTGAAAAAGGGACCGGGTTGGCCTGATATAGGAGCATCGTGGTGATGTACATCCGGGAGGACAAACGTTTTCGACTGACTGAATTCGGGCAGACGCAAGCATCCACGATCGGCCGCGTCCACTGCACAGCGTGGGAGGAGCTGAGCAACTCTGAGGGAGGGGGCAAGAGGGACGATCAGAGCTCACATTCCAAGGGTTCCAAGGAGACTGCTGCTACCCGCTTCCAGTCCCTCCTCGACCCTCAGAAGAGCATCCGAGTCGCATCCCCTATTCCCATTCCCGATCGTGCGGATCGGCAATCTCGATGGATTGTTTGGTTTTGCCCCTTTAACGGTGTATAGTTCGGGAGAGGGCCGAACTTAGGGTTTCCCGACTATCCATTAACCATTCATCGTCCAGACATTCAGACCCCCTTCACGCCTCACTTTGAGACGCACTGGCCACGTGAGGGACTCGCCCTGAATTTCTCGGTGAACCACTGGCTCCGCGGTGGACAACTGCAGCCGCTTTGGTGATGGGACCGGGATCTGCTGAGGGGAAGGGGATCTGAACGGATCTGGGTGAACGAACAGTCGAAAAACGAAGTACAGAAGACGGGGTACCGCAGGTGTGGAGAGTGGAGCTTCGAGACTCATCGAAAGTTCCCAAGGCAGCGAGTGAGCAAGTCAGAAACCCGTGCAAAACCAGGGATGGGAAAAGTGGGGCCCGTCGGATGCGGAGTGTGGTGCCCGTCCTTGCCTTGTGGCCTGCATGCCTTGTGGCCTGATTCATGTTCCCGATTCACCAGGCATGCCAAGCCTTCTTCTATACCACTCCACCGCCACTGAACCTCTCCCGCGACATGTCCGACTTGCCGAAGACCTCATCTCCGCAATGCGAGTCGCGTGAGCCCTCTTTATACTCCTCCTCTGGGCTAAGATGGAGGGTCTCAAGTCCAGCCTTGGCCCATGCGGTCATCCTGCCGCCTTGAATAACCATCCGTCCTATTGACACCAGATTGAGGAAGGATGGCGTTTTGCTCAATAAGAACTTTACCCGGCGAGCCTGGTCGCCCATCCCCAGCTCAGAGGATTCAAAAGAAAGGCCATGCATTCCTCATGGAGTCTCCAATATCGACATATATTTTCATGCCGTTCAAATCAAGTATTCGATCTGCGGTCAAACCATCCATCGCGGCTATCCCTGTTGGACAAGTCCTAGTTGTATCGGTATAGCCCCGGCGCCGCGATGAATATCACGCTGTTCTTTTTTTTCTTTCAGTTCCTATGGTCGATTCCAAACTTGCCAGTTTTCAAGACTGCGCGCACCTCTCAGTTCGAAGTTCGCTCGTTACCAGATGGTCCGGTGTTGCCGACTAGCTGGGCTGGACGGTTGCCAGTACCGGGGAGGCAAGAGGGGAATGAGATTTTCTTCTGGCTGTTTGAAGCTGAAGATAAAGCATATGATGATACATTCATCAGTAAGTCGCCCAGCAAGACTAAACTTCAAAGCTCCTTCATTAACACGATATGCTAACAATATAGTCTGGTTGAACGGCGGGCCGGGCTGCTCATCCCTCGTAGGGCTAACCGGCGGCAACGGGCCTGTCTCTTTCCTCGCGAATTCGACTGCTCTAGAGCGCAACCCCTACTCCTGGACCCAGCTTGGTCATGTTCTCTACCTGGACCAACCCGTCGGCACCGGGTTCTCGACCGCCAGTAGTCCCTACCCAGTCCGCAATAACGACATGGTGACCGCCGACTTTGTGGCATGGCTGAACGCCTTTCTCGCATTTTTCCCGCACTTGCAGTCAAAGCAGATCCATTTGATGGGCGAGTCTTACGCAGGTATCTACATACCCTACTTCGCCGCCGCCCTACTGGAGGGAAACAGTTCGCACCCACTCAACATCCGTTCCCTGTCTCTGGGTGACGGATCCTGGGGCAACGCAGCCGCCATGTCCTCCGTCACAATAGGGGCATACATGCACTCACAGTCAATGGCCCTCAAGCTACCCAAGGACATACTCTCCGTCTTCGCCGCGGCAGACAGCACCTGCGGTTTCGACGACGTCCTTGCCCAAGCGCAGAGCTACCCGCCCCAAGGCAAGATCAACATCCCAGGGAATCCGGAGGACTTCAACTACCGCCGCCGGCGAGACATGACGGATGTGATCGAGGCCTCGTGCAGCATATCCCCGACGACGGCGGCAGAAGTCACCACCTCCATCTTCAACTCGACCTGCTACGGGCCCTGTGCGGCATACTCCACTGCGCTGGACTACATGGATGCTGCCTCCGCCGGCGGTACGGGCATCCCCTGCTTCGACGTCTACGACATCCACCATGACTGCGGCACGGTCGACAGCATGGCCCTTATGGGGACGTACTTCAGTCGCCCAGATGTCCAGGCTGCCCTGCACGTTGCCGGCCACAGGGAATATAGCGCGTGCAACTCGACGATCCTGGGCACGCTGCTGGGTGCACCGTCAGTCGTGCCGCCGGCGTACACGATCCTGCCGGCCCTGGTGACGGAGCATAACATCTCGCTACATATCTACAATGGTGAGTGGGATATGCTTCTCAACCATATCGGCACAGAGCTGTCTATCCAGAATATGACATGGAGGGGTGCGCAGGGGTTCGGGATAGGCCCCCAGCGGCTGTTTTATGCAGATAATGCTGCGCCTGTAGATGGGGTGAACGGGTGGCAGTCCGGTGAGGTTAATGAGGGTAATGCGACCGCTGGTGTGGCGGGGTATTGGGCAGAGGAGCGAGGTGTGACGTATCATCTATTCCGTGAGGCGGGGCATAGTGTGTTTGCGAACAAGCCGCGCGAGATGTTTTCGTATGTGCGGGATGTGGTGGTCGGAGCAAAAGGTTGATGCGTGGTGGCAGGTTGAGGCCTCCGAAGGGGTATGCGAAATGGGCAATGTTGACCGAGTCAGATATAGTCTCTATTATGGTTTTGATCTACTGGATTTCTCATGGTTTATTTGTTAGTAATGATCATAGATACACGTGGTGGTGATCATGGGCTGTAGCGGGAAGAGGCCATCGGACGATGTCGACAACAAAAGTACATCAAGATAATAGACCATATATCTTTTTTTTCTGGCTTTAGTAAAAGTCTTCGTCATTGCCTCGGAGTTTGCTTTTTGTAGTGCTGGTGCTGAGTGTGGAAATACCTCGTGGATATCTCGTACTTACTGCCTGGACTAGATGGTCCTAATGATGCCAGTGGCATTTATAGCAATTCGAGAATGCCACGAAGAGAAGATGGATACTCTCTCATTGTCTTTCAGCCTGGACGATATTGCTTGTTATTTATAATTTCTATTCAAAGATTCAGTGCTATCTCCGAGGGTCTATTCCGGCCCGTTGCCGATGAAGCATTTCCGCGACAAAATGGTCTACAAAACACAAGCAAAATGGAAAGTCAAAATGCATCATAAAATATCACTATGAGATGATATTACATGGTATGTATCCAACTGCTGTCAATCTATACTCACTGTGAGCCAATGTGAGTCATGATGAATCAGGGGGTGGGCTTGGCCGGGACAAACGAGGCGCGCCAAGGCTGTGCAACGCATGAGCCCGTCAATAATTCAGGACAGACTAACCTGTTATTTCTAGAAAGGCAGAATATACCTACGAATGACATGATCTACAGTATGATCGAGCTGGTTATGAGCAAATAAAGGTAAGGGCCTCTCGCCCAAACGCTAGGATGATATCAACCGGAAACGAAATAGCCACACCGTATATAATCCGACAGATTCATCATGCTTCCCGAAAAAAAGGCAGATTGACTAGGATTCCCGCTAATTTGAGACAAAAGTACATGTAGAGGGCCGTATGCAACAGATAAATGACGTGAATCAGAATGTCCCCCATGAGGGGAAGTAGTTCCATTCCAGGCTAGGAGACACGTGAGTTCGCTTCGTATCATCATGAGATCGGGGTAAGTGGTAGATGAGGTGGAAATCAGGCCGAATACAGGCTTGCCCTGGGAGGGCCACCGGGCTTGACTGCTTAGAGGCGTCGCAGGCCATGCGCCCACTCACCGGCGAGTGAAGAAGGGTGCTTGGTTTGGCATTGAGAGGAGTGAGTCTGCGCGCTGGAAGACGTCCCCCTCGAAGAATTTATCGCTGTATGCACTCGCTGGCGTGGAAGGTACGGTGGCCTGCGCGGCGGGGCCGAGCGCGGCGCTCAGTGGAGTTGCTGGGACAGTCACTGACTGAGGGGATATACCGGTGGCTAGCTGGTACGCATTCGGGTGAGACCCGATGGCCGACGTCGAGACTGAAGTCTGGTGCTGCGAATGTGGGTGCGGCGGTTGTAGCGGTGGTCCATACAAGCCGCTTGGCGCATTGCTTGGGGCCATATCTGCGAGATATGACCAAGGAGATGCCTCGACCAAACGGCCCGCCTCTCGACTGGCCTTTTGGACCGGGCGTAGAATAACGATGACGTCCCCCGGGAGTAACTGCATGCTGCGCACTTCTCGCATGTCGGTCACAAGATCCACGAAGGATTGCATAAAGGTCTTGCACAGCTGCCAAAACTCGCGCTGGTTGCGCAGTCCACCGCCCGGCTCCTTGACCTTCATGGTGGAAAGACGGACTCCCAGAGCCTCTGATACCTCTAGGCAGAAACGACACCGGCGAATAAGGTTGTTCCAGAGCATCTGAATTCCTTCTGAGTCGCGCGATTGCTCGGCCACTTCGAGGCATCGGGAGAACTGTCGCCGCGCCAGTGGGAGGGCCTGGAGCGCAGAAGTGTACGCCGACGTGAGCTGGTAGAAGATCTTTTCAAAAATCCGTTCTTCCTCAATCTCATCTAGCCCAGTCAATGGGTTGATTCGAGGCATTCCGCCTGATGCTGGGATAGGAGGGAACGCCTCCCCAGAGCGTGGCGTCGCCAATGACGATGGCACAGAAGTGTTCACCAGATTGGATCGACTGCTGGATCGACTGCGAGCGTAGTTGAAGGACGGAGTAGAAAAGCCAGGAGACCCAGTTGCTGAATGGGTGGTTGTAGACAAAGACAAGGGTCCACCCATCGCCATCTGGGGATGGCGGATGGTAGTATCGCTTCGCAATCGCCGAGTCGGAGGAGCTGGATCCCTCGTTGGAGTGACCATGGATCGCTGGAATCGGTCCGGACCTGGAGCTCCTTTGACAGGCTCCGAGACCGGTGGCTTGGGAGCTGAGATACGCTTTTGGGGCTGGTGCATCGGGACATTGAGGCTAGCACAGGCATTCCGTAGTTCCACCAGACTACCGTACATCATCAGCATCAGGGAGCGTACATACCGCGAGTCGCCGTTGGAAACGATCTTCGCAGCACTATTGCGCAGCTGTGTGACAACGTGAGTGTAGGCTATGATACATGTCTCGCATTCTCGCTTGACAGCTTCTGTGACTACCCGTGCAGAATCGGGATCTTCGGGTAGGGAAGTTTCGGCATTCTCAAGAGCCTCGTTGAGCCGATCGACATGGGTGGACGCATTGTAAAACACCAGCTCGAGACTGTGACGCCGTGTGTCGTCGTGCTTGATGACATTGATCAGGGTAGAGATGTGAGAGTGAAACTGGAAGAGTGCAAATAGGATGCCCTTGGCGCTCTCGATAATGGGCTCGTCGGATCCGCGCTCGCCTTTATGTTCCGGAAGACTGGACATCCGGTTGATCCAGCCATCCCGTACGCGTCGGCGATCCCTTGGGCTACTGGGACTTGAAGAGCTGCTGCCGCTAGCAGGAGTTGATGCTGCCTGGTGTGCTCGAAGGACAGAACCATGACTGAGTCCACGCAAGTGACTATTTCGGTATGGCCGAGTTTCATCCAACGTTCCAAGATCAGTGTTCTTGCGAGTGATAACGCCCATACGCTTGTTGCGAGCTGCAAAAGATGCTTGGATAATGCCCTCACTGTTGCTTCGGTTGCGTTCGTTGACAGAGTGAGGTGTTACACCGGGCCGCTGGAGGCCAGGCATATGATAACCGGCAGGTTGTTGGCCAGAAGCCATTCGGAAGTGTGACTTGGCCGGAATTAGTGGCGGCCGTGAGATGGATGGAGATCGAGAGGAAGGAGCAGAGCCATCACCGGTGCTTGGGATGACTGGAAATCGACTGCTCAGTTTCCGTTTAACCGGCGCGGGCTTTGGTGTATCGAATATAATGTCACTTATTTCGGATCAAATTTAGCTTTAAGTTTCTTGCGCAGATGATTCGCGTGTGAACGTACCTTCCATCACCGCTACTCTCTGGCTCCGGAGTCGTCGCTTGCTGTCGAGATTTAAGGAATCTCTTTAGCTCTGCGGTGACAGCAACCTCCTTTTCATTGTCGGTCATGGCAGGTGCAATGTCAGCTTCTGACGCTTCCAGTACACGGCGGAGAGGATATCGTAATGGGTTTCCTGCGATTTTGAGGATTTGAAGCTTGTTCATATCGGACAACCCCACTGGTAGGTCGTCCAGCCGGTTCTGCATAATGGAAAGCACCCGTAGCGATTTCAATTTGTTGATCTCAGCTGGAAGAGCATTGATCTTATTCCGACTAAGATCAAGAATCTCCAGTAAAGGTAATTTATAAACCTAGTTTGAAATCAGTATCAACTAACCAAGCCCAGAAGCTCTTTCGTACATACTCCTTTAGGGAATTCACGGAAGTTATTCGCTCGGATATTAAGATACCGAAGATGAGAGCACTCAGCAAAGCGGTAGGGTATATGGAACAGGTGGTTGTTTGACAGGGAAAGTCTAAGAGTTTCGGGGAATGAGTTAGTCGGATGCCGAAGTCCAATCTTTCGGAGTGAAGCGTCTAAGGCGGCAAAGTGACAGCTTACCTTTCTACCTCATCCTTGATGATGTCCACCACTGGCTCTGGTATCCTTACAATGTGGGAATGACCCAGATCGATCGTCAACTTCGGCTTGACGACATCGGTGACAGCTTCGCTTCCTGCCAAAGATCGCTTGGTATCCTGAATACCGCTATCCACTGCGCGGCGGGCGAGCTCGATTGTTTCCTCGTGAGTCAACAGCTTCTGGCCAGGGTTTTGCCTGCTACCGCTGCCAGGGTTGTCGCTCATCGCGGTGCCCGGTCTCGATCCATCATCCTCTGTGCACGGCGAGCCTTCGCTGCAGGACAACGGAGGCGGGACCAGAGACTCGGTCGGCCCTTTCTCGCCGTCATCCTCCTCGGTTTCACCGCGGTAGGGTCGTGGCCCCCGAATTGTGTCTTCTGGCCGGGTCATGGCGGAAAGCATCGTACGGAGGGGCGCGGTTTGTATGAATCAACGGCGAAGGCAGGGCGAGTGCTCAGTCAATTTACAGATGCGCAATCGACCACCAGGTATCGCCAGAGGGTTTACCAAGACCGAAATAAGATGGTGCGCGGACATGAACCGAACATCGTCGACGGGTACGTGGTCTCGAAGGGTGGCAGATTATTCGGACGGTGAGATGCGGGTGTGGGGAAACGATCGCTCAAGGCGGCGGAGAACGGTACGGTCGGACACAACGGCCTAGGGAGCCGTCAGAGATGGCAGTTCTTGCCGGGAATGCTGAGGTGGTTCAGTCCAGGGCCGTGTCGTTCAGGTGAAACCGGAGCGCGGGAACTGCGCAACAAAGCTCGGACGGAAGCTCGTGGCGGAGGTCAGCCACGCCGGACGACAAGTGCTGTTATCGCGGGAATCAAGGAGGTATGATAGATCGCACTGCAGGACGTGTCAGACAGCGTAGATATGGAAGACAGAAATCAGTGGGCGCAGCACAGTTCAGTCGAGTTTTCGAGTCTGCAATTGCGAAGAGGTAGTTGGAGAGGCTGGAAGTGTCGTGATTGGGCGAGACGCAGCCCAACTGGAGCTGGGCGATCAACGGTCGTCCTTTGTTCAACGATGGCACGGTCCACCCGCTTGACTCTGGCCGTGCCCGAGATCAAAATTCCACTCAGAAATGGGGTTTTCAACAGTTACAATCTGATCGCAGCAATTTGAGTCGGGAAATCAATGGGGAAAAATCAATCTTTCTCATGGAAAACAAGGCTATGGGGATACAGTCTCCAGTAGAACTAAGCAAATAATATACATGACCATCAACATGGGAGTCTGGAATATCAAACAACTCCTCCTCAGACAAGCAATGCAAAAGCGCGGCAATGACTACGGGGTCATCACTTTCACCCTCGACTGTTCTAAGCCAGCGCACTCCCAGGCTGCTCGGTAAAGCTCTCCTCCTGGCCTTGCTGCTCAAGCGCAACCTCGGGCGCCCCGGAGAGCGCTGCTGTCCGCTGCTCGAACACCTGAGCCTCTGTCCGAGCCCAGGCCTTCCACTTCTCGTACTGCTGGTTCTCCAAATCCATACCAATCTCCAAGTACGACGAGCCAAAGTTGGCGCCAGTGGCCTGGGCCTCTTCGGCAGCGACCCGTCGCTCGATGTCCTCCTGCAATCGTAGACGGTAAAATTCTCGACGTGCAATATCATATGCAGAGCTCTTAGTCATGTCGGGCACATTGTTCAGGAGCCAAAGCTGCCGTTGGACAACACTAATGATGGCAAGAGGCACGTATTAGTAACGGGACAAGAGCTTGTGCACGAGAGAAATGCATGATGTGGAGTAGTCCAGAACAAGACGGAACCGCAGAACATACCTTTCACCATCGAGCCTCTTGCCAGGCTGCTTGAGGCGGCTCCAGTCGTAGTTCTCGTGATCTTTGCCAGAGCTCTCAAGGAGCACACGAGGCCGGGCCAGCTCCCAGGGGTGGTCGCGGAAGAAATTCTGACGCAGCTCATCCTCCTCATACTTAAGCTCTAGTGGCTGGAACAAGCGGCTTGACTTCTTCGACTTCCGGCGCTTCTCCTGTACCTCGAAGACGACCTGTGGGTTTGACGATCCCGTAACGGTCTTCATCCGTTGTCGGACCAGCTGATGTTGAGGGGGACGGTTGCGAATGAGAGTTTCTGAGGGAGGGATCTCGCCAACCACATCGACCCATTGGGGCAGCTTGTTGATCTTTCCACTGGCGAATTGGTTGAGCGCGGTCTGGCGCACCCGTAGCGCGGTGAGGTTGATTTTGCCCATGGCGGCGGGGGCACAGTCGACGGACTGTAGTCAATTGTGAGCCGCGGGAGATTGTGCGGTGAAAAAATGGGCTCGGCCGTGGGAAGGGCGAGAACAATGCGAATGGATGCGAGCGACAGAAGGACGTGGTGAACGACGAGGTGCTGCGATGCTGCGGGAGCGAAAAAGATGGGATTGGCAAAGGTCGACTCCGATTGGTCCAGACGGGTCCCGCTGCAAAGCCAGAAAGTCCGCCCGGCCATCAGAAAAACACCCCAGCTCATCCGTTCTAGCGTATCCTCTCCTTTCAACTTGCTTCACTTGCTCGCCGTCTGCTTCCTGGCCCGAGAAGCAGTCCAGGCTCTTCTGTGCGATCGGCCTGCACCTCCCTTGGACATGCAGGGCTAAGCCAATGCCACGATGTCTGCTCTCTCATGCCTCCTCACACTAGGTCCCCCAGCTCGCCGAGCCTGCGCGATCCCCCCAAGCAGGCCCTGGACGAGCTCCTTCTCTCTCGACCTTCGATGTCTCATCCGAAATCTTCTCCCTCTCATGCATCCGTTCGCCGATTTTCCACCCGCCGTCTTCGGCCCTCCGTCGCGTCAATAGCAGACATTTTTGTCGGCTCGCTGGTCCTGGCAGGTTTCTGCCATGAGCACACCCCACGACACCGGAGCCTGTCCACAATCCCCATGAACATGTCCGAGAAATGTCTTCAAAGATATCGGGGCAAAGGTGTGACCTACCATGGACAACACTCGGCCGGCAGACGTTGGGAGAATACGGGATGCTCGGTGCAGTCATCGCGAGCCCGATCATGGCTGAGCACTGCTCTTTTACCAGCAGAAGAGCAGTCTCCTGCACAAAATTACACAAAATCTATAGAGTCGCAACAGCGTGGGGGGAGTAAAGATGGTGTGCGATCTGTTTCAAGAGAAGCCGCAGACGAAGAACCACCTCGACAGAATTGGCCGCGGTTGCTCGACTCAGCAACAGATACAGAGAGCCCGGCAAACCAGTCAAAAGAAATGTCTTTAATCACACTGTCCTCGGACTCGAAATTGTCCTCAGACCCTGAAAGTGGAGAAGGTCTCTCATACGACCAAAAGATGTATTTTTTGAATTCGAACCTTTACCGGAAGATTCTAGGGGATCATTACGACTGGTCGGAGCCCATGGACATCGTTTTCCCGAAAGATCGAGTACACCCGAAACGAGAAATGAATGGCTCCGCGGATGAAACGGATACCTACCACAGGCTGTCGGTTGCAAAACTGATTCATGTGCTGCTTCACGACAAATCCCCGTCCACCTCATACCTCTTTCGCCTGTATAGAGATATTCCTGCGCCGGGTATTGCGAAACTCCCCAGAAAGATTCGCGGACAGCTCTTGCGGGTTTTTGCAAACACTCCAAATCGACGATGGTCCGATGCCCGTCGCTACCTTGCGCTGGTACAAGACATGATTGCATCGGAAAAAAGTATGTCCCGTTCGATGTGGACTTCCGCGGTACACTTTGCCAGTCGGGGAAGTGGCAGTGGCAGGGTTTTGAAGCGAGATCTTGTGCGCGCGATTGGTGTCTGGCAGCAGATGGAACATGTGGCTGGAATTGAAGCAGACGACGTCGTTTTCAACATCTTATATGATACTGCCATCAAGGCTGGCCAATTCACGGTTGCCGATCGACTCGAGAAGGAGATGAAAAGACGCAAAGTCGACTTCACTCGCTTTGGACTAGTTGCTAAGATTTCCTCTGCTGGCGTGCGAAAAGACTTGAATGGCATTACCGAAAACTTTCAGAAGTTCGTCAAGGCTGGTGATCTTGTCGATACTGTCGTGTTGAACAGTTTGTGCTCTGCGTTTATTCGAGCGGGCGATCCATCTGCCGCGGAGCAGTTGTATGGCCGCATGATCGAAGCACAAAAAGCCAAACTGGGCAGCGATCGCTCAGTCACAGCCGATGCAGGTCGTGTCGTGTTTGAACACGCCCTTTTTTCGGAGTTTTCTAAATATCGGGCCAACAGCAGGGCGTTTGGCGACTTTCTGAAGAAATCCCAAGCTCTCAAGCACCGCCTCCCTGAGCATCACCGGGCTCTTCAGGACTCTATTCCGATCACTCCAGACACACGCACTTTCTACATCTTTCTACGATATTACGCACGCCAAAGTGGTCAGTTCGATAAGTTCATGTCAGTTCTTCGCGACATGGAAAATGCTTTCGCCGTGCCTCCCCACCAGATCGTCTATATGACGCTTTTTGAAGGATTCTCTATCCATGGCCTTCAGAAGAAGTCCTGGTCTGCTGAAAGACTTCGCCTAGTTTGGCACGCGTACCTACGGGCATTGCGAACTTCAAAGGTGAGACTAGATGCACAGCAACGGCACAGGCGTCCACAAAAAATGTCATGGGAGAACCCTCTGGCCAAGACAATGCATCTGGATGATGAACTTGACGAGGCGATAGCCGATGTATCCGATGAGTTCTACATGCATCTACCCTCAGCGAGTGGGGCTCAGCCAGACTCTGAACCTCAGCCCAGAAGGCCTGATGAGTTTACAGAGCTTGATATGGCTGATGGAAACGGCCTCGGCATGGATTGTGAAGTCTACGAACAGCCACAGGATGGCAACTCTCTCGAAACAGACTTTGAGATTGCTCGAGACGAGTTCTCCATCTCTGAATTACCACGCCCTGATCCAATCAGCATTCGCACACACCAACCTGACGACCTCGACAAGTATCTGGAGAATGGGGTTTTTGTGGGCCGCAAGATGATTGTTGTTATTTTGCGTGCATTTGGTGCCTGCTATGGACCAAAAGAGGTCATGGAGGCTTGGCTGCAGCTGGAGCGACTTTGGCACCCTCATCATCGCAAGGCTGCCGATGTGCTCGCTGTCAAAGAGGAGCTCGACAAGCAGATGTCGAAGGGTCCTCGCCCCAATGTAACATAATATAGAAAAGGAGGTGCATGTTGTGATTGATAACTGTACATTACACATACTTTTGCCATATACCGATTCAATTCAGCGAGATATCCTAGTATCATCTTCAAGCTATCATATTTCATGTTCAGGTTTAAACATGTATGAGAATAGAAGAACTAATTTTTTTGTAAAACTACGAACTCCCGGCTGGGCTCTGATTTACTCGGACTGCTATTTTGAGATGGTTGGACTTTTGATTCAACCTTAGAAGAAAAAAAGGTATAAAAGGTTATAGTACCCTGATGTTTTAGCAAGCACTGCTGGTCAGGGCAGGGGGAAGGCCTGTCAAATTGGCACAAGAGAAGGGGGCTTGGAAGGAGACCTAGGTATGTGGCTGATTCCGGTACTAGACTGAATCTTGGAGATCTTCTGATTGCAATCATGGACTATTTATCTCTAAGCGAAGTGATCAATGAGACCACCTGTAACAATCAGTTGATAGCAGCGATTAATAAGATCACGATCACAAGATTGCTAGAGCAGATCAACGATGCCAACATAGCAGTGTAGACAATGTCAAATTAATCAAACCTACCCAGGTAATCATAAATATCTTGCAAAATCCGTAGGAAGAATAACATTTCTTAGCCTTCTTGATCAATTTGTGGTAATTCAGAGATGGAGACCTCGTCTCGAGAAATCTTATCCTTTGAAATACTGTAATTTCTTCGTACAAAGTGGTAATATCCGAAAGATCTGATGGGGTAGATGAAGACGGTTTATTGGAATCTACCGAACGACTGAACTAAAAGGGGGCTTGGTCAGCTTACTAGGCTGCCATGCTAAACTAGGAAGGTGTGAGTTATGATAATGACCAAGCTATATCCGCTACGCGTGTAATATCTACCAAGGTCGAAAAAACTCGAACTCTACAGTATAATGTAATGTCGTATTAATTACAGTCATCCCCTTTTCTTGGCCAATTTTGGGTTTAAGGTCAACGCCGACCCAGTGAAGTTGACCTAGTAGGCGCTTGCATGAGACATTTCGCCAAATCGAGACTAACACAACCAATTTCTATTTTACTTGTCCGTTTTCTTAAAAATTATTTAAATTATTTCTCACGAGGAAAGTGCAACTTCAATGGTGCCACTTCTGGACAATATTCAAGACGCCAATGATAGAGCAGGCCGTTTGATGTATAAACACCAGGGCACAGGCACACAGGAGAAATGATGTCCAGCTCCTTGCCGTCCAGACCGTGTTTCAAGAATGTCAAGGTTGCGATGAAAACACAGATTAGATCCAATTAATCAGCAGGAATTAGCGCTTTCCTGCACTCATCTGTGACGTTGCGTCGCATGCCCAAAGCGCCATTATCTTAGAAAATTATAAGCACTCTGTCAGGATTAAATTGTCTTAAACAGATACTATCCTTCCAAGAAGAGAGTCCTCCAACCGCAACCGCACATAATCCGAAAGCCCATCTCAAGGATCGCTTTTAGAGGCCATTAATTTGTCTCCCGTAATACGCCAAAATGTATGTATCTTCCAAGAAAGAGAATTTTATTCCATAATTAATACTCTTGGTCAGCGAGCGTCACCATGCAGAAGGCATTGAAAAAGGCAACCGGCAAGGCCGTCGAAGGAAATGCCTGGAGAAAAATTCACCAATTCAAGTGTTAGCCGTGGGAAGACCACTTTCCCGAAGACCCAGGCAGAACAAGAAAGTGTCGGGGTTCGATGGGACTACGATGGAGAGGTCACCAAAGCGGATGTGGTTTACCACAAGTTCCAGATGCAGCCAAACGCTGGGAAAGTCCCCTCTTCGATCAAAACATGGAGGGAAGGCCATGGTGGGACACATGCAGTCATGGCCACTGCCCTGGTCAAGAAAGACGGTTCGAAGGAAGATGCAGAGAAGGGCTTGAACGACGCCGCAGCTTCAGTCCAGACTTGAAGATCTTATAGTTTGAGATTATGATAGATAGTCAATGCAGCAGATATAAAATTCGAACAACAGAGCAAAGTCAGCATGTTTCTAAATTGAAGTAGGCACATTCGGCCATTAATAGGAATCCAAAGCGTAGCTAGCTAGCTTTTCGGTACGACTCGCTATAATGAAAGAACAACAGCTGCCCAAGGGTATATCATCTGGATAATTGAGAGTTCGTGCCGGAGGCACTGAAGCCATACGGATTAGGAAAGCTGGTGGTGCCAATAATACCGATGCAATTGGTCGTTCTCCTTCGCAAGCTATTTCAAGATCGAGCACACTACTCATGCCTGAGGCAAAAACTGTGAAACTGCGGGACTACCAGAAGTAGCCAATCATATCTCACTTTTCTTTATCGTACCTGAATCTCTGCATCAGGGATGATTACCTAATACACTTCGCTGGCGCGACAGAAGCGCATTAGTAGGCAATATAAAGTCCTTTCCTGATCATTACCTAACTCCGCGCTACTTCTTCCTCTTGATGAAGCTATGGCTAAGCGTCTACTCGGAGCAACCCCTCATATTCTCTACTCGCGCACGATCATTCCCCATACAAGACCGATCCTCGCACGCCCTGTTTCGACGTTCCAGAAAACGCCTGAGCCTTGTGATTTGTTCGAGTACACGTCTGGACGATGGATGTATGTTGCAGGCTTACGCACTCGCTCATGTTAAACTGCTCTGCTGATATGATAGCTATAATGACAATTTGAGACAACGCGAGAGAAGACGAGCTTTCAACATCTCTGAACTTAAGCGCCTTGCTGCGCTAGCTGTTCAGCAGAAAGAAGCCGATGTGATCGAATTCAAAAAACTTGCCGAGGGGGGCTTCAATCGAAGTTTTCTGATCACCATGAGAGATGGCTACCAATTTGTTGCACGAATTCCATATCCGGCTAACGAACCAAAATTCCTAATTGTTGCGAGTGAAGTCGCAACGTTGGATTTTCTACGTGCTCATGGTATCCCAGTACCGAAGGTTTTTGACTACTCTGCCGTTGCAGATAATAGTGCGGGTACAGAGTACATCTTCATGGAGTATATCCAAGGGAAAAATCTAGGGGATGTGTGGTATACCTTGTCTGAACGTGAAAGAAGAGAATTGGTTGCAAGAATCGTGCAGCTAGAGTCTCGTTTATTTAGCTTGCGGTTTCCGGCAAGTGGAAGTCTCTATTACTGCAATGATTTGCCAGATAATTACTCCCGTGTCATCGTTCCAAGCCCAGGAAAGACCGACCGCTTCTGCATTGGTCCCGATACTTCGCTACGGTTGTGGTATGGCGAAAGGCTCCACTTGTCGGTTGAGCGCGGACCTTGTGAGTGACTTTCGTGTGAGGATCAGGACGTGGAAGAGACTTCGATATTAACTTCCTGAAGACCGAGATCCTTTGGCAGTTCTTACTGCTGGTGCCAAAAAGGAGATTGCCTATCTTGAGAAATTCGGACGACCTCTCCAGCCATTACAGCGTCTTCGCCGGGAGGTATACAACTACCAGCCTCAGTCCCACTTAGAACATGCTGTGGCTCTAGAGAAATACCTTCAGATTGCACCTTACCTTATACCATATGACTGCCCGGCCCTTCATCGCCCAGCTATACGGCACCCCGATCTTCAACCCAACGGCATCTTTATCACTGACGACCTGGACGTCAGTGGGTTAATTGATTGGCAACATAGTACGATTTTGCCATTATTTCTGCAGTGTGGTATTCCAGAGAGTCTACAGAATTATGGTGACGAGATCTCGGAATCACTGCAATTTCCGGCTTTGCCGAACAATTTTGATGAACTGGAGGAAATAGAGCAATTTCAGCAAACAGAACTCCTGCGCAGGCGTCAGCTCCACTATTTTTATGTCAAACTGACAGCAGAAAGAAATCCTGAACATTACGAGGCCCTGACCCTTCATTTCAGTACCTTAAGGCAGCGGCTTTTCCATCATGCAAGTGACCCTTGGGAGGGTGATAATATGACGTTGAAAGCCGATTTGATTACACTATCTAGGAAGTGGACAGACTTGACGCGAGATGCGAGAACACCTTGTCCAATTTCTTTTCCAGACGACGAGTTGACGGAATGTCTACGGCTGGAACGCGCACAGTCTGAAGCAGACGAACAATTCCAGGCTTGTCAGGAAGCGATTGGGGTTGGGCATGAGGGGTGGGTGCCCCTAGCAAACTACGATGAGGCAAAAAGAAGCGAAAGGAAACTGAAAGCAGACGCTCTCGATGCTGCCGAAACAGAAGAGGAGAAAACAATAATCCAAGAAAACTGGATTTTCGACGACTTTTGCGAGGAAGAATACATGTGAAAAATAAGGGTTTGTTTCTCTCTAAGAAACAACAAGGTTGATGAGCCGTTGATCCTCGAGGTACTAGATTTTGTTCGTGATATCCTGAGCCTACCCGGACTTTCAGATTCGAATCTCGTAGAGAGAGTACCCGGGCATAGTATATCACCAGCTGACTTCCCTCTTTCTTGACCACTTCTCGGCAGATCACAAAGTATCTGTCGAGCTTAGCAAAAAGATATCTCGCATGTTTTCAGAAAGATTCAGGGTGAGTATGACTTGGAAGGAATATCCTGATGTGGAGTATGGTACCGATTTGAGGACAAGATCAAAGACATTATAACACTCCTCCATGATCGTGTCGACTTGCCGGGTAATGATCTGATGCAGGATGTGGCGCATACAGTTGAAGTCGTTGAAGCCAAGTGATATTTTATGTTCCTGTTCTTTCTTTTCCATTTTCATTCCATGTTGACGAGACACACTTCTATATCTGAATTGAGATTTTATGCTGCTTTCAATTGCCCCCTAGGTCTATCTCACTGCGGAAATGGAACTGGTTGTAGTTCGGTATCCCAAATAGAAAGGATATCGTCACGTGATGGCCTGTCTGCTCGGCCCGCGACGACACGGTCTTAACGAATGCATCAATGACTCGTTTCAAAGGCCGACTTGCTTCGAAACACGTCTTTGACATGCTACCAGATGGCTGACAGAGGGAGGCTTCTACAGCGAAAGCCAGATCTTGACTTCTATCTACATCGCGTGTTCCGCAAGAAATATTTCCGGTCAGTGCGCCGATCCATGGAATGTCAACTTGCTGACCCAGCACCAGTCCACTTCAACGAGAGGTCATCACCGCGGTTGTTGAGGGCCATGATGTATTTCTTCAGGCATCCACCTCATTTGGCAAAAGCCTGTGTTTTCAACTGCCAGCCGTCATCGGCACCGGACGTAAGTATCACTTGCCGCCTCTATTAGTAAGTATAAACGCCTTGCTGACATCGTGAAAGTAACTATTGTGATTTGTCCACTTCTTGCATTAATGGTAAATTGGCAGCCTTCAGAACCTGCGTGGTTTCCACTAATTCATATCCCGGCAGATGGACCAAGTCAACGCTCTCCGGGCTATTGGCGTGCCAGTCCAGACCATCAACTCCAGCACACCTTTAGCGGAGAGGCACTTGATCATGGGTGACATGCTCTCGGGACATCCACGCACGCGTCTTTTATATGTGACTCCGGAACTATGTCAAACAGACAGCTTCCGCCGCAACCTCTCAACTGTCCACAGGCAAGGGCAACTTAACCGCATTGCCATCGATGAAGCCCATTGTATCAGCGAATGGGGTCATGACTTCCGCCCAGCCTACCAAGAATTGAGCTGGTTCCGGAAAAACCTGAACGACCCGCCTGTCCCCATTACAGCCCTTACGGCTACTGCTACCCCCCGAGTCCGCTCAGACATTCTCACCATCCTAGGCTTAAATTTCACCAAACTCAAGCTTTTCAATACCCCCTCCGCTCGTCCTAATATCCACTACGAAGTACGATATCTTGGAGGGGATGACGATCACGACAACGCTATATCTCCGGAAGACTTACAGGTGAACGATCTATTGGCTTGGCTCAAAGCCATTAAATGCCGACGAGAAGCTCGCATCGGCGCAGACGCAGCGGCACTACTTCCACCCACGTCTGGTATCATCTACGTTGGTCTCCGTGCAACATCAGAAAATCTAGCCAGCAAATTGGACTGTGACGAAACCATCTCCGCGGTGGCCTACCACGCCGGGCTCACTTCGCAAGACCGGACCCGCATCCAAGCAATGTGGACATCACCGCAACCGCATCCACAAGAGAGCAATGGTAAACCCCCGCCTGCCTTCTCTATCATTGTGGCAACCAACGCCTTTGGAATGGGTATCGATAATCCCCATGTTCGTTTCGTAGTACACTGGACTCCGCCACGCAGCTTTGAAGGGTTCGTGCAGGAATCAGGCCGAGCAGGTCGCGACAGCCGCGCAGCAGCTTCACTCGTTTACTACAATATCCAAGAGCGAGACCGCATCTACGAGCGCATGAGCCGCGACGCAGAAAATGTGCGCAATCGTGGTGGCTCCAAGCCTTATATTGCCGGTCTACTTAAGAACCAGGTGGCGCGGCTTGAGAGCTTCCAGAAGGTCATCCGTTACTGCGAGACAGCTACAAAGTGTCGGCATGACCTGATCAAGGATCTCTTTGGTGACTTCGAGTTAAAAGAGATGGGCTCCCAACAGCCGCCGTCTGCACATGGTGGCGCAAAGGCTGACCGGCTGATGTCGTCTGCGTCTCCGTGTGATTTTGCTTGCGATTTTTGCAAAGAGGGTCGTTCTGGATTGGCAAAGCGCAAGGGCACGGTGGCTCCTGATGCTCTTCATGAGTTCATGAGGGATCACATGAATCAGCTGTATGAAGGTTATGCTTAATCCGGGTGCAGTGCTGACGATCCACGTTTCTTTTTTCATTGAAAAGTGCATGTATTCGTTAGACTTGAGTGTGATTTACCTTTGCATTGTTTCGGCGGCGTTCGAAGTCGGTAATCTTCATGAGGATTAGGGACACTAGTTAGGTACCACGTGGAGGATAAGCCTGAAATACCGGACGAGATAATGCATAAATACACTATTTCTGTCCGAGGTACAGCTTGAATGCACAATGTAGAGGTGTACACAGTAGCCAGATCAGACGGCCGAGGAAAACAACTCCTAGAGATTTTAGGTAGAAACTCCTATTTTAAAAGAATAATGACGGCCCTAGAACTTGAAAATTGCACTAAAGGAAATGAAAACACTGTATCTTTTACCCACTTTGAGTACCCTCCGCCCGTTTCTTTTATTTTGCATGCCTACACGTGGCAAAAACGAGCGTTGTCAATGTGCCCACCTACGGAGCAGCTGTAGACTTACAAGCCGGGTGGGGGAGGGACCTGAAAGAACCGAGTCAGTTAGATACCAGCCTAGGAGCAAGTGCAAAGAGAAATTTATGAACGTACCGCGCCATAGCTACCTCCTCCAGGGGGCGGGGGAGGAGATCCAGAGCCTGGAGGAGGCGGAGGAGGAGCTTCGCTAGCTGGGGGAGGGGGCGGCGGAGCAGGGCTCTCCGACGCCTGTTGCTGCTGTTGGGCAGCAGCAGCTTGCTGGTAGTACTGGTAGTAGGCAACGTAGTTCTGGTATCCACCGTAGGCGGCGTAGGGATCAGATCCATAGTACTGAGCGTATTGCGCGCTATAGTCAGCCACATTGGCGGCGCTGGCGGCGCCAGAGGCGGCCTGGCCGGTTGGGCTCGCAGCAGAAGGACCAGGGGATTGCTGTTGCTGGTGGCGGTCGTTGTATCGATTATAACCGCCGCCGCCACCACCACCGCCGCCGCCGCCGCCGTGATACCGATCCCCACCACCACGGCCGTAGCCGCCGTAGTTATGCTGGGGTGGGTTGTCCTTGAAGTTCTGGTACTGTTCCCGAACGTTTGCCAGAAGGTCTTCGCAGAGCTCTTTAGCAGCCTGGACGTCATTGGGGTCAGGACCGCTTTGAGGAAGTATTAGCATGTACCATTCGTATCATTCTTGAGACATGGAACTCTGATACTCACGCGACATGCAAGAACATTGGCTCATCACTCTCTCGGCCTGTGCTGGATTCAATGAATCCAGACCCCCGGCCTTTAATCTGAACGCGACAGCGTGTTTTCTGCTGAATGTGCTTCACGTACGCGCCACCCTGGCCGACAACCTGGGCACGCAGATTGAAACCAGGAATGGGCTCGAGGTCAATGGGAATCCGCTCATCGGGCCATTTGCGCTGTACACAGTTAGCGGGGGTTTATATACTGGCCAAAGTAGATGAATGGAGACCCATACACGACCAAACTCATCCCGCTCCACTTGCTGCTCTGGTTCCCTCCGGCGGAAGCGTCGCTCGTCGACCAAGTTCGGAAGTTCTTTCTTCATGAGATCGTCAATGATCTGCACGGCTTTCTCAAGACCTTCTTTGCTAGTGCTGGTCACATGGAGGTAGAGAGGGGGGTTCTGCATCAGAGAATCAATAGCTGGTCAGTACCACAGAAAAACCATCACTCACAGTCGCGGTCGCCATGTTTTTGTCCGGATAATAGTTTCCTCGGGTGGTGACATCTTAAGAACGAGTAAGCGATGAGTCTCTTTGTCCATATGAATACACGAGAAGAAGGCGTACCGGCGCCAGTTTCATCTTTGATCTAGAAGTCACGCAGCCGAGGTCAGCAGATGCCACAGAGGGTATGTGAGATGCTATGGATTTAGTTGGTCTGAGTAAGCTTCATCCAACCACACACAAAAAATATGGGATCAACAGAAGGGAGGAGATAGAGGAATAGACCCAAGCAAGAAAAGCTAAGCTTGTTCACCAAAAGGAGAAAGGTCTGGAATATCAGCAAACGACAACAGGAGTAATTACCATCTTTTGTGTGGAGCCCTTAGTCAGAGTGTAGCGGTTGCGCAAATCATTGATCTCGATGTCTTTGATGTAGTCTCCGTCGGCGACATAGATTTCGGGGTTGGGCTTGCCGTCTGCGTTTGACGGGGAATCTGACTGCATTCCAGGGCTTTCGGTCTAGCAAAGCACTTTAGCTCTGGGCCAAATCCAAACCGTCACCAATGGGTATTTACCGAGCGAATTGGGGGAACATCGACATGCTGGATGCCCTTCTTTGCTTGCAGCTGAGCATTGATCTTGGCCGCGGCCGCAGCTGTTGAAAAAACGAAAGAACACCATTCGTTAGCTGTGCGAAAATTTCCTGAACACAGGGTGCACCTGCGGACTTACCGGCTGCAGCGGCTGGATCAACCGAAGCCTTTGCCTGAGCATCTCCGGCAGGACTGCGAGGTTCGCGACTCAGCGGACTGCGGGTGCGAGCCGACTCCGACTGTTTGGCGGACGGGGATCGCGAACGACGGTCGAATCGGGAGCGACGAGGCTCGGGTTCGGTTTGATCGAAGCGCGAGCGCTTTACTCGGCGGTCGTCGTCGTCCATAGCGAGAAAGGGTTGGCGAGGTGGCGGTGAGGAGGTTAGAGAAGCCGAAACGTGGTTTAGAAAAAAAGGTCCAGATCAATTGCGGGAAGGGAGGTTGTCACGGGGCGAAGGGAACGGGATCGAAGCGCAGTTCAGGGATTGCATCGGCACCACTGTCGGGGAAATATGTCGCCTGCGCCGGTTAATGCGCTAGGATTCGCAGTCAAGGAAAGCTTCTGGGGGTTTCTTTCACCGTCTGTCTTTGACATCGACAGCATCGAAGATGTCCAAGGTCACGTGGATATACATAGCGCTAGTACAAAAATGGTAATTTACATCCTTACGAATTTACTGACGGGCATTTGATATAGAAGAAAAGCGTTGATCTATTAGCTTAATCAAGTAGTTAAGTCTACAACATGAAAGATAGGCCGACCTGAAAGCCGGCCCGTCAAATTCGCTAAGGTAGCCCAAGGCTATTCCGCCTTCTATTTCTTGTACGTGACTAAAGTGTGTTTATTTATCCTAGTCGACATTTCTCCTTCAGTCAAGTTCTGAATAAACATTGTGCACTAGGTTTACCGACATACTTTTTCCGCCGATCCCCTTGGCCAAAACTTATTTTGATGCCCTTCTCATGTAGCCTTCGGAGCTATTAAATGCGTGCTGTGCAAATTGAACGCTATCGGCGATCAGATAACGCTAGTCCCTATATAGTTAGCTTGTTATGAGTCAGCTGCCCCGAGGTCGGAAGAGCAGCCCCATTATCCTGCGAAAAAGAGTCCGGAGCATCTGGAGTGATTCATCGCACAACCCTCGGAGCTCCTGAACCTACCATGGCTTTCAGGCGCCCATTGACGCTGTCGGCAGCATCAGCGTCGCTGCTCTCTCAGTCGACAATCGCCGTTCGGTCTCGTACCGCTACGGCATCCCGCTTTAATGCTCTCCGAGCCTCGTCCAGCAGCTCGACCTCTGCGCTGGCCTACAAGGCATTGCACCGCCGCTCACCCCTCACCCTGCCGGTTAACGATGCCTCTCAGTGGGATGCTCCCACTGCTGTCTCGTCCATTCTGTATGAGACTCCTGTGCCTCCGAGCAACCCTCCCAAGCGCCACGTTCTGAACTGCCTGGTTCAAAACGAGCCCGGTGTACTGTCCCGTGTGGCCGGTATTCTAGCCGCCCGTGGCTTCAACATTGACAGTCTGGTGGTGTGCAATACTGAGGTTGATGATCTTTCCCGAATGACCATCGTGCTGCAGGGCCAGGATGGTGTCGTCGAGCAGGCTCGTCGCCAGCTGGACGACCTTGTTCCCGTCTGGGCTGTCCTGGACTACACCGACTCTGCTCTGGTCCAGCGTGAGCTGCTGCTTGCCAAGGTCTCCATCCTTGGTCCCGAGTTCTTCGAGGAGCTGCTCCAGCACCACCGCGAGATCACTACTCCCGCTGAGTCCCTCGAGAAGGGCAGCCAGGGCCACGCCGCCCAGGAGATTGAATACCACCCTCGCAACCTGCCTCCCAGCCAGGCTCTGCGTCACAAGCATGAGCATCTGGATGCTATCACCCGCCTCACTCACCAATTCGGCGGTAAGGTCCTGGATATCAGCAACAACAACTGCATTGTTGAGGTGTAAGTCTTGCCCTCTTCGAGATGTGTCATGCCTCGTACTGACTCAGTTCCCTACAGCTCCGCCAAGCCCAGCCGTATCGATTCCTTCCTCAAGCTGATTGGTCCCTTCGGTATCCTTGAGTCGACCCGTACCGGTCTCATGGCTCTGCCCCGTTCACCGCTGTCCGAGCAGACTGAGGAACTCGAGAAGGATGCCGCCGACGTTGTCGATGCCAGCACCCTGCCCCCTGGCTGAGCGCTCTTTCCAACTTTCAAGTCAAAAACACACATACCCAATACGATTTGGTTTATTTGCTGCGCATTCTTTTCGACCCCGTGCGAATTCTTTAAGGCAAACCGCTGTTTAATCTTTTGGTTGATGTTTATCTCTCCATCATATGTAAAATGTCACAATTATTTGTTCTTACGTCCTCATTGAACTCCGTGATTTTAGTGATGCCCAACCGTAGTAGTAGTATTAGATTCCCGAGTTCGCCGCAGCAAACTCAAAGTCAGATATACGAATTTGCAACCCGCTACTAGATTGCTATCTTGAGAAACGTATAACCCAAACGCCAACAAAACTATAGAAATGACATAGAACGCGCCCCCTGAGCTAACCCAGCATCTCAAATCCTAACCTTCGCTCCAATACCTTTCCCGCGGTAGAAAACAATATCAGCATACTTTTTAATCCGCACCCCGACCTTAGCGACGGCATCCATCTCCAATGACTGCCCGAGCGCCTTGCGCAAAGCGTCATAACCAACACCACCCAGAACTAAATCAACAGGTAGGCGGGGCGAATGTGAAATGCCTGGCGGGACGTCAAACTGCTGATAGTATTTGATGTGTCCTACCGGTTCGTCTTTCTCGTAGAATGCAGTCGCATCGATCGAGGTTATGGTGATGCTGGTCTGGTTCAACGGGGAAAATAGAGTAAACTCAGCCGTAGAAGACCAAAGATGAAGCTATACAGGTGATTGAAAGTTAGGATTGAACACTCATGAGCAGAGAATCCCGAGACCGATCAGCGATGATGGTAGGTGGCCATGCAAAGTCTGGACAACAAATGAAGAGAAACATACCGTTGCGTCCTGGATAAAATGCTGGCGGCTTTCATCGTCATTGTCGTCGTCCGGGGACCGGGGTGTTGACATATGTGGAATTGGGACGTCCAAAGCTAGCACTGAAAGCGATTTGCCAAGGTCTGGAAGAGCAGGGAAAGTCCCTTCGTGGGTCTGGATTCTCACAGTTGTGTTGAATCCTACAAGAGTTAGATATTGAAATCTTGTTTTAATGTTCCTTATTCGGTGAGAACACACCTGAGATGTAGGACGAGACAAGAGCTCGTCCAGCTTCTACGCCATCAAGCCCCCCGTTATTCAATGGGTCCCAGAAAATGTTGATGGAGACCTCGGTATTGTTCCCTGGAACTACCGAGATATTGCGAGCGGTAACATGTCCCACGGCCGTGTCATTAAAGAGAACTCGGGCATCAACAAATGGAACGACCGCAGAGTAATCGGTTGGATTTGTAAAGTTCAACCGAACTGATACGGCCAAAGAAGATTCACTAGTCTCGCCCAGCTCCAAGGACACGATGCGGCAATTGAGATGGTCAATCGATTTTCCAGCAGGAACTATGAGCAGGTCAATCAACGGACTCAAAGATGCAACTGAATTTCTACTATCTAGCTCGCGAAAATAAAGAAAACATACTCTTAACGGGGACGTTCCCTTCTCCGGGAATCCCGCGCACGGCAAAGCGGCCCAAAGCCGTTGAGACCTTCGCGTCTACGGTAGCAGCGACATGCAAGACCACTGCCTTGCTACCAAATAGCATTTCTTGGATGACCTGCGCTAGCACGTCATTGTCCGTTACTTGTAGCGGGGCGTCCTTGATAGGGAACTCCACAAGCAGCGCGGAGGAGCCATCTTGGTTCTCCACCATCGTCGAGTTGGCATCTTGCCAGTTGTCGATGTTCAAAACTCCGAGCTCTTCGCCCTTGTAGTAAACGTTTGTGAGGGCTCGAACGCTCGGAACCTCGACTTGGAAATTCATCTGCTCCGGCAACCCGATGAGCACCTTCACCAAAGCAGACACTGTGGGCTGGGACTCTGGGGATCCTGGTTCCGCAAACGGATCGGGAAGGGAGAAATGAGTGTCCGTCATGGTGAAGTTCTTCACTAGGTCATCCAAAGCACTTCCTGCAAATGGCAGCGGTACAGTGACACTGCGTAGAATGTCCGCGATCCATTCCGGGGTTGCAGTCGATGGCGAATCTGCACCACGAACATAGATGGTCGTCTTAAGACCATGGACATAATTCGAGACCAAAAAGTCCAAAGGCGAGTCAGTTCCTCCCGGACAAGTGGTGGTTAGCTCATTGGGCAGTTTATTGATGAGCCCCTCCGCACTGATCATCGTTGGCGCATCAGGACGAACTTGGACCTCGGCTGTTTTGGCATCGGCAACCAGGATGTAAGGGTCGCCAGGGGAGCAATTGGGCACAAGCACCGCAAATTCCAGTGCGGGAATTGTAAGAGCAAGAGGGGAATTAATGCCTGCAGACAGCTGGACATCAACTGCCAAGGAACCTTGTGCTGCGTCATGCACGTTTAGCTTGATAATTTCAATCTGCGGAAGCGCAGGGAAGTCATTTTCTTGCTGACAGTCAGCATCAATCTCGACTACATGTGGTCATAATAGTCGTACCTTCAAATGTGATGGTATCAGTCAAGATCTGAGTACCGAGGCCTATGATGCCTGATTTCAGATGTAGCGTTGCCCGACCTCGGACGCTCAAGCGCGCTAACCTCCCCTCTATCCAATCTCTAGCGATAGAATGTAAACCCTTGATGTCTCCCGCAGTCAGGTCAGTCGAAAAGTCGACATGGGTGTGATGGCCGTTGCGAATGTCGACTTTGATGGATGGCAAATCCGCGTTCCCGACAAGGACGTTGCCATACTCCGGCAGGTATACATCCACATCTGACTCGCCTGTTTCAACCTCCTGGGCGATCCAGGTAAGCAAACGCCCAAAGTCACGCATAGACTTGTTCTTCACCCGACTAGCATCCATGACGAAATCACCCTGCACTCGAGCCCGCACGCCATGGGGGGTCGTGGAGTCAATTGAGAGCGCAGTAGGTTTAAATACTGCTGCTTCTTGGGCATATTCCTTCACTACTGCTGGTGCAACAAAAGCAAAGACCAGAATCGCCAATACTGCGGTCGTTAACACCACGAGGGATATCACAGTCGGCCATCGCACGCGGCTCTGTTTCTTGGAAGGGCAGTCCTCTGTTGACTCTGCGTCGAACGATCTTTCAGTTCCATATGTGGCAAAGCCATCCTCGCGACGGTGGAGTAACGGTGTTGACTCGGATGACAGTTCGAATGATCGGCGAGGCTGGTCAGGACGAGTGGCGGTCTCTGGGGATGGGCCTGGCGAAGGGGATCTAGCATGCCCATCCAGGAGCGGCCGGCTTGCCTCATCAGCCATCATGGCCAGGGAGTGGAACAACCGTATATGACAGTATTGGGTATCCCTTTGTATTCAAAGGCAACCCAGAGGGGGAGGTGGAGGAGGAAGGCCGATGACGATAAGGTCACGATAACAGAAGTGCGGAGATATCAGGCCTGGACACCTGAGGTACCAGGCCTCCAGGCGCCAAGGCCGTCACACATCTCCGGATTGAGTTGAGTCATTGCGCTTCCACTTTCTTTGCACTCCGATCGCCAGCTTCCCTTTTCCCTCCCCATCGCACCTGCACACATACACACAGCCCCTTTCCCCCCAATTCCCTTCATCCTTAACCCTCAGCCCACCATGGCTAGCGGTCTCACAGCTGCCACCCGTTATGGCGTCCAAAGTGTAACTCAGTTGGCCGGCTCCACCTCTTCCCTGCGTCAAACACTCCAGGCTAATGGTCTCCGACGATTCGCCCACCAGACACAAACTACTCCTGCTACCTCTCCCTTCGCTCCCCGCCATCTTCTCTCCATTGCGGACCTGACTCCTGCTGAGTTTGCGACCCTGGTGCGCAATGCCGCCTCGCACAAGCGGGCCATCAAATCCGGGGCCATCCCGCAAAGTCTCCTGGGATCTATGTCCGGGAAAACCGTCGCCATGATGTTTAACAAGCGGAGTACCCGTACCCGTGTTTCTACAGAGGCCGCTACTGTCCAAATGGGCGGCCATCCCATGTTCCTGGGCAAGGACGACATCCAGCTCGGCGTGAATGAGTCACTATACGATACCTCCGTTGTGATCTCATCCATGGTTTCTTGCATTGTCGCGCGTGTCGCGAAGCACTCCGATGTGGCCGGCCTGGCCAAGCACTCGTCCGTCCCGGTCATCAATGCCTTGTGCGACTCGTTCCACCCCCTGCAGATCATCGCCGACTTCCTCACTATCTACGAATCCTTCACACCCAAGGCGCATGGCCTCTCCAGCCTCGGCCTAGAGGGTCTGAAGATTGCCTGGGTCGGCGACGCAAACAATGTGCTGTTCGATCTCGCCATTGGTGCTACCAAGATGGGTGTCGATATGGCCGTCGCGACGCCTAAGGGCTACGAAATTCCCGCCGACATGCTCGAGATCATCCAGCGTTCTGGTGAGGGCGTGTCCGCCCCTGGCAAGCTCACTCAGACCAATGTCCCCGAGGAGGCTGTTAAGGATGCTGATATTCTGGTGACTGATACCTGGGTGTCGATGGGCCAGGAGGAAGAAGCCAAGAAGCGCATGAAGGCATTCGAGGGCTTCCAGATCACAGATGATCTCGCTAAGCGTGGTGGTGCTAAGGAGGGCTGGAAGTTCATGCACTGCCTGCCCCGACACCCCGAAGAGGTCAGCGACGAGGTCTTCTACAGCCCGCGCTCCTTGGTGTTCCCCGAGGCCGAAAACCGCTTGTGGGCAGCTATTGCGGCTTTGGAGGGCTTTGTGGTGAACAAGGGCAAGATTGTGGAGTAAAAGGGAGTCTAGAAAGGATTATGTTCTACCCGGCTGAAGATTCAGGCCTGGCACATACAGGGATACATAAACTGTTCGAAATATAATTGTCAAAAAGTTCAAATCTATGACAACGCTCGCAAGATCCCATTCCATTATGTAGTATGCCCAAAGTCGGAGAGTGCTGGTTGCACCAATAACAGGCTCGATGATTACTTTTAGGTTCGGGTAACCCAGGGTCCCGTAGCGCCAGTGTTTGATTTATTACCTAAGGGCCCCATCCGACAACAGTGGGTCTTTCGGAAGTTGGACGCCACCAGAATGGCGGGGCTTCCGATCGCATCAGGGCAGCGTGGGCCACACGGGTTAGGGCACTCGGGATTCTGAGGAGCGACCCCATAATAAGAGGTATGATATAAATAAACAATTATTAACATAGTCCTATTAGACTAGGGTTTCATCCGGTATATCAATAAAGATGAATGTGCACTGGTAGCTCGGGAAAGGAATATGCACGCAATTGGATCAGCCTTAATACATCGATCTGATAGCCCCTACACGGTATATATAACCTACCTAGATACCACCTAACAATTTGAGATTTGTGCAATCGCCCGGAATATCCGCAGGTGGATAGGTACCTAGAAGCTCGGGAAACCCAGATAGGTAACACGCTCCCTCTCCGACAAGCCACCTCCAGCCTGACGGGGCATCGGATCCGTAATCCTCCAGGCGGGGAAGGTGCCGATAGGCATCCCACTCAATATATAACGCGCTCGAAGAACACCACCATATCTCTTCACATACCTTAGGTTGACATTTGCAGCGAGTTTCTTCTCCAACGCTCGAGTCTACACTGTCGTCCTCATCTACCCTTCCACAATGGGCTTTGAGAATAAGCGGGTCGCCATCGTTGGCGGCGGCCTCGGTGGCATGTCATTCCTGAACGCCGCCCTATATGCCGGTCTGAAGAATGTCCAGCTCTATGAGCAGGCGCCGCAATTCTCTGAGGTGGGTGCTGGCGTGAACATTACCTCCAACGCCAACCGGATCCTGGATACCTTTGGGCTGGAGGAGAGCATGACGCGCAAGTCCTCGCGCAAGCTGCCATGCTATATGGAGTACCGCAACTACAAGACGGGAGACTACTTGGGTCACATTGACGAGTTCTCGCAACCGCCGGCGCGCTTGCTGCACCGCGCACACCTGCTGGACTCGCTGAAGGAGCGCGTGCCCGAGGCCTGCCTGAATCTAGGCAAACATTTGGCATCGATTGAGCGGAACACTATTTCTAGCGCGGCGCCATATACCCTCCGTTTCCAGGACGGCAGCACTGCAGACGCGGATCTCGTCATCGGATGCGACGGCATTAAGTCGAATGTGCGCCGGGACATGGGCCTGGGCGACTCCCCCAACTACTCCGGCCAGGTCGTGTACCGTGGCTTTGTGGACTACCAGGACCTGCCTGCAGACACGGCACAGCTGCTCCGGAAGACCGTCAACTTCCGTGGCCCCAAGCGCCACGTCCTGATCCTGCCCGTTGGTAACCAGGAGACCAAGACGGATCGCGCTGCCGTCATTGGCTTCATGTCTGAGCCGATTGAGTCTTGGGACTCGGAGAGCTGGATGTCGCGCTCCGAGATCTCCAGCTTGCACGAGCACGTCCGCGACTGGTGTCCACAGGTGCAGGATATCATTGAGGGTCTGCGCAAGGGTTCCCCGGATGGCCGTATGCTGAAGCAGGCGTTGTACGTGCGCGATCCACTGGATAAGTGGTACGAGATGAAGAATGGCCAGAAGGATTCGGGCATCATTCTTCTTGGGGACTCTGCTCATTCGACCCTTCCTCACCAAGGCGAGATTTATCTCCCCCAGATCTCTGCAGTATATTTTGACTAACGCAATAATACAGGCCAGGGAACATGCATGGCTATTGAATCGGGCATCGCTCTCGCAACAATCCTTCGCCACTGGAAGTCTGACGACCTGGAGGCCGCATTCCAGTTCTATCAGAACCTGCGCAAGCCCCGGACCGACCGGGTCACACAGACTAGCTATGAAGCTGGCAAGCTGGCCAGTTCGGACTCGCCGGACCAGATGACTAACAACTTCAACCCTGAGGCGCTAGGCGAGCGTATGAGGTGGATCATGGAGTATAATGTTCTCGATGACTTGCGCGCCAAGGGGGCCGATGTTTTGGATTTCCAAGACTCACGGCTCTAGTAGTGCAAGAGAGTTTTGCACATGCTGTATATACCTTAGCCTTTTGTGTATAAATGATTCATTGATGAATAGATATGCTCCTATTGGAACCTTGAGATATTCACCTATCTTCCTGGGGGTGGGGTTCGTACAGGGATATGCTGGTCGTGGGTTGTAGACGTGGTGTGAGGCGCTTTCCTCGGTCATGTCACCCGTCCAGCTGCAAATAAATAGATAGGGTGATCTTAGTTTGACCAACTACCACTTCCACTAGGAACCACATTTCCTCAGCTCCGTTCATCCCGAATACAATGCTTTTGATGAATTGACACCCTTACTTCAGGACTCATCACCATCCAACCTTGAACCAATCATCCGCCGCTCTGGAAGTCAATCAGTGCCGACTGCGCGCACGGCCACTTTCACATGCCACCCGCACGTGCAGCACCTCCGCATTTCCACGGTTCTCGCCCTTGTTGCGTCTCCAGTTCTTCTCGACTTCATCAAACCCACCATGGAGGTGAGTATCATCCACTGAAGTTGTATAACCTGTACATTTCAGCGGCAGCTAACCTGGCAGCTAGTTCACCAACTCGGGCGGCTTTCCCTCCCGCCGCTCCTACCCCAACCTAAACCACGTCTCGCTTGCTCCACTCACACCCCGGTTCCCCATCGACGACGACATCGAACCCGAAGACTACTTCAGCAGCCGCGGCGATGATGACCACACCAGCAGCGGTACCAGAACACCACCACGAATTTCGTACCTCTCCAGCGTCTCGGTGCCCAGTACACCGCCCATACTCTCGCACTCGCGCAGCTCATCCCGGACACGCCATGCTCGAAGTAAGAGCTCTACCCGAGTCGGCCCATTGAGTGACCCAAACCTGCACAGCAAGGATGTCGCTTTTCCGCTGCACCATCAAGCCGCACACAAGAAGCTATTTAACTTGTCGCACACGCGCCGGCACTTCGGCGATGCAGGACACGCCAACTCCCAGTCCGATGCGGAATGGATGCTCCGCGCAGGCATAGCGCTTGCTTCGTCCACGCGCGAAGAAAAGGGCCAGAGCTGGCTCTCGAAGCGCGAGAGCTCGACCAGTCTCGTCGACCTGCCGCCCGACGACACCACGACTCCGCACCCTTACCGCCACCATTACCGCACCAAATCCAGCGCCTCATCCCGTAAGTCTCGCTCGGGGGCGTCGACGCCCGGTGCATATTCCCGCCGGAGCTCACGCTCTCGGGGAGGCAGTCAACGGGGTAGTCGGTCGGGCCTGGCCATGACGACCATCCCGCCCCTGTTGTCCGTCCCGCCTACAGCAGCGGGTAAGGCGGCCGGCCCCGCGGCCGGCACTATGAGCCCTGAACACCGCGGCCGTACCTCGGGGCTGGTACCTGATTTCGTGGACGAGCGAATCCGCGCTGAGCTCGCGTCGCTGCAGCGGGAGCGAGGTTTCTCAGACGACGAGTCCGAGTACTGGGATGGAGAGGATGAAAATGACTCCGAATATGACTCATTCTCCGACGAGATGCCGGACGAATTTGACGAAGCGGATCTGCAGCGGCTCACGCGAGAACGGGGATTTGGGCTGGGCGGCTGGATTGATCGACTGGTTGAATGGACGTTGTTTGGGGTCGAGGAGTGGCCTGCGCCTGTCCCTTCTACAGCAGCTGCTACTCGTATCGGGACCACTGCCACGACTACGACTGTGACGTTTGAGGAGCCTATTAATCATCGCTCTGATGAGGAGCAACTGGCCCGTGATACTTCGTCCCTGGCCTCTGCTGAAGAGGACAATGGGGATGCCCTGTGGCATACGGATGGCGAGTCCATTGTTACTGTTGAGAAACCGGGTGCGCATGGTGGCTGGGAAGATGCGAGTTGGCTGTTCCGGGTGATGAAGCGTGCTTTAATATGATCGTCCGAGAAGAGGCGGTAACGTCATTGGTTTGCATATAATACTTTTCGCTCCATCTCCCTCGGAAATACGACGTGAACGGGATACGGTGCAGTGCGTCTCGAAATTGGTGCCACCGCCTACACTCTTTCATTGTTTCTCGACAATTAATGTCAAGATCAACTAATTCATATTAGGAATAGATCCGGAATATCAATATTCCTATATCAATATCAATATAGTGACCTACCCTGCTGTTGGATCATTCCCGAGACCCTCTCACTGGTGCCATTACTTGCACACTTAACTAAGGCCTGCTGGCCGAATCTATTAATTGATGGAAGCTTTCTATCACACTCAGTCCTTATCACCCGCGTGTTTAAACAAATCACTGCACTTCTGGAATCGTATACTCTGACCATTCGCTCTCGCCTGCAAAAAACTTCTCACCTCGCTACTCTTTCCTCCGTCTCAAGCACACAACCAGACACGTTATGGCTGAGACCTCCGGTTGTGTTCGCATCCCTATGGCCAACCCCGCTACAGCAGCATGGGACGTCCCTATCTCCAGCACTGATCAGAGCAAGCTCCTTAACGGCTTCTGCCCGCAGGATATGGACGACAAGTGGGGGCTCCGCGCCGACGGCCCGGACGCGCAGGGCAACTTTATTCTGCGCATATACAGGAGCTGGACAGGAGATGAGCACATGGCCCTGGGGGTGCAACAGACCAAGATTTCTCAGATTCAGTGGATTCAGCGGGAGGGATATGGGGAGAATGATACTAAATATTTTGCGAAGGCGATTTGTCGGAGTCTCTGAGGATGCGATTTAGAGGCTTTGTCGTAAATTCTGCCTTCAAGATACCCCTCCCGTGTTTTGGAGGTAGGGTATGGAAGTGTCGGGTATATATTGAATTTGCAAGCGAGTACTGTACATACTTGAAAGTTATATATAATCTACGTAAGAAGCAATAGGTACACGCCCAACTCACAGAGGTACTCTGGAAAACTCCCAATGAAGACCAGTATATCTTGGCGCTCGGGCTGGAGAATCAATCGAAGAGTGTAAGGTAGGACCTGGTCGAACCGGTTTCGGGACGTACTGTACTTTGCTCGATCAAAAGAACGAAATCTTTTTTCTCACCATGTAGTACAACTTGCTAAGATAGCGCGCAAAGCAATTGGAGTTATTTCTTTGATTTCAAATAGATTCAACTGAACTAGCTAGTGGGCAATCACCCCTGGTCGATTCTCGTCAGCCTCCGACAGGGCGACGTTCCAAATATAGTCATGAGCGTGCTCTTTGACCGTCTTAGAACCTAGCTCGACCATAAATGGTCGACTCGGTACCCGACAAAGGGTGAAGCAAGGGGAGCGGATTGGCTGCGGTGGATAGCAGGCGGGGTAACTAGGGATGCGAGATCCTTGTTGAGTCCGACGAAGCAAAAATGGAAAACCAGGATAACGTGAATGGGAAAGCGAAAGGATATACACGACTCCAGACAGCGCCAAAAATGGCAGACGACAGGAAAGGAAAAAAGGGCAGCACGCCGTCCGAGACTGCAATGAGATGAAACAAAAGAAACTGAAATAATATGGAACGAAGGGAAGAATCAAGCCACAGGCGGCAATCCAGGATACGATAGAAGACAGCATATATGAAGAAAAGGATGAGCCCAACGAAGGCACCGTTCTGGGATTGTGTGAGTTCGGTTCATTGTAAAGTGCTGGAAAACAGGCCATTTCAAGGCAAGGCACGGCACCTGGGTCAGTCCAGGATACCCAAGCAAAGTGCAACAAAAAGGAATAACAAAATGAAATGAAGAAATTGTCAGGTTATTCGCCTTTGCATACTATAAACGCCAATCTGAGACCAGGTGGATTCTCTAAAGGTCATGCAATAGGTGTCGTGATCATGGCATACGTCGGAAATTGTCCGGTCGGGATGTTGCTCGGATGGGGCCATTGGTGGAGCTCACGGCGGAGCCAGAGGGTCGATGCGGGAGATGATGGTGCGACGTGAGCGCATCTAGATGTTATGCGAGGTTGTAATGGGTGGTGGTCAGATATTGAGATTGTTGAAGGTAGTGTGCCGGGTGATACGGTTGCGGGTTCCTAGACAACCCCTCTTATTCACCAGGGCCCAACCTTGACGGGCGTACCCAAGCCATAGGTACCCGAGAAGAGCTGATCTCTGATGGACGCCATTTCACTGCTGCCAGCGCTGTTGGACGGCGAGTCCGGGCCGTTCATCCACCCCAGGCTGAGCCCGAGCTCATGTACCGCCGCCTGCAGCTTTCCTCCCGAGTTCTGGTTGTGCTTGGTGAGCTTGTGGTCCCAACCACCGTATTGCAGCTGGATACCTCCGCCTCGCTTTGCCGCCTCCCGGATCACCAGGATCCAGGCTTTGCAGATCTCGTCGTAAGCCGAGTCCCGCTCGATGTTGTTCTGTGGTGTGCTCCAGCGGGGCAGGGCGTGGATAATATCGGTCGCCCCGTCCAGGTAGCTCAAAGATATCGACGGTTGCGGCTCATTAGGAGGGAGAAAGTTTGGAGTGAAGTCACTCAGGGCTTCGAGAAGGTTCGTGAGTGGCTGCCGAACTCGGTTGTAGGCGTAGTCGGACTCAGTGTTGCCACCTAGGGGGAAAGAGGACTGGAGGGCGGCCTGGTAGTTCCGTAGTACTTGCAAAGTAGAAGAGACACTTGGTCGTGGAGAAGTCTGGGCCACCTCGTCGGCGAGTTGAGGGTGGCGTTCGCACATGGTCCGTAACACCGTCCGCAAGGCATCGGTGTCCAGGGTCTCTAGGAGACGAGGCAGGGAGAGAGGTCTACCGGAGACATTCGGTCGGGAACGCTTGACGTTTCGGAAAGAGGGGAGCTGGCGGGGAGTAAAGGCAGGTGAGTTTGTGGGAGAGGCGGACATGCGTCCATCGTGGTCGTTGCCATCATCATCGGCTTTCCGCTTGCGGCTGGTGTAAGACGATGAAGGTGTAGACACTGGGAGTTGGGTCAGTAAAGATCACCCAAAAAGCAGCCGTGACTCATATGAAACCGGAACAAGGCGCTGGGGAGGACCTGTCGTACTTATTCGGGAGGGAGAGAATCGAGGGTTCTCGTAGAAATGAGGAGGGACAGGAGGCGTGGCCACCAGGCTGTTCATGATGACAGCCGGATGGCAATAGAAATGATCGTGACTAGCAGATCAAGAAATGACCGGAGTAAGAAAATGGAGAGAACCTGGGCAAGGAGGGAAAAAAGGTGCCCAAAAGGGTGAGGTGGGGAGAAAGAAGTGCAGAGAAGGCAGAGAGGCGGTGGAGGAAAGAGATGCGTTGCGGGCGGCAACGCACTCCTGCTGCGCAGGTTTCAAGGTGACTTCTCGACGTTGCAGAGACGAAGCGACGCGCCCGTCCTGCAAATCGAAATTGTAAGAGACTACGAAGGCAGCTGGGAGTACTTCCGATAGATTTATTCCTCCACTTGGAAGACGAGCGTTATGATTAGTAGAAGGTGTGTTCGATTCTAACCGATCCGACTCCGCTCAAGCCTCCGCGTTCAGGCGGATATTTGACTAACTAGTACTTTCTCCGAAGGCAAAACGTTGACAATGGTCATAGAATACATGAAAAGTTTATTTCGTACCAGGAAAAAACGCCCAGGGATATCGTATTTACAGATACAGCGACTGAGCAGCCACAATGTCACGGCGCACCTTGGTCAGTGCCGTCTCGAACTTGCTCTCTAGGTCTTCGCTACCCATCACCTTGGCGGCCTGCGCCATCTGACGCAGGCACTCCTCCAGCCGCCGGAAAACACGGATCAAGCTGCCCTCATAGACATCGGTCATATGACTGTTCAAAGTTAGCGTGAAATTCGGCATAACTGTAATGATATAATGGAGCGAGCACTTACCAGATGTCGGCAAAGGACTTGCCGTTTGCCCAGTCATAGATCACCTCCATCAGCTCCCAATGGAAGCTCTGCACGAATTCATCCTCATTGACGGCCATCTTGGACTCCTGGGAGACCTTGGCGATGATTCGGGCCTGCGCTTGGATCTCCTTCAGAGGTTTCGCAAGCGCATCGTTGCTCAAAGGCGGGGCCTCCTTGACCTTCTCTTCGAACACGAACACACTGATGACAGATGCCACCTGCTCGGGAGTGAGGTTGTTGAAGAAACCGTTGAATAGTAACTCGGCCAGCATGAGTTCGTCACCAGTGCTGATTTCACAGGCCACTCGGGCCTTCAGCTGCACCACCTCTGCCTCGTTAATGAAGCCAAAGCGGCGGAGCACACGCTTGCGGCACTTCAGCTCGTCAAGATGCATAATTGACATGGCATCGGAGATCTTCTTCTTGGTCGCCTTGATATCATTGCCCAGGTTGACCTTCGCGACGTATTGGTCGTATAGCTCCGGCAACCGTGGAGAATTGTGCAACGGGTTGCCCAGCAGGCGAGACTCGAGGACTTCGATTTTCTGTAGCGTGTTAGTAGGCAAACATTGAATGAGGCAGCAAAAATAACCATGACACTCACCCGTAGCAGCTTCTTGAACGAATCATCCTTGATACCCATGTTCTCGACGGGATCGAGGACTGCAACGCCATCAGGGAATCGTCGCTGCACTTCATCCAAGGACTTCTTCACCCCGTTCCGTGCGTCAGTCGATGTGATGTCGTTCGGGAGGAAGATGCGAATGTGTGCGATGGCATGTATACAGCTGAGAACCACCGGCACAACTTCAAATCGGCACTTTTCTCCCTCCTTAGCTGGTAGTACACCCGGCGGGAAATCTTGAAAATTCTTGGTGCCAACAGACGCGCCGTCCGCAAGCTTCAGCAAGACGTCGACAATCCACGCTTTGTGTGGCTCGATTTCCTCCGTCGAGTTCTTTGCAGGCTTGCGCTGCGAGTGCTTAACTACGACACCCCAACCGAAGTCTTGGCCTTGGTACTTGATGCGAACCAGACGCCCGGGCTGCAAGAAAGGCCGGCAGTGGTTCGGGTGGGTGAAAACGGCGCGAACATCGTCAGAGAAAGTATCCAGTTGCTTGCGCAGGTCGTAATATTCCCTGATAGTTCCCTCGTCGGGGATTCTCATGTTGGCCTTTGTCTCCTCCATCTCACGAAGCTCATTTTCCATGGCCGCAACGCTTCCGGTATTCTGGAACTGTTTGAAGCATCTCTCAAGCATGAACTCTGGAGAAATGCCCTCCACTCGCATCAGGTTGAGAATCATGTTGTATCCGAGATGAAAGGCCGAGTTCAGTCGGTCCTGCTCACCGCGAACAATCTCCTTGGCAACCGCAGGGTCCATTTCCTCACCAACCATCATGATCACGATACCACGCTCATCAAGACCTCTTCGGCCGGCTCGGCCAGACATCTGGATGAATTCAGATGGTGTAACCCAGCGCTGACTGGTTCCATCGAACTTGCGAACGCTGGTGAAGACCACAGTCTTCGCAGGCATGTTGAGACCAATGGAGAAAGTCTCGGTGGCAAAGAGAACCTTGATGAGACCTTCTTGGAAAAGAATCTCAATGGTCTCCTTGAGAATGGGGAGCAGGCCAGAGTGGTGGACACCGACACCTCTGCGCAGTAGGGGCAAAAGATTCTGGATCTGAGGTAAAGCCCGGTCTTCTGGTGATAACATCTCGATGGCGCTGTCAAAAACCTTTTGAACCATCTCCTTCTCAGAATCATCATTGAATGCCAGATTCTTCATCTGGAGCGCACCGTTCTCACACTCTCGCTTGCTGAAGCTGAAGACGATTACAGGATTGTAGCTCTTCATCATGATCATCTTCACAATCTTGAAGACGTCGGACGGGCCCTTGTTGCCACCCTTGTTGAGTGACTTATCCTTGCCCTTGCCTTTCCGCTTAGCCAATGCATCAGCCGGGTCATCACCCTTTTTGTCTGCAATGGAACCCATAGCTTTTTGGAAGTTTTCCTCACGAAACACACCCTTCTCATCCACGACCAAGTGAATTCCGTCCGCACCGGCAGGAAAGAAATAGTGCTGGAGAGGGGTCGGACGGTAGTTGGTGTAGACAACATGACAAGGCTGGTTGTGCATTTTGACAATCCATTCGGCGAACTGAATGGCGTTGGGAATGGTAGCCGACAGGAAAACGTATCGGACCTTATCGGGAAGAAGGATGATAGTTTCCTCCCAGACGACACCACGATTCGGGTCGCGCATATAGTGAATCTCGTCGAAGATAACCCATCCAACTTCACGCATGACTTCGGAACCGCGATACAGCATCGACCGAAGAATCTCCGTGGTCATGACGAGACAGGTAGCAGTGGGATTGATGGTTACATCTCCCGTCATGAGGCCAACGTCGCCAAATTCTGCCGCAAATTCACGGTATTTTTGGTTGCTCAGAGCCTTGATCGGACTAGTGTAGATCACTCTTTGGTTCCTCTTCAAACTTTGTGCAATAGCATATTCTGCGACAACAGTTTTTCCGGCGCTAGTATGCGCTGAAACTAGCACACTTTCCTCTCTCTGGATTGCGTTGACCGCAAGCTGCTGGAAAGGATCGAGTTTGAACGGGTATGTCTTCGCGGGTTCCTCAGGTTGTTTGTGTTCGGAGAGAGGCACGTAAGGATAATTTGGAGGGATCGAAACTTGGTGGCGCACTTGGTGAGATACCACGATGGATGTTGGGTTCTGGCTGCTCTGCAAGCCAGCGGACGCCGCAATTTCCTGCTCTTGTTCCGTCTCAAAAGAATCTGCGACAATAGGTTGGGGTGCCTCGTCGAGTCGAAGGCGCTTGGTCTCGGGCTGTCCATTGCCAGCCGCGGGTTCTTCAGCTTCCGAGGTCACTTTTTCGACGGCGGGTATATTTGTAAGACTCAAGTCCTCCATCGCATCTGTTGGTGTAGCCCCATTCTTCACATCGCCATTGGCTGCACGCTTCTTGCTCTTGTCTTTCTTCTCCTTCTTGGGGCGCTTGGGCGCGCCGCCGGAGGGGTTTGCCGTTTGAGGCTGGTCCTCAAAAACATCAAAGAGCTCGTCCATCTCCAGTGGTCAATCTGGGCAAAGAACCACAGAAGTCGAGTGGGCAGCAATGAGAAGTCTGGACTTTTTCGTAGAAAATTGAAAATGCCTGATTCAGAAGGCGGTCTGATCAAAGGTGCGCCTGCAGCGCCGACCCCTCTGGTCATGTGACGTGATAAGCACGTGATCGCGATCGTCCCATTCCGCACCTCGCGATGTTCGCTCTGGCTCCGTCCGTCCGTTCCTGATCGTCCACTCCCTCCTCTCTATCCCTCAAGGTAGGTGCTATTCTGCTACAATTGTCCCTGTGATGTCTGCCAGAAGCTAATTGTGTTCACAAAGATGTACGCCTCCTCCGCTATCCGCGCCCGACTGGCCACCGTCGCTGCCCGTCGTGGCTTCTCCACCACTCGCGCCCAGCTCGGCAGCCCCTACCACTACGCTGAGGGCCCTCGCACCAACATCCCCTTCAACCCCTTGACCAAGCACTTCTTCTGGCGCTACTGGGCTTTCATGGGTCGGTGATCCGCAATATCCCGCGGAGAGACATCAGAGCTGACTCGAGACTCATCTAGTTACCGGATTCGGTGCCCCCTTCGCCATTGCCGGTAAGCTCTCAATCGCTCTGACAGTATACGACTAGTGTTCTAATGAGGTGTTTCTTTTAGTCTGGCAAACCTACAAGACTAAATAAGCTGCTTTTCACGTATTTATTGCGTATTGGCAATACGGCAGACTATGTGGTGGAAATCTTGGATCGGGCGTCACAGCTGCTGAAATATCATGTACAAAGTTAGAGGACAACGTTGAATTTTGATTTTGCCCGGAATTGTTCCAATTGTAGCTGTGTAGAGATGGGGAAGCGTAACTCGTTAGACGTTGAAATATGGATGAAGTCATTGGCTGAGCGGCGGTGGAAAATCAAAAATCTTTGGTTCGGCGTTGATACTTTGGTCCAGCTCTCGGGGCCACAACCACATCGCAAAACGCAACCCAGTGAACCTTGCCCTTTCAGTCGAAGAGTATTGATCTTCGAGACTGCGGGGAATTTTTCTTGTCACTTCCAGCTATTTTTGATCTCACCGTCCCATGGCGGGGTAATTGAAAGAAGTGATAAAGAAGGAAAAAAAGTGATACCCGACGCGGAAAATGCGCAACCTCAAGGGCGTGCGTCTCCAAGAGACGCAAGTGGAAGGCGACCTTCCCTTGACAGCAACTGCCTGGGATATCTCGTCTGACTCGATTGTTTGCGCCTTTGGTCCTGCAGAGCACAACCCGATCATCGAGCTGCGGAGGAAGCGCCCCGAAGTCACTGCCGCGGACCCTTTGAGCCGCGATGTGCTCGAGTGCATCGCCTCCTGGGATGCCCCGAGCCCCTTGCCTGATCTTGCGTGTGATCGAGTACTTTCTCTGCACTACTTCGCAGACAATCTGACGGCATGCCTGGTCCTAGAGGGCGGCGATATTATCATTGTTCGGGAGGAGCCTCTCCCAGGAGAGGATAAAATCGAGATTCTTGGCTCAGTGGATGTCGGAATCACTGCTGCTGCATGGTCTCCGGACGAGGAGCTCCTGGCCATCACAACCAGAGCCCGCACATTCCTGTACATGACACGGGAGTTCGAAAACGTGGCCGAGATTACTTTTACCGAAGCCGATCTGCAAGCTTCGCAGCATGTGTCCGTTGGATGGGGTAAAAAAGAGACCCAGTTTCAAGGTAAAAGAGCCAAGGCTATGCGAGATCCGACTGTGCCCGAGAAGATTGACGAAGGCAAACTGAGCAGCAACGACGATGGCAGTACAACAATCAGCTGGCGAGGCGATGGCGCTTATGTTGCAGTGAACACCATTGAAGAGGGCATTCGCCGCGTCATCCGCGTGTACTCCAGAGAAGGTACCCTTGATAGTGTGAGCGAGCCTGTGGATGGACTCGAGGGTGCTCTGAGCTGGCGTCCATACGGCAATCTCATTGCCGGAATCCAACGACAGGACGACCGTATTGATGTCATATTCTTTGAGAGGAACGGCTTGCGCCACGGTCAATTCACGCTTCGTCTGACCGAGAAGGAACGTCAATCCTGGGCGTCACAGATCCAGCTTTCATGGAACATCGACTCTACAGTGCTTGCCGTGCGATTCAAAGATCGAGTTCAGCTGTGGACAACGGGAAACTATCACTACTACCTGAAGCAAGAGATACCCATCGTTATCGACCCTGCATGTTCGCTCCCATTTTCCTTTGAGTGGCATCAGGAGAAGGCACTGCGTCTGGTTTCCGGATCCTCTGGTTCTATCCTTGATGTCGACTATGTATTCGACATTGACCATGGTTCCACTGCAATTCCTGATGATGTCGGCGCTGTGGCTGTGATTGATGGAAAGACCCTGAAGCTTACTCCGCTCCGGCTGGCTGGCGTGCCGCCTCCAATGGCACATAACGAGCTGAAGCTGGACTCGAATGTTGTCGATGTCGCATTCAGCAAGTCCGGTACCCGTATAGCAGTGTTGATGGAAAAGAGCTTTTCTGTCTTCTTGTGGTCTCTGAAGAGCCGCCCGGTTCCAGTGCCGATTCTCGAGTCAAGCTATCCTCTTTCAGCTGCACCCACTAGTCGTCCCAGACAGGTTGCATTCCTGAATGAAACAGAGGTGTACATTCTCAAGGATAGCGCTCCCGGCATCAGCCACATTGAGCGCACGACATTGGAGACTCGAGAGACTCGAGTTGTGTACGAGGCGCGGGAGCCTGAGCAACTGTCCTCCATCTTTGCTGGAGTAGGCTATCCGGCTCTTTGGTTCTCGCATGCTCGTCAGCCCAGCCTCCCTGTCAGCTATTCAAGCGTCAATTATGTGGCTGCAGACCAGGCTGAAATTACACTTTGGAGTGAGAGCCCTAATGTTGACACACATTGGGCTCGCGTAGTGTCGATTTCTGATGAAGAGGTAAGCCAACCCCCTTTTCTCCCCAGCATGTGTCCACAATGAAAGGCTGACTTCGACAGCGCCTTCTGATAACCATGACGAGGACTGGCACTTTATACGCGAACAAGCGGGTGCTTGCCAAAAATTGCACATCATTCTTGGTGACCCCAGCCCATCTTCTGTTCACCACGTCTCAGCATTTGCTGAAATTTGTGCACTTGAATCGCGTAGACGGTAAGCTAGACCCTCCGCAGATTGTCATTTTCACCGGACTCATGGTCAATTTCTAGATATGGAGGTCCCGGAGGACGCCCCGGAGACCGACGAGAGATGCAGAAGCATCGAGCGCGGATCAAAGCTGGTATCTGTCATGCCGTCTATCTTTGCTGTTGTTCTCCAGGCACCCCGGGGCAACATCGAGACCATCTTCCCGCGTGCGCTGGTCTTGGCTGGTATTCGTACATTTATTGACCGGAAGAACTACCGAGCTGCTTTCCTCGCCTGTCGCAGCCAAATGGTGGACATGAACATCCTTCACGACTACGCTCCTCAGCAATTCATGGAAAACGTCCAGCTGTTTATTGAACAAGTCAAGAAAATTGAGTTCATTGATGACTTCCTCTCTCGTTTGAAGTAAGTTATTTACTGGGTTTGAGAGACTCGCGAGCCTATCCTAATTCTGTGCTAGGGAGGAGGATGTTTCACAAACCCTATATAAAGATACCCTCAAGATCTCCAGGAACGAGTCTGCTGTTGTTGCCCAGCCCGACAGTCCCTCCATGCCGTTACTCCCTAAGCTCCCTGGCAAAACTAGCAAGGTCAACGCTATCTGTGATGCCTTCCTGGCAGTTCTTCAGAATCTCCTGGACACCAACTTGCAGAATCTTGTCACAGCACACGTATGCAAGGAACCCCCTGATCTCCAGGCCGGCCTCGAACTCGTCGCGAACCTCAGAAGTAAGTTTATCTGCATCAATTACTCTTGTACTCTAGTTGCTGAAATGAATTGGCAGCACACAATTCCGAGCAAGCACAGGATGCAATCGAGCACATGTGCTTCTTGACTGACGCCAACCGACTTTACTCGCATGCATTGGGACTGTACGATCTTGAACTCACTCTTCTGGTAGCCCAGCAAGCACAAATGGTATGTGGTCCAACCTTGAATACATACGATTCCATGAATTAAGAATCTCCTAGGACCCCAGGGAATATCTTCCGTTCCTCCGGAAGCTGCAGCAACTCCCCGAGATCCGACGCCAGTTCGAGATTGACAACCATCTTTCTCGATTCAACAAGGCTCTGAAGCATCTATTCACCCTCGGCGCCCATGAAGAGATCCGGGCCTATGTCACCAGGCATATCTTGTATAAGGAAGCCCTCGAAATCTACAAGTATCAACCAGAGCAGCTGAGGGAGATTACGCATCTCTACGCAGACTACCTTCAGAACGATTCGAAACACAAGGATGCCGCAATTGGTGAGTCCATCCCATTTTGTCCTTTTGCTTTCTTGGAAGTGAAATGAAATGCCAGCTTACACATTTTTAAGCTTATGAATCCCTTTCAATCTACGACGAGGCATACAAATGCTACAACCTCGCCCACATGTGGCGCGAGTCATTGTATTGCGCCATGATGGCTTCTTTGCCCGAGCAAGAACTTACTGCTTTCATTACGGAACTCGCCACGACCCTGGTCGATGAAACCCGGGACTACGTGTCGGCCGCAACCATCTATGCGGAGCATCTGCACGACATTGTCACTGCTGCACGGCTTCTGTGCCAGGGCTCAAAGTTCGCCGATGCCGCCCGCCTCCTGACCCTCCACGGCAAAAAGGACCTGGTCGAAGAGATTGTCGACACCGGCCTGGCAGAGGCCATGGGCTCAATGACTGACCTCCTGGCGGACTGCAAGTCCCAGCTGAATGCGCAAGTCCCACGAGTCCGGGAACTCCGGCAGCTCCGAGCAGCCGACCCGCTCGCCTTCTACGGAGGCGATCCAACGGGCGGCGAAGGTGGAGCTGATATCCCAGATAACGTGTCGCTCGCACCAACAGAGGCAACGACCTTGGCCGGCCGCACCATGTTCACCCGGTACACCGGAAAGACATCCTCTTCCCGCGTGACATCTCGCACGCGCCGACGAGAGGAGCGCAAGCGCGCGAAGGGCAAAAAGGGTACAGTCTACGAGGAAGAATACTTGGTCAACAGTATTCGGCGTCTCATCGAGCGCATCAACTCGACCATGGCCGAGGCTGAGGCGCTGGTGGACGCCCTCCTGCGCCGGGGTATGCGTGAGCGCGCAGCTGCAGTTGAGAAGGCGCTGGCAGATGTTGTGACAATGTGTGCGGACTGCCGCGACGACGTGTTTGAAATCGCCCAGGTCGAGGAACCCAAGACTGAAGAGAATGAAGATGGGACTGGCTATGACGAGGCTAGCCTGCCGCGGCCTACCGGTGGGTCTGCGGTTCTTGCAGAAAGCATTGGGATTACTCTCGGCGGAGCCGGACGATTGAAGGAGCCGCCTGCTGTGAAGACGATGAACAAGTCTTCTTTACTGGCGTAGGTGCAGGGTGCAGGGTGCAGGGTAGTTATTACATGTCGTTATGTCTTATAAATGATGATCGTTCATAAAAGTGATGATCGTGCAAATCATGTTCCAGTCGGAGGCTTCCTTCTGTTCCTGATTATTGAATAGTCATTTGTCCGGCACGCAAAAACGAACTAGGTCGGTCCTCTCCGACAAAACCCCCACTAGGCGCCCGTAGCCATCCGAGACTTCAAAACAAATGGTGATCGCGTGTTGATTTGCTGTTCATAAACCCCAACTCCACCTCCACACCAAGTGAAGCTGCTCGTGCCCAAGAAGGATAATCACTCCCAAAGGCAGTAATATGTCTATCATTTCGGAAATGGCATTGGTACCAACATTTTCTCTTCCAATCCCAACCCGCCCTCCGCAGTCTAGAGAAGGCAATTTCCAATGCAACCAAAACCGTTGGAGAAACCGGGTATCTGACTGAGATTTAACTGGGGTCCGATTGGGCTTTCCGCTAGGCTTCAGCCGTCGGACCTCCGCCCTTGCATGCACCCGCCTTCCGTGCTTAGCGCGAAAGTAACGCAAGCCCTCCCCCTCCGATAACACACCTCGCTAAACACAGTGAACTGGAAATCGAGTTAGTTCGCGTGGATGGTGCTCAATCCTGTCACCCGATGACCCAGTCGGAGGGGGATGATAAGCCACCCCGGAAATTAAACCGCGGCACTCCGCGAGAATGCAATTTCACGGTTCTTTGAGAGCATGGCGACATCACATCTTCAGTCCTCTGCCAGGCCCTCAACCCCTGGTTGTGGAGCGATTCCCGGAGCCCGCCCCGCTAAGAGTGCTTAGCCTCTACTTTCAAGCCACACCACGCACTCGTGCAACCATGGCCATGAATTGAGGGCCGATATGTCTCATCGACCCCCTAGCTAGAGAGCTCGTCCCGGGTCATGGCCAATCAGGCCCCACATTGTGAGATAGGCTGTCTTGCTCGTCTTCTGCAGGTGGAGAATCTTGGTTTATGGTCCTGATGCACTGCCGATGCGGTGCCGTTGCTCCGGCGGCCTTATATTTCAAGGGCCCTTGCCCCTGCTGAAGGGTGAGTGTGGATAACGCTTTTTCATTTGGGGTTATCGCGATGTTTCTGCGTCGGTTATATGTTGGTTTGGCCATTGCGGCTCTGTCCGAGGCTGCACCGGCCCCAATTAAGCATGTGTTGCATGAGAAACGCGAGCGGCAAGCGCTTGATTGGGTAAAGGGTGACCGGGTTGAGGGCAATGCTGTGCTGCCTGTTCGTATTGGCTTGAGCCAGAACAACCTAGACAAGGGTTATGAGTATCTGATGGATGTGTATGTGACTTGACTCTATTTTGGATGGCGTTGTGACTCGATAGCTTTGCAGTCCGCTTGTGCTAACGACTTGACAGGTCACATCCAAGCTCTGCTCAATACGGGCAGTATTGGTCTGCCGACGACGTGCATGATATGTTCGCTCCGTCTGACGCAGCTGTTGATGCAGTGCGCGAATGGCTTCACGATGCTGGAATTGACCCGTCCCGCGTTGTCCACTCGGATAACAAGGGCTGGCTGGCTTTCGACGCTTATGCACATGAGGCAGAGAAACTCTTCGTGGCTGAATTCTACGAGCACAACCACATGAGCACTGCCAGCACAAAGATCGGATGTGACAAGTAAGGCTTTCCTTTGATTGCAGTTTAATATGCCCGCCGAAATTGCGTTCCTAACTCTTCAAATCAGGTACCACCTCCCGGAGCACCTTGTGGAGCACATCGACTATGTTACCCCAGGAGTCAAGCTCACTCCAGTTCTCAAGAAGCACAAGAAGGCCAAGCGAGCATCGCACCTGGCTAAGGTCAAACCTAACATCGAGGCTGTATCATCTGCTGCCAATGAACACTCGATTTCTGAAAAGGCCAAAGGGCTCGCTCCAGAGCTCCAACTCTGTGGATACAACATGACCCCGACTTGCATCAAGGCGTTGTACCGTATTCCAGATGCCACCAAGGCAAGGGGGGATAACTCTCTCGGTCTCTATGAGCAGGGCGATTATTTTGCCAAATCAGACCTGGATCTTTTCTACAAGGAATATGCTCCGTGGGTGCCACAGGGTACATACCCGATTCCGGCTTTGATTGATGGGGCCAACTACTCCGTACCTGCGTACAGCTCGCTGAATACAGGCGAGTCGGATATCGACATTGATTTGGCGTGAGTACAAGTCTCCCGATTGATCCTTTTTTTGCTGATGCAGAGCTAACGTCCTCAAAAGCTATTCCTTGATTTACCCCCAGACCGTGACTCTTTATCAAGTTGATGATCAGCTCTACGAGCCCGCGGAGGTTGCCACGACCAATCTATTCAACACTTTCTTGGATGCTCTCGATGGTGTACGTTTTGACTCGCCTCTTTGAGATTAGCAGTGCTGACCGTTCCAGTCATACTGTACCTACAGCGCGTACGGCGAGACTGGCGACGACCCAAGCATCGACGCGGTCTATCCCGACACCCGTCCCGGCGGATACAAAGGTTTGTCTCGTACATCTTCCTCCGTCACAAACGATCTCTGACTGTGTCCCAGGCAAGCTCCAATGCGGCGTCTACAAGCCCACAAACGTAATCAGCGCGTCTTACGGCCAAGCCGAAGCCGATCTCCCCATCAGCTACACCAAGCGCCAGTGCAACGAGTTTTTGAAGCTCGGCCTTCAGGGCCACTCGATCCTCTTCGCGTCCGGCGACTACGGCGTGGCCTCGTTCCCCGGTGACGGCACTGAGAATGGGTGCCTAGGCCCTGAGCAGAAGATCTTCAACCCGCAGTACCCATCGAACTGCCCATACGTCACCTCCGTCGGCGGTACGATGATCTACGGAGACCAGACCGTCGAAGACCCGGAGAGTGTGATGCACGCCAACCTCGGCGGGTCCGCGGCTAACTTCAGCACTGCGGGCGGGTTCTCGAATTACTTCCCTCAACCCGAGTACCAGAAACATGCTGTCAAGAAGTATTTCGAGAAGGCGGACCTGACGTACCCGTATTACTCGGAGTTCAGCGTAGATGTCGAAACGACGAAGGGTGTGTATAACCGGATTGGTCGTGCCTATCCCGACGTTGCAGCCAATGGCGCGAATTTCCGCGCGTACAATGATGGCTATGACTACCACTTCTACGGATCAAGCTTGGCGTCGCCGCTGTTTGCTTCGGTTCTTAATTTGGTACGTGGTTCCCTTCCCCTACTTTCTTCCTAAGATTTCCTAACCTTGGGCTTTTCAGATCAACGAGGAGCGTCTAGCAGCCGGCAAGGGCACTGTTGGTTTCGTGAACCCTGTGCTCTATGCTCACCCCGAGGTTCTGAACGACATCACCAACGGCACTAGTGCGGGATGTAACACGGATGGATTTGCTGCTATTTCAGGGTGGGATCCGGCTACCGGGCTGGGCACACCGAACTACCCTAAGATGAAGAAGTTGTTCATGTCTTTGCCCTAGGTTCCAGATCAGTACCCTTGAGCCTGAGACTCGCGGGGTCTCTGGGAGCTATTTTGGGATTCCTGTCTATAACTATTCATAAGGTCAGATTTGCTTTGTCTCAAATTCGGGTCTGCCTACAAGAACGTGGGAAAAGACAGCGGATATACATAACACAAATTGGACTTGAATGGCAATTATGATTTTGCACCGCCGTAGGGTTTACGTACACCATTGATTCGTCATCAACATTTCCATTTGACAATGATGAGCAAGGTAACACGGGAAGACGGGATGGACCTTCAATTCAAGCCCGATGTATCTGGTATCTGGATCAAGGGATATATTGTACAGGAACAACAGGCGCTGTCTAAAATTTGTAAATCTGGTCCTTGGAAAATCCCAAATGCCCCAATACTCCAGGACTCTTCCTCGAGCCCACCAGCGAGTCCTCCATCCCAGGAGGACCGCACACAAAGACATGGGTATCCTTGTCCGACCCTTGCACGACATCTCGCAGAAGCTCCTCAGTGACATAGCCTTTTCGCAAACCCGCGCCGTCCTCCTTCGGATGGCTCACGGTATAGACATAGTCGAACCGGCCCGGAAAGCGCTTTTTGTATTGCTCCAGCTCCTCGCGAAGGAGCAAGTCCTGCTCTGTGTTTACGCCAAAGATGAGATTAACTTTTGTCTTGTCGTCCGGGCTGTTCAGGATGCCCTGGATGAGCTGGTAGATTGGTGTGATACCGGCACCGCCGGCGATCAGGTAGACTTGTGAGAATTTGTTGGGTGTCCAGGGGAATCCCTTGAGTGTGGCAGCGAAGGTGAGTGTATCGCCGGGTTTTAGAGAATGCAAGTGACTGCTGGCTTTGCCTTTGGGATAATGCTTGACCATTAACTCCACAGAGCCGGGATGGTCTGTCATAGGATTTGTGAGCGAGGGGCTCTCAATGCATATAAGGAGAAAGCCATACCAAGCTTGCTAATGGGCGTGTAAGGGCGCACAACTGGGAACCATTGCCCCTTGGGCCACGAGTATGTGAGCAGTGCCGCTGGGATGTGTTAGCATAACATGAATGTCTTAACAGAGGCAGACTTCAACAAACAGGTCAACGTTAACCCGGTTGGGGAGTTCTGGTCGGGAAATTCGAAAACCAAGCGCTTGGTGTTATGGTTCACGATCTTGACATCTTGCAGGCGCAATGTTGTAAAACCGAAGCCGCCAAAGATCTTCGGGAGCTCAGGCGATTCTGCGTGTCCTGTGGGCAGTAGAAAAGACCGAGTGCCGTAATAAGCTCCGATTCCTGCGACTGCGACTGCGACTGCGGATGCGAAAGCCGGTCTGGCCCGCAGGGACGACTGCCAGGATAAGCGCGAAGCCATGCTCAAGGAGGTCGGTATGTGCTAGGAATAAGAATAAGCTAGGAATAAGAATAAGCTAGAAATAAGAATAAGCTAGGAATATGAATAAGAATAATCCTGTGAGGAAGAGGATAAGCCTTAAGGCCGCATGGTCGGAGTCATCCCACTTTATGGCCGGGTGCAGCTCTGGGCCCGTTGGATGCCCGCTGGATGCTCGGTGCCTCCGCGGGGGCCAAAACCCGCCCAAAACCCGCCAGAGGCCGATTGTCCGGGGCCCCACTCGGGTAGCCTCCGCCATTGCGGAAGGTGGAGCGTGTTCAATGCGACACCCTCCCACCGATCCGTCCACTGTCCAGTAAGCTCCACTGCCACAGCAGTTTTCTTCAGCAAGGAATAAGGAGATTTAATCTGTGAACACCCATCCACTTCAATCTGGACCAAGTTATTCAATCCTCCAAATCATGGCTTCCTATCCCTTCGGCTTTCGAGTGGCGCAAGCTATTGGCATCTCCGGTGCAGCCTGGCTATCTGGTAGGTATTTGCTTTTTCATCAGTCCCTCCGCCACCCAATCCAGTGTCGATGCTTGCATCCCGACCGCCAATCCAAGACCGCCGTAACAGAGCTGACGAGCAAAAGGAAACATCGCCGCCCTCAGCATGAACGTCACGCCCGCTCTGCTCCGGTCTCGTCGCGAAGACAATGTACCCTCTGCCACCCTTGCCAAGCAATGGAGGAACATGTATGAGAATGGGAAGACACAGAACCCTCCCATTGCGGCTGCGGTGGCGGCTTCCTTCTTCTATCTGGCCTGGTCGGTGAGAACGGGGGCGCCCTTGTTTAAGAATACGGCATACAGCCGCACGGCACTATTCTCTGCGGCGGCGATCTTAACCCTAGGCATTGTGCCATTTACCGTCGCAGCCATGTCCAGGACCAACAATCAACTACTTGAGAAGGCGCAATCAAACTCTGGAGTATCGGACGCAGAAACGCCGATTCTGATTCAGCGATGGACAACGCTGAATGGCATCCGAGGCTACCTTCCTCTGGCCGGGGCAGCAGTCGGACTCGTGGCCTCATTTTTGTAATAAAAGGGAGAGAACTTGGAGACCTGAGCGGAGCGAGTCCTTGGCTTTGGTACCGAGAGATCATATTGTCTTTTTCAAGTGACGATGATTTTCGAGCCTTGACATGCAACAGTTGGTGAGCTGCTCGGCCTTGTCTAGTCGTACTCATGGAATCAATGTTGGAAGCTGGTTTTTGTTTCCCAAATTTGCTCCAGTCTATTCATTTTTTGCTAGACAAGCTTACTATCTGGATCATCAAAGAAAATATGGCCTGGTGCTGTGGTCAAATCCTTGCCGATGGGGCTCGCGGCTGGTTTAGAGATGTGGTTAATATCGACGTCACGATTGCCCAAGTTCTTGAGAATAGTCCCATTTGAGCTGCAGGCGTTTCTAGGGAGCGCGAGAGTCACAAAGCCACGCTAAACTACGCTAGGAGTATTTGATTACGTTTGTGCAAACCATGTACAGGGTTATGGGCTCATCATATATCAGATATCTCATACCGAGAATTATATTCTAGCGAGTTTCGAGCAAAAACAAAGATACAATGAAAGAGGTCTGCATCATCTGTTACGACAACAGGATTGAAATCACCCTCTGTAGAAGGGGATCTCGGGGTATCTTCCAAGTCGTCTGAGAAACGTCGCTGTATCGTAAATTTTATCCAAACAACTTTCCTAGTTGTTGACCATCTCGCCAGTCTCGGTCACCAGATGGTCCTCGACGGTGACAGGGCCCTCGCCAACACCGGTCAAGATGACACGGCTCACGCCGCCCTTCAGGACATCCAACACACGCGAGTCAATGCTATCGAAAGAAACACCAGGAGCAGTGAGATGGGCCAGGTTCTCGTAGAAGGGACCATCCCAGCCGGTAGTGCTGGCGCCGAGGATAGCCTTGACTGTGCCAGCGACAAGCTCAGAGTCCTTATCCTCGTAGTAAATCACAGCGTTGGGACCAGCATCGAAGGTATAAGCGCAGACAGTTCGGCCAACTGCGCGGTTGATATCGTGCACAAGGCGGACGGCAGCCCGCGAGACGTCATTCATGTAGAAAATAGGGGGCCACGAGTCCAGACAGGTGGCGTGGAAAGTGTTCGAGTCACGCATGGTAATTTCGGCGAATGTGGGGAAGTCGCGGTCCCGGATAGCTGCCTCAATGGCGTCCATGCGCGCAGGGACAACAGACTCGGCCCGAGTAGCAAAGAGTTCCGACGTAGCCACGGTAGTCTGCATACCCTCGGTGCTGGGAACATCCTTCTTCTCGGCGCTGACCACCAGGATCAGGGCCCGCATCTCCGGCCAGTGCGAGGCAGGGGCGACCTCCTCAGCCAAGCTGTCGCTGCCGTCTGCCTGCTCGCCAGTGCGCCAAGCGACGTAGCCGCCCATCAGGGACCGACAGGCAGAGCCTGAGCCCTGTCGGGCAATGCGGCTCAGCTCACGCGGAGACTGGGGCAGCTGGTAGAGGTTGGCGACAGCGCGGACCAGAGCAGCAAAACCAGCAGCGGAACTGGCCAGACCGGCGGCAGTGGGGAAGTTGTTCTCAGAAACAATTCGGAGGGGGAGGGCGGAGAGCTTGGGCAGCGAGGCGTCCGCATCCTCGACAGACTTGCGGAGAGCACGCAGGTTCGAGAGACAAGCAAGGGTGCGCTTGGAGGACTGAATCTCCTGCGGCTTACCGTTCAGGTTCAGCGTATCCTCGGCGGGGTAGTTGGCGGAGGCGGAGGCAGTGGTCAGGGTGCGCAGAGAACGCTGGGAGAGGGTGACGGAGAGGGAAGAGTTGGTCGGGAGATTAAGAGTGACATCGCGCTTGCCCCAATATCTGGAATTCTTAGGATTAGCATGCAATATCCAGTGTCGGGCAGTTGTTGAGGGGTAACAATGCCCACTCACTTGATGACCGCAATGTTCACAGGAGCAGTTGTAGTAGCCCGGTAAACAGGCTGGCCAGATGCAGTCGCCATATTGCTTGCAGATTAAAGACAAATTAAAGACAAAATAGAAAAATCAGTCGAGTAACCTAGCGACAATGGGTCAATAGGGGGGTGGACTTCCTTGTTGGGTAGGAGGCGCTTATATTATGGGCCAGGCGGTGAAGGCAAAATTATCGGTCCGCTTACCTTGCAATTGACGCGGATCTTCAATCCTGCTATTAGCAATCAACTCCGTTCTCAACATCCGCATTTTCTCATGGGGGCCGGCGCCAGCACTCTCTCTGCTCCTGCAGAGCCACCTGCAGCGACATGCCCCGTCGATCACAAAACTCGTGAAATCTGGCTGCAACAAAATGGCGGCAATGCACCTCACCCTCCGTCCTCTGCGCCGGCGCAAGAACAAGGACAATCTTCCGCAAAACTACAACGACCGCTATCTACAGACCGAGAAGTCAGCAGTATACCCCGAGCAGGCGATCAAGGTGCTGCAAGTGCCTGTCCGGAAAGCAAAAAAGAATATCCAACGCCTTACGAATCGTCCCCATATGCCGCGTCGCACGGCTACCCGTCCAATGCCGAAGCCGAGACTGGTCATGACGAGGCTTCCGGTAACTGGATCTATCCATCCGAAAAGCAATTTTTTGAAGCTTTGATGCGCAAGGGCAATACCCCAGAGTCTACCTCCTCTGCCTCCGAACTAGCAACATCCGTTGCCTCCATTATTCCAATTCACAACGCCGTCAACGAACGCGCATGGCAGCAGATTCTTGATTGGGAGAAGAAAGCTCCCTCATCGGACCCCGGTAGCAAGAAATGTGGAGGGCCCAAATTATATTCATTTCGTGGACTCGGGGTTGATCCCCAATTCCTGAGCCCACGGGCCCGAATCAACGGATGGCTCGGCTATCAGCGCCCATTTGATCGGCACGACTGGGTTGTTGAGCGCTGCGGCGGCGAACGCGTCGAATATGTGATTGATTTCTACCAAGGGAAAACCTCAGCTGGCAGCGGAAACCCATCCGGGTTGACCGGGCACGCTACACCTGGCAAGCTTAGCTTCTATCTGGATGTCCGGCCAAAGCTAAACACCTATGAGGGATGGAAGATGAGATTCAACAGCTTCGTTGGTCTCTGATCACTGCATATAAATTTTGAGTAGCAAGGGTGGGTGGCTTCGCTCCATGACATTGCTAGACGAAGAAGATGGAGCATGAGCATGGACTTGGATCCAGAAGCGGTAACTATATAATCCATGTATAACCAATACTATGTACGATATTGCATTAGAAAGAGCGCGAGGTCTAATCTCGAATTGATGTTCTCCATTCCATATACGCCAGAATCAAACCAGTAGGAACATCGATTAACGAAACGAAAAGCCCAGCAAAGGGACGTAGCGTGTAGAATGCATCAGGGATATCGTGCGTAGACATAACAGAGGGGAAGAAGAAGGACATGATCAAGTCAGCAGAACAAGACGTGCTAAGACCGCGAAAAAGATAATCTATCCAAGGACAACAGCAAGAATGATGATGGTCAAAATCACAGCCAGAATAACAAGCAAACAGCATGCCTTGTTGCGTGCATTCTTCTGGTATCGACTGGCACTGCGCAGCTCAGTATTGGCGCCTCGTGTATCTTGGGTTACGTTCTGGACGTTCTCGCTGATAATATCGAGCTGGCCTCCCTGCTCATGAACGATATGTGCAACATCCCGGAACAACTCATTCAACTCGCCAACGCTCTGTTCGATATTTCGGATCTCCGTCTCGCGCTCGATGATAAGAGATTCCTGGAAATCCACCTCGCCCTGATTGGCCAGACGGGGCTGCTCCTCAAGCTGCTGCTGTTGTAGCGCCAGGCCTTCTGCATCGCCCGATGGGTGTTCGCCTTCCTCAATGGCAGTCCGGGCAGCGACCGCTGATGCACGCTGTTTCTCTAGGGCGCGGCGCTGGACTGTCTGGAACTCCTCCAGACTGGCTTTGAATTCGGACGATAGCTTCTGCTGTGTCCATTTTTGCGAAGGCTAGTTGCAGAAAAGTCAGATATAGTCGTGGGAAATAGGTAGAGAGAGTTTGAATGTAAACATACATTGACGTCCTCCCATTGCTGGATCTTCTTGAGCCCATCCCCTACGTCCTTGAACCCCGCTCGGCTCTCCTCCAGGAGGTTGTGGACTCGTTCGCGTACACGCTCAGTATCCCGCTTCGTTCCAAGAAGCGCAATCTGATTGGATAAACGAGAGATATTAGACGTTAAAGTGAACAGCTGGTCAGAAAGCGACTCGGCCAGATGGTCGAAGCCCGGATCGTCGCGGTATTGCGGGTCGTCAGACCGGCGCATATGGGTAGGCTGGGCCTCCAGTGAGTTCAAGCGGTCGAAGGACATGGTGTATGTGTTGTGAGATTAAAGAATGAATGCCAACGACGAAACAAGCACAAGCCTATAGAGGATGCAGCTGCGTGAGCTGCTGCCTCCAGGACTGCAGGGCACTCCTCACATGACGTACCATTCGCACTAGCCTAAACATAGACTAGCTCAACAAGCCACAGTCTATGTGTGCAACTGAGTCACCTGACCGTCTGTGGCTGTGGTGTTTTGATGCCTCAAAATATTCCATCATGGACTCGGCTTTGTTCTGATTCCATCAGTTGGCCCACACAACTCTGTTCGGCCGTGCGAACCAGCCAACACTGTCGCGGGCTCACCAGTCGCCTTCTACAGCTCTTGCAGCCCCTGGGATAGACACCCTGATCATGCTCTAAACCTCGTCAACTGTCCTCTACGATCCCAATCGCACCCCAGCTTCCACCATGGCCGCTGCTACCCAGCCCCGGCCGTACAGGCGGATTCTAACCTCGGCGCTGCACCGGCGATTTGTGCACGCATCTGCACTCTCACTCCTTGTTTGCTATGTCGTCTCAATTGCAATTGGCAGCAAGTCATCGCGTACGTGTGGGGTCGCTTTTTAAACGACTCGAGAGCTTTCCTTGCCTTGCGCTTTCCGTTCCGTTCCGTCTACTAACAGATCCTATACTTGTAGTCCTCTGGGCATGGTTCCCTATCGGCGCATGCGGGCTACGCGCGTTCCTCCTCTTCATTTCACCACTCATCATATTCGTTCTCCGCGTCGGCCAGATGCACCTCGGCTCAAGAACAACACCATCCTCCCTCAGCACCTTCAGATATTTGTTTCCGCTTCAAGTTGCCAAAACCTTTTGCTGTTATCTTTTCTCGGCTTGGTTGTTTACTGAGGTCTACCTTTGGTCTTCCTCGACAGATGCACATCTTGAAATGGTGAAACGGGGCAGGTGGGTCAAAGTCTGCGAACAAAGGCAACTTGGACAATAGCTGACTTCCAAATCTAGACCGCACGAGCGACCTCATCTGAATGAGAGGCCTATTTACATCCACACCTACCACCTCCTGTTGGCCTGTACCCAGGCTGTGGTCCACCTCTACTATGATTATGATCAGATTCCCATTCCTGTCACACTACGATCCTCGAAGTCAACCGATGAGCGCACACACCAAGTTCTGCCGACCTCGAAATATATCCAGACGGCCCTTCCGCAGAAGGTCAAGTGTGGTCTCGCGATGAGCGTGACTGTCGCGGGTGCTACTCCGTTCCTGTACCTTCTATTTCTCCGCCAGAGTGCATGGAGCTTGTCATTGTATTTTGCGAAGCTCGTCTGGAACTTCTCTCGGTCATCAGCCGAGCCCGCTAGCTTCTTACCCCCGGATTCGTTCCTCTGATATTTCGGTCTCTTATCTCGGGTTCTTTGCTGGTCCTCTGCTGGCAGTCAGCTAATCTTTTCTTTGCTATATTCCTTGGCAAGGAGCCTCTGAAGCGTGGCCAGCCGCTCACGGCGGATTCGAAAGACCCCAATGGCAGTTTGCTCTCTGGTCTTAAGGCAAAGAAGCATATTGTCAAGGCTTTTGCTCTATGGGAACTCGGTCTTATCAGTCAGCGTCAGCCTGACCGTCGGAAGACAATCTTCAACGAAATTGACCGCGACAACGGCTCCACTTGGAGCCAGATTCTGGGTAGCATAACAGAGGAGATCCAGGGTATCAACACACGAATTGAGGCCAGCAAGGCTCCTAAGCCTGGTGTTAAGCCTCCTGGACAAACAAATGGCTCTGAGTCCGTTCTGCAGACTCTGCCACGCTTGACAGACGCTCCCAAGGACAAGGACATCTTCGTAGCGGCGCCAAGGGCGACATCTCGCCATGAAAAATTCGGAGAAGCTTTTGGTTCAACAGCAAAATCGTATGGGCAGTCACCAGACTGGACACCCAAGGCCCGCGCCCGCGCTCGTGAGGTCTTCGACCGGGCTTCTACAGCGATGCTCAGTCCTGAGCGAAAACAAAAGCTATTGGCTTCCGCGGGGGAGTTGAAGCTCCTTACCGGAGGTCCGTCCACAACCTACAAGCCCGAAGATGTCCATCCCATTATCGCTCAAGCTCTTCAGTGGTGCCGGCCGTTGCGGCAAACTTATGCCCAGCGAGCCTCGAGCATTGTCCTTGGCACCCCTGAATCCTCTCTTAGCTCAATTGTGGATGCAGTTGATTCATTGACACGTTTGCTGATTGCCAGTCTTGCTGAAGATCAGTACGGCAAAGTGCAAGCTGATGTCCCGTCAGTGGTCAACCTATTTACCAAGACCATTATGACCCTCGATGCCTTTGTGCACCAGGGTGGTCTTGACGCACACTGGACAGATGTCTACTTCCCTCCCTCCAGTCAGCCTGAGGCACAGGCGGAGGCACGGAAGGTGCCTGATCTGGAGCTGGTGCTTGATACCCTCAAGAGCGGACTCTCTGACCTTTTGGGAGCCTTCAAGCCCTACCTGCGGGACATTGGTGTCACTGGCAAAGACCTCCGCCTGGCGAAGGAAGCAGCTGGTGTCGAGGATGAGGACTCTATATGAGCTATGAGGTACTATGTATTTTGATTGTTAATTTTTCATGTGTCTCAGGAGCGACGGTCGTGAAAGGCTTCAGTCGCCCAATATGTTCTTCGTATTTCCTGTTTGGGTTGGTCTCAAGGCGAGAACAAATGCATAGTTAGGCGTTCCAGGATAGGCATGCAATTCAAGTGTAGTTGACCCAACTTTTGTTACGGATTTACTCAATTCCAAGCGAGGGGTATAAATCGATTTCCTTCAGTATTGAACATTGAACAACTGTCTGCCTCTAGTCTGGTCACATGACAGCGCTTTCGGATAACCTCATTTCCTGCCCACCTGCACTTGCCTGAAGTTGTGCAAACCACATTCGGTTCACTGTTCCTTGGGTCTATCTGCGAGAAACAAGCAGAACTATACTTCTCAAATATGTCGTTGACCAACGTATATCACCTGCGACTGGTCGCAGATACTTCTGCTAAAGCATGTTTAATTTGCTACAAGCCATCAACCAGCGTGATGATCACGCCCGACAATAAGGTAAGGCTTCTCCAAGGACTGCCTGTGCTTTCATTGCAGATCAAGTTACCGATATTGCGGGTCAAAAATTGAGCTTTCCATGGTCTTTGACTCACGCCGTTGCCAGGACTTTTTCTACGTGTGCCCCGCACATCTCCAAGACCGCCACTTCTGCTCACCCATCGTCGATGCCGAGGGCGAAGCGGCGCGATTGAAAGAACAGAAGTTGGCTGAAGAGATTGAAAATGTTAAAAAAGAGTATGAGGAAAAACAGAAACGGAAGAAGGACCGCGAAAAGGCATCCAGCAAGGACGATAAAGACAAGGGAAAAAAGGAGAAAAACAAGGACAAAGTCGCCTCTCAAGACAAAAATACTGTCGACTCTAATAGTCAGGATGAGAAAGAAAGAGATGAGAAGGTCAGTCTCAAAGATATCCCTTCTCCCATGCGATACAGGTGGACGGTCTAACTGACTTGAACGCTAGATCGATTCTATCAAGAAGAGGACAGAATCAAAACCAGAGAATGGTCCCCGAGTCTTTGCTTTACACAAGTATGCTTACAGCCACTCCTCAATTCCGCACGTTTCTCATGAGATATAGAACGTTCTATCAAATGCGCATCGATCGATTACGCGGCATCGAGATGGCCAAAAGAAACCAGGAGAGGATGAGAAACCCTTCACTCTTTCCTTCTGTCCCAAGGAAGGACCTCTAACCTCATTACCCTGGCGGTGACGATGGGCCATGGATAATTTCAGCGACATCAGTGTTCTATGGAGGGGTGCTTTTAGTCTCCATATTGGCCCCACGGTTTTACCAAGGTATAAATATGTGTGTCGATTGCTACTCGATGCTTGTTCAAAAAGACCTGTAACAAGATCGATATACCGGAGCCTACGGCGGCTGTGACAACTGTGACAAACCCAACTTCGCCTACACCAGCGTCTCTACCCCTCCCAGAGTCCGATCACGGAAGCCGGCGGATGCAAAAGCCCCTGATTCAGCAAGATCATCTCACCCCAGTGCATGGCCACGGCATGCCAAGGGTGGCTTTGCAGCAAACCTCTGTCCAGACCATCTCCAGACCAATATCATCACAGGACAGAAAGTAAGACTTGCGAAGCTTGCGCCGATGTGACGTTCGTCTTGGGCCGGCCACGCCACAGGACTAGCAGGACTCGAGCACGCGCGCAGCGCAGAAGCCTATCGTCGAAGTACAGCCTACATGAAACCACCGGGGGGTGCAATCCTTCGGGAAGGAACAAAGTGCCCGTGGGCGCCCTGTCGTTGGGCTGAAAAAGCACAGTCCACACGTTGATCACACCCATTTGTCTACAAGTTCATCGTCGTGCATGCTCTATCCGATGCAAGGCGTCCCATCTCGGCCCGTCCGCGCCGCCTAGCATCACATTACTTGCTGCACAATAATGCGAATCCGCGATCCTGTCTTATACCCATCTAGACCTAGCGGTCATGCCCCCCGCGCTTCCACCGCGAAATAGCTCGAGAATAGACAAGTTGCGCGACGTAAGATCGGTTCTGTTTGGTGGGGTACTTTGCGCAGGAATAAGCACTAAAGTGGTCGCCGTTGAGGCGTAGGCCTGTCATGAAACCTTCCTTCACCTCTCTCATGCAGAAAACGGCCCCCGTCAGCCCAGTTGACTTCCTTTCGTATTCGCTGATCTCGGGATCGGGTAGGTTTTCCTCGGATGTCATACATGAGACGTTGTGTGATTTACACTGGCACTGGCGTAAGACTTGAGCGCGGAGCTGGATTTTGGATCTTTCGGGGTTGCGGCTCCCTTGAAACGCTGATTCTGCCTTGAGAGGTTGAATTAATATCGCTAGGCTCATTGTAATTGAGATCAACATTGTTTGTTCAATCTACTTCATTGGCGGGATCGTCTAATATCTACCTGTACCCACTGCCATGGTATTCGTGGCCAGAATGGCTGGCTGGTACACTTAATATAACTCGGCTAAATGAGCAACTTATGACATATGTTTTGTTTCTCCGTGATTCATTTTTCTGCCTAACATGATCCTCGATCGGCTGTTTATAGTGATTACGTGCGCTCGCAACCCGTTGAGGCCTGGATGAGGCTCAATTTTTCCAGTTGGTCATTTCGTGATGATGCCTAGCAGAACCCCAAGCGCGGTTATCACACGACCAGCCTACCTACTAAGCTAGCCCTACACGCTTAGCGTACCCGATAGTGCTGTGCACATGAGTTGGATATAAGTTACCGCTATTGGGTTGATTATATCACATCATACGATGTTGGAAGGAGCGATAGGCATCCAACAAACAATCCTCATCTGGGCGATGGTAGACCTAAAGTGTCGGGCTGCATGAAGCTATCGACCTGCCTTTTTCGGAATGTCCTGGACATCTACAATAGTCAATACCGCCACATTCCGTTCCTCGTATGGAGAATTGATAATCACTAATCTCATAAGATCATGAAGCTGTATACTTTATACACGGAGGGCGAGAGCGAGCAACAGGCAACACGGGGCGTACGGTAGAGAAAACGCAATGACGATACCTTCAGCTGTGCACAAGTTTTCAAACATCCGATTGGCCCCCAATCCCAGTCCCATCCCACACAAGCCATTCTCCATCGAAACAGTCTAGACAATGCGAAACGATGTCCCAAGCCTACAGTATGCAGGGTGATCACAATACCCTAGCGGGAAAGGGTCCATCGCAGAGGACGCGAGTTTATCCAGTTAGTGAGCGCTTAGGACTAAGGGGAACGTTTAGATTGGGGGGAAGGGGGGATCTATGATATCAGCGCCAGCGCCAGCACCAGCAACATGGACGAACGAGCCAACCAACATCGCTGTGTCGACGAAGTAACTTGCGCCGGACTCCACTCCTGGGAACTGAGAGCTCCCTGCAAGGCAGTGCACTGCCCCACCCCCACCAGGGCCCGCGGCCTTGCCAATAGCGCGCGGGCTTATTGGGTGAGTTTATGGTTACCTGGTAGCTTGGTGACCGGGTCTTGGGGGGATGGCATTGCGAGAGCTGATGGGAGAACAAGGTGTTCCGTCAATGGGAGATACACTTTCCAAGTTTCCTGTGGTCCGTAGGTTTGTTAACTTTATGGTACTGCTATTTAGGTTAGAGTGGCTGCTCACGAACACCTTTAGGCCTCGGGGTTGAATGGGGGGCCATATAGTTAGGTGCCCGGTTCGATGATCGCAGCGCCCCGACGGAGGGCCCCTAACGCGTTGTGACAGAGCTAAAGCCACTCAATCCCATTCAACGCCCTACAACCCTACCTCCCACCCCGGATGGCACCAGCTCCTATTCGACGCAATTGACGGGAGACATCTTCCACCAGGGGGGCGGTTGTACACCGATAGAAGTTGTCTGTAAGTACTGTCATGACAGTCAGAAACAGGTAATACAAATACACGCCGCCGGGGTGGTGGGACCAATCGGGAGCGCCAGGAAGAAGACCCGCTTTGCACAGCCTCCTTCGGTCGTCCTGATTCTTTCCCAGCCTTGGAAGGTGCCCCCTCCCTGAAGGGGCAATTAATCACCGTCTCGGTCCCATCCATCGTCATTGGCGCCTGGCGGCGTTGATCCTGAGATTAAACACGGTTGCGCCGTGAATGCACACCTGTGACAGCGCGTCTGGGCCGTGGGGCCTAGAAACTATGCCTCGTGGGGAAGATGAGTACGGAGGGAAAGATGTGGATTGGCAAAGTTGTTGGTACTCCGCGACGGAAGGGAGAGTGGAGGCGGAGCTGACGAACAGCATTTCGGCGGTGACATGCTCATGTTCTATCGCACCCCTGGTTCAATGCCTTTGACCCGAGTCATGTTGGCTGGCCTGGCGCGCGACTATGTAGACAGTCTCGGGAATCCCCTCAGCTAGTGGACCTGTCGGTCGGTGTAATGCAGCCCTAAGGCACCATCTTTCACTCCCTCACGAACTGGTCACAGTATGGATGACCAGGGCCATTTATGGCCCCCAATTGGCCGGCGCGGAGTACGGCCGTCTCACATCGCCGGCGCTGTATCACGTTCGCCGGACGAGGTTTGTCCAAGGCTGCAAGCAGCTAGCTGGGGTGAGAGTTTACAAAGGAGCCCTTTCATTGCAGCAATCGGGGGTGGATATCTCTGGCAAGGCACAGGGCTGGCTGGAAGGAGGCTGATTACGGCGCCCATTTTTTCAGGAACAGGAGTGATGCTGCGAATCTCGTATCCGCGCCCATAATCTTTGAATAAGAATACATCCTTCACGGTGCAGGTGTCAACAGCGAAGCTCTGTTGTTGAAGGTCGCAGTTCTGTCACGGAGCCTCTTTGGATCATCACCTAGGCGTGATGGGCTAGGAAGGGACCAGCTCACCATGAGACCGCACGAGTCAGGGCTGGGCCGCGAATTCCGGTGCCAGTAATTCACCGGTGAATCTGGAGCGGAACACCGGCGGAGCTTGAGCCTCACGTTTCTCCTTGCCGACCTCGCCGTCTCCGAACTAGAATCGATCGGGCACGTAGGTTTTTTCAAGGCCCATATAAGGCAATGCTGCTCGGTTCTCGGCCTCCACATGACGCAAGTGGCCGTCACGGATGAGAAAGTCTTGCCGATACAGATGCTTTACATGCCCGTGCCTTTGCGTGGCTTGCGGTATATTGCAATAGTTTTCCTCATTCACTTTGTGGGGGACCTGTCGATCGTCACGCTTATGCAGAGTCTCAACGGAGGCAGGTACGAATCATGGAATAGAAGGAAAATCCATGGAGATTCGCTGATAGGTTTTCATGGCTCGTAATCTATATGCGTGCATGCAACTTGGTCAGAGTTCATCAGAAACGTCCTCAGAGGTTGCCGCGCCCAGAATTTGGGTCCTCGGTCGCAGGTGGGCGCATTCCCGGAGGCAGACGGATACCTAGGGCTGCTGGGCCCGCTGGACCCCGTGTTGCCCGATTTATCTGACTGGCGATATCCACCCGGGCTTTCGCAAGCCCGAGAGCAGGCACCACCCACCCACCACAGCTGCATTGCATGCCTTGCCACGCGAACTTGCCAACGTTAGCCCCGCAGCCGGAGTTGGGGCAAGTTAGGCGGCCTGATAAAGGGGCATCGGCGGAGTATTCGTCGTATGTCGAATCCGCATCAGGGTCCGAGCCATTCTCAGCTGCGGATGGGAATAGACTGGGGCGCATCCATTTCAGTGGATGGAGAAACACATGAGCACATTCCGTCCCTGATTGCACCTTGGCGTGGTTCGGCTGGTTCGGCTCGTGATTGATGATGAACGAGCTTGTTGCGAGGGTGCGCCTAATTGAAGGAGGGTTAGATTTTCCATTTTTGACCAACACAGCAGGTGCATCATGCATCCGGGCTTGGAGTGTGTTACTAACCGGCACTTGCGACACTTAATCTCCACTGAGCGGCCGGTATTGTTTTCTTTGGGCTGAACGGGCAGCTCATCTTCAAAGCGCACCGACCTCATCTCCGGTGCACGGCCACACGCCACACTCTCCTCGACATCACGGTGATATAGCCAGCGCTGGTATACAGGGTTATCTGTGACATCATCTGGGCAGCCCATCTCGTGGTAGAGCGCCAGCTGTTTCATAAAGCCGTCATTGGGCTCACAGAGCGGCCTGGATTGCCTCAAACCCTCCAGGGCAGATTGTGGTGTGAGCGCACCGGGCTGCTGGTGGAGCAGATAGGCAATGCACACGGCTGCGGACCGGGACTTCCCCATTGCACTAGACCGTCATTGTTATTATTGGGAACCTGATGGCGCACGATGTAGCTCTGTAGGACTCGTGCCCCTTTGCGAAACGTAGGGTGCACAATGAAATCAAACCCAAAAAAAGGTAAAGCAACCAATAGTAAACATCATGGAAAACAAAGAGGCACAGGTGACTCCAACCACACGCAGATCGCAATTGACAGAACACGTGGTGATGTAGCAGGCCATTGGAGAAACACAAAGCAAAAGAAGCAACATTTGGACAAAGGAGTCCGCAAGGGGAAAAGCCACGGGTGGGAAAATGAGAAAGCTCCAGGAGGGTAATACGAAGAGCAGAAAGTAGATGAAAGCGAACTTACCAATGCACCAGAACGCCCCCGCCCCCATCTAAGCCGGCCTGGATGAACCGGACGGCGGCAGGGAAATGTTCCAGTAGATTCTCGTCGTCGACATCATCTACCGCTATAGATAGATGCTGATACGATGCAAAGGTTTCCTCTACCGGGTTCAGCCGTAGCACAGACAGGACATGTGTGATATCTGCTCGAGCCAAGGCGGCTTTATTCTTGAGGCAGAAGATCCTAGATACATGGGGATCTGGTTAGCAAGGAGGGCAGAACGGAGCAGCAAAACCAGGGTCCAGCAGTGAGGCCCACTCCGCGACAGGCGGCCAAGGAAAGCAAACAGTATCGGTCAAGGCCGACTTACCCGCCGATATAGATGTTATGGCCGGGGATCTGATTCATGGCCATCGTGGCTGTGTTTGATCAACGGGAGTTTGTAGGCGGAGAACGAAGGCGAAAGGACTCCGATATGGATGATCAAGCATGCAGTACCAGTAGTAACTAGGTGTCCAAGGTAGACCCAGCAGACTCTTTTCCCTAATCGAGAAGGCGATGATTCTCTTCGAGCCTCGGCCCTGCCCAACTCGAAAAAAGTCCCTTAGGGCAAGGGCATCCCGCTGCCATGTGATGTGTCTGCCTGAGGCGGCAAGTATGGATCCACGGCAGCTACTCCGTAACACAGAGTACACCATCAAGCAGCCCGTTCAGCCCATCTCCTGCTCTCTCCGTCGCTCCTTCGGACCATCTCCCGGACCATCTCCCCCAGATTCAAGAGCAGCATCCACTACACCGGTACTGCCGAAGCTGAAATGAGCCGATCTCAGCCTTCACGCATCCGCAATGCAGCCAATCCCGGTCGGCGTTCGATCAACGCGCGCGAGTCGCCATAGTGGATTCATGACCCAGCGTACTGGAGCTATCCACTCGCGATTCACTCCGCATTTCGAAGGGATTGGGCGAGGCGAATTGAACGCAGTCGGCGTCGTGAAGCGCAGGAAAACAGACTCTGTCAAGTTACGGGGTCCCACTGGTCTCATTGGGCCCCATGGCCCCAGGCAACCCCTCCAATCAGAGGTGCAGTCTATTCCCTACGAACCACCTAATCCCCAGCTCGCCACCGCGACAGACATCCTGTCGATCCACTGTACGTAGGTGACCGGTATAGCGGCGTCGTAATGCCTTGTCCAGGGTGCTACCCTACTACCAATCCTCCACGTTGAGCTGTTCCAGAAATCTCGGTGTGGGAAAGGTGACGAAAAGTACTGGCCGAGCGGTTCACGCGTGGGTGGGGCGCTGATTTATCCCCGACAATCTTCAATCCACCGCGACGTCCCGGTAGCCGATTCGCCCAGGGCCTGCAAGGGGTCCCCTCGTTTCTGACTTGCCGCGGGTAAGTTTGGAAGTCTCCCAAGCCGCAGGAACTACCCTTTTTGCCATTCTGTCTGAACTGGGCCAAGAAAGAGGGGCCGCTGGAATCCGTACAGCACCGCAAACTATAGCCCAGGACGCTCAGGGATGAGGCCCGGCGTCGCGTCATCTGGACTATTGGCGTGGCGGAAAAAAAGAGGCGTTGGCGCACATACGCGCTTGCACAGGCTGCAGCCTCTTAGGGCTAAGGCTGACGCCTCATACGGCGTGGAATCTCGTGCTGACGACGTGGTCTGGTTGGGTTTGTTTTTGCCTCACCTTTCGAGCTGGCTGCTGGCTATCGTAATTCGGACCGACAATCACTGCCGCAACCGCAGCACAACTGCGCCGCTGGATGGGGGCGCATGGCGTTGTCTGTGCCCATCACTTTTACACCCCATACTTCGCATCCGTATATATCATCCTCCCTCTTTTGGCCATGACCGACGCCCTCCAGGCGTCGGCTACCAAAGACAAAACCGGGATTTGACGGCGCCGATCGTGAGGTGGGATACTCTATTGCGGCTAGCCTTGAAAACGGAGCTTCCCGGTATCCGCAGCCACGTTGAGGAGCGTGCAGAGAAGTTGGGTGTTGGGTCTCCCTGAATGGCTCTACCATCTCGCTCGGCCTCGGCGCGAGGATGTATGCAACATCGTTCGACGGCAGATTTGCGTCCTCGGACAGGCCATCTGAGTCAATGTCTGAGGCCGAGGAGAGTCAGGCGATCTGATATACTGAACTAGCGAACGTCCACGAGTACATACTGGCCCGTAGGGCTTACATACTGTACCTCTCGCCGCTCCGTACAGGCCGAGGCTAACCAGGTCTCCCCTCATGCCGCTTCTGGCCATAAAAAGACTCGCCTTGGGTGCCTGACCCGATCTGGTTCATCCCTGCGATTTTGAGCAAAGGGGCGAACCTTGGTAAAAGAGAGCAGGCAAAGAAACGGCCAGACATCGAGACTAAAACGCAAGCGTTCAGTCCAAATCGTAGCTGGTGTGGAGCACAAGGGGATTACTCAGCACTGCGTGTCAACGTCGAGCCATCCACGACACCGTTCAGCCATCTCACAGCCTGTCCGACATGTCTTGTACTGGCTTTGAGGGGCTAGGGCTTCCCTAAACAATGCCTGTGCATGCGAAATTTCATCCTGCCCTCCCTATGATGGTCCCACCCCCTGTTCGCACTTCCCAAGTGACAGCGGACCGGCAGTGGTGGCAGTGCATGCATGACTAGACCGTAAGTAGAGCGCGCTAGGGAAATCAGTGGGTCGCAGCCAACGACTCACGGTTGTTCCCTACATGTGGAGGCCATAAAGAATGTTCTCTCCTACTTTTACTTCTTGCATGCGAATGCTTTTCCCCCCCCGGCCCTACCCTCGTCATCCAAGAGAAAGGACTCAGCGTGGTGTTACCGTTTGGATCTGGGCCAAGAGGAAGGGGGAGGGGGAAATACTTAGAAAGGAGAACCAACATACGGGAATCCGAATCCTCCGATCCAGTCGATTTGACCAAGCAATAAACAACCTAGCCGTTGCGGGGATCCCTGCCGCATTTCACCGCATTCATCCCTTCCGCAGTTTGAGTTCCTGTGCTCGCAGGATTTCTTCAATCGCGCGCCAGCCCCGGGCGATATAAGCCTACTGCCAAGACTTCCAAGAGTCCCCCGGTGCATGTCTCTGGCTGTAAATCTGCGCTGTTTCTCTTTAACTCCGTTGCATTCGCCGGCCCTCTCCGGCCTCATGAATGTCAGCATTCGCCCGCGCTACTTTTCCTTGACGGAAAGTGTCTGTCGGGCTTTTCCTGCTCAAAGCAAAGGTCGTCCCGAGCCGTTTTCTCTACTGGACCTTCCCCATCTCCTCTTTCCATGGATTACCCATCCTATGGCGCTTCGATCCCTTGAACAGTCCATGCGACACCCTTCTTCAGGAAGGGAACGCCCAGATTCTCGCCAGGCGTCCACTATACGAGACATCGAAATAAGAGAAATACACCTCCCCCATAAGGAGCAGGGGGGTGGGGGGGGAAGGGGTCTTGTAAATTCATTTAATCTTTTCAATGACTCTAGTTGGTCATTGTCCGGCCCATCATATGAAATAGAAAGTTAAGGCTGATCAACGGTGGCTCCTATTTGCCAGGTGTGCGGCAGGCTCCAGGCCTAGAAGGCCGGCCCTCAATATCCCGGTTTCTGGAAGGCCCATTTCCTAGGTTCGACGGAGTCAACCAAGGGTGAATGGTCTGCACGGACGGTGCCTGATTCGAGCAGACGGGAGTAAAATTACGGGATCCCGGGCTCTCCGGGCATTTCCTTCTAAGGCTGAGTTTTAGCCTAGGTTAATGCAGAATGGGGTAACGAGGTCATATTACCCAACGCACTACGACGACGCTGTTCTACTAAGCGGGAATAGCTCCCTGTAAGGTAGTAGACAACGCCAGACGCTCCTTAGCCCCAACGTGGTGCCTCGCGGCCTACGACCCCCAGATGCGAAAATGATCATGCCATTCCAGCGTGGCCACACCCAAACTCAATGCCGTGCTTCCTCCTGCAATGGGACTAGCTAGTAACAATTAAGTCACTCCATGCCGGTTATCGTCGAAATCTGATCCTCCTGACCCCATTCCAATACCCGTTCCCCACTCCGAAAGGCTGAATCCCGCCAGGTCGTGGCGTACTGGGTATACAGCGTATCTGGTATGTAAGTGGCTTACCATGTCCATACATACACCCGTACGGCTGGGCTGCGTCTTTTGCCTCTTTTCACCACCACGTCAACCCCCCCCCCCCCCCCCGAACTGCAGGTTAAGTCCGACCAAAGACCCATCGGATTCGATGTTTCGATAACCCTCCTTTTGCCTCTTTACGGGTCGTTCCAGAATCTCCTTCCAGCACCTCCCCCCTACCATTCACCACCACATCCTCCAACCACAAACCCCCTTCTTGGCTCAGCTCGGCGAGGATGAGATCACCGGAATTGCCTCCCCTTCGATCTTAATTACCTTTCGGCTCGTGCCCTTGGATCCAATCAACTGACTGCTCTGTCGTCTTGCCCGACTTGCTATCTGCCCGATCTTCCACCTGGCATTTCCTCTTTTTTTTCTTCTCTCTGCCCTGGTTCTGAACTAGTGGGCACCTCTGCTGCTTTTTCATTATTGGATTCTTAATTTTTTTTTTTTCAGCTTCGTACCTTCCTTTTCCCCTGTGCAGCAAGCTAGGGAATCCACCAATTGTCAATTGTTCAGCTAGTGGCGGGGTGCCCGAAAGGACAGAGGAGACTCTTTATACTTGCGACCACTTTTGGTTGCATCTAATCGCATTCGTGCTTCCGTCCTCGTCGCGATAACGCAGCTTCCTGCAAATAAAAATTCCAGGCAAAAGCGAGCGCGAAAGCATGTGCAGCCCCAGTCCCGCTCTCTGCGATTGACTGGTTCTATGGGACACAGGCGGCTTCTGGACAGGGCTGTGTGTCACTCGCGCGGCAACGTTTCATCCCATAAGGCGAATCGCCGAATAAGGGTCCCGAAAGTAAGTCGCCCAGTTCAGCCCTACTCTTGACCTTCTTCCTATGATACCCCCAACCTCCTCCTGGATGTCCTACCCTTCTACCCTATCGCTATCACCTACCGGTCCATCCGCCACCCACGACAATAAGTCCCTTGTCACTCGCGCTCGCGCTTCACTCCTCGGCACCACCGGTCTGACTCTCAACTAGCTAGCATCCCCAGTTGTATGAACACTTGCTTCCCTGGGCACCTGCACCCAGCCCTAGACGCCTCGACGGATCCTCTGTCGCCGTCGGCTCGTGCTGGCTGACCCAGTAGATCTGGTTCCAAGCCAACGGTCCGCGTAGGAATCCCCGGCCGATTCCACGCTTGCACTCCACTGGAACTGGATTGACGTTATTGCTGCGACCCCGTCTTGATTCGGCCTGCTTATCGTTTCTATCTTCCCGCCTTCTCGGATCTTCTTATTGTCTTTAATTTCTCTTTATTTCTCTTCTTGCGGTGCTTCCGTGAGGCTCCCATCCCGCCGTTCTCCGCCACTCCCATCTGCTTGGCCTTGTTTCTCAGCCTCAGCTCCGTTCATGCTAGGCTTAGCCTAGCGCGCCGCTTCCGATTGCCTCAGTTTGACGACTGTATGAGCATGGACCCACGAGTCTCATCGCCGCCGAGCTTTCATGATTTCAAGGACCACCACGACCGCCACCACCCCGAACGCGTTCACATGATGCCCAATTTGCCCTTCTCATCGCACGGCCCATTACCTATACCATCCCGAGCCGCCATGCACACTGCTCCGCCACCTTTACCCCCGCCACCGCGCATCCGCGACCTGGAGAACGGCTACGATGCTGGCTGGTTGCATGCGAATTCTAGCCGCTCGACGACTGCTCTCCCCCCGGTCAACCCCAATTCGAGCCTGTTTGGTGGCCATCGACGACCTGAGTCTGCGTTCCTGAGTGATCGCATGGCACTGGATGAATTGGAAGGACGACAGAGCGGATTGCCGCTTTCGCGCAGCCCAGAGGCCCACATCAAGATTGAACCGCCACCACCGACAGACGAAGGGTTTCCGAATTCTATGTCCGTCAATTCGGCAGGTCCTATGTAAGTGGTGCCCCCGAGCGAGAGCTGTCAATGGTCATATTGGCATTTCTATCCGCAGGGTTGTGGTGTGAACGACTGTACTGACATATCCCATAGTCTGAAGGGTGAGCGCGACTTTTCGCTGCGTAGTGTGAAAGACTCATCAAACGCCTATGATCAACATTTACTTTCCAAGATTGGAAACTCGCTTTCCCCACGCACCTCGATCAGCCAAGGATCGGATCACCGCGGTTCAATCTCGGCACTGACTGTCCCATCAATTCCGTCTCGAGCATCCAGCAACCTGCCTTCTCCGGGACCGTCAGAAGCGGGTTCGACACTGGACGTGAAATGGTACAATAGCGCCCAATCGGGTGGAGTGTCTCCCAGGACTAAGGTTGGATGGAGGGACTATGTCGAAGGACGCAGCCCGAGTGTGGAGAGCAATGCACCTTCATCGGCATTGGACTACGACTACATGCGCGATATGGGTCGACGACGATACCGTGGAACGACGCCTTCTAGAGAGGACAGCATCAGTCTACCCAGCCGATCAAACCGTGGAAGCTACGACCAGGCTGTTTTCTCCGACATTGAGGGTGACTTCCCAACCGATGAGCCAATACCCCCACGCCAATTCACTCTCCGCGAACCAACACCGCCATACCCCGAGGGCTCAAAGCAGGGCATGAAGCGCCGGGCCTCATCGCCCCCACGAGAGCCGATAGGCGAAGATCGACAGACCCTACACCTGACGACGAGCAATGGCGATTTATCGCAGCGGCGGACGAGTGGTCAACCCTTTTCAAATTCAAACACCCTATCCGTGAACCCCAGCTATGCCCCGAGTCACCGGACTCTTTCAGCCGCATCATCCCTCAGCATTCGGACATCTGGATCATACTCATCAGCTCTCTCGATAGGAGGGAGCAGCATGACGAGTCTCTCACCGTACGACCGACCATCTCCGGGGGCTTCTCGCCAGGCTCCGACTTGGATACATATCACGAAAAGTCGATTATGAACCCGAGTTCTCCTGCGGCGCTCATGCATTCACTCCCGAGGGCTGTGTCAGGGTCTCACACCCTCGAGCTGTCTACTACTGATGCCATGGGCAAGATGTCCATGCCTTCCGTGCTGACTGTGCCCAAGAGTGCAGTGCCAAAGATCAGCGGCCTGTATATCTGCGATTGCTGCCCCAAGAAACCGAAAAAGTTCGACAATCCAGATGATCTTCGGTAAGTCCCCGCCCCAAACTCCATTTGTCACAAGGGCATCCACGCTAATCCGCATCCCAGCGCACATGAAATGGAGAAGCAATATTCCTGCCAATACTGCAACAACCGGTTCAAAAACAAAAATGAAGCGGAACGCCACCAGACCTCCATCCACCTCCGCCGCCACTCCTGGTCCTGCGCCGCCCTGTCCTGCTTTCAAGCCGCCTTTCATGCCTCCGCCTCGCCATCCTTGCAAACAAGCGCAGGCCCCTCGCACGACTCATGCGGCTACTGTGGCGAGGAATTCCCCAATTTCCCACGGCCGGACTGGGACTGCCGCTTCGAGCACCTGACAACCGTGCACAAATTCGGCGAGTGCAACAACGCAAAGAAGTTCTTCCGCGCGGACCATTTCCGCCAGCACCTCAAGCACAGCCATGCCGGGACTAGCGGCAAGTGGACTAACATCTTGGAGAACGCTTGCATGAAAGAGGAGCAACCGCCGGAACCGAGGGATAAGTCTAGGCAAGGCTCCGGGTCGCTGACGTCGAATACAATTGATGAGGTCCTGAGTGAGCAATGACATTACCTTGGGCGTGCCGCGCCTGATTTATCTTTGGGCTTCTCCTGTGGTGTGATTCCACAGCGTCTTGGCCTCTTATGAGGCGCTGAATCTTTGTCAAAGTGGTTACGACTACTTCCCATCATATACGCCATATATATGCCATATACGCTGTATCCGCCGCATCCTCTCCATCCCCATCCTCATTCCCATCCCCATCCCCATCCCCACCTTGTGATGAGGATGCTCTCAATCAAAATGAAAATCCTTGCACCCCAACATGAAAGCATTGGATCTAACGATGTGACATGATCTTTCCCCACCTCCTATCTACCATCAGTGATTGTTTCAGTTCTTGTTGTCTGCTCCTGTGATTTGTTTGCCCGTTCGGAGGAGGCAGGGTAGAACAGGGAGTTTATTTTGTTCCTGGGTTTTGGTTTTGGGTAACAGCCGTCGTGTATATCTGGTGCATCATTACCTGGATGGATTGGATCTTTATAACTCTCCATGAGTCGGAGTACTTTTTTCAGTTCCATTTTGTTCATTTTCTTTCATGATCAGTGGAGTCGGTGCATGGTTTGGGGGTCCTGGACTTTATTTTTGGCTTCGCAAAAGCTTTTTCTGCTCATATATATAGTTCTCCTTGTATATAGGGACTGGAAATAGATCGCGATAAGTGGATTCTAGTACTTGTTGGTTGTCTTCTTTTCTAAGTATCGATCTTGGATTCCCATTTAAGGTACTGAATTTCAGAGTTAAAAGCTTCGGGGGGGAGGGGGGGTTCGGTTATTTCGTGCGCACACTTTATGGCCGACCTATTGACCTCCCCTGCGTAACATTATACATCACGACCAGCCGCTAAGCTTCAAATCTAGAGTTCTCGAGAGATTTCGAGCTACTATAGAAGCCATGTCTGACTTTCTGCCAAGGTACTGAAGCGCCGAGATACAGCACTCGGAGTTCTGCCGGAAGCGCTCAGACAATGCACCGTGCTCACCAGGCATACTACTCAACCCATCCAGAGTAATGGATCCAGCCTTTGCAAATGAGTGAATTAAAACAACGGTCCACGGCTCAGTCAGAAAAGCCACTTCGGTGAGCGAATCATGGAAATTGCCGTGGACAATCGATTCTTGCCCACGAAGCGAAGAGCGAGCGAGCGCCCCAACCGCAAACGCATTCTCCATCCTCAGCTTCGAAACAAAGCCCGTAGCATACCGTGCCTCCCGCTTCGCATCAGAGCCAAGTCGCCCACGATCAACGGTTTCCATCACATCTGCTAGAAGCATCGCGGCCAGATGCCAATGCCCGTCAAGTATGACGTACCACGACTGTATCCGAGGCGGGAGGAGCTCGTGGTTAGCGACGCAATCCAGCATGAAACCCTGATAAGTGCAGTTCCAGTGACGATAGACCAAGAGAGTCTCCTTGATGACTTCTTCGAGGCGTTCTGGCTCCGCTCCTCGGTATACGAGGGTTTGAAGCTGGGTGACTCGACGGTAAAGCAAGACCTTGACTGGGGTTGCCTCTGAGAGTACAGACGCAGCCTCTTCATAGGAGCATGGCCATCGGGGTTGGCCTTGGCGGAATGCTTGACGGAGGAAGAAGTCGCCCCAGACGTCCTGTTTCTTCTGCATTTGGCTCCGTGGAATATTCCAGCCGTTGAGGTCGACGGGGACTTCGTAATCGAGCATGGCGGGTGCGGCCGATGCAATTTGACTATCCTCGTCGGACACTACGAGGGGACGCTGATACATAGCAGCACTGAGTGTATCAAACATGACTCCTAACCAGAATAAAAGGTTCATCGTGGTTTGGTATTCGTCACTCGCAATAATTGGATCCACTCGCGGGTCTTCTGATAACCTCGGTATCTCTGATGCATCGGTCACCGTAGATCCAATGGAACCCCTTCGGAGGTCTTTCACGTTTGGTGGAGCCTCTCGCTGAAGCCTGGTCAATTTACGTCGGAAGGTAAATAGCTGGCGGTTGGCAGTTTCCAAGAACATCGGTGCAAGGTCATTCTCCAGAAGCGGACCCAGTCGCTCGTCTTCTCCATCGTCCAGTGGACATTGGGTCAATGAGAAGATAATATTCGCGAAAATGATCCGAAACGATGGGATAACACTGCAGTGCTCCAACGCGTGGCGCGCTTGATTCCAAAGAGTCTCTCGGATCGACCGTTCATCACGAGCGATATCTGCTGGGACGGACAGATTTGGCCCCGTCTGCGCATGTTGTGTCCACTGCGAGGCAAATGCTATGATTGACAGATGGAGTGCTTGGGCAGCAGCTTTGTCCTCGTCGGCACTCAACCTCCGGCCGCGTACTAGGGAGGATGCACGATCCAACCGACAAACCCGAATACACATCCTGTTCGACCAGCTCGACCCCCATTCCTCGTGCTCTCGGTATGGGAGCACGTCGGTGATCGCATTGCTGTATGGGCAATTGTGCTCTGTCAGCCAACATGACAGCGCGTTTTCCAAGCTGTCGTGATATATCCGGATCAGGTTCCGTGTCATCGTGGACCGAGCATATTCAGCCGCTGTATTGCCGGACGCGATGCAAAAATTGCACTCAAATTTTGACTTTGTCCTTTTGTTGGACTTTTGGGACGATTGATATCTGCGACGAGAATCTTTGTGCCCCCGAGCCGTGAATTCAATAGAAGAGGAATCAAACATGTTCATTTCAAGGTTTTGCTCTTCAAGTTGCGAAATTGTGTCAAAGACATTTTCAATCGAACTAGGTGAGTGGCGCAGGAAAGTGGCCTGGGCGTCAGTTTCGCTAACGGGCTTTCCAGATTGTGGAGTCAACACAGGGAACTGCAGATTCTCGGAGTTATTCGCAGTCCGTGACGGCGATCTAAGCTGGTCATCGCCAAATTCGTTACATTCTAGCCTGTCGGTGGGTGCGCCTTCCGGGTTCGACGAAGAGGGCGAGAATGGGAGGAATTGTGAGGTCGTGGTAGGAGTAGCCATGCCTCCAGAATTGGCAGGATACCATAGTGCAGACAGCAGTATATCATCTACGATAGCGCCATGGGAGCTGAGCAGGGGAGAACGATGACGAGTCTGGGATGTAGCTGTAGTGCCGGCCTTTGTTCTTCTCTGATCTCGCTTAGACTCCACATGCTTGGAGAGGAAGTTGAACGTGCATTCTTTCTTCCATTTCTTGCAGTTCGAGCAGGAGCTAAAGTCACTGTCCTTGCGGTTTTTCTAATTTCTCATGTCAGAATCTGCCGGTGGTGAAGGAGGGAGGTGTCTACAAACCGGTGCATCGCACCCCCTTTTGCCTTTCCGACATGGGTCGCAACTGTGGAGTTGGCTTCGACGAGAAGATTCCATGGTAGAACGATGGAGTATAGATGTCGTAGTCGGATTTGAGTTGTGCGAGGAGAAACCGCTGTTGCCGAGTCCGCGCTGTGTCTGCCGGTGGATCGAAGTAAAGGAGGGGTAATCCAGCATGCGACTGCCAAGCTGAAATAGATCATCAATTCCTGGAGAGAGATGGTAAACTTTGCGGGGATGAAGTGGGGGTTAGTCTGTGCACGTCCACAATTCGGGTCAGCGGAGCTTTGTTGTCAATTTCGTTTCCGTCTACCTAGCTTTTGGGTTACACTCGGCGCCAACATCGAGTACTGGAAAAGGAGAAAAGGGTGTGTTGAGCTTACAAATGGCCGAGTCCGGCTACTCAGACCGTGTAAGCGGGAAATGTAACCAGTAGCCCACGCGTTGCTCAGGAGGCGATGCATTTTGGGGAAACTGGGGATCCGGGGAAAGGGTGGAGCAATATCATGCATTGGTCAGACCAATAATCAGATCCATCCCAAGTCGGCGTAATGGCCGAATAAGAGAAGAGAGAGCGGGTCTACCCAATAGGTCGAGTTTATAGCTGGACCCAAACATGGCGGGGTAAATCAATCCGACGGGAGCTGCTGCAGAGAAAATGCCATGAACTGGCCTCCTAGATGTCTGCCTATGGTCCGGAAGGGCTATTGAGCCAATACCTGGTTTCCATCATCGACCATGATGCTTTCGTAGAGCCTGATGGGTCGATCTCGATCATCTTTGCTGTAAGTCAGGATTCTCCGTCGGATCGATCCTTGTATATCGCAGACGTTTACCTCTGCGGTTCAATTTTTATCGATGCATGTAAGCTTTTATACACCTAGACCCCGTGAAAATTGTTAATACTTTAACAACTGTTGAGATTCCCCTGGAATTCATAGAGCATATTACGAAAGTACTAAACTGTCGCCACTTGGCAGCTTGTACAACTCTCAATCTCAAATAGAAGCAAATGATCTCTAGTCGTTTTACGATTGCAGCTGTCATTGGAGTCTAATAGAATATGGTATTGGAATCTTATACGTATGACATGTTCATTCTCTGCACTAGACTCGACACCTATATACATCATAACTCCAGTCACCTCATTTCATATTGATCCAGACCCATCCACTACTCTGGCATTTCGAGTACATAGCGGCCCGCAATTTTGCCTTGTTCTGTTGTTCATCAGTTGGAAATCCTATAGATAAATGACGGAGTAACATACCCATGAGTTCGAAAATTTGTGGGAGATCTTTCAGTGGGGCCAGCTTGAAGGGAGCCTTGATCAAGCCGCGGGCAAAAAAGTCGATGGCTTCCACGCCATCCTGTCGGTTACCAACGTAACTACCTTTGATGCTGATCATGCGCACCACTGTGTTAATCACAGGGGCTTTGAGGTATGCATCAGGCGGCAAGCCGATAGCGATAATTGTTCCTCGAGACCGAACATATTCGGTAGCCTGCTGGAACGGCTTTTCCGAAACTGCCAACAGGATCACAGCGTGGGCCCCAAGGCCGCCCGGGGTCGCTGCTTTCACATCAGCCACCAAGTCCTTCGACTTCATGAAGTCAACATAGGCCTATTGGCTCATTAGCTTTAATAGATCCTTATAATGGGGCTCAGAATGTCGGGACATGATAATTACCTCGGCACCTAATTGCTCACACATAGCCCTTTTCTCGTCTCCTCCATCCACGGCTATGACCCGAATACCCATAGCTTTTGCGTACTGCTGAGCAAGGGACCCCAGCCCACCCCCCGCCCCCACAATCGCGACTGTTTGGCCAGGACGAACTCCAGATTCCTTCAGTCCTTTGTAAACAGTGATACCGGCGCATAGAACCGGAGCAATGGCATCAAGAGGGACATTTTTAGGAATTTTCGACGCATGGGTAGCCTTGCCGATCGCATACTGCTGGAACGTACCATCCACAGTATACCCAGAAAGCTTTGCATCAGCGCACAGGGGATCATCTGATTGCCTGCAGAATTCACACTCAGAACACGACCCATTCAGCCATTTGATTCCAGCGTGATCGCCGATCTGGAATTCGTTGACCAAAGCGCCCTTGGCCACGACCACTCCAGCACCTTCGTGTCCTCCAACCAGAGGCATTTTAACTGGGATAGGCCAGTGACCCATCATGGCATGAAGATCGGTGTGACAGACACCAGAATAACGAATCTTCACCAGAATCTCGTCCGGGCCTGGGTGAGGAACAGGAATTTGCTTGTACACAAGTGGGCCCCCGATCTTTTCGGCGACCTGGGCCCATTGCATCTGAGGAATAGACATATTGGCAGGATGGGTTGAAACACAAGAGTTGTTGAAGATTGCGTGGAAGACAGGTCGATACTGTTTAGTGAATTATAATCTTGGATTGTGAGAGAGTAAGGGCTTTATAGCTGGCTGGATTGGAAGAAAATGAGGAGCAAATTGCGGGTCGTCTTTTCCCACCATCGCGCGTTCTGATGTCAAGGCAGATTATTTCGGGCGACCGGAATGCGACAGAAGAAAAGGAACATGCAATCTCGATCTAAATTTACCAATAGAAACTGTAACAGGTGGTATTCTCGCTGGGCCCATACAAGGCGGGGAGGGTTTTGCGGGGATAGTCAAGTGCCTGTCCCCATGCGGCTCCGCATGGTCGGCCACACAGTTGGCGATGTTCCGATTCACCAATCAGCGGGATACTAGAACTAGACGTCATTTCCTAGTGCGCTTCCACATAGCCGCACTCGAAGTCCCTGATTTGTGCCCAGGTGGTTGCCAAATGTTTTTGACGGAAGTCTCCGTCTTCCCTTGCCCTGAATGCTTTGGGCAGCATCACGCTGTGGACGCGTGACGGGTTTCTCTTCGTGGGTTCCCCACGTCTCTTGCCAAATTTCCCTAGTGGCCTAGATCTCTTTTAGACCACCCAAAAAGCCAAATCGTCTGGCTGTCAATCCTTTTGCTCTGGTGGTAGTGACGCTGCCAATCTGCTTTGCCGATGGGCTGAATCTCCATCTCTGTACTCGATGTACTGATGCGGATTAGAGTAAAAGGATGTGATCGGCTTTCTAAGAATGACAAATTATTGCCTTTACGAGTGCCTGTCGTTTTTTCTAGCCTTATAATTATCTCCAGAAGGTAAATAATCATTCACGTTCGTTCGATAGCGTCTTTCGCTGTTCTATTTCCACACTGACTCGGACGGCATTCCGTGTAGATTCCGTTCTGTAATTGCAGGATACACTTCCTTGAGTTAGCATTAATAAGAATATATCGAAATTTCCAAAAAGGTCTCGAACCCCCATTGAAGCTTGTGTCATTCTGATAAGCAAGGATCTTTTCGCAGGCCCTAATAAGACAACCAACTCCCTCATCAACCTAAATTCATTTGCCAAGGGCCCTCAACATGATCATGCTTTCTAGAAATAGATTTTCCATGACATACTTCCCCGCCTTAATTTGAATCACTCATCCATTCCATATGGGAAGAATGTACTAGACCAGCCACTGCTGATGGTGAATCCCTCGCTTGGCTTCCCGCCCCAAGTGCTTTTGGTGCCGTAACTATCGTAACTTCTCACGTGGAAAAGCCGGGAAGAATGCACACCGCTTGCTGATGATTGCGCTGTAGAATCTCCATGTATGTTATCCGGGACTCGTGGATTCTCCATCCGCTTCAATGTTTCTATCTGTGACGAGTGGTGTCTTTCTTGGGGAAAAGCAAGGGTTCTTTCCCTTTCCAACAGCGGCTTTATCGCTGTGTATCTGCTCAACAAGAGATTCGGATTTTCAATCTGAAGTAGGGCCGGGTCAATATAGCCATTTCCCTCTTCAAAAGCATGGTTTCCGTGAGGATCCATCTGTTTTGCGCGGGAAGTTTCAGGTTGAATATTTGGAGCTAAAGGTGACACCCAATATTGCGAATCATCCTCCCGAGTCGGATGGAAAACTGAAGGGACATGGTTCAAGTCGACCACGGCTGCTTTTATAGGCATGTCTTGAAGATACTTAGGTGTCTTGCGATCACCATCCACACACGTCTGTGGCATGTCCCGTCTAATGCATTCCAGACATGGGCGCTCGTTGCCTGTTTTATATTATCTTGTTAGCATCTCCTCTAGAGCGTAATCTGTGCAGATTGATTCTATCAGGCTCACCACACGTTCTATGTGATCTTTGACAGTTAGCACATGACCTTCTAGCCTTTTGCCGGCGACCGGACGTGCTAGACTCCTCTGATGTTCCAGTGGTCTGACATGCTGTGAGATTGTTCATTTTAGGCTTTAAACAGGCGTGATTGACACTCGTGAAGAAGCCACGTAGCTAGTAGATCTTAAAAAGATTTTGTTGAAGGCGACCCGGCCAACAGTAACGGGCAGATTCAGAATATCGTCAAGAATGTGTACAAGCTGAAATAAGAGAGAGTGAAGCACTTATCTGATGGAAATAAAACACTTTGCGCTCCACGTTTCCTGGATTTAACCTCATTGAGAGACACGCAATCGAGGCTCAGAACCTAGGTATGAGATGATGAGCTTTTAGGACCTCATCTTACGCCTAGACGCGCAAGCTAGACAATCTGTGGATGTCGAAGAAGTCAACATCCCCCGGGTTCCGCATGTTTATGTTGTCATCGCCGGTACATGACATGTACTAACATTCGCTACACAGTTGAGGCACATCTCGACATCTTGTCGACCCCGCAAACTGTGGAGTATCCTGCCAGGTACATGATGATTTGGTTTTCATCCATGCGGCTCCGCACGAAGGAGGACCTCCGCACAGCGCACGCTGCACAGACCGCTTGCTTGACGTCCCACTACGCATACCTATCTGCGGGGAATTCCGCATGGAGAAGCTCGGCCAGAAAAAGAAATATGTTGCTGGAGACTATGGGGCCAGACGTGCAGGGTATGAGAAGATACCCCTCAAAGATTGCGAATCAATCACATCTGATCGGCCAGTTAGCGAGCGCCACCCGGTGTCCTGGTCAAACTATGATCGTTCTTCACTCGAAACTCAAACCCACACCCAGCTGGCTGCATTCGCTGCCTTTCCGTTCCGCCGTGAGTCTAGGTTATCGCTCTTTATTGACCCCAGAATGATCGCCTGTATCCGTTCTGCCGTAGCCAATCATATGCGCAGTGAATTCTCCAGAGAATTGAATAGGGGGCTCACGATCATCGGAAAAGGTAGTTCCAGATTGACAGCTATATAAGGCTTTTCCCTCGAGCCTACCTCGCTCAGCTCCTGTGTGATATATCTGATATATTCAATTTCGCTTAATTACGAAAAATATCCGATTGAAAACGAACAAAATGGACAGCGACATGAGCCAGAATACCGCGAGGAAGGAGTCGATTCAATACAGGGAGAGCACAGGTCATGCCCTTTCCACGATCCCAACATCGGTGACACTGTCAGCGGAGCAGTTCGAGAAGCTCTATCTGACACCTATGACCCGTCACCAGCCTGCACTTGCCAAGCAAGTCGGGAACCCGACACCATTGTGAGTCAAATCTAGTCTTTATCATTCCCTTTAGTATGAGAACATTAGCTGACGAAATCCAATTCCAGAGCGCTGGGAGGTTTTGTTATCACGACAACACCACTTTCGTGTTGTTTAATGGCCTGGAGAGGAGCCAGTGGGAATGGAGTTGCATTCATGTAAGAGATCTTCACGATGGCAAAGTATTTGAGACTCTATCTAAATCACGAGAAACAAGTGGACCTATCGTCTTCCTAGGTGGACTTTTGTTGCTAATCACCAGTATTCTCGAGTTTATACTCGGAAACACGTTTCCATGCGTTGTATTCGGTACTATTGGTGAGTTTGCCGACATGACAAAAAATACCACCGTACCTTGTGCTAGACTCTAATACCTCATGACAGGAGGATTCTGGTTCGCTTTTGCGGCCACCATGATTCCTGCCTTCAATGCAGCCGGTTGGTTTTCTACGCCCTGCTCAGTTATTTGGGGTTATTGTGAAGAGTTTCTCACGCATCCACAGCTCCTTATTCCCCATCAGCCACTGATACAAGCGCGGGCCTCTCCAGTGCGAGCTTCATGAATACCTATGGTAAGTGTAAATTGCGGGCCACAGATTCTAAAGAACGCTTCTTTCTTACAAGTTCAGCATTCCTATTTATAACCATGGCCGTGCTGATGCTGATCTTCATGATTTGCGCGACACGCACAAACGTGGTATATACACTCATCTTCCTAGCCCTGCTCCTGGTGTTTCTTCTTTTGTCTTCTGCCTACTGGCGACTGGGCGAAGGTGATGTTGCCGTTGGCAATAACTGTGTGAAGGTAAGCATAAGACCCTATATCCGACCTTTCCAGATGCATAAGATAAAGACCGACTCAATTATTTACTTCAAGGGTGCTGGGGCGTCGCTTTTCGTCGCTAGTCTCCTTGGCTTCTATCTACTAATTGTTCAATTATTTGAGGCAATGGGATTCCCATTCCATTTACCGGTTGGAGACTTGGCAGTAATCTGGGATCGCAGCATGAACAAGTGAGTACCCACCCCGAGACATACAATATTTCATGCCTAAATATGCAGAAGGGGAGAGATGCGCGATATTGAAGAATCCGCTGCCGTTGAGCATACCTGAATCTGCCACACCGTGCATATTTACTACACGTCATTCCTGTTGATTGAGTTCTAGCGGAAAATTGTTAGGTGTGCTCTGTTGGGGTCGGTGCTTTCCAACAATTCCGAATACTATCTTACACTTCTGGCGGGCTGGGCTACAGGACAACATTACTTCGAAACCCAAGAGCTTATAGTGCGCCACATCATTTTATTAGCTAGTTGAAGAAGATATCTATAATCAACTTTCCCACACGTTTTATAGCTCGCAGGGTTGATTCACTCCAGGTGGTCTCACGGGTTGAGAGGTTGGAATTGCCTAAATGGGACGCCGCCGTGTGGATCAACCCCCACAGTCGTTAAAATTAACTAGGTCTCCGACAGCCGCGGAAGCTTAATAGACTTCATACCAGAGACATTTCAGATTCTCTAGCCACCGAGATATTCACATCTTCCTTTGCCTCCCACGACTGGCACATTACAGTCACAAGGCGTGTCCAGAATGGCCTCTACATGCTCTGCGGAGCTCCCCGAACCCTTCGCCCTTTTGACGGCCAGACTCGTTGTCGTCCCCACACCGATCGCGGTCAACGTGGCTTCTTATCGAACGCTTTATGCGGCATTGCACTCCGACGTGGACTTCTGCAAAATGGGCTTTGGAGAGCATTTTCCCGCTCGGGGTTGGAGTGATGATGAAACACGCCAGGTGATTGAAACGCGCGACATCGAGCGTTCATGGAGAAGACATGGTTTGGGGGATTTTGCCGTGGGTTTTCGCGCAACACCAGGATCGGAAGATCCTGACAAAGCCTCCAGTCAAAATCCTCACTCCAGTGTGTCAATTCTCAGAGGGAGCGAGTACGAGCAGTTTGCTGGGCACGACATGACGCGCCTTGATGAGATTGAATGGGTGGGATATGCGGGTGTCCGAGATGCAACGACGACATCGCTTCCACCACAAAGTGCAGGAGATCCGACCTACCCGCCATGGTTCGAAATGGTTGAGATCCGCTATGGTGTGTCCCCGGCATGTTGGGGTGGAGGCATCGCAAGGGAAGCAGCGGAGGCGGTGCTGCAGTGGGCGGCTCGTAAAAAGGGAGTGAAGAGGTTCATTGCCGAGACGGAAAAGGAAAATCAGAGGAGTGCGCGGCTCTTGCAAAAGCTCGGGTTTGTGGCCAGTGGGACGGACTATTGGAAAGAGCCCAGCGAGACGGAATGGGAGTTGGTTATCCAGTAACAAGTTGCGGGGAATGGGACAGGAGAGATTCAGGTTAATAGGAGGGAACAAGTATTGAATGCGAAAAATGGGCGGCGTTATCGCTTATTCTCAAGAGTACCTATCAACTCCGCAATACCAATAGTTCGATGGTTTAGGTCTTGAAATACTATATCAAAAGTTCCCCATCTACTTAGCCCTGACTCATGACTTGACCATGTTCTTCGAGACCTACCCAAAATCGATGTTCATGATATATTACACGCGTAGTCGCTCATCTACCGGTCTTTGGTTGTGGAATTTCCCAAGTTCCCTCTGATATAGAGGTAGTAGCTTGTGTAATGGGCCGGCCAGGCCTGCAAATATACCTGCACATCTCCCTCACCACTCGAATAGCCAATTTCCGTGGCAGCTTATGTGGCTCTGCTTGAGATAAGATGATTGGGATATTATAGGTAAAAGGGATTTAGCTAGATGTCATCATAGAAGGGTCGGCGAAATAATAGGGCGATGTATTCAAAAATTGTCCTTATGTTTTTACAGAGGATTCACGACAGACTATGTACATTACCCTCAATCGCCAAGTGTGTATGATACATCCAAAATCAAGTCTCTACTCAGTGACACTGTCCTGGATAGTACGCAACGCACTCGTCTTGTGCGCCGGGTCAACAGTGGACACATTTCGCGCGCGGCGTCGAGCATCCGTCCAAAGCATGAACTCGCCATAGGACTTCGGCATGACATGAATATCCTTCTCTACAAGGAAAGTATAGTTGAACATGCCGGTTGACTTCTTAGTTCCGTGCTCCACATCCCGGACCTTCGAGTCGACGCGCACCTGCACCTTGGTGTACTTACTGTGGCCACCCTCACGCTCCTCGGGTTCAGTGTAGGCCACTGTGGCGCGCAGGTACAGCACGCTGCCGACAGGTACCGGGTTCTCGAAAGTACTTGGATCGAGCGCGAGGAAATTGGGCCGTGTGTGCGAGAAGGCTGCGGCGCAGCAGAAGGCTAGCTCAAAGGTTTGTTTGAGGAGGAAGCCACCAAAGATCATGAAGTTGTGCCTGTTGCGGTCTTGGGGTTGCATGATCATGGCGGATTTCAGGACAGTGTCGCTCATGGGGATTTGGTTGGCTGGGCGGACAGCAGGGACTTGGGGGTCTGCGGAGCGATGTTAATAAGCCTGCGTGAGAGCTTGCTGGAATCTCCGGTACATACTCAGATACGACATCTCCTTCGTCCACATAGAGTGGATTAAGTTGGACTCTTCATCGTCGGGTGCTTGCTGAAGCAAGCTGCGTTTTCGCAGGGCTTTCTTGGCCTTGTAATTCTCCTCGCCTTTCTTGAACAGTGCCATCTCCTCCTCCGTTTCGATAACAAGCGGAGCCACGGGAACAGGTCTGAATGCGCAGATATTAGCACTACTGTCCAGGGGCATTTGCTTTTTCGCATGACGTACTGTTTCGTAGCCGGATCCAAGGAGACCATGGTAAATGCGCAGGTAATCAAGACATCATCTGGCTTTGCCGGTTGTCCTTCTGGGCGCGCTTTGCACACCTGCACGGAAACTTCCATACTAGACCGCCCAGTGGCATAGGAGACTTGGCCACTAAGCTCAAGATCACAGATTTCCATAAGCGGGTTTTCGATCGTGATCCGGTCGACAGCTGCAGTCACAGTGCTGACGCCATCACCAGTGTGACGGTGTGCGATAATACCAGCCAATGCATCAAGGTCCATGACCAAGGATCCAAGTCTAGAATTCTGTTAGATATAGATCACCAAGTTGATCAATGATCGTTATCTCACCGGATATGCCCAGTGGCGTTGAGATATGTATCTAAAAGCCACTTGTCTTGAGCCAGAGGCAAGATCTGAAGGCGAATAATTAGTATTAGCATGGAAAGGTTTCTAAAATAGAATTCCAATGCGTACAGCACTATAGTAGCCATCCGACATCTTCTTGGGCGTAAGATCCGGCTTAACAGGCGTTTTCGGTTGCACGCCCTCCTTGGATTCGCGCGCTGCCTCACGGCTCCGCGTCAAGGCCTCGATCCAAGGAGTCTTGACGCGCATTGGCATCCACGTCGGCCTAGATGCCTCATTCGTCGGCGTTGAGCAAAACTCTCTGGCGTTGGCGCAAGGTGATTGCGCGATCGCCACGGCGCGCGCCGGGAGCGCGGCCGGCGCAAGACATTTTGACCGGGCAAGCGCTGTCCTTCTTCCTGCAAGACCGAACATGGTGTGTATCGTTGCCAGCGGTGTGAGTGGTTGGAGGGGTGAGGATAATGTTATTAGTATTCGCAATGATGCCGTTGGGTCCCGAGGGGATGGCCCGACTCGGTTAGCGCTCGGCAACCCGGAGACTTTCGGGGACCAAAGGCCGAAGAACACCGCCGCCGCTCCCCATTTGACGCCAGAGATGTTCTTTGGGTTCGGTGGCCATACCAGTATGAATCTTAGGTCTCAAAAGGGCTTGGATTTAGTTCTACAGGGACTTTATATTCCACAGGAAGATGCCCTGCAGCCGAGGATTTCATCTATCGGAAACAGGGGGATCATAGGCAAGCCCTGTGCGAGCCAAAGCTTATAAAAAGGGAAACACACTAGCGCGCTAAAAGGTGTCCTAGGTGGAGGCACATCTTGCCATTCTCTCAGTGTATCCAATCCGGGAAAAAAGTGGAAGTCCAAGTATTCGACTGAGGCTCGGTTTGTCGTCCGTGCCTACCTAATCCGGGGGACTGCGTCAGGGTGAAGTCATTGATAACCTTAAATAGCGATAAGAACCTGAATCTATATGTTAGAATAAACTATTATGATTGCACCTCTTTACTTCGAAAACACATCGTAATTGTGAAAAGATAGAGCTAAACAACTGTATAACAATGAGCGACGCGAATAATCCGCACGTCAAAGAACGGACCACGCCGCAATGGGCGCTATATCAGCGCGAGAACTTCTGGAAGCCAAATGAGGGTCAGGCACCGCTCTTCAACACCGGTACGTTTTCCAAGCGGGAAATTTATTGTACTACATTAGCGCTTGCTCTAACCACAGCTACAATTCCCTAGATCCTCACAAACTAGAAGCAAGAGCCAAAGAGAAACTCAACGAAGCGGGATGGTCAGTCTCTGCTTTTCCCCCTCCCTTTGCCGACCTACTTATATGTAGAGCGACACTCAAATCTACGCAGGTACTACGCCTCCTCCAACGCAGGCCTCTCAACCACGCACCTCGCAAATCGCCAATCTTTCTTCCGCCACCGAATCATTCCCAACGCACTAGTCGATACTAACAGGCGCGACACAACAACCACAATCTTCGGCCACAAAGTCTCGGCACCGATAGGCTTCGCCCCAATCGGAATCAACAAGATCTACCACCCATCCGGTGAAGCAGCCGTCGCCAGCATAGCACAAGAACTAAACCTACCCTACTGCCTCTCCACAGCAGGAAGCACAGCCATCGAGCGCGTGGCCGAAGCAAACGGGTCTGGGCCCCGATTCTTCCAGCTATACATGCCGCACGACGACGAGCTGACGCTCTCCCTGCTCACGCGGGCCTGGAACGCTGGCTTCGATGCCTTGATCCTCACGACGGATACATGGCAGCTCGGCTGGCGGCATGACGACGTTGCGCACGCTAACTACGCCTTCTACCGCGGCTTTGGCGCGGACTTGGGTCTTTCAGATCCGGTGTTTAGGGCCCGGTGTGTGGAGGACGGCATCGACCCGGACAGGGACCTCGTTGCTGCGTCGAGCAAATGGATTGATTCTATCTGGCACGGGCGCGCCTGGTCCTGGGACAAAATACCCTGGCTGATAGCGCAGTGGAAGCGTATCTCCGGCGGGCGGCCGTTCGCAATCAAAGGGATCCAATCTGTGTCCGACGCGCGGAAATGCGTGCAGTATGGTGTCGACGGAATTGTCGTGAGTAACCATGCCGGGCGGCAGGTTGACGGGGCAATTGCTAGCCTGGATGCGCTGGAGAAGATTGCCGAGGCGGTCGGGGAAGAGATCTATGTCATGTTTGATTCTGGGGTGCGCGGGGCGAGCGATGTTGTGAAGGCTGTGGCGCTGGGTGCGAGGTTCGTGTTTGTTGGGAGACTGTGGGTTTGGGGGTTGGCTGTTGGGGGGGGAGGATGGGGTGCGGCATGTTATGAAGGGTTTGTTGGCGGATTTGGATATTTTAATGGGGGTTGCTGGGTTCAATTCGGTGGGCGAGTTTGATCGGGGTATTCTTGGTAGGTGAATCATTCGCCCGGGGGTGTTTCTGGTGTGGTTGGTCGATAATGATTTGCTAATGGAGTCTGCAGAATCCGACCCGAAGTCCTACACGTTACTACCAGAGAAAGTCTTGTGAGATGGTCAGGCGTGTGCATTGATATAGGTAGATTATTACAATCGATGAATTAGTTCATCGTCAGCTGAATGTCGTATGCTAATGGTACAGCAAGGAGGGTCCATTCTGGCCCAATGTCCGGTTAAACGGCAAGAATATGCGCCAATGAGGCTGCACCTCTAGATGCAAAAAAATATAAAATGTGGGATGAATCGCCCCGGTGCAGGATATTAGCGAAAGATATGCGCGAAAGGGGTATCGTCCGAATGAAAAAAGGGACAGTAAAGTATAGTCGAATAGGCCCGGTGAAAGATGTGTGTGCAGGGCGGGAGTGATGAGTATTAACAGATATAACGCTAGAGAAACGATGGTCGACAAGTATGCACGGCATTGAGAGAGAAACGAATCGGGTGTGATCGAGAGTCGTCGGTGTGTGGTTGCTGCAAAATTGATGGAGGCGAGGGTGGTGACGCGGGTGAAGTATGCTTTTAAACGAAGAGCATGCTGGTCAAAGCTGTGAGCAGCGACAAGCCTGCGCCGTGGGACAGACGAGATGCAGCGCCGGTATGGATAACTGTATCCGAAGCAGTCGAAGCAGTCGACGCTGTCGAGGTGGAGCCCGTGGTGGAGTCGGCAGTGGTGGCGGTAGCCGTAACGCTCGGGGCTACAAATGTGCCATTTCCTGTGGTGTTGGATGTGGCCAGCGTTCCGAAGCCGATCTGGCCGTTATCGAAATCGAAGACCGTATACACGTTCTTCAGGAAGACATCTCCGACTAGCCAGTCATTTGCCCCGGCGGACTGGTGGCCAACGATGGTGGACACGCAGCCACCAGTGCTGGTCGCACCGATGTAGTCCTCCGGCGAGATAGAGTACTTGACACCTGAAAAGGATAGTTCCAAGGTTGCAGTCGAGTTGCAGGGGATGATGTAGTTTTCGCCCGACATAGATGATCCGGGAATGAGTGCAAAGAGGGTCGCTGCGTCAGACGGGGGAATCAAGACGTAAGTAGTTCCGCTGTCGATGGTGGCGGACTTGGAGGTCAGGCCTGCGGCTTGGCCGTTCACATAGACCTCGTCCATCGGGATGGTCCAGGTATCCGTGCTGGTGGCAGTGTAGGAGATGTTTCCATCAAACTTGGTGGTATCGACTGTTCCAAAGTTGACTTCTCCATCCTTCTTGTTGTCCTTCGCCCGGGAGAGACTAAATCCCACGAGGTTCGACGCAAGATAACCCTTTTCGGCAACGACGTCCATGAACGATGGAATATCCCAGCCGCCCGTGTCTGATCGTCCCAGTCCGAGTATACCGTCGATGGGGTAGCTAGAGAAAGTCGACGTCGCCGAGGTGGCCGTGCCAAACGAGAACGTCACCTGCATGTCGGCGATGGAAAAACTATCCTGTCCCAGGTCGCCACGGACATTCCCACTGCCGTAGCCAACGCTGTAGGTGGAGCTGTTCGAAATATAGGAACTGGATGCCGATGTGTCGAACGTGTGGTGGCTCGTACAGACGCTGTCCGTACAGCTGGAGCTGAACACCCAGCTACTGGGTGAGCCGGTATCGAGGGCCAGCCACATCTCCTCCTTCTGCGAGCCAACCTCCACCACAGCGAAGTAGGAAAAGTCCATACCATCCTGGTCGAGGGGGGCGCTGTTTGGCAAGGTTGGGGTGTTGGACTCGACAATTGAATAGGTATCATCGCGGCGAACCGAACCCTTCTTGATGTCGAGGGTCAACGGCTTGGCGTCGGTGCTGGTGTCGTCCGAGCTGTCCGGCACAAGTGCCCAGGGGAAGAAACGGCGCTGCACAGAGTCCCTAGATGAGATACTTGCCGAGGCGGCGACCTTGAGCTCATAGGGATAGAAGGCGTGCACGCCGGTTGAAAGGCCCGCGATGAGCAGACATGGTGAGAATCGCATGATCCAAGGACGGATCTAATAGCAGCGAGACGGGGCCAGCATTGATGGACCTCACGTCAGACACAATCCGAGGCAGCTGCCGTCAAGCTGGGCTCTTCTGAAAGCAGCTGGGCCCAATTGATGTGAGTAGTTGATGAAACACGGCCCTAGTCAAGGTAGGCGATCTGGAGTCGAATTAGGGGGCAAGGATTTTGCAATATACACAAACGATGGATTATTTTGTAATAAAAGAAACAGCACGATGAAAGAAAAACCAGACAAGCAAAGGAGTGACGAGAACAAGCAGCAAAAGAAAAAAAAAATAGCCACCAGGAGGTTGGAGAGAAGCAGAGGTGGTTGCCCTCAAAGTTGGACGTGAGGGGGGAGGTGGCGGACTCTCTTGGGTTCGGGTTCCACTGCAGCGTGCTCCTCACGGCTGAGGAAAACCCTCCCCTGACAAGCCCACTAGGCCTCTCCTGGGCTTAGAATGAGCTACTTGGACGTAGACTCGCATTGATTGGGTTTGGGGCAGCAGAAACCCCACTGAGTGGCTATTCCGGGTTGCGATCGGCTGGGCGGTCGGAGCTAGCTGTGCGCTAGCCTGCGCTCTGTGCTGCGATGACTGGCCCCAATGGGAGCGTGACGAGGGAATCAAGGAAGTGGAGTATGCTCGTCTTTGCGGTCTTTCACTCTTCAACCCCAGAGGTTTACTCCTACGCGGGTTGCCTGAATGTCGACTTGACGGTGTATGATTCTTGGGCGTGTCCCATGTTGCATCTGGCGCAGCCCAGCGCTCCATCCTAGCGTCGTGCACGGTGCACCGGTTGGCTGCGCGAACGCCTTCTCAGGGGATGTTCTTTGGCCTCGGCTTCCCACTGGTTCGCTCGAACCCGTCCGCTTCACTGGGGGCGTTGGGAGATCTAGACCCCACGGCTGCGCTCTCCATCCTAGGTCTCGACCATCTCGTGGTTCGCTCTCACTCATCGCCTGTATATGTCGCTCGCGATGCATCCAGCTCTTCACTATCAGACAAGCAGCCTGCGTGGGATACATTCCCTGAATCCTGCATCCCAGCCGGGAGCCCCGGATGCTGGCACGAACGGTCTCACGCTCCGTGTTTATCAGCCTGTGCTGCTTCTGGCCCCAGGGTGAACCTGGTTTCGAGTAGTCGATGCGATCGATTCTCCGTTTCAGATCTTGTTGATAGTGTTCATTGTCAGCGACTACTCCGTCCGGTCACTCCGAACGCGACGGTCCTAGCCAAGATCAAAACGAACCATCAGTTTTCCACGCCGGACCTGGTGGCCTAGTGGGAAACCAGTGCCTAGTCCTAGATCTTGTGCGAAGAGGACTAGTATGTCCTGCATAACCATAGGTACCAGCGTGTATTCCACCCAGCGTGTATGCCAATCCGGGCATGCCGTTCGTTCACAGCGAATCTTCCTTTTTTTCTCTTCATCCCCTTCTTTCCTCTAGTAAGTTTAAAAGACTGGTGCAGCAAGGCCTCTGATCACATGGTCAGATAATCATACCAGATACTTGATGCAGTTTTTCGGGCCTGCTCTCCCATATTGCTACCACCGATAGGCATGGAAGCTGTCATGTATCTCCTAGATACAGAGTGCCTCTCTTTTCTGTATACGTCGGATAGCGCCTATGGGGCCATATGCTGTTGCCACTGGTGTAAGGATCCAGAGCGGGTCTACCGTAGCGTCCACTCCCCACCGATAGAGTTATTCACATCGCTCAGAAGCCTTCCTTTGGCATTGCCGAAGGTTTCCTCGCTGAAGAAACTTGAGGATGGCAGCTGCGCTAGGGTTGGGGCTCGTCCTCTCTTGAATGGTCTAATCTGGTCCGATCTTCTCGGGAGAGGTCAGGATACTACCGCAGATTACCGCAAGATGCCAACGCCCCATAGACGATACCGCGTTCTGTTGAGAACAGGTCGGGTCTACCACTATATATACGGTCTCTAATCCGCAGTACAATGAAAGACATGACTAGTCTTGTGCTCCAAGCAGGCTTGATGATGCATGACGCAGCCCGCACTGTGTCTATCAGAGAGCCTCCGACAACCATGGTCATATTCGGCCATAGACTGAATCAGTCGCCCAGTGTGACGACACTTTAGACAATACTTCACACCGCAATTGACTGCAAGAAACTTCAATTCGGCCAGAATCGTCCCACCTCATCGGACCCTTGCTTAAACCTGGAGCCCCCGGCCACGCAGCGCGGAACAGACCTTCTCCGGCCAACCGCTATCTCATCCTCGGCAGCGTGGATAAATCCATGCCGCGGCTTCGCGTACTACCCAAGGGCCTGACCCTAACTAAACCGAGCCCGGGCTTGGCCCATTAGAAGGCCAATTGGCCTATTTGATTTCAGCAAACCCCGGCCGGTGCCGGGGTGCAGGAGAAGCGTCACGCGCTACCAGCGAGCCGAGATCCCTCGCCACGGACCTGAACTACAACGTCGGAGCGGAGACCGTCCTGCGCAAGGTACCCGAGTCGCGCCCCCACAACGCCGGGTCAGGGCCAGGGCAGCAAGTACGGAGGAATGGAAAAGGATCGGAATCGATCCCGGTGTCGCCGATTTTCCTTCTGGAAAGTTGCCAATCAGGGCGGCTAGGGCGGGGAGGTGTACCTCGGCAAAAGTGAAATCGGAGATGGCGTCGGGTAAATCATGCCGATGTGTGGGGTTTTAGAGTTGAACCGAAACGAAATGGGTTCCACAACGTGGACTGAGAAGGGTCCCGTTTGAATGGTAGTCATTGGCGTTAGACACAAGTCAGGAAGGGAAAAATGTTGCGGTTCGTAGCCGTGCAGGCCTAGTAGCACTCAATAGAAGTATAGAAGATCAAAAGATATTACATCAACACGCTAGTTCTCAAGTCCGAGAAGAACAATATCCCAAGTAATGGATAGGGGAAATGGAGAACAAAAAAAAGAGACCACGAAAAGAAAAACGATTTCATCAGGCAAGAGTTCAAGTCAAGCACCGCACCAAGAAGATTCGTCACAACACCAGCGTAACCACCCTACTTCCTGACTGCAGAATCCTTCGGGCCGAGCACATCATCCAAAAAGCCCGCCCAAAGCTCCTTGACAACACCAGGCTCCTTCCCGGCCCCATTCTGCTTTGCCAACTCCTCACCAATCCGGCTCCGCCCCACAGCCTCGGTCAGCGAGAATGGGTCGATGTCCACGGCGTGGTTGTCGACGACCTCGCTCATGGCTGACGCAGCGCTGATGTCACCGCCGGAAACCGTGTAGATCTGGGGCTTCATGAGTGGGGCGGATGGGGACGGGGTGTCGTGGTGCGAGGTCATGTCGGGGAGGATCGGGACCCGGGGGCCGGAGGGGCGGGTAGGCGGCGCATCGAGGCTGGACATTTGGGGCATGTAGATGAAGTCGACGGTGGAGGAGTCACCGATGGCTTTTTGGGAGCGGGAGGTGTTGAAGGAGCGGGTTGATTGGCTGGTTGGTTGTGAGTTGGTGTTGTCTGGGGGCGGGAGGTATGTGGGGATGGGGAGCGATGAAGATGGTTACTCCGTCGAGTTTGGAGGGAGGACTTACTCAGCGAAGGCATTGCTGTTGATACGGCGCATGGCAATGCTGAAGGCCCGGCTCTGCAAGACGTCGTGGTTGGAGAGACGCTCGATCAGCTGGGGGTGGAAGTGTTAGCTGCGAGCTCTTGATGACATATCGGGTTGCGATGGGGGACGAACCTCAGATTTGCTGCCAGCAGCACGGAGGGAGCGTCGTTGGCATTCCTGCTTCAGGTCTGGCAGGGTGCGAGCGGCATACATTGAGGCCTTGTCGGCGGGATTGGCGGGTTGCGCAGACTGAACGCCGGTGATGTGTAAGCCGCGACGGGCGGGGGCAGCAGTAGGCTGGTGGGAGAGCTGGCGCAGGGCGCGCAGGGAGGTCGAGCGAGGCACGGCCATGATGTGTGATGGATGGAAAGGATTCCTCACTAGGTATGAGAAATTGGGGATGCGTGTAGAGGTGTGCACAGGAATGTAGGTTGAGGGAGATGAGAAAAAGGGTGTGTCAAAAGAGTCCGGGAGTATATGACTCAAGGAGATAGACCGGCAGTAGATAGGAGGGTCACGGAAAGATTAAAAAAGCTCCGAGAATCGACGGAACAGGAAGCGAGTCAACAGGAAGCCCTTTATAGAGCAGCTCAGGACCTCACGGGAATCGTTGGGGAGAGCTATGGGAACCCACTCTTGGCGGTCTGGACCCGTTATCGATAGTGGGATCCACGGTCCAATAAACTCAGGAGTGTTGACGTCCTCTACTCAGGAGATAGGGGGAAAGTACGGAGCACAGAGTAGGATTGGTAAGATTGAGAAGCAATGAACTACGACGGACCCAAGGGTGGGGAAGGGTTTCATATAGGAGAGTCTCTGGCGGTTCGACCACCGCTCGAGGTAGTGAGGAACTCCGGTGCACTGAGGTACATACCGGGGTACCGCCAGTCGGAGATCTACGGCGGTCATGAAGTCCCCGTGACCCCCCCGTGACCCGCAGACGGTGATGTACCGGGTACTTTCCGCTGTTCCCCTTGCCCTTCCCACAACCCAGCCATTCGGGACGAAGTTCACCCCGTACCCACCAGCACACTCCCGGCGAAAAGTACCCGGTACACTACTGAGCGGCCGTTAGTACTCCGTCTCATACCATACACATTATGCGACCATCCACCTCTCCTGTACTTCCCCTAGGAGAGTCCCCCCTCAACACTTCGGAGTGCTGATCCTCCTCCCCGCCGGCCCCAATGGCCCAATTATTGGGCCCTTTCCCACACATGCCTGCACGATGGGGTAATCGCAAGCTTCAGCCCCAATCATCATGACGATTCCCCTAGGAGAAATGGCCACCCTCAGGGACTAGTGATGACCGGACACCGGATCCCCGGCTGAGGGGAAAGCCACAATCCGCAATCCGCTGGATGTGACTGGGCTGATGTGGTCCCTTTCCCCGCTGGCACTCCTCATCGCACCTCACCGTACTGCAGGTCTTCTGCGGCGTCGTACGGAGTACGGAAACCCGCAGCGTCCAGAGGCCATGGGCCATGGGGGATGGGGGTTGACATACCCTGTCTTTCTCGAACGAATCAGATCCGCACTAAAAAAAGACCGGGATCGACCGACTGTTGAGATTCTGGTCCCATGACCGCTGCCTAGGAGAGCGGTGAGACCCGCCCCTGTACCTTATGAGCTGGTCTGGTCTATGCCCTGCGACGTAGAAAGAGGTACATTTCAACGTCTGAGCACAGAGACCTTCCGAGCCCGTCCAGATGCATGGTCAATCTGACGGAATTAGTTCTCCGGTGAGTCTCTGCATGGACGGGTCCGCCTATATCCCAGCACCAAGAACACGTACTCATCCGGAGTGCTTGCATCTCATCCCATCTCATCCCATCCCACCCCACTAACATACTCCCGTCCACACGGCCAGCGGAAGCCCCGGATCCCAATCCAACCCCATAATGGCTCGAATCGCAGATTACCAGATCACCGGACCCCAACGGATGGCGCACCCGGTTCTGCACGACTCCATCGTCCGCTATGCTCAGGGGTGCGTTCTGTAAGGGCCGGGCTGGGTGAGTGTCACCGTCCGCTTGGCGGGATTCCGGGCGGGCAGGTAGAATTCTTCCCCTGCAGCGGGATACCCCTTGAATATGATGAGCATACTGACTGCGACCAAATAATTGAATTGTTGGGGATTATGCTGAAGTTGCTACTTTCCGGCATGGTGCATTTACTGTACTCAGTAGTCTATCTTCCGTATCCTAGCTAGGTCCTGGGTACACGGTTGGATCTCGATCGTCCCCTGTCTATCGGACACCCTCCCCTCCTCATGTTTTAGAGTAGCCCCGTGGAACCCCATGCCATTGCTTGTTCGCACCCACGCTTAAAGCTTGGAGCCCCGCCGACCTTTGGCGATGGCCTGGGCGTAAGGGTGTGCGCGGGATGCCGGGACCAAGTGATCCACATCACCCGTGTGTAGCAGGTCGGGACTGGCCTGATCCAACGAGGTGATGCCGATGTTGCGCATGGCCGTTTCCAGCTCGTCTTGCATGACTGCGGAGAACACATTAGCTTCTCAACACCCGGCGGTGCCCAGGCTCAGCCGGGCAGATCTTCATCATCACTTACTATCAACCAAATGCTCCACACCCTGCTGTCCATAGTTCGTCGCGAAAAGCATACTCCGACCCATTCCCACGGCTGTCGCACCGAGGCACACAGCCTTGAGAATATCCGTTCCGCGGCGGATGCCGCTGTCCACATACACCTCCATCTTATCAAACACTTCGGGGCATCGCTTCTGCATCTCCAGCAATGTGATTATCGACGGCGGGCTGGTGTCCAAGTTGCGTCCGCCGTGATTGCTCACCAGGATACCATCCATACCGGCTTGCATGGCCAGCAGTGCGTCATCCGCGGACATCACACCCTTTAGACACACCGGCTTATGCGTGTGCTGTCTGACCCACTTCAGGTCTTCCCACGTCAGGCCAGGGTCAATGAACCGGCCCATCACGCGGCCCAGTCCACCGCCTTTCTTGTCATTCTGTGCCTTGGACGGCGCCATAGGTACAGACAAGCTCTCGTCGGCCTTGACCCGCTCGTCCGCTTCGCGCTTGCCAGGCCAGGCGGCGTCCACGGTCACAAAAATGGCTTTGATGTTGGGGTTGGCAGAGCATTGGCGGAGTAATGCAGCGGACTTCTCGCGGTCGCGGTTGACGTACAACTGGAAGAAGAAGCTGGCAGATGGAGCTGCGGTGCGCAATTCATCCATGGTGTAGGATGAGTTATTGGAAATCTATGAAAGAACCAGACTCAGCATCGGGATGAACGCAATGCCAACTCAACTGAACCAATACTCACACCCTGCAGGATCCCTTTACTCTCGCATGCCCGCGCAATCGCACACTCCCCGTCAGTATGAATCAACTTCGCCATGGCCGCCGGGCTCACAAACAGCGGCAACTTAAAGTCGCCGCCCAGAATCTTCGTCCGAGTATCCACAGACCGTACGTTTCTCAGCACCCGCGGCCGGAACCATATCCGGTCGAAGCAGGACTTGTTCGCGTCGCGAGTGATCAGATCCGTCGCTGCACTGGAGTAGAATGCCCATGTCTTGGTGTTTGCTGTTTTCGAGGCTACCACCTCGAAGTCGTGCGCGTTGACCAGCGTCTGCAAAGGCGGCTTTTCGTTGTCTAGGATAGCTCTCGGATTCTCGTCTGGTGGTGGCTTGATCCATGTCGTGTCTATTGTGGATTCGTCGATAACGCCTTTGAACTTTCCGGGCTGCAGGTTTGTTTTTAGAACGCTGGGCGCGTGGACTTCTGAGTAGGCTTTTGTGGCATCGCGGCCTGCGTACTTCAGGATAACTGGGTGGCTGTGGTTAGCTCGGTACAACCAATATCAAAATTGTTGACGACGCATTCCATACTGGTTGATCCGCCCGGGTGCTCATCGAGAAAGTCGGTTACATCCCACACTTGCTTGTCGACCACGATCCAGCAGTCCTGCGGCGTCTTATGCTCCGAAACTTGCTGGGTAGACAGCAGCCTCTGGTCTGCCATCTTGAAGAGGGATTTAGAGGTTCAACAGCCCAATAGTTTCGATCCGCGCAGTTCAATGGTACGATTCGGATGCTTTCTACCGAGGCAAGCTGTGATGCGAAAAGTATGCGACAGCAACACTGGTAGGGGGCTGGGTTGGAAATGAAATTGGTCAGGTAGAGGAAAGAGCAAGTCAGCCAGAGAATGCTAAATACTCAGCAAAGACCTCTTGTCATGGCAGGGCGGAGGCTAGTGTTCTTGTCACGGTAGTTCTCCGTGGAACGCCCAGCATGTCTCCACCACGGCAATATCCCCGGGCTTACCCCGGACTTTAGTGCGCCTAACAGGTGACAGATATTTGCAATCGCGAATTGCACCGTAGAACAATCTTCAACACAATGGCGCATTTGGCGGAAACAATGCTCGCATCATTCTCTGATCCCCTCTTAGGCATGCCCTCAATCATTCAAAATAACGGTCATCAGTCGAAACCCTTCGGGACAATTGCTCCCGACGCATCCACTCGTGCCTCCGAACAAAACGCCTCGCCCTAGAGCATCGGCATCCACTTTCCCTGCAGCACCTCAACTGTGCAGATCTGTCGCGACGTGGGATGTGCACTAGTTCTTCGAAACCCTGGGGGCATCACACTCGGCGGACCACCGATTCCAATTCGGATTTCTCTCCGTGGGGTCCATGAGGATTATGTAATGTTCAGGGCTCTGCTGCGCCACAGGGCCATCAGGCAGCCGGGGAGCTAAGCCCTAGATGTGGCTGGTGACTTCGGGTTCGTGAGTCAACAAAAATGGTCGTTGTACAACGCTCACGTTTGATGGCGCATATTCAAAGGACGACACGGCGGACATAGAAACGTTGACACCCTTCCATGCGCATCGTTTCTGTTGGAAACAGGGTCCTGAATTCCTTTGGCAGTGTTGGCATCTCGGCATTTAGACCTAAGGGCATTAACGGCACCTCGTTGGCGCGGAATTGTCTGTGCCTTGCTCATAGTGGCAGCCCAGGTAAGCATAGCATCTGAGTCAATAGGTTGAAGTCATTGATCGTAGACCTGGATGTCCACTCGATGCACTGTCGAGTACGGGGAGCGTGCTAAGCTGATCTTCGCGCAGGAATTTCTCGAGTGAACAAATTTGTTTATCGCTCGCATCTCTATTCAAGCTTTGCTGGGAGTAGCCCGCAATACTTGTCATTCTCCACATCTTCAAACAAGCAACTTGCCGCTAAGATGGAAGAGTCAAGCAAACCTCTGCGATATGTTGATGTGCGTTGCTTTTGCCTAATCTGGCCCTAGTACGGCCATTGAGTTGCAGAAACTGATCGTTGCAATAATTCAGATCGGCATCAACCTTAGTGACCCCGTGTTTCGCGGTAGCTATCATGGCAAGCAAGCCCACGATGATGACCTGGATGATGTCATCCAGCGTGCGAAGGATGTCGGCTGCGCCAAGTTCATGGTGACCGGGTCAGACCTAGTCGAGTCAGAAGCAGCGGTGCAAATAGCACGTAGCTACCGTGAGTACTTGTTCGGTGGAATCAAGTTCCTGGCGGCTGATATACGTCCTCCTAGCTGGTTTTTGCTATGCAACCGTTGGCGTGCACCCGTGTCAGGCAAAACTCTTCGATGAGTATCCAGGCGGTCCATCGAAGATGATCGAAGACCTCCGAAAACTAGCCCTTGAGTCCAAGGAAGCCGGGTTCACCGTCGCCTTTGGTGAAATTGGCCTCGACTATGACCGATTGTTCCTCAGCAAAAAGGAGCCGCAGCTCAAGTACTTCGAAGCTCAACTAGATCTCGCCATTGAGATCGGACTGCCATTGTTCCTCCACTCCCGGGCTGCCAGTGAGGACTTTGAGAAATTGCTGGGTTCGAGGCTAGATAAGCTGCCTAAGGGCGGTCTCGTGCACAGTTTCACCGGAACAATGGAGGAGATGCAGCGGCTGGTTGCCCTGGGCCTTCACATCGGCGTCAACGGCTGTAGTATGAAGACCGAGGAGAACCTAGAAGTTGTCAAGGCCATTCCATTAGATAGAATTCAGATTGAGACCGACGGGCCTTGGGTACGTACTTTGTCATCCTCTTGCCGCTTCTATGCCGACTAACCGCGTTGTTCCAGTGTGAGATCCGTCCGTCTCATGCGTCGGCCAAGCACTTGAATGGCGCCCCCGATCTGCCCAAGTCTGTCAAGAAGGAGAAATGGCAGAAGGGACTCATGATCAAGGGCCGCAATGAGCCTATGGCCATTGCCCGTGTTGCTCACGTTATCGCATCGGTCAAGGGGATTTCTGTGGAGGAAGTTTGTGAAGCGTAAGACCCGGCGCCACGTATTCTTGCCGAGAAATCGTTAGCTTACCATCTATCTAGTGCTTGGAATAACTCGATCAGGATGTTTGGGCTCGGAGAGAAGTCTCTGTAGCCTTGGACTGGTCTCTTCCTGCCTGGTCACGACCCTTTCAGCCTGAGAGCCTCCTCGGCCTGCCGTATCGAGAGTCAACCAACCCATTTGTGGCCGCCTTCTGATACTTGTATCAAGTCAATGTGACTTGTTGGTCAGCCGACTGGTTGCTTTCACGAAGCAGCTCATCAGCGAGTGCTTGCCTTTTTCTAGACTTAACCAGCCCCTAGTCCCTACAGCTCGGCCCAAAAGCAAGTCGCGAAGGCGCGTCTTCTATGCCAAAATACCTTTATTAATGCAATATGCAAAAGGAACCTTCCTTGAGCGTTTTTCCAGGGGGAAAGAGCATATTTTCTGGGCCTCGACCGACTCAGTTGCTGTTGGAAAAGGCAGACTGGTGAGTTAGCCAGCTTGCGCAGGGGTGGGTATGAGCAAAGATGCTCTAAGCGGGCTCTAAGCGGGCATGCCGATATGGCTTCACTCCAGATACGATAGGCCTTCTCCTTTATTTGGATCTATAACGATAGGACATAGATGATCTTCTTTCTCTTTCCCAGAATATTGCTACTCTGCTTTATATAGAATGAGCTTCTCTTGTTGGCTGTTTCGCTCTCCCAGGGCATAGTCACTGTATTGCATCCTCAGGTGTCCTTGTCTCGTGCTTTCTCCAATCCAACAACCTCGTTCTTTTTCCAACTTTCAAACCCTCATCTGTCCCCCACCCCATTCACGCTTCCAGCCACTAGCTTTCATCGCTGTGCATGGTACCTGCGTCCACTTCGCGGTTGACTGAGCAATTTGACGTGTCTACTTCTCCACTGACTGCCTAGGCGTATATAATGTCTGACACAAATTCCTACCCTGCGCACGAGGCAGGCTTCCTGGCATCCCTTGCCCACCTGTACGAGGCAATCATTTCGGAAGCCCGAGAGAGTAAGCCCTGCTATGGCGAAGGCTACCGGGGTCAGCAGCTTACTGAGAGGCGGTACAATGCAATTCCGACGCCCACTCTTGGTATGCGGGGCTCCTTGCCGGGTACGTGATGCTTCATCAACACTGACCCTCCCCGTCACCCCCCATCACTATGTTGCACAGTGTTTCATGCATCTTGACTTGGCGAATGACTGTATATCAGGAATCCCTGAAGAGCCACCGGATGAGGAGCGGGAGGGAATGCCCCCTCTCCAGTATATTATCCCGCCGCGATTCGCTCAGGTTGTGGACGGTATCTACCGCGCCGGCTTCCCAAATATCTTCCACCTTGATGTACACGAGGCCCTTGGTGTCAAAACTGTTCTGTATGTCTGTTACAAGACTTCTGGTCATCTCACGCTTACATATTCACAGGAGCCTGGTCAGTACTGACTACAGCTGGCCTGTACAACACTACATGGGAAGAAACGACATTCTCCTCCTTTGTGTCCCGGTGGTGGTCAATAAGCGGCCATGCCTCAAAACCACCGATCACACGGTCAACATCGTGATGAATGTTCTGATGAATACTAAAACTCATCCGATCGTGATTCACTGCAATCAGGGCAAGGTAAGCCTTCTCTCTCACCCCACCGTTCCTGTCAATATAACGTGTAAACAATCTCACTAGCACCGCACCGGGTGCATGATTGCCTGCTTCCGAAAACTCCAGGGCTGGGGCCACGAGGCTATCGTTCAGGAGTACCGCGAGTTTGCTGGTCACAAGCCCCGGCCTCTTGACGAGGCCTTCGTCAAAGCCTACATCCCCCGCCGAGGCTTGCGCAAGGCCGCCAAGCGCAAGGGAATCGCGTCTTGGGTCGCTGTCCCAGAGCGCTTGACAAGCAATGGCCCCGACCAGCGCCCACTTCTGGTCCGGGACGAGTCGGAGACTATCTTCCACATGTCGATTTGAGGCTAGGATGTTTGACGTACACGGCCGATTTTCATGAGATCTTTGATGCGTGGCTAGCCTATCTCGAATGGCGGTTGCTGCGGATTTCATTGGTGGTTTCTTTCATGCACCTTTGTGCTGTGCTGGTTTCGTCCGGGTACTGGCTTCTGGTTTGATCTGCGTCTACAGTATGTACCTGTATTATATACCTTAGATTTGCATCTTTAGCATAACATCCATTTGCATTGCTGGATCTCATTGGATCCTGGCAATTCCTAGGTATTAGCCTTTAGGTACGTAAAGAAGTCAGCGCATCTTGATCGTCCTCCAATCTTTGGAATTGTTTCATAGTGGAAAGGGTGACCTATCTATACAGGGCTGTATAATCTTTCTTTCGAGCCACAACAGTTCGTAAAATCTAAATTAATTATATGTCTGCCAAAGGCTCGGCTTCATCCAAACACTCGTCCATATATATACTATCGGAAAGTATAATATTCATATCATCCCAGTCAGACCGAAGAGAACAAAAGCCGTCGGCGTTTCCTTTCATACCTTCTTGAGTTGCTTGGGTCTGGGTCATCAGATTTGAATCGTAAAACTCTTGGAAGCTCAACATGCTGCTGCTATCGGACACGGGCTCATGCACCTCTCGCGCATGAAGTGTATTGAGAGGAAGATCAGGATGACCATCCAGCTCCAGGATTTCTCCATCGGTATCAAACTCCTGTTCTGAGGTGGATAGCAGTATAGAATCGTCGCGTTTCATATGTAAAGCTTGCCCTGGCAGGGACACCGTATTAAAGAATGTGGTGCGTCTCTTTGAAGATATTTTGGAAAGTCTGTGTTGGGCGATGTTCCACAGCGATGCTTCAATTGTGGGCTTCAGAATTTGCGTTTGTGGATTTTCACTTGATGGGTGTTGATCGAGGAGGGTGGGCCCCCGGAGTAGGGCAGACACTCTGCTTTGGAGGACAGGATTCTCGCTGTTTTCAAGCATTGATGTAACTGAATTTGCGATCGTGGAGATCGATGCAGCCCTTTGTTTCATTGCCTGGGTATAGGTCAGCTGCCGTCAGTCTGCTTCCTGGGTGTGGGCTTTTACTTCACGGTAATCAGGGTTGAATATTGCCGGAGCGAGTTTGGCTAGACTTTGAAGATTATCTTTGCCGATTACCTTGATTTGAGGGTTTCTGGTAGCAGCGGAGATAATCATTTTTTGGAGACCAAAATCAAACAGGTTCAAAAATTGTAGCGAAAGGTGGCCAGCAGGCTTCATTTGACGTATGCTCTTCTCGGGGAAAAGACCATTGTCCGCATTGATTTCGGAAGGTTGGTCAAATGGGAGCAATAATTCTTCAATGGTAGGGACGGCGAACGCCGTTACAGAAATTGCCGCGGTCGGGTAGTTGCAACTTGCGAAGCAAAGCTCTGGCTGTAGTTCATATTTAGTGCCAGGTGTGTACCTCAGTTCCTCCGTAAACTGCACTTCCACCTGTTGTGTGGTATCCTGGTTTGCATATTCCAGATGTATGTCAATTGATGCCAGGCAGGATGTCAGGACATCGGACGGGGGATGAGCTTCTGGGGGGCTTCGCAGGATGGGAGGCACATTTTTGTTTTTGGCAGAGACGGGTGTTGTGGCTTTTCGACAAAGTCCAAACGTAAGGGAATCGGTTCCAGGCGTTTCTCGGATGTCGGGTGTATGATGGCTCTTGAGGATAATGTCAAATCCGAGCTCGCGCCAAACCTGTGCCCGATAGCCGTTAGCCGCAAATACATAAAGGCTAAGCAGAATGCTTCTACATACCCCTGACTTGCAAAAGTCCGCCTCCAAACTTGCAATAAACGTAGACCGAGCGATGTCCAATGTGGGGCAAACAGTAACCAAGAGGCGTAGCAGGAGTTCTGGGGCCTCTGTTACCCAGAGGGACTGGAGGTCTTTCCAGTGACGGATACTTATGGATGGCCTTGAATCCATCTGTGTTGAAGACTGAGTGAAGTTTGCCATTGCGCTGAATTGGAGCTGTAACGGCGACTCGGTATTTTGGAACAGGCTCTGCCCTAGGTCGATCTGCTGTGTCATGATGAAGGTCTCGAATCAGACCTGGGCATCTCTGACCTCGCTAGAAGTACCATTTGGTCACAGAAAAAGATGGATTTAGTGAACAGATTTGGATGCTGAAACATCAAAGAATCCGGGGATGATGATAACGTTCTAATTGGGGCCTGAGGCAATGCGCACCACATGATGTCGCGTGTATACACGCAGGCTTTCAACTCATGCGAGAACAATCACCTCAGTTAATTGGAAGGGTGCCCGTTATTCCTGCAGGAGGCTAAAATTTTCCTGGGTTTCCAGGCGAATTCGGTTTGATTGAGCTGGACTTGGTGTGGTATTCGGAAGTATTCGGCAAACAATATATCCACAAGTCGAAATAAGTACATGCCGATAACCTCCGGCATTTTCCACAAAGCACCCTGAAGATTCATGTAGGTATCAATTCCATGAATTGATAAATTGTTTAACACTTTTATCACTTCAAAATTCCTGCTTGATGATATCATCCGGCGTATTTTCCCCTCGGCGTGCATGAGCCGTTGGAAAACGTCCGGTGGAGCCCGCGATCAACAAAGCACCTCTTATCGATAAGCATCACGTGCGGCCGTCATACGCTGGCCTTAAGAGCATTCCATTCCATTCATCTTGGTGCTCACGGTCAACGATGCCCGAAGATGAAGAAGATAATGGCCTCCTGAGTGGTCAGAATGGCGCGCATGAGCTTGAAGCTCAGTCTCTGCTGTCTTCTTCCCCCGAGGAGCAAGACGATCTCATAGTTCGGTCCTCCGCGGCCAGTTCGCCCGTGCCTGCAAGCGGCAACCGCGCGTACGAGAAGCGCCAATCCTCGATATCGCAGCCTACGCCGGAAGGACAACGTCGCACACCTCGCACAATGAACCGAGTACGGTTTGATATAGACGAGGAGGAGGGCGAGGAGGAAGACGAGGAGGACGAGGAGGACGGTCACTATTCGAATGGACATGTCCGCACCCCCGATGGAGATGCGCCATGGTTGGACGACGAAGACTACGAGCTCGGCGAGCAAAGTGGGCTCGGGACACGAAACACAGGGCAGACCGTTCCCTTGCTCACCAACATCGAAGCCCCGAGTGTGACACTCGCAACCTCAGACGACTTTTTCCCCGAGGATCACCTGGAGCACGCGCGGCCAAGGAGTGGAATGAAAATGGCATTCATGAACATGGCAAACAGCATTATTGGGGCCGGAATCATCGGACAGCCGTACGCACTCCGGCAGGCTGGCATGGCAATGGGGATACTGCTGTTAACAGCGTTGACTTTCACGGTGGACTGGACTATCCGCCTGATCGTCATCAATTCAAAGATGAGTGGCGCCGACTCTTTCCAAGCCACTATGCAATATTGCTTCGGGAGGAGTGGCCTGATAGCAATCTCCATTGCACAATGGGCCTTTGCTTTTGGTGGCATGGTTGCTTTTTGCATTATTGTTGGCGATACGATTCCACATGTCCTGGCGGCGTTGTTTCCGTCCCTCCGGGAAATGCCATTCCTATGGCTGCTGACCGATCGACGGGCTGTCATCGTGCTCTTCGTCCTTGGTGTTTCTTATCCCCTCTCATTGTACAGAGACATTGCGAAGGTGAGATTACACTTTCCGTCCTTGCATTGCTCATGATTGACGGGTCCATAGTTGGCGAAAGCGTCCGCGTTGGCGTTGGTCAGCATGATAGTCATCGTGGTTACGGTCATCACGCAGGGATTTCGTGTCCCGGCAGACTCGCGAGGCGAGATTAAAAGTCATCTTATATTCAACACAGGGTTCTTCCAAGCTGTGGGCGTGATATCCTTTGGTACGTTGCTTGGTTCCAAACGTCATTGAATGATATGCTAAAAATCAGCCGCGTGCAGCTTTTGTTTGCCGTAAGTTTGCCTGGAATCTTTGATTATTTAAACACTAATCCTCTCCCAGACCATAACAGTCTTTTGATCTACGGATCGTTAAAGAAACCCACGCTCGACCGCTTCACAACAGTTACACACTACTCGACGGGAGTCTCGTTGGTCATGTGTCTAGCCATGGGCATTGCCGGATTTCTATCCTTCGGCTCGAAGACCCAGGGGAATGTGCTCAATAACTTCCCGTCCGACAACATCCTGGTCAACATTGCTCGATTGTAGGAGCTGCCCTCTCTTTCCATGTGTTTTCCCCTGCTAACAGAGGCCAGTTGCTTTGGTCTGAACATGCTGACTACGCTCCCACTGGAGGCCTTTGTCTGCCGCTCAGTTATGACAACCTACTACTTCCCAGACGAACCTTATAACCCCCATCGACACTTGATCTTCACCACCGCTTTGGTCGTTTCCTCAATGATTTTATCATTAATTACATGTGATCTCGGCAGTGTGTTCGAGCTGATTGGAGCAACCAGTGCTGCGGCCCTTGCGTATATCTTCCCTCCTCTTTGCTACATCAAACTCAGCAGTGCCACCCGGCGCGAAAAGATACCAGCCTATGTGTGTGTCGTTTTCGGACTCGTCGTCATGGGGGTAAGCGTGGTGCAGGCGGTTGCCAAGATCATTCGAAGTAGGTTCCCTGGGTCTTCTTTCCGTCGGAGACTGTCTAAGGAAACAATTGGGTGCTAACATTGTCCTCCAGATGACGGCGAAGGTCGTACTTGCGATGCTTATTGATATACTTATCCATGCAGATATCTAGCGATTATCCATAGAATCTAACTCCCTTGAACTGATTGCATCACTTTGTATATACATTGCATAGGTACAAACGGAGCCTACATAGCCGAATGACACTTCTTTGGCTTGTTGACTTGTTAGAAATTCTAGCTAAATTTCGCGATATCCGGGGAAAACCTCACGATCGCTCATCGCGGTTGGATCCTACCTTTTGGAGGGATCTTTTGGGAAATTTATCTCGCGTCACATGCACAAACAAATAAGATTGCAGTCTTCTAATTCCCCCCCCTTCCTGATGTGTCAATGTCAATTCTGATGGGCAGAAATATCCCTCTACCACCTGTTGCCTCTGGTGCCTGCTGGGCAATCACGCGTGCACGTATTTAATCCTGTTTACCTTCTGATTTGTGCACTTTCCGACCTCAACCTTTCCCCGTCCTATGTTCCCCGTCTTTTCCCTCCCTGCCCCATACTTTCCACATATCCTTCCACAATCCCTGAATTCACTACTTCTCCTTGAACCACTCATCGTGATTTCATTTCGGTCACCCCAGCACGCGGATGCCAGAGATCTGCTTCCTCCTTTCTGTCTGGTGTTCTGGAGACCTGCCGGCTGCACCCTCAACCAGAGCACTCTTCTCGGAACTTTCATACTCAGATCGTCCCTCCTCATCCTACTTGCTTCCTTTCTCGCTGTCATTTGCTGCAAGCTTCACAAACCCGTCTAATTGCTTACTCCTCTACCCCTTTGTACCCAGCTCTCTTCGGGACGCGGCTTCGCGATGTGTCCCGACGATGAGCAGAAGGGGAGCCCTGACGAGGAACGACTGAAGGCGCTCCAAATGGTGAAAACACCCTAGCCCCTGTTGCTCCATTCCCTTCTGGTTCAGCCTGATTCCGTGAAATTCCATGCTGATTGTCTTCACAGGCGGATTTAGGTACCGCCCGACGCGAATACCTTTCCACCACAGGTGATGATAGGGATCGAATCTATGCTGAGATGGATGATATCGAACGCCACCGGCAGTCGAACATTGCTGGCACAATCGAAGGGAAGAGGGCACAGGAGACAAGACCCCTATTGAATGCGTGGACAAGTACACATAGGATTGAAGCACTCCTCTCCTCCTGGGCTTTTTGCTAAGAATATATACCAGACCTTCACAAGACTGTGGCGGATACGAGGGGGCTGGAGCAGTTGGATGATCTCATGCATGGCCAGACCCATCGCGCTCATCTCAGTGCAACACTGCGTGACCGTGGCGAAGCCCGGCAGCATGGGCACGCCAGAGCTCTAAGCAATGCAAAGAATGACCATCTGCGTTCTATCAAATCCTCAGGCCGTGGCGGTGGTGGTGTGATTCCAATTGGCCCTCGAGGCTATAGCCGAGGATCGCCAGCCAGGTGAGCATTGACAACTCCCATGATGTTGAATCATATTACTTACCAGGTACAAGACAACCGCATGTTGAAATCTACGGCCATGGCCCGCCTGCACCGTCCAGACAAGATCCCGCACTCGACATCAACAATCCAGGTTCGACTCCGGCAAGAGGCCGGGCCGCATATCGCGGCAAACGCCAGAGTGACCCCTATGTTCCTCAGACGGCGAAAGCGCCGCTACCCAAACCGAGAAGACCTGGGCCTATGTGAGCCTTTCTTCCGTCAGACCTCCAATTCATCTGTAAACTGACGGTGGATAAATTAGTGAGAATTATGCCAGAAACCTTACCACTCCTGCAGCCTTTATGGCATCAGCTCGGGCCTCATTCGGTTCGTCGCCAGTTTCGTCGGAGGCGCCGTCCAGTCCAAATACGAAGGCCGTGCCTAATGTACAAAAGCCTCAGCGAGGCCCCGAACCTTCCTTTGCGCCAGAGATCAAGATCCTGGAACCGTGCTTTGCAACAAAGACTTCCCTTGCCAATTCAAAATTTGCCGATCCTGCGGCACCAACTCGTCCTGCGGCACCCACTCGTCCTGCGCGTACCATCATTAAGCCTCCGAAGTCTCTAAGTCCTCCAGCGCACTTTGTTGCCTTAGAGAAGACTGTCGCTTTCACTGGTCGTGCGACGGCCGATAAACCCCAGCCTGTTACAACAGCGTCCAGTCCCCAGACCGCTCAACCCAAAGCAACAGTATCGGTACCGATAAGCTTGCGGAAAGCGGAGTTGCCCTCTTCTGAGTCATTCATGCCCGCGACTCCAGCAAATGCATCCCTCCCCAAACTGGAGGCTGTGCAAAACTCCGAAAATGATGAACAGCAGGTGGAGACGAGTGAGCATAGCGCAAGCGGGATTCTCTTGGATATCGATCAAACAGCCGAAGAAAACGCGGGGCTTACAATGCGAGACCTGCTGTTCTTTAGCCCAGGCATTGCAGATCTGACTGGAATTGACTTTCCAAAGCAGGAAGATACCAAGCCTTTGACAACTGCACCCGCTCATCAAGAGGGATCAAAGTCTTCGCTCCTCCGCGCACAAATTCACGGTTCGATTTACCATGACCCCCAATTGCTCTGGACGCTCATTAAACTAATGGAAACAGCAAATATCGCGAAGGAACTCCTAAAAATGCTGGGCGACAGTTCAGAGAATGTTCAGACCTACGTAAAGAAACATGAAAATGACTTTCAAGACCAGGAAGTCTCTGAATCCCCCCAACCCAGGGCCGGAGTGCTGTCCAACTTGGAAATCCAGAGTCAAGTTGATCTTGACACCATCTCAAAGCGTGTTGCTGAACAGGTTGAACAATGGCTGAAGGAAAATCCGGCAGTTTTGGGGGATCAAGAGCGCGCTTGGCCACAGACAGAGCCTACATCTCCCGCCCCTGGACCGGACCAGCACAGCAAGACTGGCAGCTTTGATAACTATCGCACTCCAGAACACAGTGACTCGGGTACTGTGACCGAGTCTTCAAGTGAGAAGCAGCGCAAGATGGATGCATCACTTTTGTCTCCCAAGAAGATTGCTTTCGAATATGCACCGACGACCGAGTTCGAATCGTTGAGAGTTTCTGAGCCCAGACAGATCCAGAACACTTCGAAGGAACATCAATCGCGCAAGGGAGCTAATCCAAACTTGACAAAGGAGGTGGCTACCCAGTCTATTGTCAATGTCCCAACATTGAGATCGATGGATAGCTCAATATTCGCGGTTCCTCTAAATATGATCCATCAATACGATCAGACTAAGGTAATTGGAGTTTCACCTTCTCTTCCTAGGAATTATGTGGCCACTGGAGGGATCGCGATCACAACCAGTCTTGCACATGGTCATTCATCAACTGAACTCCCCTTGGAAAACACGGCTCACAATGCCAAGCCTCGAGCCAATGGTCCTCAAACTACAAACCTGAGCATCTCCAAAGCTTCAAAGGATGCTTTACCCCCCTGGAATACTGATCGAAGTGAAAATCCAAGCAAAGCCATGTCTGAGACGCAGAGGTGCGCACTGGCGCAAAGCAGCTCGAACATTCCGAAGGAAAGTTCCGAGAAAGGCAGCACTCACACACTTAGGCCCAGATCACTGCAGGAACAGAAGGAGAAAAAACCTCGAGCTGTTTCTGAAAGCATGGCACAAAGCAAATGGAATAATACTGACGAAGGCCTTTCGAAAGTTGAGCAACCCTCAAAGGCAAGTAACTTTACAAATGTGCGCTAGTTTTAGAAGCATAATCTGATGAATCACAGCCGCCAGAGCCTCCTCACAAACAATCCGCACCGTCGCGTCATTCACTCGTACAGTCAGCCCGCACGGAGAACGAAATGACTCCGAAAGTGCGATTTATAGGCCCAGCTCCCTACATGCCTCGTCGTAAATGAGCCAACCCTCAGCAATGCTACAAATCTTCCTTCATTTCTCGACGTTTTCATGGTCGTTATCACCGACCAGTGCCTTCCACGTTCAATCTTGACATTGTCTTAATGTGGAGCATCTATCTTATGACCTCTCTGCAAAATCGGCTACCCTTTTCGGAGTGGGATATTTCCACGGCGCGCTTCATTTTTGAGGCAATTCTGGATCCTCGGTGTTTGAGTGTAATCACTTTTGTTTCTCTGCATATGAAGAGGGCTCGAAATCGTGTATTCTTAAAGCTTAATTGAAAAAAAAAATATCCCCATTTTTTTACTTGAACTACGCGGAAGTCCTTATACGTCCTTGGGGTGGTGGTTGAGTCTAGGAAATTCAGGGGCATGATGTAAAACTTGTTCGCAAACCGACATACAGTCATTCTCGAAATCGGCTTGACCAAATACACACTTGGTCACTCGCAGAATATTATAATATAAAGAAGTAAATGTGTCAAAACTTTTGATATTATTAGAGCCTGATAATCGGGTTTTATATGTTTTTCTCCATTTCCACTATTTACGCCTTATTTTGGAGTGTGCCTTTAAGAGGTCATTTCGAATGAGGGAGGCGAGAGGAGGCGGGAATAGACTGAAATACTCTCACACAATTGGGTCAGAGTTCCATGGAATGGAGAGCTGGGTGATTCACAGGCTCACGGCGAGGCCTTGACCTATTTGCGCCTCCTTCAAGGAAGCGAATTTCCTCAACGGACGCCAAGAATACTACAGAGACGATTGATCGAACTGGGGGACCGAGGAAACATCGACAAGGAAGCTATTTGACGGTGACCTAGCCCACCCATTTACTTACCTCGAGGTTGATATCCCCGCTAATGCGCCTAAAATTGCCCGTGGGTGTACTATACCGTGGGGAGGTTATGCACAATAGAGAAGTTATCACAACAAGTGGCTTGATTTTTGACAGGCTTTGGTGCGATAGGTTTCCTTGACTAGGAACGCCCTGAATGACTCGTGTACAATTTCGATCTCGCTGATTTTTCCTTTCATTGAAATCTCACCTTTTTCTTTCCTGCTTTTCTTTTGGCACCTAGGCTACCAATGAGATAAAAGAGGGTTTGGCAGAACCGATGGTGGAGAAACATACGCTTAACTGGGAAAGAGCCTACTGTAGCTGCAGGCGTTGATGATCGAGTAGAACGGCCCGATCGGCCAAGAGGCTGAGCCGGGTTAGGGCTGGTAGCTGGGACAGTGGGTTGTGTGTAGCCCGGTAAGTTGGCAGTTTTTTTTAGGAATTCAGCGATCGCTTGACGTAGCGATGGACGATGAATTGGCCAATCGACCGGGTAAGGGTCAGAATGACGAGGGAGTGATGATCGGGGATGATGTTTGATGAGGTAGTCGATCCGACGATGGGTGTCGTGATCAATTTCCGACGAAAAAGGAAGGCGCGGCCCGTCGTCCTGACGCGCGCGGCGGTAATTGGCAAGCTGGCGGGCAAGTTCACTTGCACGCTGGAGACTCGGCGCCATGAGCTTTTGAGGCTATCAGGTGTCCAGCTTGTAATGTCCGCAGGAAGTCGAGCGATCGGATTGGATCACAGGAGGTTCCTGGTTGGCCAGGGCGCTTGAGTGGAGATGGGTGGAGGGAAACGCTGAGTGGCCGGTGCTGCAGTACTGCAGTGACCGTGCCACCACCATGAGTGTGCGGTCAAATCGATCCAGGTTCTCAGGGGCCTCGGGAGTGATTAAAGTCTTGTCAAGTACTAGACAAACACACTCAGAAGGTTCTTCTGGAAAGAATAAAAGGGGTTTGCTACCACTTGGTAGTGTAAGCTATTGTGATGAGTGGTAAAATAGATGATATTCCCATCTGAGAAGGAAACTACTGATGCCCGTAGACGGGGAGCGTGACATAAGCATGGGAGTGTAAGTTAGTGTCACAGACAAAAGAGGCTAAATCCTAGGCAAAATGACAACTAGACCAAAAATGCACTATAGACAACATTCTTAGTCTATACCGTCATTTATTGCTCTGACAGTTAGTCATGCGGTACAGGATGTCTCGAAACTACTGTGTAAGTGGTGACACCAGTTTCGAGACCACCTGGAACTAACACTACTATCTATTACGTTCCATTCTATGGTAATATGGCATAGACTCAAGTATGGATATACTAGTTTGCATACTCACAAAAGTATATATACTTACCTTTCAAAGAAATCCCCTTGACCTTGACGTAAGTAGGTTATGTGGTGGGGTTTATCCACACGTGGGGCTCGGCTTGGTAGAACGCCCCACCCAATTTGGCACGGGCGATTGGAGCTAGTGGTTCTGCTCACGAGGGTAATTTCAGCACAGCTGGAATCAGGTGATTTGCGGCGAGCAAACAACCGCATGTCATCCTCAACAGCCCCTAGTATCATCCATGATCCACGATGGCTGATCTACCAACGCTAGTCTTCGTACATGGCTCTTGGCATAGGCCTAATTGCTATGACAAAGTCACCCGACTCCTGCAAGAGCAGCATGGGTTCAAATGTGTCTCAATGACCCTCCCCTCGACGGCCGGGAACCCGGCTGCGACCTACAAAGATGATCTCGATGTTGTCCGCGAAGCTATATCCACCGAGACCACCCACGGGCGCAACGTGGTAGTTATTGCACACTCCTATGGAGGCATGGTTGGCGGCAGCGCTATCAAGGGGTTCGCGCAGCCACACGCACCCACTACACGGGAAACCCAGCCCCCGACAACGGGATACGTCATCGGCCTCATCCTAATCGCCTCCGGCTTTAGTCTAGCGGGCTTCTCTTTTATGGACCCGTTCTTTGGCCATCCGCCTCCTTCCTGGCGCGTCAATAGCGAGACTGGCTTTGCCGAGCTTGTCACTCCTCCACGGGAGCTCTTTTATCATGACTTGCCAGCAGAAGAGGCGGAATACTGGGTTTCTCAACTTACTACGCAGAGCCTCAAAGCATTGTTCGAGGGCGGTGAACACTCATATACTGGTTGGAAAGATGTTCCGGTCTTATATATTGGCACCATCGAGGATCGGGGCTTGCCAGTGTTGGCGCAACGGTTAGGGGTGGGCATGGCGCGAGAAATGGGCGGCAGCGTGGAGCACAGGGAGCTGCGGACCAGCCATTCTCCCTTTTTGAGCCAACCAGAGGCAACGGCGGGAATCATGCTAGAGGCTGTGAAGGCGTTTACGGACAAGTCCGAGGAAACCGAGTCCCCAATGAGCGTACGTGGAAATGCGCCAGCAGTGCCGATAGTAGTGCCGAAAGTTATGCTCTGGCAGCCTTCCACATGGTTGAGGTTTGGACTGCCGCTGGGCTTTGGTCATGTATTAGGAAGGTGTTTTATCCTAGTTAATTGGGTACGGGGGTTATGGAGGCCTCGACGTATTTAAACGCAGTATATAGCATTGATTAAGCACAGGTTCTAAGCAAAGTGAGCACAGGCTTTGCAAATAATCCAGGCCTCCAAATGTTTTTCATGTATGCATCGACAGTTTGCGATTGCGGCGGCAAGGTTATATAATCCATCGGCTGCGAACACATCATTCTATGAAAGGATCCGCAACTCGCTTCGGTGATTTCGCACCGGGAATGTCATCAGCAAGGACGTCAAGATTGAGGCTTTCTGGCGCTGAGACCACCCGATTCTTTCTTCAGTGCGTATGAGAAGTCTCTCGAGCAAGTAAATCTACAAGGACAACCGCAATAAAGCTATAAATTATCCCAACCTCTTGACTGCTAGGATCGAATCGAGCCCCGCCTGACAAGACCTTGCAGTAAGGTGATAATCAGGAATGTCCTAGTCATATTCAATCTCCGTTTTCCCAATTTCTTTCCCATCTGATCCGGTCAACTTGAATTCCAGAAGTCCTTTATCTGCGAACATGTCAGCCTGGATGCTGTACTCGAGGTGGTACATTGTGCGACCCGAGCTGTCGATCTTCGACTGGAATCTGGAAAGGTCGCTCAGAGAGAAGGAATAACGAATGGTGCCCACGGAACGACAGACTGCTCATGTTTTCTATGTTAACCAAGACCACAAAAGTCGGTATTGTGTACGTACCACCTGCTTCATACCACTCGGGTGCAGTGGTTTCGTCACATGTATACACATCAAACGAAAAGCTTAAGCTATCCCCGTAGTGATGTATCTGGCGAAGCGGAAGCGGGTTGCGAGTTTCCTCGGAGATAGGTTTGCCCTGGTGGTCACTCTTAGTCCGACTATAAAGCAGAAAGTCTGGAGAGGATGAGGGGACTTGAAATACCTTTTCGATCAACCATCTCATCCGATCGTGGCAGTACTTGCTCCTCCCATCCCAAGGCCAAATATAGGCTCTGCTTTCCGGATCAAAATTCTCGCGGAACGGGGTATCTATCTTAAATCCGTAGTGAAGTCGACATAGTCGCTTTTCTGGTCGGATGCCGTTCAGGCCTCGGAGAGCAGCACCTTTTACAATGCTTGCTTGTCTGTATTTTCGTAAGTTTCCCTGTCGGATGATTTGGGTTCTCTCTCCATGTAGGATGCTTACGGGTTCTCTGGACACAAGAGATCGATGCCTTGTCTCCCACACCAGTTGCGCAGAATGCTCTCAAGGTGTCGGGAGTCTCCAAATCCACCGACGAGGACAACTTTCTGTGACGCCACAAAGGATGAGACATGTTTTCTAAGTCTTCTGCATGGATTATATGGATGATTCTTACCTTGATTGACGCACGAGATTTTTCTCGGAGTTGACGAACTTGCTTGGTCAACAAAGCCTCGATCTGGTCTGTGACCGGCTTGAAGAAAGATTCCATTTCAGACCTCAATGAATGTCAGCCATATGCCTTGAATATCTCTGAGCGTAAGTCGATACCGGCCGAACAACACCATGCTATTTTCCGAGTCATAGTGTGCCGAGTCCCATGCACCAGGTATCACAAGTTCAACCTCAAAGGTTTGATCCGAGTGATTCATGGCCCCGAAGTCGCGTTTGTGACCTTCAAAGTCCTTCATGAAGCGACTACCTGGTCCTTTTTTCTCGAACTTGATCTTCTCAAATCCCTCGCCAAACATCTTCAACATCCACTTGTGAAATTCACGATCAATGTAAGTTGATCCACACTTGTCCCCAGTGCCGACCAGAAGCTCTTCGAATCGAAGGTCCGGTCTAACCTGCTTAATCAGATAAGTGACAATGTCAACTGTGCCTCCACCACAATCACAAATCAGAATCCCATCGCCAACACTGATCCCTATATGACGCTCATCTTTAGCCATGGCGCTCAAAGTGGCCACGGCGGCTGCCTCCGGCTCGGGTATCATCGAAATGGAGTCCCCAATGCGAGTGCCAAATCCTGCGGTATACGCGGCCTGGTACGTTTCATTTTTGGCCTTGTCAGACCAAATCGCTGGAACAGTAAACCAGAACTCCAATGCGGTAACGTTCATGATTGCACTGGTGTTGTGCTTTTCAAGATGGGCGTATGTGTAGTTATAGATCTCTCGTAGATAGTCGGAACACACGTCTCGGGCGGATGTTTTGAACTCTGGGATCTTCATCAGTCCATCGCCCTCGAGGACATCCGTCTTGGTAGCAAAGGGTCGGAGCAAAGGCCGTTCCGGATCCAGCAGCAGTTTTGTCCAAGAGTAAGACTTCATTCCAGGCTTCACCTGGTAGCCCCACTTGATGTTGTTTCCCTCGATGGAGTTTTGGTTCTCCTGGCCATAAGCAATACGCGACGGCGTTTTCCATGTCTCATCTTGTTCCCTGCTGGGTCCAGGCCAAGTGCGAATCACGTTGATGTCCTCGATGGCCTTTTTGGTAGAATCAACATAGCTGACACCTGCGTCCTGATGAGCTAAAATGTATCTAGTTTGAGGGGGAGAGGCTCTTACCAGTAAATGTGGTGCCAAAATCGACGCCGACGATGATCTTATGGAGGTGTTTTGAATTCACCGAGACGATCTGATTTGCTCGCGAGGGGCCTCGATATGGACTGTTTGAGCCCATGGTGGAAAAGAAAAAGGGTTCCCCCTCGGTTGTCGAACAGTGAATCACTCTTCCACTTCAGTCTCTTATACGTCTGACGCCAGGAGCCCAACCCACCCACATTGCTTTTTTGCTTTTGCCCGGCCTTTCTTCCTCTTTTGCATGGCCACAGCGCCTATCATCGATCATCTGTATGTCAGCCTCATGATCCCTGCTGAACTATTGGCCATTTTACGAGAATTCCGCCTCGGAATTAGCCTCACCTATCGTGATGGCCGCAGGCCGAGCGGGGCGCTCAACCTGAAATCCCTCCCTGCAAGTCTGCAGGGTTTCTCGGATCATGCCAACCTGGGCTGAACGGGCAAGCCGAAGCGTCTATATCTGGTCTTGGATTGGCTGTTCTCTCTTACAAGTTATTTTCTTCCGTTGGAAAGGGTATTTATTCCCCGTAATCAACCCCCAACGGATCAGCCAACATTCTACAATAAGACCAGCAGCCTGCTATCAACCTGCAAGATATCACAGCATCATGTCGCAGTACATTGGCCTTGGCCTCAACCGAAGCAACTCGAATAGATTTGCGGATCGATCAACATCTACCCTCAAGGGGGTGGATCGGCGCATCAAGGGCCTAGAGCAGCAAATCAATATCAAGGACCGACAGTTGGAAGAGCAAAACGCCGAGCTGTTAAGGAGGGCGACTGATCTGGAGCGAAAACATCTCGAGATTCAAGAGCTCTCACAGTATGCTAAAAAGTGGGACGAGTTCAAGGCCTTCATGGACACGGCTCTTGCAAGCACCACGGCCATCGAGAACCGGACCCTGAGAAGTGACATGGACAACCTCCATGCAAAATATCGGGTCCTACAAAAGCGCCTGAAGCAAGCCGAAGACGACCTACAAGAGGCCCATGTGGAACAGGCCAAAGCAGCTGAATCACTCCGGGACGTCCAGGCCAGCGCATTCCGCTTCCAGGACCAACCGGAGTGGGCTCGGGAATCAGACGAGGCTATTCGCGCAAAGTTAACCAATTTGGAGCGTGAAGCCCGAGGATGGTGCAGTCGCAATTCTGTTCAGGCGCTTTCTACCATCCGGGCATCCCCTGCACAACTGGAAACTGATTGGCAGCACGTCATGCGCTTTGACGAAGAGACATTCACCCGCAATGATGAACACCTGCCACGTCTGCTTCTGTCTGCCTTGTTGATGGACTATATTTACAGTCGCATCTTCGCCAAGCCGTTGTTCTTTCTCCGCTGGCGTGTCGCACCAGAGGAGCCCTCCTCCGCCGTGGCTGGGCCCGGGCGCCAACTACACGAACCACTCGCAGGGATGCTGGATGAAATGACCCAGGGTGAGTCACGTTGTGCCAGGGCGAGACCGGCTCAGTCCTTCTAAAATCTTATCTGCAGGGAACCTGGAGGGCAGTCATGCCTGGCGCGCTCACCTGTTAAGGCTGTTGGACCCCAACCCGCGCAGCGATCAGCCCGAGCGCCCGTTCCTCGAAGCAACCAAAAGGCGCACCGAGGAGGCTCGTGAAAAGGCAGCCAGCCAGATCATGCATGATTTCTTGGGCTCCTCCGCGGCATTCCTGTTGAACCCCAGCCCCATCGACGGACGCACATTGGCGGAGCTGCAGCATGTCTTCAGCACAGCCGCTCACCTCGCCTACAAACTATGGCTGCGAAAAAGCTATCTCTCCTGTACCTCGATTGAGAGTATCCCAGTGTACCGACATGATCTCCAGCTCAAGGCCCACTCCCTGCACAATGTCCAGTTAGACGCCAACGAGAAGGCCTTGGATGGTGTGCCCGTGCGCATCGTCACGCATCCAGGGGTTCTGGTGACTGGCAACAGCGATGGATCCAACTATGACGTGTGTCGTGTTTGGAAAGAGCCTGTGGTGTGGATGGGTTAGAGTCGGGGCGCAGCGTGCTGCATCGCCGCTGCATCTGTCTTATTGTCATATGCCGTGCACGCTTCGGGAAGCCAATGGATCCTGTATTTTCTTTTTTCTTGGCGCTCGCCTGAGTGGCTAGGATGCACGTAAGCAAGCAACCCGGGCGCTAGATGCCGTAAAATAGCCTCCTCACCCGGGCAAGAACGGGCCCTGGCCGAATTTGCAGATGCCCCATGGGGTACGGGAGATGGGAGGAAAGGGGGTGCGTCGAGTCCTCTCCGCTCTTCTTAAGTAGTTACCGTTGTAGAACCATTCCCATCAGGGGGCAATAACCAGCTATCTCCTCCACCGCCGCTTTCGGGCCCTTAGCACTTATTTCCTGTGTTTCCTTTTCTTCATCATTCCTTCTTGAAGATGACAGCGGAGCCGATTTCCGAGGTCATTCCCACTGCGCCCTGGGTCCTCATTGCCGTGATGGGCGTGACGGGTGCCGGGAAAAGCACATTCATCCAGACCGTAAGCCAGTCCACCGATGTTGTCATCGGACATGGCCTGGAATCATGTATCACTCCACTTCTTCGCATATGTTCTGGCAGTGGCTAATATTTGCCTCGATAGGCACGAGCGAGATTACTGGCCATACCTTCCACTACAAAGGTTACAACATCAACCTCATCGATACACCCGGCTTTAACGACACTCACAAGAGCGAGACGGAGGTCTTGAAGGACATTGCGGAGTGGCTACAAGTCTCATACGAGAAGGACCAACGACTCCACGGTGTGATCTATCTACACAGTGTGAACAATGTCCGGATGGAAGGCTCCGCCCTTCGTAACCTTCGAATGTTCCAGCAACTGTGCGGCGAAGAGCCCCTGAAGAATGTGATTCTCGGCACCACCTTCTGGGGTAAGGTCGATCAGAAGACGGGAGAAGATCGAGAGGCGGAGCTTCAGGAGCGACCGGAGTTCTGGGGGAAGATGCTTCAACGGGGTTCACACATGATGCGGTTGACCGATCGGGTGTCTGCGCTCCAGATGGTGGATCACTTTTTGGGCCGTAAACCCGTTCCACTGGAAATCCAACGAGAGATGGTGGAGCAAGATAAACGCTTGATCGAGACGGCCGCAGGTAAATCCGTCAATGCAGAGCTTCAGCGGCTGGAAAAGCTCCATAAGAAGGAACTGGCCCAGATTCGCGACGACTACAAGGCCGCGCTGGAAGAAAAGGACCACGAGCTTCAACAGCTCCTGGCCCAGCATCAGGAGAAGCATGACCGGGATCTGGAGCGCGTGTATCGCCAACAGGAACAGTTGCGGGCGGAGCGTCGAGCCGAGGATCGAAAGAGACAACATGAGTTTGAGGTACACTTCAAACGGCTCGAGGATCTCAGCCAGGGCCAGGGGCAAAGCATAGATTGGGAGAGGCAGTCTGCTGAGCTGCAGGAGATGAGCTTCAACGAGCTGGTTGGGAAGATTCGTGCGAATGAGATCAAGATCACGGCGGAGGATCGCGACCGGGTGGAAGAGGTCATCGCACAAGTGCAGAAAAGGTCAGAACTCAAAAGCTCATCCGGTCGGAAACGGAGAGGTACCGCCAAGTTTTTGTTAGCTGCGTTGAAAGTCATTCTCCCGGTGGCGACCATGGGCTTTCTTGGTGTACCCATTCCATTCCCGTTTGACTTTGGGTTGAGCGATGACTGATTATGAGGTCGATTAGCATATAATTCCACGTACTGACGCCCTGAGATGGTATCAAGCCCGGGCTCATGACAATTTGACGTGCAAAGTAGGATATCACCCCGATTCTCAACGCCGACGGTAGCTCCGAAGGTTGCCCTATTTTGGACTCGGTGCGGCTCTAATCGAAGGGACTGCGGGGCCCTCACTCTGCACTAGCGATTCGGCTATCCACTCCAAGCCCGGATCAGCGTTCTCCACCATCATTTTGGGTGTACAGCAGGAAATTCACCTTTTACCGTGGATCACTTTGGTAGAACAGGGTCAACCCCGTCCCCCGTCCCGAATGGAAGCCCAAGATACTTCCTGTCAAGATGGTCTGATCATTTCGATTGGTCGGTATGCCTGAACAGTCAGGGTGATTAGTCAAATATGCATTTTCATTGACGATATAGATATAGTTTACCTGTGAGCAGATTTCTTCAGGTCAACAGTGGGGCTGTGATGCGTTGCACGTCTGAAATGTTGAACGATTCTTCTGGGTACTTTGAGTACCGTCCTGCGGGCTTCGTCTTGGGTGATGGGACCGTTTAAGGTGGGGTGACTTATGCCGTGCAGATGACCAAAACAAGTAATCAGTGTGGAAGCAAAGGCTGGATGGTAGTTGACCAGGGAATTCCAGTGAGCGGTGAGGGCAAAGACAACGATCGGAGTCCTCACGTTGAGAGTGGCGCTGCCATGACAGGTCTGCTCGCCTTCAAAAGTACTGGGGACACAAACACAAGTACGGACTTTTGTTCGGCCTTTTGTCTTCTCGGGCTAGAACGGGCATAAGTACCAATCTCTCTCTCTTCGCAGGATGTTCCCACCGATTTTGACGACTTTTGGCACGCCACTAGGACAGGGTAGTTGGCCTGGTTCCCGTCCGTCCAGGCCCGATGTCTCTCGTGATTGCCCGGATGCAGAGAACAAACCCGATTCGCAGTGCCGCGGCCTCAGAGTCGGTTCGTGATATACTGTAGCCCCAAAGTCTAAAGTGCCGATAAGGATACGTAAAACTGATTGCCGCGCATCGTAAACGGGGGAAGGCCAATCCTTCCTTCGGGACGGCCGGATTTCCAGTCGCCAACTACAGCGTCAGCTGACGCAACACGTGGCCGGTGCTCAAGACGAACACGATCACTGCAGTAGCAGAGGCCAACTATTGGACAGTCACGCCATTCTGGCGCTGCAGCGTCCGGGGAATACGGGCCGGCGGCCCCAAAGTACGAGGGTAGAAGCCACAAGAACCATTATCCTTGTACCAAAAACACCATCCAGGATAACCAACTCCACCCGATCCTGGTTGATATGATGTGAAGGGCGAGGGCAGGTGTCATCTCGTCATCTCTGTAGATCACCGCTTGTTTGGACCGAATTGGATGTGTCCCGCAGTATCCGGGAGGCAAAAAGCGAAAGTACCAGCGTCCCAAGGCATCGCGCAAGGCTGATAGGTCCGGTAGGCCTCACCCAGAGTTCTTTTCCGCACGGCCCGGCCCAGGTGGGATCCAGATTCACTAGTGCCAGATGTCGGAGCTGCGCATCATGTTATGCAAGTCGAGGGTCGCAGGGTCCAGATCATGGAGAGTACGGTAATTACACGGTCCATACTCCGGACAGAATTACCGGAGCCCCCGTTGCTATGGACGAGGGCACTCCCAGTCGTTCCCCCTTTTCATTCTTAACCTGCAATGCGCCGATCTTGCTCGTACTAGTAGGAGGGTAAGACACATGTAGCTCATGGCCCATGGCCCATGGCCCATGGCCAGCTGGCATCCCGATAGTGAGGATGGTGCACCGGCGATCATAAATAGTGCAAAAATGATGCATAGATGGAGTCCACTCATCTGCCAGGCTGGAGATCAATGCGTCTTGCGAATAATGGACTAATTTCCGGGGTGGTTGGGTGGGGTGGGGTGGAAGCCCCACGGCTCCTGTGTGGCGTCAGGGATATACTGCGCTCTAATGCGCAAAGAAAAAGCAATACAAGGGAAAGGGGGCAGGCGGTTGTACCAAAGACAAAGAATAGTCGGGGTGGACGTGTTTCAGGGGGGAGTCTGCAGGAACTTGCATGGTTCCCGAAACGCCTTCGGCTGTCTGACTGACAGGCTGGCATCTGGCCCTGCATCCCTCGTTCACCTTCGTGACCAGTGCCTTCGTTGGCGCTGCCTCCAAGGCCACTCGGCGTCTGTTCCGCCCTCCGAGTAGGGGCTGTTGGACTCTATATGGGGCTACGATTAGGTCTAGGCGAGTAACCTCTCTCCCTTTCACGCCGTTTTGTAAACCAAGTGCCCACGTGCAGTCCCTTGATCGGTTCGCAAGCTTCATAACGTAGGGCAACCACTTCGGAGAAAAGGTAAATATGTGGGCATAAAAGTTAGGGCTATGCATGACTGTCCGGCCCGGCCGTAATAACAGTTAAACTCGGTTTGGGCAACTACTGAAGCGGTAATCTAGACCGGAAAAAGCGGTCAGTGGTTCAACGCGATCCAGCGATCCAGCGGGAGCTCGGGGTCTCGGGGACTATGCTGATCCTGCCTCTCATCGTCTTCGTGTGAAGCATGTCACCGGACCCTCCGATACTGTGAGACTTCGCGTTTCCCGGTTAGGGTAGGTTGATGGACAGCATCGGGGATGCAGGCAAGCCGACAAAGATACGAAAGTGCCGTTGGGGCCCACTGGCCAGCACGAGATCCTCATGGACCGCCGGCGGAACGATCCCTATTCGGTTTTGCGCTAGGTTCCATCATGTCGGTACTGATAGCACGAGTACCTGCTATGCTGATTGGCCGCGGATCCTGGTTGTTTCCGACTGTTAAATGCCTCTCTTCCAACCACATAATACGTCAGAATCCTATCTATCCGGTGGGGAGAGATGACCTCCGATCAAATTTTCCAGGATTTACACTCCTCAGCATGTTGAGGAGCTGGGACTCAAAGAAGGGGGTCAGTGCGGTCGGAACGAACTAGTAGCAATGTGTGCAGCACCTCGAACAGGCGGCGCAGCGTGTCGGGCACCTGGTGCCTGGCAGGTAGAGGAGCCGGCCCACAGGTCGGTTCAAAGAACCTGGTTTGTTCCGAAGCAGAGCGCGGAGGGCCGCGCCAGTTACAGAATCATGCCAGCACTGGTGGACCAGGTGAGCTAAAGGACTCAGCTTCCGTCGACTCTGAGAAAGGCTCGAGCCCGGAGACGGGGAACGCAGCGACTGCACCCATCGGTTGATAATAAAATCTTCCAATGCGCTGATGCATAAACAATCTTATTCTGTACTCCATACTTCCTTCTATTGGTCGCGGCCTTGGTTTCCCATGCAACCGCCTACATCCGAACCGTCCGTCCCTAGAAGAGCAATTAGACTTTCGCCCTGCTTCTAGATCTTCGGATATGGAACCCTGTTTTTTTCCCGCGGATCGTTCTGTGTGACTCCCCCGACGACGCAATGGACATTTCTTGCCCATGTCGGAAATTCCCCCCCCCCCCAATGAGCTACACACCCGCACGAAGGTTTAACCGTATACTTGGGAACTAGGCAGCCAGTCCCCCGTTGCTCCTGGCTGCACCCTGTCAATGTCACAAATTAGGGCTTTTTTCTCCGGATTGAAAATACCCGATTTGGCGATCCCGATACTTGGGTTAGTCTGCGCCCGGGGCCTCGTCCCATTTATACAACAAACAATAGGTGAAAATAAAATGCTTTTGTTTTAGACCCAGGGAACGGTAAATATCAATGGTAGGACAACACTTCAGCCAGGTAGCGTGTGAATTATACTGTAACTCCTGCCTATATCTCGGGGGATACTATCAGAGCTCAAGTCAGAGGAATGCATTCAAATACCCCCCAGCCTGGCACATAAAACTCCTTATATAGGCACCCACGCACACCAAGGCCTTTTCTAAATCTCTATACGTCCACTTTTGTAGTATATCCGTTCCTTAAAGGCCTGATTCCTCTGATTTTCCTCCCTCCACTATGTAACTCGGAGTGTTAGTTGATGACTGCCATCCGCGGTCGGGGTGGTTCTCACGTTTCTCGGGACTGGGCTTGTGCTTCTGGAGGTCGGATTCCCCAGGGGATGGGGGATTTTTGTCACAGGGGCTTTGGTCGGCTTGATGCACTAATGAAGAGCAAGTGTTAGAAGTCATCCGGCTACCCCAAATCAATGGGCCGCCCAGAAGAAGAAGAACTCACCCGGTCTATGTTTCTTGGGATGATTTCCCGAGCCCATGGCCTCCAGATCAGGACGTTGTCCATGGTTGGGTGGACCCGAAACCGGTTCGCCGGGCATGCTGTTCTAGAGGGCTTCTTCGGTCTTGACGCAGGTGGTGTGGAGGTGATCCCAACCCAACGTCTTATTGACGTGAGCAGCTTCGCAAAGAAGAAAGCTTTTTGGGGGAAATAAGAAGCCTGTAGTAGAGAAAGGGCGGGAGATGGGGGATTCGAAAAGCTTTTAAACCACCCTGGCAGAGCTACTTCTGGAGCTGGACTGCTGGACCCGTTCCACAGGCCTGACAGAGACATAACAAGAAAAGGACGGGCCCTCTCAAAGTACCACTATCCGACCTTTTGTGATGAATAGACACCCCCCCACCAACGTGTTGGTCCGCCGCCACCGGCCTTGGTACGTAGTCCACCGGGTATGCCATCGACTGCCGCAAGACCGGAACCCCCTTCGAGATTAGTGCATCATGGGAGAGTTTACGCTGGCGCTCGAGCAGTCATGAGTGGGTCGTGGGTGGGGGATGTGTTACCCCGTGTGCTGGAGCAGATGGGCGGGCATTTGGAGCGCTTCCGGGAGAGAGCGCAATACAGAAATCGAATTTCAATTTGATACGAGGTAATGTCACATCTATATCCTCTGGACACACTTGAACCATCTCCACCAAGGCCAGATCTGTTGTATTTCGGTGATTCTTGCCTGCCGGGGGAAATTCCCAGCCCTAGTTCGTTGGGGACGGCGGTCCGGGCATGCTGGCATGGATGGGGCCTCAGCCGCGACACCGGATTTCCCCCAATTTCTTATTCTATATTGAATCGGAAGTATCAGGTCATCTCCACCCCAGGTGGAGGGGTAGCTCGATCGATACCGGAGGAAAAAGGGGCATAAGTAATATGGGGAGTCTTCCGACTGGGGTGGTGGCGAAGATCGCCCATATAATTACCTTCCGTCTTAACTTGTTTGAGCAGAGTAGGGCATGCTAGTGCCGTCAGATCTCCCTTAGGCGGAAGCCCAAATGATTGAGGCTGAGTCCCCAACGATCCAGCTGAAGAAAGACGGACTCGTGCAAGATTCACTGACAAGGTTGACTTTGGCACTCGCTTGCGGGTGTTGCTTGGTTGCCTTTGTTGTCTACGTCCACTTTTCTCTACAAAAAATCAACCTAACTCTAGCTGTTCGTTTCATTTGACAAGCCATCGGTGTAGGCAACATGCGTATTTTCAGTGTGGGTGGCTTGCCCTGGGCGGTTATCTCAGATTAAAAAACTGGCGCACGCACAGTGCCACCCCAAAATGACGAGAAAGATTTTTTTTTACCCCTGCACACTCCTGAGCGATGCGGCCCCATGGTACGTACTCTACACAGTAGGTGCGTGAACCATTTGGGCAGTTGTTGCCCTGGCTGCCCCTTTGCCCCCAAGCCGGCCTCTGGTTTTTTTTTCCCCCAAGGTGCCGCCTCCCAGGCATAAATCATAACGGCGTCTTTCCCACCGATTCTCTGGTGCTATCATCGTGAAGGAATAAGGCGAAGCAGCCCTGGTATAAACCATTACGAAGGGACTGTGTCCCGCGCAAGAACTCTTTACTATCAAAACACTCGTTAAGTCTTGTGAATGAAACTCCGCGATCTAGATCTGCAGTGCGACTAACGGAAAGTGCTCTATCTAAAGTAGACATGTTCCTCCGAATTATGAAGAAGATACTCGCTGTCCATCCAGTCCGATCGCTTAGACATGTCGCGGCCTTGCAATCTCAGTTGATTCTATACACCGAAACGCCTCCCTCCGTTTCCCAGCATGCTGAACAGCAATGACAATGACGCCTCGAGCAAAAGTGGAAGTAAGCTCGAATACCGATAATAAAAATACCCGCTAATTGCATACTGACGCATCATCCCGTTATTTTTCAAACCAAAATGGGAGATACTTATTGCTGTGGAGCTTGAGGTGGCTGTTGTTGCCCAGGTGCTCCATCTGACACCCGGGGTCGCTTCGGGTCATTTGGACCAGCTGGAGTGGGTTCAGGGGGGTTTGTGCCAGGCGAAACATTGGCATTGGTAACATCGCTCAAGGGAGGACGCTTGCCGTTCATGTTTTGCGGCGGTACGCTGCCCCCTCTGTTCATCGTGCCCGGGTTAGGCGCGTTCCTGGAGTCGATGCCGGGTCGAGTCAGCGGTCGGAAGGACCCAGCAGATGGGCCTCTGGATAAGGGGCTGCCGGGACCGGCTGTCGGGCCTCCTGGACCACCGACTCGGCGCTGAAAGTCCGGTGCAGGGCTGACATAGTCGCGCGGGCGCGCCTTATCTGGCGCTGGCGAGACGCCGTTCCCCGTTCTGACCACCGCGACGGTCTTGGTGTGGTCTATGCCAGCGGTCTTGCGAATAGATGGGCTCTCTGCATGAGGATCGAATTGTGATCCAGGAATTGGCGCGGCGTTGGGGTTGTCACGGAGCAGATCTGCAGCTCGCGCTGAGAAGAACCCGACAGATTGAGAGCCAGGCGGGGGCTGGTTCGGTTCCTGATTGATTGTTGGGCCGGGTTCTCTCTTAATTTGAGGTGGGCCATTGGTGCTCTGCATTGATTGAGGCGGACCCGTCGGTCTCGCATTAGAGATGTTATTTGTGGGACCGGGCGCCGCCATGGGTCGTCTTTGATCTGATATACCTGATGTGGTCGTCGGTCGTGCGTCTGGGGGTAAAGATTGCCTTGCGCCAAACCTGTTCGCTCCGTTCCATCTTTCCGGCTTCGAAGGGGTCACAACAGTAGAGTCAAACCTCCCGGGTGGTGGCGCTCTTTGAGGAAAGGGATGATTCATAGAAGTTGGTGGGTGCTGCAGCAGCTCTGGCTCTATTGAGATCTCATCAGGATTGCCAGTATTGGTCACCACGAAGTCGGCTTCGTCGAAAAGATCGCCTTTGTCTTGTTAGCCAGATTCAAGAAGGTTCGTGAATCACGACATACTTCCAAATTCGCCATCGCCGTCGAAGGCAGCAATGTGACTGGTGATGCTGCTTTTTGCAGGCTCAGACGGACGTGGAGGAGGCAAGTCATCATCCTCTAAGACTCGTTTTGGTGGAGCAGGCTCTTTCTTGATCGGCGCAAAGTCAGGGTGACGGTGAAGCTCATCAACATCCCATCTGGCCTATGGGAAAGGTGAGCTAAAGAGATACAACGCATCCAGAGGCCATAGGTCACTCACAGGCGCAGCTTTGATCTTGGTAACCTTTGAAAGATAGTCCTTGTCGTAAACACAGTTGCCCAGAACATTTCCAAAGTTTCTCAGTGTACGTTTTAGAGCATCCGTTGTCCCTTCTTTCTTGGATTTCTCGAATGCGGCCGCTTTGCCCTTGCAATTCTCGATGTGACCGTAGCCGATATCCTATCAAAGAAATCAGCCTCGCCTCTTGGAGGTATTTGTAGAGCACAAAGCATGTATGTACCTCGTGAAAGGACCCATCTCTGAGTGTGACTCTGACAATAACAGACAGCCCTAGGCTAATTTTGCCGGTGTTTTGGTTTTCCTCGATCTTGTCCGCAGATGTTAGCCTAGAATTCGGCCATACACAAGTATATAGTAACACACAAAATCAACGTCAATTTTCTGAATCGAGCTGGACCAGCCATTGAAACCAAAGACCTCGTTCGCAAGATTGATGCACTTATCCGCCGAGAGATAGTGTACTTTCTGCCCCGCGGCACCAGGTCGCGCGGAGATGTATTCAGGTCCGAGTTTCCTGTCGAGACGAGCTTGAAGGGTGGCAATTTCCATGGCAGTGAACTCGCTGATACGACGTTGGGGCTCCTCAAAAGGGTTCGCTGTGACGGGACCTGGAGCGCTAGGCATACCGATGGCCGCGGGTCCACGGCGATGTTGGTCGCCAACACTGGGAGAGGCTATATTAGTTGCTGGTTTCATTGGGACCACAGGTTCATAAATTGGGCTTTTTGGTTCTCACGCTGGCATATTTAGTGGGCGTTGTTATGTGTTGGATATGAGCGATGAAAGCGTGTCGAGCGCGTCTCACTCATCACGCGGGCGATCGCGATATCACGTGTTGATAGTCTCCCGATAAGTTAGGCCACCAACCAGCACATAGCAGAGCCGCATGTCTGTGTGGAACTATCTCAGGGCGTATTGATTAATTGATTGCTAGTTTTAGAATTATTTTTACATGATCTACCATGCAGGAAATTTGTCTCGGCAACATTGTAGCTGCTAATCATTTGTAAATGCTGAATCTGTTAAGGAGCTACGTTGTTACTCGTTCTTCTCAAGCGACGCATACGCTGCCCCTGGGTCCTCAGCAGGACCGTGGTGCCGCTCAATTATTGAATAACGAGACTGGCGCTAGGCACAAGGCCTAGTTCTTTCAGTGACTCTCCGAAAAACTCACCATCGAACACCTTCTTAGGGAAAGTCTGAGTGAAGCTCTGAACTTCGAGGCCGTCCTCTTGCTTAAGAGCCGCGGCGACCTCAAACAGAGTCGTAGTGACCGGCAGTGTTTTCATAATATTGCCTTTGGGGGTCTGGAAACGCAGACGAGTCTCAGTATAAGCAGAAGCAGGCTTGGATGCAACAGGGCCAGACGCAGCGGGCGCCGGAGCAGCGGCAGGCTCTTGAGGAACAGCAACGCCCGCCCGCTCAGCACGTTCGCGCTCAGCCTTCCGACGACGTTCTTCCTTATCAGCTTCGATCCTGGCCTTGACACGATCTCGGGCTGCCTTCTCGTCCAGCTTCTCCTGCCTTTTCTTGGCCTCTTCTTTCCGCATCTGTTTCCGCTCTAGCTCCTCCTTTGCGTCTTGGCTCTCCTTTGTGCTCTTCCGGCGGATTTCCTGGAGAGTTAATTAGTTGGTGCCTACAAAGCTCTGGCATGATACGTACCTCGTTCCTCTTCTGGTCGGCCTTGTCCTGCTCGGATTGCACTGCTCGCTTAGCTGCCAGCTTCTCCCGCAACTCTGTCAATCTTTCCTTTTTCTGCTCCTCAGTTAACGGCGCAAGCTCTTCGGTAGACTCGGAGAAATCGGTGTGCTGCGTCTTAGAAGCATGGAACTCCGCCTGCGCCTGGCTGCGGAACATCTTGCCACAGTCGTTGCAAACCAAGCTCCGGGCTTCCTCGCCAGGCTTGAGAGCTGGCGCCTCCTCATCCTCAGCTTGCTGTGACTGTGACGCCTTGATTTCCTCTAACGACTTGTCCTGATGATCCTCCAGCCATTCTAGCGCTCCTTGCACTATACAGGTTGTCAGATGGAGTGGTGCAGGAAGATCCTTCGAAGAACCACCACTTACGGCCACCGGTCTTTGCAACTGCCAGTTGGGCCCTTTCCTTGTCAAAGCCCATCTCAATGAGCTGGTCTAGATCGGAAGCCATGGTTCGTAGCGCTGGTGACAACAAAGTGGGGGAAGATGGAATCGCGTTGAGCGGCTGCGCAGATGCCTCGATTGTCGCAGAAATTTGCTTGGGACTATGGTGCGTATTTTGAACAAAACAGTCGACAGAAAGAGCGGGGTGTTCAGCCGGTAGAAATGAGGAAGTAATTGATGTGGGTGAGAGGTGAGCTTCTGGGTGACGTATCGCGAAGGCGGCGAGCGGTAAATGCGGGCCCGCTCCACAATTGTTGCTTGGTGCTCAGGGCGAAATCTATTTGCACCCTAGGGTAGACACCACTCTAACTGGCACATCTATGTTTCTTTAAATCGGATTTTACGAGCGAAATTTCCGAGTAATTTCCACCCCTTCCAGTGCTCAGAACGCAATAAGCAAAGCCTTCGTTCCTTCATAGAATTCTTCAACTATTGGTAAATTTCATTTCCGCGAAGACACAGAGAGGATACATTGCTATATACATGTACAGGTAGGGCCTGAGTTTCGTATACAGTACCTTCGTATGAAATCTAGCCTAGATCAGCAGCTTAATTCGACGCCAGCAGCACATGCTACTAATTAAATCCCTGCGGAATAAGACAGCAAGATTCGTTGGCCTCTTGTATTCCACTCCCCACCTATAAAACTTTAATATGATATGTGATCTATGTCGGTAGGATATTGATTACATCAGTGAACTGGTATGATACCCAGGAGCATTGTGCATATTAGTTAGCATCGGGACTTGCCTGGCAATAGCCATCCATCAGAAGGCCCCCACAGTAAACATCATCACATGCAGTGATTTGCAGACGCTGGCTTTGTATCCCGAGGAATGGGGATTGTGCACGCCGAGGCAGTCCCACATATGCCACATGACTGCTAAAATCAAAACTTCCCTACTATCAACGGATTGGAACAGGTAAATCCAGTGAAACGCCTTTCATATCGAGATTCTGTGACATCACCTGATCGCTGAGTCAGCAAATCATCAAATTGGACAATAATCAACTCCTGAGGCGCCAACTCCCTTGACACGATAACCTCCTCCCCTCACTTTTCTCTTCCGCAATCGCAAACTTGTCGCGGCAACCTCGGGTACTGCGACATACGTCACTTCCGTCCTTGACTCCCTTTCCACGCCCTCACGATCAACATGTCTATCGAAGTCGATCCCCCAGAGCTCGGCTTCAAGCGTAAGTTCCGGAACCCGGCAACCGCCACCGGCGCAAGACACTGACTGATTTTCTGGGATACACAGGGCCCTTCAACCAGGAAGTATGCCAGATACTGCATCTGCACAACCCAGGCCAGGAACCCGTGGTCTTCAAGGTACGTCTAAATTCTTGGGAGGTATTTGGGAGGCAAGGTCCGCGGCTAGCTAACATGATATCTTGTTGTGCGATAGGTTAAGACCACTGCCCCGAAGCAGTACGCTCAATTCATCTCCAGTACCTATGCCTCAGTGCATTATACGACGACTGACTTGCTCCAGCTACTGTGTCCGCCCTAACTCTGGCCGTATCGATCCCGGCAAACAAGTTGATGTTCAAGGTTCGAGATCCGCCTCCGATAAGCGCCAATATACAAACTGACCTTGATGGTTTAAATAGTCTTGTTGCAGGCATTAAAGGAGGAACCAGCCCCCGATGCGAAGTGCAAGGACAAGTTCCTGGTCCAGTCAGTTGCGGTCACTGGCAGTGACATGGAACATTCGAATGTTACCGCCATTGTACGTATTCTTTGGAGCTCGCAAAAGCCCGTGCTGTGACTAATCTGTACCGGACAGTTCGAGAAAGCATCTAAGTCCGCAGTGATTGAGCGCAAGATTCGCGTGAACTGGCTGCCATCGGATTCGGGCCTGTCGTCGCAGCAGTCCAAGGCAAACGACTTGGTATGTTCCTTCAGGTTTACCATGTCTTGTGTTGCATCTGATCATTTCTATTAGGTTGTGGAGGAGGAACCTCCCGCGTATACCTCCCCCGGTGGAAACTTTGAGACCCCCGCTCCTGGTTTCGCGAAAAAGAGCTCCGCCGACCAAGCATCTCCGATTCCCGCCCCCGATTTCTCCGAGAAGCCCATCAAGCCCGAGTCTCCCCCGCATAGCGAGTCCAACTCCTCCTTTTCAAACGCCAAGGCCACCGTGGCCAGCGTCCTCCCCTCAAGCGACGAACTGAAGTCCCAGCTGGCAGACGCAAATGCGCAGATTCAACGCCTCAAGGACCGGATCGCAGATCAGGGCTTGCGGCAGCGGAAGACTGGCGGCGAGGCGCCGGCAGCTCCGACAACGATGCAGCAATCACACGCCCCGGCTGAGTCCGGGGTGTCTGTTCAAGTCGTGGCCGGGCTGTGCCTGCTCAGCTTCTTGATCGCGTACTTCTTCTTCTAGATTCGTTGCGTGGATGGACCATACCGCTTTGTGGTTTTTCGTGTTTACGACTCCGATCACGCGTCGACGCCTCTCCCCGCCTCCAATACTCCGAGTCTCATCTAGCTTTTGCGTCTTTTGAAGAGCCTGCCGTTTTGTTTCCAGCATCAGCCTTCTTCTGTCTCCTTCTACTTGTTTCTTTTTTCCCCTGGTATCCATACTTCTTTTATTTCACCTGGCCCTGTACGAGGCTCTCGATCAGCTCGAAGTTCCTTTGTCCCATTCTTCCTTGCTCCCTTTTTTCCCTTACCTCTCCTGTCTTGTCTAATATCATGTTATGATGAACGGACTAAGCGTCTCGATTTTCTTTTGTGTTATAAAAGATAATCGGGCCTCGCAAGATGATCCATACCCTCGCTGCCAGCTCGTATACTAAAATAACGTTTTCGCTGCCGAGCAAGTCATTTCCTACTTAGACGCAGGTGTTGATGAGCCTCCAACTTGGCTTGCCAAGCCTGTTCCTGGACTAGTCACTTCAAGTTGCGACTTCTGCAGGTACGCGCATGGTATCTATATTCATAGGTAGGTTGTACTGTGGGGTACAGAAAAGCTGAAAACAAGACGTAAGTCTATGTTCCTTTAGAATAAAGCAACCATTTTGGGTTGAATGATTACCAATCCACAATATTTACTACATGTAGTCATAACACCAATCCATAAGACTCAAGAAAATACACGCAATCTAGCACTGAATCTCACTCTCCTTCCACCCATCGCCCTCTTCGCCAGCCGGACCCGCCGACGCAGCCGAGATTCCCTCACCCCCACGCCCAGTGGATGTCTTTCCAGTACTCCCACCACCAACAACGCGTCCGCCCTGAGCGCGCTTCACACGGCACCACGGGCCAACATTCTTGTCCAGGATGAAAGTCCAGATCACCCAGACCCAGCTGCGATGGCAGGGCAGGGGTTCGTAGAACTCCCGCGCAATGGAGTGCAGCTTATGCAGCCGGGTCCAGGGAACAGCAGGGAAGTCGTGGTGCTCGTTGTGCAGGCCGACGTTGTATGTGAGGATGTTCAGCGGGCCATAATAGGAGTACGTCTCCGGCGGGGCAAGGCCGCTAAGCGGGTGCGAAGCGTCGACCTTGGTGGCGGGCTTCTGCTTGAGTTGGGCGAGGGACTCGGTGCCGCCGCTTTTCACGTTAGAGAAGAAGTAGTGCTCGGCAATGAAGTGACCGGCGCAGGGGTGAAGAGAACCGGCCAGGAAGGAGCTGGCGATGAAGTAGTAGAATGGCTGGAGCGAGCCGGTGAACCGGGTGAGGGCATAGTCGAAGCTCAGTTGCACGGCGAGATTGAGCAGGTGGATCGAGGTGAAGGGCGGACTGTAGACGAACATGGGCCGCACGGCGTAGAAGAGGATCTGGAAGGTGCAGAAGAATGTCTTGCCCAGAAGAGAATTGAGGAAAAAGGCTTCCAGCGCGGTAGGGAGGTCAGTGTCTAGACCGGTCACGCCGAGCGACTTGTGATGGGTAAGGTGGTATGGCTGCGGTGAAATTATGTTAGAATCCATGTTTATCATAGCTGTTCGGCCTAAGGGGGTTCCTTGTTTTGAGGTAACCTACCCGGAAGGCAGCACTGTACGGCAATCCGATAGGGAGGTTTGCGAAGATAGCCAGAATTCGATTGGCCAAGGGCGACCGGAAAGCCAGATTATGGGAGATCTCGTGGATAGCGAGGAACAGGTTCTGATTCGACGTGGCTCCAACCACGTATGCAGTAGCCAGGAACCGCCAGTCAAGGATCGAGGTATTGCGGAGAAGGTATGCGCAGGTAAGTTGAATAGACACGACGAGGAGGACGACCCATTTCGTCAGAGGCTCAGGTCCGCAGAGCTTGGTGACCTAGAGTCCAAACAGTTAGCAATTAACTCTACGAACGGTGGCAAGATACCAGGAAGCACGTTGTTAGCCCCGCTGCCACTGGTCGGGAGCTCCGGACCAGAGAAGGCAGATGCTCACACAAGCCTAGCAAACACCAACGTACCTCCGGATGAGCCTTGATAATTGCCTGCCGCCTAGACCGGTGCGGCTCCTCTGTATAGGTCCAAAAGAAATGGTCTTCGACCGAGGAGGTCTCTGGCGGCGAGATTCTGGCGGAGGGGGCTTCCGTGGCCGCGGGGGACGACGCCTTGGTCGCCGCCACCCGGAGATGAGGTGACGCGGTTTCAACGACCGAAGGCATGATTAACGAGAGCAATGCTGGCGAGGAGTGTTGACATGGAGGAAATGAGCGGACAGGAAAAGGCGGAAGACACTCTCCACGTGGGGCGACACGGGAGAGTTCGATGGTCCAATGTGGCTTGGCGCTGATCTGCAACTACAACGTACGGTGTACAATATTACCAAATAAAGAATGCTGACTGGCGTTTCTTAAGGTCGTTTCTTATTTTGTGTTTGGCATGGTTCATATATATTCCAAGCCAGCTAGTAGTCGTCTCCGCGACTAATAACTTCCTTTACATTGGGGCGGAGCACAATAGTCTGGGGTTGGGTTAGCCGGGCAATCAAATCAACGAAGAGCGATCAAAAAAGGACATACATGTTCGAATTGAGCAGTGTAGGAGCCCTTGATGTCGCAAAGGGGCGGGTAGTCCTGAACAATACCTGAGGAGACCAGGTTGTTCAACTATACACAGATTAGCCCACGGAGTTCAAGAACGTGTGCGTAATTAGTGAACTTACCCCGAGGAGATACTTGTCCTGGCCTAGTCGGTCAAGATAACGTCGGCAGAAAGGCAAAGTGCCGAAGTTCTTCTGGATCACGTTCAACAGGTTTTTAGCGGATGAGAGACGCAGGGGAACATTAGGTGCGTCAGGAGCAAGGGCGTAATGAGAGCATTCCATCTAGAAGCAGGTCAATACTCGATCAAGCACTATTGGCAGCTACAGACTTACATCTTCCCGAACGTAGCCCTTTCCGGTGCTGCCGAAGGTTTCGATGGCGAAGACTTCACCCTCCTCCATCTTAGTTTGGTCACTACCCTTGACAATAGGCACGCTCTTGCCACCGTGGATGCGGTGCTGTTCAATGTTGTGGCCGTTCAGATTACGGATGCACTTGACGGGGTACATGGTTCCGTTCAGCTCAACCTCGTAGCTCTCCATGGCTTCCTGGATGGCGGCACCGATATCACTCATACGGACATCAATACCAGCTTCCTATAAGCACGTTAGTCTTCTCCACGAAACTTCAAGATAACGAAGAACATACGCGAATACCTGTGTTGGTAGCATCCTTGACCGCTTCCAGAAGCGGGTCATACACCGGGTCGAAGCTCATGGTGAAGGCACTGTCCACAATTCGGCCGTTGAGATGCGCACCGAAATCAACCTTCATCACATCTCCCTGGTTCAAGACCATCTTGTTGCCGGCGTTAGGGCTGTAGTGCGCGGCACAGTGGTTGATGCTCAGGCCGCAAGGGAAGCCCATACCACCCTTGAGGTTATCACCTTCCTCAAGGCCCGAGTGGCCAGTCAGGGCGCGCACGGAATCCTCAATACCCTCCGCGATCTCCGTCAGAGTCTGGCCTGGTTTGATGTTCTTCTGCGCATACTGGCGGACTTGACGGTGAACCTCGGCACCCTGGCGGTACTCCTGAAGGAAATCATTGTTCATGCGATCGAGATAGCGCTTCTCCTCGTTGGTGGTGCGATAAGCATTGTCGTTCTTGTACTCGACGATCTCGCCTTCGGGATATTGGTTGTTGGGGAAGAGATTGGACACGGGAACCCGCGGCGGAGAGCTCTGGACCTTAGCACCACCCTTCTTCTTCTTCTTGGACTTGCGCTTCTTCTTCTTCTTGGCGGCTATTGTGCGACACTATTGTTAGCCTCTCCTGGTTGAGCCTCGCGGGTGCGGGGTTCGAAAGCGGGGCTGTAGACGACTTGAATGGTAAAAAAGCTACATACCTCCAGTCGCTCCGGCGTCCGGAGCGCCATCACCTTCTTCTTGGTCATCGTCAGAATCGTCCTCGGCTTCACCGGGGACCGCCTGGCCGCCTGCCGGGGCGTCCGCTTGGGCGCCGGGCTGGCCGTTCACTAGGAGACATGTTCAGTACCCAACATACCGCCCCGTCAATAATACTGGAACTTACGGTCCAGCTGCTGCAGCTTCTCACTCGCCTGAGCTGCCATTGTAGAGTGTGGAGGACTTGCAGTGGAGTGAGGGAGGAAGAAGAGGGGAGGCGACTCGGATGTCGGGGAGAGATTTTCGCTGACGATAAGATATGCCGCTTAACGGCGGAGCATGCCTCAACAAAACACCCGCGTCATACGTCTAGGATTCTAAGAGAAAGACCTTGGAGTAATTGGAACTCTTTTCACACATGTGAAAACTGTTTAATAATTTCTTCCTACCATGCTGCTATTTTCTCTATAACTGCCTGTTGCCACCCTGGTCTGTATAAATCTATTCGGGCGTGTCTTCGATTTCTAGAGGTAGAAACTGATACTTAGATTCCAGCCATATATTCCCTTGACTACCCTATATTCTACACTGATTCTTTTTGACTATACTTTTTAACTGCACCTGCAGTCTACCTGGGAACTGAGCTCCTCCCGAGTGTCGTTCCTCCCTGGCAGGGCGAGGCACCATGTTAAGACAACTATAGAAAAAGGCGACCAAGACATCGAATTGGAACTATTTACTGGACAGCATCTTGATCCTAATATCCGCTAATCCACAAGGGATGCACTACACTAAATCCCAATCCCAACCTAGAACCTCCAAAATCCAAAGCCTAGTTTACAACCAACGTTATCTAATCTGATCATCACCTCATTTCCAGGAGAACGCCTGGGGGCATGAAACTCACCCAAACTCACGAGAGCAAATTCCGAGGAGCAGAAAATAGCAAGCTATGACCACAAAGCCTCTGTATTGCACCGTGGATCCTCAGAATGCAAGGTGGTGACCCTCCGCTCCCAAAATTCGCCAATGACGCCACTGCTCCGATCTGCCGGACCGCGTACCTTCTCACAACTCCACTCCTCCCCCCTCCGATGTGACCAGCTTCGGACACAAGCTTGGGCAATGCCACCCCCTCGTACCACCGCTATACTCCTTCAATCACCACACACAGCCAGTCGTACCTCGGCTCCGCGCCATGTGAGCAGCAATCGCTACCACAGCCTCACCAGTCACTGCACGCAGCACACGCGACCAACACGGCTGCAAACCAGACAGCAGCTCTACTACGCAGCACGACCAACTATATTAGTCTATACCATCTCAACGACCGCATTTTTCCTCCAGGAACACAATTACTATGAGATCCTGGATCTGCCAGTGACAGCCACCGCGGCCGAGATCAAGAAGTACGTCAGCCGCCGCACACTACGTCCTCAAGCCGTAAACTACACATCAAGAGCCTCTCAATCCTGCTCCTCCATAGCAGTTAAATCTAACATCTACTCTCTACTCAACACAGACAATTCTACGCGCTCTCCCTCCGCCACCACCCTGACCGCAACCGCGACGACCCCGACGCCAGCCAACGGTTTGCCAAAATCTCCTCCGCCTATAACGTACTCGGCAACACGCAGAAGCGCTCCATCTACGATCGCGACCACGGCTTCCACCATGCACACCACCGCGCCCCGACGGGTAGCCACAGCAGCCACAGCGCGAACCTGCACCACAAGGCCAGCTACGCGGGTTCGCGGCCGCCGAGCGGGCTGAGCAAGCGCCGAGGCACATTCCATGGGCCGCCGCCAAGTTTCTACGCGCAGGGTGGGTACGGGGATACTGGGCGGACGGGCGATGGGTATGCAGCTGGTAAGGCTGGGGTGGGAGCTGATGGGAAGGGCGGGGGAGGCGGAGGTGGAGAGGGTACTGGGAAGGCTGGGCAGGAAGCTGATCCTGAGGATCCGATGGGATTTATTGATCGAAATCCGCTGGGGCATTTCAATGCGCGGGGACACTTTCGAACGCAGAAGGCGGAAGATCTGAGGAGGAGGGAGCGGCGGTCGAAGGCGCGGATGGCAGCGAAGGAGAAGGCGGATACGTTTATGGGGGGTGGGGAGTTTGGGATTCTGCGATTTGTTGTTGTGTGTGGGATATTGGTTGCTGCTGGGGCTATGACGGGCGTTTTTAAGTGGCCCGGTGCGCCGCTGGCAGAGGAAGGGAAGGCTGGCAAGAAGAGGAAGGAGGCCGTAACTGCGTCCTAATGAGATGCTGGTGCTTCTCCATCCAGCGTTGTACGATACTTTCTACAAATACCATGCTCAGGTAGCTGGCCAGTAAAATCAGTCAAGGCTGCTACGACAAATGCACACGAATCTATCAGACAAATGAAAAACTTTAGATTTGATATACAAAGCGCGCTCACGGTATAAAACCATGGGACGCACAAGATTATCTGAGAACTGAGTGTAGATAAACCTCACATTGCTGAACCATTTCGCCTGAGAGTCGGACTAGTGCAGCAACGAAGAAAATACAAACTTCCCCCGAGAGTCGTTAATAAGGGACTCTCGAGTACCAGTGAATGACAGGAGAGAAGCCGCTTAAGCCTCGAAGGTGAAGCTGGCGCCGACCTTGTGGGCGGCCTGGTTCAGGTTCTGGGTATCGAAAGAGGCACCCAGGCCGAGGGTGACACCAGGGCGGAGGAGGACGTTGTAGGCCAGAGCGGCGATACCACGGTCGTTGATCTTGGCCTGCAGGGAGAAAAAAACAAGGTCAATATTATTTAGGATCTACTACCTGGCGGATAAGCTGGGGAGAAAACGCACCTTGGCGAAGGAAGAGGGATCCAGGCGGTACTTGCTGGCGACCTCGAGACCGACGGCGTTGCCGGAGGTGGAGTCCCAGGAAGCCTTAGCACCGGCCTCGACCTGAGCGTTGACGCGGTGGTAGTAGGAGGCGGAGAAGAGGGACAGGTTGTTGCTGGCGGTGACAGCAGCAGAGTACTGGGGCACGGAGTAACCGACGGCAGCGGAGTACTTGGTGATGGCAGCCTTGTTGACATCATAGCCACCCTCAGCACCAACCAGGAAGCCCTCGTGGCCGAGGACGGCGTCGAGGTTGGCAGTGGGGCCGTTCAGGAGGTCGAAGAAGGCACGGGCGTGCAGGTTGGGCTGCTTGAAGTACAGGTTGAGCTTGGCGCCCTTGGACTGCTTAGCGGGCTGGTACTGAGTCAGGATCTCAGCCTTGAGGCCCTTGGCGATGTTGTTGTCCAGCTCGAGCTTGGTGTCGAGAGCATTGGCGGTGGTCCAAGCCTGGGTCAGGGTAAGGCCTAGGCAGGGACGAATCATTAGCTTGATTGTATGCGTGGCAGTGTTTGAGAATACAAAAAAATTCACCCGGCGCGACGCCAGGTGGCCGCACGACAGAAAAAATGTCATGGGTCGAGCCTGACGAACGCCGGGATCGGGTGGTTTGCGCTGGAAGGAGCCCTTACCGGTGGGCGCATCGACGTACTTGGCCTCGAGCTGTTGAAGGCAGATTCTAATTAGCACTGGGGTCCTAGGAGTTCCGCGACGTGGAATTGAGTTCGAGGAGGGGCCTCGGGAAAACTCACCTGGCCAGCAATGGAACCCTCGTGGGAGGACTTGCCCTTGACGGTGAAGGTGACACCGTTGGGGGCCTTGGACTTGACCTCGAGGGACGCTAGAGATAGGTTAGCTGAGGATTCCGCGAGTAGGACAGGTCAGACAAACCCGGGCTGGCGTGGTAGAAGTCCTTGTTCAGGAGCTGTCCGAAGCCGTCAGCGATGTATTTGTTTTCCGTGAAGCAGAATGCCGCGGCATCATCGAGCTATACGTACGTCATTGGCCGCCTTGGCGATGTCGGAGAAAGCAGCAGGAGCAGACATGGTGAATGTGTGAGATACGGAGACTCGGGGATGAGGTGAAGAAGAAGGAGAGGGAAGGCGATGATGTTGGGGAGAGGTGGGAAGGGGGCTCCAGCCACGGGCCGCTGGGGGCCCGGTGATTGGCCGCTGTTCGGTTGCCGGGAAAGCCCGCCGACAAAGCCATTAGGTAAGCCACGATCGGCGGGATGAGGGTGACGACTGTTGTTCGGTGCCCTAACCCTAAAGAGGTTAGGTACGCAAATGTGCGGAGGTGCCTTATAGTTCCTAGTAGTAGGCCGGCTAGGTATATACACTCTGCATTCGTTCCGTAGCTCTATCTATGCCCAACAAGAATTTGATCGAAGAGAGAAACGTTCATTTTTTATAGTCCATCACACACTTTCCCTTTTACGCAACGTTCTCATACTTGGCGTTGTGAGTAGCGATGGCACTGTAGAAGCGGGTAAGCATTCGTCCATGACGCAAGGGGAAAAGCTCCGGAAATCTACTCACCGGCCACTGGGGTCACTCTGCTTAGACCAGGTAGGGGTCCAGCGCTCGACGGTACCGGCACAGTACGGGGGGAAGTGCTCGTCGAACATCAGGCGGTAGAAGTAGCTAGACAAAAAAAATTTAGTATGTTGATCAACAATGGGGGTGCACCGGGGGAAAACATACGCCTCCTTGGTATCGGGGATATCGCTGCCCCACTCGGGCTTGGGGTTCTTCATCATTTCATCGGTAATCTGCTGCTCGGCGTGCTCCTTCAGGCCGTCAATCCAGCTGTAGCCGACACCGTCGCTGAACTGCTCCTTCTGACGCCAGAGGATCTTGTCGGGCAGGTAAGGGGTAGAGTCGGGCTCGTCGGTAGTGTCAAAGGCCTTGCGAATGATATACTTCTCAATGCGGTCCTTGGTGATCATCTTCTCCTTAGGGTCGACAGCCATGGAGACCTCGAGGAACTCCTTGTCCAGGAAAGGCACACGGGCCTCCAGCCCCCAGGCGGAGGTCGACTTGTTGGCACGCAGGCAGTCAGCCAGGTGCAGGTTCTTCACACGACGCACGGTTTCCGTGTGGAACTCCTCCTTGTTGGGGGCAGCGTGGAAATACAGGTAGCCACCGAAGATCTCGTCGCTGCCCTCACCACTCAGAACCATCTTGACACCCATGGCCTTGATCTTGCGCGAAAGCAGGTACATGGGGGTGGAGGCACGGATGGTGGTCACATCGTAGGTCTCGAGGTGGTTGATAACGTCCGAGAGGGCGTTCAGACCGTCCTCGACGGTGAAGGTGAATGCGTGGTGCTTGGTGCCCAGGAACTTGGCCACCTCCTTAGCAGCCTCAGTGTCGGGAGCACCGGGCAGACCGATAGAGAAGGAGTGCAGTTGCTGGAAAAGGGGGACAGCCGACAGGTCGTTCTCCTCGTCGATACCGACCAGACCCGAGGCGTCGGTGCCGTTCTTCGCGGCAGTGTGGGCAGCCTTCTGCATGCGGAGGGTCTCGCGCTGGGCGATAGAAGCAACGAGACTCGAGTCCAGACCACCAGACAGCAGAACACCATAGGGGACCTCAGCCATCAGGCGCTTGCGAACCGACTTCTCCAGAGAGTGACGCAGCAGCTTGTAGTCGACCGGGGTGGAAGGAACGTTGGTGGGATCCCACCACTTTGGCTCGAAGTAGCGGGTCATTTTGTCAGTCTTGGAGTCGTAGATGTGGCCGGGAGGGAAAGCAATGATGTCGTCGCAGACCGGGTGCAGTGACTTAAGCTCGGAGGCGAAGTAGACGGCGCCGGGGGTCGAGGAGGAGCGGCCGAGGTAGAAGCTGGTGATACCAATGGGGTCGCGGGCAGCAACCACACGGTCCTGCTTCTTGTCCCAGAGAACCCAAGAGAACATGCCGTCCAGGTGCTTAGGAGCATCAAGACCGTGCTCCATATACTTGAATAGGGTTGATCAGCAACTGCCCTCTCTTCTAAGCATTGATTCACTTATAGTCACATTTACATACCAGAGGGATGATAACCTCGCAGTCGGAGTGAGTCTTAAAGTTGTACTTGGTCTTCAGGCTCTTCCGCAGGATACGGTGGTTGTAGATCTCGCCGTTGACGGCAAGGGCGAGGGTCTGGTCATCGTTGACGAGAGGCTGGGCACCGGAGTCTGCGGGGGCCAAGTAGTTTTAGCAATGGGGCTAGTGGCGCAATTCATTGTTGTTCAAGTAGAGAACATACCGACACCGACGATGCTCAGACGCTCGTGGGTAAGAACTGGAGGCCAGGGTGATTAGCAATGACATGCGACAATCTAAGTGCTGGTAGAACTTACTAGTCGAGTCGCCAATGAAGTTTCCGCCTGTCAGGAAGTAAAGTTGTTAGCCTCCTAGCTTCCCATCGACTGTATCTCATGTTGCGACTGCAGTTGTGACTCACTCCAATCGGGACCACGGTGACGAATGCTATGATCGAGGGACAGTTAGCGACAAATCTTACACATGAGAAAGAAGCAGTTGCGCAGGAGAAAACTACTCACGCCTTAGCCATGCGCAAGGCTGTGCTCTTGAACTTTTGCACATCGGGGTGACTGTTGGAGACCTTGCGTTAGCATTGACTCAACCCTCGCATCCCACCTTCGTTGGTCCGGGAACGGCGCATGGAGGGGCGACAGAGAGAGACTGGGGTAAGGCGGAACGCACTGGTGGCAAGCGAAAATTCCACACATGATGGGCGAGATGGCACTCAGCAATGAATGGAAGTTCAATTGGAGAGGATGAAGAGGAAGAAGTATTGACTAAGCGCGGTTCTGGGGAGGAGCCGGCAAGGGCGATTTTTTTCATTCCCACCGGCGGGGCCGAGGGGCGATGTCGGCTTTCCAGTCTTTGAGTCACCGATAAGATAAAGTGGATCGCCCACCACTGGGGAGGGCACGATTAGTCGGCTTCTTTACCTACGAGGTGCCTATAGTTACATTCAATTTACAATGGAGATAGTTTTTCTGCAATGCGAGCTGTTCGCTCTGGGAAACGCCTTCCATTGGGTCAAGTAACGCCGCGCTCGTGATCGGTTGCTAAAAGAAAAGCAGAGATGCTCCCTTGACCAAGAAAAATACCATGCCAAGTCTTCTTCTCGCCCACCGAAGTTCATGAAGTAAATGATAAAAAAGCAAATAGCGCCGTCGATCGTCATGCTTTTTGGAAGCTTGCCGCGCTTACATCGGTGGGTTCTCCTTAACAACCTGTCGAACACGTCTCTCGTATGCTGGCCGATCCTTCTTGAACAGATTGTAGGCGTCGGCTTGGGCCGGAGACTCCGGATTCGGGTCATTCAACAGATCCTGAATACCAAGTAGAAGCTGCTTGATGGTGATCGCAGGTCTCCATGCCTCTTCCTCGTTCAAAATTGAGAGGCAGACAGTGCCGGATGGGTAGACATTAGGATGGAATAGTGGAGGAGTGAATTTGCCTGCAAGAAACCATCATGTCAGCCCACATCTCGGAAGAAGATGCGAAGATGGCAAAGGCCATTCTCGCTAATTATATAGCCGCAACAACCGCAAGAGGAAGAGGGGATTTGTAGATGGGAATACGAACATTTGGGGGGCTTGGTCGGGTATTCTGGACGCGCAAGAATTTATTAGCATCAGAATGCGGATCGTCGCTCGCGTGGAGGAATGCGCAACGCCACTCACCGTCCGGGAAGATAAGATCCAGCTTGAGCACACATCCTTCCCAAAGGGTATCCTTCTTTCCGGGGATGGCGCACTCCCAGCGCTTCAGGTCCAGGGTGCCTTGGCTGGTTCGCTGGGGCTTTGCGACAAAACCGAAGGGGTGGTCGCGTCGCCACTGCTTCCTATGTGACACAGAGATTAGCGCATTATTCCGGATAACCCTGAGAAAACACCGTGTCATGCTGGAAGACATCACATACCGCTCCTCTTGGAGGCGATTCAGGCAGAGAGTCATGTTGTAAGAGTCTGGTGAGGTGATCTGTAGATGGGCGGGGGGTCTGGAGTGAGGTTTGGAGGTCAGGAAGAGAGCAGATAATGCCGCTGTCGGGGACTGTGAGAGGTACTGGGTTGGGTAAGAAAACGGCAGAAAGGGAGAATTTGGTAGAGGATCACAGAAAGCGCAGCTGCCGGCGCAGTTCGTCGCATGGACGAGAATCAACTGGCCCCGCCAATGTGGCTTATGTAAGCTGTTTGTATAGGTCAGTTAACTAAGGTTAATTGGTTGAGATTTTGTTAACTTACTTGCACCTGCAGTACCTTGGCTGTAGCAACAACCTCCCTGCACACCAGACACATTCAATCTTGTTGTAGTCATTCTTTGTCTTCAGATGTCCAAAAATTGAAAATGCCAAGGTAAGCTCTAGTCCAAAAATACAGATCTTGCCCATTGCCCAGGCTCAACACACATTATCTTTCCCATAATCATCGACGATGAGTCTGGCTGTGCACCATCCGGTTCTTTCAGCACATATTGACTTTGAAATTATACGTTCATGAACTTTGTCTAATGGCAAAAGCTAATCGTTCACACAGGTACTCGCAAGAGCTAGGCAATGAAGGCGATTACCCTCATCGACTCACCAAGGAATAAGTAAGCAGTCATGCAATCAATGCAAAGGGGTGGAATGAGGCCCAAGACAGCTTCAAGAATAGTAAATACACTGTGAGAAGGGACAAATTCAGTCATCCGGAGATGTTCCAGGCTGCCTTTAAATTCTTCCACTTTTACAACAGCGTCTTGGGCACTTGGAAGGCAAAGAGAGAAAGGTTTTTGACAAGCAGATCAGCTAGGTGAAAAGACAGTGCGAATATTATTGGCTAAGAGGGCTAATAGGACTACTTCTGTCTTACTCAATGAATCGACATGTTTACATTTAGCGCCATTCCAGCTACATAGTGCGGGTCTCGGCTCAACTGTAGGATACTTATGGGAATATGAATCTGATGCTTAGGCCGGTGTTCCTTCGTGAATAAATATTGGAACACAGAATTATGTATCCATTCTTCGCATTCGTCGAATAATAGTATGGCTCCGAAAATGATTTGTTAATGCCACTGGTGCTACTAATATAATGATTATGTTCTCCTTTCAAAACGCGAGCATAAATAATACGATATGACAGCAGAGCATCCATGCAGAGTAATAAGGGTTCAAACTGAAGATTCAAAAGGGTTATTTTCCTTTTCAGATTAAGCGTCCCTCAAACACATAAAGCATCATATCCAGGGGGAAAGATGGCTTTGTTCATGATATTAGCCTTGAACAAACGGAGGCCTAGCCATCTAATAATGGATCACAAAGGCCAATGTATGGAGGCCCTGTCCTGGGAGTTTAGGTGACATAAATAGGAAGTTTTACAGAGAAAGCTCTGCAAACTTTTTCATACCCAGCAGAAAAGAGCGTCTCAAAACGGATTTTCTAGCCGTGGCTGTCTTTCTCGAAAAAGATTTCAAGTTTCTCTACCTAAAACCACAAGCCGCAGCTTCGAACTTCAACCATACCAAGCTTGACACCATTGCCTCTTCCAAAAAGTCACCACGATGTGTTACATTATACGTTGGATCTATGTTCTTTGCGGACATGAGATCTACTTGAATCCTCCTATGATCCCATGCTACGATGCCATCATTGGAGACGACTGTGGGCGTGTTTCAGAGTTGATAACGCCCCCGCTAGCAGGACTCTGCCAGCATTGTGTAGCTAAAAGGCGGAGGAGATCTGGTCGGCGAAAGTATGAAATGAAGCAGAAAATGAAGGCGCACTCCCATAAAAAACAGGAGGAGTATCCTGTTTCGGTCTCGCCCACCGCACACGACCATCACTCGAGATCCGAAGGTCAGAATGGTATTAGCCATTCACCACAACATCGCCCGAGCCTTGACTTCATGGCGTCGCGTGATAAAGCAATGCCGGAACAATGGCCTCCCTATCAAGGCTTTTCAATAGAGGCATTGCCGGACACACCTGAATTCGAGGCTAATCGGCCGGAGCCTGGTTGGCCTCCGTCCAAAGGGCGGCGGTCCTGCCTGCCGGTCCCAGTTTCGCGGAAGGGTCGTCAGAATCATCGCTCGTTTATTCCGATCCCAGTGAACAGGAGCAAATAAGCAGAAGACACTCCACGCCCTGTGGCATACGATAATGATAAATCGTGCTTAGAGTAGTGCTATTTGATCAAGTTACCTTCTTAGCGTTGTATGATTACTTAATAGTTGTATGGGACAATGCCAAGTCATTTGTCTCCCTTGGCGGATTAATAGAATAACGGAAAGCATTTGAAGGCAAAATGGGATATCATTATTGTGCCAAAACAAGGCATCTTATGAGTGTGCTAATCAACGTAAACACCCTGCTCGAATTTCTCGGGGTCGAAGAACCGAGCTAGGATTGTATTCCCGTTGAAAATACGTCCTTCTAGTGCATTTACGGCCTAGAAAGGTTTGGAGTTAGTTAATCCTCGTATGTAAAATCAAAAGATTGGGAACTTACCCGTAGCGCCGATAATTCATTAGTGAACTTCACAAAAACCGGCATTGGAGTGCCCACGTCGCGGGCGATGTAGACTCGCTCCACTCGCCCGTACTAGACGGCATCAGCGACGGCCATATCAGAGCAGAACGGCTCAAACATACCTTTTCGTTGCATTCCTCTCCGATCTCTTGCATCAAACCACCACCCTCGGCGCGTTGTAGTTCTGCATCCAGATCCATGCCATCCAGCATCCCGCGAAGAATGATCACATTGGTCATCGGCCCAAACTTGCCCGTATCCTCTTCTTTCTTCTTGCTGCCGATGATTTTCCCCCGTCCACCGGGAGTCACGAACCCTCCGCCCTCAGAATCGGGCCGTTTCTTCTGCTTCTCAACCTTCACCTGCAGCGGTTTGACAATACCCGAGCCTGTAGCACCAAGCCCAGATCCCTTGGTCCACCCGTATTTAGAGAGAAGTCGCTCCGCGAAGCCCTTTTGACCAGGACGAAGCGAGCGAGGTGCATCCTCGCCATCCTCCGTCTCTGCTGGTTGTTCCTTTGCAAACACTTCTTCCAGTTCTGCCTCGGATGCGGGAATGTCTTCGGGTGGTGGCGGGAGCGTATAGCGGACCGGCGCGCGGGATATAGTTGCAGAACTTGGTTGAAAGGCATCAAGTGGGCGGGGTGGTGGGGGAACTGGTGCATTTTCTGATGACGGCGGGTTTTGTGATTGCTGAGTTCGCCGCAGATATGGATCTTCGTCGGTAGCAACATCAGGGGGTGGCGCCGGAGGTTGTTCTGGTGGAGGCGGAGGTGGAGGCGGAGAATAGTTGGGCATGGCCATATCATTGTTAGGGTGCTGGCTCATACGTGCACGGCGTGCAAATGCATCTTCTCCAGAGGGATCATCCGGAATATCTGCTGGGGGCGGAGGTGGTATATCATTGAGATTCGGTGGCGGCGCAAAGCTTCCCGGTGGAGCAAATTGGCCTGCAGAGCCCCTGTTAGTATCCATATCTTTAGGTTCAACGCAGAAAGTAGATTGGCCATACGGTTCATCGGCCGGTCGTAATCATCACTGTCGGAGTCTGGTGTTGGCGAGCGCTTCATCCGGTGCGCATACAAGCGGTCCTTCCATTCGCGGACCTCGAGGATCTTCTCGTCACTGTGTCGGTATTCTTCATAGTTGTTAGGACGGGATGGATCATAAATATCGTCCCAGTTCTGCATGGCCATCTGCGGCTCTCGGTTCTTCTTGCGCTTTTTTCTCCCGCCTCGTTGTCGCTTCTCGCCCATGTAGTAATCCAAGTCATCTTCCTCTGTAGCGGCCCAATCCGCCAACGTACTTTTCGCAGGCCCTCCAGCAGAATTTGAAGCTTGAGTCACGCCGGGCGGCAATCCAGCCTTTGGTAAGGTAGGTTTGGGTTTGGGTTTCTGATTCAACTGCGGCCTCTTGGTGGGCTGGAATCGAAGAGAAGCTGTCCGGTGGAGAGTAGGTGAGCCACTATTGCCTCAGTGTAGTTATTTAAGAAATTCAAAAGTACCAGCATTGAGCTGCTGCTTCTTCGCAGCGGACTCGTCGGATTGCGCGTCGATCTCGGAGCTCTGCTTAAAGACGACGGGGGCGCGGGAGATCGTTCCAGGCGAAGACTCGGCTGAAGGATCGAGCAGGTTCGCATACAGCGACATCATCCCCCCGGGTTTGGATGGGGTAGATTCGGGAGCCATGGTGAGTGGTTGGGGCTATTCGCGATAGCCAGTTGCGGGTTGAGACGCAATGTGTTTGCGACGATAAGTACGGAGTACGCCAGGGCGTGTTTGATTGATTTGCATCCTTGCCCGCCACCATGAAGGAAACCGGCGATGACTGGACTCGGTCGGTAAGCAATGGCATTCCGAGCAGAACCCATTTTTAGTGGTTAGATTAATTAAGTAGTCGAATTTACTCCTCGAAAAGTTAGAGCATGTCAAGAAAATAGAGTAGATCCATGTAACAGTGGAATGTGAGGATTGATCATAGACATCTAGGCATTTGAGGTTCTATACGTAAATATATATACAGCACCGGAATGTCTACTTCTATCATGGCATGAAAATACAATCAATCTATAAAGAAATTGCCTTAGCCCCCTAATCCATCCACACCTTTCGAGCCATAGCTGGAAGACTGGCATTCTGATCGAGACCCATGGTGAGCCCCAGACCCTACATGCAATCCACACTGAGTTCCATCTCGCCGAAGCTTCTGGGCGTTTGCAACATCCACATCGCGAAGTGTTTCCGTCCAGTATCAATGTATGAGGTAGGTAAGAGGAGCATCAGTACCCCGGCAGAACCATGCTCGTGTCTATTGTCCTGAGCGTGAACTTGGCCCATTTCCTCGTTGGTCTCGACAACACCATTGTTTCCAGCGCCATTCTCAAAATCACCGACCAGTTTTATGTTCTCGGCGATCTTGGCTGGTACCCAAGCGCATAGTGTATATGCTCACAAAATGCTCCTTCCAGTTGGTGTGGGGCCAGCTCTTCAACTTTTACATCATCAAATGGACATGGCTGGCCGCGCTCTTTGTTTTCGAACTCGGCTCGCTGATCTGCGTGTCTCCGTCGTCAACAGCTCTGATCGTCGGCCGTGCAATCGCAGATATTGGTGGCGGCGGCGTTGGCAATGGCCGCTTTGATTGCCTATTCGGTTCTACCCCAGCAGCGACCGGCCTTACTTCAGTATGTGGATACTATGTGCAGTGGGCTTACCTGACCGTCCGGGCTTCTCACAACTCTCAGTGTAGGCTCTGGCCACGCTGAGTGGATTGGCTAAGGGGTCTTCTTTGATGCAGGCCCATTGCCCGGTCCGCAGCGCCTCACATAGTATCTTGGCCACCCTTGAGCCTAAAGTAGGGACAGGGATATTATCATTAGCATTATTAATATTTATCATTATTAATATTTCATTATCATTATCATTGTTGTTGTTGTTGTTGTTGTTCCGAGGCGAGAGACATTCAGTGTACCGGGCACCGTGAGCCTCCGCTCGGGCCATTAGTTCGCGACAGCGTCCCTTCACCACCTACTCGAAAATGGAACCTACTTAGATGGGCGGAGACCAATCAATACGTGACGGGTCCTGAAGGTTTCTGATCTACTACAAGACCTGTGCGAGACATGAGTGAAATTACCGCTGTCATTGGCATGCCGCCGGGACCCTGGGGCTGCCTCGAGTGTGAGACCGCAGTCTGTTCACGTAAGGAAAGGATCTCCAATCTGTATTTCTTAGAAACTGAAAAGACTGAATCCGTCTAAACAGGACTGGTGGCTGCAAGGCAGTGCCTCAAGCACTACCTGCGCCTAGGTAAAGAGGAGGCCAAAGTGGAGGGATCAAAGAAAAAGGGGCCAGCGACTCAAGGCTGGGCGCAGGTGCAGCAGCGGACATGAGTGGCACGCACGCTGGGTTAGGTGCGGCCAAAAAGAGAAGGTAGGGTAGATGGCGAGATTGACTGTTGCATTCCGCGCGATGTGACTTGGCGAAGCAACCTATAGTTCGAGAACAAAGAAACGCGCGGACTTTCAAGGGCGGACATAGGAGTGCAGATCGAGATTGAGCCACGGATCTGCCACAGGCCCCCTGGACGGTCCCCGGCGGTGCAGTGGGCACTGGACATGGATGCGAGAGAACCTAAGTTGGATGGGACACTCAGATATGCTTAATCTGACTCCAGATGGGGGAGCCCACATGGGAATCCACAAGCCGCCCCATCCCATCCACCAGAAGGCGTTCGCGCCCCCCCTTTTCTCCCCCTGTCCGACACGAGGTGCGCGGCACGAGATAGGGTGAGGAGTGGGCGAGAGGCCCACCAGCTCATTTCTGTATTCGTTCATTGGGGCCCCATTTGCGTTTTAGGAAACCTTACTGATTACTCGGGTAACGCTCGCGCGGTTCTGGCCTCCCGGGCACGAGGCCCAGAGAATCCGCGCCGCCTCCGCCACGTGGCAGTCTTCAGCCGCTAATCTTAGCGTGGTCAAGAACTCTAGGCCGTCAACTCTATCGTGATAGAAAAATTTTCACGTTATACCAGTCAAATGGATGTGATAGGCATAACTCATGAATGAGGCAATCATTCTGTCGATCCGCCCAGCAGCACCCAGGAACAGCTTCCCGGCTTCGGGGTCCTCCAAATAATTACCACAAGGTCGGGAGTATTCCAGAAATCCGTGGGTCGACCTTCTTGGCGATGGCATAGTATCTTCCTGTCACAAAACTATCCCAATTTCTCTCTCCGCGAGTGAATATTGGTGGAGAAAGTAAAGAATTTTTTGCGACGTAAAATCAAGGATACTCAGCGCTGATTAAATTGGGATTTTGGGATTCCGTGGTCCACGATATCCGCGGAAAATCGAAGGTATAGATGAGACAGAAAATTTCGAACATATGTTCAAACTCATGCGACTACCATCCACGTTTGAGGGGGCTTGCGGCTCGATCTAGACGGGAGTGGAGACTTCCGGGTCCGTGCCAAGCCGGCAACAAAGAGGCTGACGTTACAAGCTGGATACGTATAGCCCTAGTGTATGCATTCATAACGAATAAGATCAAGTGAATCAGAATCAGGATGAAAAAAATTTGTTTCAGGAACGAGACTAGGGGGCTAGGGGTCTTACATACATAAGCAAGGCCCATACGGGCGCGCTCATGCCCGTACGAAGGATACTCGGCCGATTCAAACACTCATGTTCATGGATAGTCCAAATTTCCATACCAAAACATATGGCATGCAGTCTTTGATGTGACTTGTCACATGATAGCGATAAGTTAGTCTCCATGTTTCGACAGAGGCTCTTGGCCCTGGAAAATACAGTATATGCGTGCCCCGGCTGGCTTGCTCCGTCCGTGCCCATACTCCCACGTGTTACCCTTGTCGGCCACCTTTTTCCCCCTCAAGAACTCGAACCCCTTCAGGACCTTCGAGTATATAAGCGAAATGTAGACCCTCATCCTTCTCCCCCCATATGCTAAGAACAATCATCTCAACCATATTTTGCCTAACATCGTCCTTGTTATCCTTCTTCGTTATGCATTACAGACAACCCCTCCGACGACCTTCACGCAACACCCATGAGTCTGGGACAAAATCCCGCTCAGTGGCTTCCATGTCGTCTTCTCACTTATTCCCAGTGAGCAATATGGACATGCCGCATAGCCCCAATGTGGAATACTATGATCCGTTCTTGGGACCTTCTCCCGATCAGGTCATCGCCAACCCTACCAGCTCGCCATTCAATATTGATAGCTGTGGAACTACGAGTATACCTATCGAATCCATAGTACACGCCACTCATCCATTGAATGAGTCTCAATTCAACGTCTCTGCCTTCGATGCCTTTCCCACAGGGCATATGGCAGAAAGGCAGGCCAGGAGTCATGTCCAACCCACTGCCGAACTGCGACATGCTGACCCTGAGAGCGATGCAAGGTCGGTATCCCATACCAGGCTTATGTTACTTGAATTTATGTTGGTTGACTCCGTTATAGTGAACATGGCACCCGTCCATACAAGTGTGGCTGGATAGGATGCAAGAACACCCAAGGGTTCAAACGCCCGGGATGTCTATGGCGACACATTAAGTGCATTCATGTCTGCCCGGGTTGGTTCAAGTGTCCTATTCCATATTGTGGCCAAAAGTTCAGCCGGAATGACAAGCTTCAAGGGCATATCCAAACTGTCCATGCAAGCAAACGACATGGGGCTGTCGCTGGTTGTCAATGCTGCCAGTCTTGATGGTTATGAGTGCTCCAGGTCCTTGGCTGTTCCATTTTGGGGCATAGATCTTCCCTGTTGTCTCTTCTTACAGCTGCTTTGTTGATACCTTTTCATTGTTTCCTTTTGTGTCAGTTTACGGGTTTATCTTCATGTGTCAATGGTAGATTAATGGACATGTCTTTCTTTCCTGTCAACTCACTATGATATATCGGTATGGCTGTCGGATCATGCTCAAGATTTCAATTTGTACAATCCATGCCCTATTATGGAAGGCTGAGCACCTCCAGGTGTACTGAGGTTTCACCATGATTGAGAGCAGGATATTTGCCCTACAGCCGCAAGAAGGAGAGATTCAAAAAGGGAGGGCCGATGAATCTATGCAGGTCTTCAAACCCACAGCAAAAAGATCCCTGACCCCGACTAGAAGAAGTTTCTTAGTCGAGTTGCTTTCTGCTACTACGTGACTTGGAATGATTCACATTTCTACCTTCAAGTCTTCATACCCTGTAGTTCTTGGCATCCCACCCACTAGGGCTTCTTCAGTTCAACACTTTCACTCGGAATCTACTCCGCTCTTGACCCTACGAGCAGAGAGACTCGATCGAGGACATTTTCACTTATCTCAAGTCTCAACCCCATGCTTTGAGCTCTCTTTGCATACTCTTCATCGTAGGGGTCCAGCCGAGAGAGAGTTTCCAGCATGCGTTTATACCACGGGCCCTGCAAGAAGTCCATGATAGAAAGCCCGATCTCATCGAACTCGGCGATGACCTCGGCTACCAAGATTTCAAAATCTCGCAGCAACAGCCGCTCTTCGTCCCGGATCTCATCGACCTCTGCCTTATCCAGGTGCACAATATCGTCCACTGAGATGTCGTCACTTTTCCGGCAGCATGTATGTCTGAGATCAAAAGCGTCGGCTGTCATGAGTCGAATGATCGATCGGTCGATATCGGCAGTTCTTCGAGTTCGATCAAGAAGAAACTTGAGAAATCGAGGGAAGTGGTTCATTCCCGCTCGTTTGTAAAATCTTGTTGACCGTTGAAGGCAGTGACGCAGCGCCGCAGCAAATGGGGTACAACCACCAGGCGAACAAGCACAAACGCATCCATCTTGATTTGATGCTTGCATGAGAAAATTCAAATGCTGAAAAGTATTTCCCTGATCTTGAACGTCTGAGGGGTTGGATGATGGAAAATTGGACGCTAATGCTTGTACCAATTCTGGATATAACTCGTTTGCCGCATACACTGCCATCAGATGCAAAACGGTGGAGTCGGAGCCTGGTAGTTTCCGATAAGGGTCTGCACCTTTGGAAATAAGCCATGATGCTCTTTGTTGAATGTGTGTGACTATTCCAGAAGGTCTATCAATGAACATCAAGGGGGTTCGACCAGTAGAATCTGGCAAGTCGACATTATGGAATCCAGCTTCATACAGCTGGTCCAAGATTGTGGTCCCCCCGATACAAAGTAGTCGGTAGACGGAAATGTGATCTTTTTCAAGAATTTCAAGCGCTGGATCTATGCGTGCGCTTCGCTCGAGCAGTGCAGTGTACACGGGCCGGGCATTTAGATCGAGGAGAGAATCATCTTCGACGTTCATTTGAAGGAGTTCTTTCGGAGATAGATTGGCTTGTGCAAGCTTCAGTAATCTTTTGCGTCGGGAAGCAAGCTCGTCGACGAAGACCGAGCTCATTTGCCCACCGTCGTTGAGATATTGACAGAGGCTTATATCGTCCAGAGTCATTTTGCAGCCAGCCCGGAGCAAGGTATTCGCAGATTGCCAATGCCGCCCGCGGATAGCAATCTCCAGTGGGGAGGTTGCTGTATATTGATGCAGGTCCGCCCCTGCGTCCAGTAGAATTTCAATGCCTCTAGGCCAGCCCACAGCAAGCTGAAGTAGCGTCTTACTCCCGATTGCATCATTGGGAGAGCTGTTGCCCGATCGAAGTGCATATAGTAGGTCGGTCTCGGCCTCTTGTATGATAAACTTCGCCACGTCGGGAATAGCGACCGCTGTTGAAGAAGTAAGTACTGAGCGGAGATAAATTTTACCACTGAACATTGGCTACTCACCTTCTTCATTTTCGGAGAGTACCCGGCGCATGTTATTCTTACTGAATGGCGCTTGGAACGCTCCTTCGATGGTCAAAAAACCACCATGCTGAACTAGCAAGAGGAGCAATCGTAACTTCTGGTCGTCAAGCTCTGAAGCCCCAATAAAAGTGTCTATACCTGTTGCACCTCGGCTGTGTGACTTGTCTAAAAGTGCACCTTGGTGAATCAGGAACATGAACAGCCTCAAGAACGCGTCAAAGGTATCCGTGTGCCACTTAGAGCTCGCCCAAAAGGCTGTGCAAGTTGCCTATAAACAATTTAGCATCCCAAAATCAGGATTAGAAGGTCCTAAATGATGTTTAAACTCGAACGTACATCCAAGAGAGACCTTCCCTCTTGAGTAACGTCTGAGGGTGAGGCTTGACGTTCGCTGAATAGATACTGGAACTGGTCGATCATTTCATTGACAAATCGATCGGCAACCCATGATTTCCCTGTTAACGCATATAGATAAATCGTTCGAAATCCCGGACTATTCGGAGATAAAGGGACATGAAAGTTCAGGGTAGGGGCAATAGAGAACCCCCCAGCCCCTCTTGTCAGTGAGAAGGATGCAACGATACTCAGATTCAAGAGGCGGCTGTAATAGCTGTACGTTTTGACCGCTTGCTCTGATGGTGATCGGCGGTCATAATGGCATGTCAGCTCTCGCTGTCGATTGCACCAGGATTGGAGTAATTCTGGGGGTGGCGGTGAAGACTTTCGTGGGATTTGCTGCAGCTCTAGATTCTGGTTGGACAAGTCAGTATACTCTACCCTAGTCAACTCGAATTAGCATGGTGGTAAGTACCATTGCCTGAACTTCACGAAGCAATTTCGCTTGCATCAGCACTATTGATGGAATAAGACGCACATTTTGTGCCGAAAATCTGTACGATAGTCAATATCTCCCTGAGTTAGCTCCGCCATATCACGAAGCTCGGAACTCACACATGAAGTGACGTATGCAGGTTAATTTGAATAGCATCCAGGTCATTAGCCAAGGCGCGTAGCTCATCTTTACGAAACGGATACGCCGCTCTTTTGCCCTGAGCGCGGACCTTGTCGCTGAAGCTTTCCGGAGAGACGGCAGGTCTCAAGCGATCAATAGATGTCTTAACCCTGCCAATGCCTCCACGAAGAATCCCAATTTTATCCTGCAGGTCATCAGCCACGTCTGGATCCATGACTTGTGTCTCCTTGATGATCTGCTGCAGTGCCTGAAGCGGCGCGCCGAGCCCGTCGGCTTTGTTGGCAATGTCTTGGATCTCCCGGTGTGCTCCCCGCCATGACTTGCAGTAGGAGACAATCTCTTCGCGCATTTGTAGGGCTAGAGAGAGAACGCCCAGTGCGGAACCCGCTATCGACAAAGGATCTGCCATATTTCGATAGCCCAGGGCTTCGTGCTGAGAATTGTGCACCAGAGGTGAGGGGCTGCCGCTCATCACGCTCGTATTGCCCCACGCTAGTTGCCTGGGCAAGCACGGCTCAACTCTACATGACTCCGAGCTGAGTCCAGAATATCCTTGCCTATAGCCGCTAGATGATGAAATCCTCGATGGGTAAGATTTTATGTTTGGTATGTCAACAGGCCTGGAAATCATTCGATTTGCCATCAGCTATTACATATCGAAATGCGATAAACTTGGATCTAACGACCGACGCTAACCGATAGTCGAACTAAATGACATCTGCCCTCTTACAGTTTTGGGATGGCAAAAACACCCCGCAGTGCAAGTTCCAGGTCCATCAAACAAACTATAGCTCCTTGCGCACCGCCGACTTGAACTACATTCCGCAATATTAGCAATGAAAACGCCTAGAAACCATACTCATCGTAGGCAATCCTCCACGTACCGGAATAATCTGGGCATTGGCCAGATCCCACACGCCACTGGTGGTGTAGATGTCCTTCTCCAGGATCTCGCGCACCTCGGCCTCGCTCTCGGCCACGGCGAGCATCATGCTGCCCTTGAAGGCGGGAGTCTCGCCCTCGGCGGGGTGAGACTCGAGCATGGCACCTGTGCGAAGACGCGTGTCAGTATTGGCAACGAAAACATTATCAGTCATCGGGAGGTATGCCGCTTCAGGGTCTGATGACACAAGCCGAAATGATAGCCGGGCCGTTCCGACCTCGCGGAGCACCGGTGCGATAGCAAAATGAACAGCAATAACAACAGTCAAACACACGTACCGCCAACGACGATAGAGCCTGCGGCAACGAGGGGCTTCACACCCTCCAGATGAGAGCTGGAAGAGCACTGTCAGCCATAGTATCGCAACATGTCCAGCGCGGGGCCCACTCACGGCCGCACTTCGAGGCGCTTTGCCTGCGCGCCGGGCTTATCCGGCAGGATGCAGAGGTATTCCTTCTTCGCGGGGGCGGATGACATGGTGCGTAATTGGAGGTGTTGCTGTCGCGGGCAATTGAACAGTGTGGAAGGTCGAGAAGAAGGGAGAATTGGTGAAGGAGACGGAAATAATCTGGCCGGCGCGCGGAGAAATGGTCGCCGAGCGTGGGGGAAAGCGGGGACGCGCGTGGGCAGGCTGTAGCACTTCGGAGGCATTTCGGCTGACGGGGTGGCCTATGAGGATTATGCTCGGTCTGACAGTTGAGAAATAGGGCAATGATGGATGGGGTGGGGTGTCATCGGAGTTGTCCCTTGATTTTCCGTGGTTGGGCGCGCGGGGAGTTAGGGATTGACCCGTGCTCTGGGGACTATCCGGACTACCTCCGCCCAGTGTCGGGATATATGGGGTTTAATCCGGCGGGAGGCCGGTCGTTGAGAGCAGACAATAGAGTGGCTTGCGTAAAGATACCAAAGACAAACAATTTATTATGTACACGAACTTAGTGCGTAGTCCGCTAGAGCAAGTCTGTCTCTGTCTGCTCATGCAGTGTAGAACCGACGAGTCCTCTTGGAAGAGACCCAATGTCACCGAATCCTCCACTAATCCTCCGACAGACCAGTCAAAAGACGCCAGTTCAACAAGGGCAAGAAATGAAAATGATAGAAAAAGGGGGCAAGAAATTCAGACGGTTCCGAAGTGTAGGATCGAAACGGAGTTGGATAGGAAAGGGAATGATTGGAAACAAATGGCATGACAGTAACAATCCGGTTCTCGGCCATTAGGAAAAGTTTGCAAGAAGAGAGAGATGATGATGATGATGGAGATTCACTCGTAACAACCCGTTCCACGGCCATAGACATGATGATGACCAGGGCCCCGGAAAACTGGGCACGGTGTGGACCACCGGGTAACAGCACAAATTCAGTATATCAAGAGAGGTCTGGAGATCCGGCGAACTCTATAGACCCTGCAATCCTGCCAAACAGCATTTTCCCCCGTAGCGCCAAGGTAACAAATACACACACTCCCTAGAACGCGGCACGAAGATGGTGGATTATGAAAAATCATTAGGCTTCCGTCGCGAACCATCCCTCCACGATAAAGAAGCGGAGAGCGGATCACAGTGGAAATGGGAATGAGAAAGGCACCGTGTCTGCACACGACGACCGAGTGTAAGCGAGAAGGCGCGCTGCTCCGTATGGTCGAAGAGGAAATGGGAGGATGATCGGATACGGATCGGGTGCAAAGATCAACTTTGACCCGGGCGGAATGGCTCACCAGCTATTGAGAGGCAGATGGGCGCCATTAGTACGCCTTGCGATCTCCCAGGTTGCCGGGCTTCTCGTCCGTGTCAATGTGCCAGACCACGTAGTTGGGCAGTCCGACGACCTGGTAGCCGGCGCGCTTGGCCATCTTGGCGAAGCCTTCGGTTTCGGCCTGGTTCTCGAAAGCGTATGCAGGGAAGTTGATGCCTACCAAGGTCGGTTAGAACGGATATCCGCATCAGCAGGACATAACAAATTATAGTCGTTACATACCCGAACGGTGAACATCAGCCTTGACAAGGATGTTGACGCCACCAATGCCGTCAAGCTCGACCTCCTCGTCCTTGTTCTTTCTCCAGTCACCCATGCTAACCAGGTATGTACGGCCAGTGTCGTACTCCTTGTAGCCTTCGGCCAGAACAGTGTCGGGGTCCAGCGTTTCGCGCAGGCGGCGGGCCTTGTCGGATTCGATCCACGAGTTGTAGTCGACTAGCAAGAGGTCAAATGTCAGCAAAAGGGAACGCCCGAGGTGTCAAAAAAAAAGCCCGGGAATAGACGTACAGCGACCCTCAACGTCGCGGTTATCACGGTAGCGGTGGAACCAAATGTCTGTTAAACGCTCGTTAGCCTGGCACCCTCACGGTCACAAGTTATCTCATCGTTGGATTTAACGTACTCGGCACAAGAATATCCTTGTCGTGAGCCATGAAGTCCTCCAAAATGCGCTCCGGGCAATCCGTAATATCCACGTCACGCCAGTAAACCCACGAGTGGTCGGGCTTGAGGGCCGAATACAGCAGGTAGTTGCGGGCACGGCCGATCGCCTTGCGCCGAGGACCCTGAGCAGCGAAGGAGTGTCGCTCCTCCACACTCATTTCGGTCTCGGCACCAAAGTCCTTCTTGATGACGGTCGCGCTGCGGAAGCGAATTTTTTCATCGGCGTGGTTCTGGATGCGATCGAGCTCGGACGCAAGATCGGCCAGGGTGTCATCCTTGGAGTCACCGACAAGGAAGGCTAGGTCGATCAGGTCGTGGGGATAGGTCAACTTGTACAGGAGGTCGAAGTAATTCGCGAGGTAGGGGGAGGCGTCGCGAAGAGGGGTCAGGATGAGAACTCGCTCGCGGTTGAGGAAGGCCTGGGTGGTGGACTTGATGGGGTTGAGATCGATTTCAGAGATGGAAGTGCTGTTAACTTCGTAGGGCTCGTGGTGGTTGAAGAGGACGGGTGTCTGGGCGTGGGCATTCCACTCAACCATCTCGTTGAGGGACATCTCCATCGGAGATTTGGAGGGGCCATAGCAGTAGAAACTAGACGCAGGGCGATGGTCAGTACAGTCGACACGCAGCAGGCAAGGACAGGCGCATACTTTTGCATCTCCGACGCAGACTTGCTGACGCCGCGCCACAGCAGGATAACAAGGCCCGTCACGGCCACGGAGACCAAAAAGCGAGTTCGCGTCAGGAGAACGAGCACCGCCCTCCATGGAGGCAGACCAGCCCTGGCGGACTTCCAATTCACTCCGCCCTTTGGCAATAGCATCTTGAGGGCGAAAAGAGGATGTTAAGGGAGAACGAGAGTGGTAGACAGTTTCGGGGGTTGAGTGTCGACTTCAGGAGCCTTGCAAACCGGCGATCCGGGGGGGGTCTGGATGGGCACGCCCGTCGAAAGCCCCTTACCGACCGAACGAATGAGGCCTCAGAGGACGCGCGGAGGACCACAATCGAAATCACCCGATGAGGCTGGTGATGGGAGAGGTGGAAGGAGTGGCCGTAGTTAAGGAGGAGGGAAAAAGAGCAGGACGGGATCGCCGGGGGAATTGGCCTGCCAAGCGGAACGGCTAAACCCAGCGTAACGCTGAGACGGCACCGGCCACGGTCCAGAACCGGTGCGGTAAGCTCATTTAGTTTCTTTGGCATGGAGAACCCGTCGATTCCGATCAGACGAGTTCTACATAAAGCTAATACCGGTTCATCTCGGACGAGTTGTTAATTGGGGGATAGGCTATTCCCCTTCAATCTGGGGGAGGTTTTGCCAGCCACGGACCCTAGGCTTATTTATAGCACATCTAAGCGTGGCACCAGTGATCGCCAGGAAAACAACAATTGACCGATAGGAATGGGATGATACCCATGCTGTATATGCTGTTCATAGTGTGGGTACTCCAGAATGGTGTATACCCGCGCACTAACCTACCCCTGATGCATCTCTGAAGGCGACACTATTATTTTCCTTTTTTAACATGCGTCACTGACGCTACTTTCGACCGGCTGTGGCGTTTGCCCCAGTCAACACGTCAAGCAGCCCTTCAAGAAGTCCAAAAGTATGGGGACTAGAATGATCAGACTACTAGTTTTCAAGGCCGCTGTCAATTTAATTATCTGGCGGTACCGATCGAGCGCTCTAAAATAGCGAGTCTAGAACAATGCTGAAACGGGGGAAACCAAAGCTTCAGCCAACGCCAACGCGGTACATTCGTGCTCGATAATTTAAGTCCAACTACAAGCAATCATGGGCCAGAACCCCAGATAGCCTCTCCTCACGAGCGTATGGACAATCCATATGGATAACTTCAGTCCACAGAACCTAGCAGATTATGACCCCTGGACACACGAACATCTACTTCATCTAGCCCAAACATACTATGCAGCGTAGAAAGTCAGTGTCGTACCTATACAAACACAGAATGTCTTCATGACCCATTGGTCACTGCCCTATTTGACGAACATGATGAGGGCCGCCAGGACAGTTTTCTAAATTGTTCTAGATTCGCACCTTGGTCACCTCCCCATACTGACGTCGGCTACTGGTCGGGACATCGATGGATATGCCGTCATTGCCCCCGCTAAAGATCAAAGCTACGGTATACGGTATCCTTGGGCTTTCTGGTAGACAATATGGTCCCCGGTCCTGCCAGCGAGACCACCGGAGTCAACAACGACAACTGGGTGGACAGCGCAGGCTTAAAAGCCTCTCGGCTCGTTGAAATGCTCCTACTGGAGCCAAATCACTTGTTTAGTGAAACTTGTTTGCTTGCATTCAGCGCCAGAAATCTTCTTCTCGGCTATTCTTTCTATCCTAATATGATATGAGACGCAGAGCTCAGAATGCTGGAGAGCAACTTTTGCGCTATTGCGAGGCGAGACGTGGCAGACGACAACCATGGGGACCTACGCGGCTATCAACGAGGACCGGCCAGCAACCAAGGCTTTAGCTGGCTATATGTCTAATTGACGCGAAGTTGCCGCTGGCATATTCTTCCTTCCCTATGAATTCTGCTTGATAGCGTTTCTATATCATCTCTATGTGGGAGTCATATGGCTAAATAACTTGTACCTAATAGGCTGGGAGAATCGTTGACATTCTTAGTGAATTAAATACTGTACCGGTATTCGAATAGGCAAAACATTTTTCTGATGGGAGGCTTGGCCTTGGATGAGGATGTGGCCCTGCCCCGGGACGAAGTCCTATGCAATGACTCACGTGTAAGAACGGACTTGATAGAGGATATATTGCCTACGAGGGACGCGGTGCTAGATGCAGATCTAGCCATGCCCATGGAATCGGCCATTCTTACTCACAACATCGCATGAAAGGCCGGCTGAACAACCCACGCTCCAACCAACATGTCCATCCACAAATCAACGATAATGATTATGATTATTTCCTACGTTAAGGAATCGGGGGAACTCCGAAAATGGCTACAAGCACAGAAGTGACTTTGGGCAAGGTTGGAGAGAGAGAGAGAGAGAGAGAGAGAGTGTGTGTGTGTGTGTGTGTGTGTGGGTTCCCATCTTATACTCCAAGTCAAGATAGTTGCTTTCGCACGCCGAACTCATCGGTGTTACATTATTCTGGGATTTAGGTCGTCCTCCCACAAAGTAACTTAGCAATGGGCCCTAGTGGCTCTATTGAACCCCATGCATGCCGTCGAACTACACGGGTTCAACATAAAACTGCAATACTTGTTACGCAGACTGTATTTGAAGCAAGGCCACATGGCGGAAGTAGATAGGATTTGAATGCCACCTAGATGAACCTGAAGATGAGATTGAGGGAGTCACCTTTTGAATCCTGTGTCGGAACCTTCGTTTATATATCTAACGTTGGACCAACCCATTGACAAAAGCTTCCTCGTTCCCCTTCAAAAAAACGGTCCAGAAACTGGTTTGGTAATCCCACCCGTTCCAGTCGAAATTAATCTAACAAATGAGCAACAAAAGGTTTTGTTTAGATGATATTCCATTCTTACAAACGAGATTTATCTTGATCATCCTTTGGCCCGACCGTGTAAACAGATTATAGACTGTATTTGGAAAACACACACACACACACACACAAACACACACACACACTACGTCGAGAACCCAGAGCCAAGTGCTGGGGAGTACGTGTCCGGTGGATGCCGCTAAATACCAAACGTGTTCTTGACGGCGATTTATTACTCATTACTAGTTCCAAGGCATTTCGGAAGACGAAATTTCTATCAGAAGAATTCATAATTGACAGTCAAAGACTATAGACAAGAAACGCACAAAGGAAAGAGTAAAAGAATAAACACAGAAGAGATAAGACCACCCGATCATATATCCATATCCTAACAGCGCCAAAGAATAAACAAACGAAAGATAAGAAACTGAGAAAGAGCAAAAAAAGACGAGCCACCCGTTTTGGTTGAGCAAATATTCAGAAAATCCATCCAAAAAGAAGGGGGCATATATAGAAGACAAGATTCGCACCAACGAAAAATAGAGGAAAGAACACGGAGCAGGACTGGGGACCTCGCCTCTCCCAGGGGTAAAGTGGCAAGGTCAAATAGTGGTACAATGCAGACGCTAAAGGGGGAACAATGCAGCGGAGGAAGACAGACGAATGAGGTATTGGTGGCGAATCTCGTCTGCCAGAGCCTACCAGCGACGCACAGGTATCAAGGGGGCACACAACGCCGCCGTCTGCAAGGGGCGGGGGTGTGTGCGGGTCTGGTGCGGGCGGTAGCAAGGTAAAGCGGTAGTAGTGGTAGGGTCATGAACATCAGCATCAATACATGTATTGGCATGGGTTATGGTCGCCACATCGTGGCTCAGGGCGAGCCAAGCAGGGACGGGCGGCGCGAGGCCGAGAAGGTGAAGGAGGAAGCCTGCGATAGCGGGAACGCAGGGGATGAAGGGCCTGTAGTGGGTGGCGTTGAGCTGAGGTACGAGCTGCTGAAGGTCTGCGATGTAGCGCTGGAAAGGCCGTCGTGGTGCTGATACTGCGCCTCAGGGGCCCGGCTGGCTTCGATCTCGTCGCAGAAGACACGTAAGCCTGGCAACGCCTTCTTCTGGCGCTTGTGCTCGGGGACGTCGACCAGCGTTTGTGGGCTGGTGTTCTCGGTCTTCGGCGAGCGGAACATCTGCTCGTAGGACTTGAGCTGGAACTCGAGGGCGCGGTTACGGTCGGCCAGCAGCTCGTTCTCGGCCTTGGCAGCGCGCAACTGCTGCTGCGTAGTTTGGTTCTGTTGCTGGAGGGAAGTAACCAGCTGCTGCAGCTGCATGCAGCGGACCTGGGGCTGTAGCTTTTCGGAGAGCTGGGGAGAGACTTGTTCCTGGCGAATCAGGTGGACGATAATGGCCAGCATGAAGTCGATGAGATACACGGCACCCTGAACGATGTGCTCCTTGGACTGTGGCAGGCTCTTGGATGGATTCCAGCCGGCACGCTCCAGGAAGAAATCGTGGATGCGGCTGTCCAGCTCGCGGTGCAACTGGCTGAGGTTCTTGCGGCGATTGCCTTCGGCGATGCGGTGCTTCTCGCGCTGGTCATCCGGGTCAGGCGAGATAATGCTACCCTTGCGCTTGCGCCCGCAGAGCTGCTGCAGAGGTGCCTTGCGGTTGATGTTCTGGGGAGCAATCAGAGTCATGATCTCCGTCTGGGAGAGATCCGTCGGCCATTCGGTCGAGGCCGCTTTCTGGGCTACGAACGACTCCTGCCAGGAGCTTTCAGCGGAGTTGGCTGGCGAGGGCGGTGCCACAATCGGCTCGTTGCCGGACCATGGGGACTTGAACTGAAACGAGTCCTGGGGCCCCGGGGTGCTAGGAGCAAAGGCATCCTTGACCTGGAAAGGGTTGAAAGGGCCGCGGGGCAGAGGCTCCATGCGTGGTGGGAGGAGGCAGGCGGCGGTCCTCGCCCAGGTTGGTCGTGCCGGTGATGCTGGGAGTCGTCGATTTGAGAGAGCTATATATAATTCCATTAGATCGAGGGCCCCGGGAGTCGGGCAGCTGGTAGGCAACTCACGGAAGCGAGCAGCGTCGCGGAATGTCATCAGTCATAGAACCCATTTCTTCATACATCATTGTTGGTCGTCAAGCACAGGCGTGGAAGGATTGATATTTGCAGAGGGCGAAGGGAGTCGGTGCCGTCGAGTCAAAAGCCACAAGAATCTATGTACGAAATATAACAAGGGACTGAGCACGTCCTTTCACACGGGGTATCCACACACGGTCAAAGACAGGGAGGGATGGGGTCGAGAGAGAGCCGGTGGTTGTCGTCACCGATCAACAATCGCAATGTATGTAAACGAAAACGTGTGGATGAACAAAGGGGGAGAGGCGTTAAGCAGATATGAACAAAGAAGGGCGAGGATAGGATCAAAACCCACGCGAGGCGAAGACAATGAGTGAGACAGTTCAGCTTGAGAGTGACGGGGCTGGATGCATGTTTATATGGGGACGGGCCATGATGAGGAGGTCCAGGAGGGGAAAGGGCGAAAAAGGACTTTTGGTGGCTCGCCATGTATCAAGCCATGCAACGATCGAGGGCGACCCCGAAGCTCGGGACTCGTCATCTGGCTCCTGACCCAAGAGGGGGGAAAGCATGAACGATCAGGGCCGATCATCGACAGACATCAAGCGCGGAAGACCGGGATGTCATACAGACAGATACCGTGCATGCTGCATGGCGTCCGGCTGGAGACCCACGGTTACGACGGGGAAGCGAGGCTGGCCATCCGGGTGGGCTCTGGACTGCATTGACCAGGACGGGTGTCGGGGTGAAGCGCCAAAAAAAGATCTCTAGGGCCCAGGGAGATTGTCAGCGTATCTGTCACATCCCGTGCAGACGAACCATGTCGTCGCCAACGAGCAGATCAGCGAATCAGTGCCACTCGATCGTGCCTGAAAGGCAGGTCCGGAGCGAGGATCCACGGCTCTTGATTTGTCAACCGGCCTGCTGGTATCGCGATCGTCTCGGGGAAAGCCAGAGGGACCAGCCGTGCGGTGCCCTTGCATCGATAGTCCCTAATGAAGGCCACTGAACTGTCATAATTCCCATTGTGATCTTGAATCGCATTGGAATAATACTCATGTTGTGAATGCCATTCTCTCTTGCCCGTGCATAATTAGCCTGGAGACGGCTCAACCCCTCTTGGAATTCCTCCGTTTCCCTGAGTTTCGGCAGAGAAAGTTCTCGGACACAAGACGCGAGGATACACTAGTCGCTTCGTTCCTTGGTCCGAGATACTTCCCGCCCGTCCGGACTGGGTCGGAGTCAAAAAAAAAAAAAATAACCACAATAATATGATGTTTTTCATCATGTCGTATCCTCTTGGATCATGAATTTATAAGACCTTTCCTAAAACGGATTCTGGACGCCGTACTTGCATATTCCAGATCGAAAAAGAAATCAAAACCACCGCTTGGATCTAGACGCATCACGAACCATCTTGAGACGTCGGCTGTAACAGATATGCTCGCATCGAATGGTTCCTGGGGGAGCCCTCGATCGCATGCATCGATATTCAGGAGAACCTACCATGATAGCTAGGAGCTCATCAAGGGGTTTGTGTTGATCCTTCTTCCGCGAACCAGCTCCTCTCGGGGTATTTCCAGCGTCGTGCTTCAAAGTCAAATAGAGGGAAGCAAGGACCCTCGGAAGGTACCATTATGAGACATGCGAGGAGGGCCAGCAGCCATTAGAGAGGGACTTCCATTCGCTCCATTCTGATACGCAAAGGGTCATCAAATCAAATAATCTGGCAGCCTAGCAGATTGAAAAATGGCATTGAACAAGAAGCGGCGTTCGCCGAACACGGGCGGATCTACAGAGGAGTCCGGGGGAGTACTCATGATCATATCATTCGACAACCAGGAGCATTACTGACGGGGATGTGTTCGGGTGAGCGAATCACCAGGGGGTGAATCATCCAGAAGCGAGGTGATCGCTCGAGGATAACCACCGAGTTGGGACGCTCCAAGACCCAGCGACCAGGATAGCATGCCTGTCAGTCATCGAATCAGCGCCACCGAAGTGATTTGGAATTGGAGAAAGTGACACACGGACGTTGGGCTTTCCGTTAGTCTTGTTGCTGGGGAGGAGTTGGACGAGTCATGAGCCACAGAGTATCGCCGGCAGGTGACGGGGCCAAGCCCTAACCACTTGCACGTTCCTCCAGGCGGGGATCCGCCCCACGCCCTCAGCCCATGCGATGAGGTTCAGGGAAATAATCATTTTTCCTAGGTTATTACAGGGCTGCTCCTCTGTCTCGGCCCATGGTCGGTAAGAGGGGTAGTGGGTCCTCGCAGCGACCGGGATCAGAGCTGTCATATTTCGTCCCCCCTCGGCCTCATCCGGGGGGGCCCTAGCGGACTAGTCCCCACGTTCTCGCTGGAGTTTTGCTTTCCTCAAGGCGTTCACCGAGCTATCCACTCGCTATGTGGGTATTGATACCGTCGCCGGGAAATTCCCCAGGCAGTGAGAGACAGCAGGTTAACGGTTGACAGTAACGGTGTTGAACGGAATTATGTAGTATAACCGCACTACGGTTGCCCTTCTCTTTCCTTATTTTGTCTCCTCTCTGCTTCCTCTCCTCCATCATGTGTGATGTTCTTCTACCCCCTCTGTTACGCTGGACCCATTCCCAAAGCCAATTTGTGCTTCTTGCATGCCACCGGCTCCGTTCGTAGGGACCCGCGGCTGCGCCTAAGACCAGTTTGCAGCCGGCACGCAGCAAGCGGCTGCAGGAGCACTCGAGGGGAAAACACAGACACACCGAGCACGAACCATTCGAGATCAGCCAAACCTACTTCACCTTCCGGAACTTCCCCGGACCCATCAGGTTCAACGATCTTCCAGATGTTGCGTCTCCCTGTCTACCCTTTTGAGTGACGTACAGTTGGTCCCGTCCCTGGGTATGCACTCCGTGTCATCCGACAGGCCTATGGGCCTTCGTTCAGTACTAATTTGAGTTCAAGGTCAGAGATCACACCCTGCGACCCTGATCCCTGGGAACTGAATCTGAGTCCGAGCCCTGTGTTGTCTCTAGTGTTTACTTAGGTGGTTCCTGGCCTTGGGAACCCGAATCCCAGGACAGGCAAGAATCGAGAGATCGATCGTACACTTCGAAGACTAGCAGTAGCACTCCTATCTTGCATTCTACTGTCTCCCCCGTCTTCTGCGGGTTGGCACCATACTATTTCAAACCTCTAAGCTCGCTCGGCGTTCGGGCGGGATCTCGTCCCGGGCGGCTCCAGTTACAAGGACCAGCCCTGTTTACTTTGATTTTGCCTCCACGGGCCAGGGGCTCACTGACCAAACCCTGCAGGCCAATAATCGCGGTCGGCTGGCCCTCCTCACGCCGAGTTATTCCCAATAGTCGCCACTAGTTGACTCAGCCGACGAGGGAGACCCTCCCGCGACCTGTCATGTCACAATCGTCGAATGGATGACATGGCGGGGGCAGTATCGTCCTCGGGGAGGACAGGAGAAAGATCAATTGAGTGACTGCCTTCAAGACCGTACAGAATTGGGGGGGGGGGACCAATTTTCGGGTCTCCATGGTAAATCTGAGATCTCACTCCTTCCGGATCAACTTGCTCGTCCGCTCGATCTACGGCTTTTTCCACGCCATATACGATTGCGGGCTTCGATCTCAGGACCAAAAAAAGTGTTCCAAAAGTACCGGTTCATGCGCTTTGTCCACTACTGCGATATCTCTCCGTGCCCGCAATTGGGGTCCGCCTTAGATACTTCGACTACAACACGCTACAAATATACTGCTCCCCACCAACACGACTCGCTTTCACACACGGTACTCCGCTGAACACCCGTAGAGTAACCCATTGCGGGGATACGATCCGTTTCTTCAGTTGAAGATCGATCCGCTCTCAGTTGCGTCTTCTAGATCCGGGTTGTTCACCTCCTCTACCCTCTTCCCTGTAGGTACAGCAAACTACTGTATGTGCTGGCAGACCCCACTGGGAAATCAGATCCGCCTACATTTCATCCCAGTCAAGTGGCAAGCATGGAGGTGGACTCGTGCTTGGGCTCATGGGATGCATGGGTCATGAGGAAGGGATGAGTGTGCTCGTTCAGCCATGATACGAGGTGCCTGGGTGGCATCATGCCAAAGGGCTATGGCCTCTCCCAAGGCAGCTATAGGCATACAAGGAAGTCCGAAAGTCCCTACGAGCACGATAGAATATGATGTGCAGAAGTAATTGTATCCCATACATAATGTCGACTGGTGGGAGCGCCGCAAGGGCCAGGAGTCATAATTGGAGGGCCGTCAACTGGGGGACATACTGTTGTCCCTCGGGGCCGTGCCCAAGACGTCCAAAATACCTACTGTAGGGTAGCCCCGATAAAAGAAACGCGCACTAGGTATGTCTCTGCTCGAAGCCACGATGCTCCTCAGCAGAGTTTCATAAACAAATTGTTTGAATTATCCGACTGGTCGCCGCGGTCACCGGATGCTGCAAGGACTACAGGTACCATACAGATCTAGTAGCGCCTTGGCATAGATTCAAGGTCTATTCCGGGAGTACTATATTCGGAACTCAAATTCGCTGCATCTGACACATCTCAGTAAGAAGCAGGCCGGAGATGCTCGCAGCCCGTGGAGTCTGTCCTCGATCGGCCTGAAAGTTTGGGTTCCTACATGCTGCATTTGCATGGGGCAATATCCATGTACGCTCTCCATCGTCTGCCGCTCATCGACCTCGGGATCCTATTTCCCAGGTCTCCACTTCCCAAGTACCTGGATCACCAGTTGCCTCCAATGCAAGGCGAAAGTGTCCTAATGGATATCGGAAGGGCTAGACCCCGATCTTTGCGCATCACTTCGCCTTCATTCAGGTACCCTTCCCACATACAGTATACAGGATGCAGCGGGATGGCGACAAGGTACCGCAAAGTCCATGGAGAAGGTATCCGGAGTACTCGGGACGATGTATCCCTTGCCACCACTGCCCCCACACGCCTTGCCCTGTGTATTGTAGTCCACTTTCCCCGAGAGACCGACTCATCCTCCTCTCTCGCTCCCACTCCACTAGAGGTATCTTTGATGCCAGCCTTTAGCGGGAGGCCAAAAATTACTGCAAGAAAGACTTTCCACGGTCCCTTCGGTTCATGGCCCTCACGAACTCACAGACATGCTCAAAAGTTCCGTCCAACTCATACAAATCTCCCGGCATCCAGGCCCCCCCCAACTTCGCGAAACACTCCCTCTTAGCACCCCCGATCAGATCCCGATCGCTTGCTCCTTGCGAGAGTTTGATACCCTAATTACTCCACACAAAGGTTATAGAATTGCTCCCGAAAACCCCAGCCAATCATCCACCCCTCGGTGCTGCTCGGCTCCCAAAGTGACAGGGAAAAGTCCAAACTTTAATTGCTATCCCCGCGCGAAGACCAGGCTGGACCCCAACACGACAAGGATGGCACCACTCGCACAAGGGAAAGAAGCTCTGTGACAGAGAAGAGGATCCCGGGCGCTCCAATTTATTCGTTGAGCGCGAGTAAATTGTCAACAGAGCCTCGTACCCTCCTCCACCTCCGCCTCCTCATGAATGGACGGATCGCGCCTAGACGGGCCAACTAGTGCGGCCCGGTCGATAGGAATCAGGCCCGTGGGCGCTTTCGCGATGGGCGCCTCTCTGATCTGTCACCCCCATTCAACGTATACCGCCGGGTTCGTCCCTGGAAGTTTGCGTTTTACTTGTGCAGGCACGATCCCTCCCGAGCCACGTACGTGGGTAGAAAGAGGGGGAGCATGCACTTGCGTTCGTGCTTTTGTTCGCACTGGGCTACTTTTAAGCTAGCCGAGTCAGTTCGCCCTGAACACACACCAACGCCGAGCCAAAGCCAAAGCCAAAGTCCAAGCCAAAGCCAAAACCAAAGCCAAAGTTAAAGCTAAAGCCAAAGCCAAAGCCAAAGCCAAAGCTAGAGCTATCCCACACATCTCATCGTACACCTGCAAAGGCCGGGTTCCTTGATTCCGCATCCTGTTCCTGCTTCTCGCGCATGCAAGATAAGATCATTTCGCGATCGCACTCCCCGTCTATATCGCCATGCAGTTACTCTTCCAGTCCCACATTCTAGGCCTGGACTCTGGTTCCGTTCTCCATACTCCGTACTTTCTTTGCTAGTGGCAGTCGAAGCGTTCACCCCGCCCCCAGCCACCCATTAATCCACCACGACCACGGCCAACATCTCAGGTAATGGAAACTCCTCGCCTTTTCCCTGTCCAATTGTCCTGGTTGGACTCTTGTGTTGGGGACGATGCGCGTCTAACCAAAACCTTAGACCCCAGTTCACTACTGTACTCCGTAAAACCCACACCACCCAGCCCCCCGCCCGCCATGCTAGAAATAAACCTCCGATCTCGCGGTACAATGCGGCCTTAGTTTAGGACCTACTCCATCAGCCTAACAAATCTAACTACTGTTCGGAGGATGGTGTATTCGCTACGAAGTTCTTCATGAAGTACCTTTGGCGCCCAGTGATCATCACGCCCACCCATCTGACCCTCGAATCGGAACCGTCGCACCATCTCACTAAGGGCCCAGCTCTCCGGGCCCAACACTCGACACATCCACTTGGCGTCTCCGGCACCGTGGGGAGTGGGCGGTGATGGTGGTTCGTTTCCGCTGCAAGACACGAGCACCTGAGACGCACATGGCCGAAAACGAACCGCTTCTCAGAGCGGGGAAGTGTTATACATCCAGCGGAGGATCCATTTTTCGCATCTTTGCACACCTACTAACTCCTCTATTTGCCGCCAAGGCGTAGGCGTGGTTCGCGATCGTGGTCGTGGTCGTGTTCCGCCCGCTTGATCGCCTCTCCTTCTAGCTCCAGCCTTGTGCTTGTGCACCCTTAGTCCCACTACGTCACGGTTCCAGTCGTCCCCGCCCTTCTAGCCACCTAGCCACCGCTATCCAGGCTGTTCTATGGCCGGGAGATGATCCCGAGGTTCGTGTCCGCTCGAACGCCCGTCTCCGGCCATTTAGTGCTTCATCGGGCTATGGCTATGGCTCGCGCTGTAGTATCCTCCTTGCAACTCTAACAACGATTTACTTCCGGACTTTCTTATCGTACCCACCCGTTCGCTCGGGGTCCATAATCATCCTCGGGCTACAGTGATCGGGCTCCAGTCCAGATCGAATACCATCATTCGATTGCATTCCATCCTTCCTCCCGCCCCCGCAGGGTGGATAGGATCAATGTGGGCGATGCGTGGCTATGCAGCACCTTCGTAGCCTATGCTCGAAACGTGCTCTGCCCGGAGACTTCCCTACTAGTGAGGCACGACTGGGAATCGACGGCCCGGCTCTGGCTCTTTGCCTGGTTTCCATCTGGGAAGTGTGCGTTGGTCGCGGGGTTTGGTCCCGCTGTGTAGTACTTCTGTAGAATGGATGGCTCTGACAGCGGCCACCGTGGCGAGTTTGGCCTAGCACTAGGTGCATATGGGTTCATTTTGGAATCCCGGTTACCTGGATATGTTAGATTGGACCTGTGGCTTTGGGGGAGCATCCTCTTGCCTGCCCGAGATAATTTCTCTTTCTTGGATTGTGCCTTTGGGTGGATGTAGCTTAGCTGGCCGGGGAGATATTGCCTGTTAAGATATGGATGTGATATCGATGGTTCTACAGCAGATGGACACCCGTTGGCCTACCGGGTAGTGCAAGGGATTCGTGGCGGACTTGGAACTTGAATCTCAGCCTTGAACATAGCTTCGATATGTGCATTTCGCTCTCTCGCTTGGCATGATATGATGTAGATTAAACATGATACGGGCGATGAGCACCTATGGAGTCACCGACTGACTGAAGCAACTCTGCGTGTAGACTATATACCTAAGCGATATCTATACACACACACACACACACAGATGTACACCATATATATATTGCATGTCGTTATTACCTGATACCGGGCCTAAAGTGAAATGGAGGTGCAATCGCTGACTATTTATGGCCCTTACATATTTTGACATCCAGATCGGATATCAAGAATCGCCGTGGTACCTCACGCAGTGAACGACCTCATATGATACTGGTTGTACCGTAAGCATGCCGACACTACAAGACTACGGTTGAGAATGTCAAGCACAAGGCCGCCTGAGCATCACGTCAGCGATCCTCGGCCTCGACAAACGAACGCAGGGACATGAGATAATCGCACATGCCCTTTAGACGAAGGCAGGGAATGTGATATAAATGTCCCCATCCGAGGGATAAAGATCCTACAAAAGGGCATACGAGGGAGGGACCCCGTGCAAACTAACAAGGGCGTACAAAGACTAAAGGAATGGGTTACAAATTGCAAACCGAATACATTAGCACACGGAGTGCACTTATGGGTAAACACATATCGAGACAATAAGGACAAGGGGGTAATAAAAAAAAAAAAAAGGTAAAACTCCTTTCCGATGAAACGGCGACGAGGGATGTCTTCCGAGGACAGAATTCATATTGCGAATTTTCCTCATAAAGAAGACGGAATTATTATCATGAGAACCGCAGTGCAAAACGAAAACGAAACCATTGCTTTGGTGGGACTCTGCATCTACAATCTTTCCAGCACAAAACATCACTCCTTTCCTCTCCAGGCGCAAATAAACCCCTTAAACAAGCTGAGCAAGGGCGTAGAAGAGGGCAGCAACACCACCAACAGCCATGCTGGCACCGTTGGCAATGGCAGCACCGGAGCTGGTGCTGGAGGAGCTGGTGCTAGTGGTGCTGGAGGTAGTGCCGGACTTGCCGTTGGAGGTGGTAGGGTCGCTGGTCTTGGCAGCGCACTTGAAGGTACCCTTGATGACGGTCTGGCGGATGCTCTGGAAGTGGGTGCAGTTGAAAGTGCCGTCAGTGCTCTGCAGGTTGAAGCCACCCTCGACATCCTCCAGATCAGCGAGATCAACACTAGGGGGAGATTAGCAGATGCTTGAGCAGACAAAGTGGAAGGGGACACAATTTGTGTAAACGGCACTTACGTGTTGAACATGCCGCTGAAGTCAATGGCGCCAGAAACAGTCTTCAGCTTAGGCAGGTCAATGGTGCGCAGCTTGTCGTTACGGGCAATGGTGAAACCACCGTCGACCTTGGTCAGAGCGGGCATGGAGATGTTGGAAAGCTGGGAGTTGTCGTTGAAAACAAGGTCACCAGTGGAGGTCAGGTTGGGGGCAGAGAAGGTCTGGAAGTCAGTGCCCCAGAAGCCGAGCTGACCGGTGAGCTTCTCCAGAGAGGGGACGGAGATGCTGGAGATGTTGCGGAAGGTCATGTTGGTACCAGTGCCCAGGTTGGGGAGCTCGATCTCAAGGCCATCGTAGTTACCCGCGAAGTTGATCAGATCGGTGGCATTCTGCAGGTTGTTGATGTTGATCTTCTTGAGATCACGGTTGTTCTCGATGTCGAACTGGCCGACGGTCTTCAGGGAGATACCGGTCAGGTCAGTCAGACCAGTGTTCTGGATGCTGACATCACCAGCATCGGTGACACCGGCATCGAAGTTGAGAGACTGCAGCTTGGGCAGAGCATTCCAGTTGATGGAGCCGACAGAGTTCAGCTGAGCGAAAGAAAGCATAGTGAGGCGGGTCAGGCCCTCCAGGTTAAAGGCATTGCCAATGGAGGTCAGGGAGGTAGCGGTGATGTCGGTGACGTTCTCACCACCTTCACAAATCAGGCCACCGGTGATGGTCTCGATGCCGGCGAGGGAGAGGGAGCCAGTGTAGGACTTGGAGATGGTCACATCACCCTTCAGCTTGGAGCAGGTGGCAATGCCATCGGCGTCAGACTGGGAGGAAACGGTAGTATCACCACCTGAAGGCACGTCCGGTCAGTTTTTGCTAGGCAACATAGTTTGCTTGGCCATTGTGGAGGGAGCCACTCACATTCAGCGGCGAAGGCCAGCTGGGTGGCAGCCAGCATGGGCAGGATGTACTTGGTGAGAGACATCACGGTTTTTTTCTGTTCTGCGCGTGTTGTGTTAATTGACCGGGTTCGCAGGATCCAATGATGTGGGCCAGGGGAGGGAAGATAAGAGTCGTCGCGTCGGCAGGTCAGTTGTTCACGTACCGATGAGGATGCGAATTAGAAGAAGATGAGAGATAACGAGTGGACAGAAATGAGCTCCTCAGCGAAAGGGAGGATAGGGAAGAAGCAGCACACGAAGGGAAAGAACGAATGGACGGGTTGGGGGAGAGAGAAGAAAGAATAAGAAGTTTGGGGCAGGAGGAAAGGAGGCGCTGGGTGGAGATGTCCCGTTCTGTTTGGTGTTTGGCTAAACAGACGGATCAGGGAACCGTACGGGTGGTACGGGGGCGGTGGTATAAATACAACCATTACAAGGGGCGGGGGCGCAACTGCCCACTGTCCACACAGTGCCGAATCCGGCGCGGTCACTACCAGTGTATTTGACCTGGTATCTGGCTGGTATCTGCCAGGTATGGCCAGGTAAGGTGCTGACTCTGGTTTCGACGCAAGTCCTGCTTTTCGCCCAGACCCAGCCGTTTAGTGCTGTTTCCGTAACACCTCACCAATGGCTTATTCGCCCGTGCGGCGCCCCCTTTCTCCATTTTGTGCCCCCGAAGTGGAGCCTTCCCGACCGGTATCATCTCCTTCCACACGTGTTGGTCCTGCTGAGGTGGTTCCATGGGTGAGGCCCGTTGATAGAAAAGGTTCTGATTGGATGGGGGCCTGTTTGATAATTATATTTGGATTCCATCCAGGTATAATGGTCATCGACTGGATTGACTCGATCGAATTCTAGAACCCGCAACTCTCGGTGCCAACTGTATCAATCACATTAATCGAGGGCGTGCAGCACACTAGGGCCAGAACGGAAGCACGTTGGTGCATGCGATTGCCACTGTGCATCGATGGCTTGTACAACAAGTCCTTCCAGGAGTACCACTGCGGCTTACCTAACAGGAGAGAGCGGCCCTCGACGCTACTTCCCCGTACTGACCGAGGCAATGATTTTGATCGGGCGTATCAGAGCAAGCCAATTTGGTGGTTCTTTATCATAACTCCACAGCCATGGAATCGCAGGTACTATGGCCTTGTATTCACATACCGTCCAACCTGTCTACAGTATACAGTACTGTACGGAGTACTGTACACTAGGCACAATACATCAGTGCGTGTACAAGTATGGAGTACTGTGTACAGTACTCCATACTTTGCTGGTAATACCCGGTACAGTGAGTGGCTTCGGAGTTGAAGAGATGCGCACCATATTGTAGGATGACTCGAGTTGCCCAGACGATTTAATAGCAACGGCCCCATCGGCGTGTTTATCACCCAGGTGTCGTCATCTATGCCCCCAAGCTCGAGTCGATTAATATTACTCCGTACATACCCCTGATCAAACCTCTCGCTAAAAACATTTGTGGCTCCAATCTTCAGTACAAAGCTGCCGGAAACCTGTCCTCCACTTCCCACGGCCCAATTGCCCCCGTTTCCCCGGTCGCATCCCCAAAACAAAGCCCATTTTCATCACTGGACCTTGCACTTGGATGGCCGATCTAAATTTGCAGGAATTCAAGCCTTTTCCACGGACCCGCTTCGCGCCCCCTGTCGCCCTCGTCGACGGGTCCGGTATGCCCGGCCTCTGATTGGCACGCTGGAATGATTCACCCTGGATTAGTGCCAATCCTAGCTGCGGTCCGACATGCTGTTGTTCTACTCGCCCCTCGCTCACGAGTGTCCAGTAGAAGTAGGTATGGAATATTATCAGGTACAAGAACAATAATAAGGAGTCATCCGAATGCTGATGTTGGGAGGTGGAAAAACCAGCAATGCCCTCTGAGCGACACTCACGGACACTATTCGCTTCCCCCCTGTTCCCTGCAGACGTGATTATGAACCCTAGCCGGGTGGCAAAGTACGATCGTCGAGACGCGCTTCATAGACTGGTTCCTTTCACTGTCTTCCTGTATCAAAAACTAGCTTTGGGCTGTTGGATGCTGACCAGGACCCCTGGCTTGGGCGATGGCAGTGCCGACTGAATCATATGCTGGCGCTGCGTCTTGTTGGTGGCCGTGTAAAATTTGGTAGAAGAACGAAACCGGATCCTTGCCACTGTTGAGGTCAGATCCGCCGGGAGCTCCTGTCACTTGAATACTTGCGACGATCGCCCGTCTAGAGCTTCGTCGACTCTGGTCTAGGCGGCCTTTACATTACGTTTCCCCTGCTATTGATTCTTCCGGTCGTCTTGGGGGGCGATCTGATTAATTGCCCAAGGCATGAATCTACGACCGAATGTTGCCAGTCACTATGCGAAGGCTGTTTATCGTCCCTGGTGTGCTCTGGCCTCCGTCCAGATTGGTCCTGATAAACACCCTGGAGCCGTGGTCACATCGTGCATTTCAAAACTTACCGTTCGGTATTCGTAATGCTGGCTGTCTGGGCCTGTAAGATTGTTTCAGATCGCTGGACGGAACCGACTGGCTCCACCGGCCTCGGGCCTGACGCCCATCACTCCACTCGGTCCATTGCGAAGCGGTCGCTTATCCAGTTTGAAAAACTAGTTGAAGAATCGTCAATGGATACTCTGCAGGGAAGATGCGTAGTCACCGGCATTGACCACGTCATGAAATTTCTGTACAGCGCGGAGGACGGACCAAGGAATTCTGTGCTTCCGAAGACGGCGAGGCACGCAGCACGACCGAGCTATCAGCTGCCGGGTCGCTCTGGACGCCACAAATATGGGTACCGCGCGGCAGGCACAGCCAAGTTTCGGCGAGCTCCTGAGCTCGCTGTGCTATAACTAACCACCGCATGACATTTGACTCACATTCCCGATCTCCTAGGTTGGGCGTTCTTTGTTCGTCGTCAGGAATGCCTGGAGGTAAATGAAGCAAAACGGGAACGTAAATAAGGGGGAGGCAGGCAGCATTCTTAGGGACACGAGACCACCTCCACGCACCAACCTTTTGTATTGCATACACCAGGCTTGCAGAGCTGCTACAGGGTACTGTACGGAGTACGTTCGGTTGAGTTCGCTGTGGGGAATTGGGCGGGATTTAGAATAACGTCTAAAGGCCTCCGACTCTGGTGATGCCCGAGGGTGAGAGCTGCGAAGCTTTTTATTTTTATTCTTTCTGTACTTGCGAACCTTCGGGCTTCCAGGCTTGCGTTGTGTTGCATGAGCAGGGATTAGGTACCATGGCCCAAACTTGGACTTGCATGCACAACGTTTCTCCCAAGATCCAGCCCATGTATCCAGTTGCGAATGAGATGCCTCTCCATGACTGGCGGACCAGCATGGACATAACTGGGACGATTGGCTTTTCAACCCCACTCGGAAATGGATTTTTCTCTCTGAGAACCTGTTCAGTGTCGGGGAGCTGTTGACTTTGCGTCGGCTGCTGACGCAAGCTCGCCTAGCGTAGCCCGAGTTTTGCTTCTGCCGTATGCACACTATATGGATATTCCATGGAATCAGTGTGCGGCAACCGGTCGCAGCTCGGCCTTTTCTTTTCTTCGTCGGTCGAGTGCAATGCCAAAAGTGTTGGGGTTCGCCATGTTTTGTGGGCTACCGTAGATTCGATGGTTTCTTGCGTTGCTTGAAGTAGATCTTTGGTACGGCAGATAACGGAGTAGACCTGGACCAATCGCAATGAACACCATTCTATGAGAACGTTTGGGTTAGGTCTAATCACAGGCACAGGACGATATCGACTCTTCTTTCGGCGAACAATTTCTGCTTTTTACAGTGTATGTCGCTGGCCCAAATTCAAAGTATCTACATGTTTTTATGAAACATTGATGTTAATATGCAGTAGATAGCGCAAAAACAAAGAAACAATCCCCTTGCTGCTTTCTTTTCGACTTCATGGTAGCACAGCTCGGAAGAAAAAACATCGTCAGGCACATCAGGTCGGGTCTCTCTCGTTTTGCAATATTTCTACAGGAAAAAGTTTTGCCAGATCAAAGCCTGATCTGAAACAGATGTATTCAGAAACCCGGCTTGGAACAGCTGGTAGATGGGTTGTGAGCTAATTGCATGGTAAGCTTCTTGTTCGATAAGGCAAATTATTGAATTATGTAGGAGGTTTATCCTACCCAATAAACCCCATTTGAAAATGCAATATTGAAGCACCGCTGATGACCGAGTGGCTCTGATAAAAACCCTCCAATCTTCCCACTTGCAACCGATACGGGTGTCATCAACAGAGCCCTAGAATCCTTTCCCTCCCCTTTAAATGCCAACGACTTGATAGCCGAACGGCTTCGCCTCATCTGTTTCTTTGCCCCGTAGCATGCCTAAGGAGGACAGAAGGGAGTACTGGTTCCATCAAAATTTAGGTCCGGGGTGACACCCCTGGAATTAATACGGTCATCAAATAGCCTTTGCCTGATCGTCCATTCAAATTAAAAGTTTGATAACCACGTGGCTGTATGGGAGATTCGCATCCAAGGATTTTATGCCACATCGAGCCACATGGCATTCAGCAGCTATTAGGAGCCCTGTCGAGTGAGTATTTCTGGATGTGAGTCTGGTAATGACTGGGTGAATTGCCGGGCCTGGAGGCCCCAAGCCCGCAGAAATCGCGCTACCACATCTATCTCTTCAAGGTCATTTACCATCGATCAATAGTCACATCTTTGCTAAAAATCGGGACCTGCGTAGCAATTCTTCAACGGTCGATATGAGACTGATTTGTACTTCTGGTATTGAGCCAAAAAGAACTTGTTTCACTCAAACTCATAGCTTCCCGAGTCGAAATCTTCTATAGGCATCGACTTAATATCAAGAAATAAACTGAGCTGTCAAGTCACACCGGGTGCTGCCATACGAAAATTGACTTCAAAGCTCCTAAGGATGCATGCACCCTTTATTGCATCGACTCTTCTATCATTGCAAGGCAGTTGTAGCCCGAGTCTAAGGTTCATCTGCATTTGCCCACGACTTTGCACAAGACCGAAGGTAGAACCTCTCCATGTCCCTAAAGTTCCCCTTTCGCTTAGCTGGTCCATATGGTCCACCAATGATTTAGCGAGATATGCAGAGTAATACTCGCTGTCAAGGAATGATCGGCTAGCGACTAAGCCTTCCGATAACTACGTTGCGTGGCTAAACGTCGGGAGAGCCTCGGCAGCCCTGTTTACCATTTTCTTCTTCTTGTGCCTTCGCTGTTGCGTCGATCTACTATGTGCGGGGATGGTCCCACGCATCGAGGGTGGATTAGTCATTCTTCAAAAACCCAGGAACGCTGATCCCTCGTGTTAGCTCTCTTGTCAGACAATCTTCTTTGATTTAGAATTGATGATCTCAGATAAGCGACCTGACGTTACAATAGGTGGTGTGGGGGAAGTGGAGAACATTCCATTAGCTTTTCAATAGAGGCATGAGGTCGCGTGCCCAAGTATAGTCATGCTAAAATTTACCATGTCTGCTCGCCTGCCCCTGAGTCGGCCTCCTGGGAACTAGAACGAGATCTCACTGATAGTTTTTTGATTTATTGACGCCCATCATATTTTGTTTACACCTTACCGACTTCAACATGAGTCCTGTCAGACATGATTGTGGGCTACTCGGTGCGGCCGCCATCACCACGGAATCATACAGAAACCTGACTACGCGAGGCGATTCACATTTGCCCCCGCATATGACCAGTCATTTCTTGATGGGTACTCAATTTTGCAGGTCATTGGAGACCTAGGACCTTATAGCAACCGAAAGTAAGATCTCCATTCCCTTCTGTGATTCTACAAAGCTTCTCAATAGCTGCATCTATCTTCACGCCGCTACTGCCCCGCGGCTATCGCTTCCCATGATGTTTTATCATGATGACTTGGTCAACGGCACAAGAATCGGAAGGATCTTGAAGACATTTTGAATTGGTGAGCATTTTACGTGGACAACGAAGGTCTTTACGGACTAGAGACAGCCACTGGCACTTACCACGAGCTGCTGATGACATACAGGCACGGTGCCGAGCATCGTGTGCGGTATGGCTATCTTTGGGGCTAGGATACAATTCCAATGTAGACCAGTGAACTTGGGTGGTACAGCCGGCCTGCAAGGCCGGTATGTCACGAATTACTCTGTCCGTTTACCATAAGAGCTCGAAATCATTAACCGTTTTGTTCTTAAATATAGGTGAAGGGCTTCCTTGGGTGGCACTACACTGACTCTGTTGCCTTGAACATTATTTCCGAGAGCGAGGACATGGGTGTGAATAGCGTCGCTCCTGTGTGCCCCAGAGACAACCGCACCCAAAATGCGAGAGCCTCAGCGCGGATCTATTCACATGTCACGTTGCTGCTGATCGACTCAATAAGCAGAATCCAGGACTTGATCTGAATGAACCGATGTTTACCAGCTAATGTGTACATGTTGAGCACGGGCCTGTCACAATCTTGCATCACCAACACCAACTGCCGCATAGTCATGTCTGCCTTCGAGCTGACTGTGCGAGGATTCTCTGATTGGACCAATGCTTTACCTTGAACAAGTGGAAATAATTTGGCTATACACAGGACTTACTGTTCTTCTATTGTGCTGGGTGAGTTTGCCATGGATGATGTCTATGCTTCAGATTGACCGCCAGAGTCTAAACTAACCTTTCCTTAGCCCTGACGATCGGGATGTCAAGGCTGTGGGGTCTGTATACGCGAATGCATTATTAAAATTGTTGAACAAAGGGCCGGAAATAGCTAGAACCATGTTCTTTAACTTGTGAACACTATTACCACATGCGCCACAATCGCTTCAATGATAATGATAGCCCACGAAATTGCGCATGACACCAACGTCACCCCTATATTGGCCGCACTTGGTATTGCGTCACCTGATGAAGATCTACCTCTCTACAAGATCTCCTTCCCATCAGCTTACGAGATTGGAAACATTATGCCCATTAGCGGACACTTCACGCTTGAAAGAATGAGCTACAATGCTACCGTGGCTACCGAGACGGGGATCTATGTACGTGTTGCGCTGAACGAGGCTGTAGTTCTGTTCAATTGTTGCCAGAAAAGGACCTGGTTTCTCATGCTCGCTGGCCATTTACACTGACATGGTCAGCAATATGCTCCCCGATTTTAACTCGAAATGCAAGATCAATAGTACGGTGCCGCTACATATTTTCTTCTGGTGGGATTATGACATGACGTCCACATACAACCATCAAACTGTGAGGTACACCCCCGTCCAAGGATCTACATTTGTATAGGTTGGACTTGAACAAGCTACAACCAATGAACCTAACACTTGGAAAGCATACGCGATCACCAAAGGTATCTGTAATCCAGGGCGCAAGCCACGGAGTTACTCTATCCAATGCTACCCAAAGTACATTATACATGTACCGTTACCTTTCACTTCGAGCGACTTTGGTTGGATCTCCTTTCGGGAAATGCTCTCAAGCATATAGCACGCCCGTGATCAACAAGAATGAAAGCCGCGAGGTCATCAACGGCACATCTTGTCAAATGCAAAATAGAAGGCAATATAGAGATAAATGCAGTTGGAGGTTTCATGGCCGGTCTCTTTGAAGTTTTCCCTCATTCTAATGATCGTGGTTTGCATGGTGGTTTTGTGCAGTGTTCGGAAGCCGCTATGCTTGGCATGGTGCCGCCTGGAATCCCGGCCCGCACCCCAAGGGTGCTTCTCCGCACCGCCCTGCATCTTACCACTAATCCTCTAGACTTACATTAAGGCTCCAGATTGCACATATACTCCATTGATGAGGCCAATAATGTCCCTAAGACGCTCAGCACGACTGGGGGCACTCCCAACAATCAAACCACTGCTGCCAAATCCAGCACCGAATGCACCGAGAGTGCGACATAGCGGCGTCGCAAAACCTCGCAAGACCACCACAGCCAAGAAAGCAGCTTCCAAAGATCCAAAAAAAGGAACAGCCCAGTCTGAGAGTACCTACTGGTCTCCAGAGCCCTCAACCGTGGAGGACTGTACGGAGGATCCAGACGATAAGCGTGCTACTAATGATATCCCGAGCAGCAGCCGTCTCACCCCTCCTCCCCTTGATCGCCCAGTTGATCCGCATCGGACGAACGCGACCCTCCTCACACCTCACGGTTCTTCGGTCGTCGCATACCCAACTAGTGTGGAAGATGCCTCTCCCTCAAAGACAGGATTGCCGCGGCCAGCCGCTACAACAGGGACACTACTCGAGAAGGCAATCGCTCACTTGATCGCGACGGATCCCCGTCTCCAAACAGTTATCGAACAGCATCCCTGCCCGTTGTTTTCGCCCGCGGGACTGGCAGAGCAGATTGAACCCTTCAACAGCTTGGTCAGCAGCATTATCGGGCAGCAAGTTTCAGGGGCTGCGGCAAAGTCTATTCGAAATAAATTTGTGGCATTGTTCGACTTGACGAGCGGTGCAGATGGTGCTCCCTTGCCACATTCGCGGTTCCCGACTCCTCAGGAGGTTGCTCAGTGTGATATTGCGACGCTGCGTACCGCGGGTCTGTCCCAGCGTAAGGCAGAGTATGTACAGGGGCTTGCGGAGAAGTTTGCGAAGGGCGAGTTGAGTGCGCAGATGCTGGCTCGTGCCAATGACGAGGAGCTGGTGGAGATGCTTACGGCTGTGCGTGGGCTGGGGCGGTGGTCTGTTGAGATGTTCGCTTGCTTTGCTCTCAAGCGCATCGACGTCTTCTCTACTGGCGATTTGGGTGTGCAGTAAGTTCACATTTGCTCCTGCATTCTGGGCTTCCTTGCCGCGTGGTGGATGGCAAGACCCCATTTGACGTTTCTTCTGATATCAAGCTAACATTCAACAAGACGGGGTTGCGCTGCCTTTGTCGGCCGAGATGTAAGCAAGTTGAAGGGCAAGGGTGGTGGTAAGTTCAAATATATGGCAGAAAAGGACATGCTGGAGTTGGCCGCGAAATTCGCACCGTATAGGTAATACATTCTTGGCCTCAATTGTTCAGACACTGTTCGCTAACTGAGGGATTGTAGGAGTCTTTTTATGTGGTACATGTGGCGAATCGAGAATGTAGATGTTGCTGTTCTCACTGGATGAATAGATCCAAGAGATTATATACCCAGTATCATTTCATGAGAATCTTCGGCGCCGGATCCAACGTTTTGTACTTTATACAGTTGGAATTATACCATTGAAACCGAAATAATACATGTGCATATTCAATTACGACTTGAATGAGATCCCAATGAACTCTTAGTAGTCCAACACTTTGAGATGTGGGAAAAATGGACAATTGTGCCGGGCACACAACCGCAGTTGGACAACGCAACTGAGTAGGCATCGCGAAACCATGGGAAGTACCACGGCCCAAAGAATGCATTATGACCAAACCCGGGACGGGCAGGGCAGTACCGGATATCGATTTGGAACAAAGAAGAGTCGATTTGTACAGTATCAGTACACACGCATTGGATTTACCAGACACCCCCAACAACGGCGGATGCGAATCCTTCGCCAAAAAAAACCTGACTTCTATATCATGTAGGCAGCCCTTTCGCCCTGAAAATCTTATCGCTTTCGTAGTCATTTGCAAGTCACCGCTTGAAAGCGTTTACTTGCGGACGACGAGGTTGTCGAGGTCCGCACGCTCCTTGGCCTCCTTCTCGATCTCGCGGATAATGGGGCTCAGGTACTCAACATCCTAAGCAGTCCGTGTGATCAGTATTATGTTGCTTGAGGGGGTTGGACGAGTGTTCGTCGCCAGGGGTTCGAAGTGACAAATCCTCGCAACGGGATTGGCTGATACGGGGATGATTGCGGGGAGAGCGGTTTTGCATAAGGGAACTCACCTCCTCAGGCTTGGTCTGCTCATTAGGGGGAAGGAGAGTGTGAGAAATAGAGCACTGCAATTGAGGCTTTTGTTAGCTTTTCGGAGGCCCTGGACTAGGGGAAGGGGGGGGGGTCGGGTCGGGCGGACCTGGAATGCACGGCGGATACGGAAGACACGGTCGTAAGCCTCCTTGGAAGACAAACGCTTGATAGCCTTCTGGACGGTTTCGCTCTCCTCGGGGATCAGGTCATCGAACCTAGGGACTAGGTTAGTATATGCGGCGGAATGAGTATGGCCGTAGGGGAAATCAAGAGTGACCGCAACGGGCGAATGCGACACAGCGCCAATGGCAACGGTTGGAGTTGACAGTGCCTTTGAATCACATATGAGGCAGCACTTTGGCAGTCTGCGACCGCTCGCGGTGGGCAGGAAATGGCGGCATAGAGGTGAGGGCGATAATTACTTCAGTCCAAGGCGTCTGTAGCCGGCGGCATCAGTGTACCACTGGGCGAGGGGGGTCATCCAGCGCTTGAGCCATGGGCGCTTGACGATGTAGTTGGTGATCGAAGGGGCAGACATTTTGGATCCCGGGTATCCAATTGACAGGAGGAAGTTCTGGACGGGGGAAAGGAAAGGGCGGTCCGGCTGAACGCGAGATGACCCGATGTTGCGAGGTTGTGCAAAACGGAGCTTGCAGCGCTAGTCCCAGACCGGCATGCGTATGCCTGTATGCCTGAGAAACACAGCCCACGTGATGCAGGTACACCGAGTCGCAGCCTCAGGCCGTGGGGAAGAATGCCAACCGGAGACTCCACCTCGCACCACCAATTCCCCATATCATAATCGAACTTCATTTCCCCGTCGCGCTTTTCAGACCCTTTTTTGGATCATTGGAATATGGGTCTTGGTGCTTACTGAGGTGCTACCTAATCACTGGGCTGATAGGGGTGCTTGCTCGTGCGGAAAACAACCCCCACCCCCTCCGTCGGCCGGTGCTGCGACATCATAGGACATCGCATTCAACCCAGACCGGTTCGGTAACCATCAGCGCCCAGAAAACTCTCCTCATTCAAACGTCCACATATCAGTCGCATATTACCTCATCCGCCTGACGATCCATTTCACGCTTCATCACACTCTTTATCAGGATTTGAAAACGGGTTCTTGGGTTCCGGATCGAGCAACCGATATGCTCGGGTCCCGGAGCCCTCGGTGATCAAGACGGACAGACAAGCGTGAGCGCCTGCCAACCCAGCGATGCGCTCCGACGGCAGCGGCAGCACTGGAGCTGCCAGTACAACCGCCGATCAGGCTCAAAGCTTTCATCTAAACAATGCTGCTCCGCCCGCTCCACACGTGCCCGTCACCGATGCGTTGCCGAAATCCGATTTCACCACTCGCCTCGAGATTTTCGCGACCAAGATTCCGAACTGGTACATCGCTCCATTTTGTGGAGCTAGCGCAGGCGTTGCTTCTGGCATCGTGACCTGCCCCCTCGATGTCATCAAGACCAAGCTGCAGGCCCAAGGTGGCTTTGCCCGACGAGGAGGACCAGCCATGGAGACAAAGGCCCTATACCGGGGAATGCTGGGTACGGGCAAGATGATCTTCCGCGAGGATGGTATTCGCGGACTGTATCAGGGACTCGGCCCTATGGTGCTGGGATATCTCCCCACTTGGGCAGTTTACCTGGCAGTGTATGACCGCACACGAGAATATTTCTATGAACATACCGGTTGGTGATTCCTTGGGACATACGAAATGGAAGCAACTGCATTTTACTGACCTTGACTACAGACAACTGGTGGCTATCCCGCGGCTATGCTTCTGTCACCGCCGGAGCCTGCTCGACGATTGTCACCAACCCTATCTGGGTCATCAAGACAAGGCTCATGTCGCAGAGTCTCAAACAGAACAGCGAAGGAGTCCGAGCCCCCTGGCAATACTCTAGCACATGGGATGCTGCCCGCAAAATGTATCAGATTGAGGGCATTCGTTCATTCTACTCCGGCCTCACACCCGCTCTTCTGGGGCTGACTCATGTCGCCATCCAATTTCCTCTCTACGAATATCTAAAGATGGCACTTACTGGATACGGTATCGGAGAGCATCCCGACACGGGCAGCTCTCACTGGGTCGGAATTTCCGTTGCCACGTTTCTGAGCAAGATTTGTGCAAGCACCATCACCTACCCCCATGAAGTACTACGGACGCGGCTGCAAACACAGCAGCGCACAGCACCCGCACAATCGCCAGAAGAAATTTCTTTCAGGGGCGGCTTGAACCACCCTCATGACCGTGGCCGGCCACCCATGGTCTCATCGTCTGACGGCATGCCCAATCGCCCTCGGTACCGTGGAATCATCCGCACATGCCAGACTATCCTCCACGAAGAGGGCTGGCGTGCATTCTATTCCGGGATCGGCACAAACCTGTTCCGGGCCGTCCCGGCTGCCATGACGACTATGCTTACTTATGAGTACCTCCGCAAGCTTATTCACGGCTACCAGCACGAAGGACAGCTGAAGCTCAAAAGGGCGGAGGCTCAAGCCGCAGGCGAGCCGATATGATTCGACGACCATGATCTGTCGCAACGATCGAGAAAGACCTCTTCCGCCTCACCTCATTCCCACCTCGAAATTACCCCTGCACTTGACTATAGTGCCTCATTATTCCCGCCCACCCCAGCGGCCTTTTTCCCCCACCCAGTTTGTATAGAACTTGGAGGCATGGTCCAATGTTTCCAGAGGGTGGCTTCTTCAGCGAACGGGCTTCATTTCCCCATAGCATTTCCAAATTTCTTTTTCTTTTGGCCGAAGAGATCTCGGCAAACAATAGATGGCAGTGTTCCTTGCTGGAAGCTTTTGCATGTGAAGGCTCCGCGGCTGATACCTTGATCACATGTCAGGGATCTTCACGTTCTTCTTCTTGAAGACGTCCGGGGATCTCTGCAGTTTCTCCTAAGCGTTTTTTATTCTATCCTTATCTATTCCATTACGCATGGCTCTTGCATGTCCTGTCCCTGTACATACATTACATGTTCACGTTGCCTCGGTTCTATTTTTTTCTTTGATATATCACTGCTTGGTTGCCAAGCACCTCTCTTCTCCTAACTCCCATTGCACCCTTATCGACTTGTACTCAATGGATCCCATTCGGGTTACAGTATGGGCTATCGAGTTGCCTCTAGTACTACGTTGGGCAGCCTCCTACCACTATATTAATAGAGGTGCAAAATGCATAGACAGATATCTAAGACGGGTCTTGATTTCCAGACGCACTTTATCTTCAAATAATTTCAAGGAAATGACTAAATGGCACACGGAATGTAATATTCGAACGGGGCATGATTCGATTCGAAGGGATGTTGCCTGGGGGCCCCACAATTAGCAGAAACGATGGTCATGTGACCTGACCCTCATCCACAAATTTCTTCACTTGGGTTTTTCTCTCCTTTTCACATATTCCACCAACTCCAAAGCTCGGGAGATTTTAATGATTGAATCTCAATTGCATGCTTTCGACATCTACAGGGATCCGGCTCATAGTACCTGTGGCTTTGACTGGAAAACCTCCAGGTGAAGGAGGATCACAAGTTAAGCTTGAGACGTTGACCAAACTATCTTGGGAGTTGAAGAATGTGAAAGCATCAAATCTTTGCTCGCAGGTTCAACATGGCCCTCAATACTGACGGATCGACATTAATATTCACCCCCTCTCATATCTCCCCACATCCCCACATCCCCTTATAGCCTTGCTATCATTAACCCATGGTCCATGGCATCCTTCTCTTCATTACTCATATGATGATACTTTTTTCGAATATTGAACCAGGCCGTTATACACTTTAACTCCTGGGTATGATCATTCATACACTGAAAATTCTGATTGATGATGAAGATGAAGCTATTTCTTCCCTTGACATGCATGCACCGTCAGATACGAGGTTAGCGGGAGTAACTATCCCTTAGCACATTTTTCAATCCCAGCGTAGAAATACAATCATCTAAGATTTGGCTTCACAGCCCGTTTTCATCGAGTCAACCTTCCCCTTTTATCACCTTTCTCCGCTCGGCTTTCATCCAGGGCTTCCTGGATCCATGACGAATCCTTTTTCTCCCGTTGAGATAGTCGTTGCTGTGAGCTAGGAGCTTCTAGCGACTCCTGTGCTTCGCGTCTTGCAGTACGGATGGAACTGAAGCAGTAGGAGCATAGGAGGACGGCCATGGTGAAAGCTGCAATGGGTGTGTTCAGGGACTATGAAGACTTAGTGCTGGTAAAGAAAAATCCAGTTGGTAGAATATAGGATCTTTGCAAGCTGGCATTCATGCAGCGATGTGGGTTGGAGTTCGGCCCACGCGGAAATGAAGGCGAACTTACCCCTGAGGTCCTACCCAGGGTCTTGGGATTCGGAGTATTCTTTTGCGACATCTTATGCTGAGCTCATGACTGGAAATTAGCAAGTAATTATGGGCATGAAAAGTTTGACTGACAGGGGAGCAGACTCAGAGACTCGTACCCGTCAATAAGTGTGCGTGTGAATCGACATAAATTGAAAAGTTTTGCAGCACTAAAGAGGGTTGCAAACTGCCCCAATTCAACTTTGATATCATGCAATCAGGAAAGTTCGACGTGGGAGCTCCCCAAAGCTCAGATCTACAGTCCCAAGCTAGATGCCAATGAGGAAGTGGGAACCTTGGAATGGTGCCAAGCATTTCTGTCCTGATATGGTTTGTCATCATCTCGGTCGAGCTCCAGTGTATGACCATAGAGTTTCTCTGTTTGATAGAAGTAATAAAGATGAGACCCAATTCGAAGATTCCGTCATTTTGAAATTATTCCAAAGTTCCATACTTTTAACAAATGTAAGGCCTAAAAGGAAAACGGTTGTTGCACGAGCTCGATAATAGAGATGTCGAACCAGCGGGGTTATACTATTCGGTCTAACCCCAGTAACAAGAAGCTTATCACGAAACGTATGACCAGAAGCATTCACCGGTGTAGAAATTAGGCTAGCCAAGGCTAGTACAGAGCCATATAGGCAGCTACTATGGAAGTGTTGGACAGCATTTTCCAATTTTTCCAAGTGCGGGCATTGCTCCCCGCGACCGGCATCCGCTTCTACATTCTTACAATATCGCACCAGTGCTCAGCAAACATTCGCTGAGAAAGCCGGTCATTTGATCGGGCCCCGGATATATTGCCGGAATACCCATTTCGGAGGTTACTGGATCGCATTTGCCGAATGCGATTTTATCTCCGAGCAACTCTTCGGAGCGGGGATAGCAGCATACGCGGCGGATAGGAAACGAGGAGCAGTGTCTTTCCATGATACATAGTTTTCACGAGGTGCGAATGAGCTCCACAGTTCAAAGGGTTTACAAACATGAAATCATAGGCCCATAGAAATGTTTATCACAGCCATTAACGTAATACCCACCGTTGGATATCATCGACATGCAATTGGCTGGGGGATCGACGTTCGGGAAACAAGTTCGCGAGATTCCACCGCGGAGCCACCGCGGAAAACGTCAGTAGGCCCCCAGCTAGGCCGCGCCACCGCAGCCCGTCACACATTGACTTCACCGCAGTCAAGTATCATTGGTAACTTCCGAACCCAGTTAAAGTGAGCGTAGGGACTCCTATCATGCACCCGCGTGTCTGGCCCATTGGCGATGAGTAAGCTCCGATGGCCGGCGGCTCCGAGTTCGCAACTGCCCCAACGGGCTAAGGGGATTACGTAAGAATCAGATTATTTAGCAATGAATTCATCAACTCCTCTTCTCCATATCAGATCTATTTTCGCCATCTACCACACCCTCACCACTTTACCTATTTCATCACATCCCACACGACAGATTCATCCAGATACTCCAAATAATCACCATGTTCAAACGTCTCGTCACCGTCGCCCCCCGCATCAGCGTTGTGGCGCCCCGTGCCTTCGCACCCCTCTCGGGCCTGCAGTCCGTCCAGCCTGTCCAGCGCCTTGCCCCGACCCCCGCCCAGCGGAGAGGCTATCACGAGAAGGTCCTGGACCACTACAACAACCCACGGAATGTTGGCTCCATGAAGAAGGGCGACCAGGACGTTGGCACCGGTCTCGTCGGCGCCCCCGCCTGTGGCGATGTCATGAAGCTCCAGATCCGGGTGAACAAGGACTCTGGTCGTATCGATGACGTTGTCTTCAAGACTTTCGGCTGTGGCAGCGCCATCGCTTCGTCTTCTTACTTGACCGAACTTGTCCGCGGCATGACCCTGGAGGAGGCCGGGAAGATTAAGAACACCGATGTGGCGAAGGAGCTCTGCCTGCCCCCAGTCAAGCGTATGTTCTTACCCCTCGCACTATCTGTTATTGCTTTTATTAACTTCGTCGTGTTCTAGTGCACTGCTCTATGCTTGCCGAGGATGCCATCAAGTCCGCCATCTCCGACTACTACACCAAGAACCCCAAGAGTCAAGCAACCGACCTGTCCGGCACGGGCGCCTCCATGGCCAACATGAAGGTTGAGATCGATCAGACCCCTGCGGCCGCCTTGTAAGGCATCTCTGCCACGGAGAGATACGGAGCGGGCCAGAATCCCGAAACACAACATTCATTTACGAGTTTTGATCGCCCCAAGAACGAACATTGTCGCTGAGCACAATCGTTTGATCGAGGATATTCCCCCTAAGTGGTCTTTGAGATTCCGGAATGCGGAGCAGGAAGGATAGGATTCAGTTGGCATTGATCATCGGACAACCAGGCTCAACTCGAGCTCGGTTTATCTTGGGATGATGGGTGGATTCCAAACAAATTTGCACATTTGTTTGCTGTACAGATTTTTCCTTTAGTTCTCTCATGTCGTTCACCCCTTTTGTCTCTTTTTCCTTTTTACCCTTTTTTCTCTTTTTTTTTCTGTGATGGCGCCTCGGTATTTCGGATCCCCGATCGATACTCTATTTAAAAAAGCGTGGTGCCGCGATAGTTTCTAATGAAACGATGAAACCAGAACGACTCATCCACTTTCCGTAGAAGAATCGTGCGTAACGTTCGCTCGGCTGGAGATCCTCGGAAAAGACGTAATCTATATTCTTTGAAGATCTATTCACAATTCTATCTGTACTGACTGCTCAGGTCCCATCGAGAACTGCAGCAGACAAGACGCGGCCTGATAACAAGAAAAGGGAAAGGGGGGGGGGGATTTGTTCAAAATCATCCGGGAGCAACGGAGTAGAAGGAAACATGTAAACGCCGTCGCTGATGCACAGATAGACCGGCCAAGAAAATCCGTGCTCTTTGAACCAAATCCAACAAGGAAAACTAGGGATATATACACCGAGAAACAACCTTACCACTAACGCACTGCCAGCTAAATTACAGGCCAGTCCGCAGACCAATACGGCTCTTCAGCGACAGCACAGTCTCATAGATAGAGAGTTTTACCTCAACGCGAAGGAATGAGGTCCAGGCGGCCAAGAACCGGAAGAAGTTCAGGAAGACACCGCCAGATGCGTGGATAGACTCCATTTGCTCCTCGAAGACGGTGCGGGTGGCGTACCGTGCTAGAATTAGGAATGCACGCATGGGGCCCTGGCGGGTGTGGAGGTTCTCGTCGAGACTGCGGGCTGGAAAATTGTTAGTAACTTTGGTTTGAAGATAAGAGAACAAAAGTGCAACGCAGAGCGTACTTAGGTCATTCGTCTTGAGAATCAGCAGAATGATCCGCGGCACCTGGCCCAACAACTCGACCAACTGCTGCAACATGCCCTCACCCAGGGCACCAGAAATATCCTCCTTCTCCTCGGCGGTCCGCGCAGAGACAACAGTTTTCTTCGTCAGTACGCTGTAGTCACGGCCGGTGATAGCACTAGCAAAGAGTGGGAACTGCTCATCCGTGACGCCGGCCACCTGATAGGCATACTCGCGCATCCGCGGGACATCAGCGTCAATGACAGCCAGCCACAGCTTAGCGTAGCTGCGGCGCAGATCGCGATCGATGTTACGATATAGTCCGTGGTCATAAAGGATGATATCAAAGTTGGGGTGCCGGCGGCTGGGATTTGGGCGAATAGCGATGTTGCCACCATGCGGGTCGCAGTGCAGCGGGGCCCCATCACCGAAGATCATTTCGTTGAAGATGTGCGCGAAGGCCGCAGAGACTTCATCGCGGTCGATGTTGTTAGCGTCCAGGAATTCGAGGTCGTCGGGGCGGCAGCCGGCGATGAATTCCATGACAAGAATGCGCTTTTGTGACCACATCACTGGATTCTGGTTAGTATTGGAGTCTTGGATTCTTGCGGGCAGTGATAGTCACCTTCAGGAATAACCAGAGGTGCGTCAGAGTGCTTTTTGAAATAGTCGCTGGCAAGGGTGGCGTTCTGAGCCTCCATACGGAAGTCCAGCTCCACGGGTAGAGACAAATCCATCTCCCTCGACAGCCACTCTAGGTCATATTCGGGGAAGAAACGCTTGAGCATCGAGAAGGTGAATCGAGTGAGTGCGAGATCCAGCGGCACCCACTCCGCAAGAGCAGGATGCTGCACCTTGACCGCGACCTTCTGCCCCGTTTCCTTCAGAGTGGCGATGTGCACCTGGGCCAGGGAGGCAGCGCCAGTGGGCTCCGGCTCGAAAGAGCTGAACAGCTCATCGATTGTCTGGCCAGTGTCGGTAACGAACATCTCAGCAATTGACTCAATCGATGACACGGGGCATTTGTCCTGGAGCGGAATGAAGGTCGAGGTCCATTCAATGGGGAGCAGATAACCCATGCTGCTGAGATGTTGGCCAAGCTTGATGAAGATTGATCCGTTCTTCTCCAGCACGCGTAAAGTGCGCTCGGCACAGCGCTTGTGGCAGGCGCGAATTAGGGCGCCATGGTCTTCGGCGGGTGCGGCAGCGGCTTGGTTGAGGGTAACACGGTAGCTATAGACAATGGTATTAGCCGGAAGGCAGAGGATATAATGCACATGTCTCGAATCCACTTACTCGTTGATACAGACAGCGAGAGTGCCGACCACGCGGCCACTTCTCCTCGCTGCACCGTACACATGCTTGACATTGTCGGAGAGCGCCAACGCCCCAATACCGAGCACACCCAGGATAATCAAGTATTTGACATACTTCCGCGAAGTCGGAATAGACTTGGCCTCTGGCCCATTACTCTTCGAGCGTGTAGCGTCCGCGGAAAAGAGAGGCGAACTTCTCGTCGAGAAAGACCGTTTCCAAGAAGACAAACCCGAGTTCGGCTCATACCTCTGGTGGTGACTCCATGATTGGGCCGTGTTCCTGCGCAATGGGAGAAATGCACGCAATAGTGGAATCGTGTTTGTATGGAACGATGCGCCGCAGGCGATCGAGGCCTTGAATGGTTGTCCGATAACCGTGACGGGATTGGTGCAGGCGCGCAGCGGCCCGCGAAGCGCAGCAGCGCTCATTCCGACAGGGTGCGATCCTGACAGCGAGAAAGAGCGCAAGATCGGAGATTAGGTGCAGGCGCGCCTGGTTCACTCCATCGTCGGGGATTCTGGAATCGTTTGTTGACCTGGGAGGTTTTTTTGGACGGCCCTCGCCACCAATCGGCTGCAGTCTCGCCCGATCTCGGGCCGTACGGGGTACGCACGTGATTCTGAGACCTACATCGACCGACGTCATTGGCATCAGACTATACATATTGATATCAGAACAGTTTGCTGGCTGTTTAATGTAATTAGGTGTGAGGAGTGAAGGGCAGAGATCTAAAGGAATCCGATATTGAACGAAGCCGAGGTCTGCCGTGGGCTGGGTGCTGTACCTCCCTATTTCCTTGCCGTGCCCTGGCATGAGGTCCAGGTCCGTCTTGAACATATCACCCGCACAGAAACAAAAGAATCCTGGTGAAGAGGAAGGGACGCTATGTGGAAAAGTTCTTTCTACCATCCTAAAGTGGTTTCTGGGCCACCTTGACTATTGGAAGATCAACGATGTAGGCCGATACAACTCAACCATCCGGGGTGTGATGGGGTTAAATAGAAGTCTCCACAACGAACCCTACGTCTACAGATGCAAATATTCCAGGGCCGGGTCTGAGGACCGGTTCTTAAACAACAATAATTATGTGTCGTTCATAAGTTTATGTAGGCTCTATGTGCAGCAGCCAGTGCTCATCATAGGCAGCAGAAAAGAATCGTTTAGACAAAAGAAATTAACCTTTAACGCGTTTCCCGTCTGTATTTTCATGACGCCGCCATCTTGTACACAGAACACAGAACGGAGACCAAAGAAAGGATGAACTTAAGAAACTTGCATGATCATTTCCACAACATAAGGCCATGTCATGTCCACTCAGAATCAGCAGTAGTAGGGCGGTGGCGACGAGGAAGGATCGAAGGGCGGCGGCTGAGGGAGCTGGGGGATTTGTCGTCATCCTGGAGCAGCTCCACATGTGAGAGCCTGTTGGACAAGCCCCGAGGAATTCGAGGGCGGGCTGCCGCAGCACCGCCATTAAGGGCTGAACCCAGAGAAGAGGTGTTGCCGTCACGGCTACCAGGTCGGAGAGCCAAGGAGGAGCCACTAAGGGCGTTCCGTGGGTGACGAGGTGTTTCACGACCCTCGAGGAGTCCTCTCGACTGGCTAGTGCGGTTGGTGGAAGGGGTTGAAGGAGTGGAGCTAGAGAATGGGTTTGGGCTGGCAGTTGATGTGCTTTTCCGGCGGCTGGTAGGTCTGCGCACTAGGCCGAGGGAATTGTTGCCTCGTTCGCTGGATTGGATCAGCTTTCCAGCCATGTCCCGAACCAGGATGGCAGGGTCATTCTCGAGTTCCCGGATCGCATCCAGCAGACCGTATGAAGCAAGCAGGCCACCTTGTTGTTCACTAGAATCGCAGATGCTGGAGATGATGCGCAAAAGGTTCAGTCGAACAGCAGCTTTGTTGTGATGAAGCTTTTGTCCTAGTCTGGTGAAAAGGTCGGTCCGGGCGAGAGTTGACGCCACTGGCGGGCTTAGTCGAAGAAGCTTTTGTAGGGGCTCGAGGAGGTTCTCAAAAGCATTCGCCTTTGAAAGGGTCAAGCACCGCACAATAGCATCGGTGAAGGACATCTTGTCCCGGCGGTTCTCCAAAAGGTGTTCCTCAACCTTAGCAGTTTCTTCCTGGAGCCTATATATTTGTTAATTCGAATCAGAAATGCATGGTTTGCCCTCGAGAACTTACCATGTGAAGATGGCGTCCAAAGCAGTGACCTGCCAGTATGGGTCCGCAAGTAAAGAGATGTAAAATGCGAGACCCTTGTTGCGCCACAACTCTCGGCGACCCACTTTTCCAGACTGTGCCATGTCGCAGAGAATGGGTAGGGCAAACTCCTTCAGCGGCCGCTCGGTCTTGACAATCTTCTGCAGCAGAGGTACGATGCCATTGAGCGCGGCGTCTTCCTGTCGGGTTTTATTCAGACGGCACATGTTGTAGATGGTGTTGAGGATTTGGTTCGAAACTTCGCGGAAGTGGCTACGTTTCATGGTTGATTGAAGGAGCTCAGTGAGTACGTCGATGGCATTGGAATTCTGAAGCGCGTCCAGAGTGGTCGATAACATGGACAGGTTCTTGATGAACTTCAACATCGTGACTTGGTGGAAGGGTGACATTCGTCTAAGTTCTTTGAGGACCCCTAGACTCAATCGTTAGCACAGCTTGGTCAAAAACGAGGTGGAAGAGTCCGTCTCTTACGATGCAAAACAGTGCGCTCTGCCACCATCTCCTTCACATGATTCTCGGCCTGCGAGAAGATGAAGAAGATGTTGGAAATGCGACCCTCGATAATTTCGGCCAGCTCTCCTTCCTCATCCAAGACTCGACTTAAGACAAGAGAAAGAGGATCTAGCACTGAGTTGCGGGATAGAATCCTACAAAAATCGTTCTTTGGTGTTGACCCCTAGAAAAGAGCTCGTCAGTGTGGAACTACAAAGGACAGCAGCGATTATGGTAAACTCACCTGTAGTTCAAACACACTCCAAATACCATTTACCCCGATCAATACTAGGTCACGCTCATCTTCATAATCGTCCTCAAGGAACTGGACCAAGACATTGAGCCCGCCAGCGCTGACAAACATCTGAAGTGTGAGGGTGGAAGTCTGATACATCTGCTGTACAAAAGCCGCAGCTTCCAGACGAATCTCGCGAGGATATTTCTTCGATGCGAATTCGTTGATGATTGGAATTCCACCGACGAAGCAAAGATTTTCCTGAATCTCATAATCATTATAGATGATGGCGTTCACAACCCTAAGCAGACAGAAAACAATGTCACGACGGCGCGATGTGTCTAGAATCTCCAGAATAGGCAGCATGCCGTGGGCGCTGATGATGATATTCTTTGTCTCCGGAAGGTCACAGAAAATTGCAAGAAGCTGTTCAGAGATTTCTGCCAGAACCTCCTCATCCTGAGAAGTCTTGAGAGAGCCGACCAGCCCCTCGACTTGGTTTCGAAGACGGGCATACTTGTCTCGAGCAATGTTGGCTTCCAGATCCATTTCATCAAAGCCCTCCTCTAATTGCGCAAAAGGGTCATCGTCATCGTCCTGATCTCCTAGCCAAGAGTTGTTGGATAGCTTGGAGTTCAGCATGAGGGTGCTTTGATCGGAGCCATCGTCACTCTCTGGCTTGTCCAGAGCGGCCTGGTCAGCCCCAAGGATATCCGAGAAATCTTCATCATTCTCATTTTCGGCGAATTTCTGGATCTCTATAGTGGAACGATCGCGCTTCACGGAGAGCTGTTTCCGCAACTGTGGGTGATGGCCACCCAGTTCATCCTCGAAATGCCAGTCTTTGTCGTGGGTAGGAGAGGCAGGGTCGTCGTCCAGTTCCTGAGATTGGTGAGCAATTGACAGACATGGATATTCGTCCGAGGATCTAGGTACCTGAAAGACGCCAAGCTTCCGATCAAGGACATCTTCGTTGGCCATTATGAGGTCGGTGTAATCTTCCACAGAATTCTCCTTGTAAAGAGCGGCTGGACGAGGGCGTCTGATAGGAGGGACGGGATTCTGTGTCAAAATGGGAACGTTCTGCAGTGCAGAAGTTGGTGCCTTGCTCGGCTGACGCCTTGTAGGACTTCGAGATTGGGAAGGTTCAGCCGCTGGTGTTTTGGCCGAGAATGGTCGAATTGTCTGTAGGGGATCATTTTCCGCTTGAATAAAACCCCGCGAGCTTTCCTCGAATTCATCAAAGCTGTCATCTTGTCGCAGCATAGTTCCGTCAAGGGACGCAAACGCTTTCAGCTTTTCTGATGAAAGCTTGCCGCCGAAGTTATCATGAGGCCTAAGGTGAGGCAGCTGCAGTGCACTTGGGGATATCGCAGTAACAAAATCGTCGTCCCAGTTATCATCTTCATTTGAGTCTGGGGATCGGAACCTATCGGTAGATTTTATGGATGTCGGAGAAGGTAACGTATCGACAAGAGAGCTGCTGCGAGCAGCAGGCAAAGGACCAGCATTGGGATCAAATTTGTTGGGCTTCCTCGAGGTACCTGAGCCAGGGGACCGCAAGGCCTCGTTCCACTCTTGCACACTCTTGACAGCTTCTTCGTATTCGGTTGATTTCTTGGGGATGACCGAGTCAGTGCGGCGGGCATTGACGATCCAAGGGTGTTTGAGAAGCTTCCTTGCCGAGACTCGAAGGTTAGGGTCTTTCTGAAAGCATTGCATCAAGAAGTCTTTGACAGCCTAGAATACTGTTAGTTCAGTGAACAACGGATAGCGAAAGCAACCACAGACCGGCGAAGCACCCTGTGGGAGAGGGGGATGATCGTCATTGACAATGCGAAACAGAGCGGGCATGGGTTGTAGGTTGTGATAAGGAGGCTTGCCCTCGAGCAGCTCAATGACTGTGCATCCCAAGCTCCAGATATCTGAGGCAGTTGTTGCCCCCGAGAGTTCAATGACCTCTGGGGCCATCCAGTATGGAGTACCGACCACGCTCGACTCGCTCAACCCCGTGGTGCGGCTTGCCACGCCGAAATCAGCCAATTTGACCAGTCCCTCCTTGGTAGTCAAGATATTGGCACCTTTAATATCTCGATGAATAACACCCTGCTCGTGTAGATACAAGAGTCCATGCAGAACCTGGGACATATACAGACCGACCAGATTCTCGGGGAAACGACCAAAATTCTTTGCGATAGAGTGCAACGAGCCATTCTCACAGTATCTGCATATCCACAATTAGCTTCAACGTACCACATGCACTGTTTATCACCATAGAGACACATACTCCAGAATGATGTTCAAAGTTTCAGCAGATTTCACAAATCCGTGGTACTTGACAATATTCGGGTGCTGTTATCTGGGTCAGCGGGAGTTTGTCGCAACGCCGCGGGGAGAGTGTCTTACATCCAGGTTTTTCAGGAGGTCGATTTCCAGCTAAAGCACCTCGTATTAACAACAGAGCATTGGGACAGATTGGTGGCCATGATACCATAATGACACGCAATTCGGTCTTTGGGAGGTCCACCAGCTTGATTTGCTTCACCGCAACCGTCTCCCCAGTATTCCAGTTCAATGCACGATAGACAGACCCGAAGGCACCTTTCCCCAGGCAATCGCCCAATTGCTACCGGAGAGAATCCCTTTGTTAGCATTTGCTCCAATGTGCGGGCACGCTTGAGAGAGGTCCTCTGGCCATACATAGTCCTTGAGCTCTGCGACATCCTTAGCCGATGACTTAAGGACCTTGTCCTCTTTCGGTTTCTCGTCTCGTTTTGTTGGGCTGGTACCGACTCGAACCAATCGCGGTTTAATCGGCGTGCCGGGCGTTCTGGAGGGGGTGAGGGGGCGCTGCCCCTCACTGGCTTCGCTGGAGCGAGAAACCATCATGGCAGCAAGGCGAGGACCAGCTGAGGGTCCACGATATGATCGATCTGAGTGCCGGTCTCAGAATCCGGTCTCAGGTAAACGGGGGTGGAGCAAAGCTAGGGAAGGAGGCAGGAGCCGAGGGCCAACGGTCTCAACGTTCATGTCCGCAGGTTCTAAGAAGTCCAGATTGTTAATGAATCCGAATCAATCAGATCGCAAATGCCCAGATCGCCTGGCGAGAGAGGTTCCGTTCGTATGCAAGTGTTTGTTGGGAGGGGGGGTGTTCATGTCTCACCAAGCCAGCATTACAGGAGGGACTTCAGCTGCCACGCTCCGACGAGCGGTTGTTGGCGAACAGGCGATGCGCATTCAAGGAGTGCTGGGACTCTGGAATTCCGAAACGGCCCTGGGTTTGAGCGATTCGGAGGAGACTGGGGAAGGGCGCGGGGGAAGTTGGGGTGCAAAGCGTGGTTGTTTTGAACTTTCTCTTCTCCACAGGCCGCTGCATCATGCAGCGGCTGTGCTGGACGCCCGCCGATCAGCCCTATAGAGCCACCCACGATAGTCTTCGATCCTAGATTTCTGGCTACGGACTTGGTGAATCAATTATCAATTATTGTTTATAACAAAACTTGCGACGAGCTATTTGATTTTGTTCCAAGTAGGTAATGGCACCCCCACGGAGTTTTGTTTACATGACAAAGCACTACTGTGTACGGTGGGGGAGGGAAACGATAGCCGAAGCTCGAATCACAAAGAGCATTCGCGTTACGCGTCATACCAGAATGCAGCTAGAGATACACGGTGTAGTGCACCTCAGGAACCAAGTATGGATAGGTCACTCTAACGACAAGATGTTTTCAAGCCACTTCGCTGGCCCACTCACTCCCAGCAGTCATCTCACTGGAAACTCCACTTGCCGCATCTCTGGGATCGAAGGCAGAACCAGGGTACATCCAGACATTGAATCCACAAGGCAATTTCACAAAGATGACAACATCTGGATCGAATTATGGACCATAGCCAAGTCCTTTGCATTTTCGTATAAATAAGGGGGTATCCAGAGTCGCACCGTCTGTTGCTGATTCGGTTTCACCTCGCACATAGGTGGTGATTCTGAGGCTAGCACGCCCAAAGCCGTCACACGAATGGTCCGATTCCATTTTGATTGTATCGAGGATCGAACTAGGGCTCGGTCTGGAGGAGGAGGGGGACGAGGAGGGGGTTCCTGGGCCGTCTGGTCGCGGGTTGTAGTGCAGTCTCGCTAGTTCGATCAGATCCCAAATGGGGTGGTGTGATACCGGGTCCTATGAGTTAACAGTGTACATGGCATTTCTGGATAGCCAAGTTGGCACAATTTGGCACAATCTGAGGCTCGTCCTGTCGTCCTGGTAAAATGATTGTTCCTATGTTAGTGGCTTACTGGGCGAGACGTAAACTGGCCCTGTCACAAATATCTTAATCATTCACTCCAGACTGTATCAGGTATGAGTCTCTAGAACGATCATCACCATCGAGGCGCTGGGAGCCAGGTCTCTTATCGTGTATAGTCAAAGTCAGTCAGGGCGCGTAGATTCAGTCAAGCTCCTCGGCAACCGGAGATATTGCCGATATGAATAAATATCTCACGTGACTGTCTCCCAGCCACGGCTGGCCAGGTCATCCGGCCTCAGGCATTCCGCGCCCGTCCCCCCGTTTGTCTTTGCCAGAAAAACCCAATCTCCCCTTCCGATCGGTCTCCATTCCTCCCCATCCCCACTACGTCGATATCCCGGGGTCGTGTCAAATCGTGCTTCCAATCTTTCTCTTCTTTTTCGTGTTCTTTCATTCATTTCTTTTTTCAACCAAAAATGGGTATTCCGTACGTGCTTGTCATTACCGTTGGCCACTCGACGCTGTCGCATGCGCCACCTCGTCGCCTCGTTGACTAACTTGAATTCAGGATGTGGCGCGAGCCTTCAGAGGCCGATGCGCTCAAGTCGGTGCTGGAGAAGGACCATTCTGCCGCTGCGAGATCCTCGATTCGCCGTACCCCTGCGACTCGGCGCCCCTCGTCGCATCATGCCTCCCGCGCGCGCCGGAACGGGCTCCTAACGTCCTTCCATTCACAGATGCTCGAGGAGATACAGCGCGGTATGGGAGAGCCCCAGTTGGGCGTTCGATCGCCCGTGCTGAATCTAGGTGTTAGCGAGGATGGATTGGATCTGGACGCGAGCCGACGCGAAGCTTTGGGCCGTGGTGTCACGCGTTCGAATGCGCTCCGCCAGGGGGAGCACTCCAGCCGGCGCTCCCGAGGCCCTCGCGATCTCGCGCTTTCTGACTTGGTCGCTCGATCTGATTCTCAATCGCGTACTCCCGCAGGTCCTCATTTGACACCGGGCTTTGCTCCTGCTGTTGCCTACCGGACCTCTTCTTCTCCGCACCCGACCTCGGATAGCATTCGCCTGCCTCCTCTTCCTCTTCCTTTCATGCGCCCCTCCGAAAGCCGGCCCCACCCTCATGACATGCCATCGACCCTACTGCGAGATTACCGCACTGGTCACGCGTCGAGCCGATGGTCCCGGGATTCCACCGTCGATGGTCTTGGGGATCGCCAGCGGAGTCTAAGTCCCGATGCAGAGCGTGAAACCGATGCATGGGAAACTTTGCTGTCGACCATTACTCCGGACGCGAACTTCCCTTCTACTGACTCCTCTTTTTCATCGAACCCGACATCTGCCGCTTCGCGCAATGGGACCTCTCGCAACGTCGGTGCTTATTCGCAGACGTTGGCATCGTCTCTGGGTCCTTCTCGCGCCGTCCACCTGGCTCTTGATCCGTATCCTGACACTCTCCACCCCTGTGATTTTTCTTCCGATGACGAGGACACCCCCGTCAGCTATCACCGCATCGTGGGTTCGTCGGGTATTCCGCTCTCACTGCGCCGTTCCCCGGGTGTCCACTCGACCATGAGCAGCCACCCTCCCATTCCTACAATCTCTTTCTCTTTCTCGGACTCGGGCGACTCGGATCTCCAGCAAATGCAGGCCATCCTGGACCGACTTGCCCGCCGAGAGGACATCCCCGATGACTGGTGGGCTGGGGCTGGACTCTCGCGCACCATTGGCCGTGGTCTCAATGCCAGTGCTGAAGGCAATGGCAACGAGGGCACCGAGTGAGTTATTCGGCGCACCTTACGCAACACATACTTTTAATGACGGCATCTGCTTCTTTTTTTTCTCTTGTTTTGGAAACTGTGTCATTTTCTAGGCGTTTCCTTCGAAGGGTTTGGTCATGGGCGTTGAGCGAACAATGGATGTTTACGGGTCATATGGGTTTGATTTGCACTGATCTATGTGGTGATTTTAATTACTTTTCTCCCTTTTTGAGGTCGATTGGCCTATCGAGGCTGCATTGGTTTGCGGTCTGTTGTCTCATTCTCGTTGACCGGGGCCAGGTCACTGAACTTGACGTCTTCATCTACGTGTATTTATATCTAATCAGCCACTCATGGCGGCTTAGCTATCTTGTGTCCAATAAAAAGGCACGCCCGCAACGACATGGCGAATGATGTCATCTTCAGCATTTATGATAAGCTTCCCTCTAGTGTAAATTGTAGACGCCACTAGCCCATCTCACTCGAATATTTACGAATTGTATTTTCCCCCTGGTTAATGCTTGGTTAATGCTTTCTCTGCATCATGTTCTGTGATTCTTCGCCTCGGTGGGCCAACCGGTCAGTTTGTGACGTATTTAAAGGGCCTCGGAGCACTGCAGTCCCCACCGGAGTCAGTCATTGCAAGCCCCGCCAATCCGTTATCGCGCACGCATTTCGGAGCATCTTCCCCCTAGACCAACACCCTGACGACTCGAGAATAGACCGCAATTCCTCCTCGTTGCATTCTACGCCTTCGCGCTTACGCCGGCTACCAATTGCAGTTGTTTTTTCTGTCATTGCTGCTGCATCCGACACCCAGAGCGTGTATCACCGCCGCACGCGACGAACAGCCCATCTGGACGTCCCGCCTCTGCCTGCAGGCAGTCGCCCATAGTGTCTTGTATCGAATCGAAGACTGGAACTCGGTCTAGCGTCGCCGGTTCGCCAGTCACAGCTATTATGAACGAGCAGGTTGTCCGCCTGGTCAAGAAGACCTGGGGTACGTGGACCGTCTCCTCCCTCTCTCCGCTCTCGGCGCTGGTGTAGAGAATCTGTCACACAGATCCATCCCATTCCACCGTCCATGCCAGAAAAGACAATTATCCTTCCCACAGACCTTGCAATACTAACCCACCTCTGCACCAGCAAAGTACTGCTCAACCCCCGATGACGCCCGCCTTATGATCGCGGTGAGCGGCATCCCAGGCTCCGGCAAGACCGAGCTCGCCAGCATGATGTCCAAACGTATCAACCAAATTTACGCCTCCGAGAACCAAAACCAGAACCCTCCCTTCACCCCTATCGCCATATCACTCCCCATGGACGGCTACCACCTCACACGCGCCCAGCTAGCCGCCATGCCCGACCCAGCCCATGCCTTCGCCCGGCGCGGCGCAGCCTTCACCTTTGATGGCCACAAATTCCTGCGCCTGGTGCAAGCGCTGCGGATACCGCTCACGCCGGACATGGGGCCCATCTACGCGCCCAGCTTCGACCACGCGGTGAAGGACCCCGTCGACGACGACATCGCCATTCCGCCAACGGTGCGAGTGATTTTCTTCGAAGGCAATTACCTCAGCTTAAATAAGGAGCCGTGGGATCAGGTGGCCGGGCTCATGGATGAGCTGTGGTTTGTGGATGTGAATTTTGAGGTTGCGAGGAAGAGGTTGATCAGGAGGCATGTGAAGGCGGGGATTGCGGCAGATGTCGATGAGGCGGATAAGAGGGCGAGGGAGAATGATTTGGTTAATGGAAAGGAGATTGTGGATCTTAGGTTGCCGGTGCAGGAGGTTGTATCAAGTATTTATGATCCTGCTTGGGAGAGGTTGTAGGGTTCGGGGCGTAGTGTGTGTGATCGGGGATTGGAAGGAGTGTGCCTGGGTGTCCATAGAATCTGAAGTTGCATTGATTGAGCTCGATGCAGCTAGTATAGCTTTGCATTTCCCTGCAGTTTAACTGGGATTATAGCGAATTGATTGTTTTTCCCTTAGTATGGCATCTAGACGTCTAGGCCTAGACAGTATGGTGCTGGGGGTATGATGACAAGTGCCCACGGTCACAGTAACCTTGACAGGATGAGACTTTTCTAAAGAAGAGTTAATTATAAACCAAGAGACTCCAGAAAGTGAAATCTTTGACTTGATCTACCGATTTTCGATCCATGTATGGTGTTCCCCCGAGCTGCCCCCGTGATGGTGTTACGCCGTACAAAGATACCACGTAAGTTGTTTGAATTCTGTTTCTGCACTCATTTGATTTAATAAAAGTCATCGTATATGTTAGCAGCATCTAATAGCTAGCATTCTCTCCAGGCTACTAGAGTAGGTCATAGGAATATAAGGTTGATCTTGCCCTACATCCTACAACACAATCTCCAGTGCCATAAATCTGCAACATACCTGCACTTTTTGTTAGGGCTTGTCAAGTTCTGCAGTTCTTAAAATTGTATTGCATACCACAGAGTATCTTTGGTAATTTCTATGAAGCCAGAATGCCGGAATACTGATATTGGTACTCGGTATCCCATGAGCCAGAAACCGGCACATACCCAGCAAGTGATCTTCCTGAGGGCTTTGGTATATATCTTATTGTCTATGGTCCTTGCAGGTCGATTTCTTCAGGGTTTAAATATAAGGATGTGCATTAGCTTGGCTAGTCCCTTTCTGGGGCGGGAGGCAGTGAGACAGCCAGGCACTACTAACAAGACCTGTTCTACCCACCATACCAAAGCCTGCATTCCACTACAACATGATATATAACCATGAGGTAAGTAAAAGAGTGAAGCGGTGATACAATGGACCATTACACGTGCACTCGCTGGTATCAATTTGGCGTGGCTTCAACTGCCCAGGGGGAGACGCGGTCCCTGACGCTAGTCCGTATCAGGGTTCGGACATGGGGTAATGTCATACAGACTTACAATTAATTACAAGATAGGGTAATGTATCCTTTGCTCGCAGTGTCAATACTAGAGGTACTACCCCCAGGCTCCTCACGACCCTCCCAAAGAAACCCATACGGCCCCCAAACGCCCAGCACCACCGCAGACCCATCCACTACAGCGTCCCAATTGGACGCAGCAAACCTGCAACGGGGGCCCAAACCCACCCTATCCCCTTTAGGCTGAGACCCTGTGTCTTCCCACCCTGAGTCCTGCCGCTTCGAGATCCGACTTCATCTTCTCTTCGTCACTCTTTGTCTTCTATTTTGCGCACCCTCGTTTACGTCGCAACCCAGTCGCTCTTTAGCATCTCCACAGTCCTTAAAGCCCACCACCACCAACTACCACCAATCTCTCCCAGATTCGCTGTGCGATCTTGTCTTCATCGTTCCAACTTCAGTCAACCCTTTCGTTTCTCATCATGTTCTTCAACAAGTCTACTCTCGCCCTAGCCTTCGTGGCCCTCGCGAACATCGTCTACGCTGGCCAGACCCCCGCCTGTCTCCTGTCGGTCATCGGGTAAGTGCTGATCTAAACCGCGAGCGCATGCGCGAATCCAATCGCCGCAGCCCTCGATCACATTCCAATCGCGATCATGAAACACTAACATCCCCAAGCGCCTCGTCCAACCCCGCCGACCTGGCCACCCTGTGCGGCTCTGATGCGAAGAATCTCGAGTCCCAGATCTCCGACAAGTGCGGTGACAAGACCCAGTCGGCCCTGAAGTTCTTCGCCAACACCTGCACTGCCAACGGCCACAAGCTCGGTAAGGATCTCCGCACCCACCACCGCGACGAATCTGAGGAATTTCCGATGTTATTCTCGGCTGGTTCATTGTGAAGGTCACCCTAAGCTGATAACTTCCCTACAGAAATCGCTAACGTCTCCACCTCCACCAACACCTCCTCCGGCTTCGTTACCGCTACCGCGACCTCTGGCTCCTCGGCTACTGGCACTGGCTCTTCTGCTAGTGCCTCTTCTACTGGCTCCTCTAGCGGCTCGAGCGCCAGCGGCGGTGCCTCTAGCACTGCTTCGGGTAGCTCGTCAGCTCCTACTGCCACTACTAACGCTGCTGCCGGTCTCCAGTTCCACGGCACTGCCTTCGCTGCTGTTGTCTTCGTCGGTGCCGCTGCGCTGCTGTGAGAGTAATAGCCATGCTACCTACAGATTCGCAATGTGATTTCGGATGTATTGATAGATAATTGGCTTCTTGAAAGTTGTGTTTGATATTCTTCAATCCCCACTTTATCTTGTTTTAAGGGGGGGAAGCTGATTCGAACAATGGTGGTTTGTTCGAATTTGCGTTATTGCACATGTTTTTGTGTTTCTAGGCTCCACTGCCTGTCATTCTAGAAAGGCAAACTTGATTGCTATGATGTATTCTTAACCCATCCCTTGACCCCCTTCATTGAACGTACATGTCGATTGTATCTCTGTTGCCCGGGCGTGCAAGTAAGGAGGGCCGGTGACTCATAATAGACGTGTCGACCCCAATTGACCCAGCCCAGCTGATAGATATGCTCTGACGTGTAGACCGAGTGACATCGGGTTGTCTGAGACCGGAATGCTGGCGGCCGCCCGGCGCCCGGGTTGCCGATACCATGCGGGCTCCTCTTAAGTGCTCCGTCGCGTCCCCACGTGACAAGCGCGAGGCAATATTACTCAGCGCGGTAAGCAAAGGGAGCCGAATCAGGCCAAACGCGAAAATTCACGAGCAAAAACGCGTCTGCCCCGGCGACATCAAATATCCTCGCCCCTCCGATCCTCTTCTCTCCTTCCCATCCCACTTCTCTGCCCTCAACTCCTATCCTTCCAACTCCTCTTCCCACTCCCATCCTTCCTCCTCCTTAAGGCTCATTCATCCTCTACTCCTCTTAATTCGCTATACCCCCTTGTTTTACTCTTTTTACCGACCTCCTGTCCTCCCACTCTCGAAGATGTTCGTTTACAAGCGAGGTAAGCCTCATTGACCCTTTAGGCTGAAGCTCCAACGCACTAGCCGCGGGGCAGACACGTTTTCCATGCATGGGGGCATGGCAAATGGCCTCGCCACCGACGTCAAGTGGATTACTGACGCGAATACCCCACAGACGGACGCAAAGAACGCGTGCAGTTCGACAAGATCACTGCCCGTGTGTCGAGGCTCTGTTATGGCCTCGATCCGGAGCACGTTGATGCTGCCGCTATCACCCAAAAGGTTATCTCTGGTGTGTACCAGGGTGTCAACACCATCGAGCTAGATAACTTGGTTAGTGAAGATGTTGCCACCGCTTTTAGAGCTACAAGTAGCCAAGGCTAACGACGCATGTACAACAGGCTGCGGAGACTGCGGCATACATGACAGTCACACACCCCGACTACGCTATCCTGGCCGCTCGTATCGCCGTCTCCAACCTTCACAAGCAGACCAAGAAGCAATTCTCGATGGTCATCTCCGACCTCTACCACTATGTCAACCCCAAGAACAATAAGCCCGCTCCCATGATTTCCAAGGAGCACTACGAGATTGTCATGAAGCATGCAGAAGAACTTAACTCTGCCATTGTCTATGACCGTGATTTCAACTACAACTATTTCGGCTTCAAGACCCTGGAGCGTTCATATCTCCTTCGGATCAACGGCAGTATTGCCGAGCGTCCCCAGCACCTGCTGATGCGTGTTGCTGTGGGCATCCACGGTGAGGACATTGAGAAGGCCGTTGAGACATACCACTTGATGTCCCAGAAGTATTTCACTCACGCTTCTCCCACTCTGTTCAACGCTGCTACCCCGCAGCCCCAGCTGGCCTCCTGCTTCCTCGTTGACATAAAGGAGGACAGCATTGAGGGTATCTATGATACCCTGAAGACCTGTGCCATGATCTCCAAGACTGCTGGTGGTATTGGTCTAAACGTCCACCGTATCCGTGCCACTGGCTCCTACATTGGTGGAACTAACGGCTCCTCCAACGGTATCGTTCCCATGCTCCGAGTCTACAACAACACTGCCCGCTATGTTGACCAGGGTGGCAACAAGCGTCCTGGTGCTTTTGCGATCTACCTGGAGCCCTGGCACGCGGATGTTTTCGAGTTCCTCGATCTCCGCAAGAACCATGGCAAGGAGGAAGTCCGTGCCCGGGATCTTTTCTATGCTCTATGGACCCCTGATCTCTTCATGAAGCGTGTCGAGGCCAACGGTGAATGGACCCTGTTCTGCCCCAACGAGGCTCCCGGTCTGGCCGATGTCTACGGCGATGAGTTCGATGCTCTGTATGAGCGCTACGAGAAGGAGGGCCGTGGTCGCAAGACTATCAAAGCTCAGAAGCTCTGGTACGCCATCCTTGAGGCTCAGACCGAGACTGGCAACCCCTTCATGCTGTACAAGGATGCTTGCAACAAGAAGAGCAACCAGAAAAACCTCGGTACCATCCGCAGCTCCAACCTGTGCACTGAGATCATTGAGTACAGCGCTCCCGATGAGGTCGCTGTCTGCAACTTGGCTTCTCTTGCTCTCCCCACCTACGTCGATGCTGCCCGTGGTGAGTATGACTTTGGCAAGCTGCACGAGGTCGTCCAGGTCCTGGTTCGCAACCTGAACAAGATCATCGACATCAACTACTACCCCGTTCCTGAGGCCAAGAAGAGCAACTTCCGCCACCGCCCCATTGCTCTGGGTGTCAACGGTCTCGCTGATGCTTTCCTCGCTCTGCGTCTGCCCTTCGACTCCCCGGAGGCCAAGCAGCTCAACACTCAAATCTTTGAGACCATCTACCACGGTGCTCTGACTGCATCCTCGGACCTGGCTAAGCAACTCGGCCCCTACGAGACCTACCCAGGCTCCCCCGTGTCGCAGGGTATCCTGCAGTATGACATGTGGGATCGCACCCCTACCGACCTGTGGGACTGGTCTGCTCTGAAGGCCAAGATCGCCGAGACTGGTGTCCGCAACAGTCTGCTGGTGGCCCCCATGCCTACCGCCAGTACCTCCCAGATCCTGGGCTTCAACGAGTGCTTCGAGCCCTACACCTCGAACATCTACTCCCGCCGTGTCCTGGCTGGTGAGTTCCAGGTCGTCAACCCCTGGCTGCTGAAGGATCTGGTCGACCTGGGCTTGTGGTCAGACAACATGAAGAACCGCATTATCGCCGACGGCGGCTCCGTCCAGAACATCCCCAACATCCCCGCCGACATCAAGGCCCTCTACAAGACCGTCTGGGAGATCTCCCAGCGCTCCATTCTGCAGATGGCTGCCGACCGCGGCGCCTTCATTGACCAGTCCCAGTCGCTCAACATCCACATGAAGGAGCCCACCATGGGCAAGATCACCTCCATGCACTTCGCCGGCTGGAAGATGGGCTTGAAAACCGGCATGTACTACCTCCGCACCATGGCCGCCTCCGCCCCCATCCAGTTCACCGTCGACCAGGAGCAGCTCAAGGTCGAGGACACCAACGTCGCCCGCACCAACCCTTCGTACAAGAAGCGCACCGTTGGCGCTGCCTCCTCCTCCGCCTATTCCGCTGTGCCACGCGCCAACGGCTCTGAGGAGGCTACCGCCGCTGTCAACGCCAGCCCCAGCCAAGAGAGCCCGCGCACTCTGGTCGAGCCTATTGCCGCTGCCACGGCTACTGAGTCTAACGGCGCGGCTGCGTCTGAGGAGGCTGCTGAGGGCGAGACTGAGGGCAAGTCTGAAGAAGATATCTTCTCGGACAAGGTGCTCCAGTGCAGCATTGAGAACAAGGATGCTTGCATCATGTGCCAGGGCTAAAGTGTTTTTTTCTGGATTTCTTCACGATTATCATGTTTTCTTGATCCCCATACTCCCTTCCCCTTTTATCCCATTCGCCCCTAAATCCTGTTCGCACTGTTATTGTGTGATTTATGTATCTATATCATGAGATTGATGGTTCTTCCCCGTTTTCCTTGTTTGGTTGTCAGCTTGGGCGATTTTTTGGTCTCTTTTTTCTTGTAATTCCTGTGTCAGTTGGTTGAATGATGTTTGACAGTCATCGCAATACTCGTATCACACGAAGTAGTCGCCGAGTATCTTTTCATCGTAGGCAGCATACTCAGGACACACCCGGCGATGGAGCACCCAAGGTAACATGTACCGGCTTGACATGAGGCTTTCTAAGTAGAGAGATGTGTTCACGATCATATATCAATTCCAAAGGATCGCTTATGAAATATTCCAAATATAATACAAGTAATTGAATGACCTCACAAACGAAGTCTTGGCGCCAACTTTTAAAATTACCTCTTTGTCTGATTTAACAAAGTCGGTATGAATTGCAACCTTATCACTGGAACATGATTCAGCAACAAATATTCGATAGCAGCAATATATTTTGCGAAACTTGAGCTCTTGTATCAGCGAGGTGGTGTGCTCCGTATTTTTCAACTCCTGCGTCAATGAACCCATGGTAAGGATTCTCCAGATCCTCCACCGAACCATTCCGAGCACGTCATAGAAAGCGGGTGACCAAGCGCACAGCAGCCTACCTGACACGGTGCCATTAATTCCCTCGGCTATTTTGAAGATGAAAGTACTGACGGGATTTTCATTTTTTCCCCACAGATACACGGAGAGGAAATATTGAAGTCACGAAAGTGGACGGTCCCAAAGAGCATACAGATTTATGTACTATATGGTCATCGAAAATGATTTGAATCTTTTTTTCCCAGGGTCGTGGGCCAGGGTTGCCAAGGTTTGCCACGTCAGAGCTAGTCGCAGCATGTCGATCTGTGTACGGAGTACAGAGTACCAGTACCGAGTACCTACCAGTACCGAGTACCGAGAAGCATGGTCAACTCAGCGTATCGCTGCCCTGGCAGAGATTGTCGAAAACCCCCATCCATTTCTTTTATCACCAAGAAGCACCATGTACTTTACGAATCGCTGCCACGTCAGAGTATACAGTATATACCATATATCCATTTCGTCCAATTGAAAAAAGCATAGTTGCCACCTCTTGGGCATCTTTACCCCACTAGAGTGTATACACGTCTATGCCTGTTTATGCACGCAATCGAAAGTGCGCACCGCAATAAATTACAGCCACGTCAGAGTGGGGGAAATCAGAATTTTCACAAAAAGTTAAAAAATTCCGAAAATATATAAATAACGCGAATATCCAGAAATTACACTTTCCTAAACCAGTTTTGATCTCGCCCTTCGGAAACATCCGAGGATTCATCTAGAATATATCAAATATATCTGAAAATGTAAGCTTTACCATTTTCTCTTGAAATTACAACCATCTGACCTAAGCCTCTGTAGTTCTACCAATCACAATGTCTGAACGCGAGGTTGGAACCGTTAAGTGGTGGAACGACGAGAAGGGTTACGGCTTCATCACCCCCGAGAGCGGCGCCGATCTGTTCGTGCACTTCCGCGCGATTGAGAGCCACGGCTTCAAGTCTCTCAAGGATGGACAGAAGGTCTCCTTTGAGATCGTCCAGGGGCAAAAGGGCCTCCAGGCGGAGAAGGTTCGGGTTGAAACTGAAGAGTGATTCTGCAGGTCTACATGTAATGGACCATGAACATCAGAAGCATGTCATGGTCTTTTTTGTTATCATTTAATGCATCAATTAATGAATCAACCAGGAGAAGGATCTCCACGCTTTTCACACAAGCCATTGTCAACCTTTTCCAGACACTTTATTTTCCTCCTTGTCCAATAGATTTCGCGGAACAAGCAATAAGAGAATACAGTATTTCCGGTGCCCTTGACCTGTCACAACACCTTTCGAGTGTTAGGCAGTGCAGCTAAGACTGGAGCGGCCAGAAAGTTCAGCAGGAACCCCCACTACATAGAGCTGATTGGTAAACCCAATTTAAAGCTCCATGGAGTTAAATAGTGCAGGTACCATCTGGCTGAATCATACATGATTCTTAATAATAACGCAAAGACTGCTACGGCTCGTGGACCGTAAGGTTTATGGCTGGATGTCCACAGATGATCAAATGATCAAATGATAACTGGATAACGATCCTCAGTCTCAACCAATGCCACTCGTTAATTATCCTGGAACTATTATCCCCTGATAGAAAGTGTCCATTGAATGGTGCCTTGAACTGGTCGCGGGGAACTGTATGCGGCTGAAATAATCTTGTGAATGCTAACGTAGTTTTTAAGCGGCTACATGAGCCTCTCCCCTCGACTGACTTAGCTCATTCTATCCCTCGCTCGAAGTAAAATAAGGACACAGTCAAATAACTGCTATGCTGCAGTAGCTATTATTTTTACTTCATCATTTTTTTCAAATGGTTGCCATGCTCCGAAGGTGAGAGGGCCATCCAGGATCCAGCTCCCAGAGATTCACGGCCAATAGGCAACAGCCGTAGTAGGAGCTGAGGCCACATCATATATTATGGGCGCGTAATAAAGATTCTTCGCTCTTCCGTTTGCCGCACCGTCCAGAGGGACTTCCCCTGTGATTAAGACGGTCACTACCTGACACATCGAGTGGGCTGTGGCCCCGTCCATACTAAAAGAAAGACCGTGGACGGGAATGAAGGAGCTGTGACTGCGACAGTCTAGCCTATGGCTACTCAGTATTGCTGCCCCCGGCGCTTCTAGGCGTACGAAAACTTCTGATAAATGTGCCACTGTGTGCAAGACAAGCGAGCCGTGCGATCGGTACTTCTGGTGGGCAAAGCCATTTGTGTGTGATCCCCTTAGCTTTCCCAAAACAGGAAGACTCCACGACACAATGTCAGAATTAGAAGGCGAAAGCTCACCGGTGAGTCCACCCCTTTCCTTAAAGATATCAGCGTAGCCTGAGCCTAGAATAGAGAGGCTCTTGGTCACTAGTCTGTTCTAACGCATGACCTGAATTCAGTAGGGAGGCGCAGACAGAGGAAGAAAACTGTGAATCAGAAATAGGCTGTACGACCTAGATGGGCAAGCTTCAGAACGTTTCTTCTAAAGAGCCAGGTCAATATGAGCTCTCGAAATAAGCCTAGTGCATCCTGGCTGTGATAAAATTCGTCCCTTCCCCTCCAATAGTATCATCATGGGGAAGGATTTCAGTCAGAACAGTCAAGATCAAGTCTATACTTGGTTACAGGGATCTGTACCACGTATCGCCGAGACACTGCAAACATGGTACAAACGAGCCTCTCTTTCGAGTACGTCTGCATCCACTTTCTTGAAAGATTACTGTTTTGGGGATCACTTGGCGCGGCGTTAGGAAGCAGTGGGCCTAACTCGAACGGTTCAGACCAGAAACGACCTCAAGATGAACAGCATCCAAAGATCGCCAATTCAGTGGCTTATAGGCAGCTATCAGATAAGTAAATTTCAGCTCCGATAGGGCCAGTGTCTTTCAATGATCTTGCTGATCTCTGGTTTAATTAGTTGTGCTATCTCCATGGGACTTCTTTATCTATCTTGATATCTACTATGTCTACTTGCCTACTCGCACCCCAGCACATACTTTTACCAGCAACACTCTACTCTTAATCTTCTTCTTTTCAAGGACATCCCTGATACCCCGGCCACTCGTTCATGCCGACCTCTCTCCACGCCAAACACCCGGGCCCGCAGGATGCCACTTCCATATCCGGCGATGACGCAACCCGCAGCAAAAACTCCATGGAAAAATGGAAGGACGGCGTTGCGGGGGAACCTTTTCCTTCCCTTCTTTAATATGACCCTCATAACGCCACATACTAAGTACCCAAACTTCAGTCCTTCTCGTGGGGCAGGTTGGCCGGTATAGGGGGGTTGGTTGTGGGATGCCGACAACGGCGCTTCTCTCCTGGGTTCTTAGTGACTTGTGATTCGCCACGCGGTCATCCACCTTTTTGGTTCTTTTTCGCTATTTCTTCGGAATTGCCCTTTGCAGCGGTGGAGGTTCGGGATGGATACTGTTTCTGTTGGGGGGGGGGGATACCCCTTGCTGTTAAGGGTGAGGTTTTTCGCTGGAGGCTATGTTTTATTGGAGAAACATGAAACTGAAATCAGATTTGCTTTGTCCGACTCGAGGTCTCAAATTGTGCCGTTTCCAGGCAGGCATAGTAGAGTGAAAGGCAGGAAACGTCGAGTGTAGCGCGAGTTGTTCCTTTGTACAAGTATACCTCCGTAGCTGGTGTGGAGCTAGCGTGTTTGAGGACAGTCGCGCAGACAAGGCCACTGGAAACGAACGGCGGGGAATGTCAGCCCTGCCACGCGCGCATTCCTTCATCGCCGCAAGAACCCGGCCGTCGGTGCGATCTCACATTCTGACAGGCGCCTCGCCGATGTCGAGAATGAGGGACTTGACACAATCTGAGCAATACCTATTGGGCTGTTGAATTCGAAGGATGGTCTATCTCCGAGTACGCTCAGGGACCCTCACTCTTCATACTATACGCGCATCTCACAATATTTCCCAGCATTGATCACAGCTCCGATGCCACAGCCGAAGTAGTCTCAGTTCCTTTGATTGCCGACCGTCCAAATTGTGGCCGTTCGCTCTGCTTCCGGGGTGATCGTCGGTGAAGTGGAGCGCCCACCACTGGACAGTATGGGCGCCAGGAAGACCGAGAAATAAAATGGAGGCTAACCAGAATACCGAATGGGCCCGTACCAGGCTTGTGCAACCATTGGTGCGACAGGGCCTCCTTCAGCCCCTCTCCCGGTCCGGTCTAGATTATGCCTGCTGGAGATCGGAATTGTTTCATCTGCCAGCCACCGATCTGGGATGGAAACACCAGGGCGAAAGGAGGAGGAGGAGGGGCTTGGGACTCCTCGCGCCGGCGAATCTATTTTATCGTACTGGGATGGACAGAGTCGACACCCCCAATGGACTGCAGTCACTGGAAGCAGCCACTAGAAGCAGAACCTCCGGTCGCTTACTCATGTACGCACTGACAAGGACGGACACACCACATATCCGACCAGTCAAGAATGGTGCGCTGTATTCCTCCTGGGACGTTTCATCGAGGATGATCGCCACCCTTAACCCACCAACCCGACTGGCTCTTAAGCCAGTCCCCACAGCGCAAAACATCGGCTCGGTGAAAAGGCAAATTCGAACAGGCCTCGGGTGGACCGGAACGGTGGCAGAAGACCCCGATCAATCAACTTCACAAGCGAGTAGGGCAACGCTGGATACAGCGCAGATGTATTCCGCATACTGCCCCGTAACTGCTCACCCTAGGGCCGTCGTATCTGCGCCAACAGGCCCAGGCCCTGGCCCAGTGAGATGCCAGCTGCGCTGTTGAATATCACCTTGTCTCATCGCACTGCCAATGGCACGGGCGGGGACCCGCCCGACGCCCGTTGGGAGGACTGCATGTGGACGTGTCGCGCAGGGACGCGGTTTGCAAGGCGACGGATAGATTTCGACATCGCATACCGTAGATTGAAATCCGCAAGGCAGAGAGAGCGATGTGGGCGCAGAATTTTCGGTAAAGGTTCTGTACTTTTGCTCGACCTCCCCGGAAATGGCAGGTTCCAAGAAGTTGAGGAGTTTTGCCTTCACGGTGGAGCGGGATAGGGTTTCCCGCCAGGTACCGCATTCTGGCTCGGTCGATTCCCAGCCGTGGGGTTCTGCCCCCGATTGTTGGGGACTATTGGCTGGTGCTGCAGCGGCCCCTTCAACCGCCAGGCCCAAGCCTGCCTAACGCCCGCAGCAAAGCGTCGCGCTGAGTGGCAGATGCCCCTGCGCCATCGCGCTGGCACCATTCTGTTGTCCCCAATCAGCGGTCTCAAGGGCCCCAGGAGGTCCGACTTCAGGTACCAGACGGTCGTAAGGCGAAGCAGGTTCGAGGAGGACAAGGAGACCAGCCAGAGGAGGACCAGGATGCATTGATCCGCGCCCTTCCTCGGACTTTCAGGGAGGGGACGAGAAAGAACGGTCGACCGTAGCTGGTGGCTTGGATATCCACGGTTCGTTAGGTTGACGAAAAACGTGGTGGATCCGCTCCGTCCTCCAGGCACTCTCGTCAGGCCGGCTTATTTATTACTCTTTTTTCCCCGTCACTTTCTTGCTCCTTCACTCCCCAACGATCCCTTCCTTCCTTCTCTTTCGTCTGTCTACACTCACGCTCCTTTTGAGTGTTTTACTGTCCTTTACTACTGCTGAGCAGTTGATCAGTCCTTTATCACCACCTCCGCCAACTCGCCCCTTACCCTGCAACGTCTGATTTCCCGGAAACTTCCACTCTGGACGACAAACCATTTACCATGGCCCCCATCACCAAGACCCTCGCCCTTGCTGGCGCCCTCTTCGCCGTCTCCGGCCTCGCTGCTCCCGTTGAGAAGCGCGCTGTCGTCTGGAAGACCGTCACCGACGTTGTCTGGACCACTGTCGATGTGACTACCACTCTCTACCCCGGCCAGCCCACTGCCACTGTCGTACCGGTCGTGACGACTGCCCCTGCTGAGGCCACTCCGGCTGTCGTGGCCGCTTTGGTTCAGGCTCCCCAGAAGGAGGAGGCCACCACCAGCACCAGCACCTCCACCAGCACCACCTCCACCCCGGTTCCGGTCCCTGCTCCCACTGAGGAGGCCACCACTACTTCGGCCGCCCCCGTCGTCCAGGCCGCTGCGGAGACCAGCTCGTCCGCTGCCCCCGCTGCCACCGCTGCCACCTCGTCCACCCAGAGCTCCGGCTATACCGGCTCCTGCTCCGAGTCCTCCCCCTGCGATGGCCAGATGACTTACTACGACACTGCCACCAGCATGAGCAACCCCAGCTCCTGCGGCACCACCAACGACGGCGAGACCGAGTTCGTCCTCGCCCTGCCCCACGGCATCATGACTGACTCGGACTGCGGCAAGACGGTCACCATTACCTATGGCGGGGTCACCAAGTCCGGCACTGTCGTTGACAAGTGCATGGGCTGCGACAACACCTCCGTCGATCTGTCGCGCGCTTTCTTCGAGGCCTTCGCGTCCCTCGACGCTGGCCGCGTGTCTGGTGCCACTTGGTACATCAACTAAGCGTAGCAGCTGCGTCGATCGCGCGCGCGCTCGAGTTTGCTTTGGAGACAAGTACCTCCTAAATGGGACCCATCTCTGGTAGATTGGACACCAGGCACTTCTCATCTGCATGGTCATGTTCAATGACGAGTCTCGACGGCTCCATGTTCATCTTCGCTTCGTTCCTGATCGACGATCACGTCTTGCCAATACCCAATTGGCGATGCGCGGTATCGACCAGGCCCCCCTTTTTTTCTTTTCTACCTTTCTTGCAGTCTCTTACGAACCAACCCATTTTTCCCCCATCGCACCCCTAGCGGTGTTGCGACTTACCATGCATTTTACATGCCCTTCTTCATGTTGATAGAATTTTGCCTTTCCCTGCGGGGAGAGTCTTGTGAAAATACTACCTGTGATGGACCCATTCCTCCAGATTAACCCTCGATGTCTTTTTCTTTTCTTCGCGAACGTGCGAGAGATGACCAGCCAGATCTACCGATCTACCAAAATTCCATTTTACGATCTCTTATGATAGCCACGCTTCCATGCTTGTGCACGAATGAGTTTTAACGCTATCGGGAACGGCAATCGGGGACTGCGTTGAATTTGACTTATTTTCGGTATTTCTTGTCTGGTAGTAGTTCGTACAGTACAGTATGTCTTGGACTTGGCCTTTCTGTTTCTAGAGGACGATTGACCTTTGCATCTAGTTCTTTCCTTCTGCACGGTGTTTTCTTTTGTTGGCTGCTTCGTGCTTTCCCGTCCGACCTGTCGCCCCGGGACATGCAAGACCCGCATTTCAGCTGGTTATGTACTGTAGCTCCCCACAACGCTTTCAACTCGGGGACTCCGTTTCTTCCACTCGGGACTCGAATACCACCTGCCTACCTTGGGTGGCTGTACCCAGCACCTTGAGCTGTTGCCTGAGACTAAAGACCCAAAATCGGGACGCGAAACACCATGCCTCCCCTGAAACACCCCCTCCGGCTCCACCCAACCACAGCCACGACTTGGGAACTCACCCCCGGGTCTAGTGAGCTGATGTACACTGACTGCTTCGTAGAGGTCGCCTGCATAGCCTCGAATAGAACAGCTCCCCCTATTCCTTTTTTTCTGTTGGTTTTTTTTCCTTTTCTGAATTGAACGTGTGCGGGTGGGGAGGGCTGTGCCGGTTGATCGACTCTGTCAGGCAAAGCCCAGCGCAAGCTTGCTTCCTGGACGCGTCGAGACCGGACGGCCATCATAGCGAATTCCCGCTAGTAAACTCCGAGGTAGCATATGGGGGAGGTTGCCGAAGGAATTGACTTTTTGTGCCCGTCAAAGCTCCGGATGATCATCGCCCAAGGATGCCGGAGGAATGCGTCACCTACGACGATCTCTTGATGCGGATCCGGGATCGGCAGCATAGCATTCTTGCGCTACTCATGGCTGGGACTGATCCTATGGGTGATCACCTTATCGTCTTAAAGGGCAAGACAGTCTCAGTCCACCTCTGAATGCTCTCTATAGTAGGGCAAAGGCAGGTCTTCTTCGCATGCGCCACCACTCCCCTCTTACTCATCCGCTAAAACCCATAAATTATTTCGGAGCGTGCCAATGCTCGAAACCGACCCGTCCATCTGCGTCCCGGGGAACAGGTAACATCTGCCGCGAAAAGGGGCAAGCCAGTACGAACCTCTTCTGAAAGGAGTCCACCGGCCTGCGGACTATACGCAGTCATTTGGGTTGTAGGGCACTTGCCGGGTTCGATACTCACCAGCAGGTTTGAAGAATATAAAGGGGAAGGGGGGAGGTGTGCAGCCTGCTTTGACTGGAGGAGAGGTAAGTGTCGGCGAGGTATAGTCTCCCTATCCTCTAGGTATATACTCGATGCTGTATCCTGCATCGGCGAGTCCGCGCAACAACAGCCGCATCTGGACATGACACAGAACCCAAACTGAACAAAACCGAACCAAATCAAACCCAATCAAATCACGTTGCATTTCACACAGAAGATTCTTACTATGCTTCGCATCGTGCAACCCCACACACTGCAGGATAGGCACGTCTCCCTGCGCCAGTGGGCTCAGCATCGTCTTCACGGTGACTATTTCATCGGTGGTCAGCACCGTGCCCCTCGTATCGGAGATATCCGTGCCCTTGATCACGAGCCTGCAACTTATCTGCCTCGGTGATGAAGCCCCGATCCGTGTTTGGAGGGCGAGCATAGCTCGAAGAAGCATCTACCTACCACCGAGTTTATCCTCCCGGGTTACCAGAGACACATGGAACGAAACCCAGTTATACATTCAAAAGCTATATCTCCTGCCCCCACACCCTGTCACTCTCTCCCTCCGCATCATACGCATACGCCCCCATCTGCGCCGGATAAATCCACTAGTTTGGACTATGATGTGAGTCATGATTCGACCACGCTCTCGAGAAGATCTTGTCGACGGAACAAGTCGCCATGGTAGTTGATTCGGAGAAGCTGCTCGTGGACCCTGGAACTACCACCACAGCAAGGACAGGAACGGGCCCATGGTCTGGCTGGACGGGCTGGACTTGCCAACCTTCCGCCACGTTCTGCACTTTGTCGAGCACTATAATCGGCCGCGGTATCCGGCTGTAGATGTGCATAGGATATGAAAGATGGTGGGCGGGAAAGTCTGGCGATGGATGATAGCTTGCAACTTCCCGTGTTCTTGGTCAGCACCCTAGCTCATTTTCCATTCCCAAATGGGGATGTTCCAGAGACCTCCCCTTTCTCCTGACCCTTCCCTATTTGAATCCGGCGTCGAATCCCTGCTAATGAGATGTTCTACCAGCGAGCCGGGGGTTAGGCGGCAGCGCCGAGCGCACTGCGGCAGGCGCGGCGTCGCCCTCTTGTCGCGAGACACCCTCGGCCGGCTGTCATGTTATTAGCGGCTGGGAACGGTCCGTGATGGGGGAGCAGGAGTTTGCGTGGGAGGAAGGGGACACCTTCTGCGTCCTGTTCTGGTACAAATACCAGCATCTGGCGAGTGGAAAGACGGTGTATCAGTATCACTTCGATGCGATGCTTGATGCGCTGGGGTTTCTGGGTGAGGAGGGGATGGATCTTGAGAGTTTGGTAGAGGACTAGAGAGATCGGGGGTTCACAACGTATATGATCGTGGTTCTTTTGATGTTAGGGTTGTTTCTTTTGTTCCTTTGTGGCTTGGGATTGTCAATTACACAGGGCCGTTTGTGCTACCCATGCTGTATACCTCGATATCCCAGCAGCGCCTTATCCCACCATCTCCCTGCCCAGAACCCCGGAGATCTAGAATCGGTGGCAGATTGCACTAATGATACACGGCGTGCCATGGAGGGTTTGTCGTCGCCTTCTTGTTTCGGAGCTATCACTCCACTCTTGGACGGGGCCGCACGAGAAAACGAGCAAATCAGGCCGACAATCGTATAAGCCCGTAGCTCTGCTCACCCGGCCCATTCTTCCTCGCGTTATGAGTCTCAGGAAGCGAACCCATTCAGTTGTGTACGCCACTGCAATCAGTGGAAATCATACTCGGTAGATGATTTGTGACCGGGTCGCATACGCGCTGGATCGCCGTGATACCCTCGTCCACACCATAAGCGGGGCCACAGGATCTGGATTGCGCTGCAGGTCGGATGCGTACCGAAGACCAGTACGTCACCGTAGACTGTGTAGCGAAGGAAGAATGGGGGCTTGGGTTATGGATCTATCTGGTAACTGCTGCACGGAGAACGTCGATATCCGGGCAGATGTGAATCCAGGTCTCATATCGGTGGTAGGCCAGCCTTCGATAGGTAGGGCGTGGGCGTCTCACCGGAAAATGCCTCGGAGTCGACTTACCAGTACAGTCCGGTCGTACTCTTGCAGGGCTACAGCATGTACGCTATCAACTGGGCAGAAGCGGAAAAGGGACTGCTGGCCTGCCCCACCGCGGGCACGCCGCCACCTCGTCGTATTTCTGTGGTTTTGTACCTGTCGGCACTGGACGACCCTGGCAAGATTCCCCTGAATACGCCGATTAATCGAGGAGAAATAGGTACCAGGGGAAATCGAAAAAAAAAAAAAAATTATCACCACAAAGAAAAATTTCCCGAGATAGTCATTCGCCGTCACCCATAAATCGCCACTGGGGAGTTCTATTGGCGGCCGCCGGAGCTGAAGGCTGAGCGAAGATCCCCGCAACAGCACCAATGGCAGCTGCAACCTCGCCAACCTCCACCGGTGTTCGGTGGACCCAGCTGGGCCCAACTGCAAGGTCCTACCCATCCCTGCGGACTCCCCAAGCCCACCTCCCCGACCGCTTGGGGCACGCTGGACAAAGCACCTGAAACTAGCGACCATCCCCGCCCAAAGTTGCCCCTCATGGCACCTCGACAGCTCCCGTTCTTCGCGGTGGAGATGGCCGTGTTTCAGCCTCTGCAACGCAAGGAAGCCGCCGGCCTGCCATTGGGCCGTGATGTGGGCCTCTCCAGGGCAGTTCCTGAGGATCCTGAATATCCTTGACGTCCTGGACGGAGTGCTCTGCAGATGGAGCTCTCTTGTCCTCCGTATGGTCAGAAGTAGAATTACCCGATGCGCTTAGTCTCCACCGTCACGAGAGTATCCCCTTGCACAGGGACGGGAACCGGTGCTGGAAGGAGATGTGTGATGCGAGAGGGGGAGAGGGGAGAGGGTACGCACTACATATACTGCATACTGCTGCTCTGAGAGTTTGCTCTCTTCTTCCTAAGCAAGTCTTCTCTCTTCCACTCTCTTTTTTCGTGCTGGGCACTCCTTTTTCAGTCACGATGTTCATCCTTCCATTCGTATGTACCACCCTTTGCCTCCTCCCTCCCCCAGCTATACAACGATAACCCGGTTGAGAGATCCCCGGACTGACCATGACCCTCCTGTTTAGCTTTTGGCTGCTGGCAGCCTCCCCCTCATTTCTGGGGCTCCAGTCGCATCCTCTCTCTTACGCGCATCTGCAGACGTGAAAGTTGAGCAAGCCGCGTCCAGCCACTCCCTCAGTGGACGCAGTAGCAACCTGTACGCCGCCGTCTTCGGCGGCAACGGCCTGGTGTCAGATGGGTGGCCCAGCATGGAGAACTGGATCTCCAGCTTCGACGACATGTTCGAGAGCAACAAGGATATCATCGGGTCGTCGTGCTCGCAGTGGGGCGTCGCCGACACCACCGAGGACGAAATGGCCACCATGAAGACGGTCATCAACACGATCGCCGGCGAGAGCGGGGTCGACGCCCGCTTCATCCTGGCCATCGTCATGCAGGAGAGCAACGGCTGTGTCCGTGTGCACACCACCGACAACGGCGTCACCAACCCGGGCCTGATGCAGTCCCACAACGGCAAGGGCAGCTGCAACACCGGCGACAGCGCCCCCGAGAACGTCCAGGACCCCTGCCCCGAGTCCGAGATTGAGCAGATGATCCGCGATGGTACCATGGGAACTTCCGACGGCGATGGTCTGCAACAACTCATCGAGCAGAACGGCGGTCTGAGCGATGTCTCCGCGTACTACAAGGCTGCGCGCTGCTACAACTCCGGCTCGATTGGTGCCGGCGGCAACTTGGGCGCCGGCGTCGCCACCCACTGCTACGCTTCGGACATCGCCAACCGCCTGCTCGGCTGGTCCTCCGGCACTAGCAGCTGCAACGATGCCACCATCGCTACGCTCACCGGCAGCTCCTGGAGCGGTAGCTCCTCCAGCAGCTCTGGCAGCTCGTCCTCCGAGTCTAGCTCCACGTCCACTTCCTCTGCCAACCCCACCGGCGTGACCACTATTCTCCCCGAGCCCGCGGCCACGTCAACCTCCACCTCCACCTCCAGCACCTTCAGCCCGACCTACACCCCCGCCGCAGTCACGCAGACTCCCGTACCCGAGTCTGCTGCGCCCCCCAGCACGCCCACTCCCGCTACGAGCAGCAGCGTTCCTGCCTCGCCGTCTGCATCTGCGTCCGGCGTCCCCCTGTACCCATACGCGACTTCGTCGTGCCAGCAGTACTACACCGTCATTGCGGGCGACTACTGCCAGAAGGTGGAGGTGCAATTTGGCGTTTCTGCGTCGGACCTGCAGAGCTGGAACCCCGGCTTGGATGATAGCTGCACGAATCTCTGGAAGGGATACCAGTATTGTGTGAAAGCTTGAAGCTTCCCTAGCACTCACTGACCACCCCTGGTTTGGCATGACTCGACTAGATACTTGAGCTGACATTCCTTTCGGTCTCTCGATCTACGTTTGATGCCCATGTCCATCCTCTCTTTTCGTCTCCAGTACTGATTGTACTCGGATCCTCTTTTTCTCTTCTTTCTTCATTCATTCTTGAGGCTGTGCCCCTTGATTGACTTGATAGATTCGGAGTGTAACCCGAATCATCCCCACAAAAAATGTCTTTGGAAGACAGTTGGCGGACTCTCTACGTCCACGGTGCTTGCATAGAAACAGGAGAAGAAGTTGCAAATGGGCAAACTATGGACTGGCCGGTTTCTTCCATGGTACTCATTCGTTTGCTTCTTTTTCCCTGTTGATCTAGCTTGCCTGCCCACCACGATTGACGATCGCATCTTTTCTGATCCCTGAGCGTCAGCTTCAGCTTGCCTTGATACCAACTCCTATCTGCGGAGCGCAAATACATTTCGTTTTCACCTTCACCTTCATCTCAATTTCACTTTCACTTTCACTTTCCCTTTCCCCTCAGCCTTGGCCCTAGTCGTAAATGCCTTCGGACAGGCGAGACAAGATGCATAGGTAGATGTCGGGCGCTTAAACAGTGTACTGTAGATATTGTATCTGCAATAATCTCCACGCCGCAGCCCAATTTACAATTTACAATTCACAATTCACAATTCACAATTCCATTGTCCGGGAACGTCCGTGCTTCGCAGATTGGCGCTAGCCCCCCAACTCCAACCTTGCATCCTGTTCTCGCCCCATCATACCATGCCATGCCATGCAATGCAATGCCACCCGTTCACCGGCCAAGTTTCTGCTGTAGTCTTGGCATGGACCTGTACATGTGATATATTTTCCCGAGCCTGAATGCGGAGAGGGGTACGACCAAGACTAGACATGTCCACCTGCATAAAGCATCTCTGCGGTTCCTGTGCGCGCGATACATGCCTCGCTCAGTAAGGCGGAGTTACGCGCCGCGTAGGTGGGCGCCTAGGCAGGGTGCCTGATTTGCGGCGGGCGGGATGGTAGGGTCTCTTCCGTGGGGCGATGGGTGCGATTGGCATTGGCCTTCGGGGGCTAGGACGGTGATTGTCATTGTGAGTCTCGTCCACTAGGATATGGTACGACACGGCCTAGGCCTAGGCCTATGCGATCTACTTGATTTGTGGGAGGGAGAGTTGGATTTAAGTTAGTTGCGATGTGGTGTGCGGTTGATTGGGGCTGGATCGAGTTTCAGGATTAGGGGGCAAGGCGTGGGACTTCAACTTGGGGGCGAATACGGGGTATGAATAATGGGCAACGTAATTAAAACTAGATCAACAATCCATGACGCAGAAATAGGTGCAGCGGGTATTGTAAACGATGACTACACTAGAATCTATGATGCATATGCCTTATACGTTGCGCTTCATATGATCTCACTCCCCATTCCGCTTCGCCAGGCTAGCCTGGTGCGCAATCTTGGCCAAGAGCGACGCCATACCAGCATGGTTACACTCAGGCTGGAACCGCTTGCTCAGCAACGGGGCATTACTCGCCTCGTTGCGCTTCGAGAAACTGAATCCCGGCGTGGCCTGCACACAACTATACTGGGCGTCGGCACCTCGCAGAGCGCAAATCTCGTTCGTCACGCAGTCGCCCGTACAAGCTGGCACACTGTACCCACGTGTCCGTCGCGCCCAAAAGTCCTCAAAAACAGAGGAGTCCTTCTCCATGGCTACGGTGACATTGTGCCAGAATCCGGGCGTAAGCTCGACACCAGCGTCTTGGACGGGTGGCGAGAGTTTGGAGCCGTAGGCTTTCTTCGCAGAATAGTACGGCACCCACTCGGGTCCTCTCTGGAACGATGGGTCGCTGATATTAGCGATGTACTGTGTGAAATCCATCACGCCGAAGGTCTCTGGGTCGATGTCGTAGACGCGAAAGGAGGGCGGGCCGGACGTAGGTGTCATCGAGGGCGCGACGTAGCCCATCGCCGTGGCTGTGTCCCAGTTGCGATGGCTATAGTTCGAGTACGCGATTTGGAACTCGTCTGTGTGCGTGTGCCCATAGAACAGCCCAGCAATGGTGGTTTCGTAACGCTGCACAATCTGGTCGAAGTAGTGCGAGTGATCGCGGAGATGGTCCACGTTCCCGGACGGGATGTGCGAGATAAGCCACACGCGCTGGCCCGCATCCTCGGCGGCTTGCATCTCTTCGATAAGCCAGGTGAATTGCCCGTTGGGGTCGGACTCCATCGGCTCTTCGTAGGAGAAGAAGTTGTACTTGTAGTAGAAGATGCTGTTGTAGGAGATGATGCGAAGCTTGCTGTTGGGGTGGATGGCGGAGTATGAGCCGTATTCGGTCGCCTTCTGAACGCTTTCCATTCCTGTCAGTGTCATCCAGTTGGCGGCGAGGGCTTCGTAGGCCCACTGCGGGTTGTATTCGTCCGGGATGTTGTGGGATGGGAAGAGGTTCAGTGGCGCGGCATCGTGGTTGCCGAGAGCAGCATACACGAGCCCGAGATGGTTCTCCATTGCACCATATGTGGCGTTAAAGTCCTGTAAGACTTCGGATTGATTGACGAGCCAGACGTCGTGGGCGACTACGTCGCCGGTATAGATTGAGAAGGCTGGGTGGAGGTCTGTGATGGCGGTCATCATGCTTTCCTGGAGTCGGTGCGGCGGATCGCATTTGAGGTTACCCCAGGGTCCGCAGGGCTTGTCGGCGGTTCCTGGTGCATCGTCCTCGGTGTATACGCGACAGCAAATGGGTTTGGAGCAGTCATAGTTGGAGCCGGTCTCATAGGAGAGGTCGACGTGTGTGTCACTGAAGTGGACAACCTTGATGGGGGGTTTACTGCTGGGGGGGGGACGCGTCGTCGCTGGCTTGGGCGAGGGGAAAGATAAATGGTATGGACGAACATCGGGGAAGTCACATAGGCCGATCAAGGCGGAGCACAGCGTCTTGGCTGTGTGAGAAGCCACCTTCATGTTTTTTAAGGAGTAGTGCAACGCTGGTCCCTCGATTGCGATGACACCGGCGCAGACATCACGATCCTCTGCCTACGCACACCAGTTAGGTGCGTGACACCCGGCGTAAATTTGGGTCATGGCTTACACCACTGATATCGCAAATGCCGGTCAGAACATCCTCCATAAAGCCCTCGCCCACATCGGCCACCAGTTTGAGGCCACCCAAGAGAACCTGGGTAATCGATGCGATATTCATTAGCGTGAGAGATGATACAAAATTCCCTCAGATATCTATACCTGGCAAGTTCCACAGTCCACGGCCTCCTTGAAGTCATCCCAGATAGCGCTGATCCAGCTTTCTGCAGACTCGGCTTGAACGCCTGGCAGCGCTGCCAGAGGGGCAAGAGCAGCAAGCAAAACTGTCTGCTTCATATTGACAAGCAGGGATATTCCCAGGCCGCAGATTCCACCTACCTATCGAGAAAGCAGGAAAAGGTTGTTCGGTGGACTAGGGCAAGAGCGCGGAGGCAGGCATGAATTTATGAGCCTCCACTCAACCCGAGGGTCTCTGCACGTACATTTGGCCAGCCAGATGATCCGACAATTCGCTTACCACCGGATAGTGTTCCTACAACCGAAGAATACAAGCGACGCGATCATCCGATCATCCCCTCCAACCTGAATCTCTCAGATGGATATCCATCCATTGCAGTTGTGCAGCGGTGTTGGGCTTGGCCATGTCGATCGCGAATACCAGCATCGCAAACTCCCCTCTTTATGGAAAGACACCAGGGAAAGCAGCTTGGAAGCGACGGTCGGAATGCGTGTGGACTGTATCCCGTCGGATTTTAATGGAGGCCGATCGGGCGACCGAGATGGGCTCGCGACCGCATCCCTGAACGAGTTATGCAGCCAAGCAGCTAAAGGGAAGGACTGCAACACTGCGCGGGGAAGCCATGGAGTGATCGTCAGTTCTGTTAGTCTCGGGGACCGATTATTTGCCGTCTGGAGAATGACTTCTTGGCTGGGATCGCGATGAGCCTGGTTGCACAGCTATGGCCTTCACATGACAGCTACCCCGTGGAGAAACCCGTTGCCAAGAATCATAGGCTCGCGGATAGTGCTGGGGTTCCTGCAGGGTTGGCCGGGGCTATTCATGGAGAAGGTCTGCTTTCGGCAAGCCCATGCAGTAGGCTGTTTCGATTGGAGCCTCAAGAGAAAGATCAGGGCGAAGGGAAGGGCAGTGGAGAGTGCCAAGCTCTGCAGGCTGCAGCAGACGGTGGAGATGTCAGATCGGCTGAGATTGGGATTGGGGGATGTCATTGGATGGTTGTTTGTGTACCCCTGATGTACGGAGTATATATTTGGGGAAGGATAGACACTCCCATGAGAGGTAAACAAGCCACGAAGCCACGAAGCCATGAAGCCATTGCTGATTCCCGCAGCTTCACCAGGAGGCATGGCCCTGAACAGCCGCCGTCAACCTCATGATATAAATAACTACTCTGGGTCCCTACATGCTACAAATCGTGAAGCCCCCCTCACCACGAGACAAGAACCCGATCTCAAGAAAAGGGCAGGGGAAAAAGGCTTGGCGGGTTAGTCCCAACGCCATCGACGCCAGCCACATACGGGGTGAAAAATTACCGCGGACGGAGAACGACCGAAAAGTCGATGGAGGACCCCCCGCGCCAAATTCGAACCGGACGAAGAACAGCGGGGCGTCGACGAGTCCAGCATGCTGGACTCAGGGGCGATCTACACGCTGGCAGGAGCCGATCAAAGTTTGGAAGGGACGACGTGGGTGGCGCTAGGCTTTTCACTCCCCGACCCAAATTGAGGACGAGGGGCGTGGATGGCTATTGGTGAACCATTGGGGCGCCAGTGGGAGATGCGTATGAGTATGGAGCTGGAGTCATGGAGTCTCGTTCGGCCAAGAGGCATTCTGCGTACGCGCTCCTCGACGGAGGGGGTTGAGACGTCGAGTTGCCTCCAGGAAAGAGTTCGATAGTCGCCTTGCAACGCGCAGGTCGGAGCCTCCATCCGACACCTCACGAACAGGGGAACCGAGGAATACCTGGAATACCTCATCGTGAGCCCCTGCCCCGCCCTTACTGGTGGTTAAATGTTGGTCCAACCGTTTCCACCGCGTCAAACCCTCCAAAGCGGAGACGCTCAATCCGATCGCGGCGGGGAACGAAAAGTCCCGTTGGGAGCGAATGACACGATGATCCCCTCTCCACACTTCTTCCCACCTTCAAGCCACGAGCTCTGCTGAGCTTTTTCTGTCTCTGCATGGTGTGAGCCTCACCCTTGTTCGCCTGTTGCATCCTCGATCCTGGTCTCTTCTTCATCCCCATCCCCATCCCCATCCCCATCCCCATCCCCTTCCCCAGATCCAACCCCCCCCCCAACGCCTCCGACATCCCTTGAGGCGGACCCCGGCCTTTACCCCGGATTCGTGGTCAAACCGGTCTCCCCAGAGACCATGGCCGGGACCTGCGCTCAATTCCCCGCCGACAGTGACTATGCATTGATGCGTGCCTTCTGGAATCGCCGACTATACACTGAAAAGGTCCTGTGATCGTGGTGGAAAACTGGATGCGCCTGCAGCGCAGTGCGCTCATCATGGAAACCCGCCGACCGGAGACTCTGGGGGTCTCGATCACCTTCTTCGTCATTGCGAGCATCTTCGTCGCCTTGCGGTTTATCTCGCGCATCTTCATCGTGCGCCGGGTCGGGTTACACGATTATTTGATGTTGGTCGCATGGGTACGTCTCTCGAGTCCCTGCATGCTTCCCGGGTTGTTGCACGCGAGTGCGCGCATCCCAAGTGCCTCGACAGTCGCAGTCTCGCTCTCATGGCTCCCATCGCTAATTCCAAGCTGCCGGGCAGGTGATCGACTTTGGCTTTTCATTCTCGCTTTTCTACGCGACTCAGAAGGGGCTCGGCCTGCATTCCCGCGACATCCTGCCAGAGAACAAGGCCGCCCTCGGCAAAGCCAACTATGCATTCACCGTGCTTTATGTGTGTCCTTCTGGCCACGCGGTCCGCGAGAGTTGACCGAATACGCTAACACCAGTCTGTTAGAACCCGGCACTGATGGCCGTCAAAACATCCATCCTTGTTTTCTACTTGACCTTGACCCGGAACCAAAAGGTCTTCCGATGGGCAAACTACGTGACACTGGTGGTAGTCAACGCCGCAGGCTTCGCGCTGACCATGGTCAACGTGTTTCAATGTCGCCCTGTCTCCGCTGCGTTCGCCGTGCCTGTTCCTCCCGGCGCCCACTGTACCGATATTGTCACGCTCTACCTTTCCTCCTCCCCCGTGAATATCATCACCGACCTGGCCATTCTGTTTCTCCCAATTCCCATTCTCACGCAGATGCGTCTTCCCTTCAAGCAAAAGGTGATTCTAGTGGTCACGTTCAGCTTCGGTTTCTTCGTGGCGGTGGTGGACGTGATTCGGATCGCTTTTCTCCAACAAGCGGCCATCTCGCGCTCATTAGCTATGCAGTCGATTCGCCTCCAGAATACGAGTCGTTCGGACTTTAGCTGTATGGAATGAACCCATTCTTCACGATAATACCTCCAGCAACCGGGCTAATCTCTCTCTATTCTCTTCGCAGGGTATGCCTCGCTTTCATTCATGTGGTCCGCGGTCGAGGTCAACGTCTCGATCATTTGCGGTTGCGTCCCAAGTCTCAAGCCACTTGTCGCGCGCCTCATCCCGAAACTGATCCGAGACACGGACGATCCTCATACCAGTCCTCACCACCACTACGCAACAGGAGACAGCCCAGTCGCGGTTCCACCTCCCGTTGTTATACCAACCTCCGGCCCATCTCCCGCCTTATCACCATCGGGCAGCAACGGAAGCAAGCCTTATGGGACAGGGAGTGGGAGCACAACGGCCCGCAGGCAGAGCTCGAACCAGACGAACCAGACGATGGGAATCCTCGATTTCCTGAGCGAGCCCGGAAATGGCCCGCAGGACGCGGAAGCCAACACACACACTAGTACCTCCTACCCGCCCAATATCACCTTCTTTGATTTCGTCAACATGAAGAAGCCGGAGAGTATGCTCAAGCTGAACAATCGCGAGTCGATTGCGCCTATTGCGTTGACGACCCTCCTCTTCTTCCTGTGGGGCTTCGCATATGGCTTGCTCGATACGCTGAATGCGCAGTTCCAGACCATTGTCCAGCTGGACAAATGGCATTCGCTTGGTCTTCATGGCGCGTACTTTGGCGGGTATCTCCTCGGCCCACTGCTGGTCGGCCGACCAGTCTTGAAGATCTGGGGCTTCAAGTCCACTTTCATCACAGGACTTTGCATCTACGCCTGTGGATCGCTCGTATTCTGGCCATCCGCTGTCCTAACATCTACAGCGGCGTTCACGATATCCAATTTCATTGTCGGCTTCGGCCTTGCTGTTCTTGAAACGGCGGCCAACCCGTTCATCGCGCTCTGTGGTCCGCTGGAGAATTCCGAGATTCGTCTCAATATATCGCAGGGCGTGCAAGCCATCGGCAGCGTCCTGTCCCCGCTCCTGGCTAAGAAAGTGCTGTTCAAGGGTGTCCAAGATGTCGCGTCCCTAGTGGACGTGCAATGGACATACCTGGGAATCGCTCTGTTCGATGTGCTTCTCGCCGTCGCCTTTTATTACCTTCCAGTCCCAGAGGCCTCGGATGCCGATCTCAAAGAACTGGCCGACCGCCGTCGCGACGACAACATGACTAAGGTAGCCGGTATCCCCGTAGTCTGGCTCACCCTCGCCCTGGGGATCTGGTCCCAATTCTTCTATGTGGCTGGCCAAGAGGTCCTCTCCACCTCACTCCAGCCGTTCGTTCGAGCCGTCCACCCAGATACCTCCCTGAGCCCTTTCGACTTTTTGACCATCGGCCACAGTGTCTTCGCCGTGGGCCGGTTTATCGCCGCCTTCGCACAGTGGTTCCTCAAGCCGCGCTGGATTCTGATGGTCTCCTACATCGGCCTGATTGTCTTCTCCGTGTTGTGCATGAAAACCACTGGCTTAACAGGCGTTGTAATGGTCATGTTGGTCTACTTCTTCGAAAGCGGCGTCTTCAGCATTATCTTCGCCATCTCACTGCGCGGCACTGCACAGCACACCAAGACGGCGGCCGCCATGCTCACAATGGCCATTAGTGGCGGAACCTTCTTCCCCTTCGCTCAGTATGCCGCCTACCTGGCCCATGGCGAATCGTACTCTTTCTGTGTCCTGGTCGCGCTATTCGCGGCCGGCGCTATCTTCCCGCTATACCTCAACCTTGTCCCCGCCGTGAAGAAACAGGTCGACCCCGTGCCGAACGAGTACCTACGTCGTCACCATCGTCACCATCGGCGCCGAAAACGTGCCTCCGTCAAGACCATGCATCGCGAGAAGGAGAATCCATCTCAGGGAGGCGTTCTCTCGCGCCGGCGCAGTCTGGTGTTTGATCCGGATCTTCTGCCCGATCTGCCAATGCCGGGCGAGACACATCAGAGCTCTACACCCCTCAGCATCCGGAACTCGAACTGGAGCCCTAGCTCACCGATGGACTCGCAAGCGTCCGGACACTCCGCCTCGAAGAGGGTTAGCAGACGGGACTCGTGATGGTTCGCTCCCATTTGCGGCCTATATAAAAAAGACATGATTACGACTCTTCAAAACGACCTATGTCTATCTTGACTCTACCTGTCTTTCTTTTTGCACATATCACCTCGCTCTTACCTTTTGACGACCTCGAAGATACCCCCATCTTTCTGGCTCACCGGACTGATGTTACTTCTCGACTGTTTTTGGACGTGATTTTTTTCCCCAAAATTATGGATGATGCCTGTGAGTGTCTTCTTATGTACATGCTTTGGGTGGTTTCTATCAACCTTTATGGATCTGAATCTTGCACTTGAGCGATGGCGTTGGGAGGGAAAGGGTCGATGGGTGGCTTCTCTTTAGTGATTGTACCATCAGCTTCTTACTGTTCATATTCAAGGGACTTTCCTGTTTTCCTTTCCCCCTTAGTGTGAATCATGATTCTGGATGTATCATCATGCACAGCCTCTACGGTGAGTTTTACGCGGTCCTGCCGGGCACTTGCATTTGGGTGTATGGATGATTGGTGCAGGCGGTCCGCGACAGCCGACGCTCAGCCGCACTGGCTACCCCTCCAAGCTGCCGTGTTCTTGATACCGAGAGAACCCAAGACCTTCCCGGTGATAAACGGTTTCCCAGAGTTACCCATTCGTGTGTGTCAACATCACGTTGCAATGGTGCCGTCTCTTGCTCCGGAAGACTACACCGTGGCATGGATCTGCGCGCTGCCAGTGGAACTGACCGCCGCGAAAGCTATGATGGATGAATTCCACAAACCTCTCGCTCCTCCGAGACCTGATCACAACATATATACCCTAGGAAGAATAAAAGGGCACAATGTGGTGGTCGCCTGCCTTCCGTTGGGTGTTGTTGGGACAACAATGGCAGCGATCGTGTTAGCGGAGATGAGGCCCACATTTCCGTCACTACGACATGTTCTCTTGGTTGGTATCGGAGGTGGGGTGCCAAGCAAGACCGATATTCGACTTGGAGATGTAGTCGTCAGCAAGCCAACTGCCAAGGGAAGTGGCGTGATACCATACGACTGTGGGAAAAGGCTGAGTGCTGGGCGATTTCAGCGTGCAGGATGTCACGATAAACCTCCGCGCCATCTATTGCAGGCCTTGAGCCACATAGAAAGTGACCGTCCCTTTGAAGAACGACCGATTGGACGGTGCATTGTCGATGTGCTTGCGAGCAATGAAGGGATGAAGTACGAGTTCTCTCGACCTGATAACGACTGGCTCTTCCACGCGTCATACAACCACCGCAGTAGTGTTGGAAACTGCTTGTCTTGTGATCAGAACCAATTGGTCCACCGAAAGCCCCGAAGTACCGATGAACCGAAGGTCCATTATGGATTAATTGGCTCGGGAAACCTGGTTATGAAAGATGCCCGCGAACGAGATCGGATTTCTCAAGAACTAGACATCCTCTGCTTTGAGATGGAGGCGGCAGGCTTAATGGATCAATACAGATGCATGGTAATACGAGGCATTTGTGACTACTGCGATTCGCATAAGAACAAGCAATGGCAAGGTTATGCCGCGCTGACGGCCGCGGTATACGCAAGACAGCTGCTATCTGTGGTTCCGGGAGATGATGTTCGGACGGAATCGAGAGATAGTGAGTGACCTTGTTTGGGAAACCCAAGGCGGCTCATAACTGACATTTGTTATAGGAACTGATCTGAGCAGAGAAGAGAAAGAGAATGCGTGTTTGTCAAGCTTGTTCATTACGGACCCATGCGACGACAAGAATGCATCCAAACGAGTCCAGGGGAAACGTGCACCTCACACCTGCGAATGGATCTTGGACACATGCGAGCTGAAGTCGTGGTTTCGTTCGCAGGATGCCTCTGATGAAACCCATTCGGACATCTTGTGGCTATATGGGAACCCGGGGACAGGAAAGTCAACGATGGCCATCACCATTGCCGAGCAGCTATCGACTGAAGCTCGTTTCATCGACAGACGTGACGTTCTGGCCTACTTTTTCTGTGACTCCAGTGTCCAGGAGCGCAGTACCGCGTGTGCTATCCTGCGAGGCCTATTGTATCAGATGATGAGACAACACTCGCATCTTCTGAAACACATACTTCCCAAGTTCAACGTTCGGAAGGAGAACCTGTTTAAATCGTTTGATGCACTATGGGGCATCCTCATGGATATTGGATATCATGATGCAAATTGCCACGTTTATTGCATTATCGATGCCCTGGATGAATGTGACCAAGAATCACAAAAGATGCTTCTCACTCAAATCAGCCTGACCTTCATGGAAACCAAGGCGCGAAGGCCAAGAATTCACTTTTTGATCACCAGTCGACCATATCCGGAAATCAAAAGTGCCCTCCGTTCGTTCAACTGTAAGGACTTGTCTTCTTATCAGGAGGTACAGCAGGATTTGAAAATCTTCATCGACGCCAAGGTCATGCAACTCACTCAGGCCAAGGAATATTCGAAGAATGTGGCAAGGACGGTATCGCGTATACTGTCTGAAAAGGCCGAAGGAACCTTTCTATGGGTTGGCATTGCTTGTAATGAGCTGGCAGATGTGCTAGCTAGAGATGCGATCACAACTTTGGAAGCCCTGCCTCGCGGTCTGACTTCGTTATATGACCGGTTACTAACGACCGCGCTCGAAGCTAATGAGAACGATAAAAACAAGATCCTACAGATACTCCGCTGTGTTGCAGTTTCACGGCAACCACTGACTCTGGTAGAGTTGTCCACTGCATGTGGCCTCTATGAAAACCAGGACGAACATGACCGCATGATTTTCACTCAGGGGGATGTTGAGATGTGCCGATTTATGGTTGTGATTCAAAAAGGATTTGTGCGCCTTTTGCATCAATCCGTAAAGGATTTCCTCCTCCTTGCTCAAGGCGGGAGCCTGATCAACATCCCGAGAGCAAACGCGGTATTGGCAAATCGATGTATCGATTACCTCTTGTTCCATGTGCCGTCAGTGGAACCTTCACAAAGCAAGGAGCATAACCGCGGGTTTTTCCGATATGCGGTCCTCTACTGGCCCGAACATGCCTCGGCCGCACAATCTGAATTCAATATTCTGCCAGCGCACAGCTGTTTCTTTCAGCTAGTCTCACACGAGCGGGAGAAGTGGCGGAAGGCCTACAACAAGGAACGGCATTTCACATGTATCCCAGAGGAATTCTCGGTTCTCCACATGGCAGCAGCATGGGACATCACAAAAGTTATCTACTTCGTCCTGGATCAAGTTTTTATTTCAAGCATACCGCTGCCGTTCCAAAAGATGGCAAAATATCTCCCAGTATCTCAAGGTGTCAAAGATTGTGTTACCTCTTTGGCAGGGTGGAACAAAGTGGGAACGCTAATCAATGCAAGGGATAAGACTGGACGGACTCCCCTTCATTGGGCAATTACGAAGCGGCATACTGAATCTGTGGACGTGCTATTACAACAAGGGGCGGACCTTGATTTACGCGATAATGAGTCAATGTGTGCCCTACATTTTGCGGCAGCAAATGGTTACGAGCAACTTGGTCAGAAGTTCTTTCAATCTTCTCAAAGGTTGGAAGCAAAAGATCGCTATGGCCGGACTCCACTGCTGTGTGCAGTAGAGAATTTACAGGGTGGCATGATTCCTCGCCTGGTTAACGCCGGAGCTCAGGTAAATAGTATCAATGATATGCATCAAAATGCAGCACACCTCATTTGTCAGGGCTCAGGGAATCCGGACCGCTACATACGGCTGGACTATTTCATTTCTCAGGAAATCCCCATATGCGTCTGTGATAAGTTTAACATGACACCCTTTTTGTATGCATTGGGACACTTGCATGAGGATCTCGCGCTACTCCTACTGGAGAAAGGATACGATGTGAACTTTCGTATCTGCAGGCAGTGGTGTTGGCGTCAGACGGAGAATGATTTTGTGCCCTGTGAAAGCGATGGAAAATTTGACCGACCACTCAAAGGGGACTCTTCTATTGGGCTGACTGCACTTCACTTTACAGCTTTGAATGGGATAGTGGGGATGTCAGAGCTTCTACTTGACTACGATGCTGATCCTAATGCCTTTGACGAAAGTGGCGACACGCCTTTACATTTAGCAATTCGAGGCCAAATAAAGGGGCACAAGTACGCCGATCCGTGGGTCACTAGAGAATATTCCGTGGAGTGGTTGACCGAGCTTATCGATGATCAAGGAAGCGAAGAAGCATTCGAAACAAGGAAGGCGATTGATCAAGCGAGAGAACGTACAGTTCAGCTACTTTTGAAAAGCACTGCTATTGATGTTAGCATCGCAAATCATGACGGGGAACGCCCCCTACATGTGATTCCCTTTCGAAAAGGATATGCGTGCACAGTGCTATCGGCACTCATCGACTCTGGAGCAGAAGTGTCCAGCTTGAATTCAATGCATCAAACTTGTCTACACCTAGCCAGCGAGGCAGGCAATCCGGATGCTGTTCGCATACTTTTGAACGAAGGATGTGACATGACTTTGCTTGATATGCATGGTTTAAGCCCTGTTCACTACGCTGTTCGTCACAACCACCCAGACATCGTACGACTCATGTTCGACAGTCATCAGGAGCAACTATCAGAGTTTATCACTCAGGATAATCTTCTAGACAAAAACATTCTATATCACCATGTTGAATCAGAGATATGCTCCGCCGAAATGGTCAATCTTCTTTTGACATACGGGTGCAAGATGAACAAACTTGATGCACAAGGCAACTCTGTGCTCAGTCAATATTTGAGTTCATTTCACTTGGGAATTCAATATGACGTCTTTCAGATCCTTCTCCGGCATTCTGGTACTGAAGGGATTCATTGGGCGGACAGCGAACAACGAAATCTTCTACACCTACTGATGTGCCAATGGGATAACGATAACATTCCTATTCTGAAGGATCTGTCGAAGTTTGTGGACATAACGGCGAAGGACGCTGACGGGAGGGGTATTGAACATCATGGAGCGATCCACGGTGCATTCAACGCATCCCTGACCCGATTTCTTCAAGAAGGAGGGAGCCTCAAACTTCACGAAAAGGATCTGATGGGCAAGACACCGCTTGAATATGCCGTAGAAGAGGCCGATCGGGAACGCCCCAGTGATCTTTTTGGAGGTCAACGGTGGCAAGAATCTCTGCAGAATTTGAAAGATGCATGCAGAACAGACTAAGCTGCTACCTCACAAGCCTTTCAGAACAGGGAATTTATCTCACTTTTTGACAATGGCGACGTGTTGGACTCGACTCCCCAGCGGAGGCAAGTGAAATTTTCTATGGGAACGACCGAGGGTGAGATTTATTGAGGATGTTTGACAGATTGAAGGTCAGACTCATTCTCCACAGGGTCTGAATGTGGTCTGGTCTGAAGCAGAAATAATGCCATTTTCATTGAGAATTAGCAAATGTCTATCTTCAAGCCCTTGCACAATCTGCTTCCAGCGGGTTGAAAACAAAGGTCAAGTGCACTCGCCCTAAAGAGTACCTCCGCTTGAACAGCAGCAGGTCGAAACAGATCGTTCGGTATAAGGTTCTTATAGAGAGCGCGGGGCTTCCTACTTCTCCGATCCTTCGTAGCAGAACTACCCAAGGTCTTCATCTGTCTCCCCCTGTGTTCTACGTAAATACCCAATACCACCTCCCCTTTCAAATTCGGCTTCACCCCTGAACATGCGAGACACGGCGGTTCTACGTAAACCCTCCACCTCCCGAGCTTCCCAGCCGAATCATGGAAACCCAGTGGCACAAAGCAGAGACCCAGCTGCGCCACCCGCACATCACAAACCCGCTATAGCCCTATAGACATGCCGTGTAACACGCAGCCAAGGTAGCTGCCCACTTAGGGCTGTGTTCATTTTCCGAACCATGTCTGAGCCGGCCCCACGAACAGGTGTTGGAGACCGATGGAGCGATCCAAGGATGACCATGACGTGCCGAACAGGAGGTTCAGGTCCGCGATATCCACTTGGCGGAAACGGTCTGCGCGGCATATTCTCGGCTGACAGCTACCGGCATACCGTGAACTGAACTGACGGGGGCGATGTGTGGCAGAAGGTGTCGGCCTCCGTTTTGAACTCACCTGATCGGAATGGGGTTGATCCGGAGCGTGCTGGAAGAGTTTCCTCGCGATAGCCTCACCTATTCCGAATCGGGAGCATATCGTGCTGCACAATCGGTGGCGGGTCCTGTGGCGAAAGCCAAGGCCGCATCGACCGAAGCCACCTCCTTCGTTTCTCGGCACTCTTACCCAAAAGACCAGGAACCCACCCTGCTGGGCCACTTCGAGGGGGTGGCAAATCGTTCCAACGTTGGCTCTCACCCAAGCAAGCAGTGGAAGGGATGGAGATGGAGATGGAGATGGAGAAAAGAACCACCCGAGGAACTGGGCGAGCATCCTCTAAGCCCACTGGAGCTTAGTATCAGATTGTGCGGAAATGCATATCCGCCCCGTTGACCCATTTGACCAACAGGGGAAGAGACGACCCTGCGGATCGTGTAACAGCTTACAAGAGCTTACGGACGTCTCCCGGGAACTTTTTAAACCCCAGGCTGATCTCGGAGAATTCCTGGCACACGCCAATGGGATTGGAGGCTCGAATTCCGAATACTCCGCAAGGGCCCCTGAGCGACTAAGGGCGAACCCGTCATTTCAGCGACGCCACACAACCTCCCTGCGCGACACGGACTCCCGAAGAACCTTCCCAAGCGCGAAGGCTTGCGCCGCACATTCTCCAGCACATCCTCATTGGCCCTCCCGCGACCTGGCCACTTTCGTGAATTTGAGGATTCCCGGGATCTTCACGGGTGCAGCCCGGGCTGGGGTTGCGTTGGATTAGCTGCAACTATACTCCGGAGGGACTCATTGGGCTCGTCCTCAGGCGATACTCGTACGCTCCTTTTCCGCTGGCCCTGGATGCTTGCAATTACTATCATGAGTATGGCCTGGGGGATGCGGCGGTTGCTCGGAGAGACGCAGAGACACTATGGATAGTCCGATGCTGGTCCATCTCAACGCATCTCGATTACGTGAGCGGGCACAATGGAAAGAAGCACTGTCCCCTCCCGGTTCCCCTTTCTTCCCGTTCGTCGAATGATGATAGGGAGACAGCCGGGAAAAAAAAATACCACCGTGCTCCACCGCAGCCAAGGGACGGACACCCGTGGCTGAGGCTGGGATTGGATCTGGGGTGTCCACACCGGAAAAGCGCAAACCAGTGGGGTTGAAAAACCAAGACAACTTGCGGTTCACCGATCCCATTCCCCTCTTTCTCCTCCCCTTCCGGTCTGCACTAAACGCTTCTTTGCACCGGCTCGTTAGAAATCAGGAAACTAAGGTGCCTTGGCACGCTTCACTTGCTGGCAGTGGCAGTGGTGATCGAACCACACCCACATTGGGCTCGACCCTCTCTACACTCCACCTCAAGTCAACGCGGGAAGCTTGGGACTATGTCTGGGACTCTGGTGGACTCGCGGCCGAAGTGACGTTTGCCATGGGTATCGTGTTCAGGACCCGCTTGCTTTTTCGAAATCTCTGGGTCCGTCGGATCCGACGGGCTGGGCCTGGTAAGCGGGTTTACGTATTTTGAAATCCGGTCTGCGCTGCTGCTCAACTCGGGGGCACCCGCCTGGCTCACAGCGTTCAGAGTGCGATGCAATGATGGTTCCATCTGGAGATTTCGCCATGAGAGTAGAGCACGGCGGTACAGGAGAATGTGTGATTGCTTCCATGCTGAAGATATATAGATGCATAGATCCATCAATTCTGGTTTTGGGGTGGAGGGGGCAGAGAACCGCTGTAATTAGTCCCCTCGGTTTTGTAAATGCACAGGATGTTGGTAATGGGTGCGCCGACAGCTGTCCGAACCCGACGCAGCGCTCCTCATGTAATGTTGTATCAGAAAGACGCTTTGAAAGAGCCGATGAAAAGAAGAAAGAGACACGATCGCTAGACAAGACCAGTGGGCACGGAGGACTCAATGGACGCCATATCGCCGACCCGATGTGTGTAATGGGATGTCCCAGACAGACCCAAGGAAAGAGAAGGAAAGGGGGAAAAGGAGAGGAGGAAAGGTGGTGGGGAGAAGAAGGATGAACACCCGTCATAGAATAGGAAAGAAGCAGTATCGGTTTCAGCCACGGGCACTGCGTGGCCGCGAGTTCTGCGAGGACGAGTCATGGAGGGTATCTGGCGCGCGGGGGCCAACCATCCAGTCCTCCATAGCGAGCCATTCGCTCCAGCTGCGCTCAGCGGCCTCGATCTCGGCGTCCAAGGGTCCCTGCAGCGGACGCAGGAACGGGATGGTTTCCAACGGTAGTATGTCGTAGTCCTTTTTCACGGACGCCCAGCCGCCGCTCTTGGCGGCGAATAGATAGTTGCGCCGTTCTTGCTCGTGCAACGGCCCCACGCCGCTGCCCCAGTCGTCACCGAAGAATCCATGCAGCACTCCTGGGAAATCCATGCCGGTTGCGACCAGGCGGCGTATGTACGGGATCAATGAGACGGATGGGCCTGGTGGTGCGGGGCCGGCTGGGGCAGTCGCGGACAGGGGGTTGGAATTCAAGACCGGGTTAGGTTGTCGTTGCAAGGGCAGTTTGATGTTCAAGAAGGCGGATAGCGCCTGGACTGGCACGCTGTGCTGGGCATGGTCCAGGAAATAGCGTTGGCAGCTCTGATAGCGTGGGTACCATTCAAAGATGTCGAAGTTGTCCTCTGTGCGTCCGGGGGAGGCGCCGGCCAGCCCGATCATGGTGGCCGGGTCGAAGTGCGATTGTGAATTCATACGGGATGGCGATGACGAGCGTCTGGACGGCTCTACAGAGTGTCTGCAGTCAAGGTGGTATCTTAGCCGGGATTCTTTAGGTTGTGCGCCCTTGCCGGGTTTCTGGCGCCCTCCTCGTGTTGGGGCTGGCTCAGCGGGGCAGATCAATTCGCTTTTTCCCCAACAGCATCTGGAGGGGCGGTGGAAACCAAGCAGAGCGCGGAGAGAAGGAGGCCAAGAGCGAAGGGTGCACAGCAACTGGGGGAAATGGTTACTTCGAAAAAAGATCCCTACCTCGACGGACCAGGAGGGAAACTCGGCGCCGGGGGGATGAGGAGGCAGAGGAGGGCGGGGGAGCAGAGCGGAACAGATCTCTGATGGCCCCGAGTCCTCGGCCGGGTTGGGGCTTGTTCATGGACATCTGTCAGGGGAGGGCCATCGAGGAAGGCGGCTCATGACAAGGTTCGGCGGAGGGGGGGGGGGGGCAGGCAGAGGTAATGGAGATAGACCCATTGACGGGGCGGTTTATGAGGTAAGAGAATAGCAGACATACATGTTGAGAGGGAAGGTCAACGGCTGTCAAAGGAGCAAAAGGAGAGAGAAGAGCCCGAGAGGAGGAAGGAAAGGAAGGGGGTAGAGGCGAGGCCGGGAAGATGAGAATGAGGTCAAAAGAAGGAAACTTTATTCTGGAACGTTCATAGAAAAAGAGGGAGAGGGAGAGAAAGCGTGCGGAGAGTGGATTCCAAAGTATACGGAGTATTTTGAAGTATTTTTGGTTTTGAATCGGATCCATCAGAACGGGTCTATCCGGACAGGCCAATCATTGCGACGAGGGCCCTCGTCCCTCAGATCTCCCTGCCCACGGGTCGCAGGTGGATACTGGATCGATCTGGAAGGCTGGTCCCCCTGGTGGAGGGATCTTTGGACGGATCCTGGGATCATGGACTCATTGGGCGATGCATATCCTTCCTTCGTTTGGGAACCGGGTACCCTGCCTCCGCTGGACAGGAGGGGACAGGATTATCATGAGGTATTGGGGGGTTTAAGAAAAAAAAAAAGAAAAAAAGGGAAAAAGAAAAAAAGCCCAAACAAGAAACATGGTTCACTTTGTCAGATCCATTTATTCCCCTCCCTGCCCCCCTCTTTCTCCCCCGTAGCGGCAAATCAATCAAACTAGGGCATCTACCCCGAGCCTCTCCTCCGTAGGGCCTTTTTCTCGTTCTCATTTCTACACCGGCGAAAGTGTGGACTTCCGTCGGATCACAGCTTTTGCACATGTCCTGGTCCCTGGGGCTGACCCCGGCACCTGGTTACGCCATAGGTAAGGCGGCGTCCTTGCGCCGGGTAACTCTGCCTATATTTGAGAGATCTCATCGTCCAGTTCGCCATCCCTATTGGCTGATACAATCGAGACGGCGTCGATTCTAATAACCATCCCCCCCCCACCGGCCTCCTTTTCCCTGAGCTCCTGTCGACGCCTAGTTGCTGATGCAAGCGTCCCCATATTTATTATGGCTTTTTCTGTTCTAGTTTCTTCACTGACTTGTGTCTAGGCCTCAGAATTGGTTCAAAGAGCAACGAATAAAAAAAAATAGGGGGGGTTATTGCTTCCCTTGAGAACCGGGTCCTACCTTTTCGGGACGGCGGCAATCTACTGAGCGAGGTTGCTTTGCTGCAAGGTGCCTAGACTTGATTGGAATCGATCGTCCACGAGGACACGTGCCTGTGCATTCTCCAATCTACAATCTCCATTTCATTGTCTCTGGCCAAAAAAACGACTGGTCCAAAGGTGATCTCCCCCACTTCATATATGGTCCATGTGCCCTCTCCCTGCACATCAATATTATCTTGCATAACTTGACGGTGGCTGGCGAATTGATCATAATTGGCCATATAGGAAAGATCCTCTCCAGGTTGCAATTTACCGTGCCTATCCACCCCTGAATGGACAAAAAGGGGTGGTGGGGAGGTGATTTTCAAGGGCACGGCAGCTCGAGGGCTTAGCAGAACGAGGCACTGGAGACTCTCCCATGAGCCGAGAGGGTACTCCGTAGTCTACGATTGCGGCGCTGCACCGATTGGGCCGCGAAATCGTTCGTACTCGGGTATTCGACGGACCCAAGCACTGATCCTCCACTCGAATGGATCAATCTGAGCTCCCAAAAACATTAAGAAAAGAAAATAAACACATTAGAACGGAGGACAGAGCGCGAGGCGCCATTTCAAGCCCGCGCCTCGTTTTACCCCTGCAAGATCTTCGATGAGCCACTCAGCAGTCTCAAAATAATCACCATACTCCCCCAGTTGAGGGCTTTTCAAATGAGGTCACGCCTAAGCGTAAGCCAGGAGGGCACACGATCTGGAATCTCGAGGACCAGGCGCGAAGCAGGGACCACCCACCGAGCTGTGAGTCCAGCCCCCCCCCCCCGCCCCCTTAGCTCGTGAGCGGAGTCCAGCCCAACCAAGCTATGGGCCAATCGCACCGGCTTCCAGACGAGAAAGTGACCGAGCTGATTTCTGGGACGCAGTCCACACGAATCGGCCGTCCAAAAGCCTCGACTAGTCAATGGATTACCGCGAAGGGGCTTCCCCTTTTCTGGAGACGTACAGCGGGTCCCGTCGGCTGCAAGAAATCCGGCAAACTAGGGGCCCCGAGGGCTACGCGCTACGGTCTACCGAGGTAGGAGAGCCCGGACGTATTCATATTTTCTGGGGGGGCTTCTTTGACGGCTGGCTTGACAATTGTTTGTGTCTTTGTCTGGGAATTTGCCCTTTCAATTTGACGTCGTCCACCCTATTCCTTGCCGCCTATTTGCCACATGCGGAGGCTTAGATCCACTCCTTTCCCAGGGGCAGGATGGAGTCAGCTGATGAGGGGTCGTTCTGGCCGATCGGTTCGGTATAGAATGTTGTTCCAGTCGGGAGAGGCTGTCGTTGAGGAACGAATATCTCGGCGACTCTGGCGTCTTTCCCGTGAAGTTGTGATCGGCCAGCTGTCATCCTGAGATCAAGGTTCGCAGAGGCGATACGCTCTGCACGAATTGCTGCAGCCCGTGTTCCAGGAAATGCAGGAGGGCCACTTGCCATTTTCGCAGATCATTTGGCGCCTGAAGCGCAAGGTCTCATCTCAGCTTAGTTTGGCCGAGACCCACGAACAGCTTGACGTCGAGAGGTTTAGACCAGGAATGGACTCGAAGGATTGCGCGTGGCAGAAAGCGCCTATATCTGGAATATCGTCCGGTCTTCAGGTCCCAAATTTGGGCTGGGTTGAGGCTGCTCGGATCCACACTTCGAACACATTGTTCGCATGTGGTTAGTGGCCGGTGTTCATGTTCACATGCTTGAGCTACTGCGCTGCTGCCCGATACTCGGCAATGAAGCACGCATATCGACAATTCTGCCCGGTCGCTCTCCGTTGCGAGTTCATGACGGCAGTATCCGAGCACTCGATCGCAATGCCACCCTTCAACCTGCCTGGTCAGGATCAGGAGGCACGCGACTTATATTCGCCATGCACGATGAACTGCACATCCTGCCGCGCCGACCACTCGCACGCTGCACCGTAGAGAAGCATCCACAGACTCTTTGCCACTTTAACTTGAGCGGCACCCGCTCGGCGACCTCATGCAAGATAAGCATCCAGCGTGAGATCTATCACGCCATTAGCGCAGCACACCAGACCTCCCAAGAACATCAACCTCCTTCGTATCCCCGCTCACCACTCTCTCCTCTCCCCACAATCTCGTACCAAATGCCGTGATATGCAGCCTGCATACCGAGCGGACCATCCAGCGTAGAGCCCATTCCAAATCACCCGCCTATCAGCGCATGTGAGCATCCCAGTCGGCCCGGAAGGTGATCTATCCACCCTTCGCGACACCGCCTCGCACGCCTTTGGCACTTAGTGGAAAGATGACGAGCATGGCGACCGCCCGTGACACTTCCGGCTGTGGGTTGAGTAGGCGAAGTACGTCTTAATACTGCAGCCTGCTGCTTTTGCTCGTGTTAGTTCGCCCGCTCGCCACTGACGTTATGCATGGTCCAGCGCATCGTTGCGAGCCTGATCCAGGACGGGTAATCATGACGACAGATGCGATGCGTCGGGGTCGCGCAGGGGACATCATCTGCACTGCCGCGCCCGCACCGACACTCTGAGTTTTCCCCAGGGGTGATAGGGAAACTCGTCGTGGACGTCTTCCTATTAGTATTCGTGGGGTCGGGATGGAGTTGCGGAGTCCGCCGATGCCCATGGTTTTCCCGCTGCGGCCCGAGCCTTTGCCCGGCGTGGGATGGGGTTTACCCGGTAGACCATGGGACTGACGGTGGATCTGGTGAGTCTTGTTGAATTTGGTGTGTTTTGTTCGATGTACGTGCGAGAATCTGGGGTAGATGCGTATCGTGGTTGTGGGGTGGTTGCTGCCCTGGTTTGTTTCGGTGGGGTTTTCCAGGGTTGTTGGTGGACCGGCCATGTTGTCGGCGAATGAAGACGAAAAGTGCGGGGGTTTCTGTTTTGGTGTTTTGCCTTATCTCATTTCTGAGGTATGCACATTCTAAAGAGGGTGCTTGAATACGCTATGCTCAATTCGAATTATCATACAATGAATAGACCTCGCGCAAAGACTGAAACGGGTGCGGAGATTGAAAGGAATGAGAGGTCGTGGAGGTTGTCAAGTCAATTGATTTCCCTCCCAAAATATGAAACCTCCTCAAATGAATTCAACAATATCTTAACCTATTCCAGTATTTCCGGGAAACGGTGTCACCCCCACACTCTTGCATTGTTTCCCCAAGCCTAATGCCAAAACACACTAAACCCCATGAGCACCATCATGGGAATATCAATTTTCTGGCTTTTTATAGATACAATTCTTTCCAAATTAAATATTATTTCGACAAAGGCAAGATGCCAAAGAACCCGAAAGATCTGCGGGACGTTGTGGCTCTAGCATACCAGTGCCAGGGATATGAAACTTCATCCGCGGGCGATATTGATCAGGCAAAGACCATTCGTGATCAGTTATTTGTTACGACAAGATGACTGACTTGCATCCGATGTAGATCTAAACACGACAAGACAATGATTAATGGCAAGACCGGACGGCCATTTTTATAATGGTCAAGACTAATGTGCTGAATTGCCGTTGTGTCTACGACTGACGCTTGCTACGGTGTTGCTAGTGTTCCTAGATGCCAGGTTTGCTTCACATGCCGATGTGGAAAGGTTGTTACTTCAAATTGAGTATCGGTTGTGTCGCTGGATCTGCATCTTTCTTGGCATTAGAGCCCGAGCAGCGATCAGAGTGTCATAGGGTGACACTGGTCTCGAGACAATGTAGTTTCTATATTAACGATCGTTAATGTCTTCCATGCCAGAAGCGCAGAGATGCATTCCAATCTGGTAATCACATAATGCGCGCAGAAGGTATTTTAAATACACTGAAGCTGTATAGATCGGGTGAATTGTTTAGGGCAGGTTCGAGTGGTCGTTAATGCCTGACCTCTCCTGCAGGCGACGGGTTATGACGTGGTCGCCTATGTTGATTCGTCGCCCCATTTTAGACAGCTATTTTTTAGGCATCAATATTCTTGGAAGGTGAATATGCTGCACACTGTCTGCTATTAAGTCCATAATCAGGTGGTGCTCCTCACTGTGCTTTCCCACTATCTGTCCATCAGCATTTAACCATCAGCAAGGGATATTTGCGAAAATTTGCAGGCCTGAGAACGTCGATCTCCTCTTGGTTCTAGCTACGTATGCACCTATGGGATAACAGTCGGCTACCCTGACGAGCGGTGCGAATTACGAATCAGGATGTCTTCAACTTGCTCCAGTCCTTCAAGAGGCCAGTATAGTCCATCGGAGCAATTTGCTCTGGTGCACCGTCCTGCCCCAAGACACGCCGACGGGAATGTACCCGAGCCGAATGGTCAACAGCGACAGCCTCTTAAACGCCAACCCTCAGGCAATGATGGTACTTTGAGAAGTCGTCTTGGTCTCGGGAATTGGAAGTGCGGGCACTGCACTAGAGCAGGTGCAACTTGCCCCAACGGGATACTAAAGCAGAATCATAACAGGGAGCAAATTGAGATTTTGATTGCTTCCATGATTCTTCTTAGCCAGGAATCCCAAGAATTGACCACCAAGTTGGAAAGGCTTGCTCAGCTCGCAACCTGTTGGTTCCACCGACGCGAGGATCCACACGATATCCGAAAGACCAAATGGATGACAATTTTTCCCGCGCAGAGTAGTAATGTATTTTGTCTTGAAGAGCAAGTCAAAGCCATATTCGAGCCCGCTTCGACTAAATGCGTTGCAGCTGGGAAAGAGTCAAATACATGTGGAAAGAAAGTTGGAGGCCGAAAAGTTCAAAATTATACGAAAACAACTGGTACAATCATCAGACTCGGAATATACTTAGAGGATTCACAGATCAACGTTTACCTCGAGATTTTGGAAAAGAATGTCTACTGCTTAGACCACGAGCTTACAATGCCTCTTCGAAAAAGGGATGATTGGAAGTCGAGAATCCTACAAATCCGCGCAATAGCTGACTTGAAGTCGGACGTATCTGCTCAGCATCAAGTGCCCCATAAAACTGAATGCCAATCTAAATCCACTGAGCACTGCGACTCTCTTGATTCAAATGATCAACACACCCCAAGTTTGAGGGTTCCGCCCTCATCAGACGACAAAATTATGGCGTCTTTTCAGCCGGAAGAATTCGACACGAGTCCCTTCCATATTGTATCAAGAACGAATAGTTGCGACATGGATACCTTGAATGACTATATTCGGAGCAAAATTGACCGAAATCTGAGTAACGGAAATCGAAACCCCGGATATATTTATGTGTTTCAAGCAGAAAATGACCAGAGATTCACAAAAATTGGATATACAACTCATCCTGTGAATGAGCGCCTCGAAAGCTTGCGTTTTGAATGCAACAGGCAACTGAAGGTGCTATTTCCTACACCCCCTGAACTTGCGATGTTGGTTCCCAACGCTTTCCGCGTTGAGGAATTATGCCATGCGGAGTTGGTCGATTTTCAAGTACACATTGATTGTACAGGATGTTTAAGTGAGCACCATGAATGGTTTCGGGTCTCTCCAGCAGATGCGATTGCAGTGGTTGAGAAGTGGTCAGTATGGATGTACTCTACTCCATACGACCCAGCACTCGGAGGCCTCAAAGAAGAAGAAAAACGCAGAATATCAGCTATGAACAAGTTCATGAATGAACTAGCAGAGGCTGCTGCGGGAGAGGGCTTTACTGGCGCAGGTATTGGGACATAGCAGAAACTCCAGGCCTACGACTACTTGCAGCATAAATTACCTGTCTCAAAATACTGGAGGAGAACAGAGCGGGAGTGCTGGAGGGCGTTCTCCAAGCTCAAATGCAGGAGGCATTGGATAAGAGTTTCCGGGATCTTTCACACAATCTATTCTCAGCATGCAACAACTCCAGTTCCCCAGATAGATGCTGGAAAAGTACCGAGATCTTCCAGTGTCTCGCCTCAAACGGGTCCGCTACCTTGCGAAGAGTTCTGGGCCAGACACTGCCACCATCGAGTGCAATACCAATCCCCACTTCTGGTGCAGTTGCATTTGGCAACTTGCCAGAGAAATGATAAACGTGAGCCAAGCCACTATCGAGCTGTCGCCTCTGTACTATCATACGACTCGTTTGAAGCGTTTCATTCAGCAGCTTGTAATGAGGCACACCCTTGATTTACATCACCTGTTTCATGTTATAGCAAAGGAGACACCAGGAGGGCTAACAAGTCAGGCCGCATAAGAGGGGAATTAAGTTAGAGGTTTTCATCAGACCGCCAGGAACCAGGTTTAAGGTGGCCTTCCCTTCCCTCATAATTTGCAGAGACGTGCAATATGTTTCTGTGGAATTCAAAAAGATATCTCTCCCTACGTGTCATGTAATCTTATGTGGCTCGGTGCAGCACAAGAGGCGCATTTTTCAGCGCCCCTCAGCTTGATATAGATCGCCCGATAGCTGATCTGTGCTAAAACCTTAGATATAGGGGCAGAAAATGAGTTATCAGGTGTGTTTTGGGTAAGAGGATATCGAGAATGACCGCAATGATGTATATATAAGCCTATTCCTTTCTCTATAATAGAGGGACACGATATCATATCTGCAAATCACTTCGCTCAACATTTCAAAATGACAGACCTAGCCCTACAGGCACACATTACCGATAAACATACCTCCGATCATCAAGCAGATCCAAAGCAGCCTGCCGGCCCTGCTTTTCGATCATTAACCTAGCCTTCACCGCATCAAGTTCCCGCTCAGCATTAATCCGCGCCCCCTCATGCATAATTCGCACACGCTCTACCTCCGGCTGGTGCGGTGCCGATGGTAACATCTCTCTTGGGATATCACCCCACTTTGACCAGAGGGGGAGTCGATAATTGCGCATTGCACGATTAAGATCGCCCCATGCCCCGGACGGGTTAATCAGGGCACCGCAAATGTTCAGGCTTGTCCAGCCGTGGAGGGTAAGCATGGGTTTTTGGTTTCCGGATACGGAGGGAACTGAGGACAGGATGTGCTCCATTATGACGTGCTGGGAGTTTGATAAGATTGAGCGGGGGTTAAATGGGGATGCTGTCGGTGATGAGGCTGGGGTTCGCGGGTGTAGGACGAAGTCGATGCCGTAGGAGGTGTAATGGTCTGCTAGTTCGCGGTCAGCCACGTCGTAGCCTCGGGGGTTTCTGGCACGGCTGGCTTTCCCTGTATCGTAGGTGTTAGGAGACTGTGTCAAGGGAGGATGGAAGGAAGTAGTAGGGCATTGTACTAACAAACATTGTGGCTCGGGGCCGCACCACAGGCATCGATGTACTCTGAGCAGGTCTCCGGACTGAGAAGGCCGGTGCGTTTTAGGTCCAGATGGTGGAAGAATTCTTTAATTAGGGCGGAGAAGCAGGGAGTGGGTGTCATATCTTGGTTGAAGAAATAGGTCCACCCAGAAGGTTGATATTGTTGCTGATGTTGCTGGGGTTGTTGATGTTGTGGGTATTCCTGATGGTATTGATATTGGTATTGTGATTGCTGAGACTGGGTCTGTTCTAGCTGTGGACGCTGTGGTGGCGGTGGCTGTTGATCCTGGGGATATTGTCGCGGTTGTGGAGGCTTTTTATGTTGCTGTTGTTGTTCACGATCTTGCTCGGTGCTTTGCTGCGGCGTATCTGGCGGTAATGGTGTTGACGGCTGGGAGGAGCCTGGTCTCGACACCGGTTCGCCAGCACCTACTTCAGGTTGGACTTCTGGCTGCTTGGTCGGGCGAGGAGGCTTCCTGGGCGGCACTTCGGTATCTGGAACAGCAGAAACGGGCCTTCGTCGTGGAGAAACAAGCGCGGCTTTATACACGCCGCTGACAGACTGAGTTCGTACTGGTGGAGGAGGCGGGGCTGGGAGATAGCCGCTATGCTGGTATACTGAAAGAGAATGCGAGGCACCATCTGGATGCTTCGGGGGATAGTCCTGCACGACATAGCAGTTGGCACATAGGGTGATGGGTGGTGAGCAAGTGCTACATGTTAAGCGTGCTTTGGTAACCTGGATAAATTCCTGGCAGGAAGTGCACTTGTAGAGCAGCATGGTGGGCTGGTTGAAAAACTGGCGAGAGATTATCTTGGCCATAGGTCCCTGGAGGTTGCTCACTCCATATATAACAGCAACATAATGTCGGGCACTGCCCCATGGTCTGCCCTGGCTGAGGGTGGCTTAGAATTCGCATAGTGATAAGTGACAATGAAGTATTAGCAGCTTGGCAACGCCTCGTCTTCTAGTTAAGGTGAAAATAGCCGAACTCCTGATTATCGCCCCTCATCCCCGCCTCTAGCACAATTACAGTAGCCTGAAATCAATTAGTGCATTATTTTGTCCAATAACTTACAAGACTAAACTGGAGGACATATTATCATTGGACAGAAAGGCTCGACGATATGTTAAGAGGTTATCGAAGCTTTTCTGGTTAGCTCCAATGAGTTGACGGCTACGGCGGATTATAGGGATCACTGGGTCAAGATGCTTAAGCAGCTTTGAACCACGATAATTAATAAATAAGTACCACCCCTATTATAATGATATAGCAGTTTATAATATACGGCCGAGGCTACCGGGACTTCCCTAGTGCATCCGAAAGTAGTTTAGTACATCTTGGTATTTGGGTTCGAGAAACATTGAAAGAGTACAGTATAGGTAGTAACAACATTTTCCGGGAATACTGTATCGCCCGAGGATACTTTGTTAATATTAATGCATATCAGCCAAGACATTGCGATCAAAATGCAAGAAACTTATCTAGCTGTCATGTATGTTTCACACTCGACTTGAGCAACGTCAACCCAGGGAGCATCAGATGGGAACTATGCAAAATGAAGCATGTACAAACCCATGGTAATACAAATATTATCAACTGAATCATAAGCTAGGCACTGATGAAGTTAACATATAGCAAAGATTTGGGTATCTACACTCTTCATCGCCGTCCAAACCCCCCTCTTCCGATATTATAATCGCCCCTCCATCCCAACCCTGCACACTAACAGCCTCACAACCTCAAACTACAGATCCGCATCTCGGAGATTGATAAGATAGCCCTGCATCCGCACCTTGCACAGCCTAGAAGAACGGAGACACTTAGCTCCTTTCAGCCAACAGGAATCTCGAAGCTCCAGCGGATCCGGATCTACCTTAGGGTTAGTCGCTTAACCTGTGTCCCTGGACGCACCTGGCGAGCGTGGTGGTGCATATGATGGGGGGACGGGAGGGCCGGGCACATGTGGGGATCAGAGTTAGCGATTAGCCGTTTCGGGAGGGAAGTCTGGCCAGGGTGGACTACGCAGCATAAAATGCAGTATGCCCGGGAGGACTCGGTGTGTTTACATGCAGAAGGATGTTAAAGATAACGAGATTCAGGATCAGGACCGTAGTCGGATTTTTTGGTCCTGCATTGACGGGCTTTGCGAGGGATCCACGATCCAATTCAAACGAGGCAGGGAAATTGGAAACTCAGCGGCGACGTCGACGACGGTGGCGAGGCAAGCTGGCAGGGGTACGCAGAACGCGGCTGCCGCCCATAAAGCATACTTGCGGCTTGACTGCGCCTGGGTAGGGTCGGTGCCAACTCTACGTACTCCTTCACCGGGGGCCTGCCGGTGATTGGGCCACTGCAGCAAATCGGGGCAATCTCGAGCCTTGGCATCATACGACAGGGTTCGGGGTACCTGGCCCGAGCCCCGAGCCCCCGAGCCCACGAGCTCACGAGCTCACCCGCGGATGAGGAGCCTCTGAAACACATCAATGGCACGGGTCAGAGCGGCTGGGCGCCACCAGACAACAAGTGCGCTTTCATGAATCTAGTACTACTAGCATAGAGGCCGGAACGGAGTACTCAGTGTAGAGCATATGTCAGTATACAACTCATACTCCGGGTGCGTAGTGTAGGACAGTATTGCGATTCATGCACAGACAGCAGTTCTCTTCGGCTCGAAAAAAGATTCATCGCCGATGGCCCCGAATTTCGACCCCTCCAACCCCTCCTTCATTGACCCCTCCATGCCATAGTGGCGTGGAGAAATATCGGAGGAAGGGAGGGGGGGCCGCATTGGCAGTGCCGCGTCTGGGGTCCGGTGAAGAGAGAGCCAATGCATTGAAAGAAATATGGAGACGTACACACACCCAAAGGGACCGCTGATAAAGGCAGCAGTGGCCAGTGGGCAGCGGGCATAGTTCCTGTGAGTCAAGGGGATTGAAAAATAAAATCAATCGATCAGATATAGTGGTGGGGACCCTGGGCTGGGGCAGGATTGCCAGTCAGTGGCGGGCATTCCATTATTTAGGCAATTAGGTACTATGTTGGAGGGTTTATTCGTTGCTCATTCGTTCGCGAGCAGTTCCAAAATCCACACCTTGCCAAGCTTGCACGTCCGAATGAAACCGCTGCTTGCGGGATTAGGTCACGTGGTATGGACCGAAGGCCAGTGGCGGATCCACGAAAAGCAGCCAGTCGAATGGGTGACCGGGGTGCACGAGAATCACGGATATCACTGAATATGCACCATCAGGCACGCGACCTGGAGACAATACCCTCCGCATTTTGTCTGTGGCTGGCGCTGCTCTGGGCCGGCTGTTCGGAGTCTAGGTTACATTAGTGCCCGTCCAGTTCGAGTCCACTGCACCGGAGAGGACCGATCCGATGGGGAGGTAAGAGTCGCAACCACCACACCCGATCGAAATGAACCACGAATTTGACTCGGAACAAGTAGGGTGGCAGATCTTGGATCCGAGAACGGCATGCCTCGAGTGGACGGGAAGGGTGTGACTGAAAGGCTGGCAGGCGAAACGCAGCCGCCACCGCAGATAAGCAATCTGTGACCTTAAAGGATAAGATAAATTTGCCTGGTGGGCCCCGAACTTCGGCCCTTCTTCCCACGGAAAGCATTGGCCCTGTGCAACTGGACCAGCGTGTCGCATGGCGTATACTCCTGCTCTGTCACCCAGTCCGTTTAACCGTCGACCCGTCGAAGATCGCTTTCCTTTTTCCCCGTGCAAGTTGCCCGGCCTGTCTCGTCCGACTCCGGCAGGCTGCTCCTCCCCACCCCTCTCATCTCCATCTCTGGCGCTGTATATAACATTCCCTGTTGCCCCCCGGACCAAGTGTCTTCCCTCCTTTTCTCTCAACTCCTCAGCTCTCTCTCTGTCTTTCAGTCTGCTACTTCCGAGCACCTGTTAACCTTAATCCTTCTCCTTGATCGCCGCGCGCCGATCATCGACTATACCCCAAACTGAAAGCAGAGCATACTAAAACCGCCGAAATGACCGCCCACAACCTCCCCAGCGAGCCCGAGTTCGAGCAGGCCTACAAGGGTATGTCTCAATCGTTCCTTGAATTTAGAAACATTTTATGCCGAAAATTTTTATGCTGGGGCCAATTACCCCTCCTAAGCCCTATTGCCCCTCCCCGAGTTAATCCATTTTCCACCGGCATCCACGGCAAGTGGTTCTTCGGGAAGCGGCTCAGCTAATCATTCCGAACCCACAGAGCTCGCGTCCACTCTTGAGAACTCCACTCTGTTCCAGAAGAAGCCTGAGTACCGCAAGGCGCTGCAGGTCGTCTCCATCCCCGAGCGCATTGTCCAGTTCCGTGTTGTCTGGGAGGATGACAAGGGTCAGGTAAGATCACAACCCTCGAGCAATCATCCGTCTCCCATCTAATCAATTTTTTCTTCCCTTGACCAGGTCCAAATCAACCGCGGTTTCCGTGTTCAGTTCAACTCGGCTCTCGGCCCCTACAAGGGTGGCCTGCGCTTCCACCCCTCCGTGAATCTGTCCATCCTCAAGTTCCTCGGCTTCGAGCAGATCTTCAAGAATGCCCTGACTGGCCTGAACATGGGCGGTGGTAAGGGTGGTTCCGACTTCGACCCCAAGGGCAAGTCGGACAACGAGATCCGCCGCTTCTGCGTTGCCTTCATGTCCGAGTTGTGCAAGCACATCGGCGCCGACACTGACGTGCCCGCCGGTGACATCGGTGTGACTGGCCGTGAGATCGGCTTCATGTTCGGCCAGTACAAGAAGATCCGCAACCAGTGGGAGGGTGTGCTCACCGGCAAGGGCGGCAGCTGGGGTGGCTCGCTGATCCGCCCCGAGGCCACCGGCTACGGTGTCGTCTACTACACCGAGCACATGATCAAGTATGCCTCGGGCGGCAAGGAGTCGTTCGCCGGCAAGCGCGTCGCCATCTCGGGCTCCGGCAACGTCGCCCAGTACGCCGCACTCAAGGTCATCGAGCTGGGCGGCTCCGTCATCTCGCTGTCCGACTCCCAGGGCTCGCTCGTGCTCAACGGTGAGGAGGGCTCCTTCACCCCCGAGGAGATCAACTCCATCGCCGCTATCAAGGTCGAGCGCAAGCAGCTCGCTGAGCTGGCCTCCACCGCCGCCTTCGCCTCCAAGTTCAAGTACATCCCCGGCGCCCGCCCCTGGACCAACATCACCGGCCGCATCGACGTCGCCCTCCCCTCCGCCACCCAGAACGAGGTCTCCGGCGACGAGGCCAAGGCCCTGATCGCCGCGGGCTGCAAGTTCATCGCCGAGGGCTCCAACATGGGCTCCACCCAGGACGCCATCGATGTCTTCGAAGCCCACCGTGAGGCTAACCCCGGCGCCGCTGCCATCTGGTACGCCCCCGGTAAGGCCGCCAACGCCGGTGGTGTCGCCGTCTCTGGCCTCGAGATGGCCCAGAACTCGGCCCGTGTGAACTGGACCGCTGAGGAGGTTGACAACCGCCTCAAGGGCATCATGGAGGACTGCTTCAAGAACGGCCTCAGCACTGCCCAGGAGTACGTTACCCCCAAGGACGGCGCCCTGCCCTCCCTCGTTGCTGGCTCCAACATTGCTGGTTTCACCAAGGTCGCTGAGGCCATGAAGGACCACGGTGACTGGTGGTAAATCAGTTCGCCCGGTTCATATTTATGAATTGAGGTCTGATATAAAAAAAGAAAAAGTGTTGCCCTCTTGGCCCTTCTTTCCCCTTTTGGTGGAAAGGGTTCAGTGGTTATGCATTTATTCAGTGTTTCCCTTTTTTGTCGAGCGGGTATGGATAGAGGCGCTGGTTTTTTTCACAACTTCCCCCCTTTCTTGTTGCATTTGATGATATTCCCTCTTGAGCATCGCTGTTTTGGTCTGCTGTTGGGATCGTCATGATGATAATGAAATTGAATGATCTATTTTCAAAATACTTTCACCTTTTTTCGTAACGGTTTATCTTCCTTGTAAGCTGTCTCGGTTGAACGAATGATCCTCGATGCAGCCCCGCAGAGCGCAGGTCCAGGATCGCAGCAGAACGGGCAAGAATCAGTGTTGAAACCCTGTAGGACCATATGCTTGAAAATTATGGCAGAGGGTGGCTGAAATGTTTTCTATTGTGCTCCTGCCCGCGGAAGACCTAGTGGCGATGATATTGTTTTCGAAGTATTTTTGTTTTCGACGATGGTAAGCTAGTGAGTGGAGCATCATTTGTTCTGGAAGTCATGTTTGTCTACTGGGATGCTGTGTTTTCTCCGCTATAATTGATGAAGGATATCATCGGATCGATCCAGTAGCTGCACAACATGAGGTGGATCGGACTTATTATCATGAGCGACACATTTCCGCCGGTTCGGGGCAAGTAGAATAAGAACAGCAGTCATCACTTTCAGGATAAAGTATCTATTCTGGAGCCTCTCATTCGATATGCAAGAATGAACAGGATGTAACAGCGGATATGTTCTGGTATGCTTCTCAAGCAAACACTAATCCTTTTATCGCTGTTGATGGCTTATTGCAGCTAACAGACCTTGAGAGTGTCAAGAACTCTTCAGATCAATGCATCAACGGTATTTCTGAGGACTCTGACTCATCCACCCCTCATGAAGGAGCGATTTTCTACGAAGGAGGATCTTCCGTTCGCCTTGAGCTGTGTAGTGAGGCAATAACTTTATGCGGAGTACTTTGTTGACGATAGACAAATTTAGTATTTGTTTCAGAGCGATTATACCGCTTTACCCAACGGTAAACTCGCAACCGAGGTGCCGGACGATTTATGCCTTCACGCGGAGTTCGGAAAAAAGTAAACGACTCGGTGACCTGATAATGTGCTAGGGCTGGGTTCATCAAGCACAAATTCGGGTAGCAACACAAGCATACTCGTCACGACCGCAAGTGGTCCCTACTTGTCTTCGATGCCTACCTTTCATGCACAGTCCTGGCTTTGCACGGCATGTCTATTCGTAATTTTGGACCGAAGTCTTCGATTCATAAGTCCCAAAGGGAGATAAAGCCTGAGTGTTAGCAAGGTTGAGGTTCATCCCCTTTGCCTGCCTGTCTTCTAGGCATCACACACGTGACCTTTCTGTAGACTAATCACGTGACCATGTCCAAACAGTCCCGATCATCCCTCCGCCCAATTGAGGATGGATTCCGTTCATATCGAGGCACCATTGTACAGCATGACTTCATGATCGAGAATTCGATTGTTTAAACTCAGCTGTAGGTGCTAATATCTGTTATGCCCACCAGGCTTTCACAATGCTGCCGGACATGGCATCATCCGAACAGTGGAGGACCTTCGTCCAGCGATGTCTGGCACATCGCGTAGACGTCGATGAGTTCAAGGGCCTCTCAAAATTGATGCAAGTTCGATCCCCTTTGAAAGAAAAGGATCTGCTTGATCTTCTCCTGGGGGCCCGCTCCGCATCCAGCATCGCGTGGGACCCGCTCCTGCCAGTCTACGTCGACGGGCTGTGCAAGATCGGTCAGGTGAAGGCGTCCTCAGCATTGAATTGTCTTCTGGCGCATTCGTCTATTCGCGGAAAATCAGAAACACCGCGCAAGGCTTCGACCTTGATGACGGATATCAAGGTCATCCAGGATGTCATGCTCTCCATCTCGAGTGGATTGGTCCCAAAGAGGATTGCGGAGGCGGCTGAGCTTTATGATGCGGCTGTGGAGTGGATTACGGCTGTTGTGGAGTGGCACAACAACAGTATCTTGCAGCAGGGTGGCGGGCTGATGAGCTGTCCTGACGCGGTGTCTTTGTTTGAGTCTCTTGGTATCTTGCTTGCGGCTTTGTCGGGCACCTCGAAGGGCCTAGAAGTATTATCTAGCGACTACCATCAGGGTATGCTCCCATCACATGTAGATGAGAATTGAGGTTGATAATGCTAATGCTTTTCTAGGATTGAAAACAAAGCTGGGCCAGGCTCTCACCTCGTATGTGCCTTTGTGTGTCGACGTGTCCTTGCCTCTTCGGCACAGGCTGGACGCCCTGCAGAAGGAGTTTAATCTGTATGGAGAGCAGCCATCCAAGCAATTGGATCATCCGGCTATTGAGGGGATGAATGTTGGTGCCCTCCAGTTCGAGGCTTCGGTGATGGACGGCCCGGTGATCAACACTAGAGCTGGTCTCTATGTGTATCTCAATTCCATGGTATGACATATTGGGTCTCTCTTGTCGACTGTAAAACTGATTTGGGCATAGCTTGTAGGACGTCCTTTGGTCGATGACTCTATGTTGATCAATTACCTGACCAACCGCTATGAGGTGAGTCCTTTCCCCCACCTATCCAATCCGTCTGTTCTCGGAGGGAGCATTCAGTCACCTCAAAAATATGGCATCTGACATATCCTTAGGGTCACCAAGAAGTCTTGGTGGAGGAAATCACCACAGCAGCCTTCGACGTCTTATCCAATGGCGTCAACCGCAACGAGTCTAGCCGGACGATGTTCCTGTTCCGGACTTTCCTGGTCAACAAGCTCCCGGCATTTTTTGCCGCAATGACAGCGGCATCTATGGTGCCAATTCCGATGGAAATGTGTATTACTCAAGCATTAAACCGCCTCGACCCGAATGCATTCCCGTCTTTCTCTCAGATGTTCTCCATGCAGGGAAACAGCATCCTCTCAGACGCCCGCCAGGAGTTCCTGTTTGCCTGTGCATCTCACAGGCTGATTCAGGAGTCTAGCATTGAGCGGCTTCTAGGAGAGAATCCTATGCAGACTGTGCCTGTGGGTGGTCCTTACCAAAAGGATGATCTTATCTCACAGATCCACAACAATCCTGAGCGCGCTGAGCAATTGATTGGTGAGATCGAGTCGATGGAGGGCAATGCAGGCGCGATCGTGGGCGCGATTACTGAGGTTTGTACTAATCACCTCACTCAGTACCACATAATTTCTGACTCCCCTGTATAGGTCATGTACAGCCTCTGCAATCAGAAAGAGACAATGACTCTGAAAAACATCTGCAACTCCCTATCCCGGCGCCCACAGGCCCTGGATGTCATCCTCCTTTTCCGCACCACAAAGCAGGTCGTACAACCTCTCTGCGCTCTGCTGGATTCCTGGCACTGGGATGAAGACCAAAGCGAAAACCAGCCGGTCTACGATGAATTCGGTAGCATTCTACTGCTGGTGCTTGTCTTTAAATATCGCTATGACCTGAGTCCCGCCGACATTGGGATCTCAAGCACTGACTCGTTCTTGTTGAAACTGCTGGATCGGGGCTCTTGCAGCCAGAAGCTGAGCGAGCTGAGCGAGAAGCAGAACAAGGATCTTGGTGCGTGGATCGCGGCTTTATTTATAGCTGAGGGTATCAATGAAGAGACCATGTCCACTTGTAGTCCCCAGGAGTTCTACATGCTTGTTGCGACCCTGTTTGATCAGAGTCTCGGGGTGTGCGAGTCAGAGAAAATGGATTTTGAGACACTAAAGGGCGGATTTGAATGTGGGTTGAACAGCCGATGACTTTATCCACCACCTTCTAACCTGGTACTAGATCTTCTCGAACCCTTTTTACTTCCATCCCTGGTTGTGGCCCTGATATGGCTTGGCAATCACATCTGGCAATCGGAAACTGAGCCCGAAATCCCCCTGAAGACTCTCTACTCTTTAGTCAAACCCAGCTCCATCTCCGGCGAAGCGCAAGCCATTCATAAAACCGTCCTGAATATCACCGCTCGCCCGTTGGAAGAACAACTGAAGGACGTTCGAACAAGACATCAAGCCCGCCAAAATATTGACAAGATCTCAGATATTAAACCAATTCTAGATACCCTCGACCCATATCTCTCCTTCCGGCGCGTGGGTAGCTGCCACCGCTCCGAGCTCGAGGTTTGGGCTGCCCCGACGGCAGGCGGCTTCCCAGGCAGCATCCGCAGTACCCTGCAATCCTTAGTTTTATGGAGCACCGGATCAGGAATCTCCATGCAGCCACAGTCCTACACGCACCGTCAGCTGCTCGCCGGGATCCGCATCCTCGGCGCTGCGCGCATCCTCGGCGCATTGATTGATGAACTGAAACAACAGACCGAGGCAGGCAGCGGCGACCTTGCCCTAGACGTCGCGGCGGCGATGGTCTGCGCCCCGATGGCTGAGTCCTTTGCCGTGGACCAGAACATCTGCCACCCAGTCGATCCCACCAAGGAATCGCTCCCCCGCTGCGCTATCCTGACTCTCCGTGATGCCCTCACTCTGCAGCACGACAACGTCCCCAAAATCTCTGAGAAGGACCCCCTCCGCGCAGAAGTTATCGTGCGCCTCTGGCGCCGCGTCAGCGTCCTTGCCGCCCCGCCATCCCAGGTATCCAACATCGACGTTAGCAACATCATTCAGAACATGGAACTCGGCGTCGAGGGCCAGGACCGCATGGATCTTGAGCACACAGGCGCGGGTGCCGGCGGTAATGCCGTTGGTGACGATGACCCGGAGAACCTCAACCAGATGCTGGATAAGGCTGCGGCGGCCGCGGCAGCCGGAATGGATGGCGGTGTTGGTGTCGGGCAGGATATGAGGCTTGATGCTGGGGTTAGTGGGATGGATGCGATTGACGATGTGCTCAACGCGGCGGACATGGCGGTGGGTAATCCGGAGTTCCTCGACTTAGATATGGAGGGCATGTTTTAGCGACGGATCTGTTATGTTTGATTATTCTGGGGGTGCATGAGCAAGCATTTGAATATATCTTCTTGTGCAACCCTTCGATTCTACCAGGCTACCAGAAATTCTGTGCGTCTTCTCTGGAATTGATCGGTTTTGATCATCATTAAACATGGATATCTGTTTGGACTTGATTTGGCTCATTGAATTGCAGTCTAGCTGCACATGAAGACAATATATTACGGCACATTCGTTGTTCCTGCGTTATCTCCCATTTTCATTACATGTGCCTTCCATTATCGTAGATTCTGCGACCAAACTATTAGCCACGCACCAGCCGGTGGTATCTCAACGCGGGGGGCACATACAGACGTTCAGTTCTTTCTCAAGCTTGCTGGCGAGCTTGGGGATTCCTGAGTGGGGGTACATCTTCTCAATCAGGTCCATCGGCTTGGGAATAAATCCTCGACGCGACTCAGTCGGCACAGGGGCGGCTACCACAACCGAGGAGAGAGTAATAGCGGCGAGAATGGCAGTTAGCTTCATTGTGTCTCGGTTGTGAGATGTCTATGATTGACGAGGCACGCGTCAGCTAGTGAGAACCATCAAACTATGCTGCCAGGTGAGAAAACTTACCAGCAAATGAAGGGATGAAAGAACTTGCCTAAGTGGATCGGATGTATATGCTGGTTGACGTCGATCGCGAGGTGAAGTGCATTGATAATGGTCCCAGGCAGTTCGCTCTTAATAATGTTCCAGCGGAAACTACCGATCACAGGGGCGTGATAGGACAAGAATAGTTCATTCCAGTGGGAAGGAACTTCGGCGATCCTGGAATGAGGAATTCATCGAACGCGACGCCTCAAGGAACTCGGCCCTACGGTAAGCCGGTTAGTAGTGTACGTTGGTTGTCCTCATCCCAAGATCATTTCACCCGAATATTCAGAAGAGGGTCCTTTCAAACGGACTAGTAGATATTGTCTTTTTGGTTCCCCTGTGGTATGAGACCGTTAGCCGTGAAGGTTGCTAAGGTTGCTCTGGCTTTTGGCGGTTGATGCATTCAGTCTTGGTATTTGTTGCGCGGCACGGTGCACGCAAGGGATGCAATCATATCTGTCACACACGAGCTTAGAGTTCGCAACAAATGTGGGCTATCTGAATGAAACACTGACATGTTTTGTCCTCGGCCTTGCGCAAAGTATATCTTAAACCTTGTTGAACCGAAGTTCACGTGAGGTGCAGGTGTGGTATACCTACGTATGATTTAGCAGCGCCTTCACGCCGATATATATTCCCATCGTTCTCTTCCCATATTTTGAAATCCGTACCGAGCCGAGAATAAAAACACCTTGAATTATGATAGTAACCACTTTCGTACGTATTGGTCATAGAATAAGACACTGGAGGACCGTTCAGGTATTTCGAGGCTGTGCATTATTTAAAGCTTCAATAATATATTCCGTATAGGTACAAGGTCACGAAAACCAAAGCAGGCTGCTAAGAGACCTATGCCCGCCGATAAACCAAAATAGCTTAGGTGCAATGAAATATACATCTACAATTAAACTACGGTCTATTACTGTGAAGTTTCAATCCAAATATATTTGCTCTGTGAAATTGTTGTGCGGTTTCCCAAGTCACCTCGAACAAATCCCACCCAGCTACCTCTCTGCGAATTTGTCAACCAGCTCAACAAGTTTCAATCCTTCATGTCAATCTTCACCGTAGTCGCATATCCCAAAGACTGGTTCCTGGCCCTACAGTATGTGCTTAAATACTGGCGCCGAATTACTTCATTTTTTGGTCCAAAATGTCGGGTTTAGTACCCAGAAGTGGTTTGCACCGAGCGCGGGGCAACGTGCACAGCGCACCATGGAACCTAGGCCGTCATGTTCCTGCGAGTCTCAAAGCCGTGCGAGTCGGCCCAGGCACGGGCTGAAGACCTCCCACGGGGGCGGGCGGTACCAAAGAGGGCAGAACGTACGCACCTTCCTGATTGAGCGAGCCAGACCCATCTCAAGCTCGACAACGCTATCATGCCGTGCTCCTTCAGCGACTTGCGAGCGGATGAAATTTCCCACTCTTTCCCGGTGGCACAGAGAACAGCGAACACGAAACCGATTCGCCAGAACGAGGCGACGTGTGGCGGATTTAGGTCGAACCCGAGCGTGCGTACCACGCGCTAAGTCACGACGGCGCCTTGCACGTGGCTTTTCCTGATTTCTTGGTATTTTGATGCGCTTCCGGCGTGCTGGAACTTCCTGCGCTGGAAAGGCCCCGCCTACTGTAAGATGTAGTAACTTAATCCTTCCCGCCGCGAAAAAATGGGGTGAGCGTCCCGAGAGAGTGCGTTTCTACTTGCAACCTAGCTCTGCATGAGGGTGGGAACCCTGTTCCGCTCGCTAGGATTTGCTAAGCACGAGTTGACACCCGACGGATAACCATCAAAATTTTTGTGCGGAGAGGCCAAAACCCACCAAGGAAACGTGCGCCGCAAGAAAAGACATCCAAGGCATAGGTGTCCGAGTTGCAGGGCAAATGCTCGTGCGCAACGCTGCAGGAACACGGGTGATGCACACTTTTTCACGGGCGCCGGGAACACCCTTCGTCTCCCTCTCGATTTCCTGGTCTTGAGATTGGCTGTGCTGCCCGTTTCATCACGAACCTCAGCACACGCCCCGGCCGGGGTTTGGTTTGCCGATCGGGTTGCCCTTGGGGGGATTTCCTATCAAGGAAGCCAGTCCTTTCCTGTGGAGGTGTTCTGGGTTGGATGATGGGGCGCGGATCAGATCCCTGACACAAAGGGCCGGACTTTAAACCTTTTCCAGGGACCATCCGGGGAATTTTGTATCTCTTCCTGCATTGCCATCCGGGCTGCTGAGGATTTCAAATCGCAGAAGAACGCTCTTTCTACAGGGTCGGAGGTTTCTCCTACCCTCCTTCCTGCACCCGCTGGATTCCTGTCACGCCGCGGCCGGCCGGGGTGTAAGAAAAATCACCCGATAGCCTACCAAAGAAGGGATCGACTGTGTAAATCGGTTGGTCGTCATCACGGGAGAGGCACGAACAAAGCCAAGCCCCGCGGTCCTCCTGCCGTGAGTGGCAGACATTATGTGCCGGGCTGGGAGCTGGACGCCCACTTGATCGTCAATGCAGGAGCCCCACACTCGAGCGAACTCTTGGCTCGCGATGCCATCACGCAGCCACTTGGGGCTAGTGGGTGGTTGCTCGAACAACAAACTCGGGGACCGCGGGAGAGAAAGGGTCGATAGGCCATGTTTGTGGAAGGGTGTACTTTGCACGGTTGAAGCGAAATACTATCTTCCGGCTCTGTACAGTTCGTAAAGCAAACCGACAGCATCGCGCAGGCAGTACCCACCACACGACGCGGGGGCACACGCAGGTAATAGGTACAGTGTAGATCAAATTGCCACTCAGCATGGACGCGCATTGCCCTGCGCCTGTCTGGAGGTGGCGACAGACTAAACATAGAGCAGGCGAATCGTGTGGTGGAGAAGCGATTAGGCGTGGAGAGCAACGAATGTACAGTATGTATACCGCGTACGCCAGGTACTGTAAGAGACAGAGAGAACTGTGTGTCTGGTAAGTAACGTACGGTAATTCAGATTTCACGTAGAGGCTTCTTGCCGAGCGACTCTTCCCCGACGGCCATTCAGTCCACTTACGATTCAATATACCGCCAATAGAGGGTCGTGACTGAATTATGGGATCTTCTCCGATACCACTGCGTGATAAGCAATCGACAATGGCCCGTTGAACAAAGCGAAAACAGGTGGACCAAGCTCAGGACCCAACGCAACTGCGCCCGTCCATTACGTCGTCGGCCGAACCATTGGGCGCGAAGCGTTGATCGCCTTTGTCCAGCGTCCTGTCTGGCGCAGAATATAGTGCTGAACCTCAACTTGTTGGTAAGAAAAGGGGCCAAGACCTATCATGTCACGTTTTCCATCCCGTCCCAAGGACCGTGCTGCGGAAAGGGTGGGGGGCGTTCCCGGAGCTTGATGCTGGGGAGTTGGAACTATCCATTTCGCAACGCCAGCGATGGATTCCGACTTGCTTCTATGATATGACAGCAACGACTGCATTGTTGCCCCATCACCTCTGAGCCCTGTGGGTTCGCCCTGTCCTTCTACACGCAATTTGTTCCTTTGTGGACCTCGTTCGAGCCCACGAGGAACTAGGCTATCATTCGGACCTTCTAGAGTCCGGCGCATCCTAGTTGCCCCCACACCCACTCCTTTGATTAAGGGGCACAGAAATGACGCGGTACAGTAGTCCCGCAGGGGCTGACGAACACGTGCTGGGACGAACAAGCCGTGGGACTCCCTAGATTTTCTAGCTGGTTAGACTGGCCCCCCTCTGAACCCTCTGAACGGGGAGGCGATCATCAAATGGATTTCCGAGCGTTCTGGGCTCGCACTTGGCTTGTCTTCCCCGTCCAGGCGGGTGCAGCGGCACAGCCCGTGTTTGGCAACCCTCTAAACTAAGAGCGTTGGCACAATCCCCTAAGCCGTGCTGCTTAAACTATCTGATGTGCCGGGTTCTCGGATACTCGACCTCCGAATTCCCTAAAAGGGGTAACAACCCTCCGGATGTGAACAATAGGCACGGCTGCCAACATAAAGCGCATGTGGCAGGCAGATCTTGTCCAGGCCTCGACCGGCTGGGCCTGGGAGGACTAACGAACTAGTTAGTGAATAATTGGCCATATTGTTCTCCGTACTTGCAGTAAATGGTTTTAGGGTACCGTATGACTGGGTCTGTCTGGGTTGCCCCCTCTTGACAGGACCAACGTCCGCCTTTGGACATCAGGTCCCGATTCTTTGTCACTGGAGCCCCCGGAAGCCCTTCCGCGCCCTCAAGGTCCCCACCAACACCGAGAGCGCCGGTCCAAATTTTTGGGACGGCACCGTCGCCCTCTCAGGGAAATGGAGATCTCAGATCCCAACCAATACGCGGCCCATACGCGCGTGGCGCTGGTCCGCGGTACGGATCCGGTGACAAAGGACGGACTTGTGGTAGGTCTGGATAGCGCAGACGTTATCGAGGGCCCCTTTTACGCCCCACGGGCTAGTGTCTCCGTGGACATGGTATAGGAATAGGCGGGTTTGCTTAGCGTTGAGGTGTTGCGATTCCTTTCGCGCCAAGGTCCCAGCCGAACCGTTGCGCGGGATCGTGGTAGCCCGCTCCCTTTCTCCAGGACATCTCGCGGGGGCCTTCCCGGATGCTTGTGCTGTCCACTACAATCTCACGTTCTTTCGGAAGTGTGGGGCATGAAGAATGGCGGTGACGGCATTGCTTGAGCGTTCCTTATCTTTGGGCTCTTGGCTCCTCTCGGGGTGTATTCGTGATCCGTTATCTCCAAGGTGAAGAAGGGTATTTACTGTAGTACGGCTGCTGCCATTCTGAAGGTATACCTGGGAGCGTGTTATTATACATTGGCAGGTCCTCGGTAGTTGTACACTCCGTACGTGAGCTAAGGTGATTTATTTCCCATGGACCACTTATCTAGATCGACTAGTCCA